GTTGGTCGGAGTTTTCCAATTCACCACAGCGTCAACCTTATGCGGGTCCATACGAATTCCGGAGTCATCCACTACGTGGCCGAGAACCTTCAATTCTACCTGGAGGAAATGAAGCTTCTTCTCCGACAGATATAATTTCTCGCGAACGAGAACGTCAATAATCGTCTTTACATGCCGCACATGCTCTTCGACAGTGTCGGAATAGATGATAATATCATCCAGATAAACATCCATGAAGACGCCTATATACGGCGCGAATATATGGTTCATTAACGCCTGGTACGTCGCCGGGGCGTTACAGTCCCCTTGCTGCATAACCAGGCTAACCATTGTTCCATCAGGCGTCGTCATTGCCGAGCGCGCGACATGCTCAGCTATGATCCGAATTTGCTCGTAGGCGTCCTTACCGTCCATACTGGAACGAAACAAGTGCGCAGCAATGCGGCGTAAAATCGCTTCAATATTGGGCATAGGGGTAGCCATCTTAATGGTGTTGGCGTTACGCTCGCGCAAGTCGACCACAATGCGTAGCAGCTTCGTGCCCGGTTTATAAATGTGTAGCATTGGAACGGCGTTCCCAGAAGTCGTAATCTGCCAACGACCCGACTTCAGATACGCATTGCGCTTCTCCACCCATTGCTCCAGCAACGGTTCAGGGCATCGAGAAGGCCGCCATTTATACACCTTTTTCTCATCGATCAGAGGTATTGTATGATTTATCGCGCGTAACGGGGGTAAATCAGTCTGATCCATTGTCTTACAGAGTGGTCTCGCGTATTCGAGCAACTCCTTGCGTGCGCGCTCAATTTCAGCGGCGTCGAAGTTGATTGTCATCGAGGCCAGACGTGATACACCCGGACCGTCAAGCGGCAGGCATTCGTCTGAACCCACGACAACCCGCGCGGGATTCAACCCCAACAGAACGCGATGTTGGTACATAAATGGTGTGCCTAGGATCAAGTCGTAGTTCGAGATGTTGATGACGTCGAACACACGATCGTCATTAATGGTTTGATAGCTAATGTTAGCCTTACAGGACCAATTTATCTTAGTTCTCGAGCCCTGCACAGCAAGTTGCAAGGGAATGGGCTTCGCCAGAGCTACCTTGCTTTTACTGCCTAATTGATCTGCCAGCGTCGAGGACATAAAGTCGCCCAGGGACCCCGAGTCCAGTAACGCCTTCGCGGGCTTACCATTTATATGCACGGTAACGACCACAGGCGAAGGCACAACGCGCTCCTTATCCTTTACGACGGACGCGTTACGCTGCAGCGCCGGTAACTTATCGCGATCAATCTGGACGCCGAAGAGACTGAGCTCATCCAGCAGATCAGTGTCGTCGTCGGCCATATCGAACGTATAGAAGCGCGACGGATCTTCAAGGTAAGGTTCTAATGGGTAGAAACCTGTGTCCACTAACATTCTGGCTAGGCGTTCCAGCGCAAAATCCATCGCATTACAATATAGGCCCGAGGTGTCATACTCAGGTTCACGAAGGAAAGGCCCCTCATCTGGGTTCACGGCCCAGGGCACTGAATGCTTCGTGTACCACGATGCCAAATTCAGCCGTTCGTTCCGGAGTAAGCTTCCACTTATGACGGCATGTGTCTCGAGCTCGTCTTCCGAGATATGCCAACGTTCGTTGTCACTTCCGAAAGCGCTGACACTGAACGAGCTGTCCACTAGACTGTCGTCCCAGGTAAGTTTGTGCTTGAGGTACATTCGAGCATTGAACTCTATAGGGTCTACGGCAGCGTTATAGAATTCCTTGTTAAGAACACCAGTCCAGTCTGGTGCCACTCGATCGGCGAGTAGCTGTGCGTACCACAAACCAAAGTTCAGGCAATTATCATTCATCGACTCGGCAGATACTTCAACGCATAAATCGTGCATACGGTCCATCAGGTGGTACTTCGCGGGAGACGTCCTTTCCATCGAGAACCGTAGCTCCGACCAGGGATATGCGCCGTGGTCATCCCCTGGCAGCCCTAGATCTCGGCTTAGCTCTAGTATCCAGGTGATGGTATTCATGCGAGCATCACCAATACCGTCGCCTACATAATGTTCTTCCAGGAACTTCGACCAACGTGTACTAATGTCAGTGAAATCTTCCTCAATTTCGCCAAAATCCAAGCCACGATCACTGTCATTGAGCAACTCAAGGACGTCATAGTTCGAAGACCCTGGAAACTCGGCCTGCAAGGTCTTATCATGCGATCCTAGCATAGCCAATTCAATTCGAGCAGACTGCTCGTCATCGGGTATGTACTCGTCAATTACATGTTCCGCGAAGTCAATATTATTAACGCGGATACCAGGGGGTTTCCCTCCCTTGCCAGGTAAGGTATTGGCCCTGGGACAGTTCCGCGCAATATGACCGGTTTGCTTGCATAGGAAGCATTTGCCTTCTGATTGCAGTTTCTGTCGTTCCTGCGGGGAGATATCTCTACGCCCCCCAGATGGTTTATTTCCTGATGCGGAACCAGTCGCAGCATTCTGTGTGTCATTACCCGCCGACTGGCCTGGGCGATTGCTACTATAACCTGGTGAATTACGTCGCTTGTCGTTCTTGAAGTTGCGAGAACGTTGATTGGAGTTACCTCCTCCAGGTTTACTCATATTTGAGCCGTATATCGACGATGATTTCGACAGGGAAGAGCCATCCTTCAAGCGCTTGTCACCTCGAGCACTGTCCTTCCGAATACTCGAGAGAACGATTTCCTCGTTTTCCGCCTCCGCGACAACTTCATCCCAAGATGCGTCCTCGGGGTTCAACCCCATGCGCCGGCAGGCGATTGCCAGCTCAGGATTCAGCCCACGGAACAAATGGACGACACACTGGCGTGCCTCAAGCCCTCCGATGGTGTTTATCATGTCGTACATTTGCGCAGCATACTCTTTAACTGATAGTTCGCTTTGATAGAAACGTTCCAGCTTACGGCGCTGTTTCTCCCGGAAATTAGACGGGAAACAGGCATCATAAATGGCCTTGAAATACTCGTCAAGCGTCCAGTTCGACTCGTCGTCAGCGATTACATTCTGGTAATACGCCTGTGCCTTGCCTTCGGTATAGCGCGCAAGTGCTCGAATTTCCTTTCGCTGTTCGACCCGCGCGTCATCAAGATAATGCAAGCCCTCACGCATCCATCGATTGAATAAATCAATCTTAGGTTCACCGGTAAACACTGTAGGAGCGACGGCCTTCAATTTTGAAGGTGCTTTCCTCTTTTTACGACGAGAAGATTGCAAACTTCCTCCTCCATCCTCAGGACCGGATCCATCAGAGGAAGGGTCACCGTCAGAATCGTAGTTACGATTGCGGGCTACACGATTGAAGATACGACCGACGTTTGACGACGGCGGTACTACTTCATTCGGTCGGGACACATGGCGACGTTCGCGACGACTCCAGCTTGGTAGAACCGGGTTTACCATAGTGCTACCACGAGTAAAGTCACCACGGGCCTTGCGCTCAATATATTTGCGTTCATCTTCAGATAAAACTTCAGGCGTGAAGGTAGTGTGCTTAAACTCATTGGGCCTTTGAGGCTTGTTCTGAACTTGAGATTCAAGTCGGTCGAAGCGGTCTTGAATGAGCTTAAGATTCTTCAATAATTCGGTCAGGGTCATATCATTCGGATGAGTACTAAGTACAACATTAGGGGTGGCACTAGCTTTATCAGCTTTGGGTGAAGAGGAGAGATTTGGCTTGGATTGCCAAAATTCCAATGCTGCACGTTGCTCAGCGACTTCTTCTTCGGTAGGTGCGTCAACCGTATTGACGACTGGATTGGGCCCACCGAGCTGTAAGACGGGCTCGCCGCGCTCTCGCGGGTCGACGCCCTTGCCTTTATCTCTAGGCGTGGATTCGGTGTCCATGGAATCGTCGTCCGTAACGTGTACGGAGGCGCGACGCCTCAGGATCGCGTCTCGCTGATCCTGGGTCAATAATTCCTCCGCGCGCCTGATATCGGCTTCTTGAGCGGGGGAGATTTCTGGAGTCGGTGTGCGGAGAGGGCGTCCGCCACGGCCGACCGTAATCCAAGGGCGTTCCTCGGCGGGAGAGGACCTGGATTCTTCGGGGTTATCATGGATGACTACCCCGGCATTCGAGCTGGCATTCGAAGCTCTAGGGGAGCCGAATGAAGTATCCCCTCGAAGGGGAGAGGTTTCTCGCGGGGTGGAGAACCCGACACGAGTATTCGTAGCGGCGACGCTGGAGTACGAAGCTCCCGTCCCGCTGTTCTGGTTCAAGCTCGAGTCATCAGCGCTGGGTGTTAATGGAGGTAAGGGGGACTCATCCGGGATATAGGCGGCTGGCATAGCCAACGGCGTCTGAGGCTCTGACGAGGATGCGGGATGAGACATTACTCCAATAGGATTAAACTAAACAATACTAGGTTAGTAAAATAGAGAAACTGAGTTACTTAACGGGATATAGTCGGATAGCCTTGGTTGATCAGACCGAGGGGTGCCCGAAGAGAGAGATTACGAGACAGAAAGAGATAAGATGAGAGAGTCGATGTGAATGAGAGATGAGATGGACGAGATGGCACTGTCAAAAATATGTGGCGGGAGACAACCGGATAGGGAAGTGTCGCGTCACACGAAGTCACACAAGTCAAAGACAGGGGTAAGTCGTCCTTGTTTATGCAACTCTGCCCTACAACGTACACAGGGCTCGTAACTATATAGTAGACTACCATGATGACTGCCATAGTAAATACACTAATAAAAGGAGAGACTAAGGTTAGACTAAAGAGAGTGATTGACTAAAGAGCGTAGCTAGAAAGGAGTGTGACTAGCCAGCGCTAAACGTGGCTTTACCGTATCGGGTATATTTCTGTTACAACCTACCTCCTTCGTTTGATCGTTTGTCTGTGTGGCGTGAGAATGTCGACTCAAGCACTTCTATACTTGTGTTTATTTTCCCATGGCTATGAATATCGGGCGCTTCTTCGAGGAGCTGAATCAGCATTTGAACTTGTTCGTTAACCACAATGTCAACTACAGAAGAAGTTAGAGTGCCCTTTTTCAAGAAGAAAGGGAAGGGAAGGCCGACGACCTCGCGCAAGCGTTCACCGTCGCCAAACAGCGCCGCTACTGGCGCACCTTCATCATCAGCCTCGAAATCTGAAGTTGTCTTACCAAACCGCAAGGGTGCTAATAATCTGCTCAGCGCTGGGACTAAACGAACTACCTCACAACGCGACGACGATATTGACGCGCCAGAACGGGACGGGCCTGACGTAAAATGGAAGGCAGACGGCTCTCATGTCAACGCAGCGTTAGAGATACTGGCTGGTGACGAGGCGGAGGAGATGCTTGCCAAGCGGAGGAAGAAATCGGACTTGGACGATGACGAAGAAGAAGGACCCGACGATGGCCAGTATCACGGACAGAAGGGTTATCGTAGTCACCTGAAAAAGTCGAAGGAAGTACCGAAGGCAATGCGAGTAGGCCCGCAAAGGAACACTAGCACTATTCGTACGGTGACTATCGTCGATTATCAACCGGATGTCTGTAAGGACTATAAAGGTAAGTGTTCGTTCCAACCAGATCTTGTCAAACGCTCATAGATTTGGACAGAAACTGGATATTGTGGCTTCGGAGACACATGTAAATTCTTACATGACAGAGGAACATGTTAGTCATTTGGCGATATATGACCTTTCCGCCCCTTAATTTACCATTCTCTATTTGCAGATCTTCAAGGATGGCAACTTGACAAGCTGGCCGAAAATGCGACGAAAGATGTAGGAGACGTGTCGGAGTCTGATTCAGATGAGGACATTCCGTTTGCATGCCTGATTTGCCGAAAGCACTATACTGATCCAGTCGTCACTCGCTGTGGTCACTACTTTTGCTCGGCTTGTGCAATCAAGCGATTTGCGAAGACGCCCAGGTGCATAGCCTGCGGCTCGCCAACCGGTGGCATCTTCAACCGGGCCGACAAAATTATCGAAAAGGCTAGTAAGTCGCGCAAACAGAAGGAAGAAGATGAGGAGACAGAAGACAACCCAACGGATAAGGTGGAAATCGAGGGTCTAGGCGCAGAAGAAGAAGCAAGTAATCACTCCAATGATGACTCTGACTAATAGCACGTCTTGGATGCACGCATTGCATTGTATACCTGCTCTGCATCATCCGCATTGTTGCAGCCTGCGATTTTAGTGGCCTGCGTGGGTAATTTCGGTCCAGAGGAAGCACTGCGCCTGGGTGTATCATTAATTTACCCATCCTGAAATTAAGCCCAGAAGCTAGAAGGCCTACTTACTAGAAGGTCACGGAACGACTAGCACTGAGGACGCCTCCTCCGCCAAGAAGCTCGTTTGTGGACCGTCTACATAATAACATATGTATGTATGACCATGAAATATGTGGGGGCCAACCCCGAAATCATCTTAATGAAATTCCCGCCTCCGCACCCCTCCGCATCGTCATACGTGCATCTAGTCTGAAAGGAGCACAAGTCAGGGTGATCCGATGGAAGTTGATGGTCATCGAAGATTCGATACAGGACTAACCCGATTGTTCTTAGGACGATATACCTGATCCTGATGCCGACCAATCTCAGAGTGCCTATTCTCGAGAGGAAAGCTCCGTAAGATGAACGTTTTACGCCAAAAGGCTCACTGAGTTCCCGTTGGCTGCGGAGGCGGAGGCATAATAGGCTGTACCCCAAAGAATTATTTCGGTCAAATACAGGGGACAGTTAACGTTGAGATGCAAGCTTCATAGAAATTCGGGTCCGGCACCTTCGAAGTTCGAAGGCGCGTAGCTTGGGAAAAGATATCTCCCACCACTAACCGGGGCGCGAATTGATTTTATGGCCATAGCAGCCGAGTTGCAATCTGAGATACACGGCTTACGGGGGGATCCATCGAGCAATCGGACCTCAGCTCTCATATTGGCCGATGAAATAATGTCCATAATCCAGACGTGATGCGATGTTGGCTATCGGAGATATGTTCGTCCCAATTATCCAACCGAAAATCGACCTGCACAACATACGAATGGCTGGTATGACAGGCTGAGTGCATTTAGCACTCCGCGAACTAATTGCAATGACCAGGCGGAATTAAGAATAACTCTAATGGAAGAGACGAAATAGAATCAGACCTATATTCGTGACGTGTAGGCCCAAGGTCTTTAGCAACTCACCTAATACACGGTCTGCAAGCTACTGAAGCGCTACTGCGGCCGCTCGTCACACCCGTTGTCTAGGTGTCTTTTTAGTGAATCTGCCCGGCTGAACTCCTTGTCACAGTATCGACAGCGGTGTACGACTGGCGTGGCAAGGTGCTGAGTTTCGTGGTGGCGCTTCCTATCGTGTGATCTTGAGAAGGTCTTTGAGCACTTGTCGCAGGGATATCGCTCCCCTGTTGGGGAACTCGTAGAAGTCGGAGATATTGGTGCCGTACTGCGTGGTCGACTGCCTGTGTAGCGTGAGGAGTGTTGCGGGGGAATCTGCGACGAAGAAGCTCCATGTTGGTACTCCGGTGAGCCGTAATATTCCCGTCCGAAGTTGGGGGACATAGGTCGTGCGTTCGCGGGGTAGGCAGCGTATTGGCCGACAAAGTCAGAGGGGGTGGGTATAAAGTGTGGTGTTTGGGCAGCGACGGCAGGGGATTGTGAGGACTGGCCATACGAGCCATCGTAGTATGGGGGATGGGGATGAGGCACGTAACCTGTACAGCGATCTATGAACAATGAAGTAGTAGTAGAAAGGGAGTGATCACGCACCTGGCTGCATGGATGCATACTGCTGAGCCTCCGGGCTGACGGTCATGGAACGCGGGTATTGGGCTTTGTGGTGCGAGCATGATAAGACGCGTGTGGTGGTGAGGGATAATGATGATACGCACGATTTGGTGGTGCATTGGATGGCACGTATAGCTGGGCAGACATGGGGTCATATTGACTGCGTTGGTAGCTGGTTGGTGGTACGGGATAGCTGGTACCTTGGTGAGGGGGAGGTTGGGAAGTTGAGTAGGGAGCACTTTGGCCGTCATAAGAGTAGTTACGAGTGTGTTGGTGCATGGTTACCGAGGGTTGTCAAGGTATCACCTTTGTGGCGGAGGCGTCGAGGAAAGTGGAGGAGCAATTATAAGACTGGTCCCATGTAATTTATACATCCGATACCGCCCAAATGTCAACGGAGGGCCTCGATATAGGCTTTTACTAAATTCTTGGCTAGTGGACCGAGCATTACACGGACCCGTTACGCACGGCTGCATGCAATTGGCTTAACTTCCCTTCATGCATTCTAGATGACCAAAAATTAAACAATCGAGCTTTTCTGTAACGATTCGATTCACTTACTGATGAAAGTCAATAGGATGCCCAAGTCTGGTGCTCCGGCTAAACCCTGGGGTCCCGGTCAGATTCCATACTCGGGTCGATCTTGAGATGGCTGGAAACTACACCTGGAACCGCAAAAGGTTAGTCGGCATCCCATGTCAAGGTCGATGTGACCCAATGCGAACCACGGCGGTAGTTGCTTGTGTATGTCTGCACTTGATCAATCCCAATCCTGTTCAAGAAAATCACCCTGTCTGGCCGTAAACCTACGTGTTACTTGTCTTGCCACGGCGTGCGAGTTTCGACAAGATTCAACTCGACAGCTGTCATGCTCGTGTCCATTATTGCACTGCGACTAAGTATATGAAAACCTAGCGTGTTTATTCGGAGCATTCGACAGCCAGTTCGGAAACTAGAGAGGAGGAGAAATGTTTGCTCAGAATAGCCGTGAATGTGGCTGGAATGGATTTATCCGTGCCCTTGGGCAGTGCAGATATTTTTACGGCACTGATATAGTTCGTGATCGCTGTTCGGGTGACCGAAATTGCAGCATGTGAGGCCTTTCGGCTTGCTGGCTGTTAAAAACCCTAAGGCAACTACTGCACCAGGAGAGTTGGAATATACCGGATGGTGCTCTGTTCCGCTGTCAGAAGAACGATGTCAATTCAAGGTTCGAACTCTAAGTGTATGTCAAAGAATGCCTCCGTCTCCATTGAACGATCTGACCTGGATGTAATGCATTATCAAGGCCCAAGTTTGGTTTAATCATGCGTTTTGAATTCAGCATCGTACCGGGCTCTGCACAGGAAGGGTCGTTATTCGCAGCCCCGCGGCGTGCCTCTGCTATTCGCAACCAAGCCGAGCGTACCGTACGTACCAGTGGTTTGTCGTAATATCGCACGTAGTCCCGATTTGCAAGGTACAGCAATGTAAATAAACCCCCAGGGCGTATATCGAGCACCCGAAGAGAGGAAGCTTTTGTCTGCAGGTCGAGCCGTCGGTAAATTATCGACCTGGCGCATATTTCGCTTTCGATTAGCCTGAATCGCGATTGGATCGGGAAGTTATGGCATTTTAATATGTACACCGGCCTTGAGGTCTTGCACTGACTGGTTTACGCGAAACCTCGTCACCGAAGCGTGTGCCAATAATGTCCTGCCAGTGCAGCATACCAGCCAATGAGGCGTACCAGCCAATACCGCCGCGACATGCCTCAATTTTCGGCGTTCTGAGATGCCCAATAGCACGTTGCCCACTTTAATTCTTACAGAACCCCGCAATGACTGGAGTAGTGCTCGATATGAGACGGCTTCTGAGAACGATCCACGAAAGGCTGCTGCCAAACAGCACCAAACACTACTCAGCCAGTTACGGCGCAGCACAGTGGTTGCGTTTCCGAGTCATGGCGCCGTTCGACCTCGATGCGTGTATACAGCAATTACTTCGAAAGCAACTCCTGCATGAAGCACTTCTACGCGAAATATGCGAGAAGACGAAGGAGATTCTCATGCGTGAATCAAACGTCGTGCACATTAGTGCGCCGGTGACCGTAGTGGGAGATATCCATGGGTGAGCCTAGCTGCAATATCGGACCAGCAGAACTGAATCAGCTATAATACAAGCCAGTTCTACGACCTAATAGAGATCTTCCGAATAGGCGGTTATGCCCCCCACACGAATTACTTGTTCCTAGGTGAGTATGATCATTCGGACTCTTCATGGGACACTTACCGACGTATGTGGCCAGGGGACTACGTGGACAGAGGTCTCTTCAGTGTAGAGACAATATCCCTCCTCACCTGCCTCAAACTACGTTATCCTGATCGCGTACAACTCATAAGAGGAAACCATGAGTCTAGAGCCGTTACACAAGTTCGGCCTGTTTCTTCTCACATCAGCAAACTTCTCATCTCGTGAACCTGCCAGTCCTACGGCTTCTACAACGAATGCGTACGCAAGTACGGCTCAACACATGTCTGGACGTATTTTACCGACATGTTCGACTTCTTGACACTCTCAGTCGTCATCGATGATCAAATATTCTGCGTTCACGGCGGTAAGCCTAGCTCTACACGTTCGATTGACGGCCTTGTCTTACTAACACGAACGATAGGACTATCCCCTTCAATACACTCAATCGACCAAATCAAAGTAGTTGACCGTTTCAGAGGTTTGGCTTCACCCCGACGCACGTCATGATCATTCATCTAACCCTACCTAACGTCAGAGATCCCGCACGAGGGTCCCATGGCTGACCTGGTATGGTCGGATCCCGACCCGGAGAAAGAAGATTTCGCAATATCACCCCGGTACGCCCATTCCCTAACATCGATCGTACCTACTAGTTCACTAAATCAGTCTTTCTGATCTAGTGGTGCAGGGTACACGTTCGGTGCAGGGGTCGTTCACAAATTTCTCGAAATTAACGGAATGTCGCACATCCTCAGGGCTCATCAGCTTTGCATGGAGGGATATATTTCGCTGTTTGATCGCCATCTATCGACTGTTTGGTCCGCGCCGAACTATTGTTATCGATGTGGAAATTCAGCCAGCATCCTGGAGGTCGGCCCCGGGGTTTCGATGCATTTCAACGTGTTCGAGGCCGCGCCGGAGAACGAGAGAGATGGACCTAATCAACACAATAACCAAAATACGAACAAGGTAAACATGGGTCGTGCTTTCGTGGGAGCTCTATTGCTAATGTATATGCTTCACCAGCTCCCGGAGTACTTTCTGTAGAGATACCGCGACTGCAATCGGAACCATTCCAATTACATAATAAGATGCGAAGGTGCCAGCATGTATACCCTGTACCTTTCCTACACTACAAAAAATAGACAGGATCGCCATAATTTTTGGATAATATGTAAGGCATCCCAGCGGACATGCTTGGGCGCAAGCATGGAATCCTAAAAGTAGGTTAGCTTCCATGAAGCTCAAGCGCACCTCATAGGCTACCATCAAACTGTTCCTAGATGGACTATGCGCTTCTTTAGCACTGCTAAAGAGCTGCTGGCGCCCATCAAGTTCCGTTTCGCGAGTATAGTAGAGGCAAACTAAGAGAGATTAACTCCAAGGTAAAGCCTTTAGAAATATTCTGCGCAACGAATGATGTAGGCCTTTTCGGGTCAACAGACGGATGGCACCTGCCAGCAAAAGGAGCAAGGTGGTGAGCTTGATGTAGGATCGCCATCGCATCCAGAGTAGGAATGCTAGCGTGCGGATGAGGTCCCGTTTTCGACGGCGACCGTGTTGAAGTCGCGTAGAACCGCGGGAAGAATCCACAGGGTAGCCAAAAAAGGGATTGAGGATAGACGTTCGGGAAATGAAAGTCGTAGTCGGGGCTAAAGGTGGGCTGGAGGGCGGTTCAAGCGGTTGTACTGAAGGAAGAAGCTGAGTGGGTACACCTATTTGATGGGCCCTCAGAGGATCCTCTAATCTTGTTAGACACGGTAGACTCCCGCCATAGTCTGTTATAGCACATGTTAGCTAGAATTCATTGGAGCCTGAGGGAAATTTGTATACAACCTGCGGGTAAACATGCTGGGGTAAAAAAATCCAGAAGTTCTTTCCGAGTGGGAAAAAACACCCTTGAGAGTGCTGCAGAAGGAAGAAGCCGTCTGGGTTAATGAAACACAGAAACCACTAGAGTCAAAACGGAAGCCCCATGAGAATATGTATCAGAAAACTCACTTCACGACCGTCCAGATACCTGAATGTGCCCACGAGTAATTTACCATGAAAACTGTCAACAGGCATTAAAAATCCCGACATTTAATCCACGGAAATAGGGTGAATACAACTTACCTGCTGCCAACATTCCCGGAAATCGGGGTATCGTCTCACGAAGGGTCCAGGTAATGAGATCAATGTTCTAGAGGCAATCTATCAAATATTATCGTATAAAGCCCCATTGTGCCCACTTACGATGCCTTGCAAAGATAACCCTGCCAAGTCTAGAAGTACTACGTATTGGAGGATTGGGGGGTCATCTTCTGTTTGACTGATATTCAGCAGCCGTAAATGCTGCCTAAGAAGTTCAAGTCCCTGAGTTATTGGCGCCTTTGAACTGTCCGACAGCATCGATAACGATGAGGACTTGATCAAGAGAATGGGGCGGCCGAAAGGGTCGCGGATGTGATTTGGAAAGCAAAACACCGCTGGTAGTGAACCAAAGTCAACTACTGGCCACATGACGTCCAGTCTCCAAACTAGAATTTTCCTAATCGATTCCATGGCGAATGAACGCGTGAATTTATGTCGCTGATAGAAAAACGAGGTCAGCGACTGGCACTGACAGCACAACGCGCCGACTGACTCTAGCTATTTGGAAGACGGTGACTAGTTCACCAGTCGTAAGTAAACCGTCCACGAGTTTGACTGACAACATACATGTGTCCTCCAACCAGACTTTGGCCCAGCTCGTGGCTTCCTGGCTCAAATCAAGCTCATCCCGGATCGAAGGTAGGATATCATCAATAAGAGTTGCCTGTAGGGCGCGAACACTGCGCAGGTTGATTCGGTACTGCTCTAGAAGCTTTTCGCAGTTTGCTTGAAGGAGGACGTGGATTTCCATATGGCGGTTCAGAACAACCCGTACTCGAACTTCTGGTTCGCTGCCAACATGGCGGGAGAGCACGTGATACAACGTCGCTTACTGGTACTATCATAAGTTTCAGCGCCTTAGACCAAGTCCACAGTCTAATTCTGGTACTAGTCTAGCAGTAGAGAACACCCGTACGAGCGCGAGCGCAGCATCGCAAACTTAGGATGTGCCGCTGATCCTCACGAGAAGTTTCATTTTCTTCAATGAAGAGTTGACGTAGCGACCCTAGCCCGTAGCTAGAGACGAACCAGGTCAACATACTACGTCAATGTTTCCGCAGGGTTCAGAAGTAACCAGTCGGAGGCGGTGCTAGACCCCGGACTTACTTCCACGAAGCCGAAAGTCCTATAAACTGGTTGGAAATTCACTAAACACAAGCTAAGACTGAAAAAGTATTGGGCCCATTCTATGTAGCACCTAACAAATCAAGCCATCGGATTCCAAACGCATAAGTAGACGGGCTGAGCGAGAAAATGGGCTCTTTGAACGCTTTACGAGGCCATCACCCCCATTACCCACAGATAAAGGCCTCTACAGCCTGGGGTTCACGCCTACGGGCGTATCCACGAGGCCATGGTTTCGGGCCCACCAGCGCTCGACCTCTTCGTCCGCATCGTAGCCGAACTGGTCCCGGTTCTTCTTCCTATCAGCCCAGATGTTCGAGTTCCCAGCCGTCTCGCAGGAATCGTCCAACATCTCGCCGGCCGCTTCCCTTAACGCTAGGTCCATGGCAGCACTCATAGAAGCATCCCTGGCTTCCTGAGCCGGCCCGTCCTCCAGGTGGAAGATATTCTGGTTCCCCCGAGCCGCTGCCTGCGTCGCAGTGGCACGAGGATAGCGCAGGGACTGATAGGCGTATAGGAGGGGGGTCAGTTGCCCCCTCCTGGTGAGTCTGGAGAGGAGATTGCCGAGCACTGCTGCGTCTTCAACCTGTCACGAACCAACCAGTTTAGCCTATACTTGGACGCGAATAAAATGCATGACTCACCGCCATAGCAGATCCCTGCGCTCGATACGGCTGAATTTGTCAAGAAACCAGGATATATTACGGCAAGAACATTGACGATGACGGAACATACCAGCATGGGGTGACAGGCGTCTCCCAATAGAATAATTCTGCCGTCGCGATGGATCCAGGTATCGAGTGGCGCACGATCTAACAGCGGCCAGATCAAGGTTGAGGGCACGAGAGCCATGAGTTTTTGCACCCTGTGAGCGAGCCAGAGGCATGAATCAGAAAAATACAAAGCAAATGGTAGGGTCTGATGGGTCCAAAGACACCAAGACGTACCGAGGCTCCCAACCCACGAAGTCAGCTCGCATTTTTTCCGTGCTGCCCTCGGCCGTGTAGGATTCTTCAGTGGCCGGTGCAGGGTGGGCCATCACCAGGTTGTATTCTTTCTTGCCCCGCTGCAACACGAGGATGGAGGGCCGAAGAAACGGGTAGTAAAATCCGATAGGGCAAGGTGCAAATAGTCATGCTAAGAACGCAAATTTAGATCTAAAATTTGAAGTAGCACGCACGATGCAGTACCCAACTATGTGTTTCTTCGGACCTATCCAACCAGTCATCTCTGTTTCGTCTACCAGGTGCTTGAGGACAGGATCCTGTAGCATTGCCGCAGTTGGTATTATTGCGCGGTAAGCGGCATCTCCTGTGGCAACGGGTTTGTCTGGGCCTCCGACAACTATTTCACGTATAGTGCTTTTCACCCCGTCGGCACCAATGATTAAATCTGCCTGGATCACGGCACCTGACTCTAGTGTCACCGCTGGCACCCCAGGATCTGCGCTGACTACGCGGCTGTTGGTAGACAGTGACATGAAGGGCCTTGCCAATTCCAACAGAAGGCGGTGGAGATCAGCACGCTGCGATCCAACAATGAACACGGTAGGAATCTAGGGAAAGCCTGAAACACCTACGTGTATGTGGTAATAGGGCGAACCGTGCTCGCGTTCCATGCCTTCTCCCCATTTTGTCCAGCCCACAGTCCTGCCATCCTCGTCTAGACCAGATTTGCCGTTATACATCAAGGATTAGTACGCCTTAGAGTTAGACTCACATCTGCGGAATCTAAACGCAAGTGGTACCACGCCAAACTCCTTAAGCTTCTCGCCTAGACCCCACCGTATGAGCAACCTAGTGAAGTTCGGCCCCAGTTGAATTCCAGCCCCCACTTCACCTGAAGGACCTTCAGTCGGAGGGCAAGAAAGATAACGAGAGGCTCACCTATCTCTGGAGCAGCCTCTAGGACGGTGATTCGGTGACCTGCTTGTCCTAGACAATAGGCGGCGGCGAGCCCGCCCAGTCCGCAACCGACAATAACTATATTAAGCACTTCGGGCGCTTTCCGTCCTCCATAAAGGGTCACTGGCTTGGCTTGAGTCAGTCAATGCGCCGAACTATTGAAACAGTCAACTCAACCCACCTTCACCGAATACGATGGATCCATGGGCGCACAACGATGAGGGCTGCCTACAGCAATGTGGGTCACAGAGGCACAAGAGGGAAAGAGACAGAGGACATATATAGCACAATAGACTTCGACGGATAATGATAGAGCCTGCAATCAATCGGGGCTACCGTACAGTGCGGATATGGCGTTCCCACAACATGCTATGTACTGTCAGAAGCAGAAGTAGTGACATCGTTCGGCGTCTTAACCATGGTGGGCGGCAGTCGTAATGGCAAAGCGTCCAGGTACCATCACGGTTTCCGTGGACTTGCATACATTCAAAGCAAGTCCCAGACTTTCTAGCAGAGCAAAGCAGAGCGCCAGAGAATCCAAAGCCGAGGGTTGCTCCAGCGAGCGCTGTGAAAATGAAATTCGTTGGCACTTGATGATTCGGAACGGCACGATCCGAATGTCGGTTCCACGACCATACCACTGGTAGTTCCACCTGACTTGTAGCTCCCAATGTTCGGGTTCAAGTGACGTGAGACGACGCGCCACTGGCCAGTATGCAAGCCACTGTGAACTTGTTCTTCGATATACAGCGTCCGAGTATCGGAGGAATCTCGTCGAAGAATGGATGGGTAAGCACAAAGTTAGTTCTGCTTGGCGAGTAGCAAACGAGTGAGAACGCTGCATGGGGGACCCATTGAGCCTGAACTCCTTTGCCCAATACAACTTTCGTGGCCGCCGCGTTTCGCACAGAGTCGTCGGGCGCCGGAAACGGTGGTCCTGATTGTCCTAGGTAGACGAGTAGGAATTCGACCGAGACATGCGGAGAAGCTGACCAGTCGGAAAGACCCTCGCCTCTTTGAAACTTGGAAGCACGGCGTGGACAACTTGAAGCTGGAGTTCGAGGTAGGGTAGCCCAGGGTACCGCGCGTGACCGTGTCAGCGAGTCACGTGTGAAGCGGTCCATTTACTCCCTTTCAAAGTTCACTCCATCGGGAGGAAAGCTTTTAGTAAGTACTCAAACTGACCTTGCTTCGAACGGCAACCTCGGGGAGCAGAGCACCGGGTATTAAGCCAACTATACATCTCTACCTTTCCTTCTTTTCATTCCCGTTTACACTGACTTCATATGCAGGCACTGAAGCTTGAGGTAACGTCGTGGCCTGTAGGCCGGGCGCATTGCACCCGCTTTACGGAATGCACAGCTTCTACTTGCAAGCACCGTTGATTCTATAATCTTCAGTTCGATACACTTTGCATCGTGCCCCGCATCGTTACTGGCATCGCCTTCCTTACTTTTTTACGTCCAATTTATCGTGTCCGGGAACTACTCCAAATACGATAACCCAGACAGATTATCTAGCTAACAGCGGGATACGCAGCACATTGCGTACAGCACACTCAACAATCACATCTGCGACGAAACCCCTATCCAAGCACCTTGGAAGTAAGATCGGCCTTTGCCGCAGCGCGCAGCTAAACGTGACGATGCAACATGAATATAAAGCCTGACTACCACTCCAACCACTGATCTACACGAAATGACTTCGACCGACACGAATACCAGCGCGCCTCCTGCGGGTGGCGCAAGCCCGCCGGTCAATAACGTGGGGACGACGCTGCCGATGCCAAGAAGCGATTCGTCTAGCGGGGCTCCTCCGACGTCCCACAGCACGGACGCTACGCCGTTGAAACCGTTCGACGATGCGGTTCCGGACGATGGGACGAAGACCCCTACGAAGCAGGACCCCCACCCGCTCCCTAGCGATGAGCCAATCGTGACGGCGGCGGCAAGTGGCCCCTCAGTGACTGCGCACGATGATAGCGTTACCCAACAACCACCCTTCCCAAACTCTACGAGTCAACAGATCGAAGAAACGCCAGTGAGAGAGGTACATCCGCGGATAGCAGCTCTGCAGTCGATGTTCCCCACGTTCGATGAGGTGGTGCTGTGAGTACTCCTTTATGTGATGTGATGTCAATGTGGCATACTGAACACTGCCAAAGACAATCGGTGCTAGAGTCGGTGAACTGGGATCAGGACCAAGCGATTGACATGCTCCTGGGCATGAGCGATCCTGAGTACAAACCCGAGGCGAGGCCGAATCAACCTCCACCTGTAAGTCGCCTTCTCAGCTTTGTTCGTGCGGGGGACTAATCCATCGCAGCCATCCCAAACAGATCTAGACGAGCAATTTGCCAGGCAGCTGATGCTGCAAGAACAGCAGGCACAGCAGGCAGCTTGGCAAGCAGCACATCCGGTGCCGCCTGGCGGAGGTCGTCGACATGCTGGACTGCAGCCGCAGCCTCAGCCGCAGCCAGCACCTACTGGGGAAGGTGGAGGGCAGATAGCGGCGGACTTGCAAGAGCAATTCACGCGTGTCGCTGAAGGTGCGTAAGCTCGTGTTATGCAATAGATCACTGAACTGATTCTCGTGTCGCGTAGTGGGTAAGAGAACTTTCGGTAACATATTCTCGAAAGTCAAAGCCAAGATACAAGAATTCGACAATCCCCGGTAAGATCATCTCCGCGTAGTCATACCCTCTATCTCACCAAGTATCCTCTCGCAGCACAAATCAGCCCTCATCTACTCAACCCACCTGGGGCGCACCCTCCAACCTTCCTGGATCCTCCTATCCTCAACAAGAATACGGACAGAACGCAAACTACAATTATACCCCTGCGCCCCCTCAGCGTAGTGCCGCCATCTCACCCGCCCAACAACCCGCTTATTACGACCCGAATCCCCCGCGCAGCCCTAGTCCCAGTCCTCAGCCATCCCCAGTTCCCGCTTCCAGTCAGCCACCAGCTGCGATCGCCAACCCAGCCGCTTCCTCCACACAACCCCCGCCACTTACGGGTATGGAGGCGCCGCGCGCAGGAGGCTTCGGCGCAGGCGCGACTCCGATCGACGGCAACAAGCTTGGGTTGTTGCCCAAACGCCCTGTATCGTTACTGCGCCCGAGTGACGGGGCTACGCCGATGCAGAGGAAGGAGAGCGAAGACGACGAGTTGGAATACGTGGAGAACCCGTTTGAGGATGGGAATCGCAAATGATGATGTAAATGTGGTGGGCATGCGTGTGTAATCTATTGTGAGCCATTGTACGCTACGGTTAATTACTTATCGATATCATTAGACTGTATCATTTTGTCTATTGTATGAGGACTTGGATCAGGATTTATTACTGTTTGACTTCATTGGGAACCGAAATCGTTTAGATGATCAAATGCACCCCCGAGTGTCGTGTGGTATCAGTAGCGTGCCTTCGACTTATGTTTGTGCGCCCCCCCCTTGATCTGACAGGACACCGATTTCACGAAATGCGCACTACCCTGCTAGTACTATAGTACGCACTATACCGGGTGCAGACGCGTCAACATATTTATACGCAATTTAAGCAACTCCCTCCCTTCCTAAACTCACAATCGCCATCACAACTCATAACGGACCCACCACCTCTTCGTAGTACCCAGAGGAACACCAGCCAATTATTTGGGGTGACTACTGAACATATCACGTTATGTGTTCATCTTATCCTTTCCTCAAATCAGTTACTGCATCCTGACATTCCTCTGATAGTCTGCGATCTAGCCTCTCCTATCCAGCCCGTCTCTGACCTCAAGGATACGATAGACTAACAAGAGCAAAGACCACGCGGCGGACATACTGTAGAGTTCAATAAGCGGGGGCTCAGCATATTCCGGTCCGCTCGGCCTGCAAAACTCAGAGGTCAGCCCATTGTCAACGGCGTAAATATGTTCGAACTTGAATACAGGCGACCTCGCTAGGCAATGTTATATTGACTACTTGGCATGCCATCTTTACAACAGTTCCGCACGCAACGCTTGAAACATTATCCCTACGCGATGCGAGTGCTTTAATGGCCGGAACGACAAATGATCGAAGTGGTTAATTGATGCATAGCTCGCCGGGTAAGTTGCTGCGGCCAGCGGGGCCCACGAAAGCGCATGGCATAGCCAACCCGTGCCTGCTTACGCCGATCTATCCTCCGAACTACGGTTCCAAGCATTGAATGAATTGACACCCACCAATCGCATGGTAGGAGTTAGTCGTGAAAGCAAGCGTGGAACGCGCGCTAGTCTGACTGCGTGGGTTCGACTAGTTTGTTTGCGGTGTTCTACGGCTAGCCTACGTCTTGCTTTACGGTCGTGCTGGCTGGTGTTATGTTTCAGTATGTTTCCGAGAGTCGGACCCTGAGTTTGACTGATGGACACGAACTGCCACCGACATGTCAGCCACGTGGCTCCCACGCGTTTTATACACGAAATCTCCTAATCCGGCACAAGACATTTACATAACTGACCGCAATAATATTTCCCTGGAATTTCCTCGTATTTCTTTCTTTTTTGCCATCGTCGGGGCGACGATAAACACAGTGAGCTCGTCGTTGGCATCGGTGAGCAACACCCTCTCAGTCCCGCCCAACGTGTATGTTGTCGTCTAAACGCCGATCTTCGCGCCCTAGTGATCCTTCTTCGGCTTCCCAGCAACGAAAAAGTGATATTCCCATCCCATCGTCTTCATCCGCAACAATCACCTCCTCGTCCTCGTCGCTGGCGACTCGCTCACCCCCACCGACAACGACGACCCTCCCCCAGGCGCACATGCCCCCGCCTCCCGACCTACAGATCAGCACATCAAATTCATCAAAGGCAACGATGAGCGACCCAAGGTACGTTAGATCCAGCCTTCGAATGCGTAGGCCATGACCAGACAGGCCTGCGCCCCATAGCGAGCCCGCTGAGCGCATCGCGCGCCCGACCTTTGAACCTGCTTGGAACGACGCCAGCCTCTACAAGGAGCTTTCCTCGTTCCAGTTTGGTGCCCCAGCGGTGCCATCGTCGTCCTCGCCGCCCCCTTCACCCCCTACGGCATCCAAGTCCACGCGCCCCGTCAATTACGATGACGACGAACTCGTGTCCCCTTTCACAGCGAATGATGTCACACCACGCCCTTCTGTGGCTTCTGCAGCTCCTCCAAATCAAAGACACTCATCTGTCCAGAACCATTCTTACGGCGACGCGCCGTTGTACAAAACTAGCAGTCATCCGTCGCAAACGTCGCCACCGCATCGACACCGTTCCCGATCACCCACACAGCGGATACCATCGCGCCCAGGACCTGTGTCGCCGTCTTCATCAGCTTCAGCCTCTGTTTCTTCCCTCACCAGTGGTTCACCGGACGAAGATCTCAACTCATCGAGGAGTGCAGTCAATCACGATCGCGATATCGAGTTTAGTAGTGAAGAAGAGTACGAGTACGATGAAGACGACGGGTACCACGAGATTGAGGTGAGCTCAGCTTACTGGGAAGATGGACATGGGGATCGTCCGGATTCTTTCTACTACTTTGGTGGAGGTGGTAGTGCAGTGGGCATGGGTTCAGGACTCATCGCAGCGGACACGGGACGCCGGGGGAGTGTACCAATGGCGATACCTGGTACGTCCGACGCACCTGTGGCCGGGTCTAGTGCAGTAGGCGGACCGGCTAGTCGTGATAGGGAAGGCAGTATAGCAACTCTCCGACGGCCAAGTCGGAGTCTCGAGGATCAGTTGAGAGGGTTTAGCTTCGGCGCCCCAGGTCGTGGAAGTAATCAACCCGGCGCTATTCCGCAAAGTGACCCTCTGACACGGGGTGAGTGGTCTGCGATGGAGTCACGGCAAGAGCAGATGCAGAGAAGTAGAGGAGGACCACTGGACACCACTGACGTGGCGACACCGACGCTGGCCTCATCCTCGCATGGAACTTCAAGTTCTAGCGCTACCGTGGCTGCTACTGGCGATATCACGAGTCTCGGCTTCGATCTTGACTGGAGCAATCTACGAGGCGGTATCACTTCCCTCGATGATAGTGATATCGCCGGGCTAGTCGATCCTAAGACCACAATAGCGGCAGCGCGGCGACCTTCAGGCGGTCTTATCCTTTCCTCGATGTCCACCGGTAACACTTCACCGGGCCCTGGGAGTGCGGGTGCTGGTGGTCGTACTCGGATGGGCTCGTGGTTCAGCATGCTTTCCGGGCGACGGCAAAGTGAAGCCACTGTCTCAGACGACACTTTCCTGAGGAATGTGCGCCATTGGGATTACACATTTGGATCGCGAAGACGAGATTGGAGCTTTAGAAGGGAGAGGGGATCTGTGAGTGGACCGTCTGGCGGTCAAGAGAGGACGGGTACCGGAATAGGCGTGGAGAGGACGGAAAGTGCTACTAGTGGCGTTTTCGGAAGTAGTCAGAAGGTGAATGTGGCTCACGATCGAGGAAGTGGGGAGAAGGATCGTGATCGTGATAAAGAAAGGGAGAGGGATAGACGAAAAGCGCCAAAGGGCATGGCGGTTGGAACGTCAGAGATCTGGAGTAATGAACTTGTGGGGCGCTTCAAGGTCGACCGCAGAGCTGCTAGGCGTGAGTTGATCATCCTCGTCTTTGTCCATTGGTGTGATTCTGAATTCCCGTTTCACTTTCCTTTAGCATTGGACTCTTCTAAACCACCACAGCAGCGATTAAACTTCATACATTTCCAGGGAGCCTCCTCCCAGGTGCGGACTCTTCGGCCTGGTCCTCCAGTCACGGTACATAAACACTCGAAAGCCATTGCATTCTCAATTAGCCGACAACACGCAAAGCCAAGAGCACGCCCTCGCGATGGTCCACATCCTGGTCAACGAGTTATACCCAGGGAAACAACTGCACCGAAATCCAGCATGATCATGCTCGCTCCCAAGCGGGTTCAAGAACAGTATACGAACACAACTACGACACGGAGGTTAGATACTCATGGGCTGCTGGAAGATCATGTTGTTAGCATCCGACGCGAAAAAGAACGGCGCGAACTCGAGCTCGAGAGGCGTCGGAAGGCAGAGTTAGAGCGTCAGAGGAAAGAGACAAGTACTTCCGGCTCGACATCTTCTACTCGGAGCGACCGTAGCGTAAATAGCTTGAGCAACGCCCGGGAACTGTATCCAACCCCTCCCCCCGCATCGGCCCCGTCCCTTCATACTTACCCACCAACACCCCCTAACGAGATACGCAAGCACGCCTCCTCCAGAAGTCTCAGATCAGCAGCAGTTGCGGAGTCCTCCGTCGCAAGCACGAGTTCTACAACTGTAGTCACGACTCGATCAACTTCTCGCCGCGTCCTCCGAGATCCTTACGATTTTGATGACCCAGATGAAGACGACCTCCCTACCCGCACGCCTCATGCCGAAACTTACGCCACCATTGATCCCGCTCAGGTCGAACAGTTACGACAAATTCAAAGCCGCTTTGACTCCGAACCACCATCTCGATCCCTATTACGAAGACTCCTTCCTTTTGCTACTAGTAATCTCAGTGGTTCCCCTTTGTCCGCTTCCATCGACGGGAGCTTCAAGGCTCCGTGGATGACTATGGCACCCCGAGCCAAACAGGAAGAACATGAGCGCGTGGTAGCCAATTTGAATGAATCTTTCATTGACGTGGGCTTGCTTCCATCGCGGCCTGTCCACAAGGCGAAGTCGGCAGCTAATACCCAGAAGCAGAAGCAATTGAAGCAACGCCAGCACGCCGGATCCGGGAGTAACATCTTTGAAAATGTGCCGCCGGAGTCCCTGTATATGCTTCTACCCCTTTGGCCCGGTGAGACCGATCCCGTCTCGGAAAAGCTGCCCAACGAACCCAGGAAACCGGAGATACCCATGGAAAGGCGATTATACTTGCTTGTGTATTACGTGGCCGACGAAGTGAACCGGAAGGACCATGAGTCCAAGTCCAAAGTAGACAATGACTCTCGTGGCCAAAGAAAGCCTCGCTCGCCCACTTCCTCGGTCGACTCTCCTAGGCGTCCGGATGATCGAAGCATTTTGTTGTCTGCATTCCATGTTAGCGCACGGCTCGTGGGATACGAAGAATTGCTTGGTTCTGGGATGCGCGTGCCCGAAGAAGGATTGAGCGTTACTGGACCGATGTCCGAGGCTCTGAAGTCAATTCCGTCTCGGTCAATGAGGGACGAGAATCAAGCAGATTTCATGATAGGGATGTGCCAATCTCGCGACGCAGGCGTTGAATTTATCCAGGAAGGTTTGGTCAAGATGGGGCTATGCCTCGTCGTCTCGCCTGCGCCCCGCAACCCAGCTATCCTTTTGGACGAAACAGAGGAGATGGAGGAACCAGACGTCGTCCTGAGCCCGATAGGTCGAGCGGTGGTTGAAATGGCCTGGGTGGGATGCATGGCACTAACAAGCTTCGGGCCAACGGTATGATAGTATGCCCTCTGACGACAACTAATACGGACACGCTTCATGGATTCTTCCCAACTCAGTCTCCTGCTTTCATATTCACATCTCACATTTATCGCATATATCCTTCACATCTATCGCACACAATCTCATCGGATTTATAATGTCACATGAAGTAGGGATGGGGTCTATCATGTTTTAGATATTGCAATAACGCGGATATATTTCATTCCAACACACAATGGCTCACCACCATCCTTGAGGTACGGTAGATTACATACATAGGGTCCCACTGATACCTGTGGCTTTGCCTTAGTTTATCGGCGCCGCTGTGTTCGGCGTAGTAGCGAAGCCGACACGTCGGTTTGTGGTGTCGAACACGCTGTAGAACCGTTCTAGGAACGCAAATCCATTGACGAAATCGAAGCCCTCTCCAGAAGGTGTTCCCAAGTCCGCCACAATGAGGTATACGAAGGAGTTAGATCCTCCAATTGCGGTATTCAAAGCTCGAGGCCAGATTTGCGCATTCGGCACCAGTGTAAAGGTTGTCTGAAGTTGGGAGAGGGTCAATCGCGGTCGATAGTCACCAGCGTACAACTTACTCCGCCAATGTGAAAGTCCACGTTTTGTAGGTTGATAAACTGTTGAGGTGTTATCCTCAACAAGCCGGTTGCCTTGAGAAGCCACAGCCTCGCATAAGAAATCTATAGAAAGCAGGCAAATACCAACGTACGGCGTCGGGGACCCCACCGGTAGACGCTTGATACCTAGCAAAAGCATCTAGATGTTACAGGTCAGCTGAAATCTCGAATCGCAGTGTCACAGTTAAAAGTATCCTCACCAGTCGCGATTAACAGGAGCGTTGTTCCTATGTAGGAGAGCTTAGTCAGAATAAAGGTATGTTTCCTTTGGCATCTACACGCACCGGTGTCTACAATTCCAGCGGTTGTTGGCAATATAACATTGTTACCAATGGACACGGATTGATCGATACCCCAGAAGGAAGAAGCTGGAGATGTCGACGTGACAGGGCTAGATTTGGTGCAAATTGAGTGAACATCGTATTGTAGCAGTCAGTGGGGCACGTACACAAACGTGAGACCACCGGTGAATTTTGAAGTATCAACTCCACCTAGATGAATTGTCAGTCGCACACTTGAGGGCGTGTAACCTTGCAACTTACCCCAGGTCAACTCCCCGTTTGGTGAAACGACGGTGGTGGTTGGGTTAAACGAGATACCAATCTGGTTGGCAGAGATAATCCCTGACGAAAAGAGGTTGTCTGTAACTGTGGGCACAAGGCCGCCACCCTGCGTCGTGCCTACATCACGAGTCAGCCATGCCATACGCACATATTCGAGGTGTAAACTAGATTTACCAGATGTTAGGCCTACAGGTCCAATTCTGTTTATAAGACCAATCTTATTAGTCTATTTGTTCGCCAATGTCAGCACATACCCAAGGATACCATCTAGACCGTCAAATCCTGACTGGAAGATGGCGGATCCGATAGACTGTTGAGGGACGACGAGACCACCGCCGAGATCAAACTTGTCGAGCACTTCTTCCCCTAGACGACGTGTTACACTTGTAACGAACATAGAGAAATAATGGCCATACCCAAGACAAACCCTGAGCCATACGTAACTTGCTGATATCTCGATTTAGTTATTTTAAGTTTCCACTTTGAGAGATTCTCACCATCAACTCTCCGGTATCCTGAGTAGTTGCGGTATTCCGGAAAGGTGTTGTGGCGCCAACCCATGTATTAGAGCTTCCAGTGTCAATCAACAAATTCGGGACTACAGTAGAATGTCCTTGTTAGATAGGTAGCAGAGACTGAAATCATGACTCACACGTTGTGGCTGGGTTACCAATTCTGGCGACAGCAGTATATGTTACCGCTTGGTTGACGACTGGCTCGTTGATAATTGCCCCTATTTCGAAGTGACTTGCCCCCCTGGCTTTGGCTTCTCCGAGAGCGCGCAAACCCTTCGCTCTGGCTCTGGCCTGCTTGCCGAGGTCCACGCCTTTCGTAATGTTGAGTCGTTTCGCCAAGGGAAGAGTCACTGGGGTGCTGCGTATGGTCACCAAAGGGGTTGCCACCGCCGACAGCGCAAGGACGAGGGCGATGAATGGAGTCGTGATCATCTTGAACGTCGACTAGTAGAGGAACCCAAATACGAGGGTACCACAGTGACCAAGTATGCCGTATAGGCCATTTATACCCTTGAGCGGACCCTTCTGGTTTGACGTTGTGAACGCTCTCCCAGGTCCTCGGGCGAATGGAAGCCTCACTTCGTTGGAATACTCAGGCCCAGTAAGTCGAGAAGGCATCGTGAGACGAAGATCAATATAAGACCACTGCAAGTTGATCACAGGGAACGTAATGATTGGGTGGACTAGAGGGCCTGGTTGACGGCTAGTCGCGGTACATGTGGTGGGCGCGGGAATCAGTAGCGTGAGCTGACGAATGATAACAAAAATAAGTGAAATCTGACGGTCCTCGAACTTTGTGCAGTGTTCATTAGCGGGGTACGTCAGTGACGATGGCCGACAGTGATCCGAGAGCGATGTTTTTAAAGGTATTGGACGGGTCGAGCCTGTTATACATGGGAATCGCTATTATAGCTTAGCCTTTGTCGTGCCCACTAGTCCTTCGATATCCCTGTACCTGTAATATAACTCGAGGGATTCCGGGTTGGCGACCATTCCGCTCGGCTTCGCATCTATTCCCGACACAACCTGTTTGACCGCAATTTCTATCTTCTTCCCATTGATCGTTAGCTGAGAGAAACGGGAGGTAAGTTAGCTTTCGGTTGGGAATTCGCCGACCATCGCGTAAACCATGGGAAGAGATCATGAAAGTTGACGCACCGGAATATCATCTACCGCGAAGATGTAAGACGGCACATGGCGTGCACTCAAGCTCGAACGAATAGCAGTACGTATTTCTTCGTCGAGGGACTTTGTCAGGGGATAACCTTGACGCATCTTCAAGAAGAGAAGGACGCGCTCGTCCTTGTCACTTGGGCGTCGCTGTCCAACGCAAATAGACTCTTCAATGTACTGTTGGAACTTTTCGAGAACCGTGTATATTTCACCGGATCCAAACCTGACGCCACTGGGGTTCAAAACACCGTCACTAGCACACCATTATGTGGGTCAGTCACCAGACATAAGCTTCTGTGACAGAGAACACACCTTCGGCCAAGCATTAGTATACCTTTAGTCACTGGGTTGATTACCATGAAATCGCCCTGTCGCCATATACCTGAGGCCAAGCCGTCAGGCACCCCTGTTAAATGCAAGCAGGAAGTAAATTGTACCTGGATACATCTCAAAGTAAGCGCTCCTGTATTTCTTGCCATCCTCGTCTCCCCAAAAGTACAGAGGTAGCGAAGGGTGAGGTCTGGTGCAAACCATTTCACCGGGCTCGCCGGTGTGTTCGATGTTGTTTCCATGAGGATCAAACACCTCGACTTTCATTCCCAGAGCCTTACATGAGGTTTCTTGATGTTCGTGTTCGTCAATCAAATGAACTACGCTTCTGTAAAATTCTTCCTACCTCCGGCGTATAGGGCCAAAGCAGGCGTTGCCGTTACAACTGACATAGCAAAGGTCAATAGAGGGTTCCATTTGGTAATTACGACATGACTTACATGCTGCACAGATGTCAGTTCCTCCCGAAGGTGAGGAGAGATGGACATGCTCTCCGAAGGTCTTGACCGTCCACTCAAACATAGGTGCAGTCAACACTGCACCAGTGGAAGAGATGGCTCGGAGCGAATCAAATGACGCCAATTTAAGAGGGTCGATGCCACGGCTAGCGATCTCGGTTAAGAAGCGAGGACTCGTGCCCCAAACCGAGACACTGTATGTCGGCGGTATTAGGTTCGGTAGTGGGTCAGATATCAGGAAGAGCGCGTACCCCTGGTCGCTGATGAACTTGAGGAACGTTTTAACGTCAGGATGGAATGGGGATCCGTCATATATAATGACACGAGCGCCGACTGACAAGCCAGACAGCATGTGCGTCCACATCATCCACCCGGTCTGTATGGATCAGTCCATCATCGCGGGGTGATATGAAGAGGGGCTTACAGTGGTGTACTGGAAATAGACATCGTCAGGAGAAGCACTAAACCCAAGGGTGGTTTCCTTTTTCGTTTGGAGCAACACTCCCTATGTGAAACTGTTATGACCTTGGGGGGTGCGATGGAAGGGATATAGAAGCTTACCCCGGCTGAATGAACGATGCACTTAGGAGGACCTGTTGTCCCCGATGAATACAGGATGACCAAAGGATGGTTGAACGGGAGCTGCTCGAAGGCCAGCGGCCTGCCATCTCCACTAGCCAGGAATGCAGACAACGTGCGTCTGTGGAAGAGGTGTCAGCGATCACTGATGCCGAAGCACATACATCAGGATTGGCGTACGTCTTTAGCATCCCACCGACAGGGGCATCCTGGCCCGTAATGTTACTTGGAAGCACGATAGCGCCTTCTAGTCCATAATTGAGAAGGTCTGCCACCACTTCGCGGACCTTGGGCATCTGGTCAATCACTTTGCCGGCGTATTGGACATGGCTTTCAGCAAAGAATAGTCTAGGGCGGATTTGGCGGTACCGATCCAAGATGCCCTTCTCAAAAATGAGTAAAGTTCCGGGGTGCTAATAGCGTAGAAACGTACCTGTTTTCCCATGTCTGGCGCTGCCAACGAGAATATGGCACCAAGACTGGACGCAGCCAACGCAATTACAACGGCGTGGATGTTGTTGGCCACAACGGCTAAAAGCCATATTCACATTCAGAGCTAGCTGTAACGTAAAGGAGAGCAGGGTGACATACCCGCAATGCGGTCCCCAACACGTATCCCATTTGCCCGCATCGCCGCTGCCAGGTCCCTGACGAGGGCGCGCAATTCCCGGTACGTGTAATGAACGACATCTCCATTCCTTTCGGTGACCGCAGTGCACGCAACTGCGTCGTTGTATCCATGCAGGAGGTTTTCAGCGTAATTGAGGCGGGCTCCTGGGAACCACGTAGGCGAAATATCTAATTTTCCTGGCTCTAGAATCTAATCATGGTCGAAGTTCAAGTTCGGTCAACACTGATCGCAAGGATACAGGGGCTCCGTACCTTGGTCGGCGCTTGTGAATAGATTATTCGAAGGTAGTACCACAAGTCCAGCCAGAACGTGTAATCCTCGACCGAGTACTTGTGCAGGTCCGCGTAATCCCCTCCGCACAAAAGAACACGTAAGTAGAGGCGATGGGAATAGCTTAAGCTTAAAGAACATACTGAGATTCAGGCCATGCTGCCTATTTATCCTCCTCCGGAGATTATCTACGGCGGTGAGGCCGCCTGGCTGGGGCTCCCACAAGAGCTTGGGGTTGGTTGGGTACGATGTGGACATGGTGGGTGTGAAGGTAGGAAACAAGGTACGCACTAAGCTGATGCGACTGGGGTTTACCGTCTGGGGATTTATGGAATCCGGGGTTCGGTCGAACTTACCCGACGTTTACCGAGGTAGGGCCCTTCAGGGTCTAACGAGAAGTTTATGTCGACACGCAAACATATGAAAGCAAGCAATAATTTACTACATGTAAGGAAAGGATGGGCGCCCAACACCAGTGTTCACAGGCGCTTGCATGGGGTTCATTAAACCTCAACATCAAGCTTGATAACCAGGTTTGGATACTACGATTCGAAGAGGCATACACTTTCTTTGTCTCCACAAGAGATACAAAGACTCAACCGTCCGATGAAGACCAACCAACACTCAGCGAATACAACCATGAATCTCTTGCGGAGATCTGCTGGTGGGCCACCGTGACGCGCCTCGTTCTTCTTCCAGCGTTTCATAGCGTCGATCCACAGCGTGTCTTTCCCCTACTGCTACGACGGCGTAACAAGGACTTCTTCGGGACCCAGAGGTGTAGTTCCTTCAGGCTGTAGCCTGCGAGATATATTTCAGGCCGCTGTGCAGGGAAGCGAATTCGATGCCAACAGATTTGAGTTTGTCTACGTGAAGGGTGTGGACGCTGAGGGCCAAAAGGTCGGGGGGAAAGCAGGATAGGTGCTCCAGAACTTTGGAGGGTAATCTGGATGTGTCGCTTTTAAAGTCGTCACGATTGGCAGTGTCGACGAGGTGGCGGCGATGCGAACATAAGTTGTAGAATTATATACGTTGTGCGAGGGTCTATGTCAACTTAGGTACGAGAAGTGAGTGCAAACCTTGAATCTTGAAGGGCCCCACACATTTTTAGGTTGTTTTTGTCCGTTCTGCCGCTCAAGAAATATTGCTCGAGTAAATAGCATTCATAGCTTGTGCACCAACGGACATGAGACCTAACCAGGACATATTAGAGGAAATTGGTGAACAGCTCAACCATCACCTACTGTCTGCTACACGATGAAATCTATATTCAAGAATCAACGGGCGTCGGCAACATCCCGCCAGTTGGATCTGGATTGGTTCTTGGTCATCGATTTGATCATTTTGCCTGCTCATGAAGGCTGACCTAGGTCACAATCTCTGTAGTGGATTCAAGGAATCTGCCTGGCGCGTGAACCGGGATGTAAACGGTGTTGTATGTCACGAGTTCCGAGTCGCTTGGTTACCCTGGTGAGCGCGAGAAAGGCGCCCATGCCTTGAAGGTCATCCACTACCATGAATTCGTGGACTCGTCTGACAACATTCTCGTTGTCATATCCCCGACAAAGACCATTATTCTACTTCCTCGGTCTCAGCTTCATTTTAATTGGACTCTATTATCATTTCATAGCACCAACTTCGGTGGTCGCTCTAGACGAAGTATTCGATACCGCAGCACCTCAACTACCAGACAAGGTATGGGACGAGAGGGCTTCCCAGGTCAGAAAAGCTTTCGAACATGCGTATCACGGCTATGAACGGTATGCCATGCCCCACGACGAGCTCAAGCCGCTTCTCGACAGGCCAATAGACAAGTGAGTAGCGCACGTCTCTTCGATCACAAACTCACACCTTCTCCTGGAAGCTTCAATGGCTGGGGCGTGACATTAGTGGATTCCCTCGATACGATGTTTCTTATGGGCCTGAACGACGAGTTCACGCGTGCATTGGCAGTCGTTGAGAGGGCGGACTTTGCATTACCCAAGGTAGGTCCCCTCGAATAGTGTTCCCCTCGATGTGCTTCATATCATTTAAAGAATCAATTCGCACCCTTTTTTGAAACCGTGATTCGTTACCTCGGGGGTTTGCTCTCTGCTTACGCCCTGTCCAATAACACTGTGCTCCTGCAACGGGCAGATGAGCTCGCTATGAAGCTCGATAGTGTCTTCAACACGACGAGTGGCTTCCCCTTCTTTGCTGTAAACACCGTGACGTGTGTGGAACACCTTCACTGCAATACATCCTAGCTAATCTGAGATGATGAGGAAGTGGATTCACCCGCGGCCCGCAACTGGGTATACTCGCAGAGATCGCGAGTCTGCAGATGGAGTACACGTACCTTGCGAAAGCAACCGGAAAAATCCAGCATGCGCGACGAGTGAGTGCCTCGCTTCAGAGAGAGGGGGGGCTGAACCGAACATTCACAGGCAGGCAAGATCATTAAAGCGTTGTCAAAGGCCAATCTAGACATGACCGGAGGCATGTTCCCCGTTAGATGGAACATTTCATCGTCTGAACCGTATGGGAGTGAGTGACGGTTCATCCGTAAATGGACGTCTTTTAATGGGTTGTCCTTAGGTCATATGTCCGTCGGCGCACAAGCTGACAGCGCTCATGAGTATCTGCTCAAGCAATATTTGTTGAGCGGCAGAACAGACAAAGTTAACCTGGAAATGTGTGAGTCCTTTCAATATTTGTGCTCGCCTCTCGTACCCAAACTATGATAGACCTTCGCACCACGACGTACATAATAACACAACTCATGCTCATATCACCCAACCGTCACCTCGTGTATGTCACCGACCGCGACGACTCCAAGAGTGGCAAGCCCGGATTACCCTCTCAAGTCCTCGAGCACCTATCTTGCTTCCTCCCCGGCCTGTTGGCGCTCGGCGTCCACACCCTTCCCCTAGACGACCTCGAATCTCTCGGAATCGACTTCACCTCCCTGCACAGCGGCCGCCTTTCCGAAGACGGCCTGAAAGCTATCTCAGGCTACAGCTTGAAGGATCTGCACCTCTGGGCCGCGCAAAGCCTTGCGGAGACCTGCTGGCTGACGTACGCGGACCAACCAACGGGCCTGGGCCCGGAGGAGGTCGTGTTCACGTCGTCATGGCAGGCGAAGAAGGATACGCTGTGGATCGATGCGATGAACCGGTGGAAGAAGAGTGGGAGTGGGGCGCGTGGCGCACCCCCAGGTCTGGGTAAGAAGGCGCCCATTGTGTACACCGAAGAGGAACGCCTGCGAGGCGGCGGGAAAGGGCGAGATTACGCCGTCAAGAAGCCTGGATATCTCCTGCGACCCGAGGTGCGGACATCATAGTTCACGATTCTATTTCGCTTGAGGCGCTAATACAAGATCTTTCAGACGATCGAGTCTTTGTATCTCCTGTGGAGAGTGACTGGCGACCATCGATGGAGGGAACGGGGCTGGCGTATATTTGAAGCTATCGAACGGGAGACGAAGACGAAGAGCGGGTATGCCTCTCTTCGAACAGTGGCAATCAAACCTAGTTATCAAGACGACTCGATGCCTAGGTTCGTCTCCTCATCTATCGCTAATACCATCAATCAAACATTCTAACATTTCTCCACTGCATGCAGTTACTTCCTAGCAGAAACGTGAGCCAACATATTGCTGATTTCCTTTTGAGTGTTCCTACTGACGGAGTCCTCGTCGTGCTGATGCATAATGCAGGTTGAAGTATCTGTACCTCCTGTGCCGGAACGATGACCCTATACCCCTAGATAAATGGGTATTCAATACGGAGGCGCATCCGCTACCGGTCTTCGAGTGGTCGGCAGAAGAGCGCCACGAACTCGCTATCTACTTCTGATTAATGCAAGCGCCTTGAGCCGCCCAGGCTGTCGGGCGCTCCAATCCTTTACACGTAGATAATTTATTGTTTATTGCTTGCTGTCATAAGTTTGGGCGTTGATATAATATTCGACACCTACATCGCCGTACAGGCTGTACATAGGTTCCTTACAGATTCAGGGGATCCCTGACGATGCGTGACCGTGTGAGAAGTTGATGTAGCTCCTCAACTCCTCGACGCGCCGCAGTGTCACTGCAGTCTCCCAACTTTCCATCTCCCACTTAATTTTCCCAACTACCCGCACCGTTCTTTCCTGAATATGGCGTCTTCATCATCTACTGCGCTGCAGAACGGTAGCCCGCCACAATCCGCGCCCGACGCTTTGTCGCAGCGAATACAAATTATTGACGACACGAAGACATTTACGTGGGTCATCTGAGCATTCTCGTGGTCACTGATATTGACACTCGGCGTCTAGGAACGACTTGAACGCACAAATAGAACGATGGGGACTACGAGATGCGGGCTTCTCATACAACGTTGTGGCCGTATTTGGTTCACAATCAACGGGCAAAAGTGAGTCCACCATATCTAGAGCGGCTTCGTTTCGCGCTTATGGCTGGCACAAGGTACTCTACTGAATGGCCTTTTTGGCACTACTTTTGATGTAATGGACGAGTCCAAACGCCAGCAAACTACGAAAGGTGCGGAGAACACATGGTATTCATAGATTGAAAGGGCTAATGCACATGTGCAGGCATCTGGATGTGCCGTGGTACGGAGATGAACGTAATGGTGATGGACGTAGAAGGAACGGACGGACGGGAACGCGGCGAGGACCAAGACTTCGAACGCAAATCGGCGCTGTTTTCGCTGGCTTCGTCAGAGGTCCTCATTGTCAACCTCTGGGAGCACCAAGTTGGTCTCTACCAAGGCGCCAACATGGGACTCTTGAAGACAGTCTTCGAAGTCAATCTTGGGTTGTTCGGGAAAAAGGGCCCCGATGGAACAAATTCCCGGACATTGCTGCTGTTCGTCATCCGGGATCACATTGGGACGACGCCGCTTGCCAACTTGGAGGCGACACTGACGCAGGATATTATGAGGATCTGGGACTCACTCGCGAAGCCGACGGAGCTCAAAGATAGCCAACTTTCCGATTACTTTGACTTGGCATTCACAGCACTTCCCCACAAATATCTCGTTCCAGAGAAGTTCCAGGAGGCTCTGGCCGCACTGCGCAACCGCTTCGTCAGCAAAGATGACCCCAACTTCGTGTTCAAGCCAGCATACCACAAACGCATCCCTGCCGATGGTGTAGCCTTCTACATGGAAGGCATATGGGTAGGTCATCCGCGTTACGCGTCGATTGCAAGTTAACATTTCAGTAGGAACAAGTCCAAACCAACAAGGACTTGGATCTTCCGACCCAACAAGAACTGTTAGCTCAGTTCCGTTGCGATGAGATTTCTGGCGTTGCATTGTCAGAGTTCAACGAGCAAGCGAAGTCTCAAAAGCGACCCATAGAGTCGGGTCGTGTAGTGGAAGATCTTGGAAAGATGATGAAGAGTTGGCGGACCGAGGCCCTTGGTATGTCGGTTCACCTTTCTTCACGACACGTACTTACCTCGTCCAGCCCGCTATGACCGAGACGCTTCGCGTTATCACCAGGGCGTCTACAAACGAAAACGTGCAGATCTTCTCGCAGCTCTCGACTCTACGCTCTCGCCTCTCTTCTTAGGCCAGCTAAAGAACTTGCATAAATCATGCCTCGTCACTTTCAAGAAGGATATGTTGCAAGGCATGACCGGAGAGGGCTACAACTTCGCTGACGTCGTTGAACAAGCGCGAGAAAAATGCGAAGGGGACTTTGCGGCTGGTGCTAAGGAGGCGGTTGTGGAGGAGGACAGCGACTTGTGGGGTTGGGAAGAGGAGCTCGAGTTGTTGAAGGAGGAGATACGGAGCGTGGCCAATCAGTGTAGGAAGGACGAGACGAAGAAGATGGTCAACCTCATCGAGGTAAGACATTTCTCTGTGCTGCATCGGTCGAGATCGTAACACCTTCGATCGCAGAAAACCTTCAAGAAGCAAATTTCCGAGCCCGTGGAATTGCATTTGAACAAGCCTGCTCCCAATATGTGGGACAACATATTGAAGGTCTTCAAGGACACTTTGGAGAAGGCGGAAAAACAGTACCTCGCCAAGGCCAAGAGTGGGTCCAGACCAATCGTTGATACCAACTCCTGAAACTAATGAGGTCCCTGTAGGTTTCGATTGTACAGAGGAAGAGAACGACGTTGCCCTTGCTGATATCCGTCAACGCGCTTGGATGGCCCTACGCCAGAAGGTTGATGAGCAGACCACCGACGCAGTGATCCTCAGCAAGTTGAGGGCTCACTTCGAGGAGCGGTTCAGATACGACGAACATGGTGTACCAAGAGTCTGGAAGCCAGAAGATGATATCGATAGCGTGTTCAAGAAGGCGAAGGAACAGGTAATTTTAATTTTACAAGTTCTTTGATCACTGATATTAATCTTCATTGCCCAACAGACCCTCGAAATCGTACCCCTTTACTCGAAAATCTCACCAGCAGACTCGGCCAACTCGTGGATGCTCCCTCCCTCCGCTCCCTCTCTCAACTCATCTGAAGATGACTTTGACTTCGAAGCCTCCCTCATCATCTTCACCGAGACCAAGGTCATCGACCTCACCAACAAGTTCCGTCGGGATGCAGATGCCTACTACGTTGAGGCGAAGCGCAGCACCGTCAGCAGCATCGCACAGATACCAGCGTGGATGTTCGGTGTACTTGTGGTGCTTGGCTGGAACGAAGCGATGTTGGTGCTGTTCAACCCATTGTACTTCACAATGCTCTTGGTTGGTCTTGTTTCTGCGTAAGCCACCCTTAAACCGTTCGGTGTTGTTGTGATGCTGAAGATGTGCAAAGGTATCTAATAATGCAACTTGGTCTGGCTGGCCCACTATATCAAGTGATACGGACTGTAGCGGCTGAGGTACGTCTCCCCGACAGTTGTGCCCATCCCATGGTTTACTTATATCCATCCCCAGGTTCAACGACAGGCAACAGCCAAGTTACGAGAGCAGTTCGCTCAACCTGCCCTCGAAGCTCCCGTGCGGTCTACCTCGGCTGCCGCAAACACAACCACACGCACATCAAGTAGGACGGCGAACGGTGTCGCAGCAGCAGGCAACGGCGCTGCCAGAGGCCTGAGAGACACTACCGGCCTTGGTCGCGGTGGCTTCGAACCAGAAGAGCTGAGAAGGAGGAATATGGAAAGCATGTAAAACCCCCCAACATGCAGTAATTCACTTGGTGCGGCCTAATCGTTGCTTTCTTCTTCTCTTTCTCGCTCTTGGATATTTGGATACCTATAATATAGTTATTTCAACGCTCAGTATATAATAGGAGAGATACCTTGCCACTATTTATACCATTATGGATTTCGAGCGCCTGTGTCGTCGGGTTTCGTTGGAGGTTCGTTGGAGGTTGAGGTGAGTAGCCGAGTTGTTTCTTTCTTCAGCGGGCTTCCTTCTCAGTAGGTCAGTATCTGTGCATGTTCGTGACAAGCGCTCCATGCGTGTCTCGTCGCTTGATGGCGATGACGACGCATGCTTTCGACCTTGGTATTGGGCGATTGCGCCAGGGGTACTTGGTTGATGACCTCGTACCATGCGCAGCCGTTGTCGCAATTCCCTCCAAGACCGACCATGCGCCTTGCCAGTGTTGCGTGCCATAGATATTCAGGGAAGGCGACGACCCTCGTTACGCGTAAGTATACCGTCATGTAGGTGGTTGATTCTGCGTGCAGTCAAGAATGGTACTTGAGCATAATTATGGATTCGGCCGCAATATTGTGCTTGTACGCCCTTCTTTGATGCATCCACAACATCGATGGCTGATGTGTACTTCGTAGCTTTGAGATGCTGCACACGTGTTCCCGCGGTGTTACTCTCGTTATTGCCGTCTTGCATACTTTGCTCAGGTACCCTCGTAAGTCGGCCGTAATGATGCCCTTACAAGCCCTTGCACGCCTAATTAGGATTCCTCTCGTATCTTTCTTCAAGCACGTACGGCCTACAAGCAAGCACATGTATTTCGGTCAGATAAAGTGGGGAACCACAAGCATCCTCTTCGCGTCCGTCGTCGGGGAACGTACCATGAGAGCATCGTGCCTGCCATGCTGATGATCAGGCGAGAGAAATTGTGAGGTCGTAGGTTTGTTACGAAGGCCGGATTCCTAAATTGTCGTCGGAGAGAAAAGTTGGAATCTTCGATCTAAATTCTCCAAGAAATTCAACAAAAAATGCACGCGAGCAGTGCGCGAAGACATGAGGGTGGGGCGACATATTTGCTGATAGCAGGGTTTCGGACGCCGGACGCAGTAGAGATGTGGACTAAACGGGACCCTGGACGCGCTTTCACACTAATGTTGACCGTATGTTCACCGAAATATGGGTCACAACGGCAACTCGAGCACCGCCGAACGTCATAGCGGCTAAATCGCATAAAGGCGGGGCGTACATCACAGTAAATCTTCAGTACCATCGGTCCTACTTGCTGGTCTCCCTCTCAGCCTCGCAACATGTTCTCCTCTGGACTTCTCGCTCTTGCTATCGGTGTCGCCACCGTCTTCGCAGGCCCCACCGGAAGGTTCGTTGACATCGGCACTGGAGACACAGTGTTATATGACTGACTGCATCTCTTTATTATAGACAATGTGGATCCGCTCCCAGCGCGTCTCAGATCGTGGCTGCTGAATTGGACTTCAAGGCCAACGAGGTTCCCGTTGGCGGCCTCGCCGCTCTTGGCATCTCAGCAAGCAGCTCCAGGATCAACGTGCATTGGCATGTCATCCAGCGAAGCAGCAGTATCTCCGGTGGCAACGTCCCGTAACGTCTTTTATACTTTTTTATATTTCTTTGCTGACGATTGACTCTGACAGCGACTCCAAAATTGAGGACTCGATTTCCGTCATGAACGATGATTTCGCGTCCACCGGCCTTTCCTTCAACTTGGTCAACATCACGCACACGACTAATTCAGACTGGTTTGGCAAAGCCGCCCCTGGAACGTGAGTCAAGCTAGTTGTCCCAATCGGCTGAAGAGTTGCTAATCTCTCCCTCCGTCCAGGTCTCAACAAACCAAGATGAAGACTACCCTCAGAGCAGGTGCCGCATCGGATTTGAATATCTACTCCGTTGGGTAGGAGGCTACTCATAACGATCATCTCGTCATACTCACACCCGCACTAGCTTCACCTCTGGCAGCGGCTCGGGCCTTCTTGGTTATGCGACATTCCCATCTGACTATAGGCGTTCCCCCAAGGATGACGGTGTTGTCATTCTGTACTCGTCAGTTCCTGGTGGCACCACAGAGAACTACAACGAAGGACGAGTGAGCTCCATGATTCACTCTCAATTATACAACGGTTGACATCGTGCTTCAGACCTTGACCCACGAAGTTGGTCATTGGACTGGTCTCTACCACACCTTCCAGGGTGGCTGCAGTGGCTCGGGCGACAGTGTTGCTGATACTCCCCCCGAGGCGTCTCCTGCTAACGGGTGCCCTGTCGGTCGCGACACCTGCAGCGGTGGAGGAGTTGACCCCATTCGTTCGTTCTTGCCTCGCTCAGTAATCTGACTTGAACCTGAACACTTCTTGTAGGAAACTTCATGGACTACACCTACGACAGCTGCATGGAAGAATTCACCCCAGGTCAGGCTGTTCGCCTCCAGTCCCAGATGAGAACCTACCGTAGCGTTTCGTTCGAGAGGGAAGGCGCTCAAATCTAAATTGATTATTATTTATTTATCTTCATCGTTCACGTTTCTCACGCGAGTCGTGAAGAACTTGTTGTCTCCCTTGTATTTGATGTATATGGATGTATGTTTGGAAATGTAAATGATGTTTATCGGTCGATGCTTGTAGTGTGACCGTTTATGGAAAGTCACTTGCCGTTATAGGACGTGTAAGTTGCAGCTATAGGGGTTGAGTAAATCTAGTGAATCTACGCCGCTGCAGATATAATATAGACTTAGCTCTTGACCCACGTCGAAAGCTGTGGGGAGATTTCTGGTATTAACCTGATACTACTGTCTTTCAGCGAATATCGAAGATATTACCAAGTTTTCGTAACTTGGACTTTCTCTTTACACGGCTTGTTGCGTGCATATTGACCAGCATTATGTAAGGCGGACCTTTATGTAGCCTAGGTATACTCACTGCGCTCATCCCTGGTGGTGGACGACTCACGCGAAATTCATGAAACAGAGAAGTCGTGGAGCGTTTGTGTACTTCATGGGAACTATCTCTGCCTCCACAAAGTACAACTGGAGGGGACTTCATCACATTATTCCGCTACTCGTACGTATCATGATATCACGATTGCCTTACCATCAAGTCCTAAAACTAACGAGTGCCCAGCATGTAGAGTCCGAAATGCGCAAGTTTGACGATTCAGACTCCGAGGTTCGGACTCCGCTCGGTGTTGCCCGAAGCCTCCCTTGGACATCTTGTGTGAGATAGAGTGACACCGACCGCGACATCGACAACCTACCGCCGACAACAAAATGGTAAGCATAACTGCCGTTTATCCGTTGCGACTGGTTGTCTCTACGCCCTATTGCCATTCAATCCACGGTTTCATGGCAAATCTCGATGGATGCGAATCGCTGCGTCTGGATGCACCCTTTTGGCCTACTTTGCAATATCGGGATGGAAACTGATATGCGTTGGATTCTAGACGAAAAAGAGAAGAAATGGCGGTCGCAACAAGAAGGGCCGTGGCCACGTAAACTTCCTCCGTTGCTCGAACTGCTCGCGAGCAATTGCCAAAGATAAGGCCATCAAGAGGTTCACCGTCCGAAACATGGTTGAGAGTGCTGCTGTCCGAGATATCAGTGAGGCTAGTGCCTACGCTCGTGAGTTCTATTCAGATGGTGTGCCTGGGACTTGATTCTTACATCACGTAGAATACACCCTCCCCAAACTGTACATCAAAATCGTATACTGCGTTTCCTGCGCTATCCACTCACATGGTATGTCATCCCAGTTTTAAAAGGTTAGCAGAATATCATACTTGAAACAGTTGTCCGAGTGCGATCACGCGAGGGCCGTCGCAACCGTGCTCCTCCCCCACGAGTACGGTGGAAGGACGGCAAGAAGGTCAACCCAGCAGTAGCAGCAGCAGAGGACGCGAAGGCGGCTGCTGCAGCTGCAGGAAAGGCTTAAGAGTCGTATTCTCCTTGCGGTGTATTTCTTCTACCATGCACATTATTTGCAATCGACTTTTTACCGATCCCAATCACTCAAGATGCTCTGTTGTCCAACGCATTCGTTGCGCTATCCACGGTGGTGTTAAGTCAGTAAGCCCACATGGTCTTGCTGTCGATGCGCCGCCATTTGGTTGCGAAGGGTTGAAATCTTAGACTCGTGTCTCACTAACGAACTTACTACTATATTGTACGACTATCGCGGATCTCGGTATAGAAGCTCGCACTTAGGACTAGCTCGGAGGGAAAGACTGACTATGCTCATTTACTGGTCTCAACGTCAGCTCGCTCAAGAACTGGCATGTGGCGTACTCCATCCACAAGGTCTGGGCCACGGCGTGACTTGTGAGCATCATTGCCTCGCGTAGCCTTGTCTTGTCATTGGACTGCGCAGAGAGTGGAGAGTCTTCGTCATGATATTTTTCTACAAACAAATCTTTACTACTTGTAATAGATGAGGAAGCTAAGTGGGGAGAGTCGAGTCAGGAACCAAATAGCCAAGCAGTGTTACCGTGTGAAAGTCAGTTCACGCGCTAACTTCGATTCCACTACATCTTGTTTAGTGACCACGCAAGTGACCGCGACGGCGCGCAGCTGCTTCTATCCCTTAGACAGCCATGCACTTCACAAAGCCAGCCTGGGTGGCACACACCGACTCTTCAGCAAAGGACGATCGCACAGCAAAACGACTATCCATTTTCTCCGTAGATGTCCACCCCGACGGTTCTCGAATCGCGACGGGCGGCCTTGACGCCAAAGTACGCATATGGAGTACAAAACCAATACTGAATTCCGCGTCAGAACATTCCAACAAACCTCCGAAGTCACTTTGCACCTTAACGATGCATACGGGGCCTGTGCTGGTAGTTAGGTGGGCTCATTCAGGTAGATGGTTGGCGAGTGGCAGCGACGATGCGATTGTCATGGTATGGGACCTCGATCCGTACGTTCCTCTTTGCTTCTGTGTGGATCCTTGCGTGACCTCTGCACTCTAGCGCAGCTAAAAGCAAAGTCTGGGGCTCAGATGAAGTCAACGTTGAGGGCTGGAAACCACTTAAACGCCTGCCTGGACACGAGAGTGGTGAGTTCGCGCCCACCCTTCTCTCAAATCTCTGTTTACAGTTTGTTAGATATCACTGATATCGCTTGGTCACCGGGGGATAGATATCTAGCCTCCGTCGGCCTTGACTCGATGGTGTTTATATGGTGCGGCTATACTTTGGGTGCGTAGGCCGTTGGTCCCTTGGCTTCAGCTCTCAACTATACAATGCAGAACGCTTGCACAAACTCGATCAGCATCAAGGCTTCGTGAAAGGCGTCTGCTGGGATCCAGTAGGGGAGTTCCTTGCGACGCAATCCGACGACCGGTCGGTCAAGATCTGGCGTACCGGCGATTGGGGGTTGGAAGCCGAGGTCACTAAGCCATTTGAGGATTCGCCTGGTAGCACCTTCTTCCGACGCCTCAGGTACGTTCAGAAATGTACGATGTGCTTTGCGAACTCATTATCGGTATGCAAGTTGGTCCCCTGACGGCGCTCACATTACTGCGTCCAACGCTACGAACAACAAGGGTTTCGTATTCATCGCTGCTGTTATCACTCGTAATTCATGGACATCGGAGATCAGTCTCGTCGGCCACGAGAATACCATTGAGGTCGCAGCTTATAACCCACATATCTTCTTACGGAATCCCGGCGCATCAGTGACAACGTCCAACATATGTTCTGTTGTGGCTCTTGGTGCCGATGATCGATCCGTCTCCATCTGGCAAACTAAATCAGCTCGTCCTTTGATCGTCGCCAAAGAAGTCTTCGAAAGACAGATAATGGACCTCAGCTGGTGCGTCCGCTCACTTTCCCACCTAGCTTGGCGCCCACGATGCTATTTAGGTCCCGCGATGGCCTCACTCTTTATGCAGCTTCATCAGACGGCACACTCGCTGTATTCAACTTCGACGAGGATGAACTAGAAGGTATCGCTCCTCTCTCCGTTCAAGAGAAGTACCTACAGAAATTTGGCTTTTCATTACCTCCCCTACCTGAGGGATTTTCCCACTCTGTACCAGCTCGAGACGCGATGCAGATTACACCGCCTGCTTCACCGTCGTCAAAGGCCAGCCAGCCACCCTCCGACTTTGGGCACAGTGCCAACGGCACTGGGGAACGCGTTAACGTGCTAGTTGCGAAGCGAAGCAACAAGGGCAAAAGGCGTGCTCCACTCAATCAAGCAGACATTCCATCAGCATCAACTGCTGGCCCCTCGTCGAGTGCGAAGGCTACTGCGCCACCGTCTCGAACGTTCTCCAACAGAAATTGGTCATCTGAGACCAAAGAGTCGATATCCCACGCTCCTTCATCGAAGTCGGCCCATTTCCCTGCGCCGGAGGGCCAGCCCTTCAATGTACCAGAAAATTGGACACGACCCAACGATATGGACGTCGATGTTCCCATCGATTCGTTGGACACGTCGTCAACTCGTGGAAAACGCAAGGCCGTTATCGATCTCACCGATGACTCAAGGCCTGCAAAGATGCGCACCCTTGGTGGCGACACCCCTCGAACGTCCGTTGCGGTTCGTGAGTTGGGCAGCAGTAGTGTCACAACAAACGGCTTCCACCATCACCACGAGTTTCAAGCGGCGCCTCTCCTCCCCTCTCCTCCTTTGCTCACATTCCTAAGCTCGAAGGTAGAGGGGACTGAGGACGTATTCGAAGCACGTAATTTCGAGGGTTCTGGTGAGTCGCGAGTCAATTATTTGACGTGCTGTGATTTGACTGCGATTTAGATCCCACCGAAGTTGCGTTTGTGAACGGTAAAGCTACACACTGGTTAGACTACGTACCAGCACCTGTGCTGCAGGTCAAGGCTACGAGTTTGTTCTGTGCAGCCGCTCTGCAAGATGGATCAGTCCATGTCTATTCTGCAACTGGTCGAAGGTAAGAAATCATCGCGGCGAGAGTGACGACGCGCTCACGTATAATGGACAGGTTGATGCCCGCTATGACACTGGGTGCCCCTTGTTACAAAATGGATGCAAACAAATCCGCACTCCTCGTTCTCACTACTATCGGAAATCTCTACGTTTGGTAGGTTCCCATTGGCGCATCCGCGTTTATACTAACTTAAATCTCCCTAGGAACATAAAAAAGCAATCTGCCTTCTTCCCTTCCGTTTCAGTCCGTCCTTTGCTTGCTTCGCCCAATAACACGATAACAGCGGCCATTGTCCGATCCAATGGCGCGCCGATCATCATTTGCTCGTCTGCGGTGTACACCTACGATTCTTCGCTATTAACTTGGGTCATTCTTGGCGACCGATGGTGGTCAGAAGGTTCAGATGCGTGGCAAGGTCGCCAACGCGGTAATGCATCATCTGGAAGCCGTGGCATTCTGTCCACCATTGAGAGCACTATTGGTGGAGGCGATGAAACTGCTGCAGAGGTGCCACGACCGCAGTGGTGGAGCACGGCTCTGACTCTCGGACATATGGAGACGCGGTTACATGCCGCAAGACTGCTAGATAGTCAGCCAGAGTATAAGCAATCGCTCTTAGTGTACGCAAAGAAGATCGCGGACGAGGGCTTCAGAGCCAAGGCAGAGGAATTAGTCAAGGAACTCTTTGGCCCGATATTCTGGTGCGTACCCAGTTTTCTGACCTACTCCTTTGTTCTGACAACATGCAGGCGGCCTGGTCGTGACGATTCATGGACACCGACCATTCTCGGTATGGCCAAGCGTGACCTTCTGAAAGATGTCCTTTCGATCTTTGGTCAGTTCACCTCCCTTTATTTTATCGACGTTGTTTTGATTGTTGGTTTGATCGTAGCACGAAGTAAGACTTTGACTAAATTGGCCCTGGATTGGCAAGACACGCTGAAGAAGGCTGCTAACGAGGAGCAGCCTTGATCCCTGATTCATGAGTTTCCGTAGCTTTGCTTTGTCGTTCCTACTTATTCGTCGTATTGTAGAGCCGCTGGAGGCATTTATGTCTGCTGTATGTAATCATGATATTGTACGTTAGTCGCTTGCCCTCGCGTTAAGGAGTTATTTTGGCGCCTATTTTACTACATTACTCGCTGTTTGCGTTCTGAAAATAGTACTAGCGGTCGCGAAGAACGGGCGGCATCACGAGGAAAGCGTAGTATCTTCACGAAGGTACAGCGATGATCATCCTGCTGCAGTACGATTGGCAGCCTTCCATACTTACCAGTGAACTTTGAACAGAAGAATGTTGCGGGTGCAATATTTCACGTGCCAACCTCCACCCTGACATTTGGTGAGAGCGGGGAGATGAAACAGGATGAAACCCCAGGACTGCCGGTAGAGAGCTTACTAGCTTTGCATTCCCTCACCCAGTACGAGAATTCTCGACATGGCAGCCGTTCCCGACGAGGAGCTCTACGCGTATGCCGACCGCCTCAAGGACAAGGTAGTCGTGATCACAGGTGAGCCTTTGTGGGTCCACGAAATCGTTCCCTCCTGACCCGACGCGACGAGGCGCTGCAAATGGAATCGGTAGGGAGGCCGCTCTGCAATTCGCCAAGTATGGGTGAGTATGTGAGGTCGTGTGCAAGTGTACGCGCTTACCAGAAATGATATTTTATAGGGCAAAGGTCGTCATTGGCGATAGAGATGTCGAAGGTGGTGAGCAAACTGCGCAAGCTGTAAAAGCAGCGGGCGGGTGAGTCGTGTTAGCTTCATTTTTGTGCTTCGTGAGCGCTCACTGACCGCCATAGCCTTGCTGTCGCAACCAAATGCGATGTCACAAACTGGGATGACCAAGTCCAACTGTTTGAACTGGCAATTGCGACGTACGGCGCTGTCGATATCGTTGTCCCGAATGCTGGTGTGACGGAAGGCGTGCCATTTGATGCTGTCAAACTGGTAGACGGCCTGCCCACCAAGCCAAAGCTCACTACTCTTGATGTGAACCTGACTGGGGTGGTTTACTGTGAGTTCCAGTCTGAGCCAGTATCCAAAGCGCAACTTACCAAACCAATTTCGTTCGTGCATGCCAGCTATCCATTTGGCATTGCACTACCTCAAGTTGAATCGTGTAGAAAAAGATTCCCTGAAAGCTCTAATTATGATCGGTTCCATGGGCATGTTTCCGTTCATATCGTCTCTTCACAATGGTCACTTATGTATGAGTGTCTGTTGTTACAGCGTCTTGGTCAGGTATCCCCAAAGCTCCTCTTTATACGGCCTCTAAGCACGCCGTTCTCGGCATTATGCGTGCCATGCACCTCTTCCTTCAAGCAGATAATATCAGAATTGGAACGATACATCCCTTCTTTGCTGGTGCGTTTACCCCTGCTTTGGATGACAACTTCCCCTTATCAACCAACATCACTTCGTTTCTATCATCACTTTCGCAATGCATTGCTCTACTTGATATAGACACGAACATTGTTCCGGTGCCCATTAAGCTCCTTCTGGCAGGGATACCAAAAGCCCCAGTCCCTAGAATAGCCGGCGCCATCTTGCACGCTGCCAGCAACCCATCTGTGGAGTCAAATGGCTCTGCCTGGCTACTAACAGACAACGGCCCTGTATTCCAAGTTCCAAAGGAGCAATTTAAAGAAGGTGTTTACGAAATGATTGACGCAAGGGCTAATCGGTTACTGAAGTACGGTTATTTTCCATTCACTTTGCTTCTACGTTTGGTACGAACTCACATATTTCTAGGGGTGGCCAAGGGATCGCCTTTTATTTCAACTTCGTGCGCGATATCGGCAGAATATTCGGGAAACAGTTGGCCATACTTGGTGTTGGAGCGATCCTTGCGAAACTAGCTTACAACAACCGTGATACACTCACGAAGCTGTCAAAATAACCTAGATATCTCGATATATAAGGTTAGCTATCTATCTATCCTTGAAGCTCCAGCCTAGTTGAGCATGAAGGATGTACTTTGATTACATTATCCGGAATTCCTTATACGTACGCATGCAGTCTTATACTTATCACGACACTCTGGCCTAGAACTAGAAATATGAACCGGCTCCTGCATACGACTTTCCAGCAGCCTCTGGCGGCGAAGTCAAAGTCGACGCTGGTGAGTCATCAGGTAACTCCAGTTCTTCGGCCTTCTGGCGAGCATATTCGACAGAGCCAGGGCCAAAAATGGGTAGAGGGGGATTGAACGGTTTCGCAGGTAACGCCAGGCGGCCTGCGGGTATACGAGCTTGGAGATCTGTTTGCGGCGGTATTCCTTGATATGCAAGCTAAACCAAACGTGAGCGACGACCCCTCAAAACAGCAGGACACTGCATTCGGCACTCACTGAATTGTTGACCTTTTCGTAGTGTTTCCAAAACACCGTCACTGTCTGTAATTCATCCGCAACCTTCTCTTTCCTTCTTTCCTTCTGTTCTTTCTCCTTGCCGATTCCCATTCCCTTCCCCCCATCTTTCAGTTCTTCCAAGTCTTTCTTAGCCCAAGCCAAAAAGCCAACGGCTTCCCCACCCTTATCGCCCTTGCCGTTCTCGCCAGCATCTATTCCTAGCCATTTCCGTGCCAGGGCGTTGTGAAAGCTTGTTTCGTCCGAGAGATAACGTCGGAGGTCCGTTCTGACGTCACCATCCCCAGTATCTTTACCTTTGGAAGGTGCCGATGTTTTCGCGAGTGATAGCGCAGACGAATACAGGGAAGCGCACTCAAGGTGGATTTTAGCTAACAGGACGGGCGAAGGGTGTGATTTCGGCAATGGAGGGCCGGGGGCGATATTGCTGTCGTATGCAGATTTAGAGAGAAGTTTGCGAATGGCCAGTGACTGCGCATCTGCGAGGGACATTCTTTCAATTGTGTACTTAGCAAGATCAAAGAAGTAATGTGAATGAGGGAATACGAACTTGGCTAAGGCATTGTTAACTTCTCTGCTCAGGTCGGGTGGTTTATTCAACCCAGCGGTCCCCCCATCTCGGCTGTTGTCCCATTCAAGCAGCGCTGTCTCACTTACATACTGGAATATACCGCTGGCCTTCAGCAAGAGGGTTACCGCGAAATTCAGTTTCTCGTCTTTTGCCCGTCGTTCAGAGTCGGAGATAGCGCGGTCGTGCTCGTATGTCCCCAGGGCCTTCACTGTCGATCGAGCGAGGTTCGACAACGCGAAAGCGTACGTGAGGAGAGCGTAAGCGTATTCAGCATGCAGCGAGGGTAGCGAGTGTCTCGATGACGCATGGAACAGGCTCGCCGATAATGTTGCGCGCCAGCTAAACACTTGGCCACATGGGAAGAACGACGAGTAGTGGATATACCGAATAACCCTGTAGGGTAGCAGTGGACGTACCAGGTTCAGATTTGAGCCCAATTTCATCATGGGCAACGCTGGCCATTATCCCGCGAAGCAGCGGAAGGTACTCATCCAAAACCTACTCGGAGCGGTTGGGGCGGTTAGGGCTGGGTGACTCTGGGAACGACGGTCGTAATGTACATACCTTTACGACACGAAGGTAATCCTTCTCATTATCATCGGTGCGCTTGCTCTCCTTGAGCACGGCGCGCAAGTTGGCGCGGACTTGGGTTGATTCGGAGATGAACGATCCATATGATTTGTTGCTGCTCTGGTCGCTACAGAAATCAGCAAAGGAGATAGCCCCTGTCGTCGGCAGTTCGTAGAGGTAAGTGCTCATGGTGTGGTACCTTCAGGACAAGCGGCGAGTTGCGCCACAGCGGGCAGATCAGTGGGTAGCGGATCAGATTAGATCACACGTATTTCCTAAATTGCTTAAATGTCCGCAGCTCCGGGATATACTTGCTGGAAAGCGGTAGAATGCATCGGTATACAAAAGATACATAATGCACTACTCTTGCACCACATGGTCCCCTTCCTTGGCCTCTCCGACCGCTATCCTCAATCCGGCCCATATACAGTCGATCAGGGCTGCCCCGTTCGAGCAGGCGAAAACCAAAGTTGAGGCATAGAAGAAATTTGCATTGCCCGTTCCTTGGGTTAGCCAAAGGCGGTTGAAGAGGGGGAGGAGCAATGCGGAGTGGATGTGAAGCAGCGCCGTAACAATAGGGTGGCGGAAGTCTGAAACCGAATATGAGCTATAACGTGTCAGGAATGAGGAACCGGACTGACATGGGTATACTTCTGGGAACAAGGATATCATGCTAAGGAACAGGCCTGGGTCTGCTAGAGTTGGATAGGCCTTGAAGGTGCCTAATACGCCCAGAAGGAGGAAGCCTGCATAAAGAGGGTCATACCTTGGAATGGATGAGCAACGAATACGATGAATGATAGGTACAACATACTGGAATTTGATGCAGATTGGAGCGATGTAGATCAGTAGATGGACCTATTGGATGCGTTTTAACAGCTATCCGAAGCCGAACAGGGGACAAAGGACACTGACAGAGAACACCATAAGGAAAAAGGGCCGGAAATGATCAAACATCTCCGTGAAGAAGTACCACCACATCCCTGGATTGGGTGTCAAGTCGGGGAGCATCAAACTGGACATGACCGAAGTTAGCCAATAATTACGCAGGTAGATCGCAACCCACTTTGATCCCCAAGACCGGCTAATCCACAGCAAGTTACCGGCAGCAATGCAGGACGCTACCGCCAAGACGCCCATGTATATTATGAAGGTAAACAGGAGGGGGATTGCGCGGTTTAACCGTGTCGGGAATGGTTTGGGGGAGGCCAAATGTGAGAGGGGGTCGCTGAGGAGCAGAAGGATGACCGGCGCGAGAATCAGGATCGACGACGGTGACATGTGGACCAGGAGCGCCAACAAGAGAAGGGATGCGGAGGCATTACCTATGTGCTGTATTTTCAGTGATCACTTCCGCATTATCTATGGGCTCGCACCTTGGCAGGCGTAGCTCAGGGAGAGTAGGGTGAAGGCGTTGTCAATGGTTGACGTCGACAGTGCGAGAGACGGCAATAAGAGGTACGGGTTTAATAGATAACTAATTGTATCCCGTTAACGTTAACGCGTGACCGTGTGGTGAGGCTCACCTACATAGAAGCGATCAGGGCATCTCTGGAACTTTGGGCGACTCGCTGTCGCGACCGCCATATTTTTGCCAGTGTCAGGGCAGCAAGTGCATCGCATAGACACCAGAGAACGTACGCCGCTAGCCGCGACGCCGGAATCACTGTATCAAACAGCGCGAGCAATAGTGGTGACTGAGCCGGAGTTCAGCTACAAACTTCAAAGAAAAGCCGTAACGCACATGGTGAAACGATCCCCCATCATATGGATCAATCCCGCTTTGGAAAAGATGGACCCCTTCCTGAACTAACGGTGAATTCGTGTGTGAGTGCATGTCCACTGCAGCCGAAGTGGAATTTGCGCACGGCGAAAGTAGGACGTTAACGGTGAAGATAGTTGCTGGTCGTGTATTAGGATATCAGAGATCCCCGTCAAGTACGCCAGAAATTTGCATGTCGAGATAGCCGGGACTACAAATCCAAGGCTGCTCGAGAGTTTTGACATTGGGTGCAATTAGGCAAGAGCTCCTGCGCTATGATACGACCACCAAGGGGACTTCCGTGACCTCTGCCATATTTAAGATCCCCACAGTTCCAAGGTGCCCATTGAAACGTTCGTACCTTGAGGTTTGAAGCCGAACGTTGAACGTTGCACTCCCGAGTTGATTCGACCGAGAATAATATCGCAGGTTCGTCCAGACGCGTCGGGGCTCACGCTAAACTTCTAGTGTCCCTTCAGAGAAAATGTTGGCTTCCACGAACTGACAAGCCTCTCTTGTCGTTTCGAGACGGTATCGGTACCTCGGGGTGGCTTAGTTGAAATTGGATCCCTCAATGATCGCTGTGAGCGCTGTCACTGGATCACGCGTAACGTGTCACTGCGTCACACTCTCAAGTTGACGCGACTGTGACTTCAAGTATACTAAGGTCATACTCTACCACAGAATGGCTTCTCATTGATATCGATGAACCACAACTAGATGCGTACACGCCGCAGTTCTCGATAAGTGTTTTCCCAATCTCTATCGTTGTCTCAGTAACTTCAAATAGCATATTTCCCTCCAGAAAGCGCCACGCACGCATGCAGTTCGACGTGTGATTCTATGGCTTCTTTGCTCGACGAAGGGCCCATTGTTTCGCGACTGAATTCGCTTCCTTGGACAGTAGCTCAAGGCTCCAAATGAGAGCATGTGGCCAATTGTATTCATCAACGCTCTTCTCACCACGGACCAGAAAACGGGAAGAGAGAAGGACGAACCTACTTCTATGTTTCTTCGTGAACTATTGGACTGACATGGACATATGAACGCCGTGGACTTGCTTGACTTCCTTAATGCTCCCAGCCAGTTTTCGGTGGAAGTCGGCGCCTGGTCGGCAGAGTTCTTCGTGGAAGGACGTAGACGGCAAACCTACACACTTGGTTGAATAAGCAGCTTGCGGGACCGTATCAAACGTTTCTCCGATATTGATTCCGGCCATAGGTCCCTTGCGAGACCTCCTGGTCCAATGATACACCGGAAGGAACGGTCGAAGACTTCGTAGCCAATTATTTGCTCGGTCACTTGTTGCTTCTTCCCGAACATCGCATCCGAGGTCTCGACCCCAGTCCCCGCCCGCCGCGCGGCAGAGATCTGATTCTCCACCGTAAGACTTCTGACAAACACATGTCCTATAGATGGTCGGTCTTCCGTTTCTACGTACAACTCTATCCACGCCTGGCCCTTGCTCCTGAGTCGGTCTTTTTCTGTCGTCGACTTGTCCCAACATGGATAGAGTGCCCCAAATCGCCCATTCATTCACGAATCGTGCGGCTTCTATAGTGACCGACAAATTCCGATGGACCTCTTAACTATTTACATTTTGGCCGTCACGACTGATCCTACTGCCTCCGCTCCAGATTCTATCGATGTTCTTTAGGCCACGGCATTCAACATTATTCTGTGAGTAAGCCCTGTAAACCATGAGAATCGCTGAGCTATCTTTCCCTGAAGCCCCCGCGAAGTATGATATTCGAGCCTATTCAAGCCTCAGGCTGTAAGTATTCGGGGTGATATGTCCCACAACACAGCACATCGCCGTTTCGCTTTCCCCGAAAGTCCCAGCCCTTTCGCAGATGCCAACAGCGAATAGAACTACCCCCTTTCCCCTACCTTTCCCCTCGTACTTACCCAGCCAGCGAACCTGCCTAGATCTTTTACGACGTCAGCAAGCCCTTCGCGCTGCGGTCCTTACTCCACTCTGTCATCACCCCAGAATCACTAGTTCGCTGTCCATCATAGATGGGGTTAAGTATGTCTTGATCCTAGGTGTCGATTAGCATGTTAGCATGCGGCTCCACCTTATTTCCCAGAACGGCTCAAGCCAAAACTCTCATGGGTCATGGAAAATGATCGCAGGCGTAAACGTACACGACAATATTCTTGGAATCCTCCCACACAGTCATCTAGATAGCTAACTTTGGACACTAACAACCATGTCTCGCATTCTCATACATATGCAACAGAGAATTAGTAACGGTGCCGCGGGATTCAAATTACGTGATTATGTGGCCGCCGGTTACGATAAATGGGCTTTTGTGAAAGGCTTGTAAGTAACTTTTGAAGAATACAGTAAGTCGTTGGGAACGAATCTACGAAAGGAGCAAAAATTGATTCGACCCAGGTTCGAACTGAGGACCTTCTGTGAACAAATGTTAGACAGATGCGATAACCAACTACGCCATCGAACCGTTATAAACCTTATCATATCAAAATGCTGTGTACGAGATTTGATTCAGATGAATTTACATTGTAGCCTACAACATTGGTCCGACTCCAAAACACAAGAAAGCTATTTTGTCCGTGGAATACATAGCTACGACAAGATGCTGGTGTAAGGGTAATACATATGATCTACTGGCACACTTCGTTGTCCATAGAGGTGGCGTATACTCGACAAACATTTGGCTTGGGAGGTTCAAGTTCGTTGTCATTTTTTGGGGCAATTTTGTACATTCAGGAGGATCGTGGGCCAAGGCGTCGCAAGGCGCGGTCGTCAACGGGGTCTCGGCGGTACGGATGGCTGCGTTGAAGTGCATGGAGAGGCGCAAGATCGACTCGGCGGCTGGGCCCGACGCTTCCGCGCCTCTCGTCGGACTCCATCGAGCTCGTTGGTGAGGGGGCATCGTATGTAGCCTCCGGGACGACGATTGGTGGAACAGCATGCGTCGCGAAGGCAGAGTTTATCGAAGCTGGACGGTGATCGTGAGGGGAATGAGCACGAGGAATGGAAGGATGAGAATCCACAGCGGTGGGAGGGAGATATGTGTACGACCTGTCCGTAACGTAATGCCGTGAAGAATATGGAGCGCGAACATCAGATCGATTAATCTCCGTTCCCAGTGTCACCGGCCACGGTGGTAGTGGCTGATGGGCATCCACTGGCGTTCGAGGGGAGTCAGCCGAATACACAGACTGTGGCTGGGACGGAGGCTGGGATGTGTGGGAATGGGGTGGGGCGAGCGAACGATATGATCCTGCTGGAGAATTGGGATCATCAGAGTAGTACGCATCCGAGTTGCGATGCGTAGAGCTTGTAGATGACCAGCTTCGTTCCGACAAAGCGGGAGGCTGGCTGTATTCACCGTACTGAGGCCCGGCAGCGGGGGAAAGTCGTGGGGGAGGGTCGGGCGATGTGTAGTTCCTACTAAGGGGAGGCAACGTTGTTCTGTGAGCCGCCGCGGGGGAATAGACGGGAGAGTGATAGCCTGGTGTGTAGTTGGCATTTGGGTATGGTTGGTACATGTGGAGAGATTGAGAGCCGGACGGCGTGCCTGGTTGGCTCAGGTGGTTGGAATATGGAGTTGGGAAGGCAGAGTATGTGCGGGAGGGAGCACTAGATGGTCCCACACTCGACGATTCGCCAGGACGACCAGATTCTTCGTTCTTCCTGTTCTTGCCGACTCGTGTACTCTTGAACAGGCCGTCTGGGACTTCAAGATTGCCGACGCCATCGATATCGTCTACGGTGCCGAGCTGGTCTACAGTAGCTTGGGTAAAATATGCCGCTAAATAATTTAATGGAGTGAGAATCGAACGACGGAGGGGGGACGTAATGCGAACGTACTCAGATGCCATTTTCTACGACCTTTGTTTGTGTCCACATAGACTGAATAGGTCTGCTTGACGAGAGGGTCCCAATCCCGCGGAGGGGGTTTGCTGTCGGAACTGCGTGAGGTGAGGTGACGGTCATGAGCACACGACCACAACGCACCTTCGTTGATTACCGTCCGTTGACGGGGTGTACTTCTCATAGTAGAATAAAAATTCCTGGGCGACACGTTTATCTCGACGCAGCAAATATAATGATCTTGACTTACGTCTCGGACCCGTGATGGACTCCAACGTCGGCCCTCCGTGAATCTTTCGATGCCCAGGCCTGTTATCTCTGTGTGCGGCCCCCGTTCCTCCCATGCGTAGATACACCCGGAGCGTAAGGCAAGACGCTCGTCCGCATCTAATCGCCTCGTCACCATTTGTAGTAGGCCCAGCTGAACAGCGTAGAAAATCTGGTGGGCATCTTGAGTGGATCGAATGCGCACGTTGGTGCAGGTCGGACGCTGCATGTGCTGCATGTTGGTGAGTGAGGGGAGCGGCGGCGGTGGAGGGTAAAGGAGGGTCGGTCAAAGGTCCAACGGCAATGGGTTTATAAAAGAGATGGGTTGGACCAGGGAGCCAGGGACCGCATGCAATTCCAGGAAGAAGGGTTCAAGTGATAAATTAATCAGGCTGTTTCTGTTTTGAAACGTTCATTTCCGCCTGCAGCTAATGCCCAATGACGGTTCTGACCCAGAAACTTGGCGCCGCAAACCTGATATCCTGACATCTAGATTGTGTGTGACTAGGAACTCTAATCACTTTACAACTCAAAATCAATATGTATGATCGGCCTCAGACTCTAAGTAACCGCATGAGCGACACAATTTGGTGAAAATAGCAGGATGATACCTCCATTCCTCAACCGTTGGTCCATCCAAAGCGGCCCCCTTCAGCTGGACAATACCATTCCACCCCACTTTCCAGCGCCAGGGCTCAGCCGAGTTCTTTGGGATTAGCTGGACCCCTCCGGCGGAACTAAGGTGAGAAAATTCCATCTGGAAGTTTACTAAGCGGTCGACGGCAAGTACTGTCAGTTTTGGTGGGCAGCTCTGACGATGGATCGCACTTGAGATCGCACTAGTGGAGACTGGTTGTATTAACTTGGAAAGATCCTTCGAAGTATACCGCTGGGAATTCAAATAATATCAGTCACATTCGTGGTCGCGATTTGTGGCCGCGATTCAAATCTTTGTTTAACCGGAATGACATACCATTTATGGTAATTTTGATTGTTCATGACAGCCCCAAAACCGTTTAGAGAACAATACGACACCTATCAAATCTCAATCAATGTCACAGCGCAAACAGCCACATCACCTACAAATGATGAGATGGCAGCAAGAAAATGAATGGAGTTCTGGAGACCTTGTGATAAAGCGGCGGAGGCAAATATCCTTATTTATTTACATGTGTTTCCAGTACAAGGTTCTTGCCTTCAGAATTTGATCGACGACTTGACTTGCTTCCTGCTTCAGGATGCAGCGGGTCCAGTGACTCAACGGCACATAGAACGTGAAGGAATGTAGTCGATGAGACCCCAGTCTAAATCCTGTCAGACGACCATGGATGTCAGAATTCAAGTGGTCCGTCCATCACGCGTGGCGAGCAGACGTGCCACGATGTGGGGTGCCTTTTTGCATGTCCATACATTATCCCAATGCACTTCGACAGCCCTTGGAGAGCCGAAGTATATTACCGCTCCTTACGGTATGTTTCCCATCAAGAATATACTTTATACTGAGAGGATACCACTCCACGAAATGTGGGAGTGACCAACCTTTTGGCTCACGCTGCGCATAGCAAGCGGAAACCTATGCCACCGAAGAGATGGTAAATTAGACTTAAGGTTGGGGGGTATGCCTATAACCCCAATTTGCGTGAGCTGGCTAACAGCATAACTGTAATTGTGCCGTTCACATGCTGCGTAGACCAGTACAGTACTTCAGCCGAAGACAGGTGATTCCATTTCAATGGACAAAGTATTTCTGTAGTAGTACGGCGGCGATGGTGCGCTCCCGATGAACCACCTGTCTGGCGACTGAGGTGGATGTGCCCTGATGTGCCCCATGTTATTGTACAGAGACGCCTCCCTTTAGTCAATAATTTAGGGTGGCGGAAGCAGATCGAACGTTTTCCCTTGGGGAAGCATAACGAAAGCGTTAGAACAGAGGCTAAAGGGTTGTTATTCAATAAGTAATGCGATGGGTGAGTATTTTGTACAACAATGGAGCGACAGCTAACAATCAAAGCAGGACGACAGCAGCAGAGGACCCAAGGAGAAATCATGACGGAGACAGTGGAGAGCATAGATCACCTGAATGTCAGAGTGAACGACATCAGCGCCTTCTCATCTAGGGGGTGGCGACGTATCGGTGGAATGTTCTCTAGATATGAAAGAGGCACTAAACCCTCCCATTCAATAGGTGAACGCGAACCGGAACTCGCGCGAGATCGTCGGTTTCTGCAACCGGCTTCAATTTTAGCTGAGGGCTTGATAATGCCGACCGGGGAGTGTGACAATGCGGTTTGGTGGTACCTGAGAAACGTCGAACGATTCGTAGGATAGGGACTGTATCGCGTTTGGGGGTACATGGCACCATCAGGACCCTCCGACAATAGACATCGATCAAACACCTGGGCATCACGAGGAGGCCGGGGCTTCGATCGAGCACTCATATATTTTCCGAACGGGACGTGCAACGACGCAAGCTCGGGAATGTCGTGGATGGTGCGCAAGCTCGGCAGAGTCCCATGGGTGAAATAAGCGACTAATGAAGGAAAGTGTCAGAAGACCACATGGCCACCATGAGTTCAAGTGCACGTACTGAGGTGCCACTTTCGTCGGCCTTTCGGGGTATCTGCAAATACTGAATAGGTCTGCTTAATGAGCTTCTCCTTGTAGAAGCTGCCACTGGAATTGGGACGCGAGAGGGACCTGAACATGAGGGGACCCTTTGTTAGATTGTTTGGACGATAGAATTTCAAGGATCTTTGAAGAAGAAAGAAGTATCGACGTACGCGGCGTCCGAATCAGACCCCATTTCTACTTCCGCTTGTTGCTTTTCGTGATAAAATAGAAACTCCTGAATAGTGTATAGAATGTGAGGACGTCATGTCGTGGGATGGAGAACTAGATAAGCCATACGTCTCTCACGCGGCTTGGTCCCCATCGAATCGAGTCAGTCCATCGTTCTATCCCCAACTGAATGACCATGTGAGGGAGGGTTAAAAAATGCTGTGGACAAGACTTACACCAGTAGCCTCTGTATTTGGACCTCGCTCCTCCCACACGAAGACGCAGCCCGTTGTAATCGCACGGCGTTCTTCAGCATCCAATCGCCGAGACACGATGGGAAGTAACCCAAGAGAGACAGCATGGAAGATTATATGAGCGTCCGCAGGTGATCTCACCCGAAGCCCTTTACACGTTGGTCGTTGCATGATAGCGAGGAAGGGGGGGAAGAAGGGATGTGAAGATGCTACTGTGCCGGTAAGGGAGGGATCTAATAGGGTTGTTACACTGGCTTTATATTACGCCCGATAGATGATAGCTGTTAGGAATGAAACGTTACTATTGATCATCATAATGCAGAGTACAATCTTAATGCGAAGATGGTTAGTACGGGGGTTTCAATGGCGCAATAGATGTTGAGTAACGCTCGACTCGCAGCAGTCGTCGATTTGCCTTGGCCTAATGAATAATGCGCGTAAAGAGGGGAAGCTCGAAGAGTTAACGGGGCGGGAAGACGTGGTCTAAACAATGGTGTGGCAATGTCTAACATCGCCTACCCAAATATGGGCAAAGGTTACAACCAAAATTACGGGATCTATTAATCGAATAGGTAAGTGTAAGTGTAAGTGCTATGGGTGACAGACAGCGGGCTGTTACCTTGTAGCTGGCAAAACATGCTTGAGAACCCTAGGTTAACTTCCGAATTATCAACATTGATATTGAGTAACCGAAGATATTGATAGAACGATGGATCACCTATGCCGCCATCAGCGCCCCGCGTAGAAGGACCGACCATCAACAAATGGAATCTACTAGGGTGGTTTGTCAAGCAGGCTAAAGAAGGCGAGTTTCTGGATGTTGCGTTTGGCTTGACAAGGCACGAAGGCGTGCTCGAGTCTACTGAACTTTGACACATTACACATTAGGCTTGAGCCTAATCGTTAGGAAACGTAGAGACCCTGCTCTTGGATCGGTTGACTCCCGGGATCATCTAACAACTGATGCAACAAAGTGAAGTACCTTGCGCCCGTGTCGAGTTCCCAAGAAATCCCTTCTGCTCCGATCAGAGATTTATTCGATAATCAAGCGAATCCTGATGCTGACGGTGGTTGAGATGACCGACTGTCCGATGCTGGATAATTGTAGCTCAGTGCCCCTTGACACCGGCAATGATGGTCGCCCTTGGGTATCGGATCCTAACCCAACTACCACTTGGATGGGAGGCTTGATTGCGAACAGCCTGCCAGGTGCATAAAAGCGTCTATCAAAAAAGCGTAGTAAAACCTATTAAGGACAAGGTGTGTAGTAGTTCCACAGTGCGAATCCTACAATACGGAAACTCACCTTATTGTCAACGCTAGCGTTTCGGACGTCTGACCATATAAGACTCGGTCCCACAATGGCTAAAGACTTCCGTGACTTGACCGTGCACTTCTAGGACCGCCACAAAGCCACGAACTGGTGTTCCCTCTCCATTTTCAACGCTGTTGGGGACGCGCGGGAGTGTAGCTTGGTCCACTGGTCACTGGTCATGGAAGAAAGAAGGGACGAAGTGACATGTCACACTACTGGTCACAACATCTGAACTGGAAACATTTGCCACAATTTCCCTAATAAGGCAACGTTGACGGTGAATGATTCGTGTGTTCAGCTGGCAGACCGCAAGGCTTTCTTTCAGAAACCGACGTGCATCGTCCAGCTGCGTCCACCTCGAATATCGCGCCTTGATGTCTTCTCAGCAGCCCCCATGGTCTCTGCCCGAGCCTCAGAAACCCATCCCTACCCTCAAAGTCCACAATTCCTTGACTCGGACGAAGGTAGTTCATCGATTAGCGCGTCTTTAGTTTCCTGGTTGAAGAAGCCTCTAGACGGAGTTCATTCCGCGCGACGGGAACCACGTCAAATGGTACAATTGCGGTCCAACAGTATACGATGCTTCGCACATGGGTCATGCGAGGTGAGGACTACCTATGGGTCGCTTGATGCCGATTTGATGGATTACTTTAGAAACTATGTGACTCAGGATGTTCTGAGACGCATTATAACTGATTACTTTGGATACGATGTCCATTTCGTTATGAATGTTACAGACATTGATGATAAGGTACGAATCCCGGCAATGTATTCATCGCCTCGTTTTGACGGATCCTAGATCATACTTCGGGCTAGACAAAACTATCTTTTCGATAAATTTCGTTCAGATACATCAGAACTGTCTCCGGAGCTGTTGTCAACGGTGTTAGAGGCTTGGAAGTCGTATGTGCACGAAAAGGTCTCCAAAGGCCTGCTAGAAGCCAATAGAGTTGCACGAGACGCGGAAGAGGACCAGTGGCCGCAGTTAGCACAACTAGCTCAGGACAAGCCATGGAAACAAGAATGCTCCAAACGAGATGAGAAGTTTGACATGCACTTCACAGCTGCTGTACGTTCACATGCTATCAGTCGCTCCTTGACAGACTGTCATTTAATGCCCGTAGAATCGCACGTTCTTAGCTATACAATCCGCGAGAAAACATCTGCAAGAAGGGTCGAAGGGTCGTGATAATGCACTCAGCCTTCTGGACGATTCAAAGGACATTCTGGCACTTTCTCTAGATGCCCTGGTACGATATTCCTTTGGTATGTTCGAAACAGCCCTTCATACATCCGCTTGCAGCATGGCAAGACAGTCACGGATCCTTCAATCTTCCGATCCACGGCGGCATTCTGGGAAGATCAGTTCTTCAACGATATGGACCGCCTCCGTGTCCGAAGGCCAGACACCCTGACTCGCGTGACCGAGTACGTGCCAGAAATTGTCGAATTCGTGGAAGGTATCGTCAAGAATGGCTATGCATACGAAGTAGACGGCAGCGTCTACTTCGACACTCGCTCGTTTGATGGAGCCGATAATCACCATTACGCTAAATTGGAACCGTGGAGCACGGGTAACCGGGAACTACTAGAAGAAGGAGAAGGTATGTTGCAGCCATCTGTACTGTTATTTCCACCCTTGATATGATATGTTTGACAATGGGAATTAGGCGCCTTATCCAATAAGATTGGACGACGCTCGCCGGCTGATTTTGCGCTGTGGAAGGCATCAAAGCCCGGCGAGCCTTCGTGGCCTTCGCCATGGGGCCAAGGACGCCCAGGATGGCACATAGAGTGCTCCGTGATGGCCAGCGCTATCTTTGGCGACAACATGGATATCCATTCTGGCGGAATCGACCTCGCGTTCCCCCACCATGATAACGAAATGGCCCAGTCAGAGGTACAAGATCTTCCTTCCCCACTTTCGAAGTCTGCTTATGGTTGGCTGACAGGCATTTCACAACTGTGATTCGTGGGTCAATTACTTCCTACACACAGGACACCTTCACATTGAGGGACTAAAAATGAGTAAATCCCTCAAGAATTTCATTACGATCGATGTGGGTCTTCGCGTGCCTTCCTTTCGTTGCCGTTATTTATCCCTGACATTCGTTTCCAGGAAATTCTGCAGAAATACACGGCTCGCCAACTGAGATTGGCCTTCTTAACTCAGCTGTGGAATTCCAAGGTCGATTTCTCAGAGTCCCTCATGACCGGCGAGGTTCGCAACATAGAAAACGCATTCAATGTGAGCCACTCTTCTGGGTTGGAACTGATGCCAGTGGAATTGATTCCGTATACCCGCAGAATTTCTTTACCATAGTCAAAGCACTTTTAAACCAAGCGCAGGCAGATGGCTATAAGTCAGATGGCTACCATCATTATGAGACGGCTGAACGCGAATTGACCACAAGGTACGTCCAGATTCGAAAACGTGGGGCCCCTTTTTCCTTCGCTGATCCAAAAATTCTTTCAGCTTCCATGAAGCTCGAACAGCGTTTCGCGAAGCCCTTTGCGATTCGTTCAACACGCCTCGGGCTGTGGATATCCTTCGGGACATAGTTTCCAAGACCAACGTCTACATCAATTCCCGCGGTAAGGGCCTCAACGTAGACCTCGTGGACTACGTTGCACGTTGGGTGGGTCAGATGTTGCGAATGTTTGGTCTCGGCGAAGGTGGGACAGCGGAGATCGGATGGGGTCAGGAGCAAAAGGGAGATGGTTTCGATGTAGGTCCTTGTATTCATGTTGTGCCACTGGTGGCTGAGCTATCGCTGGTTTCAGAGGGACGAAGTCCTTATGCCATATTTGAGGGTGCTGTCAACCTTCCGGGATTCTGTTCGGCGCATGGCTATCGACAAGGGTGACACGGCATTGAAGGACATCCTGGCTCTCTGTGACAAGCTTAGGGATTCTGATTTGGTGCCTCTTGGGGTGGCCCTGGACGACCAAGAAGGTTTTACAGTTCACCCTTTTCTCTAAATAGCGTGGCTGAACTCCATGCAGACGGCAAGGCTCTCGTGAAGCTTGTTTCCCCAGAAGAGCTGATCAAAGCTCGGGACGAGAAGCGGGCTGCGTTAGAGGCGAAGGCTGCAAAAAAGGCCGCTGCCGTCGAGGCCGAACGCCAGAAGCGCGTCCAGAAACTGGAGAAGGGCCGAATTCCGCCAGAGCTTATGTTTAGACCCCCAAATACGTCTGAAGGGACGTATAGCAGTTGGGATGATCGTGGCGTACCGCTTACCGACAAAGAAGGCAAGGAGCTAAGCAAAAACCAGGCTAAGAAGGTTTTGAAGGAGTGGACGGACCGTCAGAAGCTGCATGCAGAGTATTTGGCGTGGATAAAGGAACAGGAAACGTAATTCTATAATCTAACCCCCAATTGTATATCATGGTAATTATTGTACTACATTTACTACCAATCGCTCGAGTTTACCACCAAGTTGGCAATCTTTTCCAGCCCTCTCTGATCTTCTTCGTCGAAACCTGATAATGCCGTGTTATCCAGGTCAAACACTCCGACTACGCGGCTTTGCCCGTCATCAAGGAGGAGGATCAGTGGTACCACTATTTCGCTCTTGGTTTCCCCATCGCAAGCGATGTGCCCTGGATATGCCTCAACATCGGGTACTAACACCGACTGCTTCTTGATGAAAGCATCTGCGCAGACGCCTCTTCTTTTCCCCGGCGATATGTTGATGGACTGACATGCGGGCCTACCGCAGAACGGACCTAGTAGCAACATTTCATCATGATTTTGCACATCATCCGTGGGTACCGTTGACGGCGACAGCCTCGGAACAGGGAACAACGATGAGCGTATGTAGAAGCCTAACAAATATCATGTTTATCATCATCGCAATCAGATCAACTGCGCTCATCAACATAGAGACAGTGGGACTCACCAACCCAGTTTGTGGTCTTAGGATCATGCAATGGGGAATCACCAAGGGCGTTGTATATCAGTGATGCTGAGTTGCTGAGGTTGGAAACCTGCCGAGAGAAATGGTTGGATAAGGGAGTGTTCTGGAGTGGTGGATTTGTGGAGACAGCGTGGCGGCCTCACCCAATTTCGTTGGTCATGCAACAGTCCCTGCAGCTGCGAGTAAGCGGTCTGCCAGAATTCTGCTTTGGTTTGTAGGCCTTTGGGAATCAAAGCTGAATCTGCGTGAGGCATGTCGCCGTAGAAGGTACTGGTTCAAGTCTTGGTTGACTTACAGATACTGCACGAGTGTGAAAACTTGCTGAAAAATGTCGATGACGGAATTAAGACGACTACTAACTGGTACACGCCTGGCAGATGTTCGGAATACCCGTTCGGGCAACTGTAAGGGGGATCAAGTTGTTGACTATTCAACTACAAAATATCACATCAGAGTGGTCTGCTGGGACTCATGTCCAGATCGCCGTATGTAGAATCAATCCTGATATACTCCGAGTCTCGGGCTCTGTAGCCCCCTCTTTCTCGGGTTCAGGTTTTAGATGGGGGATCGGATGCATCAGCCACTGCGCTAATTCATAGGCAGGCTGCTACCTTGCCTGCATCCAATATATCAGTCGCGCTTCTCCTGGTGTGGGCACTTCCGTTTTGACGCCCTTGGCTGCTTTAGGGACACTTGGCTCATGTCCACGACGATGTCCAGAGCTGATAAGCTCATGCTCAGCCAACGACGTAAATGACCTCACAACAGCTTTTTTCGCTACCACTAGCAAGGTACCCGTACAGCATCATATATGGCGCACTACATGGATCCCATGCGCCACTACGACGCCAGTACCATCATCCGACCTTCTCAAAGATCAGAAGACGACTACGACTTGCATACAAACTTAGCTACTAGTAGCATCTCGCCATGGTCGGCCTCAGATGCACTGTCGCTGATCACCATCATCTCTGCGCCTATTGTCACACTACCCATGCTTGGTGCTAGTGGCATGCTGCAAGTTATGCCGAGTAAGTCAGACAGCAGGCACAACTTGGACACGGGCGATGATCTTATTCGATCAATGACAAGGTCCTATTGCAACGAAAGCTGTTATTTCAGCAGGAGCACTGTATGGATGGCCCCTCCTTTGTCTTGCAGGCGGTACATGTGTCGTAGTTTGGGTGGGAGTTAGCTATGTCAGCCGCCGTATTCGCTGGCCTGCGAAGGCCCGGGCGTCTGACATTCCTCCTTCAGCTACACCATCGAAGGTGAGTGTAGTCGCTGTCATCCGATATATCGGGCATCTAAATATTGATATTCGGTCTACTTACCTCTAGAATGGTACTATCCCCCAACCTCGCTGAGTCCGAATTATGGCGGCGACGATCATTGAAGGCAATGACTAGAAAGGCAGAGTGATCAGTATGAATGGTAGCAGTCTGGACGTTACTAGTAGTGGCTCTTAATATTCGTCTAACTTCGAGAATGAATGAATCAACGCCACCTTCCGCACAAAAGGTTCCGTGATTCGTGTTTCGCTTACTAGATGATGTGCCAAGGATTATCATTTAATATTAATGATTCGACAAGTCATCGCCAACCGCCGGGATGCAGAACTATCTTGACTTCGCTTGTAACAATTGTTCCATTGAGAATGCCGTTGTGATACTAGTTATACATGGTAGAGATGACGTGCGTGATCTACAGAACTTTGCCGTAACCGCCTTTCTTGTAGAAGGCGTCCATGCGAGTGACAATAGATTGAAGGGCAGCGAGCCAGCTGTCCAATTGGGTGTCCACATTATCTTGGAGGGCAGGGGCACCGCCGGAGGGGTCAGCAGCGAGCTTCTCATAGAATCCCGCGCGGTATGGGCATGCCTTCATGGCAACCTACAGCCCGCGAAAGTGAGAGGAATGCAATAGAAGTAACACTAAAAGGTACGAACCGCGAATGCTCCCTTGACCACGAAGTTGTGGAATTGTTTCAGCGTGCCCTCGTACGCGGCGCTGAACGCGGCAGCAAGTTCGGTCGATTTATCGGCCTGGGTGGTCTGCAGGGCCTTGCAGGTGAAGATGAGGCCGCGGAGAAGCCACATCAATCCTTCTGTCGCGGGTTGTTTCTTCTCTTTCTTCTCGTTCTCGACGAGCTGCTCGAGTGTTCCGGAGAGCGTGGGTGCAGCGTCGTACCGAGCCTTTACTTTCTACAAATGAAGGGCCGCAGTCATATACGGAGGTTTTAAGAGATCGGAATGATGGTCACTCACTGCGATGTTGCCATTCAGGTCACTGACCACCATGGTGAATGCAGCTGAACCGAGGATATCTTGGGACAATTCATATCCTTATGGGGTCTCTTTGCAGTGTAGTATACATACCAAAAAGGCCCACAAGGCCTTTAGACGCCTCCAAGAATGCAACAGTGTCGACGCCAGCGTCGGTTACTGGGACATCAGCGAAGGACTAGACGTGGTTTTGATGAGTTTCACGATCGATGTGCAAGGTTTAGTTACTTACTTTGACCGTCTCGAGGTAAGGTGCCATACTGAAGAAGCTGAGATGATAGTCAAAGATAGAAGATCGATGAGGTTGGGATCAAGAGTCGTGTCTGGTCGGTTGGCCAACACCATGCAATGTTGCATGATATTGATGGATCTAATCTAATCTCGGCATATTTAGCACGTGACCGTTTCGTAGCAATAAACAGGGGTAGGCGCTAACTGATTCCAACCTTGGTCTTGCTGCCAAGTGCCATGCCAAAATTCGGCAAAAATGGCCGAAAAAATTAAAACAGGAAAAATCCAAGCACAAGGTCCTGGGTAAGAAAAGGCAAAGAAAAACGCGACTACAAGACGAAACTTGAAAGTCTCTTGTGAGTACATTGTTTACGCTTATTTATATTTCATCCCTGTCAGTGTCGCCACGGTGCTCACGGTCAAGTCAAGATACATCTGATGGTGGATGACCGTCATGTTGGCAATGGCGCGCCAGCAAGCTTGCGACTCATATTTGACCCGCCGGCGCCATCAAGCACAATGAGCGGGCAATTCTATTCGTCTGCGATCACCCCGACCCGCGGGACGAGTCTACGACAGCGAGCGTCGGCGTCGGGGAGCACTACCCCAAGCAAGAGGCCAAGTTGGCCGGACGAGGATTGGGGGGCGGAACTAGGCGGTCGACCGCCGCATACGAGAGCGTCCACCGAGGGTATTCCCCAGGACTGGAACAGTGGGCGACACCCTCTCCAGAGTGCGGACGTGGTCATGAGCTCGGATAGGGCTGGCACTACTCGGCCTCATCTCGCTCGACTGAGCGACTGGAAGGATAAGAAGGGGGATGATGAACCCCGCCCGCCAACTCCCCGCGATCGGTACCTCTCCGGTAGCCAGGACGATATGGAGGAGAAGGAGGTTATAGTGCACGAAGTAAGTGTGGTGTCAATGATAATTGCATTCGACCTCTCACTCGGATCTCACAACTGCTTCTGCGTTAGGTTGCCTCTTCTGACTCGCTAGCTGGCGTAGCACTCAAGTATGGCATCAGCCTGGCCAATTTACGCAAGGCTAATCACCTATGGGCATCCGATTCCATTCACATTCGCAAGGTGCTCTACATCCCTCTGGACATGCTGCCAACGCAAGCAGCAGCGCCGTACAGAGCCATGCTACGGGAAATGAATCGGGAGCAGGAGTCTGAAGCAGAATGGACGTCGACTATCCGACGTATTCCCGCATCTCGTCTTTCGTTCTTTCCCCCTTCTTCACAGTCTATGGATACCCAACCACAACCAATACCAGCGTACAACAATAACAATAACAATATCGGTCATCACACTCGCTCATCCACCGCTCCCTCTGCATCACTAACGACGCTGTTAACCGCGCTACCCATCGCCGCATCGACGCGTGACACCATCATCGCCCGACTTTCCTTCGATTCCTCGCGAAATTCATCCGTCAGCGACGACCACGAAATGGATAGCATTTTCGCGCCTACGGCCGATCCCGCCAAGACGCCCAAGGCTCAATATCAAGAACCCAGCGTGGCCAAAGGAAAAGGCCGGGTGTCACCGCCGCCATCACCCACCCGTGACCGCTCTGCTCTTCGCCGCTCGACGTCCCGTCGCAGTGACCACGAGGTCGCGCAAGAGGCTGGCTATGACTTGGCGGCGAAGGTGCACCTCACTGCGACAGAGTCGCGACCAGCCATAATACGGACGGCGCAAATGGAACCATCTCCATCTATGCAGCTGCCAAACTTGTCACGCTCACGCGGTCGAATAAAGACCGACGATGATCATGAACTGTGGTAGTTTCAGTGCTCGCTTTGGCTGCCTATCATAAGGGCGTCGAGACGTACATCCTATCTCTTCGGTATCATACCTGACAAGTTGCCCTGGGAAGCGGCTTTCCACTGCTGGACAGGCCTGTCCACAACCATACAGCTCGCTCGCCGTGACGCGGCGTGACAATGGCCGACCCCCTGGAGATAAATTGATGCATCCAGGATCCTTGCCTACGGCTCTCAGCATGTTCTCGAGGCTAATTTATTCCGCGCGCTAAGCGTGTCCGTATCTTTGTAACTTTAGGCCCTTTGGTCGAGTAAGGGGAAACAGCTAGAATACCTGGATGTAATAATTAGAGGATTCTAAAAATAAACGTAAGGGTCAATCCTGAGGCCCTAGATGGACAGAGTTGATTGAGATTTATCAGAACCCCACCGGTTTGCCAAACAGGAATAGAATTAATACAATGTATGGATAGAGCTCGCAGTACAAGAGAGATTGGTAGATAAATGAACGAAGGCATCAAAATTTCGAAGTATCAACCGAAAGGCCACCAGAAGAGTTCATCACAGCAACGGTTCCACGCAATTGGTTAGATAGGGCAGAGAAGACGTTTAGACCGCACACGAAGTAAGATCTAAAACCCAGGTTCAAGCTCAATCGCTGGTGCCACAGTTTCATCTGCTTCTAAGCTGACTTTCCCGACTTCCATGTCAGCCATCCCTGCGGGGGGCTTGGTGATGATGGGTGCCTCATCCATTAACGGGGTCCGCTCATCGTCGGATGCGACGTCAATCTCGCGATTGTTTCCGTCGTCGCTGCCACCAGGCGTGGGGAGAGGGCTATCACCGCCGGAAGAGGCCGTGGAGTTGCTGAACGCGCGCTCCATTTGCGGGGCCTCCAGACGAATTGCTGGCGTTCCTGTGAATTGATTAGCAAACTGCTAGGACCATGGTTCACTGGTACTCACTGCCATTGGCTCCGTTGACTCCATTGAGTCCGTTGATCCCGTTACTGGGTAGGGCCCGGTTGGAGGTGGCGACGTTATCCGTGGCTTTATTGAAAGAAATTGACGCGCTGTCGCTCTGAGACACTGCCGCGGCCTCGATGGCGACTGTGGATGAGTCGTAGATTTGGCGGAGCTGCACAACGAGATCACCGTTCTTCGTGAACACAGGACTCGCCAAGTTGTACGTCCCCAATGCAGCCGCAGCCCATCGCCAATCGCCTTCGAGCGCTGTGCGAAGCTCAGAAAGGACGGCATCGATATTGATGACATTCGGGAGATGCCTCTTTAACTCAACGTCGGTGTTGAAACTCGACCAAACTTCGACAGATTCCGAGTAATCGAAGACGGGCAAGACAGGTTGGCGCAGACTGATATGAAGGCCTGCCGCATCAGTCTTGGCCACAATAACGGCTGACCATGTCGCCTTGGTTTCTTTGCTGTTACATTCTCGTCAGGAGTGTCTCGATGGGTAACCCAAAGGAAGGCTTACGTTCGGTCATTCTTGATTTCCTTGACTCGAAGGATAGACTGTCCGTTCAGCTTGATTTCCATCGACGAGGCGCGATATGTTGTTGGAAGAATGAGTTGATGCTTTGTATGGCAAAGAACTGAGAAGCCTTCATTTGCTTCGCGGGTACCAGAGTGCTCGTACTTCCACTCATCGCGGTGTTCCCAACCGTACTCAAGCCAGTCGGCGGTGCCCTCGAGCAAAGTCCAGTCACAAGCCTTGTCCTTGCGGTAGCGGTGTTGATCCCATGTGGTGAGGTAGACTTTGTACTCCTCTTCGCCCTCGTTGGGGAAGCGTGGAACGACAGTGGTCTTAGTGTTGATCACCGCGAGGGCGGGCAGCAATCGACCCTCCAGGAAGACTTTCTTGGAGAGGCACAGCGAGCCATGCGACTGGGGGAAAACCCATCCAGAACCCCACGGGATGTGAGTATCGGGGAGTGGGCGCCCTTGAGTCATGCCGAACACCATGAGAACAGGAGCCGTGTGTCTGTAAACACAATTCGCAACGGTCACGACGTCTTTAGAGAGGACGCGGAAGGTTGCATCAGTGAGACCGAAGGCCTCGCTGGCAGGGAGGATGGGGACTGAGTGGATGACATTGTGACCATATTTTGCGAGAACCTGGAGATAGTCTCCCATGAACTCGAGGATATTCTTGAGTCTATGTACGGCGCTGCGGGAGTCATTATCCCACATGCCAGGCATCAGCGATTGTTTGCCAACGTATTCAGCCCCTACAGGGACGGTCAGAGGGAGGCATCCTTTCGCAGAAGAAATGACGTACTCGCAAAGTCCAGAATGATGTGTTTGATGGTCTGCACATTGGGGAATTTCTGGATGTATGTCTTGCCGAAAAGCTCTACCACAGCCTGTTCCCAGGTGATTGACTTCTGCTCTACCATCTTGATTCGAGTTTCATACGCGATTGACCAAGCATCGAAGCTGTACTTCTTCTGTCCGCTACCAAGCAGGGTCAGTTTCTTCGGTGGTCAGTAGAAGACCGTGGTAACTTACTTCTCGAATGTCATAGACCCGACTTCAATGTTGAAGATGACCAGGGCGTTGCCGTTGGATAAGAGCTTGACCTTGATCGGGAGGAACTTGACAGTCATGTTTCTCGCGGAGTAGGTATGCAGGAACCCGTGGTTTAAAACGGTGTGCATCGAGCTGAACAACGAATTGATGGCTTCCTCCGAAATAGCCAACATGTGGTCGAAACCATGGAGGGAGATCTTGCGCACGGTCTCTCCCCACATGACTGTCGCTGAGTGACTAGGTCCGGAGACGTCGACACCTATCTTCCACTCGCTGTCCTCGCCAATGTCGCTGAAGTCGGGCTCCTCATCGAAGCCACTATGCGGCGAGAAGATGACGTGGTATCCGTACTGAACAAGGAGCGATAGATACTCGTCTCGGAGGAATCTGACGATTTGCTGGAAGAATTCGGCGGCGTCGCTGGTAACCTTTGTTGAGTAATGGTCGCTGTAGCGAGCACCTGAGGAGAACGTCAGGACAATGCATAGATGAACCCATAGAAAGTAGCGTACTTCCTAGATCAAGCTTGAGTAATGTCACCTCGTGGCTCTTGTCCTGAATAACGTCAAGCACAAAGGCGAATTTCCAATCTCTGAACGAGTCGATGGCTGACCTAAAGGGTGGATCAGTATCAGGCCTGGCGTGTGGTTAAGGAAAGACGCACAACTCGAAGTTAGAGCTAGCGAAAAATTCAATCTCCGAGGCGGTGAGAGTTAACACAACCTCCGTTCGGCATAAAGATTGGATGCTTTGTGGCTCGAATCTGATGTGGAAATGGCCGTAATGATTGGAAAGGGTGTTGCTTCTGACTTCCCAGATGCAATCCGCCAATGGGTCAGAAGAGCTTCTGCCAGTGAACTCTCGAGAGGCAACGTCGAGCCAGGTGGTCTTCAGGTACTCGTTGATGGAGAACAAGCTGATCCCAAATACGTCGACGTCCTTGCACAATCCTGGGTTCGCGGTAAGAGCCTTGCTCACGAGCGAATAGTCAATGGTGTGCCTGTATGTATCGTTATCGAAATCGGGGAGGTCGAAAAGAACGTGGTGGCCGGCGAAATGAAGGAAATGAAGGTATTTCTTCAAGTAAAAGCTCGCGGCGTCTTTAACACTGTAGTCCAGCTCATCAGCGAACAACACCAATCGAGGGTCTAGGGAGGGGGGTCAGCGCAGTCCCCAGAATTGAAGCAGGAACATATTTACTCTTCAAGTCCAATATGGTCATCTGGATGAGGTGACCAGGGCCGTTTCCAATGACCTTGTCGTAGCCTTCAAGGACATGGCGCGTGAAGGGGAGCCGGAAGGCGACCTTCAAGCCCTTGATGTCAACATTATCCTTCCTACGGTATAAATCAGCATACTTGTAACACCATAGGGCAGATGAGACTGAGCGTACGGGTTAGACTTGTAGCCAGGGACGTTGGTCTTGCTGGGGTAGACCTTATTGCAATGACCTTCAGCGACCGTCAGATACAAGGCGGCCTCATGGTTGCAGATGAACTCGAGCTTGGGCTCCTCGAAGAGGGCGTAGAAAAACAAGGAATCCTTGCTGACGTCGCCCTTTTGGGCACGCTTGCCCGCGAAGTGCCATTGGGCGAGGCTACGGGTATACTTGTGGATCTCGTAGCTCGCGGAGTGCAAGTTGACAACAGGGCTTTTAGTTTCAGTCGCGACGCAATCATCTGCGTTCTTCCACAGCGCAGAGAGCTGCGAGCTGAGGTAGTGGGCCGATAAAGCAGCGCTGTTGTCGTTGATACACATGTGAGGCGATTGAAAGAGACTGGGAATGTGTAAGAAAGAAGTAGCTGAGGTGGTTTGCTGAGGATGGTCGATAGTTGAGTAGCATTTTATATGATGCCCTTAGGCTCAGATATGAATTTATGTGCAATATTCTCAGGAATCGGTGGTGCTTGTCGCCGACTCTGTTGCAGCACCAGAGACGCTGGCCGCAGAGCATAGCGTGTGATCGAGGGGAACAAATCATTAAGATGAGAACAACGATAAATCCGCCGAAGCTGTACGGTTGATCCCCGCTCGCCATGCAAAGAATGGTCCGGCCTCAATGTCGAACATGGGTAGGGCATTGTCGCGACGTCCGACGCTAACCGCAACTTAACGAAGCAAAAATGCATCGCCAGCCTACTCTACTGCCTCCCGATGGCCTTCCTTAGGCACCAAGTATACCGGTGACAAATCTTCTCCAGAGGCACCTAATGGTCAGCGGAGGATCTAGACGTAAGCTTCGCCTTGATGCCTAATTTAGACTGAACTAACGCCAACGTACCTCCGCATGGCCAAGACACAATTGACATGTACTTTCTATGTACTTGGAATGGCTTGCCTTCCTAAGTCTTGTGCGGTGGAGTCCATCCGGAGACAGTGGATAGCGGGTGCGTTGGACGGAGACCAGGCCCACAAGCTACATCTCGCGCCTACCCAACGGCTATCAACCCGTAAAGCTATAGAATCATTAGCGAAGCAAAAATCCACATAGATGCCTCGCAAACAAACCACTGCTGGTGACGAGTTTTCCGCGCCATCAACTCCTCAATACGACTCGGATGCATATATACTAGGCAAGCCGCATTACGAAGACATTTGAACGGTAGGAAACTACCCGTTCCTGACAGGAAGATATGGTGGGTGACTTAGCGTCGTGGTCCATACGCTGAGTAACTCTCCCCGGGAGATGTCAGCAAATCACCAAAGCTATGTAAGAGTAGAGTGTACTTACTCGACATGGGGATACAAGTAGGCTGTACATTTCACTCGCCATATTCCAATGAACGATTCAACCGAGAGTAGTTGAAGAACACTTATTCGAAGGGCAAGAGGCTGTGGGTTGCATGTAAAAACTCACGACCGCGTCGGAGTTGACGGTTCAGACCAATCATGGGATAGAATCAGCATATTTTGAGGCTATTATTGTCGTATATGGCATAACGAAATATGCTCAGAGAAATTGTGGAAGTCGCGAACAAGTTGAACGCGGCGCATGATAAGATCTCGCTGACTCAGCAAGCAGACCGCGGCGCGCCTTGGGCGCCTAAGCTCAGCACTTACTTGAAGCTTGACCCAAGCGTAATTCCCGTCGCTCCCGCTCTTTGTACTCATTGCAGCATGAGTTGGTCAGGGTATGTCAGCTAGCAATCGGATTTCTGCATACGCTGAGTTTCATCCCATTTAGATTCAAAAAGTCCGTGAACCGGGCAGGGACAACGGTGAGTATCATGCGTGCTGTCATAATCATTTCTCATCCTTTGTCTGCAGCTGCTCCAAAAGACGGGGCAGATAGAGCGTACAGTGGATCGGGAGTTCGCTGATGAAGAGGCCAAGTACAAAGTGTACGAACCCCACCATCTCGATACATACAGACAAATCCAATGACTCACGGCTATAGCTTCGAGAAGGAATGCCAGGCGTTGCAGAAAGATGGGAAGGCCTACTGGGACTCACTACGCGGTATGCTGCTTGTCTGTCTTTGTGTCAAGCCCCGCTCACTGATTGCACCGTTCCAGCAATGTCTGCTGCGCAAACACGCATCGCAGAAACTATAGAGACATTCTACGGCGCTGCGGATAGGTCATCGGACGGCGCGATGGCGAGCCACGCGTATAAACGTTCAGTCGATGATATGGACGGAGGCTTCCAGAGGGAACTCGTGAGTTACTTGGCTACTGTGATACAGTGTCGTGGTTCTGAATCTGTACCATGATTCCAAGGACGCTCCGTACCGCACGACGATTGCTGAACCTCTCGGAAAGATGTGCGCATATTTCCCCGTGATCAACGAGCACATATCGAAACGCAATAAGAAGGTATGCTTGCCGGGTTTATTTTGGGAATTGGTCACCCCCTGAGCCGAAGATAGCTTCTGGATTACGATTCTGCTCGGAGCAAGATGCGTAAGCTCATTGACAAGCCCAGCGAAGATCCAACGAAATTGCCCAGAGTACGTCGTCTTCAATCTATGCGCGATGTGTGCTCACATCCGTTACAAGGCTCAACAAGAACACGACGAGACGAAAGAAATGTTCGAAACGCTGAATGTACAACTAATTGAGGAACTCCCTCAGCTGATGGACCTGCGAGTACCGTATTTCGATCCTAGCTTCGAAGCGATGATCCGCATGCAAGCCAAGTTCGCTGAAGAGGGCTATGAGAAGTTGAGCGGTGTTCAACGGTACGCCATCTCATGACTTGGCCGCGGTTGCAATACTAACTTTTTGCGTCAGGTATTTTGAAGATAGTGTAAGAGACGATTATGCCGCTGGGCAACTCGACGCCCAGGTATGCCACATTTCCTTCTATGAGGTTGTTTCTTACCTATCTGTCACAGGTCGAAGGCGTGCTACAGGAGATGAGGGAGTTGTCGATATGTGGGGGCAATTAGGGCCTACTTTGCCAGTCGTTCATAATGCTGAGGAGTGTATGTATCAGTACCGTCCAATCGTACACGCGGATTTATACCAATTCCCCACATGCTTGCAATCAAGTATTCAGCCCTCTCCATACGTGGCCCTTCTACTTACTTGTGCAACAAAGGGCGGCTCTAATCTCACCTACATCAAGGTTAGCTCTAGCCCTCTGGGAACCTTGCGTCAAGCATCTGAATGAATCCCTTGTATTCACCACATTTCCAGCCCCATCATAGATATATACCTCTGAGGATCTGAATTGAGCCTTTCATGCTACAATCTGGAATCATTCATCGCGTCCCTGTCATCAATGGATTCATTATACTTTTAGAGCTGTTAACGCGTTTCTGTCACGTGAATATCATACAGGTAATAAAACGGCATGAAAGGCAACTTCAATCGACCTTCTCTTTCTTTCCTACCATCACCATCATGCTTTCTGTGTAAAAATCCACCAGAACTCAAGAAAACCGAGTGCGTTGCCTCTTGAAACCTCTGCTTACTTTCTGACCCTCTATAGCCTCAATCATCAATATCAATCCCAATACTCAGAATTAAGATGTTCGGTAAAGCTAATCCGAGCCTGCTACCGGATTTGCAGCAAGTTAGCATTCATACATTGTCAACTCGGACCCCGTCGTTCTCCGGCTTCACTTTCGAGACAATCGGCAAGCAGCCGTCTTTGCTGGCACGCATCTCCGACAAACGTGCCGACGACCTTGACGTGTCTTCGCCTTCTTCTCCCCTATACGGTGCCGATTATATCGCACTCCCACCTGACTCTGATATCGACGACCTTGCTCCATCCGCACCATTGGATAGGAAATCGCTTCTGCAAGCCTTGACCAATGCGGACGATGCTGTCCACTCGATGGACGTAGATGGGGATCGCGAGTCGCATCATCCTCGAGATCCTTCGATCCCCGATATGCTTCCTCAAGACGTTCATCCCTCTGAAGGGATATCTGCTTTCGTCGCTCCGACTCCCCAACTCCCGGAGCACCCTACATCTCCCAGAAGATCGAGCTTTACCAATCACAGTTCACACCCTTCATTTGACTTTCTTGATCTAGCTGCGGCTCATTCTCCCGTCTCTACCACTTTCAGTCTGGCGTATCCAGAGTCAGAGCATCCTGATGCCACGCAGAATCCATCCACGGAATCCACTGAAATGTCTATCGAACACGAGGCTTCCGTCCCGCCTTTGGCTCCAGCGTCTATCGCGGTACCTCCTAGTATTGCGCCCTCGGGTGATGATGCACGCGCCATTGAAAAAGTGGATACTCAAGAACACCCAGAAGCAATGGGAATGATCCCTCTATATGAACACGTCTTAGATACAATATCGACCATCACGGCTAAGAGTTCGACTTCCAAGGTCGACGAATTTGAGAAGGTCATTGCCGCTTTTCAAGCCGTTCAGACACAATCTGTCAGCGCCATGTCTGCTGCTCGAAAGGCTCGCTGGCTTGCCGAGCAATCCTGCGACTTGGCCAAACAGGCTTTGGTCGCCGCTGAAGAAAGCCTAGACGCCGCCGAGATCTCGAACCGACGTTATCTAGAAGTTTCGGAGACTTTGGACATCCGTAGCCTCCAAGAATCGGATCGCAAGAAATTAGCCGAACTAGAGACATTGAAAACGGATATATCATCGCTCGGGGACCGGCTTCAAGTTTATACGAGCAAGATGCAGAGCAAATTGGCGTCGGTTACGGCGAATACTCCCAGCTCAACACATGTCGAGCGGGCTGTTTCTCCCTTCCATGCCGTAGAAATAGACAATGCCTCAAAGGTGAAAAGTATCATCAGTCGCAAGGAGCTTGTGGTTGTTGAAGGTAAGCAACAAAACGCACGAAAAGTCACGCGCGTACACGACGTACCGGCTCCCGAGGTTGTGGCCGACGTCGCTACAAGAGCTTGGGAGGCTGAGCGGGAACTCAGCGCTCGACGCTCCCTTCCGCCCGCGGATACAAGCAAACCATCGCGTATCACCGCCGACCCGCGCGAGGGTGACCAACAACACACTGTTTCTATCAACCGCTCTGCAGAATCGTTCACCGAGCCTCAACCAAGGCGGCGTTCCGACCGCGACATAGTCCTTACCGAGAAGGTCCAATATCAACCAGAGATGGCGAGAGGACTTCTGGGTGGCCGACGCCAAGTAGAGAAAAAGACTGCGCAAGAGATCGAAGAGATTGCCAGTCTAACAACGTTGACACTTCCAGCACCATCGACCACGACGCCCGTTGGCCCCGCTCCTCGCTTCGGTAATCCAGTAGCGAACCAAACATTGCTCTCATTTTCACCTCCTAGGAATAATATTATGAAAACTAGTAGCATGCCGCCTGTCCCTTCTCAGAGTAGTCTCGATCGAAGCACGCTGTCGGCCCCAGCAGCGGAAACAACCTCAGCTGCTTCAACCTCCAGACCCAACCCGTCCTTCGCAACTGGCGCTGGCGGCGCTACCAGGGATCCACGAGAGCGCCCGCAAGCTATTGCAAAGGAACCGAAAGACCCTTCGAGGGCGGCAGCACCACAAGGATCAAACATGCAAGTTGGGAGCGAAGATGACGATCCGCCCTCTTTTACCCTTCCTCCAAAGCCTGCGGCGTCCCCTAGTAGCGAGACTATCAACCTTCTTCCAAATCTCAGTGCATTCAGCCCAGGAGTAATCGTCCGTGACCACGCATACCCATCGGAAGAGACCGATCCGCCGATGTCGTTATCGTCTCCTCTTGTCTACTGCACAAGGCAAAGTCCCGAACAGGGGAACATGCCGTACGAGCCTGTCGATACCCCGCTTTCTGCAAACTCGCAGATCTGCAATACCAAACACTTGTTGGGGCGCCAAGGCGTACAATGGCACACAAAACTCGGCGAGATTCCCAAAGCCAAAGAGGAACTCTCGAGGGAGCAACTAACGACGCCGGTTTCGGGGTCAGATTCGCAACGTCCATCCGACTCAACTACGGCGCAGGTCTTGTCTATTGTCATTCCGACCGTTCCTCCTGTGAAAGAACAGGCTGCAATGACACCCAATCGCTCCGAGGCTAATCGTGTGTCGTATACTACAAGTGGCAAGTCATCCGAGGCGAGCCCACCCTTAGCTTCCTCATCAGCAGTCAGCGCCTCCAGCCAGGATTTGAGAATTAATGGTGATTCGAATAAGATGCGACCTCCAACCACCGCCCCCCATAACTTGGCACCGGCACCGGCACAATCCCCATCTGAATACACACCCGTATCTGCTGGTCAAAAAAGAAAGTTAGACGAGAAGGAACCTCCTTCCTTCAGCGCAAAGCCCAAGCCCTTTAGGGGCAAGCGCTCTCGTCCAGACGATAGTCGCACGGTACCACAGGGGGATCATTGGTCGCCGGGCAGGTCGCTGCCTCCTTCACCATCTCGCAAAACATTTGCTCAGCGGATCGGCCGCACAGCTGATTGTTACCGTCCACAATATAACGACGACAACGAGCGGACTCATAACCGTGCTTCGACCCCACCCTACTCTCCATGGACCGAACGTCGCCTGGACGATGACTCGCGAGACCCACTACCTGACTTGGCCTTGCGAATGTCGGAGCCTCCTAGTCAACGCGGCCGTGGAAAGCAGCGCGGAGGGGCCATTGCAGGCCCGTATCGAGGCGGACGTCGTGGCACTGCTGAACCACCCAGGGCGCGATTGGGAAGTGGTGGGCTTGAAAGCCGAATTTCCGACCCTCAGACGAGTCTTGGAGATCGCATTGGTTCGTAGGCCTTTCGGCCTCTCCCTTGTTATTGCACTCTATGCGATGATATCTTATCTTGACCCGCGGAGACGGTCATAATGCTAATGCTAACTCTTCTTCGTTTGCCATTACGAGTGTTTAGCCCGCACTGTATCATCCATCATCCCATCATCCGCGGGCTATTATGTACATCTAGTGCATCCTAACATTGTGCATGCGAAGCAAATTTCCAATCCATTTTCATTTTGTTGTAAAGCATTGCTGAGCAAAGATGCTTTTGCGCCGGACGACGTATTCAAGAAACAGGGCTGTCGTGCTCCGACGAACATGAATGGAGAATTGACTAGAATTGGCTCATCGGGCGCGTTCGATCATGATCAGTACTCGCCGGGAGTCTGATATTCACCGTAAGGACGAACAGACAAACATCGACCGCATGGCTTCAGAGTGGAAAAGCCAGCTTAGATGAAAAGGCTCTAATGATACAACTACTATTAAACAAGCTGCGAAGAGCAGATACAGATGAAAGCGCTGCAGTCGCCACTAATGGACCCTTATCGTGGTGCAGCATTATAAGCACGTTCAAACCTATCTACGATATCACAAAATCTAGTGCAACCATTCAGCCAATGGTGGTTGTTGAATAAAATGACTCGGAGACTCACTTGTCCATCAAGCAGAGCAACTTGCAGAAATTGCATTTCGGTGCGGATGGATCCCGTTTTGAGCACTCGACGCATGGGGGTTGTTCACGAGGGGGAGGAGGCTGATCGGAGTTGCGACTAATCGGTGGCCCGCTGAGTGGAGAGGTAGACGCCACCTTGTGCCATCGCCCCGATCCCCTGATATCTCCCGAAACGCCTGTAGCCTCTTCTCCATGTCTTGGGGTGGTTTCTTCCGCTGATTCGTTGGTGATGCGTTTCTCTGTAGATTGAATAGCGGATCGCTTCATAGGATTCGCAGTGATAGATGATGGCGCCGGTACGGCTGGGCGTGCTAGTGATGCAAGTGATTTACGTTGCAATCGAGCCGCGCGCTCGACGGTTCGAGGCTGAATCACTATCTTTGGTCTGCTTGCGTTACTGGGCGATGGGGCATGAGACACCTCGTAGATTAGCACAGCATAACTCACTTGAGGTCCAACGGGACAGACATCAGACCGGATGTGTTGTTGCTGCTCTGTGGCGAATAGGTGTTGATGGATGTGGTGAAGAACGGGAGGGCAATGGGATGGATGCAGCATGGCAAGGTGAAATGATAACAGGCCTCAAGGGAAGCCACGGGGTGGAACGTGGCCAATGCCTGTAAATATTGTTCTCTTACTACTCGATGAAACAATTCACTGATCCATAAGATCGGGAACCCTGAGGAGATGAACAGACTTTTTCATGGCAATTGTAGGCTACATAACACAGTAAAGGGTGTTAACCGCCGAACGACACACCCAGGCGACAGAATCTTTCGGATGAAATTTATTCTTCGACATGACGAATGTGGTCTGAAACTTGAAATTCCAGTGGCGAAGAGCGGTGGTCAGAGGTCGTCTTGTTTGCGGCACTGTCCTCGAAACTTCGGTGATTCACCCAGCCAAAATCTTCGAAGGGCCGATCAGGGGGATTAAAACCAGACATAACTCGATTTCCTCCTTGTGGTCGATCGGCAGTTGCGATAGGTCGGGGTATGAAGACAACAGGCGTGCCGCGTTTCGATGGGGGATCAGCTTTGGAATCGGGCCCAGATATCGACTTTGTAACGGCGCCAGAACCTAGATCTACGCTGCGTTGCCTGAGCTGTTTGACTTGGAATTTGCCAGCAGCCCTTGAGAATAAGACATTTCGAGCTCCATCGGTAGAGTGAGCACCTCTGTGGGCGTGTTCGTCGTTGTCAATGGTAGATGTGTGGCCCGGGCTATCTTTTTCAGTAACGTCTCTTGCGGGTGTGGCAGTTGTATTCCTCGGTGACGTGTCTTGGGGACTGCTTGACGAATAATCTGCATTACGGATCTCGCGAGCCTGTAGCATGGTAGTATCTGTTTCATAGTTTGTAGTAGAGAGGGCTCCTGGTGCAACGGCGTTTCCTTGTGTGAGCGACCCCGGTTCAGAAGTACCAGAAGAAGCAGCGGTGGTGATATGGAACTTGAGGATGAGGAACGGTAAGGCGCACGCCAGGATGTGAGCGAAAGCGTGCATAGTGAACTTGGACTAGTGTGTTCTATTCGTTAAGGCGATTTCGAGCGAGCGTGGTCCTGAAGTGTTGGCCTTGGTGATGGTACGAAAGAAAGTGATTGAGCGGCACGATGATTGAGATTGGGAACTATTTATACACCCCTGAAAATAAGTACACGTGACTTTAACGTGACATCTTAACGCGTTACAGTTTCCACTTCTTAGTTCGACCACCAACACGACATGAGCGAGGACGATGATTTCGCGAGGTAAACCACCCCAAATGGCACATTGATTCCATCTTATCTAGTCTACTTAGGGCAATTGCCTTGAGCCTCCAAGAGCAAGGCGCTGCAAGTCAACCGATAGTTATTGAGAGCGACGACGAAGCGGAAGAGGCTGGTGATCAGGTCGACGACGACAAGCGGTTCGAGAGAGACTTGAAACGCGCACTAGAAGCCAGCAAGGCAGAATCATCAAGACGACCAGAAGCGGTGGAAGTGTCGCCAGAACCTAGTCCTACGCCGCCCGTAGTACAGGGTGGGTCGGCTTTGCCTGCGTTTCTGTCGGAAAGAGCACAGATGGAAAAGGAGAGAAGAGAGAGGCAGATGAAGCGGCGGCGGGAGGCCGGCCTGGACGTGGAGGACGAGCTCAAGAAACGACAAGAACGCACCGAATCCGATGATAGCGATGGAGGGATGGAGCCACCTACTAAGAGGCAACACCTTTCCTCCTCATCCTCCTTCCGTAATCATGCCAACGCGCGCTCTACGAATAGTTCTACCACGAATTCGTCAAGTACGCGGGAACCAGCCCTGATTGACCAAATGTTCTGGGACGGAGAATTCAGGCCTACGATGAATCAATATGCGTTAAAGACTGATACGAGAAAGAAGTTTACATTGACCGAGGCCATTGGACACGTGTGTACCCCCGTCCCCGGACTGACATCTCTCTTACATTTGTCCTCTCTCAGAAAGGCGACCTTTCATTCGCTATCATTGCCTCATATGTGGCATCGGTTGCATGGATCTATGAGTTCTTCGACCCATCTGTTCCGGTAATCTTCGTTACCCAACCTGATCCTTCAGGGAATGCTGGCATAAAAAGTATACTGCCTAATTGGATAAAGGCGGTCCCCTTTCTGAGGAATGGATATGGTTGCATGCATATGAAGGCAAGCAACTTCTATTCTTTCCTTTTGCTTCTGATTGACCGGTCTGATTAGTTTATGCTGGTACGTCAATCTTTGCTGCGGAACTTTGAGTCCATGATATAGTGTTTCCCCAGCTATTCTACAAGACGGGCCGACTGCGGGTAATGGTATCCACAGCAAATCTGATTGATTACGATTATAGGGACATCGAAAATGTCAGTTGGCTACCACTGGTTCCGCTGCCCACTCAACTAACCTTTCCCTCCAGGCATTATGGATTCAAGATATTCCACGATTACCTACACCACGGAAGGCTAAGAAAACGGCGAATCCCGATGACTTCCCTTCTATGTTTACGCGGGTTCTGAAGGCACTTAATGTCCCACCCGCACTGACCACGTTTCTTCAGACAGATGTAAGTTCCTATGTCCACCCCCGAGTACAACTGTTTGACAATGTGCAAGCATCCAAGCCTTCCTTTACAATCCTTGGACGACCTGTGTACCCATTGGGATTGGTCGAAGGTAAATGTGCTTCTCGTACCATCCATTGCCGGTAAACATGAAGGTTGGCCGCAAGTCATACGCACAGGGCATCCCCGCTTGATGATGGCCGTAAGGAAGCTGGGTCTCTCGAAGAGGAGTTCAGGCATGACGCTAGAATGCCAAGTACGATATTCGCTTGATCGATCGATGGTTTTTCTCACTCATTGACAAAGGGATCGAGCATAGGGCATTACACCACCCAGTGGGTTAATGAGTTTTACCTTTCTTCGACTGGCCAATCGACAGAGAAGTGGCTGGATCAGACGAAGCGGAAACGTGAAACTCTGCCCTACCCGCCTATCAAGATCATATTTCCTTCGCTGAAGACTGTACGAGCTACAGTTATGGGTGAAAGGGTAAGTGAACACATCATCTCCAACCAACGACGCTGTCTTCATGTTCATCCAGGGTGGTGGTACCATGTTTTGCTCACGGAAAAGCTGGGAGGCTCCCAACTTCCCAAGGAAGCTATTCCATGATTCCAACAGCAAAGCCGGAGGCGTGCTCATGCATACGAAGGTACTTTGTGTGCAGATCCCACTGCCCCTGTTTAATACCCCTCGTATAGATGATTATAGGCCTGGTGAAACCCGCTTCGCAGTCTAGCCATGCCAGTTCTTCCAGCCCACAAAAGCAAACAAGTCGGCGAGAGGAGGACGACTTTGGCTCCGCGGAAGAAGATTCTGACGAAGTGCAAGTTGTTCAGGGTCATGAAGAAGCTATAGGCTGGGCTTATGTCGGGTCACATAACTTCACTCCCTCGGCGTGGGGTACGTTATCGGGGTCTAGTTTTACGCCAGTACTCAACGTAAGCCCTGCATTCGGATGTTGCCTTGGACTGATACTGAATAATACTCCGAAGATCAAGAACTACGAATTAGGGATTGTATTTCCCTTGAAGGATGAAGCGGAGGTCGAGAGGGTGGCATGTTGGCAACGACCCCCGCGGAAGTATGTTCCTGGTGACGATCGACCATGGGTAAACTTATGTTCTGCTTGGCTGTTTCACCTCGGCTGACTTCCTTGTTTCAAGATGCAGCAAGAGTCCGAGTACTTCCAGCAGAATGAGTAAGCATCTGCTCTGCCGTCAGGCATATTATCCGCGCGTTACTCGATTGTAAAGGAGCGCCCGGAGCGCCAATCTTTTGATTAATCAGATTTCCTTTCGAGTGAAGCAGATGGTCATTTAAGATGTGTAGCTGAAATGTACACCTCGCTTCAGGCCTGAGTCTGAGTGTGTATAAAAAGCTCCATACACGGTGTAGGTCCAGTTCAATTCCTATCTTATCCACACACCCCGCAAACACTGTAGTAGGTGATCGTCATTTACCTATTCTCCATCTTTGAAACTTACCACCATGCCTTAGTAGAGATGGCGATACTAGTCACAGGTGGAACTGGCAAAACCGGTACCCGCCTTGCCCAACTTCTCTTAGCCGCGGGGCACTCGGTATACGTGACTACGCGATCCGTGGGCAAAGTCCAGTCGCCTCTGAAGGGCGTGAAATTCGATTGGTTGGATTCTTCCACAAAGGACGCTCCATTCAAAGCTGCTGCCGCGAATAACGAGCAAATCGAAGCTGTCTATCTAGTTGGACCACCTATTGCAGATATGGCTTCAGTCTTGAACCCCTTCATCGATCTTGCCATTGAGAAGGGTGTCACACGGTTCGTGCTGCTGAGCGCCTCTCAAGTAACCAAGGGCCAGCCACCTATGGGAGTGGTTCAAGAATATCTCGATACACTCAAGGTAGATTACTGCACACTTCGGCCTTCCTGGTTCCATGGTGAGGCATTCCTTGCGCTTTGGGGTGCATTCACTACTTACCTCATATTCAGAGAATTTCTTGGTTCCTCATAACTTCCGACCTCTGGTAAACGAGGACCAGATCGTTTCAGCTGCTGAAGACGGCCGCATTCCTTGGATATCATCTGACGATATTGCCGACGCAGCGTTCAATGCTTTGACCTCAGAACAGATCGAAGAACGAGATCTACTTGTCGTTGGCCCAGAACTCCTGACTTACGAACAGGTGCGTGTGTCGTTCCCTGGTCACCTTGAGTACGCCTCATCAAAGTCAATATTTGTACAGATTGCTGCCATGTTTACAGAAGTGTTGGGCAGGAAGATTTCTTTCAAGCGAGTTTCGCAAGAAGGGATGTCTCAACACCTGCTTCAGCATGAGTTCCATCCGGGCGTTACGGAAATGCTTTCTGCCTTAGACCTCATCGTTGCTACCGGAGGTGAAGAAGCGATCTACAAGTTGGAGAGTAAATATGTTGGAAAGCGTACGCTACTTGACTTCATCCGTGCAAACAAGGAGGCTTGGATTAGATAAATCAGAACAACTATGTAGTCACGAATACGACTATAGCTTCCCCCAATAAATTATAATCGTTCTTATGTACGGGGCTGAGCAAGCTCACGTTCAGTGGGTCCAACGAAACTGACCCCACAAGAAGCCTTTCATGTTGGGAGGAGTTTAGGGATATCTCGATAAGGGATCTATGAAGTCGTCTTCCTGAGCCACGAAGCGTGAAGACACTCTCGTGCCCCTTTGTCACAAGCAATCGATCATGATCGGAACGGAGACATCACATGATCTGGGACGTAAACGTGACTTACATAATCTCTGTTCGGTTTACGGGCTGGATGGGCGAAGGGACCTCGCTGCCGTTACCATCACCACACCGTCGCACGAAACAAAGAGCAACGCGCAAGAAAACAAAAATGCCTATACTCGCCAGCGAAAATAGAAATAACGACGGGCCTACACTATGTGGGGGAATACAACAAGGTACATACAGAGCTTTTGCACAGCTAGAAATGTTACATCTAATACATAGTGCGCCTGTAACAGAGCGGTGCAATATATATGGTTTAATGTTATGCAGGAGGTGGGATGAATGCGATGCGATACGATGAGGGGTGATGGAATGATAATGATATGGTACAAATGTGGTCGATGTCCGTTCGTGAGTGCGAAAAATCATAATGATCGTCCAATGTGTCTGATGGTTCTGGGGCAACAGTAGGGGTTGTCGCGGCTCTGTATCATGGTGGTGGGGAGACGCTCAGCCGTAGGTCGTCGGGGGCCTCTCCCGTGGCCGATAATCCCTTGAACACCGTGTTATTCATCAGGAAGTCTACCCGCCGTTCAACGTCTACAGCTCCCCTCACTTGGTGGCACCTCTTCTGCCACGCATCCCGTATGGCGTTCATCTCATCAACTCCACGGACGCGACTAAACTCGTCTTTCTTCACAGCTTCGCACAGCTGCGTATACGTCCCTGCAAGGACGTCGGATACGGTGACGAAAGCGTTCGGCTTCGGCGAGGAGGGTCGCACAATAATCAACCATGGCAAGAGCTTGCACTTGATCCTCAGCTGTGGAAGCGGTGGAGAGGTTGCTGGTTTCGCGAGCTCTGTTGGGGCGAGGTCGCGGACTGGGAAAGGATTGATTCGTAAGTCGAACCCAATGGCCGAAGGTCTGTCAAGAGCAGGGTGTATTATGATAGGTGCGGGTTGTGGTGCGTAGAGGGCTGTGGTCTCCGGCGACATGGAGGGTAGGGGCCTTGGTTGGAAGGGATATGGTGTAGGTGGCGCGGGTATTGCGTGGACTGGTGGCGGTGTCATCAAACCCGGCGACGAGGGCAACGACGATTGTGAGTATGAGGGGGAGGGCGTTATTGGGTAGATATAGTGGTCATCTTCCGCCGCGAAGTGGACGTGCCTGTCATTGAACGCCATCGTTTCTTCCGTCTTATCTGCGACTTGTAACGGTGGTGGAGGGCGGTCTGTATACGTTGGCCACGTCGAAGTGGAGGGAGGAAAGCTGGGCTACCTCACTACAAACCGCGGGGTATATATGTGAGTGGAAACTCATCTTCGAGAGCTTGATTTGACTCATTGAATCTCAGATAGGACCTGTGTGAGCAGCTGTGGGCTGTACCTCTTCTTCGTTCCGAGCGCTTCGCGGGGTTCGATTAGACAAGCTTCCCTCACATGGTCATCCTAAAACGGCAATAGCTGGCGGCACACTTCCGCTCACGGAGATACAAGGATTGGCCCAAGTCAGATCATTGGTTGCTGCTAAGTACCTGTCATTCATTTCGCAGTTGTGTTTAGATTGGCCAGCCGCATCCCACATTTGATAACTCTGAACCAAGAGAAAGCGACTTGCTTCATTTTTATCAACTCGTGCGCCCAGAGTGGTGGTTCACTTTGTGGTGACTCGCCAGCTTTCTCCTAAGCTCTAATGGGACATTAGGGGCCCTTCCCCCATTTGTGAACTTTTCGCTCTTTGCTCCTCACAGCTAACCGACGTCTATAAGGAGTAAATACCCCTATTTACCGCCTGACTCAGGCTGTACCATCGGTCCCCACTTTTCAAGATTGCTGCTCTCGGCGAAACGTGTTTGGTATAAGATCGTACGCAGTCTGCGCGCCCGCTACTTACTGTGCAGTGGGGACTCCTCCATCATTCCGTTGGTAGGGCAGACGTGCTGCGGACCCACTTTGGGACAAATCTCGACATGCCATATGTGTTAGGAATTGGTGGTTCCACTTGACTGCGACAGTTTATTTGACGAAACATCAAACCCGTCCTAGCTGATTCGAGCCATCTTTCCGCATACGTGTACGTATGATCCACCCGAAGAAGGAGCCTTGACTGTAAGTGTCCAACCCATGTGTGAATGGATTTACTAATAGAAACCAATCCTTAGGCCGAACCGACATCTCTCCGAACGCATCCCTTCGCTGCAAGCGGAAGAGGAAGCAACTGTGAGCCAGCCACAAGCGCTGGTTGATGATTGCCGCTGGCTCGTCTAAACAGGGGTTGCGGCGTAAGGACGATGCTCTTGTATTCCAGTGCGTATTCTGATCTAATGTCAAAATTGTAGAGACACAGGCCTATTTATGGGCATCATGTCGTTCGACAAAGGTGAAATGCGAAAACCACATGGACAAGTGGTAACGTCCGAGTCCATCGTGCAAAGGACGCCTGTTGCATGCGTGTCAGGCTTCATGTCGTAAGTGATGATCACGATACGAGTCGCTTGGTTGTTTATTCCTTAACCACTTTCGACCTGTGTCATTGCCTGGGTCATTGTTTCCTTCTCTGCTCCAGAATGTTCGGCACCCGTACTCCGCGAAATAGGTTTTGGAATGGCTAGATGTAAGTACTTATCTCGCCTGAAGGAGTAACTTATCAATTCAATATTCAAATAGATGGATAAGCTCCTTGTGGTAGAAGTCAGTACCCCACTCCAATTGAATCGCCTGCTGTTCCAATGCAAATGGAAAGCCTTCGAACAGGCACAATCATGGGGAGTTTATTTGTCTTAACCTACGCATGTCAGTCATGCAGATCAGTCCAGCCCAGTCCATATTTCCCGTTACGACAAAGCTAAACATCTCCAGTCACAGGTCGGATGAAGAGCGGATAGGACAATACTGCCTACTAATAACTGTACCTGCCCTTACGACGCCCGTCAGTTTCCTGGTACCTGTCCGAGCTGCAATGTGCAAAATAACCTTCCGGGCGTCCCATTCCTGAAGCAGTTTCGGATCAATGGCTACCGCCACTAGTGAAGGTCCCAAAGGTAACTATGGATTATTCGTTTAAACGTGTGCATATCGCTGCCGTACTGATGCCATGCCGAGGGTTTCAAACTATTATCGATGGACATGTAAGGATCTTATCCTACTTCCTGTTTATGATAAGAGTATTTATCACTCGGCTTCTGTCAAGAAGCTAGGACATCATCTGGAACCGCCTTGACCCACCACATTCGACCCAGGAATTCAATACCGAATCGGGAGGCGTCGCACACGTGTAGTACACTTACCGAACGTCTTCCATACTTCCAGCGAATGTTCGACGGTCAATAATATCTGAAAGTCTTGGGCCTTTTGAGACAGTGTCAATATATCATTTCGAAAACATCGCCAATCTATTGCAGAAGCCAGGCACATAACAGCATAGTCGGTTCGTGGCTCGGCGCGCAAGGTTGTCCGTTAATGCAAATTTCTTCAAGGAAGATGACAGAAGAAAATGATACATTGTGCCAATAATGAGTAAATATACCTCCATCTCGTAGCTAAGTTGATCATAACACCGCCGACTACAATCTTTGGCTAATGTCTGTGACGGTAAATGCGGGTGCACTTCAAGCATAAGGTTGGCATATATGGCTACTACCCCATCTGGTCCGCTGTCAGAATGATTCTGAATGCGCCAGTAACCACAACGACCCTCTGGTCTTCGCGTCGGAGTTGTTGAAGCTTGGGAGGTCTAACACCGTCTCGGAAGGAGGCCCTGTATCCGACTAGAACGTCTGGGATAAAGAACTCGATGGCGCAGGAGAAAGGGTGGATCGCGGAAGATCCTTATGATTAGCAACTTCGAGCCGTTCCTCGGGGGAGCGCTCAGGAATGCAGGTCCCTCGGGTGCCCAAGGTTGTGTCCCAACCTGTGAGCCCGTCCCACGCAACACGGACTTAGAAGCAGGTGCATTTGCTATTTAGAGCCGCCCTTCATCCTTTCCTTGGGGATATCGATTTTGGGGAGTATTAGGGTAGGGTCTGATTCATCATGCGAAGTGTGCGCCATATTGCTTGCTGTCAACAAAGCCACAGCCATTTGATGACGGCCGAAGACCGTTCAATAATTCTCAGTGAGTTTTCATCGGCCGTTTACTGTTGCTAACGCCAATCTTTGTGCTTGGTAGCAGCGGAGTATGTTGCCAACTGTTTTACCGTCAAAAACTCAAGAAACAGGGGGATATCTATCATTTTTGATCATCAAAACTGGATATTGGGGTACGAGCTCCTTTCATAATGTAAAAAGCTTGCGCTTTCGGAGATTTGCTCGCCTTCGCTGCAGGCACCGGGGGCTGAAATGAGCTCTTCGTCAGATCATGCAAGCGTGGGTTTGACTCAGCTATCATTCAGATTAGAACCCGCGTATTATGATATTATCTGAAGATCCTCGGAATCTGCCTTGGAAGAACTAGGAAGTAATGTAAGCGAAGCTGATGGGCGTCTAAATGGGCGCCCAGTCCGGTTTGAACTTCGGAGCGATGTTCACTGTTCTCACCTGGTTCTCACCATCTTTCACCCTCCATGCCTATCGGGGTAGCATTCGCGCAGAGGGGCCTTTGCCGTATTGGAAAATCGTCTATTCGGTTACAGTCCAGCCATTGCGTGAAGACGGCGACGTTTGACCGTTACACCACTATTCGCGCGTTCTTCAGGCAGCAGCACACGACTAGCTTGAACCAAGCTGAAGCTCCTCGCAGGCCGCGTATACGCGCAATATACTACTCTACACTCAGACCCCTGCATCTTGGTGTATCGCTCGAGTTCCGTCGACGCTACTCGCGCTCTGCTCCCGTCCACGCGGAAGGGGAGGGGAAGAAGGACGAAGAAGGCGTCAAGCAGACTCCACCTCATCCCCCCGTTAACTACGACGACTACCCAAGACTTTTCCGACGCTTGGCAACGTCTTTGCCACATCTGCAAAGACCCACAAGGGATGACCTATTAAAAGTCGCGACAGGGTTCTGGGAGCGAGCCAGGATTCGGTTCAAGTGGTTTACGATCAAATCCTTTCGAAAATTCAATGCGGACGATATCTCAGCATTCGTGACTTGGTTTGTCATGAGTCAGACTCTGTGGATACTGGTTGGAACGTACGTGTCCCATCTCTTTCCCATGTTCTCAACTGCATTCGCCGCTTGCCGGTTCCATTGATCAACAAAGATGCATTCCTCTTCTCAGCGTCAGTCATAGCTGTTCATCTTATGAGGGGGCGCAGTGTCATTCCACGGAAGCCTCTTATGTTTATTTTGGGAACCGTTCAACATTGCCTCAACATTGTAATTAAACTTACCTTATGCGCCCTTTACACAGCACGACGTTTTTTTCCGTTGTTTTCGCAATAGCCAACAGTCTAAAACTGCAGAGTGCGTGTTGCTCCAGAATTGATCCATTGTTATATTAATTTCTCAATAGGATATATTGCAAGGGGTATTAGCGATTATCTCACCGCCGAAACTGGCGTCACCGTTATCTTCGAGTCTGCCATAGTTCCCAAATGGAAGGATTCTCGAATATCATTCAAGAATGTATACGTTTCCCGTAGACCGTCTTCGTCTCCCGCGCGTGAGCAAACTTACTCTGCACATAAGGCTGCAGTCGGATACGACGTCAGCAACCACCCCGCGAATCATCACGTAGAAGATGAAGACGATGACCACAGGAGACAACAAATAGAAGATGATTCTGGTTGGGCCATGTATGATCTTGACATCGACTCCATCGATGTAACGCTCTCCCTGAAGCGATGGCTTGACGGGAAGGGACTTATTGAGGACGCGGTCATAAAGGGGGTCCGCGGTGTGCTAGGTATGTTGGCCTCGGAAGTACACATGGCTTGATCTCATTCCCTGATTCCAACAGATCGCAGGTCCGTGACATGGGATCCAGAGAACCCATTGGATCCCGCTGCGTTTAGGCAACCTGCTATGCCCGGGGACTTCGAGTTGGAATCTCTACAGCTTGAAGATGTACTCGTCACCGTATACCAGCCAGGTGGCTTTCGCCCGTACACTGCCTCCATTTTCCGGGCTGATCTACGTTGTTTCCGCAAACAATGGATGTTTTACGACTTCCTTTCCGCGGAAAATATAGTAGGACAATTCGACAATTGTCTGGTCAGCCTTCATAAGCCTCAAAGCATCAGTCGGACAACCGAAATGGACCTCAAGGATGGAGAGTGGGCGCGGATGGTAAGGGGACTTACTTTGGCTTCCTGTTTCTAGCTGACCCTGACATAGTCTAGGATTCGCATCGATGGGGTCAGTATCGACCATTTGAAAGGCTCCACCACCGACGACGGTCCTATATCATGGATTACTTCGGGCAAAGTCGATGCTGTATTCGACATCAAATTTCCACGGGACCCTTCGGATGAACTGCGTTTCGACGCCATCCTAGGGGACATTGCCGATGCCATTTCTACTACCCTCTCCGGAGAAGATGATTTAGCTCGGGCTCGCATTCCTGGCCAACGGGAATTAGCAAAACCACCGCTCCGCGCACCAGAAGATCAATTGGGATTCAAAGATACTTCCCGTAACAAAGACCCAGATTACAACCCACGGGTCATCATCGACATCGATCTGAGGTTTAGGGATGTCAAGGCGGCGGTCCCTATCTTCACAAACGATATCTCCTATGTGAATAATGCACTCATTCGCCCTATAGTTGCGTTTATGAAGTACGTTCGTCAGTATGATCTCGTTATCTATCTCACCTGATTTTGAGTAGTGCTAATCACACTTTAATCCCTATTCGCTGTACTATAACCAAGGACCTCAGCGATTTTGAAGGCGCGTGGACGGTATGTGATTACTTACAGTCTTGGCTTAACACGTCCTCATCGAGTAATTCCTGTTTAGATGTGGGAGAGTACGTGGATTGAAGTCGTCCTCTCAGAGTAATACTAATATTTACCATAGCTGGCCTCATGGACGAAATTTCTCTCAAAGTAAGAAATAAGAATGTACCCTATATGTCCAATATTAACGTATGACACTCTAGATTTATGAAGCCCTTGCATATCATGTTGCGCAAGCGAATATGAACAAACGCATTAAGACCGTTGGCCTATGGAGCTTACAGATGACCGCCAGCGCAGTTCTCTCAGCCCTTCGCAACGTTGTCGACCCTGTGTCCGTCCACTTCAAAGAGATGTACTTCAGCGGACAGGGACTCTATGACCTACAATTAGTTCCAGGGCCTTAAGGCGATCATTTTCAAGTATCATTTGTGCCAAAGAAGAACGATCAATTCGGACACTCATGGCAGGCATAATATATGCGTCTATATTTACTTTCGCCATTCAAGTATCAACCGTAAAAGGGGTGCTCTCGAACTGCGTTTTCGTTAGCTCTAATCTCCTTCCATCTGCCTTGCCTTTCGCCATACGCCCATCGAATGCCTGAGTCGCCGTCGCGAGAATCGAATAGTAGTCGGTGGGTGTGCCCGCTGTCGTCGCGTTGCTTGTCACCCCTGGCGGGGTGGGTCTCAGACACCTGGACTGAGGCATCTCCAATGGGCTCTCCTCCAGCATCGTTGCCGTCCTCCCTTTTCTTCGACTGCCGCTTCGATGGTTCCCAAGAGTAGATGTGCTCGTACGACTTAGACTCTCCCGCCTTGATAACTTGGGGGTCGACGTTCAAGTCGCTGCCGGTGTGTGCGAGAGAATCGATAGGTTGGGCGAGTGCATAGAAGCAGCGCGTCCCACAGTTTGCCACAAGCAGTGCGGCGGTGCCAAGGTGCTGGTTAACGCGCATGATGGGTGGTAGGCGTGTTTGTACAAACGGCGGGGATGAAATCGCGCTGCTAGACGCTGTGGCCCCTCTAAGAAGGGTGTCGGAATAGTTGTGGTTGTTGGTAGAGTTGCTTTTCCAGGACAGCATGGGTAGATGGCGATTTATATACATCCGCCCCCTTTGCTTGATCAGGTGACTGATCGATAGTTCCTTGCAAGTGCTTCCGCCTACTCCTTTCCGCTCCCACTAGGAGTGTCTTTGGTACAGGCCAGGACGGCCATCACGGACAGTGAACCACGCTTTTCTTTCTCTTTCATTGATTGGTGTCGGCAGGCTCCGACGTTCTGACACCGTGTCCTAGTCACTCACGCTCGGTGCCGGGTATGGTATACCATTGGATCACCTGGTCCACCATCATCCACCTCAACTCGTTCTTTACAATTTCACATCATGTCGAAGTCGACTATCACCTCAAAGATTCCCAAGATCATTGCTACATCACAGCAGTCTCGTTTCCACAGTGAGACACTGGACACCACCACTGAGGTTGACCTTAAAGGGGTGAATATCAGCATAGGGGATCGGGAGTTAATTTCAGATAGTAAACTCAGATTCAAGGCGGGAATCAGGTATGCCTTGGTAGGAAGGTGAGTTACCTTCCTTCGGCTTTGTAGGAAATTTGAAAGTTAACGTAGTTAGGAACGGGACTGGAAAATCCAGTATGTCGGAAGCATAATTTATTGCCTTTTCGCGATTGAATAATCTCGCAATAGCTCTCTTAGAGGCTTTGGCAGAGAAGCTCATACCAGGTCTCGGGAAGGCACTTCGAATTGTCTTGGTTTCCCAGGTCACGGACACTATTCGCATTGTTGGACATGGCGAGGAGATCTCCGTCCTCGAGCATGTTATCCATGGTGACGTCGAAAGGGAAAAGGCTATTCATGAATTTAACCGTAAGCAATGCCCAATAACGACCTAAAATTGATATTTATGTTCCTTTGCGCTAGTCCTCACCAAGGCCGTAGATTCTAGTTCTGTTTCTGAGACGCAGCGTATCGTATCGGAAATCACTCTAGCGCGCCTGGTTGCAGAACTGGCGGATGCACGAAAAGTCGCTAGTAGAACGTCAGGGGCGAGGGGTAAGAAAGCTCGAGACGAAGAAATCAAAGCTGAGGCTCGTGTCAAGAAAGCGGAGGAAGAGTATGTTCATCAAACGCACGAATTGTATTGCGTAGCTAACGTCATGGCAGCCTTGCTCAGAATGTCCAGGAGGACACGGATGTGGTCAGACGAGCAGCCGACATGTTAACTGAGGTCACTACAAACTTAGAGCTCGTGAGTTTGCCGTTCTCTTTTGAATCGGTCCGTTATCTCGGCATGCCTACAGCTCGACGTGTCCACCACAGAACCTCGCGCCGCCTCCATTTTGGTCGGATTGGGTTTCTCTACGGAAATGATCAACGGGCCCGTTAAAGCACTGTCTGGGGGGTGGCGCTCACGGTGCGCCCTGGCGACATCACTCCTAGTTCAATCGGATGTTCTCCTCCTTGATGAACCTTCCAATTTCTTGGTATGCCTTCCCCCTCCCCAGAATTGAATGCGATAGTTATACCGCTGTCAGGATCTCGAAGCTACGCTCTGGCTGGAACAATACCTCATAAATCAAGAGCGCACACTCGTGATAACCTCGCATGATCAAGTGTTCCTAAACTCCGTCGTAGAAGAGACAATTCTCCTGCGAGACAAGACGTTACGATATTTCGAAGGCACTCCCCGTGCCTATGAATTAGACGAGAAGAAGAAACGTAAAACGGCCATCAAAAGCCAAAACGCTCTGGATAAGAGGAAAGAACATGTAAGCCTGTGCCTTGGTTCTCCTTTAGAAGGTCAACTCACCTTCGAGTGCTACAATTAGATCGAACGGTCCATACAACAAGGAAGAGCCGCCGCTAAACAAAGTGGCGATGATAACAAGTAAGCCTATTTGCATCAAATCAATGCACAAAACCTAAAGTATTGATTGGCGTTCTCAGATTACGCATGGCTAAAAGCAGACAGAAGAAGTTTGTCTTCGAGTTACACATGTAAAGCTACTTACAAACATATTCCCTAGGCTTGACGAGCGTTGGGGCACGGAAGTCAGCGCCAAGGGTACCAGATTCAAGCTGAACCGCGACCTTGCTGGCTATCACTTAAGCAACAGAGCCGAAATTGAAATCGACGAGGGCGAGCCTCCCGTCCGAATTGTCTTGCCGAGCCCAGACAAGTTGAGGACCATAGGCGACTTGATACATTTTGATAATGTATCGTTTAGCTATCGTCGCCAGGGAGCCAAGCTGGAGGGCGTCACATTCACTGTTGGCCAAGGCGGCAGATGTGCATTTGTTGGGGCGGTCAGTAATCTCTTCCGATGGTTACCAACACATTACATAGACTGATGACGTCCCTTGTTATTAGAATGGTCAAGGAAAATCAACACTTGCAAAACTGATTATGGGGGAACTCTCGCCGTCCAAAGGAGTGATTGTGCGACACCCTTCACTGAAGATAGGCTACTTTACGCAACACTCAGTGGAGGAACTATCCAACGAGTCGCTCAAGACAACTACGGCGTTGAAATACTTTCTGGATCACTTCGACAAACTGGGTGATCCCGTTCAGGATCCAGAGGCTAGGGCATGCCTGGGAACCCTGGGGCTTAGCGGCAAGGTCGCCAGTGACACTCCTTTGGCTGCATTGTCTGGAGGCCAAAAGGTAAGCGCCCCCCAAGTATGTTCAAGTACACTTCCTGACAAATGACGCGTCTCGAGGTTCGACTTGCGATAGCTCTCATTATATTCAGGCCGCCAACATTGCTGTAAGTCATACGCTGGAACTGCATCTTTGTGCTTACAGATCACCCATACAGACTTCTGGACGAAATCACGACACATGTCGACGCGCCAACTATCCGAGCCCTCGCAAAAGCGCTCAAGAAATTTACAGGTGCGATCGTGTTGATGACGCATGACCGGTTCGTAGTATCGAATTGTCTCTGTCCGTGTTCGCTAACTTTGGCGGAATTTTAAGCTGGTTCAGTCGTGCGGTAGTGGAGGGGTGCTCGATATCTTCCGCACAAGCATTTGGAGACGATGAGGGAGATGAGACAGACATCTCCGATGAGGAGTCTGATGAAGAAATTGAGGGTGGTCAAACGGCAAAGACATATATGGTTAGTGGTGGAAAGGTCAAGCTTCTCGAAAACGGCATGTCCCAATATGTCGCCTTGGTTGAACGGAAGTTGGAACGACGCAAGAGGGCCGCCGCCGCGGAAGCAGCCAAAAAGAAAGGGTAAGGACCCTAGTGCTCCTATTCGTCCTCGGGGTCCTCGGGGAGTCCCCCTCTGGCATTTGTCTTGTCGTTCACTCCCGATGTATGTTTACCTTGTACTGGTACTACCCTCGTGTCAGTTGAACCCATTTAATCCATAGTGCCTTCAGTCGTCCGCGCGTCAGGCCATTTTCCAAGGAGAATGCGAGAATTTGAGCTCTGGGAAATGATGAGCGCCTGTTGCTTGGTTCCGATCATTGCCCTCCGAACCATGAGCGTATTCCTGTGGTACACGTTACTGACCGTGAGCAGTTTCTTCTTCCCAACAGTCACCCTGAAATGTTACCAGACTCAGTGCTAGAGATTGGGTACTCTCTTTTGGACAAGGTGCGGTCGATGGACGTGTTACAATTCTAGTAGTTGGCTTACTTCCTAGTTACGAACAGGGTGTAGTCCCCGACTTCGTGATACGACGCGCAATCCGCGCTTTGTTGCACCAACGTCTGCGGGACATTGACTGTGGTTCATTTGAGGCCAACCATGCGGCAAAAATGGAATGGATCGAAGGCGTCCGAGCTCGCGACACTATTGCGGTCGTAACGGAGAAAGCGAACGAGCAGCATTACGAGGTCGGTGCCTATAAATTACGCTGAACTGGTGCTGTATTCATGGAAATAGGTCTCGACGGAATTTATTCTGTCTTGCTTAGGGCCATACGCCAAGTATTCTTCATGCTTATATCCCACTGGAAATGAAAGCCTAGCCGAAGCTGAAACATTGATGTTGGAGAGCTACTGCGAGAAGGCTCAATTGAAAGATGGAATGGATATTTTAGACCTCGGATGTGGTGAGAGTGCCACTAGTGCTCTATCATTTAATTTCGTCAGCCAATGTGAACTTCAAAGGATGGGGGAGTCTCTCGCTGTTCCTCGCAAAGGTAATTGCAATCGAACTCAGTATCCATATAGAACGGCTCTAATCGACGGCTCAGAAATACCCAGGTGCACGTATAACAGGGTTGTCCAATTCAAAGACCCAGAAGATCCACATCGACTCCGTGGCCAAGGAGCGTGGTTATACCAACCTCGAGGTACGAAAGCTGGCCGTGTCCCCAGATGCAAGAAATATCTGACTTTCGCGGATAGATAATCACCGGGGATGTCAACACGTTCGACTTCCCTACTACCAAACGGTGATTAATTTCCAAAATGATTTCAATTGCACACCCTGCTCACAGTGCGCGTAGTTTCGATCGAATACTTTCCATTGAGGTAGCACCCTCTAGACCACATGCAGCCGGATGTGCGGAAGTCGCTGACCTCACTCTGAATAAAGATGTTTGAACACATGAAGAACTACCAGGCGCTCCTCGATAAGATTTCCACCTGGCTCAAGCCCAAGGGGACAACGACCGACCCAGAAGACGATGCGCTGCTGTTTATTCACATATTCTGCCACCATACTACCCCATACCACTTCGAAGAAGGTGACGGATGGATGGCCCGCAATTTCTTTTCCGGTAAGCGTCAAGGTTCTATTAAAATAGATTTTCAAGGGCCATTAACCAGTTCCGACGTGTTAGGCGGAACGATGCCGTCGCACGATTTGTTGGTGAGAAAGGTGGCGTATCCAATACACTGACGTATATCTGACGAAGGGCGCCGCTCCGCTTAGCTTTACTTCCAGTCCGACTTAACCTTGATACGGAGCTGGTATCTGCCAGGAACCCATTACTCCCGGACACTTGAGGATTGGCTGAAACTCCAAGATAAGAACGGCAAAGGTAGATCATAAGCCTATCTATTACCGTGACGCCGTTTTCTCAACGCCGGGGATGTCAGCTGGTTTGAAGACCTTGCAGGAAGACGCAGTGGCGAAAGGTAAACAGGCATCTGACGGCACTGCGGCTTTCCACCGGTAAGAAATGTGTTCACTGCGTGGCTTGAAATAAGACTCGCTGATTCATCTTTATTCTAGATTTAGGGTATTTTATATGGCCTGCTCTGAATTATTCAATATGAATAACGGGCAAGAGTAAGCGTGCTCCCCTCTTGCAACGTTGCATCTAATTTCGTCCTTCTAGATGGGGTGTTGGTCATTATCTATTCAAGGCCAAGGATATTTCTGCGTGAACGCTGTTGCGGCAGCCTAGCGTTTATGTGTGCTTGTGCATTTAACATCGAACGTTTGAGCAGTAAAACCTGTAGATTCTTGTGTCAAAATGGACTTTCATGATGTTGTATCTTTTGTGTTGTATTCTGAATTACTTACGTTTAGAAACTTATGACACATACCACGCTATCGTACAGAACATCAACGGGCTTCTGTAAACTGTGATCAACAGTGGAATATACGGTACTAAGCTAACGTTATTGCAAGAGGGGATGGTACATAATGTGGGACCGATAACAAGGATGGCAAAGTCTATTTTTCTACGAGTTGAGGTGGGAAACATGCAGGAACGAACGAACGGACGCGAAGGATAGTGCAACAGGTGATGAATTAGGAGTGCAGTGATAAATACATACAACTTGATCAGTCCGTGTGACCTTCTATGGAAATATGATGCAAGCGAACGAATAAAAGTGGCCAAGAAAAGGGGGAAACAACCAAAAGAGAGGAGCGAATGTTGTAGAAATATCATGTAGCAGTACCCACGAGGTCCCGCTGCGTACCCATGGTTGGGCTACTCCGGTGGGAGGCTTCTTCGTATGATGGCAGCCCCTGCATACTGCTTAGAGGAGGCACGCCACCAAGGAAGCCCCTCGAAGCGACCGAATAATCCGGAACTTCAGTAAACGCTCGATGCAACAGTGCTGACCCAATCTCCGCATCAGGCAGGGGAATAGATGTTACAGGGCTGTGCGTGTGGCCTGGCGCGTTGTTCGGAGAGCCCATAGAGGGCAAGGATGAATGCGAAGAAGTTTGTTGTCGGAAAGGAAGGTAAGAGTGAGTGCTGACTTCGGTAAGGGGTGTGAGAGACGCCAAGTTCGTGTGCGAAGATGATCTCGAGGGTAGCCAGCTATGGTGGGTTAATGAAGTTAGAGGCTTCATCGAGATGCTCGTGAGAGTGTTCAACTGCCTGCTGGCTGCGCCAGCATGAACGTACGTCTCGTTCGCAGGAGCAGGCAGAGGGTGGTTCCCATGCCCATTCAATTGTCGTTCCGGGCTTGGCGGCCGCGTAGATGGGCGTGTATTTGGACGTGTCGATATCCGACTTGTGGGGATGCTTCCATCAACCACTGCGCCTCCCCGCGTTCGAGTATCAGGAAAAGGATACCCGTTTCGCGTGATGTTAGGTTCACTATTATTAGAGGGGTTGACATTCGGTGGAGTGGTGCTGGCTCCTTGTGGTGCAACCCCCGAAAGTGATAGAAGGAGCTCGGAGTTGACCCAATCGAGTGGCGTGGATTCACCTACGACTGGCGCTGGTGGAAGTTGCGAGAGTGCGGAAACCGTGTGATGAGGGGCATCGAGTGGCGACTCCGTGCCAGAGAGTATCGTCGCAGTGTATGTCCCATTGGTGTGTGGTGCCCCTGACACAACAGGACTGACGCCATGTAGGACCCAAGGATTGGTAACCCGCATAGTCGCTGTTTCGGGTAGGAACATATTTGCGACGCGATCGCGAACATGCGAATAGTAGCTGGGGAGTTCAGTGTCTTCCTCGTTTTCCAGCATCATCGCAGGATCTACGCCGTCTGGATCGGAACCAAATGCGCTATTGTGGCCAAGAAGCAGTCTCCGTGTGGCCGCAGTATTTTGTCTCGCCTCGGCAAGCAGCCGAGGATCGAGAACGTGAATTGGTAAAGAACATCGCAGTTCTGATGTGTGCCCGTCGAGATTGTGGATGAGAATAGACCATCGTAGGCGATGGGAGACGATGATAGGGTCAAGGGGGTGGGTAGGGGTAACTGTGCTAGCGGAAATAGGAATGTAGAGGACGGTGGTGATCTCCTGCATTGTATTGTTCTCTTCGGAATCATATTGAAACGTAGATGCAGTGTCCCCAGGCAGGGTAGAGGAGGTTGACGCGTGCGGAGATGAACGAGTTGAGGATGAGGACGATGAGGGTTGACCGGAAGAATGGACCGACATAGCGAGACCGTCGCGAGATGATATGGGCGTCATACTGAAGGAGTTTGCGGATGACGCTACTTGCTGGTCGCGTGTTGGAGGCGTGCGTATTCCACTGGACGAAGGTGTAGATGGGTAAAACGGAGATGATGCACCTGGACTCGTGCTGGACCTGGACCTTCGCCTCATCTGCTCTCTCGTAACCTCTACGGCAACGCCGCCAACCATCTCGTGTATGATGCTGCATACCGGGTGTATCGTCTCCTGGTGGCCGGAGCGCCCGTATAACTTCGTGGTCTCGTGGATCGTGCTTGTGATGCTGAGGATCCTTACCCCTTTTGCTAAGGGGGAGAACTTGACGACAGCTGCAATGCGGTCACCGGCTGCCCACGCCTTGTGAGGGAGCATAATTGAGTACATGAGTTTCTCTGGCCACGTGTTTTCGATTTCCAGAGTCTGCTGGTACTCGAGTGCTTCTGCTGTGAATGCCCGGATGACAGAAACCGGTACAACGGTTTGCAGGTTGTGGCTAAATGTAAAACCTGGGCGGACGACGTGTGCGCGAAGTTTGTACACGATATTCGCACCACCGCCGGCGTTGGTGCTGATACTGGAGGGCAGGGAACCGCCGATCTGAAGCTGGAAGGGGAATACGTGACGGCCAGCTTTCAGACGATGACTGTGCTTCTTCTCGCCCTCAAGGAAGGACCACTCATGGTTACAAAGGATGTAGTTGTGGGGTGAGTTGTTCAAGGAGATGCTACATGACGGTGAGGTGATGTAAAGAGGAAAGGAGAGACGATGAGAACTCACGATTCGCCTGGGGGCACTGGGAGACGAGCCTTTCCCCTAAACTGTAGAGTGATCTCTTTAATGGGCGTAGACTCTACGAGGTAGAGAATGACATGTCCAGATAGTAGGGCTGGTTCGACGTCGACGCCGGTGCCTTTGAGATAGAGACAGTCACTGTCGAGGATAATGTCAACTCTTTGACGTTCCTTCTCCTTTGTCATATTGTTGGAGGTATGAGATTCGTGTGGAGTCTGAGGGAGGGGGTCTTGCAAATGTTGACTTAGTTGAGAGGTGGAAGCGGCGGAGGTAGATGATGAATGGAATGGGACAGCATGAAAGGCTGAAGAAAGGGCCCACTCTTCAGGATCTATTTCTCGTGTACCAGGCGAGGGAGGGCGCGCGAGAATGAAAGCCATGTCCTTTTAAAGGAGAAAGGTGAAGGAGGACAGAACGGGGTGAAGGCAGCAAGGTTACAGTTCAAAGGGTAGGCCGACACAAAAGGGCAGCTTGCAGTGCCTCAAGTCCAGATTTGGGGGGAGATGGTTGGCGGCTGAAGATAAGTTGTGAGTCGAAAGATGGAAGACGCAGCAAGCTTCCTCGGAGTGTTTCGCTGGCTGACCATGATGTCCCTAAAAATGCAAGTCAGCTTTCGGCTAGTTGCCTGTGTTATCTTTAGCCCACAATCGGTCCGGCGGAATCTCAGCCTTTATCACACCGCCTCTAGCGCCAGAACAATCGCATCTCTACAGGACCAAAACTGTGAGAAAGTTGACCAATTCATTCATAGAATACGAGCAGTCTCCACACCACCCACCGTTCGATGCTGGATAATAATTTGTCTGGATTGGCAAACGTTCCGACAGCGGATTTCATGACGGATGGAAACCGTGTTATCATATGTTTTCGTACTTTTTATTCCGGTTTTAGCATTCCGTCCTCGATCGTGATCATATCTGCGATAACTTCCCAGTGCCGTGCTGCACCGATGAGTCGCGCCAATTTGCACGTTTCCAATGGAAATGGTTATGCAATACCCATACCCATTTGTTGAGTCAATCACGTTTGCAGCTGCGCCTAGTTGCGCCTTTCTATTGCAACCAAAGATAAGGAAATGTCAATGATTTGTGATCGCGACAGGAGTTGTGTCATCACCGAATTTCTTTTTTGGTTCCGCCTTGACTGGTCGGATGTAACATGTAACGTGTAACACATGCAATAACGACACGAACAAGCTGCCTGTAGGTGTTAGTAGCTGCGCTCTCTCAATTGCTTGTTTGTACAAAGAAAAAAGAGATGAAACAGCTCACAGCCTTGCTAAGCCTCACTATTTAGCTGCTATCAGCTATCGGCGCCTTTAATTCAAGACACGGTCTAGATCAGTGTGAGAACTTGTGAAGCTTGTTGCCACTGCCAGTGGTGAAAGTCGCGGCGGCCTCGAGGTCGGATAAACCCCTGCATAACAACAAACAGCAGTCGCACGCACAGTCATGGCGCGCCGAACCCTCTGTGACTGCTAAGTCCCTTTGGAATCTTGAACACATACGTTGATGCACTAGACCGTGACGGAATAATCCCGCCTTTGAACTGTCATCGAAGAACAATCTTCTTCGCCAGCAGCGAGGGTACCGGAGTGTATTTATCCAGTCACCCAATGGTGTACGACTTACGACCATTGTGAGCATTTGTTACCCGCGCTCTGCTCTGATGGAAATCAGAGAATCGATCTTCATCGACCAACTCCCGAACGTGCCAACAACCTGCGCCATGTGTAGGCGCGCTACTGCCTTGCAACATCCCCGAAGATGTCCCGAAAGTCCCTAAAGCAGTAAAAAATAGTGTATGTCGAAGCGATGAAGGCGCAGCGTACGTACACACGTCCCGTCGTATATCAGAGGTAACTTTTCTTCGTTTCCTTTGACACGTGTGCTGCGAAGAGAACGTTGCTCACATCTTTGATGAATGAAAAGATTAACCACAGCAGCCGTGTCCCCGAATGTCCACGCCCAAGGCGTGGTTAAATAGACGACAAAAACAATATGAGCGTAGGAAAGACACAGGACTAGCGGATTGTGAAGATATAAGTAAATGGAGCTATGTTCATTACTACAAACACGGTTCAGGAAAATTTTAGCCTTGATCAACGGTCGATAAGGAAAAGGGCTTGCCTATTCTGGATCCCCACATCTAAGCCTTGTACAGTGCGTCCAAAAAGGCGGTCGCCAACTGCCCGACCATCGATGGTCCCACGGCACTGGAGTTGCCTAAGCCTGTCATCGCAAATGTCAGCCCAGGAACCCCGGCGGCAGATATTAGGAAGCGAAGCAGAAATCAAGGAGCGCGAGCCGATATACGAAGGTCCAGGGCACGAACCACGGCTGGCTACGATCGCTCTGGTTCGAAGAACGCGAATAGCCACCCGGCACGGCTTATCGAGTTCGACGCCAAGTAAAGCAGAGAAGAAGGCAAAGAGCAACGATTTTAAGATAACGCCACAAAGCAGGCGAAGGAAGTGGGACGAAAGTCGTCGAAGATCTCGGTTTCGCCGATTCCCAGTGATATACAAACAGAAAGGCCGAGAAGGAGACGGTGGGAGTGTGTATAAAAACAAGAGGAGCCTCGCTGCGTACCGTAGAGTGCGACCATGCTTCCTTTGCCCGACGGAGAAATCTTGGCTTCCTTCACAGAGTCTTTGAGATCGGCGATAAAGTTGTCTACCATAGACACCGTCAATCGCTGTGTATGGTCATATTCAGCGCGAGTTCGGGCGAATGGAAGGCGGGTCAGGAACAAATATAGGAGTGGCAGGCAAACAATCGGGTGGTAAAGGTGATATCGTTAGTGATGGTTGATGGAGCGTATGGCGGCATATTCTCACCGTACAGGCGATATGGACCGCAGCGGGACCCGAGATTGCGTTGAGATGCCACCCTCGTTGCGCCATGGCATCTCCAACTTCCATTACATTCACTTTGGGGTGCTTGGATCCAAAGGCCACACACGACGCGGGTGGGGAGCCAAGAATGTACAATTCGGGAATGGAGATGGTGATGGTGTTGGCTATTGTGCGCGCACAAGTGACGATGGATTTGCATGATTCAAGGTAGCCACTATGGGAGGGACCAGCGTAAGGAGGTAGGATGTAGCGGCCAAAGGATTATCACTTACTCCGAACCCATGTATTGCATGGCGGCCCATGTGCCTGCGATTAAAGCCCCCGGTCTTCCACGGTGATCAGCCTTCAGGGACACAGAACCGCGGATGAGACGGATAACTCACCGAGAGCCAGAAAGACTGGGGCTGGCGTAAACACCACCACTCCAAGTAGGGTTCACGTAGTATTGGAACGCCCGGAGCTCAGCATTGCGGTACATGATAACAGATGTTCCCTAAACAAGTCTTTCGTTGTAGACCGTGTCACATAAGAATCAAGTGTACTGACCTTGGGAGCGAAACCATACTAAATTCGAAGGTTATGAGATTAAGTCGTTGCAATGACTTAACAGCCGGAATTCACCTTGTGCGTGTCGCATGATATACTCGTCACGCCTTTGACACGGAAATCGAAAGGTTCTAGCTTGTATTTACCTTTCTCACCGCTAGATAGGCCGGCCTTCTCGAGGAAAGGCATGATGAAGCTGCCTAAGCAACAATCAACATGCAGACCGATCTTGTACTTCTCTGCAAGAGCACCGAGTGCGACTATATCGTCCTGATTGCCGTCGGGAAAATTGATCGCAGAGCCTATAAGCTAGGGCGAAGTCAGGATTAAAATGCCATAACGGTTTGCTTCAGTATTTACCATGATAGTATTGCGGTTACTAGTGCAAAATTGAGCGCATATAGTTACTAGGACGGAATATGAACGCACATGGCACGCTTGACGCGCTTCATGTCGACTTTACGGGTATACGGATCAACAGGGATGGTGTGGTACTTAATTTTGAGGTACGCAGCGCCTTTGTCAAATGCAGCATGAGCTGAGGACGGGATAATCCTTGAAAAGGGTAAGACATCTAGTACCAGATATAAACTGCATAGTATCTCACATCTCGGGTTCAGTAATGCCTTTAGTTTCTCGTGCCCAGTCACGGTAGGTCTTGACGGCCATGATTATAGACTCGGTGCCGCCAGAGGTCATAGTACCCGCGCCGTTAGGGTTGTTGTACATCCTGAGGCACATGGCAACGATTTCTGCCTCCATCTTGCGAATTGAAGGGAAGACATCCGGATGGAGAGGATTGGAGACGCAGTATCTCTTGTATGCCTCTACAATAACCGCCTCGAGATCATCACCACCGTCTACATAGTGCACATTAATATACTCCAAAGAAGAAAAGAGGGTAACTCACGATACACTGCACCCGAGAGCTTTCCAAGTTTCCAGCTCGTTGAGGAACCCATTTCCTTGTCCATCTTGTCCATCTCTTCCCTAATCCATTCTAGCGACTTCCCGGAGTCGGGTAAGGCCAGATGCCGAACTACTTCTGGTCCAGAGGGCACAAGCTTCTTCTCGATATCGAGCTTGGCTTTGCCCAGCTCAGAACTGACTTTCTCGCGCATCTTTGGGGTTCGAAGGATCAAGAAGACGATTTGCTAACAGCCACGGAATGAGCTTCGGATCACTGCGTCCAAGAGGGGTCGCACAGACCTGGCTGATCCATCTGTATATCTCGCGAGCTGACTCCGTAATCCCTCTCGCCCGGAGATGGCGATGGACCTTCAGAGCATGTCGCAGTACGAAGTAATAGAAGAGAACCGTCTTTGCGTTCTCATAGCTGATGGGTGCCTTGAGAACGTCCCGAGCGACGAGCAAAGCTGACTTCCCCCGCTGAACGACCGACATTGTGAGGTGGTTCGAAATTGAGATGTGCGTGTGCAAGTTCTCGGGCCAACCTGGGTTGCCCGGATGTGCACCACGTGCTTACGAGAAGACATCAATATGGGTGGTCCGTAGCTCCTTGTTGGACGAGCTCGACGTGATCTGGTCCCAGGTGCTTCACTTTACGCGTCTGACTGGACGTATATGGTGGTTTGAGGACGACTGCCGCGCACGTGCCACCAATTACTTTACTTCCAGACCACGATGAACAGTTTGCGTATGGTGAGTGGGCTCATCCTCTTCGACATCAATCAATAAACTAGGGAATAGCTAGAACAGGAGGACGAGGCTACAGATGCTGAGGAAGTGACTTGGGGTAAGTAAGTAGCTCCAGGAATCTACCTCGGCTGGGGCCCTGACCATGTCGCATTAGAGGATCAACAGAGAATCAATACCTTCTCCAAACTTAACAGCCGATTGAGAAGTATCGAAGAAAACCTAGAGGAGGTCAAGGTAAAAATGATATCTTTCTCCCTCGATGTTCGCGGCATCTGACATTTATGGAGCAGCAAGAGAAGGAAGCCCTGGACGATCTAGCCACAGAATTGGAGCTCGCTGATGAAGACGAACCAGTACTGTTCGTCGTTTCTCTGGCTATATTTCTTGATCTGATCTATTGTGAAGATATAAAATCGGCGAGGCGTTTCTTCATATGCCTCATCCCAAGGCACTGAAGCACCTTGAAAAGGATCAAGGCGAGCTGGACAAACGGCTCAGTGCTTTGACGGCGTCGGCAGAAGACTGTGAAAAGCAGATGAAAGAATTGAAAGTAACCCTTTACGCCAAGTTTGGCAAGGCAATCAACCTCGATGAGTAGAGACACTAGATGGTTGTAATATGTCTTGGGACAATATGACATTCACGTTCTTTGCAAGCACCGCCGTTTCCTCAGACGTCTTCGCAACTCTTCCTCTTTCAATAGTGATGCCCAGGTCCATGTTTTTTCTTACTCAGTCCATATACTGTCGAAGAGACGATCCTTTCAGCGGTTCGATGGCGTAGTTGGTTATCGCATCTGTCTAACACACAGAAGGTCCTCAGTTCGAACCTGGGTCGAATCACTTTTTGCGTCTGTTTTGTTCCTTGCTCACGGAAGTGACTGCGTTGAACCGTGTAGTCAGTCTGCCGCTTACGCCCACCCAAATATCTCTATAGTAATATCTACATTTATTGACGGGATTATTATACATACATGGAGCTCCGCACGGGGGTATACTATGACAAGCGGGTAGGACGATCAGAACGAAGTGGTAGAATCGACTTCAATGGTCGGGACGATCGAGGCAATGAACTTCAAAAACACGACAAGATAGAAATCGACTCTCATTCCCTCGATCTCTTCTTCGTCTGCTTCGCCCTTCCCAGAGCCACTTGCCTTACGACTGAATGGCCACTTCTTGACGGTCGACGAAGAAGACGGCTTTGTGTCCTTGGGCGCAGGAGACCCCGATTTACGTTGCTGAGCGAGTTGTTCCTCTATCATGCCGCTGTTCATGCGCTCAATGACTTTCTTCATGACGCTTGCATGCTTGCAAGGATGAACAGATGCTGCTTGTAAGGAAGCCGAATGAGGGAACGGCTCGATGGTAACGGTCTTGAATGCATGATCAGCAGAAATATCTTGGAAGATCTGCGGTGGTGTGAGGGGCGTGCCGTTCTCGTCATAGCCGATGAGCCAGATGCGCGGTGTTTGGTAGTACTTGTCGTATGTGATCATGACATCGTACGTTCTGACTTGCAGGAGATTGCCTCCAGCGACTTCGATATTACTGGAGAGGGCAAGAATATGAGCGGTGGTGAGCGGGAGTGCAGACCAAGCACGCACCTGGCATCAATTACAGCTGGGGCAGCCTTGGATGCAACAGCTGTCGCTTCATCTCCCTCTTCAAGTCCTTCCTCCTCCATATCAGGGATATCGTCCAAATCTGGTGTCTCCGCTACAGCGGCACTCCCTCCTAAAGAGATGTTCCCCATGCCAGCTGTGACACCACCCACACCAGCGCCTCCTGCGGGATGATCATCTCCATCTAAGTCGGGGATGTCGTCTATCGTGCCTGGGTTGGCTGCGTCGTGTGAAGGCTTGCGCCCAGCATGCGTTTCAACCCACTCGTCGGCCTCGCTCCCTGTAGCTGAACTGTCTCCGAAAGAGAGCAAGCGCTCCGCGTCTTCATCAGCGTCGGTGTACGCGAGAGATGTCGCGCGCCGAAGGCAGGGCACTCCACGGGTCAACAGGTATTGTTTATCGGCTGGAAGATAGTCACGGGCTTTCGTGGGGTCGCCTTTCTCCCTGCCTCAACAATCAGTATCCGCCGCTCACACCTTTATCATTGAACCCCACCATGTCCACACCGGAAACTTGTACACAAGGAAGTCGCCAGCTGCTACAAACTCCTCTGTCGAGCAGATCAGTTACGCAAACGTGGTCTGGCCTCGAATCTCGTCCGTACCTGGGGTTATTCTACCGTGTTCCTTGAACTTGCTCTCCTTTAAGACCTTTTGATTGTAATCATCAGAATTTATCACGATGGGCAGTATATCGTTTGACGCACGGGGCTGAGGTATTCTCGAACAGCCCAATATTGTTGCTGCAGGACGATGATCAGGTTTTCGTGATGTAACAGGATGGACACCACGAACCTGGATAGCGTGCATATCGTTGAAGTAGGCTCAGTATTGACAGTAACTTGAAGATTCCCCTTCAAGTGTATGTCAACTTGGAAATCGATCTGGATAGATGAAGTGTGGCGGTGCTGCTATAAGGAAATAAGACGCCGGCCTCACGCGTTGCTCCCATGTACTCACGAGACATGCGATCGCCAGTCGCATAGAAAGCACGACGAAAACATATAGATCAGTACAAAAATCAGATACCGCACAAAGTAGGCTAATAAGCAAAGCGAACACCAAAAGGGAGTCCTCAAGCAGCCGAAGCCGCTGCCTCAGCCTTTTTATCCTTTTTAGACTTCTTGTCCTTTTTCACCTTCACATCTCCGCCTGATACCGATTTTGAGTCTGGGATGGCGTTCGAGTCGCCTAATATGGCTGCCTCGGATTGGGAATCATTCGAAGGTTTACTCGTTTTCTTTGATTTCTTCGACTTCTCTTTAGGGGACGGTTCTGTATGAGAGGCGTCCGCCTCATCGACGTGGCTGCGTTTCCGCTTTTTCTTGGAGTCAGTAGTGGCTTTCGCATCGTGTGTTTCGGGATCCTGAGCAGCTTCATTTGCCTGAACGGCTTCCGGGGGCACCTCTGCTACGGACTTGCCCTTTTTCGATTTCTTTTTGCCTTTCTCGCTTTCGGCCTGAGTGTTCGCGAGACTGGCATCCTTTGGCTTGCCCTTCTTGTCTGGGTCTCCAGCAGTACCATCGTCAGCGGGTACAGGGTTTTGGTCGGCCTTCGACCTTTTTCGCTTTTTGGACTTGCCCTCTTCGTTCGCCACAAGCTCTACTCCGCCAGACTGCCCCTCTTTCGTCTCAGCTGCCCGATCTCCCTCGCCGTTGACCACAGTCGACTTATCAAGGACTGATGGGTCCACAGCCGTTGACTTCTTGCTCTTTTTGCGTTCCTTCTTATCCTTCTTGCTCATCTCACCGTCTAGTTGTCCCTCATTCTTCTCGGATATCTCTTCTTCCTTCCGACTCGCCTTCTTTTTCTTCTTCTCGGGTTTACTCCCAGAGCTCTCGCCGGGCTCCGGAAGTTTGGCCTTCTTCTTCGCGGGTTCAGCTTCAGTAGAAGTGGCCTAGAAAAAGATTAGGTGATGGATCTTGAGCCCAGAAGTGCCCACATACTAAATCTTCCTCAGGCGCCGGAGATTTACGCTTTTTCGACTCATCCTTACGCTTCTCCTTCCCTTGGCCCTTAGGTACCGCTTCTTGTACAGTTTTAGTAGTCGGCTGTTTAGAAGGTGGGACGACCTTCAGTTGAGAAGTAGAAGGGGTATCATCGACGGGGGTTGGGACCGGGACCGGAGGTGACAGACGGACAGGTGTCCCTAGAGGCGTCGTATTGGCACCTGTGCTCCGATCCTTTTGCCAGCCATTGCTATAACCTCCACCCCTGCCCCCACGGTTACCGATAGGACCACCTCGCCCTCGTCCAGGAACAACAGACCCAGCCGTCGTGTAATTGTTCTTATATTGTTGTTGTTCGCCCTTTATTGCTTGTTCGCATCAACTCTCCCTCGTAATGGGAAAAAAAAAAACGCACAGTCTTGGGGCCTTTGTACAGACTCTTTTGATACTTTTCGGCCTCACTTATACATGATGTATGGCCCTTCCACTCCCCCGGTGAATTGAACGTCTTGGAACAGTCGATGCAATCGAAACCAGCGTGACATCTGCTGTGATGTTGGTCGAGCTTGGGCTTTTTGACCACATCGCCACAACCTAGTGAAATGCAGGCAGTCAGCCTTGACAGAAATTGTGATGGATCCAGAGCAGATTAATTCGCTCCTGAAGTACTCAACAATGAGCTGTAACTCACTATGGCACCTGATAGAGAGTCAGCACTCTAAGTATGAGCAATATGGTAGGTCCACTCACTGGAATGAAACCATTTTGACTACCAGGCGATATGTACTCGAGGATGATTATCTGTGCAGTGCACTGCAGCCTATTGTACGAAATTTTGTGATCGAGGCCGTCTGGTGCAAACAGCTACAAACAGATGCGACGCGCCAATTTCAAACGCGTCTCTTTCTGTCACTTCACCACCATTACACCGTGACAGTTGGATGTCTGCTACGCTTCTACGCAGTCTAGGAATCTGACACGCGCCATACTCCAAAAAGGCGAGAATCAAGCTCGCATCATCTCTTGGAACTCAAGACATTCGTACGCGCCGTTGGCTCATGAGAGTGCTATGTGTAGCGGAGAAGCCCTCCATCGCGAAATCTATAACTGGAATTCTTTCCGGGGGGAGGTTTACGACGGTGAATCTAGCTAGACACATTATCCGGAAACAAAGTGCTGACTCTGCACAGCGAAACACACGGACAAACTTTATCAAGAACTACGATTTCGATTACCCCCAAACGAATGCCCACTTCACAGTGACGGCAGTTGCTGGCCACTTAACTTCGCACTCCTTTCATGACACCCACCAAAGCTGGAACTCCTGCGACCCTTTCGAGCTCTTCGATGCGCCGGTCAAAAGCGAGATTTCCAAAGACGCGAAGACCATGGAGGCAAACATATTGGCGGAAGCGAGAACAGCTGATATGCTAATGATATGGACGGATTGTGATAGAGAGGGGGAGCATATTGGGTCGGAAATTGCGCGGGTGTGCAGGAAAGCGAAGAGAAACATCATCGTTAAGAGGGCTCGCTTCAGTGCTATCATTGCACAGTGAGTATCATAGCCTTCCTGTTTGAATTGACCGTTTAGCTTCTTTAGGCAAATTCACAATGCCGCGCAGCATCCGGTCGAACTTGACCAAGCCCAAGCCGACGCCGTAGAGGCGCGGACCGTTCTAGACTTGAAGATCGGGGCCGCGTTCACCCGTTACCAGACCAAAACGCTGAAAGCCCTTGCAAATCTCCCTGGCGAATTGAAAGTCATTTCTTACGGTATGCTGCCTATGTACCCCATGACTTGTTTACAGGCTGAAGAAGACAGGTCCCTGCCAATTTCCGACCTTGGGATTCGTTGTGGCGCGTTATAACGACGTCCAGGGCTTCATTGCGGAGGCCTTCTGGTATATTTACCTCGCATTGACTCGTAATAGAGAAGAGACAAAATTCAACTGGCGGCGGGGCCACCTCTTTGACATGGATGTGGCTGCTGTCATATACCAGCAAGTTCTCTCAGATGTAACCGCTCGAGTTACAAAGGTCACTAAGAAGCCCACGAAGAAATGGTAAGGAGCGACCTTAGTATCCCAACAGCACTAAACATCCTCCAGGAAACCTCTTCCATTGACTACGGTGGAATTGCAAAAGGCTGGCTCCCGATTGCTGAGGCTGGCTCCAAAGAAAGTCCTTGATGTACGCGTCTGAAACATATGAGGGGACGGCACTGATATCAAATGATTACAGATAGCAGAGAAACTATACCAACAGGGCTTCCTGTCGTATCCTCGTACAGAAACGGACCAGTTTGATCCTCAATTTGACTTCATGACACTGATTGATAAACAAACCGTGGACCCGGCGTGGGGGCAGTTCGCTACTACGTATGCTCGCACCTCTCTCTGTCCTCCTCCTTCTAATGGCTTCGAAGTCTGCAGGGAGGAGAGTTCACCCCGCCAAGACGAGGTAAGAACAATGATAAAGCTCATCCTCCAATTCATCCGACAGCACACGCTGGCAATCTCGGTGGAGATGAGAAGCGAGTGTATGAGTTCGTCACGCGGCGATTTTTGGCGTGTTGTTCGAAAGATGCAGTAGGCTCCCAGACAACGATTGATGTTGTATGCGGAGGGGAAGAGTTCTTCACTACTGGTACGCCTGATTCACACCTTTTACTTATGATTCTGACACGGATAGGAACTCGCTCAAGGTTTGATTGTTCACGAACGAAATTACCTCGATGTATATCCCTACGACAAGTGGGTGTCTCACGCTGTGCCAGACTTTGCGGAAGGAGAGGAATTTCAGCCCTCAGTTTGTGAACTCAAAGACGGCGAAACGTCTCCGCCCAGCCTACTCACGGAAGCTGACCTAGTTACGTTGATGGACAAGAATGGCATCGGTGAGTTATCTTCCGACTCTTTAGGCAACTTGTTGACCGTCTCGTGGTCTAGGAACCGATGCTACTATTGCTCAGCATATTGAGACCATTGTCCAGCGCGAGTACGTTGTTGAAAGGTTCGAAGGCCAAGTCAAATATCTCGTGCCTTCTACGCTTGGAATTGGGCTCATTGAAGGATACAATCAAATCGGCTTTGACAAGAGCTTGAGCAAACCCCAACTACGACGCGAGGTAAGATGAGGTTATTGCCATTGCTCGCCAAATATCACCCTGACTGCTTTAGACTGAACGTGCCATGGTACAAGTCTGCGAGAGGAATAAGACAAAGCACGATATGCTCAACCAAGCAATCGAGCAGTATAAGGAAATGTATATCATCGCTAGGCGGGATTTCGATCGAGTTATAACCGTGAGTCAAAGTCGTTTTCCCTCTTGCTCAATCTAAGACGTAACAGAGTGTACAACAACGCATCGCCGGAGGCGGTGGCGGCGCGAACGGTGGGATTGATGCTGGCGGCGGCGGCGGCGGAGGAGGAGGAGGCGGTGGTGGTGGTCGAGGGAGGGGGCCCGGTGGTGGCGGGGGTGGTAATGACAATGACGGCGGCGATGGAGGGGGTGGAGGGAGAGGCGGTCCGAGTAATCCAACTAGAGGGAGCGGTACTGGTACTAGGGGGACGAGAGGTTCGGCAGCCACTCGTGGGACTAAGCGAGGCGCCCGCACATCCAGCAACTCCTCGTCTTCGCGCGGCGGGAAGCAACCCACTCGTAGTCTATATATCGACGGTAAGCCGTACCTACCCTCCACATTCCGTCGAATTAACTCGCTCTTAGATGATGAAGACATCCTACTCCAACCACCCGCGCCACCAGCACCACCAAGGCAGAAGCCTCCATCCCGCGCACCACCGCCCATGCCGATAGCGTCCTCTTCTACGAGCAGTGGCGGCATGAGTTGCAATTGTGGTGCTCCAGCAATAAGGAGAGTTATCACGAATGAGACCGCGAGTAAGGGAAAGCAGTATTGGGCATGCTCTAAGGACTCTTGTGGGTTCTTTCAATGGACAGGAGACCGTGTACCTGTCGAATCCGTTGACACCGATGCATCGAAGATAGTACCGACGAAACGAGCATTCTCCTTGGTGAGTAATAGAGTTCTGTTCAGCAAATGAATTCGCCTTACGAGGGCTGTCGGTGCAGAACGAGGCAAATACAGGTCCAGCAAGAACATGCAAGTGCAACGTTGATGGTACTCGATTGACTGTCGTCAAGGAAGGCCCCAACCAAGGTCGGAAATTCTGGAAGTGTGCAGAGAGCGTTTGCGATTTCTTCGAGTTCGACGATGAACCTCCGAGGACTGAGACGCGTGGGTTCTCCGCGCAGAATGGAGCCGGTGGTGGTGGGGGCGGAGGCGGAGGCGGTGGTGGTAAAGCCAATCCGGATGACGAATGCTATAAGGTATATATCAGCCACTCCTCTCTCTCTACTTGAGCACCCACGCATTTAACATCGCCATTTTGAAGTGTCATATGCGAGGTCATTGGGCAAGCGGTAGGTTACATTAAGAATACCTTCGGACTGTCGCTAACATCCCTGTCGTGCAGCATGTCCGAACGAAGCCCCCGGTCCCAAACGCGCGCGAAGTTTTGGTTCTGGAGCTGGTAATGCAATCCGCTGTTTCAAATGCGATAAGGAGGGCCATTTCAGTAATGGTTGGTCTTTGAGGATCTTCCTCAACGATCGATGAATTGATCCCTTGTTTAGCTTGTCCAGGGCAATCTTCAGCGCCACGAGGACGTTCGAAGTCGACCTCCACTTCCCGCGGAGGGAAAGGCTCACGAGGTGGTCGAGGGTCTACAGGAGGGAAACGTGGCCGGGGATCAAGTAAATCGACATTTGGTGCTGCAGATGGCTATTGATGCTTAAATTATTGCTTTTCCGTGCGTTGTATTGGTATTGTATTCATTTCAATATCTACTTTACATGCTACCATGCTCATACATATAGGCTTTCGACTCTCAACGATAGGACTGAGTGGATCATTTTGTAAAGGTATACGAAGACACAGCATGCGACCTCGTCCATATGGCCGTTTCCATGATCGAACCTACGACTATGGACTTAGCTTGACAATCCAAGTCTCCGGGCATGGCTTCAACGCCGTGGATGCCCTCAGCTTTTGAAAATCATCATCCTTCTCCAAACCCTTGAAGTAGACCTTATCCCCTAACCAATCCACCCTGATGAATGTACCATCTTGATCTGGCTCACCCTCCGACCGTTTCTTCGCCGCTTTCTCGATCGTCGACCTTTGCTTCTTCAACTCGTCGTACGTAGCCAGTATTCCCCATTCCGAATCCGCTAGGGGCTCTTGTAGCCCGGTGTACAACGCATCCCACACCATCTCACACGTTATTGGAGTCGGTGAGACAATATCAATCGCAAACGGAAAGGCCTTCGAGATCAGTCGCATTTGCTTAGCACGCGATTCGAGGGCTGGGAGGTACCGATTGGAGTAGTATGTCGTTTGTAGGATATCGGTCACTGGTTTTCTTCTAATATCGAATCGTAGGAGGGTAGTATCCGCCGCGAGAATGGGGTTCAGCGTAGGATACTTTGCCGATCGGTAGGCGCCCCCCGCTGCTACGATCGAGGATGAGTACCACCGCGCGGTGTTAGTGGTAACAAGGAGTGGGCCTACATTGCGGTGGCTCAGGATGATAATTAGGGCGATTCCAAGCTGGTTGTTCCCAGTATGTCCCAGGTGCATATTGCTGGGGATTGTAGATATGAGGATGAGGTGGGGCGGTCTGAGGGTGTGGGGGTTGGTAATATCCCGGCTGCCAAGGAGTCCAGTTACTCATGATAGGGCCTTTATACCAGTGGGAATAGTGCTGAAGAAGAAACCTATCCTAGAGTCGTATTTAAAGGCAAACAAGCGCGTTGGACTTCGAGAAGGTTATAGATTCGCCGTAGTCGGGCGATGAATCATCCCCGGCGCCTATGCAATGCACATTGCAATCACTTCAATCGCTTCCATGTAGGGCACAGCCTTCCCGTCAGATCGGCCAAAACTACGCGAAAGCGGTCAAAACAGAAATACCCTCAAACAGCCCGATATATCGAAACGAGAACAGGAAGCTTCCGCCCGATAAAGTAACAGTCAGAGTTCCCGAAATAGCATCATGGCGCAGCCACTCTCAGCAGCCCTCTCAGTCGGGGACAACGCTTCAATGTAGTAACTTGAACCCAAGTCAATCGAGTATATAACAAAGTAAGTAAAGTTATTTAATCAACCCTCTACATCTCTACCCAGCAAGCGAGCTCTAGGGTCTAAGAAAGTCTCTCCGAACGCTATACATACGAGGCGAATGGAATCTACTTCTCAGCCTCTTGCTCCTCCTTGGTCTTCATCTCCCAGGGCTCAGAAGTCACCCACTGAGACTCAGGGACACCAAGTTCGAAGAGCCTAGAGACAGCAGCGGAGAAGCTGGAGTAACGGTCAGGTCAGATGTTGACAGATAGATAGAGATTGATGAGAGGTACGTACTCCTTGAAGAATAGGTCCTGGTTATCAGCGTAGGCCCTAGCGAATTTCTTGTAGCTCTTGTCGGTGATGAGAACATAATCCGTGCTGTAGTGCGGCGTTAGTAGAAAAAACTTCGAGATCAACAACTGGCATTACGGAAGCATCATCAAAGAACGTGTCTTCTTATCCTCGAGCTGTTTAGGGCCGTTCCACTTCTTCCATACCCATCTAGTAGATCAATCAGTAATAAGTCGTTGATGATGGAAAATTATGCACATACTTCTCGTCGAACAGAAGCTTGTAGTAATCATTGGTCAGAGTAGTAGGCGAGAATGTCCAGGGGCCCTCGAATCCGGAGCGGTCGGCGTGGCAGCGTCCAAGAGCGTGGGCACCAGAGAGAGCGACAATTTCTTGGTCATTGAATCTAAATTAATTTAGCATGAATGGGAGAACATGCAAAGCCGATGGACACACCCCATACGGTAGAAGATCTGGGGGGTGAATCAGAATGTTGTACGAGTACAAGACACGAGCATAACTCACGTTGCGGAGATGGTCAGCACCTTGCGTAGCATCCGGGAGGCGACCGTCAGGAGTAGCGTTGGCAGCGAAGCCGTCGATACGCCCAGGACGCCAGGGAATCTTGGGACCAGACATTTCCTGCCGAGGGATTTACTATGCCGCAGAGGGGCGGTCGGATGAGAACTCACCTGAATTGCGCAAACACCACCAAGAGTCCACAAGTCACCGTAACTAATCCACGGGAATTCCTGCTTAACCTTCTCCATGAGATCACGGGCTACATTAAGCCCGGCGTTGGCGCCGTGAGTAGACTCGGGCTCGAAGCGCATGGTGGCATAGTTGCTATGAATCCCGTGTCGTGATCAGAGGCCGCGCATCGCTGCTTTCAAATGGATTCTCACCTGCCGCCGGTTTTTGTCTCTTTATCATAAGTACCCGAGCTGTGCCATGCGAGGCGGACGAGAACAGGGCCATACGAACCGTCTGCGATGCTTATCAGTGTGAGTAAATACAACAAGCGAGCGATAACGTTTACCGTCGTAATCGCCGGCGTCCTCAACAAATTCGACAATTTTGTTGTACACCTATCCACCGTCGGAGGGTCAGACACCTCCTAACCCATATTCCCAACCTTTCACCGACCTTTTGATAATCCTCTTTCGTAGGGGTAAAGTTCAAGGCCACCTTGCCGGACTGAACGCCAGATTTTGCAGCCGTAACAGCCTCGCGGCCAGCATCGGAGGCGTAGAACCAATAACCGAGACCAGCAACGGTCGCGGCGCCCAAAGCAGCGTACAAAGCAGTATTTGACTTCGCTGGTTCGCTGGGCGGTGCGGTCGAGAATCTGCGGAAAGCAGCCTGCCTGCGCACCGGTGCTTTTGGGATCGAGGCGGTAAATACTGCTCTGCGAGCTGGCGCACGGAGGAACGTCGAGAGCATGGTCACAGTCAGAGTGGTACGGATGAAAGGTGGGTGGTGAACGGAATGGTCTAGAAATTTATAAGCCGAGCTTGACCGAACAGACGCCGGGCCAATCCCGAGCTTCCTGTTTATCAGCCATGTGGCGCAATATCCTGAGGTGCTTCCCCTGCACGCAACTCAACGCCAGAATGTCGTTTGTAAATCGCAAACGACGTTGGAAGTAAGTCAACCGGGGGCATCGACTATTTTAGGCCAGGATATCCTTCTTTTAGTAGCCCTTCTGTTCAGCTGACCGTGTCCGTTTCGCTTGTCCTTCTTTCTCTCATCAATTGAATTGTTTACCCTCCGAACTGAATAGCCTTGGGAGATTGGAGGTCACGCTGGTATACACGCCGACACGTTTATACAGCATCTTTCCAGGGCAAGACGGGCAACCATGGAAGTGCAAGAATACATTGAATAGAAACCAACTATGCACTAGTACCCATATACACGAGAAAGAAATGAACAGTGTGAGACGTCGCATGGTCAAGGCTGGTAAGGTGGTGGGCTGGTCTCAGCGACAGACTTCCGGGACTGGGAGATTTCGCTGTGCCCGAAGGCAGAAGATGAACTGCTTGGCCCTGCTGTTTGGGATTCCCGACCGAGAAGAGAAGCGGCGGATGAAGGGCCCGACGTCTCACTGGGACCTGCAGGAAGAGGTTTCTCTCGCCGATAAATCGGGGCTAGCGTTGCCTGTTCGAAGGGTGTGACTGGTACCTGTGCGACTTCTGAGAAAGCAGAAGCGTCAGCGCCCGATATCAAGGCTCATCCGACAACAGTAAACCCATACCAGTATCGAGGTCCACACTGTGGCGGGGCCGTTTCCGACGCCGGTATCGTAGTATTGCGTAAACGAGGGCGCACATAATAATGGCGCCGAGCACACCACCGAGCACACCGCCAATAATGGCTGCCTTGTTGTCCGACTTCGCCGATGGAGCTGAAGAGCTCGGCGAAGGATCATCGCTACCTTTCGACCCCGAACCTTTCCCGCTGTCACCACCTTCCGTCGCGGTCACTTTCGTGGGGTCGCCAACTGTGAACTAGGCGATGATCAGATTGCGAAGGCTGCGGGAATGAGGCATACTCACATAAACGGCATCGTCGCTCATGCCAACCTGAAAAACGGGAAGTATGACAGGCTGCGAGTTCGTGGCACTTAGGATGGACGACAACCGGTAGTACCCATCGGGTAGGCCATCGCTGACGGACGCAGTCAAGATTCCACCTTGTGCCTGCGACCCAATGTGTTGGAAGAACGCAAACTTGGTTGGATCTGTCGGGGTCGTTTGATTGAACCCTGTAAGCGCTTCGATGACGACCTTCGCATGTCCTATGATCAGCCCTTGTGCATTGACCTGTTGAGGAGCGGCTAAGAAACTCTTCTGGGGATTCGCTAGCGAGCCTGTCTGGAAGTTGCGCACGGCAAGCGAGATAGTAAATGCCTTGCGAGCAGGTAGGTTATCACCATTCTTAGGGTTTGTGAACTTCGAAGAGGGCATCAACGTGTTAGCAGGCAAGACACCCATTGGGACCGGATTGCATGAACCAGCTGGCACCACTTCTCCATTTGTAAGCCTTGTATTCGCCAATGTCATACAGAAGTTGATGAAATTGTTTGTAGACGTCAAGGACCCAGTGATTCCTGCTCAATGATCAGTAGAATACTTGCCCGTACGCACTTCATTCTTACCTGGGGTGGGGCTTTGTCCTGGGCTTGCGAAGGCTGCGGAAATCACTTTGGGGTCCAGCGTTAATGAAGATTGGGAGCTATCTTGTGTGTTGACTGCTGCCGGAACGATGCTATTGCCAACAATGGACGTGCCAGAACTTGCGACAGAATCGGCGTCGTTGGCGTCCCCAACGGTGAACTAGAAGTGCAACTCGTCAAGTAAGGCAATAGAAATCGTGCGAATACCACGTACATAAATCATATCTGCTAGCGAACCATGTTCTGGAGTAGACACTAGGAGAGGCTGACGATTAGAAGCTCTCAGCTGCGTGGTTAGCCGATACACTCCGGATGGTAGACCGTTGGTGATTCTTCCCTGTAACACTCCGTTCACCGGAGCGCCTTGTATTCCTTGGAATAGTGAGAATCTCTGTGGATTGCCAGGCTGGGTGTCGGTGAGGCTCGAAAGCTCTTCCACAACTATGAAGGCGCTTCCTTTAATGACGCCTTGGTTGTTGAGCTGCTGTGGCGCAGATAGGTAGTTCACCTGAGAATCGACGGGCGCGCCGACTTCCATATTTTGCACAGCAAACGACACCTGCAGTTCCGTGTTGGGTTGGATGGTATCGCCATGTTTCGGGGAAATAATCTTCACAGAGGGGATGTTCTGGATAGAAGGGATCGCGCCCATTGGCGCAGAATTACAAGACCCAGACGTGACTTGCGAGCCATTAGTGTTTGGAAGGTTTGGGTAGGTGAGGCAGAAGTTTATGAAATTATTTGTGGAGGTCAACGACGGAACCTGGCCTGATCGCACATCAGTTTTGACCTGTCAATAATGATTTCAAAATTCACCAGTAGCAGGAGATCCATCACTTGCAAAGCCGGACGCAACGATCGTGGAATTCAAAGTCAAGGAGGTGGTAGAGGCCGCACTGGGAGAGCTCATTGCGGTCAAAGGCCTAGCTCGATGCCTGCATCAATGGTGTAAAGGAGAGTGGGGAGGAACAAAACAACAGGCGGTGGGACTTCTCGAGTATTGGGCGCCCTACGAGCTGAACTTCATGGGAGCCATTCAATCTCGTAACCAGGGCACGTCCATCAGATCAGTCAAAGTAACGCCATTTTGCCCGATATCCCAACGGCGAGTGTTCTTCGACTCGTTCAGCAACAGCCGCAACACGGTCGGCGATGCACGCAGCCATATGCAACCAGTTGTCGAGTGGGACGCGTAGTCCTGATATCGCTCAATGCAGTCTATAGCTGTCTATAGCATCCGAACAAGAGCCGTGTTTGAGCGCTTCCTGGGCGCTGAGGGGCAGATAATAGATTCCCAGAAGATGCCTAGTGCGACGCGACACATCTCTATGTTCTACAATCGCAAGGTGAACGTTAGGATTACATGCAGACGAACAAAGCAGCGACCTACGGATAACTTACTACTCACTCCCTCGAGCCAGCTCTCAGTCCTAGCAACATCTTCACTCCTTTTCAGTTTTCAGACCATCAAAATCTTCGGTTTCAAATGTTCAATCATCAGGCTCGTCTTGACGGCGCGTCGAAATGCAGGCTTTTGATGAAGCTTGAGAAGGCATACAATTGTGTGGTTACTATTGATTGGCGCTCCTTCTAGACTCTGGTTGCGATGGATTTACCCTCATTTCAGTTATCGTTCGGGTTCGGTTCAAAACGTGCACTACGGAGGGTCTGCCAGAACCCGAGTCTACCATCGCAAGGGAGTAAGAAGATCGTTCGTTGCAGACAATTCATTTCCTCGTACCTGATAGGTGTTCGTATGCTCACGGGCTCACTTTTCACGAGGGAACGCAAAATGGCTGGAGGCCAGAAAAGAAGTATCACGCTCACGCCCTTCGCCCGTTGACAGAACACGTCTATCGACGCCGCATTGCATCGACCCAGGTTTGACGTTCCAAAGAAGGTAGACAGTGATCGGTCCCTTCGCGCTGGTACATCCGTCGCATCGCAGAGGATTGTCAAACCTACTCAACCTGCAATGTGCTGACTTGTGTGCAGTATTCTCCTGGATCTGTTCCACACCACGGAGCCATTGGCGCAAGCTTCCCCTGCGAGTGCTAGAGGTCTTGGCGAGCGAGAGGAGACGATGCCGATGCCGATCCCACTGGATATTGACATATTGGATACCGCAGAGGACCCGCCAGGTCCTCGTTGTCTTCGACCACACGCTCAACCGCATGGATGAGCTATGGCGCCACGTACAGGCACTCGTCGCAACTCCAATGTGAATTATCGACAATCCGACCTCTGATGTCGAGAGCTAGGGTGGTGCCTTTCGCAAAATATAAATACTTCCTCAGTCGACTACACAAAATTAAGGAACTTCATACTTGTTTCCTCTAGTAGCCCTACGATGAAGGTCTTCAACATACTCGTCGCGTCCCTCTTGTTGGTCGGGCAAGTCTTCGCTGCCCCCACTGCAGACATCAATGCTACCAGCGAGGTGTGTCATTACGCCCGAGGTTTAATTCTTGTACCGGTCACTGATGGACGCTTTAGGTTGTTGTTCGTGAGCCCCAAAGGGGTGGTCCCGGCAACGGTGGTCCCGGTCGTGGCGGACCAGGTAATGGCGGCCCCGGTCGAGGAGGGCCAGGGAATGGCGGGCCAGGACGCGGAGGACCAGGGAATGGCGGCCCGGGACGTGGAGGGCCAGGGAATGGAGGGCCAGGCAACGGGGGACCAGGACGTGGAGGACCCGGAAACGGAGGGCCAGGACATGGTGGACCAGGAAATGGGGGACCAGGACGTGGAGGGCCAGGCAACGGTGGCCCCGGGAATGGAGGGCCAGGACGCGGCGGGCCAGGACACGGTGGACCCCCTCGTCAAGGACCTCCTCCCTTCTATCCTCCCCCACATCGCCCCCCTCCCAGCCAACCTCACTGCCCAAATCCCCGCCAAGCAACGCCCTTCCTCCGAGCATTCAACCTAGCTGGTACCAACCACTTCTACACGACATCCAACGTCGAAATTACCCGTGCGGCTGGCTATAAATCAGAGGGCAACGCCGGGAAGATCTTCACCAACCAAGTTCAACAAACCATCCCTCTCTACCGCCTGTACAGCACATGGGGCATCAATCACTTCTACACCACCAACGCTCAGGAACGCGACACATATGTGGCCTACTACGGGTATGTCTCCGAAGGCGTCGCTGGATATATCTTCCCCTGGCCAATCTGCAATAGCGTGCCGCTATATAGGCTGTACAACCAGGTCGTTCAGGACCATCTCTTCACCACCAACTACAATGAGATCCAGGCTGTCCAATTTCTTGGGTTCGTGTACCAGGGCATTGCTGGTTATGTTATTGCTTAAGTCGTCACTACTTAAAGTAGAGTCGACTTCGTTAAGAATGGTATATGATGATGTACTTATTCAACATTGAGCCCCATGACCAACCGGACTTGGTACAATACTATATTCCTGAAAAGACAAAAATACACGCCAGTAGTTCAACTCAATAGCAGCTTAAAGGCATTGAGAATACCCTAGAGCCAATGTAAGTGAGTGTGGCAGTCAGAAAATGACAAGAGAGCATCTACTCACAGGCGTTGCTGTATGTGCAGGTAGATCGTCCGCTGTGGTTGATTCCTGTTGAAAGTAGATCATACTATTGCAACGTTTTCGAATAGGTGTTACTCACCGCCACATTGTCCCCACTTGGGAACGGTACCAGCAGGTGGTATGGGGCCAGTTGGTACAGAAGTGGAGGTGGGGGTGACAGGGGGCACAGAGGAGCTCCCTAAAGAGGAGACAGGAGGAGTGCTTCCGCCGTACGTAGAGCCAATGGCCCCGTACTTGATGTTCGAGAATGTCACGGACGCATTGGCATTGTTTGCGACGACATCGTCAGGATTCCCAGTGCTAGGGGCGCAAGCACCACGAGATACACCAGGCTCAGACGGGCTCTTGTCGAGGGGGTAGTCGGAGTCGAGCCAGAGCATGTGCGCGGCGTGATCACTTCAGAGGGACATAATGAGGACCATGCCATTGGCCATCGCGTCACCCATCTTCTCGACTCCACCATGGGTGTTGAAGTATTGGTTATCTCGCGGATAGAGTCTTTTGGGTGACACAGAAGTTGTCAGAGATGGAGTTGCACTGGGACAATGTAGGGAAAGTCGAGAATGAGTTCTGGTACACGACACCGTTCTGGACGAGATACAGCGGATTTCGACGAGGTTTCCAGTGGCAGTGTTGTTATCGGCAAAAAATTATAAATATAGTGTACATCGCCAGTTAGCCATCATATTATTGCAATGCTGCAACGTCACATACTGAGTCACAACAGTGACTTTCTTGGTGGTGTCGACTGTCTTTCCACGACCAAGGAAGTTCTTGTCGCCCATGCGGTATGAATTAAGGTCGCAACCATCCTTGTCGCAGACACCTCCATAGCGGTTGTTGCCATCCCCGCAATCATTGCCTGAGGAGCAGTAGAGACCTTGGTCACGGCAGACGTGGGGAGTGTAGGCGGTAGCCTCAGAGTTGGCTTCCCAGATATCCATCTCAGCGCAGCAGGCTCCGTACCGACCATTGCCAGCGTTGGAATCGGTCGAGGAGGGCGCCCAGTCGAGGATGTTGGCCTGAAATGTCAAAAAAGTGAGCTCGGGGCGATCCCACCCTTTGCGTAATGATATTACCTCGCCGTTGATCCACTTGATGTCGTGAGGGCATTGAGCATCACAATAACCAGTTCCATATTTCAGCCTAAGCAAGTCAGCACCGTCTAAAATCAAACAGTGGAATCCATGCTTCACCTTATTGCTAGCATGGGCAGCTTTGCCTCCGTCAGCAGGCATTTCAGAGAAGTAGAGGGCTCCGTTAAGGCCGCAAGGAAGGCCAGACATGTCGACATCAAACGTAAATTCTTGGTTCTTCAAATCAAACATCCTGTAGTGGTCGGCATCGTCTAAGAGGTAGACACGGGAGCCGATGTTCTTCGAATATGGGACGTTGGTCACGAAGCGGAGGGTGAGCGCGTTGCCGGATGTAGTAATACCGTATGTGCCGCTATAATCAGCACCGTCGTCGGGTCGGGGCACAGAGCAGGGTCCCAGGCATTGCCAGTGTAGCAGCTCTGAGTGTATGCAATTTAGCATGAAGCACATAACACGATGTCATAAATCACTTACAGTGGCACTGCTAGTAGAGTGAGTCCAACGCCAGTTGGAGTCGAGCACAACTGATTTTTGTTGGGTGGTGCACCCACTAGCTGTGCACTGTTGGATGGAGATGGCGAGGTGATTTTCTGCGGTCAAAGAGCCGACTTGCTGGCCGAGGACAACGGCGGCGAAGGTGAAAGCGGTCAGAGCAGCAGTGGCGGAACATGTCGACAGAAATATTTCAGAGTCTGAGACAATTGAACAAATGCCTTTGGGTAGTAGAACTGATGGTATGATTCGTCGACATAGAGCGACTTTATATATATCTGCATGCGGAAAACTTTTGGCGGGAAGGTGGTTGGTGTCGAGGGCTGTAAGTAACCGTGGTACCGAGGAGCTCCCGAGTGAGCACAACACGACGATGTGGTCGGCGTCGGTTCACCGTAGGAGTAGATACTCGTTTACAACGACGGAGGCAGTAGATATGTGCCTATATGTGCCTTGGCGTAATTTTCGGCCGCGTGCAATATTTATCCGAAGAGGATCTCGACATCGCAACAAAGTAGGTCGCGCAGTGTCTGCAAGGCACAACTGACACGGGCAGACAGGTCATGGGACCGACGGCTCCCTCTCGATAGTTGCGAATGTGACGCACCCCATAGTTCTGAGCTGTGAGGACATCTCTCTTTATGAGCGCAAGTACTGTAAAAGCCCTGCTAGTATACTCTACCGACCTGAGTATCGAGAATTGAGAGCTTTCATCTTTGACATTCCCAAAGGCCTCGTGCTACGCCTGTTGAGAGAGCCGAGTCGATGCGTTGGCGACGCTATAAATCGGAACGGCAACTGCCAGCAACGTTAGATTATTGACTAGACAGTAAGTTCTGGATGTGAGTTCGAATTGGAATAATATAGTGCTCTATCCCTGACCGCCGCTGCAGACTTGCTGCAGACCTTGCAAGGTGAGGCACGCCGCCGCAAGGCATTATACATTAATGTGGCCGAGAACGATGGTCACGAAGCAATTATCTCCCAAATGGAGAGGATTGTGTACCCTTGGTGCCAGTGGCCGTTGCTTCTCTCTTGCTCGTGACCCTGGGACGTTCCAACAGTCACGTTGACCGACACGGCGCGCTACCAACTCTACCGACGCGTAGGCTACCGTCGGTCTATTCCTGCTCTGCCTTCACACCCACGAGAAACAAATTGACCCTCGAGTCTTGACCATATGCTCTGGGTACAGGACTGGACCTCATGCTACAGTCTACATGCGGCCGATGATTTAGTTTCACCACATAGCACTATTCACACAATTCCAGAAGGACAAGCCGACCCTTCCTAGGCTTTCTTCGACTGCTGAACGCCGCTATAGACTGCGCTTGTGATTCTTACGGTCAGCAGGTGTAATGATTTCTAAGACCAAAATCTATAGACAATACGTGTCGCTTATCACAAGTGCGTTCAGGTCATTGATTCCTTCTAAATTATGATTAATGCCGTTTAGCTTTATGTGGGATCATAGCTGAGAGTTCATCGACATCTGACGTTCCCCCCGGCTCTCATCGCGCTTCAGGAAGTTACGGCGCGCACTGCACGCCGCCCACGACGTTAGCGGGGCCCTATCTAAGTGCCAATGTAGTCGTCCTCTTTGGACCATCTTTGGACCATGTTATTACAATGAGGAATTGTGTTCACACCGCCAAATATCACGCTTCTCAGCTGGTTCAAATCAGGATATTCTACGCTTCAAGTTCGTATGGCCGCTGGCGGCGGCCCTTGGCTTCAATCGCGTATAAAGAAGCGCAAGGTCCCTGGAATCAATCCCAAAGCACAGCATGAAGTTCTCATTCGGTCTCATCGCTTCCGCCTTTTTGGCCGTTCAAGCTGCTGCTCTCCCGTCGTCCGCTGAGGTTGCCAAGGTAAGCTACTTGCAATTTACGAGCTTCTGAGGATATGGCTGACAACGTCCTCTTAGAATCTTTCTCGCGATGCCGCGATCTGCCCTACATTCAACTTCGTGCCCGCCCTCTTCTCCGCTTATAACTCCAATCTCACCGACCACTACTACGCCACCAGCGAGCTGGAGATGCTGAAGATCTGGGTAAAGCGCGGATACACGCCCATCCTCGTCAACGCTCGCATCTTCGAAGAACAAAAGGTCTCCACCGTCCCTCTCTTCCGTCTCTACAACAAAGCCGCTCAGGATCACTACTACACCATCGACGAAGTGGAACGTCAGGAGAAAAAGAATCAGGGATATGAAGATAAGGCAATTGTGGGATACGTATATGCCTCCCCGATTTGCGGAAGTACTCCCTGGCATAGGATGTACAACAATAAGCTCCAGGACCACTACTACACCCCCGACCCCAACCAGGTGAAAGATGCCGTCTCCCGCGGTTACGTTTGGGAGGCTATTGCTGCCTATGTCTACATGCCGTAGGGAGGGCCTCGTTGCCGTATTCAAGCACCTAGTATCGGCACTGAAAGCGGGAGGCTAGGAAGATGAATCATCATAATTATCAGTCCATATAGTCTCTTATGCTTTGCAATAATTTCACTTGGAGATTCCTTGGACACATGGAAACTGGGTCACGGTGACTCATCCAACGCTCTAAGAACTGTCATGTCAGTCTCAGCTACTTCGCAACGACTTGCCCGTCTCATGTTGGCTTTTCTCACGATGGTGGCCGACCACTGCCACTTCCTGGATCAGAACGACCTCTGTTTCGGCCAAAAATACGCAGGTAATGAGTAACTTTCCATGTTTCTGGTCGAAAATTACTTATCATCGCAGACAGTGACGTGTCATGATGATCCACGATGTGTTCAACTTGAACTTCGGGATCCCATGATGGTGCGACCAACCTCATGTTCAGGCCAGCCTTCTTCTGGTCATCAGCGATCAGTAACTATTACCCGCCCCTCTGAGCACTGAACCCACCAAATCCCGGACCACCTTCCATTACACCAAACTGGTGCCATGATCCCATCGAGGACGCCAAGTTCACGCACCCATCATTGCGTCTGCTCGCAACAACCATATACTCATCTGCAGCTATCAATGATGCAACAGCGTCTAGATCTCACGTAGGTAACCTTTAAAAATGAAGGACTGGATGGTCGTCGCGTTGGCGTCTCAACCATCTCAGTTCCTCCCCGCCGCCAGACACCAGTAGTCACGTCTGTCGGAAAACGGGTAAAGACCAGAACCGTGACGAATGTATCAGACCTTCATAGTTCGTCAACTATCAGGCCCTCATCACTGATCTGAAACGCCGTATAACACTGGGTACAACTACTTCTCCCGCCTTCTCCTCAACCCCGCCTCGTACCCTTCTGTCTGCGATGGCTCCTGCGACGGCAAGAGACGTTAAGGTAATTAGCCGCACGAGTCTCCGGAGCGAGGGCTAAACAATTTGTTTCTCCCCTTTGGCAGCCCGGGCACCGCTGGCGGAGCCCCCTCCGTAGCATTCTTTTTGGAGCTCGTAATTCTGCTTCACATGTGCGAAACATTGGACGCCAGGTGGCCCCAGAGACCACAGCTTTGCCGATCACTACAATCCTTGTTTCTGTAACGAGTGCGACGGTGAGCTCCTCCCTTATTTCCCTAGGTATTCAGCAGTTAATCTGCCAGATTAAGAGGATAACGCCTACGAGTACCACCGGTCTGGCCAAAGAAACGCTAGGTACAGACAGACAACCCACGGCCGAGCCTTCTAGGATCATTGATAGTGGATGGCTCCCTGCAACCGAAGCAACTACAGAAGCTCCTACTCACGCACTGCCTTTCCAAGGTGCGGCGCGTTCATCTGTGGTATGAATTTCCTCCCACAGCATCCATCAACATTCGATGTTAATTCTCCTCTAAGACTGCACCGATCATCGGGACTACCGAACCGCCTGGAGTGTTCGTGACGAGCACAGATAGTCAAAATGACAGCGTTCCTACTGCGACAAACACTGAATTGCCCCCCACGTCCACGCTGGATACAGGGGTTTCCGACACCCTTGAGCCTTTGAGAGCATTCACTGTATGTAGTATGATCTTCCTTTCTCACCATACATCCTCACCAGCTCAATTCCTGCTAGAACGTGACTTCGGCGCCCACTGGATTCACTGACCTGCCTGAACAGACTTCGATCGGTATAGATAGTCCGAGCACCAGCACCTCCACCACTGAGACTCCTAATACTGGCACCATACTGTCTTTCCGAAGCGAAAGTGGAAAACCTACGGTATGCTCTTTCTTGTGAATTACTCCTCTACTCTGTCAAGCGGCGTGGACTAGGGAATCATCGCAACTACAACAGACGTCACATCAGATGAAGTATTAATTCCCACTGAGACGAGCACGATCAAGATTATGTATGTTCTACTCATCATCATGTTGGAGGCGCTCACTCATCTGGGTTTAGTACACTAAGGTCAGTGTGCCAACACATCCCAGAACGACTTCTTATATATATTATTTAGCAACCCCCCAGATGGTGTTCAGCCTCCGCGACTGCCTAAGACCATGTAATTATGATTTATGTGCTTTTGTTAATAACGCTGAAGACTACTCAGACTCTCCCCAACTGACGATCCAGGTCTCAACGAGAAAACCATCACCCAGTAAGCAGTATAACCACTTTTTACTTATCCACTCAGCATTTCATAGCAGTGTTGAACCGACGGTTGCACCCACCACACTAAGCACCGACCTCCCCTTGTACGTCCAAGCCTCAAGGAATGCAACGAATATCGTGCTGAAACGCCTCCATAGTGGCGACACCCCATCCCCAACCCCTACCGAGCAAACGGGTGGTGGCTCTACCTCAGAGGCCTCTCCCTTCCCCCAAATCAGTGACCTCGTCATGTGCGTCCGAGGTCTCATGATGAAAGAGCATATTTTTGACCGGAATGTTTACATAGCGATACTCGAACTCCAGGGGTACTCGCAGGGGCTTCTACCCCGACTTCTGCACCGTAAGTGCGCCAATTACTTGGAGGCACGTTAGCTGATACCTATCTTAGAATTTCGTCTGATTCAGTCTCTCCAGCCACGTCAGATGATGGAACATTGTGCGCATTCTCATTCCACTGTCCTGAAGCGATACTGACACACCCTGTTCTAGACTGCCGAACGTTCCTTCGATTGCGTGAGTGTTGTCCACTATGCCTGAGACCCGACCTCTGATTATCTGTAGACTATCCTCCGCGAATTCTTCACCCAGTGCTTTCATCGGCGGCTTTCTTACTACTTCTCTCGTCGGGACCGGGACCGAGGCCATTGCTAGTTCTCCGACTGCCTCGCCGAACACTCCAGGCTCTAACAATGCCTCTGCCGCAGCACCGAAATCATCGAACAAGGGCACCATCATCGCAGCCGTGGTTGGTGTGATGGTAGCCCTGGGTTTCGGTCTAGTGATGATAATGATTGTTCGTCGCATTCGTCGGACTCAGTTCATGAAGAATGGTAAGTTACGATGATCGCTCTCATTTTGATAGTTCCTCACCAACGTGGCTTTGTCTGCGTTCTATATCAGTGTCGACTCCATTCACGCAGGCATCCGAGAAGAGATCATCAGTGATGAGCCAGACCGGACTGATGTCACGTACACCTGATTGGATGCTCGAGAGCCCGCCCCAGACGCCGCACCCTTCCCGTGCACGTTCGCAATCGCGGAGGAACACTTGGCACACTCGCCGTACGAGCATATCATCCATAGGCTCAGGCTTTGATGATGCTATCCAAGCTATTCCTGTGCACTGAACATAAGGGAGCACAGTGACCTTACCACCCACTTTTCCATTTTTTACGACGGCGGCTAATTTATTTGTATTGTGCTCACTGGTACCGGCCAATCATTTGTGCCAGCTATCCCATCTGTCTATGCGTTCCCGCTCGATACCCGTAGCTACCGTTGCCTCGTGTCATTCACTCTACGAGCCGTCAGAATCCCTGCAATAAGAACGAACCAAGCTATATAGTTCTCATGCACGCTAAGAGGGCCCATTTTCGGATTTGATGAAATGGTACGTATGGTATACTCCTGAGCGACCACTATACTTGGAGGTGCTGGCTCCGTGGCGCCGGTGCTCTGATGCTGGACTGAATAGCATGCTGCTAGATGCTTAAAAGCGACCGATCTGCTCCCCAGCTTCGTAAGTTTTATTACCAAAACAAGAAAGACGCATTACGCTGAGAGAAACGGAGTAAATGGCAGCTACTTTCTTTCTGAAGGCCTGACTCCTGTACTACTCCTAAGCTCCGGTTCCCACAGTCACTATTTCTGATTGTTTAGAATTCTTGCAATTATTCTAGTCCTCCCAAACTTCGCGTCTCACATTTACGAGGCCAGCCTATCCCCTGACTCGCGTAGTCGGCAGCCGAGGACAGAATGCATCTCTACAATCTTACCCTACAGCACCCAACGGCAATAGTTCAGGCCATCGTTGGTAATTTCTCTGGAGCAAGGCAGCAAGAAATCATCATATCGCATGGCACGCGTCTCGAGCTACTCAGGCCTGATCCACAAACGGGGAAGGTCGCGACCGTTATCGCGACGGACGTCTTTGGGTCCATTCGGTCGTTGGCTGCTTTTCGACTGACTGGAGGGACGAAGGGTGAGCTCTTGTACGTATTCCGTTATAGTTTCAGCCATTCACACCTGCCCGTTTACAGACTATGCAATCGTAGGCTCTGACTCCGGCCGAATTGTCATTTTGGACTACGACCCCAAAACGAGCAGCTTTGTCAAGCTTCATCAGGAGACGTATGGCAAGTCCGGCGCTCGTCGGATAGTGCCAGGCCAATATCTGGCTACAGACCCCAAGGGGAGAAGTGTCATGATCTCTTCCATGGAAAAGTCGAAGCTGGTGTATATTCTGAATCGCGATGCTGCTGCCAATTTGACTATTTCTTCACCGTTGGAAGCCCATAAAAACTCGGCTATTATACACCACATTGTGGGTGTCGATGTCGGCTTCGAAAACCCCATGTTCGCGGCGCTGGAGGTTGACTACTCAGAGTCGGATCAGGATCCCACAGGGGAGGCCTTCAAGAATGCTGAGAAGGTGCGTAATTAGAACAAGAGCTTCGCGCCGGCCTGACGCTCCCTAGATGCTTACTTACTACGAATTGGACCTCGGCTTGAATCACGTCGTCCGTAAATGGAGCGAGCCAACGGATCCTCGGGCAAACCTACTGGTGCAGGTTCCTGGAGGGCAACTTGCGTCTTCGGATCGGTTCGACGGCCCTTCTGGTGTTCTCGTTTGTTGCGAAAACCACATCATCTACCGCCATATGGATGCACCCCAGCATCGTATACCTATTCCTCGTCGCAGTAATCCTCTAGAAGATCCCAATCGAGGTATCATCATTACAGCCGCTGTCATGCACAAAATGAAGGTAAGGTTGTTTGCCTGGCAAACACATCGTATTTCTTAATGATATCGTGTACACTTTCGCAGGGCGCATTTTTCTTCCTTTTGCAAAGTGAGGACGGTGACCTGTTCAAAGTTACGATCGACCACGAGGATGAGGAAGTCAAAGCCGTTAAAATCAAGTATTTTGATACTGTGCCTGTTGCGTCCAGTTTGTGCATTCTGAAGTCTGGTTTTCTCTTTGTTGCATCCGAGTTTGGCAATCAGTGAGTTTCGCTACCTTGACACTCTTGACATCTCACCTTACGTTGTTAGATATCTGTACCAATTTCAAAAGCTTGGTGATGACGATGATGAGCCAGAATTTTCTTCCACTTCGAACCCCTCCTTTGGCATGGCTGACCCATCGACACCTTTACCGCGCGCATACTTCCGACCCCGGCCTCTGGACAATTTAGCAGTTGCTGATGAGATAGAGTCGTTAGATCCAATCCTGGATTCCAAAGTAATGAACCTTCTCCCTAACTCGGACACACCCCAGATATTTGCTGCCTGTGGACGTGGCGCACGCAGTACACTGAGGACTCTGCGTCATGGACTCGAGGTCGAGGAATCTGTCAGCTCTGATTTGCCGGGTATCCCAAATGCTGTTTGGACTACGAAGAAAAAAGAGGACGGTATGGCATTCAGCCCTTTGTGAAGCTTCTACTCATTTTGGCAAATAGATGAATATGACTCATATATCATCCTCTCGTTCGTCAATGGAACTCTCGTCCTTTCCATTGGTGAGACGATTGAAGAAGTCCAAGACACGGGATTCTTGTCTTCTGCGCCAACCTTAGCCGTGCAGCAAATTGGTGCCGACGCGCTCCTTCAAGTTCACCCGCAAGGTATCCGACACGTCTTATCCGATCGTAGGGTGAACGAGTGGCGGGTGCCCCAAGGCAAAACGATCGTCACCGCGACCACCAACAAACGCCAGGTTGTCGTAGCTCTCAGTTCCGCAGAATTGGTCTACTTCGAGCTTGACCTCGATGGCCAGCTCAACGAATACCAGGATCGCAAGGCAATGGGCAGTACCGTCTTGGCTCTCAGTATAGGCGAAGTACCTGATGGTCGCCAGCGGACACCGTACTTGGTGAGCTTTGCTTGCATGCGATAGCGGGGGTGCAGCTAAATGTCTTGCGATTTAAGGCCGTTGGTTGTGAAGATCAGACCGTTCGCATTATTTCGTTGGACCCTGATAGCACCCTCGAGACGATTAGTTTGCAAGCACTCACCGCCCCACCCTCCTCCATCTGTATAGCAGATATGCTAGATGCCAGTATCAATAAGTCGCAACCTACAATGTTTGTTAATATTGGTCTTCAAAATGGTGTCTTGCTACGCACGGTCCTCGATCCTATCAATGGGCAGCTGACAGATACAAGAACTCGGTACGTTGCAAGACTTCCCTGCTTATTTAAGTAACTAAATAATACATATTCTAGCTTCCTAGGTACACGTCCAATTCGACTCGTTCGAGTGCGGATACAAAAGAACCCAGCCATACTTGCACTATCGTCACGGTCGTGGCTAAACTATACTCACCAAAACCTCATGCACTTCACTCCGATCATATTCGACAACCTGGATTATGCCTGGAGCTTCTCCGCTGAACTGAGTCCAGAAGGTCTGATCGGTATTTCGGGAAGCGTTCTACGGTTCGTTCTTCTGAAATATTTTACTCTACGTATCTGATCGTTCCGTTGTAGGATCTTCCAAATACCGAAGCTCGGTATGAAGCTCAAGCAAGATTCTATCCCTCTCTCCTACACCCCGCGAAAATTCATCACTCATCCGACAAACCAATTCTTCTACCTTATTGAGGGTGACCACAGAGTGCTTGGAGACGCTGCTGTTGCTTCCAAGTTAGCTAAACTCGTAGGTTGGCCTTCTGCAGGTCACAAGCCGGAGGACTGAAATACTTGTTCATTTTAGCGTGAAGAGGGAAGAAAGATCGATGAGGAAGTCATCAATCTACCCCCTGAAGTGTTTGGAAGACCCAGGGCTCCAGCAGGCTCATGGGGCTCGTGTATTCGTATCATCGATCCTATAAAGGTAGTCTCGGCCTTTCTACTTCTTCCTCCCTCTCTAATGCTTGTCTGTTAGGCAAAAACTGTCAACGTGCTTCACCTAGAAGAGAATGAATCTGCGTTCTCTTTAGCTATTGTACCATTCTCTGCGAGAGGTGGTGACCTTCACCTCGTAGTTGGCACCGCCGTCGACACCACCCTTTCGCCACGCTCGTGTACAACAGGCTATCTTCGCACGTACAAGTTCAATGAAGATGGAACAGACCTAGAATTGCTGCACAAGGCGAGTCTCTTGGATATTTGCCCCGCGGGATTGAGACTAATGTGAATGTTGAACAGACGGAAACGGACGATGTGCCGTTGTCAGTCATGGCGTTCCAGGGCCGTCTAGTCGCTGGTGTAGGAAAGGCTCTCCGAATATACGACATTGGGAAGAAGAAGCTCCTCCGCAAGGTTGAAAACAAGGTAACCCCAAACTGCCTATTACCCTCTGCGGCAATCTAATTTTCTCTTTCCCACCAGAGCTTCGGTTCTGCCATCGTCAGTCTCAACACGCAGGGCTCTCGTATACTCGTGGGTGATATGCAAGAATCAATCACCTTCGCGGTCTATAAAGCACCGGAGAACCGTCTCCTTATCTTCGCAGACGACTATCAGCCGCGATGGGTCTCCGCCACCGCCATGGTCGATTACAACACCGTCGTGGCAGGCGACCGTTTTGGCAACATTTTCGTGAATCGGCTGGACGCCAAGGTCTCGGAACAAGTAGACGACGACCCAACTGGTGCCGGGATCCTGCATGAGAAAGGAATACTGATGGGCGCACCCCACAAGACGTCCATGATTGCGCACTTCCATGTGGGCGACCTTGTGACTTCCATTCACAAGGTCTCGCTAGTCGCCGGCGGGCGCGAAGTGCTCCTGTACACAGGCATCCACGGTACGATCGGCGTGCTTGTCCCCTTTGTCTCCAAGGAAGACGTCGACTTCATTTCCACGCTCGAGCAGCACATGCGTACGGAGCAGAGCAGCCTTGTAGGGCGCGATCAGCTCAGCTGGAGAGGGTACTACGTCCCAGTAAAAGCTGTCATCGATGGCGACCTCTGCGAAACATTTGCTCGACTCCCCGCATCAAAACAAAGTGCCATTGCAGGAGAGCTGGATCGCACTGTGGGAGAGGTGCTGAAGAAGCTGGAGCAGCTGAGAGTGACTGCGAGTGGTTTCTGATTGTTCGACCTATATTTGTACGGCTGTAGTGTTAGTGCTGCTGCTTCTGCTTTCTGTTATCACATCATGTCTAGTTATCTATGTATTGAGACGTACTTATTTCGAGATTCGTTCTCACTCATGACGTGCAGAGGGAACGTACTGATGAATAAATTGCATGCGTAGAAGCTATTTTACAGTGAGAGTAGAATATGTATTACATTGCGATGGAGAAGTTGTACAAGAATGATGGAAGAGTTCGATGAGAGGTCAAGAAACGTGGTCCAAAACCCTTTTTACAACGCAGCCTTCTGGTACTTCGGCTCAACACCATCAGCAACGGCAAGATAAGGCATCAGGTCGCTGGTCAAGAATTCGCTGGGCCATGTCGCACGTATCTGGCTGCGAATGTACTCGGAGGCAGTCTGAACATCCTTATCTTGTGCTCCTGACGCGAGTTTCTTGATACCAGGGGCGAGCTCCTTGATCAGATCATCGACGTAGGCGACAGTGATGGGGACACCAGTGTCAGTGCGCGAGCCGTACTTGACCCACTGCCATAGTTGTACGCGAGTGATCTCGGCAGTTGCTGCGTCCTCCATCAGGTAGTTGAGGGGTATGCATCCATTGCCGCCAAGCCACGCCGAGGTGTAAGCGAGAGCAGTGGCAACATTTTCGCGTACGCCTTCTTCAGTTATCTTGCCCGGAACTTGGGTGTTCAGGAGATCAGCGGCAGCCACACGGACTTCCTCGCGGCGGACGTGATACTGGTTAGGGAAAATATACGTCAGTAAGGAAGCCCGTAGGAATTTAAACATAGAAGTTACCTGATTGGCACCTTGCATGTGTTCGTCAAAGATGGAACGGGCAATTTGGTTGATGAGAGGGTGGGCGATCCATGTGCCGTCGTGGCCGGCAGTGACCTCGCGCAGCTTGTCGGCGCGGACTTTGGCCATGGCGACTTCGTTAGCCTTTGGGTCGTCTTTGATAGGGATTTGAGCAGACATTCCGCCCATAGCAGCTACTTTGCGCCTGGGTAACGATGAGAATGAAGCATGAGAAATAGAAGGGGAAAGGCACATACTTGTGGCATGTCTGAATGAGAAGGCGAACATAGGCGTCCATGAATCCCACTGTCATGGTCACGTCTTTCCTATCCGGAAGGATGGCGCCTCGATCAGCCCGGCGCTTCTTGATGAAGCTGAAGATGTAATCCCATCTAAAAATAGACATATGTGAGCCCGATCGTAAAACATACGCGGTTACGTCATCGAGGCACGTACCGTCCACAGTTGAGGCCGGACGAGTGATTCCTGAGCTCAAAGAGGATCTCCTCCATGTGGAACGCGGCAGGGAGCGTTTCGATGAGAACAGTGGCACGAATGGTGTTGAGCGGCATCCCGATGTACGTCTGCGAGAAGACGAAGACATCGTTCCAGAGGCGCGCCTCGAGATAGTGCTCCATCTTGGGCAGGTAGAAGTACGGGCCACGGCCGCGCGCAACGAGCTCCTTGGCGTTGTGGTAGAAGTAAAGACCGAAGTCGAAGAGAGATCCGGACATGGGTGCGCCGTCGATATAGACGCGAAGTTCGTCAAGGTGCCATCCACGAGGACTGATAAGCGGCGGGTGTGAGTATCAGGCAGGCATAGATAGTGCGCATACATACCGGACGATCAAGACAGCGGGGTTCTCAGAAAGCTTGTACTGCTTTCCGCTAATCTCGAAGTCAATCTGGCGGCGAATGGCATCGCGCAGGTTGATCTGGCCGTTGACCATGTTGGCAAAGGTCGGCGAGCTCGAATCTGTGGGCAGAACAGTTGACGCTGGGTTATCAGACGCGCAAGATAACGTTACTCACCCTCAAAGTCCGCCATGAACGTCTTGGCACCACTGTTCAGAGCATTGATGACCATCTTCCTGTCAGTAGGACCGGTGATCTCCACCCTCCTGTCCTCCAGTCCAGGGGCCGGGGGTGCGCACAGCCAGGCGGGGTCGGCGCGAATGGCAGCAGTCTCGGGCGGGAAGTCGAATGGCGCGCCAGAGTCCCATTTGCGTTGGGCATCCTCGCGAGCAGCGAGCAGCGATTGCCTTGTGGCTTCAAAGTTTCTGTGCAGGGCAGTGAGGAACTTGAGGGCGCCGTCTGTGAAGAGGACGTCCTTGACGTTGGCGGGGACTTTTGCGTGGAATGTTACAGCAGAGGACATGGTTGTGGTGAGAGAGGCTTTGGAGGCTCCACTGTTTGGAGAGGACGAGTTTTGTAGGCAAGATCCAGTTGGCCGGCTCTCCGTTGGTGTCCGTACCCGAGTGCCGCTCCGACCAACCCAATTCCGGGGTCTTATCACATGGCCCTGGATGGAAACTTCCCACGGCCTGGGTTATCTACTTACATCCAGCGCCGATCTATTTTCGATTGCGGGCAGATCCTGCGCTGTTCCGTCTCACGGCAGGTCTACGCTCAATGCAATCGGTGTCGAGATGAGCCACATCGGGGATCACTACAGAGCCGCAGGACACCAAGAGTATATTTGGACACAATTTGGTGCCGTTGCTGCCATTCCAGGCCACTCCCCACATGAAACCGGAAGGGCCCCTCCAGCGTGAGGAGGTCCCAACGCTTCCACGGATCTCCAAAATAACCCATGAATCTGGGGAAGTAGAATAGCAGATACAAGTGCGCACGTTCTGCTGATATCCGACGACCATTGCATGCCAAGACACAAGTTATTTTTATTGCGCGCCTCCGCCCCTGCATCGCAACTCGGTCAAATCGCGGAAGCCGAGGTCGAGGCTGAGGTGGTAAACCCCGGCACATAGAGCACCCGGGGCGATGGAGGACGGCCCAGCTGAGGCTAGCTCCCAAGATTCAGCACTTGCCCTTGGTCAGCCGTCGGTACCCCGCCGAATCAAACTGTATGAAAGGGCTCTCGCGTTTGCTGCCTATCAGATAAGATAATCCCATTAACACGATATCACACAAGCGGTGTACACACGGCTATGGTCGAGGACCATGGATAAAGCGTGTACAAGTAGATGCACATAAATACATCCGACATCAAGTCTGCTTGGACTTTTCGTCACTGGGACGCTCGGCCTCTACCTTCGCCTCCGCGCTATGCGAGGAATCTATCAAAATGACGGAGCTTGGTGAGGCATTCGGAAGGAAGGAAGAGCGAAACGTACTGGCGATAAGGTCTTTCACGACGCGTTCCCCGACCTTGATGACTCTTCGGCAAGCCATCTGCCATACACCCACGCTCACGGAACCTACAACATTTCAATCAAAGACATACCGGAGAACAAACACCTAGACTCACCTGCGGGAGCAAATGGGAAGGATAGCCACCATTCCAATGGGCCAAACCATCCAGCGGGGAGATAGAAAACGGCAGACTTTCTATACCACCAGCCCACGATGAACTGCAGCCCCGTCGTTAGCGACCAAATGAGGCCGTTGAATTTCATCTTGAAGGATGATTTGTTGGAGGCGACCTCAGCGTCTGTAGGTCGACCATCAGTGAACTGAGATTCAACGGTAATATCAGGACGGAGATAGGAAGACGTACTGAGTTTCTCCAAATCAGCCAACCCCTTGTCCACACTCCTCCTCAATTTAGCCCACTTCGCGAACTGGTCCTGCGCGCTGGTCTGCATGAGCTCCTTCTTCGTGGCGAGGATCTCGGTCTTGAGCTTCCTCTGCCGCACATGGAGCGACGAGTGAAATAGTCGAAGATATAACGAATATGCCTGTCAGAAGAACAACAAGCCATCCCCAAAATTAGCTAACGTGAATTGAAGTGAGAATCTCGGATGGGGACGCACGAGTTCTAGGAGAACGGTTTGGCCTATCCATGAAATTAGCTGGGTAACGAAAACCAGCGCGAATATGGTGATGAGAAGGGACATTTTGGGAGGAGAGTTGGGCACAGCTTGCTTCCTGCACCTGAGCTTCGTGAAGGCTAGTGGATGGCGACGTGGATGTGTATTTGTGACCGTGCGAAAGATACGCTTGATATTATGACTGTGTGAAACTTATTCTTACAGCTTAGTTCAAACAGAGTCCAAAATTCTTGAAGTCCACCAGTCCACGATTGAATATTGAACGTTGAACGTTGAGTCTTTGCTTGCTCTATCTTTTCATTTTGAAATCAAATTATAACTTCAGATCCGGCAGGTTTGTGCGCCCTTTAACACTGCCCGTTTGCACACAAATCACCGCCCTCGTGTCATGGGAACTTCGATTCAACTTTGAAATGTGACTCAGTAATTCAGCAGGCTGCCACAGCGACTATAACAGGATCCTGCGTGCCCACCGTTGGCTCTGTTATGGAATCATCGACATTTGCGCTAGCGAACAACACTTGGGTTCCGTCAGACTATGCTATATTTCCGAATGAAGTGAAGAAACACCGTTACTTTGGTTGATGGTCTCAATCTTGATGGTTACTTAGCTCTTACGAAACTATGCTGGTGGTCCGCCTCTTGATTTCAGGGGGTTCCGCCGCTCGGGGTGTGTCTACCCTCGTTTCCCTTTGATCCATGCATCGAGCTAGGCCTTTCAACACCATGAATCGGAGCTCCAAGTCACCCGATCCTTTGACCTTGAACACTGCAATCGTTTCATCGTTTACCGTCGGGGACGGCGGAGGTACGAGTCTCACCGGTTCTGTTCCAACACCCGTCTTTGGCAACAGCGTCGTTCCCGCAGCGGTCAATACACAAGATGTCTCCCGGTCATCACTAATTCTGGATCCTGGCCTCGTTGTCTCCTGCTTTGCTGAATCCGACGGACCACAAAGTAGGAGCGTATCAATCCATATATGCCCCAATATCTTTCTCATCACGACCAGGGGTTGATCATTCCTTACAAACATCGACCAATAATTTCATCAACTATTGTTTGTTTCTGGGACCGAAAACACAGCTGCCGTTAGCAAATGGGACATCCGCCCCAGCTGGTGCATGCAATCCGGTTTCAATGGGTGTGCTACCTGGCGGGACAAAGACACCTTCAAAGTTTACATTTCCATCATAGTGGAGAAGCAACGATGTCTCGCCATACGGAGGCTCATAGAATTCATGCTATATGATTCACTTGATTATAAGAAGGAGCAATGCCAACCAATCGATTCTAGCGCAGGCAACAGAGCCAAAGGAGGGATGTATCATGTGCAGACCTGCTCCATTTACTTCCTGGAATGCAGTTCCTTAAGTTACCACTATTGCCGATGTGTACGGGACAGACGGACATTTGAACACGATTGGGGGACCTTTGTGTTTGCAACAGCGAATAACTCGAGTCCACCCGTCATTATCAAGTTCGCGGGGAAATTCTTGCTGCTTCCGCGACATTTTATGCTGAAGCAGGGAACGAGCGACCGGAGTGGACATCCGGTCATAGGCATGAACGTTTGAATGTCTAATCAGGGCCAACTCTGATCAAACGGGTCTATGGTGGAACTATGGTAGATGAAAGCAAGTACACTAGTGTTATACAGATAAAGAGGCAATAACAAAGGAGAGAAGCGTCGATCAAGACATCTTCGCCTCGCGTTTTGCTTGATTGACCTGTGCGTTCCGGTGGGCCCTCAACCCCGTATTGGGACCCTGGGCACCTTTCTTCAGAGACGCGGCAGGTGCGGGTGCCACGCCAGACTGTGAAAGGGATAGTCTTGTCTCATCAGATGCGAATCCAGGGATTCGGATGTTATGATTGCGTTCTGCGGAGTGTCAGCAGCGAACAAAGCAACTGAAAGGAATGAACTAACCAAGATGAAGTTGAAGGTCGCGGACTTCCAAAGTATCACACCCTCGGTGCTTGGCTAGTCTACACGCAAATGTTGTTACGGAGTCTATGAATTCATCCGCGATGTTTAGTAGAAGCTGTGATATAAGTTAGACTCAGACATCGGAGCACGCGGCGCGGTACCTACATCTTCGACTTCAGGTTCGATCTTGACATTGGGGTCAATACTCGCTACGAGATCCTGGATGGACCTCCTCATACTCTGATCTCCTGGAGTAGTCTTCCGTCTGTTTCGGTGTTCGTCCACAGTGAGCAAAGTGGGGTCATCGGGAGTTCTAGCGATCTGGGCGGGAGTGCCTATGTGTGTATTAGGGACGGTCGACACAAACATGAAAGGACTTACCAGCCATTCTGCCTCCGGCTATCCCCCCCGTCAAGGTGGGACGTCCTTGCTGTGCGCTGGCCCATGCCACGGGCCCTGGGTTGGTTGTGGACAAAGTAGAGCTGATGGTGTATCCTTCTCCTACTGTCGATGAAAGTGTAAGTGGTGGCGCGTCCGTCGGATTTTTGAATGCCCCAGGCTGTGCGGTTGGTGCAGGCGTTGAGGGATGAGCAGGAGCAGGGGAAGATGCCTTGAACATCAAAGGTCGCATAGAAGAGTCGTACGGAATGTAGCGAGCCATTTCGAGGGTTTATGGGATGTATCGTATGGGTTTAAATACAGAGCGCTACAAAGGGTTGTCTTTGTACTCACACTCGTGGCGGCAGCGGGGGGCTTGACACGATTCTGATCGGCGTATGCTTTCAGCTGTGTGTAGTAAATAGATAGCGTTCCTTAATGTCAACATATCCATGTGGCTACCGAAGAACATACCTGAAGTATTTGGTTTTGGTCTAACTTCCCGTTCTTCGCTAACTCGTGCAGATAGGACATATTAGATATCAGCGCTTGGGTGATTTGCTCGTTGGCTACTGTTTCTCCTGTCTTATTCTTCAAGAGAGAGCTCAGTGCGTTCACAATGTTGATTGCATTGGCAGTATTGATTTGTGGCTGTGTGGGTTGCGCAGAAGTCGATGGCGCAGGGCTAGAAGCTGCTTGGCCGGCATTTGGAGTTGACATTATAGCGCACTTCTGGTACTCGTCGCCGTCGTCGTCCTGCACGGAGGTGAAGAGACAAGTGATAGATGTAGCATAAGCGCCCAAACTAATACAGGTGTAACGCGTCACGGAGCTGTGACGAGACGCGACATCGTGACATCAACGACGCGTTTCGCCTCATTTCACATTGCACTGTCATGGCAAAAGTTCAGTCGAATCCCTCACACGGCTCAGGCCAGACATGTCTTGCACTATCACCAGACGGGAGGTACACTACTACATAGATCTTGTTTGCATGCTCTACGCTGACATGAATCCACGATGTAGGCGCGCCTTCACAGGAGGGCAGGATTGCATCGTACGAATCTGGGATTTGGATGCCGGAACAGATCATGAGCCAGAGGTAGCACCTGATGCGGATGGAGGGGTGAACACCGTCGCCGTAGCTGTACGTCGATCACCCCGAGTGCTTCGAATGATATCTCTCTGAACTTCTACAGCACGACTACTGGATCTCCGGAAGTGAAGATGCTGAGGTCAGACGATACATGAAGGATAAAGGGCAAATAGATGGCCTAGTAACTAGCGCCAAAGGTGTCCCAGTGCGGTGCGTGGCACTAGATGCGAAGGGGAAGAAGGTTGCTGTGGCTTCAGAGTGAGTTTGAATTGGCTTAAGTTGTGGAATGAGACTGATTTGAAAGGCAGTGAGTTATCTGTGAAATTGGTCAATATGGAAGACATAATGCAAGTCACCCTGTTGGAGGGTCATACTCGGGGTGTGCGGTCGGTGTCATGGCATCCGTCTGGGGAGCTTTTGGTGCGACCCATCTTATAGACGCCTCAACATACTTATACCCTGATAGACAACGTGTGGTGCAGACGGAAAGATCATTGCATGGGATGTGACCGAACCGACAGCTAAGGTTGTCAAGACTGTCGAAGGTATAATACCGACAGTGATCGACTCTGCGTACGTTGGACACTCTATATTAACGCGCCCTTCTCACCCGCACGCTACAGCGTGCCAGAGTTCCTACACAACTGTTCCGTAGTGTGGCACCCATCAGGGCAATACTTCTTTGCGGCGTCGAGGAACCACGGTATGCATCCCCACTCATAGGTCCGCGTCTTCTAATTCCCCTCTAGAAATTGTTACTATCTCTCGGTCAAACTGGTCGAAGTCCGCTACTTACGACGACAAGGACGTTACCGGTGCTGTTACTGCATTAGCTGTTTCTCCTAATGGAGTGTACATGGCATCGGCTGTGCAGGGAAAAGTCCACATCTGGTCGACGCAAACGCGGCGAATTATCGCATCGTGAGTTTCTTTCATGACAACCCACATCATAGAATATTAATCATATACAGTCATCCTGGGACCCCGGGTGCCATCATCACACATATTTGCTTTTCACCAGTCCGAAATCTAGTCGCATGGACCGACTCCGAGGGTGTTTTCTTTCGATGGCAAGATGTCATCCCCGGTACAATGCCTAGCCCTGTAACTTCGTCCAATGCCGCAACGGCGACAGTGACAACGAAGAAGGTTCCAGAGTCCCTCTCCTTATTTGGAGATGACAATGCCATAGACAGGGTGCTTGATGGAGGAGCCATTGATGAGGATGAAGGCACGGCGGATGTGGATGACTGGATAATTGATGATTTGGGTGGAGGCATCGCCGACGAGCCAGAAGGTGCCAAGGAGTCGAATGGATATGTCAAGGAGATGGGTATGTCGGTGTGCACCTTGCGTAGAATGCTGACATTAATTGTCTACAAGTGAGTATCACCAAGGCTCAGCCACCGTTTCAGCCGGGTGCTACACCTATGGAGTATAAAAAGAGATATCTAGGTAAACGACCTTCCTCAACTCCCGGTTGTCTTCAGAGTGCTAAACCATTGCCCAGCATATAATATGATCGGCGTAATAGAAGTCACAGACCAAGATACGCATCATATCGTCAACGTTGAATTTTTCGACCGATCTATGAGGAAGAGTTATCACTTTACTGACCACTACAAATACGATATGGGATGCCTGGGTCAGCCACTTCCTGTATCAACGCGGTTCTGGGCTTACATACAGTGTTAGGTGAACGTGGGGCGATCTTTGCCTGCCCGCCAGAGAATGATCATCCCTCCCAAGTTCTGTACAAACCCTATGGTACTTGGGCCGCCCAAAGCGAGTGGACGTACCCTCTCAAACGAACGGATACCCGGGTCTTGGGTATCACAGCTGGCGCAGCGATGCCGACGCGCAGCCTCCGTGACAATACCAACGATGATCTCCAAGGGCTTGGAAATGTCGTTATCGCTACAAGCGAAGGGGACTTGACGTTCTTGAGTGGAAGTGGGCTCGAGCGTCGTATCTTAGGCCTTGGTGGGGACTTTGTTTCGATGGTAGCCGCCGCGGAGTGGGTATTCGTGGTCCACAGGGCTGGCTCGACGACAATAGACGGTGAGCTACATTGTAAACGTTCATAACTGACATTTACTCAATTTGGGACACAGGCTCTCAGAACTTGTCATATTCTCTCGTCAACTTCGACGATTTCAGTGTCCGCCAGAGGGATGTCCTCCCAATTCCTAAAGGGCACCGCTTGACATGGGTCGGCATTACCAGCGAAGGAGCCCCAGCCATATATGATACGACCGGGAGGGTCCACATTCTGACGAAGTACCAGATTCCTCATCACGGCTCATGGACGCGAATTTTGGATACGAACCTACTAGAACGAAGGAAGGGGAAAGACGAATCGTACTGGCCTGTAGGTATCAATGGTAGCACGTTTATGTGTTTGATCTTGAAGGTAGGTTCTTTCAACGTTAGTGCGAAAAGATACACTCATCGAGCTTGTGTAGGGACGGCAAGAATTCCCAGGCTTTCCTAGACCGCTTGTCCAGGACATCCCCATTACTATGCCTTTCCGTCGCGAGGATGTGCTCAATGAACAGTAAGCCTATCATTTAGTCCCCTCAGTGAGGTGGTCTTGAACAGCTACATAGGGTATATCGTAACCTCATGTTCCTCGATATGGCGTACGATCAGCTTGAGGATGAACTCACAACCCGTGAACTGTCCCAGCGAGAACTAACTATCGACAAAGAATTTGTCCAGCTCATCCAAGAATCCTGCAAGGCCGGAAACCTTCCCCGCGTCGTCGAGTTAGCCAAACTTCTCCACTTCCCCCACTCAATCGACATTGCCGTCAAGATCGCGGAATTCCACCGGTGCATCGGGTTGAAAGAGAAGCTCCTTGTGCTCAAGGCTAGCCAGGGGGGCGATGTCGAGACTCGACTCGAAGTGATGAAGGAGAAACGGGATTCGTGGCTGAAGAAGGATCCTCCGCCGAGGAGGAAGATGATTGAAGAGTCCTCGACAGCGACAAGGGCTTTCCAAAATTCTGCGCCGCCACCTGCCATACATAGGCCTGCCCTTGCGCCCGCTGCCATAGCAGTGGAGCACACGCGATTCTCCTCTGTTGCGCCAAGACCAGCGGCTCAACCGTCGTGGGACGAACCTCCTGCTATAGGATCGTCTAGCTCATCAGATGGCAAGCGAAAACGCGTCGAAGACAACCTCGAATCAGAAGGATTTGACTTCACGCCACCACCGCCTCCAAAACAGAGTAAGCTAAACATAGCTCAGGTTGCGCGAAGTCTTGCTCATCGAAGTTGTAGAAACAAATCCGTTTGCTCGAAAAGCGGAGACGGGGCGTAATCCATTCGCCAGGAAAGGTGATCCTAGTAAGCCTGTTCAAAAAAGCGAAAGCTTCTTCGACAAAGTCGATGCTGCGGAGTCGGGGAAACCCAAAAGTGAGTTGCGCACTGCTTGGGGTTTGACCTGATTTTCAACGATGAACTGCAGAACCCAATGGCAAGGGAAAGGAAGCGAAGGAGAAAACTAAAAAGCTAGCTGGTCAACAAAAGACACTTGATCAGTTGAATGGTGTTGTGCGCCAGAAGGGAAAGGCGAAGGCGAACTCTACCGACACACAAACAGACACACAAACAGACACACAGTCGACCGACGTCACAATGACTGATGCATTGGGCTCCGAAGCGACCATGCCAGTCGACGAGTCGCAAGCAACTACCGACGATCAGGATGGGAATTGGGAAACCGGTTCCGTCGATTGGGACGAAACCCAACTCGTCGAGACACAAGACAAAACGACCTCGTAATTTTTTGGCTGCTGGAATGTTATCGCTGCATGATATCTGATCCACACATTATTCCTGTTTTCATATGCATAGTTTGTATTAATGAACATATAACTTATATTGTCCGTGGTAGATCTATCAATTTTTCTCTCGCTCCGAAGTGAAGATGTCCGAGATGGCCAGATCCTACAAGTGTATGAGCGCATGTTCTTGTACAAGTGCAGAGATGAATAACGAACCTCAGGAGCGAAAGGCCACTCGTCGAAGACGGTGATTATTTTTGCCCAGTCACTCACACTCAGCTTCCGAACCTCTGTCTTGATATTGACACGATCTTCTGGCGGGATATCGGGACTGTCTAGCTTCTTGAGGAGGACTTGTGCACCTGGTGCCAAAGCCCTGCAAGTGTTGTTAATAGATGAACTTGGGTCCAAGGAGTAGAACGTACGGGATAGCATCCTTTAGTGCCTTGGACTTGAGTACAAATAACCGACGAAGGCAGTAATCCCATTTATGGAGTACGCTTGGTTCAATGGCCTTGCGCGCGCGCAAATAAGCACAACTGAAGGCGAACAGCATCGAGGCACTCACCGGATGGACTAACGGTGTCACATTAATGGCCTGGAACGGAATACCTATTTTGCGATTCTCGACTTTGTTGTGATGCTTGACTGTAGAGGGTAAAGGGGTCCTGGGTTTCGGATGAAAGTGCTTCGCGAATGGCGACAGTCTCTCCGTTGGGACGGCGAAGTCGTATTGAGCTACGGCCTGAGCAACGATACTGAGCTTACACCGTGTTCGGGACTGTGGGCCCGCTTGGACTCTCTAACAGAATTAGCTATCAGGACATTAGTGCAAGGATGTAACTAACCTGCCACACATAATCACTAAGCACGAAACTGAGAGGGACGCGACCATACTGGAATAACCATTGCTTGTCCGGTATGCATCGCAGGAACTGGGCAATGAGTTGTTCGCCATGTATATTCATCGGGAAATGTGTAACGAATTGCAACTGAGGGTGTACTGGGGCACAAATGAGTGGTGGCTGAGCGAGAGACTGCAGTAATACTCACAAGTTTCCCAGTCCACATGTTTTACGTCGTCCAAGAGCCCTTCATAACGAATTTTCTCGTACGAGTCCCACGAGAATCCTGGCATTGGGATGACCTTGACTCGGGGGTCAATTGCTTCCAGAGGCTACACGCTCTAATTCAGCTCCGGTCAGTCAGAAGGTACGCTGGTGGTCATTTACCGAGAGAAAGTCCAAGTACGGTTCATGGTCCTCCAGTACTATGAGCTTGCTAATTCTCGACTTTGGCAGATTCATTAGAGCCCGTGTCAAAGCGCCAGGACCTTCAGAGCATTAGCAGTTACTCATTAAACATACGAACATGACAACATACCAGGATACGCCTCAATAATGACTTTCCCCTCCGAACCTGCCGGCACAAATGCCTCAGCCATTGCATTCGCAGTGTCTTGATCCTTTATTGAAGCGCGGTCTCGGGTTAAGAGAGTATCGCTTCGAAAGTATTTGCGCCATTCCGAAGGAGGAGGCAGGTCCACGTATGATGCCGGTTTCAGTATTGAAGAATCAGGAGATCCAGCCGTTGTAGGTTCATGGTGGGTGCGCCCTACCTTTATGGTAGAAGACGCGTAAGAACGAACGGCAAGTCTCGCGTTAGTGCGGACGCGAAGAAGTCTTAGCATCGAGGCCAGTAGTGTTGCTTGCGACCTGCGACCCGAGGAAGTAGTTTGTGGGCGTATGTGGGTGTACGGAACGCAGGAAACGTCCTAGAAATGAACTCAGCAGTTCATCTAAAGACACGGAGGTGGGAGACACTGCAACATTTATTCAAGTGCGCGCTCCAGATTCGCTACGCACGTGGTGCTCTCCTGACAGCCCCTGATCTCCCTTTGTTCAGGAGGTCCTCGAGAAACTAAGGCTTTCGAAAACGATTAGACGTAGAGATATATTGCAAACAAAGGTATGTATCCGATGATAGGTCTAAAGATGCAAATAATATACAATATGATATGAAGTACAGTGACTGCTTGGTGTACAAATGCGACTTGAAGCGTGCCCAGTGAGAAACGTCCTGCACACAGACAACCACACTAGATGAAGAAGGAATCGGCAGGATAATTTTGGCTCCTGTTATGAGTATTTGACAGCGTCGTCAAATCGCGATGCTACGGAGACTTGTATCATTGCCTTCTTCTTCTCTTCCTTTTCTCGCTCTTCTTCTAGCCTGTCCTCGCGTTCATCGGGGCGCTCATCTCGCCAGCGATTGTCGCCCGATAACCCTGTTTGGAATATTTCGCGCATCCGGAAGCCAAAGAGCGTGGCTGCAGCCATCCATTCCGGGAGGATGTGAAAGATGTAGAATGTAGTTTTGTCAGCCGGCGTGTTCAGAGATCCAGGCGCCTGCGAGCTGAGCTCCGTGGTGATATTACTCATTGCGTACGACCGATATATTCCGGTGATGCACTTGAATGGAAGGAGTCAGAAAGAGCGGTTCCCAAGAGTCGGACCGGTACATACGAGAAGGATGCTCAAATATATCATGAAGCCGTTGGATCGTTGATCAACACGAGGCATCTTGAATTTCGCCCATACAGAAACAATCACCAGTGCAACGGTGATCCAAAGCACAAGCACCGTACTGATGTACCTATAAGCCTTTGAGCACGGCTGAACGGGTCGGTCAAAGGATAAACAAACCTTAAGACTTGATTTATGTAGGTTTTGTTCCGGTCATGACGCTGGATGACGAGCAGCGAGTTGCCAATGAAGCCAGTGATGATAGAGATTATGAAGAGCACCGTCGTTGCATCGATGAACCGACGCCACCAGAAGCGATGACGGGGCATATCCGGCAACTTCGTTTCCTGAGCGAGGGAAGGAACGGCGCTTAAAGGCAACCCACAGGACCACCCAGCATCTTCTGAGGGCGTTATGAGTTCGGGGGCTCGTGCATCGGGGCGTGGATATTCGTATGTCGAATTGACGAGCATGGAGCGCAGGAGATTGGCGACATCCTGGGCAATGGCCACAAACCCCATCCCGATCGTGACCTGCATGTACTCCGTTACAGCGTCCGATTCCCGGCCCTCCTTCGCCGACACTATTGTGCGCAGACAGAAGAGTACGACTCTGAGCCACACGTGAGGTACTTCAGTAACTTGCTGCGCCGTCCCCAGCTAATCAACGCTCACCTCTCTATGACAAAGGCATTAGTCCCAATGAAGATCGTGGTGCGGGATTTTTTGTCTATTATTCTATAGAGCATGACTGGGATGAGGCAGCAATACGCCACCAGAAACACTATCGAGGGCACCAGATCATGAGTGCGCAGCGTGACTCCACCAACGGGCGCGGGGAAGGAGGGCATGGATGGTGAGTGTTGCGAACAAGGAAGAGAGAAAGGCCTCAGAGCGCTCTATGTCCAGCCAATGACATATGCCGACGTGCCAGCCCGGGAATCTCGTCGCTGCGGAAAACTACGGCTGAAAGGGCAGATGGTGAACAAAGATATGTGAGCGCCAATCAAGCCATCGAGGTCAACCCTGAGCACGCAGCTTCCCAGCTCTTCTAGCCGCGGAGACACCGTCGAAGCTGATATTGGGCGATAACGTCTCTTTGGGCGGATTTTCGACCAGGAAGTAAATTGGAGGATGTCCAGGACAAGGCGGGCCATATTTCTTGATCGCCATGCGTCGGTTTCCCGATTGGTCCAATGAAGCCGCCGGGCCGCGGCATCGGTATTCCCACACTTCGGCTTCCTCTGTAAAAGGGAAATGACCTGCTCCTCATACCATAAAGTTTGGAACGATGTCCGAAGCATGCTGAGATTTCATCTCATGTACATTTCCTGCTTAATTCGCATTTATCGTCTCTGAGCACCTCGACGACAACGAGCTATGATTAAGCACCATTCTTCTACTACAATAGGCCCGGTGCTTGTTGTGGACGGATAAACGCGTCAAATCCGAGCACATTGCGAAAGGGGGAGGTATCGGCAGCCGTATTGAAAGGATCCCAACGAATTTATACTATACGGCTCCAAAATGGAGACTTGGCATGGGGTAACCCGACGGAGAATATGTAGGACGGGCCCCGGAAGACCCAGGTCTTCGTGCACATACGGTACCTTATTCTTGAATCTGCTGGTGTCCAGACTCCATATCTCATAGAATGCGCACCTGGGCTAATTCCAACGCGTTACCTGCATGCGACTCCTCGATGTCCAGCACCAGCTGAAGGATACGATTCGCAAAGCGGCGTGGCCTTTGCTATTCTCCACCACCCATTTGACGTACGATCGCGTAGAACCGTCCAGGCCGTAGCAATTCTAGTGATTAGTGAAGATGCGAACAGGTCGTGGACATCGAATGCACCATTTTGGTTCGTGGTAGTATGTAGAAGCCTTCTGAATTGAAGTTCGCGTGATCTTATCGTACATAAAAAGTACGATCGTAGGCCTTCTATTCTTACTTACCTTTTACACGAATATGCATGAACTTGTTCGCAGATACTTTCCCGAATTAACTGCACACTGCTAGCACTGACAAGAGAAGCCTCAAAGTCAGAACAGGGAGCGCTTTCCCCAGAAATGACTGTGCCACAGCATCAGCATTTGGTTATTCGAACAGAAGAGCTGAGTAATGATTGACATCCTTCCCCGCATTTTCCCCCGCAGTACTGTTCCCTGACGACCCCACAGTGCCCAGCAGATATGACCGGCAATTGAGGTGCCCGAGCCCAATGTGACCCCAAAATATAGCCTGCATATGTTCATTTGCAGACATCATGACGCACATACAGTGGCTTGTAGACGATCAGACGACCTTGCTCCTGACAAGCTGATTAGCAATAGTAACGGAACATAGTCACCGGGCGTATCCTTAAGCTCAAGCTCAAGGTCGACTGAGAGCGAAAATTTCCCAGACAAAACCACTACTCACACACCACACACATTCATGTTCGAACTGCAGCTGAAAGAAGCACCGCTCCCCACCTTAGACAGGCTTGGAGTCTCCGTTCCCAAGGACGTCGATGCCAAGAAGGTCGCTAGTGAATGGTTCAAGTCGTTCGTGGCCCTGGTCGAGGCAGGAGACGCTGACGGTGTTGCCGGCCTGTTGCTTGATGAGAGCGTCTGGCGGGATATGCTCTCACTTACTTGGGATTTCCGTACCTTTGCGGGAAAGGATAAGATCAAGCAATTCCTCAAAGATCGTCTATCGGTCGCGAAGCCGCAGAACTTCAAGCTGAACGAAGATTCCGTTGGACTGCACACGCCGTACCCAGACCTCGCGTGGATACAAGCTTTCTTCAGCTTCGATACCGACGTAGGGATCGCCTCGGGTATCGTTCGCTTAGTCCCTACTGCTAGTGGGGAATGGAAGGCGCACGGGCTGTTCACCAACTTGGAAGACTTGAAAGGCTTCCCTGAGAAGCTCGGCGCACTACGTAACCCCGCGCCCAATCACGGTAAATGGGAGAAAGATCGCCAGCGCGAAATCGCGTTCGAAGGGAAAGAACCGACGGTATTGATCGTCGGAGGCGGCCAGAGTGGACTTGAAGTAGCAACGCGACTGAAATGCTTGGGAATCAGCTCCGTCATCATCGAACGAAACCCTAGGATAGGAGATAACTGGAGGAACAGATACGGCGCGCTTTGTCTGCACGATCCGGTTTGTGAGTGCAACGTTGACAGTGTTATTGATTACGAACCTGAGAGAACCTTACAGGGTATGACCATATGCCATATCTCCCGTATGTCATCGCGGAGCTGTTGTTCGATGTAACTCTACTAATGGCACCGAGGTTAGTTTCCCTCCTACATGGCCAGCATACACGCCGGCGAAGAAGGTATGTTCCTTGATCCTCCATGTGGGATTTGACGCCAATTTTTGAGGACTTAGTTGGCAAACTGGCTGGAGAATTATGCGGAGACCATGGAACTGAACGTCTGGACGTCTTCGTTGGTGGATAAGATCGTTCAGGAGAAGCCATCTGGGAAATGGGTTGTCACAGTCAAGCGGGCCAATGGCGACAGGACCTTCAAAGTCAACCATGTAATCTTCGCTGCTGGTCTCGGAGCCGGAAAGGCCAGGGTTCCAGAATATCCAGGCATGGTGCGTCCACATTCGCTGCGCACATAATGATTGTCGCCTTACTTTATTCCGCAGGATGAATTCCAAGGGCAAATCCTACATTCGACGGAACACAAGCATGCCACCGATCATGCGGGGAAGAAGGTTGTTGTCATCGGATCCTGTACTTCAGGTCGGCAGTATCCCAATTCCTCTGTTGCCTGGAGCTCATCATCACCATAGCACATGATATATGTACCGATTATTACGAGAACGGCGTCGGTGAGGCTTGATGTCCTCGATTTGGTGATCGAACGCTGATGGTCGATACAGATGTCACGATGTTCCAGAGAAGCTCGACCTATGTCATGAGTACGACGAGCGGGTGGAAATACCTTATGGGAGGTAAGCCTGTTTGTGCAAACGCCGTCAAGGGGTAGTAACTCACAATTATTGCAATCAGATTTGTATTCAGAGCATGGGCCGCCTGTCGATGTTGCGGATAGGATAAACGCGTCCTTCCCGCACGCAGTGATGATGGGCATCTCGAGGCGTCAAGTCAAGCAAATTGCCGAGGCCGACAAGTAAGTAGTACGCGATTAGCCGCCTGCAGGCACTGACGAGTTCGTTTAGGGAGATACTTGACGGCTTGAAGAGAGTGGGCTTCCGGACGAACCTTGGATACAAAGACACTGGCTTCGGTCTACTCGCCTGGGAGAAAGCAGGAGGTTACTACATAGGTTAGGCTCAATTCATTCATCGCCCATAGCTGCGATGATGATGACAAATGGGCACTAGACGTTGGCGCGAGTCAGCTTATCATAGACGGCAAGATCAAGCTGAAGAGCGGACCTCAGATCGAACGCTTTACTAAGACTGGCCTCAAATTTGATGATGGTAGCGAGTTGGACGCTGATGTTGTGCTTTTCGCCACTGGGTACGTCGTATAATACGATACTGGTCTAGGTATGACTGAATCCTGTTCAGGCTCGGCGATTCGAAGAGCGCTATGACGGCTGTATGTGATGAGGAGATATACAGCAAGGCTGGGAGGGTATGGGGACTTGACCCAGAGGGAGAAATACATGCTGCTTGGAGGGATATTGGGGTCCCGAACATGTGGTTCATGATGGGTACGTTGTATCTTTTCCGCGGTCTACTTTGCGCTAAGAATCCGTCGTACAGGCAATCTTGCCCTCTGTCGGTTCCATTCTAAACATGTTGCCCTCCGTAAGTAATTTAGCCCTTCTTCCGACCAAGAAGCTGAACGTACGGATAGAAATCAAAGCTATTGAGGAAGGAGTATTTGGAACGAGATACAAACTCTAGAAACGATGCAGTATTTCGAGGGTGGTCAGACAATGGTAAGGGTGCGCCGCCGTTTGAACATAGATACAAGATAGATACACAATTTGCACAAACTCAAAGTTCTTCCCTCGCGCCCTTGCTGTCCAAGCCAACCAACTTGACCTCGAATACGAGGGCTGAGTTTGGAGGGATTATAGACCCGAATCCACGAGAGCCTGTGGAAAGATATGGTTGAGACAGGTAACTTCGTTCCACAGGGAAGTTCCTACCGTATGCCATGTTTGCGGGGATCGTCAGTGTCCGTCTCTCGTTCACGCACATGCCCTGCAGACCCTCATCCCACCCTTGAATGACTTGACCCACGCCGACTATTCTCGAGGTAATAATGTTAGTGCTGTGCCACAATTTCTCAAAGAAATACCACGTACGTGTCAGAGGTAGGGGCTGCCCGCGATCGTGGCTAGACGCGATCGAGTTGGTATGGGTGCAAGAAAGACGACGCTCCCCTTACCTCGAGTCAAATTTATCGCCAGTCGCGAAGAGAGTACCGGTCTAATCAAGATCAGGTTCCCGTGCAGACAAAATGATAGCAAAGTCATACATAGTGCACCCGTACCCCATCCCCTGACTTTGCTTTCACTGAACAGTCTTCGGGGGTGAAAGTTGCGTCGATTTGGAGCTTTGTAGGTGGCTCCTTCACGGCCAGAGCAGAAATGACAAATGCCAGGCATGCAAATACGCTGAACGGCCACATTTTGATGAGAGAAGAAAAGAGAGTCTCAGTTGAGTTGGCAGTACCAGGCAGTACCCGAACGCGCTCCCGATCACGTGGATGATGCTGGGCCGAGTTTTCGCCGCTGCCAGCTAACGTGCACTGGCCTTGAACCAGAAAGGTGCGCACCTACTAGAATGTGTTATGCTACCACGCAAATTACTCGGACATTATGACGGGCTGCCTGCAATCTCTGGCCACTCAAGATGTGCATCTGGGCCTTGCCCCATCATCAGATGCCCTGGTGGCTGTCGATGGCTATTCTATGTGCACCCACCTCCAATATGATATTCACCAAACATGGAGGTTCTGTTGCGTGTCGTTGCATCGATGGTATGATGGACTCATGATGGGAGGCCGCCGAAAGTTGGTTGCATTCCGAGTGCATGCGGCTATCATACCTCGCACTGGATCCTCCCAGTGATGATCTTCAGCCAGAACGACTATATCTGACAATGTGTGGGTTCCCGCCCTTTACATTGGCCTTGACCCATGTCCGACGTAGATGGTGTAAGTGATGCCTTTCCTTGTATCTCGTCTTTTTATCGGCTACTGTGCTCACGTACCCTTCATGCATAGGACTGCTCGATCACCGCCGCTGGGCGGACTACATCTGAGCTGAGCTCGGTGACACCGCCCACGACTACCGTGACCATCACAAAGACAGAAATCCGTTTCACGACGTCGACGATCTTGCGAGTCGTTCGACCCACCCTGAGCCCTGTTATACCCACCGCCCGTAGGAATAAAATTTCAGTGCCCCCGTACGTGAGGCCTTCTCAAGCATCAAATAGCTCATTCAACTTGTTTCGGCAGAGTCAATGTACCCGCTGCTCGCTCCTCTACGTTAAGTTCTTCTTCATCCTCAGTTGTGATCTCCTCTCCTCTCAATCTCATCCCCACGACTACACCCTCTTCGATCGCACCCACCCCCACCCCCACCGCCACGACCTCTTCGAGTACACCGCTTCCGGGTCCGCCTACAAATGCTATATCGTCGGGGACTCTTCCACCCAGTAGCAAGATGGCGATCGTAGTTGTAGGAGTCGTGGCGGCACTGATGACCGCGATTTCACTGGTGATACTCTTTGTATTGATACGGATGAGGCGCAGGGTGCAGCATTCGAGTGACAAGGCCGGTGAGTTTATGATGCCACCCGTTCGAGTCTTGTCATAATTGAGGATTCTTCCTCCTCGACTTAGAAAAAGCCGGAATTACTCCATTCCCGTACAGCGAGCGACATCCGCGTCCCGAGTCGGTGTATTCGATTTCATATCCGGTGTCAGGTGCCCAAACGGTGGACCCCGGCTCCCCAACATCTATGCAAGCCCATCACGGATCCACGTCCTCCGAGATGCTGGTCATCGAGAGGACTGGCGCGTCGTCGGTCAATGGGTTCCAGAAACGCACAGGACGGAAACGCAGCATCTACAAAAGTCTGGAATCTATGAGAGCCAGTGTTTCCTCACGGCTGGGAGGTAGTCGGCCCGGTACCTCGGATGGGCAATCTCTTCCGTCCTCCTTCGGCTCCGGGATCAGCACCTTGGTAGCAAACCTCACAAACAATCGACCATGACGGAGTATGTGGGTCACTGTGGTAGCGCTGGCGCTCTGCTAAACGTAAGTCGTAAATCATGGATATGCGGGTTGGATATGTGTACCTATAGCATTCTGTCGTCGCACAATAGGCATGTACCCTGCCGCGCTGAATTTATACCCATCCTCGCAGCGGTTAGCCGCGTCCCATCATTCCCATGTCCAGACCGTGGTCTTACGCTTTCCCGTGGTTCGGTCATCCGCAGACTAAGAGAAGAAGAGCATGTGGTGTGTAAGACAAGGGTAACGAAAATCTAAATGGGTCTTTCATCAATTATCATGTTCCTGGCAAGTTCATCTGTGGAGACGCTCCAGCGACATCTGTAGACCGCTGATTTATCTAAGTACTCAAACGCAAAATACTCCAGCTCCTAGGGGGTACCTGGATGTAACTTTGCAGGGTGCGCATGGTACTGACTAAGCAAATTTTCGCTGAATCGAAACCCAACTCACTTCGGCGCGGCGCCGTGCGCAAGAATTTGTTTCCGTTGTCGTTACATCGGTGCTGAGGTGGATGTATTTCGACAAATGCTGTAGGTCAAGTGCACCTTCAGGGCGCGCACCATCGGAGAACTTTCAATGCCTCGACTGTGATTGCGCGTTCGGATCTTCCCTGGACGACATCGCGTAACCCCAGACGTTTCTCCACACGAATTTCAGCCCCCCCTTCGGTTCCATGGAGGCCGTTAGCTATTTGGAGTCACGGATTTAAAATGGCAGTGGGGTAATTTTAGCCTCCCGTCCTCTGCTTCTCTTCCACCATGTCCTCGACGACTCCGGAAAAACGGTCTGCTGATGAGAAGCGAAGCGAGAGCATCTCAGAGGATGTGGCGACTAGCCAGCCCGAAATCGGAGAAGCAGTATCTCGGAGACACATCATGCGGAAGCTGGACATCCATTTGGTGCGGAAATACCATCTCTTCACCGTGCTCGATGCTGACAATGATGGATAGCTCCCTTTTGTGTCGCTGCTCTACTTGTTGTCGTTCCTCGACCGTGCCAATATAGGTCCGTCTGATACATGCTTGTCGATGTATGGTTTGTTTAACCTTTGTGCAGGGAACGCCAGAGTCGCCGGAATGGCGGCGGATGTTGGGCTCGTCGGCTTGAAGTATAATGTCATCGCAGCAGTGTTCTTCGTATGTGAACCAATCGTTGACGCGTGTTCTCTTCTGACTTTTTATCTGAAGATTCCGTATGCACTAGCGGAAGTCCCTTCGTGAGCATCTCGTGTTACGGACAATATCGATCGTAGTGAGTGACTGACAACTTCCAAGGAACATTGCCTTGAAACTCTTCCGACCGTCAATATGGAGTGCGTATTGCATCTTAATTTCTACACCTTTTGTCGTTATAACATGTTTGCTAGTCCCTACCATCATGCTTGCTTGGGGGCTCGTTATGACCTTGATGTGCTTATGCAACACTTACGAAGGTCTCATTATGTGAGTTCGTGCACAGCTGTCCTTTTCTGCTTGCTAATGATTCCCAGCGCCCGTGTCTTCTTGGGCCTGACCGAAGCTGGGCTTTTCCCTGGTGTACGTCTGGCATTTAGAAGTATCTCCTCCTCGTGACTGACATTCTCGAAGATCACGTACTATATATCACTGTGGTGAGTGACTTATGCAAGGATCTAATATATGAAGTGTACTCATGTAAGTACAGGTACCCTAGATCGAAGCAAGCACGACGTGTTGCCATCTTCTTTTCGGCAGCCACTGTCGCTGGTCAGTCTCAATATTATACTTCTCCTACAACGCGGGCTAATAGATTCGCTTTATAGGCGCGTTCGGTGGTCTTCTTGCGTACGCCGTCCCACACTAGACTCATTTGAAGTGTTTACGCTAACTTCTGAGTCAGATTTGGCATCGAGCATATGGAGGGGTATGTCGAGGCCTGTTGATATCGTGGACGCTCGCTTACATCACATGGTAGGCTTGGTGGACTTCATGGCTGGCAATGGATCGTGAGTGCGCACGATCACTTGCAGTAATTGCATTGACACTGGTTTTAGTTCTGTTTAGAGGGCATTCGTGCGTGCATAGATGTCTAAAGCACAATATGACTCTAACTTATGTCTTACAGTCACGGTTCTCGTCGCCGTAGCCTCCTACTTCTATATGCACGACGTAAGTCATGCATCCTTAAGCTGCACATGTAGCTCACGACGGTGTGCTCTCTAGTACCCGGAGACAGCGAGCTTCCTGACCGACGCCGAACGCATCCATGTGGTTAACATGCTGAAGGAAGATTCCAACAGCTTGGCAACTCATTATGACAGGAAGTTCGTTTGGCAAGCTATGCTGGACTACAAGACCTACGTCCAGGTTTCCATCTATATCGGGTACGTCGAAGGTACCGCTGCTGCTAGTGATGTGCTTATGCAATTCAATTATAGGTTGTTGATCCCAGTCTACGCCATCGCTTTGTTCACCCCAACTATCGTCAACTTATTGGGCTTCACTGCTGCGCAGGCACAACTTCTTACCATCCCCCCCTTCGTCGTAGGTTGTCTGTTTACCATCCTTGTCGGCATATACTCCGACAGGTACAACCTACGGGGACCTTTCATCGTCGGCGGATGTCTCGTTGCATTGATCGGATACATAATTCTATACACGCAAACTAAGCCAGGCGTAGCTTATTTCGGCGCCATTCTTGCCGCAACCGGTATCTACCCAACCATTGCTGTAGATCTAGCATGGGCTGGAGGTAACGCCGGAGGTGATGTTAAAAGAGGTGTAGTCATCGCCATGGTCATCGGTATTGGCAATCTCGGAGGGTAAGATTCCGCCTTCGACGACACTGGTTCTGGAGCAGCTGAACCGAGGCTTCCTAGAATTTGCTCCTCATTTATTTACATACATCCTCCAAGATTCTTCTTGGGCCACGGCATCATAATGGGTTTCTTGGGACTATCGTAAGATTGAAGTTTCTCCTCCAAGGCCCAGACTAACGCCACGTTCGCTCTTACAGCATCGTCATGTCCTTGTTTGCGATGTGGGACTATAATAGGATCAACAAACAAAAGGAGAAGCTCTGCGAGAAGGAGGGGATAGACCACAGCCGCCGACAAGAGTTCTCAGAGTTGGGGGATCATAGTCCACTATTCAGGTATGTCTACTAATATCATAACTTTGATATGCTAACGCTTCCCCCTTGCGATTCTGATCTGTCAGATACACACTGTAATTACATGTACTACTCATATCCCAAAAGCGAAGACTTCTACTAGTCTCATCACATTCTACCTTTCTCACTAATTGCTTGACCTGGATTCAGCCCCTCTATTCCCCTATATCCTTACCATAGGGAAGCGCCAGATTCGGTCACGTCGGCACCTTATTCAGATCAGCGCTCAGCGGGATCTGATGCTTACGATGTTCTATACTTCTATCCACACCAGAAAGGTTTCAAATGATATGTCAAAAATGCTTTGACCTTTCCTCTTGTCCTGGCGGAGAAATTTTCGAAACTTCCTCTCGTACGCACTATAGAAGTGTACTAGTCAGTTCGAAGTTGAGTTGTCCTCACTTGTGGGTATAGGTCGGGTCTAACAGTACGAAATCCCGTCTACTTTGAATCAGAACGTCTCTGGAGGAGCTCAATAGTATGTATCTTGTGCTGAAGCTTCAATCATCGGACTTTAACCTGGGTCCGCATACTCACCGGGGATGCACGCGAATCCTGTCTACCTCGTCAGCCCATCACTCCTCCACCGAATCTACGAAGCTCCGGCTAGCCTAAGTTTGTCTGCAAACGTCGACTAGGATTCTTACATCTGTTGATTTTGCTTCGCTTCTTTGACGATACTCCAATTGGACAAGCCGTGTAAGACGACATTACATAGGTAGACCCCAATTTCCCATTCCTTCCCTGCCGCTTCAGTAGCCACTCACCGATCCCTCCTCCTCGAAGTCAAATACACCATCTGGAAGAGACATTTGAGGCAGCATACACCCATTGAAGCTGAGATGTCTCTGCCTTCGACGTCACAAACAACCGTCGCGGAGAAGGATAATGACACATCGATCCGTCGCTCCTTGAGCAATCTATCGAAGGATGAAGAGCAGGCTGTATCACTTACGCCAGCAGACCGTACACGTGTGCTGAGGAAATTGGACCTTCATTTATTGCCCTTCGTGTCATTGCTCTTTCTGTTGGCATTCCTGTGAGTTCTACGTTAATTCGATGGTTCGTTGCGCTGATACGTGAGTTTGAAGCGATCGAAGTAACATTGGTGCGCCATTCACCCTACTTACCTGATGAGTACGTTCAAACGTATATGTAGGCAATGCTCGTGTCGCTGGTATGGCTCGCGACTTGGATCTCCACGGCCTTCGATACAATATTGCAGCAGCAGTATTCTGTGTACGTGCCAACATAGTCGAGCCCTACTCCGATGCTTACCTCGTGCCCCTAAAGATTCCATTTGCGCTTGCAGAGATCCCTTCGTGAGTTCCTCGCCAATCAAACGTGTTTGAGGTGCTTCGAGAATCACTAATATATTGTGTTAGTAATGTCATGCTCAAGCTTTTCAGGCCGTCGAGATGGAGTCAGTATACTCAATTAGAATGCTCGAGATCTCACTGATCTTTGTCTAGTACCTTCTATCATGGTCGCCTGGGGGCTCGTAATGACTCTTATGTGCCTAGTCAACACATACGAAGGACTTGTCATGTCAGCCGCCCCGCTTTGACATGTTGAGATCTGTACTCATCTTCCTTTCAGTGCTCGTGTGTTCCTTGGTTTAACCGAGTCTGGCCTGTTCCCGGGAATCTCTTACTACCTGTCGTTGTGGTATCCTAAGCGTAACTTGGCTGTCCGGATTGCGGTCTTCTTCGGTGCCGGGACTATCGCAGGTTGGTCACCCATATAAAATATACGGATCCGAATGTTACTGATGGCCACCGCCAAACTTAGGTGCTTTCGGCGGGATATTGGCATATGGAATCGAGCACATGGAAGGGTAAGAGCTCAGTGTTGTATCCTCAACGTGTCACTCAAATCGTGGCCCGAGTAGCATCGGTGGCCTCCACGGATGGCAATGGATCGTAAGGGCTCTATCTTACATCTATAATGATTATTTATTGACGTTGCCCTAGTTCTGCCTCGAGGGATTGTGTAAGTTACTAGCCATTCTATTGACAGGGCTTCTATTAAGCTTCTCCTAGTTACCATTCTCGCCGCTCTCTTAACTTTCTTCTTTATGCATGATGTAAGTAATGGTCATTCTGGGTGGCTCTCGTTGCATACGCATCTGCTAATCTGTTGCAGTACCCTGATCAAGCATCTTTCCTCACATCTCTGGAACAAGAACATCTAACACTGATGTTACAAGAAGAGCGCTCTGCCACACAAGCTCAATTCAACAGAGAATTTGTCTGGGAAGCCCTGAAAGATTACAAAGGTGGGCTTCCTGGTGAACGGTTGCTGTCATTTCATAACTTATGAGCTACAAGCGTATTTGCAAGTTGGTATACAATACGGCATCCTTATCACCGCTCAATCAATCATGCTCTTTGCTCCGACCATTGTTAATCAACTAGGATATACAGCGGCTCGAGCGCAGCTCCTCATCGTCCCGATTTTCGTTGCCGGATGTCTAGCAACCGTTATCGTCGGAATACTGTCTGACAAGTACAACTCTCGGGGGCCGTTCATCGTTGGTGGCTGCATTGTATCTATTGTCGGCTACATCGTTCTATACACTCACAAAACCCCGGCTGTGGGCTACGTTGGCGCCATCATCGGATCTATGGGCGCATACCCCTGTGTTCCCATAAACCTAGCTTGGGCAGGCGGAAATGCAAGTGGATCGGATTTGAAACGGGGCGTCGTACTTGCCATGGTCATTGGGCTTGGAAACCTTGGCGGGTACGAATTGACTCGTCTTATTATCATGTTTGCAAGCTCACCCTTCGTTCCCCTAGAATTTGCGCCGCCTTCATTTATTACGATGGACCACAGTTCCACGTTGGTCATGGTGGGACCTTGGACCTTTTATTGCGTTCGCCCGACACTGAATCACTGCTACAGGAACTATAATGGGTTGGCTTGGTCTATCGTGAGTCGTGTCTTTCCTCGCCATGCAACATTCGAGTTGATCCCTACTGCTCCAGCTGCATTTTGAGCCTTGTCGCAATGTGGGACTGCCGGCGTTCTAATAAGATTAAGGAAGCCATCTGCAAGGCAGAAGGTATCGACGAGAATCGGAAGCAAGAGTTCGCTCATCTGGGCGAACAGAGTCCCTTGTTCCGGTACGCAACCCAAATGATATTTCACTGTCTATTCGCTGATCATCCAACTCAAGCTACACTATTTGAGTTGTTTGTTTTGTACTGTACTATGTTGTACTAAAAGTTCGGGACCGCATTTGCTCGCCTGTAAGTCACTCGTCAAGCGTTCAATGCATTATGTTTAGTCTTCTTGTTCGTTCCAAATTCTTAGTACATGTTTCTGGGCCACCATCCAGCGATTCCAGGCCTCGCTACGATTTCTCAGGAACGTTTACTCTGGTCCTCTATTATAATTCTTCTGTCAAGAAAGATACTCGATAAGCGGGGCCACTCGAGTACGGACTTTGCCAATGTATTTACAACCTGGCTGAAGCCTTCCTTTAGATTAAGCGCACATCGTGATATCATATCGTTTGCTCCAGTGAGTCGTCGCGTTGAATACAGATGACACCACATCTTACCAACGCTCGCGGAACTAGTATGTGGGATTTCAATCATCCATGTCAATTAACATCATCAACGGCGCAAGAAGTGGGAGTAGGCCGACTTATCCCATTTTGGCCTGTCACCTGCCACTTATGGGTTTCTTCCGTTTCACCACCTCCATTCCCGAGCGTTGACAATGTATTCAGTTGGAAATAGAAGCCGTGCACGAGGCATGAATAGCGGCAAATGGCACCCACTTGATCTGTATTAATACACCATCACAGGTGAGTAGTAGCTTCTTCCTCGAGCCGGCAATGTTCATCTCTAGCACACATCCGCGGTTCTCAAACTCTCCTTGTCGGACTGAGACGACTCAGTCCGAGTCTTCTTTATCTTCGGAGAAAGTCAAGGATAATATCAAGGACACAGTTCAAGAGGTCCTGCCCGCCATAAAAGATGTTGAGGCCATCAGGGTTAACTACGATGACAAGGAAAGAAGTCGTATATTACGAAAGATGGACCTTCGTCTGCTTCCTTTCGTGTCTCTGCTATACCTGCTCTCATTCTTGTAAGTGCACTTGCCTTGATATCGACACTGAACTAGACCTGCATGCTAATGGCCAACAGGGATCGGAGCAATATTGGTATTTGCCACCCACGTCTCATGACGGAGGGATCTTAAAACAAAGTTAGGTAATGCGCGTGTTGCTGGAATGGCGGAAGATTTGAATCTTGTCGGTCTCAAATATAATGTAGCTGCCGCGGTCTTCTCGGTATGTGCCCCTACAGCCTTCATTGCAAAATGATACTAGATCCTTCCTAGATACCTTACGCCTTGGTTGAGGTGCCATCGTATGTAGCCTTCACCCCATTCCCCATATTTAAAATCACAGTCTTCTTCAGAAATATTGCTTTGAAGCTATTTAGACCGTCCATCTGGAGTGTGTAGAGCAATGAAGGCCTTGCTTTGATGCTGACCGATGCCACAGTTCCATCTATCATGCTCGCATGGGGCATAATCATGACTCTTATGTGCTTGGTCAATTCATATGCCGGTCTTATCGTGTATGTCCAGGACTTTTTCTCAGTATTCTTCATACTGAACAGGATAATAGAGCACGGTTATTCCTTGGGGTGGCTGAGGCTGGCCTCTTCCCTGGTGTAAGTAGGCTTCGTCTGCAGCAACAATCCTCTAAGCCCCATTGCAGATCACATTCTATCTGAGCCACTGGTATCCTAGGAGGAAGTTTGTGCGTCCTTCATACTTATGCAACCAGTCTAGCTTACCAGTGGTTGAAGGCCATGCGGATTGCTATATTCTTCTCTGCAGCCACTATTGCAGGTACGCTCCCAGTTCCCACCCATTCGATTGACTTGCCATAGTAATGCTGTCTAAGGCGCATTTGGTGGGATCCTTGCGTAAGCTTGACTGCACCATTCTCTGTTTTCAATAAATTAATGGGTAATCCATAGATTCGGGATTGAGAAAATGGATGGGTAAGTGATAGAGCTGGCGTCAGAGTTGAATGACTGAACCAGACGTTTTCAGCATCGGAGGCCTTCATGGGTGGCAATGGATTGTAAGTCACAGCGTAGGCTTATATTTTTCAACGTTCTGACGTCTTCCGTTAGTTCTGCCTTGAAGGACTTGGTAAGAATTCGCGGTCCATTTTTCCTGAGAGATGATATTCAGCCCAGAGTGCAGCAACCGTCGTCGTCGCCACACTATCTTATTTCTTCATGTATGATGTAGGTGATATTTACCCTCGTCAAAAGCTCGCTCATATGGATGTTCATCAGTATCCAGAAACTGCATCCTTCCTAACAGAGTCAGAACGCCGACATGTTGTAGAGATGCTGAAAGAGGACTCTCGTAGCCTCGCCACGGGATTTGACAAAAAGTATATATTCCAAGCGATGACGGACTACAAGACATATGCTCAGATCGGAATACACATGGGGTATTTTTACTCCCTCTCTAAAGCTTAGCCAGGACTGACAAATGTTCGTCAGTCTCCTCATCACTGCATACTCCATATCTCTCTTCGCGCCGACGATAGTACATCAACTTGGATTTAGCTCAGCCCAAGCCCAACTCCTCACGGTGCCCATCTTTGCGTGCGGGTGCTGCTCTACCGTCGTCATAGGCATTCTCTCCGATAAATTCAATATCCGAGGCCCATTCATCATTGGGTGTGCGTTGGTATCCATGGTTGGGTACATCGTGCTGTATACCACATCGACCCCCGGCGCAGGTTACGTTGGGTGTATCATTGCCGCCGTAGGAGTGTTCCCAACCGTCCCCGTGGATCTTGCGTGGATTGGTGGAAATGTAGGTGGGACGTTGAAGCGTGGAGTCGCGATTGCTATGGTCATCGGTATGGGGAATCTAGGAGGGTAAGCTTTGCTATCACAATGTGGAATGCTGATGCCGATGGCTTACTTTATTCAAGGCTTTGTTCTGCATTCATTTATTTCGACGGCCCCCGTTTCCACCACGGACATGGTACGTTGATCTACTCTCTCAGTGTTAGTCAGCTCTTCACATACTTGCCAGGTACCATTATGGGTTGGCTGGGCCTTTCGTAAGTTCTCGATGTTTGCACAGCGTTGGATGATTAACACTTTGACAGGATTCTCCTTACCTGCTTCATGATGTACGATTACGACCGCTGCAATAACGTCAAGGAGGCCTTGTGCCAGTCGGAAGGCATAGACGAAAGCCACAGCGACGCCTTTGCGGAGCTTGGTGACCATAGTCCGTTGTTCAGGTCAGCGCACACTCCCCATATTTAGTCCCCTCGACTTATTATTTATATTATCGGGGATAGATATACAACATAAAATCGGAATAGATGATGAGGGTGGGTGTCGCAGGATCGATAATGTGTACAATAGTACACGGTGACAGAGAGTGTGCTACAGACCAAGAAGATCGGTTAAAATATCATAGGAAATGAATGTGACTATGTAGCGCCAGGCTACTCATGGATTCATGGATTGATAGACCAAGACTTAATGCATGCCTAGTTGAGACGCCTTCCCGGGACAGCGCGAATACTATGTTCCACAAAGCGACTGCCTGAGTCAGCCTGCTGGTTGACGCAATCAGGGTAGAAAGGGTTGACTCGAGGATCATCCTTCTTCAGCCTAGGAGTGTCGGCCCTCTTGGAAGGAGCTCGGGGCGCGTGACGAGATGGATATCGAGCTGCTGCTGCTGGCGGAGGCGCGATATGCGGTGCGCTGTAGGGAGGTGGAGGGGGCATCGGTGTCAGGACAGGAGCGTGAGATACAGCGTAACGGTTGTCCGGCGAGCTTCGCTGCATTGGCTGGGCAGAATAAAGAGAGCGCTCAAGAGCTGGGGGTTGCTGATAGTTCAACGTTGGGATGACTGCACCCCCAGGGCTTTCTTGATACTGAGCGCGAACTTGTCTGGTCTCCCGAGGTTGAGTCTAATAACGTGTATGCCACATATTGAGCGCATTCTAGGCAGATAGAGTTGGTGAACATACCGGTCGCTGCACCATTGATGGTTTGATATCAACCCAACCTTGTTCAGCTTTGCGTTTGTCAGCTTCGTATCTTCGCTTGCCAAGTTTGTATGAAATGGGCTTCCAGAGCGGTGAGAGCCAAATGCGTCGGCGGTAGATGAGGAGGATTCCAATTGGGACGACGACTGCCAAGGTAGCCAGAACGTAAATTCCAGGATGGATCGAAGAATCAGAGTCTCCTCTTGGGAAGATGAACGGCGCCATTGCGAGTAAATCAGTATCGGGTCGAAGGGAACGATGAAGACTGGTCAACAGTCGGTGAACGTCGAGGGAGGGAATGCGTGCCAAATGCCACTGTATGCCTTGACTTTATAGAGGCAGGAAGGATTTCAAACCCAGTGAATAATGATATGGCCACCGGAGGACAATGGTCTATATGTCTCACCACGATCCACAACTGGATAGAAATGGCCGAATTCGATTCAAGAAAGAGCAAAGCGAGGCCGAGCACTACACCAAAAGGTAATCGCAATTTCTGCAGTCATAACTTACATATTTTACTAGCACATATTCAGACAACTTTGGCTGTAACATCGACGCCGTATTTCAGCGATCGACTGTACGGGCAGAACTACAGACACGTTGGTGAGTAAAGTAACTTGACGGCTAATGTGTATTCACTCACTTCGTGCGCAGCGTCGACCAAATCCTTCGGGGCTCCCGAGACCTCCAACTCAACACCGATGCCGAATCCGCCAAGTCCCTCCGGTTCGCCGAGGTGGACTTTCGCATTGACTACTGCGTTCGTAATCTTATCCTTTTGACCTGCGCGAGCGGCCACTGCCTGCAGTGCGCCTAAGAAGCAAGCTGGTATAGTGTGAGCCAAAGAGAGCCCATAGGCACGCGTGTCATCTTACCAGAGTACCCCATTGCGAAGAGTTGTTCAGGATTCTCGCCCTGGCCGGTGCCACCCAACTCTTTGGGCGTCGCGAGCTGGAGTTTGAGGCCATTGGATTCGGTCTGACCGTTGCGCCCAGCGCCACTTGCGACGCCAACAGCAGTGTACTGTCATATTATGAACACAAGTTCTTTCTCGTGCCTGGACCACGGACCTTTGTGTCTTTGAGCTTGAGAGGCCCTGAGGTGAGCGACCTCGCATTGCGCGGGGAACGCACAATCGCTGACAAGATGGAACGAGCACCAGTTCGAAGCATGTTTAGGTTTTGTTCTAACGTTGGGCGGGCGCACGAGAAGATGGGAATATATGCGTGGGACGAATGAGTCGGAAGATTCTCGCGCCTCCCGCCTCTTGCCAATTCCAGTCACCTCCGCACTATATAAAGCAAGGTAGCCCCTCTCTAGGCGCCAATCTGCTAAACCATGTCTATGACCAGCAAACAGTACAAGGCTCTCAAAGGTGCAGTGCTATATAAGCCGCCCTGCATCTCTGGAACTGTCCCTCTCCCTCCCGAGGCGGCCACCCTCTTCTTCCATCACGGAGACACTACAGGGTGGGTTCCAGTGGCAAAACCCTATCAAAGAGACGAACGGTTAACTTTAAATGTAGCCGCCTCAGCTTTGCCAATCCTGATAACGCAGAAGTCGAGTTGCTGGCCAAATGCTGCGAGCCAGCTACGTTTGGGCTCAACAAGGAAGATGTATACGACGAAACATACAGAAAGGCTGGCAAGTTAGACATTGATAGCTTCGCGATGAACATCGATCTAGCGCGTCTTGAGTTAGTCGAGGAGATCTCCTCCAGACTGTTGGCTCAGGAACGGCCATTCAAAGCAGAACTCTACAAGCTGAATGTCTACGGTACGGTGGCTCATCAGATTTAACTTCTTTTAACAGTACTAAGCATCGTATAGGTTCTGGTTCGTTCTTCAAGGCCCACAAGGATACCCCGAGGGGAGAAAACATGTTTGGGTCCCTTGTCCTCGTCCTACCTGTCCCTCACAAAGGGGGCGAACTCGTTCTCCGTCAAAACGGCAACGAGTGGAAGTACGACTCCTCCGCTTTGACATCTCAAGATGGCACACCAACCATCTCATACGTTGCCTTCTACGGTGACATCGAGCACGAAGTGTTGCCGGTCGAATCCGGCCATCGTATCACTCTAACGTATAACCTCTTCTTCAAGGAATCACAAATCTGGCGCGCGCCCAACTACGACATTAATTCACATCCATTGAAGATAGAGTTAGAGAAGGCATTGAAGGATCCTATGTTCTTGAAGGACGGGGCCTTTCTTGGTTGGGGACTGCAATACGACTATCCAGTAGAGGCAAGGCCCACTGAAGGTCGCAGACGCCGTAGGAACCGACTCGACGTTGTAGCTGACAACCTCAAAGGAGAAGACGCCTTAATCGCCCAGATGTGCAAGGACCTCAAACTCACGGCAGAAACATATGTGATATTTGAATTCTCCGAAGAACAACCCGACATCGTCCTTAGACACGTCCCGAGCCTCTCAGGCGTGAATGAAGAGGAGATCTATCCCTACCTTTCGGGACTGTCAGATGCAAAACAAGTCATCGATGGGACCTACCAACACAAATTCAGCAAAGACGAAAGCGGAATTGCACCTGAGGTAATTTGGTGGTTAAATAATCCGAAATACGTGAACGCCGAGGTACCGCACATAGGTTGGGGTAACCAAGCCTGCCTTGACTACGAGTATGGGTGCTTTTGTCTGCTAATCATGGTTGATGAGTATGAAGCCAGAATTGGTGATGTCGCCTCTCAAACGTAGCCAAGTACAAATGTCTTATGTTCCTCGAATAACGTGTACCTATACAAAACAATTATCGTATTCAATATCAGATCGATTATACTAACACAGTGGATCCACAACAAATCCAAAGAATTTTACACTAATAAAATATACCATAAGTTATCCAACCCGTGCGCTCACCAAGAAACCCCAAATTGATAATCCCAACAACATCCCGCAAAACAAAAACATCCTCATCTCTTCGCCTGCCGATGAGCGCTCGAAGACCAAATCAAGAACTGATCTCGCTCTTTCAGGGTAGCCGGGTGGTCGAAGGTAGCGCACATAATTCTTCGTGCTCAAAGACACCCCTAGACCCCATGGCCAAACACGACTGCGGTGTTCATGGGCGGCGAGGCTGAGTGGGAGGCCATGATGGTCGCATGTGAGCTTGTAGCTTCCCCTTGCCTCCGCCGGGGGAAGCATTCGGAACAATGGAAACGAAAATGGTAGTGGAAGGGGATGTGTCGGCGGTACAAAGGTCAACGTAAACTTCTCCAATCGCGGATTGGTGGAAGCAATCCGGGCCGCACCGGCGGAAATGTCTTCGTCGCCCGGGTACTTGACGATAGTTAGATGCAGCGATCGAAGCTTTGGGAAGCTACGAATAGTTTTTGCAAACGAGTCCTATATCATCGGAAATCAATAAATGACTGGGCTCAGAAAACAGGCGGGCGGCTCACTAGGTGAAAGGAAGGCTTGTGGGCGCATGTAAGATCTAGGTGTCGAAGGTGGGGGCACGACTGGATGAGGGAACGAAGCAGACTGCCGCTATCATACATTGAATGGAGCACGAAGGAGATTCGCAGATTCGTCAGGGCCGTCATGCTCTGCAACACACTCACAACCGCCAGTGGTGTCAACTCCCGGGTCTGCATCGGATCCCGAAAAGTTACAGATTTGAGAGAAGCATGTAGATGGGGGAGTGCCTGCAGCTGTTCGAGAGTACCGGAGAAATCGGTGAGATGCGTGAAGGCAATGGGGTTGGTAGCGAAGTAGCTGGGTTGAATATTATGTCGAGATAGGCTAAGGCTGCGAAGAGAGTTATGTTCCTCGAGGAAGGATATAAATGGTCGTTTTTCGGAAGCAGACATTGGCCGCCAGTCGACAGTCACGTCGCCCAGATTAAGTTTGCGTAGCTTGGGCCAACGTCCTTTCACCAGGCTGTGAGCGTCCGTGGGAAGGGTGGATATGCCGTCTATTGATAGTTCTTCTAAGTTCGGACATCGGTTAATGAGCATGTCCCAGAATTTCCTAGATGCTGGTTGGTCCTCGTCTAGGAACATATCGACGTGATTATCATAGAATCCGGGTTTCAGAGTTAGGGAGAAGCCCGCCAAATCCACGAAGTCGAAGAGCTACAGTGCTGTGAATAAGCGAGATAAAAGAACAGGGCTAACCGACACACTCACATGGCTGTTAACACTGGGTAAGATAGATCCAATTGTGGTGTGAATGGAGCGCAACCTAGGACAACTACGATCGGAGCGGGTTGTGGGTTACGGGGCATAGGGACACAAGTGGGCGACTTACAACATGCGAAGCGCGAACCACATGTCATCGTTCCCAGGCATCTCCTCGCCGTCCCACACAAACGTGCGGAGTGCGTCGAGGTGTGTCGACATCGCGATTGAACGCACAGCAGCAGAGGCCAAGCCTTCATGGAATCGGGGCCGTTGCGTGCCACTCTTGGCCTCTGGCTTTATTACTAGTTTCAGGATATGCCTCGCGATGTCCGGCCGTCGTTCAAGCATGCCGAGGGTCGTAACACATTGCTCGACAGAGTTGAGCACCAGCGTCGAGTACAGCATAGACGTGAGGTTGCTGTACGCATTCTTCGACTGGAAACGAATGGTCAAAAGGCGGGCTCAATGGCAGAGCGCACATCGCACATACCGTCAGGCTTAAGCTCAAGAGATCTGTGCGAGAATCAAGAGCGCCAGCGATCTCGAGCAGCAAATCCCTGGGCAGCGATGCGAGATTGTGCGGCGAGCGACAGTCGGGCAGCTTGAACCAGGACTGCATGGTGGTCGGGAAGTTCATGGTCGTGTAGATGATTGTCAGTCTTCAAAATTCAGGCTTTAAACATAGTCGCCATCAATGACACTTTGTCATCACGTGCCCCGTGATCGCTTCTCCGAAGTTTCATCGGCTCGGGCACTTCCTCCGACTCCTCCACCTCCCCCGCTCAATAGCCGAGGCAGCCAGTGCAGCACCCCCGCCTCCAGGTTCTACCAGATCAAACCTACTAGCTGCACTGGGAAACGGACATTACCCATCAGTGATCACCCATTAGTGCTCTGTGGTTTACTAGCTAGCAAGGAAACGGGATCAGTATCTGCGACTGCGTTTATCTCCAATGGCCATGTTGCTTTCACAGAAGCTGCGATGGTCTAATATTGCGTGGATGAAGGCACGATCTGCTGAACCGACGCGATGAGACCTCTTCTCACCTGGCCTGATCCCCGTACTCGCCGGCGAACAGTCAGCCGGACTCGTTAACGAACCGACAAGGTTATCTGTTGGTAACGGCAGAGGACCAATCTGTGCCTCAGGTTGAACCTTGATAGGAGCTCGCCGCGAGCTTACATGGTCATTAATAACTTTGCAGTCCATGCTGTAGTCTGCAGCCGACGCCCTGGCTCCAGAGTCATCAAGCCATCACACAGCCCTCATTCTGCGGCACGCGCAAATTTCAGACATACCAAAACGACCGATTGTTGTGTTAGGTTCTCGAGGGCAGTGCCGGTACTTTTCGTAGGAGAAAGTATTTTGGCATCAGGCCGGCGGCTCCTACTATGCGCCGTTGTCAATATTCCTGCACGCCCCTCCTCATTTGTCATTTGCTGTAACGTGTAAAATCCTGTGAACTCTTGCCTAAGGTCGCCGACTTCCTGCTGTTCTGTTCGCCTCATCCAACTCATGCTATCGGAAGCACTACACAAGCTCCTCCAAAGATGGAATTAGTAATTATGGAAGCACCCTACCATCAGCGCAATCTTCCGGTAAATCAATCAATCATCTATGTAGCGATGTCCGCCAACATCTCGCGAGTTTTTGTGGTGACAACATAGAACCAGGATGGAAGTCAGCTCGGTGCATTTCCGACCCTGGACGGCTTCCCCAATGATCGTGGCTCCCTCTAGAACGGAGGTTAGGCGAGCGGCTCCAATCGTTGATCCTCCTAACTGGTACTTGGATTAGTTCAACGAGGAGTTCGGGTGGGTCGACTCGTGCATACGGTGCGCGAGGATGGTTACCACGGGCTCTATAGATGTCTGATGTTCGATGAATGTCTGGTATGTATCCCGTCTGGTCATTCATTTGCCCGGAAGTTACTTACCTTGATTCTCCCCGTTTCCCAAGAGTTCCGTAGGTATCCATCAACTGGTCCCACATACTGGTACCGCATAAGGGAAGCGTCAGCAGACCTCGAATTCGAATATCACCTTCTGGATCCAACGAAGCGAAGCGTTTGAGGGGCGCCGAACGCATGTTCGGCTACAGCCTACAAGGTTTCTAGCGATGTCTAGTCTGTCGCTTCCGCGCCCCGAATTTCACATCCAGCGTCGTTGGAATCCCGGCAGGCTCGCTTGGAACGGCTCTCCCAGCTGTCGTCTGTCGTCTGTCGTCATAGGACTGCCGTCTACGCGTTCATGATATGGAACGTCGATCAAGCTTTCAAATGTCAACTCGAGGATGCGTAATTCTCGGGACTAATAGAGCGCCATGTTTGAGGATTTTCCCATTCCAAGGTTAACTTTGACGGGACGCTTCGGATTGGTGCCACTTGCTCTCGAAGGCTACGTTTGCATATTCACCGCTTGCGCGCTAGAAGTTCGAGTTATGCAGTTGTGCAATCTTCGGGCTCTGTTATGCAATGACCAGTGTATTGTCGGTAATCCAAACGGTGTATCTTCCCTTAAATCTAATTATAAACGACTATAAACCAACGCTCTACCCCACGCCTATTACCCTATTGCCCTTGCATCCTATTAGTATTACTCGTATACGTAGCAAAGATATCCGCCGGTCGTATTCATAACATCGGCGATCTGCCCATCGGGGAAAAGCCCGTGGCCACTCAGCGCAGAATCTAGCTGGAACACCGAAGGATCAAAGGGTCAAGGTTGGAAGTCAGCGAGACTCTGGTACCGTTTCCTGTAAGAGACTAACGTGGAGAAATGGCGGGCCTCCATTAGGGTATCGTTCATGTATCGTAATGTTCTCGAAACGCTGTACGGAGCCGCCTTCGAAGGACATGGAGTTTGCCTCGTGCTTGCTCTGCCATTCAGACCAGACTTTGTCGATCATCTATCAAACGACATTAATATATGTTGTTGATGTTGTTGATCAAACAAGAAGGAGGACGGGAAGGCTTACAGCGTGGTGCATCCAGAACAGAGGATCGTTGGGAGCCCACTTTGAGCCGTCTTTACATTCCTCTGGTGCGTTGGGAGGACATGTTCCAGCAAGATCGCTGTTGAATGCCAATTCAGTGCCAAATATATCAATCCGTGCACTAAGAACCCGACTTACCCGCCGACCATCAAATGCACGGCCGAATGGGGGCCCTGCGATCCGTTCGTCATAGTTTAACTTTATATATGTCGACGGGTTTGAAAGCTTCTTTACCTGAAATCCCTCAAACGCAGCCTGAAACCCCTTGAAATCACCCACATGTCCATGGATCATACCGCGAATTAAACTCGGCGTGATGCTCACATTCCCTGGCATGCTCGGATTCGGGATGAGATCGGGCTGTAGAGACTTCAGGTATGGGTACAAGTCGAAATGGCGGCGGATGCTATGCGGTACGGGGTACGCCATGACGAACGACGCGTCCCCGCCAAATGCGCCGTCAGTAACGGTGTAGTCGTCCGCGGCGGAAACGCCCCAGCCTCCCAGACCCGATTGCGGGTCGGGATCACGAAACATGGTCGACCCGTGGAAGTCCAGGGAGTCTAAGTATGTGTTTGTATGATCAGCATTATGAGACACTCAGACGGCTCGATGATCGCGAGCGTAACGCCACAAGCGGAAATTTTTACCTTGAACCCAGTTCCAGTACGGTGTTGGGCCGTCGTAGCTGCATTTGTTTTTGAGGGCGAGTTCGACGTTGTGCAAGAGCCAGCGGTGCCATGGAAAGAATAGGGCCGTAAGATGAACCTAGGCGGGTTAGATGAATCGTCAGCGTCGCGTTCAGAGCGATACGGAGAAATGGGACTTGCATAATTGTCGTTATTTACATGAAAATATACCAGGTCTATACATTGTGTTTAGCCAACAATCAAGCGGCATGGAAAATCAAAGCTTTATACCATCATAGTACGAACTCGACGTGTTTAACGGTGGCGTGTATTGGTGCGTCCTTCGAGGAGGTACGTAGCTATCATCATGAGGCAAACTATGCAGACACTTGACGGCCGTGATCCAGTCGGTCCGTTCCAACTTCGTGAGGGAACGCCATTCCTTTCTGACCGACGGGGAAACACACCGCGTCGTCGACGTACTCGGCCGAACTTCGGAGAGAGTCCCTGGCACCAGCTGTGGTCCTTGGAACATCGTGCATATGATGGAGAGAATAGCCTGGAACCGCGGGAAGTGCATTTGAATTTGAACGCTTGCCCAGTTGGGGAGAGAAAAGAGGACCTGGTGCTGCTGCTCTTGCTGCTCTGTCGCGTCCAAGTACCCGCCTTGCCGTGCGACACGAAAGGAGTCCTTTGGGGACCTGTGCGCGGGGTTCCGATTCACTGCTTTAATACCTGACGCGCCAGAAGCCTCGCCCGTAAAGGATTATTCACGGCTTTTTCAGGCCAGCAAGGCACCTCGAGATGCAATAAGTTCCAGACCAGACCCGTAGACGCGGCTCGATGGAGAGGCTAAACGACAGACAGGACCACGACAGCGGATTATGAGCGTTTGAAGGATTCGGGAAGCTTTAAAGCAATGCAGTTGAAGAGAAGCGATAAACTCTGCAGGTCGCGGACCACAGCGAGCGCAATCAATCGCCCGAGGAACACCGTAATAATGAAAAACGTTCGCCAGGGTAGAAAAAGTCGCCGCCAGCCCTTGAAGCAATGTCACCGATCGAGTACTAGCACTGAGATGCCGGTGCTGAGTTGAAGTCAATCGGCGCTTGGTCAGGGGTAGGCTGATGAGGACTCGAACCGCAGCTTATACAGAATGAATGTAATGTGGTGCGCCGATTCTTGAGATAATAGAACTCCATTGTCGTATTGTGATGGAAGTACAGAAGGATGTGTGACGGTAAAGCTAATTTACATGTAGTAAGGAAGACGAGATGGCAGTCCGCAAGAAATAAAATGGTCATATGGGAAGCAACTAGCCACAAATGCCTTCGTCGATGACTTTGTGGCACCGCTTGCACTTCACCTTGCTGTCGAGCATACAGAGCCCAATCCCCAAAGGAAACCAGAAGACGGCAGCGAGAAGGCCTATGAAAGGGATCCAATTTTAAGTTGGGCAACCAACCCAATGAGATGGACGCACCAAGTATTCCATAATGCGTTTTCTCGTCATGTCCCTGCTGCAAACATATCATTTCCGGGTGAGTAGGCGGTAGGAGCCCGTAAAGAATCTCCCCATTGGGTCCACGATACTGGTGAACGGGGGGCGGCCCCGGTAGCATCACCGCACCATACGATACAGGAATGCTCAGGTCAGCCAACATCGGCTGCGATGGCTGAGGTTGCAGTTGCGGTTGCGGTTGCGGCTGCGGCTGCGAGTGCGAGTGGGGCGAGCCTAACTGATCTGCTTTCTTGTTGTTGTCGACTGTGATTCTCAATGAGCATCCCCTCAGGCAAAAGCAACAAGGGGCTCACCAGTCGTTCTCCCATCTTGGGGGTCGTATGGAGGAGGGGAATCAAGAAATGTGGCAAGAGGAGGGTTGGCAGTCGGAGCGTTCAAGTTGTTAGATGCCTGAATCAGTCTCTGAGGTCAGCAGCGATCTTGAACGACCGGGGAGGAGGAACGTACCATATCGTTTTGGGGAATAATGATCATTTTGACCGATTTTATAGGAAACGGGTCGGTCACTGTGGTAGCTGTCGCTGACTTTGGTTAGCTGCGGACAACAGCCGTAGGGCTGCGTCCGACGCTACTGCGGTGCGCTCGCGTGGTAATCGAACACAATCTGATAATCTCGGCCTTGTGTACGTAAGCAGCTCAGTGTCTCGATTAGGGTTCTGCTTTTTTCCAAACGTTCAGTGGTGTTACCTCTCGCTCGTACCATCACCATCCATCCATAGACTTCAACGGTTTAGATATTCCACAATGACCGACGCAGGACCATCTACGAATCACGCAAGCAGCGCGCCGCATGATATGACCTCTCGCGACTAGTTCGTACTTGTTCGCTTGAACGTGACAATTCTCTGAAATCTTGAAAAGTTATGCAGATTCCTACGCGCATTTTGGTTCGTTATTCGGCTTGGATAGCGGATCTTTCTGATCCTTAATACAATGCGCAGGCATCCACGAGGAGATGCTTAAAGACTCTGTCAGAACTGGATCGTATAGAACTGCGATCATCAACAATCCCCACCTTTTCAAGGGAAAAACAGTGCTGGACGTTGGATGCGGAACCGGCATATTGAGCATGTTTGCTGCAAAGGCTGGCGCAAAGCACGTTGTCGGTGTGAGTGCTACCGTCTCCAGCTGGGGCATCCTGACAACTATCTCCATGAAGGTTGACATGTCCAACATCATCGATCAAGCGCAGAACATCATTGCGGCCAATGGATTCGCTAGCAGTGAGCGTCTCTCGTGTACCGCTCTATCGGCTTGTCTCCTTACCCCGCTATGTGATGCGATCAGCAATAACCCTCGTCAAGGGCAAGCTCGAAGACATCGAACTCCCCATTCAAGAATTCGACATCATCATCTCAGAGTGGATGGGCTACTTCCTCCTCTACGAGTCCATGCTCGACACCGTCCTCCTCGCGCGCGACAAATACCTCAAAAAAGACGGACTTATCTTCCCCGATAACGCCAGCCTCTACATCGCCGCGATCGAGGACCAGGATTACAAGGAAGAGAAGATCAATTGTGCGTCCACAATGTTACCAGCCCCCGGGCTTGTCTGGCTGTCGGCAGGCGAGACCTGATGCGTTGAACTCTTAGTCTGGGACAACGTCTACGGGTTCGATTATTCGTGCATCAAGGATATTGCGCTGAGGGAACCTCTGGTGGACACGGTCGAGCTGAAGGCAGTCGTGACAAACCCTTGCATGGTTAAGGTGCGTCCTTGTCTCTACATTCCACGGTTCCTTCTGATTTTTCGACCGTTGCTTCATTAGCATATAGACCTTCGCACCGCCAAAAAAGAGGACCTGACATTCGATGTGCCATTTTCTTTGACCGCTACACGTAATGATTGTAAGTACGAACCATCCCCCCGTTCATGCTCGAGTCTCATCGCATTCGTAGATGCACATGCCTTCTTAGCATGGTTCGACATCCTCTTCGACTGCACCCACAAAAAAGTCAGCTTCTCCACTGGCCCCCACGCTCAATACACACATTGGAAGTACGTCTCCCTTTGCTCCCTCCTTATCGCAATACCAATCTCAATCTCATCCCAATTTCTAACCAGACAAACCGTATTCTACACGCCGACCACCCTCACCCTGAACGAAGGCGATACCATAAAAGGCACGCTCAAATGCGCGCCGAACGCGCGCAACAACCGCGATCTCGACATCACCATCGACTACTCGACGCCCACGACCTCCGAGACGATCGCCTATAAAATGTGCGTCCTATCACTCTTGCATATCTTTGTCCCTTCCGTTCGGTTGGCAGGCAGGCTTGGGACGTCGCTGACCAATTGTCAGGTCTTGATTATATTACATCAACTAATCGTATTCTATGCATTGCATACATGCATAATAAAATACTGTCGATAACGGTAACGGTCAATCAACCCAAAACGCAAAAACTACGAACGCTCCTGGTGATATTTTCTATGCCTCTTACGGGATACTCAACCTCAAATGATCGATACCAATCCATCTATTTGCATATTTATGTCTACAGGTATTGATGTGTAGAAGATCTAAAAGTTGTTGATTTTGTGTCTCTAGATCTACTAGACATGTTGTACCATCGTGTTTGCGATGTATATCTAATCCATGAACAGTCCTTTTCTGTCGCCAGTATGTATGGCCGAGCGAGCGAGCATAAGCTCTCAAGTTTTTCACCCTCAACTACGGATATGGCGATCTGCGATTTGATTTCACAGCCCTTCGGTAATTATGAGCAGAATGAACGAGATTCAAGATCTAGTCAGTTGTTATATCTTACGGCAAGGGTGACAACTATGGACACTAGTCACTTGGCTTACTATTGTCTCCTACCACAGGCAATTTTCTAGCACGGGTGGGCAATAACGCTTGACGCGGTCTGGAACAAGACAACCTCCGCTGCCCTCCTCCTGATGAGGCCGTTCGACACATGCCCCTCTGCCACATTCCATTTCGGCAATTCCTGAGCCGCCACGGTGTTCGGATTCTCCCCACTATTCAGCCTGCTGACCAAAGTCGAACGCCTCATCGCTCCGCACCCCACATTGAACGCCCAATCTGCCAGCGCGCCAAACTGGTTGTCGTTCAACCTCACGGTGCTGCTGATCGCTGGGCTCAGGCAGGTTGTGGCGATGCGGAGGTCGCGATGCATGAGGGCGACTGCACCGGCTTCGGTGAGTGGGAAGGGGCCCGCTTCGCTGCAGCCTGGCTGAATGCATTTGTGACCGTAGCCAACGGTGAGTTTTCCCACTGGGTCCGGGGCGGGACTCGGGACGAACTTCTCGAACGATTTGATCATGTTTATGGTAGCCGCACTGACGGGTGGGCAGCCTCCACTTCCTCCACCTCCACCTCCACCTCCACTTGCGGGGAGGCAGCACTGGAAGGTTGCTGGCCCAGGACAAAGGCCTACGCGACGTCGTCAGTGATTAATCAATGGATCCGGGGACGGCGGGCAAACCTCCTGCTGTGTTTCCAGTGGTGCACGAAGAGGTGAAACGGCAATTTCCCCCGGCTCCGCAGGATGTCTTGACGCAGCACCTCACATCCGCAGGATCATTGGGACATAGCCCGGAGAACGACTGGCCGCCACCACTGCTGCACGAGGAGGTTGAGATGCAGACTCCAGGCGTGCCGTTCGCGGTGCAAGGACCGTTCACGGCAGACACTGGGAGTGATACGGCGAGGACAGCGAGTGCGAGGATGGTGTACTTCATGATCTGCGGTTTCACGTTGAAGTTTGAATACAACTGCCCTCGCTGATTGACCTTTTATATTTCAAGGATGATCCAATTTTGTGTTGATGTTATGATGCTCGCCATCACTACCAACACTAGAAGCATGCGATTCGCGTCGGTGTTGGCAGCCGGCGCTACGACTTACGAGCTCTATGTGACAATATTGTACGGGCGTCATGAAGCGTACATCAGTTGGGGAGCGCGGATGCGTGGCCTCAGCCTGTCGGATCTTGCTTGTGTCACTGTTTCATTTCTTTCAAAGGCAACGCGACCACCGTCACTTATCATGTCAACTGGATCCGGCAGTACCATTGCAAGCAAGACTAGTATGTGAGGCTCCGAACGTACGCTTCGCTCTTCGCTTCTCACAGCTACGCACAGTTCTATTCCAGTCAGGGCCTGCTTCTGTTCGCTCAAGTTATACAAGTCTCCTGTATCCTAGTGGCAGGGGCATAACTAGGGAAACCGATTTGCAGTTTTATTCCAGCAAGATCTTCGTCTAATTCGGCATGCTTCGGTCACTACTCGTCCCGTATAAAGGGTGCTCAGCTTCGAGTAGCCTGGATGTCAGGACCAAGGGCTGTCATCGCTACCTTTAACTGGGGCTGCTGCTCATCGCCGCGACGACAATGATTATTTTTGCTATTAGTGATGTTTTCGTTGGTTGTACATACATACATCTCAGTAAGGTTGTAAGGTGCATGTAATGGTATAATAGATATCGATAGCTCTATGTTCAACCCACCGGGCAGAGCGACTTCTCTGGCTTGAGAGGGTTCGTCCAGAATGCTAAACCGCAATGAGACAGCTTTCGAGGATACAATGTGATAAGGGTACTCACAAACACCGAACTGGGCCATATGGTCGAAGCTGATGGTGAGCCCGGCAATGTCTATAGGGTATTTGTGAGCGCTGGCATGCCCGCAGAAGGGCAATAAACTTACGGTATTGTGAGCTGCAAGAAGGATCTTCTCCACCTTGGCATTTCTTGACGTTCTCGGGACTTGCTATAGGGGAAATGGGATAGTTAGTATATGAATGTAATCAACGGCAATGCAAATCCTCACATGGTTCTTTGAATTGCCAGTATTCGGTGCCGCTGATCGTTGCATATGGTTAGAATGTCGATACCAGACCAAGGGTTATTTTGGAACTTACGGGTGTTTGTATCCTAGCCAATGTCCCAGCATGGTTGGAACAATATCTGGAAGAGAGCTGTGAGTATGCAAGCACCACAAGCACGGTCTCGGTGCACACCTTTGACGTGAACACCTAGAGGCGTTGTAGCATCAGTAAGGATGAAATTCCACAAGGCGCATTATCTTACCTCTGTAGATGTTGTTTGCACCGACGACTTTCTCTAAATCCTTCACCCATACATCGTTACCAGCTCTGGGCGCACCTGCACGAAGTACCTCAGACGCGCTAACGATAGTAAACAGGAAGATCCATACCGTATGTATACTCCGTGAGTTTGAGATCGGGGTATTTCGCTTTGATGGCGAGAGACGCATACTCGGCAATAGCGCCACCGAGAGAATGGCCTATTGACACAATATCGTCAGTACTCGAACAATGCAACGGACTCGAGCTGGGGCTACTGACCAACGATTGTCCATTTGTAGCCTTTCTTCTCCTTCACGAATCTCGCCGCGGTGTCCATGATGGTTTTCTCGATGACAAGCCAGGCCTTCTGGAAGCCAGCATGAACGGAGGCCTTAGGGTCGCTATAGGACGCGGTTTTGAGGGCAGTGCGCCAAAATTGAATATCTACAAGGTAAATGTTTACATGAGCGATCCTGGGACCGTGACGGTTCATAACATATAACGAACCAGTTAAGATATCCTTAGGGGAGAAAGTCCCTTCAAAAGAGAGGATAACCTCCTTCGCCTTGTCGTCGATGACAAGGTATCCTTGGGTGCCATTGAGGTCAAACTACGGCCCAGAGTCAATCCACGATGATGAATATCACAGCTGGAAGTGAGAGTTACCCTCAACGCTGGACCATTATCGACACCGAGGCCCAGCGGCTTCTTGCACTTGCTGTTCGTCTCGTACGCGGCCGCAGCGAACTTGGCGTACTTCACCAGGTTGTCGTACGTGGTTTTGTCGATCGCGTCGATGTTCACCGGGGCGGCGTAGGCCAGAAGCGCGGTGCAGAGAAGCAGACACCATGACACCAGAAGGTTCCGCATCTTGGGTATTAGACCAAGATGATTTGAGACGCACGAGAACGACCCGAGGACAGCAGGAATTCCATGCCGGGTATAAATGGGAGATGGGTGAAGACAGGCAGAACGCTCATTAGAGGTCTGGCCGCCGAAATCTAAGTAGATCCACGTTAGTTAGGCCGAACTCGTAAAAGTATGGACTGAGCTTTGGATTATAAGGCTTAATTTACTAGCCCAACTGTTGACCTACCGGATGTGCGAACATGGAAGACGTCAACTAACAAGCGTACTCCCCCTGTTACGTGGCGGAGGGACCCTCTCAGTTTCGCATGTAGCACAAAACATTATAAATTGTACAAAACGACATATTGACTATTTTGATATACATTGCGAAGTAATATAAACCAACAAATCGACGATCGAGAGGGAAGCATAAACATCAACGTTGCAAGTATCATTCTAATCTTCCATCGCATCCCCAAAGGGATCGATGCCAGCCATGGACAAACGGAGACGTTCAACTACCTTGACGTCCTTCGCAATCCTCGTCGTTTCGCGCGTCCATATGATGCGCACCTCTTCTTCGCGAGGGTCGACATCGTCATTCGTACTTTCGTTATTTGTGTTATTGACACCAAGTCCGCGGAGAACTTCATCCAATCGTACACCCTCAACTAGTTGAACAGTGCCGCCGGAGTTTTGGGATTTGCCCATGCCACCGAAGCTTGCAGTGCGTCCGAAGTTGCGACGACCGGTCTTGGATGGGGTGCTGGCCACCGAGAGGCAGGAGAGGGACCCGGTAGAAGAGATGAGTCCAACACCCTCCAACAGTCCGAGAAGGTCTGTGAACTCGCCCCGCGAAACGGGACTGAACAACCCAGCATCACTGCGCATCAGGCACTGGCTGTAGAATGTGTAGAGTGATGAGGTCTCGAGTCCAGAGTTAGAGGATGAGGGAGTTGGGAGGGAGTGGCTTCGTTTTGTAGGTGACTTTGTGGGTGTTGAGAAGGTAGATGAAGCAGTTACTTCAGCAAGTGGGAGGTTAGCCTCTACACGCTTGGAGGCAAGGATGATCGAGAGGAGGACGAGTCGTGCTTGAATACCCATGCTATTCACTTTGCTGACGACTTCGCTGGTGCTTCCAGATGTTGACGACGCTGCAGACGAAGACTTGGCGACCGGTGCATGGGATTTGAGAGCTTCAAGGATATGGGATGGGGTAACGGAAGGCGCGCTCGCGTTCAATGGGTTCTCTTCGCCGCCCTGAGGTGTCTTCACGGCAGCAGCAACAGCTAAGTCGATTGCTCCGCGAAGAACCTCCAAGAGCGAACGAACGTCACCTGTCATTGCCGCGACCTTCTTGGTCAGAAGCGTGAGAGTTGGTTGAGGTAGAAACTTTTTGCGCTCAGCCTGGCCTTCTGGTGAGTCGTCGCATAGAGTTTGGAGTCGAGAAGAGAGAATTTCAAGGAGTTGGGTTGGAGTATATGGGCTGAAGTGGAGTGTCTGGACATCTGCACCGTCGGAGAGGGTGGATACAGACGACGTGAGTGTATGTGTATTGGCAATGCCGATGAGACGGAAGTTGGCGGAGGAGGGTAGAGAGAAGACGGTAGTAAGGGCCGTCGCACCAGAAGCGACGTGGTCTAATTCGTCAAGAACAAGGATACTATCGTCAAGGTGAGTAATAGGACGTAAAATATTGTGGTGGATAAACTGACCATCTCGTCTTGCGTGCGGCGAGGAGGGCTTCGATGGCTCCACGGCCCTTAGCTTTCTTCGAACGTGCAGAAGCTTTACGCTTTCCGTTGGTATCTAGTTCTTCAGCCAGTTGCCCCCATAGTTCATCGACGTTCTTCAGAGCCATGCAGTTGATGTTGATGATCTTCACTTGTTCGTCAAGTTCTTGGAGAATACTGTTGACCAAGGCAGTCTTCCCTGTTCCGGGCGCTCCTGAGATATACAAACTGGAAGTGGAATGATCGGTGATGAAAGTACGAATGATGGCGCGCTCCGCATCCCTGCCAGCAATTTGAATAGAAGAGTTATTACAGGTAGCACGGAGTAAAGCACGGGCACGGGCATAGGTTGGAAGCAATGTGGTAGGAGGAGTAGGAGGCGGCGTAGCAAGAGCAATGCGGGAGACGTGAGCGGCAGGTGTAGCAGGTACTAGTGACGACGTTGAAGCATTTCGTCGTACAGCTTAACGAGCCAAGTGAGTTCAGTACAAGATTCAAGAGTCCCATTGTAGACACTTACTTTGGCTGGGAGGTGTAGCAGGAACTGTGAAGGTAGTGGACGTTCGCCTCAGCGCACGAGTAGCTCGCGCGGACAACGACGGCTCGTTGACAGCTTCACAATTGAACGGCGGAACATTCTCCTTGTTCGCGTCGCCCTCATTCAGTGTCAAAGATGTACGAGGACGCTTGGGGTTCGACGGCGATTCTGGTGTCGCAAGCTGCTGATCAAGAGTCTTCGAGGACGCTGCTGAAGGCGTCTGGTTGGTTTCAGCGCGACGCTTTCCGAGAACAGAGCTCCTTGTGACCCGAGTAGTAGGCATTTATGAAGATCGGGTGGTAGAAATTGAGGAGGAAGGGGGGGCGTCGAGGTTGATGGTGAGGGAGCGGATGAGAGAGACAAGACCAGCGAAACCGTTGGTCGCCTAAATCAGGGCATACTTTCAAACTCCGAGTAAATCAACGCGACGCGAGGCGCGTACGTAAAGCACGTGACCGCTGGTCAACGCGTGCCCACCGCCACCGCCTCGTGCCCACTCAGCAATAATTTATCGCGCATTTTATTAAAAAGATATTATTACAGTGATGGTACAGCGTGATACTCAGTATTTTGCCTAAGTCAGTATAAAGTCCACGTAAGTCCATTTTTTGATGGAATTCGTCAGTTTCCGTACTTTTGATGTAAAAATTCCGGCACCTTCCTCTTTTGATCTTGTGCGGAAGGTCACGACGAAATCTAAGTCAGTGAAAAGCAAACTTACAGTGACTTAGTTTGACTGGGAATGGGAGCGTAAAGTAATAGGATTCAGACATTGCTTATGTAAGGAGAACTAATCCCAGGGGCGAAGATGCATTAATCGAGAGAACATCAAGGCTCTAGCCTAAGAGCAGTTGCTCAGGAAGTGACAAAGGGGGTATCTTGAGGGTGCTGAATGTCGGATAATGCAGGGGTATTTAGATACGAGACGAGAGACTTGGAAGAGCATGAATACTGGTGACAGGCGCTGGTGACCCCTGTCTTCAATTACATAATCTTTTTTGATTTCGATGGCCAGTTCAATTGTTGGACTTCAACGTTTCGACGTTTCAACTCCTCACCAACATCCCCAATGTCCACTTATTTCTTTGACAACTGTTCGCAACACTTGGGGCATTCAATGCGGCCCCGAATTGAAGCTCCTGACATCTCTTCTCGCCGTAACGCGCCCTGTGTGGATAACAACTGCTCCAACTCTCTGGATCCACGCGCCTGGCAAACAGACTACTGGCAGGATTCCCATTCCCCTACGCGCTTCGCTAACTATTCCGACTCTCATACTCAAGTTCAAGCTTCCAGACCACTCAATACACGCAATCATCATGCCATGGACACGGAGGGGGTTTGTGAGTACCTTATATTTCAACGTCAATGTGATGCCTCCAGCCAACCAGTTGTATGTATGACTCAGCTATATCCTCGTATCCAAACGATCCCACCCCTTCTTACCAACCAACTACCCCTGCCGGCCTCCATGGATGGCTTTCTACCCCACCCCACCTACTACGCCCGCCTCCAGATTACATATATATATTGCATCATGTTTACTATTAGTATGAATTTATTTTATTGCCTGAGAACGGTTTTGTACTTGACTTAACCTGACCATCACTGACCGTGAGCGACTGTTGCGTTGAACATGATGGCCTGACTTTCCATGACTGACTTAGACACTAACAGACTTGACTTGACCTGTTTTCTTCGATACCCGAAAGGGACCCACAAAATCATTTTCAAGTCATTTTACGGTAAATATTCCGGCCTAGGTCCGGCTAAGTCATTATTTTATGACTCACACAGACTTAGGCAAAACACTGAGCGTGATATACAAGCGAAATGATATCAAGTAGTCGACTAATTCTTGGCCATATCCCTAAATGCCGTTCTCATCTGTCGTATAAAACAAAATATATCCCTAGTCGTCTTGAGTTCCTCCAGCAAGATAGGTAACGTCGGGACCACGGGTGATGAAGTTTTCACTATATGATAGTTAGTCAAGTGATACTTAGTAGGAGAATAATCTTACCTGTGTATGCTCGTCCCGATACGTCCAAGACGAAGCTGAACTCGCGCTCAGGGTCTGCCGTATCGATCTTGGTGAAGCGTATCAGCAGTTGATCCCGCTCTATGCCTTCTATTGTGCAGCCCAGTTGCTCCTCGCAAACGGCGACTTCAGGGATAGTGGATGTTGCATGTTTGGTCAAAATAGAGCGGTCCTTTGCTTTCTCTACAGCAGGTTATGTGAGCCACGGGAAACAGGAGGACAAATACAGTGGCTTGCCTCTTCGTAAGTTGTCTATCAGAGCGCGATATTCTTGTATTTCTGCGTCATACGTAGAACATTTCTCCTTGAGGGAGGCGAGGCTACGCTTCAGAGCAGCAACCGAGAGTTCAGCTTCCTTCCGCTCCGCCTGTTCCCTCTCAAGATCTAATGAAGTGTGTGGTCAGCAGGAACGTTCTATAAACTCCATGGGACTCACCAGCCAGCAGGCTAATCTCCTTGACCCTACACTGATTCGTCTCAGCTTGGACGGACTGTATTTTCTCTGCTAATCTCTTCTTCTCGGCCAGTTGATGGTTCCTCCGCTCAGAGATGATCGCGATTGCGCGATTCTTGTAGCTTGAAACGGCGTGGAGGAAATTCCGCGTCGACGTTTCGTATGGTTGCAAGTTGAGGTCAATATGGGGGTTCTGCTGAGCCAAGATAGCAGCGAGGTCAATTTGCGGTGTCCGAACGACGTAGGTCATCCTGTCTGTAATCGCGTCCAGAACGCGCGCGTTGGCAATGGTTTGTGTTGGTTGAGAGGACGTGAAACGCTCACGTGACGAGCAACTGATTCCCTCTGATTCCCGCGCCCCTAACTCCCGTCTTGACCCTCCTCCGACGTCGCAGCGTTGAGTTGCTACTATGACTACAGCGCAATGTGGTATATACTGTGATTCGTAGAAATGTCACTTAAGACAGGTCCTGGACGTTCTGTCGCGGTTTGGATGTCCTGTCCTCCCATATACCCTTCTTTCATTCTTCGTCGCGTTCGCGATTCCTGCAGTGCAGGCTATGTCCAGGACGAATATTACTTTGAATAATAACAGTCCTTTGATAGATTACCAGCCCGTGGCTGGCTGGGGTGAAGGCGATGGGACGGGGGATCCATTCGCTGTTCGGTGCGTCTTGGATCTTGTAATCTCATCAAGGAATTTACTGATTGCTTTCCATTAGATATTCACGCAATGGAACGGTGAACTTTACATCGCTTCCCGGCGCGTCTGCATCTATGTCTTTTCATGGTACGGGCATCTGGATTTTTGGTGCAAAACGGAGTAATCACGGACGTTACAATGTGAGTTCACCTGGGCTGTGGTGCCGCTTTACGATGCAGTATTGATTTGATACGTTGGCAGGTCACGCTAGATGACTTGGTGTCGGAGGCAGATGGCTTCGCCAGTAATCCAGAATTGTTCCAGACAGTTCTGTTCAGCGCGACGAACTTGAAGCATGAGAAGCATACGATCACCATCCGTAATGACCCAACGAGCGACAATGCACCCTTTCTTGACGTCGACTTCGTGAGCTCCATCTGGCTCGTAGATGGACCAGTTTATTGACCCTCGCCAACCATCAGATTATCTTTGAAACGGAGACAACAGATTCTTCCTCGCTATCGGTGAAGGTGGAAAATACGGCGTCTTCGTTCGCCTTCTCTCCAGAGTCGGCTTGGAAGCCACTTAGTTTCGAAGAAAAGAATTCTGTACAGACCGCCCGGTAAGAGTTCCTCATGATTACTCCTACATTCTGCCCTCACCTCTCTTGTAGACTTACTTCCGTTCAAGAAGCATCCATGACGCTTGCGTTTACCGTACGTACCCTCATATTTATGATCTTCATCTAGCTGACGCATTGGTAACAGGGCAACGCAATAGCTCTCTATGGCATCGTCGGGCCAAGTTCTGGTCTCTACAGCGTGCAAGTCGACGGCCAGCCCTCCACCAACGCAACGTTCAACGCAACATCCAAAATCTACACAACAGACAGCTTACTGTTTCACGCGAATGACCTGGGGCCTGGAAACCACACCTTGCGTATGATAAACAAGCCCGAGTTCCCTGAGCAGGAGATGTTTGTAACTCATGCCATGGTTGGAACGTAAGTCGCCGGCAGTTGATCTCAATCCCTTGTTAAGTGTTAGCGTTCCTTAGATCATTCGCAACATATACATCCTCCCTTGCGTCAGGTCCAAAGTGAGTTGATTTTCTGCATTTCTGCATCGCAAGACCTAACCCGTCCGTTACAGAGCTGGCGTTACGCTCATAATAATTGTCGCTGTAGTCAGCGGTTTCATTTTCCTGGTTTTCGCGGGGTTGGTTTTGCACTTCGGCAGAAAACAGCGCAGGCAGTGGAAGTAGATCATTCGTTTGTTTTCTTGTTAGATGGGCACAGTTAGGGTTGATAGAGCTAGGACTTATATTGTTAATAGCAACAAGTAATTATTGGTTGTACGCGGACCGTATAGAGCATCCTTCCGCATTGTAGTAATGTATAATTTCGTAGGAAACATTATTCTCGGCGGTAAGTATGGCCTGACATGGTACGAGTCCTTACGAAGCACGAACGTTGGGCGATGGGTAGATGGCAATCCACCAGGGCCTGGCAAAGCCTGACCAAGGTTCTATTAACTGAGACACGTACACTGGGGACACTGGGGAGGATGTTTTATGTAGCAAGCATGAAATTCCGATGTGCGATGTCGTTGATGAGATGCAGAGCAGCGAATATAAGGCGAGTAAAATGAATGCATGCAGTAGAATTATGGAATCGATGTGAAAAGACGCATAAAAATAGACAGAAAAATGCGAGTCGTAAGCGGTAAATAAATCCAAAGGTGACCCCAAGATGCTGAGATAAAAAATGTGAAGGCGCTATATGAATGGTGGTATCTTGATCCAATGCTAAAGATAGAATGAAGTAAACGGCATTTTAATAGAAAGAAAGGCTAATGAAGCGAAGTCCATTTGCCATTCGCTTCGGCTGCCATAAGCACACTCTTGGTCCAGTCTTCTCGATCCCCGTCGTCGTCAAGCAGCCCTAGATGATTCGAGGCCCTTGATGACACTGATGCCTTCGATGCTGATGACCTCAACGTAGGTCGAGGGATAACTCCCGAAGAACCCAACAATGAGACGGGAATAGACGCAGTGGAGTCTGAACGGTAGCGGTCAGCGATGGGCGTCGGGATTTCTTTCTTTATTACAGAACCTGGGATGGCAGGCAGCGGTCGTGGTGACTTGATGGAACCAGCTGGCTGCGGCGTAGGTTCAGGCCGGACCTGGATGGGTTCCTTATCAAGGTCAAGCTTCGAAGACTCGATTTGCGTGCTGAGAAGGGGCGGAAGATTTATTGTGCTTGATTGCGGCGCAGTCACGGCGGATATTGGGGTAGAGACGGAAGAATCGGACGCAGCCCGTGGGGCTCGCAAGTATACCCCTTGTCCTGTTGGCGAAGCCAAAGGGGAGCCTGATGCCCGATGAGATAGAAGGAGGCGAAGAGAAGGCTTCCTGAGCCTGCTGGCCTTCGTCGTTTGCACTGCCGGTGATGAGGCAGAAGGTGACGGAGAAGGTCCGTTGAATGGACTAAAGCTTGGGAGAGATAGTGATGGGAAGGATCGTTTGCGAACAGCCGAAACGGGCGTCGGTGGGATGCTAGCTGTAAGGGGAAATTGTATGGGACTGTTGAGGTTGAGAGGGCTACTGATTGTTGGGGGTTTGGCTGTGAGTATAGGGCTGCTGATAGTAGGCCGCCCCGGAGAGGTAGATAAGGGAGACGAAGAGTTGCTGTCAGCAATGACTGGGGACCCACGAGAAGGACGCTTCAAGTACAGGTCATGCTCGTCATCGAAAGAACGATCATCCGTTGATGTTGAAGGGGTCGAAAGTGACTCGACGGAAGAGGACAATGGAGGTGAAGGCGCGAGTTGGCGAGGTATGACACCTTCCGACGTCGAGACATACGAAACATCGTCCCGAGAGCTGGCGTCTGAAGAATAGGTAACACTAGAGTTCGCGATGGAAATGTGGTCCGAAGCATCCATATACACGGTATCGACGGACTGAGGCAATCGCTCTGTTGAGGCATCTGGCTGTTCGTTCTGGTCCTCCTTTTCTTTGAAATCTTCGCCAGCAGCCGGTGACTTGATGTCAATGATGACGCTCTCCCTTCGGATGTCAAGCACTTCTGGCTCGACGTGGGGCTCCCAGATAGAGGTTGCCTCACACAGGACGCGGAGAAGGGGAGGACTCATGTTGAGACTCGGGCAGAATACCAAAAGTAAGTTGCTGAGTGGCATCTTCGTAGCCTTGCTTTCCTTCGCAGTAGCGTTGATCAAATCGGTGACGATGCGGAGGAGATCGCGATTCTCAGATGGTAGCTGCGCGATAAGAGAGCGAAGCGCATTGAGGAGAGATTCGGACGGTGGTCGCATGCCAGCAAAGCTGGGCATCGCCAGGGTAGACAACGAAGGCGGTTTGCGAACGGCAGGAAGACCACTGCGAGGGCCAGACGGCAGGGTAGGCCCTTTCCCACCCGAATTGCGCGACTGCAAATGTTCTTGAGGAGGATGAGTACTGCTCTCCTTTGCCATCGCTGCCTCAAAGTACGGAACTAAGGCTTGGGTAAGAATCGGTTCCGGTACTAGTATTGTAGGTTAGACCAATGCTACGACGCCTATGTAGATCTTCGCTTACATTCGCGAAGGTATGCCTTAAACACAGAGGCGACGGCATGGGGATCCAGGTCTCCGGGATTGCAATTCGTCATATCATAATCGGCCCCTATGATGTTGAGAAGGTCAGCTTGTTTCAAAAACGAGAGGACTAAGACGAACCTGAGTCAAATTCGGAGCGAAGTTTGCTAACATGAGAGGGTCTGCCATTAACCCTACAAGACGGGTATTAGCTGACCGGTATTAAAAGCAGAAATGTAATTACATACCGAAAGAGACCTTCTTCCTGCACGCCCCATATCAGCAGATGCTGAGCGCAACGTACGACCAATGCCGGGACTCTCTTCGACTCCAAGTCCTCCAAAACACTTGAGCTAACGCTAGACCCGTCGAAAGATTGAACCTCCCCGTCTGCGACATCGTGCCTTTCTGACCTCGGAACCACGGGGGCCTCGTTGAAGCCGTCCTTGAGAGGCCTTTTGAAAAGTAGTCTTCCGCGTCCGGTTGGCGGTCGTAGACACGGGCCGAGCAAAGGGCCTGTTGGGATGGGCATCATATCGTTGTCCGATAGTGACGATGAAGTTGTCGAGCTTGTTACACTCCACGAGCTGGTGGACGGAGCATTAGGGGTACGTCTTGGCCTTCCCTTTCCTAACGATACGCCGGAATGGTTGGAAGACACTCTTGCGAGCGGGTTCTCTGGAGAAGAACTCGAGTATGAAGAAGGTGCTGTTCCAGACAACGACGAGGTGGATGAATACCCAGAGTGGCTGGAACTGGAACTCATCCCACCTAGTGCACGTCCCATCCGTTCCACCGCTCTTTTCGCCAACCCAGCAGCCGGTGCAAACCCACTCGTCATACTAATGGCCGTCTGCCGCAGCGAAGGAGCTTGCATTTGGTGTGTACGCGTGTCCCGATGATGGTGCTGCTGAGTTTGCGGCGGGGAGATCGGACGATCACCTTGCGAAGCCGATCGTGGCGCCAGAGCGTTGCTGCTGGCCGCCGCGTTCCAAGCAGAGAGTTGCCCTCGAATTTGAGTACCTGCGGTCTGCGAATCCAAAGACGAAGTCATAATACCACTAGCAGCAGTTCTAGTCAAAGTAGGTGCCTCTTTTGAAGCAGGTGGTGATAATATAGGAGCTCCCTCCGCAATGGATTTTGAGGGGTGCTTTAGATCGGCACTAGCTGGCGTAGGCGATGTTGTCAGGGGAAGGGGCGGAGGCGAAGGCTGAGCTTTCGTCGCGAAGTTTGAGAAAGAAGCTATGTTCAAGGACATCGAACGGCGCTTCTGGGCGCGAGATGAGGATGCTGGGGGCTGGGGAGACTGAGAGGAAACACCGTCTGAAGAGTCCTCCTCAGGCATGTAGAAATCTGCATCAGTTAAAAGTGCGCTTAGCCGCTTGTTGGGAGGAACAATCGTGTGATTGGATTGCAACGATTCCGCCATTGACACAGGTCTCGAAGCACGATTATTACCAGGTCCTGACCCTGGTCGAATGGTATGATGGCTCATGGTCGAATCACTCTTCCGCCATGCCTCCTTATCCGACGTTTCAGGTCTGGCCTTCTCGACCTCGGCGACGGGAGGAGAGGTCGGTACCCCTCTGTTCTCTTGTTCTCTCATCTGTTCATCAGTGCGGATGAAGTGAAGCGCCGACGAAATGCCCGGACTTATTGGAATGATCGAGCTGCGTTGTTCAGGCCTGGATTGAGGTGAAATGCTTAATTGCGCGGGTGCGGGTGCAGCCATGACCTTCTGGGGAGTTGCTGGCTTTGGCGGAGGGATTGGAGGCGAAGGAGAATGCGACAAAGTCAACCCCTGCTTTTTCCCAAATATCTGCGACGCCAGCTGCATAGTCAGCTTCCCTGCCCCTTTTGGCCCTCGGGGCGACGGAGGAAAAGCAGTCACCTGCGTGGTTTCGGTTGCGAACGATCGCACCCCAGAAGATGGGGACAATTTCGCTGCCACCTCATCCGCCTTCGTCTTCCCTTCTACTCTGTGACCGGTGTGCAAAGCATCATCCGTTGTCTTCTTGCGGCGGTTTGCAAAGGCTCGCTTGAGTCGATGGCCAGTTGCGACGGCAGCATTTCCTATCGCGGAAGCCTTAGATGGGCCGGTGGGGGAAGCGGGACCAGACTTAGAGCTATTGGAGAGGCTGCTGACCACTTGCCCCATAGAATGAGACAGAGAAGATGAACGGGGTTGAGGCGACACGTAGGTGGAGGAGGATGAAGTAGAGGGGATGGCTGGTGCAAGAGCAGCGGAATGATCCGACATAGACTTGATATCTGAACTTGAAGGTGAGGCAGCCTGCATCGAAAAGGCCGCAGATGAAGACAACGAGGTTGATCTACTTGTGGAGGATAGGGATGTTGTGCTTGCGTCTGGCCTGCCAGTACTGTGATCGTGACTGCTGGCCCTGCCACGCTGGCTGCCTTCCCAAGGGTTGTGGGATGCTGAAGACGGCATTCCAAAAAGTTCAAAAGAAGAGGCTATCCGCAGGCTTGTAGATTAAACGTGAATAGTGGATGTGGTTTCTGCCGTAAGAGTTTCAGCACAGGAACAGAAAGAAGGGGAAGATGACGCTTCAAAGCCAGGCAGCAACGAGGTCGCAACGACCCAAGCTTTCTCGAGTCCGCTTGTCCCTCTGGTCAGATGATATGGCACGGAAAATTGCTATCAGGCTGATAACCGGTGGTTTGCAGGTTGTCATGCAACGCCCAAGGCTCTGAAGTGGAACTGAACTGGCATAGACTCACAGTAAACGGTGATCATGAACGGCCACCCCCACGGCCTATGGCAGCGTGTCCTCGTCGAGGAGCCAGAAGGCTTATCTGGGTTGAATTGGAGGTTCGAGGAGGAGGGCACGCAACTGCATGCAGTGGCAAGTCGTGGTCGAGGACCAAAAGTGGTGATGCACACACAAATAAGGATTCAGTGCAAAACTCCGGCATCTTTTGGCCGCAAACTCATCCATTATGAACCAAGCCAATATTGAACCCTCCCCATCATCGATGCATTACCACCGGTCACGATAAAACAATCTGCGGTCGCAATACCGGCGTGATGTGTTATGTGATCCTCCCCACCGAAATTATCTCTTTCACTCGGCCCGGGAGATTAATTGGCACATTGATGCGTGCAGGGCGTTTACATGTTAGTTCCCCAGTCACCCCTGGTTGCCATTAGGAGGCGCCCCTGTAGGAAACGACTGCAGTCTCTGCAAGTATTAGTACAGACGCAAAAAGAAGTTGACCGAAGGTTCAGTCTTCAAATATCTTCTAGTACACATTGGCTTAACTCAGACAAAGGCTGTCCACCCTTCCGACAACCACGGCTGCATTCTTGTTATATTTGAGGCGAAGTGCCAACCCATAGGTTCGATTGCTTTGAGTGAGATAACGCAGAAGAGACTCTTCATCAAATATGCCATTGAATAAACCCGAACACCAAGGGCGATCGTCCGCGGTTAGAAACCAGAGCAGTATCGTTTTGGTGTACTGCTCTCAACAACTCAACGGCGATGATGGCACTGCATGCTGTGGAACCCTATAATGATAGCTCAAGCTCCGCTAAGTATCGCACCAGCGAATCTAAGAAGCCGAATAAGATCACGGCGACAAGAAATGATTAATCGCGCCTCCATCGAGGTGGAAAGATTCTTAACGGAGACAATATTCCTCCATCGGTCCAACACCATAGATATGTGAACAGCAAGGTAATTGGATTTATGCGGATGCATCGCGCTGTCGGTCATTCCAATGTTAATTAATACCAGATTGCGCCTTTCCGTTCAAGCACCGTATCATTTATGGAGGTCGCGGTGTATTGAACGTTGAATACTGATTGCCAGGAATACTGATCGCGACCAGCCTCGGTTCGTCTTGTCATGGGATGATTCGATAGAGATGCATGGTTGGGTGGTCGACCCCATCCATGGAGGCATCGCCATGCTTTGACAGCCTCAGGAGTACCGATAGTTATCATGATGGAGGCGCCATGCACATAATGGAAGAGCGCAGGTTTGGGAAGTCGCGATGGAGAGCAAGATCGAAACCTAGCATCCTGGTTATTCCGGCGCGAATGCGTAGTCGAGCAACTGAGCTTTAAAGGGGCTTTTGATCGCGAGGTGCTGAAGGGTGTAACGCGAATTAGGAGGATTTGGTCGGTATCATCTGGATTTCCTATATGAAGTGAGCGAGGAATGTCGTTGGGTTCCAAAATGCCGTTGGGAGCCTATTAAATGCCATTGATTCGCAGTAGTAAGAATGGGGAAGGCCGTACAACTAGGCCGGCGAGCTCGCGGTCCTCAATCAATTGGTGGATGGGTTCCGAGCATATATAGCCATTTTGTTCATCATTGATATCGTTGATTGGGGGTTGAATGGATCGCTAGTTGACAAGAATCCTCGTCGACTAGTTTATGATAAACCAGAATTAGTATGCGACATCACACAGGAAACAACTCACCTCTGATCCTCGGGTAAAGGGGATATCTATGACATGCCACTGAACACCGCATGCCCTATCACGATCCAGGAGAACCTGGCTAAACTCGGGCACCTTCGTGTTCTTGACAGAGGTATGAGATTCCAGCGTTTACGGGGGAAAATCCTATGCTACTTGCCAGGGAGTTCCTGCATAGCACAACAATCAAATTTCCGCACCGCTTGGTAGAATAATGTATCTTCATCCTGGGGCACATATTCACCCGCGAGACGGTTAGTCCCTTTAGGATCATGAGGAAGGTAACCGTTGGTTATATAGAAAATGGTCTATCCAACGAAGCGGAGCCATTTCACTGGGGTGAAGCACAGGGATTGAATCGCCTTGCGAGGAGTGTTGAGTTCAAAGTGATCTATGGGTGACGGGCCATCTGGAACAGGAAAGAAAACGGTGACTATGGCAGGAGGTAACAAGTGGACTTCAGCAGCCAGGCTCCAGGCGGATTTCGTCTGACTTTCCTCACAAGAATCGAGAACTGTCGTAAAGCATTCTGGATCTCCTAACCCCTACGGACACCCGTTCGCGTTACCGGTTACTTAAGCGCCCGACAGTTAAGGAAATTTTGGCTCTTCGACTACCACTTCATCGGCATCCAGCCTCAGCTGTCTTTCTTTACCCTCCACTCCCTTATTCTCTCAAAAGTCCACTTGGGAAGTGTACATCTACTTTAAAGTGCCCGCCTACACTGTACATGTTACGCGCGAGAAGCTAGAGAAATTGGATCATCAAATGGCACAGGCGCAAGGGAGCTCATCATCATCCCAGTCTCAAGCAGGTCCCGCGAGATCCCCTCCGCCTGCAGAGGTCGAGAAGCGCAGCAGGTTCTTCTCGCCAGAGGTTACGTCCTATTTTATAGGTACGGGTGGAATATTGGATGGGGAGTCTCGCGTGCTAATGACGCCTTCGGTGCAGCTGGCGGATGTGCTGGCGCAGCCTCGCGGACGGTGGTCAGCCCGCTGGAGCGATTGAAGATCATTCAGTGAGCAGCTTTGCTATGCCATCCTTGCAATCGTAAACTCGATTGCAATCTATAGGCAGGTACAGCCAAGAACATCGGACCAACAATACAAAGGCGTTTGGCGTAGCCTTGTGCGTATGTGGACGGAGGAGGGATTTAAGGGATTTATGAGAGGCAATGGTATCAACTGCTTAAGGATTATACCCTACAGGTGAGGCGCACCTCGCGATGACCATTCGATTCACTACAACGACAATTCAGCGCTGTTCAATTCACGACATACGAGCAACTCAAGAAGTGGTTTACCAAACACGGATCCAAAGAGTTGGACACCCCAAAACGTTTGGCGAGCGGTGCATTGGCTGGGATCACTTCTGTCTGTGCGTTGCAGATACTCAATCTACGCGGCGGCTCGCTAAATATGAATAGGCTCAACATACCCACTCGACCTTGTCCGGTCTCGGCTGTCAATAGCCACTGCATCTCTACAAGCGGTACCGAAAGCATCAACGGCAGCACCCTCGTCGGCCTTGAGCAGCGCGCTCGCATCGGCGTACCACACCTCCGCTCCCTCCGGCATGGCGTACACGAAGTCGGAGCTGACCATTTGGGGCATGACCCTCAAGATCATGCGCGAAGAAGGCGGGGTCAGGGGCCTGTATCGGGGCCTGGTGACCACCGCTGTGGGGGTCGCTCCCTACGTCGGGATAAACTTCGCTGCTTACGAGTTCTTGCGAGGAATCGTCACGCCTCCAGGAAAGAGCAGCGTCGCCCGCAAACTGATGTGTGGGGCATTAGCAGGTGTGTTGTATTTGCTTTAGAGTTTACAGTGCACGCTGCTATATAAATACTTTGCGCAGGCTCGATATCCCAGACCCTGACATATCCCTTCGACGTCCTGAGAAGGAAGATGCAAGTCACCGGCATGGCATCAAATGCACTTGGCATCAAGTACAACGGTGCTTTGGATGCGTTGGCAAGCATAGTACGCACGGAAGGTGTCAAGGGCCTTTATCGTGGTCTCTGGCCCAATCTCCGTATGTTTTCCCTGACTTCCTGCGTGTTCTCGCGTCTTATCGGCTTGCTACGTTTCTAGTCAAGGTCGCCCCTAGCATCGCTACTTCTTTTTTCACATACGAGCTGGCAAGTCATCCGTTACTGCTCTCCCAAGCTAAATACGGCGAAACTAACGGCTTATCGCGCGCAGGTTAAGGACATGCTTATCCCACCCTAATCCGGAGTTCGCTCGCAATGCATCAACTAGAAGTCCCGTTTTATACACACGTTATCTCTCCACCGGACTGATTATCGGACGGTATTCCATCCTCCCGCACAGTACACTCTATGTCCGCGCATTCTACCTAACGACGAGCAATTGCGACATATGCCCTCGAATAGACGAAGACTCTTATCGTATATATAAACTATTTGTACATTTGTGGATGTAACTTCGATATCATAGAAACAACGCTCCTGGTAATAATCGTAAAAGATGTTCTGGATCGTCACAACTTCACTACCGCTGTTGGAAATGTTGTGAAGCTCGGGATTGAGTTCCTGGAAGAGGAAAGGCCAATCATAACTTCGAACGACTGTATGCTAGCAATTTACAAAGGATTCCTAACGGTTGGTAACACTACGGTTGCCTTTCACGTCCTGTATTCCAGAGTCTCTCGATGGATCCGTTGCTTGGTGGTAATCCGGAGGAGCGATATCCGAAGAATAGAATTCCGACTGACGTTCTTCCACTTCCCGACTTCTAGTAGGCCGTGGCTCCTCTACTATGGGAGGCGCAGGTAGCTCCCGTCCAGCACCTGCAGCTCCGGGCGCCAGTACCGTTTGACCTTTCACATTCCGGGTAGTCCTAGTCCGATTCGGTGGTGGTGTAGGATTTTCACCTCCTACCAGAGAAGACGCTACTGTAGCATACGGCACAGACTGAGTTATTGTGATGGTTAGTAGGATCACCAACCGTCCGCCAGAATCAGTCAGCTTACAGGTTCAGATAGTGGTTCTTCCGGGATTCCTTCTGAGCGTGTGTAGTAGGATCTACCGGTTGTAGAATAGCGGGCCAAAGATACGCTGGGATCGAAGGAGGTGAATGTTAAGATCGACGGGGATGATATGGTGTTCCCTCGAGTCAATCCTCCTCGTTGTCCATTACCCCTACCATACGCTCTACGATCGGCAGAGCTGGTATAGCCTGTGTAGTACGAGGATGACGCCATAGGTGGCGAACTTGGCCGCGCGATCATGCCTTCGGTGGACAGCTTCCTGTCATCCGGCGGCAGATACCAACGCCGACGCATAATGAGGAAAAAGGCTATGATGCACGCGACAATTAATAGGACGAGTACCACGATGGCAGCAACGAGACCGCCGCTTAATCCCCTAGTAGTTGTAAATGAGCGGAGATGGTTGAATATTTGAGTCGCCACTAACCGTGATGAGGGCGCTGATGCCCCCCTGTAACAGATTAAGCTAATGCAAAGCTCTGGTACAGTAGGCGGCTTACTGTGATGATTTCATGGAGGAGGCGTTGATGACGTTCGCGTAGTCGATGGCGAACGTCTGGTTCGGAAAAGAGCCCTGGTACTCGAGACGGAGGACATGCTTTCCGTCCCCCAGGTTGTCTGCATGGAAGAGCATCATCTGGGGAGTATAAAAGTCCTTGACGGATGTCAACGACCGCGCCGGTCCTCCATCCACCTGAACGGTGAATGGTGCTCCGAGAGGGCCGATAGGCCCAAATAACTGGACACCATCCCCTATCAACGGTAGGTGAGCGTAAATTATTACAATTCTGGAAATATATATACCCTATTGAGCGCCGATCAGTACACTGTATTATATGTCTGTTCATGGAGACGTACGGCAAAAGAGTAAGTCAACGAAGCACTGGTCTGACCAGTTACTTGACTGGTTCGAAGTTTGACCAAATTAGACATCTCTATGGCACGCAGACCTCAAGAACTTACTGTCCAGAGCCTCCATTAAACAGCCCTATTTGATCGGGGCTATTCGACCAGGCGTTCGATGGCGAGAACGAAAATGAAGGATCTGTGTCTTGGAATGTTTTAACCACCAAGTTATCCTTGTCCTTGCCGATACGAGACTTCCATGTAATCTAAACCCCTTGAGAGCGATATCTTAATTTGAGTAGAAGGAAGCGCACGGAGTCAATGTCTACAAAGTTGTGTCCATTGTCGGTAGGTTTATTCGTCAAGGTGATGGTGTGAAATCCTTGCGTCAGATTCGAGATGGAGAATAGACTCGTCTTGAATACGTTGGGGTTAGCGCGGCCAGAGATCGTAGAAGTAACGTTGTCGATAGTGATCTGATAGTCGCCGTGATTATCCCTCTTCGCCCCAAATATTTCAACAGCCGTTCCATTGAAGGAGAAAGACACGCTCGAGTCCTGTGTATTGGTGGCAGTGAAACTACTTTGCGAATAGCTTCGGGTGCCGGCGTGTTAGTGACTAGCAAGCTATCCTGAAATGCATCGCTGACCTTGAGGCGAAGTCATCGCTTCGACTAGATCCTTGCTTCCATCCGGTGGCTGAGTATAAAATGAGTGGGCAGGGATCCTCGATGGTCGTGGTAAGGATAGGCATTTGTCCTCCAGGGCGAAATACCGAGAAGAAAAGTAGAACTAAGAAGCCCCCTGGGCCGTTGAAGGAGAGTAAGTTACTGGGAAGGAGGGAGGGAGGTTGAGTCTCCTGGAGATCATCAGTTTTATTCGTTCCTTCCTCAGGCTGTCTGTGCGAAGTAGTAGTTTATAATTATAGCCCCCGTGATCGAATCAATTGAAATACACTGTCGACGCCCATACTCATGCTTGCTTGTCCAAAGGGCAGTCGTTCCGTTGGTTGAGCTAATACTCCTGGCGACGGTGTAATCCTCAAACCAATGACAGTTCCTTTAAATCTGTATAACGCATTAGAGGGCGGCGATGCCATAGGTGGGATATAATGTAGATTCTGATGGTGCATTGTCAGGCAACAACTGATCATCACAGTGCGCGCGGGTCGATTACCAAACCTATGGTCGCGGACGCTGAGAGGATCGGTTCTTGTGCATCCGGAGGACAGGGGTAGCATGCCTCTCAACAACTTTGGCATGAAAAGAGAGGTGTGGAATGGTCTGGGTGAAGAGCATAGTCCGAGAATGAATTTCGCGAGGTTAGTAGCAGCTGGGAACGACGTATCCGTGGATGAATCATGAAGGAAGGTTGTTTCACCGAACTGGCTTTTACGGATGACGGTCACAGAAATACCACACAAGCCAGACTGATAACAAATCAGAGATTATCGATCATAGTCAATTTCAGTCGCTTGGTGCTAATCTGGAGGAGCAATACTTGAAGAATGGATGCTTTGTGACCGGCCCTCTGGCACTCCCCTACGTCGTAGCGGCTCGTCTATGGGAAGGGAGGGTAAACCCGCGCAACGCCTCTAGGTGCCATTCCCGTTTGCCCTTTGGTATTCCGTGTAATGTGTGTCGGATTTGATGCAACTATAGCACCTTGGCCTTCTCCCAGAGAAGACGCTACAGTGGCATACGGTACAGACTGGTCCAAAGTTGAAGGTTAGTAGGATCAACATCAGCGGACGATGTTCGCGTCGAAGCGGTCAACGTACAGGCTCAGAGATGGGTTCTTCTGGGATTCCTTCCGAGCGTGTGTAGCCATCCGCATCTTCCTTTGGCAACCTCCCGTCATCCTGCGGGATATACCAACGGCGACGAATTATAAGGACGAGGGCTATGATGCATGCCACAATCAATAAGACGAGATCACGATGCCCGCAATGATACCGCCGCTTAGTTTGCTAATATATGCAGGTGAGTGAGATAGACCGAATCTATGAATAGCTACTACTAACCCCGATGATCGAGGTAGAGACTGTCCTCTGAGATACATTGACCTGAAGCATCTTCGCAAAGCAGCCGTGATGACTCACCGCGTCCGTGAGCCCGAATCTACGGAGGAGGTGCTGAGTGTATTCGCGTAATCAATTGCGAATGACTGATTCAAGGAAGAGCCCCGGTACTGGAGGTGGAGGACATGATTCCCTTCCCCTAGGTTATCTGCATGGAAGAGCATCATCTGAGGAGAGTAAAAGGTCTTGACGGATGTCAGCGACCGCACGGGTCCCCTGTCTACTTGAACAGTGTATGGTGCTCCGAGAGGACCGATAGGTCCAAATAGCTGGACACCATCCCCTATCGACGGGCAGATGAGATAGCGCTCACTGTGATGAAGAATCTGTGTGATGATACATACCCTATTGAAAGTTGATTAGTACCCTGTGTTAGATATTCGTCTATGGAAACTCACTGAAAAGGTGTAGGTCAATGAACCATCATTCTGACCAGTTATTTGGCTGATTCAACGTTTGAGCAAGTCGATGTCCACTATGTCATATAAGTCACAGAACTCACTGCCCAGAGCCTGCGTTGAACAAGCCTATTTGATCAGGGTTGGTCGTCCAAACGTTCGGTGGCGTGTACGAGAACGAAGGATCTGTATCTTGGTATGTTTTGACCATTAGCTTATCGTCATCCTGGCCTATATGAGATTTCCAAGCAATCTACCACACTTTCAGCTTGAGGGAGGCATCTTTCTTGGAAAAAAAAAGAAACTCACGAAGTCAATATCCACGAAGTTGTGATTATTATCGGTAGGTTTGTTTGTCAAGGTGACGGTGTGAATTCCTTGAGCTAGATTCGAGATAGAGAATAAACTCGTCTTGAATACACTGGGGTCAGCGCGGCCAGAGCTTGTAGAAGTAACGTTGTCGATGGTGATCTGATAGTCGCCGTGATTACCCCTCTTTGCCCCAAATATTTCAACAGCTGTTCCGTTAAACGAGAAAGATAAGCTTGCGTCCTGCGTATTGCTGACGGTAAAACTGCTTTGTGAATAGCTTCGGGTGGCAAATGTTAATGGTCGTGAGCCATCCATAGGATCTGTTGCTGACCGTGTGATCAAGGCATCATTCCCATTCCCTTGCTCCCATCCGGTAGTCGAGTATTGGATGAGTGGGCAGAGATCCTCAATAGTCGTAGTAAGGATAGGCATTTCTCCTCCAGGGGTCAACACCAGAGGCAAAAAGTATGTTGAGTAGATCGAAGAGACCCCCGGGCCGTTTGAAGTTGAAGGGAGGTGACTCGGTGGAAGGAAGAGAGGCTGAGTCTCCTGGAGCTTCCCTAGAACTCATCAGCTTTATTCCTGCCACCACATATAGTATAGCCATCATGATTCAATCAATTGAAAGGCCCACTGTCAATGTCCATGCACTCAGGCTTGCCCGATATTTTGCCCAAAGAGCAGTCATCTCAAGCGATGGTGTGAACAGTTGCATTGCTTGTATGATTCGGCGCACTCTTGGTGGCGATGTAATCTACAAACCGGTGCCTTTAATTATGTGCGACACATCGAGGGCGGCGCCATGGAGGTAACCTACTGCTTTGGTATTGTCAGGCCATCATGCATCATAACGTGTATGTGGTTTCAAGTTAAGGTAGCGGGCACTGTAAGAGTTGCAACGACAGTGGGGCACGAACACTCACGTAAACCGAAGTGCAGAGGGGACAGGGGACAGGGAACAGGAGAATATAAACAAATGACTTTGGCATTGGGGGGGGTGATGTAAATAATCTACAGAAATACATAGTCTGCAAGAAAGTTCACAAGGCTCATAGCAACTGGGACCGACGTACTATCCGTGGACGAAGGAGGATTTTCTCATCCCACCGACTTTCCGCAGAACCTTCGCCAGTCCACAGAAGGCCAAGCCTCGTAGTGCATAATATCGTCTCTGACTCTGAGGGACTGTCTTGAGGGTTGTTCGTGAATAGTTCGTCGTCGTCCATGACTGCCGGATCAAAGGCCACACCGGGAGCGACATATATTGGTTCAATCTCGCTTGAGACAATGCCTTCGCCAATGGCTTTGTTCAATTCCAGCGCCAAGCATCCTATCCTTCCCATACGATCTCCAAATTCGGAACGAATGATGTTCTGCATCAGCGCTTGATCATTACCGAATCCTATGGCCATCAAGATGTTACTGAAGGCGTCGAGGAAGTATTCAGCAATATCTGGTTTGTTCTGTAATAGCCGTTGGACGTGTTTTCGTGTCAAGACTCGCCATTGACCAGCAACGGCTTGACTCTCTGTCCAATAACCGTGTCAGCAATAAAAAGGAACCGTATGTCATAACATACCTGTTTCTCGTATCTTTTCGTATATCTTCGTCAAGAACTGCTCGCTGTCGGGGTCTTCAAAGTACCATGAAGAAGCCATCCAGTCGGAAAACGCGCTCATGCACGCCTGGAAGGCGACGCGCAGGAACTTTGATTCCCGGTTGTTACGTCCACGCCTCAGCCACAAGACCATGCCATCACCAATAACCTCAACCGCCTGCCTCACAGCCTCGGCATTGACCTCGTCCTCATCGTCCTGTCGAGGAATGTCAGGAGACGCGAAGTACTCTGCCATGGCGAATGCGAGTTGGAGAACTTCCGTGTTGAGAGCCGAGAGGTTATTCATCACGTCTGCGGTTGAAAGACGATCGGAGATGACTGAGCGTGTGTCGACGGGGCTATCAGTGTCCTCGCTGGAGACCGAGCCAGCAGGGTCCTCCGACGCGTGAGCTGCCTTCCCATTGGACGCAGCTTCCCTTGCGACTTCCAGCTCCCTCGTCAGCTGCTGGTTCTGTTCATCGACTTTCTTGGCCGAATGCTCCTTGTCTGCTACCTCCCACCAGGCTTGCTCGACCTGCCGTTCCAAATTCGAAATGGTTTGGTTCTTGTCAACCACCTCAGTCGAAACGGCCGTCAATCTCCCCTGCAGAGCCTTGATCTCCTTTTCCTTCTTTTCGATCGCGTGAGACAGCCCTACAATGTCTTCCAAGAGCCTCTTTTCCGTCGCGATCCGGCTTTGTCTGTAGTTGTTCCATGTTCGGAAGATAGATCCAAGGGAGAGCCCAACGATACCAACGAGGATGAAGGATGACATGGTTCGAGCTGCGCCTGGCGGGAGTGCATGGGGCATTTATCAGCTTGAGTCGATATGAGAAATGTGCTTGAAAAAGGAGGCGGTCATTGATACGCTGCGGCTGTCGAGCATAAAAGTTGCTTTGATTCTTCCATACGCTATGCATGAGGCGGCAACATGCCTTCGGGACCCCATCACTGATCGCTATTGAGGCGTCCCGTCCCTAACTCGTGTTTCCCTTTGCGATTTGCTCGAGGCGCGACCGCTGCGGGAAGTAGGCCTCCTTGCTTGGTTAGACCAACACGACGCTCCCGTAACAAAAGAGTGACTTGTCAAGGTGAAATGGTTCTGCATTCCCGCCTGGGATGAACTATTGTAGCGACGAATAACCTTCGACTCCTCCATATCAGCTATATTCCCTGAGGTTCGAGATCCCATGGTTCACCTCGTGTCTCCTTTGGTGGGCCCTTCGCCACGCTCCTCTCACAATGCGTCAGATCTCCCCCTTGCATGAGCGCCCTTTGCATGGTGAAACACTGTGATAAGATGAGATGAATCGTTTCTGCCCTACAGAAATCACAATTCCCCAAGCCTGTCATCATAGGCGAGTCTACAATTAGCTCACAAAAACCCGACTCCGAAGTGACCGGTCCGGTGAATGTTGAGGGATGAACACGAGGCTAGAGGGTTCTGTGACTCAACAGAATCCGTGGGGAAAGATGTATTGTATCAGTAGTTGGAGGGAGGGTGACACGAGTGGGTTGTCAGTAGTAGTCAAGGTATGTTACAGATCGTTTAAAAATTTATGCCTGAGTAGGTGTTGGAGGCACGCTCCCGTGAGGACCTAGGAAACTTTGTTCAGCGACTTCAGTCTGGATCGTATGACGGAAAGCCCGCGTACCGCCTCGTCCCCGGCCCCTTCCGCGTCCACGGTGCTCACCGTCACCTCTCCATTCACCACGACCACCACGGAAGCCTGACCACATAATTAATCACATAGGCATGAAGAACAACAATAGCGCTCACCACCACGTTCACCACCACGGAATCCCCCTCGGAAACCTCCACGATCGCCTCCACGGTGTCCCCTGAAACTCCCTCGTTCACCACCACGGTAACCGCCACGCTCACCACCACGGAATCCACTACCCCGCCCTCGGAAACCACGACCGCCACGAGCTTGCGTGAAGCCGTCGTCCTCATCTCCATGAGGCGTTGAAGGGGCGTCGTGGGCATGACCATTGGTAGCTGGGGTAGGTGTTTCCGTTGCTATTGGGGCGGGCGCAGGTTGTGTCTGCTCAGCAGCGTCGGGGGTGGCTGATCCAGATGTTCCGAATTTGGCGTGCAGACCAGCGATAGAGGGGAGGCCATCCTCGTCATCGGCAGCCCAGTCGATAGGTTCGCCCTCCGCAGGCGGAGGAAGTGCCTTCATGTAGATTATCAGCTCAGCTGCCAGAATGACGTATCAAGTTTTCGTACATTTCCATTTGACTCAACGTGACCATTTACTTCAGGAACTGCGGGGGTCTCCTTTGCAACATCCTGCCCTGGTGCTACATCTTGAGGAGGTTCAACGGCGTCTGACCGCTCGACCCATTCAGCATTCTCCTCAAATGTCGACGCTTCGAGCTCGCTGGCCTGCATGAAGTGGAAGCTACCGGATGTTGATATCACCGTGGCTGTTACGGTGACGTTGGATACGGCAAGATCTGGCTGTTCCTCCGCCTCTGCTTCAACGGAAGGTTCAGCATCAGACTCGACTTCAGCAACGGGCTCAGGAGTGGGGACGCGGGGTGGGTTAAGGTAGAGTCGCGTAATTTCCTGTATCCGTGAATCTGGGTCGCGCGTTGGTATATCGCAAAGCATTAGGCGTGTAGAGGACTTACAAGGGACATCCTCGTAACTGCCAGCACCGGAAAAGATACCATCAAGAGCAGTCTGCTTGACATCACTTTCTTCGCCGAGAAGCATATCACACACTGCAATGACTGCGCTGATTTCATTCGGTTGCATGCCAAGCCCCTCTGGCTCTCCTGTTGCAAGTAATGAGCGCAGTCGGATGAAAGTCAGAAGCTCCGAAGCCTTCGCAACACCAGAACGCTAAGGAACCGAACAGTCAGTTGCTTGCCTGGGCTAGAGCGGAAAGAGTAGTTAACCTCAGCGGCGGTCACAGCGTCCGCGATTCTTGCACGTTCAGCCTTTTCAATCTCTAACCGTTTAGCAGCTAGCTCGTGAGCAAGTTCAGACTCGTAAACCTTCGGGGGAGTAAACATTCAGCTAAGTTCAGTAACTTGTATGTCGCGTGCTGACCTCAATGACTTTTTTAACTTCTACCAGCTCTTTCTGAACAGCTTCCAAGGTGGGCAGCGTTTTCAGCGTTCGCTTCTGGTCATCGTTTAGCTTCTCGGGATCGGTGGACGCATACGTTGATATTCGTTGCTGAACAAGGATTATAAAAAGTGGACTCATGCATGAAGAAACCAATCCGGAACATACAATTTTTTTGTTCGTCGCTTTCAATCTTTTCGTAACAAGTTCAACAATGGGGCTGTTTTTGAGAACACCCTCCTCTTCCGGCAGAGGTGTGGTTGCCTGTGTCTCCGGCTGCGCCACTAACTCTGGTGCGACCGAACCTTCTTTTACGTCGACGGCATCGGGGGCTTTTTCAACAAGGGCAGCGGTTGCGGCATCGGGGATTACGACAGGAGAGTCAGGAGCTTGTTCTGACTTGCCTCCGGTTTTTGCCCGTCGCTTCCTTTGCGATTTGGAGAGCGGGGGTGGTGGTGGCGCGCCGGGAACGAAGCGGGGCTGAGTTGTGGTAGGAGTAGCAACGACTTCGGCCATTTTTATGAGACGGTCAACGAAATGTCAGAGGTGGTGGTATGGGCAGAAGGTGATGGGATTGGGGAAGCTCGACGCGTTCAAATTTTCCAACCTGAATCGCCAGTTTCTCACGGTCCTACTTCCCCAGTGTTTCCGACTCTTACTTCGCAAGTTCCTCCGACTCTGACATTCATAGATTCTGTCATTTTCAGTTTTCCAACATTCGAGATGGATTGTCGTCGAAAGCAAACATGGATCCCACCGTGTCCGTATTCATTCTCCTTTTAGATCATTTATAGCGGACATGTCGCTGAGTCACGTTATCGATCTTGACTTCAATCCGACTTGCTTCCAGGCAGCGCAATCGTCCAATGGAGGTCTGCCATGATTTCAGCACGAACAGACATGCACGCAAGAACTCGAAGATCTGGGCGAATGGCGGCCATAGAGCAAAGAGGCATCCGACGCTCAATTTCGAGGACGGGAACCTGGCGATTCTGGCGGGCGAGTTCTACTTTCTGGTACACCAAGGCCTGATCTCTCGTCACTCGGCTCCTTTGGCTGCTGCAATCCTGGAACTATCTACGGATCGACTGGAAGGACGCCCCGTTCTGCGTGTCTCGGAATCGCCGGAAGATATGCTCCATTTCCTGACCGCCTTGTACGATGGCGTGTGAGTACCGCCGATTAGATGCTTGTAACGTCGATTGAATTCTACCCACACTCAGGTCTTCCCTTCGATATGATAACGCTGGCTTTCCTCTAGTAGCGATTGTCTTGACTTTGGCGACGAAGTACGATGTAAAGCATTTGCGGAATGATCTTCTTCGAGGACTTCGTGTTTCCTGGCCAGTGTCACTAATCCAATGGGACGAAAGAGAAGCGGCCGCCGAAGACTCAGACGGCCACTGTATCCCAAGACCTAGTTTACCGCACCCAATGTGAGGATCTACACGCTGACCTTCTGATTCCTGCTTTTACGTTTTTATGCAGAATGGTCATCAATCTGGCCCGACTGGCTGGCGCACCAGAGCTCCTTCCTTCCGCCTTTTACGACTTGTCTCGCTGTTCTCCGAGCGACTCGGCGGCTGGTTACATGTGCCCGACATCTCAACTAGCCTTCCTCTCCGCAGAGGATCTGATGAAACTCCTTCGTGGTAGAGAACATGCCTCTCGATTTCTATCAACTTTTATCGTCAACGAGCTGGAAGGACGGCATCCGTCCGCGTTATGTGCCTTTGGCGCGAGGGAGCCAGGTCGCCGATCTTGCCAAGCTGCATTCGAGGCAATCACATTTGAGCTTTTACGAAACATCAATGTCTCGAGCGATGATATCAGAGGCGCTGACCCCTTATACGCGATTTACGATTTGGAAGCGATGCTCAATAGGAACTTTGTGACTGGCGGCGACCACCCAACGTTATACCAAGCATGTGAAAGTTGCCGTGAAGAATTTCGTGTGTTAGCGGAGGGCGTTCGAGAGGATCTATGGAGACATCTGCCCCAGTGGTTTGACATAGAAATTGCAAATTGGAGCTCCTGAAGGCCTTCCTACTTGTAAATGTCTCCCTCGTCGACATACCGAAGCTAGAAGTTCGGCCCTAAATTGCATTTTCCTTCCTTGGTTACACACAATCGGCGGTGCACCGCCTGCAGGCACGTACTCGATTTAGACAGCGAAGCCAAACTCGATCTTGTTGGTACACGCCTGCCTACGCATGGCAGATATCGATGCAGTCTATCCCTGACAGAAAACACTTACATCAACATTCTGACAGGGTCTCCGCATTCTTTGTGCATCCATAGCATCTGTATGAATCTTGCTAAACCGCTGAGGTCAGCTAGGGTCCTCTCGGTTCTTGTAGCACCCTCCAACTACATGGGATTATCCGAGCCCTCCGACCACAGATCTCGAAGTAAATGCTTCGGCCCATGCCCATTTTGTAACCCCAGTCTGTGTTTCCATCATGATCATATGTTTTTTGCTAACCTCAGCAGCGGTCCAAATGGAAGATTCAGAATGTTAAAGCACACGCCTTCTCCGGACCTCTGCCAGTGGCTCGGCTCTACGACAGGTTCATAGTATATATACTAGTGTCACCTATCTCTTGGAAGTGGCAACTCCTCCCTCTTCCCTTCTCCTCCTCGCCACCCACGATTCAATGATGAATCGACCAGTCCTGCCATCGATCCATCTCCTCATCCGCGGTACGACCTTTTCCCAATATCGTATTTGGATGTAACTAATATCTTCGATAGATGAACGATCCAACGAAGCTGCTTCTTTAACGTTGGCACCCCTGCAGGTCTCTCCGCAAGATCATTCTTCACGACCACGACATGCTTCTCATGAACAGGTATGTCTCGCTCGTTTACCGCTCGTCAGACACAATCTGAATCGTGATCGGCATCAGCGACATGTAGCTAGATCACTCTCTGAACCATCTCCCAAGACTGCGCATAATTCGGGGCCCCATCAGTTTCCTCATTCACTACCGCATTCTCGCAAACCTTCAGAGTCATCATACAACGCAACATCATCTTCATCGCCTAATTATGCCTATGCGCAACACCAGCCACACGGGGGCGCCTCACCCTCAGACTATTTTCAGCCAAATGCGCCACACTCGCGCCCAACGACCTCATCGGGTATGCCAGACTACGAGCGGCTAGCTGAGGATGGTGAAGACATCTTCTCAGCATCAATGAAGTACGAATGCAACGTCTGCATGAAACGATTCTACCGCCCTAGTGGACTTAGGGTGAGCGGTGGCGTTGTGTTCATGGGTTCCAAGCCACTGACTTGAAAGACCAGATCCACCTTGCATCCCATTCAGACGATAAACGTGAGTCAATTCCTCCCGTTTAGCTTGTCACTAACTAACCATACATTGTTTAAATTTGGTTCCGTTAGCATTCATATGTCCTGTTGAAGGATGTGGACGCAGTTTTGGCGTTCTGAGCAACATGCGCCGCCACGCTCGGCTGCACCAATCAGACAGCGAGAATGCGGCATCGCTAGATGGACATCATCGATAGCATTCAACGACCCAAACCGTCATTGGTGCGACCCTTCAACATTAGAGCTTCTATTTCACCGCCACCCCCGATCAATTCCCCACTTTGTAACCAGGACCTTCTCCGCCACTTCCATCATACTTTGCCATGCTAGCATAGATACCATAATCGCTTTCGAAAAGCAAAGTTATACCACCAGTGCTTCATCCGCACAGTAATAGTCCACTAGCATACCATCTGTATTTTCTAGCTGGGAACGCCGCACAAGCGTTTCATGATGACTGTCAGCCTCCTTTGTAGACGACCGCCTTGTTATGATTATAATCGCACGACAACAATCGATCATTTCTCATGTACATTAACGTCGTCGCCGCCGCCGCCGCCGCATCCTTGATTTGAATCCTTCTTCATGCAGAAACTGCCGAAATAGCCGGGACCCTGAAGCCCCTGAGTCACGCGCCTGAGCAATTCACCGCCAACTTTGAACTTCATTCTGCTTCCGTTTCTTTGTTTCAACGTTGACGAGGCCATGGAAGCTTTCGACGACGATTTCATCGAAGCAGAGGCACTTTTGAGGACTGACCACGATGTATTTATGGAGGACGTCTCTGTTGAGGACCTCCTTGATCCGCCGTCGTTTCTTAGCTGCCACGACGGGAGCAATATCGGAAGCGACGGTGAGGACTGGGGAAATGACGAGGAGACAGATCTCAGCCAAGATTCGCCGTAATTTGGACTACAAATTATCCCCTCCTCGTGTAGCTCATTGTTCTTAGTCCTCAGGGCATCGAGGCTGTTGAAGAACTGGTCTTATCCTTCCTGGGCCAGCTCCAAGCCTCAGTCTTCCATCCTCCAGAAAGTCGGCAAGGCAGCGGTAGTACCGAAGGGGAAGGTTCAGCGTCCCAGCGCAAGCTAGACAAACCTTCTAGGCGAACACCAAGGATCCAACTGGAGCTTGCTGACCGCCGAAAAATAATGGCAGACGGGTAGTTCCATGTCCAGTCTTTTGACTTGTACTTGCCTTTTACCGTCCTGTCCAGCTCGCCAGGTACACGGTCAATTTACTACCCAAAGAATTCACAAAGTCCAAGTGCTAAACCGTTTGGTATTATTTTCTCTATATGTCTTAATTCGTTTCTGATCAGCATACAACAGCTCAGTTACTCAGGGTTATGGACTGTATACACGAGGCACTGATTGATGATGCTCCAACAACGAAGCGGTACGCTGCTACCGCTGTAATGGCGTTTTCTGATGTTTTCATTTCTTTAGAGACTTGTACTACAAAGACGTGTCTCTGTTTAAGTCTCAGGGTGTAGTGGATAAGGTAATTATACGAAGCATATACATATTAATTAAGTATATGCTCATCAGATTACCACTTAGATCATCGATGACCTAGCGGCAACGTTCCATCTCGAACGGTCTGACCTTAACATGGTACGGATGGGTCTTCCATGCAGAACTACGCCGCTCAAGCTTTTTGTAGCGTGCTACATCAAAAGGTCTCGTGTCTGGTTCGAGCCTACGTATGCACCTGCATTCTGGCAAAACCATTGAGGTTACCGACACAGAAGTATGTACACCCCTTCCATCTCTCGGAATCTCAGGGAGTCTGATGAAACTAGGGAAGTTCGGTGCCGGTTGGCGAAGACATACTGACTTTCACGGTGGTACATCCTATCTCATGGGTTCTCGTTGTGGAGAAAGACGTGCGGTTGTTCGCTCATTCTGACACTACGTATAACTAACCTCTTTCGACGCAGGCCGTATTCCAGACTCTCTGCCGACTCCGAGTGACAGACCACCCTGATTTTCCAGGGCGAGGCTTGCTTATCACCGTACTCATTCCTCAGTTATATTCCCATGATCGCCATTGACAGTGACCCCAGGGGAAGGGCTATCCTGATATTGCGACGAGGCAACTTGTCAAGACGCTTTCAGATAATTTGCCAGATACGTAAATCACCTTGTCCACTGTCGTAAGGCCTGAGTCACTAATGTGGCGCGCCCAGTGTTCCGATTCTGGCTCTGGTCGACGGTGATCCGTACGGTTTGGATATTCTTTCCACCTATAAATACGGTAGCAACAGTCTCAAACATGAAAACTACAAATTAGCCGCAGAGAGAGTCCAGTGGGTGGGACTTCGGGTTGGGGAACTCGCCGAGTAACGTAATTTCTCATGGAGGGGTTGACCAGCTGACAGCGGCCTCAGTTTTCAGATTGAGATGAATTCACTCATTCCCATCACACGACATGATGAAAAGAAAGTGAGTATCCTTTGTCATGTCGTCAAGAGCCGACCTTGACATAGCGCATATAGGCTCTGAGCATGCTTTCACGACAATTAACCTTACCACAAGCATGGAGGTTCGTGGCTAGTACTCTGCATTTACTCGTCTGTCATCTTTCGGTTATTCCAGGAAAGAGCTAATGCGTATGTTACACACGCGTCGGAAAGCGGAGATCGAGATATTGTCCACCGGACGAACCCAGCAATCTGTTCTTTTGTCATCAGGATCGCAGTCTAGCAAATCATCTCGCCCGCATCTGGATTCGCCATCTCAGCAAAGCCACGTCGATCTCCTGGTGTCCGATTGCATCATCCAGACATCTTTCATTCCAGGCGCCTCTTCAACCGCCCAGCCTCCTTTGTTGCATTACCTCATCGCCAAGCTTTGTGCAGCTATCATGACCGTTGAGGTCCGAGGACGCTAATTGCTCTCTCTCATTCTTGACTGCACGACATTGGATCATCTCGCTCCCTCACCTTTCGATCATCAATAATAATCATTCTACGTACTCGTACCGTGTCCAACGGACATAACGCTTATCAAAAGTCCGGAATACAATGTATCGAATCAAACAATGGACTAACCTGCTGGCTCCCACCCGTCTGGCCCATTCTACTGCTCATTGGCCCTCGTGTAACTTGGCGGAGGGTCAAGCAAGCCGCCTAATGTGTCATCACCGCTTGCATTCGCTCTGCTGGATTTGCCCCCACTTGTCGCCTCCTCTTCGGCCTCTAACCGCTTCTGGAACGCGACCATGTCTTGCTGAAGGGATTCTCTACCGGTAGCCGCGCTTGATGCAACACCGGCTGAACCAGGGCTAGTCGTCACGGCCGAAACTACTCCACCAGAAACCCCCGCAGAGGTACTCATAGAAGTGAGTGTGCTGTGTCTGGCGCTCTCTTCGTATGTGTAAGGTTGGCTCTCCGAAAGTAGTGTTGATCGTGTTTGAAGACTCTGAACGTCAGAAGCGTTACGATCGAGCGTTTGTTGGTGAGCCGTTGGCGATCTTTCATGTTGTTCGTACGGGCTAGGCAATATGGGGGGAATAGCAGTTAGCAGCACGCTGTTTCCATCTAATGAAGACTGCGGATAGTGCGACGTCGAAAGAGACAATGGTCTGTTGGACTGTGTCGTTGGTGACCCAAGGGTTGAGGGATCTGTCGTTATCGAGGAGAGAAGATGGTTTCGTGAGGACATTTCTGGTTGAATGTTTGCGTATGTGTTGGGGTTGGGTGAACTTCCGGTGGATGAATCAGGGGAGCCCCCTGGTAGGAGAAGTCCTCCACGGGGCATGGCACGTTGATGCCGAACCCTGCGCCGCCATGCCAGGAAGATGAGTGATGCCATGCCCAAGGCAGCCACTATCAGGGTGTTTAAAGATTGCTCAACCCATGCTAGCAGATACGGAACTCACGGATTGCGATAACAATGCCTGCAATGCCTCCCCCGCTGAGCCCCCCTCCGGAGGTGCTGCTACTTTGACCGAGCGAATTAGTGGGCTGGGATGCACCAGTACTTGAAGTTGCGTCCCTGCTCCCATGGAACGTTACTGGTGGTGCGGTTCCCGTAGGGCCCGAAGTAGCGGTCGATCCACGAGTCCTTGAGGAACTCGAAGAACTTCGTCCACCTCCATCCGAGTCCGAGTCCGAGTCTGAATCAGAGTCCGAGTCCGAATCCGAATCACTGTCTCCGTGTTGACCATCCCTTTGCCTAGGTCTGTTATGCTAAAGTGAGCTTTGTGCTCCGTGTTAAAGGAATTCACATACAGGATAACATTGGACGCTGCCCCTAAGGGGAAACTGCTCAGCGCTAATATTAAGCTCATCCCGACGAGGGCGTCGTTATTCGAGCAAAGTAGGTCTATCATGATCGTTTGCGACACTTTCGGCAGGGTGGAAGAAGTGGAGGTCGGTGGGCTAGGGTATCCCCACGTTTATATCTCAGTCAACCAGTAGACGATCATTGTTATACTGAAATTCGCTTCGCTTGAGAAACACCCCGGCTGTGCCGTGTATGCTTGGAGGGTGGCATCGCGAGAATGTCGCACAGCCTAAATCTTTCGGCGTGATATACGAGATATCGGCTTCGCGCGGAGTTTAGGTGGGAAGGAGAAGGACACGGGTATGGGAATGAGGAGGAATGGGCGTGGCCCAGTCTTGGCATTGATTTCAAGAAGTCAAGATATCTACAATGTGTCGAAGAGATATTCCGGGTGTTTCAGACGTGAACGTTGTATGCAGGCTGTTCAGATATGCTTTACATCGAGATGGTCGACGACCGAGGACATACGGTTTAAGGCGCTAAGACGGCGAGCTTACTTCCTACTTGCGACGCTTTCAAGGATTACATTATGAACATTTTAAGCCGAATATCGAACAAGTTTGCATCTCGATATAATCACGGACATATGAATTATTGGATTATTTCTATGGCATCGCGAAGCCATTGTGTACACAAAGAGCTACAAGCTATCTACTCATGGGTCGGGAACAAAAACACAACGGAGGACAACAGTTTACAGGGGATCTATGCATGTGCGAGGATGGAAGAAGTGGAGCCGTGTACAAATGTCTGTTGGTTACAACGCGTCCGGGGAAATATCGCCTAGCGTGTTCTGATCCCATCCGCTGACGGCACTGAAGGTTGACTTCGTCTCTGAGACATCGCCCCCATACTCAGACTCGATGGTTTCCTACATCAGAATACATCAGCAACCTATGAATAACACGGCGCAAAGCGGAGACGTACATCGAAGTAGTGGTGAGCAACACCGCGAGGCGCTGACGAGAGATATCAGTTATGAGACTCTTGGCAAGAATAGACAGCTTACTCCTGGGTGTCTTCGGAAGCCGACAGCTTACACCGCTTTGCAAGATGTGATATGCAACCAAACCAGACCTGGATCGTCCATTTTAGCCAAGCCGAATAATAAAGATAGACGGAGAAAGTTCACCATCCCGTCTGATGAGAGGCTCCCAAGCCCTTGCCGGTGTCAGCATGGAAGAACTATGGCATCATGTGTCTCAGGAAATGCTGTAGAGACGAAGTGGGGAGTATTTTTACCTCATAGAACCATACATAGTCACGGAAGTGTGGATCGCTGTTCAACTTGTCGTTACCACCATTAGTCGCTCTCCTACCTTGAGGGTCTCGCCCGAAGATATGAATTATACGGTGCTGGATCTCTTCAGCAACTTCGACGAGATTCATATAGTCGCCACTGCCAGTTGGACATTCGACCTATGGGGAAAAATCGTGAGCACAGAGAGCACCGTTCTATTGAATTTACTGACCTGAAGCTCGTCGCCGTAGTACTGATAGAACCTTTGTAAACTTTCTATCAAGATAAAGTTGGTAGCAAGCCCTGAGACGGTGTCCGTCAATCCGATATGTTTTACGATATGCGTAGCGACACTTACAGATCGGTCCACGCCAGTTAGAGTTGCCGCCAAACATTCCTGAAAGGGAATCACCGGGCCAATACCCAACTTCGTATCGCTGCCCGTGAACATCCATGCCCCAGGGATGCTCCTTATGCTTCTTCGATAAGCTGGGATGACGTTTAGCATATACGAGCGTGTGGGTAGTCATCACACTTACGATCGAATACCATGTTCACTGAGGAATTCATCTTCATCAAGCATTTTCTCCAAGATTTTGACCAATCTCTCTTTATCTGCTAGTGCCAGTAGCCTTCGTTCGCCCCTACCTCCAGCTAAGATGATGTCCGTATTCAGATAGGCTTTCTGTCAGTATCATCCTGCACGAACCTTTCATATTAGCCATATTCCGACCGGCCACCTCTGGACGGTTATCGATGAACCATTCCATCCGTTTCTTGAACCCTGGGAAGCGGTTTAGAGTCGAAGGCTCCAACACCAGAGTACCATATAGCGGGATCAGTCCAACGAGACTCCTCACTGGCAACTGCATCGAGTTCCCGGGCCCGAACTCGATGGCATCGTAGTACATGCCATCTTGTTCGTTCCAAAGGCTGATTTCGTCATCACCGGATTTGTAAGTCATAGCGTCTGCGATGAAAATGAAATGCTGGAAAGATAGCCTTTTCAGTTTGCCGTGAGCAGCGAGAATGATAAAAATTACCTCGAAGAATTTGGATGCAATATCTTCGTAGACGGGGTTATGCTTTGCGAGTTCCAGAGCCATACTCAACCTGGAGCGCCAGTTAAGCAACGGCCATCTATTGTCACAATCAAAGGAGAAAACTCGTACATATTCAAGCAGTAGAACGCCATCCATGAGGTGCCGTCAGCTTGTCGGAGGAAGCCTCCAGTCGGAAGAGGCTCAGAGCGATTGAAGACACCAATATTGTCGAGTCCGAGGAAACCTCCTTCGAAGACGTTGTTACCGCCTTGGTCCTTGCGGTTGACCCACCTTCGAGGAATCAGTTGGTGGCCTGCGATGCGTGAAATGAAACTCACCAAGTAAAGTTCAATAGCAGCTTCTGGAAGACACGCTCAAGGAAAGCAAGATCCTCCTTGCCTGTCAGCTTTCGCTCAATTTTGAAGACACGGAATGTCGCCCTAGACAATTGTTTCAATATCAATTGAACTCGACGCCTCAGAAAGGCATGGACTCACCATGCGTGCACGGGAGGATTGACGTCAGAGAAGTTCCACTCATATGCAGGGATTTGCCCATCAGGCTTCATGTACCATTCGCGGGTAAGCAGATCAAGCTGCTTCTTCGCGAAGGCAGGGTCGACCACGGCAAGCGGGATGCAGTGGAACGCGGTGTCCCAGGCGGCGAAGAAAGGGTACTCCCACCTGATTAAACACCGTCAGAAAGGAGCCTACACCAACGACACGGACTCACTTGTCTGGCATAGACAGAATATCGGCAATGTAAAGATGTTTCCACTCCTGGATATATGTGAGCTTAATATGTGCGTGGTAACTGACGCTGGACTCACTCTGTTCCTCACATACTTGCGCTCTGGAGGAGGGGGAGGCTGGGCTGGGTCGCCTTCAATCCACTCTTTCTGGATGAACGTGTAGTACTGTTTCGTCCATAACATTCCGCCGAGGGCTTGCCTCATGATTTGCTTCAAGTCATCAGTAATCGTTCCAAAGACCAACGAGTTATAGAATTCATCTGCTTCTTGGCGGCGCTCTTCGATAGCGTCATCGAAAAGGCCTTCGTCCTCGATACTGGGATCCCTCTTCGGCGATGAAGGCGTCAACTTCAATCGCACGACAGCACATCCGCCGTTCCCGGGCACGTCGCGGAAAACATAATGAGCCGCCGACTTCGTTCCTACTTTAGCTGGGTTCACGAAGTTGGAGGAGAGTGGGAAAGGTGTGCAGGGGCCTTCTTCTACAGCATCGGGCGGTTCTGCGCCAAAGGTCGACGCCGTCCTCGAACGGATCTTGTGGGTAAAGAAACTTTCTTCCTGAGAGTCCGATGTCGGTGGACGATGGGAAGGAATGATATGGTCATGGAAGCCATCTTTCACATATAAGGTATCGTTATGGCCTCCATACAATCTGCTATAGTTGGTATTATTCTCGGTGAAAATGAGATCAGGTTCGACCGCGTCGATATCAGGGTCGATTTCGCAGTTGTCGTTTGGGCCAACAGGGGGAGGTGAGGGAAGGCAGTAAAGGTGGGTCTTCCCCATTTCGGGATGTTTGACATTAATTGCGCTGACATCGTTTCTGACGGAGGCCGAGAGTAAGGGCATGAGAGGCTTTGTATGCTTCCACGACCAGGTGTTAGGGAACCACAGTTGAGGGATAACATGCAAAGTGGCGGGGTCCGGGCCACGATTGTAGGAGGTAATCCGTATATATATGCTATCTGGATCGTCTTCATCTTTGGCGTATTCCACGAAAACATCCCAGTATCGGTCGTCATCGAAGGCATCCGTGTCCATGATCTCGTATTCAGGTACGTCGCGTCCGCGAGATTGGCTTTCCGTTACTAGTTGTTCGTAAGGGTACCGACGTTGAGGGTACTTGTAGAGGAATTTCATGTATGAATGCGTGGGTGTCGAATCTAGGTAGTAATACAGCTCCTTGACGTCTTCGCCGTGGTTCCCTTGATGTCCAGTTACGCCAAACATACGCTCTTTGAGGATAGGATCCTCGCCATTCCATAACGACAGGGCGAAGCACAATCGCTGGTGGTTGTCGGATATGCCTGCGATGCCATCTTCACCCCATCTATATGCACGCGATCGGGCATGTTCATGCGGGAAATGGCTCCATGCATCGCCATTGTCCGAGTAATCTTCGCGCACGGTTGCCTACAGAGGGTGAGCGCATAGACGCATATATGAAGGCGCCATAACTTACCCATTGCCTATCACTAAGGTAGGGCCCCCACCTCTTCCAGTGGCGATCTTTTTCTTCGTCTTGTTGAAGACGATGCCTCTCTGTACCTTTATACTCTTGGCCAAGCTGACGCGCCAGTCGCTCCCTGTAAGGTTGGTAGTCCTCCGGTCGATCGTTGATGGCCTTCGGCGACGAGTCTGATTTGTACATTTTAGGCGGTGCCGTAGGAAATGGCACACTGCTGCTCGATTCCTGCTTTCCAGGAATATTGATAGTAAGGCCAGGGGGTTGCCCTTGATTATCATTATCAGTTGGTTCTTGGGAGGGCCCTCCTCGAAATAACTTCTCCTGCATAGCCTTGAGTGCATCAGAAGCCATGGTGATCTAGGATGAGTTTCCTTGCACACAGAAGTGGTGCGAGGTGATGGTGGTGGTACGGGATGAAGCTGGTCGTCACTTGCAGATTGCAGTCCGGCCAGTCCGGCGACCCAACGATGTCATCTATTAGACGCGCGTGGCGCGGTCCTACCACCAGCACGTGACCGTCTTGACCTTCGACGAAGTTCTGTCTATCACCAACTCTATCATATCCCAAGTTAGGAAGTCGACGTTGGCATCGAGGCCTTGCACCAATGGTTGCTCTACGGGCGAGCGCCAACGAAGTACAGATAGAAGAATCCCGAGGTGAACTAAGATAAACGGGCGCTTTAAAGAAAGTCAGTGACAAGGGTAAATGCGTGGGATACATAGATAGTTTTGGAGCATATAGATGGTAGAGCAAGGAGCCAAACCAAATGCTGATGAGAGAAGGAAAAGCGCGGGAGTGCATAATTTCCTATGGTTATCTTTTCAGAGCGCGCCCCTAACACAACCCTAGCCCCTAGCATAAACACCCAAATAAGGACATGATCGGTTTTAGCTTTCTTTCTAGTAAACCACACCTCCGTCACCTACGCGCTCCGTAAATTATCGCCTACTGTATACCGCGAATGGATCCGTTTGCCTTTGTCGAAACAGATTTTCCTTGATTTCCCCAGCGGGCCGCTTCGTCGCCGTCGGCTATTGATAAACTCGATATTCTAGTGAGACGAGCTATTTTTATCGCAACTTCCCCCACAACCCGTCAAGAGAGTATTGGTAGCGAATCCCCAGGCCACACATTGTACAACCAGGTGACCGAAGATGGGGCTCGGGAAGCTTGCAAGCTTGTGCCGGGCCCCACTCGCTCTCATCCTAATTTTGACCAGCGAAATTATAGCACTCGCGCCGTTTGAACATGGGTCATACAAGGTCATACAGCGTCGTCGGTTCAATACATTATCAGAAATGTGTAAAAGAGAGGTGGTAAGCTTGCTCTAATCCTGGAGTTCATTAATGTGCTCAACGGTTGGGTATGTAGCCAAGCGAATCTCCGAAAATGCTACTCAAAAGTCCCATCAGGCTATCGTGTGCGGTAAATCGGGAGAACCTTCGTTGTCTTTGACAACAGGTAGTACTCCCCGGGCCGCTACTGAACTTCATTCAGTACTCCTACCGCTCCGTCAGTGGAGACTTTAAAAGCCTGCAACGAACGACGACGAAACGCCAGCAATTAGCTTGATCTTCTGCCAAGTATACCATGCTTAGCCTCCTCGTCTTGCTACCCTTCGTTCAGTCGGCGCTCTCCGCGTGCACTGGAACCATCTCGTCTCTCGATGACATCGCCGCCGCCGTGAAATGCACCACAGTCAATATCAACAGCTTCACCGTGCCCGCTGGTCAAGGCTTTGAAATCGACCTCCTCGATGGAACGACCGTTAACCTAAGTCAGTCGCCGTCGCTCTTCAACACCTCTGCTTGCACCCCTCGCTGACTTTTGCTTTTTCAGACGGCGACATCAAGTTCGGCAACAAGACCTGGGCAGGACCTCTGTTCACCGTCAGGTTTGTCACTCAGTTTCATTTTGCGAGCACTACTAACCACTCAACAGTGGAAAATCGATTACCTGTGCGCTCCAAGGTCCCCAGTATTTTTAGTGAATTATTAATGACTTTCTCCTTTTAGTCAATGGCAACGGCCACACTCTCGACGGCGGAGGACCTTTCTACTGGGTAGGGATGAGTTTCAGCGCATGAAGTAAAACAGTAAAGCTGAACACCTATTTAGGACGGCCTTGGTGGCAATGGCGGTGTCACAAAGCCTGCGCCTATGATCAAGTACGTCTCAATGTTGATATTATCCTACAACCGACTCATTTATCATTTTACAGGATTCGCATCTCGGGCACGTACAGGGTCAGTAACACTGCGAGATTCTGCGAGGTGGGGGCTTAGACATAGTTATTCTATTATCTACAGGACGTCAAGGTACTCAACTCGCCTGCCCGCACCTACTCCGTGTCAAACCCTGCAGCTTTGGTCATGACCGGATTGACAATCGACAATTGTACGCATCCCTGGCCAAGAGTTCGTTCACTTCCAGTATTCTGACTTTTGTACCTCTTCTAGCTTTGGGCGATCTACCAAACTCGAACAGTGCTGGAAAAGCTGCCGGTAAGGACCCGATAACACTTCAGGCCCGGTGTTGTTATCTTGACAATTGAATTCTCAAAGGTCACAATACTGACGGATTCGACGCCAGCACCACCGACCTGACCATCCAAAACAGGTAATATTTTCATCGACGCTCGCAACTATTAGATCTTGTGCTCAACTCTATTATTATTCTAAAGCGTGATCCACAACCAGGTATGTCAAAAACTACTCCTTTTAGTCGCTAGCTTACCGTTCCTCTACAGGATGATTGCCTGGCAATCAACCGCGGCTCCAACATCGTCTTCCAAGGCAACACATGCATTGGAGGACACGGCATCTCTGTCGTAAGGATGCCGCTTATCGCAGCTTCCTAGACCAGCTCCTCACTTTGCTTTGTCCGATAGGGCTCGATTGACTCGGGTGTCACCGTCAACGGTATTGTAATTACAGGCAACACAATCATCGACAAGTAAGCCGCTTGATTCCCAACATCTACTAGTGCCCTCGGAAGTTAGACTGACATGTCCCTTACAGCGATCAAGCCCTCCGCATCAAGACAAAGTCAGCTGCTACAGGAAGTACCGTTACCAACATCACCTATTCCGTGAGCGCATTCGATATGATTATCCATATACAAAGCATCTAACCAACAACGTGTCCAGGGCAATACAGCCACAGGGATCAAGCGATTCGGTGTCATAATCGATCAAGTCCGTCTCCTCCGAATCGCCTCCCCATTTGTCCTTGTCAAGCTCACTGCTATTTCCTGTTTCTTGTTTTTTAGAGTTACCCAGACACCCTCGGGACACCCGGCACCGGTGTGAAGCTTTCTGTCAGTTCCCTTTGTACTCTCCATACGTACACCAATTCGCCGACGATGCTGACTATTGTTGTTGTCTTCTTTTTCTAGGGTGTTAACTTCGTATCTCCCAAAACAACCATTTCCGTTGTCAGCGGTGCCCAAAAGGTCGCTGTTAACTGCGGGTCGGGATCATGCACCGGTGAGCTCTACTCCCTTCGAGGTCGATTGCATCCTCTAACAAAAGCATTGCTATATGCAGGGAGCTGGAACTGGGCCAACCTCGCCGTCTCAGGAGGCAAAGCTGGTTCGATTGTCAACTTCAGCGGCATTACGGGCTTCTCGCAGTAATTTGTACGACCCGAAAAATGTTTTCCCCCTTTGTAATAAATGATGCAATTCTATGATGCATGCAGTCTCAGATTCCAGCTTTTATTTTGTTTTGAGATAAATTGATTGAGCTCTAAGAGAATGATACATATGAACAACCAAATTTCCTTAAAGTGGACCGCGTCGTCCCTGGTGGACACCCCGAAGTGAAATATGGAAGAAGCACAAATGTTATGTAGATAACGAAAGTAGGAAAGAGTGAATATAAAGAGATTAGGTCCTCCAATAACCAAATACACGGCCGTCAAAAGCAACGGGCCAAGCAAGTAACAGAGTATGCTTAAGGATAGTGATTGTGATGGTAAAAATAATCCAGATGCGAACGAAGGAACGTGCAGTAAATCCCGGTGAGTGCGATGATGATGATGTGGTGAAGGAGAGTTATGATGGTGCTGGGGAGAAGGAATGGGATATGTTTTTGGGTGCGACAATGAATGAATGCAATGTGATAAATAGGGAGAAAGCCGAACAGAAGACAGAAGGAAGCGGACAAAGACGAATATATGCATGATTATTGGACGAAGAGAGTCACTTGGCCGCCAGGACGATATTGCTCGAAGGCCATCTGGACGTCTTCTGTTGAGCCAAGGGAGACCATATCGCCATCTTCGTCCTTGTATTTGACCCGTAGAGGCCCATCATCTCGTCGAGGCCCGCATAATCGGATCTTTCGCCCCACTTTCTCCACGAGCTCATCGTATTCTGTATGCCTTGACACCTGTATCACGAAGATATCCTCATTGAAGTGGACCTTTATCTTCACAGGGGGCATGCGCATGCCGACTCTATCAATCGAAGAATCTGTTGAACCGTATGGCGTGATTGGGGAAGAACTGTTAGGCGAGTACTCCGAGCTATCGCCTGTTGATTCGCTTGATCCGCTTCCACGCTTACCAGTCGTCGTGACGGTAGGTCGCGGATCCCATTGTGTCGGAAGCGGTGGAGGTACGGATTGCGGGATGTAAGCGCTGGGTTGGCTTGCACTACGTGATCGGTTGATTGGTGGAGGAGGCAATCCATTGGGAATTGGATCATGTGGATTCCTGAGACGCGTCGAACTAAATTGACTCCGTAATGGAGGTCTTGTCCTACTGGCGTTACTTGAAACACCGTTGCTGAGGTTCGACTCTGATGCATAACTAGCGACGCTTGATGATGATTGAAGTCGCGGTGGGATGGGCCGCAGTGACGCCGAGGCCGGATGCCATTGCCCCATATTGGGGCCATTTGAATCTTCTGTCTGCGGCCGTGATCGATCGAAGCCGGACATGCCATTGCGTTCCGGAGGCATGCTCATGGCGTTCTCCCTACGCGTGCCAAGAGGTGTTCCACGTCCTGACGAAGCGTAGTTGTTTACAGGAGGATAATCCTCATACTCGTCCTCATCGGGTTCGAACTCAAAGCCCTCGTGTGGAGGATAGCCTTGAGGACCGCCGGGGTAAGGGGTTGTTTGACCACTGGCGTATCCGTTGAGTTGTTGCATCTCGTCGCCGTAAGGACTCAAACGTCGCAGACGACCATTGGCAGGATGGGCGGGGAGGGCGGAATTGGGATAGCTGCTGAGCTGTGAACCAGTTGATGGGGTGGTGACGTGATGCGAGAAGGAAGCTGATGGTTGTCGGCTTTGGGCGGGGTTTGTGCTGTTGCTGGTGTAACTGTGATGGTTGGTAGCAATTCTAGAAAGTCCACGTTCGGAGGCGCGCCGTTGAGCGGCCTCCCGTATGAGGCGATTTATCGTGGACTCCCATTGCTTCATCTGATCCTCTCTTCGACAACGTAGAGTAAAGTACTCAAGGTCGTCATCGCCTCGCCACCATACGGCAAGGGGATATTGAGGGGGAATAGAGGAAGCTGGCAGAAGACAAATATTTAGCTCATTTACGTTATGGAAAAATTGAGTGAGAAGACTCACAAACGGAGTTGCGGGGGTTAGTTGGGACGGCTTTGGTAACATTGTTGAGGAAGATTCGGCCTTTGAGGAGGAGAGGCGTGTTTTTCCGTTGAGGCTGGCCGGGCAATCCTGCCATAGACGAACCAGGCGTGCCCGGTTGCTTCTTCAGAATAGAGTTATTCTTGGAGACCTTCTTGGCGCTATTTGGCGGAGGGGCTTGAGCCTCTTTGCAGCAAAGGATAATCTTCTCGAAGAGGAAGACATGATATTCGCGATCGACTTCAGATTTCGTCACAACGAAGATGTCGTCCAAGAGAAGTTCGCCGAAGTTATTAAGATGGTGCCCTTTCCAATCTCCAACTCGCTCTTGCAAGCTTCGCACCGTCTGCTCATTATCTGCTCGCCGTTGCGCTTCGTTGATCTTATCGGTGATACGTTTCGCAGCAACTGAGCCTTCCTTGAGCTCTTCATAATGTGGGTAATCGTCAGGGCTAGCTGCCTTGATGAGCGACTAAAGTAGCAATATAGATGATCAATCTGGATAATCATATGTGCGCGAGTAAAACGTACATCAAGGAGCAATGGATATTTGCATATCCTCTGGACCGGCTTGATTAGGAATGCGGCAAGTTCTCCCTTGACGTTGATCAAGTGGTTGAGGGCCTAATGTCCAAATTGGGTAAGTTGAACTATTCGGGAGGCGCCGCGTGCCATGCGTTGCTAAGTGAAATAAAGTTGCACTCACAGATAGTGTATCCTCATTCGCCATCATAAGCTCGGACGCCGAGTTGTAGTTGGCACAATATGGTTCATAAACGATAAACTCCTCTTCCTATTGTTCCGTAAAGATCGTCAGCGCGCGCCATAAGAAAGAATGAAGGGGTGAGGAATGGAAGAAAACGAATCAAAGTCCACAATGCAGTGGCTAGATTTGGAACATGGGAAAGGAAAAGAAACTCACGCAATCCAAAAACGCTTGTCCCCAGCGCTGATCCGGCCAGGGTAGTTCAGCCATACCCTCTAAACGAATGAGGAATTTCCGCTGGAAGTTGAGTAACTTATTGAGGTTGGGGAAAAGGAGATAGATGGTATCCAAATCCATGAAATTGCCTTGAGCGAGCGCAGTAGAATATTTCTATGGCAATAAATGAGTATATAATCGAGAGCTGGGCTAGATGAGGCCTACCTGCATGACTTCAAGGTCTTGAACATACTTGCGTTCTGTCTCAACAATTTCTCGGATGATATGGTTGCGGTCTTTTTCTCGCGCGTTGGGTGCAACCACGGGTGCGGCGTCGGACGTCAGAGAGTCAGTAGATGATTGTGAAGTGATGTAAGGCGGGGAAGGCGGGGTAGCTTCGAAGGCGTCAAGTGGTAGGTGGTCAACCAAGGCTATGACAGTATCTACAGCCTACGATCATTGCAAATGAAGGAAGCAATTGTCGGTCTTGAGTCATGGAAATGGATGGTTGTAACGCACCTTGACCAATCCATCCGTGGATTCCCTGGTCCGAAGGTCTGATATCGTGAACTCTTCACATCCTTCCCACCCTGCCAACTGCATCCCTTTAATCCGCATGATGAACCAAGCGACGAATCGCTTGTTCGCCTTCTCTGAATTATCCCAATTCTCGAAGTGATGCTCTGGCACCGGGTCGTGGTTTTCGAAGGTGACTTTGTTGTAGAGGAAGCATAGTGTGATACCGAGGGAGAGCACGTCCCATACTTGGGCCACGGGGTCGGTCGACCGCCTCGAATCCGATGAAGCAGCTATGGTGAAGAAGGGAGAGAATCCCTCAATGCGCATGAGGTTGTTCCGGAGCGCTGAGCATTTCTGGTAGAGGGAGACTGTTTGGGAGGCGGATTTATTGAGGAGGGTGTTGTTGGCGACGGGGGTGTCAATTTGAAGGCCTGTAGTGGAAGCTATGGATTTTTTGCGGCCTGCGACTGAAGCCATAGTTCAAAAGTGGGGACGTAGAGTCCTGGGTCACTGGGGAGGAGGAGGAGATGGTGGTGGAATGGTCGTTGAAGTAGCGGTATAACAACTGAGTAGGGTGGGAAGACCTATCAGAGATAATAATTCAACCTCCGGCAAACAAACACCCACAAACACATAAACCAAGAGAAATTGCCCTGCGCTCTTTCCCACGCAGTATTCTTTTATCCTTAAACAAAAATCCCATTGTCGTGAGCCAGCGCGTGTGCTCATTTCGGCGTTCGCTGCTTTGCCCCATTATTGGCCTCTTGAGCCCCTTGAGCCCGCCATTCCAACATAGCGGCATTGTCTAGATTATAGTCACATTGAATCTTGAATCTGGAGTAGTGCGGCACCTGACACATCAGTGCATCAAACCTCGTCTCCAGTGCTCTTGATTCACCTCAGATGCCCCATCTCGTTCCCCCGGCCTTGCCAATGATTCTCCATAAATACACCAGGCGCACAGTTCTGAATCTCAATACCCGCCACCAGTAGTGATTCGGATGCCGGCACACCCGTGCAAATATATACCCTTGTCTACCGATGCACATACTGGTCTTCTGGCGCGCACGGCATCCTTCTTGCCCACCTTCTCTTCTCCCAGATCCCACAATTTCTCCCACTCAAGCTCCCGAGAATCCCCAGGCAGTTATGGGCGTGTGTCCAAAAGAAGACAATCCATATATCGATCATCTATTGATCAACCTTGATCAAGCCATAGAGTTGAGCAGAAAGGCGCCATCGGAAAGGGCAAAGCTGGTCAATATACCCCGGATCAATGTACCATCGGCCTAGTCCTAGTCAGTGGTCATGCGTTTAACTATGGTGGCGGAGAAATCATCAACGATATCCAAAAATGTTTCCTCTTGATGGCATTTCTACATTCGTTGACATCCCACTTGAAATCATTGGGCTGGGTCGCAACGCTCATCACTTTCGCGGAGATGAGTTGGGGGGTGCTTTTGGGAGGCTGTTTCATAGGGGTCCATGATATGCTTCTGCTAAGCCCTTGTAAGGTACAATGGTCCGATGATACATCGCATGGAATATACGAACGATCGGGAGAAGCGTAATATCATAATGCAGGGTTTACCGCTCGACGAGTTCGTATCCATACAGCTTACAGTAAATATATGAGTCAATTGGCTCGACTGCATAGCTCGTGCTACTCCCCTATCTGGGGGAATAATTACTTTGCAAGGCTGTGTGGGATCAGTGAGTGAGCATTGCTGTTGAGCAAATGATAAGCTGATATTCGCTGGACGTCTATCCTAAACCAAGCAAGTCTCTGTCAAGATTTGATGGAGCAACGTTTCTGAACATATGGGCCGAATAACTAGTCCACATGGATCACGATTCGACGCATCGCGTACCGACTCCGAGCTTCGAAAGCAGCTAGGGGATACGTCCATCTCTAAGAACGTTTGACGGTGAGAATAAACATGAGGCTCTCCGGATGTGGGGCAGGAGACAAGCGGGACAGAGAATGAATACTGATGGCCGTCAAACGTGGTGATGCTGTGAACGAGATACCCATTCTGTGGAGTTGGGTGGACGTCGCACGAAACCTCATGCATCACGAAGGTACCTCTGTAAGTCAGAGTCTACATTTGAAACCCGACGTAAACGCGCACGCAGCAGGCCTAGACAATCCGCCCGAGGAACGGTCAGAACATTATTAGACCTCCAAATGGGAACAGCGACTGAAAATATAACGAGACGCTGACACACAAGGCGAGTCTCCACGCTTCTGGCAGGCGGCCAGGTACGTCGACAGCATGGCTCCTGCGAGCTGGCCTGAGATTGAGATACGCACAATGAACCCATGTAGTTAATACTTACATGTAGGTTAGCACCGAAGGTTAACGCCACTATGAAGTCATCTTATCGTTGACGAGATTTTCAGGAGCAACGTAACGTGGTGGGCAGTTCTAGGTTCGATGCACCATGACGCCGCCACGCATCTTTTGAGACAGCTCGTGGAATCGATGTCGTGCTGGTGAGGGCATCTGTCGGTGCAACCTTCTGTCAGAAAAGAATGGAAGGACACATATGATACAAATACCCACCAGATAACAGACGGGTTCTGTTCCTGTGAGAGGGGCTGCAATGACCGTATGTCTTGTCGGAAGAAGTCTAGATTGACAGACAGAATTCTATTCTTCGACGGAACTTTGAGGCACCGGAGACTCCATTCACTAGTCGAACATTAATTGAAAACTTACCAGTGGCCTTCGCGGTGGTGGTGGCGGAGCGAGATGGAGAAGCACAAACCTCCGAGAAGCAGCGAAGCAACGATCACGATCGAGCTGACGTCGGACGCCACGACGAAGGAGAAGATAAGGATACACTTGAAAAAGATCGATGAGGCATTAAGCTGACAGCAGACGAGGAGTCCACTGATAGATGGCTGGCAGATGCCCCAATAGATAATCATCTGCATGCATGCCTGAAACTTTTTACCTGCAAGTGTGGTGATTGGGAGGAACGCCAAGCCGACGACGGAACGGCACAGCTGCATAACATTCCGAGGCCGATGGCGTGGTGATGGCGTACGTAAGCAAACGCCAAATCAAGCAATCTGGGTCACCCGCCACCAGGACTCCAAACCCAACCCATCCCCCCCGACATCGCCCAAGGTTCTGAAAGGGTCAAGACCCATGGCACCTGCTCGGAGGCGCGCACTCCACGAGCAGCAGAATCTCACCGTGCAGCAATCAGAACAAGTTACAGCCCATGTTCCACAGGATGTCGTCGGCAACCAGGAAGTCGAGGCTGAGCTGTTCATTGACCCAATGCTGGGCATCCCCCTAGCTATCTACATTGACAAGGACGTGCAAGACAGAGACATGTTAGTTGAGCTGGTTACGGTGAGTCAACGCGTAAATTACAGCAGCCTTTTGATGTGGGAGCGACGTGGAGGCCCTGAAACGGACGCTGAGGCCTTTGACAAGCAAAAGGCGCGTTCAGTGGCGACAATGGCTACACCTTGAATATCAGAAGTGCGCGAATAATGACGAAAATTGCGGTGTCATTATAGAATTTGCGAATAATCTAAACTGACAAAATTCGCAGAAATACGGAGGGATAGTGTCTCCAGGCTACAGCAGTGTTCCCTATGTGTTAGGTTCGGACGCCCGACGACGACCTTTGTGTTATTTCGCTAACAGGGTGTCCTAGTTGACCCTCTCAAGCCGTCAGGCCAGAACCTTTATCGTCAGTATGTGAGCAAGAAAGGAAAGATTATACTCGACGCTCGCTGGATTCAACAATGTATCAACGCTGGCCAACTGCAAACATTCCACACCAACTGGGGTGGTTGTAAAGTTACAGGAGAAGAGATGTAAGTGGTCGTATTCGTACATGATATGATATTCACCTACTGAACATGTCCGACGGACAGGAATGTACCCCAAGTACCTTCACAGCTTGTCATCCCAGCCGCTGGACCTTCTAATCCCGTACTCACCAATGGCGATCCTGTATCGTCGCAAACGCGACGGCGGAGTAGGCAGCCCGCCCCGATGATGCAGCAACAGCAACCCCAGACTATAACTCATGTCCAACCGAGTCAGACAGTCCAGCATTCCGCCCCACCGCAAGCGCCCCAAGAGCTAGAAATACCACCGCCCGTCGCTGCCGTTGTCCAGCCCGCGTTCGGATACCCTATTTTCATCGCCCAGCCGCGCCCCATACATCCCGGACAAGACGCTACCGCCCAGGCGTGGCAAGCCCAGTCAACTATGGCGATCCCGCAGACTCACATCGCGCCACAGCAAACGCAGCACATGCTGCAGCGCGCAACTCAACAAGCTTGGGAAGGCTACGACGCTCATACCGGCGCCGCTATCACCGCGGATCCCGGCGCGTATGATTACCGATACAGAGATGAGCAGTGGACGCAACCCCATCGCAATGACTACTACGAGTCTCTCTTTGAGGATGATGGCACATATGAACAGCCGCCACAACCGTACATAGAACAGCAACCTACGCAGTCTGATGACGCCAGTCCATCGCAGGCAGTTGAGACGGCGGAACGGCCGCGCGGGCGGAAGCGAACTCGCTCACAGGTGCCGTCTATCATTAGTTCATTATTGGTGAAGTAACTCACTATCTGACATGTTGGCAGTTCAACGCACCCGCAGCCCCTGCCTCAACGCTCGTCACAAATCGCAATCCCCCGGCGCGCTCACCAACTCCGCCAACCCGTATCATCAAGAGCACTTACGGCGGTAACCTATTCACGGCAGACGATGTCATGTACCTTAAGAAGTACATAGACTACTGCCAGGATCAAGGCCTAGTACTCAGGTCAGTGAATCAGATAATTACCATCATGACGGCTTTTATGACGATAACCCTCTTCTAGTCTTCGTGAGATATGTGAACGAATAGCCATCAAGGTACAGGCTAGCTATCGTGCTGCAGTTTCCCGGTGCTGACATTTTCCCTTTCTAGGCACCCCACCATACGTGTGTCGAAACCTAAGTTTTCCGAGGGCACATCACACTAACGACGACATCAGGTTCTATTCTTGGAGGCGATACTGCAATAAACACCAAATTCGGCTGGGTGGCTACGTGATGAACCAGCCTCGCGTCATTGCCTCTTCTGATCAACAAGTGACTGGCGAGGAGCAATCAATCGACGACACCGCGATGTCTATCGACCTCGAGCCGGCTCCTGTTGATCTTTTAGTGCAATCGCAAGAACAGCCACCCCCGCCGCTTGAAGAACCGCCCCCGATTGATACGTCGCAGTCCCGGAACCGCTCGCCCACACCGCCTCGGGCGCTGTTCAGAAGCACTACGGGAAAGGGCGTGGCGTTTACAGACGAGGATATTAATTTTCTGGTTCGCTTCATGGACTACCGGAAGTGAGTCATCGAGTGCAGTGCCTATCTCTTTATCTTTACGGAGTCTCACGTACATGATAGATCACAAGGACCGCTGGATATGGTTTTGTTCTGGAAGGAAGTCGCCGCGAAAGTGAGTTCGCGCACTTCCGCCGTCGTCCACGCCGCGTGCGTGTTGTAAGTAAATGCAAATTCACTTACGTTTCGGCTTTTTTTTTTCGATAGGCACCACATCACTCGCGCGCGTCGTGGATGAAATACTGGCGGCGCCACAAGCACGAACTCAATCGCACGGACACTGATGCACCGCTGCCCGCACCGCCCGACAAGAAGATGAGATACAGTCGAGAAGATGATATCCTCCTTGCGAAATACTTTGCTGAGAAACCAGAAGGCACATCAGACAAAGTATTCCAAGCCTTTGGCCGTTTGGTAAGTCCTCCTATCCTCCAATCGATCCCACACACTTTCGCTTTCGATGCCCCCCTCTCATCATCACCTGTCACGCTCTCATGCATGGGAGCCGTTTCAAGATGCCCGCCTCCCCACTCCACGTCTACGTCTACTTCCTTTTTCACCCTCATGCATTGGGTTCCTCTGATTCTGATCCACCCTCCTGTCCTCTATCTGTACAGCATCCCCATCACCCATGGAAAGGCTGGCAAGAACATCACCGAATCCACAAGGCCAAAATCGACCACCTGGTGAAGCAGATACACGAAGGTGTATTCATTGATGTGGAGATGGCCGCTGCCCTCGCCTGACATTCGTATGATATGATATATATGAGATCCCTGCGACTCTGCTACTTAGGTTACTATTTTCTATTTAGATGAACTGCAACGACCACTTCTAGATATATCGGTATCATCATTTGCATAGTAGATGTAGGAACACGAACGGACTGGACTTGATGCATGTATTCCTGTTACCCCTGAGTGTTGGTTATCTTATCAGCTCAGCTTCGAGTCTGAATTTGGTTCCGTCGCTGCCATCAGCGCGAGTAATCTCTCCCTTGAACTGCACCATGCCCGAATACCTGACTCAAGAACAAATCGACAAGGTGACTGCCCACCCCATTTACCCTCACCTGCGTTTACCAGATTAGACGATGTGCTTCTATTAGTTCGACCAAGACGGGTGAGTAACTGTAATCATAGCCTTCTTCATAGAACTTTGAAAGTCGGACCGCCGCTGATACGATCCTGGTTCTTTGTATCTACTACATAGATATCTCATCGTCCCAGGCTTCCTGGACATATCTGAATCAGATGCCCTGCTCCAGCGCTCGAAGCAGCTCCTCGAGGAGTTCGACCTGCAGAACCACCCTCTGGTGCGTGCGCTTCAGGTTTAATTACATCAATTACATTGAATACATTGAATACATTAAACTCTTGTACTTGCAGTATACATTGATGCTGACATGAATTTGTGACAGACCAAGTTCACTACGGAGGACGACAACCACGTCGGGGACGACTACTTCCTAACTTCTGGCGACAAGATGTGCGTCCACCCCTCCCCTCCCCCCTTCCATCCGTTTACCCCACCTCTCACTCACTTCAACGACACTAACCCCAACCCCCAACCCCACTCCCCACTCCCCACTCCCCAACCCCCAACCATCATATAGCCGCTACTTCCTCGAAGCCGACGCCGTCGACGCCTCCGGCGCGCTCACCCGCCCCAAAGAGAATGCCGTCAACAAGATCGGGCACGCGCTGCACGAGCTCGACCCCGCGTTCCACAGGGTCACGCTGCAGAACCCGCGCCTGCGCGCGCTGGTGCGGGATCTCGGGTTCCACAAGGATCCTGTAGGTGAGCTATACGATATTGCGGTGTGGAAAGGATAGGTTGTGACAGACGCTGTTGTTCGATTCAAATACTCATTACTATCACCGCGTCGTTCCTCAACTAGCACTGCAATCGATGGTGATAACGAAGCAACCCCAAATCGGCGGCGAAGGTGAGGCTTGAGGCTTGACGGTGTCGAACATGCTCACGAACATACTGAAACATGTCCTCTGACACCCTGACACCCACTATATAGTCCCAGAACACAACGATTCGTAAGTCTTCCTTACAATGGATCTCGACTGAACATGAAAGAACTCACACATCATCGTCACCCTCAGAACATTTCTCGTAAGCCCCTTCTTCCCCCTTCTCCCCTTACTCACCTCCTTACTTCCCTCCCCTCCTCACTCCCTTCCCCCTCCCTCTTACCAAACATTCCCGTTACCCGCTATCAACCCAGTACACAACCCCGCCCTCCGCCCTCGGGTTCTGGATCGCCCTCGAGAAATGCACCTCCTCCAACGGCGCGCTCTCCTTCGCCCCCGGCTCGCACAAGACCGCGCCGCTCACCAAGCGCTTCGTGCGCCTGCCCCAGGGCGGGACGGGCATGCAGCGCGTCCTCCCCGTCGAAGAAGAGCAGAAGATATCAGAGGCGCATAAAGGGAAGTACGTATTGGAGACCTGTGAACCTGGTGAGCTTCCCTTCCTGCTGGAGGTCATTGGTATTGATAGAGGTGTGGCTGACGGTAACATCGTGTTGGGTTCGAAGGCGATCTGGTGCTGATTCACGGATCCGTATTGCACAAATCTGAACGCAACACGAGCCCCTACACCCGCTTCGCTTACACCTTCCATATGATCGAATCGCCCCCTCACGCAACATATGATGAAAAGAACTGGCTGCAGCCGACAGCAGAGATGCCGTTCTCAAAGATTTTGGTGTGAAGTTGCAATGGTGTAATAATGGAAGTGTAATTGTGTACTTGAGTCAGGAAGATATGGAATATAGACGTGTAACATATGAGATAAAGGTACAGATGGCGAAGGATACAAAGGTAATAGTCCTGTGACGAGTGTTGCGGGTAGAAGGTCGAAGGTGGTGAATACATCCGTAGCGCTGAATAACGAAATATTTGGGTGATACATGTAGCAGGGGTCGTCATCGTCAATTTATGTGTCGTTTATTCATTTGTCGTGTTTTCATCTAGTAGGCATCCTTTCTTCTTCTGTATCTGCCGAAGCTTCCGCAGACGGAGACACAGAAGCCGAGGATGAGCGCGACTAGTGCTCCCAGCGTGATCCAATTGGCGTTGCCGTATTGCGCTGTAGCACCTTCGTTGCGGAATCGGTTGCGAGCGATACCGAAGAGGACCATGTCGATGATCCAGATGAGGAGGGTGATGATCGTCGCAAGCCCGGAGAGCAGGGTCATCATAATCGTCCCGAAGCGCGAGTATGCGGCACCGCACAATCCGAAGAGGAAAGCGAGTCCTGCGAGTCCGGCAGCTAGAATAAAATATCATGTAAGAAGCCCGCGTTGTGTTGGAAATGAGGAAAAGACGTACCAATCGGATGAAGAATGAGGGTCTTCGTGAGGTTGCGCAGCACGGTTGAATCGACTCCGGTCGGTAGATCGTATCCTATTCCCACATCGCTTCCCGTGAACCCAAAGACACCATATCGTACTTGTTGGGCACCGGTTGAAACGTTTAGGAACGATATTCTGTCCCAGGTTGGCACAGATACGGATACCTGGATATTGGGGTAAGAATTTGGGTGCTAATAGCGGGCGTGGTGGCACTCACAAATATGAGAAGAACGGTCGCTGCAAAGCACAGGAATAATCCTGGAAGGGCGGCTCCGGCGGGCATGGTTGAGATTCTAAGCGCGCACTGTTGTCAGTAAAATAACCTAGGCGTGTAAAAATGAATGAAGACTGACTTGTGGAGGGAAGGGGAAGAGGAGAGATTGTGTTCGAACTTTTTGCGGAGAGGTCTAGTTTATATGTTCAGGGATTTGGCACGTGGAGCATCATCGCTCCTCCACATGACGTAGGCGATGCCCTGGCTTTCTCACAGACGACAGCGCGAATAGGGGACCCACCCGCACAGGCTGGACACGCAGACGGGGCAGTGCGCTTCTCGACTTGCAGGCGACCTTTCACCGAGTATGCGCAGCTGACCGCAGTTCTGAAATGCCGCAAGTTCATAGCAGATGCATAGTCGATAGCATGAAATTGCATCGATAGAATCAAGGCAGTGCATGGTTCAGATATTTGGGGTACTCATGAAAGCTGCGGTCACGAACAGGAAGATTCGCAGGAACTAGAAGTGGGACCGCGCAGAGGGCCAAGAGATCATTTCCTGTGTACGAGGTATGCGCCTAGTCTGTCCCTGTTGTCCCCTGATAAAGCCCCTCACAGATAGGCGCCGTACAAGCGCCGCCCATGCGACGCGTATGCTAAGACGCGTTCAGGCGCAACTGTACAACGATCCATCATGGTGCGTATAAATCTGAATCACTGTCGCCCTAGCTCACGCAAAGATGCCAGGCCAGACGATACGACAGTAAGGCTCCTAGCTACCCATGCTCGCCACGGCTAACAACTCCCTGATCGCAGGCCGCACTACTATATTCTCGCCGGAAGGTAGGATCTCCCATATCTATTCCCCAATATCGTTGTACTCACATATATCTACTAAATAGGCCGGCTCTATCAAAGTAAGCACGTCCTTGCTTCCACAATCGATAACTAAAGCGAACTTTGCTTGCATCAGTTGAATATGCGATGGAGGCCATCTCGCATGCCGGTACCGTCCTGGGCGTCCTGGCGAAAGACGGCGTCGTCCTCGCGGCGGAGAAGAAAGTCACGGGCAAGCTCCTGGATCTGACAGGCGCGAAGGAGGGCGGGTACGGGGGCAGTGGGGAGAAGATCTTCTTGCTCAACTCGTGCGTACACCTATGTGTTTATGTTTTTGTGTTCCTGATTCGCTGATTCGCTGATGTCCTTACACCGTTCACCACACCCACGCCCACTTACGCACCTACTCACCGCTTGATCTAACGTGTAGGAATGTAATCGGGGGTGTAGCAGGCCTGACGGCCGATGCGAACTCGCTGATCAACCACGCGCGGACGATCGCACAGCGGCATCTGCTAACGTACAACGAAGACATCCCGGTCGAGATACTCACGGAGAGGTTGTGCGATATGAAGCAGGGCTATACGCAGTTCGGTGGTACGTCCTCCCCTCGCCCATCTCTTCTCCTCTCTCCCCCCCATTCATTCACCTTTGCCCACAGGTCTCCGCCCATTCGGCGTATCCCTCCTGTACGCGGGCTACGACCCGCAATATGAGTTCCAGCTCTACCACTCCGACCCCTCGGGCAACTACTCCGGGTGGAAGGCCACCTGCATCGGCGCGAACAACGGCACCGCACAAAGTCTGCTGAAGCAGGAGTACAAAGACGATATCGAGGTGAAGGATGCGATCGGCCTGGTGCTGAGGGTGATGAGCAAGACGATGGACAGCACGACGCTGGGGAGCGAGAAGTGTAAGTTTTTGGTGGTGTTCTGGTGTACTGCGGGTATGCTGATAATGCGAATGTGCGTACAGTGGAATTCGCGGTGCTCACGCTCGACCCCGAGACCAAGAAGCCCAAAGCAAAGATATACCGACCATCAGAGATCGATGCGCTCCTACAGTCTGAGGGCTTGAAGAAGGAGGATGAAGAGATGAAGCCCTAGGCCACGCGACCTGTTGTAATGTTGTTTCGGTTTCGGTTTCTTACTTGCGTTGAGCCAAAAAGAATTACTGTGAATGACATGAAAGGAAATGATAAAACACTCAAAGTTGGGCGTAGAAAAGACATGAGTGCACGCCCGTTGTGTTTTCTTACTTCGCCGCTCAGTTACAGGAATTACGATCAATAAGTTGCAACGGAACCTCACGAGTCGCACACGCGGAGTACATTCAATCTAGCCTAAAAATATGTCACAAAGATATCATACCTCCTCTGATAGCCTTCTGAACATGATCAATGGCACGCCATCCCCTTCCCGTTCGCCGACACGGCGTCCAGGTCAATGTGGGAGTTGAAGACGAAATGGCCGATGGCTGCTCCGGCGACCACAGCAAGGATGAGGTATGCCTGACCACAAAGTAGGTATAATGTTGGTGATAAGATAGCAGAGTTCGAGAACGTACGTTGTATGTCATGAAAACCAGCATGAGGAAGAATGATAAGAACACCGTCGCTCCGTAGAGCACGGCGCGCAGGATGCGAAGGGTCAGTGGCACGGGCGCACTGCAAACTCTCCTCGTCAACAACCTCGTCTCTATCGACACCCCCAGTGAATAGCAACGCACCCAGTGACAGCCGGCCTCAGCGTCCTCCCGCTCAACAGCCCCGCCTCATCGCTGTCCTCCTCCGGTGTGCTCCTCCCACTCCCGCTCCTACTGCCCCCAAGTATGATCCTGCTCTTCCCCTTCCCGCTCTTCGCGAGGGCCGCCGCGATGCGCAGGTCGACGTTGCGCGAGAACGCGCGGAGGTACTCGTAGAAGACGCCGAGCGCGACGATGACGAGGAAGGAGAAGACGAAGGCGGCTTTGGAGTGGATGTGCCAGCCGGGGAAGACGATGCATGTGTCGATTATCTGGGTGTTCCTGCGGGGTGGACGGTGGTGGTGGTAAGTGCTAACATGAGGGTAGGGAAGAGAAGAGGACGGACCAGAGCATCTGCATGGCGCACATCGGCTCCTTGGGCATGGGCATGTCATGTCCGCCGTGGTCTCCGTGGTTCATGGCTTCTGTTCTTTGTAGTTGCGTCTGGCGGAAAGGCAGAATTGAAGCCACGTCTAAGCGAGCGCCTCCTGGGAACTGCGCGCCCCTAGCGACTCCTATATACTGCAATCTCGCTGTTCCCCCGAACTATCCTGTTTTCTCCGTTAACGAACGGCTGGAATATTCGGCAATCAGTTATTTGTTAAATATGAGATCTCGAACTTGAATCTCAGTCGTGATTGATCAACTCAGTCAAGGTTACTCTGGATTTGACTCGACCCATAATATAATTATTCCGATAGATATACTACGAAGGCATCTATGTAACCCCCACTGTCATGCACTCAGGCACTTGACCTCAAGCCCTGTCTGCTTTCTTTCTCTCGTTTCTCAGTCCAGCCCGTATGGTTTCCACTTGCTGTTCAGTGGTCTGTCTTGCATCTACAACAATGACCCCGCCTTCGCCTTCCGGGCTCTCCAACGTGTTCAGCTGGCTATCGAGCATATTCGCTTTCATAAAGTGCCCTTGCCGATTCAGCATCCTCTTCATCAACGTCTCCCGATCGCCCTTGATGAATGCAAAATACGTCGGGAGCGCGTCGGGATGCGGCGGCTCCAGATGCTCCGGGATCCGATTCGTATCCGTCGCAGGCTTCTTCTCCCCGCGCAGAATATCGCGGTAGTACTTCTTCAACGACGAGCACACGATCACTACGCCCATATGGCACCCCTCGGGACTCGCACTCGTTTCCCCATCCAGAATGCGCTCCTCCGCGCGCTCCTTCTCCTCGTTGCAGATCTCCTCCGCGCGCGTCCGGATCAGCTCGAGCCACGGCTCCCTGTCCGCGTCGTTGAGCGGCTGCCCGGAAGCCATCTTCGTGACGTTCGACTCGGGGTGCAGGTCGTCTCCGTCGATGAAGGGCACCCCAAGAGCGGTGGCCAGCGCGCTCCCCAGCGTCGACTTTCCCGTCCCTGATACACCCTACGCACCAGCCCGTTTACAACGATGCCGGTATATGGAAATATGGTAAGTGGTAGTGCGGTAGGTGGCAGGTGGTAGATGATCAGTGGTTGTGGCGATGGCGTATTGTTGCGGCGTGCGTTTCACGTCGATATCGTATCGGACGAGTCAGAATTCGTTTGCATTTGCATTTGTTTCATATTGAGCAAGTATGCGAGTTCATTGGATGCATGACAGCCAAAGTCATCTAAGATGGATAAGGCATAAAGCAAGGGAGGCGTGAGCTCACCATAACGATAACGCAGAAGGGCCCATCGACATCAACGTCAGCGCCACTGATATCTAGGAGCCCTGTCCTCGTACTAGGGCTCGGGGCCTTCTCCGACTCGTCGTCGATCCTGCTACACATGCTGGGTTGGTGCGAGGAGGCGCAACTGTAAGTGGTTTGAGACGCTCAGGCTGTAGGTGTCGGAGGATCGACGCTCGACGTTAGACGGACATCAGGCTAAAGCCGATGCTTCAGCTTCATGCAGCTCCGAAGCGGGCCGTCGGTGTTGCGTGCGCGGAAATCTCGTTGAAATCGATACCGAGATGCAACTTGGAGGTATCTGCCGTAAGCAGCGCTAGCCCCGTCACAACCATAACGAAAGTTTATTCCTCCGGATTCGAAGCTCAACGTGAACTTTTTGAACCGTTTCATCATTCTATTGATATAGCTAGCTAATCACTTATACAAGTCAATTGTAGCAGAATTACATAGCTATCGAGTGCAGAGGGATGAAAGCACCGAGCATCTATCTGCGTCCCAGGCAGATATCTACCGATGCGCTGTCCGCAAGCAGGCAACAAGCCGTGTGGTGGGAATACATTAACTCGAACTACACAGAAAACCGAGTAAGAGTAGAATTGAAGATTGAAGATTGAAGATCGAGGGAGGCAGAGTGTCAGAGAAGAGCAGGCAGCGTAAACTAGTGCAAATGCGGTGGTATGTCAGATGTGCAATTAAATGAATGAGAATGGCTATGAACATTGAAGGCAATGGCGGAGGAAGACGGGGTGTGTGAAGATGAAAACGAATGGAGGTTCCCAAAGTGTGTACACAGCGCAAAGAACGTGGAATCGCAACGGATCGAGCCCAAAGTCACAGTCCAAATTCAAGCGACATGATCCAAGCTGCTATACGCAGGAGGCGGTACTTCCCTATCGAACACCGACTCGCGTATTGTCGGCGGTCTTCCCCTGTGTACTCTCTCGATACTGTCCTTATCCTGATCCCTCAGCCTCGTCCTCACTCGACTCGCTCGGGGGGTGGCTTCTACATCTTCTGAGACATACGAACTGGCCAGCGAAGCGGAGCTCGAGCTGACCGACCTCAAAGTCCGCCCCTGACGCACTTGTTGTGATTGTATGGGCGCTTCGGGGAGGGGTGCATTCCTCTGCACGGGTGTTGGTGGTAAAGAGCGAGGGACGGCGGAGGTGCGCTTGACCGATCGTGTGGGCGTGGTGGGCGGTGGAGGGAGGGTACTCGAACGAGAAGCCGGGCTGGTGGATGGTGGGGGCGTGGGCGTCTGTGTAGGCAGATCAGGGAGCTTCCTCGGGAACCCCCCATTTGACATCATCGAGGAGCGTGTCATCGAGCTGCTCCGCGATGTTCGGGACATGGCTATGGGTTGTGGGCTGAGAGAAGACGAGATGCCGGATGAAGTAGAGGGTCGGCCGGTCTGCGCTCTAGCGCGCGGGTCTAATGCGACTTCTTCTGGTGGAGTAGATTGTGATCGAACCCATGGTTGTGAGATGGAAGGCAGGGGAGACGGAGATGACTGTGGTGGGGTGGGTAGTGATCTTGGCGAGGACTGCGAATACACGCTGGAGGACTCGGCGCGGTCATGGCGACTGGGGGAGGCATACTTCGCCGGTAATGGCGGGACAGGAGGCGCGTCAGAAGTGTCGTAGAAGGTAGGGTCGAAGTAGTCATGCGAAGGGGCGCCTGTGGGTGGGAAGTATATCGACGAGGCTATCGGACTGGGGACGCGGTCTTCGTCATCCGACAGCGAAAGCATGCTGTCCAGACTTGGGGTGCGAATATTAGGGTACATAGGTTCTCCGTGGATGATCTTGGCCAGTTGTTGGACAGATGTGGGTGTGGTGGGAGCATATCCGGTCGCCGTTGTCGAAGTAGACGGGGTACGTTGTAAGTTCAGTTTTGGGAACAACGGCTCGCCGTTGAGAATCTTCCGCCACCGTGACGGCGCTATGTTGACTGGCCGGGGAGAAGAGACGGAGAGGGGAAAGCGGTCGTCGCCTGATGTCGAGCTGCCATTTTGGTGATGCAGGTCATTTCGACTTGATTCCCCATCACCGTCGTATTTTTGGACGACCATCCACTCTTGGATGTCCGTGACGAGGAGAAGGGCTGTGACCAGGAGGTAGTCCATAAGAAGGATCGAGACGCCACTGTGCACAGCCAGAGATCCGTTGTTGTATTTGTCGTGAAATGTTTCGTATATTCGTAGTCGCGGCGGTACCGAAGCGACGTGCGGCTCTAAGATTGCTATAGGTCCTTTGCATGATGGAGCAGTGCACTATAATTGCATGTCAGCAATATGAGTCAACTGCAACGTATACATGTACTCACCCAATATGATGAGCCGACTTTCTTCCACTTCAAGGTGTGCGAGTATTGGGGAATGCTGAACTTGTGCCCACTAGATACTTGGCTGTAGCCTGTACCAACAGGGATTCCGATAATGCAACATACCTTGACATTGAACTCTGCTTCAGGAAATTGTCCCCTTCCCGCCAGTTGTCCCCCTTCATCTGCAGCAACACACCTAGCGACTGCCTGTCTTTGGTCTTGTATGGAATCATCTTCGGCCATTTGATGACTGCCACTTTCTGAGACGCTCCTCCCCACGGATCGGAGCGCTTGATTGCTGTACTAGTGCCCGTCGTTTTGATAGCGTACAGCGGATGTCGTGTTTGGTCATCATAGATACTAGAGTCCAGAAACGAGAGCGACGAGAGCTTCAAGCTCAGCAATGGTGTCTTCGGGGTCGACATGTCGGGGGTCTCTGAGACCGATGGTCGTCGAAGGTAGGGAGCAACGATGGAGGTAAGACGCGAGGCACGGGCGCTCTGGGCTAATATTGAGTGGGTGGAGCGGGACCGTGCGGCATACTCGGCTGTGAAATTTGCGGGTGGACGATGGGGGATGGTTTCAGCGGACGAGACATCGTGGCGAGGATGGCCAGGGGTGCGCTTGGCCATGTCGGTGAATCACTGCGGACGCACTGAAGCAAGAGATATCAGCATGGGCATCAAGTAAAGGCCGTGAAATTGCAGGAGGAGTAGACGCGCTGAGGTAAGCGTTTACGTTGTCCCCAGCCGCATGGGTTCCCGAGCTGAAGCGTTTCCCATAGTCGGCTCGCCCACGCAAGGCATTACAGGTCCATCAGATTGGCCCACCCCATCAGATGTGCTTCTTTCCTGGCGGGTTTAGCTTCCAAGGCCGCAAACGAGATTCTGGACAGCAAATGCAGCAAAAGCAGGTACCAGGATGACCGGGATGGCACGACCAGCAGCAGAGGAGGTGCAGCGGCTGATGTAAGCAATCGGGCCACAAGCACGGGCAAATACACCAGCCGCGTTCTTTGACCCAAACCACAACCACCACCCCGATACATCCATGTCCTCTGCTGCAGGTGACCCAAAGTACGTGCATCCGCAACCCCACGCGACACACATCTGATGAGATGATATCAGGGCTACTGCTACTACTGACGCGTCCGACGCGTCGCCCGTGGACAAGGGCAAGGGCAAGGCGCCCAAAGAAGACACATCAATGGAGGTCGAAGATGATGAGGATGATGAGGACGACGACGATGATGCTGAAGAGGACAGCGATGATGAGGAGGTACGCGTTCCCACACCCGTCTCTCCCCCACCCAATATCTAATGATGAGCCACTCTTTTTCCCAGGTCGAGGAGGATTTCTCTGAAATCAACCCAGAAGCAATCACTTCGCGCCGCACACGTGGAAAAAAGGTCGACTACACTTCAGCTGAGGCCCTCGCCAAAGCCGGGCTCGCTGCCGAGGGCGACGATGACGACGACGAAGAAATGAAGTAATTCAATAATCAACCCTCAATTGTGCATACAAATCGAAAAACACGCCTGTACAAATGTATTTTCTGTGTGTGCTACTATTCGAAATCCAGACGACAAGTCAAATGATCAGTGATATATTATTCGCTCATTCCCCATCTGATGTTTAGAACTCATGCAAAAAAATACCTCGCATGTTCTGATTTCTTTCTGTGCAGTATCTTATCCACGAATCGCTAGTCCAGCTCTTCATATTGATTGGAAGTAGCTGATATGGTTCTTCTCAGATCGCGGTTCCACCTCAGTTAATCGGTTGCCATATTCACGACCAGCAATCAACTCGGAATCAATCTGCATTTGGATAGATCCCTGGAGCCCCGCTGATGAAGAACCCGCGCATATACCACTTGGATGCCCAACGTAGCCATGTATATGCGTGCTCATGTCACTCGGGCACAGCGGCCTGGGCTATTTCAACATGCCATGCTCAAGTCCAGTGCTTGTCACCTACTTGACATACGGTCGGCTTGTTCGTCGCCAGTTTCACACTCATAGAACAACGTCGCCCAACATGGAGTCCCATGGCGTGGATACGACTTCCCGAGTCGTGACACTCCTTCGTCACTGCCTGCGCATATATGTATTAATGTGCTCCTCGAGAAGTGCTATTGTTAATCGGAACAGCAATAATGATGTGATATACTGATATGCCACTCTGCAGAGGAGTACATGGAAGACGTCTCACCCCACTATCATCAGTAATCGTGCATTTCCATCCGCGTCTCTGATTTTCACAAGAGGTCCTTCTCATGGCTTTGTCTTCCCAGGCACGTCAAAGGACAGAAACTGCGAGTCACTGATACGTATACGGTACTGCATCTACAACCGTGCATCCCCATCCCCATCAAACAGAAGGTTGTTCCTCCCCTCTGACTGCGCTGCGGTCCGAACTGCTGATCATGATATACGGATATGCAGTTCCAGGTTATTGGGATATATCTCCCGCGGCGTCGGGACCTTGCGGACGATAGATACTGTACAACATGGGACTTCGAAGGCGTGCTGGCGAACGTGGAACTGCGAGTCATCGTGCGTGGGTGTTGTGCTTGGATATGATGTTTTTTGTGACATGTCATGGGAAGATTTTGTATCTGCGCGTGGGTACGACGTACGCGACAATCCTCGCCTTTCGATGCATATGCACGGAGTACTCATAGGATGACGACCAGAGGGGCGGCGTGGGCCCGTCCCTAGCAACTGCGAGCACGGACTCTGAACACGATGCAGGCAAGATCAAAGGGTGATATGAATGATAGGTGATTACGATGGGGATATTTAGACCTGTAGATCAGGATCATTTTTAGGAGTGTGTGAGTGCTCTTTAATTATTCGCTGATATACATAACCCACGCACCTCTACAGGAATACAGGAATACGGTCGAGTGTGTATGCACCCTCAAAATACTTACGTGTGGGGAAGGCAATCGTTACGAGTCCATCAGAGCTTTTACGTATCGTAACGGTGGGTACGGTGGAAAGGAGTGCTCCTTTGTGTCAAAGTGAGCTCTTTGACCGGCGTATATACCATGGCATTAATTACGGGCGTACTCGGTCATGGCACGATGCCTTTCGCCGACCGGTTACTTCAAGCCTTGGTACGCTTATGGTACGGTATATTCCTCGTAACTCGTTCAGCAAGCTTGCTGATGACGCATCGCGATGATCTAGGGCGTCACGGAGGGCTCCTGAGCGGTCTACCGTGTACTAGTAGATCGAACTTTGATCCATGGATCCTACACATCGTATGGCGAGATACGTTGTGGCTTAACGCACAGTGGCGGAATAGGCGGATCAAATAGTCTCTATCTGCCTGGGAACATGCAATTGATCCAGACGGACGGTCAGATTGCACGAGAAGCTTCGTCTCAGGCATCATGCATGATGCATCAGGTAGAGAAGTGAGCCGACGGCTCAGTTCGCCCGTTTGCCGTGCCAATGAATGTGGGGCTTGGGAGGGCTAGCGAAAATGCACCTTGTGTGTCAGGGCATGAAATACCGAGGCGGCTGTGAAGAGGATATAACTCTGCCTTCGTGAGTAGTGTATAGTGTGAGGTTAATTGATGGCGCCTTTGTTAGGAACGGTCGGAATTTTTCGATTTCCCTCTCAATCAGCGGCTCATCACGATGTCTTTTGAGCGCGGTAGATGTTAGATGGTCGCTGGGCGCTATTGCCCGGACGAACGTAGAGAGCGCTGATAAGAGAGGTACGGTGCCGCATGGTACAGGTGATTTTGACGTGGCGATGAAGTGTTTCTGCTTCAGTTTCCTGCAGGAGTAGGAGGTCGCTTCTGATCTAGTCCAGCAGTTGGAATGCTGCTTGGCCATGGGATTCGAGCACCAAGTGTCCACTCCCAGGCATTTATCTGGCTGGAAGCGCTTACATCGGTGAATTGCATGGCAAGTGTTATATTTTATGTCCGTTCATCCGAAATGCTTCCACGGAGTACTTCAGGAGCAAAAAATCAGTCTTTTGCCTCCCGGTCTCAAGGCACTTGGCTGCGGATTTGATAGGTGTAATGCAGCAGTGATTGTGCTAGAGCGCTGGTTAGCTGAAACGACGATGCTAGGGGCACTGCAAGTGGGAGGTAATTCGAAATAGGGTGTTTGTCCCTGTTTTCGCGGTGGTCATGCGCCTGGTATATGAGTGCCACGTCAACCGAAATTTGTTCTTTACTGACCTCCACGTAGTCTGTCCTGCTCCCGCAGTAATCCTCCGTCTCCCTTAATACGCCTCCGCCCCCTCGCTCCTTCTCTTCCACGTACCACCAACGTATCCGAATCCCACAATGCCCGCCCCCTCGTCCTTCGTAGACCCTTCGTCTCTTTCCCTGCCCTCGCCGTCGCACTCCCCGTCGCCAGCACCAGAATCGTCGCTACCCACCACATCCACAGCCAACCTCCAATCAGCATCAGCATCGTCCTCGACATCCGCCCAGCCTTCCAGGAAGCGGCCTCGCACCGAAACATCGTCCGAGGAACGCAAGGAGGCCCGGGCACACCGCAACCGAATCGCAGCACAGAACTCGAGAGACAGGCGCAAAGCCCAGTTCCAGCTCCTCGAGCGCCGTGTTGCCGAACTCGAAGAAGAGAACCGCGTCCTTCGAGCCAGCATCAGCCTCGCCTCTATCTCTGCGGGCCACAACATCGCCGCCGCCCCAGTAGCCCGGCCCAAGCTCACTCCTGCCGAGGAACAGCGGGAGAAGGAGAACCAGGAGCTGAAAGAGCGGATAAGAACACTCGAGAAGGGTTGGGATGCCGTCGTCAAGGCTCTGGCAGCTCAAGGCCTCCCCACCGGTATCTCCCTTTCAGGTCCAGAGGCTTCGACATCAACGCCTACCGCTCAAACCGCCAGCCTACCTGCTCCTGCAGTCCTGACCCCACCCTCATCCTCGCCCGCGAAATCAAGTTCGCCCGCATCTGCAGTCATCACCAAGGTCGAAGCACCAGAGAGTCCCACTAAACTCAGACAAGACTCGACGTCGCTCCCTTCCTTGACATCCGCACCATTGGGCTTCCCTCTATCCCCCGCACCCTCAGATTCTTCCCTCGACTCCTTCGACATTGACATGGAGTTCGAACTCTCTTCATCTGCATCCACATCTTCCCTCTTCGCATCAGACTTCAAGGTATGAATACTGTTCTTTCTCCCAGTCGCGCATTTATTGACATGTCCTGTTTAGTCGCCTGAGCAATCCAAGCAGACAACGCATGAGCAACTCTTGACCACTCGCCACCTAGCACGGGTGGCGACCACGGCCGTTAAGGCTGTGTCCCTGCAGCGGGTGGTCAATTCGCGCACAATGTGGGCCTCTGCCCCGATTTCCTCACCTCAACTTCTGCCATCCCGGAGCCAGATGTTGATGACGCGACCATGGAGACCTTGTTCAGGGAGATCCTCGCGGCGAGCCCCAGCTTGCCGACGAAGAGCTTGCCTGATACCTCCGAAGGTGATGCTCTTTCCGGATTGCCCACCCCCGCGGCGGCGCAAATGATTATTCCGGACTTCACAGCGGGTGCAGGTGTGGGAGTGAATGAGGGTGAAGTTGAGGGTGTCTCAGTGGGGATGAATGGGTCTAGCGGATCGGCCGACGTAGGAATGAGCAATGTGGCGATGTCGCTGTACAACTGGGTGGATGAAGCGGAGATGAAGAAGCTACTGGACATGTTGCCCTCGATAGAAGGTGTTGGGGATGCGGTTCCATGGGATTCAACGATGCTCTCCGCCATTTCAACCATTGGTGTCTGAGCTTGCGAAACAAAACTATAGACGCAAACATCGGTGATGGATATTACAAGGAGTTTTCAAAGGTAGTGGCACGCTTGCGAACGAATCAAGACACACGGCCCGGCCTCTTCCGCCACTTGAACCTCCTTGCTATCCTGTTTTCCCTCTTGTATGGACGCCTCCACGCTCTCCTCGAACCAACGGAATTGTAAAACACTCAGCAGCTTCTCTTGCCTCTCCACTCGACTGGTATCGGTTGTACCATCATCAAAATAACTTATCGCCAACATTTCTCTTTTTCTCGGATTTACATTTACCATCGGTCTCAAGTTTTCGCGACTCATAATCTCTCTCGCCTCTCAATTATCATCATCTATTTACTCTTGGACTTCTTATACCCGCAACATTGTTTGCTTCGTACTCCCACCTCTTTTCTCGTATATTTTCTTTTCGACATGGCACTCCACCGACGCGATGGCGCGTTCGCTCTCAACCGCCATCGACATAGGCTCGCGCGTATGGCTAGCTTATTCGTTACCAGCCTGTCACCAAGGCATAACGATGTCTCTCGTCGCCAACTTCTAGGTTTCCCTTCGACTCCCGCTACCGGCTCGCTTTCTCTCTCTCAATCTGGACCCGCGGCCTATCCGCTTCTGATATTATTCGACGCTAGCTCCTGCGGCCTCCCTCGCGGCCCCCTGTGCTCCTGCACATCGACGAGTGCCTCTCCCCTTTGGGTTGATGAAGCCTTGTCGGTGTTGCAATAGGAGTGCATTCGGTTAGAGGTGGTCGTGGTGAGCGCTTGGAGGTATTGAAGAATGGAATGGCTTCAGGGTTCGGGAACAGGGGATTTAGTTTGTTGGACCAGTGGGGACGGTTGGACTTTCTGGGTGGTTGACGATTCTGGGGAGAATTGTGTGGTTCGTCGTAGACTTATCGGTAGTTGATGTTGATTAGGAAATTTATCAGAATACGAGTCTGGGTTTACTTTGCAATTTTGAGGGAGCTGTGAATCGTGAAAATGAAAGCAGAATGAAAGCGTCCAAGTTGAGAAGCTAAATCAATGGTTCAACCGTTTATCCCGTTCCCCTAGGCATCCAACTCGCTCCAAGTCATCCCATGACCTCTGTTCACACTGTGCGGACACGGAGCATGCGTGCGGTGCTATACATACATCGATATCAAGCCAAGCCAACAATAGGACCATCTTTACCAAATTGAAAGCCTCGTTGGTTCACAGAGATTCTATATGAAGCATTGCGACTCCCTGGCATTGGGGCAAGGATGATGTCTCTACTCAATCCCCCTAGGCTACCGCCTAAAGATGCTAGGAAAGCAGTGAACCCCGTCAAGGCAATGCGGGCCTTGACCTGGACACAGCAAGCGATTTTCTGGTCTGGGTGGTTTGTGAGTGTATCACATTCATTATTGAGTCCAGTAGTTTTACTAAGACCCGGGGCTTTCGCACAGGCATGGGTCGCAGACTGTATGTCCTCTCCGCCACGAAACGACCATCGGAGCATCGCTGACATGCTTCTCATCTGAAGCGTTTGACTTTTTCTGCGTTTCACTCACCATCCTGCGGTTCGTTTCGCCCGGAATGTAGCCCGCGTTCTCCATGTCATTTCTGACGCGTTTTGGTTTTGGTTTGGTTTGTTCCGTACCTTAGGCTCCAGGAACAATTTGGCGAGAGCACGCATGCGATGACGACAGCTATTACTCTGACGCTTCTCCTGCGACCGGTGGGAGCGTTCATTGTCGGGTTACTAGCCGATCGGTTTGGGCGCAAGTGGCCGCTCGTTGGTGTTTTGCTGGTTATTGCTGGTATGGGTTTTCTTCGGGGTGTGCGAGCAGTAACGATTGATGGATGCGCAGCGCTTCAGATTATAACGAGCTTCATGACTACCTTCTCCAGATTTCTAGCTGTCAGATCCCTCTATGGAATAGGTCAGTCATCTAATTTCATGTAGACGCGATCTGTGCTAACGTATATATACATGAAGCTATGGGAGGCGTGTGGGCAAGTACGAGACCTGTAAGAGGTTCGCTAATCTGACATGCTCTATTCTCTCGTAGGGTGTAGCTGGCGCTGCCTCGCTCGAGTGAGTAGTCTTGCTTACTGCTAAGAGCTCGTGTTCTGAATTTCCTGGACCTGGTATAAAGAAGCATGCCGGTGGGCTCCAGAGGGCTGTATTCTGGCCTTATTCAAGGTACGTCGGTTATCTATGTGCTCTGTCTGCCCTGACCCTGACCAAATGGGAATTGAAGCTGCATATCCTAGTAATTATTGCCAGTGATTTTGAGCTGTATCAAAATAACGATATTATCCGTACCTCTAGCCGGTTATGTGAGTTTTCAATAATTTCCCCCCTGCTGTCGTTGACCATTGACTGCTGCGTAGCTCGTTGCATCTGTAGTGAACCTTCTTCTGGTTCCCAACACGCCTCAAACTTGGCGTTCGTAAGTATTATCGTTCGCAAGGATTTTAGGTCACGCACTGATGTATTCCGTAGGATATTCTGGTTTGGGGCAGGGCTCAGCGTCCTCGCCGCTAGCATAAGAGCATCCCTCCCCGAGGGTGCTGTATTCAAACGATCAAGAGAAGTTGCTCGAAGAGGGAATATGACAGCTGTTGACAAAGCCGTAGTCTTCATGCGCTCGCTTGGAAGGATGTTCAAGGATCATTGGACTCTATGGGTATACGGTGAGCCGCCAACTACGTCGAATTCCTGATCTCCTTCACAGATACTGATAGCTGGTAACCCCCTGTAGGTGTCGTCTTTATTAGTGGCCTTCAATTTGTCAGTCAACCTACCGTTCTCTGATATCACCGAATTCTCAACCTTTGGTTCACAGCTGGCGCATAGCTCGCAAGACTTGTATACGACGTTCATGCAAGCCAGCAAAGGGTTCTCTGCATCCCTCGCTAACGAAGCGAACATAATAGGCGAAGCAGGAGCTCTCATAGGGGGTGCCCTAGGGGGATATCTCAGCCAATTCTTGGGTCGGAAATTAACAGTTGTGTTCGCTTGTGTGTGAGTCGGCCGCGAACTCGCTTCTTTGCACATGCCGACGACGCTCCCCATCTAGCTGGAGTGCTGCTTTCATACCTCTGTATGTCCGCACTGTCTTTCCTGTGGATCTATGTTTACGAAGAGTCTGCCAGGTGGATACTACCGAGCTCCTGGGGTCGGCTAAGCATCGGCGCATTCTTCTTCCAAGTACGCCCTGACGCTTCCTATCCTGTCTGCTGCGTAACTTATGGGGCATCAGGTGGGCGTAAACATAGCGTGGGGTATGCTCGTCCGAATATTCTGTGTCATTTTGTGTGAGATATTTACTTCCATCGCTTTAGGCGCGATCGCAATACATCTCAACGAACTCGCACCACCGGCATTCCGAGGAGCGTTCACCGGTACCGTGCACCAAATGGGAAACATGGCGAGCAGCGCGTCTGCACAGATTCTTGTTGGTATCCGCTCCCTATTCATACTGTCCCGGCTGAGCAGGATCTTACAGGCTACTGCGGGTATCACTCTGCGGAAGCAGGTCAATGGTGTGGATCAACCAGACTATGTATGTACTGATATTCTGGTTATCGGTCGTTATCTACCTGCTAAACTTTTTTCAGGGAACTATTCAAGCAATCATGGCCGCCTTATCGTGCGCAATGGTCATCATATGTACTTTCTTTGGCCCCGAGAGGCACTCCGCACACTTCGAAGGTGAACCGAACCCGGCGTCTTATTTTACCATGGCTAAAAGCTTCCACAGATGGTAGAACTGCTATAGAAGAGGGTGTTGCTCGTAAAGATAGGACATCCAGCTATAGCGGAGAAGAAGATGAAGGTGAGAAGGTAACGGTAGAACACATCGAACATCGCTCCGTGCCCCCTGACTCCTAAAAGAGTTGTATATTTTTGTGGCGACCTGGGAAGTTTAATCCTGGTTTTATGGGCACTTTCAGTATCGCATCCACATGCTTGCCGAACAGATGATATGTACCGTAAGTGCTGAACTAACAATAACTGGCAAGCTCCCAAGCGTGGCAATGCCATCTTTCACCATTGAGCCCGCATGAAGTTATTCGTCTGGAACTATCCCCACTCCCTCCAACCGCAGGAAACGCGTTCTAGATGAGATTTCATATTCACTTGCATTCTCCTAAGTTACCTGACGGAAGGGACTCGTGGCAGTCCACGAACCCGCTCTACGCCATTCTCCAGTTGACGCGAACTCAGCAAGCCCTGTTTTGGTCTGGATGGCTCGTGAGTTATATACTCGTTGTATTCTGTTCCTCAATTCACCTTTATAACAGGCTTGGATCACGGATTGTGACATCCTTCATTTGTCGATTGTCGGGAGCTATCTAATCTCATTATAGCTTACGACTTCTTCTGTGTGTCGTTGACTATTCTTCAGTAAGGTTAATTGCGAAAGAGTGATTTGGCACTGATCTAGCCCAATAGATTGCAAGCCCAGTTCAATCACGACACACACGCAATGACCACGGCAATCACCCTTACCCTGCTCTTCCGTCCTGTCGGTGCCATAATCTTTGGTCTACTTGCTGACCGCTTTGGACGCAAGTGGCCTCTTGTTGCGGATCTTGCCATTATTGCGGGTGCGTCCCATCTGCCGCTCTCGTATCCAACATTTTGTGCACCCGGGGGCTCAATGTTTGTTAGTCTTGCAAGTTGGAACGGGCTTCGTCACCACATTCTCCGAGTTTCTGGCCGTCCGGTCGTTATTTGGGATGGGTGAGATCTGAGTTTTTATCGTCACGCCGACCGATCTAACAACCGTGGTTAGCAATGGGTGGCATCTGGGTGGGCCTTGTTCTCTCGTCAGTATCACTTCATTTTAAACTTTGAACAGGGATTGGCAAGTGCTGCTTCTATGGAGTATGTAGGACTCCTTCATTCGAGAAACCCACTGATTATTAGAGTAGAAATATGCCGGTCGCGTCTAGAGGCCTTTACTCCGGGTTTATGCAAGGTAAGTTGCCGAACGGCATACATGGCGCAAGACCTCATTAGGCTTGCTTTACCAGTTGGATATCCTGGTACGTGCAACTAACAAATGTCAACGTGGGATGACTTCTGAAATTACAAACTAGGTGGATATGTAAGTATCTCACGCAAATTTGGTCGACTCTCGTTTGACAAACACCCAACTTATACGACCTTCAGCTAGTCGCATCTATCGTCAACCTCTATCTAGTCCCTGAAAGCCCTCAGACTTGGCGCTCGTATGTCTATACGATCTGTTGATGGACCTCTGCCATTCACAGATGTAGGATTTTCTGGGTCGGAGCTGGATTAAGTGCTTTCGCGGCCTTTATCCGTATGCTTTTACCCGAAAGCGCAATATTCCAGCGAGCCCGTGTGAGGAACATATCTACATCGAAGGCCACTGCATTGTTTGCACGCTCTGTGACCGTAATGCTAAGGGAGCATTGGGGAATATGGATATACGGTACGCATTACTCTAGCGATTATAGCAGAAGACGTCCTTAATCGTGAATGCAGGCATTTTGCTAGCAACTGGCCTGAACTTCGTAAGCCCTATCTCTCACCTTAATATCTTACTTGATTGTCAGATGATGGATTTCTTCTAGCTTGCTCACAGCTCTCAAGATCTATACACTACCTTCATGCAGAAGAGCAAAGGCTTCTCTCCCTTCCTTGCCACCCGGGCCAATATCGTCGGCGAAACAGGGGCTGTACTAGGGGCTCTCTTAGGAGGATACATCAGTCAATTCTTGGGACGAAAGAACACCTTAATCTTATCCATCATATGGTGTGCAGGGTTTATTCCTCTGTTAGTCTCAATTAAACCGCTGTCCCTCATATCACTTACTCCTTTGGCCTGTAGATGGGTTTTACCAAGCTCATGGACATCGTTGAGTGTTGGAGCATTCTTTTTTCAAGCGGGGGTGAACATCGCTTGGGGTAGGTGATTTACTTGTGCCGATTCCTAAATCATAATGATCGTATATACAGGGATGGTAGCTGCATACCTCAATGAGCTCGCACCTCCTGCCTTCCGTGGCTTGTACCCAGGAACAGTCTACCAACTCGGTAATGCAGCTAGTAGCGCTGCATCGCAGATCGAGGTGAGCGAAAGCCGGTATTGTCTCTAGAGGGAAAGTACGTTGAAGCACCCTTCGTTTGATAGGCTACAGCAGGTCTCACTATTCGGAAGCAAGTTCAAGGCGTCGACCAACCAGATTATGTATGAGATTCGAAGTCATTGTTGCAAGTTGATAATGAAGCCCGATGTAGGGTACTGTCCAAGCCATCATGGCTGCTGCCTCTGGTGCGCTCGTCCTTGGATGCGCGTTGTTTGGCCCAGAAAATCATTCTGTAGATTTGAATGGTACGTGCATTGGATGTTCCCCCCAACGTTTGGAGTCATTGATTGGTCTTGTCTTTGTAGAGGCCAAGACAGCTATCGAAGAGGAAGGCGCAAATATCGACCGATCATCAAGCAACATCGTGGACGACATGAAAGTTGACGACAAGCACGTCGAGCACACAACTACCTACGCCACCGCGGCACACGTCGTGTAACCAAGCACTGGATATGAGTTTGCAATAACCTTTTCCGAACCTTCCGATAAAAACAACATAAATAACAACATTTATAATTATATAAGTTCTAGGTTTTATAGGTCGCCCCTTCCTGCGGCAAATCCACCTCGCTTCTCGAAGAAGGATCTACGAAGCTCGGCTTTGCTATCTGCGTCGTACTCCTGAGGATTGGTATACTCGAACGGCTTTGGCTTCTCGGGAATGCAAGTCATGGATTGGTCGACACCATAATCCTCATATATTAGGGGATTTTTGGGATCGCCCGATTGATTGATGATGATAGCGTTCAGCGAGTCCAAGGAGGGATCAGAGTCGAAGTAATTGTGAGGCGCGATTGTGAAGCTGGAAAAGCCCGGCGATGAGAACATTCAAGGAAGGGCTAGCAAAGACCAATCATACCTGGTTGTTGCAGTCGTAGTCCTAACGTGTGGTGCATCCTCGGCTTGAGGCTGTAAGGCGTAGTCAGAATATGGTCTTTCATCTAGGTTTTATGACGCACAAGGTGATGGGTTCCGACGTTGATCCAGGCGACAAGATCCTCCTGGTCAAGACTGTCTCCGTCAAAGAAGTTGTCGAAGTTAATTGTGGGGTTTCCAGGAAGATGTTGGTTCCACATTGAGCTGGAGGAGTGCTCGTTGTCCTTGTGCTTAGTGACTGCTATGTTGTGGCCGGCCCAGTTCGCATTGCGGAGTGCTCGTGGAGATCCAGTGACGGCCTACGAAAAACCAGTTATTACTTCTGCTTGCGTGTTGCTGCTAAATACTGCACTTACCGCGTGGATAGGATTGGGCCCGGCCATTATCGTGTATCCTCGTACTGTACCGAAGTCGTTGTGCTTGTCCTTGTTAACGATGGAATAACCTCCTTGGAAGTTTGCCGGGTAGTTGACTCGGGAATCAGCCTCGGTTTGAATATAGTCTCGCGATACTCTTTGTTGGATGCCAGTGGTACCCCACTCATCGTCGAACCACGGCTGAGTGACCTCCTCTTGAGCCATCGAAGTCTTGAGGAAGGAGTTAGCAGTACCAAGAATGTCTAGATCGACCTGTAATTTCATTATGAGTCGTGGTGCTAGAACATGCTTTGGGGAGCATTACCTTGAAGTTGACGACGTGGTCATGGAGGGCTCCCCCTGAAGACTTCTCGTGAGTACAATGCAAAGGGATACATTGCATAACTCACTCGAGGTACGGAATATCTTCCCAGAGTATGGTTCTTCCTCGGGCGTAGGCGGCGAGGCTTGTACGTATCCCGAAGCAGAGACCCGCACTTCGATAGAACCGTCCAATCCGAAGGTATAATCCCACTGTTGACCTCGTCAACGAAAGCAAGGTCTTAGGAAGGAAATACTCACCACTACACAAGATAGGCATCGAGGTTGAGGTCAGCTACGTTCAAGTCTCATATCCCAACAATATAACGCACAATAGTCGTAGCTATTCGGAGGCGAATCACTATCAGTAGGGGAATCATACTACGATGAACGACAACTTACTTTCCAACAGTGGAGATAGAACGAACCACCAAGACGTAGCCCTTCACTGCACCCCAATCACCAACACCCCAGCCAGCGTGCCGCGTGATGGGGCGATTTGTGTCCATTTCGAATATACAAGTGGCTCTCGGTGTCACTTTCGTGACGCCTTCGCCATCGAAGATAGTTGCAGGCAAGTAGACCGATCCAGCAGGGCAATCGTACAGAGGCATGAGAGGTCGCACAGTTTGACCCATGCCATACCATCGATCAAGCCTGAAAACGGGGTCAGCGTATGTTTGTATGTATGATGGATCACCTACCATGCAGTAGATGCCGAGAATGGATTTGCGCCAGCTATAGTTCAGAAGTAAATACCACAAGCAAGGATGGCGTCCAAAACGCAAACGTACAGTATTGCGCAAGGGCGTCTTGGGGGGAGAGCTATATGGTGAGTAGTGCATCAATTGATGGTGATTGCACAATAGATCATGTCGACGAACCTCGTAGATGATTCTCTCGTTGCGGAAGCGAATGTCCCAAAGACTCATGCCCATCTCTCTGTCGAATCCAAGGTACATCCCCCATCCCATCCAGCTGATGTATCTACGCTTCTCATCGACACGGAAACGCAACCCAGCAAAAGGCACAGTACGGGGTCCTGGCAGGTGGTCCAAGTCGAGCTTCAGGTCCGGATGAGGCCGGGCGCGAGTTCCCCAAGAGGTAGGACCATCAGTCACTTCCTTAGGTTGCGGTTTGAGCTCGCCATTGCGGAAGGCCTCAAGGAAGGCTTCTGTCGAAGTGAAGGATCGCCCCTCATAGATAATCTAGCAGAGTGTACTAAAGGTCAATATGCGTAATGCAAGTACAGAGTGAATGGATTTACCTTCAGGGTCTTCCACTGCGAAACGTCGGTTCCAGACATATCGACATACATAAACAAGTTTAATGGGAACATGAATTGGCCTGGTACGGAACGTTTCCAGAAGAGCCAAGCACGACGGAAAGAGCCATCGATACTCCATGGTCCATTGATTTCAGCTGTGATAGTATCGTTCGCCAGTCCAACACCAACACCACCCAAAAGAGCCTGCATGGCCTCAGCAAGAGGTGGCATGAGCTGCGTCGTCATAGCACCGAGTTCTGCACCGTAGCTAATGACGCGGGCTTCATAGGGAATGTCGTCGCGATGATATACGCCAGTCCGTTCCTTCATGGTAGTTCGTTTGCTGATGGGCAACGGGCCAATAATATAGTCTTTGACTACAGGGCGCTCTTGCGCGCCGTGATGCAGAACAACTCGAGCATATCTGTCTGGAGCTTTGACGTGATTCGGTTTCGCCAGGTATTTGAGAGCGTCAGCTTTCGCAGGACGAAGGGCTTCGATGAGGAAGACGCTGTTGTCGCTGGGAGTAGCGCCCTTCAAAGTTAAGTTCAAAGATCTCGAGGGCGATTTGAGATATTTGTAGACGTCGCTGATCTCCTCGACAGACAGAGGTGCCCAGACGTTCACCGGTGCCGGAGGTTTAGCTGCGAGAGGTTTGAAGGAGGGGCATTGCTTCAAGTGGGAGTTCGATCGCGCGTCAAGGTCTTCGAAGACGTCTCGGCGTTCGATATTCTGGACTTGAGCAGGCATATGGGAGTGCATCACCATACCGAGCAAGGTGCTTCCAAGGACGAGAGCGACGAGGATGGCGCGATTCCGCAGACGGCGGCCATTGTTCTGAGTCGATGGCGACGCATTGTCGCGACTGGAAGTATTGTGGACCATAGCGTCCAAGGCAGGCAGCTACTGCGCTAGCCGTTGTCGGGTCGTCCAGTGCCTGTTATAAGGAATCTGGCATGGTCATGTTATTCACGATACAAGGTCAGGTAAGTTGTTCGCTGACCTAGCAACAGTGTGGTACACATCCAGAACATACGAAAGAAGCTGCCAAGCTTCGTAAAATTTCATTGGCTTTGGCAGCCTGTGGCGGTATCACTGATATCAGTCGCAGAGACGCAAGGGTGGTCAACCGCAGGGGCGGTAAAGGGATTGATAGATCCCTGCCTCCATCGACGCGTCGACCAAGGTCGACCGAAATTGAAACGGTGCCTCAGTGCCTTGTATTAAGATCCTGATGTCAGTGCTTGGAACTGGGAAGGTTCAACCCAGTATGTTCGTCGCGCCTTAGTCGACGTTTCCGGTGTGTGGGATGTAACGGTTAGAAGACCGCAGTTTACTGTATTCACAAGGAGTGCTGATGCTGGATATCTGACTATACCCCATGTTTTTAAGGAGGGGCTTGCAGGCTCGTTTCAAGGTTTGGCCGAAGCAAGTAACGACGCTGCGCGATATCTTCGCTTCCCTTCGAGGCCAGCTGATCGCACCGGGTATCATACAAGTGGCAAACGAGTACCACATGAATCGAATTCGATAATCAACAACACTCCGAGCTAGCCTGTATTCAGCTGCATTCAGACGGAATGGTTCAGAACTCACAAGTGGACGATCGCTGAAGTTTGGATGAAATTAGTCAGTCTCGACGAGCCACTATATGACTCCGCCGGTGTCCTGAGGTGACGCTCCGGGACGAAACTTACGCTAGTGCAGGTACCTGGTCCTAGTCTTTGCCAAATGGGCAATAAACGACGAGTGCCTGATAAATGAGCCGTGTGGGATTGATTCCGAGTGACAGATGGTTGCTGCTCTTGAACTGGAGTGATCGGCAGAAAGTGCTCTGGTGATGAGCCAATACGCATGCTGGTTCGGGCAAGGTTCGGGGGGCTTCAGCGCTTGAATAGTGCTGATTCTGATTTAGTATCGTAGGCCCCTCTGTCCTTCCATGATCATCTTATCAATACGATGCGTAGATGCGTCGCGGAAACGCTCTAAGTAGTTGCAGAATTGTATCGCTCAACGAATTGACAGGGCAGAGCTACCTCAAGATGTCGCCATCAACGTGAGTAATTTGTGAACATTTGTGAAAAATCTCAGTCTAGAGAGCCCAAGCAGGAACTCGAGATATGTTCAAAGCACATAACCTCGGAGCTGAAGCTTGAAGGCTGTTCAAGTTGCTGAATGATGGTGGGCCGGGTTTGGCGGGCGTGGTGATTGGTACCCAATGTCAGATGACTATCGAACAAACCCACCGTCTTTTCCTTTTCTCCTGGTCGAAGTTTATTGCTTCCGCATTACGGATCGTCGCCATTGTTTACATTTCATGTGCTAACGAACGCTGGATACAGATCAGGTTTTACAGAGGGCGAGCCTTCAGCGCAGCTGCATGTTCAGTCAGGAGAGCGTAGGCATCATCACCAGGATAAATGGCGTAGCCGCCGTTGTAAGTATCGCCCCACGAAAACCTGTTGTAGCGAAGTCAGCTGCGGTACAAATCAATGAAGCTTTCGATGGCAAACCTAGAACCAGCTTCCCTACATTTTTTTGGTTATGGTGAGCTAGAACTCTTCAGAGAGGCATGTGCGGAGCACTAACCAGACAAGATCTCCAGTGAAGCCAGAGGTTTCAATTGTGTTGAACCATTCGGTGTAAATCGGGACCTTGTTCTCGAGCATGCCAAACTCTTCCATGATCACGGGCTTGTTAGCTTGAACCATAGAGGTAGCGTGGTCTCGAATCCATCCATTACCCCAAGCGATCGCGTCGGCAGTCGTACCCCAAACATCCTGTGGGATACAGTCAGCTCATATAACGTTCGCCAGGAAGTACCAGCTTACAGGATAACACTATTGAACGTATCCAGTGAGATACCAGATACTATTCCATAACGTCGAGACGTACGTGAATAGTCCCGAAGTCGAGTGTGCTGATCTGGAGATTAGCATCGAAGTCGATGCCCTCAGAGCCCCTACAGTCCTTTAACTTATTTTCAGGACTCAGGGGAAGTCACATACTGATAGGGGTAGGTTGGAGAACCTGGTCGGTTGAAGAAGCCTTCGTCACCAAGAGCCACGAGATGGTTGGAGTCGATGGACTTGATGTATGCAGAGATGTCTGCCGCCCAGCTTGTAATGGTGGCGGGTGTGCATGAACCCGATGTAGTACTAAAATAGGCTTCTCTCAGTTCAAAGTACGGAGAAGAACATAATTTGGGCGTACGATGAAGTGCCTCGGCATCTGGGTTCGTTGGCTTTGATGTATATGGTAAGGAAGATGATACTTTATGCAGTGCAGGTCAACGAACCAAGCTCCCATGCCAAAATAGTCGGCTCGTTGACGTATCGCGAAACAAACGCGTGTATGTAGTTCTTATACGCAGCCTAAAAATCGAGTGGTTAAATTGATAGCATGAAGGGAAAGTTGGAGTGAGAGCTTACGATAACTGTCGCATCCGTGTAGAATAAATCATGGTCAGTGGAGTCGGTAAGTTGCTGGACATAGACATCCATGCCGCCATAGTCCGACCTATTACTCAAGTCAGGCTCTCTTAGACGAACGAAGTCGTTCTCCCTGATTACCAGTTATTGGTTCTGCAGCAGAGTCTCAATCCCGGGCGCAGTGACGTAAGGAAGAAAACCTACAGTGGTACAATAAGGCGCAGACCATTCGCCTTAGCCAACGCAACGACGTTGTCTGTCAAAGGAAGAACAGGATGTTTAGCAGGTGCCCATAATTCTGACGCCTGAGTATTACCAAAGTTTTCGAGCCCAGTAGGGCCAGTGTTAATGGTCGGAACGCCGTCGGTCCAGAGCTGGTAATACGGTCCCCAGTAGGTAGGATCAGTCTGATCGTTGAAGCCCCTATGAGAAATAGGGTTAGCGAAGCTCCTCAAAGAATTAGGCCTGCGCACATGGTGCGAACGGTAGTTGCTCCTGTCGCTGCGATATCAGAGAATGCTTGATTCATGTCGCTAAGACTGAGCCCAGAAAGTCCCACCCAGTAGGAGTTGTGTCCCACTACCGTGTACTTGGATCCGTTGAGCACGAACTCAGTTCCTGATGTCTTCACAAAGCCGGTGGAGGATGGGGGTGCGACACTGGTCGTCGGCGTAGAAGATGTCGTTGTCGGAGTTACAGATGTAGATGTAGGAGGTGCGGAGGTTGTTGGGGGGACCGAGGATGTACCTGTGACACATTGAGAGTACCATTCATTGTTTACAAGACAGACAAGGCCCGATGCACATGCTACGCGATGTCAGCAGAAGAACTTATCTCGAATACTATAGGATACTCAACTCGTCTCGCCTGCCCAGCCTATGCCGCCACACTGACCCCACTCCACGACAACGCCTCTGACGGGGCTGAGAGTGACTGCCAAAGCAACTAAACCAGCGGCCAATTTCATGCTGGAAGAAGTTAGCATAGATCGACGGTAGAATGTTTTCCATCTCGTTTATGTAGGTAGTCGCATCTTATTCTGTCGGGCAATCTTCGCGCATGGAGCAACGCTGCTGGCAATTCATTTGTTGCGAAAATATGCCGCGCGGACATAGTGGCCACTGGCGTTGACAGTACGATGTCTCGTACTGTCGAGGTATAAATATCCCAGCTGCAGAATGAAAAGACCCGAGATTCTGTCGGCCTTGATCAATGCAATAATCTGTTTGGAGTAGCAGAGTTGTTGCTTGGATTCTTGACTCAGTAACAAAAATCCTAGAAACGTTGTGCCTGCATTGCATGGTAAGATTGGCGATGCTCAATAAATGGAAGTCTACACTTCACTATATGGAGCGCACACTCCCTCGATTGGGTGATCTGCGGGAAAACGCGTCGGGCCGCGGAATATGTAGGCCTTCTTCTGAAGTCTCTTCAGCGATCTAGTAACAAAGCATGCGTTAGCACAGGGGCCCGGTCCTGGAGTTCGTGAATGGGCAGTGGTCGGCAGATATGTCTTTCTGATCGTGTTGATTGTTAGGAAGTCACCACAATAATCGATCACCGTATATATTGTTTTTCTAATTGACGAGGCTTGCGTGAGCTGTCGAGGTAGACAGATATTAGATAGAGTTGTAGAACTAGACTGAATTATTGATTATGCTTTATTGAACCAAACCTCTGATCGTTTCACTACATTGCCCGTAGATGGGCTTGGTACACCGGCACCCGCGCCCCAGAACCCTCCGAAGAGACCAAAGCCCCGTCGACCTTTATCACGCCCAAATTCGGCCGTTGTGCCCACATTGTTAGTCATGAACCACCAAGGCTCGCTGGCATTGCCGGTGGGCTACATGTCCAAGTTAAATCTCTGAAAAGGTACACGGGGGACTGATGAGGCGCTTACGAAGGGATTCAAAGACGCGACGTTGAAAGTGTTGCCATCAACGTGCGTGAAACGGAGGTACGTGCTGTACTGTTTGTTCCACCTTGCAATGAAGGTCGGTACGGAGGGGTCGACGGATCCTGGGAGAACCATGGTGATATTCGCAGCGACATCTCGGCAGGCCGAAGATACGACAGGTGGCGGTGGGAAGAGGCATAGTTCCAAACGACCGTAGCCCTTGTCTTCATATCTACCGGCTAAATCCTTGAAGCCACCCTTTGGATCGGTGGCATTGGCCGGACGCGGCAGTGGCTGAGGGGCAGCGGAATAGCCAGCCGAGATGAAGTTCTCAAAGCTAAAATTTTATCAGCAAAACGAAGCAAAATGCATCTCGGAGAAAACCCACTTTGTCTTCCAGTCTTCTGGTTGAATGCCTAACGCTTCGTCTACCAGCCGGGAGACTATTGCGAATGAAATGTAGCCCCCAATGGCATCATCGTTAGTAAGGACAGCGATGCCCAAACCGTCGAAGGGCAGGCGGGCGACCATTGAATTGAACCCTAGGAAATGTATCAATACACTAAGCGCTGACGTTATCAGGAGGAAAGCCTCACCGCTCACTGATCCTCCATGCTATTGGTGGCAGAGTGACTTGAGTAAACCTGTATAGACATCATTACGATAATACATACCTCCATGATCACTAGTTAACGCTGTTAGCACCGTGGAAGTTGGAGAAACATGAATGATGCTCACCGTGGCCCTTATAATTTCGAATCGTTTGACCGCCTCCGTAGACTGCTGGGGTCAGACGAGGAACTTGCCTGGTGGAGGTGTTTCAATGATCATTCTCGCAGATACGTGAAATTGAACCACATACCCGTATGGTACAGTGGTGTCAACAGTGTGCCCTGTGGATACAGTTTGTATTGCTTCAGCAGGGATCACCACACTGCCTGTCTTGGGATTTTTCCCGTTGAGGAGGAGAGTTTGAAGCCACTTGGCCTAAACGGATATATAATGTGAGACCGTTGGCACAAACGATGTCAAACGACGCACCATGTCCACGGCATTGCTAATAATACCACCAGCTCCTGCAATCACTGAGTAGATGATTCGTTAGGGCGAACTCGCTTCAGTGCAGGAATTACGAACAATCGCCGTCTTCAGTAGAGTGCGGATCCCAATAAGGCAGAGCTTGTGGTGTGCCAGCATCAAAGGCAGATTTCATGCCTTGCCTTGCAAATCCTTCGGCCAAGTTGCCTGACTGAGCCGCTATCTGGTAGGAGTAGGTCGTTGCGGACATGTCCAGGGGATCGAATATCTTCGCTTTCACGTAGCGCGCAAGGCTCGGGGACGAAGGGAGGAGAACAGTCGGGAGGTACGATAGCAAGGCGTACATATTGTTATTATATTGAAAAGCTTCTCTGAGTTCTGCTGAAGGTTTGAGATGGCGATATTTCTTGATCTATTAAGCAAAGTTAGTAAGCGTGCCAGCTAAGTTTTGATATCTTTCGTACATGATCGGAAAGCTTGTCTGTAGCATGATATGCATAGTCATGTCGTGGCATGCCGACGCGATGACTGATAAGGTCAACGAGGTTCGCGCCTTTGGACGCCACTGGGTCCGAGAGGCTCCATTCTGGAACAATGGACGCGACTTTAGTCTTCCATGATATAGGAGGGTCGGTTGCGGGATCCGCGATCAACATGCCAGTTGAAAGCGCGGTAAACAACTTCCAACACATATTAGATTCAAAGCACTGCATGAATCAGAATCCAGCTACCTTGGAATTGGACGCAATGTTGAATAGCGTGCTCGAAGTGACGGCGGACTTGTCACTTTTCGCATTACCGTAGCCCTTGGTTTCGACGTTCCAGCTCGACTCGCCCGTCTTCTTGACGACCGCGACGGATAATCCACCCGAAACACCCCAATCAGTGAGGATGGAGTTGATAAACGTATCAATCGCCGGAGTCACGACCAGGGGGTCATTGGTTTCTGTGTACTGCGCGAAGACTTGCGAGAGTCGCGCCACCAGAAACAACTTGAATGTAAGGACACGCATTCTGGGCCGTTCTGCAACGATGGGGAAAAGCCGGGGACGGTAATTGATACTTCATGTCGAAGCAATGGCCGCTATTTAAGTAGCACGCCATGGATCTACCGTGAAATTTGCGCTTTCTATTACGGGTCACCGTTGTCAACGTCGAAGGCTACGCTGGGTTAGGCAAGGTTGCGGCGCAGCAATCCGAATCAGGCAGGGGCGCGATGCTGAGGTGATCAGGTCCTGGAGTGGCAGGCCCGCCGACGTCTTGGCACTCTTCCATGTTACTACATTGGAGTCTCGCAAGGTCCGAGAGAGCCTTTCGTACTGCGGACGCGTCTAACGCAGCAGATTATCATGGATTCGAATTACTGATTATTGGCCTCTCTGCCACTGTCCAGCCATGAGCAAAGCACCCTCCCAGGCCGAGTCACCCAATATAGAGTCAAACTTGGACCTGGATCACGAAGCTGAGATATTGCCAGGCCAGGTGATGATGAGGTGCCTAAGGGCTCGATGGTAACCAGTGAGGAGTACTACTTCGAGGATGGAGACTTGTAGTTAGTCGCGAACTAGTGACAAATTGGGACTGACCTCAGGAACAAAATTGTCAGGTTGACGATGCTCTGTTTACGAGTACATGAGCATTTCCTTTCGTCCTCCGCGAACCACTCTTTCAGGGCGACAGTCGGAAATGGGAATGATGGATGGAACGAAAGCAAACCAATAATCCTTCACAACATTTCGAAACAAGACTTCCAAGATGTTCTATGGGTATTTTACGACAAGTACGTGTTCAACTCGGCATTCGACTTTCAATGTTAACGTTCAAACCCCACCTAGAACGCTTCGACGCAAAGCACCTGCCGAAAAAATGGCTGGGAATCCTCCCCACCGCAGAGAAGCTGAAGATACAGCGAATACAGACGCTGACAGTTGGCAAACTGGCCAAAATGGAGCCACCTAACGTGGATCCTATTGCCCGAATTGCTGTACAGCAACGCTACGATATGGACATGACTTGGGCTAAGGACGCTTTCATGGACGTCGTCCAACGCACGGAGCCTCTAACAGAGGAAGAGGCCATAGACATTGGGACCTTCGCCACCGTCACGGTTCCTTATTTGCGTACTCCGCGAGGGAAACAAATGAAAAAAAAGACGCAGCCCATGGCCATGGTCTCCTGAACCACTCGCAATGGTCTGGAAAGAACAAGAACCATTCTATATATTACCCCAGAATCTGCACGGTTGTTCTGATAACATTATTGATTTGCTATTCAAACATCTATGAATCCTGCTATTGTAATTCTGCGTTCACCCGCACATTTTGAAGCAGCAGTCCCCAATTCTTTGGGAAATGCTGTCTACGAACTCTTCAATATCCCTACCTGACGTCACAAGCAGCATGCATTTTTCGTGGTTGCTCGTTCGTGCAGTCCTTGTTTCTCACTGAAATCATGACATACTTTCACTTTCTCTAGGATCTTTGACATGGAAGCCAAGCCAATGCAACTCCCTGCGATGGGCCGGATAGCAGGCCTGTTCAAGACGGATGCCGTCATTGAATTGACAACAGAACGCATGAAAGACACGATGATCGACATCGAACAAGTCAAAGCCATCGATCTACATTAGATCGAAGATAAGTACTCGAAGGAGCCTTGGGATGTCATTTGCCAACGGCTCGTATGTCTAAACCCGGAAGAGGGTAGGCACCTAGGTCCTCGGCTTTGTGCAAGAATAGCAAGGGTAAGGGAACTAAGGGCGGGTGCGGTTCTAGGACGAGTGAAAGCCCGTGTTGCACTCTAAGGATGTGTACTGGTACGGACTCTTCCGCTATTGATTGAGACTCCTGTCTGTACACTTGGGAGGGGCGGGACACGCTCATGGGTTGACGTTCAGGTTCGCCATCTATACACTCGCCTACTGTACACTTATTTCTACACATGCATCGCCTTTGTATTTGTTACGCCTCTCTTCACTCTTTGCGGAACTTCTGGTAATAGTGAATTAATCCGGTGGTCTGCGCGAAGAGTGGTTAGTTGGCTTGAATCCCTGGATTGAATAGCAGAGTTAGTGGCATACCGAGCTGTCATGTCCTTTCACGTCTTCAGGCTTCTCTAGCTGTGCAAGGATATTCTTCGCCAATACTTTGCCGAGTTCGACACCCATTTGATCTAGTGAGGGAAACGGGACGAAGTCAGTAAGGGGACATCAATTGTGAAGTCATATTCAATATCCTCACCGAAGGAGTTGATCCCCCAGACAACGCCTTGTACGAAGATCTTGTGCTCATACAAAGCAATCAAAGCACCTTAATTGTTTCAGAACCCCAGCCACACCCATCTCAACACAAGTAACTCACCCAGCGTCGACGGCGTAAGCAGGGGGAACATAATGCTATTGCTCGGGCGGTTGCCTTCGAAGACCTTGCTCTTCACCAGGGTATCACTCGCATTCGGGCCAAGCTCCTTGCGCACCTCCTCCTCGGTCTTGCCGAACGCCAGCGCCTCTGGCTGCGCGAAGAAGTTGCTCAGGAGAATGCGGTGGTGCTTTGAGTGAGCGATGGGGTTGTGCGTCGTGGCGGGCGCGATAAAGTCCGCAGGGATAAGCTTCGTGCCCTGGTGGACGAGCTGGTAGAACGAGTGCTGCCCGTTCGTACCCGAGGCGCCCCAGATAATGGGCTAGGTGAAGTTAGTTGGTAAGTTGGTAGGCATGGAGAGGTAGACAGACCCCTGTCTCGTAGTTTACGCGGTGGCCATTCTTGGTGATGAATTTACCGTTGGACTCCATGTCGCCCTGGAGAAATAGTTAGGGTTAGTTGTGATAGTGGTGGTAGAATATGAACCTGTTGGAAGTAGTCGGCGAATTTGTGCAGATATTGGTCGTAGGGAAGGAGGGCGTGAGTCTGCGAACCTATTCGAAGTCAGGACGAATCCTCTCTTGCAGCAAGGGGTCTTACCGTAGAAATCATTGTACCAGATCCCGATGATGGCGAGGAGAACTGGAAGGTTGTTCTCCAACGGTGTCTCCTTGAAGTGCTTGTCCATCCCATGCGCGCCTTTGAGCAGCTGCTCGAAGTTGTCGTACCCGATCACAAGCGCGATCGAGAGACCGATGGCGCTCCAGAGACTGTAACGACCGCCGACCCAGTCCCAGAACTGAAACATGTTATCGGACGAGATTCCGAACGCCGTGACTGCCTTTGTGTTAGTACTGAGGGCCACGAAATGCTTCGCGACATGCGCCTTGTCTCCGGCGCTGGAGAGGAACCACTCTCTGGCGCTTTCGGCGTTGGTAATCGTTTCCTGCGTCGTGAACGTCTTGCTCGCAATGATGAACAACGTGCGTTCGGAATCGCACAGCCTAAGGATCTCCGCGATGTGTGTGCCGTCGATGTTCGATACGAAGTGGGCGGTCAAGTCGCGTTTGGAGTATGGTTTCAAGGCCTCGGTGACCATGACGGGTCCTAGGTCTGATCCCCCGATGCCGATGTTGACGATAGTGGTGATGGTCTTTCCGGTGTACCCCTTCCACTCGCCGCTACGCACAGCGTTGCTAAACTGCTTCATGTGCTCCAAGACGCCCGCCACCTCATCCGCGCCAGCTTCCTGGATGGAGAAGTCGTTGAAGTTGCGGAGTGCTACATGCAGGACGGCGCGATCCTCAGATGTGTTGATGTGCTCGCCGGCGAACATCTTATCGCGGTACGACTCGACCTCGGCCTCGCGTACTAGACCCAGAAGAGTGTCGATCACCTCCTGAGTGATGAGGTTCTTTGAGTAATCGAGGAAGAGGGTGGTGGAAGGGTCATCCTTGGATATATACTCCTTGGAGAATTTGGCGAATCGTTCGGGATCTTGGGCGAAGAGGTCCTTCAACACCAAGGTCGACTTCTGAGAGTCATAGATCCCTTGTAGTTTCTTCCAGGAGGAGTATTCTATACGGCCGCAGAGATCAGGATACTACTCGTTTAGATCCTCGCGAACCGTACCTGATGCTAGTCGTCCACTCATGATGAAGGTCAGTTCGTGAGGGGGGAAAGGTAGCGCCTTAAGCCTTATATCTTGCCGTCCTAGTTACAGATCCGGTGACCGTTCTCCGTTAATGGCCGCACCGTCAATGGCCGCAAAGATTTACTGATAGGGTACATACAAGGTTTCTATTACCCATCTAATCTTGCTCTCACTCGAATCCACGAAGTGTTGCCGGAACGCGGGAAGATAAAGTTTGAACAACCCACGCTGGGCCTCTATTGATTGTTATTGGATGGATATTCCATGCAAGTATTGGCCTGACATCTTTCTCCGTAATGAATTCTCCCTTCTTCGATGAACTGGTATAGAGCCAAGCAGCAGTTGCCTAGATAGATGGTATGCAAGGTGTTGTACAAAGACTGCACGTAGTTGAACTGGTTGATATACAAAATACAGTTGTCCATGCAACTACTTAACGAGGTCCGGATTCTTGCCTCCTGTGACTCGGAAATGTAGCGCTTTGGGGCGGCGTGAGCCCTAGCACTCTCTGGACGTATTCGGCAGACACATGGCCGAGTTCCTGCTGGGAAGGTAATGGTGGATGAGGGGGGAGATGGGATCCTGCACTAGCTCTGCGAGATAATGAATCGCTCGTGCTCTCGGAATCTGAGTGTCTGAAATGAAGGTCTGAGACTGATATTGGGAGACTATCGGTAGGCGATATCGTTTCTCCGCCAACGGGTAGGCCAGAAGGATGGTGGGGGCGCACAGTCTCGACATTCTGGGTGCTACCAGAAGGACTGCTGCCGATGATGTTCACGCTTGGAACGTTGGCATGTGAAGCGCCGGGCGGTCGTGGCAAGGACTGTCGTGTATGGTGGCGTGTATTACTTGAAGAACCGGATGGCTGGGAAGGAGGCGAAAGGGAGACAGGGAATGGGAAGTTGCTAGATGAATTAGAACCTTTGCCGGATGACTCTGACTGAGTTTGGGACTGGGGCCGGGGTTTTGAGTTTCGACGCTCCTGCGGATTATCGGGGAGTGTGACAGGAATGTCAGGGAGCGGCGGATTCACGCTCGGCCTTCGATGAAGAGAAGTTATAATACTGGGCCCACTCCATCTTGACTTCGGTTTACCGTCGGAGGAGCTGTCATTGGACTGTGTGACGATGGAGCCTTCCCTTGAGCCACTAAAGTCGAGGAAGGACAATACCCCAGCTTCCGATCCAGGCGACCCGAGTGGCGCGAAACTGGGTGGGGTAAGTCGAAAGCTGGATTTCTGTCGAAGTGAAGGAATATGGGGAAGTGCGCGAATCTGCCTGCTCTTGGTGGTACCAGAGCGCCCGACCGAGGCACTGGCCGAGCTAGGCCGAACTTCCTTGCTCGGTCCTGCTGTAGCATTCACATCTCTTCCGACACCAGCAATGGCACTGGAGAAGTCGACGCGGAATGGACTTGTCTCGCCAACTTCAGGTAGAGCAGGCTGAGGTTCGGCTGATTCACGCTTCTTTGCTTTCTCTCGCTGGCGGGGCGACGGGGTCAAACTAGTATCGATGCTCAACGAGGGCGTCGAACGTCCTTCGGGATATCCAAAGGGCCTCGTTTGCGAAATCCTTGGCCTCAACCCTCGGATGGCAGCCTGACCAGCTGTTGTCTCTACTTGCACGAGACCGTCCATGTCCGTAACATAGCTGCTACTAACACTTCCTCTATCTCCTATTTTGGGAGGCGGTGAAAGCGTGCTGGCTTGCTCTCGAGAGCCACTGAGAGGACTTATATCTGATGTCCGATATTCCGTCGGATGGTACCCATCGTCTTCCGCTGAAGCTACATTAGGGTCACCTGCACGGAGCAAAAATCCTGAACTCTCGGAACGAATGTGAGTCGGCGGTGTCCATGTTGAAGGGGAAGCCGTTGGGACGGGGAGGGGACGGATGGCGGATAGACGTTGCGAGTTTCCAGAGTTCCCGGAGATGGGTAAAGTGCGTGAAGCAGGCATCTCTGACTGTGGGCGTATCCTAGGCAATGGCCTAGGCGCCACGGACATGCGACCAGAGGCCGCTACCTCATTGGTGGTTATAGCCATGGGCGTGTACATGGGGACGGGAGCCGACGAAGGAGCCGAAGACGAATCAGTACCAAGCGGCTGGTCAGGGACGGGATACACTGGCGACGAAATGTACGACAGCGCAGCCGACGAATCAGACGATGTCGGCGCTCGATCTGGTTGCGCTTGGTTGCTACCACTTGTACTGCCACTCTGAGAATGTGATGACAAGCGCTGCTGCGCACTGGGGACAGGAAGATGGGCTGATTGAGGTGTTGATCCGGATAATCGTGATGGTTGATTGGTGTGGGGAAGGGAGCTGCGGGAGGAACCTCCATTGCGGGGTAGCGTTGGGAGAGGAAGGTCAATAGTGAAGCTAGGAGAATCGCCCTTCTTGGTAGCTGACATAGATGTCGTGCTTTTCTTCTTCTTGGTCTTCACTTGCTTGCCCGAAATCATCCGGCTCACGACAGAGATCCCGTTGCTGTCGCTGAAAGGAGGATGAGTTTGGGGAGCGTCAGCGTCAGGGTCCTCCTCATCTTTGTCCTGAGCAGTGTTGGGACTTGTTGGACTCTTTTCGTCGTCAGAAAGGTGACCATGGTTATTCTCGTTGGATTTGATCGTTCCTCCGAGTGAATGCCGGAAAACAAGTCCCAATCCGCCCAAGCCCCGTCCGCCAAAGCCGTGTTCGACCTCTTCCCTCCACTTCGCGAAGCCCGTCCTTGGGCCGCTGGCACGTTTGCTCTCTCGGCCCTTACTACCCCCACTCCCTCGACGGTTTTCACGCTCCCACCAACGCTCTATCACACGAGTTGATTCACGCCGTTCGACGAAGCCAGCTACACCAGCACTATTTTCACCCCTGGGTCCACTGGGTCCGATGTCAAGGACATCATCGGAGGCTTCGTATTCCTTCGGCCGGGGAGCAGGGGTTGGTTGAGTATGCCATCTGCGGCGTTGTCTTCGTGGGCGCCAGATGAAGAAGTAGAGTAAGACAAGCGTGATGAGGATAAAGCCAAGGATACCGGCTAGAGCAAAGGCAGCAATAGTGCCTCTTGGAAACGATGTACTGGTACCAGAGCTTGGGGTGGGTGTTGGGGTAGGAGTAATTTCTGGTGGCCTATCGAATCACGGTTAGTCGGATGTCAGATTGTTGTGAAGGAAATATGTGAAGAAGTGCCCTAAAATAGGCGTTATGCTCGTGGATGGGAAAGCGAAGCACTTACGTGGTGTCACCAGAAGCTGATACAATGAATCCTTCGGATAGGACGGTTAGATCGCGGTCTTCATCGTTCATAATGAGTATGTCGTGGGTCATGCTGGCGTTCATTCCAGATATGAAATAGAGAAGTGCGTCGGGGTTGGTGAATGATGATTGGCCAGACAGGGATGTAGTTGTCCCATCCACATTAACGATGAAACGACCGGCGGAAGGTGAAGTCGTACCGCGCAGAGAGAATGCGGTCCCTGTGATAATAATCCCGATGAAATGGAGTGCATCAGAAAAGCGTGTACAAGGGGAACCATGTGAGTTGGTGTTTTCAGATCAGGCTGTAACACTGTGGTAATGTGGATCTTACGCACCAATGAATTGGGTAGCTACGCGATCTCCTTTCTTCCTGGATAAATGTGACGTGCCTGCATTTGAGATATTTTGGAACGACCAAGCACCGTTGAAGTTGATGACGTGCTCTGGCAGGGGTTTCGATATTATTGGAAGGCTAGAAGGAGGTTCATCTTAGCAACTGAATAGGCTTCTACGGCCTCAGGCCTAGCTGCTTACCTGGAACTATCATTAACGGGAATCGATGTAACAATAAATTTATCGAAGGCGATGAACGAATCAGGAATACTAGGATTGGTCGTTAGACTTGTCAGGGTGATTGTATGGTTAGCGTCGGGGAGATCGGTTTGTTTTGCCAGCGTATCACCCTGCGGGGATAGAACCTGAGGCTCTTGACCGTCGAGCGCGACGGTGTATCCCGCGTTCGTAGCATTCCCTCTGATTTCGATGCCAGTACCTTTGAGAGTGATTCATTCCCCACTCGAAGAAACTGAACGATTATTGAGACGCACCTCTCCACTGTAACGACACCGACGATCCGTTGAGTGCGGAAATGTGCAGCGACGTGCCGTTGCCCGTCTGGCCCTGGAAGGTCGCAAAACCGCTATCGGTAAAGTACGGATTCCAGCCCGAGAGGAGGTCTGGCGTGGTGAATGTGTCGGCGAAAGGGGAGTAAGAAATCGAGGGGGAGATATCGTCCACATCAAAGGTGTAGACGGTCTGTGCCATCTATCGGATGGCATAAAAGTTGGCAAATTTGTGGAAATAGGCTTGGAGGCGCGTCAACCAGTGAAATCGTCTGCCTGGGGTGCTGGTTTAAAAGAAAAGAAATAGGAAATAGGATTAATTAACGAGTTGAGAGGGTGCATGATGAAACGAAACCTACTAGTAAGGGTCCTTGTGATGGCAGTCTGTACGGTGTTGTTACGCGGGAGCAGCTCGATACGTGCAGCTCGAGGGGGGGTCCAGTAACGTTTCACTCAAGGGGGGGTCAGCTAGCCAGGCTCGACGAAAGGAAGTGTGAGTGATGGCAGGAGGAAAGGAAGGCCCGGCCTTAGCGCTGTCGCAGGCTGGGACGCTTCTTGCCATAGGGGACTGTGAGTGATGTCTTGAGTAACACGCTCGTCTGCCCGATCGAACTTGATCGGGGCCACGTTGTCCAAATGCTGTGCCCACGTGACGTTTCAGAATTATACCTCTCTTCCCATTATCGTCTGTTCGACCGCTACCACCACCAGAATTTCATACCAGGTTGGCGTTCTGATTGAAATTCACTCGGCGAAAACATTTATTGGATGCCATCAAGATTGGCATGTTCGTTGCCGGCCTGCATCTGAAGCTTTGATCCTTGACATCGACATACCATCATTTACAGGTTTCGGTCAGTGCATTTCGATCATTATCCAATCCAATTATTATTGACAAGCCCTAGATATCAAAGGGCGTATCAGGTATCCTCTGCAGTGGATCAATCGCCGCCACCATCACCCGGTGTCCCAATTTACAGCCAGTGGAGATATCCATAGTGTGATTGGATTTACGGCGCCCACAACATATGGACCGTGACCACGTTCAGGACGAGGTTGATGGCACAGTACCTCGGCCAGGCTCGCCGCTTGACATTCCTCCACCTGGTATACCGACGTTTCTTCCCGCTGTTTTGTCTTACATCCAGCATCATGCCGCTGCGCCGTTGGTTAACGGAACGCCCATTCCGATTGACTCAGCCGTGCTACAATCCATCTTGCTCTGCCTCGTCGCCAACAAGCATCTTATCCTTCGTACAGACGACGACGATATTCCCAACGTTGTCAAGCTTGCGGCCCTTGTGCGTGTTTCTTTCCCATACCCCTCTATTGGCGCCTTGTGTCCCACTCTTCTTAGTGATGCGACCTACCAATGGAAAATGGAGTCCCATCCCCTAGCTTCTCATGTCCGTGACATCTCGCAAAGAAGTTGATGGCCTGTCTATTTCATAATGCGCAATTGCAGATAATGCAGAACTAAGGCACTACTGTCTCCATTCTGACCTGCGTGCTTGTCACAGTGACAGCGGTGGCTTCATGGGTATGCAGAGTGCGCCGGTGGCTGGGATTGAGCGACTCTAGTGTCACTTTATCCGCATCTTTGGCTTTACTCCGAACTATCCTGCGTCCTCGAGGTTCCAACCGGGCCGGAAGGCGTCACGATGAAACATAGAAGTTCGCGGAGCCTTTGCGAAGGACCTACTAGGATGAGTCTCGTTTAGAGCTCGTCCATTAAAGTCGGGCTTTTGACCTTCCAAAAAGGAGGCGCAACCGAGGGACTCCATATGCCCTATTTCCACTGTTGCCCCACTATGTTCTCATTTGTTGCCACTCTTCACCGCCCTTGCATCAATTCCTAAGGAGTTTATCTCCTCCGAAAACCACTCCTTTCCCATTCTCTCCATAAGACTTCCTTGATGAACGGAAATCTAACTTATCATTCTATCAACTTTACTTTCAAACATATAGACGCTTAATTCGGTCTTCGCATACCACCCCGTCCACCGCCTGAAGATCAAACCGAAGGGACACCCGCCGCCTATTACCGGCTCCTTAACGTCCTCGAGTTTCCTCAACCATTCAGCTAATCCGGATGTATTCTTACGGTCGGTGTTTCTACCTTCGACGCGTCGTTTAATCGATCGCGATGCCTCTGGTAACGCGACGCCCGTACATATGAATCGTGCCGACTCTCAGCACTCGCCCTCGCACTCCAAGCTACGCCATTCCCGGTCTGGCTCAGTGTATACCTCGCCGGACGAGGGTAGCGTGAGCACGCACGCTACAATCCAGGCAGAGAAGAACTCGCGGCATCAGAGACATCGTTCGAAATCGAGCTCTCGTTCATACCCCCGCGTAAACAGTGGGGCGAACCTACCCAGATCCTCCTACTCTGGCGACTTGATGATGCTAGCAAGCGAGACGGAAAGTGGTAATCAAAGCGGGACCGGCCTGCATGGTTATTTCGGTACTGGCGGCCCCGATCGCGAATTCTCGCCGCCTTCTCATTCGCCTCCTCCGTCAATGAGACAAGTTAGTTTCATGTCCTCACAAACCCACAGCAAAAGTGGACCCTCCTCTCCGCTACATACTACCTCCTCTGATTCCGCTCCTTTTCCTCCGTTGCCTTCGTCTTCTCACCAAACGGATGAAGTCCCGATAGTGCCTCAAGCGATTGTTCTATCTGGCCTAGAACACGCTAGTAGATTGTCGCAGAGAGCCCTAGTGAGAGTACTGATGGAGAACCGCTTGGTGTTAGATGGAGGGGACTATGATGGAGAGGAGCGCGACGGATTACCAACGCAATCAATGGTGGGAGGTTCAGATGAACTCGATGGGGTGTGGAATTTACCCGACGGCTTCATCATTGTCTATGTCTGTGGAAAAGACGCGCACGAAAGACCAGCTATTCATCACAGCTTGGTAAGACTGTCTCCTGTGGTTTCTGGACGTGGTGCTGTGGCTGACTGCTCTCGATAGTTAGACAAGTTCGCCATGAGTACAAACATAACGCTTCAACCTGCGACGAGGAATATACTACGAACCCGCCGTACATCTTCGTCCCACAGTCTGATAGGCCATAATCACGGACAATCGTATCGCTCGTCACCATCTCTCGGAACGATGCCATTGCCCATCGCTGCGCCCAGACCAATGTACCCAGGTGCACATAATAGCGGACCGAGCTTCCAATCCTCTTTCTCTCATACACAACCACCTATACGTCCTCCCTTGACGCCTCTCCTCCCTCGACCCTCTTCTACTCCGTTCATGTTTGATGCAGATCCACCACCAGGTCTCCTCCCTCCCACCCTTCTTCCAACCCTTCGAACGATGTTCTCATCCGATCAAATCCAAATGTCCCCGAATCTACGCCTCTACACTGCAGACTTATTCTCCGCTGTCCGGCATCATCCACAACTCGATGGTACTTTGTTGACCGCGCAATCGCACCGGGACGCCCTGGATCTCATCAAGGCAGCTAGACTGCTCGGGATCGATCTGACTGGCATGGAAATCATTAAGATGAGTTTGGATGAGGCGAACGCGCGATACCGCAACAGGCAGGGCCTAGGTAGTAGCACGGCCGAAGGGGCGAGCACAGTCGATTATGGGGAAGCTATGAGTGATGTCTACAGCGGGATCGGAAGTGGTATCGGTTTACTTTCGCCGTTTGGAGACGCCGAGGACCAACCGTCTATCCAAGAGATAGAGGTATCTAATGACGCGGATCCTAACCAAGAACCGATGGATATTTCGGAGGCTGATGTAGCCAGGATTATTCCCCGCGTCGTATCTCACCGAGTGAGGGTTCGTGATGGCCCGGAGGATGAAGTCCTTGCGAGTACATACTTCGGAGCTGTTGCTGCCAAATCCACAGACCAATCTCGCAGCACGGTTAAGGACATTCTGATCAATATCTTAGCAGAGGTTTAATGCGACTTTCGTTTCTGTTTTTTTTTTTTGTGAACCTGATGATCGGCCAAAACCCTCTTACGAAAAGAATAGTATTCTATAAGGGTAGCTCTAGCATCACTTACGGCGGAGCCTGCGAGTTTCTCCTCCCAAAACTCACGAACCGCCCAAAACCTGAGAACACCTCCCTCTTCTGCTCTCGCCCTTCCCCCGTTGGTGGACCACTCATTGGTGGAGACACCAATCCCGCCAATAGACTATCGGAGCCAATATTGGCTGCGCTCATTGCTGCTCCCACAACCTGAGGGAACGAAACTCTCCCACCCAAACCCGGGCTTGTTGGGTCGTGCATCAATTGCCCTTGATTGCTTGACGACGGCTCCATATCAAGCGATGAGAGGAAGGAAGTACTTTCGAGCTCCTTTGTGCTGGTTACAGTGACGAAAGAATCTAAAAGATCATTCTGTTCGGCCTTCGGAGTACCTTTTAGGTCCAAAATCTAGCATAAACGATGATTAGTTGATCCCGTCACTACGGTTGATTTACTTGCCTTCTGGAAGTTGGAAAAGGATGCGTCTCCGATGAGTAATGTATAGTTGAGAATAAAGCCTTCAGGAGGATCCTTGACTGACAAATGAGCGGGAGCCGAACTTAAGCAATCCGGAAGACATACCGCCGGAGTGACAATAACCTTTAGCAACGCCTCGAGTTGTGTGGTATTTTTGTTTAGAGCCTTGGTGTAGCTATCCGAAACGTAAATAGCCTCCCTGAGTCCCAATCCAGTCATCACTGGCGAGCTCACCTTGATGTAATCAAATCATCGCCAGGCAACTTGAGCAAAGAGGCCTTGATGATCTGAAGGTCTATCAGAAGCTGATCCATCTAGCTTCAGCCAATCGTTAATCCAGGGGGACAGCGACGTGATCCTGACCTGTTCCGCACCAATCTCGCCAAGCGGTCGACTTTTGACGAGTGCATTGGTGAATTTTGCTAGGATTAAGCTTCATTGCTAGTTAGCGATGTAACAGTCGTGTTGAAGTGTAAATGGGTTGGTCACCTGGACGTTTTGTCGAAGAGGTTGCGCAGATACTTTTTCTGCTCAATTCGGGGCTTGATAATCGCCAGGCATTGTTCCACGGAGTTGATCAATTCGCCGACATATGCTGAAGTACCGCTGACTTGGTTCATGGAAGGCCAAGATGTTCGTACGAGAGCACCAAAAGAGGAGTCGCACACTGCCTCCAATTCCTTGAGTTGCACGACAATGGCTGCAGAAACGACGCTGGGATTGATCCATCAGCACGTTGAGGGAGGGGCTGGTTTGGGCCTACGAACCCGAGGAATATGTCCATTTCGGCTTGCAAGCTGATCTTTTCCTTAAATTCTTCATTGATCTTTTGCCGAATTGTATCTTCCAACTAGACATAAGCAGTAGTGAGGAGCTGTGCGTGTGCAAGAAAGAAGAATCGAGACAACCCACTTCCGACGCAGTGCCATGGCAGTAATCAGCCGTATTGATCAGTAAGCAAGCCTGCTTCAACTCATCTGCGCCCACGCGTGAGTCCATCGATCGGCGAGTCTGAACTGCAAGTCTACGGAAATGAACTTGATGTTAGTGTAGGGGATTTATGATCCAGGAGCTACCTTTTGGGAGCGGTGAGTACGTCCTCTGTAAATGAAGGTAATGAACAACTTCGAGCGCGTAAACAGAGGAATACTAACCGGCATATATCTTCAGCCATTTCTTGAGCACAGTGCATAGATCAAATAACGGCTGCCCCGTAGACAGCTTGGCGCATTGTTCCAGACTTTGGCGATAGAAGTAGAATAGATCTGTGGATGAAGGCAAGACGGTAGAAGTGGGTTCTTCTGGCTCCTCTGCCTCTAGTGAAGGACGGGGCTGGGCCTTCCTGTTTTTGCTATTTCGGTGAGGAGCTAACATATCGGAAATTGCCCTTTGGTTCGCATCATTTAGCAGCAATATGGCGAAGGCTGGGTGCGTGCTTACTTATCCTGAGCATCTACGAAAATGCTCATGTGCGAGTCAAATGCGGTGGATATTAATTGAGGAGTGCGAGATCCCGATGCAATATCAAGGATCTCTTTGAACTTCCAGAATATTAGCAATGATAGACAAGTTTGTTGGGCCAAGGTCAACGCACCGGAGCTCCCCATTTCTTCGCCATTGTAGCCTCGAATTCGGTAGTTGTCTGTAAGTACTCCAACAAAGAAGTCACAGTCAACGACGAGTGAGCTTTAGACAACAGCGACGTCAAGTCATCTCTAAAGAATATGGTAGCTTGCTTCCTTTTCCTCGAACTGCCTGACGGACCTGGTAACTTCGGAGAACTTTGCTAGGAGATGCCATCCCACTTTCCACTCCGCTGGGAACACCCTCCCTTGTTCCACCTCGTGGGTTTGAAGCAATCGCCTAAACCAAGCAAATCGGCGAGAGATATTGTCCAGCTGGCCTGCTTCATCCGTAGCGCGAAATATTCGCCGATACTCCTTCAGTTCGAGGCCAACATATCGGTCAATTATATGGTAACGAACGTCGTTCCCAAGGACATCGACCACAAGGCATGCATCTGCTATGACGCTACCCTTCATAGGTTTAGCAGGATCCTGCATGTAGCTAGACATCATGTAATGGAGGCTATTATGAAGATCAGGAATTTGAACTCACAACGTATCGAAGTCGGCGTCAATCATTCCCCGAAGCTCGCCTTGAACTTCTTGGATGCGTTTCAATATCTGAGCTATCCTGTGAATAGACGAGAAGGGCTTGAATGTCGACGATATTTGCTTCACTGCCTAGGCCAAGGTCAAGGGGTGCCGGTAAAAATCGCGAAATCATGACTAACGGACAAGGTCTGCGCAATGTCGCCGTATTGCCTTTCCTTGATGAGATCCTCCAACTGCGACAACGCGTTAACTTGCACCGGGATGAGGCTCGCGTCGAAAGGTCTGAAATATAGCAACACTCACCAAGCATCTGTAGTCTCTTCAATGTAGTCATGCTTGTTATGAGATTCTTCTTAGCCAGGTCAAGGACCTGAATATCCTTCGTTACATTTCGTACGACCGCCTCTGATTCGGTAGCCTTCTCTCTGATGCGCGACATTTGACCAAGCAAGTCCTATACGGAAGGATTATGCAGAGTTCAGTAGCACATTTAGATATACGCGTACCGATATCATCTCTTGAATGAGGTGCATCCTGCCTGGATCTTGGTTGGCCTTGAGCTCGGCACGCAGTGAGTGGATTTCATCCTGCAATCGCTGTTGCTGCTCTGCAAGACGAGCCTGAATCGATTCGACCTGTGCCAAAGACGCCTCTGACGTTTCATCAGAAGATGGTCTCGCTATCACGCTCGAAGTCAAGCTCACCGTCTGGAAAGTACGTGTTCAATGTCGTGGTCGCATTGAATTCGTCAGAAAGCTCGTCGAGCGCGTCCTCGGCTTCTGTTGGGCTAATTTCCAGAATTCTGTTGATTGAGAGTATAACCTCTGCCGGAAGGCCTGCATGCTGAGTCGTCATTCAGATGGAAAGTAATGCGTCTAAACAAATTAGAAGTATAGAGTGTGACCAGACTAGGAGGCGCCCGCGGTGTCTAACTATTTAGCCGAGCATGGCGGAACCATTTCCTGAAAGATTCCCCGAGCAAAAGAATATGCGTTGACGATAAACGTTGAACGGCAGTCCAAGCAGCCAAGTATGCAAATAGGACTTGTTACAGAGAAAAATGCATATGTAGTATAATTACTAGGTGGCATTAGAGGGCGCGGTTAACTCGCCCATGGCTTGCTGAACTTCCAATCTCTCCATAACGGCTTGATGTAGACTCGACTTCTCACCCCGGAGGGGGGCATTTGAGGCGTCCGAAGTTGCCGGCTTGACAACGGAGGCAGGAGCTCTTAGGTGTGGCGGCACGATTATGGGATTTGATCGTGGCGGTGGGGGCCACTACAGAACAAACGTTGAATAGGGATAGGTGAGTTTGGATAGACACTTACACCTCGGTTGGGTTGGTTGAAGTGCAAAGCTGCCCAAGGAGGATAGTCCTTTTCAAGTCGTATGATGTGATCCTCCAAGAACTTGAGCCGAGTCAGGAAGTCTCGAGGCATCGAGGGGACTAAGATCATTTCATAAGCAGAGACGCGGGATCTACATAAAGGTGGATTTCACCGTATCGTATGGCGAGGTGGGTTTCAACGGTTTTGAGGCGGTCATCTAGTCCGGGATGTAATTGCGCATCCTTGGTAGTGCTAGGGGCCACAGTTGCTTGCTGAGCTTCAGCATGGAAGTCTTTCATCGTCCGTCGAAGCGGTCCATCCTCGTTTTTCGCTATGTCATACTTCATCTGAAGGTCTCGGTCTTGGTGCTTGGCATCTGTACGCGCGCAACTCGTTGTTCCTGGAGCATTAAGAAATTCTTCGCGGTTAGAAGCTTCATTCTTCGATCGATTCTTGGACAAGAATCTTGAAATTTCTTTGATCGTCTGTAAAAAAAGACCAATTTCGTCTATACATACTCCCTGACAATGGTCGTAGTTACATACCGAGCTGGGTGCTCGAGGGTTTTCCATTGGGGTGTAAGCAAGCTTCCTGTCATCAAGAGGCGTAGGCGGGTCTTCTTGCTCAGCATCTTTCATACGCTTTTGTATTCAGTTATGAACGTAATCTACAGCTAGGAGATCCGTTTACTCACCGTTAAATCTGACACAAGCGTGTCTACAATTTTCGGAGCGTTCTCTCGTTCCCAGTCTGAATTCAGTACCAGCATATCAAGTTCGAAGCCTCTGAGAGCTTGTTGAAGACCCATTCGTTCTAGGAAAGAGCGAATTGCGGTGTCCCAATGTCGATGAACTACTTCGGACGAGGGTGAGGGAGAAGGAGAACGCTGGGTTTTCGGTAGCGTTGAAGGATCTAGTGGAGGAAGTGTCGGCCTCCCATAGGACTGAGAATATGGGTTGTATGGGATAGGTAATTCAGCAGGAGGATTGGGGCTTGTCCAATTCAGTGGATAGGACAGGTTTGGCTGTTGCGATTGCCCACTTGCTCCGCTTGTTCCACTCGGAGTGCCTATGGACGAAGATGGGGTGATCTAGTAATGAGAGATCAGAGCGCATTATATGGTCAGCTGAGTCGAAACTCGTACCCTCGATGGACCAGCTTCATGGGACATCTTCTCCTAAGTCCTTGGGAGAAATCAACAAAGCTCCCGATCCGTTAAGCGCCCAATCTCGGAGCCTTCCAGGTCATCCTTCTTTGTAGTGTACTGATCCGAACACACGAACCCACAGTCTTTCTACCTCATGGCGAAGAAAGGTAAGGCTGGGGGACAAAACCCACAAGCAGTCCCAAACAGAGATATAATACAGCGCATGAATTTCTTATACCAAGCAAGCTCTTATCTCAATTCCATTTCCTCTCACTCAACAGACAGTGATGAGACGACGCCTACTCGGATCCAGTCAGGAGATATTTCCTCGAAGTATATCGAGATGATGAAGACGGTTGGCCAGAAAACCTTGGTTAAAATGTCAGCAGCAACTCCTGGTTCTAGTTCGTTAGCTTACTCTTCTTTCACAGAGATCCGACAGTGAAACGGACATTGTGTAAAGGATGTGATACTGTGCTCCAACCAGGAATAAACACATCCGTCAGGATAAACAGTAAGTTGAATCCTTTTCATAAATTTCAATCGATCTCACATGTCAATAGGGCCACCATCGCACGGACATGCCGTCACCTACACATGCAATCGCTGTAAAACATCACGGCGTATACCAGCACCCCCGACAGTGCAGCAAAGCGAAACCGCAGTAGCTCCACCGGAATACCACCCCGAATCTGGCGATATCATCATGGGGCCCACGACTGTTCGTCCGCCCCGTAAATTGAAAGGAGTTCGGCCGAGGCAACCGCCTCTATTCGCTCGACCGGGACACGTTATTTTTCGAGGGAACGAGGTAGTGGATGAAACAAATCAACAGAGCGTTTTCGCTGCATGAGTAAAACCCATGCTCAGGAAACCATACCTTGCTGGAGGTATTGACTCAATATTCAAGCCGGGCATGTCAGATGAATGAATGCGAAGGTATACTTGATTGTCAAAAAGGCTACAGCTGGGTAATAATGATATAGTACCTGTGGAGACTATGTAGGTGTGTACGAAAACGAATGATAGATACATCCCGGAAATGATAGCGAGGGAAAATTTGATATGCAAAACGAATGGACGAACGAATGTCGGTTTTGAGCAGATAATACAACAGATTATGAAGACGAAGTGGAGTTGATGCTGATGACTGGGCTGAGCCAGCTTTCGTAGTCTCCGAGCTTCTTGGGGTTACCAGTAACCTTGAGAGCACGAAGGAGAATGCGGTATTCACCGTCTTCGATGCGTGTCTTGTTGGCGAAGACACCGATGAAGTTGAAGACATTGAAGCCGTTATCAGCTTGCGTCTGGGGCGGAAAGAGGGTCAGCAGCTGCTGTTGGAAGGAACTAGAGTGTACTTACGGGGGCCTCAGAGTTGCGGGGAACGTATCCTAACTCTTGGAGGGGACCGATGATGGGGAGGTCATCGACATCGCTACCCCAGTCGAACAACCAGGAGAACCAGCCACGCTTGGTGAGAGTGGGCTTGATGCTGGCATCCTTCTGAACAAGGTCGACCTTGATGGCGGGAGAGCCGAATGTAAGGCTGGAATACCATCGGTCAGCCACCGCATCGCAGGGAAATTGTGCGAACTTCGTACCGGTATACGAGAGATGGGCTATCAAGATCCTTCATGGTATACGACTTAGGCTCGCTCTGAACTTCTCCTCCAGGTGTCAGCACCAAGGGTAATTTTTGTTCAAAGTAGGCATCAGTGTTGTCGAGGATAGCCTTCTTCTTGAGAGAGCCGGCAGCTCCAAGGTAGGTGACCCTGAGAGATTCGGTTTTGGACGCGATGTTGATGAAGCCGGAGTAGACGGGGAGACGAGATTCATCGACACCGCGGGGAGGGGTGATTCGGACGATGACACGACGAGAGGAACCGGGAGAGACTGTGACTGAGGAAGGAATGATAGTGACGCCAGCGGGTGCGTCGACGAGTTCGACGGGTCCAAGAGATGCCCATTTGGAATCCTGCAGTGTAGCGTAAGCGAATATTTCCTAGATATCAGTTGTAGCGACTTACAGCTTTGAGGGATTGGGCGGTTCCAGCAGCGACATGGCTCAATTGGTAAAGAGCGGACTCTGAGCCAGTGTTACGGATGGTGATGGTGTGGCTAAATGGAATGTTTAAATATGTCAGCCTTCGAGATATCAAGTGGAATGTGCGTACAGGGAATCTAAGTTGGCAGTGTCATTGAGGAGGAGTTGACCGGGAGATACGAGTGTCTTGTATTGGCTTGCACGGTCGACCTGGACTAAACCAGCACCTTGTTGGGAAACGGTGTTAGCGATGCTTCCTTCTTCCTTGGACGAAGCGACAGGGATGGCAGTGGTCTGGAAAAGGTCCCTCATCTCACGAGAGACGTCCTTGCCCTTACCCCTGGCCTGGAGGACAAGAGCAGCGGCACCGGCAGCGAAGGGGGTGGCCATCGATGTGCCAGATTTGATGCCCCAGCTACCTTGCGCAGTGGGAATCGTGGAAAGGATGTTTCCTCCAGGGGCAGAGACGGCGGGCTTGAAGAACATGTCGTAGGTTGGGCCGTAGGAAGAGAAAGCGGAAGTGAGACCACCATGGGGTGAGTCGATAGTGGCTGCGCTTCCATTCTGAGGGAATTCAAGCTTGACTTCGACACCAGCCGCGAATTGGCCAACAAGCTGTAGGAAGGATCGTGAGTTTGAGAATATAAAATTCACGAACATCACATACGAATTTGCCGTCGTCAGCGGAGATCATTGCTGCTTGGTAGCCATCGATGGAGACACCAGTGAGCTCGCCATCATCGGAGCTATGAAAACAATTAGTTGTTAGCTCGTATGGTGGGAAGTGAACGTACTTGTAAATGAGGAAGTTCTTGGCTCCAAACTTAGCAGCGTTGTCAGCCTTGATTTGCTAGAGACGTAGCGATCCGTTAACTCTGATGCAATCCAACAAGCAAATAGTGTTTGTACTCACGAAGGTACAGGTGCCACGGTGGATGACAACGATGTGGCCAGAGAGATCGGGGGTAGTAGCAGGTAGAGGGTTGCAAGCGTCATCTTTGACTGTGGTGTCGTTGTTAGTGACATAGATAGGCAGTTCGCCAGTAACGTTCAAGGGGAGCAATTGGAGGTAAGCCTAAGGGAGATAGTTAGCACAGAGAGTTGGCAGACTTCGGAACACTTACGATGGGCGCGTGTTCGACTCCCTTGACGTTGACGTTCTGAACGGACACGACGATGCTGGGAATATACCGTTAAGAGGGGACAAATTAGTGGCAGGATTTAACCTACTTATCAACGGAGCCGATAGATATTGCGCTGATGCCGTTACCGGGGCTGGAGGTGTACCAAGCGCCATCGCTGCCATCGTTTCCAGCAGCGATGGTGACAACGCGGCCTTGCTCGGCGATACGGCTTGCCACAACGGAACCGGTACCGATAGTCCATCCATCAACACCGCCCAGAGACAAGGTGAGAATGTCCATGCCCTCATTGTATCCACGGATAAGGGACTGAGCAATGACTATTGGGGCGGGTTAGCGAATGAGAATTCAAACACGATGGGAATGCTTACTTTCGTCAGTGGTTGAACCACCGCAGCCAAAGACACGATATCCAGAGATGGAAGCCTTGTAGGCATTGCCGACGACGCCGAACTCGTTGCCGGGGTCGGCGGCAATGATGCCAGCTACGTGCGTGCCGTGGCCACCGCAGTCCATGGGGTCATTGTCCGGGACGGGGGTGTTGCTGCCAGTGAAGCGATCTCCGACGAAATCCCAACCGCCAGAAACCTTGAAACCTTCGCCGAACCCACCACCAAGAGAGGGATGCTTGTAATCAATGCCAGAATCAATGCTATGGAGACATTAGCAAAGTTAAGGGAATGAGTACATAGACCGATCCTCACATTCCAATCTTGATGCCCTCTCCTAAGATCCCTTGGGCATGGAGCTTGTCCACTCCCTATTCCATATACATAAGTTGGAGAAAACGCCATCGTAAGTACTTTACACGTACCGTCATGGTGTGGGTGCTCATAGGTGAGGGGGATAGCCTGGAGTCATTGGGGTCGCTGACAGAGAACGACTCGATAGGCCTGAGAATAAGCGATCAGTCGACGGCAAGTAGTTACGGCGATGGATGCTTACTTGGGACCGGGAATTAAGATTATAGGACGAATAGCCTGAACACCGGGAATGCCCGCAACCTTGGCAATGTCATCGGGAGACTAACCAGAACGGATTAGACCTTTCTTTCAGCAGAACAAAATGCAAGTGTACCTCAATCTTCATAGAAGCACCGACGAGGATGTCGGGAGTGTCATACTCGGTCTTCACGTCAAATTGAACACCACGCTTGTGCATGTGGTAGTAGAGCTCCTCATGCACCTAGTGCAGTAGTTTAAAGCGTTAGCAGAAGTCGATCTCGCGAAGACGCGAAACTTACCGTGCGGCCAGTGTAGGCGCGCTTTCCTGCCAAGCCTGAAATGCTAGCCATCTCAACGATGTATTCGTTGGGAACATAGCGGCCGGTATCAGCGGTGTTGATACTAGAAAGAGGGACTGCTGCGAACGAAGAAGTAGCAAAAAGAGCCGCTACGACCCATGACGAGGTCAAGGAGAATTTCATGGTAGAGAATGTGGTGGCTCGGAACGAAGTCGAGGAGCGAAGGAGAGGAGGGGCCACAGAAAGCTCTTGCAAGCTTCTCTGAGAGGGCTTGAAGAGAATGCATACCGCCTTTTAAAGACACGGTGAATGTTGATACGAGGGAGCAGGCATGCTTTCTGTCATAGCGACAAAGGGCTCGAAAATGGATGCCACACGGCCTCGGTCAGATTGCGATTTGCAGAATAGCCGTGCTGGTGATTTTCTGCGATCGGGGACAGACGATTAGCGTCAGCGCACCATGCGATCTTCAAGGGGCGCGCTTCCCCGCACCAGGGCGCCGCATGACAAACTACTAAAACCATGTGGTATTACCAAATTAGGCTATGCCCGCCTTGGCCCCCCGCCGCAAGGGGAAATCGTCGTTCAGGATGAGCTCTACTCAATCGTGTGGGGTGGAAACACATGAACCGAGGCGATAAGGCGAGCGAAGCGCAGACTACTTCGACATTCGTACAATACATTATTGTTGCTCGCTTGACCGAGCAGGCTTCTAGTTCAATGTACTATTCATTCTTGATTCAGACAATTGAATTTAGGCATTGTGATCCGCTCCAAGGCTACACGCTGTCATAAGACGATCAATGGGTGTTCAAAATCATAGTCTTGTCGTCGGACGCTATCGGCCTTGTAGCACTGGCTGTTCGTCTCCGAAATGCGGCGTGGTGGCACCTCATGCCACTCAGGCCAGTTGCATGCCGTCCTCCTGCTCATCCAAGGTCCATGCATTCTCTTTGATAAGCTTCTCGCGCTCTAACAGGTACTTCCCTGATTGCGCAATGGTGAGGCAAGTTCGATTGCAACATTTATTTCCTGGCCTCGACTCACCTTCCTTGTACTTCTGCGAGTAATCTGATGCCTTGTGATAGTACCACCCAATTCTATCGTCGCATCCCAGGCAGAATACGTCTGCAACTGTATGGACGCCAGTTCTATGGCGAAGAGATGTAGGTGCGCGGTGAGGCACGAATGGCGGCGGGATGACCATCTCGCCATGAGGTTCATTATACTCACAAGAGCTGCCGGTCCTCCTTGCGGCCTAACCTCACGTTGACGGCCGAGTGCATCAGGCTGGAGTTCGGCATTCAAACGGAAGTAGAGGTCATGAGGCACGGTTCGACATCATAACGTGAAATTGAACACTTGCTAGCCTCGACCATCTCTGCCAGAGAACGACTTGCTGATCAGCTCGTCTTGAAGCGCCTGAATTCATCAGCTTATCGGTCAGAATGCTACACGGCAGCGGCGAGTGACGGCAACAAACGATCGTCGCGGCGCATTTGGAGCATGAAAACGTCGGTTGGGTCTGGAATACATGGAGAACTTGCTGTTTGTTGTCAGAGGGGGGTGCCATGGGACGAGTAGAGTCTTTGCAATGGCTGTTAACGTTAAGTTGACGCTGGGCTGGGAGAACGTTCAGGTCATCATTTAGTCGCTACTCGAATCATGAGTGGAATGGCTGAGGTGACTGGATTAGGAGTGACTTAGGAGTCTAAACAAAATTGTATGGCCGACGTTGGTATTGGGCAATCGAGACACTGATGATAAGATACAGCAACATGAAGGTTCTAAGAGAACACGGTTTGTCCTTGGTCTATATCTACTGGAGAACTATCGGTCAACACCAAGGGTTAAGCTTAAGGCTTGAAAGCAAAATCGACCACTATATCCTTGTTCAACTTCGTCCCATGAGGCGTATACTACACATGCAGAGATATAGTCAAGCGAGATCACGAGGTAGCGAAGGGTACTCACGACATTGTTACGGCGCTGACCAGCTGTCGCTTCAAATGCTACGCGGGGCGAAACAGTTCTAGTGAGTTCCTGTATGTCGCACAGGAGAACTAGTACTTACTGAATGTCACTGGGAAGACACTGGGGTCGAGACATTTGAATACGGAAAATGCGATGACTGGCCACTCCCCATATACCTAGAGCACGAATGAGTACATGTCAAGCTGTAGAAAAAAAGGAACCGGGACTGACGTCTTCCTCCAGATGCACCGAAAACTCGACGCCGTTGGATATTTCCGCGCCTCTTTGCTGCGATTTGTTTCGTACAAAGTCTTCTGCGTATGATGCAGGAAAATCAAGGAGTTCATTGGCCCCGTTTTTGAACATAGGCATGGTCTGCTTGAACCCTATATTATCTGCGAACCAGGGTCAGAACGGATTTCATATCTGTCTCAAATGTTGGGGGCGTACAGGACCAATTATCCCCCGACTGCGTCCCGCTGTTCGTCGCGGGATATTGTTTCACTGGAATGACCGAGGACGGAGCTTTGACGGTCTGGGCGTACTCCCAACCAAGGGTGATGTAGATCTCCCCGCCTTCCTGCTGGAAGTTCGCATCGTCTGGCTTTGCTCTAATAACGTATTTGTACACGTCGGTGCGCCAGGTGAGAGTCTGCATGACAATGGTCATACCAAAAGCACCCTGAGCCGTCAGGTCTTCCTGATCGAAGACGGTAAGATTTTGCCTGCAGTCGAAACGGCGCGTGAGCTATGTCGCTCCTGGCCCAAAATAAGAGTGCGAATGCGTACTTTTCGAAGAAGGATGTTCCTGCAGGGGGTGTGAGGTTGTTCTCGTAGCTCCGGACGCGAGTTCCGGCCATAGAAGACGCCTTGTCGTTGGAAACGGTGGTTTCTTCGAGACGATCGGTAGACATGGTGGTACAGATGTGTTCAAGTTGTTGAGAGGACTCTTAGGATTTCGAGGAGTACTTATAGTGCACCAGAAATCCTGCCGGACCGACATAGAAGCTATGCTCAGCCACGATTCGGCTGGTTGAACGTGGAGATGGTGCACTGAGAGAAACAGACATTTCCCGTATCATTTTTATCGGTTTAGTCGACTCGCCGTGCTATGTTTTGTAGCATTTCCGAAGTCTCTACGGGGACTTCTAAAATCCGACAAACAATCATACCGGGAGGTTCATCACCTATTCGGTTAGGGTTTAATGGCAAAAACGATCTTACTTACTATTGCGCGGGCAGCGTGTGTGACTCCTTTACGCAGGCGGCGGTATGTTCTCACGCATTCACTGGACATCCTTCGCGTTTGAAATTTGGACCAAGAGATGCTGGCTGTACAGTCTCTGCGACGTTCTGCACTGCTGCCTAGAGCTTCTCGTATTCGCAGCGTCCACCTTCACCTCGTCAATATCGCTTCACGGCCTTTTGCAACGTCGACGACAGCTCTGGACGCGAAAGACCCGACTCTGGACGCGGCGTACGTGCGACACGGTTGCACTGATGCTTCGAGTGCATCTAGACAGTACCCGCCAACCAACTTACTACCCGACCGGGTCTCTGGCTGGCCGTCGCCGTGGATTACCGCAGAAGATTTCGGACGCTATATGGGCGTGTTGTACGGTAGCGGTTGGAGCATCCACTTCTCTTCTGCCCACTCAAAACCCACCAAGTCACATCCTTCCCGAGTCGTACCCGAACTGTTCAAGATGTACCACTTTGACAGTGATGAATTTGCTGCGAAGTTTGTCGAGGATTTGAAGGAGCTCATGTCGGAGGAGAATGTAAGGCCTTACACTGAATTTTCCCGTGGAACGAGAAAGCCAACTTCACATTTACTCATATTCATACAGCATCACTGCGTTTTGCGCGTCGCCAATACACAGGTCACCATATATACACATACCCATTCTGCTCGGCCGGCTTTGGGGTCCAAGAACGCACCTGGGATCACGCTACGAGATGTCCGATTCGCCATGCTTGTCGATTTATTACGTTCAACTGAATCCGTCGCAAGAGATGCAGGGGATACATCCTCAGGTCATGTCCAATTCCCAAACTTGACTTGGGATGAATATCAACACTCTATCCGAATCACTATGGCGCCGCCGGGTGGGGTGTAGTACACGTTGCGCGCACGTATTTTTCCCGCCTCATTCGTACTAAATGAATCATCGGGGCTCTGAAAACATTGGTGTTTTTTTGAACAGTGGGGATGCCTGGTCTCGATCAGTGACTTCTGCACCTCCTTCGCTCTCGACTCGGCCTCCAGCACACCCACTCCCCTTCTGCCGATTTCTTCAATTTGGTACATACACGTACATACGCTCTGCCTCTTCAAATCGACAGTTTCCGATTCAAGGGAGCGACAATTTCGTAGACAGGCTGGTTACGAGCCTAGCACCCTGATTCCTGCTCTGCATACGCCCATCGCTACTCTGGCCCATTAGTCATTGATATTTAAATGTAATCACCAACCAGTCGGTGCGTATACCCATGTATGTATCCGCCTGCCATCAATCCACGCCGTCGCGATCGACTAGGTCCGGTAGCCGCCGCCCACTATCACTATCGTCCTCGCTATCCGAATCCTCTTCTCCTTGCCTGTTCGCGCCGCCCCAGAACCGGCCGACAATGTTGCGCAGGACCCGCACGGCCATGGGCTAGCACGAACACCATGCGTAAGTAACGAGGAAAGGAACGTATAGAGGTGATGTAGACTCACAGGGATATCCTCCTCCTCGCTATCTTCCTCTCCTTCCCCTCCCTCTCCCTCGTCTCCCTCATCGAATCCACCTCCCTCGGCTCCTCCCCACTCCTCCCCGCCATCCCCTATATCCGCACCAGGCATCCCCCCAGGCATCCCTCCTCCCCCTCCAAATCCCCCATGACCACCTTGCCCGCCCCGTGCGTTCAGCTCCGCAATCATCATCCCCTCCAGCACATCCGGCGGCAGCCTCGCCGCATTCTGCGCAAACTGCACCACCCCGCCCGGGAACTGCTCCGCAATATTCGGGTTCCCATCGAAGAATGCCTGTTCAGCAACTGCTCAGCAAAAAGGTGGGGTGTACGTATAAGTATACGATGGGTGACTCACTTGAAGCTGCTGGCGGAACGCCGCGTCGGGAATCATGCGCTCCAGCCGTCGCTCGTCCGCTGCGCGCTGCTGCCGGCTGCGATGCCTCGCCGAGAACACATCCTCGCTGCCCCTGAAAAAATCCTCCGTATACTCTGTCACTGCCGTCGGCGGCGGCAGCGGGTCGCACGCTAGCGCCTTCGCACTCAACACATCCTTCGGTATGAACGCGAAGAGGCGCCGGTGCGTAGCTTCGAGGACCATGGTGTGCCGGTAGACCGAGAACCGGAGCGCGCGCGAGGCAAAGGTGGCGAGGAAGTGCGTGTAGGCAGGCTGCTTTAGGAGGGTGGATGAGGAGAGCGAGGGGAGGAACGAGGAGGAGGTTGGAGAGGAGGTGAGGGAGGGGAAAGAGGAGACGACAGTGTCCGCGAACCACCGCGCAAGAGCGGCGTCTGCCTTCCACAGCGGCGCCGACCGCTGCACGTACGCGTGCGAGAGGAGGTGAAGCACCGCGTCTTCAGGCGTCAGCGAGCTAAATACGAAGACAAATAAGACACAAAGACAAATGCATATACATATACAAGCGAAATTTGGGATATAATGAGATGACACGGACAAGTTCGGTGGGTGTATGGGACGCACCTTCCCTCTGTTTGTATCCTGAAATCCACATGGGCGCGCACCGAGTCGGGTATCGCTGCGTCGATCTTGTCTGCGAGGAGCGGCACAACCGACGGGAACGATGTCACCGCGAGCCGCAGCGCCGCCGTGCTCCCTTCGTGCATCTACACAACGAACACGATGGTGTTAGCAACGATGGAAATGACGGATGCGAACACGAGTATTATATAAGTATGTCGGGACGGTGATGAAAAAATGCCCAAAAGAACAGGCAAGGGGCAGACTGACTTTATCCTTCCGCGAATCCTCGTCGTACCGTATCGCCAGCGCGCGCGCGTACAACCAGCCGGGCAGCACAGTTGGGTTCAACCGCCCATTTTGTTGCTGTGTTCCTTCCTTCGAACTTGAAGAATTATTCAACGCATGCAGATCGTACATCTCGAGCAACCAGCTCCCCATGCCCGCCTTGAGCGCTAGGAAGTCGAGGTGGAAGAACGCGCCGTGCGGATCCTCCCAGGGATCGAGCGAGAGGAGGAGGCGGGCGAACTCGAACGCCGTTCGGACGCAGCCCCGGCGTTGCAGGTCTCTGCAATACATAACGGGGAATGAGTATACACCAGTACAAGTGATTCTGAAAGGCATACATGACTTGTCGGTGCACGGCGAGGAAAAACGGCCGGTTCTCGACGTAGTCAAAGTCGAGCCTGTTCATGCCATTGGTGAAGCTGAATGCGCCGACGAAGGATCGTTCGTAGGTAAACAGCGCGCGGTCTACGAAGTCGACGGCCTGTGCGTATTCTGTATTGATCAGTGGTTATTATACACAGCACTATGGGAACAAGCTAGGAAGGAAACAGTGAAGACACGTACCCTCTCTGTGTCGGTAGACCTCGGCTAATTGAAGGAGCGTGTCTGCGTGCCAGGGGAGATGGCGCAGAAGGTTCCAAAAGCCTTCAGGATCTATATTCTCGGTTCCAGTTCCACCCAAATGAATTCAACAAAAACCAAATCCCGCGATCTCACCTCCGGACAGAACCGTCTGCATGAACGCAAGCGTGACGCTCTTATACTTCTTGCTGTACTCCACCTTCCACCACCTCTCCTGAGGACCATCCTGCCACTGATGTCTCTCTACCCTTGCCGCCCACTCCTCGTCCGTCAGCGCGCGGATCGAGAGGCCCTCGCGCAACTTTGCGGGCCACCACGTCGCCTGCGGGCGCGTGAGCACCGACCGCGCTGCAGCGCTGGCTGCTGCGGCTCTGCGGGCACCGGATGAAGAGGAGGACGAGGAGGATTTGGAGGCCTGCACGACCTTCGCGCCGAAGAACTTCCGCATCTCGCCCTCGGCGTCGAGGTGAGCGGTGGACACAGCGAGGAGGGAGGCTAAGGAACGGTCGGAGGCGCCGGCGCTCCCATTCCCTCCGCGCGATGTTGGTGTATCTGCGAGTTTTTGGAGTTCCGGGTATCTGAGGGGCGGCAGTAATCAATAAGTAAGGTGTAGGGTAGGGGATGTATGTAACGTACTTGAGAGATAGGTCTGCAAGCGCCTGATCGAGTTCGTCTCTGTCTGCTTTCTTCTCCTTTGTCCGGGCCTTTTTCTCGGCCTTTTTCTCGCTCTTAGATTGACTCGTAGGGGTAGCTGGCGTAGCTGGTGTCGACACCGCAGTGGGATCCGTCACGGCCTTAGCGGCCTTTTTCTTCTTCTTATTCTTATTCTGCACCACACAAGGATACCATCATGAGTTCGAGTACTCCGATGGCATTGGTAGAACAAGACCCACCTTCTTTGCGGACTTGGCAGCAGCGGGAGCCACATCGTCCTCGCTCTCGAGGTCGTCCGCTACAAGCTTCGGCAGGGGTCACAATGCGTGCATAACCCAGTAAGGACGTGTACTTGCGGCAGAGAACCCAGTGGCACTGGCACGAGCTCGGGACGGGAGCGTCATCTCGGGATCATCATCAGAGCCATCTCCTTCGCGTTCAAGATCCTCTCGGTCGTTCGTAGGCTCGTTTGAGGGGATGGCGCGCAAGGCTTCGAGCTCTTCGAGCTCGCGCTGCTGGCGTTTGTTGAGGCGCGGCGGCATTGCTGGGAGGAGGGAAGGAGGAAGGAAGGTTATAGCGGTACCGAACTGAGTGAGTGATATGGAAAGATCGGCCAATTGAATCATAGGGGAAACGAGATAAGATTAGATAGGCGCTAGAGGAAATTCTCCAAACACTGATTTGAAGAATTCACTTTCTTCCATGACGCGAATCACGAACTTCAGATACAAACGAACGCACGTCGACGCTGGATTCAGCGCAGATGCTGACGTCGAGGCCGACCCGTCCCCCGGCTCAACATCACAAATAACCGAAACACCCATTCAAGGGCCCAAAAGTACCGCCAATACTTCGCACATACCCGCTGAGGCTGAGGCTGAGGGCTCGCAGTCGAATCCAAGTGCGCAACTGCCCCCAAAGAAGAAGCGCAAGAGATCCAAGTCGAAGAAAAGTACAGATACGGCTGGGGTCAAAGAAAATGCGGATGCAACACAAGATGGAACATCTGCGGAGGGAGTAGTTCAAGTGGAGGGAGGCGCCACGGCTACGACTTCTGGTACTGCGGCGACAACAGAGAGAACGCCGAGGCAGAAAAGACGGGATAGGGAGAAGTGGGAGAAGGAGCGTCGAAAGCAAGGCACGTTATAATTCACCACTATCTTCACCATCCAGCCCCCACTCCCCCTTCCATTTATTTCTCTCCACTAAACTGCAATTATCGTTTTAGCGAAAGAGGCCAAAGACGCTGCACGGAAGAACACCCAGCCGTATAGACTCAAAGCTATAGCTGATCGGAACTCTGGGACGATCTGCTTCGCGTGTCGCGAGACGGGGCACGCGGCGAGGGACTGTCCTACCACTCGCAACGCTGCGAAAGGGGACTCGGGTGCCCCAGGTGCTGTAGTTGGGATATGTTATCGGTGAGAGACGTTCATGTTCATCGTGCATATACTAGCCTGGCGTCACCTCACCATGCACTTCAACTCACGCGGATGTTGATAGGTGCGGTTCATCCACCCATACACTATCGCGGTGCAAGGAACGGGTCGACCCCGGGGACCCCATGCCCTTCGCGTCGTGCTTCGTGTGTTCGGGGAAGGGCCACTTGGCTTCGGGGTGCCCGCAGAACAAGGAGCGAGGCGTGTATCCCAACGGCGGGTGCTGCAAGCTATGTGGGAAGACGACACATCTTGCGAGGGACTGTGATCTGCATAAGAAAGGTGCGTTATATACAACCCATCCCATCCTCAATATGTTTAACTCTCGTGGACTCTTACTTTAGTGGATACAGCGACACACCGTCCCATCCTCGGAATAGTAGACAGCGCAGGGGCGGGCGCAGACGAGGACGACTTCCACGCGCTCAAGCGGCGGAAGCATGAAGTAGATAAAGAGGAGAAGGGGACTTCGCATCACGCTCCGGCAACAAACGCAAATGGAGCGCTCCGCAAACCCAAAAAGGTGGTCAATTTCTGATTGGGGCGGTCGTTTCGTCACGCCATGTACCACATATGTACCGAGTTTTGGTTTGGGCTTGTCTTCCCATGAGAGTCTTGAGTGTGATGTCAGCGCTAGCCTCGTTCCTTGTTCCCGCACTCCCCACATCAAACGATACTCGAGCATCATAAATTGGACGTTTAGCTGACAATGGCTGCCATCCCAGCGATAATTTATGGCACAGCATGGTTTGCTGCCCCGAACTTGACCCGCACTGCTGAGTGATGATCTGAAATGATTTGCTTATATTAGGAAGCAGGAACGGACTGCAGAGCTGGTAGTCAAGGCCATCCTAGCAGGGTTCCGCGCAGTTGATACAGCATGCCAGCCGAAACACTACAGGTAAGGATATAAGCTCTGGAATTGTGTATTGCGATCGGACCTCAATGGAGAGGGATACAGGGAGGACGCGGTGGGAGAGGCGCTATCTATCGTCGAGGAGAAACACGGTATCAAGCGGGAGGACATCTTCATTCAGACAAAGTGCGGTACTAATTATCAGATACTACTCACGTTGACTCACCATTGACCCAACGCAACACGACGATAGATTCACCCCGATCGGCGGACAAGACACTTCCAAACCCCTCCCCTACGACCCCAGCGCCCCGGTTCCCGCGCAAATCAACTCCTCCTTCCTTACCTCCCTCGCCAACCTCCGCACAACGTACATCGACTCCTATCTCCTCCATAGCCCGCTCTCCACGAAGGCGCGCACACTAGAGGCCTGGCGCGCGCTGATAGGGCTACAGGATGCTGGGAAGGTGAGGATGATCGGGGTAAGCAATGTGTATGATGTTGAGGGAGTTGGGGAAGGAAAGGGAGGTACAGGTCGTGCAGAATAGGTGGTATGAGGGGAATGGGTGGGACAAGGATGTTTATAGGTATTGCCGGGCCCATGGGATCTTGTACCAGTGAGTTATCCTGCTGTCGACGCGGTGACCTCGCTGCTAATGGATTTGTAGGTCGTTTTGGACACTCTCTGGCTCGCCGTCGCTCCTCAAACATCCCGATCTCGTGGCTCTAGCGAATGCAGGCCATTGCACGCCAGAGCAAGCAATATTCAGACTTGCCATGCTCCACGGAATCGTACCTTTGTCGGGCACGAAGAGCGAGGCGCACATGAGGGACGATTTGGGGATTCAGGACATTGATTTGGGAGAGGAAGCCGAGGGCAGATTTCGTTCGGTGAGGGAGCTGGTCTTCGGAAAGGCAGGATGAGGCTGGAGTGTGTACGGACCCACCCAGTAAATTCTTCTATAGCCGTTATTTGCTGAGACGAAAGCGAGCACTCCCCTCAGTGATGGACCTGGACCTAGAGCAGGAAAGGGGTATTAGATAAGCACAGGGGTTTAACCTTGGACTCAACTGCCACAGCATCAGACTCAGTACCATTAATGTAGTTCCTTGGATTCCTTTAGAGGTCCAAAGAATCTTCACAAGGCATGGTATCGGCCTACGACAACGGGGACGGCCAGCCTCCGCGTTTGCACCACCGTCTTCTCTTCTGGCCAACTTTAAACTCAAGGTTACGATCCATGCTGTATATGGTCGAAGATTGGATGGAACGTGGTCAGCGGCGAGGATTGGCGACGTGGGCGGTGGACGCCGGGGACGTGCATTGGGCAGAGATGGCAATCAGTCAAGTATCACTCACATATCTCCCTTATTTCCCGCCGCGTGTGCGATGAGATCGTTGTGCACTGGGCCTCGCACGTTTCGTTTCGGTCTTGCTTCCAAAGGCTCCCATAGTATTTTGGCACCTTGATTTACATTGGCGTCGATTCTTGCACGATAACCAAGTCTTGTTCATGAGCAAAGAAACCTGAAATTTTGAGTCCATGTCTCATTCGACAATGGTCCAATTTCACAAACCGTCTGATTCTAATCGCTTGTCTATCCGGAGGTACAGCTGTATAATCATCTAACCGCCGTCCTCAAGGGATCTGATTTAAACCGAATCCTCCATCTACCCTTCACCTGCTCCCCCTTCTCCATCTTACCCTCTTTCCTCGTCGTTCTGTAGCTCATTGCGTCGGAATCCAGCAAATAAGCAACAAGACATCGAAAACAAGACAGCCATGGTCTACCAAGCGACGGCATCTGCCCCTGTCAACATCGCATGTATCAAGTCAGTCATTTCCCCGCTCTCCTTCCCGAGATCGTCGTGAATATCGCATCCTGACATCCGCGCAACGGCAGATACTGGGGAAAACGCGACACGAAGCTCATTCTGCCGACGAACTCGTCGCTCTCGGTCACTTTGTCGCAAGATCACCTCCGATCGACGACAACCTCGCGCGCCGATCCTTCATTTGCCAAAGATCGGCTATGGCTCAACGGCAAGGAAGAAGAAATCGTCGCGCCTGGGAGGCTGGCAACGTGTATCGCTGAGTTGAAGAAGTTGAGGAAGGAATTGGTCGAGGACAAGGATTCGAGTGCACCCAAGGTGATTGCCGACTTCATATAACCGCTCTTCGCATCGCTCAAAGATGATCATACAGCTATCGACATTCCCCGTACATATCGCTTCATTCAACAACTTCCCTACAGCTGCAGGGCTTGCGTCTTCAGCGTCTGGCTTCGCAGCCCTTGTCTCTTCCCTCGCCGCCCTCTATGCCCTCCCATGTTCCCCCTCGACCCTCTCTTTGATCGCGCGTCAAGGATCTGGTTCAGCCTGCCGTTCCCTCTTCGGCGGATACGTCGCCTGGGAGCAAGGCGTCTTAGATGACGGCTCCGACTCGCTCGCCGTTGAAGTCGCACCCCGTTCGCACTGGCCCGAGATGCACGCCCTCATCTGCGTCGTCTCCGATGACAAGAAGGGCACATCCTCAACCAGTGGCATGCAACGCACAGTCCAGACCTCAGAGCTCCTCCAACACCGCATCAAGCACGTCGTGCCCAAGCGCATGAAGGAGATCGAGGCAGCCATCAAGGCGAAGGACTTTGACGCGTTTGCCAAGGTCACGATGGCCGACTCGAACCAGTTTCACGCCGTTGCGCTGGACACGGAGCCCCCCATCTTCTACATGAACGACGTGAGCAGGTCGATCATCGCCTTGATTGTCGAATACAACAGAGTTGCCATCGAGAAAACTGGCAAACGGAAGGCGGCGTACACCTACGACGCCGGCCCGAATGCGGTGATCTACACGCTGCAGGAGAATGTCAAGGAGATTGTAGAGTTGATTGTCAAGTATTTCCCGCAAAAGGATGGGTTCAAGGACCCGTTCCAGCTGTTCGCTGGGGGGAGTGTTGGTGAGGGGCGCGTCGTGGAGGGCTTCAACGAGGCTGTTGCGAAGAAGTTTGAGGTCGGGGCTGTGAAGGGGCTGATTCACACCAACGTCGGCGACGGTCCCCGGGTACTTGGTGCGGAGGAGGCTCTGCTTGGGCCCGACGGGCTACCGAAGTCGTTGGCATAAGCAATGTAGAAAATTTATGATGATATGTGTACAATTTTGGGATCAATTTTATAGTTTACATAGACGGCTCTCGAAAGGATTTGTTACCCCTTCAGCGAGCTTCAGCTAGTCCGGTGGCAACGGGGACATGAAAGATTTCAAGATAATGCGATCGCGCTGAGTTGCTGTAGTTGGAGAGCAGGATATTGTGGGAAAATCTCAAGTCCGACGCCTTTGTGGTAAGAGCCCGAAGCCACATCGACCTTTGACCACGAACAGCCACGACAAATTCAGTCCAGCCAAATTCTGTATTCTTATCCAGCGCATTTCTCTCCCATCCACTCTTTATCTCGTACCACCACCATCTCCGCCTCCCCATCGCCCACAACGACTGCAGCAGCGACGACGACAGCCGACCCAGGTGACGACAGCGTATACCCCCACAAGTTCCTGGCCCGTGCATACACCGCCGCTCTCGCCCCCAGGAGCCGCCAGATGCGATGTATTACCCACAGCAGTCCCCAGGAATCGCCCATAAACTCGCAAATCACCATGAGCAGCCGGTTTGGAGTAGGACGCATACGCATCACCCAGTCCTTGGTCCGCCAGGGTCCCAGCCAACCGTGGGCCCACCTCCGCCGTCGCCAGGATATCCTATGTACGCCAACGGCGCAGTGAACCCCATGCAGCACCACCCTCAACACCACCACCCCCATCCGCTCAACCCACATCCGCCAATACCACATCACCACCACCAGAACTCCCTGTCGCACTACCCCTCACCACCAAATGGACATTCGCACCAACAGCACGTCTTGCAAGGCTCACCAGCAGGCCAGCTAATAGCGCCCCACTACCAACAGCAACTCCTGAAATGCGAGGTTCGTCCTTCAAAGATCAACCCACTTCCCCCTGTTAGCTGATGCCAGCAATCTTTGCATTCCTTTGTCACAGATGGTTAGATCTTGTCGTTCACCGCATCACAGAGCGAGGGCAAGCCAGATGGCAAGTCGACCAATAGCAAAGTCCGCCATTCCCATCACGAACCCCAATGCTCCACCGGAGGTACCAAGTGAGACCGCCTCGTCGGATTCGACGTCCGAGGCATCTCCAGCACTCGCCAATCACCCTTCCTCTACCGTTGGTCCTGTAACCGAAGCGCCGCGGCCCACAGCTTCACGGCCACCCGCAAACAATTGGAACTCATTGGATATGGGCGGCATCAGTATCAAACATCTTCCACCCTCCTCAGGCTTGTTCTCCTACTCCTTCCTCATCAACCTTTACCTCAATCACAATGCTCTCACCTCCATACCTCCCGAGATCTCGAAGCTTCGGCACCTAGAAATGCTTGATTTGTCGGGGAACCTCCTCACGGTCCTGCCCCCCGAACTTGGAATGCTCACTTTCCTGAAGGAGTTGTACGTCTTTGATAATATGATAAGTACGATTCCCCACGAGCTAGGGACACTGCATCAGCTGCAAACCTTGGGCGTGGAAGGCAATCCTCTAGAAGCTGCTTTCAAGTCGATAATCCAGAAGGACGGGACAGCGGCTCTTATCTCATACCTCCGCGACTCGTGTCCCGTGCCCCCACCACCCCCGGAGCGGCACTGGAAGAGTGTCGTCACGGATCATGAGCGTGAATTCCTCTCCGGGGATCCCGCGGCCGAAACTTTCACTGTCCTTTGCTACAACATCCTTTGCGAAAAGTATGCCACGGAGCGGTTATACGGGTACACCCCTGCTTGGGCTCTGCAGTGGGATTTCCGTAAAGAGATTATATTGAACGAGATCATATCTTCGGACGCAGATTTCATGTGCTTGCAGGAGGTGGATATTGCGCAGTATGAGGACTACTTCACGCAGAGGTTGCGGGACAAGGGATACGAAGGGGTGTATTGGCCGAAGTCGAGATATAAGACGATGGGAGAAACGGAACGAAGACAAGTTGATGGATGTGCGACATTCTACAAGGCATCCAAGTGCGTGGTCTTTTCCATGCCCTTCGATCGCTTCACTCATCTTGCTTGTAGATATCAATTAGTCGAAAAACATCTCATCGAATTTAGTGCTGTTGCGATGCAGCGGCAAGACTTCAAGAAAACCGACGACATGTTCAACCGCGTGCTCGGCAAAGATCATATCGCTGTCATCTGTCTCATGGAGAATAAGCAGACCGGTACGAGGTTCATCATCGCGAACGCTCATATCCATTGGGACCCTGCGTATCGGGATGTCAAGTTGGTTCAGGTGGCTTTGCTGTTGGAAGAGGTGGAAAAGATCGCGAATAACTTCGCGAGGTATCCTCCCCGTCTGATACCGACGCCAGCGCCGACCTTCGATGAGACAGACGAGAACGGAGACCCCAATGGCGAGCAAGTCAACGGGGAGACGAATGGGATCAACGGACATTCGTCACCTCCACCAACATTCGAGAAGGCGCCCACGTACGCAGACGGAACAAAAATCCCATTGATCGTTTGTGGTGATTTCAACACCGTTCCGGACTCCGGGCTATATGAATTCCTCTCGAAAGGCTCCCTTCCCGCCAATCACCCCGATTTCATGTCACACATGTATGGCAGGTACACTTCAGAGGGGCTGAAGCATCAACTCGGGTTGAAGAGCGCGTACGATGTCTCGTCGCAAGTTCCTGGCGCCGCCGTAAACCACGCGAACGCCGCGTCGGGAGCGTCGTATGACTTCCCGATGACGAATTTCACGCCGAGCTTCAAGGGTGTCATTGATTATGTGTGGTATTCGCAGGCGAATATAGCTGTCAATGCAGTGTTGGGCGAAGTGGATAAGGCATATTTGGAGAAGGTCGTCGGGTTCCCAAATGCCCATTTCCCTTCAGAGTGAGTCATATATCAGTTTCTTGCCATGAAATAGTGTCTGACATTCGTTTTGCGCTCGCAGCCATCTATGCCTGATAGCTGAATTCCGCGTCAAGCCGCCGCGACAACCGTCATAGCTGCCGCCCTAATTCCCTCATGGACTACCCTCGCGTCTTTGTTGTATCTCTGGGTCAATATCTTTAACTTTTACGTACTTCCTATTCATGGGTGTTTTATTGTCCATTATCTTCTCTTTAACCCCCACCCCATACATGTCCATTTCCACCTTGCACTTCTTGTTCCTCGCATCGGGAAACCAGCAAGTATTCGTCGGTGTATCATGGTTTGATCTTGACTTCCTTGCCCCAGGTTTTCTTGTTAGCCATTCTTGCTATCTCGACGACGATACCTCCCGGGATCCCCATGTTTTCTTTTTTCTTCCACCCGTTCTGCGTCGATTCTCCCCGTCAACACAGGACACTTTGACATCCATACTTCACCAGCCACCACACATTTGATTTATATGATCAAAATCGCTATACTGCTCTGTTTCCTACGTCTGCATGTGTCAAATTACCCCCTTCCACACCCAACAATCTCTCTCGTTCTACTACTACGTACTTAGTCTGTAGCATGTGTGCATTGTAAAGCTCTCGTCATTCCATTTTGTTAAAATGTTACAAAATCTCCTCAACTCCACCAGTGGAATCGAACACATAAGAATAGCTCAGAAGGATCTCCGACATCATCATGAGAATACATAGAATTCACCCGGATAAATAAAACACGAAAGGTAGCTACGTAATGGTGTACATTTATTGTTTCTCTCAAGGAGCGTTGACACCAATGATGGGACTGAGGAAACTCTCGAAGTCAGCCTCATTGGTAGGATCACCGGTCACCCTGAGAGCACGAAGCAAGAGACGGTATTGACCATTAGGGATGGTCGTACCGTTTGCGAAAGTCGGAGGGTCAATGGCGACGGTATTGAAACCGTTGTCGTTGGGGTCCTAGGGAGCATGGTTAACATACTATATAACAACGGTAACGGACGATAGGACTGACGTCATTGTTGCGGCTGGTAAAGTCGAGTTCGAAGACAGTTCCGAGAGTTGGGACTTGAGCAAAGGAACCTGTCTTGACGCGGTGGGGGAAGGAGAAGAACGAGCCATGGGTGTCGCCCAGAGCACGGGTGTTCAATGTGGGCTTGAAGTTGATGGTAGGGGAAACGAGGTCAACCACGACCTTGGGTGAGCCAAACGCAAGTCTACAAAGAGGTCGGTCAATACGTTGCGCCGCTAGGTAGTCTTTTTGTCTTACCGGAAGATCAATGTGGGGAAGTCCGAAGCCAGGAAGCTATAGTTACGAGGGCTTGTTTGGACCTCGCCGTTCGGGTCGGTCAGAACGGGTGTGGGGACGCCAAAGAAGAAGTCGGTGTTGTCTATGACTTGCTTGTCTTTCAACGATGCCTTCAAGCCAAGGTACGATACCTGAACTTGCTCCGTGCCGCTTGCTATCTGGATGAAACCAGAGAAGACTGGGAAAGTCGAAGGGTCTGCGGCAGCCGGGGGAGTGAATCGTGCGGTGACGGTCTGGGTCTTTCCTGGGGCAAGGGTGAATTTGGATGTGCTGAGGGAGACGGAAGCGAAGTCCGTGGAGAGGGGAACTGGGCCATCAGCAGGGAATATGGTACCCGGAGTGACGGTAACTGCTGTTCCTGCTGGTATGTGCCTCAGCGTATAGGTTTTGGCGGATGATCCGGCGTTCCGAACAGTGAATTGTTGGCTATTCATACCAGTTAACATACGGAACAAACGGGTAGATCAGGCGGTGACTTACGTTCCCTTGAAGTGAGCTGTATCGTTCAAGATCAACTCTCCGGGGGAGACAATAGTCGTCGTGTGGATGGCGTTGAACACGTTGATCAAACCTGCGCCTTGTTGGGTCAGAGTTTGCAATGGATCGCCGTCGGTGTGAGTTGAGGGAACGCGTTGCGCAGTGGTCTCGAAGAGCGTTCGTGCGCTTCTGCCGACAGCTGCTGACGTTCCTTTGGCCTGGAACAAAAGCGCAGCACTTCCAGCGACGAATGGCGTTGCCATCGATGTGCCAGATTCAATCCCGAAGAGGCCCAGGTTGACTGGAAGGGTGGACAGGATATTTCCTCCGGGAGCAGCGACAGCAGGCTTGAAGAAGAAATCATTTGAGGGGCCATAGCTGGTGAATGAAGAGATGAGGCCTCCAGCGGGGTCGGGGAATTGGATGAGCCCGCCAGATTGAGGGAACGAAAGGGAGACGTTTTGCCCGGAAGCGAATTGTTGGACCAACTATTGTTTTTATAGATTATTCTTGAGATCGAAAGTTGCACTTGTATATGGCCAAGGACTCACGAATTCACCATCCGCTGCTTGGATGAAAGAAGCGACAAATGCACCGGTATCAATAGCACCAAACCCGCTACCGTTGCTGAAGAACGATTAGTACTCGTAAGCCGGTTGCGGTTCACCAAACGTACTCGTAGATCAAGGTGACTTTGGCACCTTTTGCGGCAACATTTCCAAGCTTTTGAACCTAGATATATGATTTGGTTGTAGAGGAGCCCTGTTCTTGTGTTCTGAATGGACTCACGAAAGTACAGGTACCTCGTCGGACGATGACAACAAAGCCGGAGAGGTCGGGGGTACTGTCAGGGAGAGGGTTGCACGCGTCATCAACCACAGTGGGATCAGTTGAGGTCGCGAAGATGGGACGAGTGTCGTTGATTGGCAAGGGGAACGTGTCTTGGTAGATTATAGGATCGTGTGTCACGCCATGTACTTGGGCAGTTTGAAGAGGGACGACAGTGCTGATGGAAAGGGTTGAGAGGCGACACGTTGTACGAAAAATGGAAACGTACTTGTCCAAACTTGCCACAGAGATGACATCGATACCTGCAAAGAGTTCATATAGATGTCATGATGAAATTTCGGGTTTCTTACCATTTCCTGGGCTTGAAGTGTACCATGCGCCAGATGCGCCCTAAGAAGTGTCTATGTTAATAAGTTGGAATGGCTCGACAGTGAGAAAGGCCTACGTCATTTCCAGCTGCGATGGTGACAACTTTGCCTGTGGCCGCGATACGACTGGCAACGACTGCACTGACCGACTCCGTCCAGCCATCAGCGCCTCCCAAAGAAAGGGTGAGGATGTCTTGACCCTCATTGAATCCGAGCAACAAAGCGTCAACGAGGACTGCACACATTCACTCAGTGACATATTGTTAATTCTGTGAAGACTAGGCTTGCTTACCGTCGTCTGTGACGAACCCTACGCAGCCGAACACTCTGTATGCAGACAAAGACGCCTGGAAGGCAACACCACTGATGTTGAACGCATTGTCGGGATTAGCGCCAATGATGCCCTTGTAGAACCTACGTTAATAGATGATCGAGATGCGAAGCAGATACGATCTACATACAGCCACGTGGGTGCCATGACCTATGAGTTCATTAGCATGGAATGAACCTGGACGTAGATGTGTATAGCTACCTGCACATTGGTCCAAAGGGTCTGGGTCTGGAACGGGCGTATTGGTTCCTTGAGAACGTGCGTTAGTTTGGGCGTATGAGGGATGGAAGGCTAGTCTCTACCGTCATAGTCGTCACCGACCAAGTCGAATCCGCCGATAACCTTATTTCCTGGGCCGAAAGCTCCTCCGAGCGTTGGGTGGGTGTAATCAATACCTTGATGCGACGTCTCGGTTATGTCGTGTGTGGTCATGTACTGGCGACTTACCCGTATCAAGACTGATATGGCGTGATCAGTTGAGGCCAATATCGAGGGAAATCAGAAAACTTACATGCCAATCTTAATGCCAGCACCGGTGATTCCTTGCGCGTGAAGCTTGTCAACGCCCTATAGTAGGTGACTGTTTGATAAATGTGAACGGTCGAGAGGGAGGGGGGACGTACGGTGATGACGTGAGTGGACTCTGAGTCGGGTGGGAGAGCCGGATCGTCAGGGCCCTTGACAACTTGCACCTTGACCGGTCTGGAAATCAATGATCGTTGTGAGTAGGTAACCATGGGCCGGGTAGAGATAAATACTTGGGTCGGTCGAACGCTCGGACGGGCCGAATACTTTTTACACCGGTCGTACTTTGGATCTGTGCGACGTCCTGGAAGAACAATTAACAGATATTATAGAGACTAATCTCCGTGCTTACTTGGGCATCCTGTAGGCATAGTTAGAATGGAAGACGAAGTTGCAGCGAGAGGGGGGGCTTACCGAGAGCGTCAAAGCTGCCCCAACGAAGAGGCCCTGCGTGTTGAATTCTCTGTCAACCTTAAAGCCAATGGCTCTCTTCCTCAACGATTCATAGAGGGCATCATGGGGCTACAACGGTTGTTAAACGCTGGACGTGGGGGAGATATGGCAGGGGCACCGACGTTCGAACGCTTGGTAGGTATATCAGAAGTGCTGTCGACTTCGACGATGAACTTGTTGGCGACGATGGGGAGGTTGGTGACGCGCTTAACGCTGGAAAGAGGGGTGACGGCAAGAGCACAACCTGCGCTCAGGATGGACCACACGAGTACGCCCTTCATAGTAGCAGAGGCTAGAACGGGTGTGGGTGTAATACGCTATATCAAGCCATTTTATACTCAAGAAAAGAGGCATATGGGCATGCGAGCGGAAGTTAATCAGGACACTCGGCTAGGAGGTACACCGATGGGCGTCTTCCCGCTTACCTCTCTAAGAACTTACGATCCATGGTGCCACATGTAGTCGTGGTCGAAGACGACGTAAGTGTGATCCGCTTCGACAGGAATAGCAGTACAGCTTTGTGCCCATTTCGCATGGAATGACTTCTGTGGTGACGGTCGAGCACTCTTCCTTACATTATGGGGTCCCGTGCGCCGAGGCGAACGCCAGCAGTGTGCTTCTCCAATGAATAGCTGTTCTGGGAATAAGAGGCGCGACGTGTGCGCATTCTGATGCAAGAATCGTGCGAGAACAAGAACACAAGAGCCTATTCGGAAGTGCTTTCTGTAGGGAGCATCACGATGGGGAGGCCTCTGTCGTTGGGAAAAGCATAGAGATAAGAAGAAGCCTGAGACCGCGAGCATGTGGACGTCGACATCGTAAAGTTGATCATGGGAGTTCGCCGAACCAGCACAAACCGACTTCGCGCACTGAATGTTCGCGTGCTAAATATAGTGCTCACTCATTCCCACCAGGGTCGCGTTCCATCGACTTTCTATGATCGCTCACGTGATGAGGCCGCGCTAGCCATCGCTGCGAACAAGAAATGCAACGCTTCCACATACCACGACGACGACAGCGCGCATCGACTATTCTTCTCAATCCAAGAATCAAATCACTGCAATTTGAACCCGCTCTAACCCAAACGCAGGACGAACGATGTCGAGTTCAATCGCCAACCCACCCAGTCCTCCGGCAGTTCCTCTCACGTACTCGGTAGCAGCCTGCTCAGAGCACAGCGGCAAATATGAGGCCCATAACATCATGACGGACAGGCCTACAGATCAAACGAGCCGATGGAGCAGCGTCAGTTGTGCCAGTCAGAGCGATCTGTCTCAGTGGATCCTATTGCGCTTGGATGCTCTGAGCATTGTCAGTGAGTTGCGGCTTCTGTGGCCAGGAAGCTCTTCTTACCGTTGCTTCAGAGAGTATAACATTTGGAAAGGTACGTCTAAAGTATCCGCATCGTCGTTCTGCCGCTCATAAACTCCGTAGTTTCACAAAGGTACCCGCTTAAGCTAACTGGTCGCCGTTTGCTTCTCAATGCCAAGCCGCTCTTTAACAGCGCATCCTTGCAACATGAAGGAATTTCAGCTTTATGTGGGCATGACAGAGGACCACTTGACTAAGGTTCTGGAAGGCAGCCTCAAGAATGATACTTTACCAGAAACCTTCCCTATAGAACACGCAAATACTGACGGTGTCTGCTTCCCTGTTCGATTTGTCAAGATAGTCCCACTCTCGTGCGTCACATTAATTCCAATAACGATCTTAGCCAATGCAAGGGAAACACTTCAGAGCACATGGCCAAAATTTCCACACATCTATTTGGTATGTGTCCTTGAGCGGGATTTTGACAGAAGCAACCGTTGAGCAAGTTCGTATACGGTACGATGAGGTTCGTAAGACAGTCATTTAACCCACGAGATGTCGAAGTCACCACTCCGACAGTATCGAGAAACTACTGTTCTCCGACACATCCTCAAGTATCTCCGACAACGCCGTCTTCTCACTCCATTCCAGCATATAATTGACAGCTCTCGGCTTCAACTCGAGCATCCACTGGTTACAAAGCTTCATCAGGCCCTTGTCCTTCAAGGGGATTGGGAAGAAGCAGAGACGGTCTTGGCACGTCTCTCTGAAGAAGGATTGTTCGAATCCTATATCCAATCGTGCCATCCATATGCTGAGTGGATCAAAATCGACGGTGTTAACGCAGATGGCGATAAACCCTCGGCTCGAGGCGGACATGCTATGTGTATGGATTCCGACAATGGCGTCATATATCTCTTTGGTGGTTGGGACGGAGAAAAAAGTCTCGATGACTTTTGGGCTTATGATGTAGCGCAGAACAGATGGAAAGTACTCAGCACGAGTACCTCTGCCGATAAGAATGGTCCTGGACCACGGTCGTGCCACAAGATGGTCTTTGACTCTAAAACGGGCTACATATACCTCTTGGGCCGCTTGAATGAATTCGATTTGCCTGCACAGGCCGAAGGAGACAGGGTATCCCCCACAGGCACGAGCACGGCATGTTCTGAGTTCCATCGCTACCATACTCGAGGTCTGATGGTCGGGAAATGGGATCTCCTTTCCTTTGACACTACGGTGAGTGATGATTCTTGTACCCTTTAGCCATTCACCGAACTTACTTTGTTAGACGATTGGAGGGCCGCCGTTGGTGACCGACCATCAAATGGTCATTGATAGTGACGCTCAAATCATCTATGTCTTTGGTGGCCGTGTTATGGACAAGCACTCCGAGGTAGTCAAATACTCTGGGTTTTATAGCTATAACATACGACTCAGCAAATGGAGAACCATACCGGCGTAAGTCCATTTGCTTTACACATCCCTGTTCTACGTAACTGAGTTATGGCAGTAATGCGACAGACCATGGCTCGGAGGCAAACCAACTGATAATTCCTCCACGCTACGGTAACTTCGCGAAATGGCCTGTCGTTATGACTCTTACAATTTCCTCTGTTAGGTCATTCTATGCTACTGGACTCGGTCAACCACACGCTGCTCATATTTGGTGGACAACACGAGACCAAACACCTCTCCGACATGTACGCGTACGACACTGCCAAGAGCACTACAACTGAGCTCTTCTCCAATTTCTCCAAGTCCGGCGGGCCGGACCCTTTCTTCACGCAGAGAGCAGTTATCGATCCTCAGTTGGGCGAGCTCTACGTGTGGGTTGCGCAGCTTCTGCTGGGGGGATTATATTGATGTATTATGAAATAGGCTGACGGCTTCTCATAGATTTCCTGGGTTGCAGCGCACGCAGGGATTAGACCCGCAAACGATGATGGTCGAGGCTGCATCGAATTGGCTCTACAGGATCGATCACCCGCGACCCGGGAAATGGTCGAAAATCTTGTCGCACTCCAGCCAGGTGCTTGGAGGTTCGACAGAGGCTTCCCCTGAAACCCCAAGCCCGCGATACGCCCATCAAATCGTTTACGACACGAAAACGAAAACGGTTTACTTGCATGGAGGGAATGGGGGAATAGCGTCCGACTCGGGTACGTCTTTAGAGCGAAGCACCGCGGACGACGCTGCCCGAGATGAATCGAGTGTGGGTACGTCGGAAAGGAGGAACGACCGGGCGGAAGGTCGTTTGGACGACTTTTGGAAGATGGTTCTCAAGAGGTATATACTTACGCGTTACGTTACGCCCCGAGTCTAACCGTCCGCTCGATCCAGGCCTGAGCCATCTGAGATTGTTCGTAGGGCCACCTATGTGGTTCGCCAACAGCAGTGAGCTTCATTCATTCTGCATGAATACAAAGCCCTCATTACTTTATCCAGATTCCGAGAAATGTGCGAGTTGGAGCCGTCGGTCAAGGCACTCCACTTCCTCCAAAATAACATCTCGGGTGTGGTTAATCATAGCGATCCCGAAGAGGCTGAAGTATTCCGGTCGCTTCTCACACACCTCCTTTCCCCATCCATTCCGCCTTCGTTTCCTGTCAGCACTTCGACTGCGCAACCCTCCGCTGCCATCATTTACGATGGTGACGATGAGGGTTCCCCGTCAATCGAACTTAGCCGTTCTACTACGCCTGAAGGCACCTGGACGGATTGCTTGGTCGAAGACGACCTTGAGGATTCGAAAATGGAGGAAACGCCCACGGAAGTTATTCGCTCAATCACCGCAGAGATAATGCAGGCTGTCGAAGATCCCATGGAAAAATCCATCAGAGGCGAGGAAGAGGAGCTGAGTGGGCCCAAATTCAGACAAAGGACAGAGGTCTTCGAAGTCTTGCTGTCGTACATAGACCCCCAGGCGAAGCAACCGGACGGCTACCTACCTGACATGATGGTCGGGCACGATAAAGGGATGTAGAATAGTGCTCTGTTGTTGTTTACCCCCACTGTCGTAATTGCTTTGAATTAGGAATGTTATCAAGTGTATTCATGTGTATCTACTCAAATGACAGGAGCCCGAAGATGATGAAGACGAAAATGGTCGTTGAGAGTGTGTTTGTCCATATAGATCTTTCGCCTGAATTTCCAGCTACCTCAGCGCTATCTGATCCAATATATTGTGCTCCCAGCTCGTTGATCCTCCCCTCCTTCGTCATTAGACTGTTTGCCTTTGTACATAGACATATCAGTTTCAAACCATTGTAGAAGGGGAGCAACTGACCTCGTTGACGTCTTGCATCTCTTTCATAGCTCCGAACCAAGCATAACGCTCGACGAAATCCACGTCGTCCATGAAACCCTGAGTGGTTTTTAGGAATTGCACAACCTCATCGTACGAGCATTGCTTGCTGAGATCAGCGAAGTTCTGACAAGCCCATTCAGTCACCCATATAGGGCGCTGAAAGGTGTCGTGGAAGTCGACTACATAGTTGATGAACTGCGTGGCGTTAGTTCCATACCAGTCTATGATACATTTTAATCAGAAAGGGATGATACGGTGTCCCCTTCGTCTGCTCACTCACGCAAAGCAATAATATCAACTGTGCAATCCGCTCCACACACCCCAAGAAAGGATTGTAGCCAGGTCTTGCCGGATGGTGCGCTTGAGGGCGCTGGACTACCGAGACGTATACCCCGATCCTTCAAAGGCTGCAGGTAGGTTTTCCATAATTGAGCCCCGTCTTCAGGAGAAATATTTGATTGCCCCGTTTGCTGAGGTCTTCATATCAATGGTTAGGCTCATAGAGTTGATTGTATGGTGGGTGTGACTTACTCGTTCATGCCTAGGACGGTGGAGAACGATGGTCGACCATTTGAACGAACTATCATTCGATTGAATTCATCGATGTGTGCAGGCCCCCATAACATCGGCACAAATTCAAGATCGGTATTGGCCGGATGCGACGACCATGAATAGTACCTATCCCAAAGTCAACAGAGTTCATGAAGTAAAACTCGCTTCCAGTAAGTTACCATGAAACCTTCCCAGTCGTTCTGTATTGTCGTATATCAACACTGTTTCCGTTGGGCCAAGCTAAACCGGCTTTGCCTGGGGGTTGTTGGGCCTCTACGGAGGCGAAGCAACGGAAGCAGAATAACATAAATATCGTCCCAAAGTGTACAAGAAGCATATCGCGAAAATGTCGTCAAGGTGAGGAAAATCGAGGTTCTGACGGGGAACGCATCACACAATTGCACATTGATTGCCCCACTGTGCCTTCAACAGCGTGGTCGAAGAAATGACGAGTCGTGGTCGTCAAACAAGCTTGGCTCCAGTCGGGATCAGTAGAGTTGATGCTGAATAGGGGTCATCAAGGGGTCTCTTCCATCTCAGTTGAATCTAGCGTTAGAAGGTGGGCAGGCCAGGCTTGCGGCGATGGATATTGGGAAACAACGCTATTCCGAGTCCTGGGGCGTACCTAATTTTATAGATGATCTACACGGTGAGCCTTCTGTACGCCGTGGCAGAAGACATGCTATTCAAAAGTCAAGGTCTCTGAGCCTTACGGCACATGTCGCAAAATAAGCGACCCAGAACATTGAAGGGAGGGTGAGAGGCCGCGTGGTGGCGTGTCGTCTGATATTCTGTTCAAGTATTCGATATTGAACCTTTACGTTATTTATGTACAAGCGGAGAAGATAGAGAGAATCAAACGAAAGGGGTTTCTTTTACTGGTCCTTTTCCGTGGATTGGATCAACGCCACCGCCGAAGCTGATCTGGCCTTTATTGAGCACTTGAACGGTGCCGGCATGCTGTTCGATATGCAGTGAGATAGACGCAAAAGAGAACGAAACTTTGCAGCACTCACCAGACCAAGGTGGAGACATGTTCACCTGAGGGTTCGATGGTGTTGCCGCGCTCATCGACAGCCTTCTTGATATCTAATGTAGCAACCATCGAAGCAATTGCTATCCATACGGATTGGAACGCCATGTAGCGGCCGGGGCATATTCTATTCGCACGTTTAGCTTAGGGCGAAATGCAGGACACTATTATTATAACTGAAGCAACTCACCTTCGGCCGAATCCAAATGCAGCAGCGGCGGGGTCTTTGACGCTCTTATCAAGCTTTCCATCCTTCATGAACCGATCGGGGTTGAAAGCGAAGGGGTCGGGATAGTGGTTTTCGTTATGAAGCATTGACCTATAGATGGCTTATTAGCGTACACCACCTTCTTGACATAACTGGTACGAACCAAGCATTGGGAATGATCATCGTCCCGGCTGGTATAAAGTATCCTTTGTAAACGTCGTCGGTGGTAGACAGATGGGGAATGGCTTGACAAATTGAGTATTAGAAACCCAAAGAAGAGACTGAAGACGAATGAATAGATAGATACCTATGGGTGTGACGCTGTCCCATCGTAAGACCTCCTTCACGATTGCACTGATGTAAGGTAACGATTCCTCGTCACCGAAATCGGGTAGGCGACCATTCCCAACAACTCTATCGATCTCTTCTTGTCCTTTGGCTAAAGCAGAAGGGTTATGTAGCATCGCTAAGATAAAGAAAGCCAACGCTGATACGGTCTGCAGCATCGCGTTAGTCAAACTCCACTAAAATTCGGTGTAAATGGTACGAACGGAATCTGCTCCGGCTGTACATACCGAAGCGTCAGTATAAAATAGAGAGCACCGAGACGAAGACGCTCACCAGCATACATCGTTCCAGCAACACTCTTGATATACTTCTCTTCCAATTCGACATCTGACTCTGAGTTTATCTTGGCGAGGCGGGAATATGTGAATGACGTCCCGTCCGATCCCTCTGTCTACCCGTAGAGTGAGCATACATCCCAGGCTTCAACGTAGGCCACTCACAAACGCTTGCTTCGCAGCTTGGAACGGCATATCACGCATGATCGTAGCCAACTCGCGCCACTCCTTTGCCTTCTTCTGGAAGCCAGCACCCGGGAACCAGGAGGGTACATATTTTAGGAAAGGGAGTGTGTCGACCAAGAACGCGCCTGGGATGGTGGCCGTGAGTAGAGCATGGACACCTTGTTCTGATAGCTTCACGTAAGGGTCATCGTGAGGCTTAATGTCCAAGCCGTAAGCGATCCCTAAGGTGATAGCACCTGCCATACTAAAATTGAAATGACCTAGGTCAGGATGGAGCGGAAGGTGAACAGGGGGAGAGAAAATGCGCACTGTCGGAGGTGTTCTACGTAATCTTCAGGTGTCTCCAGCAAGGCGCGAAGGAACTGGTTGGTGGCTTTGATTTCTCGTGGCTGGAATCGTCGACTGGCCACTGGGTGGAATTCGTGGTGAAAAAGCTTTCTGCATTGTCGCCAGTCTTCGCCTGGTTCAGGTAGTTTGAGCACCCATATCACGTTAGAGGGGGGATACTAGTATCTACCATAGGCCTTGAATCCGAAGTTGAAGTCCCACCCGACGAGTTCGTTTGCCATCGTAAATTGCGTTCTGAATAACCGTCAGAAAACCAGGACTTCGGTCTGTATAGTTATTGGCTGGACTGACCGACTGGAGTATCGACTGGACCGTTTCTCCAACAAATCGTTGGCCGCCTCGAACGAGTCCAGGATGACAACATGGTTTCCCAAAAGATCAAGATATATGATATCAGAATCTAATGAAGATGGGACCGTCGTGAGTAGGGGATGGCGACAAACAGCCAGCGTCTTACCGAGATCTCTTGCCCATTTGCGAAAGGTTACCCACTCCAAATGCTTCGGCATATCGAGAAGATTGCCAATCAATGGCAGTCTCTTTGGTCCAGGTGGGAGAGGCCATGTATACTCCGTTCCACGCTTGCTGAAGCGTTGCCTCAGATATAGTACAGCAATAAGGGTAAAGACAGTCGAGCTGAGGACGAGATTGGGGTCAAGCATGATCACGGAGGTTGTGCACACAAGGCAGAGATATATGTCAGTTATATACCTGCTATGTCAGGGCTGAATGTCATATATTATTAACGGAGGTAAGAACAGAATTCTAGGGGAAAACTTGAACCCCATTTACGTCTGAGTGGGCGACTCGTGTGAAGCGGGGGATAGGTGGAAGGCCAGCTGAGTGAAGGAGTTGCTATGATTGGCGTAGCGCCAATCGAGCCTTCCCAGATAAAATACCAAGAACATATGGGGACTAGGCTGCTGATCCCGTCAGCGATTGTTGCAGAACTTTAGATAGAGTCGTTATTCCTGTATTGAATTCGACCCTTACTTCAGTGGCTGCTCAGTGATACTTACCAGTAGACGATCCTCACCTAGCAATATTGTGTCATGCTTTGTGGTCATCAAAATTTCCAGATAAATGGGGGATTCACCATCCGTCTCTTTTTGTGTATTCGCTAGTGCGAAGGTGGCGAGAAGCTTTCAAGAAGTAAAATTTGCATGGTGACCGGCGGGGCCATTGTTCTCGATGAGCGCTATATTAAGATACGGGCGCCTAAGGGAGTTGCTGTTTGTTTCCTTTCCAAATCCCCCCGCCCATGAGTATCATCGGCTCCATCATATCGTTCTCGGACCGCTCGTCGAGGAGCGTTGCCCCCGCCCGCGCTGGCCTCTTCTCCCTGAAAGCCCTCATGGACAGTCTGCTAGCTATCGCTACTGGCCTCGTTCTCCGTGCTGTCGTTTCACTAGTCACCCACGATGATCTTCGCACAAGCTGCACCCTCATAGGCGTCTGGGAAGGCATCGTGCTCATGCACTTCCTCAACAAAATGCCGCGCTCATACGACCCGTACGTTGCCTACGGCGTGCGCCTCTTCATCGACTTTATCTGGACAGAAAGCCTGTATCGGCTGGTGGTCGTGTTGCTGTGGACGGGCATGGGCATGGTGCTAGCGGACATTACACCGATCTTCTGGTACGACATGGGGCTACGCAAGGTGTGGCACAGTCTGCGGCGCGACGTGTACATCATGTCGCGTTCCGTGCGCGCACTGCTGCCCTTCACAGCGAAGCCGCGTTCATCCCGCGTGCGATTCCACGAGCGGACGAGGTCGGCGTCGAGCAGATACGCGCCGACGATGACGACTACTGCGCCGAGTGGCGCCCCGAGCACGTTTTCCATCACCACGACGACGACGAGCACGACTGCGACACCCGCTACCCGCACAGCGATACCCCCCACCCCCGCTCGCCCGCGGAGAGTACCAGGCTCGTTCCCCGGCTACACCTCTGAAAGCGACTCAGTCGCCGGACTGCCCCCCCTCCCTGGGTCTGGGTCCCGATCAGTGGCATCGTCTGTGCTATCTGACGCGCCACCGCACGGCACCTCGCACTCTCAATTCAGAACCCTAGACAACGAAATCCTCTCGTCGTCTAGCTCGACTGTCTCAGACGACTCGGACATCCTCAACCGCCTCAACCCGACCGAACTGCCGGACATCGATCAGCTGCAGCAGCAGGAGGCGCAGGCGCAGGCTGTCAAGGGCGAAGAGACCCCGAAGCCGACGCCGATGGTCCTTCCCCCGACACCAGCGGATACCCTGCGCGATATCGACATCCGGCGCGCGAACGAGGTCGTTGAGGAGGCGCCGCCCACGGCCACCATGCCTGTCATCCCCGACCAGAACGAGTGGGGCTTCAACGAAGGCTGGGAGGAGATCGACCGGAACGAGGTGCCCCCCGCATCGCACGCTACCTCTCGTAATCAGAGCGAACATGGTGACGGGGGCGACCAGCACGAAAAGAACTTGCCTCCTACCCCAGATGATTCAGGTATCCAAATGCCCGTCCCGGAGCCTGCCAGCCCGCCCAGTATCCCCGTGCCCTCTCCGCACCACAGCTCCAGACACGAAACGCTCGACCCCCCGCCGTCCTTCGAAGACATCTACGGCCCCGACGCAAACGATGTTCCCTACGACGCCCCACAGTCGCACTCGCTCATTGATTTCGGAGGGAATGACCAGAATGATTATAATACTGGGAATTATGCCGATGAGGCGGAGGGTCTGCGCGACGATGAAGAGGCGCAGGATGAAGGAGGGGACGCAGAAAACCGCCACCTGGAGTCGAACACGCCCCCTCCTGAGGCGCAGAATAATCAAGAGGAGAACGACGGGCAGGAGCAAGAGCAGGATCAACCACAGGATCAACAAGGCCAGGATCAACAACAAGAGCTCGACCAACAACAAGAGCTCGACCACCAACAAGAACAGGACTCACCACAAGTGCCTCCTCCTTCCCCATCACCACCTCCTTCCCCCGTCCTCGCCACGCCACTGCCCCTACCTGAAAGGGTGGACGAGGCGGTGCTGCTTCATCAGACGATCTCAGATCTGGCTAAGGAAGTCGAAGAGGCGAAGCAGGCCCAGGAAGATGCGAACAAGTCCGGCGACAAAGCCGGTGCCATCGCGGAGGCTGTCACTGTCGCCTCGAAGGAAAGAGCATTAGAGAGGGCGAAGAAGAGACTAGCGAGGCGGATCTTCGTCGGTGGGTCATTTCTCCCTGCAAGATGTTGTTGTTGGTATTGATTTCGATTGTAGATAATAACCCGGTTGACACCAATGCGATCACATTGGCCGGGTTGGGGCCAGAAGAGGGCATTGCTTTTGTAGAAGAGACTCTCGAGAAACTCCTCCTCACTCCTGGACACGGATTCACTGAGCTGCAAGTTACGCTTGTTGGGAAAAAGCAGGCCCTCATCAAGACTTCCATGGCTAACATGCTGGATAAGTACGTTCGCACAGCATCATACGTATGCTCGTACTCAGCGTGCTGACTTGTCCGCGTTCACAGGCATCACTTCAACTACGCATTCAAGCAAAAGAACCTGACCATCCAACTTCCCCTGTCATGAAACCAATTTACCGCTGGCCGGCCTTGCCTGATGTCCCATTTCCCCCGAACCCTTACCCTTACGCTTGTAGACGATGATTACGACGTTGCTTGTATCGACAGCTTGCTTTCTCTGCTCTGCGGTGTCACTTTATCTGTACTACCAATTTTTATTGCATTTTACACATATATCACGACATTGCTACATGCTACATTTATTCCGATTTGAATTCCACTACCGCGCCTTTGAAAATCCGCCTGTTGAGATGCTCTCTGGGACTGTTCCGCCGCAACTGTCGACCACCGCGCGGTCGGCGGTGACCTCGACGACCACGTCGCCCCCGAGTCTGAACACGTCGTAGAAGTCGAAGTGGCAGCGCGACGCCGTGGGGGCGCCGTTGACGGTGACGCTTTTCACGTACGCGGCGGCCCCGCGGGGGATCGTCTCCCGCACGGACGCGGCGTCGAAGTTCTTGGTCGTCACGGTCGTGCTGACGTTGAGGAAGGAGTTGTGGATGGTGTACTTGGGTGTGAAGGGCGAGAGGATCAAGAATTGGGTGGTGGAGGGCACTAATTATGAAAGGGGCGGTGAGTATACGCACGATTGGGCGGCGAGGAGGGGTGGGTGTTACCGGGATATAGCCCGAGAAGGTGGAAACTTAGTAGCGAGGCCATGGCGGCTTGGTCGTCGTTACCCGGTAGGCCACCCGCAGCTTAAGAGTGCATCGATAAGCTTTGAGGAAGAGTAATGTTACGAGCCAGTGGAGGTCACTCAACTGATGTCGAAGTTCTGAAATACGACCTCCCGAACACGATCGACGGATTTTGTCGGGTGGTTTGCGTAGTGGTAGCCGATGGGTGTCTATATCCAGTTGACTACCCGTACTCACAGACTCTTTTCAAACGACTACACACCTGGAAAGACGGTTCATTGCCGGCGAGGTAGTAGCCAGCCTGGAGAAGGATGACAGTCATTGCGTGAGTCTGTACGGAATGGCAGGATGGCAGACTCACGTCGAAGAAGTGGTCCAATCGTTTCACAAAGGTGTCCTTAGTTGCAATAACCTCGTCAGCAGGTGGCAGAGAACGAACTCAAATGGTACTCACGTTGCCTCCCATAAGCTGGATAAGGTGTGCTGTATCATGAGGAGCAAACCTGCTCGCAAACCTGAGACATGCCAACGTCCCGAACGGCGGGGATCTTACCAGCTATACTCCCAAGACGACGACTCGTAGAAACCATTCAGATTGTCACCTTGCAGCGAACACGACCTGGTGTCGTTCTTATCGTTCGGAGAGCAGTTGGAGGGATCTTGGAAGGCGAAACTGCCGTTCATGAATCTCTTCTGCGAGAATCCTAAAAACGCATGAATAGTTGGCATACGTTCATAGAGAAGGCAAATAGTGGCAGAATGAACCTTTGAACCCGTCATTCGTGACGCTTGGGTCCCAGACGTTGCGGTAGAACTGCGTAACAGTGAGCATGTTTGAGAAGGGGTGCTTGGAGTAACACTAACCAAGGAGCGATTGGTAAATCGGGCCTCATCCTCCGTCTTTCCGAGTAGCTGAGCCACTTGACGGATTCCGAAGTCTTCAAACGCGTACTTCAAATCATCATATCATAATCAGACGATGAACATCATCAGAAATGTGCACTGACCTCAAGGGTCCTGCTCCCCTCTCGTGTTTGACGGCCAGTGCTAGAGACATCCAATACGGCGAAGGGAACGTATCCAAATTCGCTGAAGCGGGGTGCGTGAATTTCTTCGTCAGAACGCAGGAGGGAGTCACGTAGGAAAGCCTTACTTATACACGTTCACTTGTCTTCCCTCGGTGTTCCATTCCGGGGGGTTCAAGTCACCATCTGCCAGGAGAGCGGAGTAGAGTTCATCGAGGTTCACACCGAGCGCAGCCGCCTCGTTGTGATAATTGACAGCGAAGTGGGAGACAATGTTATCAGCACTAGACCCTGAAAGTTTTGTTGACTGCCATTCCACGCGGTGGGGACAATTATGGAACACACCTCCTTGGGTCCAGCCAGGAAGATTGTTCGCGCGACACTCAGGCATCCAGCCATTCTTTCGCCAACCGTCGATGTAGCTTTCAACAATTTGGGCGAATTCGACCGGGGAATGCAAGCTCATGAGCGGGAAGAATGTCCTGAACTATCGGGAGGATCAGTGTTCTCAGCGAAGCGAAGAGGAGGAGGTTGAGAAAGCCCTACAGTGTCCCAGCTGTGATGCACAAGGGGTCAGCGTGTAATACGCAACATGTTAAAGAGATAAACTAACCTGCAATATAAAGAGTCGAAGTAGAAGGTGTCTGTATTGGCAAACACCCCTTGGGTTTCCCCAGTAGCATTGTTCTATAGCCATCACAAATGAGTGTGAACTGAGCTCATCATCTCAAATGGACTCACGGGGGTTAAAGATGCTCTGTACAACGAAGAATACAACATCTCCGTGATATTGGGCGGCGTACCGCCAACGTCGATCTCAATCTTCGAGAGTTTCTCGTTCCACGCAGCCCGTGCCCGCTCCCTAATCTCCTCAAACGTCGCCGACCCGACTTCAGAATCCGCGTTCGCGCATGCTTGGTCGGTGGATACGAACGACACCCCGACTCGGATGTTGACTTCCTTGGGCTTGTTGGCGAAGGAGAAGAGCGCGCCGGATTGGTATACGCCGCCGATCAGGTTGAGGGAGAGGTTCAAGTGCGTTTGCCCGAGACCTTTTGCGTCGAGGCCAAATCTACAGTGACGTATCATCGCATCAGTACGAGAGCGAATGAGGAAGAAATACAACGCACGTATCGCCAGTCCAGACACCATATTCATCGAGCTTCTGCTTCCCGCCGTCCAGCAGATCATAGCACGCAAATGCCTGGTAGTTGAACCGCCCGGGACCAAAGCTATACGGAAGTGAGCCTTTTGATTGATTAGAATGACACAAGCGCCTGGATGTACTGACCTAGAACCCCATCTTCCTCCAATGGTAATCCTTCCCTTTGCGGGATCTATGTCGAGGGTTCCCCCGGCAAAGGAATTAGGAAGGTCGTTGGCCAAATCGAGAACGAAGAAAGGTTTCGAGTTGGAAGGGAATGTGAACCTCTCCAACCCTGCTCGGCGAGTGGCAGTGGCCTCCATTTTGATGTTGTTATCCAATGTCTGGGAGAAATAACCGGGAGAGGCATCTAATGAAATAGAAAAAGGATAAGGAATTGACTCCCGGAAGGAAGACTATGAAGACAGACCATCCGTGTTCAGCTTCCTCAATCTTTCTCTAGCCAGTAAGGTCGTCGTGCAGGTATTGAATCCGTTCGGACAAAGAAGTGGCATGATCTCGAAATTGCCATACGTTCCTGCCAACGAGCGTCAGAAATGTTCTGTGAAGACACGCATGTGCTGAGAGGTACCTAACGAGGAACCAGTTCCGCTGTCGTGAAGAGGACTAAGACCTCGAATCTTCTGAGTAGGGTCAGCCACATATCCTTCGAGCAAAGAATCAGCGCTCGGTTGTATCCCAGCATAGTTAGTACCGACCAGCGGGTGCATATCCAGTGAGATCCGTCGAGAATTTTGCCTGTAGGAATGTTGGTTAAACTACCTCATATAGCTTCTTTGCGAATCTCACCATTCCAAACGGCATGGAAGCACCCGGACTTCAAAAGGCATGCAGCTGAGCAACATCGTGCGTCTATCCGAACGGAACAAGAACGTACCATACATCCCCGAAATTGTCTATACGTCAGACAAAAGAATTAGAAACACTACCCAGCGGGGTATAATGTACGCACCAGTTCCGATGAACGGATTTACGAATGCCGTGTAGTCGATAGGACCTGTAGCATTTGCAGCATCGTGAATGGCGGCAGCGATACGCCTCTGTAGGCTTGGTGCAGGCTGAGAAGCTACGTTGTTTGATGAAAAGAGGGTCACTGCAAGCAGCAGCGTGCACCACGAGTCGAGCATGGTGCTGGGGCTGAAAACACATCGAACGCCTTCTTCGCTCTTTATCTAACTTCAAGCCACAGTGTGTGCGCCCTTCTTCGGAATCGTATACGTATTCTCGGAAGCTAAAATAGACCTGTAGAAGGATGACTCACGACTTCTGCACCAGACCACCTCTACGTGATCGTCCATGGTCATGTTCGGTCCGCCAGCTGCAGCGGTGACCCAGATAGCAGGTATATCTGGGAAGTCTGGGTTCACGCGCCAAGGTGTCATATGGATATGTGGACTAGAGAACGCCAGAAGCCTGTTCTGTGATGCTGACCGAGGTGCAGCGTGGCGAGAACCGCGGGCTGATTCGATTTTCATGGTCTTGTGTGGCAGATAGCCATCATGACGAGAGACGATAGTCATGTAAGAAGCCGAATGCACATCCAACGTTATCAGCCGTCATATGATCGAAGAGAAGTCGCAAGAAGGATTCTTGACATACGAGTTGGCGGCGGAAGCGCGGAGAATTGCCGAGCCCATGTGTCGAGAATCTCAGGGGATTTTTGCATATCCTTCGCCGTCTGTGGTGACCAGGTAATGTTATGGCAGTGTCCTCCGAGATTATGACCGTTTGGCTCTACGCAGGGTAGTTTGTAGTTGTTTCGATCATGATCGGTTGATCGACCAGCGTCTAATTTCATAGGAGCTAAGAACGAGAAAGGATTGACCTTTCTGAATGTGTCCGAACCGAAAAGAAACCTTTTCGTAGACCACCCTACAACTGTATTACTTAGATAAACCACCTGTAGGATAAGATGTCGCACGGGGTAAACAATACATGACCTACCATACGCCGCTTCATCACTTTGGCCGCTTCGGTCCCAGATAAGAGGACGTTAAGGCCTTCATGGGCCCCATTGGCTTAGCTTGCTAGCACTGCTCTTGAGGCACTGCTTGCGTCCTGCGGAGATCCGTATTAGGGAAGCATCCTGCCTGATATGGCAACATATCTCGTCGAACTGCGTCATGTTGAGGGACCACGCAAGCCTGGGAAATGCAGTGGGAGGGGGTCGTATAAGAAGGAGAACCTCGTGGAAACGCGCTAGACAACCCTTGAACGCGAGTTGCTCCCCAAGTCGCCGCTCGCCTAACCCAAACATCCCTATTAACCCCACACAACCAACACGCCTAACACCAAAATGCGCACCTGTATCCTCATGCCCATTGTGGCGTTCCTCAACTGGGGGGCCGCCGCCTCTGCATTGGCCCATCCTGGGGCTACCGAAGGAGCTGTCCAATTGGATAATAGAGGCGCACCCGATTGCCATCTGCTGCAGGATGGCACGTTGGGCGGAGCGCGATGTGCGGATACTGATGTCCCGACCTTCAAACCTCCCGGCTACGATGAAGGCGAACCTAAGTCTGACTCTGGTGATTCCGGCGACCCCCATCGCAAAAGACAACAAGCCCAAGATGTCGCAGGAAATTCCTCAACACCTCTCCCAGAGGCCTCTCCACCGCCCCCGCCCGTAACAGTGACCGTGCCGCTGCTGACACACCAGCATTCGGCTACATGCACGCCTTCCGGTACAACATCGTGTACCAGCACCAGAACTGCAGAGCAAAGTATCCGCACCCCCGAAGTGAGCAATCCCCTCCTAGTACCCATATATCACGCCCTAGCTCCCCTATTCGGTATCTACGGTCCCGCCCTCGACACCGCCCTAGATGTGGCGATTAATGGATACGAAGACCCGTCAACGACCACCGGGCCACCCTATGAAAGTAGAAAGCCGACTCCAACGGCCGTCCCGAACGACATCAAGCAAATCCCTGACACACAAAAGGCGGAGACTGAGGGAAAGATGCGAATGACTGAAGAACAGGTGAAAGAGGAGCAAGGCCATGCATCACTGACGGCCGAGCCTTCCTCGTCGACCCCTTGCTCTTCAGGCAGTGGTGGGCCTACTGCTAACCCAGATGTGACGAATCTTCCTAAGATCCGGGGCATGAAGCGCAGGGAGTGAAGACCGGGAAAAGGGATTGTGCAATGGATACGCATCTGCGATATTATGTTACCATATACTTTAATATGTGCTAGGCGGCTGCGCAGCACACGCCCGCTGGGGGAGGGCGAGAGTCTTGTGTACCTATATTAGGAAATCACCTTGCCTGATATAGAAAATACCTTGCGACACGCCCTTAAGCAGAAGAAGAGTGGATCGCCTGTATAAGAAGGGGGACCAGCACGGTCAACAAACTAGACGCCTCTTGAACTTGAACCACCCGCTCTCTCGAAGCCGCTTCTCACCGGTCACTACGCAACCTACACACACTACCACACAATCGAAATGCGCACCCAAATCCTCATTTCTGCCGTCGTGCTCCTTAGCTGGGGGTCCACCGCCTCCGCATCAGCCTACCCTAGAGCTGCGACCAGAGTCGTACAAATCGGCGGGCGAGGGGATGAGTTCTGTACAGGGGTGCATGACGCAGCTGGCGGTGACCCTTGCGAAGTTGCAAAGCCTGCCCCCATCCCCCAGCCATCGACAACATATGCAGATGATAGCGAGCCGACGCCGTCGAACGTCCCCGAAGATTCGACGAAATCCCGGGGGGAGTTGTGAAGGAAACAAAGAAGGAGGAGGAGTGGGTGGAGAAGGGCAAGATGCAATCGAGGGCTTCGCTGGAACAGGAGAAGGATAATTGAGAGTGCGTATTGTTGACATTGTGATATTTTATACACGCCCAGGCATAATTACTCGGCGAGCTCTGCGCTGAGCAGCCATTAAGCGGATGGTTGTACATTTGATGTCTACGACTCCAAGTGAAGCCCATGGTGAATTCATCGGGGAGTCTCTTGCGGCGCACGTGTATCGAGAGGATGTAACCGCTGAAGGCCAGGCGTCTACCAGAGGCGGAAATCAGCTCCCGTAGGAAAAACATCCCAGCGAGGCCAGCTATCTTCACAATCGACGCGGGCGTTTCCCAGATGTAGAGCGATCATTCGGAATACAAGGAATGGGATCATGTCGGAGGGTTTATACTGCGGAGCGGGCAGGTCAATCATCCTTCCAGAGTGAAAGTCTGCGTCGGGTTGAAGAAGAGCTACATCGGTGAGAAGGCAAACTCATAGGGCCGCGCCATGATCTTGTTGTCATCAAACGCTACGACGCCGCCCAGAATGGGTGCTTCTAGCAGCGTAAATGTCGATAAGACGACCAAATTCCAAGGATGAGTGTTATGTTTCCAAAAGAAGAGACCTAGGTTAACCATTGCACCGAAGAGGGGAACGTAGAGAGACCACTGGCAGGTGCTATAGAGTAGTAGAATGTGAGTTCGTAATCCTACGACGTACTGCGTCTGAGCCCATAGTAGAGTAACAGAAGGTGACTGAGAAATGGCGCCAACTACGATGAGAGTCGATAACTGGGTGTATCTACAATAAGAAGCGCCTTCGATCTGGCGAGCTAAGATGTAGATCTTAAGGATGGCTCAATGCGTGGAAGTGACGATATTATTGCCCCACCAAGGATTGTGTACACCTTCAAGGCTTCAATGCCGTCGTCTTACACGTTCCCTGGAGCTGGTTGGTAGTTGAGGAGCGCATTGAGTTCGTCGCGCTCGTAATGGTAGCGCGTACGACGGTGGAGAAACGGGATGTTGACTCGTGACGTTCGACGTTCTCCCATTTATTAAAGTTCAGGCGCCTGGCGCCTAACTACACGATCAGTGCCACAGGAGCTCACCTATTCACCACGTTTAACCATCATGACCTTCACTTGAGACCTCCCGAGCCTCCATGAACCCTCATATCGGGCACAAGAGGACTAGGATTATCTTGAGTTGCACCCTAAGGCCAGGATCATGACGACCTCGCTATACGTTTTGCTTGAAGACACGGGCAGTCGCGAAGTTGGGTGTGTTGTATTAGGGGGGTTCATGGCAAGTATGTACCCTATTACTATTAGTACTTTCTATAGTATTCTATATTCTATTTACAAGTGCGACCATAATTTTGCTCACCGCCTTGATATTTTTGTGATTTCTTTGATGACACTTTCCATCCCATCTCCGGAATCCGTACCCCAGTACTCCTTCTCGTGTTTACTCAATCGACCAAGGACATAGTCAGCGACGTCGCCGTCTCCCCGCCCGATTCCCACTCTGAAGCGATGAAAACCTTGCTCCCCACCTAGTGCCGCGATGATGCTTTTGACGCCGTTGTGCCCATTCGCGGAGCCGCCTAACCGAGGGGCTAGAACACATGGGCGGTGGGAGAGGGAGTCGTGGATGACAATCAAGGAGGAAGGAGAGTTGGGTATGATTTTACGGAAAGTAGTGGCTATTGACGGTCCGGAGATGTTCATGAAGGACTCTAAACGGGATAATTACAGCTACTGATCCCCGGCTCGATACGATGGAAGACGTACTTGATTTGTACAGTGTCAGTGATACGGGGGAATCACCCAACATGACGTCTTGTGTGCCGATGTACCCTCCCGATGCAGATTTCAGCGGTATCCCGAGCCTTGACGCCAGGGTATCAACAATTATATGACCAAGGCTAGTCCGCAGCGTCAGCATCTTGCTACGCGAGGAATGGAGACCATGCTGACTACCTGTGGCGAGTAAGAGGGTGCGTTATATTTCCTAGACCCGCGACCATGAGCTTCGGCATAGCAACAACCATTTGCGGGGATGGGCGTTATTATTTTTTCGAGGGAGAGACCGAGTTCCAGCCGCGACTTGTTGTTTTCGGGACGGGGAGCTCAGCGGCGGTTCTTTTTGTAGTCAAATCTTGAGCGTTCCGAATGGCGGTGCAAAGCGGGTTTGTCAGGTGTACAGTCAGAAGTGACTGAGTAGGTGAGTCAATTTTTTTCGGATGCTCGAAGTACGGGGTATCGGTCATTGGTATCGGTGCGCTGAAGTCCTCATGATTCCTGCAGGTTTGAGCGGTCGAAACGGCGACGGCGAACAAGAGATTGAGGGGGTGAGGGTAATAAAGTAGTGTCCATAAAAGGCAACAACACCATGCGTGTTGTTTGGGCGTATTTGGCTACGACTATTATTCTCGAAGACAATGGACTTTGGGGGACAAAGAACCACGGATTTTCAAAGTCCATCAATTATAAGAAGAGTGGTTTGCAGGATGTCGCCTTCTTGCCCTCGGCGTACTTCGTTTCACGACCTAATACCCTTCTTTACGACGTCGCAGGTCGACCGCTGCAATGTCAAGCTTTCCCCGCTTCCCCTCACCACCGCCGACGTACGACGCTCCCTCAGCCCAATTCGCAGCAAGCTCATCCACGCTGCAACCATACCTAGCTCTCCCCCATCTCCTCTCCTTAACATGGCTCGCGTACCCGATCCTTTCTCTGCTCATGGTCGTGTTTCAGCTACAGCTCTCTCTGGCTTCATCGAAGGATGCAGTAGCCAGTGCCAAAGACGGTCTCCTGGCCAGCTGCAAGGCTGCGGAACGCGCAGCAACATCCACCGCTAGTATTCCTCGCTACATGGCATTGGCCACGAATGAACAATTTGTCGACGCAGTCAACGGAACACTGAGAGCCGCTCGCGCCACCTTGGTGCTAGCACTGACGATCATGGAGGTCGTGATAAATTTCATTATCGACATTTATCGATCGACTTTCCTATGCTTCCTCGAGCTGATCGTTCGAGGTGTTCTCTCGATCCTCATTTCCGCAGTCCAAGAGGTGTGTGCAGCGTTTGTTATCGCGGAATCGCGCACTGATCATTTTGCAGTTCAGCAATCTCGTTTCGGCCGCGGCCAATGGCATCAGCTCAACTTTGCAAAGCCAAATTCAGAACGCAAATTCTGTTATCCGAACGGCCATCGATGCAATCAATAAAGTTAACCCATTCGACGACATTAGCGTTCCGCAGATACCCATTCCGGACCTTTCTGCCTTGCAGAATGTCCAGCTACCCACGGACTTCCAAGACGCGCTCACCAAGCTCAACTCATCGTTGCCTACCGTTGCTGAACTCAAGGACAAGGTCGAAGATGTGTACGTGCCCAAATACTTTCCTTTTAGTTCCACAACTAATCCCCCGTAGTGTCAATCTGCCCTTCGAACTGCTGAAGAAGGATATCAACGACACTTTTGCGGCTATCTCATTCAACTCCTCGACAATGCCTGTTCCCCAGCAGAACACTGTCAACTTTTGCTCTGACCTTGACCTTACCATCGTGGATGATCTTGGCCGCGACCTCATTCGCATCGCCAAAATTGGAACAATCGTGTTAATCTTGTTGGCCCTCCTCTTGATTGGCCTCAACTGCCTCCTCGAGTGGTTCAAATGGGTTAGCATGAAGCGCCATCTGGAATATACACGCCAGGCCTGGGTGTCGGATCCGACCTTGTATCACTCTGGGCCACCCGCCGTTACCTCTAACGGTGCCCCGAACGTCACGCTTTCCGACCACAATCTGCTCATGCTCCAGTCCAACATGGCCCACCCCCTCCTGACTCGTATCACCAACAATTTGGCAGCGCGGCTTCGTCTCTCGCAAGTTCAGCACACGCATCTGCAATGGTTCTTCCACTACATCTTCCACCCGCCTGCCCTTGCGTGTCTGCTCATCGGCTTCATCGGCCTGATGTCCATCCAGATTCAGCTCATCGCGATCGGCGCAATCGAGACAAAGTACCAAAACGCAGCCGCAGACACGACTTCGGATTTCACGAACACGATCGCCACTTCAATCAGCGATAGCATGCACGCTCAATCCGCTGCGTATGCCGCTGACGTCAATCTCCGCGTCGATGGCATCCAAACTACTATCAACGATGGCATGTTCGGTTGGGTCAATGTCACTACTACAGAGCTGAACACAACGATCGTGAATTTCTATGCCGGCGTCCAGGACGTAGTGCAAACTGTCTTCAATGGCACTATCCTCGAGTCTCCCGCAAACGAATTCATCCGCTGCCTCATCGGAACCAAAGTCGATGCCATTGAGAGTGCCCTGACGTTCTTACACGATAATCTACGAGTCGATCTCCCTCGCATGAACGATTCGGCCTTGGTCCTTTCTCCTACCTCGGTAGACGAAGCTGCGAGACCCATTGCGCTTGCTGCCATTGGCGGAAGTGACGGTGCTAACGGCGACGACCGAGGCCTGTTTGGCAAAGTGATCGATTCATACGCCAACGGTCTCAGGAAGCAAAGGCTGATATTCGCTATATTCTTGATACTCTGGGGATTGGTCGTCCTCATGGCCCTCTGTGTCATTTTCTGGCATTCCTACGGCAAGGCTTTCGTTGAGCGAAGGGGCCGGGGGAGGTGGCAACGGGAACAAAGGAGCGGCTTCGAGGACATTGTTGTTCCTTTCCGGTCTAACGACGCTGGGAACGAAAAGGGATCTGGAGGGGTACAAGGGCAGTTGGCGCCTGGCAACCAGCTACCTGCCTTCACCCCCATTCCTTCTCCGCGCCCACCTGGCGTTTTCTCTCCGACTTTGCGCAGCAATAACTCTTCACCGCGCCCCGGGAACGTCAACAAGGAGAAAGACGCGGAGAAGAGCTGGGATAGCTTCTTCGAAGCGAAACAAGAATCCAAATTCTCCGGCATGATCTCCTCTTTCGCCTCACGCACTCGCGCGAGGACTATCAGCGCCCCGAAGAGGCTCATGGCCATTGGCAAGAAACCGGTTCCCGCTGAAGATCGCGACAACGCCGACGGCCCGTCGCTCTCTAACCGCATCCGAGGCATTCTTGCTCCTGCACCTCGTTCCCGAGCGCGTCCCAACTTGACGATCTCTGTCGACAGGGCTTCCTCCATCAGACCAGACGGCGTAGGCATCGACAGGGAAGATTCAGCACCCAAGTCAGCTTGGTCGGCCTCTCCTACCACGCCTTACGAGAAGAAGCCTCATGTCACTACGCCCTCCGCTGCTTCCGTCGCTATTCGACCTTCCTTGCCGTGGACGAGAAACATCGCGTCTCCTCCGCCATTGCCCCTTCGAGTCATGAATCCTTCGGTTCGTTCTAGTTCCAATGGTTCCATCGGAAGCCAACGAGAGGAAGATCGACCTCGGCACAACGCCAATGTTCCCTCAGATGTGACCGCCGCCTCTGTTCACGACTTGCTCTCAAATCGCGTGCAAACTCCCGGACTCGCCCCTCCTCTCCATTACGGATACGGGAACTCGGGCATCGACTCGCGTCACCCGCCTCTCCAGCCTCGCGGGCTGATGCCGCCTGTTGACAAGCACCGACGGTCGATGTCCGTTCCCGTGTCTGCCATCTCTGACGCTGACGGCGCGACCCCCGTAACGAAGATGCTCTCCACCACACATGCACGCAAGTCGTCGTCAGTCAACCCCTTCGAAGGCACGAATCCATTCGAAGGCGCTACGCCGAGCCCTGGTTCAGAGTCCGTGCAGAACCCCTTCGACCGCTCTCCTATGCCCAATGTAAATCCGTTTATGACGCCGTTTGACGACGAGCATCGCGTGAAGATCAATCACGCGAAGCCGATGGATATCCGTAAGAGTATCCCGACGAATCCTTTCGGCGCCATAGCGCTCTAGACGAATGACGGCCACGACCTCCCAATTCATCACGCCTTCCCATTTAATACCTCTCAAGGACTATTGTATCTATTACCCGTTATCGCTCTCTACCATACATAACATCGCAGCTCATACATCATGTATCCCTATCGGAGACACAGTGCTGCGCACCTCCCTCTTTGTAGCACAAACTTTATACATATACAACGATTTCTAATGTTAACGCTGATTCATTTGATGAAGCTTGAGCGTGCTCTTTCCCCATATTTATGGGAGTTTGTTAGAGCGCAGTCCAGACCTGTAGTTGACCTCGACCCTACCCATCTCCACGCACTTGTGAGCCCCTAAATCCGAATATGATCGTGTGAATAATGGCGAGGCGCGCAACTAGGATGGAGGCTGTATTCGAGAAGCGTCTGTGCTCAACTCTTCCCCAACCTTCACGTTCAGCATGAGTCAATATCCTGTTCCCCCTCCGTCGTACGGATCGACGCCCGCGAAGCCCAACTACCGTGACGATGTCAATGAGCCCCTTCTCGGTGGGCCCAGCGGTTCGGCTATCTATGACCAACCAGCGCCAGGGGACATCCCGGACGACTTTAAGGTGTGTTCAGTATTCCGTTAGGGCAACGCCATGGCTGATGTGCCCCGCCTATCAGTATGGGACGACCGTTTCTGAGAGTTCTCCAGAGATCCGCGCGGCGTTCGTGAGGAAGGTGTACACTATCCTCGGTGAGGCAATACCCTACACTGTCATTGCTGCGCATTGAACTAACGCCTCTGTGGGATTAGTTTGTCAGATCGTAAGTACTGTGTAACACACAAGCTGCCAACTCACTCAGTTACATTCAGCTGGCAACCACCATTGTAGGAGGCGTCATTTCTCAGTCGCCTTCCACGGTTCTATGGGTTCAGACGCAGTATGTCTCCGCCTCCATGGCGCTTCCGACCACCGACTTACATTCCGTAGTACTTGGTCCTTCTATGTTCCTCTCTTCGGTACAATCGTCAACCTCGGTCTCTTGTATTGGCAACGCCATACACACCCTTGGAATTTCGTGCTCCTGTCGACGTTCACGCTGATGGAGGCGTTTACCCTGGGCGTTGTTGTAGCGTTCTATGATAACACGATCGTGATGCAGGCGCTGTGAGTACAGAACGACGCTTGTCACTGCTCGGACCCTCCTGACACCACAACAGGCTCATAACCCTCGGCGTCTTCATTGGACTGACACTCTTCACCTTCCAATCCAAAGTACGTCCGTTTCCATCTATACTCAGATTATTACTCATGCGTTCCGCAGTATGATTTCTCCGGCATGGGTCCCTTCCTCTTCGGCGCCCTAATCGCTTTATGTACGTCAATTTATGTTTGCCTCGGTAGCCCCGTACTCATGTAGATTCCAGGTATGACTGGTTTCGTCGGGATGTTCTTCCAATGGAGCCGCACGACCGATCTGATCTTCGCCGCTGGTGGTTGTCTCCTCTTCAGCGGCTACATCGTCTACGACACATACACCATCAACAAGAGGCTCTCCCCCGACGAATTCATCATGGGCGCCATCAGCCTTTACTTGGAGTAAGTCATAATCTCGTGTGTCAATGATATAGCAGCCGAACTTACGCTATCCTTTCTAGCTTCATCAATTTGTGTAGGTTATCCTGTGTATGATTCATCGTGCTCTTCGGCTCACATATATTTCATAGTCCTCAATATCCTGCGTCTGCTCAACGATCTCCAAGACCGTTAAATTGCGATGAACGAATAGTGCACACGGCTCGGCGTGTCGCAGATATCGTCTTTATCTACGTCTTGTATCTCCTTATTGTGTTTAAGTAGTGATATGTTTGAGTAGTCACTAGTTATAATGGATCACTGCCTCACTACCATTGCAAGTGATAACTTTTCGGATTCACCTGCGAGATGCCGCTTCCCTAATGGAGTTCAGCGTGTCCAATACTCTTCGGCGCTTACCATCATATGTACTTGGCTTGAACCAGCAATGTCTGCAATTAGGAGAAGCCAGACGACACGGATAACGAGGCTTTCTTCACGCGCAAGTCCGTATCATGCATCAGTCACTCTCTTCGAGGCCAAGGATCCAGGAATCACCGCTGACGCAGCAAATAATGGCGAGGCTCCGACACGCTCCTCGACGCCTCGCCGACCGCGCGCGCGGCGCGTCAAAGTCGAGGAAGACATGGTAGACATTGAGGACATGGTCGCCATGAAACCCGAGGCCGACACAGACCCTCCCTCGTTAGCGGAATCGTCCAAAGTGAAGAAACCGAGGCGGTCGACTCAGCCCAAGTCGCCGCGGAAGCCTAAAGCAATCCAACAGTCCCTAGACAAACCCCACCCCGCACCCGAGAACTGGCGCGAGACTTACGACGCTATCAAAGAAATGCGGTCCAAGATTGTTGCGCCGGTGGACACTATGGGATGCGACCAGGCGCAGTACAAAGAGACAGAGCCGAAAGTATGCCCCTCTCCTCCGTTTCGTCTTACAAACCCGACTATTGATCAGCCTCTCATACTTCCAGAACAAGCGATTTGCCACTTTGGTATCTCTCATGCTATCTTCACAGACAAAAGACGAAGTAACCGACGCCGCTGTCTCGAATCTACGAGAAGCCCTTGGCGGATCATTGAGTGTAGACGGGCTCATCAATTCTGACGAGCAAGCAATATCAAACGCCATATGTAAAGTTGGCTTCTGGAGGCGCAAAACCCAGTACGTGCCTATGCAGCTACGACGATCTTCTGTTGAATGCATGCAGATATTTGAAACAGACTGCTCAGATGCTGAAAGATAATTTCGATTCGGACGTCCCGAAGACAGTTGACGAACTCTGTTCTTTGCCTGGCGTAGGTCCGAAAATGGCGTTTTTAACGTTGCATTCAGCCTGGAATTTGTAAGTGACCTTATACCCAAGTTGGTGTATCTGATAGATTTCGGTGTCCAGGAATGTGGGTATCGGTGTAGACGTCCACGTGCACCGCATAACGAATAGACTTGGGTGGCACAAACCGCCAACAAATACGCCTGAAGAAACACGGTCAGTAGCTCACAAGACGAACATATAAAGTCACTCTTGTAACTCGGCAACGCTAGTTTGAATTTACAATCGTGGCTGCCTACCGAGCTCCATCGAGAGATTAACCATATGCTTGTAGGTTTCGGACAGGTTCGCGTCTCCTTCCACCTATCCAGTGACTGGACCTAACGTGTGGCTCGCCAGGTTGTATGCCTCCCGGTCGGTCCGCGCTGTGGTGACTGTACCCTGCGCACCCAGCAGGCCTGTCCCAGCGCCCGTAATGTAGGTAGATAGACCCCAAATACGACTGAGGTATCCCACGCTTAGCAATGGCTAGGTCCAAGGGTGTATAGGGAGAATCGACTGGGTATCATAACATCACTAATGTGCATCTATTCCAAAAAATCCCTCCGCCGCTGCAACAAACTCTTCACCGGCCCGACGCTCCTCCTACCACCCCTTCCACCCCGACGCCGGCCCCTTGAGCAGGCGGAGTCGGGCTGGTGCTCTCGCCAGAGGAGGTCGCAGTTCCGGAGGCAGATGCCGATTCCGTTTCCGTTTCCGTTGTTGACTTCCATCCCAGTTTGTCCTCCAAAGCTTCAGCAAGTTTCAGGGCGTTGGCAGGCGGAGTCGCGCTGGCACTATCAGAAGAGGTCGCAGTGCCGGAAGCAGATGTCGGTTCTGACGACGACGCCTTTCCTGCCAGCTTTTCCTCTGCAGCCTTGGCGACTTGTTGAGCGGGGTTACCTGCCGGAGTCGTGCTGGCGGCCGCAGAAGAAGAAGACGTGACCGTTGTGGATGAAGACTCAGACGATTGAGATGGTTTAACATTATTCGCCACTCCCTTGACGTTATCGAGGGGGTTACTTGCGGAGGGAGTAGCGCTCTGTGTCGTGGTGGTAGTCTCCGTCGTTGTCGTTATAGAAGACGATCCAGACGATGAGGCTGTTGCCGTATTAATCGGGGAGGTTACCGCCGCCGCAGGGTTCCCTATGGCTGGCGCCTGTCTTTTGCGGGAGACATCACCGCTGGGAGGGGCTGAGTCGCCAGGTGCATCGGTTCCAGAGTTGGGTTGCCCTCCGGCGTAGTCGTTGTTGTGGATCTGCCGCGAGTTGACACCATCAAGGCCTCGTGCGAGTCTTCCGCTTGCTCCAGGGTGGGCCAATGCGGAGACAGTAGAGCCCCAGTTGAGAAGCGCGACAGTGGAAATGAGGATACAGGTGCGCATTTTGATGTCAGGTGTAGTAGTCGTGTGGTGCTAAGTAGGTTGTGTGGATAGTGCGGGAACTGTGTGCGAGGCGGCTTTGAGCAAGTGGGTGGTTCGAGATCAAGAGACGTCTGGGGCATCTCATCCGAGGGTCCCCCTTCTTATACCGTCCTCCCAGTCGCTTTCCCAGGCTTCTTCACGGGTGTAGCCGCTCCCAATGACGCGCCTGGACGAGGCTCGCCTCCCTTATGAGGCAAGATGCTTTCTTTCTATAGACACACCGATCAAGCAATGAAGTCATCCTTACTTGCCGGCTCGCGGCTCGAAGTCTATATGAGGCAACCCTCCTTCCCAATATAGAAATCGCCGACCTATGGTATGCGTTGTACACAACACGGGAGGCGCACGGACCACAGTTGCTATATAGAGCTGTACCCGCTTCGTGAATCGTACTACGCATACAGGCTTCTCGTTCCAAGCTTAGCGTTGTGTTTCGGAGGAATAGGCCGAACTCTCTGAACCAGCAGCGACTTAGTAGCCGTCGCGCGATAACAGAAATGAGGATACAGGTCCGCATTGTGATGATGTTGGGCAGGTTGTGGTGATAAAGGGAGAACTTTGAGAGGCAGTTCGAGTTCAATGAGCGTCTAGCGCGTTTCTGTTCGTCTTCCATATGAGGCAATATACTTTCCCAATACGGAAATGGTTGAAGACGCCTCCCCCAAGTGACGAAGCCTTATAATACACGAGGCTAAGATCTGATGCACGGGCCAATGTGCTGATGCGAGTAGAGTCTCACTGGCCCTCATGTTCCTCTTCGTGTTAGCGCTGAGCCTCCTCGTTGCCGCAAAATGCAACCAACTCAGCGTCAGGAAGGAATGCCGCAACCTTTCTCAACCAGAGCGCAGAGACTGGATTACCGCCGTCAAGGTGTGTTCCGACTCTATGTCTATCAAAATTTTCAATGACGGACAGTAGTGTCTAGCGGGCTTGCCCCACTCACCGGCACTGACTCCGACTATCATGCCTGACGATATCGTGCCAGTCGCCGATACAACGTCTTCCTACTATGATGGTATTTTCCCATTCTAAATATTTAGGATTCATCTTGGACCCACGACGCGAGTAGACATAGTCTATCTGTACATGGATCTGAACCACAAGGAAAGTAGAGCGCAATTTCATTGAACGCGCCACTGATATACCAATGACATAAACTATACAGATTCATGGGACTGGCCTATTTCTGCCGTGGCACCGTTGGTATATCCATAGCCCCAAAACTGCGCTCCAGGCGGAGTGTGGCTTCAACGGCACGGCGCCTTACTGGGACTGGACGCAAGGTACGTGTTCAAGCTACGGCGGTGTCTGAGCTGCACCTGGAGCCTGCTGAGTCTAGATGCCCCGGACTTCCTCCACGCCACAATATTCAACGAAGGGTACGAGCTGGGAGGATGGGGCGACCCATCGAAGGACTTCAAAGTTACCGACGGGGCCTTCTCAGCTGATTCGCTTTTCAGACCGTCATATCCGTATCCCCATACTTTGCGCCGGCGGTTTAATCTATTCCCATATTCGACTTCTGTTGTCTTGGGCGTCCCTATCGACCCCCACCTCCCGATAAATAATACCTTTACAGCTTCGGAAGTACGAAAGCTGACGACCGGGTTCGAAGGCGATTATAAGGGGTTCTAGACGTACTTTGAGGCAATTCAGGTGAGTACTGTCCTTGGAGGGGAAAATCGGATGATTGAGGCCTTTTCAGGGAGCTCACGCATCTGTTCATCTAATTGTAAATGGGTAAGATCATATATCATGTCCCGATGTATGATGCATATAGTTTGACACTGCCCGAAGGGATCTGCTAGGAGCGTGCCCCGGAAACGCGCCTCCTGATTGTAAAGGTGGACCGACCTTTTCTGCCAAAGGTAAGTACCTAACTACCTCTGAGGCATTTTTATTTAACCAATCTGGCATCTCTCCCCAGACCCTCTGTTCTGGCTTCACCACGGGGTTCGTTCTCAAACAATCCACCTGAATTGAGATCACAAATGGAAGTAGATGATAGATAAAGTCTGGCACGACTGGCAGCACTACTCAAAAGCCAGTACTCGGGCATTTGAAGGCGGTTCCGTGCAGCGCCTGGACAATATCACGAAATGGCCTACGGGTAGCGCTCCGTGGATGAATGTTCGTGATCTTTCTGTATGTGTATCACGCTGTGTGGCTAACTTTGCTCGATGCGAAGCTCCAATCCGTCATGCCTGGCGATGGCTTATTCCAGGAGGCCACCGTATTGGACGTGATTGATACGGAAGATGGGATACTCTGTTATACCATACGAGTGGTTGAGGCTGGCACTGGAAGACTTCGACACGTTCGTTCGTAGACCTTGATGTCAGTCTGACATATACACATCTCCTTTGACCTATCTCATTTCCTGAACTATATAATGTGTGGTTTATCTAGGCTGAATGTCTTCGCAACAATCTTGTCCCGATGAGCGTCAAATCAACCCCCAGAGATAGGCGCAGCAGATATGCCTCATATGTGAATTCGATGGCTCAGTGGTGTTTTGTTACAGGCAGCGTTTCGAAATAATCGGATTATTTCTATGACTATTTTAAAGACACCTCCACTGCGACTTCAGCGAGCCTGTTTGGGATCATCTTTGACCTTCTTTGCCCCCAAGTCGAGAACAAGGTCAGTTTCCATCCTAACCTCTTCTATGTATTTACTAAGATTGTCGTTGGCTTCGTTCTTGCCGGGCGTCTCAGAAGGAGAAGAGGGCAAGGTGGGAGGCGACTGCTCGAGTTCAAGAGGCGTCTGTGTTCCGTGAGCTCCTCCTACAGTTTTCCCAGGCTTCTGCACTCGAACGCCTTCCATATGAGGCAATACACTTGCCCAATGCCCAATATGGAAATACCCGACAAGTGAGCTCAAATGATCCTCCAAGATGTTCTGAACAGTAAGTCTGAGATTATTGGGCATAGGACTAGTAGCCTTCTCATTGCGAACTCACTATCATGAGCCTGACATCCAAATAAATTGGTTCTCTCATGCAAATACTTATGAAAGGAAGATTACAAACATCCATCTGTATGTTACTGTCCGCTGTATTACGAGGAGCCCCAGCCCTCGGGTCGATAGATAAATATCCAGTGTTTAGTTTGCACATATATGTATACAATTGGTATAGACATGATTCGGGTATGGTGTATCGATAGCGTCGGAAACTGAAGTGCGTCACGGTCCTGATTCAGCCACTGATCGAAGGTCTGCTGATTCCTTCAATGCTTGCTTCTCAGCTTTTCTCTGCGCTCTCTCCTCTTCTTTCTTTATCCGCTTGGCCTTCTCTTCGTCCGTCTCATCGTGTCCTCTCCAGTCTCCCCAGAGGCCACAGCCGACAACTTCGCGGGTGTTTGCCCCGAACAGGGCGAGGACGGCGAACCACTCGGCGAGGATCTGGAATATGTAGAACACTGTTTTGTCTGCGGGGGTGTTGAGGGAGCCACGTCCGTATGATGATAGCTGGGAGGTAGTGTTATGGAGCACTGCGACTCGATAAATTGCGACGGAGCACTGATTGGGCGGTCGTCTCAGCTCCTGTACCAGACGGTACACTAGATGAACTCACCAAGGGAAGCCATATGGATACAAGTAATTTGAATGCTGGCGTGCTCGCACGAGGCAAGCGCCGATAGCCCCATATCATGGAAAAGCCTATGAGTATAATAGCGCCTAGACCCAGCCCAGCACTAACATATCTATTTTCCATCAGTAAGAAACCCTCTTTCCAATCGACGATGAACCAAGAGTACTCACCGTAGCATCATCATATTGTCTGCCTTAGAGGCATTATCTATCGCAGCAGGAAAATCCGTCGCACCGAGGATACCTGTTATGATAGCCGCTAGTACGAGCAAGGAGCAAACGTCTCCGAAGCGACGGGAGATGAAGCGCGCTCTAGGGGTATCTGCAACGTGCTGCTTGGAGGAGACGACCGCTAAGATAGGTTGGGAGGACAGGATATCTTCGAACTGTGTCGACGTCTTCGCAACTTTCTTAGCTCCTTCATACGCGGGAGCTTGGTAGTATGTATCGGTCCCATATGTAGCATTTATGAGAAAACATTTGACTAGGTCCCTGTATGTGGAACATATTGACAAGAAGCCAACACCGATTGTGATTTCCATGTATTTCAGAGGTCCATTGGAATCTGTCCGTGCAGCGCGCGCTCTCAGAGAAAACAGGACTATTCTGCGGGCGCTGGTGAACACGAGGACATATCAAAGAGGCCAGTTGAACGCACCTTTCAATAGCGAAACTCACACATCCGAAGACAGCTAGCGTTCGTGATCGACGATGGAGCAAGCGGTAGAAAATGAGTGGGAGTAGGCATCCGTATAGGACTGCAAAGAAGATTGAGGGCGCGAAGTCGTTAGATCGTACTGATCCGCCGCTGGGTGTGGGGAAGGCCATTTGTGTGTCTCAAGTGAGGTACGCACCCCTCGTGCGGTGTGGTGTTTATATAGCAGAGGATTAACTCTTTTACCGAAAGGAGTTAGCCGCAAAGATATAGAGTACTTGATTCCGCAGCCGCAGCCAAACGGGCCAACGCTGTGCGAGAGTTTGTCGAGAGCTGTTGAAACAGTGGAATGGTGGAAGGTTTGCGGAAGATGGGCTTATGCGACGGCGAAAAAATCAAATCTATTTAAGAGACATTTTGTCGAGGGTCGTACGTTCGACATCCTTCAACTAGATGTCAGAGGTATGTCAGAGGTTGACCTGGTGATACCTCTGCTGATGTGGTGGTGATGTGATGCTCTGAAGATCAATTTCATCCAGGGGCTCGAGGGATGGCTGGGCACTCAGATCATCCCCGGATGTGGCGGTGAAGCTGTATACCCTTCCTGCCAAGCAAAGTATACTTGGAGCGTCCCATACCCGCAAGTGAATAAAGCTGTAAACGATAGGAAGAGATATTTTCACGATCCATACATACTACAAACCCATCACATAAACCGTATGTCTTCTGGACTGCCACCGTCAGCCCCAAGCCTCAACGCGACGACCTGTGAGCTAAGACTAGAGTACCCATTTCCAATGAAAACCTCAGCGTTGCGCGCCAGCTCCACATCGACCGCCACGCTCCAATCTTTCTCCCCCCACGCCAGAGGGACCATACTTGAGTCCGTGACCGTCGTAATCGGCCCACCCGCCCAGCCTTTCACCTTAGCACGCGCCGCGTCCTTCAAAGTGCGCTCTAGTTTGTACTTTTGCATGTAAACAAGCGGATGATCCCATGCGCCGTCGTGTAGAATATGAAGAGTGCGCAGGTGTGGGCGCGATCGCGCGTAATCATCGATTATGTCGATAATACGGGATAGATCTGGGTAGCAGTGTTCCATTGTCGATGTCTCGTTCATAGAGTTGAGCTGAGGGGGATAGATCGACTCCGACAAAAGTGGAAGAGTCGCCCATGTCGTGAACCCGACATGGCGCTCTGCCAAAACGTGGCAGTGCCCCTCGAAATCACCCCGACGAAAATGTAAAGCGATATATGGATTCCCGGTTGGGTTCGCGCCGGAGCGCAAGTTGAGAGCGGAGGAAGCGCGCTGCGCTATGCCATTTATCTTGTCCGACCACGCGAAGGTTTCACGGAGGTATTTGTGGAAAGAGGGCCATATTGCGTGTATTGCAGACGAGGCGAGATAGCTCGGGTCATCAAGTTAAGCTCGTGCAAGAAGAGCATAATAGGTTAGAAAACTCACTTCCAGTTCAGAATCCAGTCGTCAACGACGATGCACCTCTCGGGGCCATTGAGCACGGATAAGGCATGGTCCCAAACATGATTGTATCCAATCCCCTGCGACAATGTGACGTGTTTCACGTCCTCGGGGCGACAGGCATGGTCGAAGAACGTAACGGTCAGAGATCCTTCGGTTGGACTACGCAGAAAGGCCGACAAGGGCACATATGACTGTTCTCCACGCGGCCGCCAAACCAGTGGCTGGTAGACGTAGATACGAGACGAAAGTAACGCTAGATGGTGGTACAACAGAATTTCTTGAGCCTGTACTTGTTGGGTGTGCTGGAGATCGTGAGGAGCATCAAGCCACGTACCTGGTTATTGAATCCTGCGCCCCGCAACTGCTTGAACAGCACATATTTCCCCGGCTTGCCTGCTTCATGGAACAACCTTTCGGAAGTGTCGAATTCGAATCTGTCAATAGAAGAGTAATGGGTGTATGGTGGCCTCGAGCTGAGGTAAATGTAAGAGATGACACCAGAAACGAGAAGCAAGAATGCAATGAGCACTCTAAATGAACGCCAGCGATGAAAAGAGTATCGCGACATTCAAGGATTCATGAAACATCGAGCTGCTGTGGCGTTGGTGAGGCTAGGGACTCGGCGCCACGTGGTTGCCAATAACAATGTAACAACAAGCGCCCATGAACGTTTATGATCACGAACTGCCATGTCGACCGCAAGCTCGAGTAAACGGCGAAGAAAGCCCAGGCGTCGATTCTCGTCGGTCACAAATGCTGATATCTGGCGGGATCCTTTGGCGCCGCTCCCCTCAGCACCAGTCCCGTCGGTCTTTCGTGGCAAGAGGAATTCTGTGAGCCCGTCAAAACCTCATAAAGACGCTGAACGCCCCTTGTATACTTCAACTGGAGTACCGGATCACTGGGATTCGGGAAGGGACCGACCTCTTCGATCGCGCTCTGTATCTCCTGGGGAGCGGCTGTTTCGCAGGAGGCCAGACGCGCCGCTAGCCTACGCCTCGTTACCACCGACGCCCATATCACCGTCCCCTCCTCAAGGACCCGGCTTTCGCAACTCACCTCCTCCTTCGCCGACTCTTCACCCGGAAACTCGTGAACTACCCTTTTCACTGTGGGACTACCTTCGTGAGGAGCTTCTGGCTACCGACTTCGACTCACACCAGGAGTTGAAGTGGGAGAGGGTCAGCAACTTCCTGAGCATTCCGTTAGCCATAGAGAAGGTAAGATGCCTTGCACCTGTTCTATTGCTTCTAATTATGAGTAGATAATAGGCTTTGGATTTATCCTGTGCTTGGACTCATTCCTCTACACATTTACTATCCTACCGATCCGCTTCTCCTTGGCTCTCTTCCGATCCACCGCCAATTTCTTCTCTTGCTCAGCAGCTCCGCTCCCACCGTCGCAGAAGGCTGATATACTTCAAGCACTCCTCTTAGCTGTCTCGGTAGCAATCCTCGTTCCTTTGACTGACGCGAGTAAAATATACCACTCCATACGTGGACAGGATACAATAAAACTATATGTCATATTCAACGCCCTCGAAGTATGGTTTAAATATCACCTATTTCTATTGCCATCTTCTCAATCCTAAGCATTAGATCGCAGACAGACTGTGCGCTTCAATAGGGCAGGATATCATAGATTGTCTATTCTCTCGGTCTACCCTTGAACCACTTTCAAGACGAAAGCCGTTGTCAGTCAGCATATTCAAACCTCTGCTGTTCTTTATCCTTGCAACCCTCTACGTAGGCGAGTAATGACATAACATAACCGTCCTCTTTAACTAAATGCCATGCAGTCGCCCACACTCTTGTTATGGTGTACCAGACAATCGCACTCAATGTCGCTGTAAACTCATACGACCACGCACTACTTACTCTCTTGGTTTCGAATCAGTTCGTCGAAATCAAAGGCAGTGTGTTCAAGAAGTTCGAGAAGGACAATCTGTTCCAGATTACTTGCGCGGGTCAGTCCCGTGCTCTCATCTCCCAGTATCGAAAGTTTAAATTCGTCCCTCAGATATCGTCGAGCGCTTCACTCTATGCCTCATGCTGATCATTGTCGGTTTCCGTAATCTCATTGAACTAAGTGGTTCCGAGTTCGACTTCAGTAGTGGTTTCGTATTACCAAGGAGCTTTGGTTGGTTCCGCGGCAATAATGTTCTATCGACGATATCATATGTACGTTGACCTCCTCGTCGAAGCTTCCCTTTTACTGACCCTTACCAGCCTATTTTATCCGTCATGGCGTCAGAAACAATAGTCGATTGGCTCAAACACGCCTTCATCACCAAGTTTAACCACATTCGGCCCTCGGTATATGAACGGTATACTGATGTCCTTTGCCGCGATTTGGCGAGCGCGAGCGCTGTTAGCCGACTTGGAGTCCGTAAAGTCAGTCAATTCTTCTATTTCTATTTGAGTGTCTTCTGTTTCTATTTCCACGTCACTCAAACTTGGAACTAGCATTCATACGTCGACCAATCGCCGCTAGTTGCGCGACGCCTTGGGTTCGCCTCCCTCCCGCTCGCTGTCCTCGCCATCCTCATCGGGACTCAATCCGTAACCCTTCTCGTCGCCCTACAAGTGGATTCTAATCCTGAATGGACCTCGTCCATTCTACCCAACGCTGATTGGGCGCATTACGTCAAGTGGGGAGCGCTGGCTGTTCTATTCTGGCTTTGGTATGTTCGTGATCTTGAGAGGAGACAGTTGTCCTTACACTTCTTTGGGTAGCTTTGTGGTCATCAAGTTAATCATGGGTGTTAATCTCGTCATCTACGCTATTAAGAGGCGAGCTGGTATGGATGCTCGAGAGGCTGAGGACACCGCGAACGACTTTGGACGTCCTCCTATTGGAGAGGGGAAGGAAGAACAGGTACGATCCTTTATTCGTTACGTACGTGACATACTGACGGTTATACTCATTTAGGCATATAATCGAGAGCTGAAAGGTTTGCTGAACAACAAACGCGATGATGCTACCCCTATCGCAGAAATCGGTGAAGGGGTTAGAAATCAAAACGGTGATGGGGGCGGAAAGGGCAAAGGTCGAGTAAAGCTGGAGGATCTCACGCGTTTCACGATGGTGAAGCGAATATGGTAGGAACATATTATTGCAGTACGAACCAAGCCTGTTGGATACTAAGTAACGACTAATGATACATATCGAGGAACGAAGTAAAAAAATACAAGGAGTGTGAAGGATTTCTATGACCAAAATGAAGCAGCAGATGAAGGAACGTAGAGTAAATAGCGCCGGATTGGCGTAATAGATATTCGAGACAAATGAGATTCGTGACATGTCGATAACAAATATCGTTCGCAGCTCAACTGAAACGAGACGCGTGGATGCTCTTGGAGCTGGCCCACATACCGTCGGCTTCCTGGACGTCCACTGGTACGCGTCCCTTTGGCATTGGTTTGCAAGCGGCCCGAGTTTCCTGTTCGCGAGGAGTGACAGGGGGTGACAAAGGAGTAGATCGCGGCGCCTTCGATGAGGCCTGTTCGTGAACAGCAGTATGAGCGGGTGCAGAAGATGGAGCAACACGTCGTCTGATCTTGAGAGGTGCGGGTGGCTCCAAAACCAACGGCAACCGAGATGTTGAACAGAGGGTCATGGTTGAGTGGCAAGCGCGAGCATTCCCGTAAATACCTCGAGAGGCGGGCGGGCGGGTGAAGGTTCTTTCGTTGTGCTTGACGGAGGTAGTCTGTACGGGACGTCTCTGAGTGATGGTGCTCGACGGCGGGATCCACGGTGCGTAGGGGTTGGGTGGCAAGAGATCATCGGGAGGAAGACCGCATAGCTTAGATAGTTCGTACTTGTCTTTAGGCATCGTGGCATCGGACGCCCAGCCCTTCCTAAGTACAGGAGTGGCTGGGGGGACAGGGAAGTCGTCCAAGATCTTCATGAGAGGCTTCTTCGGCCTCTTGACCTCCTTGGGCTCTGTGTCAATATCCATCGCTCCCGTAGGGCAGATGTCAAGAATAAACTCCGATTGGAGAATGAAGGGGATTTCGCCAATGGGCGAGTCGAGAAATTCGACACCAGGCTGCAGAAACTGTTTGCTATGAAGGATGGGTTTCAACGCGTTCTCTTTATCCAGCTCTCTGAGTGGCAGCGAACGCGAACGCCGGACTTGCTTCCGTCTGGCGAGTTCTTTCTCTTTCTGCGAATGCCTGAGTGTTGATCGTCATTAGTAAGAGAATATAATGAAGCGATAACGTTACACACTTTTTGAACAGTTTCTTTAGCTGATCCATGATGGACGGTGGGATCTGGTGGGGTGTGGAGGGGAGGAAATCATGAGAGGGCGTTAGACTTATACCTATGGGATGTGGCCAAGTCGTATGTGGCACCGGCCCACTACATGAGGCAAATGCCACAGAGTCCGGGCCACTTCATTGGGACAATGGCCGGTGGTATATACTCAGGGAGGCGTAAAGGAAGTAAGTGTGGCCAACGCATTCTCGGCTGGCGGATTTATTTGGGGGCCATCAAACTAGAAGGTCAATCACAACTTGGGCTCAATACCGTCCAACCTACGAACCGTGTAAGTCAATGATCAGACTCCTTAAGCAACGCTCTACGCACCATCTATATACAATGCGAGCGTCCTTGTCACGGAATCTCGGGTCTTCTGATGCTGCCGAATACACCCCCAAACCTGTAAGCCCAAGAACGACCTTCGCGTCAACTTGTCGTGCAGCGTCGATCGCTAGGCCGACGTCCTTCTTCATGAGTTGTATCTAACAGAACGTCTCATTCACTGATCACTGCTATTGGTTGGTAAACACACCTTGAACCCTCCCTCGTAACCCTTGCTTGATGGAGCTTCGGGACATACACCCGGTACAGGATTGTACACTGAATTGGCGTAACTCCCACCAGAACTCGTCTTCATGACGTTACTGAAAACCTTTGGATCTAAGCCAAGGCGTATAGCGAGGTTCATCCCCTCAGCAGTAGAAAGCGCGTTGAGTGACGAGATGTAGTTGTTGCTCAATTTAGCGGCTAAGCCGAGGCTCTGTCCCCCCATGGGGTGGATCGCACCTCCCATCAATGAGAGCAAGTCGCGGAGGGTTGGAAAGTTTGGGTCGTCTGCAGCGATGCCCACCATGAAAGTCAGCGTAGCCTTTGCTGCACCAAGTGTCCCGCCAGATACTGGCGCGTCGTAGAATCGCGTCGGATTGCGTACGTCTGACAATGCTTTGACGGCTTCGGCGACCTCGATGGAAGAGGCACGATCAATGGTTGAGCTACAGACCCAAATTTGTCAGGGTGACACTCGCAGAGTAGGAACGTAGATCGCACCAGTCTATCAGTAATTTCCCTGCTGTGTTCGCAGCCAGTATCCCCATTCCTGGTTTCAGGAAGACATCCTTTACGTGACGACCTGAATCGATACTTTCAGTCACTGAGAGTACCGTAGACGGCAAGACCGACCTTCCGGCACCATAGTGAACACACACGACTAATCACAGCATTAAGTAGGGTCAATACGAAAGTCGATGACCGTACGAACCGACTGTTCAGCGACATCCCTAGCCGTAGCTGCCTCCACCACTCTTCCGAATTCGCTAGACTGCCGTATGAACCGCTCGACAGCAGATCGGTCTACGTCGTTTACCAGAAGGATACTGTCTGTGGGAATCCTTTTTCGCAGGTTCATGGCCATAGGGTAGCCCATTGCTCCAAGGCCAATCCATCCGAAAGACTGTGGAAGGGTCATGATCGTGGTCCAAGTCACTCAAGAACTGTACTATAGCGATGCTTGCTTGCGAACGCGAAATCCTGTGGAGAAAGGGAAGCAACACCGCCGTTGATACTTTCGTGCATAGCGATAACCATGAATAGAGACAAGGTTCGGTGGGAGGTCATGGGCCCACTCCTTGGTGGGGGGATCCGTCCAGCTGACTTAACGCCCCACAGGTAAGGGAACGTCATTCGTGGATAAATGTGTATGGGATTCTGTGCACGGCTGTGAGAATCGCGGTGTAGGAGTTCACCGTGTTCCGCATCTAGTCTCGGACTTTCATAGACTTGAATACCAGGAGCAATCCCTTTCTCCTGATCCACCTGTTAGTATGTCATCTTCATCGCGACCCAATGAACAAGCCCACCAAGAAATATACGATGCCGGCATGGAATTTCGCCGCAAGGTGTTGGTAAACCTCGGGTCCCGTTTTTGATGCTAAGAGCACATTCTGACCGCGATATCAAAGGGGGAGGAATACGTGAACAACCAGCTGAAGCAGGCAAGCCATTCAACCCAAGACATCCAGATCTATGTAAAATTGACGGTGGCTCAAGGGCGTCTCTGAGTTCATGAAACCAATGCAACAAGTCTGTACTGCTCACATAGCATAATAGATTACTGACTGTTACTTTGCCTTCACAGCTAACTACAGAAGTATGATAAACTCACCTAGACAGGGCCAACGAACTCATTCAACGCTGAACAGGTTGCATGGGGTACCATTTGGACACGTCCAGGGTTGGAACTCAAGCAGAGAAGCCTTATTTGCATTGCGCTAGTTGCGTCCCAAGGCAAGGAAGCAGAGGTAAGAACTTCAGCTTTCGAAAGCCGTAGAACATAATATTCAGCGTATCCGGTTGCAAGCTTGGCGCACATATTCGGTTGGTCTCCAGAGCTTCATTTCAATGCTAGAGTGCTGACCACGCTGATAAAGAGGTGCGGTAAACAATGGGGCTACAGAGGTAGAGATTCGGGAAGCGCTGCTCCAGACAGCAGTGTATTGTGGCATTCCTACGGGGATGGTGAGCTTTCGCATCGCGGAGAGTGCCTTGAACAAGTTGAAGGAGGAAGGAAAGCTGCCAAAATGAGAAACCGAGTCGCGAAAGCCCTTGTAATAATCTGAATGTCTTTTACTGAGCAAACTTCACGTCAAAGGCGCGACATGAGAGTGGGGACCAAGAGAGTACGACGTTACGAACGGCCAAGTAGTTGTAACGCGCCGTGTGTGACATCAGTTCTGTCTTTCGAACACCTTCACGAATTCGATGCTAACTACCTTCAGGATGCGCTCAGCCCATGGCGTCTTCGCCGTCGCTCCCATCTCCGGTGCCTGTACAAATCCCTGTCTCTCGAATTCATGAACCGCCAAATATTTTCCTGGCGTCGAAGTGGACTCCGTCGTGTGGGCCCCGGAATACTCCTCCAGTTTGTACCTCCTCGAGCGGAGCCAGCCAGGCACCTTCGCTATCAACTCTATGTGTTCTTCGTCATAAAATTTCTCAAAGTCTTCATCGTGTCGTGCTGCTGGTGTATTGCTGGTGAGAAGGACGTATCTCCCAGGTAAGGATGTCGGATCGGCGGAGGGAGGTGTGAGCTCGTACGCAAGGGTGTACTTGCGCTGCTGGAAGGACGCTACGTGGCTAAGGATGTCGGCTTCCTTTGCCAATGCTTCGTTCCAAGACGAGTTCTGGGGAGCCTCGCAGAATACGGCTAGGGAGGGTTTCTGCCCGTTGCTCGCTTTGTAAAAATGGAAAGACGCCGCGTCGATTCCCATGAGTGTGTATTTTCCGTTAATCAACTCTGAAGGATATTTAGATCGACACGCAAGGGAGACTATACAAGTTCGGGCGACGAACCATGTAGCTCTGAATCCGGTGTGTCTCCTCGCCCGTCTAACAAAAGAACGATCATGCTTTTAGCTTCTGGCACGGCCATTTGGGATGTGGTGTTTTCGCTGGTCAGCCCATGACTGAACACCTGTATATCTAGGAAGGTAGCAACGCCGCCCTGATCGCTTCTTAGATTTGTATCAGTGGAGACGTTGGCTGCGGCACTTGGTAATCAACTCCTTTCTGACCAATGTCCTCCCCGGTGTGTGTAAGAACGCGCCATTTTTAAACATTTGTATCATGGGTCAGTATCAACTGAGAGCACTCCTAATTGAGCCTTTCGAACACTTTGTACAACTCGAACAATCTCGCATCCCTTCCAACGACAAGCTCATTCACGACTTTGTTCCTCCATGGTGTACTCGTTGCATGTTTCCATTCAGGCGTCTCCCTCGTCTCTTCGCTCTCGATTTCGTGGAGGGCAAGGTATGTCAGAGGCGCCAGAGCCTCCTCGGCGTCGGCCCTTCCCGCCACTTCCACTGCATCTATCAACTTGTACCTCCTGCTCCTAACCCACCCTGGAGACTTAGATAGGAGGGGTACGTGTTCCTCCTCGTACCAGTTGTTGAATTCTTCCTCCGACTCTGGCGCTGGTTGGATCATGACGATAAATAGATATTTGCCGGGCCGGACGTCGGCATCGTCGGCGGGATACGATGAAATGTGTGAGTAGACTCGACGATTCAGCATAGCGAGATTAGCAATGATCGTGCGTTCGTTGTCGGAAGCAGCAGCGAAGAGCCCGGTATACGCTGGTGTCTGAAGGACATCAGGCGAGGATAGGTCGTACATCGCGAGCCAAGATGGCTTTCTTCCATCCACTTGTTTGTATCGTATCAATGTCTGGAAGCCGGGAACAACGGCGCGGGCTGGGACATGCTCCCCGTCGTACCAATCTGCCAAACATCAGATCAATATGGGGCAAGTATAGCATTGAGATAGAGGCTAACCGTTGAAATCCTTCTCCGTTACGTGTTCTCCGCATTCCCCATAGACGAAGAGTAGACCGGGGACGGCTTTAGTGCTATCGGACATTGAGCGTGTAGGGAAGAAGAACCAGTGTTGCCTTCCCTCTCCAATCGCACACTCTTATAACACTCGTGAGTAAGTCAGCGGCCGTCCGTCGCACAGAAGTCATGCGCCACTGGCAGCGCGTACTTCGCGATCGGACATGCCACTTCCAGCGGTGTAGGATTGTGAGTGATCATTTCGTTCGTATTTTCTGAACGCTTGCAACTGGTACATCAGGGACACACGCTGCGTGTATTCGACGTCCCCATCCACTCATTCCAGTTCCCATGCTCTGTATAGTTCGAAAAGCCGTATCTCCCTTCGAAGGACCAACTCGTTCACAACCTTATTTCTCCACGGAGTACCCGCATGAATCCATTCCGGGGTATCCATCACTTCCTTGTTCTGTAGTTCGTGCAAAGCCAGATATTTCAATTTCGAGCCGGCGTCCTCTTTGCCCGGCAATTGGATTTCTCGGACAAGCTTGAATCTCCTGCTCCTGATCCACCCAGGGGCTTTCGATAGGAGCGATATGTGTTCTTCCTCGTACCACTTATTGAATTCATCCTCTCCTTCGACGGAAGGCTCCATCATAGCGATGCATATAAATTTGCCTGGGGTAGCCTTGGGAGAAGTGGCGGAAGCGGAAATGAGCGAATATATGGCACCGTTTAAGGTGGCCAGGTTCGATATGATGCGCTTCTCGTTGTCCGAGGATGGGAGTTTGGTGTACGGTTCGGTCGTGGCGACCTCAGGGGAAGACATGTCGTACAGCGCCAGCCAATTTGGCTTCTGCCCGTCTACTTGCTTGTATCTGCTGATGGTGCCCATGCCAGGGACAGCAGCTCGCACTGGGATGTGTTCGCCGTCGTATCAATCTATCGAAGTGTCAAAATCTATGCAGGTTTGATATCAGAAACTACGCGTATGCGTACCATGGAACTCCGCCTCATTGACCAGCTCCCCGTGGTCTGTATAAGCAAAGAGTAGGCCTTTGTTGTCTGCCATTCAGTTGAACTTGAAGAAGGTAGGGAATCGATGGTGCTTTATAATACAAACCATTATCTTCCACGAGTGTGAGATGGCGCAGGGCGGACCAGCGTACGTGACCCCACAAGTGTGATATTGTTCCAATAAAAGTCCGATTCATTAGTAAGTACAAGATACATTAGACATATGAGGAGCGTAAGGCCTGATGGAAAGTACACGGGTTTGGGGCATCTTGATAAGGAGAAACGAGGCTTAGGCGCGCTGCAAGCAGATCCAGGCACTATATCCAGCCAGGCGGATTTGGATGATACTTCTGGGTGTTGACGACCTTTCGCGATTCTTTGAATAGTCTATCAAACGAGGCCGCCTCATCAGTGCTTGATGGAACCTTGGGCATTCGAACGTGAGGTTCGGCATCGGTGGGTAACTTTGGGAGGGGCTTGTTCCTTCCGTCGCGATAGGCCTGGGATTTGGATGCGTAGGTACCAGTTTCGCCTCTTCGGGATTTCTGGGTTGGTTGCCTGTCGACATGGTGAACCTCGGGTTGGCGCGATGCGGGTCCGCGTCGCATTCGTGCACTCGAGTTCAAGTCCATGGTGGAATAGCTTCCACGAAGTTTAGGCCTGGGGACCGACTCGGTTGGCGTACGCTCAACAGGACCGTAAGCTCTGTCGTACCGCGCCCGAAGATCGGCCTTCAGCTTCTTCCCAAAAATTGAGTCGTCCGTTTCATCAGGATTGACGAGGCTCATAGTATCACCACTGGCGAGCATGTGGTCCATATCGTCTGGAGAAGCTCGGTTGACTTGGGATACAGCAGGCTTCGAGTGGGAAGGAGCCGGAGGAAACGCTGCTTCGATAGCGCGTCTGATTTCAATCCGTTGCGGAGTGTCTGGTTGTCCCTGTTTTCTATACCACCATTCCCTAGCCTTTTGGGCATCGGTAAGCTGCGAGATATCGAGAACAGAGACGCCTCTGTAGTTGTTCGGAAGGTCCCTGTCGGTCGGTGGGATGTGCCTGATCTTCGATGCCTCCAAGGGTTTCTTGCCGCGATAAACGGCCTTAGGGTCGTCTTCGTAGTAGTAGCCTCCAAGTGGCATTGACTGAGATCGTCTAATATTCCTGCGCCTCGCCTTGGCTTTGTCTGCTGTCGAGTTCCTATACAGATTCACCGTCATTCATTCAGTACACGATAAATGCACACTTAATTGGAATTAGACGTACTTCTTGAATATTTTTTTGAAACGATCCATTTCAAAGGCTAGGAAAACGGATATCGATAGTCAAATGAACAGAAAGGTATGCAGGAAGTGGCAATGGCCTTTCGCGGCCTACTTATAAAGTGCTGTGGCAATATGGGTGGCACATAAGGTTTCAAACCAGACAATGGCTAGAACACATGGTCGAGCCACAAAGCCACTTATTTTTCTGTTTCGTTGACGAGTCACTTTGTAGATGTCCATCAACTTGCACGCCACGAGTCACCGCTGGTGAGTTGTGGGCAAGGATATAGCCATTGCAGTTTCCATGAAGTCCTACTTCTGCCTTGTAGAGCTGGTGGTCGTGAGGAAGTCGTGAGTCGTGTTCAAGTTGTTTGGCCAAGCTGAAGTTTGAAGAGTAATTCATCTTGGGAAGTTTAAGTTAGCCGGGGCCAGCGCCTGTCGGAGAACTTGCCCCAGCACTCATGAGTCATTCTCGTATTTCTAATGTACAAAGTGTAGTTTCAATCGTGATTCCGACATGGTAGTACAGGATGAGGCAGTAAATATCTCTCAAATTACAATTGCCTTTGCAAGTTGTTCGGGTGCAAGGACGTCGTATGGTGTGTTCTGGTCATCCAACTGAGAGCTATTTGCCAAAAATACCGCGGCGAGTTTCTTCAAATCGGCAGCCAGCTGCCTACCAGCGCTCGCGATGATAGGATCCTTATCCGTTGATGCGTTAGCGGCATAAGTCACAATGTTTTCGTCCTCCTGGACTTGCATGGAAAGCAGATATGGGATCTGCGCCATGAGTAGCCATTGACGTTTGGCATTGAGAGGGAGAGCTGCCATCAAGTCGCTTTCCGTGTACTTCTGAAGTTGGGCAATCGACTTCGGGAGTGGCGAGAATAGTGCTGATGGCTTGTTGGGTACGAAGGTCTGATAGTATTGTTGAAGGTAGTTGACGGCGGTGTGCTGAGGCGCCGCGATGTGGATGCACATTGTGACCATGTCGACTAGGTCGTCCACCGTCGTGATTGATTCGGGGAAATTTGTCATCCCGGCACCCATCCCAGACCGCATCTCATCACACCAGGCCTGAATTTGGGTATCCGCAGCCACCGAGGCATCGTCCGGGTAATACTGCGCGTCCTGCAAAACGGACGACACAAACTTCTTCAGCGTCGTCCACATGTCGTTGATGTCCCTAGCATAGGCATAATTGTGGAACTTCGGGCTGTTAAGTTGGTCTATTGGGAAACCGCGGGATTCTAGGTCCGCCGGGACATAGAGGCTCTTCCAGTCAAAGTTGGTAAATGACCCACGGATGAATTGGAAAATGTGAGGTGCGCTGAAGCCAGCTATGGGGACGATGACCTCGGGAATGAGGACGCTGCGCGCAAGTGCATTGAGGGATAGCGTAACAACCCAGTGTGGTTCTAAGAGCCTGAAGACGATGTGTGAAGGGGAAAGTTTGCGCTGTGCCGCCACGATGACCGCTTCTTCTACAAGATGCGTATTGTTAAGATGGATAATCATCTCGTGGAGGGCCCAATCCGAAGAAAGGACGCATGTCTTGGCATAGCGCCATGGCCAATCGTTAGCCTGATTCACAGTCATGTCCAACGGATCAGTGCGTTTGTTGAAAATGGTGACTGAGGCGGCCATGCTGCCTTTGTAGTCGGGGATGATGGCCAAAGGGTGGAGCTTCCCCGCCGATGTAAGGTAGAACAACGCGACCGCTGCGCAACCATATCGCATAGCACCATCTGAGTCGTTGAACAACTCCTCATCAGGCTTCGCTCCCATACGCGCTCGGAAGTCGCTGAAGTCCTGGACGTAGAATGAGTTTGGAGGAGCTGATCCGAACAGAGCAAGCATCTTGGCGTTGTTCTGAGCTTTTGCCTCGTCGGTAAATGCCGACACCCACGTATCGTTCGCGAGAGTGATGGTCGTTGGATTCGGGCCAGTAAAGAATTGCTGGGCAAAAACCTCGTCGGTAAACCAATCATTCCTCAACCCAATGTTCGGTGCGTTGAACATGTCCTTGACGATCCAACCCTGGTCTCTATGCCTCTCTTGATTCCACTCAGTTAACTTCTGCATCGTGTTTTGCTCGGGGCCTGGGGCAAGCTCGGTGTGGTCATCGTACCAAAGGCTGCTCATAATCAACAGCGTTTGTGCCAGGCGCACCGGGCTGAAGATTGAGGGGGCAGATACAGCTTGGTCAGAGGGAACGATGGCGAGATGGGGAGGGAATTCGTCGGAGAGTTCCCAAGTGTATTTGTCGGTCTTTTGTTGGAGGCTGAAGGTTTGGGGAACAGATGACTCATAGTCTGCAATGTCATAGAGCCATGCAACCCTAAGCAAGCAACGCGATACTCAGTTAAAGTATTCGGACGGGCAAGTCTATGCAACGTACATTCGTCTCGCCTTGTCGTAGCCTTCAGCAGCATTCTTGAGGGCAACGTTGTAGCCAGTCGGCTTTGGTCGTTGGACCATGTACGGCAGGTGTACATTGTGCAAAGCCTTGCGTGACGATAAAGATACGTTGTGGACCATTGTGCTTGTGCTGACGATGTCAAGATGCGGTGGGGAGTTTCTTGTCGTGTTCATTGCTGTAGGGAGTCAATTTATAGGACGCCACGGTGAACCCCTACGGACGACTGCGAGAGTTCCTGAGACATCCCTGCAGCAGTATGGAGTTTGCACCCCAGAAGAGCAAGCGGCCGGTGTGCACCACCGACCGTCACCAATCCAATGTTGCTATCTAGCGTAATCATCCTGTCTTCCATTCACCAATGTGTCGTTGGTTCCTTGGAATTCGATACCGGTGCCCATTAAACACGCCAAGGCAGTGCACAGATGACCTTGATACAGCAATGACTATACATTTTGAGCGGACGTAGTGTGCTCGATCTCGATCGCAAAAGGAATCGACGATATACTGATCGACGGTATGATCAATCGTTCGTGTATGATTCGTCGGCGAAGAAATCGATAAAGGGGCCCTATTGTGGTGGAGTAAGGACGCTGCAATGCCTGCTAGTGTCAGGACGTTATCTGCGGATTGCCGAATGTCAAGGGGGAGTTAGTTTGCCGATGAAGCGTGGAACCGAACGCAGGTAGGTGGTAGAATGCTCCAGTCGAACAGTGATGACACCAAAACAGGATCTCGACTATGCAGGTATGAGTTCGAGTGGAGAAGTAACGTATGAGCGGTAGGGAACCGAACAATCGCAAAGCGAAATCAACGGGCGGCTGCATGGTCTGGAAAGAACCAGCGGTGATGATAAACATCGTTTCGAGACTGTCTTCGGTGGAGACTCTTACCGACAGGAGATGAAGTAATGCTGTGCTGCTGTAAATCGATGACTTCACTAGAAATAGAAACTCTTCTCGAGGAAAATAGGGTATTTGCTCAATGTCTGGGCTACGGCGGACGTAAATTCTTTCTGTCTCCTCGTCCGATCAGCATGGACCTATTCATTTACTGAATGTTAGCATATGCCATCTCTAAGACGGAGCAACTATTGAATGCTCTTTTGATGAGGACCACTCTTGGACCGAAGCTGCGAACCAACATTGAACTAGCTAGGTATACAATATGACAAATGAGTAGAGATTAATGTAGGGACAAACCACCCCACCTGGGACGACGGTTGCCATTCAGTTCAAAGCTTTCACTCTCTGCCTGACATCCTTGGCCTTTGAGCTACCGCGGCCTTTCATCTTCCCGAAGATAACGACCTTCCCTCGCTCGCCTGCTCGGCCTGAGCGTCCAGCCCTGTGCAAGAAGTCTACCATGTTCCTCGGTTCATCAACAATGAAGATATGTCGTATATCGGGAGAGAAATCGAGGCCCCGCGATAGAAGAGAGGTCGTAATCATGACATGTGGTATTTGAGCTGGATCCGAAGAGACAAGGGCAGTATCTTTAGAAGAGTCCTGGCGTTCCTTGCTTGCGGGGACCCTGAGGAAGCCATCGAGATGATGATTAGAGCCCTTCTTCCTCTCTGAGCCTTGGCTTGTAAGCGCGACAGTCTTGATGCCTTTGGACAAAAGATATTCGCTTAGGGCATCTACTTTCGTATTTTGGTTACAGAAGACCAGGATCTTGGACAATGTTCGACCGTGTTCGCCTAATGGGTTTGAACGCTTGCCACCGATGCCTCCAGTTGTAGCATCTTCAGCCCAGACGCGGCGTATACGATGCTCGATATCGGCATACTTATTTCCGCCTGTCCAGGCGCTGAACTCGGTTTGAAGCGTCTTGGGAAGATGGTGAACACCAGGGGAAACCAACCGCACGAGCTTGGGGAGGTGTGTGTCGAGATATGTGGCAAGGGCAGAGGGGATGGTTGCACTGGTCAGCACGAGGTTGAAAGGATACTCAACAGCGGGGACTGATCCATTGGAGTCTTCGTCTGCAGGGGTGATAGGACGTCCACGGGCAGCGGAAATATCTGACAGAATCTTCAGAGTCGTTTCTTGGAAATCAGGATCTAGATACGTATATAAATTAGTCAAGGGAGAGTGACAGCTATACGCAGAGGAACTCACCCATGAGAACATCCGCTTCGTCAATAACGACCCATTCAACGTTGGCCAGTCCCATCTCCGGTGCACCTCGACCATATCTCTCTACGCCTCTGGGCAAAGGCTTCTCATGCTCACTCTCCCATAGTTCACTCTCCTCTTCTTCCTCCTCGGCCTGCTCCTCCCGATCCCATCCCCTACCTCTCACCATGTCCAAGATTTTGTTGGGCGTCCCCACAACCATATCCACTGGCCAACTCTTCTTCGGTTCTTGCACTTGGACTTCAGAAGATGGTGTATCCGATGCTTCAACGGCCCCCTCGCGCTTGGCCGTCATCTTGCTGGCCGTGGTGCTGGTGGGTCGACCGTTTTTGGTATTAGCACGACTAGCACATAGGATACGCAATTTGACATCATGTATCAGAGCCTTTGCGAACGTAGATAACTGCCGCGAGAGTTCATGGGTTGGGGCCAGGACCAGAGCTCGGGGATTTAATGGTAATTCCTCCTCACCAGATTGAACGGAACGCGATTGCGCCTCGGACATCTTTAGTGCTTGAAGCACCGGAAGGAGGTAGGCGATGGATTTGCCGGAACCAGTTTCGGATGCCAGGAGGAATTGCTTATAGCTGGAGGTAGTAGTGGGAGACGATGTCTGCTGTGCTGAATCCTCAAGTAACCACTTCAAGCTCAGAGACTGGATGGGAGTAGGTCGCGCATTGGCCCCGATCGCGCCCTCCAAGCAGGAGAGAATTCCAGGCATCAGTGGGGGCGATGTAAATTCTGTTGGCAAATCCTTCTGCAGTGGATCAGCCTTCACCCTTTGCGACGAGGCTTCTTCCTTGTGATCAGTCCTAGGAACCGTTCAGACAGCACGACGGAGTAATCAGCTAAAAACGCACCTTGTCCTCCGTTGTTCTAAGTCAACATCCCAATTAAACCCATATTTATCTCGCGGCTTCGGGATGGGTTCTCTCGTACGCGGACGCGACTGACGATTCGTATCCCTCTCCCCCTCCTTCGGTATCACGCGCCCTACATGAGGTAGCGAGTCGCGTTCGAATCGACGTGGGCCCGGTGCTTCCGGTTTGGCCTGGTGCCGTTCTTGGTATCGGTCTTTTGCTGCTTGTTGTGTGGGTTCACGCGAATCAGGTCGGTAGTCCTTCGTAAGCCGCGGTCGCGACGGACGGGATGCCTCAGACTTGTATGGTGGTCGGCCTTGGTCTCGGTCTCGGTCCCTCGCAACTTGGTAAACACCAGCTTTCGAATTCGGTCGCAGGTCCTTCGTAAGACGCGTTCTCGATGACCCTATGCAAACTCAGGCATCAGCATTCGCCATGCACAAGTCCCCAGTAGCAGGTATATACATAATCATACAACACAAGGAAACGGAATGAAAAATAAGATAAATGACTCACCCCGAGAGGATCCTCCAGAAGGTCTCTGGACGGATCGTTGCGCTCCTGCACACGCAGCGGAATGGAAGGAGGATAGCAGGAGATTCCGACAACGGGGTGGAGAAACGAGCGAAAGCGTAGCCATCAATTCCAACGCACAGAAAGAGGTCGGAGGACAGTGACGGAGTCGGACTTGTCACTTGTCGCGTCGGTCGCGAGCAAGAAGTTTTGGCGTCTTTAGCGCCCACACTTTTTGAGAGTTGCGGTTACACTCAGGTGAATGCAGACAGATATGTGGAAGTTGGATGAGCATCGACTTCCGAATTCCGTCTTTGCTGTAAACTACTAACTACTGATACCAAAGGAGTGTATGTACACGCATACTGTTACAAGGTATACTAGCAAAAGTCCAAAGCCAGGTCTGTAGTCCTAGGTCCACCGAAACAACAAACATTAAGCACATATATACATATGTAGTAAAGGTAAGGGGGTATCATAAGATGTGCGGCGTGGTACACACAAAGTTCGAACGAATAGTAAGAGTAAGTAGTCCGTAGAAGCAGACGTAGAAAGAATAACGCGTAAATGTAGGCGGGAATAAGGGTCGGACGTGAGGGCATGAGTTGAGGCAAAGTCTGTAGAAGAATGCACGAGGGCGGATGACAGCGAAGCAGGTCCCGGGGTCATAACGAGAAACACGCAAAAATGCAATGTCACGGTGATCCATCCAAGAGAGCGAAGAGCGAGTCCTACCACGAACCCGACAGAGAAACAGCACCCAACAATGCCACCCACACCCACCCCTTCCAATCCCACCCTCTCCCCACCGCCCCATTCCCATTATGGCTCTCCGAGGCCCCCTCGTCACCCTCCGCCAAAATCGCGGACTCGGGCAGATCCCCGATCGCCCTGGTCTCCTGCTCCCCAAGCTGCCCATTGCCTAGCATGACCATGAGTCCGACGGACGGCACGCCCTTGACGACGACGTGCAGCATCGCGGGGCCAGGAGCGAAGATGGCTGGATTAGGTGGGAGTTGGCTGACGTGCAGAACCGCAGACCCGTTGGGATATCCGGTATACGTCGACTCAAGCTGTAGATAGCGTTGACCCATGTTCTACCAATTGAGAAAGCGTCAGCCATTCATTCCCCTCTCCGTATATATACTGATACTCACCATCGCATGTGTAGAGAACCCAGTCCGGACCAAAGCGACAGTTGCGTTCTTCACGTTTCCGACGTCCCCAAACAAATCATCCGCGGAAAGGTGCACATTGAACGACTCGCCCCCGTATCCAATCTGCTTGAGCAGCCCGACCGGCTGAGGGCGGCGCTCGTTGTAATACAGCGGGTAGAACCTCTCCGTGCGGTATTCTGTCGGGTACTTGATTCCCTTGCCTACGTTGACGTCGCTGTTGGGGTTCGAACCAGACACAAAGACGGAACCATCGGGGAGAAGAACAGCAGAAGAGTGGTACAACCTCGGAACATTACTCGAACCAAGCCCGTCCCTGTTCCACCGTTGTCCCGCAGGGGCATTAGGATCGTAGATCGTCGGCGTAAACACCGGGTTGTCGGCATAAGATTGCCCTATAGCGAATGACTGATTACCATAGCCCGCCGTTCCGGTCCTTGCGCCGTTAATGCATAGCACTTGTCCGGTGGGAAGGAAGATCAGGTTCGCCATTGAACGGCCTTCCGGTAGGGGATCATCCTTGATGTACCGCTTCGATACGTCGGGTGAGATGGAGACACACGACGTCGAGGCTTTGAACTCAGGAATATTCCAATTCGCGACCCATCTACGAGTCGAAAAAAAAGCGTCAGCACACACTCCCATCAAGAACGGTTGAAAAAAGACTTACTGCTCAGGCTGCAGATTACTCCCTCCACAAAACAGAATCGTCGCCGTCCAATTATTCGCTGGCGTGAGTGGCAGCATAATCGTCCCAGCGCTTGCAGGGTATGTGCGGACGGCATCAGGGATATCCGGCAGCGCATACTCACGATTTTTCTTGTAATCCAGCAGCACGGTGGCCCAATTCGACTGGATGAGCAGGCGGCCGGAGGGGAGGAGCCATGTCAGTGGGTAGAGGTTCGCGGGGAGGGTGTTGACGAGGATGGGCGAGGTGATGGGTCTTCCTCGCGAAGGGAAGAACTCGTAGGTGGGATTTGTTTGACGCGCGTCATTCACGTATCCACCATCGTTGCAGCCGCCCAGCTGAGTGAAAAGACAAAGTCGGTACTGTGAACAACGGCGACTAAAAAGAGAAACTCACGATGATTATGTGGCCATCTTCAAGAGTTTCGCTGCATATACGGTCGGTATAATAGATTAGCCGGAGAAGATAGTGTACTTACACCGTAGGATACCACCGATTAGTCGTCAAATCTCGTGCCAGAGTCCAATCACAATTTCCGTCATCGCAGGGTGTTAAGAGGCTGCAAGAGTACGCATCCGCGAAAGTCAAACAGACTGATCACGTCAAGGCAGATTAAAATACATACCGGATTCTATACGTAACAGACACGGTGGCGATGAAATCACGGAATCGAAGGGAATCAACCAGTACGTTAGGACTGACGGAGAGAAGAGGAGGTAAGGGGAGGTAAGGGGGGACTTACGATCGTCTGCCATCGGGATCATCGTAGGCACCCCCGCCGTGCTGGCTTTCGGCAGGCTCTCCGCCATACGTGACTGCTTGGTTGCCGCCAATGTTCAGCCATGTGCCATTGCCGAGCACGTTCCCGCCCTACAAACCAAAACAATAGCACAGCACGGCACAAACCCCGCACGTAAGTCAAGCGGTGCCGATGGAGATGGAGATGAACGCATACATACCGCACAAAACGCGTTGGTCAAGCCGTCCATGGGCCGCTGGGTGTTCGGACCGGTCGCCCATTCTAAGTTGCATTGTAGCATACATGTTGGTTATTTGGCACCATTGTCAGAGGGCGGGAGTTGACTGACCAGATGCCCACGCGGGATGGCCATTGATCTGAGCGGGGTTGTTCTCGACTTTATCTACGAAGAAGACCTTATCCTCTGTCCCAAGGAATATCTGAACATCACAAACATACTTTGAGTGTCACACTGGCTCAGAACTCGAGGATCTACACACCTGTTGCGCGCTCACGAGACTGCTCCCAATCAGCTCAAACTGCCCCGGTGTGCCCGATTTCGCCGGTTGGCCTGGTGGCGGGAACGTTTCGGTCGATTGTCCAAACGCGCACGCCAAGAGTGCGAATGTAAAGATTAGAGTGCACCATATTCTTCTTGGTGCCAGGGTATTTGCATTAGAGTAGGAGGTAGAAGGAGGAGAAAAAGATCGCGTCATGGGCGGGGTCCTCGCTGGGCACAAGCTTGCGTGTATTTGTGCGAAAAGGCCAGGCGACGAGCAGCAGGCGTGCTCTTACGGCAATCGACAACGATCCGGAGTCAAAAGAATGGATAGCGCGTGTATGTAAACGCTCTGTTGGAGTTAGAGTAAAAGACGAAAGGAAAGAAAGAGTCAGAGTAGCACACCGCCAGCCTAATATAGAACTCACCAAAGAAAAGACAGAAACACACTGCGGGGAATACCTGCCGTGAGTCTGGTCTCTAAGGCCCCTCCGCTAGCGATTGCTGGGGTAATTTTTATCAGCTACGTCAATATCAATTTGTTGTAGAACGCCACTAACAAATTGGAGGGCCGCGAGCGTCGAAATTCGATGAATTGGCTGTGCCCTGAGCTGTTGTGATGTAAAGAGGAATGTTGGGCAAGCCGCGAGACATACAGCTACTTGTACAGCAGCAGAAGCGATTGAAACGATGAAAGATCCCGGAAATGATGGCTGTATTCTCCCCATGGGGTCTGGGGAGCTAGTCCGGACTCAACAGAATATAACCAGTAATCGTTGTGCACGAAGCAAGCACGATGCACGGGATCCGAGAACTTGTTGCCGTCTTCGGCGATGGCAGCTTCGAGAATCGAGATGTCTGGCGGTGAGGGAGATCATTGGTTCAGCTGTGGCAGTGGCATGAGGCACAGAACGCCCATCAGCCAATCGCAGCGGGGCGCTCACCCGAAGTAAACGGACGTCGGGCGGCTATCTCGCCCCCGGCGCCGGTGTTCCGTCAATTTGCCGCAAAATCCTGATGCCTTCCTGACGTTCCGACGGTTCGTTGTCAACGTCGTCGCGTCGCCGTGAAACTCACAAGACGGCCTGAGAAGACTTCATTCACCGGAAAATCGGCAGGCATACTTGACTGCTAAAACTCTTTGAAGCTCAACTGCGGGTTTTCTTCGTATCTGGAGAGTTCCCATGCTCCGCCACATCTCAGCATATTCGACATACAACACTGGATCATCGCTAGAATCGTGTTTGGCAGAACTCTCAAACCGAGATTGGGTACATTCTACGCGTTTTGGACTTTGACACTCTCTGCTTGTCCCTAATTGACATTTGCATCGTCGGTTCTCAGTAACTTGCCGTCTCGCATGCGCCGTCCATCGTCTTCTCGGCAGGCGGATCACAGTGTCTCTGCGTTCGTTCAAGGGAGTCTTACGCTACCAACGGCTACTCGGCTACAATGCACATATGGGACATCCCAAAACTTTGGTCCTATATTAGACGACAAAGCTATTCCGCCCAAGGGGAAGAGGGTGTAACTCACCGGGGACATGGCCCCGCCTATCCAAAACATCACGCGTTGGCCGGCGACGCTGATATCAGCCCGGCCAGGAGAGCTTGACGGTCGGGTTGCATCACGCACAGACGCTTGCATCCGACTCCAACGAATCCTACTGGACCAGGCGCTTTACGTCAAGGCAATGTCAACGGCTACTCTATACCCGGGTACCACAGGCCACTGGCGAGCGCTGGGTAGAATCAAACAACGACGGGAACCATTCTGGCAACAACCCCGTCGACTGGCATTGCCCTCCCGAACCTTGCCGCCTGGATCTATACCACCAACGTGCCGCGCCGCAATTGCCGGTTACACTCGATAACAGGTCTGTGACAACACCGCGCTCGTAGGTCCCTAGAATCTGGCTCTCAACCACGCCGGGGGTCTCTGGCCATGCCGATGCGATGAACAACAGGCTGTCTAAGGGCGACTGGGGCCGGCTGCTAGATAGTCTTCGGCATCATAGCTCCGACCTAGCGATGAGGCGATGAACTGAGGACGAGAAGAAAGAAGTTGTATCGTGATGGCAAAGCACGGCGGGTTTATATATTGGGATTCTCCAATCCACTCAGAAATCCAGCACAGCCACCATTGTCAGTCACGTGGGCGCGTCTCATTACGGTCGCGACGCGACGCGTTCTTCCGCCGTGGTAGTGGGGCGTCGCAACCCTCGCAACCTTGGAAGTCGACTGATTTTCTTCCAACTTCCACACGACCTTGATTTTTAGGGTGATAAACAAGGGTACTCTTCGCATCGTAGTGAGACTAAACCCTGTACCACCTCTCGATACCACAAGCTCAAGTCTCGACCCTAGTCACCGGAACAAACGATCCTCGCCTGCCCGCCTACACGACCCCTCGACTCCCCTGCTATTACAACCGTCCCCTGTTTTAGGCCGCATTTCTGTCATCGTAACTTCGTCTACTCGGTATTTTGCGAAACATGCCTAGCCTAGGAGCGCATGATAATCTGACAATCAAGGAAGCGAACTGAAGCCAGTACTTTCTGAGGAGAGATCTGACAGCGAGCCGACCAGTGAATATTAATGACCAACGGGACCGAAACGCGACCGAAGTCGAGGAGATTAGCAGGCTCGATCAAAGCTCGATACGAGATATCAACCGACACGGGGTTCAAGCGGCGCTACGTAGCCAAAGGTGACCAATGACGAAGCGGCGGTCTGGCAAAAACGCAAATCTCCAGGGTTGGATCATGATTGCATGTTACAAGATGTTACACTGTTTCGGTGTTGAAAATTTTCAGAGGGACAGTCGAGATTTGGTCGAGGGTGCAGGACGGGTGTAGGACGGCTTACACGTAATCATCATATTTATAGGCACTCATACGAAGAGCTCATGAAGCCACGAACTCCCACACCTTCACGATGTCTACTCATACGCAAGGCAGTGCTAAACACGATGATCGCGACGTTGACTGCATTCGGAAACTACCTGCGCTGCCAGTCTTCAGATCATCGACGCAGCACCTTCCTCCGGGGGAGCAAGCAGCCGTATCTATGTTGCGAGCGAAGTACATAACGCACGCGTATGGTACGCCGTTCTCCACTGGTTTCTCAGTTACATCTTAATGACATCGGATGTCTGATTAGGTCTGGCGGAAGACGACATCAAGCTTTGCACGCCCAAGTTTTGGAGCGTCCACGTCGACCCCATCACCTGTCTTGACGGCGCCGCAACCACTCTGATGACCATTCAACTCAATCTCGCCGCTGGGACCATAGCGCGGTACGTCGACGAGCAACCCCACCATCGCCATCTGCTTCAAAGCATGCTTCGGTTCGACGTTTCGTGAGTTCCGCATATACTGTAATGCGCAATGACCATAACGTTTGAATGTTGACCGGGTGTGTAGCGGTCAATTCTGTTTGACAGAGCTCGACCACGGCCTCGACGCCCTGAATATCGAAACTACGGCTACCATGCTTCCCGAAGGAGGCTTCGAGTTATGCACACCCCATCCTGGTGCAGCTAAGTGAGTGTCCGTGTACACGCTTCCATTGATCATCTAATTTGTATCATCTGTTGTGTTCAAGATTCATGCCGCCTACGTACCCTTGCGGAATACCTTGCTTTGCTGTCGTATTCGCGCGGTTGATGTCTCTCGAGGGAGAGTTTTGCGGCATCAAGCCGTTTGTCGTCCAGCTCTCCGACGGGACGTCTATGATGCCTGGCATAACATGTAGGCAAGTCACTATGCCTTCGTCGTCGTCCCACTCGTAGTTCTCACTTCATGATGGTGGCAGGTTATTGCCCCCACGGCGAAGCGCCTCCCATATCCGGCATTCCTTGACCTATTTCGACGGTATGCATTTACCCGACAACGCCATTCTTGGAAGTACCGACCCGTCATATAACCATCGCCTCGAATTCCTCCAATCGATCTGGAGAGTCGCCGCAGGATCACTCGGACTCGGCTCCATCGCCATCCCTGCCTTGCAGATTGCCGCCTTCATCGCAGGTCGATACAGCCAACGTCGCACCGTCCACAGCACCACCCATCGTAGCTTCGATGGCCTCACCACGCGCGTGCCGATAATCTCTTTCAAAACGCAGCAAGCGCCGATACTCATCGCGTTATGTCAGTCGTTCGTGTTGAAGGAGTTTTGGAACGTCGCCACGGCGCTGTTTAGCGATGAGAGTGAGGACCCGAGGGTGCGCCATGGAGTGGCGGCGGCGTTCAAGGCGATTGCCGTCCAGCATTCGCAAGCGGCGCACCTAGCGCTGTCAGAGCGATGTGGTGCTCAAGGGTTGTTTGACTACAACCAGATATGTACGCAACATGTACGGTTGTTCCCCTTTCCGTCCTGTGACCATTCTAAAATAAGTTTGCATTAGGCGGAGATGAGGGGTATTGCTATAGCTGAGGGTGACATATTGGGACTGTCTATCCGTGAGTGCTGCGGCCCTTGTCATATACCGTTCAGTCAGGATGAAAATACCTCTGGTGCATTGTTTCTTTTTAGGTCTTGCCTCAGAATTGGTGCTTGAGAGATATGAATTACCACCCCCAGTCCAACCAGACAGTCTTCTCGCCTCGCACGAACTGGGGCTCCTCTCTCACTGTCAAAAAATTCTCGCCCGTGCTGGCGACCACCGCAGTGAAGAATATTCCCGCCACCTCCTCCCTCGCGCCGAGAAGATCGTGCAAAGCATCGGCCACAGAATGGCTTACGACGCTGCCATCAGTGCCGCAATACCGCTGGATAAACGCATCACCGATCTATACCTTTGGTCTACAGTGAGACTCGACGAGGCGTGGTATAGCGAGAATATGGGAATTTCATCCGAGCTGCAGTTTACGAAGGAGGATGAGGCGTTACGGGAGGCGCTACCGATCCTGGATAGGTGGCTTGATGATACTGGTGTAGAGCCGTATGTCTCTGCTCCTATAGTATCTCAAGACCGATGGGAAGGCTTTGTTTCCGGGTTGGAATGTGTTCGTGGACCGCGGAGTTCTTTACCAGGAGACAGAATATCGGCGCGACTATAGTCTACTAATATACAATTCATGTACAATATATATCATTTCCCCTAGCCTGGAAGTACGCCTAAGCGCCGTTCCCAAGAATAGAATGCCAAGCGAATCGTTGTCTGAGATCGCGTCCACAGCGTTGCTTCTTCGCGATGCTGTCTCCCGCCAACATGGACGGCTACCACCTTTCAGACCCGCGCCAGCTCGCAGCGATGCACGTAAAACGGATCACGCTCACTTCTAAGAAGAACTGGTGGATGGGTCAGTTTGTTTCTCGGCCTCATGTCAGATCACAACATAATTGGATTTGTCTCTAGTGGAGATGGATCAGGACGATCCCATACCCCAGCCGCCCCCGGATTCCGCCCATCCCGCCCAAGCGCGCCCGCATCCACTTCCCCACCCCCATGCGCTCTCCCACTCACTCTCCCACTCCCATTCGCACTCCCATTCACAGCATCCGCGGAGCACATACCCCTCCGACCTCACCCTCCGCTCCCAGATCACCCAACTCCAGGCAATAACGCCCCCGCCCTCCCCGCCCATCTACAACCCCCCGCGCCACCCCACCTCCATCTTCTCCTTCCCCACCCCCACCGCCTACTGCGCGCCCCCGAACCCTACAGCCGCCCTCTCCCCCTTCGCCCAGGGCTCCGCCTCCGAGCTCTTCAAATGCATCGTAAAAAAGCCCGACGTCGTCCAGCTCGAGATCAACGGCGAGATGCAGTCCAACGCCTCCGATGTCACCGTTCAATTTCTAGCTGAATTGCGTGTGTACACGACCCTCCACCGCCACAGGAACATCTGCGCGTTTCTAGGCTCGCTCGAGAACGTTGGGATGGTCCTCGAGTTCATCGACGGAAGGACGCTGTACGACGTCGTCATCCACCGCCCGTTCCTTACCCCTCACAAGAAGATCGACTACCACAACCAACTTCTCGACGGCCTCACGCATCTGCACAGCTACGGGCTGAGCCACGGCGATCTCAGCCTGCTGAACGTCCAAGTCACCCATTCGAGCGATACGATCAAGCTGTTAGATTTCGGGCGGAGTGTTGCGAGTGATTCCATATTCAAAAGCCCCGAGGAGGAGCCCGTTGATCCATTTGCGTATCTCCCCCAGTCATCCTCGTCAAACCCCAACCACCACACCCACAATCAGAACCACAACTCCGCTTCATCTTCTACATCTAATCTCCTCACCCCAACAACCCCCACACAAACCACCAGCACGCGCATCGAGCAGATCCACCCAGGTACGCGCCCCTTCTCCGCTCCCGAGATCCTGCGCGCGGAGTGCCAGGACCCGCTCCTCGCAGACGCGTACTCCTTCGGCATCCTCCTCATATGTCTCGACTACTGCGAGAGCGTCGACGTGAAGCCGTGGGAGCAGCGGAAGGACAAGGGCGTGAGCAAGCTCGTTGATGGGCTGAGGTGTAATGGGAAAGGCGGCGGTGGAGGGCAGGAAGAGGAGGGAGGAGGGGAGAACATCTACGTGTTTGGGGAGAGGGTGGGGGAATATCTGCGGAAATGGGACGAGGGACGCAGGCGCCTGAGGCGGGAGGATATGATGTCCGTGCCGATGGACGTGTCCTAATCTGCCTAAATTCTACACGCTCGCGGATGCCCGCTTACGTGCCTGCGTGCGATCTGGTAGGTGGACACGGAACGTCCAAGCCCCGGCGCACCGGGTGCTTGCTCTGTCTCGATTCAGGGTGATAGTGATAGGGTAGGGTGTCTTTCTGGGTATGGTGTCGGTTTTGGTATTGGGGACCGAGAACACAGAGGTCGGACTATGTACGCACTCGGACACTCAAGCAATTTCAATGATGTGTTGATGTACTGATGGAATACCCATAATCAAATACCTGTACAGTAACAGCGTGGCGACGTTAAAGTAATGCACTCTCAATGTATAGTATAGTATAAGGTTAACATCGATGTTGATATTGACCGCCCATTTCCGATCCTGAAGGTTTGGTCATTACTTCTATGCTTTTCTTTGATATTTAACCTCGTGTCTTCTCGTGTCCGTTGTCCGTCAGTATGAGGGGGAGAAGATATATAGGAGCTGCAGGAGTGCACTACACGTGACCTTCGAGCCACCCTTCGCATAACAAACTTCGCAGCGCCGTCCAGCATAGCGCGCATATCGTTTTCTCACCTATTCACTACAATTCGTCGCCAAATCATGTCTGCTTCGTTCGAGCATCCTTCAGTGGCACGTCCACCCACCAAGACTAGTCTATCCACGGTCCAGACTACGCAGAGACTAGATTGGCGGTATTTTTGGAAAACTAAGGGAAAGGCATGAGGGCAGGGTTCAGGGTGCTCAAAATCGCCATGTGTCGAACCCAATGTACCTTTCAGACGGACGGGGGTGCCGCTGTCGATGAAATACATGTTATTGCCCGCTGCGGAATAGTGCGGAATGGTGGCGACGCACACTCGACGTCGCGAGAATATTGGTTCCGCAACAATTGTATCGAGGCTCAATACATACCTACATACGCCTGTTTTGCCGTTCATTTCGGACTCCTACGTCGACGCCCCGCCCAGTCATACGAGCCATTAAGTTCCAATCATCCTCGAAACACAGCAAGTCTAGTCTCGCGTGCGTGGCACAAGCAGGAGAAGGCACGAGATCCAGACCATGCACCACACTGGCACTTTCTTGTCCGTTGTCGGCCGGACTCCCTACTACGCATCAGTTTGCCTTTGCGCTGACGTGACGAGTATGACTGTACCGGTAGGTCCCTGCGTTCTTCGAGGTAAATTCTCTTTGTGGTCGTACTTTGGATGTATAGCATGCGTCCTAAAACTCCATAGACTCCGGATAGAGAATGGCAGACTGTCTTCACCATCACGTCGCAAAAATCGAAGGGTCTCCGAAACTCGATCACCGATCGACGGGAGTGCCAGAAATGGATATCTCCGCCCAGCCCAACTCAAACAACCCCATGCATCCGTCGCACTCCCTCTCAACCCTCATGTCGTCTCAATAGGAGCATCCACCGACCTCCTACTCAAAGGCGGTTCTCTCTATCAACGCGCAATAACAGTAAAGTCATTACAACCCCTTCGGCCCGTCGTGGCTTAGGCGAAAGTGCTGACTGTACGGAGGACGGAAGTGCAGCGCGACAACCGTGACCTCCTGCAGCGAGTATAAATTATCCTCGGGGCGGGGGTAATCTCTCTCAATTGCTTTCTGTTTCATCTATCGTACTCGCCCTTACCAAACGCTGAGATGCAGGCCAATGGCACTATGCATCCTCAGGATCAAGACCGAGATCAAACTCAGGCGCGCGATAGTCGTGCGCACCTAGACTCATTGTATGAAGAAAACGAAGATCCCACTGTGCCAGAGATCCCAACTCCCAGTACCCCTACCGAGCTCCACACTGCAGACACTCCTACTCCCCCTGAACACCCTCACCACGAACATGTACACCACTACCGCGGCCACCGTAGGCGGTGTCGCAGTGTCTCTCATGTCGATGTAGACTTCTTCGATCGCCCCGGGCTTAATCAATTACGGCGTTCTCTAACCGAGAAATCGCGGAGGAGACAGGAGAATAAGGAGGCTGCAGAAGCCTCGCGTCAAGCCGACACGACGTTGTTGACGCTGGCAGAGGGGCCACTTGATTTGGAGAATACGGCGAGGATTATTGTTGCAAAGTGCGCTGCATTCTTGTTATGTTTGGATGTGAAATTGACGAAATATGCAGGTCCGAGGAGGCGGGTATCACGAGGCGCCAGCTTGGCGTCCTGTTCAGGGATTTACGCGTAGTCGGCATCGGCGCGTCTGCATCCCACCTACCTACGTTAGGCAGCGTACTGAACCCCTTCCTGATGATCGAGAGAATTCAAACCGCACGGCACCCGCCTTTGAAGGATATTCTCAGTGGATTTGAAGGAGTGGTTCGTCCTGGAGAAATGCTTCGTAAGTTTCTGAATCCGATAACTAGTCGCCATCCTCATAATTTTGGTTGTACGTAGTGGTACTGGGCCGCCCAGGCTCGGGATGCAGCACACTCCTCAAAAGCCTGGCCAACCAACGCGGCGAGTTCCATCACGTCTACGGCGACGTGCACTACGACTCCCTCTCACCCGCGCAAGTCGCCAAGCACTACCGCGGTGACGTCCAATACTGCCCCGAAGACGACGTCCACTTCCCCACCCTCACCGTCGCGCAGACGCTCCACTTTGCTGCCACAACGCGCACGCCCCAATCCAGACCCGCGGGTACGCGCGAGGAACATGCACAGTTCATGACAGCGCTGTCGACGACGGTGCTGGGGCTCAGGCACACCCTCGATACGTATGTGGGAAATAATGCGATCCGGGGTGTTAGTGGTGGGGAGAAGAAGCGTGTGTCGATAGCGGAGGCTATGATGATGCGTAGTCGTCTCAATGCTTGGGACAAGTGAGTGTACGCTCCCGTTTTCTGTCAAAGTTAACTAACGTGTTTCCGCTCTTAGCTCCACGCGCGGCCTCGATTCCTCAACTGCCCTCGAGTTCGGACGCGCTCTCCGTATTATGACCGATATCGTGAAAACCACCACCATAGTCTCCATCTACCAAGCCAGCGAGAACCTCTACCAGCTCTTCGACAAAGTCTGCGTCATCGACGAAGGCCGCATGGCGTACTTCGGCCCAGCCAACCGCGCGCGGCAGTACTTCATCGATATGGGGTACGGGCCCGCTGACAGACAGACGACCCCTGATTTCCTCGTTGCTGTTACTGATGCGAAGGGCCGGATACCGAGAGCGGGCGTGACGAATCAGCCCCGGACGCCAGAGGAGTTCGCGGAGTACTTCAGGAAGTCGGAACTTGGTGCGATAAATGTGGAGGATATGAACTCGTACGACCGGGAGTATGTGGGATCCAGTCAGAGGGCGGAGGCGTATAAGGAAAGTGCGAGGCTGGAACGTGCGAAGACTGCTAGGAAGACAAGGTGATTTAACCTATATCATGGAGGTGATCTGTGCTCACGCATTTACTCCTAGCCCGTACACGATCTCCATCCCTATGCAGGTTCGCGCGGTTATGGTTAGGCGCGTGCAGATTTTGATGGGGAACAAGACGGCTACTATAATGAATCTCGCGTACGTGCAACCTTCACTATACATAGTTGCTTCTTAGTGTTCTGACGTCGCACAGGACTTTTGTGTTCCAAGGTATCATCGTTGGCACCGTGTTCCTCAACATCCCTGAATCGACAGATGCATACTTTTCGCGTGGTGGTGTCCTCTTCTTGTGCGTCCAGTCGCACACTGTAAAGGTCCATTGAATTTGGATGCTGACTTCTTAATCCTTCCATCAATAGCGCCCTTCTGTTCTCCGCTCTTACAAGTCTTGCCGAGCTTTCTGCTCTCTTCCAGCAACGGCCCATCGTCTCAAGGCACCAGAAGGCTGCATTGTACCACCCCTTCATCGAAGCCGTCGCCCTCACCATCGTCGACCTGCCTATCACACTCCTCACTACTGGGATCTTTTCGATTCTCCTGTATTTTATTGTTGGATTGCAAACGTCCGCCGGCCAATTCTTGTGAGTCGCGTCGCATAATATAGCGCAACGCCGAAAAGAGGAATTGTTTGCTGATAGTTTTTGGCAGTGTGTTTTATCTGTTCCTAGTCATCATGGCGTTGACGATGAAAGCCTGGTTCAGAGCTATCGCTGCAGCCTTCAAGTCCCAGGCGACAGCGCACTCTGTTTCTGGTGAGTCGCTCGTGTGTGTGAAGCGGCTTTGTGCTCACCATTCATACAGGTATCGTTTTGCTTGGGCTTGTCATCTATACGTGAGCGTCATACTCGATGCCCTTACTACACTAGACTCAACCTCGGCCTATAGCGGTTACACTCTCCCGAAGTCGTCTATGATTGGCGCTCTAAGGTGGATTACCTACATCAACGTAAGTCCCCTTATCGAGATCATCCATGTCAATCCTACGTACACGATCTGATTGTGTTTTCTTCGACTCTAGCCTCTTCGCTATGGGTTTGAAGTCGTGTTGTCCAACGAATTTCGCACTTTGAATGGGCGATGTGCAAACCTTGTGCCGCAAGGACCCGGCTATGAAAATATATCAATTGATAACCAAGTGTGTGCTACAGTCGGTGCGGTTGCGGGGCAAAACACCGTCAATGGAAACGTGTTCGTTGCATTGTCGTATGGATACTCGTACTCGCACACCTGGATGGTGAGTCGCGTCTTCGATTGATGTAAATAACCGCTCATTAAACCTTTCGATGGGTAGAACTTTGGTATCATCCTAGCCTTCGGGATTGTTTTCATCATTGCACTGCTCGTCTTCTCCGAATTTAACACCGCTCTTTCGACGGATACCTCCGTCGTCCTTTTCAAGCGGGGCACTGAAGGGGCCTCTAACATCGCGAAAGGCGATGACGAGGAGAAGAATAAAAAGTCAAACGGCAATACCAGTGGCATTGCACCCTCGACGACAGAAGAAAGCAAACGTGGCTTCGCCAAAGCTGAGGAGATGAAACATATATTTTCTTGGCAAAATCTCAGTTATACGGTACCCGTGAAGAAGGAAGGCACTCGAAAATTGTTGGATGATGTCTCGGGATATGTTGCTCCAGGCAAGCTCACGGCGTTGATGGGCGAATCGGGAGCCGGAAAGGTATGTTCTATCAACATTCGTCTTTGAAGTATACTTATATGTTATGCAGACTACCTTGCTTAATGTTCTCGCCAAACGAATCTCTATGGGCGTAGTTACGGGCCACGAATTTGTCAATGGACACCCTCCGCCTGCAGATTTTCAGGCGCAAACAGGATACTGTCAGCAGCTGGATACCCACGTTCCTACGGACACCGTTCGTGAAGCCCTCCTTTTCTCAGCGAAGCTCAGGCAGCCTGCTTCCGTGCCACTGTCAGAGAAAGAAGCTTAGTGAGCCTGTTGTCCTTCTTCTCTAATCATCGGATGCTCATCATCCGGAAGTGTCGAAACATGCATTAAAATGTGCGGCTTATCGGCGGTCGCCGACGCTTCCGTCGGTTCACTGGGTATTGAGCATCGCAAGCGAACTACAATTGCAGTGGAGTTGGCTGCGAAGGTACGCCGTTCCATACTTCTGAGTATTGAGTATGTGCTTATAACTATGCTCATCAGCCCAAGCTACTGCTTTTCCTCGACGAGCCCACGTCTGGTCTAGATTCTCAAAGTGCCTGGGCAATTATGGCTTTTCTCCGTGATTTAGCAGACCATGGACAAGCCATTTTGTGCACGTAAGTTGCTATCCAAACACAGTTTGTCCCTTCGCCTAATTTCCTTCCCTAGGATCCATCAGGTATTCATTACAGCTTGGTAGAGGAGTACAGATCATTGACGTCCGTTTAGCCATCAGCAGAGCTCTTCCAAGTATTCGACCGCCTGCTGTTACTCCGCAAGGGCGGGCAGACGGTATACTTCGGTGACGTTGGTCAAAGAGCTATCACTTTGATCAACTACTTTGAAAGGAACGGGTCGCGGAAATGCAGTGACGAGGAAAACCCGTGAGCATCATTCCTCGTACATATCTGCGAGAGCGTTTTACGAAGAATATTTTTCGTTTTCAGCGCCGAGTTCATGTTGGATGTGATCGGGGCTGGCGCGAGCGCTACGGCCGATCAGGATTGGCATGCCATCTGGGAGAAGTCCCCTGAAGCCCGGGAAGTGCAGAAGCAAATCGAAGACATCCATGCGGAGGGTAGACGTAAAGGTGCCGTCGAGGCCACTGTTAATGCCAAATTTGCGACCTCCTGGATGTCTCAAACTAAAGAACTCCTTCGTCGCGACTTACGGAACCATTGGCGTGACCCCACCTACCTTATGGCCAAATTCATTTTGAACATTTCGGCTGGGCTCTTCATTGGAGTGCGTCTTTTGCTCTCCCATATTCATTGACGTGTGAATTTACATATCGTAGTTCACTTTTTTCAAAGCCAAAAACTCCCAGCAAGGAACACAGAACAAACTTTTCGTAAGCTAGTCGCACTGCAGCACCCGAAAACTCACTAACCTCGTGCATAGGCCATGTTCTTGGGTACTATCCTTTCCGCGCCTCTTTCCAATCAGTTGCAGTCAGCGTTCATCGCCATGCGTAATGTGTACGAAATCCGCGAGAGGCCAACGAGAATGTACAGCTGGACAGCGCTCATCACTTCGCAAGTGCTCGCCGAAATACCTTGGAACATCGCCGGCTCGGCCACATACTTCTTCTGCTGGTATTGGACCGTCGGCTTCCCCAGCGACCGTGCTGGATACACCTTCCTCATGCTGGTTGTTATTTTCCCCTTATATTATACGACCTTCGGCCAAGCTATCGCGTCCATGGTGCCGTCCCCTGAGTTAGGGGCGATCTTGTTTAGCTTTTTGTACAGCTTCGTGGTAACGTTCTGTGGGGTCCTTCAGCCATACCGCTTACTTGGCTGGTGGCAATGGATGTATGTCTTCGGGACTTCCGTGTATTCTCTTGCTAATGCACTACACAGGTACCACCTTTCTCCATTTACCTATTACATTGAAGGTATACTTGGTCAAGGTCAGTCAGCGAAATGTTCCTGTCTTGACTCTGATTCACTTCTTCTTTGAACTACAGCCCTTGGCCGAAGCGCCATCGTTTGCTCGGAAATCGAATATGTGACCGTCAACCCTCCAGCCGGCCAGACCTGCAGTCAGTTCTTCCAGCAGTACATCTCCAACGCTGGTGGCTACCTCGAGTTCCCGGACGCTTCCTCTGGCTGCAGGTTTTGCGCATTCGCCTCCACCGATGAGTTCCTGTTCTCGGGCTTCAACATCACGTACGGCCACAGGTGGAGGAACTTTGGGATCATGCTCGCGTTCATTGTTTTCAATGTGAGTCGTTGCTTTGATGATGGGGCCTGTACGTGGTGTTCACATGGGTTGTTTTTGTAGTTCGTGAGCATATACTTCCTGTCATATATTTTCCGGATCCGGGAAGGGAGGGGCTTCGGCTTCGGCTCCCTCAAGGCGCGCTTTGCGCGCCCTCGATCCGCGAAATCTGCGTGAATGACGATTCTGATTCTGACCGTACATTAACACATCGCAATATATTTGTCTACTTGATGCATGTATACAATCTACCATACTGGTTTTTATTGGTACGTTATAATCGTATCCTAATCTCGTCACCCAATTACACAGTTCCACTATATCATATCTGCAGCGTTCGTCGCACAGGGTCTTCCTCCACCTATGGTCATCCGTGACACAAGTTTGACTAAGGTTGACTGGCATGTATCCCATGTCCGAGGAAACGATGCCTTTCATACCTGTACGTTGGGCAACTAACAAACATCTATTCGTTCCCACTAACGCGAATAAATGACCCTGATCCTCCACTCTCCTATACTATTACCCCTAACAGTACGCATAAAGTGGGCACAGCGAGAACCATCTGGTCTTCGGTACAGCTGATCTGCGCCCAATAGCGATTCATATGATGGAAATAAATCCCCCAAATATTGAGGCCCCCGCTTGGTTCCAACAAGGTCAGTCATCGTCACTCAGAATTTAGTCTTCAAACCCAGTCGATGGAATTTTTAGAGGGCTTGCGTACGGCTATATTGGCATTGGTATATTTTTTTACCCAATCGTCAGATCAACTTCTCCACTTGCACAATCATGGCACAGAATGCGAGCCGGTAACGACGCGATGTTCCTGCTGTTACTTCTTTGAAAGTTGTCGGTCAATGAGGGTAGGAGGACCATTATCCCGCTGGTTATTCCCCCGACTATCCCATGTAAAATATGATATAAAATGGAAGCCATTGATGCAAGTCTTATCGCCTATGAGACCCATTAGTTATTGAGTTGTTGGTGTTGATGGCTGCTCTCGAAACCATGTTCGCCGTGTTGTTTATATTGAACGAAAGACACCCACTGACTACACCGACTTGCACAGACACACTATATTATATCCTACAGTGTCTGTTAATTATGATTGAGCCGAAAATAAGATGATTGTTGGCGATTGCATGCAGAATAGGGATCATATAGGAGGTCAGAAGGACGTTCGGAGAGAAGCCCCAGCCTTCTCGGTGAGTGTATTATCATTTAGCATTTGCTGTATATATGAGGACAATGATACAATATTGTACTACTTATAACAGCATACATATTCCCTGAAAACGGATGTATGAGAACAGGGATTCGAACGAAAGACTCGAAGCGAAAGTGACTGCTTAGCAGAAAAAGGAAGGAGCGAGAGTGACGAAAATTACAAAGACTATATGTACATAACTACAACGACAGCGAGGACTATGCGACTCGGATGGGGAACATCGCGCAACGGTAACGCGAGTAACAGGGTCAGGATAGAAAGCAATAAGAATAAGGCAAGTACTGTAACAACATTATTATATTTCGATTTGGACGTGGGCTTCGGGATTTAGGCCTGAGCGGGAGAGGCTCGAGGAGGAGAGCAGGCATGGGACAGAGGAACAGGGGGACAAGGGTTGGAACGAGCGAGCAGCGCGTCGAAGAGCGCATTGACGGTGTTAAGAATATGAGAAACCAATGAAAGCGAAAAAGAACGAATAGTAACGCGTTATGCGTTGAAATGACAATCGATTACAATCCCTCATCTCTCGTCAACCTCCTCCACAATAAATCAGCAAGGACCGCGTCTTCCCTCTCTTCTCTCGACACTTCGTCCTCATCTCCATTTACACCGATGCCCCCATTGGCATCTCTGATCGCTCTGGCGTTGGGAGCAAGAGGACTTGAAGGACACGTACATGCCCGCCCAGACTGCGTTGCTTGTGGAATTGGCACCACACCCCATCCCCATATCCTCAAACTTCTCCCCCCACTGGCATTGGTTGGATTCGTCGCGACATTGAGCGTGGATGACGACGTGCCAGGTCCCCCAAACCGATGCACCGCACAGCCAACCTGGGGAGGACTCCCGCTGACTGTCCTCTCCCTCGCCCTCCTTTCAGCCCCTACCCCCACACCACCACCGCGTCGTCGCGACCCTCTTGGCACTCTACTGCCGCCGGGACTGCCGCCGCCACTCCCTGATCCATTGCTCTTGATAGATCGAGGACTCGGTGGCGCGCTCTTGCTCGGCCCACCCCCCAAACCGAAAGCATTGGCGTTCTCGAACGCACCGGCTCCCACCCCCACTCCGAAAGTACTCGCACGCACACGCACAGGACCCGGAGCGAATGGGTCCCTCAACGATGTAAAATCCTCGCTGACATTAACGCTCTGGTTCGGTGTCGGCGTTCTTCTCCGTGGTTCTCTTGGTGAATGATGATTGTGCGAACCAGGAGCAATAGGCGATAACCTAGACGATGTTTGAGAGCGAACGGGGAGGGTGATTTGTCGGCCCAACGTTAAGGGGGTTGGACGAGTGGAGGGCTGGCGAGGGCTGGCATTAAGTTGCCGTTTGGTAGTTGGAGTCGCGTCAACACGGCCTCCGCCAAATCCATCGTCTCCCAAAATCCCATGTCCCCATTCCGCTCCAATGGCCTCGCGGGCTTGATCTTCCAACTCTCTCCTATTTCTCCCTTCGCGCTCCTCTTCGACCCTAGCCTTACTCCCCCGAGATGTCGACGTGCTTGTACTCGCCCGGCCAATGGCATTCGCACTCGCACCTCCACCTCCACTGTACCCAAACCCAACCTTCCACCTGTTTCTTGTGCTGCCCCTACCCCCACTCCCGCTCCCCCTAAGACTCGGTCGGAATGCACTCAACGCATTCATACTCCATCTCCTTAAACTGCTGATGTTCGTGCTCGGCGTGGTGGCGGTGTCGTTGTCGGTCGAGGCTGCGGTTACAGAGGTGTTGCTTGTTTCGACGCTCGCAGCCGAGGTATTAGTGCTGTTGGTGGTGGCAGTAGGTGGAGTGGGCTCAGGAGGAGCACGAATATGAATAGCAGGTGAAGATCGATGTTTATACCGAGATACGCCCTTCTTGGTCTCCTCATCATTTATATCGCCCTTGCCCCGGTTGTCACCTTCTTCCTCGTCCATATTAGTCTTGTCGTGGTTGCTCCTTGACAAACATCCTAGGTCCCCTGACACACCCAAAGCCCCTGAATTAGCGTGCCCCAACCGCGCTGCATACGCCTCCTGGTCCCCGCCTCCGCGACCATCTTCATGGCCATGCCCACCTTCGGAAACAGCCCTCTTCGTCCCTACCCCTAGCATCCCAACTCCTATCCTCTGACTGAGCGAATCCCCTGTCTCACCGAACTCGAAGCCAAGTCCCAACTTTGTCTGAGAGTCTGCAAACTCGAATCCCAGGGAGGGAGGAGAATACGTGGATGATGCTTGGAAGTACGGTGTGTTTGGTGTAATGGGCATAGTCGGCGAGAGTGGGGAAATTGGCGATGTGGGTGAGGTGGGTGAGGTAGGCGATGTAGGCGTAGTGTCTCCCTCGCCTCGCAACCAATAACCATACTGGGACCCATACTGCGCCCGCGGATAGATATCTGATTTGGAACGCGTCAACTTGTGCGTTAATTTCCTCTCGTAGACTGGTTTAGGTTTCGTTGGTGATACGCCTGTGTATACCTTGTGTATCGGAGAGTCGATAGTTGGCGAGGTTGGTGAGATGGTGATTGTTGGTGATGTTGGAGACACGGGCGACACGGGCGAAATAGTCTCTTCCGATGAGTTTGAACCGCCACAGCCCTCCGAAGTGGGTGGGTATATGGACCTCGAATAGTCGCCATCGCCCTCGTCGTATTCGTTGGTTGTGGTGTATTTGCTGGAAGGAGAAGAATGAATATGAACGTCGACGCGTTGTGAAATGCGGTTCTCAAGTTTGGGCGGCGTTGTGATCCTCACGGGCAGTGGCAGAGTATCTATTCCGTTGCAACCTACTCCCATATCATTCTGACTGCCATTCTTATCTTCACCCAGCAACCCCGTAGTCGACGAATATGAAGTAACGCCCTCCGCGCCAGGGAGCGGTGGATATCTCGGGTACTTCCTATTCTTCGAAGGCGACCCGCGTTCTGATGGTGAGTAGAAGAGGAGATCGCGGATTTGGTGGTTCTGCTGGCGTTGTTTGGGAGGCGAAGGAGGGAGTGGAGGGGGAGTAGGTGGGCGTGGTCTTTGTGATTTCTGTCTTTGAAGACGTGGAATACGAGTTTGTGATGATTTGATATGGGGAGGAAGAGTTGTGAGCGGGACTTCGGCGTTGGCATCGAGTTCCGCGGTGGGCAGTGAGCGACGGAGTGTGTAATGTCGTTGGGAGGGCTTGCGGTAGTGGTATGACGGGCCCGTGGTTGTAGACGTGGCAGATAAATGCGACTGTGGCGAACCAAGTGATTGGTCGTGTCGACGGGGAGAGAGCGCAATAGCTGACATGGTGAATATCGCGCAAAGGACTAAGAATAGTGACTGGAGAGGGAGGTACACGTGTGCCCGTATGTCGTGCGGATGTGTTTCGCGGAGGAGAAGGAAGAGTGAGGCGAGTAGCGCGCAAAGTTGGGAGGCGATTACGAGAGTGAATGGAAGCGGGAGAGGAAGGAATTGTAATTGGGTAGTGTGGGAGGGCCGGGAGAAGGCCTGGTGGGAGAAGAGGAGGATAAGAAGAACTGGAAAGGGAAGGGCTAGACTTGGCGCTAGCAACGGGGGAAATATTGATGGAAGGAACGTCGAAAGAAGCGACAGAAGTGTCTCTAGTTGCCATTGTTCGTGAGTCGGGCCAGATGGCGAGCGCGTTTGGTGTATGTACTCACGGACAGCGATGTATGGATAAAGCGGAGGACGCGAGAGCGCAGCCTCAAGCAGGACGGTGAGCACGATGGTCGCGACTGACAGTGGCCTTTGCTCCTGCAAGCCAGCTAAGCCCAAGGACGCGACAACGACCGCGACGACACTTGTCGCGACAAAGAGAAAAACGAAGGAGGAGTGGCGGAACACGAGGGCGGTGAGTGGAATGAGGAGAAAGAGAAGGAAATGTGGATCCATTCGAGATCGCTTGAACACGTTGCCTTTATATACCCTGCGCTTGGACCACCGAGGACTTGACTTTAACTTAGGAAGTAAGCTCGGTCCCTGAAATAGAACACCCCGTGGGAAGAATTCATTGTCAGGAAGAGTCGGGGGCAAGACGTCGGGATGATGTCTTGTCACTTGACGCAGAATGCCCAACCAAAAGATTCAAGCGGACACAGAGGTGAGAGGGGTGAGATGTATTCCCTTCGACTTGGCTTTCTGGCTTTGGCAAGGCTTCATGTGTTCTCTCTCAGAGGGGCTAGGAGCTGCGGAGGTTCAGAGTGAGCGAGGATTATCTCCCTAAGGGTAGATTTCATCGACGCCTGCAGCTCATGGAATATGGCAGCTCCCACTGAAGCCGTCCAATGGATGTTCAAATTAAAGCATTGCAAGATTCTAGCGCGGAAGTCTGTACAAGTCGAGGGTGGTCGAATTAGAGTTCCCTACTTTCAGATGCCTTCGCGACCAAGAGCTTCAGCGTTTCCTCTTGAAAACGAGGGACTGATCTTACGGAGGATTGCACTGGGAGAACTTGTTCCAAAACGCGTCGAGCTCATTGGCGAGACTGGAAAAATGGCCCAAACTCCGTATGCAGGGCAGTTTGAATAGCCCTTAATCTACTGCAAGAAGACGGTCTTCTCTTCGTGGCATCCTAAGGAGTGGGGGCCTGGCCGTATTCAGCCTTTGGTGACCTTATGACGCTCAAATCCGGGTCCATCACATCCCGGCGAAGCCTCGTAAAAGGAAGACACCAGACGGAGGCCGAGCCACTTGATGACGATAATTAGTACTGCATGCGCGTGCGCGTAGTGTCTGATCCTGTCCAGCGACGATCTTCACCGGGAGTTCGGGAGTCCTTGTCGACTAGCGGCGCGATCCGTTGAGAGCCGAGGAACAGCGCCACGATATCGTTTGCATTGCCTCCATCAAGCTTCTGAGCACACATCCAATATCCGGAAGACGCAGAGGTTTCAGAAAGCTGAGCGTTTGGACTTGAGGTATTGGTTGTTGAGGATAGTGAATGACCTTTGCACAGGGTATTCTGATGATATTGGAGGCCCAGGTGGCCGAGATTTGAGGTGATTGTCGATCGGGAGCTTGTCCTTGATGGATCGACGATGAAATTTCGCCAAGTGGGTGGCTGAGCCAAAACGACGACGGTGTAACCCAGTCCGCGCATGTGTTTCGCACTCCGCTCTCAAAGAGGAAACACGTGGTCGCAAGTCTAGCAGTGCACTGTAACATATGGCACGCGCTCCCCGACGTGTGTGAAAATGTTGACTGGGATCATTCAATGATCAAAGGAAAGGTACTACTTTATCACTTTAGCCCACGGATCCAGAGTTCTGGGAACTTGACTCGCCAGTCGACTCAAACACTTACATGCAGCGTATGCTAGCTGATGTTCTTCTCTGCCGCTATAGGTTCTCCTTCCCTGCGCTACTTCTCCTCATCCTAGTAGATGTAATATCAGCGCAAACGGGCCCGACGAGATGGACAGCATCACCGTTCAACTCACCCGCCCTTCCCCTCGCTGTTAGGTCGCCGTATCTCAATGTTTGGCTACCCCAAGGAAACAACCCGCCCCAGGCTAACGAGACTGACAATAGACTTTGGGACTACAATTTGGTTTGTACCACATCCGTTTCTATGCCGAAAATTCACTTGACAGTGTAGCTGTAATTGACTAGCCCATACAATGGTACGCCAGCGTTGTGGTAGATGCTGTTGAGTACAGGTTGCTCAGCTTGTGGGCACAAGGGGAGCAGGGAGCGGTCCAGAAAGCTGTAGAGTTTACAGCAACAAGGACGTCCTTCCTCATGGAGGCGGGGGGTGTCGAATTCAATGTAACCTTCCTGAGCCCAATTGAGGTGTGTACTATTCTAATCCTGGCTATCATAAGCTATAGCTAATATATCCTCCTTGATGCACTGCTTGATGGTTGTTGGTGAATGTGGTTCTACACCAAACCGTAATGATTGAAACAGCCGAACGACTTCAGCCGCCAGTCGCTGCCGTTTTCGTATTTGTACATGACCGCACGGGCAACGGATGGGCAACAGCACAGGGTACGGATGTATTCTGATATCGAGGGCAGTAAGTCTTTAATCTGTTTCTTCTCATCTTGCTCCCACTCCCGTACTTCTACTGCCACTCTTTTCATCAACCATCAACGGACAGAAATACCACACACGTGCCGACTGATTCGCCTCCTAATATTGTTGTGTTTCATAGACATCGCAGCCGGCGACACGAGCCAAGTCATCCAATGGGATGCTGATGACACCGACGACTATGTCGTCCTAAGCACCCAGCTGCGGAACCAGAAGCCATTCGTGGAGACGCGGAATATCGCGCAGGATGCCACGGTCTATTATTCGTTCAAAAAGGTCAGCTACGAATCTCTGAATTCTGTTCGTTGTTCACAGAGATGTTATGTATCTGTATTGGTGATGACGATGCTGATACACAAAATAGATCAAAGGATTCACTGCGTCCTGGAGAATCTCCGGCTTCAACTCAGCGCGAGGTCTCCTGTTCTCCCAACCAGTTAACGGAAACCTTGGCAACACCCAAGAGACGAATTTCCGCGCTCCCTCATCGTATGCCCCCCTCTCCTTCATTTAACTCATCATTGCTCATACTCTGTACACAGAGGAAATGACACCCCTGTTTTGGGTATCTCTATCGACTGGGGCAATATCACCTCGACGTCGGAAGCTGCTGTGTGGTCATTTGGAGTGTACCGCAATCCCTCAATGCAGTATCTGATGTCCGACGGTTCGTTCCAGCAGCGAAGTCCGTATTTCATGTCTACTATCACGAAACCTCTTGACGCTGTGAGTCTCACTCAAACGGTGCTACTGACATCGGTGCTTATCTTGTTACTTACCCACTCGATACCGATAGCCAAAGTTCGTCCTGGACGATTTTCCCCGCGCCCTCGCCGCCGCCATCGACTTCGACACAAAGCTCCGTGCGGAAGGAACCGCCGTCTCGTCGAAATACGCGGACTTGCTGGCTCTGACGGCGAGGCAAGTCATGGGGGCTATGGATATCACTATTCCACCGGCGAAGGATGGGGCTTGGGACATTAAGGATGTGAAGATATTCATGAAGAATTTAGGGAGTGTTGGTTCGGATAATGGGTGCGTGGTTTACTGTTGAAGTCAACTTGTGCCCATTACTCGCTGTGCTGTAGAGGCCAAGCCAGTGTTAATAATGTCGGCACTCTATACGCCGCCTTCCCCGCCTTCCTGTACCTCAATCCCGATATTGGGGGATACCTCCTCGCTCCTCTCCTCGAATTCCAGGAATCGAAGACATATACATTGCCCTACGCCGCAAAAGATATGGGTTCTGGGTTTCCGAATGCTATTGGTGACGGGTCGAACGATCCTCATACATTTGGGATCGACGGTGCGTGTTCTCGTATCGACTGCCGACTTCCATCCGTCTCATTGACTTGATGTTCGATTTCTCTCCCTCCCCTGTGTTTTCTCTGCCAGACACCGCCGGCATGCTCATCATGACCCTCGCATATGCCATGGCCTCCGGAAACGGCACTCTCATTGCCAACCACGTGTGTTCTCTTGATTTTGCGCATGTGGCATAATCTGACGAACGCGATGTAGTACGGTTTACTACGCCGCTGGGGCGAGTGGCTCGGGAACAACACTGTTACACCCTTCCATCAGTAAATCCAATGCAGATCCATGGGCGTACCTCTCTAATAACACTCTGCTTGACTTTCGTAGATCTTCTGGAGATTTCAGCATCAGCGCCGACTCCAGCACCGCAAACCAGACCAACCTCGCTCTCAAAGGAATCATCGGTATCGCTGCGATGTCCAAAATCGCCGATGCGGCAGGTGAAACTTCTGATCGTGATAGGTTCAACGTCAGTTACTTTCCCCTCCATATCTTTCCCCTGTTCACATATGTCTATACCTTTGTTCTTTGTTTGGGTTTAGGCGACAGCGCATACCGCAATCGACCTCTGGCAAAAGGAAGCTGTGTCTTCTTCGTCCGTCAACTTTGTGTACGGATCGAGCGATAATAGCGCGCTGATATACAACCTCTATGCCGACAAGCTGCTGAAGCTCAACCTCGTTCCGGACTCGGTGTACACGCTCCTGACGTCATTCTACCAATCTTCAGCTGGTTCGTAATCTCTGTCTTCTGATGCGTGCAAGGTGGATGATACAAATCTCCTTCGTCCCGACAGGAAGTATGAAATACGGCATCCCGCTGAGCAGCCAGCCTTCTCAAAACACCTCCACGAGTGAGTTTCCTCCCTAGCTGTTTCTTGATATCCACTCGGTCACTGATCACAAAAATCGCCGCAGACTGGATGATGTTCGCTGCATCGACTACCACAAACAATGCCACTCGAGACGTCCTGATTTCGCAAGTCTATGAATATGCATCCAGCAGTCTCAACAACGCGCCGTTTTCCTCGCTTTATAATCCTTCTACTGGCGTCGGGTCTAGTAGCCAGGGCACTGGCTCAGGAAGAGCAAGGTATGCGACTGAGTCCTTAAGCGCGGCCTATTGCTCACGTAGTACGCCCGGTGTTTTGTTAGTCCTGCTCAGGGTGGTTTATTCGCACTGCTAGCACTTGGGTGAGTCTCCCTCATTATCTCTATTCAATGTATGTAAGTTCTATTTCTGATACTCACGTCGCGATGCATCAGGACTACGTCAAAATCGATCAACCTAACCTCCGTCTCATCAGGATCCTCATCACCTACCTCCTCGAAAATCAGCCCCGGCGTTATCGCAGGAGTTGTCATAGCAGCGATCGCCGCCCTCGCTTGCTCCATCGTCCTGGGGATAATCATATTCAGACGGCACCGGCACCGCCGTGAGGAGCTTCAACGTGAATCGGGCCGTCGCACCCCCCAAGGCATCTTGGCCGAAGCGCAAACCGTTGAGCCTAATTGGTTACTATCGCAGCCGCTCACTGGGGGTACCAATAACGCGCCGAACTCGAACACGAACTCGGCCTCGAACTTGGTGGCGTATCGTGATAATGCGAATTACCGTCACGCACCGCCGGGCACGCAGACGTCGATGTCTATGTCGCACGCTCCCTCGAGCTCCTCGCGCTCTCTGTCGGCGGATTGGACCGCTGATAGCTTGTTCACTGACGCTACCGCGCCGCCGCCGCCGCCGCCTCGGACGGGGAGACTGGACTCCAAGTCGGCTAGAATCGATGCAGAACATCGGGACGCTGAGTATTCCGCTACGGAATTCTCTTCGCCTACTCAGACCTCAGGCAGTGGTGGCACGAGAGGGAGGCTGGGGTCGTTGCAGCTACAGCAGGAGCTGGACTCTTTGCGGCGCGATGTCGAGCGGATGAGGCAGGAGCGGTCGCTGCTTGCGCTTTCTGGAGATCATCACGATGTCCCACCGCCTTCGTATTCTGGTTGATTATGCGTGGACTTTTGTTGTAATATTTATCTAGTTAATTCTGAAGTACATAGTTTATATTCCGTTTCTTGCAGGCATTCTTGTCGCTGTGAATAGTTTACCTTGCTATCCTGTTGTGCGGACATAAGTAGTTATCCATGCGCTATCAAAAACACAGTTGTACGACCAGTGTATCAACAGCAAATGAGTAGGAATAAACGCGACTTGCAAGAGGAGTATCACATTCGTCGAAAATTCACAAGTCCAGTCCCACGTGAGCACGTCGCGCACGGACCACCCACCGTCATATATAAGCCTGCCTTCCCCCTTCCTGATTTCCTTAGAACATACTCAGCTAGGATCTATTCTATAGAAACTAACTCGAGTCTCGCATGTTTACACATGCCACTTCTTCAAGTCCACTCGATGACCTTCGCGCTCGCCCGTATGACTGAGAACATGGCCTCTTCCTTGTGGAGAGGCCTCGAGGACGTTTGGCGGTTCCGGTGTGCTTTGCTCTTCGGAGTGGGCTCCTGGGGCTGCCAGCGGGTCGAGCGTCTGTCTGATGGATTCCTATCTTATACATTTTGTACACTTGTATTCTGCGTTGTAGTAAAAGCAATTTATCGTTTGTGCAGCTCACGCTTGCATGCCGATTCAGTCAACTTCCTGGAGGGTTCGTCGTTTACACTTTTTGAGTCTTCCTCACAAAAAGTTTCATCAGTCCTTTCTTTGCGTGTAGAATCACGCTGAAGATACAATGCTTCGCCTCAAAGAATGTCACTCAAGGCAGCTCAATGTGTTGCGTAGGAGTGGTACGACGAGGAGGGATACTCGAATTTCGCATATGGGCGGCCAGAAATCACCATCAGTGGGGGGGAGGGGGACTATGGAGAACGGGTTAATGGGGGTGGGGGCCTGATATCAAGACGAAGACAGCGCAAGAGGATGCAATAAATTATGAGATAGTAATTAAACATTGCCATTGTTTCAATCGTCCGATGTATCCTTTTTCTTCTCTGCAGCGCCAATCGCGCCCACCGCGCCTCCCTTCAAGTTGTCCTCCACCAGCGCCGTGAACTCTTCCCTCAAAATGCTCTCCCTCCTCGCCCTCTCCTCCCGCTGCAGCTTCAGAATCCCCCGCTTCTCCTCCGCGCTGATAACCTGGTTCTCCTTCCGCATACGCACCGCATTCATCCTGCGATGCCGGCTCCCGCTCATCACGTACCCCACCGATTCGTACTTCGCAATTTCGTCGGATGTCAAGCCGATTTCACCACGGCGCGGGATGCGGACGTCGGTGTCGTCTTGGAGGAAGGCGGCCATGGCAGAGCCTTCACCGCGGAGGAGGGCACCACCGTACGCGCGCTCGTCGACGCGCTTCGCGGGGGCGGCGTGCAGGGGTTTGGGGCCGACTTCTTCTTCTTCGTCGTCGTTATTCTCTCTAGGAGGGCCGCTTGCATTGGCGTTCGAACCTGAGGGAGGGGGGACATGCGGGGGAAGCGGGGGCGGAGGCATGTCCTCTCTATCCCTATCTCTGTCCCTACTAGCACGCGACGGCCGTTCGTCTTCGCTCGTGACAGGGCTTTTGCTGGGGCTTGGAGAGGGGGAGGATCGTCTGCGGGGCTTGCTTTCGACTCTCCGACGTTTGCTGCTCTTGCTGCTTTTGTGATGATGGCGATGTTTTGAGTGTCGGTGCTTTCTGTCTCTGTCCCGGTCCCTGCGGTCGTCGTCGTCGTCGGTGTCACTGTCGTCGAGGCGCTTTCTTGGCGCTTTTGGTGAAGGAGGCCAGATATCGACTACTTTGCTTTCTCGTTCTATCTGTCGGCTACAGTATAATGCATTAGTATCATTGAAACCAAGGCTAGACGGCCTTTCGCAGCCAAGCGTAGCATGAGTGATGACTCACCTTTCCATATAATCTGCGCCTCCGCCGCCTCCCCATTGTTGTCTGTAATTGTTCCCGCCCCTTTGCTCTGGATAACCATTTGCGCCGCCTCGTTGTTCTGGGTAGTCGTTTCCGAGTGCGCCTCCGCCTCCGCCTCGTCGGTCTGGATACATTGACATGACTGTTAGGATTGCAGTGAAGGAATACGGGCGACTTGCAGCATTATGGGCGCTTGCAGTTGGCCCGATATGGCAGGTACGCGGTAATATGTACGTGTGTTTGTGCACAGTTGAAATCTGCGGTGCCTCGAGGCGAGTGTTGTGGAATTTGGACTCGAATATTCTCCTGCTCAGAATCCTTTTCTATCGTTCTCTGCTCACGATCCCATTTAACGCGCTATACTCCCTTCCCCTAATTCTGCTATATCCGCATTGGAACAGGCTGCAGGCTGTTCATCACTTGCTTCTGCATACGCTTCCTAAATCAGCACTCTGCTATAAACCCGCAACAGCGATACCTTCACACTACTCCTTAACGACTCACCACATCCATGGAAGACAACTCGCTCAAGCCCATTCTCTTGCGCTCGCGCACTCCTGGTACGTCTGCAACGCCCCGCCACGCTCACAGGGATATGCTAAAATGAACCAACGCAAATCATAGGCGCAAATGAGAAAGGTAATTCCGAGTTTGCGTTTGATCCTTGCTGCACATAGCTGACATGGAGAATTGCAGTGCTAAAGTACCTCGAAGCCATTCAGGCAGAAGGCGCCGACTTCCCCGCCTCCCATTCTGATATCGGTGATGCACCGAAAGAAGGTTCCGTTATGAATGGCGCGCCTTCTGCTGTAAACGGCACCAATCCCCTCGCTTCTCCAAAGATATTCTCCCCCATAGCCAAGAGCCACAGCAGCGAAGCTCAGCTGGCCAATCTCGCCAGCTCTCCGGTTAGTTACGGGCAGCACAACGGCGCCGAAGTAGATGATGACGCAAAGTCGAACACGCAGGATGGGCAACGGACCGAAGTCGGATCGATAGTAAGTCCCTCCTCAGTCCCTTCTCTTTCCTTTGCATGTGGAGCCGTGTGCACTTACTAACCTACGCGCCCCGTAGCGCGAGCCTGGTCCCGCCGATCCCCCAGGCCCCAAATACGAGTCGTACGACTCCGGCCCTTCCTTCGGCAACTTTGGGCCCCTCCCTGATGATGCACATCATTACGTCCCCCCTCCTGGTACGTATGGTGGTAATCCGTATGCAAATGGTTGGCAACCCAACTGGGCAGGTTCACCGCAGCAAGCCGTCCGACCGGACATGCCATGGGGGCAGGAGGCCCACGGCCCACCTTCTCAATTCTCTGCTGTCAGAGTACCTCTGCCGGAATCGGTAGCTTCTCCGCGAGCTAATTCCTCCGTTCCGATCATGATTGACGTCGAAAGTCCATCCAGTCCATCCCGCTCGCGTTCTCGTGCTTCTAAAGCACCTTCGAAGGCACCCTCCTCTGCTGTCCCCCCTCGCCCCCAGAGCAAGGCTTCTAATCGCGATGATAGACCATTATCACCTCTGTCTCGCGGTACCGCTCGTCCTCCCGTTCTCGAAGACGGTCAAATTGTTTACGATGACGACAATCGCAACCGCCGCTCCTTATCCAAAGCACCCTCTCTCGCACCTTCAGACTCTTTATCTCAGTTCCATGTCAAGGCTCGCAAGAAGGCTGCCCAAGCCGCCCGCGCATCGCCTGACGCCCGTTCCCAAGGATCTGCACCAAACGGGCAGGGGATGCCTTATTTCCCATACCGGAACGCACCAACGCAGGCGGACCTGATGTACGCAGCCACGCGTGGGAGGGCGATGGTCATCCCGGAGGAGATGGAAGAAGGCACGCAGAAGACTGCCTCTGTAGCCCCGTCGCAAACAGCACAAAGCAAGAGGGAGCCTTCTGTAGCCCCGTCACATCATTCGAAGCAACCTTCCGCAGTAGGGGGGTCTGTCGTCAATGGGAAGACCGCTTCGCATGTTTCGAGTCGCGTCTCACCTTCCAAGAAAGCGCCTTCTCAGGTTTCTACGTCCACGGCTAAGCAGGGGCCTCCTAAGTCTATCGCGTCTCGCCACAGCCACGGCCCTTCTCAGGCTTCGCATCATCCAAGCGAGCGAGACGGCACCGCCACACCAACTCCCAGCCGACCAAACTCTAACCATAATCATCCGGAGGAGCTGAACCTGGAGGAGCAAGCTATCGTTGAACGTGCTTTGGCTTCATCCAGGACGCCCAGAACTTCCTACTATGCGAGCTCAACCCTTGAGCCAGACGTGAAGAACAGCCATTTCCACGATGCTGACCTCTGCGTGTTGCTGCACCAGGAGAGCGACCCCAATGTCCACGAAGTTGTTAAACGGGCCCTGAGGAAAGCGATCCGACAGCGCGTCAAGAGATTAGGCATGAAGTCAGATAACGAAGTGAGTGTTCCTTCCGCCCCCCTGGCTCCGCGGGAGATGTTATTTACGTGGGGTATTTGTAGACTATCCTTGGACTCAAGCGGGCACACAATCATGATCCCAGTGTTCATCTTGATCCAGAGGATGACGGCGAGGTACGATATTCTCATTCTTTCGCTCGGCCATCGGGGCACTTAATGATTGCTTTCTAATAGGAACCACCGAAATGGGCTACAGACCTCAAACGCGAGCTGGTATTGATGCAGCAGCGAATTGAGAGCCTTGGACCCAAGATTGAAAATCTGCGTTCACCACAGATGGGTCCTGCCCGATCGCACGGTGACGGGTCGAGATTCGTTTTCGGTGAGGAGGGCGAGGAATACACGCAGCAGTCACCTGCAACTCAGACCGTTGACATCAACACCCGGCCGACTGGGACGATGGCCGATTCGATGTATCAACAAAATCCAACAGACGAAGATCATTTCGAATCGCGCCCCGCCGGATCGCAGCAGTACGATGATGAGGAGCACGGGGACGAGGAGTACGACAACGCCACAGCAGACCAGCAGCGGGGGTACCCTGCTCTAACGGACGGTGAGACACGTGCGAGTCAGCTGAGGCAGAGCGACCGCCTGTCGGAGCTGCGCGACGACTCGCCTGGGCAGCAGTTCCTCGAGGAGGAGCTGTACAAGCTGCGGCAGAAGCCTGCAGGCAGCCAATCTGGATTATCGCACCACACGTGGGAGGTCGCAAGGGATGACGATCCAGAGGAATTTCCAGAAGATGAGGATGGGCACAGCCGTGTGCACGCGGACGAGAGCAATTTGCCAACGATACCGGATATGAATGGCCCTCTTCCCCCCGTGCCGGCGGACGGTAGCTCACGCGACGTAGTCTCCAACGCTCGGGGTTGGCTCCCTGGGGAATACAGTCAGGACGGACAAACGCTCGCCCCTTGGCAGAAGATTCACGCCCGCCTCCTTAACTGGGCGATGATTTGGCCGATATCTGAACTGGATTCTGGGCTGAACAGCACAACACGCGGCCATCAAGTTGACGAGATCGCGCTCAGCATCTGGACGACGCAGACGTACAAGCGTTATGTACGGGCCCGGCTGACTGATAATTCTAATGGTGTCGTTGATCGTTTGTTCGTGCCTCCGAATATGGCTGATGCTATCAGCACTGCTGTGTTCAATGGGAGACATGGGGATGCGTGTGGGATGCTACGAGATCTGTGGACGCCCTTCGGGCTGGAGGGCATGCCTAGGCTGTTGGTCGTCCTGGCCAAACATAGATCCGATGAGAATCACTGGGTGGTCCATAGGTGGGTGCCTTCAGACAATGGTTGTCGTATTGTATCGCTGATGTGCTGATAGGTTCTCGCTCCCTGATGGTGGGCTCACGACGTATGATTCGTACCCAGAGCGCACTCTTCCTGATGGTCGCGTGCGTACTTGTCTTTTTTTTTTGTGCGAGGTCCGCAATTAATGATGGAAATTTTTTCAGCCTCTCGGTTGGTGGTTCGCCATCCGGATAGCGTGGCCCAACACGATATACCCAAGCCCCGATCATCTCATGCAGAAGATGGTCCGCTTGCATCGTCCAATGCAATTGCCAATCGATAACTCTGTCGCTGCTGCAGGCATCTGGCGAAACATTCTCATGGGGTCCCGCGCGGAAAGAAGCCTCGATCTCGAACGCCTACGCGATCTCATAAATACGGAGGTGAAGAATCTGCGGCAACGAAAGCTGATGGGCAAATTGTCTATTGGGGCTTCTCGCCCAGCATGGGACGACATGAACTAAAAGTGCCGTAATGTAACACGCTGTTTCCTCCTTTTTTTGTCGTCTCTTCGCGTTGCTTGGATGTTGTTCACTCCCCCGGCTCAATCTTTGTGTTCTTTCCTCCCTTACCTCCAAGGCAGCTGTTGACCGTTCGTTTACTTATGGATTGTTGTAGTTTTACCTCTTCTGTACCGCTGTCGTTCCTTTCCGGTCGTTTCGTTCCCATTTGTGAGTATAACAAGTACATAGTCGTGTGTACATTTACCATATCTTTATGATCATTGACTCGCGCTAGATGACATTCTGATGTCCCGCTAGCGTCACCCTTGAGACAATCACGATTTGTCGATGGAATGCCACAGCATTGTTGATGCATGTCGATCGTGTTCAATACATGCCGGGTATAATCACTACATGCATTATGTGTTCCTGACATGATGTTGTGAACGTTCCTTTATATAAATCAAGGCATCAAGTATCAGTCCATCTAATCCCCCGCAGTGGTACGATGACAAGGTAATTACCCCTACGAATCTCACAACGAAAGCGCTGATCAGAGTGTGTGCAGAGTCCTTACCAGACCACCTCGTTCGTCAGCTCATGAGGCTGGGCAATTTGTGGCTACGTCGCGGCTGGGAAGGAAGCTGCGTGCTCGACGAAGTCCACGAGTACCAGTGGAATTGTGGCAAGAGGTTTTCCGGTGGTGCTTACCCCAGGATGGGGTAACGACATCACTCTCTGACCCACCGTTCACTTTCACTCAAGTCTGCCATTTCTGGAGAGCCGTGGCGCTCTCGACTCCAAGGCTTTGGGCTTCCCTCACAATCGACGCGATGCGGCTTGCTGACGACGAAGAGGCTACGGTGGCTGGCATCCGTTCTTGGCTCTGTCGGTCAGATCCTTTGGCATTCGTGTTGACGATACGCGCTAGAGACAACTGCGTGCGAATACCCCGCCCATGTTTATGTCAATTCTCCGAGTTGATCGTGGCCTATGCTCATCGATGGAGGCACCTACAGCTACATCTTCCAGGGGATTGGTTCGACTGGATATCATTCACTGGCGGGCGATTCGCATCACTCTCATCCCTGAGTCTCCATTCCTCGTCGTTCAGCGCCAGTCACTCTTCCATCCTGGACATGGAATGGCAGACGCTCCCTCCCTTGCGCCAAATCACAGTGGCTGGCTTGATGTTCGACCCTTCAAGTCTGTGTATTGACTATGCACAGATCACAGAGCTCGTCATATTGCCGCAGCACACGTTGGAGGAGGGTATATTGTTCACTCTAGATGATGTCTTGAATATTATGTCCCAAACTAGTCGACTCACCAAACTCGCCTGCTTGGTAGACGACAGACTGCTCAGGTGGAAGACGGAGGTATTGTCGAACGTGGAGGAACTCGACCTCTGTTTCAAGGACTGTGGCGCCAATTGGAATAACCCCAATCGGCAGGCCAACAGGATGCGTCGGCTTGATCGCTTCTTCTCACTGCTTCGCAACCCAAATACGCGTAGCCTCAGTATTGGGTATTCGTCTAATACTCACCTTGCGACAACACCATGGCCACACGACTCCTTCCTCAGTTACCTCAGTAACTCGTCTTCCAATCTCGAATCGTTGACCCTAAAGTATCTGCCTGTCGTGGAGACGCAAATCATCCAGTACCTCCAACGGGCGCCGGCTCTCACCCACCTGACCGTTGAAGTCCAGCCGACGACGGGTTCTCAACGGGCTGTTGGGGATCTGCTCATGGCAGCACTGACCTTCATGGATTGGAGGTGTCCTCTCGTCCCCCGCCTCGAATCTCTCGATTTTCGCAATTGTGGAAGGCGATGCTCCGAAGCCGCCGTATCGTTCATGATAGAAACACGAAACGTCCACAACCTTGTTGCAAAATTGAAAACAATCAAGTACAGCGCATCAAGAACGCCACATTCCCTTATGACGAAACTGGAAGAGTTGTTGCAGAGGGGCTTTCGCATTGATGTAGAAGTCGTAGTGCAGTGATTCCTGACCATTATTGCCCTATTCGCCACACAATGATCAATCAGTGATAACGTGAAGCTAGGCAACGAGGATCTTTACCCGCTTCTGGGGCAGCCAGCTTCACTGCTACCAAAGCTGTGACGCGCCCAACACAAGATTAGATTCCTCCCAAAGCAACCGCTAGATCTGCGACGTCTGCGTTGATCGTGGTCACAGATGAAGCGCCTGTCGAGGTACGCTGATTCATCTGCAGATCTAGTGTCAGGATACATCTATATGGTACGAATACAAGGGCAACGTACTCCGTAAATTGGTTCCAACTGAGCCTGTCCGTCCAGGTGCTCCCTCAATGAGGCATTTTTGGCACGAAGAGCTTTGTTCTGCTTAGCCTTGTTCTTCGATGCGTTTTTGGCTGCCTGGAGGTTCTTTGTTTGACGTTCGGGCCTCCGCCGTTTGTCTTTGGCCATATGTTAGTGCTCTAAAGTATCGGAATGATTCCAGGATGGTGAATTTGTGATGACATAACATTTTCACACACGTCGGGGAGCGCGTCTACGATGAATTGTGCTCCCGCTCCTCACTTCGCTGTGCTGTACCATCCTAGCAACCCCAAGGCTCTGCTCGAACATTCGGAGAAATGTTCGCCACTGCCATCCGATGCTCCAAAGCCTCTCGTCGCCCTCTAACTTCGAAGCAGGCGAACAAAGATTTCTACAAAGGTTCATATCATCCGTTTGCTGGAGATACTTGCCCATAACTCATGGCCCCTTCCCACAGGGACGAGACAGGCGTTTCTACCAGGTGGTCACCGCACAGGCGCACCTGGTGTACATGTCATTCGAGGGAAGGCGAAGTATCGTCTTGTTGACGAAAAGGTCCGCGTTTTTGTCGCGCCACCAATAGCGGAAATCGAATCATCACCAGTATGTCCATACACTCTGCTTTCACGAACACTTAATGAACCATTTGGCCTCAGTTGAAGCCGTATGTATCCACGCGAGTCAGGCTGACGAAGCCAGAAACTCGAGTGGTGTACGGAAAGCTACCCCCGCAAGGTGTTACTGGAGCGCATCTACTAGAAGTTTCGCGGGCGCGTGCCGAAGCTGAATCTTCGAGTGGACCAGGTTCATTCCTTCCGTGGAGACGGTAGATGGATTGTACTTGTGGGTGGGCTGGGGGGGCAACGCAGGGTACAGTGCCTACTGAATATCTTCCCGACGAATCCCTCTATACGTTCATACCTTCTTGCCAATGCTAGATATAATCGCACAAGACTCAATATATTTCGACGGGCCTACTCATTCGGAATTCACCCCCTCCCCGTCCATGAAATATCTCAGAGGAAGGACCTGTCACTGCTCATTTGTGTGTACAGTTGATTACACGTTCAGTAGGTTTTGAATTTCATTACTATCTATTGTACAGGAACCACGTACGCGTAGATATATTTAACGCAGAAAACCAAGGCGGGCCGTAGATAGGCAAAGATGGATCGGAAGGAGTACACTACTAATTAGTATCGTCCTCAGCCTTGGCCTTAACATCCTTCGCCTCCGCCCCGTTCGCTTCATCATCGTGTTTTCCGTTCACTGCGACATCGTCCACTGCGATATTGTTCTTCTTCTCATCAACAATATCCGTATCGTTGGACAGATTGGTAGTCCTTGGAGCAAAGCTCTCAGCTAGAGAGCTTACCGTAGTCAACGCCATATCAAGGACCGCTTCCACGCGTTTGCGCAACCCCTCGTTAGGACTAGTAACCTCCTGAATGGAATGTTAGAGTCTCGCCACCGTCGTAGACTGTAAACGCAAATTGACGTACCAATGTAACAAGGTTGATTTGAGCATCAGCTTCGTCTAGGTTTACCAGGAGCGAAGGTTCGCCCCCGCCTTCTTGTTCTGCGTCCGCTTCCTCTTCAGAGGGATCCGGCATGTGGAGTTCCACTTCGCCGAAGTGCGCCTCGAGGAACATGGCCAGTCGTTGAATACGTATTACATCGGAGGATTCATGGTGAACGTCCGCGTGCGGGTGTTCGTGATCGTGTTTTGAGTGTGAATGCGGTTGGGTGGTTACTGGCAAGAGAATCAGTACGGCGCTTCGTAAGTAGAGAAGAATATATCAATGTCGTACATTTTACGGAGGCAGGGCTCCTGTCAATTCCGGTTATGAGAGTCAGTGTTGAATCTGCGATCATATCGTTGCTTGCACTTGAGTCCCACTCGATCGTGAGTTCATGCTCCTGGGTGTGCTTCACATCCACAACGCCCATAACCTGTCAGTAAAGAACTCAAATCAGCAAACAAATCCACTTTATCATACGAGGTGCACTAACACGCAGCGTAGGCACGCCCTGCTTGTCCGACCCTTCTTCAACACTCCCGTACATCCCCTCGAGATGCCATTTGACAAGCTCCCAACCAACACCCAGCGCGATCTTCTGCTTCTGAATGACACTGCACGTCGAGAGACCCGCGAAGTCTTTGAGGTCGCGCGGGTCGAGAAGCGTGTAGGAATAGTCCTTTGCGACCAACAAACCGGAGATAGTGTCCCCCGAGCTGGGCGTTTTGTCGGCCAATGTACCGATGGCCTATTGGGGAGGTTATACACCGTGCTTACGGCGACTGCAGTTTTGGCTTACCTTCGCCACCCTCTCGCCACGGAAGGAGAGTTCTAGTGTCTCAAGGTTACGTGGGGTATGTATTTTGACGTCTTCGTCGCGATCTTTGTACCTAGCTGTCATTGCTGCTCGGAGGCGACCCATGTTGTTTTGTTCGCCGTGGACAAGGACCTAGTACATACCGTGGTGAGTGGTACGAGTAACCACACAGGGAAATCACATACGACATGTTGAGCCTTGATTAGCTCTATGAATTCGGAATTTTGGGAAAAGTCGACGTGGGCGCTGAACGAGATATAGTCGACCGAGATCTTCCTCGGGATAGTATGTCCCTTCAAAGTGGTGAACTCTTCCGGTTCCGTCAGAATGTCCTGAGAAGAGCAGAGTCGTGCATGAGTTCCGCGGTCACACGTTGAGAGAAAACGCTCAGCAATGCGAGGTATGGTGGTATGGGGAAAACTGTCCATTCATTCACGGTATATACAACGGATATGGTGATGCAAAGTAGATAACCACCGCCACCCATAAACGCCGGGCCACTTACCCTCGCTGGAGTTCCTTCGATGGAGTAACCGGTGATGATCAGGCCATTCCTCCAATCCGGTGCCCAGAGCTCGAACAGTTCACGGCTTGAACCGGTTTGCATAAATCCGGGACTGGCGAGGACGACGCATGGAGGGCCTTCGGCGATCTTCTTTTCCCAGCCGCGGCTCTGAGGGACATTCGAGATATGTCTGGCGTTGGCGCATGAGTATCATTAGGTATAGAGCGCGGGGAGAGCTTACTTGAAAACGAAGGGGTTGTCTCGCTTAGCGAAGCGCGTCCGGATGTTTGAGTTCATAGTGTGGATATATGTTTGATAGACCGCCATACATTTCCGCGCAAGGCTGGAAGCGTAGTAGATGGGAACATTGTGGAGTTCGGGGTGCTTTTTCCAGTACTCGTCGAGAATAAGCAGCAGTTCTTGAGCTCTACCAAGCGCGAATGCGGGCAATAAGACATGGCCTCCTCTTCGGATAATCGAATGTACTAAGCTCGTGAAACGCAGCTCCTTTTCGTCCCTCGGCTCCAAGCTCTGCACACCGTATGTACTTTCCACGATGAGAACGTCGGGTCGCACGGGCGGTATTTCGGCTTTTACCAAGTGGCGGTCCTCTTCGCGAGAGTAGTCGCCTGTGTAGAGAATGCGGAGTCCAGCGATGTCAATCAAATACATACAGGCTCCCAGAACGTGGCCGGCGTGGTAAGGGGTGAACGAGACTCCAGGGCACGGAGTGATCAGTTGGTGGGCAGAGATAGGGATGATGGACGAGAGGGACATTTGCATGTCGAGCGGCGAGAACAGGGCATCGGATGAGGATGAACTAGACCCCATTGATCTGATGAGCCGCAGCAAACAGTAAGAAGTACTCACCTCATTCGCACAAAGTCCTGCATCATGAACTTGTGCACGGCTTTGGTAGGATGGGTCATGTACACCTTTCCTTTACCATCCCTAAAATTAGTCTATCATTGTCCGTCAGAAAAAGCTTTAACGATAGATTGTCCAAGTAACCTTTTCCGTGATATATGTGAGCGCCGCGGCGTGATCCAAGTGAAAACTAGTAGCAACTGTTCAGATCGTGTACTCATATCGCAAAGTTTCTTACTGTGTTATGAGAAGAGCATCAACGGTACTCCAATCGAGCTCGTCGACGAAGGGCAGCGATGCCATGCCGCTGTACGCCGGATGAACGCCTGCATCACAAACAATGGTCTTTCCTCGATATTGCAAAACGCAGCATGAGCGTCCGACTTCTTGTCCTGCACCCAACAGCGTCACGCTGAGTTTGAGCGAGTCGGCCATGGTGGTTCAGTACAGACTGCTCGGTGTCTCAAACCACTGGCCGCTGCGTGACAAGAATACGTGACAATAAAGGGCACGTGAGCAGGTCCTAGTCTCCTAGGAGAACTCAGGAGTACAAGTAGAAATCGGGTACTCACACCAATAGTCGTGGCTACCGGTTCTGGCTGAGAATCAGGGATCGCGAGAAATAACCCCCACGTTTATCGTCTTGTTCAACTAGAAAGCTCGGGAGCCATTGTAGGTAGGCGCACCTCACGCCAAACTGCCAACCCCGCCGGATGGCGAGCTCGAGGGGCTCGGGCACTGCAACACCCACCGACCCGGCTGACAGCAGCAGGCATTACCAAGATGTACATCGCCCAATGCGATAGGAAGCGCAGCTTTGCCAGTAGCAGTACAAGTATAAGAAAGTGGCTTCCTTCCCACAGAATGACCGTCAGAGTCCCATTCCATCAAACCCACTGCCATCGCGTCGGACCCACAAGAACTTTAACTCTCTTCACTACTATCGCACTCCGCATTGAAGTTATTCAGTAGAAAAATGGCTAACGAGCGAGTCTTGGTATGTACTGCAGGAATGTATGCATAGTTCCAGGCCCCTGACGTAGATTCTATAGATTACAGGCGCATCGGGTTACCTTGGTTCGCACATTGTGCAAGCCCTCATAAATTCGGGATACAACGTTCGGGCGTCAGTTTTGTTTCCTGCATCTATGCACCTGTGATGCTGATCTCCTCCTAGCACCGCGCGTCCAGCGAAAGTTGCAGACTTACAAGCTGCGTATGATGCCGAATACAACACGAATAGCTCGGACAAGGCCCAAGTCGTAGCGACATCCGACTTGGTGCACGGCGTATTCCCCGAGATCTTCGAGGGCATCGACGCACTCATCCACGTCGCGTCTCCTCTCCCGGGACGCGAAGAGCCAGCGGCGCTGATCGACGTCGCTGTCGAAGCGACCCAGAACATCTTGCGACAGGCGGAGAAGGCAGGCATCACTAGAATCGTGGTTACCAGCTCGATTGCCTCGACGCGGAAGGCATCGCCGGACCCGGGTGCCTTGGTGTTAGATACAGGTAGGTCATCTTCACTGAGAGTTGACTAAATGGAGGCCAACGCTAGTTCTCGGACAGACTGGAATACGACCACGAAGGAGGCTGCGCTCAAAACAGGGAACCCGCTTCTTATATACGCTACGTCGAAGACATATGCCGAAAGAGCAGTCTGGGAATTCGCAGACGCACATCCTCATGTTGACATCACAACACGTACAGTTTCCACTGCTTACTTTTCGACGTCGACATTCACTAATTCTCACATTATTCAGTGAACCCGCCGTTTTTCTACGGGCCATTTGCTCCAACTCAGAAGTTCCCGACGTTTGATGCCTCTGCTCTATCCACGGCCGGGATGCTGTATCGACTCCTATCACCCGATGGTCCGTATCCCCCGAACGCTGACCACATCGATGTCCGAGACGTAGCGAAAGCACACGTACTCGCCCTGAAGTCTCCTCCTTTCTCAGTTGTCGGGCGCAAGCGCATCATCATCGCTTCCCCTCACGGATTGAATTTCGCAAGCCTCGTCGACTTCATCGCCGAGAAACGACCAGCCTTGAAAGACAGATTGACAGGGAAAGCTCCGCCGAAGCTGGATAGAGACAGGGTGTCTCTTGACTTTTCTCGAGTCGAGCAGGTCCTTGGCTTGAGGAAGAGTGACTTCCACAATCTGGAGGACACACTTCTGGAGACAATTGATCAACTACTGGTACTCGAGGCCGGGTGGAAGGCTTCGAAGCTATGAGTATGAACTACTGAGCTACATACATTGCACCTTTCTTGTATAATATTTTACCTGGCCTTGGGCCAACAAGCTATGCATTGCAGAAGACGATACCTTCACCCCTGTTCCCCTGTTCCCCCTGTTCCCTTACCCGAGTTCTGTGGCGCCCCTTCTGTGCACTAAACTACGACGAGCACTAGCCTCAGTAGCACAACGAATTGCCAGCTCGATGGGATCTATTGCGAAATGTAGCGTTTACAGCCAACGCTTTTCCCTTCAGCTTCCATCGCCATTATGTCCGAGTTGCTGGCTTTGGTACTGTACATCGCGACGCTGGGATTGACGGGGAGTATCTGCGTCTCGGCCGCTTTCTTGCCTATCCTGAATCGAGGATGCAGCCAATCTCTGGAACATGCTCTCGTCAGTACCTCTTCAGAAATATAAGTGATTCTTGATTAACTCGGGATACAGGCTGCTGCTCGTCGGCTGCATTCTTACTACGATAAAGATCGCGGAATGTACAGCGAGAACTATTACCAGTGGACAGACAGTGTACGAAACGTCGCGACAACAGTCTACAAGTGACTTCGAGCTGACTTCCTTGCGGAACACATAGAATGCACTCGAGGATGTCCAGAACCTCATGCTACTCTCGGGAAGTGACGCCTACCGCGAGACCTCAGAGAGTTCATATCTAGCTCGCGCAGCGCTTGACCCTGGGACGGACTGGAACAGTTGGCTGGGGAAATATAATGATGACACTCAGGTGAGTTGGTTTCCTCGTCTCCTCGAATATTCAGTTGCATATACATCGAATACCAGTGGCACGTCTTGTCTCTATGGAGGATGTCTGACTATAGACGTAGGAGGGGTAGCGATCCACGGCCGTATCTAGTGAGTTTGCATACATACCCCCAAAATCTGATCTTGACGGCTCTTTGAGGCTGCCGCCGAGCGTATGTATGATATAATATCGGCTCATTGGGACGACGAGTGCGGAGGAGGCTGTAAGTGATTTACCCTTCTGATAGGCTTTGATGTTCACCCTCAGAAGTGTGGTGGACGACCGAACACACGTATAAGAACGCGATCACCAATGAGCAGTTCCTGCTCCTGTCTGCTGCCGGGTATCTGAGAAATCATAACCAAACGTACTTGGACAATGCGAACAACGTCTGGCAGTGGCGTGAGTCCTACCCTCTCGTTTCTCCGTGGTACTGACTAGAACCCCGGGGAAACAGTACGGCACTCAGGGATGCGGAACCACCAAGGTCTATTCAATGATGGACTCAATTTCACTTCGTGCCATAATAACGGTCAAGTGGGTTTCTCTTCGCTTTCACATTCGCACTCCACTCATAGATGTCCCGATAGACAACCTGGACGTACAACCAAGGCCTCGTAGCATCTGGGTTGGGGGCCCTATCCGCGGCGACTGGAGACAAGGCTTTGCTCGACGAGGCGGAGATTACTCTGGATGCGACAATAAACCACCTGACTACCAATGGTATTCTGCGCGAGACATGCGACAAAGACACGAACGAAGGCAAGAACTGTGATGGCGATCAGGTATGCCACCTCTCGCTCCCCAGCGGACCCATGACACGCTGACGTTCCCTGGGAAGCAAATTTTCAAGGGCCTGTGGACAAAGCACCTCATGTATTATTTGGAATTTGCGAACGAGCCGCATCGCGCGCAGAAGTATTCGCAATTCTTGGGTGCTCAATCAGCCGCGATATATCGCCACGCTACGAATACCACCTCAGGTGACATTGGTTCCGTGTGGTATACTCCGAATCAGGTAGGTGTGTTTGTTTCATCGCTAGGTCGAGCTGACCAGATCACCCCGCGCAGGCGGGTTCCATCTTCTCGTACAAAACAGTGACAAGCGGACTCGCGGCCCATATAGCCGCTGCGAAGTACGGCGCATGCTAGCCACCTGTTTAGAGAAGCATGTATATGACACTGCCGTGTTCTGGCCGTATAGAGACACATCCACCGAAACTCCAAAGCACATGTTCAGTCCGTGAGAAGGTACGAGCGAACAGGACAACCTACATCATTGTAGCATGCGACATGCAACTACGTTAGCCGTATGCAAAGCTTCTGCGCCTCTTCTTTGATACTAAACATCTCCCAAGCACGTATATATATAATCAAAAAATGTGGGTGTATGCGCGACGAGAGGACCACGATGCCTATGTTATTCATTCGCGCGTTGCAGATACTTTGCGTAGCTGTGAGCTTAGCTTTCGTTCGGGCCAGTCCTTTGGAGCCTCGACAATGCGCGGCCACACTCGACCTTGCCTCTGTAAGCACAACGATGACTCGGCGGACTACTGCATGCTGATCAGTGCCTTGAGTAGGTTGTTGCTCACCGCCTTCAGGATCATTACTATAATCCAAGCTCAGGCGGATACAATGGGGGTTCTTTGTGGACCGATGCTGTATGCATTCATCCGTTCTCTCATTGGCTTTACACTCAGAATTGTGGATCACAGAACACCTTCGAAGACCTTCATAACCTCATGCTTGCGAGTGGGTCGAACGACTTCTCCTCCATTGCGGATGGCACCTTCCTTGGAAGGGCTGCTCTCAACCCATCCACCAATTGGAACAACTTCATCGGAGGTAGCTTTGATGACGCGCAGGTGCGGTATATCCTCCGTCCCTTGTTACATACCAATTGCTAATCATATCCTATATGGGCGCCTCCCTCTTCGGTACACTTTCTATTCATGGCGCGTCCTCATTGCAGTGGTTTATCCTTGCATTATGGAAGATCGCCGATTTCAAGGGTGCTCGGGGACTCGACAACAGCGCTTACCTGGTAAATCATGATTTCTCGCTCAAGCTCTAGCCTCTCGCCCTTCGATGTGCTCGCCTTTTTCATTTTGCTTCACAGCATTCATTACCGTCCAATCAACGGAGAGTGGCTCACTCCGAAAGCACATACTTACTCGCTTCTTTCTCTAGACATCGGCAGCTAAGATATACGACATCATCGCCAATCAGTGGGATGACCATTGCGGCGGCGGCGGTATGTACATACAGCGATTCTCGCCTCGAGCCGCGCTTCTGACCCTCTGCTTCCTTGCGCCAGTGTGGTGGTCATCGGCGCGCACCTACAAGAACGCGATCACAAATGAACTATTCTTACTCACATCAGCATCAGGATTTCTCAGAAACAGGCAGTTGACCAACTACCTCGATAATGCCAAAAGGGTTCGTGATCATAAGCCGTAATTGCTCCGTCACTTATCACTTCACTGCCGTTAGGTCTGGAACTGGTGTATGTTAGCCATTACATACGCTGCCATACTCGATCAACTAATGATGGTATCGATCAAGTGAAAAATTCCGGTATGCGCAATGCAGATGGCCTCTTTAACGACGGTATAGACTTCAACACTTGTGCAAACAATGGGCAGGTGGGAACCTCATAAACTCCCTCGAGGCGTTCTAATAATAGCTCCGAAAGACGACATGGACCTACAACCAAGTACGCACCGCACCCACCCAATCGGAGGACTTAATTTAAGCATTTGGTCATAGGGAGTCATCGCTTCAGGTCTGGGCGCGTTATTCGCGGCAACTGGAGACAGAACCCTACTGGACGAAGCAGAAATTACGCTGGATGCGACGATACGTCATCTTTCGACAAATAACATCCTGAGGGAGTCCTGCGACAACGCGGCCTCGGGTGGTCCAGTCTGCAATCAAGACCAGGTAATTGTCGTCCAGAACGTGCGCACTTCATTGTTAATCTTCTTCACCCATATATCAGCAAATATTCAAGGTAGAACACCGTGCTTTCGCTGATTGGCTCTTAGCGAATGCTTAAACGCTGTTAGGGCATCTGGACGAAGCATCTGCAATACTACCTGGACACTGCTAATGATGCCGGTCGAACGGCCAAATACGCTGCATTTTTGGGATCTCAGAGCTCCGGCGTCCTTCACTTTGGGACCAGTGCGAGCAAGGATGTTGGCTCCGTGTGGTATGCGCCTGACCAGGTACGCGAACCTGTTGACTCTTCCTTGCATTGAAGTCATGATGGCCTACACGGTCACAGGGAGGTTCCATATTCACGCCAAAGACATCAGCGAGTGGACTCGCCGCACATGTCGCCGCTGCCAAGTATGCTCCTTGTTAGTTGTTAGTTGACTGTATACTACCCTACCCGAATGAGAAGTACAAGATAAATAAGTGTCAAGAGGTATAAAATAGTGATATCCAGATATTAGTGCCTGCCGCCTGGGTCCTTTATTCGTCCGTTGTACTTTCTGCCCTCTCCCGTCGGTGGAAATGCGTATTGGTAATAGGCGTCGTGGGTTCCTCCATTTCTTCGATGGTTTCAGCTTCCAACCCTTTCCATTTGACATCATTGGCGTTGGCCCCATTCAAAGCCCGTTCCAACACTGAAGACAAATATAAACCATTTGATATGAGAAACCGGGTTGGCGATCACTGACCTTTCTCCCCCCGTTTCTTCAGTCGCAGAGACATAGCTGCCTGAAGAGAGTCTATGTAGGAGTCGTACTTGACGATCTCCTTCAATAAATACTGCGATTTCCTCTCCCAATTGCTCAGAGATTTCATAGCATTCGCGCTGCGGGGTTGATACTAAAGGGAATTTCCGTGAGCAGCGCACAAGAACGACCTAGACACCAACTTACCAAGGCAGCCATTGGTTCCCGAAGTTCATTATGCTTTTGCAAATCAGCCTTCATCGACGCCACATGTTTTCCGAGGGCTTCTAGCTGGGTCTCTTCGTCATGCAGACTTGAGACAGTGGGCGGCATGGGTGGTTTCCAATCATTGATGAAGATGCGATCGACGTATGGGGAACTAGCAGCTCTGACAGTGTTCGAGCCTTCTTTCCATCCGAACCGGCTACGCGTGCTGCGCCCGCTGCGTACACTCATCGCATCGGAATAATCCTGTTGGGCGGCCGGGTCGTTATCTGATACAGAACGTCCGTGGCTGGGTTCGAGAACGCGGTTCCAGCCGTATTCCATGTTCGACACTCCTCCCGCAAGGGGCTCTTTACTTGTCCGAGCAGCCCAGTAGTTGCAAGTCGAGACCCACTCGTTGACGAGCTCTTCTGTACCGGCTTGGAAGAAGTAGACACCCCCGTTGGATAGTGTAAGGACCATGCAATGAGGGCGCTGCTTGTTGTATCCGGGTGGTGGTAACGCATGCGACAGGGAATGCGATAAATCAACACAACCGACAAGATTAGCGTTGGTCTTGAGAGAGCGATGGAAGGTTAGCCACAAATGTAACTGTGACAAAAGAAGACGTACCAGCCAATTGCCTCCACCAACCACACCGCCGCCCCCTCCACCAGCACCACCAAAAGTGAACATGTTGAGCTCGCCCTTCTGAATGACAACAAACACGTCCAACCATGCCTTATCCTTCGCCCGCTTGCTCGTAGACTCCCAGTACTGCTTCCTGCACAACCTGCCTTCCTTTGCCCACGGCGGTCCAAGTAGCGCGAGCTCCTCGTCAGTTATACTGATCATCGTTGAACCGGATTCTTGACTGTGTAAACTATGATCATCGTCTTCCCGGGCCTCCTTAATAATAGTATGGGAGAGGTTGGACGCGAATCCGAGGGTTGGCGTGAGGAAAGTGGAACTTCCGGTCTGTTAGCACGTCAGCTACTGCTACAAAAGACCTGATAGCATCTCGATAAACTCACATCGTGAGCCGAAGTTGCGAAGCTAGGCGAAGGGCTTGCTCGACCGTCGATACTACTATTGCTACTATACGGACTGATGCCCGCTTGAGCATTGAGTATGGATTGCAACCCGCGTATGCTGCCTCGCTTTAGCGTCGCAAGTCGGTCAGGTTGACTACGAAGGCTTCGGTTCCTCAACATGGCTGCACCAGGACTCAGGGAGGATACGGATGCACGACCTGCAATTGGTTGAAGGATCTGTTGACTCTTCACCGAGTTGTACATATCCTATATGTCGAACATGCATCAGTGAAATTCCGGAGGTTGCGATATATTAATACTACCTTGAGCAGGTTCTCCATATCGGCCTCCCAGGTACGCCCATACACCGAACCGACATCCGGTGTACGTTGTTGGCTGCTGTGTAAAGAAACTTGGACCGATGGAGTGCTTCCATTCGAATGATGTCCCGGAGACGCTGCCATGGCCGCTTCTTTCGAAACGCTATTCCAGCTTGTGATACTGTCGCTCCGCTTCGTACGAGCAATAGTGTCAGCGTCCGAACCTCGCATACTACTACCGCTGTCATCATACGCCAAATCAGAGGTAGAAAGTTGTTCAGGCGGTTGAAGCTGCATCTGGATTGTTCCAAGGGTATTGCGGACGAACTGAGAACGCGACATATGGGTGCTCAGTTCGGCAATGTGCAAGTCCGTGTTAAGAAGCAGAAGGGAATAGGTGACGGCATGAACAACACCTATCATTGAGTTTAGTCACAGAAGGCAAAGGGGAGGAGAAACTCATACTAGCACTGCCAAACATGGTGGCAGGATTGCAGTCCCAGTATCTTCTGCTGAACTCATCGAGAATTCGATCAACTTGCTGAGTCTCGGCTTTCAAGTACAGTTTAGCACATAGTCGTCTAATTAAACTTGTCAGGGGGATGGAATTGCGCTAGTGCTGATACTGACCTGAAAGCCATGTCCAATCGCAGTGTCGCGAAGTCGAAGAAATCCATGTAATAATGAAGAACGAGCTTGTTTATCCGCCCTCTGCAGGGTGTCAAGGCGACGAATTTGAGAGAATGGACATCACTTACGTCCCACCAAGCCACTCTGCGATTTTCTCCTTGGCGAGGAACTCTTCATCTTCAGCCCAGCATTTGTTAGCTAAATCTCGAGCTCGCGCTTCCAGAGTTTCAGAATCGTCGTCCTTGGTAGGCGAAACCGTGGCCGAAGCAAATCTCTTTAACGTTAAGTCATTCACCCCAAGCTCGTTCCGCGATTCCTTCGAAGGTGTTCCAAAGTACGACGACCGTCTGAGAGTCACAGACTTCTCTAAGTCAGCTCTGTCGAAGTTACGCGGGTCATCTGAAATGGGTATAAGGGAGGGCTCTGAGCTCGACGCCGTCGACCGATGCTGCACTCGTAATTTATTCCGAATAGGTGTCTGGGGCGCGGTCCCCAATATCGTTCCAGTTTTGGATGTGAGTGGACTGTGGGTTCTTCGTGCTGACACCCGGGGAGAACCTGATCCACTTGTGGCGGATCGCACGCCGGTATACAACGAGGAGGAGCGAGGGGGAATTATTGGAGAGGTGGTCGGGGAAGGGGGCTCATCTTGGAGGACTTCAGACTGGGAGAGCTTCACGGTGGGCAATGCAAAGGAACTCGGGGCAGTCTTAGCCTTCTGAGGGGGAGGGCGGATGTCTTCACGAGTATTAATGCGATCCGTATGGCCCCTTGTATATGCGGCGCGTCTAGCAGGAGTAGAAGGATCTTTAAGGTCTAAGGACGAGCTGGGGGAAAATGGATCTAACTGAGATAGTTGACCTTTGAAATCATCTAGAATGCCATGCAACGAATCGTCCCAATTTTGCTTTGGCCCTTCCTTCTTTGATGTTGATCGAGACGGTGTTGGTAATGGAGTAATTGACGACGACGCAGCCATAGCGGTCTTGAGCTCGAACTCGCTGACGCTCATGCTTCTACGCTTGTTATGTACTAGAGTTTTCGAAGTATCTGTCGATTTGTCATATGTTACAGGCTCGGGAGATGGGGCGCGTCGGGGCCGAGGAGCTGGCTCAGGAGAGGGTGCTCGAATGGACTTCTCAACAAAGACCATGGATTTATCATCCATGTCGTCGTCGTCGTCGTCCTCAGGGTCGGCTTTGGTGGGCGAGGCGCCTATGATCGGCGGGAGTGGTTTAGAAAGGTCGGGCGAGCCGATACGAGTGGGAGACTCTTCTCTTGCTCTAATAGGTGTCTGTTGGATACCAGGGGGCAAGGGTGGGACAGGAGGCGAATTTGCAAACGGATTCGTGAAGAAGACGGATGATGGCGTCGTTGGAGGTGTTGCATCAGTTTTCTGAAATGAAATTCAGCAACTGATGACACTACGATGATAAGGAATGAAGGCGCACTGATCGTTCCCGTACTGTATTCTGCCCCAGAACCTTTCCTAGAAATGCACTCGTTTTGGCCCTCATCGACGACTGGGACAGAAGTAACCATCAGATGCGCTGGTGATCGTAAAAAACACTTTACATACTTTCGCACCACCACTCTTCTTTTCCGGTGAACCCCGTGCCTGTGGACTCGTTAAAATCCACTCAGGACTCGTCGGCAGCGCCTTCGACTTCCCCTTGTTGTCTCGCGATCCGAAAGTGTTTGCCTCGCCGGGGTTTTTGAAGGAGGACGTGGAGGAGCGAGAACGCGTCGCGGTGGAAGGTCTGTCAAATGTGGCAGCTGGCTTGAGCTTGTCGCTTTTACCTTGCAACGCTTTGTCTTTCGCCTTGGCCTTTCTCATAAGCGTGGCTAGGTCTGGGCTGCTGGACGTCCCAGGGGACCTGTACAACGACCTTCGATTCGTTTGTCTCGAGTCGCTGTCGTCTCCACCAGACTCATTGACCAAGTCTTGGGCTGAAGAACCATTTGAGCCACCAGTCAAGGGTTTTGCAGACGACGGACCAGCTATTGGAGACGGCGTAGGAGGAATGATGGTTGGGGTTGATGGCTGCTGAGTCGGACGACGCGGTGTCGTTTTCGGAATCTTCGTCTCTCTCGGCGACATGGCAGGGGAATCCAGCATACTTCTATTCATTGGACTGTCCATACCCATAGCACTAACGTCTGGTCCCTCCTTCAGCTTGACAGTCCCTTCGCCTCGCAGCGCCTGCTCGAAATCAAGGTCAGTCCTTGAGGCTCTCCGGTGCAAATCTCTTTGGCCATGGTCAAGCGAGGTTACAGGCTGCAGCCCTGGCGCATACGAGTGGTTGGCCGCAGATCTCGGCAGCGGCGCATGTTGGCGAAATATGGACGCCAGGATGGGCAAAAAGTCGAAAGATAAAAGAAGCAATACGCTCACATCCACGATGTGGCCAAGGGCGTTTCACAAACAGAGTGATATCACGGATTAGGAATGTCATTCCCACGAGTGGTAAAACATACAACATAGGATTCGCAGGCCGGGTTTGCGGCTGGTATATGGGAGTCCAAAAAATGGGGGGCCATGAAGAATGATGCGGGAAGAGACCTAATGTTTGCGAAGGAGAAGAGAAAGTAATAATCTAGGGCATGTGGCTTCCGAAACTACGTATTGCGCAGAAGCGAGAAAATGTGACATGAACACAGCTGAATACTATCTTAGAACTAGTAGTACATCTAGGGTAACCTTTAACATTGTAAAAAGCACAATATGTAGGAATCAAAGCAGGCAGTACGCATATATACTGCAGGTGTATATATCAGTCAGCCTTGCGAGACGAGGTCGTCGCAAGGGTAGTCATTTGCAAAGTAGTTGAAGTCCGTCTCTGACGTTTCATACCTAACGCTCCAGGTGCGGCGACGGGGGAAGTAGGTCCACCACCTCCGCGAGCGCCCTGCACAGGGCGGGTACTTGAGAGACCAGATAGATGGGAACCAGATGCAGATCGAGGGCGAGTAGATGATGACGCGATCTTGGGTAGTCCAGCGTTTCCTTTACGGGAACTGCTGCTTGGGGCGCCAGAAGCACGATTTCTGAAGGCACACTTAGCAATGAGTGGAGCGAGAGTGCATCCAAAAAGCGCACCTCTTCTTGATGATGTCCGTCTTCAGCGATAACGGACGAACTACGCCGTGCAGTTTCTGTGAGAGGAAGTTGAGTTTACACGATCAATTGAAGCCATGGAAGGAAACGTACGTAGAATAGCCCACAGGCGTTACCTGACATCAATCATCAGCATTAGAATAGACCTGCCAAATTATTGACGGAACAACTCACAAAGGGGTTGTCCTTCGGGATCCCGGCGCCACAACGGTGTGTTTGTTGTGTGGCAATTCGTACATGATGTTGGGGTACTTTCCCCATCCTCACTGCCGCTCTTCGTCGTATGGCCGCCGTTCCCACTATCGCCTAGCTCCGGCGTACTACTTGATGATCTGAGCTCGCTAGATGAGGCGCCGTTCCCCAGCCCCGTCGGTAATGATTTCTGCTTCTGCAGCTCAGCAATGCCGCCCAAACTACCCTTCACGGCCACATGCTTGCGCTGAAGGTGCCGTAATTGGGTATTTGGCGTATTTGTAGCGGTTCCACCGCCCTCTGTCGATGGCGGTGAGGAGGCATTCGAAACTGTATACGGCTCCGGCGATGCGTTAGATGAGGACGCAACGCCGTTACCCCACCCGTCGCTTGACGGGCTCTCGTGGAAGTTGACGAAATTAGGTCCTCCATCCGTTCCATCAAGAGACAGAATTTGCTGAGGGTCGACATGAGTGTAGGGGGATTGACTGAGGGAACTCGAGGCGTATAATGACGGATCGCCAAAGCCCAATAGTTGGCGGTAGTCAATGACAGGTTCGTCAACGGTAGCGAGATTGGCGGCGTTGAGCTGCGCGTAGCCTTCAGCCATGGCAGCCGAGGCGGCGGCCGCAGCAGCAGAAAGACCGTCGTTGCCTGAAGACGGGGAGCCCACCACAGGAAAGCTGCTAGCGCTCACTGTGGAGGTGCGCGTTGACTGGGAGTAGTTGCCCTCGCCCGTCGATCCACCAGGTTGACCCATCGAACCGTTCAAATCAAGGAAATCGTACGAGTGGAACGAGAAGTTGAACGACGACGATGGGAATGAGGTCGTGCTTTCAAAGTGGTCCGGTTCTCGAGAGCTTTGCAACTGGGACTGAGATTTAACTGTGGGAGGATCAGCACGTAACATGCTCTCCGCATGAGGTGCTTCAGCGCGTCTCTTTGTACCAATCAGACTGTCGGGTGAAATTGGTTTCCCGTTAACCTGGTGCCTGCCTCCCAACCCTACGATGACGCCCTCTTTGGAAACAGTGTGATCAAAACTCGTCTTGCGAACGTGTCGGGGGAACGTGCGACTCTCTTGCGATATCTGTCCTACCGATGACGGTATCCGCCCGAGGCCGCTAAGCCCAAAGGACGGTAAGGAAGATGGCGCAAAATTCGGACTATTCACGGCAGACAGGGTTGGATTGTAACTGCTGCCAGGGAAGAAGCGTCCTTGGTCTGAACTATCGAACAGGCCCGCATTGGGGTCGGACGGATCCTCATAAACTGAAGCCAACTCCGAACGATGCGGTAGACTTGAAAATGGACTCCGTCTCCCAGCAGATATCGGCGCAGTACCAGGAATAGGAATCCCGGGCGACGTCGAAACCTCCTTGGAAAACCGATACTGTGAGTCAGTTTTCTGCGAGTCGGGCATCGAGTTGACGTTGCCCAGAGACGGGAAGGTATATCGACCATCAACGTTACTTGAATTCGAGGCACTCTGATCTTCGTACGTCATCCCTGGCGGTGGTCTTGATCGGGATCGGCTAGTAGGTCTCCAGTCCATGGATATCCGGGAGCGGGACCTACTCATCGCACGCCAGTCCATAGGAACAACACTGGAACACAAGATATATGATCAGTTCCTTTTCTTAACCAAGCGCAACGTACTCGTCATCTTCGTGGCCATCTTGGTTGGTTCCATCAAACCCTACGACACGCACTCTCGTTGTTCCTTTATCAATCCTTCGCCCCCTCTCATCGCCCCCTCTATCCTCGGCCAGGGACTCGTCTGAATGGCGAGGAGGCTCCTGTGTGCCCGCCTGTTCGGGTGATTCGGTTGCCGCAAGCCCCTCGGAGTTCTCACTCAAGAGCTTCATCTCTTCTTCTTTCTTCTTACGCATCGTTAAGGCCATCATTCTCCAAGTGAGGTTTTCCATTCTCTGGGCATGGGGAAGTGTCGCCTTTGTGCGAGCGTACATCTTCCAAACTTGGGTTGCCAGTGGATCATCTTTGGCCAACTGCTCTGGATCGGCCGCTGAATCAACGTTTGAAAGATACTGCAGGTCGGGAGAGCCGGATATTCGGGGTGATGTAAACGGACTCGTGGCATTGTCAGAAAGGGAAGACAAAATCTCATCAGAGAAGATATCGGTGAATATGGTGGACTTTGTATCCGCAGAGGGAGAAGCAGGGGTGGTGGGTGATTGGGTAAACGAGGCGCGGGTGGTAGTCGAGGAACCAGCATCTGGTGTAATAGACGATGGGGGGTGATTTAGTGGACCGAAGGTCGATGTTGACGGGGTTGTGGACGCAGGGGACATCCAAAGCGAGGGAGGCAGCCCGATATTTGGACGCTCACCTGAGTAAGGCCCAGTGTTGTAGCTCGAAGTGTAAGAATAGTTTGCGGGGTTTGATGGGAGGCCATCCTTCCCTGATGAGTGATATTGCATTGATGCAATACCAGAATTACCTTTCTGCGAGGCAACATTAGCAGAACCCCTGAGGTGGGGTTGCTGACGTCCAGTGTTTCTCGGTTCGTCAACTGCCAAGTCAGTGATGAGAGCGGAACGGCGGAGGAGCGAAGAAGCGGTCGAGTATGGCAAGGACGTACCATTTGCACCTTTCGATTTGGAGTACTGCACGCTATTGGACGAGTTGGATCGCGGTATGGATGGCTTGTGAGAAGGGGGGTAGGGTGGTGTCGCAATGTACGGAGATGTCGCCTGGGACCAAGACGAGGCCGCAGAAAGCGACGGCTGGAGATTCACGTCCAGAGGGGGAACTTGCGGGCGATGTCCTGGCTGGTAGTTATTGTGAAACGAGTTGGCGGGGAGGCTTGAGGGCGCTCCAGGGGAAATGGGGCCGAGTACGCCGTTCGCAGCGAGTGCGGCGAAGACGGTCGGGTTGAGGGGGCTCGAGAATATGTTCCCCCAGTCTGGGTTGGTAGCGAGCGAGCCGTCGTCGTGCTGCTGGGACCGCGGATGCAGCGGGGGCAGCATGTACTGGGAGTTGTTCGGGTGGGTCGCGGTGGACCAGGGGGACGAGTGGGACGGCGTCGGGTGCGGGCTGCGTTCTGGGTGGTTGGAGGGCGGGCCTGCTGGGGACCATGAGCGGGCGTGGGCGGGATCGATGAAGCCCCTGGTTGTGGATGAGGAGGAAGGGGCATCCATGGTTGTGTGTGTCTGAAAACGGGTGATGGTGGATGGACCTCAGCGTACAGGACGGCGACGATGGACTTGTGAGTTGGTGGGAGAGCTTACCACCTTTGGGACGGAGCTTCGACTGTGTCCAAGGGAAAAAAGGCGGCCATCGACTGAAAACCAGTTGAATTCCTGTCATCCCTATTGCGGCCCGTTATGGAAAGAGACCCCGGAGACCGCAGCTGATGATTTTGTTTCCGCCCTTTGGCATTTTCAGCAGGAATATTCCGTCCAGATGCACTCGGCTTTCTCCTAACTCAATTTCAAGCGCGCACATCGAGTTCTGCTCCAGATGGAATATTTGAGCCAGACATGCCTGCGGCAGGATCATAGACTCATCAGTCCTTGTAGGACCTAGTGCGCAATCTCCCATCAATCCCCATCTCAGATCATGAGAGCTGGGGAAGGGACGGCGACCGGCTAGACATATGGTGGGCAGAATCATCGGAGACTTGTCTTTCAAACTGGTGCCGCCTGTCTCACGACCGACCAGCATCAGAGCTTCTGCCCCCCTTTTCTCCAACCGTGGACCAACGTTGCTTCCATTTATTCTCTTCCAAGTGTCCTTCTCGTTGATTGGAGATATTCACTTGAATCCCAAGTGTCCTTCTCGCTGATTGGGAATATCTCCATGACAGGTCCAACCACTAAATATATCCCCCATGGGCGCCCACCATCCAAATCAGACATCCAGGTAAGGTACACTCGCAGCCATGCTGGCTGGGGGGCCGAGCTGTGACAGACAAGCCTATGGAGTACGCCATGCACACGATCCTCGTCCTACCATGTCCTGCCGCTCCTAGCGTTCGCCTTGCTTCCCCGGCTATCCGACCATCCGAACTTGTATTGGGACTGCTGACCTAGGAAAGAAGTCGAGGAGGCAACATCGGCTCGGAGCATTCGTCTACTGTACCCATGCCGCAGCCATACCTTCACCTAGTGACCACCTTTAAACATGTAACGAGCTAGTCTCTTCACGGCATCCTGTCCACAACACCTTCAATGCACGCCACATTCACATTGCCCCATTCCCGCATCCACTGCATGTCTCCAGCTCCTTCCCTTTCTGTCAAACCATGGAAGAGATTGCCTTTGATAGTCCAACTCAACGCGGGAGGGATCTGCTGCTAGTCCGAGTGACCTCCCTTGCCGTAAACAAGCCAATACCACCTTGCATCTTCCGCGCCTCTAAACCACCAATCACACGCCGTCCGTCTACTAGCAACCGCTACCTACCCGGCGAAACCTATCACACTCCTCGCTTCTTCGAGTCTTTCCTGATCCTTTCCGCAAGTTCGCAACCCCAGCGAATTTAGGCTCCACAACTCACATCCCACCCAATTCACTTCCACCCTCAAGCACCAGTCATCTGACACCCTGGCACTCGCGCGTTAGCTCCCTCTGGTCCGGAATAGAACGTGACGACCGTGTATGTACATACATAGTACCTTGATCGAGCTCCAAAGTTGGACGATGCCAAAACACCAACACAGCACACAGGTCTTGCCGAAGTTGCTCACGCGGGGGGGATCCGAAAGGGTTCGATTGATGCTCCAAGGCTCAGGACTACATGCATGCCCTTACTTGGCCTGGACTTTCCATGGACGCTGGCTGCCGCACAATTGCATGGAATCCCGTGGTAGCGCAGCAGATGCTTCCAATTCATGTACACTCACGCTACAGACTACCCAATTCAACGCAGCCGACCGTCGTACCTAGAACATCGTGTCTTCGTCTGGACCTTTAATGTCCTAATATTAATCCCCGGAAAATCCTACTTCCCGTACGAAGGACTGAATCTACCCCCGCGCACGCTAACGAGCTTCTTCTGATCAGCCTGTAATATCCTATAGGGAATAACGACCAATCCACTGATCTCCAAGCTGCCAATACGGGGAAAGCAGACTTGCGCCCGGGCGAACACGAACAATGAGAACACGAACACTCAGTCATCACGACCCCCGACTCCCCTAGGAGCTAACCGAGCAGCTTTAGATAATAAATCGGCTGCGCTGAGTGGGATTCCCATCGTCTTGCTTATTCCAGTACACTCCTCGGCTGGGGCCTGTAGTAAGGAACAACATACATATGAACATACATACGTGTGCGTATGTCCACCCCTGCATGGATGAGTCCCAAAAACCGCCGTGGCTAAGCCACTCTCAGTTGGGCAGCAGTACCGCCGGTCCACTGCGCTTTGGTTATAGTATAAGCCGTCCGGAGTCCGGTCGTCGCTTGCTGGCATTACGAGGTTGTACCGTGATTAATTATTGAATACCCTCGCTTTGTCCAGCGGCGCTGGAAGGGAAAGAAAGAAGGGACCTGCGGGGTCAATAGTGCGCATTGCTTCGACGCGCCCGAGGGGACCTCCGCTAGTAACTGTCAGTGGCGTTTAATGTAACATGAACGTGTGGGATGATGGAGGACGTAGGACGGGCCAGGACGGGGTACATAGTGATGGGGAATCATAATACAATACGCCAGATCGACTTTCAACATACTTACAATAGAAATCAGAGCTAATCACGAGGTACATCACTATAGAAATTGTCGCCATGAACGGCGCTGGTGTTGAGGAGGACGTCGGATAAACCCTGGAAGTAAGCCTGGTGTTATGCAGGAACCTATACGGAAGTTTCGGACAGTATGTCCCGTAAATGATCAATGGACTTCCACGTGACACGTTCAGGACTGCAGCCACGATCCAGGACCAGCCCACCACGATCGATCTGCATCAGCGAATTCGTAAACCCCTCCATCTTATCTTATCGTATTTTCCAATAATCGACTTCGATCGACGCTTTTTGCCAAACCTCGTATCGGAGTACTTCAGAACACCGAAGTCTCTCCTGCCGCTCCCACTTCCAAGTTGTAAATTTGACTGCCATGGGATTGTTCCAATGTCAAATACCAAAGCGTTCGCGCGCCGGTCCTGCTCTTCCGCTGCCTTTGTTACTCCGCTGGGCCGGTACAGCACCCATGCCCCTGTAGTCGCAGGCTGCCGAAACTAGAAGGAATGCAATACTCGCCAGCCTCGCTCTTCGCCGGTCCACCGAGCCAACCATGCTGATCAGAAGAAACACACAGAAATTTCTTTTTAGCTTGTCATCGCTTTCAGGACATGCTCATGGGGTCCAATGCCGATGCATGCATGGCGATCGCGACGAACAGGGCCATGAAACGCCAATCCCCATTGTTACAGATATAAGCAGTAGGCATTATATAACATACAAGATGTAACCCATGTGGGGTGCTGTACTTTTTGCAAAATGCGCGGGTGCGGGTGATGTTTGTCCCTTGGATTCTTTTCGCGATGCCGAACGTTCACTCGCTCTTCGTGTGGCCATTCTCTTTCGCAGCACCTTCCGCAGCCTCTTCCTTCGGCTCTTCACTCCACTTCCAAGCTTCAGTCAGCTCCCCCTTCGCGACAGCCGTGATGAAGAAGGACAAGATGCAAGACGGGCTAGTAGGCGAAGCGAATTAATATATTAAGGAGCAGGGACGATGAAAACCATGCATGCTTACCTCAAATAGAGAAGGGCAGGTTGGGCCTTGCCAAACGTGTGCATTACAGCCATTGTGGCGATGAGTCCAAAAGCGTACGCGATCAATGTAGCGTGGAAGTAAGGCTTGGGGAAGGATCGTGTGCCTTGCGTTGAGCGGAAGTAATCGTAACGCAACCCTAGAGCTACGAAGCAGCCGGGAATGACGATGTCTCCAAGCCCAAGCATGGTGAAGCCACGCGTGGTAGCAAATTCCAGGGACTTCGGCCATAGGAGCTTGATGGGGACGTCAAGGCTCGTCGCCACTTTAACCATCTACACGATATTATATAGTCAAAGGCATTTACGAAACGAAGAGACTCACCACTTCTGTTCCGAACACCCACCAGATGTCGTAAAAGAACAATCCGGATAGAAGGATGCATCCAGTATTGAACGAGTCGAGCTTAAGGAGCGAGAGGGTGGTGTGGCAGAAGGATAACGAAAGAAGGTTGGTGAGTAGTGCAGATTTCTTAGCATCGCCGGTGAAGGAGTAAAGGATAGATGGGATCGCGGCGAAGGGCATCAGGTATATGGCCGGCGTCCTTAAGGACATAGAGTACCACCCTATTGTGTAGGGTTAAGTTGAAGCGCGCAACGTCCAACAACGGTTGCTCACAATTTCCCCTCCATTTCAGCCCTACTTTTGTGAGCTTGAATGATTTCCATTTCTCTTCCCCTACGACCGTTCGTACAATAGAAATTGATGACTGCCAGCGCGTGAGAGGAATTCGTGAGCTGTGACAAGTCCAATACCTTCCAAACGCTGGCAACGCCGGCCAGCGAGAAATACCAACCCAAAAGCCAATTAATCCACTCTGGTCCCAGGTATTTTACAACAACATATAAACTGAATAATGTCGCAGAGCCAATCTATGCATACAAAGACAAAGGTTAACCGCCAAAAGGAATTCACCATATTTGGAAACTCACTACAGGGAACATCCATGCGTCTCCTGAGGACATGCGTTCCACCACCTCCTCGTCATCCTCATCGTCTTCTTTACGTGCGCTTCCCGGAGCGGGTTTAGGATTCTGATGAGAACCTTGAACTTTGTTCGTAATGTTGTGCGTACAGAATACACACCGGCAACGAGCCGTACGCCCCGCAATAAATAGAACCGCACGCGAGGGTGAGCAGGCCGGCGTACGAGGACAGCAGATCCCAGTCTTGCGTGCTCATGGTAGGTTCTTGTGGTGGACGTGTACAAAGATTCTGTTCATGACGTGGAGAACGAAGCGTGTTATGTATCACAGTTTGTTCATGTTTACTAGTACTACCGGGAGGATACAATTGTAGTGCTACGTATAGTGGCACCTGGTATTTTAAGCTTAAGGGCGAGCCTTCAGTGTAGCGGCGTGTGAGGCCATGAGATCGTATACGGCATCACCCGGATAAATAGCATAGCCGTCGTTGTGGGTGTCACCCCAAGAATATCTGCCACAATATTGTCAGCAATGCACGCCAGCGAAGCTTCGGATGACAAACCTAGAGCCAGCTTGCCTAAAATTATTGCGGTAAAAGTCAGCTGAACGTGCAGAATGGAGGAACACGTATGGGTACGAACCAAATGAGATCGCCCGTGAAGCCAGAGCTTTCAATGGTGTCAAACCATGCAGCGTAAATTGTGGTCTTGTCCTCGAGCATACCGAATTCTTCGAGTATTACTGGTTTGTTGTAGAGGCTCGATGAGGTAGCATGGTCTGTGATCCACCCGGAACCCCACGCCAAAGCGTCGGCGCCGGTGCCCCAATGGTCCTGTGCGATCCAGTCAGTTTAGGCCGCCCAGAAGCATCTCATTCTGGCTTACGGGGTAAGCCTGTGAAACGTGGTCAGTATGGTATTTGAAATCTATCGAAACAAGACGTACGTGGATAGTCCCGAAGTCAAGCGTGCTAATCTGGAGGTTGGCATCGAAGTCAATGCCCTCCGAACCCCTACAATCCGTCTCAATACAATGTTGCTCTAGGAGTCAGGGGGAAAGCACATACTGATAGGGGTAGGTAGGAGAACCCGGTCGATTGAAAAAGCCTTCATCGCCGAGGGCGACGAGATGGTTGGGGTCAATAGACTTGATGAACGCAGAGATATCTGTGGCCCAAGCGGTAATTGTGGCGGGTGTGCAGGTTCCCGATGTATTGCTAATGAACTCGGGTTAGGAAGGTATGCATGGGAAATTTTGATTCTGAGCATACGGTCCGCTGCCTCGGCATCTGGGTTCGTTGGCTATGGGGTAGGTTGTAAGATAATTCCATCAGACCAAGAAGAAAGTAACTCACCCAGTTCCCATGCCAAAATGGTCGGTTCGTTCGCATAGCGGCTGACAAACGTCTGGACGTAGTTTTTGTATGCTGCCTGAGTAATGAACGGGCATGGTTAGTTCGCGGCGCTGGAGAAGATCGGAGCGAATACTTACAATAACCTGCGCGTCTGTGTAGAAGAGATCGTGGTTGGTGGAACCCGTGATTTGTTGAACGTAGACATCCATGCCACCGTAATCCGACCAATTGTTAGTCCTGCGGTCTCTCTTAAGTTCAAGGCGTATACGGAGAAACATAACGGCTTACAGTGCCACAATAAGGCGGATGCCATTGGCCTTGGCAGCAGCGACCACTTTGTCTGCAAGGGAAGAAAAACGATGATCAGCAAGGGCGCGAGAGGCACCTGAATAATCCATTACCAAAGTTCTCTAGTCCTGAGGCACCAGTGTTCACTGTGGGAACGCCGTTAGTCCAGAGCTGGTAGTACGGCCCCCAGTACCCAGCATCAGTCTGGTCGTTGAAACCCCTGTGATAGATAGGGTCAGCGCGATCCCTTCGACAAGAAAGCGACTTGATACGCACCATGTACGGACGGTAGTTCCTCCAGCAGCTGCAACATCAGCGAACGCGTGGCTCATCTCCTCACTACTGAACCCAGACAACCCAACCCAGTAGGAGTTGGATCCCACCACGGTGAACTTGGATCCATCGAGCGTGAATTCGGTTCCCGAAGTCTTCACGAAGCCTGTGGAGGTAGGTGGTGTGACGCTGGGTGTTGGGGTGAGAGATGTCGTTGTCGGTGTTACGGAAGTGACTGTAGGCTGTGCGGAGGAGGTGCCTTTGATGCATTGGAAGTACCAGTCGCTGTATGAGTGGCAGACGAGACCAGCTGCGCATGCTACACACCCAATGTCAGAACGAGGCTGAAACTTAAATTCAGTTGCGTCCACTCAACTAGTTTCTCCCGACCAGTTTATGCCGCCGCACTGGCCCCATTCCGCGACATCAGCCTTGACAGACGTGAGGGCGACAGCCAAAGCGACTAATCCAGCAGCGAGCTTCATGTTGATGAAGAGTCGGTGTAATTGGGGTCAATTGTTTTGCCTTTTTGTACCTGTACAACACGCCGCCAAGAGGTAGCAGTCGTATCTTGTGTCGTCGGGCTATCTTCGCGCAACATTGCTGGCAGTGGCTTTTTTGCGAAAATATGCCGCAGCGTCACCCGCCAGCCCACGTATTGATACTGAGGGCGTACAAGCCCGAGGCATGTAATTGTCAGTCGCATGGGCACGGGAGTCAGCCTTCGCCGTCACACGTTGTATGAGTGGATTACCGCCTGTAGACCTGAAAGGCATTACCGAACATCCGCCAGGCTTGAGCAGGGCACATCGACGCATCGTATATGGGGGGATGCTGGTGCCTGTAATCAAGGACGCCCTAACATCGACTGACGAAGTATACAGAGCCCGGACAACGTCATGGAAAAGATGAATGCGAATGACCTAGATCAAGGGGTGGGTGCACTTCATGTTGACTTGAGCCGCGCACTCAATTCATCGATTGGCCGTCAGATGGAAATATACGGAAAAACTCACTAACAGCGCGCGCACAAGTATGCTTGGCAGAAGGCTGATAAATCGCATTTTATGTTAAATACAGGTGATGGACCATGGGTAGTAGGTACCCCCGTTCACTCGCCGCCCACTTCGGCGTTGGTGGTGGAGTGTTGCCTCATTTACCCCCTGGCCTTGAGATCTCGAGCGTGCGAGGTAAGAAGCGGATAGACGGGATCGTCAGGGTATATGGCGTAGCCATCATCAGGCGTGGCGCCGCTCGATAACCTGTGTTGGGTGAAAACCAAAAGGTCTATCCTCAAGAACCGCAGAACATACCTCGAGCCAGATTGCCTAAAAGAACGCGAGTAAATGACGCGAATGCCGAAAGAAGAGGTCAACAAACATACCATATCAAATCTCCTGTAAGCCCTGAGCTTATTACAGTACCCCACCAGTTCGCATATACCGTGGCCTGGTTATTATCGACACCGAACTCCTCCAAAATGACCGGCTTGTTCGCCTTGGTCATCGAGGCAGCGTGATCAGTAATCCATTGTGCGCCCCATGCCTGAGGATTCCCTGATTGCCCCCAAGGAATCTATTAAGCCAGGTTAGCCTAGCCTAAGCATGGAATGAACGCGGCGAGTAATTACTGGATATGACTACAAAGTCCGGGGTTAGTGAGGTCGCGCATACTACAAAGCCATGCTTACGTGGAACGTTCCGAAGTCGACCGTGCTAATGGCAAGGTTTGCATCAAAGTCCACACCTTCTGAGCCTCTGTAGAGCGGTTGTCACTACCTCATAACGGATGATAGTCTAACAGATGGACGTACTGATAAGGGTATGTTGGAGCACCCGGCTGATTGTAGAACCCCTCGTCGCCTATCGCTACCAAGTGGTTCTTGTCAATGGACTTGATGTAAGCAGAGATATCTTTCGCCCAGTTGGTAACGGTGGTAGTAGTGCATGTTCCAGACCATGTGCTAATAGGCAGAACCGCGTCAGATTCCGGTATGAGTTGATAGTTTGGGATCATGACGTACCCGGTGCTTCCTTTACATCTCGGTTCGTTGGCTGGGCGGATTGTGGTCAGAAGATACTAATAAGATAGTCATGGAAAGCATATACCAAGTTCCCAAGCCATGATTGTAGGCTCGTTGGCATATCGGCCTACGAATGCTTTGATGTAATTTTTGAATGCAGTCTGACCAACGTTGGAAGGATGAACACCATATGGAGCGATATTTGACTTACAATCACTTGAGCATTCGTATAGAAGAGATCATGGTTAGAAGAGCCCAGAATTTGCTTGACATAAACGTCCATGCCGCCATAATCTGACCTACAATGTGGTCAATTTCTCATGCATATGTATTGATAACCATATTGATATACCAGTTGTTCGTCCTATGCGAGGTTCAGCGTTAGCGCCACATTGGATCTTGGGCAGATATCGACTCACAACGCAACAATAAGACGAAGCCCATTAGCCTTAGCCGCAGCCACTACGTTATCTATGAAGATACGACCATGAACCCGATCATATGCCAAGAAAAAGGATGCAGGATACCAAAGTTCTGCAGCCCAGACGCGCCTGTGTTGATAGTTGGCGTACTACCAGACCATGACTGATAGTAGTTGCCATTGGGATTGGTCACTTCATTGAAGCCCCTACACCGATCATTAAAAACGCGAATAAATGCAATGAGAACCTCAGCATACCAAGTCCTTACGGCAGTCCCTCCAGCCTTCACAATGTCGGCGAAAGCCGCATTCATGTTTGCAGTGCTTAGACCGGTCAAACCAATCCAATAAGCGTTGCCACCAACGACGGTGAACTTCGCCCCATTAAGCATGAATTTCGTGCCCGAGACTGTAACGAATCCAGTTGAAGAAGGGGGCGGCGTCACAGTAGGTGAAGGTGGGTCAGATGTCGGAACGGTTGGAATGGAGGTTGTAGGGACGGAGGTTGTGGGAGCTGGTGGAGCTGAACCCTTCAAGCACTGGGAGTACCAATCGTTCTGAACACTGCAAACGAGACCAGAAGCGCATGCTAGGTGTGCGGCGTGTCAGCTTGCGAATGGTATAGAGCATAGATACCAACCCGTTTCGCCCGTCCATCCTATGCCACCGCATTGACCCCATTCTGGGACGACGGCCACAGCCGACGCGATCGATAGAGACAATGCGACTAAACCTGAAGAAACCTTCATCCTCATGGAGAGTTGTGGGTATCTCAACCCTCATACGTGCCTTTTGTACCAGAAGCAAGCGCATCCAGAAGCAGTTCACGTCGCACTCGGTCAATCCTCGCAGAGGATGTTTGTTGCGAAAATCTGCCGTTGAATGCACTCACCACATGTCAGTACGGTAGCGCAAACGTCACATGAATCGGTTACGATCTTTGATGACAGCTGGGAACTTTGTATAAGTAGAGTATCGATTATCCGTTATGCTAAAAATAGATTCAGTAGATGATGCGCTGTCTACGTGCCAGAGCAGGGTATCTAGATGCTGCGTGTTTCCGCTCAATATCCTGCCGCTATCCCGTTCTTTCTGGAGTCGCTCGCGGCTTTGTGACGATGAGTCAGTGACGCAGGGACAGAACTTAGTGCTTGGACTTACCAAATATCCTGCCATCCTTCTGCACTACGGCCTGGATGACAGCGGCCACTCTGTTTATGTCGGCAACTACAGGGTTCGAATTCGAATTCGGTAGCAAGCGGGTGAAGCGGAGCGATGCTACGTACCGGTGACATTGTGACCTATCTCCTTCAGAGCCTCAATAATATACAGCGGATATGTGCTGTCAATGTCCAGACCCTCTGGATAAAGCTGGTGGTGCAGACGGCCGGATTCTATGGCCCGGCTGACGTCCATACCCCAGTCGAGGTTAATAATGGTTTGGAAGACGGCCCCAAAGATGCGAGATCCTCCCGAGCCACCGATGGCTAGGTAGAATGAGCCATCTGGATGCTCAAATATGGTGGGTGTCGTTGAAGACAGTGGGCGCTTCCCGGGCTCTGGGTAATTGTCTGTAAAAGGCTTGTCAGAAGTCAAGAAAAATATAATGGAAAGAACTAGCATGGCGAAGGCCACAGGCCAAAGGCATTTGGAATACCAGGTGTCGAAAAGTCGTCCATCTTCCGGCGTATATCATTGAGCAGAATTCATGGATATGTTGGATGCACCTACTTCATCATTCAGGATGACACCTGTTTCTGGGTCCATTACTTCGGATCCAAAAATCAGGTTGACCGTGGAAGTAAGTGCCACTGCCATGCCATTTTTATCAACGACAGATGTGTGGCTCTATTCACTTTTGATCAATCTCTGACTGTATAGACACGGACGCACTTACTGTTCCATGATCGATCTTGACATCATAGATAGGGTTATAATAGTCTGATGGATGTGTTCGGTCCTAAGCGCAAGTAGGTATGAAAATCATCGAGCGAAGGAATAGAAACTTACATCAGTGATATTAGCAGCTATTAGATTTGAGAATGCTTTAGTAGGGATTTCGTTGATATATGCCGTGTCGTTCATATAAGCAGGGTCTCCAACCCGCGTCCTACCGAACAGTCAATAAGGATGTTATCCAAGGAAATGATGAATGTTGTAGACCTAGCTGAAAACCCGACTGCCGTACAGGATTAGACATAATCGTCGTTTAGTCTGAACAGTACTCACACTTTAAGATCTCGACAATTCTGTGGACATTCAAAGGAGTCTTCTGCCGAAAATCGTAGTTCTCCACCAAGTTTAACATGTGCAAGAGGACTTGGAGACCAATCATGAATAACAAGTTCAGGTAGGTGTAGCGGCTTGACTAACCTGGGCCTGAAGTTGGAGCACGGGAAGTGTAGACCTTTCGGCCATTGAAAGTGCCTTCCAAAGCCCGATCCACATGGACGGAGTAGTTCTCCAGGTCTGCTTGACTTAGTATGCCACCGGTTGCGATTACTTTCCGAACAATCGAATCTGCGATGGGTCCCTAGCATGAGTATAGTTTCAGCAATCCGCCTTCACGAGTATGATTCATGCAGGAGATACCTTGTAAAATGCACCAGCACCTTCGTTCGCGATTGTTTGCAATGTACGAGATAAATTGACGCGTCTGATTATTTCGCCTTCACGCAAGAATCTGCCTTGAGGAGCGAAGATAGAGCTCCAGTCCGACGTATTGAGCATCAAATCCGGGAACCACTGGATGTGCAGAGTTCACGTAAAGAAACGCGTTAAATCATAAGAAACGCGTTAAATCATAAGAATTAACTCACAGTGATCCGTCTCGCTAACTCTGCATCGACCTTCCAACCCTTGGCTAGGTCGATACTCGGTTGTACGAGACGCGACCAGGGGAGCGTACCCCACCTCCGATAAGCTTCCTCCAACCCTCTGAGCTCACCAGGAACGCCGACCGCAAGTCCCCCGAATCGAGAAGCATTGGGGTTATTGCGATACATTGTCGCATTGGCTAAGGCAGGAGCCACTTCTCTGAAATCGATAGTGAAGACGTCTGATTTCGCGTCCTTGGTCGCTGGCGGCACACGAACAGTCATGAATCCACCACCACCGATCCCAGACCTTTGTGAAACGTAGAACTCGTTATCGTGGACGCTTCATTGTGAGTTACGAGCAAACATACGAGAACATGTTGACAACTCCAATGCAAAATGTAGTAGCTATGGCCGAGTCCACTGCATTCCCTCCCGATTTCAAAATCTGGACGCCGATATCTGAGCAGAGCTTGTTTTCACTTGCAACTGCGCCATGTCGTGCTTCGATAAGGTAGGCCGGGTTTTGCGAACCTGAGTGGGACCCACTGAGGTGTCCACAAGTCCGGTAGAGGCCGCTGGAAAGATAGAGAAGACCAACAGCACAGACGGTTGTACACAGGATAGCCGCCCGGAAGAAAGACCTGCGGAACGCGGGTGGTGTGCGGACCGTGTCTCCATCCCTTCTTGTAGGCCACGCAAATTCCTTCTTAGCCTTGTCCATCGTTGTTCAAGTCGAGCTCGGTCGGTGCGATAACGCGTTTCACTCGAGAAATGACGAATCAACCTAGAGTTGGTCATCGACGCCTTGTCATCAGGGTCGTTTCCCAAGACTGTGGGGAAAGAAGATGGGGAAAGAAGGATGGACTCAGCCTCGAGAGATAACAGGGAACCACGATAACGCAGTGCCCAAGGAACGTGCTACTGCCTCGCGATGTGCATCGTGCAGTGCTGCGAGGGAAATGAGGAGTACATCACTCGCAGCTGCTCCCAATCATGTTCACCGCAGCACGTCTTCTCGCCATTCTTCATGTTTCTATCCAATGGTTGGCCTGCAATACTGATGCACTCTAAATGGCAGATCACTGTGAAGTAAACGACATCTGATGGTGTACAGCTGCGGCAATGTTAATTTCTCAGCCTGTCACTTTCATCAACGGCACGAACCTCGAGTCAGCAGTTCAAGACGTCTGGGCTGTAGCCATCGAACTCTGAACAGCCATGGGGGGTTGCTTTACTTGCATATAAATGCCCCCGGTTTGTTACTCTGATATGCCGCCAGTCCCCGGGCCTCAGGTGCCACTGGCCAGTCTTCAACGCCTGCGAAGTCCTCAGAGTTCAAGAGCTTATTTCCTCGAAGAATCGTCGGTCTGTTGCCTACCATGGCTCCTGACATCCCGCCTCTCGCCACACTTCCACCCCACCCCCGCACCGCTGGCCGCTCTACGAACCCGGAGATTCTGCGGCGGGTAAAGACACCTTACAACGTCGATGCGTTCGAAGAGTTTTTCAGGAGATACCCCCACCTCGTTAAGCAATTCCCTAATCTGGTTCTGAAGCTACGACAAGGATTCCCAATGGGTGAATTCCCCACCCTTAGCAAGACGGTCACTTGGCCGAACGCCAAATCTGTCGAAAGATATAGATCGTTTGTAGATGATTACTTCGCGGAGGAGGTCATGGAGGGTCGCCTCAGCGGACCGTTCTCACAAACTCAGGTAGAGAAGATCCTTGGGGGACCATTCCAGAGCTCGCCGATCACGGTCAACGTCCAACCCCAAGAAGCGGGCGAAGAGCCAAAGCTCCGGCTTTGCATTGATCTCTCTCGCAGGACGAACGCGAATCCGTCGACGAATGCATATTCAGATATACGCCAATTTCCGACGAAGTTCGATTCGGCTTTGGAAATGGCAGAGCTTGTATGTTCTCTAATCATACACGACACCCTCGTACTGATTCAAGTGCCTCTAGGTTGCTCAGGCTCCGAATGGAGCGCAGGCGATGACGCTCGATATATCGAAGTTCCATCGTCGAACACCCATATGCGCGGCACATAAACGTTGGTTCGTGATGCAGGCAAAAAAGGGCCAGTTCTACATACAACATTGTTGCCCATTCGGGTCGAGGGCGTCAGAGGGCAACTCGGGGGAGATTGCAAACGCTGCCCTTGCGATCTGGAAAGAGCTTGGGGTAGGTCCAGTTTGCAAATGGGCCGACGACATGGTAGTTTTCCGCCACCCGACCCCCTGGCGTATGACAACGACCTTCGCGTACGACCGCAAGGAAGCGTTGAATAGAATTGCTTCCCTCGGGGTCCCTTGGCACCCGGACAAGGGTCAAGATTTCTCCCATACGTTCACTTACGTCGGGTTCCTTTGGAATCTAAGCCAAAGGACCATCTCACTCCCGCCGGCGAAGCGACAAAATTTCCACAACAAGCTATCCGCATTCTTGCAGCAACGCGAGGTTTCTCAAAATGATGCCATGACCATCCAGGGGACGCTGGCCCACGTAATTTACGTCTATCCATTGGGCCGCTCGCACATGGCCTTGATGAATCGCTTCGTATCCTCGTTCGACGCTGCCACCAAGAAAAAGGCTCTCTCTAGCGAGTTGCGGGCTGAGCTGAACTGGTGGCTGGATGTTTTGAACAACCCTAAAGCAGGTCGCAGTGTCATGCCCCGGGGTAAGGCTCAGAACCTCCGAGTAAGTGTTGATGCATCGGGTGAATGGGGGATTGGGATGGCATGGGGGAAGGACTGTCAGTGGGCGGCGTGGAAGAGTCGTCCGGGCTGGAAGGCACCCGGACGCGACATCGGATGGCTTGAAGGAGTCGCCGTGGAGCTCGCAACTTACATGCTAGAAGTCAAGGGTATCCGAAATACGCATGTTATCATCAACTCTGACAACCAGGGCGTAATCGGCTCCTTCAACAAAGGCTCCAGCAGAAATATAGAGACGAACGGCTCTATTCAACGGGCTGGTAGTTGCCTAATGGCACACAACAATAAGTTGCAGCTGGAATACGTCGCGTCGGCGAAGAACCCGTCGGATCCGATCTCGCGCGGCAAACTAGGACCTGCCGACAAGCGTCTGCCAGACCTCGAGCTTCCAGACGAACTCAAGCCGTACCTAGAACGTGTGTAGTCAGAGCTTTCTGAATGTAAACTTTCGCATGTAAATAACCACCTCCTGTATATAACTCCCAAGTCAGGTTATTCTCCCACGATCCTATTTTGAAGCCAACCACGATGAGGAACAGAAAGCGACATCGGGCAGAGGACGAGTACGCTGATGAAGCTGGCTCTGCTGGAGTCTTCAGCCATAGTCGGTGCGCTCGCATTTATCCAGAGACTCTTTCATTTGGCTCAAGTCCTGCAGCGCGAGCGATGAACGCGCATTGGACGGTATCAAGCATCAGGGTGGGTGCCCTTGACTGTGCGACAGATTGCTGACCCCTTGGCTCTAGTTCAGAAACGCAGAAAAACGGGGGTCAATACGCGATTTGACCGTATGGTCGAGACAATGAACATAACGCGGCCGTCGCCCTCTACTGTCAGCTCAAATCGCACGAGATCATCATCACTCAGCAGCTACGACGCTCCGAAAACTCCGTCAGATGCATATAACTACTCATATCAGGAGGGTACTCGCTCTGTCGCATCGGCAACAAGGGGCGAGAAACTTGCTGTTGTTCTCGAGGATATAGAGACATCCGAGATGTTTCGCGTGCCTTCTTTCGGTCAGCCAGAGGTGGTCGTACTTGTTTGTCGAGTTCTTCGTCATTTATGATTTCGTCGTAGGGCATGAAAGACGACAGCGCACCGTTACCTGGATGGCTTGCTCATACTTTCTTGGCCTTAGATAAGAAGCATCCTTTGCGGTCTCTGCTCCCAAAGGATATACAGGAATCCGGTACGCATGTGAAGGGACCACATCGGCGTCGCTCTAGCCACACGAGCCCTCTTCCATCCCTCCATGAAGATGACATTCGTCCTGCCGAAGAGGCAGATAGTGTATTTGCGTTTGGCCCGCCCGAGCAACGCTCTCCCATGCACATCGATACCGGCTGCTCGTTAAGCAACTTGAAAATGTACGAGACGAAGATTCTTTCTCCCAATTTCGTACGACAGGACGACCCCCCTGAGTACCAGACATCGAACGCCCATGTCTGGGAAGGACTGGCTACAAGTTTGAAGGTCGAGTCTCCTCGCAACCTTAATACTGCTTTTATACCATTCGCCAAACCTGGACCTTGCTCTGCCCTAGCTCCTGCTTTGAACCAAATCCCGCCAAAACCTCTGCTCTTGAACATACCGCCAATCACCGACGTCCCTGATGCGAACGATTCTGGATCTGCTTACGATATGAATATGCTCTCTCACTCACGAATGCTGGATGACTCTTTCTCTCACCCGTCTTTATGCGCCCAATCTGATGGCTATATGTCTCCCGAATACAACATGGATTACGAAGACGACCTCGTAGAAGAAAATACTTACGTCGATGGCATGGATTTGATACCTTCTTCTGATACGCCTGGACCCAGCTCTGATACACTAACCAATCTACAAAGCTCTTTGTTCGCTACTCCTGGTCCTGGGTACCGTACTGCGCGCCCGGTGTACTTTGACTCTCCCGCGGAGGACCCCTCGAATTCGGACCCGCTCGACGAATCAGAATACCAAGTCGACTGGGGTGAGATAGGCTTTCAATGGAAACCATTCATGCGCGGACATAACGGAGAAGAAGACATTGACACCAAGCCCAAACCACTTCCTATCCCCGTCTCCGTTTTATCGGAAATTTCGCCACCATCTCATCATCGTCAGCCGTCCGTTACTAATCAAGTGGAGATACCGCCAAGCTCGGTCCGTCGCACTCCGCAAGGCAAACAGCAAGCAAGTCCAAAAGTCCAGCCTCCACCTCCACCTCCAGAAACACCAGTGAAGAGCCTCTTAGAGCAGGACGTGATTACCTACGACCTGTTTGTGCAGGAATTGGACGCGCCACGGACCCCCACCAAGGCTTCAGGCACTGATTTTTACGATTTCCAGGATTGTCCTAGTAGCCAGCAAAGCCTCGCCGCGCCGGGTTCTCCTTTCGCTCAAGCCTCAGTAGAAGAAGCCCACAGTTGTGGCCGCATAACCCCTGAGAGCGAGCTTGGACCTGTCTTTGCCCCGGCCCCGGGAATATACATCTCGCCACTCAAGGATGCTGAATGCAGCGATTCGTCCCAGGTAGATCAGCTCGACGAGTCAGTCGCCGACGTGGACGAACTGTGTTTTCAGTCTCAGCCTCAGACAAAGTCGACAGTCCGTTTGGTCTCTCTTATTCTTAGCCATTTCCTTGAATGTCCGATTTCTAGGCTATTCAAAGCCCACCAAGCCGCAGGAGGATCAACCGTCGAACGTCTAGTAGTGTCTTACCTCTGAGCCCCATCCACGAACACCCTCCGACGTCCTCGCAGATCACTACCGACAGCATTGAATCTTGGGAGGAATGAGTCTTCGTCGTAGCATATAAACATACTTATACGCATGGTCAACACTTATACGCATGGCGAACCGAGCTCAACTGGTTGACTGGGGTATTATTATACAGATATCACTACGCAACTAAGACACAATATGGAAGCAGCATCACGCAGGAATCACGTCTTACCATACCACCCTCGGGCCTCATCGGCTTCAAGCTCCAACGCATCCCAAACCCCAGGCATCAAATCGTCAAAGCATCAAAACATTAAAAACAAAAACAATGCATCACCAGCCAACGTCGCCGCCACGGTAAGGCTCTATCAAGACACACTGCTCGCCGGGGGCTTTGCGCAGGACGTGGCGCTCCAAGTCGTACACTTCGTACGAGGAGGCGGCGAGTTTCATCGCTTCGGCGTGGTGCGGCCGTGAGTTCGCCGCGCTGGCGTGTTTTCGGCTCTGCCAGATGCAGGTGGCGAGGTTCATCCCCGTTTTTTGGTCGGGGATGCCGTACCAGTACATGATTAACTATTAGCAAAAAAGGGAATGTCAAAAAAAATGTGTCTGAAGGTGATGGGGGTGTTCTTACACCACCGTTTCGAACTGCTTCGTCATGGGCTTTTCTGTCTGCTTCGTACAGAGCTGAAAATCAAGTAAAGCATAAGTTTTGGTTCGAGCTTGGAAGGTAAGTGTGGTCCTTACGTCCACTGTCGCTCCCTGCTTTGCGTTTACTCCTGAATACGACACAGTACCACTCCCTCTCGTCGTCTTCAGGGAGTTCAAGCTCTGCCCAGTTGAACGCCTCCTCATACGGCAGCGCAGCATAGTCCCCATTCAGCGGCTTAAAATGATGCAATGCTTTGTGCAGGGAGAGCGACGCCGGGTCGATGTCGGGTAACCGCGTCTCCGTTACGAGGGGCGGGTACTCGGCATTGGGGGCCGGTGCGGGGGGAAAGCGTTCGGGGAGCGAGGAGAGAAGGGGCGGGAGGTAGAGGATGGGCTGGGTGAGATCGGTGAGAGTCGTCGAGTCGAAAGTGGGGAAACTATGAGGGTCGCGGGCCGCAGGCTCTGTGTCGTTCGTGGCAGAATGAACATGGGTGTGGCCGGGCACAGGTGCGGGTTTTAGAGCGACAGTGAAAACCTGCTGCGAGGAGTTGTCGGGAGCGGGAGATTGTTGGAGGGTGAAGATGGAGGTGGTTGTCGACATTTTTTCGATTGTGTCTTTGGATGGAAAAGCCTTGGTGTTTCATGGTTGCTCTTATATGTAGACCGTATATACGTACGCGTCAATGTCGCTACGTACATAAGTAAGACGCCGCAATATGGGATAGGATATTGCGCCATGTGCCAATTGCTGCAGATTGCGCAATTCGACGCGGTGGTGGGGGTGATGATCTACACGGTCACTCCGTGTCGCTGGCTTCCTCGCGTGCTCGTGTTGGAAGAAATGAAGCTTATGTGACGCTTTGTGTGTGCAGAACGTGAAACATGCAAATATCCACGATCTTATCTTTTTCTCGTCGTCGGCCCGCAATCGCATGCACTCCCGATGTATAAGCATAGCTCTAAGGTCACCCAAAGAACCCACCAGCAAGAGCGTAGAGTGTATAGGGTCGTGACCTCGATGGAATGCGAATACTGTAGTAATAATGATATGCTTTGCGCCGGGCGTACGGGTCTGCAAGAAAGCATATGGATGAGTTGACCTTCGACACGCACGATTGTCACGACTAGTGCTGGAAATATACGTACAATACGATGTGCGCTATCCTTATTCCACTTGTCCGAAACCTGTCAGCGAATACTCCGAGTTTCATGAGATGGGATGAGAATAGCTAGTTGAGTTGGGATCTGGGGCACTATTCACATATAGGAAACGTTCAAATCACGTCGAGTTTCTGCCACAATTGCTCATTATGGGCTTGGTCCATGGTAGAGGGTCACTGGTTGTGGGTGCATTGAATGAAGGTCGAAGAGAAGGCGCAGATTCCGCGCAACCGCTGGAGCAGGTGTCGGGTCGGAGTTTACCGGCGCTTGTCAGAGTTCCTCCAAATCCGAATTCACCAACTGGCTGCAGCAATGGCCACCACCAAGAAAGCTGCTGAATCGACGCTCTACCATCTCAGCTCAAAGGGAATCTGGAAGAAATTCCGTGCGTTCTTCGTGATTTTCAAAGGCTAATTCGAAGTGAATTGAATTGCGTTGCAGGGGACGTGGTCGCCGTGAACCCAGAGATTTCGACCGGGCTGCCTATTGCCAGCATCAACAGATATCCTCCTCCTGGTTCGAGACCGGAGAAGTACAACACACCCGCCACCAAAGGTATGTTTCGTCCAGCCAGTGGAGCCGCCTTCCCGTAGGTAACGCTTGGAATTCGAATTGTAGCCTCCGACCCCGCTCAAAACCCATACTGGAAACGCGATGTACGGCGCGCATACCCAAAGCTCTCCGTGGTCACCCAGCTAGAGCTTTCTTCGCTGTTGATTGAGCATTCGCAGGCCCCGTCGTGAGTTCTAGCTTGCTTCGTGTGTAACTTACGGCGAGATTAACCGTTCGTATTCAAGCGTGGCCGCCCCCGCCGCTGAAGGCAAGGAAACAGCAGTGTCAGCCGTGCCCAAGGAAGTCCCAGACCTCTCGGCAGCCATTGCCACCGTCACTTCGGCCAACAAGGTGTATACAGAGTCCAAGCTGCCCCCCGCGATCCCTACTTCGTACAAACGATGGATTCCCAAGCGTGCTCCAGATGCACCGCACGACCCCAGTGCTTTCTTCCCGTTGAAGCAGTACATATAGACTTTAGAGCCTTCGTCGTAGAGATGTAGAAGTCGTCTAGTACTCTAATGCATGCGGTCGTTGTTTGCACGCGTTGAGATCTAAACACAAAGCGTGACTCGCTCTTCCCTCGATCATGTCGAGCGCACCACCACCAGTAGCGGCCGCGGCGGGATCCTCTGCGGAGGCACAAGCCGCAGCCTTTGCAGACGACCCAAGGTGCGTTATCTGCGTTATCTAGGCGTGCGCGCCTGGATATATCTCTTTGTATCTTTGCTGATTGGATCAGGATATACTACGACAAGGAATCGGGTTCGTGGAAGTTCGAAGGCGACGATGGCACCGAAATGGAGTACGATGGCGTGAAGGGGAAATGGGTGTCTATAGTGCGTCCCCCAAGTCCCTTTCTGCGCGAGAAAGAAAGCTGACTGCCCGGAAGCTCGATGAGGAACTCGTAAAGGCGCAACAGGCTGCATATTCCGTCGCGGGGGTCGATGAAGAAGTGAGTGGCTACTAACATCCACGAACTAATGATTGGAACAATCGGGCACGTCGATAGACACCCGCCGCACCCGTCCTGGCGCGCGAGAACAAGAAGCGGAAGCAGCAGGTCGACTACACCTCCGCGACGCCCATCGACGCCCCGGGGCCCTCCATCAAGCGCGGGCGCAACGACAAGTCAGACTCCACCAAAGACCCCAAGCCCCCGCGCTCCAAGAACACCGCGGTCTACGTGACCAACCTCCCGCTCGACACCGAGCAGGACGAGCTCGTCGCGCGTTTCTCCAAGTGCGGGATCATCGAGGAGGACGACAACGGCGAGCCCAAGGTGAAGATGTACGCGCTCGAAGACGGGACGTTCAACGGGCAGGCGCTGGTGGTGTACTTTAAAGAGGACTCGGTGGATCTGGCGCTGAATTTGCTGGACGAGGCGGAGCTGAGGATTGGGGACTCGTCGACGGTGATGAAGGTGCAGCGCGCGGACTTTGCACATAAAGCGTCAGGGGGAGGGGCAGGGGGGAGTGCTGGGGAGCATAAGCCTCGGAAGACGGTCGATAAGAAGAAGATCACGAAACGGATGGGCAAAATGCAAAGGTACATCTACCTTCTTCCCCGGGTTTGTAGTACGCGTTGAACTAACACCACTGCCACAGGAAGCTCGAAGACTGGGACGAGGAAGACAGCTTCGGATTCGGCAACGCATCGACAGTACCTGGCAAGAATAGTCGCGTCGTCGTGCTCAAGCACATGTTCACGCTCAAAGAACTCGAGGAAGACGCCTCGCTCCTGCTCGACCTGAAGGAAGACGTCCGCGACGAGTGTTCCACGTTGGGCGAAGTGACGAACGTTACTCTGTATGATGTACGTCGCAAGCTGAATATCCTCATCCCCTTCGCTCGGATATATGCTTGATCATTGATATTGATTATTGGCTCACAGAAAGAGCCAGACGGCGTCATGACCGTGAAATTCAGAGAGCCTCTCAGTGCTCATGCGTGCATAGTAGTATGTTTCCCTTCAACAAACAGATTGTGGTAATCGACTGAACACCCGATAGAGAATGAACGGGCGATTCTTCTCCGGCCGGCGAATCGAAGCGAGCCTCTTCGTCGGCAAACAACGGTTCAAACGCAGTGGAACGGGTGACGAGATCACAGGCGACGGCGACGAAGCACAGAAAAAGCGCCTGGACGACTTCGCGAACTGGCTCATGACAGAAGGGGACTAAGGCCCCATCTTCCCGCTCGAGTGTTCTCTCAGTCTAATGTAGTTGTTGGTCTTAAGTATGTGTACGTGCTCCAAAAGGCGGTGATATTATTTAGTTACAACAGCCAAGACCCAGAGCTACCAACATGAGCATAACGGCTTGATGCTGACCGTTTCCAGGCGCTGTGCACATAGCATGTTAGTAGACGGAAGCTTGGGATTGACAAAACAACTGACTTCCACAATGACCGTTCGTTTGGGTAATTGATCGGACGGCTGCATCCAATCTATGCTCCTCGCTGCCTGGCTGGACCACCTCATATGCCGGGGCGTCGACGTCTCAACGAAGGTCGTAGACTTCGTCATCGTTACCAGATCTTCCTCCGTCATCGAGCTAGCCATAGATTCCACTTCATGCACAGTCGGCAGCGGTTCGTGACCCAGGGTAGGTGGACTACCAGGCGGCGAGAAAGGGGATGTTGCTAGATACGAAGTTGATGTCGCTGGGGCACTTGAAGGAATCGGTACGGGCTGCGATGATTCCCCAACATCGACTTCCTCGAATTCATCGTCGTCCACGCCTAGTCGCTGTAAACTGGCTTCCACAGCATCCAAGCGCTCCAGATGCTCCAGAACCGTGACGCCGGTGGTACCGGGATGTATGCGTTGGAATTTAGCGGCGAATGGAACGGGTCGAGGCGCGCCGGTGGCATCTGTGGATGTACGGCGTATTGGAGGCGGGAATTCGCTACTGGAACTACGGCTTCGTTTCCGGCGGGGCAGAGGGACACTGTTGATAGAGAGCTTGGGGGAAGAAGGCGGTTCGTCGACGGTTTCCTGTAGTGCTTCTTCCGGAACTTCCATCTCATCGTCCCAAACCAGTACCTTCTGCCGTCGAGTAAGTTCTAGAGGACCTGATTGACTTGTCAGCTAGCTTACTACGACTAGAGTACGATATTTTTTATACCTTCATCCTAAGGTCAAAGTTAGACATGTACAAAAGTAAAACACCGGAGGAACTTACGGTGTGGCGTAATGACTGTACGATGTTCCAAGCTTGACCTTTGATGACAGCCAATTGTCGCTATAGTGCCACGGTGAGTACATTTCGCGATTGTAGAGAATGAAACCACTTGCAGCAAACATCTTGGGGTGGAAATCTGGGTCAACAGCGAATAACTTCCGGAGCTGGAAAGTAGTCTCTTCCCACCATGCCTTGGAAGTCAGAAGCGGCAAGAAGTGGTTGCGCGTGTGTTCGCTAAAAGGTCTACCGATGATACTGACTGGGAGATACAGCCAACCGTACGTGTACGACCGCCATCCTTGCGGATGCTCGTGGGGGAAGGAGAGGGAGTTGTCGATCGCAGCTATGTGTATATGTGGACGACGGGTGTAATCCAGCATAGGTGTACCAGCACGGAATGAGGAAGGGCCTGCCATTGGTTCAAGACGGGGCTCTGTCTTCCGGAGTTCGCTCATTAGAGGCATCTCTGCCTGAGTGTTGCGAGTCGGCGCGACGTCGACAACCGGGTTTTTCTCGTGGACCCCTTCGCAATACTTGATCATGTAATTATCGGCCCCTCTGTCCGTGTTCAGCATAAGATAGTCTACACAAAAGTCAGTTTCCCGGCTCTACAAACCAAACTATTTGCAAACCTAGAATGACAAGCCTATCGGTGATGTTCAGCATTTGGCTAATGATAGATACAGAGGACCGACGTACTTTTCTAATTCCTCTCTAAAGCTTTGTTGTAACGTAGGACTCCAATAAAATGGCCTGTTTGGATCAGTTTCCTCCGCTTCATCAAATAATATCTGCTCGTCTTCATATTCTGGATCGTCGAAAACATCCTCTGAGTCGCCTGTCCTGCCACAGATTACCTTCAAAGCGCTGAAGAATCGTTTGGAAACGCCGCCCTGGCGATGCGTTGAGTCGTCGAATGTGTCAGATATTGCCCGACCAGGCCAAGGGTGCTTTCGCAGGAAGTCAGACGCGTCTAAGTTCTGGGTGAGGGACGCAGCAGCATTTTCTTTGGGATAACATACCCTGAAATCCATGTAAGAAATACTGCATACTCCCAATCTTGTCTGGAAGGGGCTTCCCCTTTTTCGCTCCATTCCTGTCTATCCAGTCGTAGAAGAACGCCTGGTTGCTCGTGTCAACCAATGACTAGGATTTAAGGGGGGATACGACAACGTACCGGACTTGACAGGGATACGAGTTGCGTAGGGGGTACTATGTGGAGGTCCAAACGGGTATCCAATAGGGAGGCTGCTGCCTCGGAGATGTAGCTAAAGAATCATGAGCTACCGCGAAGCAAGGGAAGCGCGAGAGTGACCTTAAATTGGGTATCAAGCAAGCACGACCAAAAGGGATTATCCAGCGGAGCTGACGGTGCAGCCATTTCGTGGTCTACACGGCAGTGAATAAACGGCATTCTGCATCGAGGTAAAAGAGTGAATACCTTCGGATTGAGACGTCCATACGGTTCCTCGTCTTTGGGCTTGAACACTCTGTTGTTTGAAGGTCATCCGGTGGTAGCTCCGGCAGTGAAATAGAGTGCTTACGCTACCGTCTGTACGCGTCCAGTGTCACTCTTTGATCGAGCGAAGTATGACCCCGATGAGCCCTTGGTGATCATCTTAGGGTGTATGCCCTCTGATATTGCTTGCTTGACGGACTGCACGACACTAATATCGTTACGCCGGGGCATATTAAAGGACGAATGGGTTCACTCACGCATCGAACTCCTCTTGTGTCATTGGACTCGAGTGGTCCAAGGTTTTCAGCTATGGCACGCAAACGTTGAGTACCAGCTTTCCGTTGTACATGTGAGTTCTCACAGGTCCTAGTGGTTGCGCATTGCCAATGTGAGGGGGGTCGAAGACACTGCGCCAAATGTCCCTTTTCGAGTTAACGTCCGGAGCCTTCTTCTTTCGCTTAACCTTTTGAGCAATGTTCTCGGTCCATCTGCGTGTACATCGTTCAGCTCTACGCCCAAAGAACCATATGCCAGCGCCTCACCTCTTGAATGCGTTGTCCAGTTTCGTGAGGTCGATGCTGGCTCGGCTGTTACGCGAACCGCGTGCTGGCTGCTCATTCTGGAAGCCCTCTGCGACGTCGGCTTCCTCCTCATCTATGGTCTGCGCGAGAGGTTGGTAACCAGAACGGCTGCTGGACATTGGGATGTGGCTCCACTATGTGGTGATGTGCAGGGTGGCAGCCAGTAAAGAAGTTGAGGAAACACACGTCGCAGTGGCTGTGCAATGCGATCATGCCCATAGACTCAAAATAGTGCCGAGGGAAAGCCAGCACATTGAGGGTGAATAGGCTATGTACGGGTTTCGAAAATCTAAAAACTATGATGATAAACAAGATATGAGAGATGATTATATTATATGTAGATTTGCCGTCCCAGCGCTGGAGACTACTCTTCACGTCCGTTTTTCTGTTTCGCCGTTTGCATTCGCGGCGGTGCATTGTGCAGTGGTTACACCATTTGTGCAAGTAGATGGTACCCGCGACATATCGAGGTCCTCCACGCAGGGTGACTCGAATATTTGGCCGCCACGCACCAATGCGAGGGTACGGAAGGCGACCAAACTCCACAACACAAGCGTCCCCACTGCATACGCTGCGCCGTAAACGCGGAAGAAGGGCACGTCGAACGTACGGGCCAAGGCCAGCGTGAGGTTCGCATAGACACCCTAGAATATATATCATGAGCTTTCGTTTGTTCGCAAGAATGTGATCATACATACATTCGGGAAGATAAGCCCCCAGAATGGTAGCTTGAACGGGAAACGGCCTTTTCGGACCACCTCCTGTACGGCAAGGAGGGCATAGATAACCCACATTGTTGTGATGCACCAAAGAGCGAAGGACACGCAAGTGCAGATGACGTTGATAACGTTGCCGGCGGTTGGTGACGAGAGGAAACCATTGTCGCCGTATGGCAAGATGGCCTCAAACGCCTGTCCGGCTAAAAGAATCGAAAAGCCTGCCTGGCCCATCGGTCCGAGAGGTAAGAATGCAGAAATCACTGTCGGACCAGGAGGGATGCCATAAACTATCAATCGGAGGAAATATACGGTAAGTAGCATGAAGGCCAGTGAAAGGCCGATGGTGACCAGGAATATGGACGTTGTCAGTGTAATCATTGCGTGTAATGGGGAATATTTTGCCAGAGAGGGGGCGATGACACCTCCTGAGGACGATGCGACGATGAAGGTGACAACCGGGAGGAGCCATACCGCGGTCATTCTTTTTAATGCATGATCCTGGCGAACCATCCTGTGGGTACCGTTAGCTATTTTCACGGATAAATAATTAGGATTTACATGATATGCATGAGTTGCCAGCAGCAAAGTGCGGATACGGCTACATCCAGCCACCACACTGCCCAGACGAAATATATGAATGGCTTCCCGCCAAACCCATAGCCTTCGTGAATCAGGCTGGCAGCAACACTTATCATAGTAGCAACTCCCATGGGTGCGCACCCGAGGTAGAGGCTCTGAACGGGATGCTGTAACATGATCGACCACAGGTCGGGGAATAGAACATAACGGGCAGCAGTGACGGCCGCGAAGATGATGAACAGGCCGAGATTGAGGAAGAAAAAGAGCAGCGAAAGGATCTTCATCTCCTCACTCCCGTTCCCGTACGGAAATGAGTAGAATAGGATGCTTATTGCACCAGTACCTATCGATCATGACATCTAGTCAGTAAAGCAGTTCCCCGGGGGCTCGGATACGCGACCGTATCGAGTGCCGGAGCCTGGACGCACCCATGTTCACTGCAAACCATGCCGGAACGAAGTGGCTGCAATGCAGACAGCTTCTCAGAATGTATTCCCGAATCAACAGAGGGGGGCTCGCGTACCGGATAATGTCCTTCAGAGTCTTCTTCCTGATTCCGTCGTCCGTGCCCATTGTGGTGGTAGTCCGTCTGGAAACGGGGGCTGAAGAAGTTCCGTGATATATAGTCGGGGTTTGTGGCAACGCGTACTGAGTCATCAATCGTCCATAAAGCTAAAGGAGTAGCTCAGAGCCTCAATAATTCTAGAGCTTGTGCTGGATCGCACATAGGGCCGTCCTCAAAGTCCACTAATATGGAGGACCACTACAGATTAAGTTCCCACGCAGAAGGTCGCTGCTGCCAGTCACTATATCAATGACCGTCCCTTAGCAGTCCCTTGCGCTTCAAGAACTTTGCAAGCCTCGCCGACAATGGGTATCCTCGCGCTGCTCTCCCCGACGGAACCCGCCAAGCAACCCCCGACGCCAGAATCCCAGGAGCAGGCCGCTCAAGTCGATAGTGAGCCGCCGTCGGTCAGTCAGTCCGAGTCTCCACCCACACCGGCGGCGCAGGAAGCAGTGGGCGACGAAGCCTCCGTGACATTCCCGCCGAGCGTGAATGATATCCCCCAATCACCCCCTGCGGCATCGGATGAGAAACACACAGATGACCTTACGCGAGCTCGAGTGCGGCGCTTCTCCTTCAAGACGTTCTCATACGTTGATGTCCAACCCAGTGATGAGCCTAATGGACACAAACCACACGAACTGTCGGCCGTTAAGGAACACGAGAAGAAACAGCGCGCTGGACAGGCTTTTACGAAACGGCTCATCAAACCAATAAATGCGACATCGAACCGGAAGGCGAAGCAGTCGGCTTTGATGGTGCGGTCCCTGATCATAGGGCCAGCTGCCAATGCCGCTTCACCTAAAGTGACGAAGGCGGTCGCCAAGCCTCAGCTTCGGAAGCTCAAGTCAGAGCTCATGCGGCCCAAATCAGCGAACAAAGTTATAGCACAACTCCGAGCTCTCCCCGTTATGGATGATGTGATTGACAAAGAGACCAAGAAGCCTATTGGAGTGGAAGATCGCGCCAGGGGACCCATACACGCCGTTTGTCTCGCGCATACAGATGCTGAGGCGGACGCGATGCACTTCTGTCAGTTGGCATCGGACGCTCAGGATGAGCAAGTCGCCGCCGCGTCTTTCGGCGGTATTACGCCAACAAGTACGTCGATGGACAAACTGACAAAGATGTTCAACAATATGCGTCTCGTGGAGCTGATCAAGGCCCCGAATTTGGGGCTTGGAGAGCCAGGGGACGGGGAAGGTATTCTCGCCGGAGCTGTGCCAACAGCAGAGACAGTGCTCGATGGCTTCAAACAAATCACCCCGCAGCTCATGGCGCTTGGCTTCGCAACAGGTAGAGCGATGTTGCCTGACCACACAGGTGAATAACTGGATATACGCTCTCCGTATTACATGCTAATGCTTCTCAGATGTATATCCACCCCTTGATAGGATGTCTGTCTTGACATGTACGTGGCAAGTGTGAATCTATCGCATAATTTCACCTTATCATCCACAAATAGACTGGTGGGGCTTGGAAGTCGCTTTGCCTCCTCCGTCACTCCAGTACCTTTCGGTGCGTAGCCCTTCATTTTCGTTGAATCATTCTAATGGTTTCTTCAGAACGCCCAATCAATATCAAGCTCGCTGATGAACTTCCTGTCCGCTATTGCGCTGATCAACAACGGCGTCCGCGAGATCCTTCCTTTCGTCCGCTACATCTCCCAGTTCGTCGACTTCGAATTCAGCGCCATCCAAGGGCAGGATCGAGGAAATGGAGTCGTCTGTGCGGCTACCTGGTACGTTCACATCTGGCTTGTAACGCGCCTTATTGACGTCGCTTCAGGATAATGCCAGCAGCTATGGTATGCATTCTATTATTAAACGGTGGAGTATATCCTCATTTTCGAGTTGTAGGTTCCTCGACCATGGGACTTCCCATCCCCGCCGGGTGAAGGTGGTCCGGAGGGAGATGCAGCAAAGGGAGACTTCAAGGAACCACAAGCCGACAATCCTGATTTGAGAGACTTGCCACCGCTGAGCGTTCCTGTGGTTATCCCTCCCTTGCCATCCCTTGTAGTCACGTCTCCGACAAATTCCAGTGACTCTCAAGCATCGGTTTCGACGTCTTGATTCCTTTCCCAATGTTATCACATTCTCTCTCGCTCGCATTTCCTTCTCTCCTTGATGATCATGATCTTAACGACCACGGACCATTCCCAGCATATTTAATACCCTGTTCTCCGATTCTATTGGTACCTTCCTCACTACATTAAGGATAACTGTTCATTCTCTAAATTATGTGGACACATCGTGTATATCAGCCAGCCATTCCCTCCAATTTCCTCAGTCGTAATACATTACTGCGTTACATACTGGGTTCGCATCTCTTGATCAGGTTCTAAACAGCAGTTGTAGTCATTGTTGGTCAAGGGCATCATCAACACTCACCAATCGACTCCACTATGTTTCCTTGTAGGGATTGCAAATTGGATAGTGCCTCCGGGCCCAAATTCGCGGCGAAGCCCTACAACATTCATAGTTAAACTAAGCGTTGCCTGTTACCTTTGAAGCGATTGACCTTGATTATGTCGTATCTATGTGTCACTGTACCTCCTGGTATACGCCTCAGACTACAGTAGATATCCACCGATGATATGGTATAAATACCTTGTTTCTGAACGCTACTGATATAGTCCTCAATCTGCTCCTGCGTGACGTGGGGTTTGAACACAATGATATACCCTACCCGTGCTGGCGTCAGCCAATATACGGTTGCATAGAGTGTTTGCAATGACTTCTAGCAGATTTATCTGCAGCGCTAGCACTGTATGAGCCCGCGGTGGGGTTGCTCTTCCCGCCCGCAGCAAGCGCCTGACGCAATCGATGGAACATGGGAAGATGAGAGCGAAGGGTCGGCAGCAATTACATCTCCCAGATCGATTGCTAGTAATCACTCAGTCCACGCCACAGATAAAACATTACTCCGTGTCTTTGCGAAAGGGCACGATGCGCTCAAATTACAGGCTTGTAAGTACTACTGGGGGCTCCACCGGTCTCTTATTGAGTCGTGACGATCGCATCTGCCTCTGAACGGGATACAAACATCGTTATTGTCTCGAGTTGAAGGGAGATGGAAGGGGCATACCTATGGAATCGATCAACTCTCCTTGCAATCCTTGGAACTTGGTTAAACTTTGGGGAGTCAGTTCCCCCGCAAACCCCTGTCACGAACAATGAGCGTCGATACTACCATCTGAAACATGCACGCATCTACCTTCATTCCAGGCATGTTGTATTCATTGGTGATTGTACCCCCTGTAAAGTGCGACGAGTCAAGAGGAATTCCGTAGCAGGAATGGCATGTCATACCTTCTGCAATAACCTCGTCCTTCGTCTCCCTGATCTTGTCGTCAGAGATGTCGTTCTTGAAGATCACAATAAATTCTGGCCATATTCAAACTTCTGTGTTATTGATGAGGACTTGGATGTACGTACTTCCTGCAGACATGGTGTTAAAGTGCTTGTGGTTAATCTTGGTGTTGTGGTGAAAGAGGAAAGCGATGCTGCTGCGTAGCGAACAGGACCCTGACGCAATCGATGAATTACTTCCAGAGGTCAGATGATTACTTGGAGCAGATGGAGAACGTATCCGTACTCATCGCGATAGGTTGCTTCTGGCTAACTCAGTCGAGGTGGCTACTTGTGGTCCACGCCGGTCAGCGCTGGCCTAGCCTGGCTAATAATCGGGCATGCAGCCCAAACGAGTATAAGGAATTGAATTCATTCAACTATGTCTCGACGATTATTCGCTACGTAGCCGCCTTAGGCATCTAAAACCAGATTCACCCTTGCGTAGTCACACGTTGATCAGGCTCTGTGGAGGAGTAAGCGGCTATTTAATCCGCCAAAAGTTCCAGAGATTATTCACCGATTGAGTCAACGATATCGTTGTCTCGGAGACTTTGCAGCGTTTGGAGCGACTGGTCCGTCAAAGCAGCAGCGAACCCCTGTAGAACGCCTATTTCAGTAGGGGTGAGCGTTCGTTTGCCATCGTACGAACCTTGATAAAGTCAAATTCATGGGTGATTTCTCCGCCTGTGGGACAATCGGCGCTCAGTATTGCCGTTACACAGTAGTGGCCGATGAATGTGAATATCTGACCTTGATGAAGGATTTGCTTAGCGTACTCTTTCACCTCCGGGAGGCTGACATGAGGCTTGAAAAGGATGATAAAGTCTAGGGCATATGTCTAATTGAGATCGACGGCACTGAAGCTTGGATAGCGCTTGTACTTACGCCCAACGTGCATATTTCTACAAAATCAAGCTTTGGATGTAAGTAGGGATGAAGGTACTGCGCGCTCCGGAGCCGCCAAGTGTCCGTCGCGTAACATGAGCGGACCCTGAATTAGTCAGTCGAGTCATCCCGCCCCTGAATGTGGTGGTTGAAAGTATGTTGAAGGGAAACATTCGATGCTCTCAATATTAACCCGTTCCCCCTCGTACTACAGACCACTTCTGCTCAAAATGCGAGTAACGCGCTCTGCTTCCAAAGCTGCGTCGGCTTCAACGCCTGTAGAAACACCCCCTCAAGCCACCCCGGCCCGTACAGTTGCGAAGCGCAAAGCAGCGTCAACTGGGACAGGTTCCAAGAAGCCTCGCAAGGCCACGAAGAATGAAAATACTGCAGAGGAAGGTCAAGAACAAGAAGAGACCCCCGCAACTCCTGTGTTTGCTATTCCACCACGAGTTTTAGCGGACGACGACTCGGATGTCGTCCCAGCTGTTTTAAGTTTCTCGTTCGATGAAGCGAAGAACCACCTCATCAAAGCAGATCCACGGTTTGAAGGCTTGTTCAATGAGGTAACGTGCAAGCCCTACGAGAAATTGGAGCGAGTTCACCCATTCCAGTAAGTCACGCACTGCGTTCGATCGCGTTTAATGATGCTAAACGCGACGCGTCTCCCCTACTAGGGCTCTGGCCACATCTATCCTGTAAGGCTGATCTCAACCTCCGAGGTGGCGTAAGTCATCTAATACTCAACGTTACAAACATAGCGGGCAGCAAATATCGTGGATGGCAGCAAGATCCATCAATCACAGATTCGTGCGCCTCTACAATCCAACGCTCCCCGAGAAGCCGTCAGATGTGTTTGTTGCCTGTTTCCTCTAGAGATGACACCCCAATGAACTCCCAATATACTTGATAGCGTCACCGACACCTCGGACCTCTTTCCAACCCCAGACCAAGTAGCCAAGACAGACCTCAACATACTGAGAACTGCTGGACTAAGCGGCAGAAAAGCGGAATATGGTTAGCGCGAGAACTATACTGTCCTTAACTTCGTCGAACATCGTATAGTCCAAGATTTGGCATCCAGGTTCGCTGATGGTAGACTTTCGACATCGAAGTTGCTGAACGCCAACGATGAAGAGTTAGCAGAAATGCTGATTGAAGTTCGAGGAATTGGCCGAGTGAGTGCCCATATTTGGAATCTGGATAGAAAGGAAAATGATTAGATTGCTACCTGGGTTACAGTGGACCGGTAGGTCTATCCACAAACGGTGTATGATTGATTTTCATCCACAATGTTTTAGTGGACATGTTCGCAATTTTCTCCCTTCGAAGGCCTGATATACTTCCAGTTGGTAAGAATCTTTCTTTTACTGATAGGACTTGCCGTTGACTAACTTGTAATCATTAGGTGATCTTGGAGTTCAGCGCGGTGTAGCTCGATGGTTCTTGGCCCTTCATTCACCAACATATAATATTAGTATATCGCCTGACAAGGTCACTGGAGGTGAACTTAAATCGACACCGCTGGACAAGGACGACGATGATGACGACGAAGAGGGCACGCTCCCCGTGTTCGGGACGACCAGTACTACCCCTGTTGAGCCCCAGGACGTGTCGTCTGTACCTCCTGGCGGCGTGGCAGCAACACCCATGCCTGATGGAAGCAAGAAGAATGTTGCTGCAATGCCTCCACCGCTGACACCCGCCACCAGGAAGATACTCACCTCGACCAGTGCCCCAGCTACTCCTCTTCCGGGCGGGTTAACGGCCTCAGATCTGAAGAGTCGATTAGATGGCAAGAAGAAAATCAAGTATGTGCTGCTTCGTTTCTGCTATTGTATGCGTTTAACGACTCGATTCCAGGGGAGCGTTGATCACACCCCAAGAGATGGAGGAGCTCACTACCCCATGGAAGCCCTACAGAAGCCTCGGTATTTATTCCTGCCACGATCGCGCGAGTCTAAATACTGACCACCTCCGCAGCCGTGTATTACATGTGGGCCCTTGCTGATGGTTAAACCTCATCAACTTATGTTGATTTAAGTACCTTGTCGCCTGCATTATTATCGTACAGACCCTGCTTTGCCTATGCTTTGACGTTCATTTCTTGATTCATTAATTCATCATCAATACCGGGTCACGTGAGCAGCGCGTTGCTGGCCAGCCAAACTTTCACAAATAGCTTACATCCTTCCAAGTTCTGCAGTGTCGCGACTTGTTCTCTACCATCTGAGGCCTGAGGCTCGCGTGCTCCCATAACCCACCCTTGCTCGGTGTTCGCGTATCCTCCCACCCAAAACTTGTACATTTGCTTGATTTCTTCTCTCCTGGACGATTATGCAGACAGATTCTTGCCCCGCGAGCTCAGGCTCAATAGCGTCCATGGACTCATTAGAGACACCGCTGGATCCTCTTTCTCCTTCAAGCTCTGGATACTACTCACCAATTGGGAGCGACGCCATACAAACGCCGTTCATCGAAGAGCACGCTGGCGGACGAATCTACGCTGACCCAAGGGAACCAGAAGCCAGCGTATTCGACTATGTAGGGTCGCCGTCTTCTCCGGAAACTCGACGGAAAGGAGGCTACGAATACACTTCCGACGTCAACTCGCCGTCTCATAAGTTCTCGCAGTCGTCCCTGGTCTCACCGATCTTGGTCTCGCCTAGGTACAGAAGCTACTCCTCGTTCTCCTTGACTCCAGATGGCCGGACTTGTGGCGACAAGAACTTGGAAGAAAACCCGTTTGAACTTATGTTCTCGCCCGAGCTGCTAGAGGATGCCCTCGATGATTCTGGAGATGCTCCACGACCACCGGATGAGGAGCTTGACCGCCCGCCTGATGACCCCGCCGCTTGCGATATTCACTTCAATTACGACGCACATATGCACTCTGAGAAATTCCCAGAAGGACACCAGCTGAACCGGCACTTCGTAAGGAACTATGTTCTGGAGGACCAGCTCGGCGCTGGAGGATATGGCTTCGTCATGACTGCTCACCATCGCGAACGGGGCTACGAGGTCGCTGTCAAATTCATCATAAAAGAGAAAGTCCCAGATGGCGCTTGGATGGTCGACGAAGTTCTTGGAAAGCTCCCGGCTGAAGTTCTGCTACTTTGCTTCATCGATCACGAGAATATAGTCAAATGTCTGGACTTGTACGAGGACAAGATCTATTACTATATGGCAAGTTGTTGCTTCTCCCTTTCTGCAAAAGTAAAGACGAAACCTTGCCATAGGTGCAAGAATTACACGGATCTCCTTGGTCCAACCCCAAGAACCGTCCCTTGCATCTTCACCCCTCCCTAAAACCGAAACACCAGTCATGCCTACCACAACCATGCAATAACACGGTAAAAAAGCTAGATCCCAGCAAGGAACTAGCTATAAATCGCCCTGAATTCTCTCGAAGGCCGTCACACGATTTGTTTGAGTGTATAGAGCAATCCGAGCACAAGCGCCTTTCCCAAGAGCAAGCTCGCTACGTATTCAAACAGATCGTCGAAGCAGTCTACTACCTACACGTTCAAGGCGTATCCCACAGAGACCTAAAGGACGAGAACGTGGTCATTGACAGGAACTTCAAGGTGCGCATATACCTGCTTCTGGTTAGGTTTGAACGCATATATATGATATCTTGTAGGCCAAGTTGATAGACTTTGGAAGCGCTGTTATTGTTGACCCTTCAAAACCCCGCCCGTTCTACGATGTCTTCTTCGGGACGACGGCCTATGCTGCTTCGGAGATCCTCCTCAAGAGGCCATACCAGGCCGCTCCAGCCGAAGTCTGGACATTGGGCGTGCTCTTATCGTATCTCCTCACCGGATCGTCGCCGTTCCCTTTAAGGCAGGATGCCATCGACGGCAATATCGTTCTCTGTGGTTCAGCAAGGCAGAGCATCCCGCCCGATGCGATGGACCTGTTGAAGAGATGCCTCCTCCCCGATCCAACACAGAGGATCACTATCGCTGAAGTCAAGGAGCACGCATGGTTGAAAGAGCCAGAAAACTAAATCCGCAGTAAGCCTATCTCGTTTACTCTCTCCTTTTGTTGTGCAAATGTAGATTTGTTCCAGTACATATCATCATGTAAATATGCCACGTCTGTTGTAAACTCTGTACCAAAGACAAAATGTGGATGTATTTTCTTAAGGGACGCAAGTTCGAATAAAGGAAACGAAGAGTACGAAGGCAGTGTCATAAAGGTACTGAGTGAAATGAAATGGAGAGAGTTTAACCACTGATAGGCTGGTATGCCCTATTGCCTGCAGCCCACCGGTGACCTTTGTCTGCCGATATGCCAGTCGTTACGACGGCGAAGGTGGTTATGATGCCAAGGACCCAGGAAAGAACGTTGAAGATATATGCCCAACCTATTAGTACGTTAAGGGTCAGCGTTTCTTTCATGACACGAGTATATATACCTGGTCGCCCTTGTTCGAAGGTAGGGTATCGGTCAGAGCGGTACATTTCGGTGACTGCGGCAAAGGTGCCAATTTGACATGCAGCTATTATCATACGAGATGAGACAATGCAAAGGGTTCAGGAATGGGCACTCACCGTGCAGGAAAGTCAATCCGGCAACCGCTCTCCAAATTCTCCTTCTCCGGGAATGCGTGGTGAGTCCTATCAGGATGGATAGCAGCGAGACTGCGGCGAAGCCTATGGCCAACTGGGAGATATACCCAGCACTCGTCCAGACCGTGCAGAACAGCCTGTTCTCGTCTTGGCAGCTATCGGCGGTGCTGGTGGGGAACGGTCGGCATGTGTAGCTTGTGTATTCGAGTTCGCTGTCGTCGCTCGGCTTCGGGAGGCGGATTACATCGCGCTCGCAGCGCTCGGAGAGGCCGTAGTAGAAGGTTACCTTCCTGCGGAGGATCTCGGGCGACGACACGACGATCCTGGATATCAATGAGGAGGAGATATCATGATGAGCATGAGGTGCACGGACCAGTCAGGTCGCTGGGCCGAGATGATATTCTGTGCGAATTGTGAGCCACGGTGGAGGGATTGAGAATATGAGCAGTTACGAGAGTCAGAGTCAAAGCCACAGCGAAAAAAGTGACTACATAGGATGTCTTGCGCATTGTGTTGGGGGTTGGGAGTCAAGCGAGGCAAAATAGAAGCTACTGAAGTACACTTGTCCGTAGCTGGAATCGAACCAGCGGCTCTTCGGAGCAGTGCAACCACAACGAAGTGATTTAACCCCTAATCGATACGGACGATATAAAAGCTCGCACTAGGCCAACCAAGACCGATTCACAGAGCGGAATACCGGGGAACTCATATGGCAGTATTGCAGGCGGTAGATAATTACGACCAACATGAGATATAGTGCTCATCATACCAACATCATACAGTCGTTGCCTCTGAATTCACGGAAGCCCTCTTCAGCCAGGGCATCGTAAACCAACTCTTGAACCTTCCTCGAGGTGCCACAACATGCTGCTCGTTCCCGTGTTCGGCAGTAGGTTTTTTACGAGTCGCTTGTCGTGTTGAGGGCTTTCGGTGGATTTGGTGGTGTCTCCTTCTTGGGGGCGATGTCGGTTTCTCGGCAATACCAAGCATTAAAAATAAGAAGAGTCGCGACAGTGAAACACAGAGCTCCTACGATCAGACATGTAAAAGGGTCTGAAGAAAAACACAGGATACCGAAAGAAAGCATGAATGAAAGGATCCTAAAGATATGATCATAAGTATTGCAGGCGGCGGTAGTGGTCTCTGACTTACGAAAGCATGAGGAAGTTCCATGGAAGGCTGTAAGTGAGGGCCATGAGTTGCAAATTGAAAGAATGATTGCTCAATAATCTCAGCTAAGAGATGTGAGCAGCGGTGGTTATGTGATAACAAGGATACCACTTACAGGGCTTGCCGGGCCTTTCGACCTATTTTGCCTGACGAGCAACAGGCCAGCAATGATACTACCAATGCTCGAGGCTATAGACATGTAGCTGGCGATTTGGATCGGGGACCGTATACCATGACTGTTACCATTGTCAACACTTTGGATAGCCAAAAGCGCTACATTTGCGTTGAGCAGCACAGTAGCCTACGATATGTAGTTCATAAGGTTGGAGAGGTCGGGTACGCAGTTCAAGACACTCACGATAAGGATAAAATCCTGCCACTCAACGGTTAACCGAGAGACGACTTGGTTGACATGTGTTGCGTTCACCATTCGATCCACGTATGCGCCACCGAGCACGCGGAGATAGGCTTGAGGGCCGCCGAAGTGCAGCAGATATGACAGCATACTGAAGTAAGATCGCCCAGTCGAACCATCATACATAGTTTGGCTACAAGCCGAGCGAGCGGAAGGCTGTCCGTGAAAATTGATGAACCGATGGCGCGCTATGGATGGTTAATATCAACATATGTACTTGGTCGGCGAGGTACAGAGAACAGAAACCTCTTAGATACATTAATCTACCTAATCAATATAAGCACCAGCGATCAGTGGCTCAAGGGTAAGGCACTCACTTAGAGTAGCGAATGAAGCAGGGGCTAGCTTCTTGACTTGCGCTATAATGGGTGTCGTCAGGACGAGATCGGGGGGGGGAGAATATGGAGGGTGTCTACTTTCTGCCGCTGCAACGATGTCAAGCATGGTTTTCAGCTCGTCGGTGGTATCCTCAATGATAGAGAGTGGGTAGTTGGAAATATCTACGAATGGCATAGTCAGGACAATCGAGTTTCACTACGAACCACGTAAATGCATAACTTACCTCCAAGAGCATGTGTGATCATATCTCTCAGTTCATCCACCAGGCCCTGCGTTACTTCTCTGGTGTGCGGGAAAAACTCACAGTGACGCCTAACGAGGAGTAAGAGACATTGAGGGTACGCTGGAGTGGGAGTTGGTATAGTGACAATGAATACGTGGAGGATGCTAACCAAAATGCCTGAGGCTCTCTCACCAGTACAGAGCCTCGAGTTCATGTCCTGACAGACAAGGTTAGCAACAAACCAAGCAATGATGGGGTCTGGCCCACGTATATGAGCATCCGCCATCACACCGGGTACGTCCCTCCAATCCGGAAGATAGGCTGCATTGAACTCATCTAACCAGAAGACGGTTCGATTTTGGTGGTCGACTAGGTAGTAGCCACAACGTCCAGCACTCTTTCCAGACTCGCTTAAGGCGAAAACTAGTTCAGAGGACGGGTCAAGATGGATCCTATTATCCGAAACGAAAGATTCAAATGATGTTATGAAGCGCGAGATGGTGTCAAGGTTCGCAGAAGTTCCAAGGAGGGTATTGGTAAAAATATTCTGAGGATGAGCGGAGATGTAAGAAACATACTAGAAAGGAACCACAGGCCATTACCTTGGATTCATGATGAAAATATGTTGGGCCTTTAGGGTGCTCATACCTTGTCCAACCAACGGGTGCATCGCTACAGCGGGTTCAGCATGATTTCTGGGTACAAAATGGAATACTTACTCGGTCATCCTGATAGATAGCGGAGGTATCTTGATATCATGGTGCACGCGGGGGCTTCAAAAATGGCTAAGAAGTATTCTCACACGCAACAAATCCTCACATACACTGTTCCCGATCGTTTAAAATAACGCGGCGGAACTGGCAAAAATTCCGGGTATGAGCTACACAACATGGGAGGGTTAGGGCCTTCTGTTGTGGTCAGAAAAGAAGGTGAACTACGTCTGGATAGAAACTGTACCTGTCGTAGGAGGATCTGCAGTTTGGTCACCCAACTGGGGGCTGGACAATGGCAAGTCGGCAGTCGGATGTGCGCTAGTTGGAACCGGGGGAGCATGGTTTGGGCATGCCCCTGCCTCCAGGTCCCGGTCAGTCTGCGTGGTTTGTGGTAGCGCAGCTACATCTTGACTAGCAACGAAGCCTGCGCGGCGTTCGTCGCAGGCATTCGACTTGATCCCAGTCCCCGAACTTTCGCTAGTCTCATTGCAGCGGTTCCGAAAGAAGGGAGCCATCCACCGCAAAAAAGAGATAAATGTGAAGAATCTCCTACATTTTTTACCCGTCTTCTGCACGAAGCGCGTTACGTGCTGTAATAGTCGGAGCAAGGAGGATAGACGAAGATATGGCCAAGTAGTCTTGGTGAGCATGGTCTCGAAGAAGAATGTTATTTCCTCAGCACTCTTACGGCGTTTCCTGGGTTTCAGGGACGAATTCTGAGCGTTATGAACACTGCTGTATGTTTACAGTTTGGGAAGAACGGAAGCACAATGGCCGCTGGCTGTCAACCGTGCGAAATATCTGCCAATTGAACATCAATAGGGGTTCGGTCCTACTCCCATTTCCGAACCGTACAACAGTCATGTCACCCAAGGTACTCATCTGCGGTACGTGAAGTGCAGCCAACTGTACACGCGCAACGCTGATTTGAGTCGCCACAGGTGAACTAGATTGGGCCCAGGAAGACGCGAAGCAACTATTACAAGATTTCGCAGAGATAATCGTGAGTCCCGGGCACGGACAAGCGTTCCAGGCGTCCTTTAAATTTGACTCTCGTAGCTCCTTAGTTCTCCGACGCGCGCAGAATTCCTGCAGGGCTTTCAAGCCGGGGGAAAGTACGAGGGCGTCGTAGCCATATACAGAGATAATTCATCTGCTCAGTTTATCGGAAACTTCGACAAGGAGATCATCCAGGGAATATCCAGCAGCGTAAGATGGATCGCGCACAATGGCGCAGGATACGATCGCATTGACGTTCACGAGTGTAAAGCTTGTGGTACGTGAGCATTCAACTTGTGCACGCGACTTAGTGATTAAATTTGCCCCAGGGATAATGGTGTCGAATACGCCGGGCGCCGTAGACGACGCTACGGCTACGACCGCTCTCTACCTACTCATCGCGACATTCCGCCAATTCTCCGCCGGCGAGCGATCCCTACGCGCCCTAAACTGGAGAGTAACCGGCACCACCCAGACTTCCAGAGACCTCACGGGGCATACCATAGCCATCTTAGGCCTTGGTGGCATCGGTCTGCGCCTCGCTGAACTCGTTCACGCATTCCCCATGCGGGTGATTTATCATTCGAGGAATAAAGTTGCCAATGCACCGGAATGGTGTGAGTACTTCGAAGATGTCGAGGAGATGTGTGCCCAAGCCGATGTTTTGAGCGTTCATGTGCCTCTCAACAAGGATACAGTTGACTTGGTGGGGGAGAAGATTATTCGGTCTCTTAAACGGGGAGCGGTCATCATCAATACCGCGAGGGGCAAGGTCATTGATGAAGCAGCCATGATACGAGCGCTCGAAGACGGACATGTAAGCCAACTGATCCATTCCGCCTACGCTATGATACTTACACTTTCGCCCAAGCTATCTTCTGTCGGCCTGGACGTGTTTCCGAACGAGCCCGAGATCAACCCGCGTCTCCTCGAATTCCCTCAGCTCACCCTCCTGCCACACATGGGCACCGATACCAAAGATACGGAATACAAGATGGAACTTAGAGCCCTCCAGAATATACGGGACTTTTTCGCGAAAGGTAGAGGGAACGATCTCGTTTCTGAACACAAATAGAAGACATAGAAGAATTATATGCCGGGCGGCATTTAGACGTCTCATACAATCCCAAGATAAACGCCGTTTGCCAGTGCGTCATGAGGGACGAACACGCCCACTGCGAAAACACGTTGCAGGGCTTCGTAAACCTATTACAAGGCTTCTTGTGTGGATTGATGCACTGATGTAGGCAGTATTACGGCCATGAGGTTGCCTGCATGCACGTTTATCTATTGCAGCGCAGCAATGATGGCGCGATCGTTCCCTCACACTCAGACCCTCAGCTTGTATCACCTCACAAAACACCATCTATTGCGTACTTGGCAAGCTCGCAATTATGTCAAAGCCTGTGCCTTACACCGATAGTATGCAGAGCATATGGGCAACTATGTAAGCGACCTCCTCTCTTTTACTGTCGTGGACTAAGCTTACGACCTTCCGACGCCTAGCGAGGATTCTCTAAAAGCTGTACACGCTCAGACCGATGGGCTTCTGAGCTCAGGGCCAAAGCTGGTGAGTCCACCCATCGCTCCTAGTGCGATAGGAGATTGACCCTATTCTATGATTGCAGGAGGACGTCCAGAAAGAAATTGACCCGTTGAGCAAGGAGATCGCGGCTGAACAAGAGACAGTGCATGCTGAAATTTCGAGCCTCAAGGAAGTGGCTCGGGTAGACATCCAGAAGCAGGTGATAGCGGCGCTAGAGTAGGTCCATTTCAAGTACCATTCTCCGGTCAAGAGTTTATCATTGGGTCAGCGATCACATCAAGTCGCAGCTCCAACAGGAGATAGCGAGCCAAGTGAAGGCTCAATTCGATGTGCAGATCAGGGCGTATATCCCTGTGCCGATGTCCAAGCAGGTAGAAGAAAACAGGGCCCAGATTGAGAAAGTGAAGCACTCGCGGGTCAATGAGTCAGTAGTTCCTTCTGCTGACATTCTGTGCAACGAGAGTTTGATGTCTGATTAGAGACGCTCGGCGAGAGAACTCGAGCATCCAGGATACGGATTTGAATGAGAGTCTCAAGCCCGTCCTGATGGGTAATGGCGAGATCAGCAGTGTCTATCCAGCGGATCTACTGTCTCTGTTTGCTTACGACGGTACTTAGCTTACCTCGAACTAATACCCGTACTCATATGGAACCAGATGAATCATTGAGCAAACTGCTTGACGACTACGGGCTTCCAAAGGATGGGCCAATGGAAACTAGCGTAAACCGATTCATGGCGCACATTGGTAGGAGCTTCCATTTGTGATGTGCGAGTGTGCTGTCGCTGATTAAACTTCTTTCATTCAAGGTATAACATCGTGGAAAGTGTTCCCCTCTCCAACATAGCCAAAACATGTGGGTTCCATATCAGCTCTCCCAGAAGTAGTTTTAGGAGTGAAGCTCTTCGACTGTAGTTAATAAATAAACATTATGGCTGTAGTGGAACTCAGGGGCGGGGGACTTGTTTACTCCTTGAACGTTTGACAAATAAGGGCCCCCTCAAGCGTGCGTCCGTCACGTTTTATCCGCATTGCTCTCTCTGGACCTCCCTTCATCTTGCATGGCGGTGAGCAGCCTCTTTCTGTCCTCGTCGGGTCGCTGGTAGTCTAACACTCGTTCTCGTGTCTCAGCTAAACGACCCAACAATCGATCTCGTCCGCCAGGCTTACGGGAGATTGTCACATGATGAACTCCTTCTCTTCCTCAGAATTCGGACTCTCCCCACCTCTGGCACAGACGCAGAACTCGCTTCTCGTCTCACCCACCATGATCTACACACATATCACTTCGTCGGCCACAACCAAGGGCCCTCATCTCCTCCTTCATCACCGCCCCCGACCCTAAAATCGTCGAGTGGATTCAGCATCGACATTGTGGCCGATATTATGGACCAGGTTGGGGATTGGGAGCTGGCGAAGGCAGTGGGAGTGCCGACATCCATCCAGAGACCAATAGATTGGGCAAGGGCCGCACCCATCGATCATGCAATGCTCGCAGGCCATATTCCACTCATTCGATCGCTGGATCCAGCGAGCAATCCGCCTACTAAGGTCGGTGCAGTAGCTGCGGTTAGATTCGGTTACGTCCATGTCCTAGAATTCTTCCTATCACATCACCACGATATGTTTCTCTCCCTATTTTCTGGAGATATAATCCCCATCAAGGCATCACGGCACGGTCGAATCGGCGTCTTGTCGTGGTGGAAGCACGGGTTTCAAAAGCATCCCGATTTAATACCTCCCCCCAAAGCAGGATCCATCTCCGAGGCTGTTGATGGCGCTTCACGGAACGGACAGATAGTATCTTTGGAGTGGTGGCTTCATTCTGGCCTCCCTTTCGAATACTCGGATGCCGCGCTCGAGCACGCTAGTGCAAAAAATCAGGTCGCGGTTCTTGAGTGGTGGAAGCAGATGTCGAAAAAGACAGGTATGCCTCTTAAAATCGGTCGGGTCATGGACGCTGCAAGCACCGCTGGGCATGTCCCCGTACTTGAGTGGTGGGCGGCGTCCCAGCTTGACTTCAAGTACGATCGCTACGCACTGCATCAAGCCAGTTGTCATGGGCGGGTAGATGTATTGGACTGGTGGTTGGGCAGCGGTTTGCAGTTGGTATTCGACCAAGACGTGTTGACGGGTGCAACAAGACATAATCGTGCCGATGTGCTGGAATGGTGGGACAAGTCTGGTCTCCCGATTCAATACCGGATGTGTGATATCGAGGAAGCCTTGGAAGACGCTATCGGTGGGGGCGCACAGGCGAGAGCATGGTGGAAACGGAAAGGCGTCGATTTTCACGCCGACGATAAAGTTTGGATGAAGCTTCAGAACCTCAACTAATACTACGTACGTTCTCCAACTGTCATGGTATCGTGCGCTATACTGATTGCTCTTTGCGAAGGTATACTACCGATTTTCATACTATTCCTTTTCTTGCATGCATTTGTATCGACTCATCATATATTCTAATTGTTTCCACTGAACATTTTCAGACTACAAGTTATGTCAGGAGATAATATGCTAAGTTACATTGTCATTCGACGCTATTCGGAATATGGATCTGATACCAGAGACTCGGATACAAGTACAAGATGATTCATCGAGAATGTTTGCTTGACGATTGGTTTGCTTTCACTTTCTTCCCTTTACTAGTTGCTGCTTCCTCTCGTCTTCCAGAGTAGCTCGGCGCCAAATCTGTTCGGGTTCTGCTACTCCAAATGCCGCCTCCCAGTCGATTCCGTGTTGATCCCATCGAGGAGGTCGAATATACGAGGGGGTGCTATTATTGGCCGGCGCCTTCACGAACTGGTGCAAAGCTTGGCGGTCTGCGCTCACGATCGCAGCCATCGGTAAGATTCCCCCTCGGGCTTGGGCCAACATCGGGAACGCGAAGTGGGTTAAGCTCGGCATCGCAGCGAAAGGAATTCGAGCGACTGCAGGCGGGTAGGGAGTCTCATTGGAGACGCCATCCAAGTTGTACACAACTAGATGAGTGAGCTTGGACAAAAGGACAACTCCCTCAGGCGACTTCACCAACGGGTTCCATCGGTCGCCAGGTCCCACGAGAACGAGGCTGCGGCACTTCCACTCCTTTTGGATGTTCCTCCCTTCGGCAAAGCAGTCGGTGAGCATCGGCAGGGACACGAAGGTCATACCCAGCGAGTCGACATTCCTGATGACGTCGTACAGTGTCGCGTAGTCAAGCACAGTAGGGTCGCTGAGGAGGCGGTGCGGGCCATCCGTGCACCAGAAGCGGCGGACCATCTGGGCGTAGTCACAGTGGATGTCCAGACGGTGGGGCTGGCGCTGAGAGCGCGAGCGGCGAACTGCTTCGAGGAACGCGTAAAGCTGCCTGGGGTTGGAGATCACGACAGTGTGGAGAAAGCCGGGCATAGCCGCACGTCGGACGTCGCTCGACACCCTGGTCAGAGCCAGCGCAGTTTCGTAAGGGTTCTGGCCATTCACGAAATCCGGCAACGCTGCAAATCGCATCACTTGGTGGAAGACATCGGCCGGCCAGCGGTTTAGAGGAGGAAAAGAACGCGATTTGTGTTTTTTCTGCATTGTGTTCCTTGTGCTAGTTGGTGAAGTGTGTTCAGTATGCAGTGGGTGATTTTCGATGATTTTATGTCTGCTTCGCGAGGCTGCTTTTATAGCAGAGCCAGATGGTGGCACTGTGGCAGTTGCTGGCGGACTTCACGCGTAGTCGCTTCTTTGCGTGGGCCTCATTGTACGGGCCACGGAAGCTTTTTAGTGGGTGGCCACGGCCCTAACGATCAGATGCTTGTCCCCCCACTCACGCCTTTCCCACCCGCCCGCGTTCCCCATCGCAATTGTCATGCCGGGGCCATTGCTTAGCAGGCCTTTTGTGATGTTGTCCATATTAAACAACAAAGGTACGGCTTACTTTGTGAACTTGCCACCGAAGACCCTCGCCATTGTTTAACCACACTGATCATGACCATCCTGTTTATAGCTTCCTCGGCAGCTCGGCTCCTCCATTTACGTTGTAGATGAGGGGGCAAGGGTGAAGCGACTTACCCCTGTTTGGTCACAATCGCTGGTCCACTTCGAAGTTCGTGAATTGCATTGTGTTGGTGGGCGCAGCGCGTGGGCGGTGTTGGAGGCGCATTACCCCGTAGGCCTAAGGTAAGATAGATCCATCGATTTCCTGGCCTTGTACTCACAATTTTGGGATATATCTCGTTTAGGCAAGCCGAATTGTGGAGATCTCCAGGGACGATCGGGGTTGCCAAAACACAGCTCGGACTACGCGTCCGACTCTGCATCGGTTGATATGGTGGGATGCAGAGCAAGCAAACCCGACTATAGGAAAGTGGACGAACTTACAAGGTAGGTGAACCTGTCCATCCCCTCTTCCATCCCAGCTACAGTTCGAGCACATTGTACGACCCCAAACTGACAAGGGTCAGCAGAGGTAAGAGCTGCACGAATCGCATCTCATCCCATTAGTAGCGTGGTCAGCGTATCCTGTTGCGAGCTGATACACGAGAATTGGAGTACCTCATCAGTGGTGTAAGTGGTGAACGTTCATGTCAGAAGAACTGGGGGGGGTCACAGACATACTGATGACGTTCAGCAAAGATACGTCGCGACTATTTTAGAACCCTGAAAACAACATAGACAGTGCCTGCATGGCTCAAAATGACAAATTTATCCAGCGTTCGATGGCGCGATCCCACCGTATCTCTTCTTTTCACACTCAGAGAACCAGAGATGAGTAAGGCATCATCAGATGACCGGCGCACCGCGAGCGCATAAAAGAGCAGTCCGCGCCCACCTGCCAGTGACAGTAAGCTTATCACTATGGCCAGTCCTACGAAGAAAATGCAGTATGGTTCGTGCTTTGAAATATACGATGGCGAGATTTCATCCTTACTTTTATGTGTGCAGTCCGCCTGGGGAACTCGGGGCTGAAAGTCTCGAAGATCATCCTGGGGTGTATGACATACGGTAGCCCAGAATGGCAAAAATGGGTGTTGCCCGAGGAGGAAGGCATTAAGCACATTAAATTCGCGTGAGTCGCCCCCTACGTCCCCTGCAAAGACCCCTCTAGACCCCCTTTAGATACGATCAGGGGATTCAGTCGTTCGATACCGCCAATGTGTGTTGGCTTTTCTCTTCTAAGGCGCGTTGCGACACTGACTTTCCGCTCGAACAGGTATATTCCAATGGACTCTCGGAGATCATACTGGGCAAAGCTATCAAACAGCACAAACTACCCCGCGACGAGATCGTGGTGATGACGAAGGTAGCTACGATGCATTATTGTCTTGTGGTCATATCTTACACGATATTTGTCCACAGCTTCATGGAGCCGTTGCGCGAGAATATGGATATCGTTTCCAAGTTGCTGGGACAAATCCCGATGAAGTTGGGTATATCAACCAACATGGCCTCAGTCGGAAGGTAAACTCTTCAGAGTCCGTGCTTCATTGAAATTCAACATTCACGCACATCTTTAGCACATCTTTGAGTCTGTGAGGCACAGTCTCGAACGCTTGCAGCTCGATTATATTGACCTTCTGCAATGTGAGAATACCTCCGCTTCTGCGACTTATGTCCTAACTCTATCATTAGGCCATCGTTTTGATCCAGAAACACCCATTGAAGAAACCGTGTGTCATTAACGAACTATCCGATGATTAGGCACGTACACTAAAGACTTGGCTAGATGCAAGCGCTTCACGACGTAGTGCAAGCCGGTTATGTTCGCTATATTGGCATGAGCTCCTGCTACGCCTACCAATGTGGGTCATTCACCTTCAATTAAGAAAGAAACCTATACCTGACCTACATCCCTTAGTCCATGCCATGCAAAGTCTGTGTTCGCTGCAATTAACGTCACTCCATATTGATTAACACTCCAAACAGACTACGCCATAAACAACAAACTTACACCGTTTATCTCGATGCAAAATCACCACAATTTGATCTACCGAGAGGAAGAACGGGAGATGTTCCCAACTTTGAAGGTGGGATTGGGCATTCCGCCGTAGGCTGTGCGCTGATTTTGGCTAAGTTATTTGGCGTTGGATCCATCCCATGGTCGCCACTGGCGCGAGGTATCCTTACGAGACCATTCGGTGAAAAGACGATACGGGCAGAAACCGACCTGTAGGCCTCCCGCGCCCGACACTGAATCCCGGATAGATTTCGGATGTTGACTTCTCCGTGCAGGTTCCAGTCCATTTACAACAACAAGAGTGTCGGGACACCAGAAATCGTCAAAAGGTATGTAGTAGTATTTCTTATCCGTCAACACTGTAAAACGCCCTGTTTTACACAGGGTTGAAGAAATCGCGAAGAAAAAAGGTGTTAGTATGGCTCAGATCTCTGTTGCATGGTCATTATCAAAAGACGGTAAGATTTCCACCTTCTATACTATAAGCTTTCTCAACAACCCTCGCAGGCGTCAGCGCGCCCATCGTAGGGACCACCAGTTTAAAGAATCTCGAAGAGATGATCGGTATGTCCACTCGCCTACCAACGACGTTGGTATCTGACTTCTTACAATGTGGCTTCTAGACGCCATTCATATCAAGCTGACCGAAGAGGAGATCAAGTACCTTGAGGAGCCTTACCACCCCGTACCGATTGCAGGCCACAACTGATTCGTTGGACTCGGAGTTGTGAATAAGTACAGGGGAGCCCCTGTTTACAATACGCCGAGCGTGATGCTCCAGCTTCGACTCTTCGTTCTCCTTCACGTACAAAGACAACCTTAGCACCTTCCACACAAAACGAACAGAAAAGAACTATTGGGCTACAGGAAGAAAACTATGTCGGCCCCATCGGCACTCTATACACGTAAGTAAATCCGGCAGGGTGTTCCACATAACTCCCACTCCCATTTCCCGAATTCCCAAATTCCCATAAACTACTCCCATCCTCGACGCCTGCCCACGGAGTCAATACTAGAATCATCTATTGCTGGATTATTTTCAACCCCCGATTTGCCAGCTGAGTAAGTGAGTCGTCAGGGCGTGGTCAGATGTCCTGGATGTTACAAATGGTGAGGAGATATAAGGCGGCACGCCCAGTGTTGTAAGAATATTGACGATCAACGATGGCCAGTGCCCCCAAGAAGATGCAATACGGTACGTCTGACCCTTTCGGTGTCGACCGCGATGGGAACAACTATGCTCACCTCGCCCACTACACCATTCGATCTTCAGTTCGCCTTGGCAATTCTGGGCTTAAGATCTCGAAGATTGTCCTAGGGTGTATGACCTATGGCAGTCCTGGATGGCAAGGATGGGTTCTTGAAGAGGAGGAAGCGATCAAGCACATCAAATTCGCGTACGTGCGACTACCTGTTAGGCCGAAAGGTTTCCTGTTTGCTAACCTCATCGACTGTGGCAGGTATGACCAGGGCATACAATCATTCGACACCGCTAACGTAGGACTCCTCGAGTTATCTCCTTGCTTCGACTCTAATAAACTGCTGAACATGGAATATAGGTGTATTCCAATGGTCTTTCTGAAATCATCCTAGGGAAGGCTATCAAACAACACAAACTACCCCGCGACGAGATCGTCGTCATGACCAAGGTTCGCTATTTCTGTTATCTCTGTTTCGATATTTGGATGTCCTCTGATTTAGCCATTTACTTGACACCGATAACAGCTTTGGGGAACCGTAGCCCGCGAACACGGATACAGTTTCCTCCGGACAGGCGCGAATCCAGACGAGAATGGGTACATCAACCAACATGGTCTGAGTCGCAAGGTTCGCTTCATCCCCATCTGTCCGACATGACACCGCGTAGGCTGAACGATTCCAAACGCTGCGTGCTTGATTTATTAGCATATCTTTGAATCCGTTAAGCACAGTCTCGAGCGGTTACAGCTTGACTACATCGACCTTCTGCAATGTGCGTACCCAAACTTCTTTGTGTTCTAGCTGAAGCTAATTCGTTCGATGTAGGCCATCGCTTCGATCCCACTACTCCCATTGAAGAGACCGTAAGTTGTTTACCTTGCAGTGCGTTGGCCATGGTAATCAGCGTTCTTATAGATGCAAGCGCTGCACGATGTCGTGAAGGCGGGTTATGTTCGCTACATCGGAATGAGCTCGTGCTGGGCATATCAGTGTGCGTTGGTCCCTTCTTCGTAACTCTAATAATGTACTCAACTCAGCATTCATTTAGTCCACGCAATGCAAAGTGCGTTCACATCAGATATATATAGCTCTCGTAGTAGCATTCACCTGACTTGTTCACCGCAGACTACGCCATCGCGAACAAACTGACACCGTTCATATCTATGCAGAACCACCACAACCTCATCTATCGAGAAGAAGAGCGGGAAATGTTCCCTACATTGAAGGTACATCCATGCGTTCTTTTCTGTAGTAACCAGTGAGACTGACGACGACTACTCAGCTGTTTGGCGTTGGCGCCATTCCATGGTCTCCCCTCGCCCGTGGAATGTTGTGTAGACCACTCAGCGAGAAGACACATCGCAAAGAAACTGACCCGTACGCTTCTAGCCCCTTATATTCAATGTGATATTCTCACCGCTTTCGCAGTTATGTTGGTATTTACGATGCGAGCAATGCCGGAACAGCGGAAATCATCAAACGGTGGGTTTGTTCTTTTTGTGTTTCCGATGCTTTTCTTGACCTCGCGATGTAGCGTCGAAGAAATAGCTACGAAGAAGAACATCAGTATGGCCCAAGTATCCGTTGCTTGGTCCCTTTCTAAAGAAGGTGATTCCCAATGATCTGCGGCGTCTCGGCGCTGTTGCTGATGTCTTTCCCCTTCTGTAGGCGTGAGCGCTCCCATCGTCGGCACAACTAGCCTCAAGAACTTGGAAGAGATGATTGGTGCGTCCCAATCTCTATAGTTCTTTCCATCAACGATTCACCGTGTAAAATTCTAGCTGCGGTGAGCATAGAACTCACAAAAGAAGAAATTGCGTATCTGGAAGAACCATACACGCCGGTGGCGATTGCCGGTCACTGATGTACTTGTGAAAAGGCTTGACCTACAACCCCAAATCGAACAAATGTTTCGCTAAATTCGATGTCCCATAATGACTGATTCGTTCCGATTCGCCCTCTTATCCGAGAACACGAAACAAAACAAGCTCATCCCGAGTCAAACAGTGATATCTTCGTTTTGAAAGTTATGTTCTTGAGTCGAACCATAGTGCAGAAATTGCGTGCCTTGATCCCCGGCGCGTTGAACTTGTATCATTTGTGATATGTCCTTGCTCACGAAGAGGCTTTCTCCTGAAGCAGTGTCCGAGCGCGGGGCCCCTGGATGGACATCGCCAAGGCGTGAAGCATGATGTCAGTTGATCATCTGACCACGTTTTAGGCATTTATGCAGGACCAGGCCCGAAACATGCGCCATTCTTGAAGCTTCTCTTCGCCTCGGTCCCAAACCCAAGCTTGAAATTGAACGTTGACCGTTCCGGCTTGCTCCTCAACCACCACCACGACCGACTCGAATCTTATACCCCGAACGACGCGCACGACGCTCTGCTGAATGGCCGACTGGAATAAAGGTCAATGGAGCCAACCTCAACAGGGTTATGTCCCGGTGGGCCCTAACCCAGGATATGCCCCGCAATACGCCCCGACGTACGAGCAACCGCCGCCTCAAGGCCCGGTGTACGGTGACTCGAAGGATCCGTACGAGGGGGACCGGTTTAAGCCAAAGAAGACGATCAACGATCCCGTCTTCCTGGCTCTCTTCATCATACAAGTTAGTACTACGGCGACAACGGGAGTCGCTGATCTGATATTGTTGTTGTGCTTCAGTTTATTGGCTTTGCTGGACTATCTGGATACGTGCTGAATGCATGGATCTCAGCAGGTGGTTTGGGCGGTGGGCTCGGCAAAGGGAGCACGGGGACCTCAGTGACTCTGAACAGGTGTGGACTGCGATATCAACACTTGACATGGGTTCTGACTTGATCTCGACGCGAAGGAGTACCGTCTACCTATTACTCCTCGTCACGGCTGCTGCATTACTGCTGTCTACGGCCTATCTCATGCTATGTCGCCTATTTACAAGGCTTATCATGGTATGAACCGAATGGTGGATATACTTCCTCGGAGTTCTGAATTGACTTCATTGCAGCATGTCACCCTCGTCCTCTCCATCCTATTGAACATGTACGTCGCTCAAGCGTTCTATGTGAGGTAATATTGACTGTGTTCTTCAGCGGAATCTGCGTCTACTACTGGATCACAAAATATTACTGTTCGTACTTCCTTCAATCCACAGAAGTCTAACTTACCGTGAACAGCTGGAGCAATCATCTTCACGTTGATCGCCCTCTTCTCCGTCTTCGCCTACTTCGGGATGCGCGCGCGTATACCGCTGGCGTCCCTGCTGCTCCAAGTGGTTATGGATGTTTCCAAACACCACATGAGTGTATACGTCGTCGCGTTCATCGCGCTGTTGGTCCAGGCTGCTATGGCTGTGTATGTCGCCTCCCTCTCTTGTGTTTTATTTCATCAGTTGATATATTTCTTACAGATGGTACACATTCACCGCAATCGCAACGTGAGTCCCTGTTCTCCGCCTTCCGATGTACTATCTCAAGACTCTCGTATCAGGTACGCGAAGTGGACGCCTGGCAACCCATGTTCGTCGTTTCATTTTGTCCGTCTTCTGGTATATGGGCGCTGATACCTATTACTCCGCTAGCGTGTAGCACAGGGACGTCTTGCTCCTCGGGTACAGTCGCCGGCCTCATCTTCTTCGAAACATTCGCGTTCCTTTGGACCTCGCAAGTCATCGGCAACGTCGCGCTGTCCACGCTCGCCGGAGGCCCATACGGCTCATGGTACTACTTCGGACCCAAGCAGCAAGGGCTAATGGTGAGTACACTTGTCCCCAACTCGTTTCCTTACCCCCGGTGTTTATGGACCGCTGTGCATCTCTGTTTCTTCGATTGCTCTAATCAATCAATCCAACATCTGTGTAGCCACCACACCCAACGCTATCCGCCTTCTCACGCGCGTCGACGCTCTCTCTGGGTTCCATCGCGTTCGGATCCTTGATTGTCACACTGCTAGAGTTGCTCCGCCTCATCCTCGAGGCGATTCGCCACAATGCCAATGCAGAAGGCCATCGTACGTGCCAAATGTCCATGTCGCAGCGTCCTTCGCGGTTCTAACTAGAAGTGGATTAGCCGTCGAAGCTATCCTAGCTTGCTGCGCCGCATGCTTTGTTGGCTGTATCGAGAGCATGGTGGAGTACTTCAACAGGTTAGCAATTACTTTGATATTCGTACCCGAATGGACATGAACTGACATTCTGATCTATAGATACGCATACATTGAAATTGGTATGTAGGAGCTGTATGACGGCCTCCGTATGACGTTGATCGCATCCTTGTAGCACTTTACGGCAAGGCCTACATCCCGGCTGCGAAAGATACATGGCGACTCTTCAAAGATCGCGGTAAGACCTCACCTCCGATCCTGGTGCTTCGAGCGTGCCTTTTCTAACGTCTTCCATCAGGGATCGATGCGCTCGTCAACGATTCTTTGGTTAGCATGAGTGAGTACCTTCCAAATCAATACCGCACCAATGGAAGCTGATTATCATTGCGATGTTTTCACCTTCTTAGTGCTGACTTGGGGTGGCTACGCCGTTGGCCTCATCTCGTCGCTGTTCGGGTACATCTACCTCCGCTGTACGTCACGTCCCATTTCATCTGTTCCTCGGCTCCATCTATCTCCCGACTCGGACTGACATCATGAATCTGCATAGACACGGCTCCGTCGTATAACGCCGACGGACAATACACGGCACCCATCGTGTTGTTCTCGTTCCTTATTGGTCTGCAGTGTTGTACGTGCATTTCCCGGTATCAAAATTGTAGGTGTACTGATAGTGGCTTTAGCACTGACGTTGTCTTCTGCCATCGATGCCGGAGTGTCCACAATCTTCGTTGGTCTTGGGGAGGATCCCCAGGTCCTGGCTGCCCGTGCACCTGAGTTGTTCGGCGTAAGTTCTCCAATATGCATATGCTCGTTCGACAAGCTGATAATGATATACTTGCGTAGATGATCGCCCAGCACTACCCTCACGTCACCCAGGGTGTTCCACGTGTATGACGAAGGAATCACTCAACGAGTTGAGCAAAATACGACGAAAGAGACGACGGACAACTACCAATGACATTCTTCGTTACTTTAACCGTACAATTCCGCAATATGTCCTTTTCTTACGAGTGCTTGCTATAATACATTATCTTGAAAGTATATGCAATAGAGCACTAGGTCATGTCTCGCCAAGCTGATGAGAGTTACCGTTAGCCAAGTTCGGCAGAAGATTGGGTGCAAATCAACTTACCTGGCCGAAAAGCCGGGCGACGTTCTTGATTTTGGGGCATTCCGTTTGCACGTTGTAGGCTAACGTTGTGTTTAAGAGACCTTGAGAGCGGTACATCCGAATATACCTTTGTAGACGCGAGGTTGGTTTGGTTCAAAAGTCCACCTCGTTATGTACACTAACCTCAAGCAAGCTTCCTCTTTGAAGTCAGCATATATCTTGCGATTGTACCGACGCTATATAGTTCAAGGAAGATTGTGACACATCCCGGGTGACCAGGGAACAACGTACCTCGTTCTTCCGTGCTGTCTCCTCGTAGTCGTGGTTTTGGTGGATAATGAAGTGATCGGACAGGACATAGAACGAGACGCCGGAAATGTACATCTCGAAGAGGCACGAAGCCTTGTTCGCGCCATATCCTATGAACCGCTCGTCACACCTGCATGTATGCGCGTTGTAGACACCCTTTAACGTTACGAGATGAACGAGACATCAACAAACATTACCATGGCGGGCCCTCTTTCTTGAAGACGACGTACGGCTCGTAGGCGGACTGATATTGGGTGACTTTGTACACTTCCCCGGGTTTCGAGGTGTAGTACTTGGGATAGTCGGTGCTGTTGTGTCCCGGTCCCCACGAAGCATGAAACATCCCAATGCGTTTGCTGTCCACCAGCGGGAGGAGAGACTGCGGTACAACGGTTAAAACCTAACTCGGTGGTCTGAAAGGCAGATAGAACACTAACATCTTTATCTCGGGGAAATGTAGATGAATCAGTACCGTCGGATGCGTTAGTGTATTCGAATGCCGGAATCACAAAAGCAGCGTTCCCCTCCTTGAGTTTACCGACGACTTGCTCGCTGCTCCTGATAGCCCGTCTAAAGTCAGTGCACAGCGCAAAGTCCACGTCCAGCATCATGATATAGTCCGTCCGCGCGAAGAGCCTAGCAACGTTGCGCCACATGTTGAATTGCCGTTCGAAGTTATCGATGACGAGATGGACGTCGACGTGCGCGCTCATGCTGGGGCTTGAGGTGTATAGACCATGGAGAGAATCCAGTAGCTCGCGAATGTGCTCGGTCTCGTTCTTGATGTGGATCGTTACTGATACAGGCCCTATGGCGCGTTTTCGTTTTGCCTTGCTGAGACCTACTAGAGGGAAGGAATGGCGAACCTTGATAATGCTCTACAAGGCGAGCGAATACAGAGAAGCGGTTGCTTGTAATTAAAGTGGTTATTGTGATATCTTCTTGATCGACCTCCGAAGTAGCCTTGTAATAAAACGGTATGATCCTGCTCGGGCCCATTGCTACGCCAAACGCCTTGGAGAGGAAGAGCTGCTCGTCCATTGATACACGACCTTGATGCCCCATCCCGAGATCCAGTGCGACCTTGGAAGTATCCCAGTAGAATTTATCGTCCAGTAACCCAGCATTGATATTCGAGTCTGTAGGGAGTTCGCCGACGGTGGAAGAAGACTTGTAGGATGCCATGAAGTCCAGAGATTGGGGCAATTTGAGAGAAGACCAGCGAGAGTCCCTGAGCGTCGATGGGAACGAGCGAATGCCATCGTTCCAGGGCAGCTTTGCGAAATGGTACGTCGCGTAAACGACCGCGACGCAGAGATATGCGGTGAATGAGAGCTGCAATACGCGGATGAAGCGATGAGGAAGTCCTATCATTTTGGGATCAAGGGGACGCGTCGAACTCAGTCATGCGAAATCCAGAAGTCTACTGCTAGTGGTAGGAGAAGAGCGACATGCGAGCGCTAATCTTATCGCACACTCTTCAACCATTTCCTCCATGGCTACCACTGCAGAAGAAAACTGATGGTCAGTATATTTACTGTATATGTTTCGTTTCTAAAAGAGTAGAGTTCACAGCGAGTGCCTTGACAGTGATGCGGCCCAGAGCATCCTTATCAGGCGAACCATATGGTTCAACGCAGCGCTGGCAACATAGACTACAAGAGTCACAAGACGCGAAATAAAGCGACAAGAACTCTGCCTTCTGCCCCCAATCACTATGGCTCTTTACCTCTGCGTAGATTGCGGAGGCTCGAAGACTGCCGCTGCGATTGCCAACGAGTCGGGCGAGATTATAGGCCGTGCCTTTGGCGGACCGTCGAACTTCGCATATCTCGGCATCGAAGCTTTCTCTTCGTCTGTCGCAACAGCCGTCGGAAATGCTCTGAAGTCTTGTACATCGCCGCCCTCACAGGAACCTGTATCCTTACCACCAACGAGTGTCACCTTTGCTGCCGCATGGTTTGGAATATCGGGAGTGGATTCGCCAGCTGCTGTCGCGGCTATCACACCTGCTATATCGAAATTGCTAGGGATACCCGCAGGACCGCGATTGGTGGTCGCGAACGACACCCATCTCTTAGCCGCACCAGTTCGCCTCCATCCGGAGGTTTCCTGCGCTGTCGCCGTGATTGGTGGCACCGGATCCATCAGCGTCAGTTTCAAGGAAACTAATGGTGTATTGGAGGAGCTTGGGCGTATCGGGGGCTGGGGGTGGATCCTTGGCGACGAGGGCGGGGGGTTTCATGTCGGACGTGAGGCTATCCGCCAACTCCTCATGGAACACGATAAAGCCTCTGTTACGGGCAAGCCACCGCCAGACAGCTCCTTGCGAACGCGCATCATGTCTCATTTCTCCATAACCGACTTCATGGAGATCCTTACGTTGATCCATCTCCCTGAACGCACCCCCTCTGCGCCCTCTGATGCAGATACATCCCCACATGTCTCGATTCCGCGAGAGAAACGGCTATCGTCGTTGTCGCCCATGGTCTTCGACGCTGCATTCGAAGACAAGGATCCACTGGCAATCAGTGTGCTTCGGATTTGCTCAGACATCCTAGCAAACGAGGTCGCCGTCTTGCTTTACGAAGAGAAGAACCCTCAGCCCCGCGCAGTGAAGGCGTCGGAAAGCATCATCTCGTTCGGAGGATCGTTAGTTGGAGTGGCATCGTACAGGGACATGATTTTGGACTCCCTCGCAAGGAAAGGTCATGTATTTCACGCCGTGGAGTTTGTAGACGACGCAGCAGCAGTGGGTGCGGTAGGCCTCGCCGCAGCTAAACCTGTATAATTGGCATGCAAGATGATTGCTCGGACGTATACAGTGTGTCGTACATGTTACGTATGGATTTATTTGGTGGTAAGTGCCATTGCACGTTTATACACACTCGGCTCCAATGTGATCGTAGTATGGAAGGTTGTGGGCGTCATGATTCTGGTCTAGTGGTTTGGCCATCAGGTGAGTCCAATGCATATAGTACTCGCATCATGCTGGCTTAGTCCTGAAGGAAATTTAGTCCGTCGCACGCTTTCATTTTGAGGATGTATACAACTGCGCTTCGTTGAGGGAGTCCGAGCTTTCATTGTAAGCAGTAGGATGACAAAGTAATTCCCACGGTTCCCATATATAAACCTCACCTCTGCGTGAAGTTTTTCTTAGTGCGGCAGCACGGCCATAATCTTCCCCATGTTGCTCATAACTGCCCAGCCATTCTTTGGCGACACACGCGGTTGTTCGAGTGTCAGGCCGTGTTCTGAGCGAGTCGGACGTCTTAGCACCCATTTGCATCGCTCACTCTCTTGCGAGGAGCGAAGTTGGGTCGGTGGTTCGTACATTCTTCCTTCCCGTTCGACTATGTCCTTTCCTGTACCTGCTATTTATTTCTAGCCTGTAATAGTGTATCTCAGTGATGCTCAATGATCGATGTTTGACGATACCTCTTATATTGATGGCCGCGCTGCAAAGTGACCTATCTGAATGAAATCCGCACGCTCTCCCGCAAGTGTGGCTACGATCAGTGACTAAAGGTGTTCGACGAGACATCCATTATTACAAGTGCCATACGGGTGTACACATGTCCAATGGGAAGGTCACTTGCTGTGGACTGGGGTGGCGGTACCATTCCACGCCTGAGAAGAGAAGCGCAGCGCAGCGACCACGACGCGTACGTGCGTCGTGCCGTGATCCCGGAGCCTGCCCATCAAAGTATTTATCCCAGCAAAGCCAGAAAGATCATTCCGAAGCTATGAAGCATGCGAGATGATAAGCTAATCTTGGAAGGTAGCATGCATCGCCACCGAGTTCCGATGATGAGCAGGATCCTGTTAACAGTATAACTAGCACCAACGACGACTGAGGCTTAGTGGTGGTTCCTGGATCGTAGTACCTGTCGCTGAGTACTCCGCGTCGATAGGTGCCGATTGATAAAAATCTACAGCTACGATCACGATCAGGTCGTCCGTTCTCGGGTAGAAAGATAAATACCTTTCCTTGGAGGGCGGTGGCGAGCGGTAGGATGTAGAACCACGCCGTTTCCATTCTTGGTTTGGCATCCAACACGAGAGGGGACGCAACATTCCCGCAGCTCTTCCCATTGTCGATGACTTCATCAGTGAAGCTGTACGAACAAGCCGTTCGATAATTTGCTTGTGCAGAGGACGAAATCGAACCGTGTTCATTGTATGAAGCGGAGCAAAAGCTTGACGCTGTTTATACACAAGATACAGCAGTGGACAATGTAGCTGTGGTAGTGATTAGGAGAAAACTAGACAGAGGGGAGTAGACAAAACCCATACACGAGCAGGAAACAGAGCTACCGGAAAAGACAATACGATAAGGCAAAGGAGTGACAAACTGCAAACGGATCAAAGAATCAGAACCGAGCAAGGACACAGCGGAGGACTACTCACAAAACAATTAATCAAGGTCCATTTTATTGGAATTACCGCCCCGTCCACCACCACGTCTTCCACGTCCACCTCGCCCACCACGTCCCCGCCTGCCTCCCCGCTGGCCGGGCGCTGATACGTAGTCTGCTGGATTCGTGCCAGGAGGTGCTACTAGTACTTGCGCCCGTGGGTCGGCCTTGAGAAGAGAGTCCGAACGCATTTTCCTGGGATATGTTCAGATTGTCTTCGTTCGATAAGACTTTTGAAGAGCTGCTTACGAGCCACCCTCTTGCGTGCCCATCAAGACGTCCACGCTGCCCTCCTGTCGCACCAAGCCCAAGCCGTCGACACCCCCCAATCTACCACCAAGCGTGGTCGCCGTTGCGCCTACTATACGCACTGATAACACCTTGCCATCAGCTACTTGCCCGTTGAACTTCTGAACCGCTGCGGTCGCTGAAGCTGGCTCTTTGAATGTAACTCGGATTTTCGTTTCGCCACCGGGCACGGCCTTGGTATTGGTGACTGTGCCACAACGCTTGAAGATTGCTGCAACGTCGTCTGCCGTCGTCCCATCCACCAGTCCCGTCACCTCAACTACATTCTGCGAGCCCGCGCCCTTGATGTTCAGCTCCCCTGACGACTTTGATGTAGCATCTCTCAGCGCCTTCTGCGCAATTGAGGTGATTGTCGTTTTGGGGGCTGAGGGCGTCAGGTTCAGGCGCGCGGATAAGGAATTGTGCTGCTCGAAGAGATCGTGCGACCACGGAGAGTCGACGTCGCGTTTCGGGGGTCGGTTCTGGCGCGTGTCCGAGTGAGGTCTACCCTTGTACAATAGTTGGAGCTCTACTAACATATGGCGTTGACGAGCGGCTTTGGCTGTTTCGCGAACGAATGGGGCCGGGTCCAGTGGGCTGCGGGACACTCAGGCGTTCAAGAAGGGAGGCCATTTGGATCAAAGGAGTACAACAAAAAGTGGTGGAGGAGGTTGTGGACAAGTGAATGCAGCCGTGACTCGGACGTGACTGAGGGAAAAGCAGTGGTCACGCGTGATGCCCCTTTCGGGTGTGACTTACATATTGTCCCTCGCCGACCGGCAAATCCTAAACCGGGCCTCCATATAAGTTCCAAGCTAGCACGAATGTCCGTACACCGGTTAACCCGCAACGCACACCACCATGGTCGCCAGAATCTACACCTCGCCGTACCCCCCAATCTCTGTGGCCTCGGAATCTCTGTTCACGCACCTCTTCTCCGTGACGGGGCCTAACGAAATCGGCGGTTATCCTGCTGCACACCCCGCGTTCATCGATGCTGCTACGGGCGCGACGGTTTCGCGCGCATTGCTCAAACATCTCGCCCTCTCTCTAGGCTACGCCCTGCGAAATCACCCTCAGCTCAAGCTGACACGCGGTGATACGGTGATGATATTCTCGCCCAATTCACTGGCTTTTCCGATCGCTCTTTTCGGTGCCATCTCAGGAGGTCTGCGGTGTACTCTAGCCAACAGTGCCTACACAAGCAGAGAGCTGGAACACCAATACAAGGACAGTGGCGCGAAAGTTATTCTTGTCGCTGAAGATGGCGTACCTGTGGCACGGGAAATGCTGAAGGACCTGGGGCTGGCGAAGAACGAGGTGGATCAACGCATCGTGGTTCTTGGAAATGGACTCCAGTGGGCTGGGAATCGTAGTACCAAGACCACCGCTGACCTCGGCCTCTTGACCCTGGACGAACTGTTGACGTTGGGGACGCTTCCATCTGAAGAACGCTTCGATGGCGCCGACACCCACGAAACGGTCTTACTGTGCTACTCGTCCGGTACGACGGGCAAACCAAAAGGTGTTATGGTCAGTGATATATTAGCTATCAACAGTTCACTACGACGATCCCGGAACTCATGGGCTAACCTTCATCCCACTAGACTTCACACCAGAATATTACATCTGTGCTCGATATGGTCAAACTCGTCTTTCCTCCTCTCGATCCAGGGAAAGACGTCATGTTAGGCGTCCTTCCTTTCTACCATATATACGGTACCATCTTTCCGTATATCGATATGATTGTTCCTACTGACATATAATTAGGCGCCGTTAAGTTACTCAACTTCCCCCTCGCTGCCGGTATTCCTGTCGTTATTCAAACCAAATTTGACCCCGTTGCATTCTGTGAAAACATTGCGCGCTATCGCGTAACTGCTTCATTGATTGTTCCACCTATCCTTGTAGTACTTTCACGGCATCCAGGTCAGCCTAGCTTTCTGCTGATGTAGAGCCCCTGCTCACCCGTGTCATTAGCGGTTGAAAAGAACGACCTAAGTACACTAAAAATTCTTTTCTCTGGCGCAGCTCCACTAGGAGCAGCACTTGTCAAAGATGTAACTCCCTTTGTTGCGTCAAATTCTGTCGTATTTTGACAGCGACACCATTCAGGTGAAGCGCAGATTGTTGGCCTGCAACGGCGGCAAGCAAGAGTGTTTTGTCACGCAAGGCTACGGCCTAACGGAAACAAGCCCCACAACACATCTGCTTTCCACCGCAGACTCTGACAGCAAAGTCGGAAGTATTGGGCTTCTATTGCCGAATCTGGAGGCGCGCCTAGTCGTAGATGGCGAAGGCGACGGTCTCATAGACGCGGAGGACGGCCAGCCCGGAGAACTTTGGCTTAGAGGCCCGTCGATAATGAAGGTATTTATCTATGGAGCCTCACCGCTGTGGTGTTGACGTTGATATTGACAATCGATGTACAGGGATACCTTAATAACAATGTTGCGACGAAAGATTGCATTACTCACGACAAATGGTTCAAAACTGGTGACATTGGCATCAGAGATAAAGAAGGATACTATTATATCGTCGATCGACGGAAGGAGTTGATTAAATATAAGGTGCGGCCCGTCTTTCTGATGGCGGTAGACAGCAGTGTCCTAACCTTCCCGTTCTAAAACAGGGTTTCCAAGGCAAGCCTGTCTTTCCCTGCCCGCCCGCTGTCGATCTAACCGATGCCGTACAGTACCGCCCGCCGAACTGGAGAGCGTGTTATTGACACATCCAGATATCGCTGATGCAGCCGTCATCGGCGTGTACGACGAGGGGGAAGCCACAGAGTACCCTAGGTTTGTGTGGTTCTATCAGAAGCTCGAAGGATATTACGCTGAACAGCTTCGATAGAGCCTACGTCGTCCCTGCCTCACCTGAAAAGGTGACTACGCCTGACCAGAAGCGCGCATTCGGTAGTGATGTTGCGAATTGGATAAAGACCAAGGTCGCACAGCATAAATTCCTTCGCGGTGGTAAGCCCTTCGTCCTTGCAAATACCACCTTGGATGCTGCTAACCCATCAACCCATCATGGTGTAAAGGTGTTATCGTTATAGACGTGATACCCAAGAGGTGAGTCCCTCTGTAGAGGCTCGTCTACACACCGTTGACATTGACATACCTCCCACAGTGCTGCTGGTAAGATCCTCAGAAGGGAACTTCGTGAACTTGCAAAGGTGGAAATGGAGAACCAACCTCGCAAGGCGAAGCTGTAGATCAACGTAGATGGGGATGTCTTAGCGGATCTGTATATTATCTTGTATATAATCGCATATCGCTGGCACATATGTTGATGACTTCCAACGGACGGAAAACTATGAATGAATTGAACGGCGCATGCCATACAAGTGCCTATCCTACACGTATACGTACTTTCTACCCAACCACCATCGCCCTTCGGTTTCGCTGCAAAAGTTGAATGAGTTATTCGTTCAACAAGACAGAATCGCGTATCCGTCAGGGTGTCAAATTCTGGAGCTCGCCCCTAATAGGGTATACACCATGAAGAAATTCAAAAGCCAACAAACATCATGCAAGGAAATGAACGGAAAGTTGCTCACCTGTATATATCCATCCGACCCCATCCTTCCGAGCGATAGACCTCGAAGGCCAAATAAGGGAAAAATACGAACTCATGCTGAATGAGAGTAAGCCCCATTGAGTTGAAGACGACGGCAAAGAAGTCCACAATCGCATGACTGTATCTATGAGTAACGAATTGCCCGCCGTCCACCACACCGCCTGAGCAAAATCCCGCTCGTATCTTCGCGGAATCGGGCCTTCACCAAGCGGCGAGTATCGGGATGAGGCAACAGAGTGGCCGAGAGGGAGCCCTTCGCGTGAACACCCAGACCGAGCGAGTCCATCGGTGAGCGGAGGGGCAATGCATTCTCGCCGATCCGACGTCCAAAATCCAGCGCGCTTAAAGCTGGCTGCTTTCCCATTGGGAGGGACGGGACCATGCTCTGTATCTCCGGGGACTTTCCCCACAGCGGAAAAAGAGAGTTGGAGGCTCTCCGTGCGTGAGCTGCGACAGCGATTCTTCAGACAGCATGAGATGAGCTGCAAAATTTGCGCAACTGAATTTTTATGGTGGGCTGAGCTGAGTCAGCAGGCGCCGCTTGAATTTGAAGCGCCTGGCTGTGCCGGGCGGCCGTGAGGTGCGCAAGTTACTGCTCTTCCTTTCCTTGTTGTGCGCCAGTCACTCATTCTAAATCATTTCCATGTCCTCGAGTCAAGATACCCCCGCATCCACATCCAAGCGGCAGAAAGCGCCTCCCATACCGTTCGCAACATGGCCGACCATCAAGATTCTCAATCCACCTCAGGGCAAGTCCCATCTCGTCATCTTCTGACTGTTCGGAACTCTGACTTGGCAGTAGGTCGCTTCTCCCCCAGGACCGATGAACGGTGTTTTATGTACTGCTCGCAAACAGTGGCCGGTCGCTTTCATAGGAAGGAGCCGTACTGCAAGGCCATATGTATACGCAAGGTCTTTACGCATGAAGTCCGGAATATCGTTTCATTCCGGACGCACCACAATCTCGATGCGGACGGGAAAGCGAAATACCCGTTGCCCAAGGAAGGCCAGCCAGCTAATCTGCCACCATACTTGGGGGGAACGGATCCCGAAGCCACCGAAAGTGATGACCACGTCAGGAAACCTGGAGACGATAAGAAGTACTGGGACGAGGGCTGGTACCTGTGGTATACCAAGTCGTCGCAGGGCGTGTGGGAAAAGGTGTGGACGATGCGGCGGGATTTGGAATCACAGCAGCAGTACGAGGCAGCGAAAGACAAGCGGAGAAACGACTGGGCGGAATATCAAGACTACCAGAAGGAGCCAAAAGCAACAGCAGTAGACTCGCCCGCACCGGACAAATGGTGGGGACCCATAGTTCCCCCTCCGCCTATCCTCGACATATCGTAAGTGTAGCCTCATCGTCTATCTAATCGCTAACTCAACAATCCCATATAGTGCCGAATCCCTTCTAATATCCCTTCCGCCACCCCTACCACCTTTGTACAGCAAGGTAGAGAATCTACTTGCGCCCACGCACAAACTACTCGGCATTGTCCATGAGAGTGTAACTTCGGGTGCCCAGCAAGAACTCGTACACCGGATTTGGGAGAAGGCTTGGACGAAAGATCCTTACGTCCTCGCCAGCCGCGCGTTTGGGTTACTATGGGAGAAGTGGAGCAGTCCCCCCGATGATAGTGATGACCAAAAGAAACCCACTTGATTCATGCTATGCGTATTTGGACTTTATATATAGACTATTGATCATATGTATTAGATACAGAGAAAGAGTGAGTAATGTGGATCAGCGAGGATTATGTAGACACAAGTTTCAGGCCCGTGACTTCGTCACGCATGGGACTCAGGCTTCCATGACAGATATACTGTACCATTTTGACTGTAGGTTCATGGCCCGTTACACGTTATGGCACATGTTCACCTGGAAAGAGGTTCACAACCCCGTGTGACACATTACACTGTAAGGTTGAGGTTCATGTTCACTGGGATTAGATTACTGTTATGCTGTTCAATGAAAACTGGAGTTATATTAGATGCTTTAGAGCCCTCAAATTTGCCTGAGATAATTTATTCAATTTTTAGCCATTTTCCGGAAATATGTTACTAAGCCCCTAAGAGGTTCACTTGTCAGTGTTACCCATGACGAACACCCATCAAGGTTCAGTTCACACACGACCGTTATGTTTTACTGAACCTACAGTCGAATGATACAGTAATGCAGAAAACTCAAATTAGGAACTGTGGCTTTGGGATACATATATGAATTCCATTTATTGAATACATCTTAAAATCTTGTTGATCAATGATGTTCTGCACATTTGGCACATGACAATTCCTCCCACCCTCCCCTGTTCCCCTGTTCTAGTGCTCCCATTAAATCAGGGGTGGTGTTCACTTTATTTATCACATAGTTTTCCTCAGATTTATAGTTAAGAGTAACATAAAAGGACATGGAATAAAATCAATGGGCCATCCTCTGCTCTGCTTAAATTGGATTCATTTTGAGTGGTAAGGGTGTCTCATAGGAATAAAAGGGGTTGGAAGTCATTGGGGCAGAGTTTATAGGTAAATATTATTTTTCATAATCCCTCATCTATATAGTACTGATGTTCATGTTCTGCTTGCTCAGTAACACTTTCATGGAACTTGGAGATTTGGAAATTTGGGAATTCAGAAAGTAGTCCAACATACTTGGATCCTCTCAACATTGCACAGCTTCATAATCATGCAATTGTTACATTGTAAAACCTCACAATGTACTACCACAAAATCATAGTTAAGTTGTAAGTCACTCTGAGAGGTTTTGTTATAGGCACATCCAGGAGGCCCCTTAGGGGCTACTAACGTGTGTTCCGGCTACGGACTCGGGCCACACATACACGTGGCTGAAGCCAAGCCCATACATCCTCACTCCCTTGTTTCCCTCCGCGTGTAAGGGCAACCTCAAGATGGCCGACAGCGCAGGCCTAGCAGAGGGAGAATCCAAAGAGATGAATAAGACTAACTACAATACATGAGAGAGCTGCTCACCTAGCAGAGGGAGAATCCAAAGAGAACAGGATGGGGATTCTCCATGCTAGGAAGCGAAGTATATACTGTAGTAGCGTGGGAGGAATGAAGGGTAACTGTACAGTACACCAGCCACAGGTACGAACGAATATCACAAGGTACGAGGGGGCATGTGATAATGAAGTGGAAGGGGAATGTACAGGAGTCGTGCCAGCGACCTGGGGAAGTGGGGACAAGGAGTAATGAAGTGGGAAAGGAGGATAGAGGTAGCCCAGACGAGCCCCGGAGTGTATCTATGAGTCCGAGCGAGTCCGAAGCGTCCGAGCGAGTCCGAGGTGTCCGAAGCGAGTCCGAGGCGAGTCCGAGGCGCGGGAAGACTCCGGAGTCACCGGACGTGGCTCGGATGCGAAAGGAGTGGGCGGAAAGGAAGTGGAAAGGAAAGGAAGCGAAAAGGAACAAAGGGGAACGAAGGAAATGTAGGTAAGAGTCCATGGGATGAAGGAAAGGAGAGAAAATAGGAGTGTCCCCTTACATCACCCCCCCTTCAAGGTTGCGGCGACCCGACGCGAAGATTCCTGCCTGCCGCGCCATGAATTCACCAACCCCGAAACTCCGGACTGCTGCGAGAAGATGTTGAAGTACGACTGCACAGAGCCCGGAGCCTTCCGACTGCGCCAACGCTCCCAGGACTGGTCCAGTGCTGTAGGAGTCATCCGGAGCGGTGCAGGGGTCATCGGACTTGTCGGACTCGTCCGGAGTGAGCGCACTGTGTCCGGATGACGATCATGGAAGTCCTTGACCTTCTGGGCAGCATGCTGGAGGTTGCTCGCGGGCTCCCAGGAGTCGTGCTCAATGCCATAACCTCGCCAGCGTACCAGATACTTCAGGACCCGACCAAACCGTCTGCTGTTCCGGACCTCTTCTACCTCGTGCTCTTCTTCTCCGTCAATGAGCTGCGGAGGTGGCGGAGCGACAGGGCGTCTACCCGGAATGGGATCCGGGATGAAGGGAGAGAGTTTGACCACAGGGAAGACCGGGTGGAGACGGGATAAGCCCGGGGGGAGCTGGAGTCGATATGCCGCCTTGCCAACCTTCCGGACGACCTTGTAAGGACCGAGTCGTGCATGTCCGAGTTTCCGGGAGGGTCGGGCAAGGTTGATGTCCGACGAGTCCAGCCAAACCTTGTCACCCGGTTGGTACTCCGGAGCAGGAGTCCGACGCTGATCATAGTAACGCTTCATGTCATCCTGAGCCTTGACCAATGCAGACTGAGCTTCATCAACTGCAGACTTCATCCGATGTACAAACTCGTTTGCGGACTCCATCCGAGACGGTGGCTGATGAGGTTCAAACCCGAGGCGAGGATGTCGGCCAGTATCTAGGAGGAAAGGTGACTGCTGAGTCGACGCGTGGACCCGGTTGTTGTATGCAAACTCCGCCATAGGTAGGAGGCGAGCCCAGTCGTCCTGACGCTCTCCGACGAAGATCCGGAGATAGGACTCGAGTTCCTGGTTGGTCCGTTCCGTCTGTCCGTCGGACTGAGGGTGGTACGCAGTGGAGGCAGCCAGCTTGATTCCGAGCATCCGGTAGACTTCCCGGGTGAACTCTGCAACGAACTGCGGACCCCGGTCGGACACAACAGACCGAGGGAGTCCATGCAGCTTCCAGACGTTCTGCAGGTACAAGTTTGCGGACCCGAGGGCAGACACTGTGGTGTGAGTCGGAATGAAGTGGGCGCGTTTGCTTACGGAGTCGACCACATTCATGACAGCGTCAAATCCATCGGACTCCGGAAGCTCGACGATGAAGTCGACACTCAGGCGATCCCAGCGTTCATCCGGAATGGGAAGCGGATGAAGTTCGCCCATGGGCGGATGCCTTTGGGCCTTCGTCCGGAGACAGAGGTCGCAATGGCGGGTGTAGGATCCGACGTACCGGGACATGTTGGGCCACCAGTAGCTGCGTGAAACAAGCTCTAGGGTCTTCCATCTGCCGGCGTGTCCTGTGACCTTGGTGTCGTGGTGCTGAGCTACAATAGTCCGACGCAAATCCGGTGAGTCCGGAACGTAGATCTTACCCCGGAACATCAGGAGTCCGTCCGATTGGGACCATTCCGCACTTCGGACTGTCTTGCGACTGCCCTGGGTCTTCTTCAGCTCCTCCGCCGCCTTTGCCACTGCATCTTCAAACTTCGCATCTCGCACTCCAGTCCGGATAGCCGTGAGGATATCCTTCTCCTCCCCTTCAAGAGTGACACCCGTGGCACGGACAGCAAAGTAGGATGGCTTGAGCATCACTACATCCTTGTTGTCATCCTTACCATCCGAGTGATCCGAGCGTCGCGAGAGAGCGTCCGGTTTACCCATAGTCCGACCCGGACGATGCTGGAGAGTGAAGTCGAAGCGGGAGAGGTATAGCGACCAGCGAGCTTGACGGCGGTTGAGTTTCTGGGCCTTGATGAAGTACTCCAGGTTCTTGTGGTCCGTCCAGATCTCGAACGGAGTCTCCGCGCCTTCAAGGTAGTGCCGCCATTCTTCGAGTGCCCGGATGATTGAAAGCATCTCCTTGTCGTGTATTTCGTAGTTCCGCTCCGCAGCCTGTAGACTTTTAGAGTAGAATGCGACAGGATGCCATTTACCATCATCCGGATCCAGTTGCGACAGGACTGCACCTGTAGCATAGTCCGACGAGTCCGCTTCAACTCGGTATGGCCGATCCTCCTTCGGAAAGACAAGAACAGGTTCCGAAGTGATCAGCTCTTTGATCCGAAGAAATGCGGATTGAGCGGAGTCGTTCCACTGCCATTCCTTCGCGCAAGTGAGGTCAAAGAGAGGCCGGGCGATATGCAAGTAGTCCTTGATGAAGCGGCGGTAGAAGTTGACGAACCCAAGGAAGGATTGGAGTTCAGTCCGAGTCCGAGGGGTTGGCCAGTCCGCAACTCCGGAGACCTTCACAGGGTCCATCTCGATCTTACCCTCGGAGATGACGACTCCGAGATACTCCACCTTGGTCTGCTCGAAATCGCACTTGTCCGCTCGGAGGAAGAGCTTGTTCCGCTGGAGGATCTCTAGGACTCGCTTGAGAACCCGGCGATGCTCTTCGCGCGTCTTGGTGTAGATCAGGATGTCGTCCAGATAGATAATAACCACACCTTCCGTAATGAGCTCCCGGAACAAGTCGTTCATCATGGTCTGGAAGGTGGACGGGCTATTCGTTAGTCCGAAGAACATCACCAAAGGTTTGAAGAGTCCGCGCGTAGTCCGAAATGCGGCCTTCCACTCGTCACCCTCCTTGATCCGGACATTGTTGAAACCCCACCGGACGTCAAGCTTGGAGAAGTAGCGAGCATTCCGGAGTTTGTCCACCAAGTCCGAGATGAGCGGAAGTGGGTACCGATTCTTGACCGTCATGTTGTTGAGCTTCCGGTAGTCCTGGACCAAGCGGAGCGATCCGTCCTTCTTCTTAACAAAGAACACCGGGGCAGCCATGGGCGACTTGCTGGGGCGGATCCGACCAGTCCGGAGATTTTCTTCCAGGAATTCGTCCAGCTGTTTCTGCTCCGCCGGGGACAGTGGGTAGCACTTGGTAGAGGTCGGTTCCGCTCCGTCCAGTAGCTCAATGGCATGGTCCCACGGACGCGGCATGGGCAGTTCATCAAAGGATTCCTTTGCGAAGACGTCCTCGAATTCCTGGAGGAAGTCCGGGACTGCGCTGTTCCGAGGATCATGGGGTTTGTTGCGCTGGAAAGCCAATGCGAGGCGCTGCGAGACTGTCTCCGAAGCCCGGACGTGTTCTTCCCGAAGACTCCGAAGGTACTCCGGAGTCGGAGGAGGAATAGCCACGAAGATACGGTCACCCCTCTCAAGTCCGGAGTCGTCCGGAGTTGTGATATTGTCATCCTCATCATCATCCTCGCAGTCCTGAAGCTCTGGGAGATCGTCCGAGTGCAGTTCCTCAACCCTTGGCATCGGACCCGTATGACACTCCCGGAGTCGCACGGACTCCTTGCGTCGGGTCAGCTTGTCATGGCGGAACTCCTTCCGACAGGTGTCGCATCCGGACGGACAGCGGCTCATGGTCACCTCCTTTGTCTGCCAGTCAATCTCGGGGTTGTGCTTCCGAAGCCAGGTGTATCCGAGGATGATGTCCTGCCGTCCGATGTTAGTGACTGCAAAAAGCATCCGTTCCGTGTGATCCTTGAACCGGAGTACAAGGTCCACGACTTCGGAGATAGATCCGTTCTCATTTGGTGATCCGTCGACATTGAAGACCGGGATCAGGGCGGACAGCTTGCGTCGGGTGAAACCATGGGCATCAGCAAAGCGTGGATGCATGAAGACTCCGGTGGCTCCGCAGTCCACCAGGGCCTGCAGGGTGCATCTGTGTTGTGTATCCGTGCTCTGCACTTCAACGGGTATATCTAGCGAAAGCTTGCCGGGCAGCGCAGAGATCTTATAGCTACTAGGTAGCCGCCGTTCCCACTGCGGGCGAAACCTTTGGAGTGTGCGGATTGTAACCAGAGTTGCTTGCTTAACGTCGGACGAATCATCGGAGTGATTGGAATCGTCTATTTCGTCTACGCTAAGACAAGCAAATCGGTTATTTACCAACGAGGTCGCACTGATCACTCGTTGGTCCGGACAAAATCCGCCGTGTCCGATTCCTCAACCGGGGCCGTTCCCTCATCGTCTATTCCTTCCGAGGTCCCCACACTTTCTACAACATCGGCCGCGGTCAGGAGATCTTCGATGGCGGACATCCGCTCCTCGGTGGTCATGAACCGGACGTCGTACCGAAGTGGGCACTCGCGGGACATGTGGCCGGGTTTGCCGCATCGGTAGCAGAGCTGCGAGGTGGCGGGTCGGGAGCGGGTGTGGTCGACATCCATTGGGACACCGGGTGAGAGAGCCTTTGGAGGAGGCGGAGGTTGGAAACGGGGTTGCAGAGGCGGGAGCTGAGTCCGAGGCGCGGGGAGTACACCCGCAGGAGTCCGAGTGACTCCGGAGCTGGCTGCTGGTCGGACGAGGGATCCGGAGTGTCCGGAGTTTCCGGAGTGCACGCCAAAGTGGAAGGACTGGTTGGCAGCACGGTTGTCAGCAACCCGCTGCGCTGCCTTGTACCATCCTTCGAAGTCATCCTCGTCCGGACAGTCTGCGGACTCGGCAACACGGCTCTGGATGATGGAGTCCAGTCCGCGACGGAACTTCATCGTGATGTTGGAGCCCTCGGAGTATCCGGACTGGTCTACAAGGTCTCGGAACTTCTCGAGGTACTCCTGGAAAGTCCGACGCCCTTGGTGGTACCGGGTAGACTCCAGCTTGAGCATGGCGGCTTCGCGTTCCCGATCCGGAAGGAAGCGAGTCCGGAATTCGGTCGCGAAGGCGGCCCAGGATTCGAAGTACGGATCCTTCGGACTCCGGAGCACCATGTCCGCGTACTCCTTGGCGCGATCCTTCTGGAAGAAGGAGAGTCACCAGAGGATTTTGGCCTGCTCGGTCGGGAAGTGGTCCGGACAGAGCTGGAAGTAGATGGAGCACGCGTTGTAGAACGCGCGACCATCCTTGCGGTTTCCGTCAAAGATCGGGGGAGAGGCGGGCTTCAAACGGGAACGCGGGGTGATTTCGGATCGACTTGGGGCGTGCTGGGAGGCTTCAGTGCCCCTCAGCTCGGAGTCCGGAGTCGTTTTCGGAGTAGTCGGACGGGGTGTTAGGAGGAGTCCTTCAATTCGGGCGAGTGTATCCTGGATGGAGCTGATTTGGGTTTGGTGTTCGTACGTCTGAGCCCACAAGGTCTGCAAAGTCTCGGAGTCCGGTCCTGAAGCGACTGGCTCGGATGGCGGGATCTGGCTGGAGGCGCCCGGCATTTCGGAGTCGTCAGGGGAGCGAGGGATGGAGTTCCTTGGGTCCTCAGAGGTGGGTGGGAGTAGCAGGAGAGCGTCCGGAATGTCCGCAAAACCGGAGAGACGTCGAGAACGAGTCCGGAGTGGCGCAGGACGTTTTCCGTAGGGCTCTGGTGCCAGGATGGGAGATCCTGTTCTGCTGTAAGGGCAACCTCAAGATGGCCGACAGCGCAGGCCTAGCAGAGGGAGAATCCAAAGAGATGAATAAGACTAACTACAATACATGAGAGAGCTGCTCACCTAGCAGAGGGAGAATCCAAAGAGAACAGGATGGGGATTCTCCATGCTAGGAAGCGAAGTATATACTGTAGTAGCGTGGGAGGAATGAAGGGTAACTGTACAGTACACCAGCCACAGGTACGAACGAATATCACAAGGTACGAGGGGGCATGTGATAATGAAGTGGAAGGGGAATGTACAGGAGTCGTGCCAGCGACCTGGGGAAGTGGGGACAAGGAGTAATGAAGTGGGAAAGGAGGATAGAGGTAGCCCAGACGAGCCCCGGAGTGTATCTACGAGTCCGAGCGAGTCCGAAGCGTCCGAGCGAGTCCGAGGTGTCCGAAGCGAGTCCGAGGCGAGTCCGAGGCGCGGGAAGACTCCGGAGTCACCGGACGTGGCTCGGATGCGAAAGGAGTGGGCGGAAAGGAAGTGGAAAGGAAAGGAAGCGAAAAGGAACAAAGGGGAACGAAGGAAATGTAGGTAAGAGTCCATGGGATGAAGGAAAGGAGAGAAAATAGGAGTGTCCCCTTACACCGCGCCTCTATGTGGAACCGCGCACCTGCAGGTCCGTGTATCCCTGGGCCCCTCTGCGAGTGTGGCTCTTAACAGATAAGTGTATCTCATGGAAAATATGGTGCTTAGAAGTCATTAGAGTACAGTTTACTTATTGCTTCACCATTGCTGTGCACTCAGTCTGCTAACCACTCACTTGGATTGACTCTTGAAGGATTTGGCCATCATTATATACCACTTCCCACCATCATTCCCTCTTAATTTGTGCTGAGTCTTGGCTATTGACATCAACACTTGTCAAAGTGCTCAATGTAGTTGCTTACAGCCCCCATTCTATTTAACATTCTATGTCCAAGTACCCCCCATTTGTCCCACAACAACTGAGTTTAGTTACTGTGCCTCCTATCTCCTACTGTGTATCCCCTGTCACCCTGAACTTGAAATGCTTTGGTTTATGAATTTGTCATTCAAGCCTGACAAATGAAATTTTATTCTGCTACAGCTATAATCATGCAATCTCATAGTATCCTATGCTGAGCCCAAAGCCAAACTCAGTGCTTAGGGCATGGAAGTTGAGTAGCTTTAGCTACCCTCTCTGGTTGCCCCAACCTTTACTCCATTATTTGAGCTTCATTATTGTGGTAATCAACTGAATATATCATACTACATCTCATGTAATTAGTTCTGAAGTATATATTGATCTACATACACTGAATTCATTTCATGATGAGATTTACATCTGTACTATCATTCTATATAACACCCATCTCAAGCCTTCACAGACCCTGTTCAGCTCATTCAGAGGCTTGTGTAAGGGACTACCCATATTTATACTCTATGGCTTATATATTCCCCCCTTCTCAGCAGAATCCTACTTGCAAGACATCCTCTCCTATCTCCTATTCCTCTATCCTCACACAGAAGAAGCGCGCGCAACAGTTGCCATTTGCTGCTTACCTAAGATTACCTAAGTTCAAAGTTCACACGGATCGAGACTTAATATAATAGATAACAAAGAACGTTGCCTGATATCGAAGGATGGAAGTGCTTTCCAATGAATGCCTCAAAGTGCCTAAAAGGCGCAAAAAGACGGTACCCATATACTGGGTGTGCCTCGATGACAACAGTGAGGTTCGAACTCACGCCCTTTCGGACTGGATAAGCTGTGATTGCCTAATTCCAGCGCCTTAGACCACTCGGCCATGTTGCCATGCTTCTCTCCTCTACTATCAGCATCACGTTGCGCCCATGCTGAGGATAGCTGCAAGATCCGTTTGAGCTGCGCTTGGATGTCGGTCTCTCGCACCTCGCCTACCACTCATCATATGCGATCTCATATTTCCGACAACACACAATATGGGCGTGCAAGGCCTTGGAAAATACTTACGAGATAATCGTCGCGCACTGGCCAAAACCATCAGTGTGCCCCAGAAAGATGCTCCCCCGACCTTGGTTATTGACGGCTGGTCGTGAGTCACAAGTAGCTTCATTCGTGTAAAATCCTCAACCCTGATTATTAGATTCATATACGCCCTGTATTTCGACTCGCGGCTGCCCTGGGTGTATGGCGGCGAGTATGCAGAGTTCTCGGAACTAGTAAAGCGAGTCGTCAAAGCGTGGATCAGCATTGGCCTCAGAGTGCACTTCGTGTTCGATGGTCAGTCCCCCAATAGTGCTGTGTGGCATTTGAGCGGATGTCTCTGAACGATGAGACGATCTAGGTGCATACCCGCGACTAAAGCTCCTAACTGGTCGTTTACGTATGGAGGAATCGATCATCAAGCCTTCCCTGTTGTATTTCAGGACCTCGCCAACCTCCCGAGTGCAACCAAGGATCATTCCGCCTTTGATCTATTCCAACACGGTACAGGCACTCAAACAAGTCGATGCACCCAACGACAATCTCCAGCTTCACTTCGCCGACGAGGAGGGCGACCCATACGCAGTAGAGCTCGCCGGTCGTCTAGGAGGCTATGTCGTCGGCAATGATTCTGATTTCATTATCCTCAACGCGGAGGGTTACCTTGGCTATATCCCCCTCGACGAGATGGTCTGGTCGTCCGTGGAGACCCCAGATGATGCCCCAGAGGTGGACGATTTTGGCTTTACTCCAGCGAAACCCAAGCGCAAGAAGCCCGAAGCAAGGTTGGACCGCGGATTGATTCCTCCTGACGGCGACGAGCTGAATTTATGCCTCTCCATGACAGCCTACAACCCCTCGGCCTTCTCTTCACATCTCCGTGTCCCTGCCTCCTTGTTCCCCCTCCTCGGCGCGTTGGTAGGAAACGACTACACCAAGCATTCACCGCTCCCGCAACAAAACATACAGCAGCTCTTCTTCGATCGAACAACAACATCCGAACAACGCATCGAACGCGTAGCGACTGCACTTCGTTCCATTGTCACTGCCTCGACAAATAGAAAACAAAAACCCATGCGCCAGATTGGAAGCGTGATGGACCTCATTGACCGCGCAGTGAAATCATTGCTCCTCCGAGCGTCATCCATGGGTTCCGCAGAGATAGATTCTGTTATCGACCGCGTGGTGGACTCCACGCTGCAGTACGCCATCCCCAAGCACGAGGGCTCACAGGGGCTAGAGGGGTTGTGGGCAACTGATTTCTGCGCCCTACACCCCCCAGATATATGCCCTTTGCTACCAATGATCTCACGCAACGTTATAGCATTAGCCGAGATCTCTGATGCTCAGAATGGAGAAACGCAGGAAATGCAACGGACGAATCAAGTTCGTGCTGCGTATCTCGATGCCTATAGGGAAGGGGTCCTCTCCCCGCGAATCATGGACGTACTGAACACGGCGACTTACTGGCCTCGCTTACCTCTCGAGCACCCAGATATAGAGACAGTAGCTGTATCCATTGGCCGCGCTATCAGGTCCTGGGGTTACTCGATACTTGACGATGCGGTGGGCATCGAAGCTCAGTCGGATCCTGCCGAAAATGACTCGTCTTCGAATGGCGAACTGGACGAGATGAGCGAAGAGTCGGACGAAGACGAGTTAATTGATGTTATGGAAGAAGACTCGGATGATGAAGAGTATGCCGCCTCGTCGCGCGTAGATCCGCTGGCACCTCTTAAAGGCGCGCTACGACAACTGCACGCCCCCGAAGCGTCGAACATCGGTACACTAGGAGCCCAACATGGCTCCTCTTCAATAAAGGAGGCACTACAGCCCGCACGACCGAAGGTAGTCATCGAGCATGTGCGGCGAGGAACGCATATAGCGGAGGACCCGGTGGAAGTACTTCCCCTCTCAGACCTTGCTGATATTTTTGGTGTAAACTTCGCCGACAAAGCAGGACTCCCGCTCCCGCTGTGGCCTGAAGAGGACCGGCTAGCTATGCTCTTCCATGCGCTGAAATCCCACCATCCCCAGATCACCGGCCTTGCCCCCGATGCTCTCCTCCCTGTATTGGCAGTTCGGTGGGTCATAATAACTCTGCACGCCCGAGCACTGGAGGCTCCCAGCATTCATAGACAAGGAGAACAATGGACGCGTCAAGAGGCCAAGTCTGTTTTGGCCGCATTGCTTGCCCCATCGAGTCATTCAGACTCGAACAATGAGCCACCGGTCGTTATTGACAGACATATCCAAATGGTCGCACAGGTGTCGATAGCCCTCGAAAGCATATCGCATTTCGCACAGATCTTGCTATTGCCTCAGTACCTCCCCATGACAGCCCTTAATTATTCTGGCCGTCAGATCCACTCTCATCTTACGGCCAACCAATCTTCACTATTGCCAGTAGCGATATGGCATGCTTGCGAGGCAGGGCTAGAAGGTTCATTTGCTGAAGAGCGACGGTCTAAGTCGAGGAAGTCGAAGAGAAGGGTGGAGGCACAAACACAGATCAAAGCCACTCCATCAACTGCCAGTGGCTTGTTTGCATTGTTAGTCGAAGCCAACGCATAGGTTGTCGAACCGCTATGCCAGTTCGAACAAACCACTGTAAAGTTGACCGGCTGTAGTTCACCGCATGTACATAATGAGAATTTGGCAATATCGGGACCCAATCTTACGGAAGTATGTAACTCCCTTGAGTACAGCTTCCAGCTTGTAAGGCGATGCAAACAGCCCGCTTTCCGGGCGCTTGGCGTCAAATGTACATATATAGGCGTGCTGAGTCGGTGTGTCTCAAGACCAACACACATCCTCCTATGGCTACATACCGAACTTCAAGCACTGTACCCGCGGATATCATTACTTATCGAAAGGACGATAAGCTTGTCTTTGTGCAACCAGCAAGTAGCTACGTGGTGAGTTTCTCCGTGTAGGCGCTAGAAAATTCAACTATAAGGCTTTGTGTAGGGCGCAATCGAGGAAGCTCGAAAGGTCTTCCCCGAATTGGGAGCAATACCCGACGACCGGATAGGCTTCTATATAACCGCAACTTTGGGACATTCCAAAGCGCAAGTACGGGTGTCGGAAAGCGCGTGGTGCGCGGCCATTGCACGGCTGCTACGGGGCGAAGTCGTCGACGTACGCGTCGTTGAAGCAGACGTCTCGATCTCTATTGATCCACCACGGTATCTCGAGGTGCCAGATACAAAGGAGACTTCTCCGGACTTTTACAACGCAAACAACGACATAAGGGAGTCACGCTCGGCACCCTCTTCACGCTCCCCATCTCGCCAGGCATCACCATCTGGTAGAATCAGATCACATCGCAGCTGGTGGCAATTACCCTCATGACCATCCTGGCAACTTCTCCATCCCATACCCTATAATATCATCCCCACGGCATCCTACAATTATCCGTTTGTCGTGTTCAAGAACCTGCTGGGACGGACTGGAATCTTTCACATTGCACTAATGTCAGACATATTGCTTTACTCTGCTGATCACTTATATATTCATGTACGGCTATGTCGAAGTAGAGCCTTGCTTCTAAATGTGGCGTTATACTGAAGCAGATTGTTGATATCCCGAACCCAGTCGTCTTCTTTACCGGGTCCGGCGCCTTCGACATTCGACTGCTCCTCGACGATCGACGAGCGGTTAATGCACGGGACGGGATATGGCGAAGCTTGAACATTCACCGACTCTCCGGGATTGAGGACATGAGAAACCCTACCGTCCATCGAAACGCCGGCAGGCGACCGACTGCGATCTCCGATCTGTTGCATTTTAATGATGCGGCTGAGGCATATTTAAGAAGCCACATACCCTCAGTGTTATAAGCGATGAGGCAGGAAACACCAATGGCCGAAAAGACAAGCTCCGCGGACAGATGGGAGTGAGTACCAGTGCGCTCAGCGACGGGTGCACAATAGGACCCCCAGCAGACAAAGAATAGGCTGTAGAACCTGTCGGTGTGGAAACTATCAGACCATCTGACTGCGAGAGCGTCAGTCAATTACAACGACTGTGAGCCTAGGAATAAGACGCACGACAGCCTCCGTCAGATGTTGACCATCAACAAAGATATCAATGGTGTTCAGATGAGGACTTGATCCACGATGCAAGGCAATCTCATTCATCACTTGCCAATCTAGATCGCGGAGTTGAGATATAGATAGAGCTCTGAAACCGCGAGGACAACGCACCGTCATTATCTTTGCTTATGTTCATCAATTCTTGGTCGTAAAATCGACATGCCAGTCGCATTCGGTTGAGAATAGTTGCCTTGCCTTGGAACACGCTTTCCAGTGCTCTTGAGAAGTCGTCAATGTCTTCGGCATGTTTACATCAGAGACAAGCGGCTGGATAGACGGAGCTTGGCTACGCACGGAACGGAAGGAGAAAGCCAAGGGTACCCATCGAGAAGCTTAGCACGGGTGGGACCGCCGCAGTACTGAATAACGAGGATGCATGTAGAATTGTCCCATCGCCCCCGAGGGTCACGACGAGATCAATGGGCTGTACCTTTGCACCTGGTATGCATGCCGAATCAACACATTTATCTCTATAAAGGCAAACCAACTGACCTTGCCAAACTTCCGCCCCATGAGGTATATCAGGCCTGTCTTCATGAAATACTCGTACGCCAGGATACTTCGTGTGCACATGCCTGACGAGAACAACGTTACGAGATAAGGAAGCGTGTTGATAGAATGGCATTTACTCAAGGAAGGCGTCGATGGCGAGGATTACAGGCTGCGTTCTGAGCTTGTTTACTATCAAGATAGACTTCGGAGGATGCTTCATAGGAGTCTGTCTGTCTTTCTTGGATGTAAGCTACTAAATGCAAGAGAAAACGGTATTCCAACCGACGTTGGTGGAACAGCAGAACATGATGGACTTGAAGACAAGGGTCGCCGGTGAAGAGGAGGGACCCTAGGAACACGGAAGGCTGGCAGTTGGTGTAGGTTCAGGCATCGCCGTGAATGTTGTTGAAGCCTCGACCGAGTTGCGCAGAACATATTTGCAGAGAATGAGTGCAGGCTTCTGCCACAATCCAAAGCCACAGACGTGACCCGTGTGAATATTTGACTTTCCGACCCTGACACTGCCAAGATCATCCAGCGCGTTGAACTTGGTCATCAACTCCAGCTCAACCATAGATATGGAACGACACATGTGTCCAATAAACACCTTGTGACCACTCAAGCAACAAGGATACGGATCACACTAGTGGTACATACAGTTTATGATACTAACATAACATCTTCAACCAGATCTTGAACCCGCTGTGGATTACTTGGAGGGGATGATTCCCCCAGTCACCATGTTCCATCCAAAGTCCTCGTACGACCAGCCAAAGGCCCCTCCTTCGGGACTATGATACTTCAGAAGGGACCGGTGCATCTCTGGTTCCTCATGTATCTTGTTGATTCGCTCGACAGCTTCCTCGGATAGGTGGACCAGCTGAGGGTTGATAAGATCACTGTCGGAGACTTTTCAAACAGATGGAATTCTGACTGCTCGACTCACCTTAATGTTGTCTTGCATCCGCTGGTTGTCTTCACTCTTTGGGACCACGATTATGCCTCTCTGGACAGACCAACTCAGGAGCACCTGAAGAAGGCATCAGCTCGATTGATCAAACAACAAATCCTAGATATACCTGAGCCGGAGTAATGCTGAGAGACTTCGCGATATCGCCTACTGTTTCGTGTTCTAATAAGACTTTCGACCTGCCTGCACGTAGATGTCTAGTTAAATTACAATGGTGGGGGATGGATATTCGACGCACCTAGAGGAGTGTACGCTGTCAGGAGAATTCCCTTCTCCTCGCAAAAGACCTTCAACTCGGCTTGTGGTAGGCAGGGGTGTAATTCGACTTGGTTTGTAGCCGGTATGACGGTGCAATGAGGCAATAGCTCAGTGAGAGTCTTGACGGAGAAATTAGACACTCCGATGGTCTTGACTTTGCCTGAATATAAGTCACAGCAGAATAAAGGCTAAGATCATAGTACGTGGTGCAGTGTGTTAATCACCTGTGTCGAGGAGCTTTTCCATCTCCTTCCAAGTGTCAATGAAAGTCGGGTGTTCGTCAGGGCGTAGAGTTCTGCTCTGGCCGGATGAGTCTGTTGAACGTACGACGGTTATTCGGGAAAGGGGAGGGTATCAGAGAGTATTAGTACCAGTAATGACGGCAAATGGCCAATGCATCAAGTATAGGTCCACGTAGCCGCACTGAAGATTCTGTAGGGATTCCTCGAAGGACTCGCGGACTCTATCGTGCGCATCATTGCTGCAGAGAGAGAAGATGAGGTCGTGCAAATAGCTGGTATGTATATCATACTAGCATTAATACGCACGGCAGTTTGGTCGTAACATAAATCTCTTCTCTTGGAATCCGCGAAGCATTAATTGCTTGTCCTACCTCCTTTTCGTTCCCTAGGGGTACAGGGTCAATGTAGCTCCTCGCTACGGGGCTAGCGCGTTGGACTTGCCGTATCCTGATGCCTGCCGTACTGGATCAGGGTACAAGTATGCCTAGATCCTTCAGATGAACTTACGGTATCAAAGTGCCTGTAGCCGTTCTACATTCCAAATCAGTTCGACCTATGCTACCGGTATAAACAGGGGCGGATCATCACCTTCAGAGCCTTCGTGCACATGTCAAATACGCGCTGGCCTCCACCGACCTGACCCAGCCAACAGCTACAGCATGCATCCAGCCCATCAGCGCCCAACATTCTTGGCGATATCCTGAGTTAAGATTGTGACTTACCCCATTCCTACGGCTGGGATCTTCGTGCCATCGTTCAACTGAAAAGAGGGTACTTGGGCACTCATATTTGGGGTAAGATATGTCCTTTCGCTTGAAGCTGGCGGGGATGAGAGAGTAGTAGTTGGCAGAAAGTTCAACGGAGCGGTGCCAGCGGTTCTTCCGGCCCGGTGCTGCATCTTACCCGTGCCAAAACGCTCGAAGTATGTACTTTCATACTTCCCAAGCAGGATGCTAGCGTCAATCACCACAGCTACCTGAAATCTCGGAGGGGCAAGAACCGTTCACCATCAGCAGACTTTTGCCGTGACTAAATATCTGCTAATCATGATGTAGATCTTCAAAACACTGGGATCGATCTTGCCGCTACATCATGCATCGCTATCAGGGGAGGATTACGCGCAAGGAAACTAGTACCGCCGGCGCCCCCCCATGTGGCAACAGTGGCTTGACGCCCGCGCTGAGGTCGGGACAATTGTCATAATTGCAGTAACAGAACGACTAGGATTTTACGCAGAGTCGCTGCACTAGGAATTCGAAGGGGGCGTACCGCTGGCACACCCCGCGGATCCATATTACTTCAGGAGCGATTGGTGCATCCCCGGTCCTTCATGTATCCTGTTGATTCGTTTGATATGCTCGTCGGATAAATGGACAAGCTGGGGGTTGATCGTTCTTGTCGGCTCTTAGAGTATAAGGTCTTTCTACGGCTTCACTCACGCTGATGTTAGCTTGCATTCGCTGGTCATCTTCACTCTTCGGGACGACAATGATGTTTCTCTGGACGGACCAGCTCAAGGACTTGAATAACAATAAAGGCTGTACCTGAGCGGGTGTAACACCGAGGGATTTGGTGATGTCAATTATCGTTTTGTGCTCCAGTAAGACCTTTGACTCAGCCCGGCCTGTAGCAGTGGACGTCTAGTCAAATTATGATTGTAATGCACTGTATTTACCTAAGGGGGTATACGCAGTGAGAAGAATTCCTTTCTCCTCACAGAAAGCTTTTAATTCCACTTGAGGGAGGCACGGATGCAACTGCACTTGGTTGGTCGCTGGTATGACGGTGCAGTGAGGCAATAGTTCGGTGAGAGTCTTGACGGAGAAGTTGGACACTCCAATGGTCTTGACTTTGCCTGAAGGCAGCTGAATGAAGATGAAGGCCGTGGTATGAGACGCGGTGATCTGAATACCTGAGTCGAGGAGTTTCTCCATGTCTTTCCAAGTGTCGACGAAGGTTGGACGTTCGTCGGGGGACAGCCTTCTGGTCTTGCCGGATGAGTCTAACAGTCGGATTATTGCGGTCAGAAAGGTAAGCAACCGTCAACATATACCATCGGTACCAGTCATCGTTGCAAATGGCCAGTGCATCAAGTATAGATCCACGTAGCCACATGCAAGTTTCTCGAGTGATTCCTCGAACGACTGAAGCACCTTGTGATGGGCGTCGTTGCTGTAACAGCGAGAGTATTAGGGCTATGCCAATGACTTATCAGCAAGGAGAATACGCGCGGTAGCTTGGTTGTAATATAAATCTCTTCTCGTGGAATCTGCGAAGCGTTTATTGCTCCTTTTCGTTCCCTATGGTTATAGGTTTCGCACAACATAGTCACCAAAAGTACAGGACTTGCCATATACTGATGCCTACGGTATAGGTCAGACCGGAATCTTAGCTGTGACAATTGGATCGACTTACTGTATCAAAGTGCCGGTAGCCGTTCTATTGCCCAGACAATTTGATGGGCGTTATCAGTGTTAATACAGATGAGTTGTTACCTTCAGTGCCTTCGTACACATGTCAATAACGCGCTGGCCTCCACCGACTACACCTATCCAACAGCTACGGTACACAGCCGGCTCAATGTCAGCGCCCATATTTCTCAATGATGATCTCAATTTTGACGGCTCACCCCATTCCAACAGCCGGAATCTTGGTACCATCGTTCAACTGGAAAGAGGGCACTTGGGCGCTCATATTGTGAGGTAGGAGGTAGGATTGGGCGTTCGCCTGAAGTTGGAGGCGAGAATGGTGGTTATGGAATGGACAATGGTAATTTCTTCGATTGTGAACGGCTGGGACAAATTGCACCAGCTCAGACCAGCTCACATACTTGGAGCCGGCTGTTTGGGTGTACCCACCCCACAAGTAGAGAAGTACTTAGATCCCATCAGTGTTTTCTGACCGGAATCACCATTGCTGCCGTAGATAGGCGTGCACATCAGTGAGTAAATGTAGATTCTCGTACAGAGAATCTGGGGACAATCTGGCTAGATCATGGTATGCATAAGAATAAGAAAAGTATGTCTAGGTAAATTAGCTTACATTTAAACATTCTTTAATTCAAGAGGCTGTGAATGGCCGTTTGAACATCCTGATAGACCTCACCGTATCTTTTATTCTATTTTACAATGTACTCCACGAGAATTAGTGAATGGGTCTAGAGAGCATGCTGCCGAAGCGTTCTGGATTCAATCACTGAATCTGTAGTCTCACCTGCAAATTAGAGGGTTTTGTGACCGTGTGGTGGCAAGAGATGATGATGATGATCCCTATTTGGTTGATCACGTGTAAGATTTCGACTCGCAGGACTTAGCGCGTCTTGGTCTTGGTTGAAATCTCCCGACGCGTATCGTCTGGACGCCTACAATTGGCTTCGCATGTCCTGCGGAAAGATCATCTCTCCCTTCTACCACCATGTCTAATCCCTTTGGCGAGAAGCGCACACGATCACAACTCGTTCTGCCGGACCTCGACTTCTCGCTGCAGCAATCTCCGATGAAGAACGCCAAAACAATGGCAAAGAACTCGCAGCAACCGTCTACGAGCGACTTGAAACTCCAAGAGGAGTTGGACATGGACACTCCCAAGGCGAATGCTCGACAAGTGGGTGGCAGGGACATGATCGTGGCTGGGGAGGACTCTGATGATGAACTGCTTCTATCTCCCGGGAAGACGAGCAATTCAAGAGTTCTACCGCATAATGGTAATTCTGGCGTAAAACGTCCGTCTTCACCGACACATCACGACAGTTACACTGGCCGGCCGTCTGGCTCGGTGCCTCCTTCGCCAAGTGTTCGACACTCTAAGCGCGCGCGGCGCGGCCTCGAGGTGCTTGAGGTCCTCGGAGAGACTCTGAATACCAAGCTTCAGGATGGAGAACGCACTGCTCGGGCGTCCTCTGAGCCTCGCATCATTGCTGCCACGAGAAAGAAACGCAAACGTTCCGCCACCCCGTCGTCGACGTCAAAGAAGCCGGCATCCTCAGCCTCATCTCGTCCGGTATTCGAATATGAACCCAAGTCTCGTGCAAGCTCTGTTCCATTATTTCCTACGACTTTCAATCCTATCCTCCCTGATATCCCTCATTACGACCTCCACAATCTCCCGCCGTCACCTCGACGGCCTCGTTCGCGTTCACCGTCGAAGGAACGAGAGCCTAAGTTGCGCATCTTCTCCAATCCGATACTGCCTTCCGAAAGACTCGAGGCAATACCAGACGAAACACTCATGGAAGTAGATCAAGTGCCACAAAGCCACTCGGACTCGGCACTGCTCACAGGTATCGAACGGGGCTCATTGTCGCCGTTGAGCGAACCTCCCAGTCCGGTCACGCCTCCTCCAGCCACTAGCTCACCCGATATTCCTGAAGTACCGCCGCAGATTGCAACCATCATTGAAGAAGTCAACGGCGGTCCTAGCCTGCTTTCTAACAATCTCATGGACTTGTCTCCGTTGACTTCTGCGCACTCTGGCTCCTCGACCCCCAGCCCCATCCAACCGTTGGCAACACTATCAGTTGCTGAAGTCCCCCCTGTCGTGGAAAAACTCCCCGTGATTCAAGTGAATTGAACTCATATTCGTTAGGTACAATGGACTAACAACCTCTTTAGCCAGCACAACCGGAAACAAGCTTACCTGCCACCCGGCAACGCGCGGCCAAAGGAAAGAGCCGACTTCCCCGTCCTTCTAGTATAGTTGACCTCCCATCGGCAGCCTCTTCGTCGACCAAGACACATTTGCCACAGGCTAAACCTGATGCCAAAGCTCCGTCATCAAAGGTCGCAGGAAAGGCACGGGCTGTCAACGGTATTGCTGGCCCTTCCAAGACTACCGCTGGTGCTCTTCCAACAAAGCCTGATGCTTTCTCTATCCTCATGGCCGCGGGTAAATCCAAGACGAACGACGCCCCGAAGCCTAGAGGCCGCCCAAGCAAAGCTTCCGCTCAGTTGGCGAAAAACAGTAAGCCGGTCGTGAAACCTGATCCTAAGCCAGCCGTTGTTCCAGAGAAGCCTAAGGTGACGTTGAAGTCGAAGATGCGACCGAGGGAGAAGCCGAAGCCAGTCCTAGTGGTTCCTGCATCGCTGTTCCCCCCGGAATCAGCAGAACAGTCTGACGAAGATCCTCCGAAGAGTAAGACTCCATCTCCGGTGCTGCTCACACATCCCATCAACGAGCCAGAGCCGGTCTCAAATCAAGAACCAGCACCAGACCCGGACCCGGACCCGGACCCAGCTCCTTCACCCATTGGCGTTAGCCTCTTTACCCCTCTTATCGAGGCAACCCCCTCCGATATGATTGTTGAAGAGGATGCCCCGCCGACAGAAGTGCGTGCGGACATGACCACTTCAAATGGCACTGAACAGCGCAAAGAGGATGCTGAGCCAGCCCTTCCTCTCCCAGAGCCCGAGAGTGCCCCTCTCGAAAAAGAGGTCTCCGCCCCTTCAACTGTCCAGATCGTCACGTCTGCAACACCGAACGAAGCCTCGCCAGACGTCGCTGATGGGGGACCTCCTGGACCTGTAGTCATCGAACCTCTGGCTCCTCCACAGCCGCCATCTCCGTCGAGGAAGAGAAAGAAGGGCTTGCCGAGATCTTCGATACCCGAGACTTCCCCTCGGCGTGTAACTCGTAGCACCTCTCAGCAGCATAAACCGAACGAAGAGAGCAACATCGGTGCTCCTTCTGAATCCAACGCTACCCAAGATCCTACGCCGTCTGTAGACGAAGTCGTCCAACCGTCCGTTGTTCGTGGGGCCGCAGATTCAACCGAGGACACTGATGCCATGGTAATTTCTGCCCCTACCTCACCTGAGAAGCAGGCAGGGCCAAGCCGCCGTTCTTTGGGACGTACTTCGAAGATTCCGCTACCGAAGACACCTGCTAAAGCATCTGCGCCCAAGAGAACTTATGGCTCTCCATCTCCATCGAAGATTGCCCGAGCGTCTTCGATGTACTTACCGCGAGCCGGTATGTGATTTGATTCCTGCTGGTCCCTCATCTTGACCTTCTATAGGCACTGCCGGACCGTCATCGCTTTCGAACCTATCGGACGCTCTTGACAAACTCCGAATGCCACCTCCCTCCCGCCCCAACACCAGCATGGGTTTCAATCGGGACACTAATGACGATGACGACGAAGATACCGCAAAGACCGTCGACGATTCAGCAATCAATCGGCGCACTTCGTTGACGCGGGCTGCTACTTTGGATGCCAGCGCTTTGGTGCCCAAGGCCCTCTCCAAGGCAAATGCCCCGACTACATCAGGCAAGAAGACTACTCGTGCCCTCGTTCAGAAGCCCATGACGAATTTCTTTGGACTCCAATCAGGGGGTAAAGCAGGCGAGAGGAATAGTATACTGTCTAAGCCTGGCTCTGGACCACGAATATTTGGTCTGGGACGAGGTCGCGTTGCACCAAGAGCGAGCAAGAAAACGACGCTTCCGAGTGTGATGCACAGTCCAGTGAAAGGCGACGGCAACAACGCCGACGATGGATCGGACAACGATATCGAGGTTTCGAACGTTACTCCCCGCACAACAGAGACGTCCACGGATGTCTTTATGGCCCCGCCTGTTCCTAGGGAGGACGTAGATGAAGATATGGCCGTTATCCTGGATACGAAGGGAAAGGATTCCAAGAAGAAAGATGCTTGGAGCAAAAATGCTTCACGTCGCGCTTCCTTGGCGTTTCAAGGACTATCTCAATCACTGAGCTCTTTGCCGAAACCTAGTGCACCTGGTTTGATGGGTCCTCCAGCAACCCCCAAAGGCACCAGAAGCTCAAGCAGTACGTACCCCGCAGCCACTACGGCCGAGTTGGGTGAGGCAAGTGGCACCGAAAACAACACTCCTCCGTCTGGCCGAGTAACCCGGTCTTCCGCTGCTAAGACGGCGCCAGGAGCATTGGGAAAAATCAAGGCAGGTACTGGGGGGCACGTATCGTCTAGTCGAAAAGATGCAGAGAACGGTGACACGCAGAACAAAGCAGAATCCCTCTCGATTCTAGATGACTGCACCGTATTCTTGGATGTGAGGACGGATGAAGGTGAGGATGCTGGCGAGCTGTTCTTAGAGATGCTTCAACGGCTGGGGGCTCGGGTACGTCTTTCTTCTCATTCATGGTTCGGTATTCTAACTTCAGCGAATAGATCCTATCGAGCGTCGGTTCGACTTGCACACATGTGGTGTACAAGAACGGTCTTACTAGCACAGTCAACAAGTGGAGGTCTGTATTGGCCGGTCCTTTTCTTTCGTATATTCTGACTGGGCATATGTAGAAAACTCAAGAACAAACCTCATGTTGTCGGTATAGCCTGGGTGGTAGAGTGCGCCGAACGCAAAGAAAAGGCGGACGAGACACCACACCTCATTGACCTTGAGGGTGTTAACGTAGCTGGCGTTGTGAAGGTTGGTTTACCGTTCTGTATACTTTGTGCTGATACTAACTCTTCTCCGCAGAGGCGACGCTCTATGCTTCCTAGGTTTATAGCCCGGGAACTTGAGGAAGAGAACTCCCAGCAGAACGGCGATAAAGATGACGCAGAGAAATCATCAAGTAGTAAGTGCTGTCTGCTTCCCTGTGTCCAAAATTTGCTGAGTAGTCATGTGCAGCCATCGTCTTGGAAGATGACCTACCGCCATTGGAGATCATTCGACGGCGGACAATGGGCATCGTGAGTTGATTGGATGCTAAGATCGTGGCATTCATACTACGGTACATTGATCTACATTATCTATCGAGGAGAATAATGGTGTCGACCCCGCCCGCTAGTGTACTAGTTTAATGTTCCCGGCTATCATTATGTGGAAATCGAAATGCAATCGAAATGCAATCAATGTATATAAGACGGCTTGGTCTTGCCCTGTGGAGTACAACAACAGCAGTGGTATAAGCAACGAAGGTTTCGTATTTTTTATCTGGACTTCTTTGCCAGATTTATATGTGCGCGCAACTTTTGTTGCTTTTCCCGGAGACTCCTCTTTTTCTTCCCTTTCACCGCTCCGCTACTGAGAATCATCATGATGGGCTTGTTCCTCGCTTTCTCCCTATTCGTTGAAGAGCTGGCGGTCTCCTTGTTTTTCTTGCCTTTCCTCGATCCGAACTTGTCGCGGCCCTCACGTCCCTTCTGGATAGAGGCCATGCGCTCTTCGTAGTCAGCCTTCGCCTTCTTTCGAGGACCCAGGATGTCGTTCTCGGAGATGAAGGTGTCCTCTTCGTTCGCGCCCTCTCGAGCAACCTTGCGCTCTGCCTCAAGAGCAGCTAGTTTTCTCTTCGCTTTACTGCCGCCCCCAGCTTCAACCGCTTTCGCGGCGGCTTGTAGCCGTAGATCGTGTAACAGAGCAAAGTCAGCGGGAGTAAGGATCTAAAAGAGATGATAAGGAACACGGGACTCGGATGAATGGGAGTACGCGTACTTTGGTTGTAGCCAGTGTTGATATGCGGTCCGCAGGATCCACTTCCTTCTCTAATTTCGCCTCCGGATCTTTCTCATCTTCCGAGTCGCTGACTTCGATATCGCTTCCTCCCTCACTCTGAACGTCAACCCAGCCCTCGCTTTCAGACTCACTATCTGATGAATCCGACTCAACGTCCCAGTTGTCCCAAGCAGTTTCGTCGTCTTCTTTGTCTTCAACCCCATCTTCTTCGCGTAATTGCTTAAGATGATCCTCCAGCAGCTGAAAGTACAGATATTACATGTCCGCGTGGATAGAGAAAAGCCTGATGTCTTACCGCAAGACCTGCGATGTCGACAGCAGCGTCCGCACTGTGTCCGAATGGTAATGGCTGGTGGGATCCCGCGGCCATCCCAATCGCAGCCTCTTTGCCCTAATACACGTACCTCACCATTAACGCTGCATGGTAGAATAGAAAAACAGCGACTTACCCGTTCACGTCGTTTCAGCATACCGGGATTTACATCTCGGTACAGCTGTAGCAAGCCTCGGGCCGCAGCCGTGACGGATTTATCTTTACTCTTCCTGTATTCAATCAAATCTCCCAACAAGTCTTCTTCCATCGCCCATGGTTGCCGCCTACACACCTCCCGTATCGCGTTGATCCCAGCTGCGACAACTTCACTAGCCACTCCAGGATGAATGAACTCGTGCGCGAGCTTCCGGACCACAGGTGTAAGTGCATCAGGGGGCGTTAGGTCGTGAACACTCTGCGCGAGAGCAACGAGGATGGAAGGTATGCGCAATTGATGGTAGGTCAGGTATTTGAAGATGTAGGTGTAGAAATCGAGGACGCAGAGTTTGTGGGCGCCCATGACGCGGGAGAGGAGTTGCATCATTAGGACTTTGTGTTCGAGGGAGAAGCGTTTGTCGTAGCGGTTGAGGAGATCGTAGAGCTTCTCCGCGAAGGTTTGGGGGTCATTGAGGAGTTGGAGAGCGGGGAAGTTGGGGTTGTTGGATGTCGGTTGGTTACCGTACTTTTTCTATAGTCGTATGTTTAAGTGAGACGATCCCACAAGATGATAGAGATGAGGTACCTTTTTTGCGCTATGCAGTTGTTTCCTTAGCTTCTTGTCACCGCTGCGAGTCTTCTTGTTGATCTCCCGGCGATGATGAAGAGCGCTGACGTCAACTTCCTAGAAGTTAATGAGGACGAGATTGATTAAATCTCTAATTCGACCACTTACGTCGTCCCCTTCGTCGTCGCTGTCCTCCTTCTCTTCGTCGCTACCAAGGAAGAAATGGAGAGAAGCGCTCTGCACTTTCAGGACAGGATGGAAGCAGCCAAGTGCTATGATGGACACTGGCTTGGCGTCAGTCCTACGCATCCGTTAACTTGACAAGAATATTGCGCTGGAACCGAGCTCACCAAACGCCTTTCCGCCACAGTTCCTTTGTGAGGATGATTGCCCAGATCGCGTCTTCGCCTCCATGCGCTGCCTTGTCACTGGTTGGCCCAGAATTGTTCGCTCTGAGTTTTCCCTTGTCACCCTGCACTTCTCCGTCCATGCCCCGCTCAACCATGCCAAATAACATTGCTTGGACGGCTCTATTGAGCTTGTGATTGGCCGTTCGTGAGTTAGCCGTTTTGATATCTGTGAGGATAGTTTTGCGTATTGATGCTCGAAGAGATGAAGACGTTGTGCGAGGGAGAAGGGGGAACAGCGTTTTGAGCAACCTGTTATATGGAGGTGAACAAGGGCTTCCACCAGCGGATCTTTGGCTTACTCGACAGACGTTATGACATTCTTGTTTCGCAACATGACCAGATTTTGCACGAGAGCCTTCCGTGTATCTGGCGACAGAGCACCATAATGCTCCAGAAGTAAGAACGAAATTTGTGACGGAAATTCGGCGGTCTCTTTGGGATAACAAGTCGATACCTATGAATGTCATCAGTAACGAATATCAACCCACTTGATGAGAAACCAGTCACCTGAGATATGAACGCTACAAGTTCTCGGAAATTTTGGGCATGTTCGTTGGGGTTGATGAGATATATCTGGCGAATGCTGTTGTAGTGATTCCATTGTTGCAGGAATTCCTCCTTGTACGCAGCAGGATCCCTCTTGATGAGGTTCTGCAGCTGTGGCAGGTTCGAGGTGAGGAGGAGACCGCGTCCCATTCTCCTATTCCGATGATCGTCCAGACGATGATTTTCAAAAGTTGTGGATGTACTGGGCGCCTAATTACTTCGTTGATCGGTGCGTCGTAACGGAACGGAAATGCGTCTTCGATCATACACTCATGCGGCCCCTGTCGTGGGGAACCGTCGTGAACATATCCATGGGATTTGTTATCTTTCTCATCACACGCAGTCATGGGACAAACCACGATCCTTGAAGGCGGCGAGCAGCTTGCTAGAGCCCGTAGCAAATCCCGTCGTCTTCATCTACTGCTAGTAGTTGTGTTCGTTGGGGCATACTTTGCTGGCCACCGATGCTGGCACCATGCCTCGATGAACCAAGCCCCCGTGTGCCCGCAGACCGAAGCTCTCGTCCCCACACAAAACCACGGACTATGGTCAGATATCAGTGCCTTGATATCTACGGATTCGTTCGAAAAGCATGCAGCAGAGCTACTGGGCGGTGCAGTACGCGTGCGGTATGTTTGCTTTCTAAATGACCCGCTGGGTGTCATCTGACATGCCCTGCTCCAGCGGAGAAACCTTCGATTCCATGGGTCCCGTTGGGGAGGATCCAAGATGGGAAGTGCATTCCAAGTTCCACGAATACCTCGCGCAGAACTTCCCTCAGATGTTTGTTCTTCGAGTCCCCCCGTATGAAATCATTCCTAAACCACTCCTATTCTAGTTACAAGGCTCTGAAGCTCGAGACCGTGAACACTTACGGTTTGCTGTATACGTGGCAAGGCTCGGACACATCGCTCAAACCGTTACTTATGATGGCCCACCTTGGTAATGATACCGCTACTCTAAGGGACCTCCTTTCATAGGGATTTATAGATACTGTACCCGTAAACCCCGACACCATAGAGTCTTGGACTCATCCACCGTGGTCTGGTTATTTTGATGGTGATACTTACTTTTCTATCCTTCTCCTCTTGCAATCCTGACATCGAACCGCTACAGGTACTAGCATTTGGGGGCGTGGTTCCTCTGACGACAAGAGTGGTCTTATTGGGACAATGTGGGTTTCCCTCTTCCTAAGTTCAATACACGACTACTGACTACGATTAATTTATATTCAGGACCGCCATTGAACTCTTATTGCAACGCGGGTTCCAACCCTCACGCACAGTCGTCCTTGCCTTTGGCTTTGACGAAGAAGCCGGTGGGGTCCAAGGGGCGGGTCATATTGCCCCCGTCCTGTTAGACCGTTATGGCGAAGATTCCTTCACGGCAATCATTGACGAAGGAGGTGGGATATTACTATTGTATGATATCCATTGTTGTACTCATGTTTATATCCTTCAGGAGGATTCTCCGAAGAGTATGGCACAACCTTCGCGGGGTAAGTTTTCAGTACGTTCACTTCTCGTCTGATTTATATGAATTGTCATCGCGTAGCCCTGGAGTCGCTGAGAAAGGGTCTATGAATGTGGATCTGGAAGTCACGGCACCAGGGGGACATTCCTCTATTCCTCCTAGCCACACAGTCAGTCTCTCCGTTCGTTCATCCTTACTAGTTCTCAAGGGCACCCACAGAGCATCGGAATGCTTGCCGCTGCTATTGTATACCTCGAGGATCACCCCTTCGACGTGCATCTAGTGAGTATTCCCTTCGCAGCACCCACATTAGGCCTGACAACCAACGTTCGTCCCTTAGGACCGCAAATCAACTATCTATGCCCGTTTACAATGCGCGGCTCAACACGGCAAGGAAATGGACCCAACGCTCCGGCACAAAATTCGTCAATCACTGAAATCTGACAAGAAACTGCGCGAACTCGAGACCCTGCTATTTGCCGATTCAGTAGAGAAGAGTCTCGCGGGAACGACACAAGCTATTGACCTCATCAACGGCGGGTGAGTCCCTTCAAACGTTTGATCCCTGTTTGTCGTGGCGCATTGATGTCTCCTCTATCAGAGTTAAGTCCAATGCGCTACCGGAACAAGCTCGCGCGGTCATCAATCACCGGATTGACTCGATGAGGCATGCCTCCATTCTATGTTATTCTTGGACTCGCCCTCATATTTCATATCGCCCACGCAGCTCATCTAATGTTGTCAAGGAACGCGACACCACGCTCCTCAAGGAAATCGCCCATAAGTTCAATTTGAGTTACACGGCCTTTGGGCATGAGATCACTGAGAAAGATGCGCCGTCTGCGGGAACGATTAGCATATCCTCTCCTTTGGTTCTCGAGCCGGCGCCTGTCACTCCCATTGTTATGGATAGGGCTACACCATATGGCATCCTTAGTGGATCTATTCGAGCGACCTACGACGCCCGCCGGTCGCAGAATAATCAGAGCGGAGACATATTCGTTGTGCGTAGTGATCATTGGGAGCATCTTGGTTTACATTTACTCTTCCCCTCTCAGACTCCAGGAATGCCAACCGGAAACACTGGTAAGTTAATTCTTGAGGCGCAAATGTAAGTTGCTAATAGGCTGCTTTGTCTCGGCAGATACACGCTACTACTGGGGTCTGACGAACCATATATTCCGCTACACTCATCATGATCTGGGTACCTCCAATAATCCTCTTGGAGGGGGAGTTCATACAGTAAACGAGCGTAAGTCTTGGGTTCATAATGTGCCCAGCGTTCCGCTCACTCCAATGTAGACATTGAGATATCGGCTTTCGTGGAGATGATCAGGTTCTATGTGACTTTTATCTTGAATATGCAAGAGTCTCTAGCTGTCTGAACGTATACGAAACACATATCCGTATATACTTCTTGGTTGTATCGTGAGAATCATAGCGCCGTTGGTCCATGGACCTTCTGAAACTGTATTGAATTGACCGTGACAGTCACTGGCGCACTTGACGCAGATGCGAACATTGTTTCAGGTCGTCGACCACGACGACCACAGTTGTAGGCTGTGCATCGCTTCCTACTTCTATAATACAGGCCACTAGCTCACCCCCATTCTTTGTCTGGTACCACCACCTGCCTGAATTTGCTGTGCAAATCTTGGCGCGCGTTGCGCAACCCCGCTCCACACTCGACGACTTCGACATCGACGGACCTCTATTTCGAAGATGATTCAAGTGCCAAAGCGATACAAGCTGCTTCTCATCCCAACCCTTGTCATCACGGTCACATTCATACTGCTGCTCAGCCAGTATCGGTATCAAATACAGAATGCACTTTCGTACGCGACGCGCCCGCTCTGGGACAAGGCCGAAGGCCCGAAAGCCATAATACCACACTATTACACGGAGGGGATGGAGATGGACTCATATATGTGTAAAATGCATGGATGGGGTCCACGCACGCGAGCTGCTTCGGATGTGAAAGTCCTGGACGCGGTGCTGATGAGCAGCGAACTGGACCTCTTGGAAATCCGCATGCACGAGTTGGACCCCGTCGTGGACTACTTCCTCATTGTGGAATCGAATGCGACGTTCACGGGGTTGCCGAAGCAGACATACTTCGCAGACAATCGCGCTAGGTTCAGCAAGTTCAATAGTAAGATCGTATACCTATTGTGAGTACGGCCAATCTCTCAAATGAATTAGAATAATGAAACCCTATCTTCTCCAGCCTGCCTGGATACCCTTTAACCCCTTCACAATCGGCATGGGACGTCGAAGCTCACACTCGTGGAACTATGTCTTCCCTGCTTAAGCAACAAATATCCCAATTTCCTGCCCAGACAGAGACACTCGTGATTATGTCTGATGTTGACGAAATTCCATCCCGACATTCTATATCTCTCTTGAAAGCCTGCGAGTTCGGTCGAGCTATACATCTCCAGCTACGGAATTATCTCTACAGGTTAGCCAACCGCAATAGTCGTCGCGCGTGGATTATTCCTGACTCTGACTTTTCAGCTTTGAATGGTACATTGGGCCTTCCTCCTGGCGCGCAAGTATGCATCGTTGGGTCCCTGGAATAACGTATTACAGACATTCTCAATCGACGGAAGCCATCCTAGCCGATGCTGGCTGGCATTGCTCGTACTGCTTCCGCACAATCAAAGAATACGTCGTCAAGATGACAGGCTTCTCCCATTCTGATCGTGTTGGGGGTGACATGCGCCTGCTCGAGCCGCAACGAATCCAAGATACAATATGTCAAGGGAAAGATATTTTCGGCATGTTACCAGAGGCCTACAGCGTGCGTGCTTCCATCTTTGATGCTCTCCCAAGATGACTGAAGCCTTCCACTGATTAGTATGCTGATCTCCTGTCGCAACTGAGCTTGACACCGTGCGTACCAAACGGCTTCTCTACGATGGCTTCGTGACTAACCCAGCCCACCTTAGACAAACGTCGGCGGTCGGTCTGCCCTTATACTTGATAAAAAATGCAGATCGATTTCGATTCCTTTTACCTGGCGGGTGCAAGCGGGAAGCGTAGTAATCGCCATTGACCCCACGATCGGGCATACCTTGGACTTTCGGGACTATGTAGGAACATCTCCCGGTCGCCTGTACTGTATCAGCAACCTCAGAGTACCGGGCAGCATCTTGGAGCATTTGCGATGTAATATACCCGAGGTGATACACATTATGCTGCCATTGAAAGGACGGTATAATACATGTCGTATAAGTACAAACCAGGTACAAATACACCAAGAACCCAAGTCCATACAGTTACAATTGGTATCAAGGAATGTCGAGCTCAAAGACTTGGCCCGGTGATAATAACCCTTAGTGAAGGCCTTCCTGGCTTCGCTGCCGACTTCAGACAAGGATTTGGAACCATCTTCATGGGGACCTATAGACAGTACGGTCAGGGATACTGTCATGACAAGTTGCAGAAACAGATACCCACCCCTATGTGCGCCATGAACTTGGTCAAATCTGCCTCTCTCGTTCCGTCGCTGACTTCTTCAGGTGCCGGATCCTTGCCCTTTTTCCCGTCCTTTTTCGCGTCTTTGTTCTCCTTCTTGGCCTTGACCGTGGACGGTGTCGTCGCTGGTGTTTGGAGTGATTTGCTGCCTGATGGCGGGACCTCCGAACCTGACGGACTCTCTGATGTCTCCTCGATAAGCCCGTAATCTGCGAGCAGCTGTCGAGCGCGTTGGGCATCGTATCTCAACAGGGTTTGAAGATCCTTCGGGAAAAGCGCAGATGGGGTTGGGGGTACGAGACTCGAACGGGGCCCCGAGAACGACGCCGGAGCGGCCGTCATGGGGGTGGGGAGCGGGACGGCGGGTACGGCTGTCTCGGGCGAGAAGATGGGGGACCGGACGTACGACGGGGACTGCTCAGGAGTCGGTAGGGGCCTGAGGAGGGGCCTGAGGGGGACAGTCAAAGATTGAGGCGACACTAAAGACGCGTTAAATCTCCTCGCCTCGCTATCATTCAAGTTAAACCAGCTAGTAACGAACTGCGCTAATGAAGACCTACTTGTTGTATAGATTCGCTTGGACTTCGATTAGTTGTCGCTCGTGTTGCACGACGTCCTTCCGCAACTTCTCTGGGAGCTGGTTTTCCAACTGGAATCGATGACATGGCAGGCGAATTAGAACTCGCCAAGAAGTCAAGAATTTTGAATGGAATACACACCTCCCTTTGCACCCGATCCTTAATCTCTTCGGCGACGACCTCTTTCACTAAATCGTCTACTTTCGAACGATATTCGTCGATGAGTCGAGGTACCGCCTCCTCAAATCGCGAGCGCAACTCTGCGACCCGCTTCGTTCGCTCTTGTTGCTTGGTTTCAAACGCATCTCGAAGTGATTGAAGCTGTATCAGATCGGATGTCAGTAAGACGTTATTCTAGGGAGACAACCTGTCTACTAACTTGGCCGGCAGCATCTACTGCTGGTGCGAGGCCAGCGACCCTGGCCGTTTGCTTCTCGAATGTTTCGAAAGTTGAGTAGATTGTGGTCGAGAGTCGTTTCATGCCCAGGATACAGCTCATGATCGCCTCCAAATCAAGAGGTCCTGAAGGCTTTGTTGCTGCGGCTGTTTCTGGCGTCGCGCCGTTGCTATGTGGCTTGGCCACTGGGGGTTGTTTAAATTTATCAAGCATGCCTTCTTTGGAAGGGCGAGAGCTTCCGTTCTTCAAATTATCAATCGGAGAATTTGAAGCTACGGTGGGGGAGGTGTGTGTGGAGGAAGTCGTTGTGTTGTTATGGGCAGTGACCGAGTCGCCGTCCGGGAGGAACATGGGCTCGTTGGCGGGTATTGTCAATGAGAGCTTTCGTGGGGCACCCAGGCTGTTCCCCTGTTTAGTAGCGCCTTGACTTTTAGCGGACATCTTGTTTACTGCGGTGGACGCAGCTCGCATCAAGAAGATATGTCGCAAAGGGAACCAACTTACCGAACAACCTTGATAAGAAGTTGCAATAATCCCGCAGTTGTTGGTGGTTAGATGATTAGTAGAAGTACGGGTGCGTGTAGACGACGAGCTGTGGACATGTGCGGTATATTATATACGCAGCGAAGTGCGGTTAGAGTCGTGGCTTCAGAACCGTACCCACGCAGTAGAGCCACTGTTCACTTGATGGGAAACGCACGTCACTTCGAAGAACCACCATGCTGAAGCCTCGAGGCCGAACCTAGTTCTAGTCTTGGACTATGTGGCGTTGTCCTCGAATTGGAACTTACCCTGCGGTTGTTAGACGGAAGTACTCGTTGGACCTTCAACGGAGCATCTCATCTACATATATAGACAGAAACCCCGAGGAATCTCACAAAGACATGGCGTTGACTTCAGTCACAATCGACACGATACAGCGCCTCGCGAGCACGAAGTGAGTAGAGGTATCTTTGACTCCTGAGAGCTGCGCAGTGCTGGGGTGGCTTCTCGGATTTGAGTGGCACGAAATCAGTGCGACAATTATAGGTGCAAACATGTTGGTGGAATCACCAACGTGCATGGTCCTGAAGATAATACTGTAGGTGCTGCGCGACGAAACCGACTGTGGATCCCCAGAATGTCCTAGAGAGAATCCTATTCCGTGTGTTCAGAGGACCAATCGGAATACGCAAAGGCAAAGCTACACATCTTGCTCATACGAGGAAATCGAAACAGGTGAGCTGAATGCAGTCACTACGATAGGAAACAGCCTGAGGAATGACACACCTATAGGAATGCAAGATGCGGGGATAGTCCCATCAGAGACAGTCGAATGACGTGAATGAAGATGTATGAGTATGTATTTGGGCATTAGACACTGCGTATTGTAGCGTTTCCTGTGTTCTATGCATGGAACTTCAGTTCAATATCCATCGGGCTGCCTGTTATTGTCTCTGGACTCACCTCGAAAGGTGGACGATCTGCAAAAACTACTACACTCGTTAGTTCATCGCTTTCCCGCCTTGACACTATTCCATTTCGTCGTAGATTCAGAATGACACGGTATCCCTGTGAAGGGACAAGAATGGATAATGAACGACAAAGACGTAGAAGAGGCTAAACTCACGATGAAGGAGAAACCAGCCAGCAGATAACTACCGGCAAGTTATTGTCAGTCGGTAGGGGCAGACAACGACCCTCTCACTAAGTTAACATAGAATCGTACGGGGAGCTCATGACAAAGAAAAATACTCCGTTCACCGCAAGGAGGGCTAATAAACGCTTGTCAATGTCTACTAAATGTCGAGCAATTGAGCCACCTGCCTTCGATCAGGAAGAAACTCCATGTGCCATCTCGCATGAGCAATGCCACAAGAGGTGTCATGCCCCAACCGTGCTGCCGAATCCCTTTGACAGAAGCGGATCGAAGTAAATACGAAGAGGAGCGTTTGATTCACCGGCGTGATTACGCTAGTCCCAGCATCAGCAGGATCTTCCGCCGTCTGGTATGAAATTGAGATTAAGACTTACGCGAAGATAATGGCCATGGGCGGAAGCCCAATGGCGAGACAAGTCGTATCATAGCGGAACTTTGACATAGTGGTTCCAATCCCAATAACCATGAGTATCATTTCGATGTAATAGAGAGTGCGTAGCGTCAGACGGACAAAACGGTGCTGATTATACAGAGCCTCCACTGTCACATAGATAAGACAAAAAACATATGAGCATAGGGAGCTGTCTCACCTCGTAGAAGCATTACAAACTCCACACTTGAGAATATTATCATTGTGGCGGAGAGTTGGTATAATTGCCAAATGAAGCAGTCGTGATACGTGTACGTGATTTTGGGAGGCTTCATTGCGCCCATTGGCAGCGTGGATCTAGGATAATGGAGGTGGTTGATAAAGCAGAGGAGGTGACTTGTTTGATCGAACTTACACCATAAGAGTGACCGGGAGGTAACGACAGATATAATACAGAAATTTCGTGCGCGTCCATGGCTCACTACCCACGAGTCAGCAGGATACACATATATAAAAGCGGAACTGGGTACCCCCATATCCGTTCAACCTATTCTTACAATTCAGTGGCATCGTTTACGTACACGCACCGCGCCATCCACTGACCTCCTGATCTATCGTGACACACATGTCCCAAAGGTTGAAGGCAATAGCAGAGACTATGAAGATGAGTAAGTGATACATGGCTAGGGTCATTGGGGGTGTCGAAATTTACCTCCTACGCAGTTTGCTATTTGTATAGCTACTGTCGTTGGTGAAGTAGGTATAAGTGATTTGTCTGGGACTACTCCAGCCATCGCGAGAGGAAGGTGTCACAAGGACTCGGGTTGAAGAAATGGTGTCTTCCGAACACCTCCCTTTATAACGGCATCGTGGGGGTGTCGTGTCGGCGATCTGAGACAAAACCAAAGGATCATATCAAGCTTTGAGCCACAAATACCCATGGATGATCTCCGTCGCCAAAAACGTGCGGAATGTTGATGAACATTGAATCCGATGAACTATCGCCATTGATGTTTCACTGTCAAGCTCAGCGGTGCTTCGCGTGAGTGGCTTCTGTGGGATATCCTGAGAGGACATGCTCCGGACGTGGTTGCTATCCAGATGAACAGCATTGAAGGAAAATCTAAGAATGCGACTTTAAGATTTGACACCTAGCCCTAAGGTGCCTGGTACTCTCGGTCCTTCTGACCATCCCGAGGGTGCGGTCTTATTGGGGGAATCTCGATGCCGAGGCCAATGCTGAGCGAAGCGCCGTGCTACGCCACATTGCCGGCGGTACAAAGGCCGAGTCGATTTCATTTGATATATCATATATATCCGATAACCTGAGTATTGCGCCGATAAATATTCTGACTTTCGTCCCAAGGGAGGGATGAGATTGTAGGTAGGCCGTACTGTGATTACGTTCACTACTACGCTCTAGAGTGCGGCGGCACAGCGGATGCATTGTGTACTCCAGCACCTTCTGTACTCTATGTAAGTATAAGGCTTCAGCTCCATGTCTTGTTACGATTGCGTGTTATTGTCGTTCTACTCACTTCGAGAGGTGGAGGGCTTGCAAAAACTACTATGCTCGACAGTTCACCGCTTGCCGGACCGGAAGGTACCCCATCTTGCCTTAAATTCAGAATAACGCGGTATCCCTATGAAGCGACCGCAGGAACGAATAAGTGATGGCAGAAATGTAGAAAAGCTGGGACCTACAACGAAGGAAACCCCCGCTATCAGATAACTACCGATAGTTGGATGTCAATCTGTAAGGACAGAGCTGAGAAAAAATCCTCATACCAATACAACATTGGCCCGTATGGGTAACTCATAACGAAATAAAACACCCCGTTCGCCGCGAGGAGGACTGAATATTATCAAATGGTATTTAACACCGAGCAACTAGGTCACCTACCTTCAATCAAGAAGAAACTCCATGTTCCATCTCGCATGAGCAACTCCACAAGAGGTACCATGCCCCAACCATATTGTCGAACCCCTTGGACAAAGCGGATCGAAGTCAACGTAAACAGCAGTGTTTGATTCACTGGCATGACTACACTAGTCTGAGATTCAGTAGGATCCTCTGCCACCTGGAATGAAACCTACGCAAAGATGATCGCCATGGGTGGAAGGCCAACGGAAAGACAACTCGTATCGTAGCGGAACCTTTCTATTGTAGTTCCAATGCCGATAGTCATGAGTATTATTTCGACGTAATAGAGAGTGCGTAACGTTAGACTGATAAGGCGATGTTGATTGTACAGAGCCTCCACTATCAGACATGTAAGATCGAAATAACATGAACATAGGAACCTACGTACCTCGTAGAAGCATTATGAACTCCACACTTGAAAATATTATCATCGTGGCGGAGAGTTGGTATAATTGCCAGATGAAGCAGTCGTGATGAGTAAAAGAGACGTCGGGCGGTTTCGTCAAGCCGATTGGCAGTGTCGATCTACGACGGATGTAATTGAGAAAGTAAAGCATGGGGGCCTAGACCAAACTGACACCAGAAGAGTGACCGGGAGATAGCGGCAGATAAAATACAGAATTTTCGTGCGTGACCATGACTGGCTAGCACCCACCGGTTAGTACCATTCAATACACAAGCAAGAGTTGAGAAGAACCTCCATATCTGTTCCGCCTATTCTTGTAATTCAATGGCATATTCATGGACACGTAAGTATCATGCCAACCACTGACCTCTTGATCCAGCGTGATACATATATCCCAGAGTATGAACGCGATGGCAGAAACTATGAGGATGAGTAACGGTCGGCATCATCTAAAGCATTGAAACTAACCCCCGACGCAGTTCGAGACCTGTATGGCTGCCGTGGGGGGTGCGGAAGGCATAAGTAGTTCATTTAGTCTTGCTCCAGTCATCGCGAAGAGAAGCCGTCCCGAGGAATGACAGTGTCTTCCGGGCTCGTCCCTTTATAACAACAGTGTCGGTTTGTAATGCTGGGCGGTGCGACATATCAACTCTTGAACCAGATACCCATGGGCGATTCCGTCGTAACAAAGATGTCGGCAGTTCATGAACATTCCGTGAGAATGAGAGATAGTCGATGAATGTTTACAGCGGGTCCTGGTGAAGAGAAACTCTATTCATTGATGTTTGGTCTTTGTCAAGTTGAAGTTGATGCATCGATTTTCCATCATCTCTGGGCCGGTGTTCCATGTAGTTTTTAAGCTATCTTGAGAGGATATGGTTACAATTCAGATTGACATGTCGGCTCCTCAGGCAGGTCCAAGAACGTGACTCCAAGATTTGATATCTAGCCTATGTAGATCTTTGTGTCCGTCCGGGTGCGCACACGGTAAGTATTGAGGGGATCTTAAAGCCAACTTGAGATGAGACCGGCGCGACAGCCACGAGACACTACTTTGCTGATACAAATTGTTCCCAGTTTGGAGAAGAAGATTGAGAGAAAATACCTTCAAATGTAGAGTTCAAGGCTTTCCATCCCCGTAGTGTTGGCCGGAAGGAAGTGCGGACTCTTTGTGACTGGTGGCGTTGCGAGGAAACTTCGTGCCGCCCGCCGCCCACACTCGCACAAACAGTGTTCCCCCAATAGGTTTTAAATGGATTCCCATGTTTCCCGCCGATATAACATTGTTTTTAGATCTCTGTTACACACGGTGGAACTCTGCGAAACCCTTTTTATTGGGGCAATAAACGGCTTATTACTTATTTGCAGTATTTAACTAATCAACGGTGAAATGGAAGTGATAAGTCCATCTGAGTCGAAGGAAACTCTCTTAGACCGGTGTCAGTACGGCGACACGGTGGATGCACCGCATACTCCAGCGTGTTCCGTACTCTAAAGCTTCAGTCCATCGGTTTTTGTAGTTCTGCGTTGAAGCTCTGCTCACTCCGAGTGGTAGGATTGCGAAAACTACGACACTTGAAAGGTCATTGGCACCTTCTGGGTCGTACACTATCCCATCTTGCCTTAAAATCAGGGTATCCCTGCGAATCCACGCAAAGAACATACTCAGTGACGACACTGTAGAAGGGCATGGAGTTACGATGAAGGAAACCCTAGCTATCAAATAACTATCAATTGGGTCACCTTGAGTAAGATGAGGTTGAGGAAATCATCCTCTCTCACCAGTACAGCGTTGGCCCATACGGGTAGCGCACGAGTAAACAGAATACCCCGTTCGCCGCGAGCAGGGATAACAACGTCCATTAATGATCTTTAACAGCTAGCGAGCTTCGTGGTTACCTACCTTCAATCAGGAAGAAACTTCAAGTCCCATCGTGCATAAGTAATTTCACGAGAGGCACCATGCCTCAATGTAGCTGAGACTAACGCGATTCGAACACAGGAAGCCGAGTCACCTCGTAGAAGCACGATAAGCTCTATACTTCAAAATATTATCATTGTGGTGACCGGGAGAATACAGAATTCTAGTGCGGCTACCCACGGGTTAGTATCATCCAAGTACACAAGCAAACTGAGGAAAACTCCCACCTCCATATCCATTCGACCTATGCTTGTAGTTCAGTGACATCCTTCACGTACACACCCCATGCCAAGCACTGACCTCCTGATCTACCGTGGTACAAATGTCCCAGAGGATGAATGCAATGGCGGAAACTATAAGAATCCGTGATCTATCATTGGAATCGTCGAAAGCGTTGGAAATCACCTCCTACACTGTTCGCGATCTGTATAGCTTCCGTGGGCAAAGAAGGCACCAGTGGTTCGTCTGGACTTATTTCAGTCATCGCAGGAAGAAGCCGCAACAACAACTGACAAGGCGGGTGTCTTTTACACACTTCCCTCTAAAACAGCATCGCTGTTCTATCATATTGGCCATCTTGGAAAGTGGGAAGAAACGGCGGCAAACTATGACAACTTTGAACCAGAGTATCTATGGGGCGATTCCCGTTGCAACAAAGATGTCAGGTCCGCGAGAATGATAGTAGTAGGTAGAAATTTACAACGGATCCCGAGATAAGTCATTGGTATTTGTGAAGTTGTTGCAGTTGATGTTCCACTTCTGAGGGATCACGAAGTTTCTATCTTGAGATGACACAACTACAATCCAGATTGACACTGTTCCTCAGGCAAATCCAAGAGCGCGACTTTAAGATTTGATACCTTGTTTGAGGCCTTTGTGTCCCGAGCGCGCCGAATGTTAGTTTAAAGGAGTCTTAAGGCCGAAGAGACACAGTGTCAAATGTCGCTAGTTCTGTCGAGGACGAAGGAATTGTGAGATATACCAGTGGACACCCAAGTACGATCATGACTTCAAGCCCACGAACCTCGCCTTCAGAGATTCATCCAACTTTTGGCTCCAGTTGAACCAGGTTGAAGGGTCGCATTGACCCTAACGCGAAGTCAAGTTGGACTAATACACTGTCACATTACATAATCAAAATTCATTATTGCCATCTACGGAAGTTGCCAGTGTCCTGACAATTTTGTGTCTTGTTACATGGAACAAATGGTAAATACATCTAGGTCTCATAATCGACATTACGACGAACCTCATCAAGTTCATAATTACTCAAGTCACGGCTGAAATCATTCGTGGAGAATGGTTGGCTCGCGAAACAAACTTCGATATCTTGTGTAGAGTCTTCTCGTCCATTGGGGTGTATTCCGATCTCCCTAAGCCTGAGAATCACTCGATATCCCTAGAAATCAGGGATTGTTACGTTGATCTAATTTACTTGGATGGAGGTGACATACGACAAAGGAGAAGCCCGACAGAAGCCAGCTACGGAGGTATGTCAGCCTCCTCTCAAGGAAGAGGGCACCACCCTAACGTACCAGAACATCAAAGAACTGTAAGGGTAATCCGTCACAAAGTTGAGAATCCCGTTCGCGGCAAGCAACGCTGAACGTAGATCAACACGTTGAATGGGGTGTTTGGTTGCGCTCTCTCGTACCTTCAATGATAAAGAATGCCCATGTTCCGTCACGCATCAACAAAACGGTCAGTGGGGTCCGTCCCCAACCCTCTTTGACCGCCTGTGCAAACTTATAGAAAGTCAAGGCGAATAACAAAGTCTGGAAGACAGGCGTGACAACGCTTGGTGCGCAGTGAGTGACGAGGGGTAGATACTCCAAATGACAGGGCGTACCCAAATATCACAGCGGTAGATGGTGTATCAGTGACCCCACACCTAGCGTCGAACAAGAATCCATGGGCAGAAACCGAGATTCCTACAATCATGCACGTCACTTCCACGAAGTAGAGGCAGCGAATAATCCATCTAATGGGTCGACAACCCCCGTACAATGCATCAACTGCGAGTCAGCAGAATTTAATAACATGCGGCAGCAGTATCGGGATCCGACGCACCACGAAGGAGGAGAATATACTCCACAGCCATGAATAATAACATGGTCGCTACTAGTTGGTATAGCTGCCAAATGAGGCACTCCCTGTGAGAGAAGGTCAACCCCTCGGGCTCTGTGGAACCTATGGGAAGGATAGAACTATGATTAATGTTAAGTGAGCGAACCAGGTATATCTGCTGAAGGCGCTCACATCTGGAGAACAATCGGAAGGTAGCGTACGATGAGATACAAGACATTGGCGAATGAGAATGGCTGGCTGAAGAAAAAGGATTGGTATTTCTACTAGAGATCAATTGAAACTGGGAAAGGGTTCCACCTCCATATGAGTTCTACTTCTTGATCCACCGTAATGCAGATGTCCCACAGCAGGAAGGCGATCGTTGCGACTTGAAGAGGACATGTCAGGACAACCAGAGGGTTCCGAGATGAAACTTACTACTGCTACTACTCGCAATCCGAAATGCGACCGCCGCTTCCTCCGGTGAGAGCGTCTTCGTTTTTCCTGCGATAGGCATGATGAAACGGGCGTGCTCGCCCTACCGAGACACCTCCGGTGCGACGATGTTTGCTTCTTTAAGAGTAGGACCTCAGTGCGCTGCGGAAAGTCTTTGTAGTTCCATTCGGTACGAGCTCAATGCCTTGAGCCTCCAAGCGTCTGACGAATTTATAGCCGTGATGTACAGTCTGTGAGAAAGATGCTTCGAGCGCGAACACCTGTGGCAACAACTAAATTCACACCCGACGGAAGAAGGATCGCTAACCCCGCTGCACCCACCAATATGACAGAACAAGCCCCTGCATCAAGCTCGAGGGCGGCACAGTTTTACCTTCCGTACCATGGTGAATTGGAGAGGAGGGGTGCATTGACGGGCGGACATCCACAATCCACATGCCGGAATCCAGATTCCGAATCCCGGAGGTAACTAGTAAGGAAGAACACTGATGTCGATGAACGCCGCAACTTGGATTGGCGCCGCACTCCACTACTCCCGACCTCCATGGAACAGAGGGTGATCTGTTTGGAAACAGAGTACCAATGATGGAAACAACAAATGTCAGAGATTGCGTTTCTATGCCGTACCGAAAGTCACACCTGCTGATGCGAGGAAATTATCATCATTCCGGTGTTGGATACTAACATGACGTGATGCGTGCTCGAGGAAAGCATATTTGACAGAGTTTGAACGTCTTCATCATGTAGATTGCTCAGCCTCTCTGACGGTGACATGTACTGAGTCGCCGAAGCCACTAATTGAAGTTGCATGAATTGATGACAGTAAAATTACAGAACGGGATGTTCATTTCTGGTACTGCCTAGTTCAGAAAGATATCTTCATACTCACCGTAAGCAACTTTACGATGCCGTCCTGAGAGATATCTGCAACAAGGTAGTTAACCGTTATCTGGTAAAATCTGGAAGATGTGCGGCAGGGACTCACTATGATTGACGCCCTGAGTTCCAGCAGCTAACAGGCCAGTAAGACTTGTCGATGTGGTGGTAAATTTCAGCGGTAAGATGGGGTGCTTGTGAGTCCCAACGGCAGCGGCGACCAGCTAAAGCCGAAGTAAAAAAAAAACTGAGGTAGCAAAGAGCACAAATTATTGCATACCTCATCACGACCGATATTATAGCCATCGGGGATGATGGTATGGTGTTGAGATAGGTCCTGAATTTGCGTCAAACAGTTAGCACTGAGTGGAAATGTAAGGCATACCTCCTCTTTTGAAACACTACGGTAGAGCTATGGGTGAGATTTCAGTAGATTGATGCAAGTGAAGCACTTACGCGAGGAAAAGCGCACCGCTGTTCGCACTCGATCCGTTCTGAGTCCATGCGCTGCAGAGCGGACATCAGAGGGGGACATAAAACAAAGGACGAAAATGAATGATACCGGAAGTGGTTACCCCCTTGCAAACTCTCGAGACAAGTGCCTACTGCAATGTTTCCGAAATCGGCCCTCCATACGCCCTAAGAGCAAGAGAGTCGGCATACTGGACGCTGAAATATGGGGTTTATCTACCATTTCATTGACATCGCCATTCCCGTCGCCTAGGTTGGCTGTTTGAGGATCACCTATGTGGAGGCCAAGACATTCCGTAGAACTGGCGCGCCGACGAGCTTAAGTTAATGGCTAAATAACCGTAGCTCAAGCTCACAATCCTATAGCTTGGGCGAAAAGGGTCAGGCCACCCTTGGTCAACACAGCTGAGCTGCTCTTCGCTGAAATGATCACCTGCAATGCCCTTGCGTCAGCTTCGTGCAACGTATGCATAGCATTCTGCGCAACGTACATTGAGCGGCTCCCCGAGGCCTCCAGACTTGTCGAGCATGGAACCTCCGCCGTTTGCGACTGGGAAAAAGTCAACCGAAGCATCTGCAGCCTGGGTTTCAGTGGGCAAAGCTAACGCGAATTGGCACATCAACGCGATAGTTGCGACCGAGAGTGCTGCAGTGACCATCATGCTGATGTTTGGAAGTCAACTTCGGGGGCGAGGTCAGGACAATCCCTCCATCCCATTCCAGTCAGGTAATATATACATCGAATAGTCCAGTCAAACGTTTATGCGACAGCACCATGTTGACTGGACCACATGCTCAGGAAGTCTGGCTGAAGCGAGAAATGCAGAAATACTGATTTCAGGCGGGCGAAGCGAAACAGCAAGTAAAAGGGACACGCCTTCCATGCTACACGTTCGCGCGACTCTCGACCGCGAGCGAACATAAGCAGATGCTTGAGACCTTGAAGGGGATCCCACATGATCACCTCCGAGGGAACCGAACGGGAGGTCCCCCTGGAAATGCGACGTAATAATTCCCACCGAAACATCGTCTACCACACGGCTTCGTCTTTTGGAAGCCTGCGAAGCACCGGAGGCTGAGGAACCCGAAGGCCATGAGACTTTTGCGTGATCAAACGATAACTATAAGCCCCAAATTAGTGTCAAACATTGATCTCAACGCGGGATCACCTACGAACGTGCGACGGAACATGATAGGCCAGATTATTCGCACTTCAGGAGAAGGATCGACGGAAGTATCACTATGCACGCAGTTGTATTGCTCTCAAACATAGGCGAATACAGGACCGGTAGGCCTATTTCTTCTGAGGGCATAGGCACATGGCATGCAGAGGAAGCAAGGTAAGTAGATGGAAGCCCCTACGGTTTGCATTGTCTCATGCTACTATCAAGGCAGCGATCACCATCCTGTAGGGGGTTACCCTTGGCGTGTGGGGAATCAAGCAACCGCGTGCGTCAGATTCGCGCGATAGAGGTGGCACGATTCGTGGTGTTCGACAGCTCGTGGGATTCCGTTTGATTGTTCTCAGCATCCGAGCTCAGCACTGTCGAGAAGCGGTACCCGTTTGAGGAGCGCGACGTGCTGGGGTGGGGCGTACGTACGACCACTTTCTGGAGATTCAATAGAACACGATATCCCTATCACAAGTCATAAGCGAGGTCAACATATGGCACGCGAAGTACTTACGACGAAGGAAAAAGTCGTTAGCAGCCATCTATCAACGATTGAGAAACGGCAATCACTGATGAAATCGTAGGACCTACCCATATAGAACCCCAGCCAGTGCGTGGTTTTCAAGTCCGAACAGTCCAGCCTCCGCGATAACAATAGCTAGATGAATACCATGAGACAGCGAAAGACCTCCCGTTCGACGGAACTCACCGACAAGGACGAAGAATGCCCAGGTACCATCTCGCATAATTAGCTCCACTAAAGGGATTCGCCCCCACCCAGCGCGCACAGCGATGCCGAACCGCACGACTGTGAGAAGGAAAAGGATGATTTGGAAGAGGACTGATCCAGCTCTGTCAATATCGTCAGGCGCGAAGGTAAGGTGTGGCTCGAGGGGTAAAGGGATCCGTACGCGTATACAAGTAGGGACTGAGGAACGCCTGTCGTTGAGCAGTCCGAGCCGAAGCGAATGCCCGGGATGGCCAGGGTCAAACCTACGATCATGCAGACAACTTCCATGAAAAAGAGACACCCGACAGACAACCTGATAGCCCAATGACCATTGTACAAGGCATAGACTGGGGACCGTCAACTCAACTGTTGTTGCGTGGAAGAGACGCGTACCTCGCAGGATGAGGATGATGTCCACAGCCGCAATGATTGAGACACTGGCTACACCTTGGAAGACTTGCCAGATATAACAGTCATGGGCAGTATAGTTGAAGGTTTCCGCTATTTCGGTGCCCACAAATGTTATGGCTCTGAGATGCAAGACATTAGGGGGTTCCCCGGTTAAATGGTACAACCTAACTGAAACTCACATCTGTACCAGCGCTGGCACGTAACGAATGTGGAAGTACAGAAACTTGGTCACTGACCATGGCTTTCTGCAAAGAGATAAATGCATGGTACTTTTTTCGCATTGATGTAGAACTTACGGCCAAATAAGTTCTACCTACTTCAATCAGAGATATATGAGACAGAACACTAAGATCGAACGTACTTCGTTGTCTGTAGTTATGAGGATGTCCCAGACCAAGAAAGCCAGAGATGCAGCTAAACCAAGTATGAAACAAAGGCCTCTGAATGTAGTTCTCGAGCTTACCTGAGCTCAAATTGACCACACGCGCGCCGAATACTGCTTCAATCGGAGTGGGTATTGGGTCCTCGCGTCCCATGAGCCTGGTTGTTTCAAGAGCACCCTTGATGTCCATAAAAGTGGGCGACATGGCCTAAGAGGAGAAGAAACGCAGAATCTCTGCACCCACTTGCGGGCAAGATATATGCAATGGTGGCTTCCTAGTGCCTGCTCCTGTTGTTCGATCTCTCGCGGGAACATATCTGTTTTGCCAATAGGGGAAATCTGTGGTGGTGTCCATGCGATGCTGATCATCAGTGTTCTGCATAGATCAAGGACTGAAGTTAAACTGAAGGACGTCCAATATGCGGTGGTCAGCAATGGATGAACATACAAAGGGCGGTGACTGTCATGGTAGCTGGCAGGTCTGCGCTTGAGCGTCGACTACACGTGATCTCAGTCGCGAGCAACATTCTTGACGATACTTAGATACAATCTGTACACTGCATAATACATGATATATAGAGTTCATAGAAAAAGGCATAGTATAGGTACGATAAACTGAAAACACAAGAAAGGAGAAAGCTCAGGTACAACACACGCATCATGCCTTGAAGGAAAAGAGAGTCAATGAATGTAGTGATCATATATCTAGTATCATAGCGATCATTAGTCGAGCAATTACGCCCTCGCGTTCATATTCTTGGAAAGTTCTTCTTGACGCTGCCACAGGAGTTCCGCCCAAAGGGGATGGGGAGGTATATGTCCTACCAGGGCCCGCAAAACCTCCAACCTAGAACAGATATTAAGACGGCGTTGAAAAGTCAAAGAAAGGGGCTACGGACCATCTCGACTTTTCATCGTCCGTATCCGCGAAGAATACAATCTCTTCGTCTCCAGGGAACTTCAGGCGGAAAGATCGTTCGACACCTCCCAACATGTCAAAGTCAGACTGAGGGCTGTGAGGGCCGTTTCGAGTGTCTTGATCGTCTTCGATAGCGACCGCTCTCTTGAGGTCAATCGTGGCTGTGGCCTTCTTGGTAATATCATTGAACGCTACGAGATGCCCGCCGATCACTCGGAATTGTCGGCGGCGCCACGACTAGAAGTTTTTGTGAGAATCGTTGCTAATGAAGCGCAGCCGATAAATACGCACACTGCAATCACCACCGTTCTGTGTCAATATACCTTCGAAGTAAGTGATCTTGTGCCAATTGATATATCGCAGTCCTCGATGGCACTCATCCAGACTCTGCGGCAGTTGATCTTGCGGAACACCCGGCAACGGCGGAAGCCTAAATATCTGTAGGACGATGTCCCCAACTTGAACTGTAGAGTGCTTGTTGCCAAGCTCCAAACGTTGCCCGATCAGAGGATAACTGGTCTCGAATATACGTGTATCACAGCGCGGAGCGACGTCCTTGAATGATATAAACGCGCGGGCGAGTGTACCGTCCGACTTCAGATACCGAGCCAAGTTTTCGTTTAGTCTTTGTATCGGTTGTGGTTGCGGTGTGGGTTGAGAGGGAGGGGGAAGAGGAGGCGATCGTTTTTTATCTTTTTGTTTTTTTGGTGAGTGATGGAAAAAGCCTAGGACACCACCTCTTGAGGATGACTGTTGGACGATGGGGGGAGGGGAAGGAAGGACTGGTGCTAAAGGAGGTGCGGCAGGGAAAATGGATTTAAATAATGCTTTGACGTGTGGGTCTTGACGGATTTGAATGGTAAGAGTAAACTCGAGCTTGCTATGTTCAATACTGAAAGGGAATGTCAGGGAAGCCAAAGATCAAGATCACTAGTGCCTACAGTTCAAATTCCTGTTCTATACGACAATCCTGAGCGAGTTTGCAATCAGGAGTGGTGACATAATGGATTCCGTTGTTGAGTGTACAGGTCATGGCGGTCGGTTGCTCTGGAAGTGGTAGATGGATGTTCTTCACACCGAGAACTAATGGCAAATTAGCATGGGAAATCGAATTACCAATGTACATCGATGTATTACCTTTGACGAAGACCTTGCCGTATGCTTTACCTTTCTCTTGGGTACGATACTCCTTGATTTGTTTCGAGTACTCATTCTAGATGGAGCAAATAGCACACTTGAGCATCAGTTACCCGCAGGCGACAGAAAGCTCACCATATCGGAGGGTCGTCTAACCGTCCGCCAAGCTTTGCCAGCGTTGACATCGCCTGGCCCCGCCATATGTGAGACTCTATCAACATCGGCTGATGCATAGACAATCTCCTCACGCTCCCGCACGAAGTATTTCTATACAGAAGTTGAGTATATGACCAGCGTGCAGACTGAGCTAACAATTACCTTCCCCTTATCCATCTTCCGCAGCTCTTGTTCAATGCTATCCGTTAGAGGGTCTTCGGGGCATTGAACGTTCAGTGTGCTGGTGCCACTCCCTTCCCTCACCGCGGCTGCTCTTCGCCTGGCATTGTCTCGCAAGACGTCAGCATCGCCCGTACTCATACTCCTTCTCCGGCTGGGCCTCCCCAGCCCAACGTTAAGATATCGATCAGGCCGAGGAGAATCATCCCCCTCAAACATTTGCTGTTCTTTCCGCCGGGCTTCTCGTCGCTTCTCCAAGATAAGCTCTTCACGTGAACGGATGGCATCTTTGGGAGGAACAGGTGGCGCTGTACTGCCTGTGCTAGCGGTCCTGCTCCCAGGAAGGGAGCCTGCTCGGTCAAAGACTGCGCTATCTGTCGCCGCTCGCGCCATGGGTCTCGCACTCTCTTTGACGGTCGGCGGCGATGTAGGCACACTGATGTCAGTTTGAGAGTCATCCTCACAGGTGGTATTTGTCGTCATCGAGTCATCGACACGGTCTGCACCAATACCCCCAGAACTTCCGACGTCGTCCAAAAGACGGTCAAGGGCGGACTTCATATCCACGTTTACATCGACATCGCCCACGCGGACTGATGTTGTTGATTCACGACTGGAGCGAGTGGCAAGGCTGGATGCCTCCATCTTAACAGAGGTCGGCTTCAGGGTCGAAGTGCTACCCTTGGAACTCGTGCTACCGACATCAATTCCTAACCCTCCAAGTCCGAATTTACTTCCGAAGTCGAATTTAAGGCCGAACGTTGATTGCGCCGACGGAACCCTGAGTCCAAATTCGCGTGCGGTAGATGGCCCTGGTCGAGATTCCTCCTGGCTCCGAACATCTTCGTCGCGTCGTTGGGGAGGCGACTGTCGGACGTCCAGCCTTTGAGCAGTCTGGATAGTAGCCATTTCAACGCTAAACGCGCTGAGGTCCGTCATGACTGACATTCTGTCCTTATCACGAGAGGACTGTCTCCCCTCGCTGTCTGCCGCCGAAATATCGTCGCGCGAAATAATTGAATCCGTCAAGGATTGATCTCCCATAGACTGGTCATCCGGAGTGGAATGCTGACCATGAGATGAATTGTCTAGAGATACGTCTGTTCCCAAGGCATCAGCAGCTGGAGATTCGACGTCTTCAGACTGCGATGCTTTGGGCATGGCCGGGGAACCGCTTGGTCTTGGGCCTCTCATTCGACGCCGAACTTCATCGCGAAGAATCCGCGGACGTAAAGCGGTACGACCTCCAGCAGAACTGCCAGGACTGTTTAGGCTACTGGTGCTCGAACGGTTGGACAACACGTGGGCAGGGGAAGCCCCCCGAGACAGCGGTGACATCGCTCGCTGCTGAAGAGCCGACTGATACGGCGACCCTCTCCCTACAGGAGAAGCAACTCGATCGAGAAGTGAGGGTGACAATGTGGGTGACGACAGACGGTGCCGGAGCATGGATGGCGGCGGCGGCGTGGAGATATCCGGTGTCGATGCGTCAAATAAGACTTCGTCCTTGATCAACTCCCCTACATTGTTGTGACCAAACGACATCTCAGACTTGGTAACGTCCAAATGCGAGACCTGCTCGCATCATATCGTAAACCCCGGAATACATCTCATGTCGAAATTGCTCACCTTAGAGTCCCCATCTTCGTATGCCAAACCTAAGTCAGAATCCAACATGTTGAGGCTTACTTCGGAATGCCCAATCGAGAGATTATTTGGGTCCAATGCGTCATCCACGGAGTTATTAACGTCAGCTGGGAGGGGCTCGTCTGTGAGGCTCGGTACGGCGAAAGGGTCCGCTCCTTGCATAGGGACGCTGCGAGAACTCGATGGTGTTCCTAATCGGCATTAGATTTGGTCAATACAGAAACGGGGTCAACCCACCTGATGGCAAATTGAACTTCGGGATCAAACCCTCACGAAGATCACCGTTGTGATCCCACTTCGCAGGGGTCTTCATCGGAGACGGAGATGCGGGCAGCCTGTTGACATACTCCTCGCGACGATCCTCTTCTGCTCGGGCAAGGCGAACCCTCTCCATATGGGTGGACCGACCCAACGGTCCTTCAGAAGACTTCTCTTGGGCCGGACTGGGACGCCGAGGAGGTGTCGAAGGTGGTTCCGGGAATTGGCTCAAGTGAGCAGAGAAGGGGTACTCTTGGTGCGAACCATCGATTTCGGGGAGAGGTCGCCGTTGCTGGCTCTGTAACAGGTTGATCTCGTGGGCAGGCGGGGAGGGCAATGGATGGTCGCTCTTATATTGATGGTGCCTATCCCTATGATGCGTCCGCCCAAGAGGAATCCCGTCCTCCGTTTCGAGATCAGGTGGCAAATTTGGGGGAGGGGTGCTTGGAGGGGTGCTAGTTGCGACAGGATCATTCGACGTCCCGGGGTTGACATTGTTAAACATCTCATCCACGAGTCCAGTGATGCTTGAATCTGGGTCGAGCGTGAGGCCCGGTTCGTGGACATCCTCCAATAGAGCTATGCTCTCGTACGAGCTATCTACCGTTTTCGGTGGCTCTTCGAAGCTGTCGGGCGGACCATGTAGATCCCCATTGAGGTCGTACGAGTGCGCGTCGTCGTGAAAGGCTTCATCGAAGTGCATGTCCATCTCCGGCTCTATTTCTGGAGCACTCGAAGAGATAAAAAATGGATCCGCGTCATCGTTATCTTCAAGTTGTCCGAAGCCCTGTTCTTCGTCACTTTCGAAGGCGTCACTCTCTCCTTCATGTCGGTCGAATTCCAGAACGTCGCAACGCTCGTCGAATGTGACTGTCTTGCGACGCTCACGTTTGCTAGGATTGTTCACGCGGGGTCCGTGCATACGCCTTGAGACTAGGGATGATCTAGCGGGAGAGGCTGCATTTGATTTCGCCGACGTCGACGCCAACATCCTCACTCCGCCTGGTAGAGCCCGTTCTTCGACCTGAGGATCTGGGCTTCTTACGTTCGGAATATCAGTCAGTACACGGGGTGGCGGGGGAGGTGGCGGTAAAGGATCTTCTTCCAAAGAGGGTGTGCGTCTGAAAGGACTCCTTGTAACGGGTTCTTTCTGAAGTAAACCCTGGAATGTCTTCGATTGTTTGCGTTCCCGTTTTAAGGCAAACGGCCGCTCGTTCTCGTTCTCCGCATCATCATGCATCGAAGATGGTCGCGGTCGCTTTTCGCCTGAGACTCTTCGCGGGGACGCTGGAAACGGGACAGCAGCTGGTCTTGAGGGTGTTGGCGTCGGAATTTGTGATTTGAAAGGTGATTTGGATACGAGGTTGTTGCTTCGTACGTGCTTGTAGCTTGAGGATGTTCGACGGGGGAGGTCTGCTCCTGGCGGTGGCGGTCTTACTCGCGGCCTGAGATTCGGGGAGTCTCTCTTGGCGATACGTAGCGGTGAGGTGATAGGCTTCTGCTCTGAAGAGCCTTCACCGGTTTGCGATGAGTTCCAACCCATCCCCGACTCCCTGAGAATTGAGGATTTGATTGGATCCAAGCCATTGCTGGGAGAGAAAAGACGGTCGTGCATGTGGTTGGGCCCGGCCATGGGAGGCATATTGCGTTCACCACCGGTCTTGGGTGAGTTTAGTACGGTCGGTTTCGCTGAAAAGACGGTGGCCGTCGTCCAGAACGACGGAAAGGGAGGTTGAGGGGGTTGAGAGATAGCGGGTTATTGACTGTTATTGAAGTGGCATTCAACAAACAAGGCGGCGTGGGAACTTTAGCCTTCACAATCAACCGCGCGCTAGTCAGGTGATCGCGACCCCAATTTGGCTTGTGAGTCGGACAGTTTTCTGAACACACGTAGGACGGTACGCTGGTACGAGCAAGTCCAATGCGCACATATGGGGTCAAGCTCGAGGGGCGTATAGTAAGCCGTTCAATTGAAGTAAGGAAAAACAACTGGTAGTATCGCTACAACTACTGCTACTGATACACGGTATGGGTATAGTCCTGCTCCTGTCCATGATATATGGTACAGGCGCGCTGCTAGTTCATAGAGGGAAAGAAAAGATGATGGGATGAACTGTGAATACGAATGCTGAGTTTTTTTTTGTTTGTAAGTGTTCAACGTTCAGTGTCCATGCCTGTCTCAAGGCGCTCTCTTCAGTGCTTGCCGATCAGTCCTAATTTGCCTCTCTCCAGCCTGACCGCAAAGCCTTCCAAAGGCTCAGTTTCCAAGTTGTTGATCGCATACTCCGGATGAACGACCCTCCTTGCGTTGATCTTCTTGACGACAAGCTCCACATCCGAATCTGAATCCTCCGAGGTGTCCTGGGACTCTCGACGCCCACAAAGAGGCTTTATCTGCTGAAGCAGAAGCGACGTGTCCATAACCGGCTGAGAGAGATCCATCAGTTGCCGCGCCAATGCGCCGCCTTGCTTGAACACCCGTTCGTGTTGCTCTGGGGAGGTTGGGTTGAAGAGCTGCAGGCAAAAGTCAAGAGACCTTTGGAGCTCGTCTTCCGAAAGTCTGGCCCCCATCTCAGATGCTCCTTGAATCACTTAGATGACAGTTAGCGACGACGGCCCTGCAAAGTGAATTTAGAATCCCACCTGGACGAAGGTACGCAAACGCTCGATCATAGTTGTCTTCATCGATTTCCGACAAAACGTCAAAGTTTTGAGCACGCATTTGTTTGTACGCGCTGAGAACGACTACTTGGAACCTATTAGGCTCGGTAAGTCATACGAACTACTTTTATGCAAGCTAGATGTTTACCTTGTGTAGCTCGTCGCTACCCGTTTAGTATGCCACTCAGTAGCCTCCAGCTCCGTACAGTCCTTTCGGATCGATGCACAGATGCTAGCAGACGCAGCCAAAGCAGACGTCATAGCCAGGTGGATGCCAGACGAAAAGAACGGGTCGATGAACGCTGATGGCCAATTAGCAACTTGATTGACACTTTTGCGCCCAAAGCCTTACCTCCTGCATCCCCCACGATCCTATACCTTTCCCCGGCATACTTCGGCGCTGAGTAGCTGAAGTCGCTGGCGCTTTTGACGGTTCCATCCACCATTTTCCCTTCGCCTATCAGATCCACCAACCCCGGAGCCAGGAGAATGTTCTCCAGATAGCGGGACGTCATCGTAGAGGAACCATCGCCGGTCGCGACTTGTTGCTTCGTTCTGTCCGTATGGGACTTCTGGTTCATCACAATACCGACAGAAGTAGTGCCGTTGTGTAATGGGATGAACCACGCCCAACCAGTCTCATCTAAATTAATATCGTATCAATCACTGAAGCTCTGATGTACGATCTGCACTGACCTGTCAATGCCTCGAACCACGGGGCACCTTCGCGCTTCGTGCCCACTCCGTAAGTACCCACATTCTCCCAGTACCCCCATACTGCAACATTCTTCAGGGATTCGTTGAACCGCCTGTTTTGTAGATATTTCGTGGACATGATTCCTGCACGCCCAGTCGCGTCGATCATATAATCGAATGTCGTTACGCCTTCAACTCCCTGTGACGTCCCCTCCGATGCATCGCCGTTCGACTCTAACTTCTTGAACTTAGTTTGGGGGGACGTTGGCGGAGAGAGGGGGACCGGGGGCGGTGTGTGGGTCCATGACACCGAGGTCGGTCTTCCGGGATTCGACTTCGAAAATTCGATGCTATTTACTTTCGTTCGCTCGTAGATGGCCGCTCCCGAGGAACGAGCATGGTTCATCAACATCTGATCGAATTCGGAACGAACCTAGATGAACATCGGTCAATTACCGACATTCGGATATGCGAATAAGGATATGCCTTACCACATTCCACGCATTATTGTTGTGACCCAAGGCCACGAAATCGGTGTCTGTGATAGCAGTCAGGTTCAGCCCTGCGGCATTACTTCCAAGAACTTCTTACATCCTTCTTGCTTGTTTTGATTAAACTTAATCGCTGATCCCGGCTAATTTTTGGATACGTCAGGGGCCTGTGGGCAAGTGCGAACGCAGGATGCATATACCTTGCGACAAAACCCATGGTTGGCGAGTTTCTCCTCCGCACCGATGAAACGGAGGTAGTGCCTGACGGATGGAATCAGGCTTTCTCCGATGTGGTATCTACATCCAATTGCGCTGTCAGACTCATAATTTATGTAGATACATACATCTTTTTACCTCGGGAATTTGGATGCTTCGAATACAGCGACCTCAATGCCCTCGCGAGCTAGGGCAGACGCAGCATAAGTGCCGGCAGGCCCACCCCCGATGACGAGGACATTTACATGCTACGACACTCGGTCAGGAAGAGCTCGAACACGACAGCGGTCGTGAGCTCACCTTTGGTGGTTGTGTATAAGGCTGGGTAGACGAGGCCATTACTGTGGAACGAAATAGGTGAGAAGGGGACGGGGAGACGAGGGTGATGGGAGGAAGGAAGAGGGAGAGAGGTGGCTTTATAGGGATTGGGGACCTTGGATGACCAATCCAAGCCCGAAGGTATGTTCGAATGCTTGTCTGCTACCGCGGCTCTGCGAACCGAAATGAGAGTTCTAGTATCGCGAAAGGCGAACGTCCTTCCCGTTATGGACATTTGCATTCTACATCTATCTGCATCAACCCTCTCCACATGGTTGTCCGCATGCACGAGGAGGCCATTTATCTCTATTATCCCATTCGTCCTAAAGACGTTCGTGTGAGGTGCACCTGCCCCAGGTATATGTCAGTAAGTACCAATAATCTGGGGCGCAAGTAGATTTCGGGTTACGTTTGGACGGACGGGAAGCGTAGATAGTAGACAATTCTACTGGACAGAATCTGTCCAATGAGTTTCTTTAGATTTACATGAGGCCGCTCGGAGGAACTGGGACACCGTTGAAAAGTCGTCACCCTGTAATTTTACTGTTGAACGAACGGGGTGAAGTGGTTGGCGTTGGTCTCATGGAATATACGAACTAGTCATTGCTTCTCCGAGGCCGTGCTAAATTGTTTGGAGTACTGCCGGCATACCCAACCTTCGAAAATTGTCCTTCAACGGAGTACAAATTCAACGAATAAATGATGTACTCGGGAGAACTCAAATAAATAGAGGGCAAATCCTATCCACGCGATTGTTGGCACGTTCTGCTGGTTAACCTAGGGGGCCTGGCGTCCTTCCTCGGAACTTAAGTCATAAATTCGCACTGAGCTTGATCTATGAGCTTGAGGCTTGAGCTTAAAGAGTGCTCTACTATGGCCTGAGATTTTTACTTGCGTCCCTGAGATTAAAGGCTATACGGTTGAGGATATCGACGAGATCTTGGTCCGCGACACAAAAATCACACAGAAAGCTCCTGATTCCTCCTGAGGGAATCTGAGATCACGTGATATATGCATGATCGCGTTTGCTAAGCGCGCAATCTGATACCACCACTTGAACTATCATGGGGGCCATGGAAACACTGACTGAGTGCATTGACAGCCTCAAATTTGATGGAAGCCCAGACGAGAAAACCAAACACAAAATGATCTATAGCGAGTATCTTCAGGCATCCTATGTTGTTGCAGTTTCTGACGTCCTCGAACCAAACCATAGCTTACATCGAGCAGCATTTTGTTGCATCTGCGAAGGGTCCTCCTCCCCTGGACGTACTCATCTATGCTGCTCGGAACATATTGTTTCCAACCTTGAACATCGATCAGATTCCTGACCTACTTGACCTACTATCGACGGTCGAGACGTATCGCAGACACATCGTGCTGAAGGCGGACGACGCCCTGGCTTTCCATGCTCACTGGAAGAACGAAAACGTGGAAGAAAGTGTACTTCTTACCGCTGAGGAACATCACTTCGCGGGAAGTATCGTAGCTGAAAACTCAACAATGCGAGACTCTTATAAGTCCGTCATTTCGGCCTTGTGCCAGATGGTGAGTCCGCACCACATAGACATAGATTCGACAGGACATGGAATCTTGTAGGACATCTACTACCTCTGGACACGCCCTGAGCCGTCGATATCCAAATTAGCTGTACGGATGAACGAGTATTACCCACCGTCCAACAAGAAATATCAACGACAATCGGCGCTCTTATTCCACGCCGACCTCTCAACGACGGAGAGGGCAGACATTGAGGTGACGTGCAGAGAGACCATCGAGTTCTTTCAACAGTCTCTCTCCTGGGCGCTCTCACACACGGATCCTGGGTACGTGCCCTGCATTTGAGAAAATGTCACTCACCTAACAAATTTTGTACTTCACACTCAAGACAACCACTTTCCGAGTGTTTCCAATCTGATAAATTTGCGAATATCTGCCGCCCGGATAGTATCAAGTTTGCTGTCGACGGGGCAGCTGCATATTTAACTCGGGTTCAAGAAGACTCCCATAAATTTGAGCAAATCTTCAAAAATGGCCCTACAACGGCCTGACAGCGAATAGTTGGCGAAGACTATGTATTATGTATTGTACTATAATGATTAATCCCACTGTATCTTCTTCGCGTATTCTCTAATATTAGATACGAAGTTGTCCTGTACTTCATGACCAACTCCGGTAGCCACTTTGAGGATGATCTCATTAAGGCCCGTAGACCCGAGGACATCAACATGATCGCTAGTGTTCGCCCCTCCGCGAGGTATGGATGCGACTGGCTGGTGAGGAAGCTTCACACAATCACCGTTAGCACCGCTATCAACACTCAAAATGCAAATAAATATTACCTCCACAGTTGTAATTGGTATCCCAGCAGGGTTCCATCTCTCCCGTTTCCAACCTTCGACACACATTGCTCCAAGGCTGAGGAGGCTCACTGTACCATCACCTTCGCCCATTTTGACTCCATTGATGATCTGTAATACGTTTTAAGCTTTAGCTGGGTGCTGCGAACCAGACAACAGGGGTGTGATGGCGAACCTTGGGGTTTACGCGCTCATCGGTGTACTCAGAGTCTATCCAGCTGCGCCTGGACATGGGCATATCGAGGGGTGGGCGAGGACTTTGGCAACCATCCTGCTCGGGCTCGATGCAGTGCGGTTGATCGGGGTCCGTCGTAGAGTCATCGTATTCGTGCCTTCCTCTTACGTACCTGGCGCATGATAAGAATCCATGGTTGAGTTTGAAAGGTGGCTACTTACCAGTAGGATCGCTACAAGGGGTTATTTTCAGCCTTCGCAATACTGCGCCAGCGGCGAGCTCACCTCTGTGTCCTTGCCATGTCCATAGACGCAGTATATCTTCATCGACGGCGCCCGGGGTAATCTAGGAGGTTGAAGCTGAGAACCTACACGCAGAAACAAATCCCACACACTTGCCGTGCCTCCAGAGGATTGGCCCATTTTGTATGGTCCAAATCATTCTTGTCCAGCATCGCCGCATCTCGTTCAATTCCATACGAGTAGTTCGTACCGATCATTTTCTGACGGCAGCAAGGGTTTACAAACTTAAGCAGCCAATATGAAATAGCAGGGACAGACCTGGAAGCTTGACGGCGTATGCTCAAGGATCCAGGTCCCCGCTTCATCCGCGGTCATGTTCTTGACATCATGATCAACAGTCTCAGCGTTCAATTGCAGCGAGTCCCGAAAAGCGATAACTTGGCCATGAGAAAGCGCGGCGTTCGGCAAGTCATCAGGGGCACTCGTCGAGTTACCCCAAACAGCGGAACCACCCTTTGCAAAGCAGTTATTGCTCACTGATAATAAGAAGACACAATGAGAATAATGCACTGTACCTTGATCCACATGCTGGCGGCCCCTGCCCAACTACGGAACAGCTTTTGGCGTTCCTTCATGGAAAAGAATCGCTCTAGGACTGATAAGCAAGAAACCGTCAGAGGTCCTGGGGGATGTAGAACAGCAATAATGGACATGCCGTAGGCACCGGCTGGATTCATTTGCACAGTGTCCTTCATTTCTCCGGAAAGCAATGCTGCCATGGCTTTGGCCTAGTGCACGGTCAACCGCCATAAGTAGACAAAAGGTACTAAGCCTTACAACGCCCTGGAATGATGCAATGAGACCAGTCCCTGCGTGGGACTATACGAGGGCAAAACTCACTAGATGTGTGCCAGCGATCGAAACGAAAGCTTCAATGTGATTCTATCATTTTTGAGACTAATCTTATCGTCAACAGAACGACTCATTGACCCACCTCTACCCAGTCGGGTCCACCCCCGCCGTGTTCGGGAGACTCTACCCATTTGAAGCTGGTACCCATGGGTTGGTTCAGGGATTGTCACAACGACTGGGGGCCGTTTGATCGACCAATTACTCACAAGTACTGAGGAACGTGGATTCACTGATAGGTTAAGTTATGGACCAGGGTAGAACCCCACATACCAATATCACCTAGACCAATCGAACTTGGTCAAAACAAGTCACGAGGTTATGGGTATGCACCTACGTTGGCACCCATTGAATGCGCCGCAATGACAGTTTTTCTTCTTTGACGGCGCCTGAATGGCATTAGCGTGGAAGTAGGTAACGGGCTGGCTACTGTGTCACCGACTTGTATCCTTCAATGGTTGACTTCAGCTTCGAGAAGTATCCATCTCGCTCTTCCAGGTTCCAAAAGGATAGCCTCCAATCATAGGGAGCGAGGTGCAAATTGTTCGAGTCATAATTGACAACCGCAAGGTTCTCGATAATCTTGGACCTGAAAGCAAGGCATCAGCACAACCGACACCCCAAATTAATCAAAGAATTCCACACCATAACCAGTATCCTTGGATGAAAGTGCTGGCTGCGTCAAACCCTTCAGCTGCCCGAATCTTAGCACCAGGTGGGTCCAGGCCAGTGATGGGATCAAGCATCATGGCAGCTATCCATTTCTCTTTATTGAACGTTACTTGCGATACCATGTTGAAGCCACCCCATAGTTTCTCGCGAAAGAAAGCGCGATAATCGGGGGACGTTGACCATGATTCCAATCCCTTGGGAGAAACGAGGGATCAGAGTTCAGAATATCCCGTACGGCTGAGTTAAGGCAACAACCCACAGTGGAGACGATACCGGGAACAAGCACCAGCGGATATTCTGCCGATAAGTCGCGAGCCTTCATCATTTCACCTACTTGGAACTCTCTACCGTCACGGTTGAATTTCCACACTTCTGGTATATTGTTGCGTAGACGAGACCACTCTTCTCTGACGCGCGACAAATCCAAGTCCGGTAGCTGTGGTACAGATATCTCAAATTCGTTCATGAATACGGCAAGCTGCGCATGCATTTCTTCGATATCGTTTGCTTGAATGAATAGCATGGCGATAAGAGTGCCCACTGACATTGATCACACCATAAATGTGGATCCCTCTGTATCCAATAGAAGGACGTACGGCATATCCCCAGAGTGAATAGAAACCTTCGAGTGGCAAAGAAGGAACGCTTCTATTGTTCACCCTCGTTTAGTACTACTTTCATGCTATCTATAGGGAACGGACCTTGGGTTCATCATCCCCTTTATCACTCCCTTGGCTTCTTGTCTCCAGCTCTTCCTCTTTATCGTGCGGTGTCTCCTGAAGTTGAGATTTCCGATTTCTGTGCTCGTGACCATTATCTGCCTTCGCAGAGTCGGAATTCGCCCATGTCTTGGTTCGTTTAGTGAGAACCATACCACAGCCAAGTCGCGGTGGAAGTTAGCTATTGTAACTGTGAAACTTTCAGCCGAACGACCACTCGGACTGGCAGCCCTGTGGCAGCTCGAAGAGAAAACACGTGCTTTTCGGGAGGAAGCGCCTGCCCGATCGCGTCTGATCGTCGTCCTGGATGATTCACGCGACCATCCGAATCACTTGGACTTCAACCTTTCTACTAACTACATTTTCCTCTCTCCAGGACATCAGTGGCGTGTTTGGCCCCAATGAATTCACGGGACGTCAAGAAGGAATGCATCAATGCGCCCAGTTCTAGATCTTCAGAGCTCAGTGCTTCAAGTAACGGTTTAAACCAAATTCGTAAACACCTACCACGATTGGGCTTTACGCCCCAAGATCTGTTCTTGGTTGGAGATAACCCAGGCGCTACCAAGGACCTGCTCTTACTCACACCGCCCGTTGTGGGCCTAGAATCCTTGCATTTATGACCGAATTTGCGTATATAAGGGAGCAGAATGTCTGCCGTTTGGCCAATCCAGTCAGCAAGACAATGGCTGTAAGTAGTAGCCTTTTCTTCCTCGTTTTTTCCTGCTGACTCTGATATAGTCTCTACACTGCGGGTGTACTTCACGTCCTCTCAAACATCCCCTGGGCGACAACAACCTAGGTGGCTCGCAAGTGAAACAACGCGTTAACGTAAGTCTACCCTCCTTGATGATATTCCTGCCCTTACGCACGCACCAGTGCTGCCAGGTGGATACCACTACCACTCGTGCTCGATCTTCGTCGACCAGCGAAACCGATGGCGCCTCAGACTCCAATCTAGGGCCCAACTGTGTTTGCAACCCATGCGAGTGCGCAACTCTCAAGCAGCGCTGCACTTGCTGAGTGGTTTTACACACGAAATCTGTTTGTTACGTCGGTAACCGCCGATCAGAATCATTTCTTGGAACATTGTTTGTTTGTCAAAAGAGCTCCACCGAACACAAGCTTTTGTGAGATCCAAGATATTTCGGTATAATATATCCCAGCCGCAAAGCGTCCGCTATGACGACAGATTGCTTAATCTGTTCTTGCCAATGGAACACGGACCGGGGGACCTCAATATAAAGGATCAACATCCCGACATACATACTACAGATGAGGCACGAAGCTGCACTCGAACCCCTGGCCCCTATATAATCAGAGGAGGTTGATCTTCGATTGTGCACACAGCGCTGTCTCGTCCACAACTTTTGATGCTGCTATGTGATGATGGCCGCGGTAGATACCCACTCTTCCTAGTAGTTCCTTGGCTAATCATGTAATACTGGCAGATGTAGTAGAAACTACACCCCTACTCAAGCTATGGTTCGAAGACAACCTTTCATCTGCCTAGGGTAAGTGCCAAGTGTCAAGGTAGGACGCACTAGAGGAAGTGAGTATTATGTTCACGAGGCGAAAGGGTGTCAAAACACTATCGGGTTCGCAAGTTTCGCAAGGTAGACGACTCGGGATCAGTTCCGTGCGCTCAGCCTTGGAAGTAGCCGGCGGGTGGCTGTTCCTAACAACTCCGTGACGAGCGTGAGCTTGTTGAAGTTCATGATTAGATTTATGGCTTCTGAGTCAGTGCTATTATGCATGTGAGGTTCTATACATCAACTACTAGTCAGAGCGACACAGCCCATGATACGCAGTACAAACGATGCTGTATATAAGGCAGCGAACTTTTTGACCCACTAACCCTCGGTCCCTCTCCGTTCCGCCGTTCCTGTGGCTGACAGTGTGCCAGTGGTCAAGTCAGGGTAAGGTAGGGGTATGTGCCTTGCGTTGAATCTTGGAACACCAACTAAACTTGCATTAGGTTTCCGCCACCACCATGAACCAACTCCCTACAGAGCTTCGTGCTCAAATATGCTCTATCCTTCGAGACGACAACGAGATCTACACACTTCGCAACATCGCCCTTACTTGCCGCGCCTTCGAAGAGCCAGCCTTGGATAGCCTGTGGTCCGTCTTGCCCAATGGCTTTTCACGGTTATTTCGCTGCGTTACGTATACCTGCGTGGCGAAAGAAGTAAAGAAAGGAGCGGTGCTTGAAGAATTGGTACTTGTATATTACTTCGTTACAGATGCACTTGGCTCAATTTGGTTGTTGTCCTTATCTTGCAGGACGAGGAAATGATTTCGGATGCCCTATGGCCTCGATTCTTTCAACATGCCCGGCGCGTAAGGGTTCTCGCTTTCTGTGATGACTACCCTCCAGCAGGGCGAGACGACGGCTATCACTGGTCGGAGAGCAGCATGCTCCGCCTCTTCAAGCAGAAATTTCCAGGCAATTTAATTCTCCCCAACTTACAGGGATTTATCTCGGATGGTTGGGCAGGGGGAGACACTGATAGTGAACTGGTTAGCTGGGTCATAGTCCCCAGCATTCAGAAATTGCGCATCACCCGCAGCTGTACTACCATTGGCACCGATTCCCATTATTTTCTCTCTGCTTTGCTGCAGAAACCGTGGAAGGGGTTGACTTCTCTCCATCTCTACATCCCGTGCGAGGACTGTCCAGCAACTAGCTGCCTGGCGAACGCGCTTGTTTGTGCCGTCCCACCGCTCCAAACCCTCTGTGTTGCTGGATGGACGATCAGTGCAGACACGTTGTCGTACGTCGCTAGCTGGCCGGCACTCCAAGAGCTACTTATCGACAAACTCGATCCCATCGAGAACGAGCTTTCCCGAAGAAGCTTCCACAACGTTCGCAAACTCACCATCCAGCGATCGCCGCTTCGCAGTGCCCTCGCAGTCATAGCTGCCCTTTCTGGAAGTCCTGTGTGGAGTCTCACTGTCAACGTGGACTCTCCGTTCTCCGGGCCTGAATTCCGTGCATTAGCCAACCTCGTAAATACCTCCTGCAGTAGTGACCATCTTCAATACCTCAAAATCACGGATCACCCCAGAGGAAACGGTTGGCTAGATCCTTCGACTCCAACATTGCTTCTTGACCCGCTGTTTTCCTTCTCCAAGCTTGTTGCGGTCTACATTTCCGTAAAGCCAACCATACTCCTGAATCACCGCACCCTCGCGAGTATAGCCTCTTCCTGGCCCAATTTGTGGCTGTTGAAGATTACCAATCCTCGCAGGACACGAGCGATGTCAAATCTTCATGATTTGCTCCTCCTCGCTAAGCACTGTCGCGATCTCAAATATCTAGACATCGGGACTCTCAGCTCATCGTGCGTTCGGGAGTCGCGCGGGGCGGTCCCCCTAAGGACGGCTCCACACCAGAACCTTCAGACCCTTTGTCTGAACTCAACGACCGCCTACGATGTCGACTTCGTAGCAAAGTACCTTTATTCAGTGTTCCCTCGCCTTCGCGGCTTGATCCCATTGTGCGAGGGATCTCAATGGGATGAGGTATCTTGGACCGCGATGGAAAGGGAACTAGGGCTTGCATGATTGAACCTACATCATGGGTGTATATATTAATAATTCGACCATTCGTCGACCAAAGTCTTTGCAAAGAACATGGTGGCTGGAAGACTCTGAGCGAGAAACGCTCGTGATGCTACCGTAACAGAACAGGATATCAATGTGCTCTCCCTAGTTCAATACAATGCAAACAAACCGGAAAAGTATAACCTACGATAAATGTAAAAAATAAAATTAGTGTCAGTCGTGCAGTCATGAGCGATATGCGTAAGAAGCCGTCAGATGGTCGTTACAAAGTCGTTGATATACTATTCATATTCTGGTCGTTGATGCGGATATGGTTGCTGGTTAGGAGGCTGGGCGGACCCGTACATGGTGTATAGGGGGTCCTGGTAAGGCGCATGCGCTGTGGGATGCCTATCTCGAGAACGGCGTCTACGATGGCGGCCAATCTCAAGAGGATCGTAAGGTGTTGCGGGGGATGTAGGAGAGGGAAGCCTTTGACGTGTTGTGGAGGTTGAGGCCAGAGGCGCTGGCGTAGTTAGAGAAATAGGTCTCCCAGGGTGTCCGAATTGAGTGGCAGAACCCAGAGATCGCCTTGGATAATGATGTGGGCGAGCTGACCGCGAATGCTGCCGCGATGTCTGTCGATGAGGCTGGCTTGGGGGAGCCGGGGCGGCTTCCAAAGCGTGCGGATGATGAGAAACCGCCGTTACGAAGGTTGTGTGGGATTGCGGCGACGATGGTGTAGAAAGCGGATATTCTGAGGTAGTGGCGGTCTCTCGACGATGCAGGGAAGAAGTCGTTGTAGGAAGAATAACTTCGCGAGCTTCACTTGACTGTATTTCGGCAGCCATACTTCCGATGGGTGAGCCAATAACTCCTGGCACAACTAAAGACTGTTGCATATTTCCTGCCACGGTTATACCCAATGTCGTAGGAGGTGCGAAGGGCGGAGTGCTGGGGGGTGACCTTTCCCGGACGCCCAACAATGCGACATGTCCAGCGGAAGACTCAACGCTTTGGGGAAAGACGCGACCGAGAAGGCTATCGGAACGAGCGAACGGCGGGGAACGCTCTGTCAGAAAGTCTGGCGGCGGAGCACCATGTCGGGTGGCGCCAGGTGACGGATGCATTGCATGTCCCGATCTTGCAGGTCCTGAATACATCGTCGGAAGGCCACTCAAAGGTGACGGTGAAGTTCCGCGACTTTCTATGAATCCAAAGGGCTCTTCTTCGATCATGAGGCCAAGTTGATTCCTTTGAGAGCGGTGGGCACGTATCATGCTGGGAGGGGGAGGGTCATCGTACTCAAAATCTTGTCGCATAAGGCGTTGCCTATCTTTATCTTGCGAAGAGCGATGTCGATGCCTTGACCTCGAACGCTGCCTTCGCTGAGATCGAGATGGAGCAAGAGCTGCAGACTCAACGTCGGGGTCGCCGGATTGGGATATACGGTCATATATACTTCGCCACCATGATCTAGATCGCCTCTTTGGTGGGAGATCCTGTTCCACATCCACGGGCGAGAATTTATCGTCTAGCAAGCTTGAGATCCGCGTGGCGCAAAAAGTAAAAGATAGCTCACCATCGCCAAACCCTCGCTTTGCTAGTTCACTTTGAATCTGAGCTTCCAAGCCCTCACTCCTCTCCCGCCTGACAGGGCCGAGAGTGTATCCAAAGTCGTCGCGACCACCCAGCCAATCTCTGCGTCCATCGATCTCCACTCGCTCCTCAACATCCACCTTTATCAATGGAGCTTTCTCTTTCTCTTCGCCCACCTCTCTCGTTTGAACAACAGCCCGAGCTTTAGTAAAGTTAGGAGGTAGTCTACTACGACCCATAACCTCCTCGTGATGCGCCAATCTGCGGGCGTTGACATCTGGTCGTGGTTCCCGACCTCTCATCCTATCCCAGATATATAGCCAACCAACCCACATCTCCCGGAATGTCTCACGGAAATCCATGGCATGGCCTAAAGAGCGAAGGCGCTTAGTACGCTGAGGAGGTGGATCCTTGGAATCAGGCGAGTGAAATGGTCGATACGGCTTGTATGAAAATGCTTTGATATGTAAAAACGCGAATAGCCTGCGCAGTATCAACACCAAGAAGACTTGCCCAGGAGTATGACAACTCACATCATTTCAAATGTCTCCAGGAGAGCACCAATACCAATATTGATATCTTCTGCCGTCATATGTGCGGTCTAAATGTTGTGTTTGATTTCTACGATTTCTGATATGATCTCTGGAACACGCACGTCTGTTACTACTCCAAACATCGCAAGAACAGACAGGAATGTCGCTTGCCAGAATGTCAAAAAGACTGAACAGGAACCACTTGTGAGTGAAGGACGCATAGTAGCTCAAGCACATTCTTACCGACGGCTTTCACCGCAAATAACTTCAACAGCGGTTTGTGAGGGGCGAGCTCTTGCGCGACGGGAACATACAGCTGGATGAGGCAATACATGGCAATAGTGACGGATATAGATACTATGATCACGATCTGTATAGCGTTGGTAATGAATAATGACTCGGGCTTGGGTGATCCAGAACCTACATAGATATGACCCCATCCGGGGCTCCAAGAAGATTCGCAGTAAAGGCCCATGTAATCCAAGACAACTGCAATCAGTGTTGTCCTGTGAAAGATGTATGAAGTCGGCATCTTTGACTAACTGAGTGAGCTTACAACGGTCGCAACACGCAATATTGCAGTACACCCCATTTCTGTAATTGAAGGAAGAGAAGACCGTCCTGGACAACACGAATTAATTATAATCTACGATGCGGACGCATCACAGGCTACTCACGGCTGGTTTCCACTTTATGAAGCCTAGAGGGAATACCCACTTCTTGGGCTCTTGACCCTTTCTCAACGCCTCTCGGTCGTTTTCGCGTGATAGCCCAGCTTTCCTGAAGATAGCCTTCTGTCCCTCTGTGTTCGGAGACAAGTACATCAACAGGAGATAGAAGAAGGATGTCAGCACTGTCGATTCGTAACCATCTCGCACGAGGATGAGAGGAGTAGATTGGTTCTGAGTAGCCATCGTGTACGTTGTCAGTTGCTTGCAGATTCCTTATTACAAATAGAAACTTACCCAAAATAAGAACGAAGCGAAACTGATGAGTGCGTATAGAGGAACCATGAACAGCAGGCGGACGATATCTGTCAAAAGTTAGAGCCCTCTGTGCATAGGTGATCCTAGAGATGTCAACGTACAGCGTTGCTCTCGTTTCTGCAAACAGATATGAAATGAGCAATACGTCCATCACGACGGGAATCGCACTGACATTAGTGTACCATTGAAGGTGCTTGTTGATCAACCAGAAAGACGCGACGGTTGCAACGGCTGCAAAGAAACCAGCTATTATCCAGCCGACCTATTTTCCTCTGAGTAACAGTTCAATGCGAACTACGGCTAGAGACATACATGATACACTGTGCCATGGGACAGCAAGTCAATAGTTAGATAATAGGTCAATACAAATCATCGCACCTTGTATAACGATGGTTCCGTTGTCAAACAGAGGGGGACCGTCGGGAGCCCTCTCCTTGTGGCAGGTCGCGTTTGACATGAATGGGAGACGATGTGTGTAGCTCTGGATGACAGAAGCGAAGGGACTTTCGGTAATGAGTGAGTGGTGTATCGCGATCGTAAATGTCGTTAATTCATGAAAAGGTATGATCCCCCTGGTACCGAGATGAATATCGGATGTCGTAGAGAGTCCGGGTTTGAGACAGCGAAATTTCGAGTTGCTTCAACTTGCCTGCTGAAGGTAGACACTAGCAGGTGCCCTTGAAGCCCATTATGGTAAGGCGCTTATCTGTAAGACGGGCGCTTGGTGATCCTTATTACACCCATCATCCTGAGATTTGGAGGATGGACAAATCCCACTTCTGTTGACTTTTTACTGACTCTTGGGCCAGGATCACAGGAGCAGAGTAGCAACCTACGTTCCCAACAAATTATCGATTTTTCCGACCGATGCTGCATCAGATAAGGCTAGAATACGTCGCTCTACCTCCATACCGTCACGGGCCAGCGCGCGAAGGCTTTACTATGACCAAGATCCTTCCCACATAGATTATTTTTGTTCAGAAACATCATGCTGCACGGCAAGCGGACCACCGCGGTGGACTTCTCTCCACATGCTCGGATCGCTGCCATTACCTCCTCGATTGCGCTATCAGCTATGGAACTCATCCTCGCGCGTGGTCGAGAAATCTATTCCTAGCTTTCTGTCGACTCCTCCATCGACGGCCCTTCAATGGTCTTCGTACCGCTGAAAAAGAAGCTCATGTACATATGCCACCTACCAATACTATTCAACTACGAATGTGAGACTTCGCGTCGCTGCGTTGTAAACGTGCAATGTGACCTGTATTCTCAGACTTCTCGTTCTGGCCCCACTCCGCTCCTGCTTCCTTCAGATAATGGGCGCAGTATGCGTATAAAAGGCTGTAACGTCTAATGGTCTTCGTCAAAAATCCGACCTCATCACTCTTGCTTTCCTCCTTCGTGAAGATGGTAGGTTTGCAAATATCACTCTTCGTTTACCTCGCCATTTGGGCAACTGTCGTCCTCTCTCTCGGCGCCAGCCCGTCAATGGAGGGGATGGAGGAGTCAATGGCGCTTCAACGAGAGCAACTCGAGCGGTTGCGCGGTTTTCTGGGCCCCGATCCCTCTAACATCCACGAAAAGCGTCAGACACCTACGGCTTCATTTGCGAACGTAAGAGCAAGAGAATTCTTTGTCGACGGGAAGAAAATCCCTCTTGTAAACTTCGACGCTGGTCCCTCTTGGGCAGGTTTGCTACCCATATCTGGAGCTCGCAACGAAACGAGGAAGCTTTTCTTCTGGTAAATTATGTCTTACAAAGGCATCACTGCGGCGCTCACGTATCATATTTGCTAGGTTCTGGCCTGCCACCAACCCGGAACACGCTAAAGACTTAATATTCTGGACTAATGGTTCGCTCACGGTAGCGTGCCCAAGTCAAGGTATCTTACATCTTGAACAGGTGGCCCTGGTTGTTCGTCTATGGAGGGATTTCTACAAGAAAACGGGCCTATTTGTGAGTCAAAGTAATGAGTTTTAGGCTAATAGACCTGATATATGTATCCTATTGAGCCTGGTCATGGGGCCAAGCAGAACCCACACCGTAAGCAGGTCGTGTTTATATACTACGCATTTCTAGAAACCTTCCTTTCAGCAATCCATTCTCCTGGACTAACCTGGGCAATGTTTTGTGGGTTGAACAGCCCGTTGGAGTAGGTTTATCAACTTGTAGGCCAGTAACACCCAAACTAACGCGTTCTATAAGACTGGTTTCTCACAAGGACAACCGAACATCTCCAACGACGATGAACTCGCAGCTCAAGCTACTGGATTCTTGGAGCAGTTCCTGAACGTCTTCGAAGAACTCAAGGGTAACAACTTCTATATTACGGGAGAAAGTGTACGTATGACTCCTTACATCTTTCATCGAAGTAGTGATTAATTTCCTTTCAGTATGCCGGCTTTTGTAAGTGGCTTTTGTCTAGACAAAGTCGTTGATGTCGGCGCTGACCAATTCATAGATGTGCCATACATCGCCAATTGGATATTCGAACACCCCGGTCTTGATCTCAACTTGAAGGGTATTTGGATCGCCGATCCTTCCCTCACTTGGGGTGTAGTTCAACAGGAGATTCCAGCACTGCGCTTCGCACGAGTCAGCACCCATCACACGACCCAAACTCTTCACCTTTACTCACCCATCTCTAATTTCCCAGGCGCACCAAAATGTATTCCCTTTCAACAGCTCTTTCTGGGCTCAACTGGAGCAAATATCTGACGCCTGCGGCTACACCGACTATCTCGACAAATTCCTTACCTATCCACCTAAAGGACAGCTGCCGTTCCCTCCTGCAACCAACGGGACGTCAACTGTCAGCGCTGGATGTCGCATCCACAATCTCATCCAACGAGGAGTGAACCTGTAAATGGCAGATGTTCCCCACTATTTGTATCAGGGCCTCACCACTCACCTAACAGGCTCAATCCCGTGTTCAACACCTATCGCGTCACCGACACTTTCCCTAACCTCTGTAAGCTATTCCCCTGTTTCTACTAGGGCGCTCCTAATAGGCCGTTAGGGAGCGTACTTGGCTTCCCTCGTGCCACCCAGGAATTCATTTACTTCAATCGGTAGGCTCCCCCCCTCCCTCCGCAGTGGTGTGAACTAATTGCAATCATCTATAGTACTGATGTGTGTATCACCTCTCTTTTACAACGCTCAAGCCTCCTTTACGAAGCAACTACATAGGTCCAAGATGCGATACACGCACCGCACATTAACTGGCAGTCCTGCTCCAACATCAATGTCTACATCGACCCAGCAACCGGCCGAGGCGGGAGAGATCAGTCAGTTGCCTCCACGCTTAGCGTCCTCCCCAACGTCATCGAAAAATCAGAGCGAACGGTTATCGTACATGGTCTTGCCGTAAGCATTATATTGCCGTCTAAGCTACCGGCCCTCTGACAATTTAACTACAGGACTACATCTTGATCGCCGAGGGTACTCGTATCGCCATCCAGTGGGCATATTGCTATTTTCATGGTGTCGATCGGCACTGATATTGTCGCATAGAAATATGACGTGGGGAGGAGCCCAAGGCTTCCAAACCCCCATCGAGCAAGAAACCTTCACTGTACAAGACTTCGGCGTCTTCGGTCACACCCACACAGAGAGGAAACTTACCTGTACGTTCCTTCCCAATGAAGGTTGTCTGCTGGAGCTAACGGTGTTTTAGACGTCGAATTCCTCTTCAGTGGTCATATGACGCCCCGTGAGTACTTCACCTACAGCCGATATATTGCCTGACAACCATTGACATGTTGGCTAGAATTCGTCCCTTGGGCAGCGTTCAATACGATGTCTTACTTGCTGGGGCGCTCAGACTCAGTTTCGACGTAAGTCAATGTGTGTGGAGGCGTAAATCAAAATGATTCGACATATGCTCGTGTACTGTGTTGTTAATAGTCTTGAAATTATAAAAATTTCTTGTATACGTGCGAGGAGTTTGCGAAGGAAACGAGACAATGCCATTACAAAGAGACAGCCGGTAGTACACTCATCAAGCACAGGAAAGGTAAGTGGCTCAGCCGCATACGTAAAATTACATGGTATAATATTAGGATAAACGCGAAAAACTGCTAGCTTATAGATCATAGACAACCCGCGCGCCGACCCATGGATATGGGTAATTGTGCTGCCAGAAATTGCGAACGGTGCGTCGTGATGCGAGACGGGGAACAGTAGCGTACGAAGCGCCAAGCTAATTGCAAGAATGTCAATAAACGCAATTGCTACGGAAACGCTGTGGAACTTACAACAACGTGATGCTTGGTATCGAAGAAGTCAGTGGAGTATCCGGTGAAGAGGTTGGTGGGTACGAGGCCATCGTGGTTGTCAAAGAGTGTCGAAGTCCACTCCCAGACGCCACCGTTAGATCCCCTGCCGCCATATTGTTCGAGACCTGTCGTAGCACTAGATAACTCAAGAATTAGTTGTGTAGGGATTGAGTAGCACATGAACGCACGGTACTGGATGCCAATTTCTGAACCCAACGTTTGCGCCGTTCTCATGGCCGACCTCGTATGTATCGAGGAACAGCCGCAGCTCGGGCTCAGTGGGCAGACGCCCTCCCTTCCATCGCGCATACTGGACTAGATCGTCGTATGCTGTCATCACTGGCCAGTGCTTCGCCACCTCCATAGCCACGGGGCCGTACACTGTGCGGACCTGCACCTCTCCGTCCTCGCTCAGGACCCAGCTCTTCGGCATGGACACTTTGTCTTTGCCCTCGCCGCGCCAGTAGGCTTCGAACTGGCTGTTTGAAATCGGGCGCCATTCTGCGCGGAAGGCACCCACTTCAACGGTACGGGCGGGGCTCTCGTTGTCCCAGCCCCATTCTTGAAAGAGGAAGGACTCGTCGGCCTCGACGGCCTTACCGTCAGCGGTGAAGTCGTCGCCTTCTGAGTCTTCGTGGCCAAGGGTGATGGTGGCTGGGCCAAGTTGAACAGAGGGAGTCGATGGCGGCGGGATGACATCCCATTGCTGCGAAAGCCGAGCAAAGGGAGGGGTTACAAAGCCTGGAGGAGGAAGAGTGCCGGTTCCAGCACGCTGGATGAGCATGTAGAGCAAAGTCTACTCAAGATTCAAGAGTCAATGAATTTATTCACCGTTGAAACTGAAGATAGCTGAAGAAACGAACCTCGATGTGCCACGCCTCATGTTCGATCGTCATCACGAGCGTCCTCGCGATGTTTCTCGTCAATGCTCGTTCGCCAGACTCGAGCTCTGCGTAGAGCTTGGCAAGCCGAGCTCGCACAGCGTCACGGAAGGACATGATAAGGTCAATCGTCGGCCAGTCCTCGTCCTTCTCAGGAACCTCGGAATGGTTCTATACAATAGCACAAATTTAGTGACCGTGTAGATTCTGGACTGTGGAACGTACGTGGCAGTGATCGGGGTCGTCGACGTGCGGGTCGATACCGCGCTCAAATATCTTCCAGAAGTACTGGGGCTCGCTGGCTCCTCCGCCGATGGATTTCGAAAGCAGCATGTCCAGGAAACTAATTCACAGTCGTCTGTTCAGTACCTCCGTGATTCATAGCTCGATAGCGAGGTGACTCACGTAGGAATATGGCCAATATAGAAGAGGCACTTGTGTCTCAGGTCGATCGGCTTCTGGTGGAGCATAGACGATGGGGTCATGCCCAAAGTGACGAGGTCCCAGGCCGCCCAGATCTTCTTCCATTCCTCGAGGTTAGGGATGTTGGCTTTGGGTGGGAACGAGGGTGTCGGACGCTGCAAAACCAATGATTGGGCTCGCGCCTCAAGCGCAGGGGGGAGGAAACCCCGTGTCTGGGAGAGGGTTGGGAAGACTACCGTGGGTTTCTCAAGGACATAGAGGATGCGTTTGTTATCAGTGGATGGGATGGAAATAACTGATCGGGCGCCAGCGAGGCCAAATACGTGCTGGTGGTCGGAGAATGCTTGCTCAGTGAAGAAGGGAGGGGCGGCCTAGTTGGATAGGATAAGAACTTAGCACGAGGATGGATGGAAATTCTATCACCTTAGAGTCGATGTCTGCATCTTCGCTCACGAAAGGGACGGTAGCGTAGTAGGAGACCCCGTTGAGATCTTCTCTGGACCAACGACCAGTGGTCATTCCCATAGTCTCGAATGACTCGCGCACAAAGCTGAACGAATCTTCATCGGAGGAAGGGACAAGGGGGAGGCAGAGTGCCAGACACGATCCTTGCGAATATTTGTCAAATAAAGCCCTGAAAAGAGACGCGTCGAGGGCCCCTGGAACGGGGAGATAAAGGCAGGCCTCTGGGTGCCAGTCCACCGCTAATGACATAGATGGGACGTCTCCATCTGACAAGGGAGTCAGAGGAGCGGGAGAGCTCCCTGCATCTGAGACGCTGCTCCCAGTGCGTACTGAGGAGCTGGAGGAAGAGGATGAACCTTTCGAAGCCGCGTTCTCAAGAGAAGGGGCCCGCAGGACATCGAGGGGTGGTAGAGACAAAAGCGCGGCCATTTTCAGAAATTTGTAGCGTAAAATGAAGCAAATCTGAAGGGATTTGTATTGCAGAGGTACGGGAGGTACAGGCAGTTTATATAGCAAAATCCACTGAATAAAATACGTACAGTATTCGGGCGATAAGGTCCGTGACGTATACTGAGACAGATTCGGATAGCACCCCAAATTTTCGAGCTGAGGGCAACTTGGAACATCAGTCGTAAACACGAGCATCACGCGGTCGGGATAAGATCCCCAGAAGGAGAGGCAGTTCGAAAGTTAAGGCAGGTCCGAGCCAGATTGAGTACAATGGAGCGTGTCATGAGTGTAAAATGATGAAGGGGTGGGGTCCATTGAGGTTGTCCTCGGTGTTCATCCAGTGTTCGTCGCACGATGTCGCTTCCTAGACACGTAACCGGGCGAACGAGACGGTGCAGAGCGAGCGCTGATTGGCTTCAGATAGCCAGGCGAAAAATCAAGGCCAGGGTCTTTGATCGTGAAGGAAGTCATGAGACGATAGGAGAGAAGATCCGAAGTCCCGAAACACGAGTATTGTTGTCGGCACACCATGGAATGGGAAGTGGGCTGGGCTTGTCAACGAAACTCCGCAGGCCTGCAGCCGTGGTCCTACATGGCCTGGCGACTCCCCACCCAATAGTCGGTAGTAATTGAGGCCATCAGGCTCACCCGGCGCCGCGCCCTTAGCTTGATCTCATGAGTAGTCTCCCCCAGCGGCCAGTAGTAGATGCGGGTAGCCTAAACAAAGTTCTTGCAGTTAGCTAGAACGATCCATGGATTGTGTGACATGAGGCGGGCTGATTCCTGACTTCTGAACGCCGATGTCAAGAGTGTAGATTCGGGTGCAGTGAACATCGCTTGGAAAAGGAAGCGAAAAAAGCCATTGCAGACGCAGACGGGTGGAGGAGATGAGAGACTGGCAGAAAGTTGTATATTTGGCGGACAGCAGTATATATATCAGGTTGTCGATGGCGTGCTATGGCGTGCTTGAGTCCTTTACGGTCACGTGATAACTAAGATGAGAGCACGGCAGAGCACGAAGCAAGCACGAGCTTGAGCGCGACGCTTCTTTCAAGGGCGATAGCGTCCGTATCAGCGCCGAAGAGAGCGTGGATGCGTGGTTTGCACTCAGTTTCGATTCTCGACTTGACCTACTCGCATATCAGTGATCCTGTGGCGCCGGTAATTAGCGCCTCACCGGGACGCGATGCAGATGCTGGCACCATGCATCAACAGTTGATCGCGTTGATCATTCATGGGCCAACTTGGGGTGTCGAAGCTCTGGAGGGAAAATAGTATCGGTGGCGGCGGGACTACCGCGACGTGCGACCTGAACGCATTTCTCCTGAGCCCCTGGGCTGACATCGTATCAGCTTCCTTTTCACGGGTCTCTGTAATTATGGAGACGATACAACTTCTGGGACTTAGGTACAACCTCCCAAATACATCTTTTCCAAGTTTCCTTGAACAAGGAGTCTATGATTACACCTACGACGCTATTGTACAGGACCAGTAGTACTTCTGGGGAGGAGCCAAGGACGGATAAACCAAGCCATAGACTATGTAAGTATATATGTGTGAAGAGGGTCGTGAATGTAGGAACAGGAACGATGATGCGACAAACAACAGCATGACGACGCCGATCGAGCGACGGAAAGAGACAGTGTGGTTGCTGGGGAGATGAGGTTGAGATGGAAGACGAAACGAGAAAAGGGAAACAAAGCAAGGCGATGATGGTAGGTAAATATGTGGATGAGCATACGGCTAACGAATAGGCGAGGTAAAATAATAGATACTAAGAAAGCGAAGATAGGTGTGGGGGGAAGTGGAGGGCGGTGGTCAAAATGGGGGCGTATGTTGCACGAAGCTGGTTCGAAGTGTGAGTTTAGCTGGGGTATTCTGAACCGCCCAAATTGTGAATCTTAAGGAGCCCCTCCGGCACGTCGATTAAACATCGATGCACCAAATCTCCAACTTCCCCTCCGGCTTGCCTTTTGAGCTCTCCCTCGCAGTCTCAATCGCCAGCTCATAATCCGAGTCGTCCCTCAAGTTAACCTTCACCGCGTCCTCATCCTTGAACTTCAACCCCATTGACCCGACGGGTTTGCGGAACTTCGAGGCGACTTTCGCCATGAACTCGTCGAAGCTCATCTCGGGGACGATCACCATGCCGTGGACGTCTTCCTCATAGTGTAACTGTTATGAGGGAACGAATCAAGAATGATTTAGATTTTTATCGCCGTGTCAATTCCAGAAACGTACCTTCACCCTGATCTTGGTCAACTCGAAAGGTCCATCTTCGTAGTCGCCACTCGCATAACCTTCCTCTTCCTCCTCGTACATACTCCCCACCTGACTTCTAGATCCAGCTCTTGATGTTCCTCTTCTAGTCAATTTCCTCTTCATGGTGCCTCCGACACCTAATGAACTTCCCGCGTAGTTGCTCGTAGGTGCACTACGCGAGCCCGAACGGGCCACGCCGCTCGCATATCCAGGGTTTGCGTTGGATCGCGCCCAAGCAGCTACCCTCTCAGGAGGGGCTGCGCCTGCGCTCGGCATGGGAGGGGGGACAGCATCATCACCGTAAGAATCTAGGTACTCGTCGTAGAATTGAGTGACGCGACTATCTGCAAATACAACGTTGGTAAGACAACCGTCCGTTGCCAAAGACGAGAGGGCTTACCTTTCGGTGGGGCTGGGGGAGTACGATCCTGAGGAACAGGAGGGGAGCCGACTGGTTTGCGAATGCTAAGTCCACGTGTTGGAGGACCACCGATGGTCGCATTTGGAGACGGCCTGCCCGCGACAATTGATGTGTTGCTTCGCTGGACATTGGCGCCTCCGGGAGAAAGTCCTCCTGGGCTTGGTCGTGGGTCGTTAGGGTTGGGTTCGCGGTTGCTAGAGGGAAGAGCTGTCCTCGAGCGGTTCAGTAACGGTTCCCTATCTGGTAATGCTGGAAGGGAGTAAGTGATAAGCGAAGCTGGATGATTAGAAAGGCCGGCGCGCGGCACACTCACGGGAGTTGCTGGGCAGGGCAGCTGGAACTGTTGCGCTGCGTCCGAGTGTCCCACTGCGCCCAAGACCACTACCTTCACCGTCAATGAAGACACCAGACGGCGATATTCCTTGTTTCAAACGCGCAACACCAGTGAATTCGGTGTACGCATCACCCGGGTCGCTTGCGGCCACAAGTTTCTGAAGGATCAACTGTTGAGGGTCATGGGCGAAGCGAGGTTGATGATGGAACTCACAGCTTTACCCAGATAATCCTTGGCAACTGAGTTCTTCAACTTCTTCTCTGATGGGCGGTATAGTACACCGACGGGCTGTACGCGAAGCGAAAATGTTTTAATCAGCAACATCAACTGCGGGGATGACGTGGAGAGGCTTACGATGCTGAATACTGTGTAGCCCTCCCCGCGATCTCGTAAAGCGTCGTCAATAACATCGTGCTCTTCTGTCGCCTTTTCCTTCCGTGCAGCTTCAAGTTCCTCCAGTCCCTCCTGGACACGGTTCATGTAGATTTGGGACAGGCCTTTGTTGAATAGCACTTCTGCTGAGAACAGTCGGAACTTCAGACCCAACTGTTCATAGTTTCTATGGAATGCGATCAGAACCCAACTATCAGGCCATCCAACTGGGCTACACACATGGCTTGATTTCCCCTGAGATACAGCAATGCCTCGTCAAAGTCCTTGTACGCAAGTTCGTATCGAGCGAGTAGGAAGTTGGAGACACCACATTGGAAGTAACTGAAATCGAGGGAATTGAGAGAATGATCGAATTGCGATTGTTGTACTCACGCAACGGCAAGATATTGGTCCAATGTGGTCGCCTCCATGAACCGCTCAACGGCAGTTTCATGTTCTCCAAGGGTCGCGTAGATAAGCCCCATATTGGTGAGAATCTTGGATGAATCGGCGATGCGCTTGTGGGGAGTATGATATCAGGACCGCGGGTTCTCCGTGGTGTGTGGAACGCGGTCCACTCACCGAGAACATATCTAGGGACTTTTCAAAGTCCTGCTCATCGTATGCCTTCAGGGCTGCGGCCCAGGTTTCGAGTTCTGCTTTGAGAGACATGGTGGAGTGCCAGATGCAAGTGGCGTGCCGGACGCAGAGCCAAGGAAAGAATGTGGAGGAAGAAAAAGTCTAATAAGAGAAGAAAAGAAACAAAAAGAGGGAAAGGGGGAGATTGAGACGCAGTCTCCGGAATGAAGAAAGTGATGGCAGGGAAGAAGGAGTCTGATAAACGGAGGGGCAGAGTCTATATATCAGAGGCGACAAAGCTTTGCAGATGAGAATCAAGTCACAATTCCGGTCACACTCATCAATCCGTCGTTAGGGACGCTTCAACTCTTCCTTTTATCTGTCTCACTCAAATCTCTTCCAAGCTCAATTATCGTTTGTCTCGGCCGTCTTCTAGACAGTCCTAGGGGGAGCTAGGTCATCTCGGCCCATAGCCTCGAGGCTTAAATGCAGTTTAATCTCCAGCGTCGGCAACGGGGCCACCAGCGAGCAACCGCAGTGAATGATGCGACACCCCGCGTCGTTGCGCGCGCAACCGTGCAAATGGGTATCCTCGACGTCGGGGCCCGCAGCATCTCACCCGTGCGCATGCACTCGAGGGGGACAACCGACAGCTTCGGCTGCGGCCCCCCTTACAGCAGAGCAGTGAAAGGTGGTGAAAAGTCGCCGACCTGTATCAGATGTCTCTCCGGCGCCGGTTAGAGTCTTGTCGGGGATACCAGCCACGTCAAAATGCTTTCACAGTGGCATTTTGCCATCACCGTCATACAGTTACAGCATTCTCATCACCGACCTGATCACCGATGTGATATACCATCACAACTTTCACCGAAGCTGGCCAACGACTTTCTTTTTCAACGTCAATGCTTCTGTGACTTGGTGACGAACCATGCGTCCGCCACTCGAAGCCTTGATGCAGGCCACGACGATCATCACACCGACCTTTATACCGCAACGGTTATGTATCGCGGTGCGACCTCCTGGGCCTCCTCTCGGTCGTCAACAGTAGTGATCCCAATCTCCACCCACGACTGACTAACTGAGACGCAACCGTCGTCGCAACGGCGGAGGTAAAGCCCAAGCATATCCAGGTTTGGTTACGTTCGTAGAGGCTGGAGTGTATTCTATGCATGCACTCGTCTGTATTAACCATAATATAAGTGTTCGTATCATACGAGATAAATTACAATGTCCCGGGGGTAGTGAGCGCTGATGCATTGATGCCAAAAACGAGCGTTGAGAGTTGCTATGATAGCACGAGGTGGGGAGTATGTTATCAAAGCAATCGAAGATAGCAAATGCACTCAAATAGCAACGAACGGCGTCAGTTTCTACGAAGAAAGATATTATCCTGTACGTACTGCGCACATATAAAGAACGACGAACGAGGTGTCGACGAATATCTCAATACCCTGACGGCCGGGCATCCGTTTTTGATGTATCGTAGGCTCGGATGAGGCGCGCTTGGTCTTGCTTTCCCGCCGTTTCTGTCTGACTGAATGCAAAGCCACGGTTGCGACGCATTCTCTGCACCGCGCGAACTTTCTTGATGGCTTTCTGGAATCTGCGCACAGGAAGGTGTCAGTCGTTGTTCGCATTGTAAGACGAGGCACGTACTGTTCCTGTCGGGGCCGGTAATCCGGAATATTGTACTTTTGTAGTTCCTGTGCAATGTGGTATGACGCAGGGATATATGTCCTTCGGTAGCTGTAAGGGGGACAAGGCGATCAACTCCTGTCACCCAGATAGACAACAGTTCAAGACGCACTATTTCCATACAAAGTCACGCGCCAGACAGACAATGGGAACAAGGAGGAGAACAAAGTAGAAGACACCATTTGTCCAGAGTCTTGGGACTATGCCAGAATACTCTGTTGAGAAGCCGATGGCAGGGGCGACTACTGCATACAAGGGAAGAAAAAGCATCGTGAAGACAAATGAACCAGGGATAGCTGAAAGAATTGAGCGTGGTCAGCGAAGGCCAATAGTTTGCATGACGATGCTCACCAGCAACAGTGTACTTCGTCCAGATACTGCAGAGCATGTGTGAATCATCAACGGCATAAGAACAATGGGTTTGCTTACTCGGATATCAACGCTGCCTTCCCAAGTACCGTCAATAGGACTGCAAGGTAAAGTGTTGTACCCCAGAACCAATGGCCAGTGTCGCGTCCATCAGCTTGCTTGAGATCTCCCCACCACAGAATGACGGAGAACCCAAACGTAATCTACATCCAAAAAAGCATCAGCGCTGAATTTTACCCCAGATGAAACCGCTCAAAGACTTACTAGACTGTGGTAGAGAGCATTAGCTACCCACAACCAGAATGCTGTCTTGGTGAAGAACGCGTTCTTCTGACCGAGGATATACAGTTGCGGATATCGATCCAGAATTCGGGCAGACACGAACTGATCGAAAACCCCGATGACGAGTGGCGGCAATACGGTGAACACGACGTTGTACAAAGAGAGCGTCCATGATTCATAGGCAATTTGTCCGGAGAAGTTATTGAAGAACGAGTACTGAAAATGCGGTTAGTCACGAAGTACTGATGCGCATGAATTGGCTCAATTACCCAGAACTGTGTCATATACAGGACAATGTTCTTGTAGAACGAGTCTATGGAGTTGCTAATCAGTAGAGGCAAAAATCAGAGGAGAGAAAATTACAGAGGATGAGCTTCGATAAGCGTCGATAACTCCAAGCACCATGAACAAGTAGGAGTTTCTTAAGGAAACGGAATTGGGAGATAGCAACATCTGCTGAACGTGCAGCTTGCAAACCCTACGATCAATATGTGAGCCTAGAGTGACAGTTACTCAAAACAACTGCGGGCGAACCTCGACACCAGAAATACCAACACCAACATGGGCAGCTTGAATCATGCTGACGTCGTTGGCACCATCACCTATGGCGAGTAGAATAGACTTCTGATTCTTCTTTACCAATTTGACGACAAGAGCTTTCTGCAATGGAGAGACACGACCTACAATGGCGCGTTGGCAAACCAACTCATCGTCATGTGAAGAATGGACACGCACAACAGATGACAGCTTTGCACATAATCGCCAGTTCCAAAAATGTCTTGTTCATCTCTTTCTGAAGAGCGAATGTGAGACTTTTCCCGTCTACAATGAACGAATGAGTGATTAATTTACAGTGGAAGTGGTAATATACGGACCGATTATGAGCGCTAGGTCTTCAAGCTCCCCAGTACTTCGTTGGCTTTTGATGGCCGACAGCCTCTTCTCCAAGAATTCTTGGGTAGCCTGCATCGTCTCTTCGTTGACTATGACCTAGTGTGATATCATCAGCGTGTTGTTGATAGGGTTTGGCACGTTTCCATCCCGAAACTCACCAAGTTCATAGATTCCGAAATCAACTTGCACGACATCCCGATATTAATAGCCGTTTCTTGTCTGTCACCCGTCAAAACCCAAACCTGAACATATTTCTCCGTTAGAACCACTCATGATAAGGAGAGCTTCAATGGCAAGTTACCTTGATACCGGCCATCTGCAAATTGTGAATGGTGTCAGGGACACCGTCTTGGAGCTTGTCTTCAATAGCCGTTGCACCCAAGAGGAAGAGATCTTTCTCAATAAGTTCAGCGGCTTCATCAAGTGCTTCACCGCGACCATTGATGGTTGCAGCCGCTTGATCATAGATGGAGACCCATTGCTTGTATTCCTGCTCGGGGATATCTCGACAAGCAATGCAGAGCGTGCGAAGACCGTCAGTGGCGTATTCCTATGGCATACGGTCAGCGCGATCCAAGCCTCAATATAGTGATCTGGTGACCCACCTCCAGATGAGCAAGCGTCTTCTCTGTATACGGCTGGTTCTTGCTTAGCCGCTCGAGAATGACTGTATCAGCGCCTTTGGTGTAGATCTTGATCTTTCCTTGGGGCGTTCGTACGATTGTGGACATGCGCTTCCGTGTTGAGTTGAATTCGCAAACATTGAGGATTTCGAACTCTTGGCTCTCCCCCTGGATGTTCACAAATACCGATCTCGGTTTCCGAGTCTAGCAGACCCGAGTCAGTGTCAATCATCAGTGCGTATGGCGTCGGACGTACGTGAAACTGGTATCCAAGTAGCTCAGCGCCCGAGACAAGCGCCGCCTCGTCCGGGCTGCTAGCTTGATAGACAAGTTTGCCGTCTTTCACTTCAGGAATAACGGTATGGCAAACAGCCAGCAGAGTCAAGAACTCTTTGATAACTTCCTTCTCTTGGGACCCAGACGCCATGTTACTCGCACTCTCCGCAACGTTGACGAAAGGATTGGCACTCTCCTGTAAGAGAGCTCCCATCTCGGCAAATGTCTTCCACCCGTCTTGACCGTCACCCTCTTCGCCCCTCTTCGACTCGTCAACTACATCCGCGTACGCCACACCCGCAATAATACAGCATCGGAACTCCATCTCGTTGCAAGTGAGGGTCCCCGTTTTGTCCGAGAAGACATATTCGATCTGCCCCAGCTCCTCAACGAGCGACGAAGTTCGGCAAAGAGCTGGAGTATCAGTTTTCACATAATACATGTCGAGGTCGGAGTTGATCAGCTGGGCTTGTTGGAATTTTACGACTTCCATGGTGACGATGAGGGAGATAGGAATTAAATTGTTGTACAGGATGATGAAGGTGAGGATATCTAGTGACGAGAAACATCAGTTATGTTAGACGAGTTAAGGAAGCAAATGCAATTGAATTACCTTCGATGAACTCCTTGGCTAAGACGAAATGAGCACCAAAGACAGGCAATGAAGATTAACAAAGCGTACCTCGATCCGACAACGAAACCGTCTCGACTAGATACCATTGTTGACTGGAGAAGAACCACTGCAGAAGGAACGTTAAGAAGGAAGAGGCGGCATGGTAGAAGTGGGCGGACCGATCGAATACTACTGCCTATCGTAGACCCAAGAGATAGAGCTAGCAGTAGGATGAACAGAAACACAATTTGTACATTGACCTGACGTTCCACGGCCGTTCGCTTGATTGGTGCCGCCCTAAATCATTGGTCTAACTATATACACTGGCATACTGCACGGAGGAGGAACTCACGTAGCATTACGCATAAGCTTCGTCTCATGTCCGGTGAACACAGCAATACCGTAAACCCAAGGTGTATTCCGTATCTGTGCCCCGCGAAGTAGTATTTGATCTGGCCCAAGAGGAACTTGCTTCGGCGCGCCGGTGTTAGTCACTAGGTCCATTGTCGCTTCGTAAGTATACAGAGAGTTATTGGGTTGTTCTGAGCGGAGGGAGCCATTGAGATTGAGGACGAGTGAAGGTGAAGTGAGGGAAGCAGTGTGGGTGGAAGCTTGCTTGATCTTCAAGTTCGTCTCTCTGGTATTGTCAGAATGCAGGAATGATAGGAATTGAGGTAACACTCACCCATCAAGATTCGACGTCTCAATGTAGCAAAGACCCTCTGGCTCACTTGAACTCAGTAAGACGAGATCGGCTGGTATGAAATCGTTGCTTTCCAGGCGCACTACGTCCCCGACCTTGATATCCTTCCATTTCTTCTCCTCGAAACTGCCACCCGGTGCCAGGACTTTGGCCTTACTGGCGTTGAGTTCTGAATCAGATTGATGCCGTTTCTACGCAAGGTAAGTTACGAAAGTTGACATCGAAGAATTCCTTACCAAGTCTTCCTGGACCTCTTTGAAGGCTGATGCAAGCAATACCCCCGCTAGAGGTACAATAGTAGTATACGGGTTCGTCGGTGACACCCCTGGTATCTGCTGGATACAAGCGGTGAAGAGGAAGAAGAGGTTGGCGTATTTAGAGAATTGTTCTGTTGCCGATCGGTATGAACAACATGGTCTGACTGGTAACGTAAACGTAAGGACTCACCAAACAGAAACTTGGGCAAGAAGGTCACTAGGTTGTACTTGCTGGCCGAGACAAAATTTGAGCAGTACTCCGAGTTCAGTGCAGGATTGTTGAGGGCAATAATCCGCTCCCCCGTCAATTCCTTTTCCTTCTTCCACGGCCATTTCCATTCCCACTTCTTTGCTTTCTGCAACGGACTACTTCTCTTTGGCTCTCCAGGAAACGAACTCGAGCCTGCAAAGGCATTTCCGGACCCCGCAGGCTGAAATTCGAAGTCATCGTCATCCCAACCTTGAGTCCCGCCCTCGGGCAAACTTGATGTTGACGGACCCGCTCCAGCGGGTGGTGCGGCAGAACGAGCAAGGGGAAGACCACTCTCCTGTGACTGCATGGCTTGCGGCCGGCCGAAAGCAGAGTCCGGTACGTTGTCGTCCTCATCGTCGAAGAATGGGTCTAATAGTTGCGGCGAATTATTATCAGAGTAAGGCGTATTGGTTGAAGGTGGGTATCCATTATTTGCAGGTTGGTATTGTCGAGTGGCCGGGTTCGCCTGCGATACAAGTCGTAGGAAGTCGTCACTCATTGTCGCCGACAGCGAGCTCGACGATGGTAATGGTGGTCAAGGATTGAAATAATTAGTTGGGCTACGCAGCAGCACGTGCCAAGCATTCGACGCGCTCGCCAACACGGCCTTTGCCCGGGCGTCTATTTTTCAAAGCCTGATCGGGATAGAAAATCAGCGCGACCAGACCACCTTCAAGGATCTCCAGTATGTGAACATCGAGTTGTGTGGTATATCACCACCTGCCTTGTACAAAAGACCATTCATATTCTGGCCCATTCCTGGCCTCGAAACATGCGAGACTCGGATTCGAAGGCGATGGTCAGACTGACAAGGACCCACTGGATGCCAACATGCTGAAACGTTGGGTTACCTCCGTGCCCGTATTGCCCTCAATGCTCCGATTTTCGCTGCTGTGGACCTTCCACGGCCTAACCGCCTTCCTAGGGTCTGTGCAGAGGTTCAATACGCGGCCTACAACGCCGACCTCAAAATAACGACGCGAGATCTCTCGAAGGTTCTAAATTGGCATATGTCAAGTTGATGAGGGCCGTGTTCCTGGTACCAGTGGATACGCCTCTGCTTGAAAAGCACAATTAGGAGCCCTCATCTACCATCTTCCGAATATGTTAGTGTCTACAGCCAACTAATTGTCTGGTAGCCTCGAGGCGCAATCGAACGAGGTGGACCTTCTGGTCTATGCTGTCAAAAACCTCTTTCACAAATCGCATGGTTCTTCAGGAAATGATGAGGTTCTTTGCGCTATTCTGAAATACCATCGAATCACTGTCATGAAGGGCACATGATCAATGATCTTCGCAGGTCTTCATATATGGCTTCGCACGACGACGACCTCCTGGACTCGACCGCTACCACTGTCACCAGAAACCAGATGGGTCGCTGGAGCAACGTCGTCCGAATCTCGCCCAGCCCTGGTGTAGGCCTCAACAACGTTCGCCAGGTGTTCGCCAAGAATGGCGGGTTGTGAGTTTTGCCTTAGTTTCAAAGCAGTTCCAAGTTAACGCCAGGCAGACGTGGAATTCACTGGACTCCTGGGAGCTCTGACTTGTTCCTGGAGTTCAATGAAGATGCTGGCGCCGCGCATGCTCTCGCTTTGCACAAGCTGATGCCTGACATCAAGGTGAGGGCCCTGGATGGCGACCCGGTGCTGGTCGAACAGTATCGCAATGCGATGGCCGCGTCACGCAGAGAAACGCGTTCGACAGACCAACCACTCCCGGGCGCACCGCCTAGACAGGCCGTGAAGCCCATCATCCCGAGTGCTAGCCACGCCAACCCGCTATCCATTGATCCTTCGGTATTCGCATCCCTCCTGCCTTCAAGCAGCGGATTGCCGAAGGGTTCAGCGGCATCCAAGACGTCGTCTTTATTCTCTTCAAAGACTAAATCAGCTCCCGTCATGGCTTTCTCCGTGGACGGTCGGCTTTCTATAACCTATCATGGCGAAACTTTCTCTTACGACATGAAAACCACCGACGGAGACCCTCGGGCAATCATTGCGCTCCTCAAGCTGTCTACTAGCGATCCTGGTACTTGGCTAACTGCCGCGGCGTATCATCGTCGCCAAGGTCACTCCCGTAGCGCACTGGATATTCTTATGGCTCTACTTAAATGTACGCAGACGTGTTTCTACCTTTAACTCTGCGTCGTTGACACTCGTACTGTAGTCATGGATGGGCTCGAAGTCCCAGACACTCAACGTAAACCTGTCTGGCTTATGCTCTCCGGATGCGAGACAGACATGGCCAAAAGCGCCAAGGGCGATCCCATTACACGTCCTGCCGTGATCGCCCAGCATTATAAGGATTCCGCGAAGTGGCTACAGAAGGTCTACGGCGTGGATATTCCTCAGCACTATACCAAACCGGACAATGCTCCCGTTCGTAGTGCGCAAGTCGTGCTCATGGATGTTCCCTCCCCGGGTACCAATGCCATCACATCAACACCTAGCTCGTCCAAACAGAAGCTAGAGCATGTCCTTCCATTGAAGCCCACCCCATCTCGTCCTCGTGACGAAACCGAAAATCTTCCGCCGTCTGGTGACCGTAGCGCAAAGGCACCAAATCAAGCAGCATTGCTATCCGTACAGCGCGCCAAACGCAAGTTGGAGGAAGACTGCGTGTACGAACGCGAGCAGCGGCGTAGACTCGAGCGCGAACTCAAGGAGGTCACTCATGAGTTAGATCTCACAAAACGGTCCCAGACTCGCCTCAAATCCCAGGTTCGAGAGGAAGCCGAGGCTAGGAGGAAGGCGGAAGATGCTATTGAGCGGGAGAGGAATCGCATAGAGGCCGCGAGGCGAAATGGCCTTCCATCAGAGGCAACCCGGATATTTCTTGCGGTAGCCCGAGGCGAATAAAATGCTTCTTCACGAACGCACTAGCAATCAAGAGCACATCACATGAAATGGATATCACACCAACCGCAAGAACAAACTCGGAGACGAACACATATCGCGCCTTGGCGCTCACCTGCATGGACTTGTATTTTAGTGCATAACTTCAGATTATACTCATAGAACGTGTAGTAATTAGCATACAGCATCCGTAGCAACAATGCATCGTCAACATGGATTTGACTCTCTGTCCCGTACTACATTTCTGCAAGAAACGTAAAATGCGCCCCTATCTGACTCCTAGCGCTCACAGCTGTACAGTACATCGGGAAGCTCCGACACACACTGAACCTTGAATTTACAGGGGATCAACAAGAACAAACACTAGCTCGCCAGGTAGGTTGACGGAATTATCGTGCTCGTCGTCTTCAACGTCGCTAAACCTCCATATTTCACGCCAGGTACGAAGCGGTCGTTGCGCCACCTCAAATTACCTCAAATCATATCAAAATGGCCACAACGCTTCCCAAGGACATCTCGAAACTCGGCCAGGAGGTCAAGCTCTTCGGAAAGTGGGACACGCAAGAGTGAGTAGGAGATCTCATGTGTCTTCGTGATGCGATTTGGAACTTCGAGAGCTTGAATCTGACTGGGCCTTGCTTGCGATAATGTAGTGTTGAAGTGAAGGATATCTCCTTGACCGATTACATCCAAGTTCGCCATGCCGTTTACCTCCCACATACCGCTGGACGATACGCCAAGAAGCAATTCAAAAAGGCGCAGATGCCCATTGTCGAGCGTCTGGTCGACAGGCGAGTCTCACACCGCACATTTGCCGTAATGGAAATATTCAATGGAAGATAATACACAGCTTAATGATGAAGGGGCGCAACAACGGCAAGAAACTCATGGCCGTCCGTATCGTCGCCCACTCGTTCGAAATCATCCACCTCCTCACCGACCAAAACCCCATCCAAGTCTGTAATCCACAACCTTGAAATTGCGTCTCGTATTCAAGTGTAGTCATTCTTTCTAGGTCCTTGTTGATGCCATCGTCAACACTGGCCCTCGTGAAGATTCTACTCGTATTGGTTCGCAGGGTACCGTCCGTCGTCAAGCCGTCGATGTCTCTCCTCTCCGCCGTGTCAACCAAGCTATCTCTCTCCTGACAATCGGCGTATGTTGTCCTATTGCTTCCCACGGAACGGCCTCACTCACAATCAATCGAAATAGACTCGCGAATCCGCATTCCGCAACGTTAAATCCATTGCTGAATGTTTGGCTGATGAGCTCATCAATGCCGCCAAGGGTTCATCTAACTCTTATGCCATCAAGGTCAGAATTGCCCAAAAGACGCCGATCTGTGCTCGACTAATATTGATTTTATTCCTTGCCAAACAGAAAAAGGACGAATTGGAGCGTGTCGCCAAGTCCAATCGGTAAACGCTTTACGATCTCTTTTGGCCTGGTTTCTTTTCGCTTGTGTTGTAGAACCACCCAAAGAGAGTTGAGGATCGGTGTATTGCGGGATGTCGACGGGCTTGTGCATGGGATACGAATGAAATCGCTGACTTTATTATGGGTCTCCTTCACTTCTATCACAATTTATGTCTCTAAGCCAAATGTATGTATGCTCATGCACGCTTATGATTTCTCTCCCTCCCATGCACTTCATATCCTGAATTCACCGTCTTCGTGACTTCTGCGTGTTTCCGAACCTTATTGTAACTTCGTCTGCTTTCCCTGCTGGCCCTCAACGTTCACGGAAGTATGGACCGACAATACGCCTGAGACTTGCCGCTCCCCCGGAATATTACAACCTTCTTCTCCCGATGGTGTGTGTGACAAGATATCCCAAAACAAGATTGATTAGCCCTTGGATTAGCCTACAGACATTACCCCGACACAGTGGTAAAGTTCCTCGTGGTTAATTGTGCAACGTAACCTCACTTCGGCCTCAAAAGGCGACCTACCGGGCAACATGAAATCGATGGGAATTCCTCATGATCAAGAGCAATGGGGTTTCGAATTGTGCATGCCTTTAGGCATTGGTTACATTGTGGTTGCAGTTAGCGGCAGTATTACATTGGGTGAACAACACCATTGGGATATATCTACGTCCAGGAAGAATAATGGACAGGGGATGGAGAAGCGGGTGCACCACGAGGGAGATAAGGTACTAGGGGTTGGGGGATGTTCGGAGACGCGGTCGGAAGGGGTGGAAGGTGCACCCAACTAGAATATCCAAGAAAGCATTGTATAAACAGCAAAAAAGCGTGAACAGTCCAAAACATTCCAGGGCATCCAAGCGTCAGGGAGAGAGACAGCGATGGTGATGGGGGAGGTGTTATATTCGCATTCCCCGCCTCGGAGCTGTGACTCGGACGAGGAGGGTGGCAATGCGAATAGGAGGGGGGGTGATAGCAATCGTGATGAACGTCCTCGTCGGAAAAGAGATTGGGCCGTAAATGTGACCACATGACGACAGCCAAATGATGTGGGATCCGTGTTGTTAATTAATATACAGAGAGATAAGTGTATTGCATGCAATGGCTGGACGGCGGAGTGATGTGGGATATTAATTGAGTTGTATGATTGCTGGAACGTTGTTGAAGTCTATGTGAGGAGGAAAGGCGTAGAAATTTTTATGGTATCGGAATGTGAGGAGCGAGCGGGCTGCGGCACCGTCAGCCTGCATGGGCGGGAGAAACCTCGTGGAGACGATCATACTCCTAGTCCAGGCGCATTGCTGAAACCATACCCACGTCCACCTTTGCATTCCGGCATGAGAACTTCGCCCAAGACAGCCTTGAGAATGCCCGCAGCCCCAATTGGAGATAATCGCAATATATCGAAAATGCAATTCGATGGAGGAAAGCGATGACTCGATACTCGAAAGTCCTGGGATAGTCGCCGCCGCACGCTGCAACCGTGGATTCCGAGGTCCGGCCAAAAGGGGAGTGGGTAAACGACCTGCGAAAGTAGTGACAGACACCGGCCATTTTCGAGAAAGGAGTCGCTTGATTTATTCGGCATCGGTTCGGTACATTGAACGTACGAAGCTGGCAACAAATCGTGAGGGAAATCATAGTCAGACTTAGACTAGTGCAAGGAGAGCAAGCGCTCTCAACTCGAAAGCAAGTCTAAGCTTATGACAATAAAAGCCAACGATCCAAAATCGAAATGGTTCAACGTCTGCGACATCTAGACCACTGCTTAGGCTAAGCGAGCGAGCGATAAGAAAAGCGTGTAGAAGGCCGGAATATGGCTTCAGTGAGCGATTGGCTTGTTACTGGTGTTGTCGTCGGTAGGATGAAATGCATGGCTAGCGAGTAGGCACCATCCATCAACTTTAGACAGCGATGATGTCTATCCATGATGTAGACACATCAACGCCACCATTGGAATGCGGCGTAAGGAAGGACGGAGCCAGACAAGATACGGCCGGCAGAAGAAGTCACAGGAGGAAGATGAGACGGGAGAGGTCGATCCGATCGGAATGAAGCAGGGTGAGGGGGGACAGGGTAGAGAGCATCGCGAGGGAGGGCCACTCTGTTATGTCGAACAAGCACGTCTGAAACGTCTAGTTGAATGAATCCAACTAGCTGTCCGTCAAATAAAGGGCTCAAGTGAAATATATCAAGAACGAAGACACCAAAATCTCCAAGGTTGCTTTTGATTGTACATCATAGAATCCGCTGTTAGGCGTGTATTTCGTTTTCCGTTTTGAATGAGACCGGCGAATGTAGGCCGTATAAATATGTGTATATGGGTGCGTTGGCCATATCCAGCCAACCGAGGCGATAGGTAACGTCGAGAGGCGTCGGCGAGGGCCATCGGTGAGAGGGCGGAGCGGGTGGGCCTAGTGTGAAGTTCACTAGTCTTCTCTAGATGTGTATATCGTTGACACGTCTGTGAGGGAGGGGGGAGGAGCGGCCGACTGCTATCGAATCCTTGCTACCTTCTCTTCTCTCGTTCCTCGCCAGCCGGTGGCTTCGGAACCACCCCCGCTAGACCCGCATACCCATACGCCTTTCCAAATTCAACGATCATCGCCTTTCCCATGAGACAAACCCAGCCCAGGCCCTCGCCACTGACACTCTGCCCCGGCCAGAATAGTTCTCCGTCCTCGTCCTCAAACTCCGGCTCCAGCTCTTCCTGTGGGCTCAGCGTGCTATGAACCATACGAGCATACGTTCGTGGGAAGGATTTACGGAGAATGGGGAGGTTTAGCATCTGATTGGCCGTACCCAACAGCGACGATGAGGTGTTCATCATCATGACCAAATCCGTGATATCTTGTAATTGTGAAGGAGCAACTTTGACCGTGACGGAGGACATGGCAGTGAGAACTTGACTTGGTATCTGGTCATAGTGACTCCGCATCGACTCTGGAAGGAAGCCATGTGGTATTGAAGGAAGTGGTGTACTAGGCGGCTGTGGTCGAGCGTTAACAGTCCCATTGGGTCTATGCGAACTAGAGGAAGCGGAGGAATGAGTCGATGCACCTGGGTTTGTCGGGGTCGAGTTAGCGCTGCTCGCTGTGGCAATGCTCGCTGGGGACGGAAGCTGGTGTGCTGAGGCCGGCATGAGACCGGTTCCATTGATGCCACCTGCGACACTAGCCCCCGATGATTTAGACTTAGCTTCTCGCGCGGCAGCCATCATGTTTGATGACATTTCATTATGGAGACGCTTGATGTCCTGCCCGGGCGCGGTTCTGCAGTTGTAGACCATCTTTCGAGACAAAATAAAGCCCTCGATCATGTAACTATGCGCATGGTCGTTGTAAACACAAGAGAAGTTTCAAATGACAAAGAGATCGTGCTTACATGAGACCTTGCAAAGCCCTTTCCGCATCATTATAGCCATCCTCTGCCGACCACTTATGCTTACACCACTTGAGGAAGGGGTCCATCGTGGCCCATGTGTTGAGATCGCAAGTACGCCGACCGTGATCCTTGGTCCATGTTGAGTAGGTGAAGCAGACTAGCGCATCTAGTAGTTCCAATCTGGCCACAAGGCCGCCATGCTTGTGGTATGGCGAGTTCGGTGGAGGGGGGTTGGGCAAAGGGCGGTATTCCTTGTGTGTTGATGGATAGGTAGACCAAAAGCGCGCATCCCCCGAATACTTGAGCATACGGCCATACTTATGATATTTATCATGGAGCTCATCCGTATATGTTGGAGAAGGACGGCCTCTTCTCGGGCGATGTATGGGAGTGAAACTCGAGATGGGGTCGGGGTCAGCGGTGGGTGCCGACACGGCAGGCGGACCGCGAGAATGTACCGGAACTGATGCAGTCGCTGATGCGGCCACCGAGGTTGAGGCGACGGACTCGGCCTCTTCGCGAACCTCTCCATCCTCACAGGGTTCCGCTATAGGAGGGTGGTTTGAGCGAGGGGTGGGTGCCTGAGCATTGGAGCTGCTGGTCGACGACGACGAGCGATGCAGGTGCTGGGGTAGTCTTTCGGGAAGGGAGTGTCCATTTCGCTCCGCCGTTCTAGGACGCTTGACGCTGTCGTTATGGTCGCCTAGAGAGTCGGATTTGCGCTTGAGGGGTGGGGCGGGGGACGCTGAGCGCGAGGCAGGAGGCGATGGGGGTAAAGTGGGTGGGAGAGGGTCGGAAAGGGGCCCCAGAATCTTGGGGAGGGTCAGTGCATGATGGTGGATATATGCTGGCACAATATACCTCGAGATTCCTGAGGAGTTGGTCTCTGGTCCATCTGCTAGTGTGGGGTTGAGTTGTGTGAGAGGAAGCAACGGAGGGCGCAGGCAGTGGACGAGGAAAGTAATTACCGCTTCTTTGACTTTGAGGATCTTGCCGCTGTGGACGACGACGAGGAAGAAGCTGAGGCCATCGTTATAAACGGTGGTGGTGGTCGGGAAGAGAGAGTGCGAGAAGCTGTGGCCAGCGCAACAATGAAGGTCACTACTCGCTCAGGGTGTCACGCGGAAGCAGAAATCCAAAAAGGAAATTGTCGAGAAATGTTTGAGCTACAGCCACTGAAAATAACAATATTTTTATTTCCGGACCCAACTCCCTCCGGTTTATTGTCTGCATATTGTGTGCCAATAAACAGTCCTCTGGCCCTCCGTCGTCGCTGCTGCGTTGGACGATGGGTGGAATTTCGAGCAGACCCTTTATCTAATCAGTTCGCGATCTAGCCGATCATTGAATCAGGAACATGGCTGGCTATTCCCGACGCCCACCGATCTGGCTGCGAAGATTCCACCTGCTCAGCGTCCTCACATGCAGCCTTCGTCTTCTCACATGTGTGATGCCCATGCACCCATTCTCGCAGAACGACTCAATTCCGGTCAAAATCTTTCCAAGTCCACTGCATCTCCCGCTCAGGACGGATTTCTACCTCCGAAGCAGTAATGTACCGGCTAGACAGTACTAACCTTTCGTGAACTTCGTGGGCAGCGGAGGGGGCACCCGATAATTGTTCTCCATGGGCCCATTGCCCACCAGTCTCGCCCCTCGGGTATATTCCATAATCTTGAAACTCATGTGCCCGGAGGAAGAACGTAATACCGTAACTACACTGAAAACTGACTTGTACTCAATATTAAGACCTCGCACATACCTTGCCCAGTTCCAAGGCCAGGCAGCGATGCCAACGGAGCACCCCTTTTCTACCCCAGTTCCCAAATATACCTCCATCGCAGCCTTTCGCCTCGGCGTACCACACCATACCCCTCTTTAGCCGGACCAATCAATTATATCGTCCACTTACCTCCGGACAGCCGAACTAGTCCGAAGTGTCATGGTACTTATAGCCCCAACATCGCCCCCTACTCACCGTCGTTGACCTAACGCCCAGCCTCTGTGGCATCCGCCATTCCTAAACAACATCCCCTTCACTTGACAATTTAGACGGCGATCCAGGTATCCCGAATATTCCCATCGGTATACTACAAAGTGCGGTGCCAAATACTTTGATACTATCGCCCAAAACGCGACTGATCCGATTCACTTACCTCCGTCCATATCCGACCGCCTGATAACGCTCTATGGCGAACTACCGGTGCCATCTCGTCCTTACCCCGGCCCTCCCCTTGTACCTTACCAGTTGACTAGCGACTGGTTGACTACTCACAGACACTCTTGATGCTCCACCAACTCATCATCTGCGTATGCCATAAAGCATGTGCATGAAACGTTACTTCATATGCCTCACTTTGGCAAGTTGCCAGAATCGCTACCCACCGGACTCCACAATCTCGACCGATTATTCCGGCCGTTCTCTCAGATGCTGATCCTGTACGCCTCGGACGTGGACCCTGCCGTAAAGCGGGAGGTTAAATAGATTTCACCTGTATATAGGTCCTGGCTCCATGACGTTGTCTCGTTCTCACCTCCAAGCACCATCGAGGTCCAAACTTGGGCCAGAATGTGACATTTACATATTCGTTCTCTCTACGATCTACCAGCGCCTTGGTTAATTCATCCCCGCCTTGCATCGAGGAGAACTATAATGCCGTTGCCCTGGTTCCCTTCCATTTCATTTACATAGTAAAACCTGGATGCAAGCTCGAGAGTTCGAGAGTTTGAGATCCTTAGTTGCACCCTTCTTTCAGAGCTGGGTAAAACAGTCAATACAAATTGCACCGCAAGCGAGTCTCAACCCTAACCAGTGGGATACGAAGTGTTGGCATCAGAGGAGGAAAGTGTGGGTGACTTGTTCACAAGACCTGGCCGGTAAGGGTGGCCGAAAAGCGTGTTCCTCGCTCGTGTATCGGTAGAAATGCGGATTGTTTCTGATCTGAATATGTGACAGACAAACGTCCTCTCATTTGGGGGATGCACCGGTGACGCTTATTATTGGCTCTCGGAATCTCATCGTGTCCTCTAAACAGCAAGAATTCGTTAGACGAAGATGGTGGGAGACATTAAGCCACCGCGTGTGCGCGCCGATCGCTTGGGCATTGTCCACCATTAGAGGAGAGTGAGGGGCTTAGCCATGTATATACGCGTAGCGCCGTATTCTGCAACCAAAATTACGCTTTGCCTGCATCAGGATGCGCTAATTAGTCGCCGATCAAAATGAATCAGAAATAGGATAAGGCACTAGTTATATCGTAAGGACTAGCTAGGATGATGATGAGTAGAAGTGACGAGAGCATCGTCGCCACTGTCCATGGAATCGTTCCAAAGGGCTAGATCCAGCTCTGGGGCGTGTACCACAAGAACTGCACGAAGAACAACCTGAGGATCAACAGAAGGGGCAGGGGCAAACGCAGGAAGTGTTGGAATGGGCAGTTCTTTCTATACCAGCGCCAGTCCATATGTCAATGTCCCGCAAGTGCGCAAAGCGTCAACGAACCTCCAATGTTTCGAGATGTCCTATTATTATTGCAGTGGCAAGACGCTCCCGAAGCCATGGGCCAGACCAACGGTCAACACACAACGCAACGTCAATTAACAGTGCCGTTTCTTTGTCGACGAGGAGCAACAGTGCTGAAGTTGGATCGTAGCATAGGACTCTGGTAGGCATCGATCAGCTTCGAGGCGTCATGGAGATTGGGTGGTCTGACTTTCCGGCTACCCTCAGTTTGTGTCCATTCAGGTGTTGGCCAACGAGGTCGAGCTTCGTCGGCACCGCCGATTCAATCTGTGACATGTCATAAAAGGTGAAGAGACTGAAAAAGCGGCAGATATCAGCAAAGCTGTTATATGATGCAGTAAGTAGCCTTGCGTCAAACCTTCTACCGAATGGTCAACATGGTCATACGCCCTACTGCAACTTGATAGTCACAATAGCCATTTGCAGTAGTGTGACACTTATTAACGTGTAACGGCTTGCTCCCTCGGAGTTTCATTTCGAACTTACTTCCCCGGTCACTGTCAGAGCGGGTCAGCACCGTATGTAGCATCCGTCATGACGAAATTGAAACCAAGTCTACTCCAAATCCGAGTACACAGGGGCTTCATTCACTGTTCTATATAACAGCGTGGCCTTTCTCTTTGACCCCTAATTTCGCCTTTCAGAACACTCAACTCAACCACTTTATCAGTTTCCAAGACGCCATGGGTACGTGCTGGGCTGCAGTCTTGGCGGCGAAGATTAAACCGCATCCAACGCAGGTATAGCAACAACCGTGAAAGACGCTTTAAAGGCGGACTTCACTGCGTCGTCGCTTTCGCAGGATAATACCAGAAGCCCGACAACTCCAGAACGCGGTGGAGAGGCGACCTCGGACATGAGGAGTGTTGAATCTGGCTCAGTCTCGCAGCCTGGTAACGCCTGGAACTCACCAACACAAAAGTCTACTCCATTGGCTAGCGTGAAAAGTTTCTTGAAGGCTGACTTATCTGCGTCGTCGGCGAAAGGCGTCGACAGAGGACCGCCTATTGCCAAAGCATCAACCGCCAACACGCCGTATGGGGGAAGTCACAATGTGCAGTCGGGCGCTACCAATAGCGAGTCACCGGACTATACCTCTCAGTCAGCCACCCTAGGGTCGGGAGGTCTACATCAAGGAGCATCGCCGAGCTTGAACCCGCTTAATCAGGAGACCTTCGACCACGGCGGAGGAGCAACTGTGGGCAACTTTTCGCAAGGAAGAAAGACACCGCCCTATGGCGACGCCAAGACAACCTCTGGGGTGCTCACCGAGAATATGTTCGCGCAGGTGCCAGGCGCCGAAACGGGCCAGGGCATGAATAACGTTACGACGGTGCATCCTGAGTTTACTGGAGATGGATCGTTCGACGATCTCATGCCCTCTGGCCAATTGATCGAGGACACTCGCCAGCTTAAACGTGAGTGGGCAGTTAAAGTTACATGTGGTTGCTCATCTCCCTGCTCCAAAACCAGCTGTCGTGCACGAAAGAATCCTAAGCGTCGAAGTGGAAGAAATCACTCGGGAGAAGCATCTCGAACGTCACGGTGCGTCGCGCAACTCAGTCAATGCCGAAGGGTCATCTGATCAATGCCTGGGTTAGTGCATCATATTCAACATCACGTAGTCCCAATCATCCACCGTGAAGAAGGCGAAGAGCACTTGCATCATCAGGTAGGCACTGTATAGGTAAAGGCCCAGGCGAAGTCACTAAGTCATTCCAGGCATATCCAGTGTCCCATGTTGTCGAGCATCACGCTGGCAAACCCGAAGATCAGGCTTTGCTCGAGTCAATCTTGAAACAAGGTAATACCACCGTCAGTACCCTATTCCTGCTTTATCCTTGAACCGAATCAATTAAAACATCGACCCATGCAGACCTCAGAGCCTACTCGTCGCACTGCAGTGGAAAGTGGCACAATTGTATACGAGAACATCCATCACCATTACCACAACATCATACAACCCGTCATCGAGAAAATCTGTTAGTTTTATGCTAATTTATGACGCTAACTACTCACGACACAATTCAGCGAACCTAGGCCTCGGTGATGCCCACTCGGAATTTTCCACATCTGCGAGGAAAGATGTCACAGGTTTAAATGAAACTCGTAGTTTCGGTGCTGGTAGTGTTGCCTCAGCCTCAGCCAATGCGGTGCCTTGTCCTAAATGTCACAACCAATCAAGCAACATTGCCGACGGAAACGTAGTACAAAGGTACTGAATATGAGTAGAATTGTACCTCGTTGTGGCTACAATAGTCGTCGGAAATGTAGTCCGCTAGTGTTTCAATTCGTCACAAAGGCTCCCCTGAACAGTCTCCTAATCCTTTCCGCAAAAGGGCCAAACACGTGACACAATTGAGAACTCGCGCTCCGCGCCTGTCAGTGTCACTTGTCACACATCTCTTCGTATCCTATCCCGGTTCGAGGATGAGTGTAAGACCACGCGTTCTCTCTATTTCGTTCGCTCAACGGGTTTTCAGACGTTTACCACTCAGGACGTGCCGATGGACGAGGACATCCTCAGCGATATTGTCCCAAGTAACATCGTTTCGCGCCAGGTTAGTGCATGCATGGCAAATATCGTCAGCGTTTACTGAGAGATGTGCTAGCCTAGCCAAGGCGCCGATGGCGAGAGCGAATTCGATGATGAAGATGAGCAGGCCGACGAGCTCATGAGCGAAGAGGATGATTATGCCGCCAAGGTAACAGTATATTTCTCCGTTCCGGGGACCAGAACTCAAGTAGCGGGTCACATCGTTGTAGCCTCAATCCAAGTCCGCAGAGCGTCAAGATAAAAAGCAGAAGAAGAAGGCCGCTGAGGGCAAGCTGCAGGAACAGAGACACGAAATGGACAAGGCCAAGGTGCGTATACTGAGCAATCCCGAGAAGGCTGCGTTTGTTGACAATGGACGCGTCCTAGATTGCGGATGCCGTCAAAAGGTACTCGTATCTTCTTGGTCAAACTGAGTTGTTCAAGCACTTCGTGGATCTGAAGGTTTGCTATGTGCAGTCATTACGTTTGTTACGAGGCTCACGGTCTGATGCAGAGAGCTCGGGATCCCGAGTACGCTGCAATGATGGACGCTCAACCAAAGCCCAAGGGGCGTGGAAGGAAGAAAGCGGTGTAAGCTATTGTGCTCCGTCGCGCGTTCAGGTCTAACGTAACGGAATGTCGTCTTAGTGATTCAAGTGCTCGACACCGAAAGTCAGAGAAAGAGGAAGACGAGGAGCTGCTGAAGGACGGCGAAATGGCTGTAGACGGGAATGACCAACCGTTTGTTTTCGAGGAGTCCCCTGCTTGTTCGTCCCCTCCATCTTTCCCCTCTCCCTCCGTGCAGCTAACCTGTCGACGTCAGTCATCCATGGAACTATGAGACCTTACCAGTTGCAAGGGCTTAACTGGATGATATCGCTCCATCACAATGGCTTGAATGGTATCTTGGCAGATGAGATGGTTGGTACCGTCGTTGCATTCTTGCTGAAGCTTATCCGACACTATGCAGGGTCTCGGGAAAACACTCCAAACTATATCCTTCTTATCGTACCTGAAACACCACAAGGATATCTCTGGTCCTCACCTCATCGTCGTTCCCAAATCAACTCTCCAGAACTGGAAACGGGAGTTCGAAAGGTGGACACCTGATTTCAATGTTACGGTACTTACGGGCACGAAGGATGAACGTCAAGAAATCATCACCAATCGCCTACTTCCTCAAGATTTCGAGGTCTGCATCACGACATACGAAATGTGTCTAATTGAAAGGACGTCCTTCAAGAAGTTCTCATTCGAGTATATTGTCATCGATGAAGCCCATCGCATCAAGAACGTTGATTCGATATTGTCACAAATCGTCCGGGCATTCACGTCGCGTGGTCGTCTGCTTATTACGGGTACTCCTCTCCAGAACAGTCTGAAAGAACTTTTCGCTCTCCTCAACTTCATTTGTCCCGAGATCTTCGTCGACTACGCCGACCTGGACAGCTTCCTGCATAAGGACACGCATGGAGAGGACGAGTCAGAGAAGAGCAAGAAGGTTGTCGAAGCTCTTCATAAAATCCTTCGTCCCTTCTTGCTCCGCCGTGTCAAGGCGGACGTGGAGAAGAATCTCCTTCCTAGTTCGTAGACTTCCTTACGACTCGGCTGCTTCTGGCTGATTCCTTTGTAGAAAAGGAGATCAACATCTACGTTGGTCTGACAGAAATGCAACGGAAATGGTATAGGTCCGTCTTAGAGAAGGATATAGACGCAGTGAACGGTTGGATTGCTTTTTAAACCATTCATACAAATGTTGACATTTTCAACAGGATTGACCGGGAAGAAGGAAGGCAAGACACGCCTCATGAATGTTGTCATGCAGGTGGGTTATTAGATCATTTTTTTATTGGAAAGATAACTCATTTGGCTGAACAGCTTCGCAAAGTAACTTGCCACCCTTATCTCTTCGACGGTGCTGTTCGTATTCTTCTACGATACCCACTTCCGTGTCACTATTCTCATCTTTATGCAGGAACCTGGTCCACCGTATACCACCGATGAACATCTCATCGAGAATTCGGGGAAGATGGTCATTCTCGACAAGCTACTGAAGTCAATGAAGGCCAAAGGCTCTCGTGTTCTAATCTTCAGTCAAATGAGCCGTGTGCTCGATATACTCGAAGACTATTGCCTTTTTAGAGGATACAGTGCGTGCATCTTCCCCTTTCTCCGCCTGCAGATAGTGACGCTGGTCCAGAATACTGTCGAATTGATGGTGGTACAGCTCATGATGACCGTATCGCCGCCATCGACGAATACAACAAGCCTGAGAGTGAAAAGTTCATTTTCTTGCTCACCACCCGTGCTGGAGGTCTAGGTATCAATTTGACAACGGCGGATATCGTTGTTTTATACGACAGCGATTGGTTTGTGAAATTGTGTCGTTCGAGTGCCTACTTGTACCTGATCCTTTTGCTATATACAGGAATCCCCAAGCTGATCTTCAAGCCATGGACCGTGCTCATCGAATCGGACAGACCAAACAAGTCTACGTGTTCCGCTTTATCACTGAAGGCAGTGTTGAAGAACGAATGTTGGAGCGTGCAGCCCAGAAACTACGACTTGATCAACTAGTCATCCAGCAAGGCCGTCAGCAGCAAACCAAAGGTTATCTCGTCGCCTTACCCGAGCATATGAGTACTAACAAAGTACCTAGCTGCCAACAAGGATGAACTTTTGGAGATGATTACCCACGGCGCTGACAAGATCATCAATTCTACCAGCGGCGAGTACGTACCGTGTCCCCACCGACATTCCTTGTCTATCGCTGACATCCATTACAGTTTCATGGTCAACGGTGACATCGACGAGATCATACACCGTGGAGAGGAGCGCACCGCCGAGCTAAACAGCAAGTACGAGGGCTTGAATTTGGAGGATCTCAGCAACTTCAAGTCGGAAGCGTCAGTGCAACAATGGGAAGGAGAAGATTTCAGGTCTGGAGTAAGCGACGGTCGACCTGTTGTTTCGTTAAACGATACTCATTATTTGTTAGCAACGCAAAGGTCTCAATCTCAACATCCTCTCTCTATCGAAGAGAGAACGCAAGACGAACTACTCGGTCGACAACTACTTCAAAGACACCCTTCGCGCTGGCCCCTCCAAAGTCGACAAAGCTCCTAAAATCCCTCGTGCTCCAAAACAAATATCTATGTATGTCCCTACTACTGAGTTAGGGATGCCTGCTAACGTCCCACCCCAGCCAAGACTTCCAGTTCTTCCCTCCCCAACTAGCTCAGCTACAAGAACGTGAACTTGCTGTGTTTAAGGTTGGTCTGCATGTTGGAGAATCCGGATTTCCGTTGACATCTATTGTACAGCGACAAAATGGCATTGTAGCTACTATCCGAGAATCGACCGACCCTGAGGATACGCCTGAGAAGCTCGAAGAAGAGAGACAAGCAGCCCAAGAGTTCATTGATACTGGTAAATTGCTCTGCGCCTTTCGTGATCTGTCTTCTCATCCCCTCTAAGCCGAGCCCCTGACGGAGGAGGAGATGGTCCTGAAAGAAGAATATATTGCGGATGGCTTTCCGGAATGGAGTCGTCGAGATTTTCAACAATTCATACGAGGACTGGAAGCCTATGGGTGGTACGTGAGAGCCTCAAAGTGCCCCCATATAACAACTGACTTGGACATTTACAGGGGCGAAGACTTCGCCGTTTATGCAGCTGAAATTCAAGATAAGACTCCAGAAGAAGTCGAGGCGTATTACAGAGTCTTCGAGAAAAAGTGGAAAACGTTGTCAGAATATCCCAGGATTGTTGTTCGCATTACCGAAGGAGAGGCGAAGCGGAACAAACGAGACAATCTCGAAAACCTCCTCCACGAGAAAATTACTTCCGTCCGCTACCCTATGCAAGAGCTGGAGCTCAACTACCCCCAGACGAAAGGAAAGGTGTACAGCGAGGAGGAAGATAGATATCTCCTATGCCGCCTACACCACTACGGGATGCAAGCAGATGATGTCTATGAGCGGATAAAGAAGGACATAACAGAGTTCCCTGTCTTCCGCTTCGACTGGTTCTTCAAAAGTCGGTCGCCTCAAGAGTTGCAGCGGCGGTGCAATACACTGCTTGGTATGATTGAGAAGGAAGCAGAGGCTCGACAGCAGGAAGAATCAAAGTCGAAGGGCCCAAAGGGCAAGGTGGGGCTGCCATGTCTTCATTTACGTGAGCATTCGCTGATGGCTGCCTTCAGAAACGGGGGCTGGAAGAAGTCCAGAAATCAGACAAGAAAGCGTCAAGGCCTCCAACGCCTGTATCATCTGCCAACGCATCCGCCAAGCGTCCTGCGAAGAAAAAGAAGGCATAAACATTAGGCTACTTCCACGTATCTTCGTTCCTTGTCTTGTATCCCATAGATTTCTGCCACATACACATGCCTTTAATGTAAGCTCTGTATCTTGTATCCAGAAACTTATGTTTCTTCCAGGTCTATAAACGGAAATGAACGGAAGCGACAGAGCGCTACGAATGCAGACAACTACATGACGACGGACCTCTTTCACACGCCGTTTCTTCAGCGAGCGCCACCACAGATATCAGCCTCATACTCTCATCCCTTCTCCCTCTCCCCACCGCGCGATCCGCTTCCCCAGTTCCGTTTAACAGTTTGATGGCCTTAAGGCCCGACGGTGCTCGTTATCTTTCTTCTTGATGGGTGAAGTAGGAAAGAGCTCACGGACGTTTATTGTATTCTAATTTTAGTGGTGCAGGAGAGTGCCACCCTGTGACATAGCTCTCAAGAGCTGCTATAGAAAAAATCCCAAAGTCCAAGGGTAAGGGGGGTCAAGGTGGGTATTTCAACCATTGCAACAGAGGACGGCGTTGCCGTCACGGTGACAGTGGGTTTACACATCGCAAGTACATACAGGGATAATCTATATGTCCGAAGGATGTAGCAGGGATGAGTCCGACTAGATGTTGGTGATACGAGACCGAAAGCACGACGATACAGAGAGAGAGAGAGAGACGACGAGTACAAGAGCCTAACTAAACAGTAATCAAGTACGGGAGCGTCTGAACGGGTTGTGTATAGAGAAACGGGGCTTCTTAGAGGGGGAGGGTTGACTCTCTCCTTGAGCATGGGACGGAGTACTTTGTTCGTCGCCTGAAGGATCAGAGACACTGCGCCGTGCCAATGGCGGGGGTGCCGCGGCAGGCTGGGTGTGGGGGACAGGCTCTGTGGAGGGCATCGTCGACGCCTGCTGCGGCTCGGGTGCATGGAATCCTTGGTTCGAGTAAGATGGTTGGGGGGCTGGTTGGGGGGCTGGCTGGGGTGACCACGAACCATTGGGTGGGGAACCAAAGGGCGTACCACCCGGAGAAGACCCATACATGCCGGTGAAAGGGAATCCATAAGGCATACCATTCGCTGCTTGTTGTCCTTTCAGTTCAAGCATTATAAGCAACAAGCTAGGTACTTCAAGCAGCGCTCAACGTACGGTGGGTTTCAAAGAAATTGGAGTTTCCGTTCTGGGGGCTGTAATTAGCATGACCTCCGACGAAGCGCGCGCTCGGGGGGGCTATCGATAGCACGGTCAATGATAGGAACTTAAGAGGTAGCTAGCAACATACTGTAACCGCTGTTGTGGCACTGAGAGTTGAACATGTCCGACAAATTATTGACGGCGCCAACATGTTTGCTGTTATCAACGGACTGGACGTTGTTGGTCCCAATGTGAGAATTATTGTATGTGTTGGAAATAGCCATCTTTGTCGAGGAGGACCAGAGGATCAGAGTGCTGGAAAAAAGGCTGGGATGAGGAGTTCCGATTGATGTTTTCCGAGGAGGGAGTCCCTCTCCTGATTTATACGTGGAAGTAGCGGCCGATTTGGACGTATCCTAGGAGTCGAGGAGGCCTTGTCCTACATTCAGTCATAAGTAGAATCTTGGTGATCCGTCTTCATCAATTGGAATACATGGTCGTAGAAGGCAGTTTGACGGCATGTCAGATACACGAGGACAAGGGACAAGCGTCTCACCAATTTCTCAATATAGTTGCCCATGTCAAAGCGTGTAGACTTTACCGCCCGAGTGGGATGTTGTTGCCCAGCGGCCAATATTTGGCCTTATTTGGTGTAGCTTTGTACGTCCTCGTTCAGTGGACCCACACGCGCCCACAACCTAACAATGAGAAATACAGCGACATCCGTCTCGCTCCGTTTAGCCGTTGAGTCTTGCGATCTTCGTCTTACCTGTAGAACCGCAAAGTTCCTCAGCGGTAGCTTGTTGAGATAACAATAATTCATGGAGCTTCTCCTACATTTATCTCCTTGCGTGACAGGGTACACAGGGCAATTCATTATGAAGCTCTTGTACTTATTCTCTGGCATACACACGCTAGGCAGTGTCTGTCCGAGATCCAGATTTGTCCAGGATCCTTCAGCGCAGTGTGAGAATACCCGACGTCGTTGAGTTCGTCCTTCTGTCGCCAATATCCTTGCCCTCTTTTTTCTTCTTTAGGTCAGAGTTATCCCATATTCTCCAGAATTTCAGATTCTCGTCGCCTGCACCCGTGCAAACTACATCACCCGCGGGCCCAATAGCACTGAAAAGCACCCGTGAGTCATGGGCGTCTCGAATCTCAGCCACACGATCCATGCTTGGGTAGGCGTGAACCATGATTGAATTGGTCGGATAACCATGGGTGCTCAACAGCTCCTTCTTACCCGGCGCCCACAGGATGGAGGTTACCTGTGAAGGTGTTTGAACGGTGTGTAGGCGAGCGCCGGTGGTGCTGTTCCAAACGTTAATTGTCGCATCGTTGGTTCCTCCTCCAGAAGCGAGCAGAGAAGGTTGCCAGGGGCACCACGCAATCGCCTGTATGAGTGAGCAAAGACATCAGTTTATTGTCCTGTCTCCAGCGGTGTTCCCACAGACCTTGACTGCCGCGGTATGGTTCCTTTTCGTCCATTTGGCCGTCCCCCTGGCGCCTTCGCCCACGTCACCCAGGCGTGCATCCCAGATGTTAACCACATTGTCATTACCACCGCTCGCCAGGAGCTCGCCATCGGACCTCCATTTCAAACCGCAGACCTCTCCTGTGTGTCCCATCAGTTCCATCACCTTGTGTCTAGGCATGCGGACATCGTGATGCCAGATACTTCCGTCGCCACACCCTGAGCTCAAGATGTGCTGATACCACGATAAGACGGCGATCTGGCCCTGGTGACCTGCCATAGATCGTAATTTCTGTCCAGTCTCGACGTCCCATAGTTCCACATCGCCCGTTCCAATTCCAACACCCAAGTAGGCCCCGTCATTCGAGAAGTCAACGGCGGAGATGTATGCTCCTTCTGGTGCTTCTCCCAGCTGTGTTACTTCGCCTGTGTCTGCTCTCCAAACATATGTGCTGGTCTCCAGTGCCACAGCCACCGTATTCAGGCAGGACCAACTAAGCAAATTGAGATAAAAGTCGTCGACCATCCCAGGTGCATCCAGGACCCTCTCGGGTGTTGTTGAAATCTTCCGTGATTTATTGGTAGTAGCACCCGTTGAGCTCGAGATGGCACCGGGGCGAGCGTGGAGCGGGCGAGCGAATTCACGCTGCTGAGCGAGAGAGGTATCTCTGGATGGAAGGGGAGGTTGCTCATGGTAGCCGAGAATACGGCGGTTGACGGGGACACCCGTTGCTTCAGCAAGCCGGGCGGTGTGTCCAGGGGAGGCAGATGGCGGGTTGACCGAAAGCATGTCGAGAGGCGCTGTGATCTCTTTGTCGACATCGCGACTAGTTATAAACCGATCCCTCTGGTCAAGGCCAACTCGATTCTGAAACAAAGGGCTTGCCTCGAGGCTGCATTTAGACTCAAAGGGATATGCGTACCGTTGCGGGTGTTGACCTGGACCGTCTGATTTCGCTCTTTGGTTGTGGAGGCGGTATATAGTCCCTTGTAACCACATCTAATCGGCTTTCAATACCGCCTTTGCGAATGACACCTCCTCCTGCTTGTCTCTGCAACGAGTCCGCTACGTTGATTCCCCCGCTCGCCTGGCGTTTAGACGGTGAAGCCGGTCGAGATCGTGGTCTCGCAGAAGCAATAAATGGATTTGTAGTATCGAAAGCACCAGTGGAAGATTTGGATTTCAGAGGTGCTTTCGGACGCTTCGTTGGCGATGAATTCGAAGGCGCTAAGGACAGCGAGTTGATCCCCGAAAGAATAGAGGGTGTCAGAGGAGTTTTCGCCTCAGAACGAGCTCTTTGACGAGACGGTGTCTTTGGGTGCAGTGAAGACATTTCGGCGAGGTAGATGGTAACAGAACAAGTTGAATGTATGGCATGCGTCGAACATGCGGCGCCTATCGCCTCAACTTTGGGTCAGGTGATCGCGTAAAGGCCCTTGAAGATTATCTGAAGATACATGACTTCAAAGCTTCAAACTTTGCTTCAAGGGTTGCTAGTATACTCATATTATGCTCATGAAGTAATCTCGTTTAGTATGTGTCGAGCAATGCTCAATTTAGGCCGGCACATGCACTTGCTTTCTGGCGAGCACTGTGCTCTCGCCCCTAAGTAGCATTCCCACGCTTGCACGTCAAGCCCTGTGCTCACCGTCGTGCCCAAGTGCACAAACTGCTACCATGGTGAGTGAGACAGTTATACCTTCATGATCATTCGCGTTAACGACTGAAGATGCTCTCTAGCTCATCTTCTCCGTGTTCAAAACTCTCACAGACCAGCAAGTCACGGTCGAACTTAAGAACGACTTATCCATAACCGGCGTCTTGAAATCCGTCGATCAGTATGTTGAAGATTTCACATTGGCGTGCGTTAGGACTAACAGCATCTACAGGTTCTTGAATATTAGGCTGGATAATATCAAAGTCTTAGATGAAGCACGGCACCCACATATGGTGAGTCACCATCCTAACGCTGATCGCGTGCAGCTGCTCATGACCGATGCGTGTAGATGGCAGTGAAGAACTGTTTCATACGTGGATCGGTGGTGCGATACGTGCAACTGCCAGCGGAACATGTAGACACCCAACTTCTGGAAGACGCTACGCGGAGGGGTGCGTGTCCTATGTACAGGAATTGTCTCTGCGACTCATGCTCGACTTGCAGAGGCCCTCACCCAAGTAAAACGATGACACGGATACAGATATCCTTCCCAGTCAATTATTCGACTTCGCTGCATGATACCCTACCTACTTGGCTAGCCTGTATAGTTGAGATGGGTGCGTCTCAGAACTCTATCAAACAACGTGACGATGGAATCGCAATTAAGACAAGTACAATGCGAACGAATCAACTACAGCAGTATGCACAATAGCAGAAACAAGCTAACTTAAGTCAGGCTGCTTCCAGATTTTGACAGCCCCGTCCGCGCTCGCAGTAATCAATTCACCTGCATCCGTAGGATGATGTTCGGTCCAGGTGACAATTTTCTGATGTACCTTCGGCGGTGGGTTCGGAGGCATGGGTTTGGCCTGAGGTGCACTTGATTAGCCAACGTAAGATATCCATCGTGCAGCAACTTACATCCAATAAATCCCAAGCCCATACTTTCCCATTTTCATCTCCACACACCACAGTCGCTTCACCGTGGCCGAAACATGCCCTACATCGGTACGACGCGTTGAGATGCCCGGTGAAGTCATTGAGCATCTTCCCCGTGTACATATCCATCAGACGGATATGTGAGTCTAATGAGGTCACAAGCAGGGTCTGCGCATCTTGTGTTGGCATGACGGAGGTGACAGCTTCTACAAGGTCTGTTAGTGTCTGGATCCCGGAGGGGCATGTAGGGGAGAAAACCTACGGCCTATGAAATCGGACCGGAATTCTCCCTTGCGAAGATCGTACGTTCGAACGTATCCGTCGATGGAACCGGTGACAATGTATGTCGATCCAACATGAAGAGCTTGGATAGCATCTGTAGCGTCGTCTAAAGTCTGTATGGGTTGACGATTCATAGCGCTACGCTGATCAGTCGATGAGAGACAGGTTAGAGATACGATAATCTCACCGTAGATCCCATAGTCTGACGGTGGTGTCGAATGAGCCTGGACAGACTTCTTCAGATCTAACGTCAAGGCAGATTCATGAGGAACAGGTACCGCTTGCTAGCACGGTGGCTTGGTCGTTATATTCAACAGTGTATATCTTCCCCATGTGTCCGGATATCCGGCGTGTCGTTACACCAGTAGCCACATCCCAGACGAAAACCGAACGGTCTCCCCCTGAGGAAGCGAACTGTGCATTGTCGTGCGCACTATCCAAGAGTTGAGTCCCTACATCGGACCAGCATGAAGGAGTGCCATACATACTGAGAGACAGCACCTCGTAACCGTGTGCAGTGAAGGCCTTGATCTCTGTTCCCGACGTCGCGTTCCAGAGACGCACGCTGCGGTCTTGGCCACCAGTCATTATGTATTTCGCGCTTCCCTTGGAGTATCTGGCCACATTGACGGGCCCTTTGTGAGAACTGAGAGTAGCATGGAGTGTTCGAGCAATTGGCAGGGGACCACGGGATGGCGCCATGGCGAGGGAGTAGACGGGACGCGGAGAAACGATGAGTATAGGCGCCTAGATCACTTCTCTGTTATCTTTCCTCAGATGCCGACGACCAGGAAGCGAAGTCTGTCCCCTGCAGCGGCCATACTGCCTCCACCGAAACGACGTGAATTCTTGTTGAACACAAAGCCTCCGGATCCTGACAAGACAGGACTAGAGAGGCTCTACGACGAACTCATTGTCCACATATTCTCCTACCTCTCCTATGCCGACCTGTGCGCAGCTCAGGCAGCCAGCAGGAACTGGTACCGGCTGGCGTCAGATAATCACATATGGAAGTCACTCTACCTGAGTGCTTTCGGACGGACGAGACTGCGCGGGGCGAGGGGATTCGTGGATAGAACGGATGGGCGGGTGGTTAGACCGTTACCTGGGCGAGCCAAGGGTCACGAAGATACCAAGGACTGGAAATGGATGTTCAGAATCAGCTCAAATTGGAGGAGAGGTTCGTAGGAACGCGCAGAGCCGTCAACACTTACACTGAACTTATCCAGGACGGTGCAATGTTGAGCAATTGCATGAGCCGGTCGAGGGCGACACGGCCAATAGCGAGGATAACTGCCATGTTCTACTCGCTGGCCCGCTCATCATATCTGCGTCTGCTCAGATAACCTCCTCGCCTGTTATCTGCATCTACAAGCCAGCTGTAAATGCGGATAACACTCCTACCACCACCCTCTCCTGCCCCTCTGCTCATAATTTACCCTGTTCCGTGACGACGCTAGCCCTTGACCAGTCACATCCACGGGCAAGCAACACTCTCAAGGTTGTTGCATTCCTCTCCAGCGGGGAATTCCTGGTCTTCGATATAAATCATGAAGACCCGGCCAAGTCCACCCGGAAGCTTCTATACGTCCCAACTCATCGACCGGGGCAGCATAGGCTAGCCGACCGTACTTCACCTATTGTCCAGGCTGTATACCACCATCCCCTACTGATCAGTCTGTCGAAGACCTTTCAGCTCAGTATATATGACTTATCGAACAACGGCGCGCAACACATGCAAACGCTGTCGTCATATACATCGTATCCACCGACTTCCTTCGTGTTATCCACGCCGACACCGACAACATACAAACTGGTGATGGCATATGCAATACCCGTATACCCCTCTCACTGGACCGTAGGTGCGACGGAGCTCATTATTGCAGCCCATTCACCATCGCGGTCGTCCCTTTCTGAATCGTCCGAGCCACCGTCGCCTTCCTCGGTGTTCGGCCCCGGGCCCCTTTCTTCCCCTCTCACTGTCGTTTCTTCACGTACGGCGCGCGCTCTAGACGTTCCTCCAGGTTTCATCGACGACAATAAATTACGCCTTATGCGGGAACAATGGGGCCGCAAAGTCGCTCACGTTGCAGACACCCAAACTGATGGCAAGTGGCTGGTACTTGCTCCCGCACCGCGGGAGATGTCTTCCGATACACACCACCGCATCGCGAGTGCGAGCGCAACTCCGCCTCTTCGTTCGTCCACGACACTCCAACTCTACCGACTTAGTTTGCCGTCAGCCCCGGCTAGGCCTCACTCAACTGGTCAATCCAAAATCACATTTGTTCGCTACTTAGAAGGTCAGACGTCTCCTGTCTGTGCGCTTGCGTTAGCAGACGGTAGATGTGTGAGTTTGGGCATGAATGGGAGCATTTGGGTATGGGATCTTGAGAACGGAACTGGAGCTGAAGTAGCAGCACCCACTTCCATCCCTTATCATCTTGGATGGGAAGCAAGGCCTGGTAGCGTAGTGTTCGACGACAGACGCATAATCACAGCTGACCGTGACGGAATTGTAGTTCGTAGATTCGATATTTAAGACGTATTTTATTGGTTGTTGTGTAATGGTTTCAATTGTACAACATACTGACCGTACTCACACCCAACGGCACCGCAGGAAATTGTGGAAGACATAGCGTATATTGCAGCGTATCATGGATGAGACATGTGAGAAGTATTTGTTGATAACAAGCATAACCACCATAGTTTCGAAGACTCCATGCCTACCACAAACGTCACAGTGCGCGCCGCTGCATCAAGATGGCCATGTAAATAGTGACAAAATGTGGAGAATTAGGCGTGGGCGTGCTTCTGTTTGCCGGTTCTGATCTTGCGGAGGTAGAACTAGACAGATATCGGTAAGTACAGGTAAGATCAACCAAGAGAGAGGCATACCTCGAGTTCCTTGCCCTCGAGAATGTAGCCGTCAGCACGACCGGACTGGCCAGGTCGGCTTGAGATGGCAGCGTAAAGTCGGCCGGCAGCGAATTGCGACTCAAGTAGGGGGTCAATCTTACCCTCTAAAGTATGACATCAGCATCAGATACAGATGACAATGCGCAACTCAGACGAACCCTTCTTCCTCTCGTCAAGAATGCGCTGTACGTGCTGGGAGACTTTTTTGGGCTCTTCGTCGGCGGGGGCTTGAACTTTGCCCTTTTTGGTCACTGGTTGAGCGTACTATGTGCCAAGAGATAGTTAATATCTATCCACACCCACAGATATAGCGATATCACTTACGTGAGCTTCGTACCATTGGCGGAAGGGAGTAGCATCGATCTGGATAATGGCGCTCTTCACGAGGGTGTTGGTTCGGACGAGCTCGTTGTTCGATGCGTTGTAGACCTACAGAAACCGGAATCACAATCAAAGGAACGATAATCATGGCACTGATCTTATACGCACGACACCGATAATCCTCGTCTTCCTCGTCACAGTCTCAGAGCCCCAAGCAAAGTTACCGGCCTCGAGACGAAGGGCACGGAACTTCAAGTTTCCTCCACGGACGCGGACAGTGTGAACACGTTTGGCACCCAACTTGGTGTTGGCAGGTTGACGACCGAGCTCAAACTTTCTCTTCTTGCGGTAGTGTGCGCGTTGTGCGCCGGAGGCAGAGCGTTTGTGCCTTGAGGTTCGGGAGATACCTATCAGTGTAAGAGATACATTCAGCCTTCATTAAATTTTGGGGAGGGGGGGCAGCACGAACCCATGGTCGAAGTCTTGAGGGATGGCGAGCGAGATCTTGGACGATACTTTGTGATGATACCTCTACAATCCCACGCCTTAAGGTTCAAGTATTTACGTCTCCGATTCGGTCGAAGCCGACTCTCAGCCACGTGCCGATGTGGATCCCCTGTCACTACATGGGATCGTTAGCTCTTGACCACCATGTTCCTCTCTGGCTGCAACAACACGAGCTTTCACTGGAGGTGCGTGCTTCTCTGCCGGGAGCTGACCGGCGACTCAACAATATCACCGTCGCAGAATTTCATTCCTGCTTATTTCCTAATGACATCGTTCAGGTCAACGATGTACTGTAACATTAGAACATTGTCAATGGCTTTTGTCGCGACGAATCACCGAAGCCTTTAGTACAACGCTGTCCACGTCTCCGTGCTTGCTGCTGAATGAATTCCTCAAACTCGATTCCATACTTGTAGCGCTAATCAAGATGCAGATTCTCCGCGCGCCTCTCAGTTGGTTCCCACTTATCCTCGTACCACAGGCCTTCAGGAAGACTCGGGAGCTTCCTGAAGCTCTTCGATAGATACCTCTACGTAAGCACATATATGCCCTTAGACCGACATCGTTCTGACAGGTGACTAGAGATCTGAATAATATCGGCTCACCATCTGAGCATCAGCTGGTTCGTTACGAAAGCATCTGCAAGGCAGAGGGCGTCAATGCCTCGTTGAATAAGCTAGTCCTCAAGGTCGAGATTCCCTCAGCTTGAGACTCCATCTTCCGGCAGCCACCCCGATTTCCCACTTTGATTTGACGTATCATTTGATATTCACCTTATCCTTCTGAAACCCGCCGATAGCCCCGATATACCTCAGCAAGCCGAAAACATCGTCGTACAATGGAATACTTAAAGATCTACAAGGATGACTTTCGACACGCCCGACGTCTCTACGAAGATAAAGCGTTCGACGGCTCGCGCCGTTAAACTCAGGAATCGCTTTTAACAGATAGTGTATATTGCCTCCTACTGGCACCATTCTACTCTATCATTAATGCTCATACTCCAGGGGCGTTCCCAATATCGTCGATGGGTATCGCCTGACGATTGCTGGGTATTTACTTTGGCAAAGGCGTCGTTTCGCGTGGAACCGTTATTGGTATGTGATTCCAGAGAATCACTGCCTTGCACGTCCGCGAAGACAGCCATCAACTTTACGTCCTCGATACAGAATCGTACGTCTCACCCTCGATCTCGAGTGTCATGTGTGTATTTAATAGTTCTGAAGTTCCAGTGTCAGCACTTCGGCGGCGTGTCGTCGGACAAATGAATGGATTCTCGGCCTCAAACTGTGGTCTACTAGGCTGGAGCTTTGATGTCCATGGCGGGCCGCAACATCTCTACGACCTGTCAGTGCCCTGGTGGCCTGTGGTTCCGGCTTCTATCGAGCTCAAGTAACATTCATCCCCTTCGAGGTCACCCGTCAAGATCGGTGACAAAACAAAGCATACCAATCCCACACTGCCACTAGCGCTATGAACATATTTAAGCACTGCCCTTGTCTCTTTCTCCTACCTCAAGTAGCTTCGCCTCGTCCAAGCCCTCGCATTCACCCTCGCATTCGCCATGCCTTTCTTCGACAAGGCCTCAGACTTCACTATCACCGACAGTACAATGAACGATGTTGCCGGGGATTATCGCATGAATAAAACTACGAACAACACCACTGCCACTAATTCCAACAATACTACCACCGAAACTGTGACCGATTCTTACAACGACTCCTCAAAAACTGTTCCTAATGGTGGGTTTGCCATTTCTCTTGCCTAAATGCGTGATACTGACGTCGAATGGTCATTAAGGTGTTGGCAGGCGGGACAGAGGTCAGTGCTTCTAGCTGTACTTTGCCATGCGTGGAGTTAGATGATCGACATTTGGAGCTCCGAAAAAGTAGTCAGAGCAAGATAATCCAGCGCCTTCGCAGCCGTTTGCACTTCAGACCATGTATTCCCGGTGCTCGTCCTACGTGCTTTGAAGCGTATTCAAATTGTCATAGTTGTATACTGTATTCTAATCGATGGATAACGAACGTTGGTGGGACAATTCCAAAACCAGTTATTGATATTGAGAGGTAGAAAGGAAGTGTTTGCAGATATAAATCTCAAAGATTTGCTATCGCTAAACCATGTATCTTTACGAAGAAATCCTGGTAGCGATTGCGCAAGACGGCCATCAGCTTTGCGTCCTTGATGGCGGTATCATACAGAATCGTACGTCTCACCCTCGATCCCAAGCACCATGCGTGGGTTTAATAATTCTGGAGTTCTAGTGCTAGGAAGTCTTCAACGGCGCGTCGTCGGACAAATGAATGAGCTCCCATCCTCAAACAGTAGCCTACTAGGCAGGAGCTTTGGCGTCAACGGCAGGCGCAATCTAGTATGCTAAATAACAGTGCCTGGGGGACTGTCACGGTGGCCGTTCGAGCTTCTATCGAGCGCCAGTATCACTCACCCCCCTTCGAGGTCACCGGCCGAGATATGTGACAAGCCATATCAACTCCTCACGCGTTACAACGGTCCTTAAGACTTATCGATCTTCACTTTCCTCACTTTCACCATGCCTTTCTTCCCTAACGCAACTGGCTTCACTGTCGAAAAAACCACGATGAACGACATTGCTGGGAATTATACCGAGGACAATAACACCACGAACAACACTACCACTGATTCCAACAACACTAAAGCTGAAACTCTTACCAATTCCCACAACAATTCTTCACAACGCATTGCTGTTGGTGGGTTTACCATTCCTCTCACCGTTGATGTGTCATACTGACGGCGGCCCATGATCAATCAGGTCCTGGCAAACGGGGCAGAGGTATACGATCCTAGTTGTATCTTGTCGTGGATAGGGTGAGACGATCGGTTTTTTGCAGCTCCGAGAAAGTAGCCAGAAAGGTTTTGCTTCTTCTCTTTCTCTTACGTGTGATAAGTTACTGATGTCGAATGATTGATTAGGTGCTGCTAAGTGGACCAAAGGTAAGCGATCCTAGTTGCATCTTGTCATTAATGTAGTTAGATGAGAGTCGTCGCCGTTGGCAGAGAGCAAACTCAGCAACTCCGCAAAAGTTCTTTCTTGCATTTTTGTAGTTCCGATCCCCTCCTTTGTGCTATGAAGCGTATTCAGACTGTTACATGTTCTTCTCTGGCTGCAACAAAGCGAATTTTCACTGGATGTGCGTGTCTCTCTGCCTTGAACTGATTGATGATTCAATAGCACCATAGTTGCAGAATTTTAGTCCTGTTCACCTTCTAATGATACCGTTTAGGTCAACGATGTACTGTAACATTGGAACATTGTCAAGGGCTTCTGGCACGACGGATAACTGAAGTTTTCCGGACAGCGTTCCTCACGTAATTGCCACGCATATAGCGCATGTTGAACGCGCGTTTGTGCTGCAGCCCTTAAATAGCTGACTGCGTGCATGCACCCGAATGAATGCCTCAAACTCGATTTCATACTTGTAGCGCTAGCCAAGATGCAGATTCTCAGCGCGCCTTTCAGTTGGCTTCGACGTATCTTCAAGCCTCGCGCCATCACACTACAGGACGACTCGGGAGCTACTTCTGTCCTGAACAGAGAACTCGAGCAGATCCTTGAATCTACGACATACTCGACTACGCGAAAGGTATTCTAGCATGACGCTAGTTCTATGGCTTGTGCTGATCTTCTTCTCTTTCCGGAAGGTCATAAGACAGGAATTGCAATCATTCCTGAAGCTCTTCGATAAATACCTCTATCATAGTGCCAATGGCCATAGCTTGTAAGCGTATATATGCTCTGAAATTGGTGTTATTCAGATATGTGGCTAGGGATCTGACGAAGATTACCCCACCTTCCAAGCATCAGCTTGTTCGTTACGAAAGTATCTGCAAGGCAGAGGACGTCAACGCCTCGTTGAGTAAGCTAGCCGTCCTTAAGGTCGATATTTCCTCAGGTTGGAGCTCTCCATCTTCTGGCCACCGTACTCCCAAAATACTGATATGACCCTCCCTAGATTTGGTTGTACTTGGTGGTCAGGACGGAGGGTCTTTCCTAGACTTGACAGTGCAGCAGATTTCCAACCTCAGTTCGACATATGATGTTGATATTCCACTTATCCTCTTGAAATCCCTCGATAGCCTCGGCAGTTCTCAGCAACCAGAAAATATCGTTACTATAATGCAATCGAAGTACCCCAAAATCTTCAAGGACGCAGACTCGCCCTACAGAGTCTTCAGGAGTGCTAGTGGCGGCTTTGACTGGTGCCCCGCCGGAAACGGCGATATATACAATACTATTATGCGGTCTGGCATGCTAGATCAATTGCTATTGCAAGGGAAAGAGATACTGTTCGTATCCAACTTGGACAATCTAGGCGCAACGTTCGTCCTCCCTTCATGTAATCGTCGTAGTCTCTTGCCTGATCATACATGGCACGCACAGGGTCGATCCTCAAATACTGCAGCACATGGTGGCCACAGAGACAGATTTCATGTTGGAAGTGGTCGAGAAAAGACGAGGGCAAGCAAAGGTTGGTGATATATCTCGTCTCGAATCACTCAGCTAACAAGAAAAACGCAGAGCGACATCTTGGTTTCCTCTGCGGGTCAGCTTACCTTGTTGATGGAGAATCATGTTCCTTCCGATCGCTTCGACGATTTTCAGTTCGGTATGCGCCCTTGATTCTATTTCCCTTCTTTCATTAACTCTTGACGTACAGCTCAAGGGTTCAAGCACGGAAATACCGGAAGCCTGTGGATTAATCTTCCTGGTAAGTAGTTTCTTCCTTCGCCGAAATAACCAACCAACTCTCGTTAGCATTGAAGAGGGCCATGGAGCAGGATAGTATGCATTTGGACGTCGTCGCAAACACTACAGTTACTTCGGATAACCGTAGCATCATCCAGGTACGTAGGACACCCTTACGTGCTTATTTATACATGCGTCTTACTGATTTTCAGTTGGGAACCTCGGCGGAGTCTGGCATACAGTGCTTTAAGAAAGCCCTGGGCGTACACGTCCCAAGCCACCGATTCCTGCCAGTCAGAACTTGCTCTGACCTGTTGTTGGTGAAAAGCAATGTCTTCTCCCTTCGACACGGTCGACTTTGTCTGAACGAAGCCAAGGTATTCAACGATTTGCCCGTCATCAAGCTCGGTGATCGCTTCCACCAGGTAGTATATATTCCTCCACTATATTGCCTTTGTTCTGCTTTATCACTGATGCGCACTCACAACCACAGGCATCCGATTTACTGGAACGCTTCAAAGATATTCCCAATCTCGTCGATTTGGATCACCTAACGGTTGTTGGGGATGTCCACTTTGGCAAAGGCGTCGTTCTACGTGGAACCGTTATTGGTATGTGATGGCACAGGATTGCTACCAGGCACGTTTATGAAGAACTCTCCGCAGTGATTGCACAGAACGGCCATCAACTCTACATTCCCGATAACAGTATCATAGAGAATCGTATGTCTCACACTACACTCCTAAGCACCACGCGTGTACTTACTACCTGGAAAGGTTTAGTATCGGGAAGCCTCACTTCAACGGTACGTCGTCCCGATAAATTAATGCATCCTCATCTCATGCTTACATCGTGGTCTACTATACAGGAGCTTTGACACCGACACGCGGAATACCTATGCCCTATGCCCAACTACCAGTGCCCAGGAGGCCTGCGGACGTTTCATACAGCTTCTATCGAGCGCTAGTACCATTATTTACTCTCTTCTTCGAGGTCACTGGCCAGGATAGGTGTCAAAACACATCAATCCCACACTGCCTTAGGCGCTATAAGGCATATATCTAACCATCGTCGCCTCTTCCTTCACTTCAAGCCGTTCTGCCTCGAATTCGCCCTCGCCCTCACCATGCCTTTCTTCAAGGATGCCTCCAACTTCACTATCAAAGACGCTACGATGAATGATATTGCTGGGAATTATGAAGAGAATAACACTACAAAAAATAACACTATCACTGACTCCCACAACACTACCACCGAAACTATCACCGATTCGCACAACGACTACTCACGGAGTATAGTCAGTGGTGGGTTGGACACCTTTCTCACTTACATGCGCGATACTAACGTTGCAGGGTCAATTAGGACCTAGCAAGCGGGGCTCAGGTATGCGATCGTAGCTGTATCTTCTTATGGAGTAGTAAATGATTATTGGTCGCAGGTCGGAGAAAGTAGCCAGCGCAAGCTCCAGCTCCACGCCTTCGCAGAAGCTCTGTGAATATGTGGAATACACAACTTCTTAATCCCCGTCCTTCGTACTGTGAAGCGTATTCAGGCTGTTAAATTAGTTAGTCTATTCAAATTGATCCATAATCAACGGTGGTGGGAAAGGCCCGAAAGTAATTATCAAGAGGCCAAAAGAGAGCGGTTTACAGATATAAACCTATGTACATAGGTATAGTTTCGAATCCTCTAAGCAAGCACGGAGCACAGGTCAAGTATCAACGTATGTATAAAGAGGATATCTTCTGCTGGCTAGTAATAACGTATACGCAAGTCCGATTGAAATTGTCCCTCATGGTTAGTCAAATAAAAGGCACCGTAAACAAACGATAGAAGGAGGGGATGTACCTGTAACAAGTACAAGGTGGCAACTGTGGGGGACGGAGACAACGAGGAGAACGGATGGGGTGAAACGAATGGGGTGAACAATTCAGGAGGATTGAAAAGGGGCGCATTAGAGCTCCTACAGAAAGGAACGAACATGATACAAGTCAGTACACCCGGCCACGTATCACCACAAAGAAGAGAGGTACGCACAATCATGTTCAAGTTTCCAGAAAGAAGACCTGCAGGATGGCAGATACGCACGCGCACGTCAAAAGTCAGCGCTGCGATCAAAATAGATTTGCATGGAAGGGGGAAACGCACGGTTCTCGAGTATGCATCCATCGGGGATGTCAATCCTCTGCCCCTCATTCGCCACGACGATGACGGTTCCTCGAAGGGTTACGTTGCGCCCGAAGTACACGTCGCCCGTGACAGTCAGATGGTCGAGTTCGAGGATGCGTGGGATCATCTTGAAGCGTTTCTGGAATTGCGCGATCTGTACATGCGAAAAGGTTCGTTAGTCGATGTTTTTAGACGAAGTCCAAGGTACGACGAAGCAGTGAATGGAACAAGTGGGTCGTTCGGTAGAAGGCCCGATGAGTGTGCGAAGGCACCACTTGAATGATATAGATAATTTGCGAAGGGAAAGGGGGACAGGGGAAGGCGCATCTATGAAACGAACGGGGAACGGAAGAGGGGGGGAAAACACAACAAACCTTCTTGAAATGATCTCCCAGCTTGATAACAGGGGTAGTTTCGAACATTCTCTGCTCATTGATAACCAATTGTCCATGCTGCAGCGAGTAGATGTCGCTCTTAATGAGGAGTAGATCGGAACACGACTTCACGGGCAAGAAGCGTTTCCGTGGGACGTTGATACCGTGGGCGTTCTTGAAGTGCTTGATGGCGGCACCGGCAGCGGTTTCCAACTAGTGAAATGGAGAACGTGTAAGATACATGGGAGCTACGGCGGAGAAATAATCAAACCTGGATAACTGCTTGGCCATCATCAGTGGTCTTTGGGTTGATAATGATCTCCAAGTCCATCGCTTCCGTCTCCATGATGCGCTTGAGAGCTATCGGAACGCAAATAAACATACATACAAGGGCCGATGAAGAGAAATCTCACCTTTCAGGTTAACCCACAAGTTGTTCGTGTTGAAGATCTTGAATTTGCGAACTAAATAAAAGTTAGGCATGAAGAAATGTCTATATGCGCGTAAACTGACCAGACTTGAAGTCCTCGACGTGTTCTGACGGCACTTGGGCAATTTCCAGAAGACGAATAGAGCCCTCGTAGTCAATGAGAGTACCACCCTGGATATCGTCGTCAGAATGACTATAACGCAGTTCCTCGGAAGCTACTTGCCTTGACATCGGCCTTGGTCTTGTCGGTGACCTCCATGATGAACTCGGAACCAGAGTCAATCATATGTTGAAGGATGCTCTCATCGACACTACACAGAACGTTCAGAAGGAAGTCCCACTGAGTCCAAATGAGGAACTTACACGGCACCAAGGTTATCTGAGTTGGAGATGAACAGGTACTCCTTACCCTCAGACAGTAGTTGATCGAGGACACCGGAGTGCAGCAGCGCGTTGTACACATCACCATGACCGGGAGGGTACCATGCCTTCTTGTCGTCATCGGCGCGTTTGGGGCATGGGAGGAGAGTTTCCTTGAAGATACGTGGATACCGCGACTGGTTGAAGGTGGTGATTCGTAACTGTTGATTCGCGTACTTCTTGATGATGCGAAGGGTGTCCTCGTGGGTGTTGAACGATGTCATGAGAATCAGAGGAACATCGACGCGGTAGGTGGTGTTGAGATGCTCGATTTGTCTGACGGTAAGATCGAGGAATGTCATGTCATTCTTGACCTCAAGAGCACTCTTGGCACCAGTCATACCTGGGCAGATGTAGGTGATCTGGAACTTTGAAAAGATATGGACATACCCATGGATGTACCAAGACCACCGTTAACCTTGAGAACAGCGAGCTTGTTGAGGTTCTTCGCATCACCGGCTGGGAGATCAGAGTATGGCACGATCTGGTCATCAGCTGGCGACTTGATACGGTCCCAGTCGCTGGAAAAGAGGGAGGGTCAGATCCTTGGCAAGCAAAGAACGAGGATATATGCGCACAGAGGGACACTCTTGGCTCGCTCAGCCAAGTAGCGGGTGAAGAGGTAAAAGAAGGACTGCATTTCTACATCGAACGCCTGTCGATCGGGTATGTTGAGCACGATCGACGGTGATCAGGAAGGACTGGAGGTAAGTACCTTTTTTGTCTGGGGATCGTCTACGGTGCTGACAAGACGACTGATTTCGTTGCGCATGGCTTTGGCGGCTACTCCGGTAGTGGCCGTCTTGAAATCGATATGGCTTGTCCCGCGAACGCGAGCGTTGAAAGAGTCGGGGCGGGGCATGAGGGAATCCTGGGAGGACATTGTGGGGGATCTGGTGGATGAGGAGGGGGATGAGGATGGTGGTGGTCAGAGTTTAAGAAGGATTTTGGGAAACGCACTGGATATGGTTGATGTAGATGGGCTGGGTTGTGTTTGTGGAAATGAGCTGAGGCGCTGATTGGGTACGGGCTGGAGGAGCTCGCGGTCTGTGGTGACGTTTGTGTTCTGGAAGTGGTGCGAGCCACGGGTCAGTTTGCTCTTGAAAAGCTTGAACTGGTTCCTCTCTGATTGGCTCGCAGATCCAGGCGTTCTTGAGGGTGTCGGCGAGTGTCGGTATGGCCACCAAGTTCGTTCTGGGCGAGAGAAGTCGTTTATTGGCTCTTGGTGAGGCTCGTTGGTCAAAATGATGGTGGTTCTGGGTCGACAAACGTGCTTGCATATAACGCAACGGCCTGAGTAGCCAATTGTCGGCCCAAGCTCGCCAGAATTCACGCTTTTCCGCTGACGACTCTCAAGCCTGCCCTTTATAGCCCAATGCTCCTCATATTTTCGTCAAATATCTCAATTCGGCGCCAACCCGTTGATCTACGCTTCGATCAGTTACAAATGGCGCATGCCAGGGCAGCCTTCCTATCAAAGCTTCCGCAAGGCTGCCCTACCGCAACTAGAACTCCCACCGAAATCAGAGTCAACCGCCGCTTAACCGGCTGAAAATTCGTCAATATTGGGCCTTGCTCGCCGTGAGTCTTGGAGTTCTGAATTCTGCGTCCAGAACGCCTGTCTGATTGCTAGACGTCAGTGCTATCTTAGAGTCCCATCGGGCGTTGTTCTGTGCCTCATTCCATGCTAAAATCGCACGTTGAGCTCTTAATATTGCACCTTCTTCAGGGATGCTTTGCCCTACGTTGCCACCACTATCTACACATACCGGCGCCGACGTCTAACTGACGTACTCAAATCCCAGATTGCCTCACCTTCGCCAGCCCGTAGCTCCTATCTCCTCCTCAAGCTCTACGATTAGGCCATGCGGTGGCCAAGGAACGAATGAAGATGCTATTATTGTCGGGAATCAGTGTCAGTGCCAACAAGGTTACGTCTGGAAGTACCTCACTCGGTGACGGTCTTCGCCGTATTCGCTTCTCAACACATCGCCGAATCTGCAAATTCAATTGTCGGCGTTGAATGTGCATCTCATCAGCCTAATGTCGTGCGGTAGCGGCTTGCCCCTTGGTCGGGTCTGTTTTTGGTACTCGGCGGCTTCCCATCCTATCGTGGTTGAGGGGTTTGGCATTCTTCCTCTGATAGGCACCGTCACGTCGACTCAATAATAAACTGTCAGAGACCGTCGTGGCCCAATGTGAAGTACCTGCGAGTATGTTATGATCGGTGCTCTCTGCTGGTAGCTTCAACCCCATCGGAATCGTACACTGGACTTCCCACCTGGCCACGCGCCAAAAACAGGACTGGTCCGCCGTACGAGCATCCGCTATCTCAAATGTCGATGCGGATGCGCTTCTTGTCAGCCCCTCCCACGGCGGCCTTGAGCTTGAGGCTCAGTGTGTTGTATCAGCGTTTTATCGGCTCGATAATACGCCTCAGCAAATGATCCCGAGCCTAGCATGGACGAACAAAGAATAGTGCTTAGCTTCATACGGAGTCTTGCAAGGCTAAGCACTTGCAAGTGCACTTCGTCAGTGTCTGTTGCCGGTGAGTATTCCTACCAACCCGAGTCTGGCGGAGTAGCACTGAAAGTCAAAGTCGTTCATCCTTTGATTTATATGTAGCTTAATCCCGCGCCCAAGAGCATGTAATCTATCATTATGATTGCGTATCGCTAGCAATTGTTGGACGGCGGTATCGGTACAATCCCTCGCCGGCATCGCCTTTACCAACTGCCAGTGATTGATCCGAGGTTCGCTGTTGTGATTTAGACTTGAACTTTTCATGGCCGAAGCCGCAACTGTGTCCATTCAACTGTGTTGCAGCTCATTGAGTCCACTCATTCATCCAGCAACAAGTTGGGCAGAGAGGCCATTCCACCATGTGCGTATACACGGCGCTCGCACGTCGCCTAATCGATTGATTACACTGCCACCCAGATATCCGAATCATGTTCGTATCCTGTTGTATCTCGGCTTCCGTCGTCCTCCGTGCGACTCCTTGGCGAGTTCAAGGCAGGCCTTACCTCCAAGTCGCCTTCCCGCTTCTGGAGAATTCTCGCAGATACTGGGAAGATAATGCACCCATTGAACTGGTGTGGATACCTACTCCCGAGTCCCGACGCGCGAAACGCAAGTAACAATGCGATGGAGTTCCGACATAGTGCATTGGCGAATGGAAATCGGGTTTGAGTCCCTGCTAATTGGTTAGTCTTGGGCGAAATACAGTGCCAGCGTAGGACCACAGGCCTTCTCGCGTTCTGCTTCTTCTGTTGTCTCCCGCCTTGACGTTCTTACCAGTTCTGAAGGTGAGTGAATTCTATTCTGTGTGTCATGTCGGGCCGGCCGTACATGCTATCCGAAGGACATTCTTCTCGTACCGACGCCCTTATTCCCTGTGTATCTCAACAAGATCATACGTAGGATTGGTTCGATATACTCCTTATACTCCCCCAGTGGCATGATAAAATAGCGAACACGTCGATGCATCGCGCAAGAACCCCCATTGAACTTCCTAAAGGACATAGCTCGCAAACCGTCAATAACAGACCTGTCCCTAGCGGTTGCAGCCGCACGAGACTTCGAACTTTGTATCATCTGTCGACGTGGAATATGCGGTGTAAATCCCATCTGTCCAACGTCTCTTCTATCTCTTTTTCGCTAGGAACACGAACAACAAGCCGTACTGTCCGCGAACATCAAAATACAGGGGACAGGGGATGATCCCCTTTATCATGACATGCGAAGAGAGAAGCAGCAAGAAGCCATACCGATAACTATGTATGTACAGATATCAGGCTCAGGGGATCATCGAGGCCTGGCCCGCTACGGAGCAGGATGATAGAGATGATAGCACCCGGGCACTCTGAGCTTGTCATGAGAAGCACCAAAAGAAAGTTTGAACGATTGTGATTACGCTCAGTCCGCTATCTACGTTGTGCCATTAGTATGCATCTACCCATGGGCAATGGCGTCAGCTCAGCGTTCTTTGATCCCTGATCATGGTAAAGGCGTGTACGTCCCCAGGCCTCGAGATAAGTTATGTACGCGCACCAACGTGCTGTTCGTTGTTTTCGCTGTTGAACGTTGAAACGTTGATAAGCAACATTGGCTTCTAGTCGCTGTCGCCACTGGGGCTTGGCGATGGCAGATATCTGATCAATATAAGTGGAGCACTCAGGGATTACAATAAGTGCGGCTTCTGAACTAAAGCTTGTACATACAGCATACAGATTATCATTCTCCACAACGCGCCATCGTTGCCATGTGTGTACATAATTTGGAGCTTGTTTGGAGCCCTTCAGTTTTGTTGCTGTTTCCGTGTGTCAGATTATAGTGGAGCATTATATATATCGTGCTTCTCTCATATACTTACCATATATTGGGTACAGAATAGAACAGGTAGAATAGAACAGAACCGCAGCACTGAGAAACGTGGTCAGGACTGCGGTTAGATTCTTCCTTCCTTCGAATCTTTCCAGAGATGCGAGTATGTTTTATGATGTATGATAACGACCGTGACAGATGGTATATGTTGTGGAAGTTACATCGGCTGTGAACGAATTACGCTTGGACTGCAAAGCAGAGATAGAGTATACGAAAACGGTTCGAATAACGAAAAATGTACACATGAAAATGCTAAGAGAACGTGATGCTATAAAGACAAATGCGACAAAGGAGTGGACGATACAAGCGGCGTTGCACTCGCTCGTATCTTGACTACATAAATAAAAACAGAGGCTATTTAGGCGTACGAAGTGGGGCGACGTTTCTGGAAGTGGAATGAATGGAGTACGTTGAACGCCTGGAGGTCAGGCGTTGTAACGCCGCCGAAGACGTGAAACGGAATGCCTAGCCACGAAACAACAAAGTCTATAAATACGCGATGCAAAATGCTGTCAGTCATCTGTCCAATGGATGAACGAGGTCTATCCAAGGATCCGTAACAAACTTGATGGGATGTGCGTGTTGTATCTCAAGCAATGATGATGTTCGTGGATTGGAAGGGGTTAGTGCGAACACAATAAAGTCCTAATTCGAAATGGTCGGTCAGCCATTGAATCTGGAATAAGAGAGCTGACGGCATCTTATTGACCTTGATCACCAAACCGCCTGTGCTAAAGCCACCTGATGTGATATCTTCACCGCATCTGACTTCTCCCGACCAATCTATCGTCACCTCATGCGAATCCGAGTCTAGACTGACTGGGGCACTCGGGGGTACAGGCCACACTGATCCCTCGCCAAGCGTACTGCTTCGCCATGATTTCCGCTCGTGCACCTCCACAAGGACCTGTCTCGCTAGCGAGACACGTATTGCGGGGCGATGCAGTAGATGACTGTTGGGGTTCTTAAATGATGTCTTGGAGCCAGAAGATATTGGGGAGAGTTCGGCAGAGTTCGGCGGTATGAATGTATGCAGTGATTCAAGCGGCCCAGTCAATTGGATATGGAAGGGTATGGTATCTGAAAGTCCGAATGTCTGGACCGACGGGATGAAGAACTGAATGACAGTGAATTATTCAGCCAACTAGACTATAAAAATCACATTACGACGGGTCTAAGACTTACATGGCATGTTATTGGGCTAATTGTGGAGCCGGGGCGCGTGCCCATCTCTGTTACTATTTGGCGCCATTCTTCAGGAAGTCGTTTGATTGTTGAAAAGAGCGAATTGATGGGGAGTACTGGACGATGTGGACGACTCCGTGGCCGGTGGTTGAGTCCAACAGTGCGTCTATACAGCAAGTGTGGGATGTTACACCTGGTGGCATTGTGATACGAATCAATTATCACGTACGTTTTGCACGAAGTCCAGAAAGAAACACGCTTATGGCGTATTCGGGTGACCATCAGGCTCAGGGAATAGCTACACTTGGCGACTATCGCAGGGATGCCGTGGTATGTAACCTCGTATGACGGAGGCAACCGGCGACTGCGTTCCCCATCATGATATGAGGAGGGGAAGCGGATGCTGAATGGCATGGACGATGGACACGTCTTCCCTGCTGGATTATCAGTCTTCCACAACGTATGATGCACTGATACAAGGGTGGTATTATTGCGGCCACCATCTGATATTGATAAATGCAGTCGTCCCTCCAGCTAGACCGTTCATCAATCAAGACGACAGTGGAACAAGATGCGAAACCCGAGTCACCTTCAATGCTACGGAGAGTATGTTTTCGTTGTCCCCCAAGCCGACCTCGCCGTTGATTATAGCGTTGCGGCCATATGATGGCATTGCTGCGGACTCGTCCTGGTCGTGTAGAATTAGCGTGGTGCGCCCCCATTGCCTGGAGTAGGATCCTTGGGGAATAGTCGGAGATCCGGGACGCGGGTTGTACTCTATCGTCTCCTCATCTGTCAGCGGAAGCGTGGAATAGGACGGGGCGGGGGTGTCTTGGAACTGCTCGTAGTAGACGGGCGGTACGAGGAGGGGAGCCGCCATTTTGCTGGTGATGGCTTGTGGTGGTTGTGGATGAAAAAGCTAAAGAAAGAGCAAGAGAGGACCTCGTGCAGAGCTGGGATAACATTCCGAAGGAGACGCTGCGATTCGAAAATTTCCACGCTAAAGCTGAATGGAAGCTTGATGCGAAGCGGCAGAGTTGGCAAAACGGCCAAATGGAACGTCTAATCCTGTGGGATATGATATCACGTGATCCCATCATCTCCATCCTCGGCTCTCCTTCGGTTGCTATTTACCTGAGAATCACCGTGATCAGATTCGAAATATAATAACGATTACGACCACAGCGTGTACACTGCCAGAACGCTGAATAACCCCAGCGGTACCACCGCAACGTCCCATGCGTCCGACACGAACCCTGCCAACCACCTTCTAGTCCCACCGCCCAACCCTGATCGCGGAGCAGATGTTCGCAATCGCCATCCTCGCCACAATCGTGATTGCACGCGGAGTGCGAATCCTTGATGACGTCCTTTCGCGACCGTACTCGGCTTGGGAAGGTCGTCGTCGCTACCGTCCAGATCACTCCGTGGACGAGAAGTCATCCTTGTCAACGATGCATTCGATGAACGCCGTGGCGCGCGAGAGGAACCGAGTACGTTCAAAACAAGGAGCACCAGAAGGGACGCCGCAATAAGAGGCAGGTATACTGACAAATATATTGCCAGCTGATCCGGCATCAAACAAGGTGCATCTGCATGGGTCACTGTCTTAACGGGGGCAGAAGACGGCAAGGCGAGTGACAACAGCTGGAAGCCAGGCCGCCTGATACCCATGGCCATAGAAAGCGACTTCACCGTCACTTCGCGGATCCGAGTGGAATCGTTTAAAGTGTGGATGTACTCGCAGTAATCATGGTCGTCTCCACTAGAAGGAGAAGAGGTGTCAGCACCATGACCATCAAGGGTAATGAATGAACATATGGCACACCTAAATATAAGAGACGGCTGAACTTGGTCTAGGATAAAATGTGACATCTGTTGCCCCAGCGTGTTTTGGTATCCAATACCCCCGCCACGGTGTATTGTCCCTCGCTCCCGCAGCGGTCCGCAGTCAACACCTTCCGGCCTTGCTAGCGGTATGTGGGTAAACAGGATGATTGGGGAATCGGTTTTATCTAGCGCCAGGTTAGAGGGTGATTTGAATTGAAGTGTCAGCATTTACTTTTGTGGAATGTGTGTATAAATTCAACCGGTCCCCCTTTCACCGGAGTCCACTGGTTAAACTGAATGGCCTTAGCGGTGCGTTCATATTCTTCTTCGACGAGACTAGGTGCATCTACGAAGACCAGAGTATAGCCGCTCATCGTCTGAACGTGGTTTGGCGGGCCAAAGTGTTTCAAATAGCGGTTATGAGCTTCAGGTGAGAACATTTTAGCCGCACCAATGCTGCAACAAAGGCATATGAGATGATGTTTCCAAGTATCAAGAATGTTAATTTACACACCCCGTGTCATGGTTTCCGGGAACGAAATATCGCGGTGTAGATTCATCTTGTGCAAAAATGCTGTTGAAACGGGCGTAGTATCTCTCGTATCTATGGATAATCTCAGGCAATACGTCGAAACTCTGGAAGATCGCAACTCACTCGTCATCCGACATGTTCACTCTTCCGTTATCCATCATGTCTCCGAGAAACACAACTGCATCAGGTTGCTTCCGTAGCGCGGCCCGCCAGCTCCGCCGCAAGTTCAAGTCGGTAAAGACGCGTGAAAGAAAAGTGAGGATGATGCCTCGGTCGGGATACGAGCCGTGGTCGAGAATCTGCGGGTCGGCGACAATGAGGATTCGGGAGACCTGCGACTATGCTGCTTCAGTAAGTTGGCTGGACTGGCGGAAAGGCAGTCCTGCACACTTGCCGGAGAAGTGAGGGAAGGCCATGGACATTGGCTGGCCGTCCAAGCGAAAGTTGCGTATTCACAACCCAGGATGAGAACGGCCCACAGTATCCGCAGGGCCAGCACGACTCGTGGGTTAGGGCCTTTGGATAGGCGCATTATAGACATCATGTCAATATTCAATAATATCGCAGTACTTTGCAAGGCCAGCCTATGCTTCGAGTCGGATGTACAGCAAACGTAGAGGTAGGAGATGAGTGTAGGGGACGTGTGAACGGGCGCTTATGCGAAACAGACTCGGCAGCATATCCACTGACCCCAGGAGACTATCCATGGTTGAGGGCGTCATTTCACGCCACCTCAGAGCTTGGGCAGATAACTGTATACCCAGTGTACCCCATGGAAGTGTAATTCTTTTAGCTTATAAGCGCGAGCAGACAATCTCAGCAAACGCATGATACAGTTCAGAATCATGGTGGTACCCAGGAGTCAGTAATGTGACATGGATTTGCTGTGTTTCTGTCTATGGATTATAATTGGGATATGGAACGTTATGCAGGTCAATGATGCTCTTCGTGTCCATGGCCATGACCATGGCCTTCCCAGGGATGCTTGCCCTACATACAATCAGTGTCCAGAGTAACGCAAAATGGCCTATGGAGCTCACCAATAGCTTCCCCCCGTCTTGACTGTGGCGATTTCAGCACAATACTCTGCTAGCAAAAGGGGGACGCACCGGAAACGATAGAAGATGAAGAACCACATGGTCGCCCCAATGGCCTTGGAGAGAAACGTGTATTTGGCACCAGGTAGGTGGGGATGGAATCCAGGTTCTATGGCGGCCGAATCGTCAGCACAGACACCGTTGCAGACGATTTCGATACTTGCGGTAACCAGCGGCCATGGTTCGGAGGAGAGCTATTTGTTTGTCTCTGTTGCGTTCTCAAGGCCAATCGGTGTCTGAGAAGGAAACTCACCTCGACTTGACCAGCGACACCCTGGCCGGCGGTAACTTGCTAAGATGGCATCGAGCTCGATGGACTCTGACAGCAAAAAACGGAAACGCGACTATGATAGGCCTAGGATAACGTACTTTGCTCCAGGTCGGACATTTGAGCGGTTATTCCAAGGTGAGTACTCTGTCAGGCGCGTGTGATACACACTTGACGCGACTGTAATGGGATGAATAGAAGAATCACTGGAGGAGACAAAGTCTGTGGTACGACGGAAACTTGGGGTCCCTGAAAACTCGGATATATCACTTGCGCAAATACGGGGTGAGCAGGTAATTGACTTGGATGACGGTGAGCGGCCACTGCATCTCCCCATATCACCGTGACGCTCAACAACCATGTGAGTTTAGAGGACGATTTTGAAGCCTTTGCCTCTCTTGCATACAGGTCATATTCTATGTCGGTCCGGGTGCGCGTCCAGAAATCGACTGCCCAGACACCACCTTCAATGGAGGGTATGCCCCAAGTGCAATAACTCTTTTCCATGCCCAAACTGTCAACTTATAAAATGTTTAGGTGCCACAAGTCCAAACCCCCGTTGCTCGACCTGAAATCCCTCCTCCGATCCCGCCTGCCGCAACAACCAACACAGACCCGCCGGTAACGAACAACGCTCCCGAAATCTCGGCATCCGCTTCGATTTCATCAGCCTCGACGGGGGCAAGAAAGAGTAGTGTCTCTGTTGCTTCCGCTCCAAATGGAGTAGATCAACCTGCCCCTAAGCGTCGCAAGCGCGAGACTGCTAAAGACGGGCCAGCTTCAGACCATGCCAAGAAGTCAGTCTCCTTCGCTGAACCTGCGGCGCCAGCATCCGATGTTGGATCCATACCTCCAGCTAGTGGTGCTGATGCCTTCAACGCTGCCACCAATGATTTAGTTGAACAAACACAGATAGAACCTACACCTCCTGCCCCTGCGCCGAAGAAGAGAGGAAGGAAGAAGAAATCCGATGTCAGCGCACTAGAAGCCGCTCCCCCACCAGAGAAATCGCCAGAGGCTCAGGGTATATCTACTTTCGTTACCAACGAAAATTGGATTCCTTATTTGCCGCTAGAACCAGTTGTCAAGAAAACGAGGAAGCCTCGTGCGTCCACGACCGAGGTTTCCAATACTACGAATACTACGGAAGTACCTCCGACGTCCGAAGCTGCTCCGGAAGCTCAGCTAGAAGATCCTTCTGGTGAATAACTTCCATTCCATCGAGTCCAATGTTCTCTGAAATGCATGTTGTCCATTTTCCAGTGGCGCCGAAGAAGAGGAGTGAGTTCACTGGAATGATCACAGTACCTGTATTGATTCAGCTATTTGCAGGCAAGCGAATATCGCAGAAGAAAGCAAAGGAACTTCCCGCGGTCAACGAAGCAGTCATAGACTCTGGTAAGACTGGCGCATTTTTCCGGCTCTGACACTCGGGACTCACTGGCCAAGGTGGAGACCAGGCGCTTCATGACAATCTAGTGTCCGACGTTGGCCCGACTCCTACGACCCCGAAACCGAAATCATCCACCGCTGCGAAACCTGTTAGCAGGGCTAAGTCAAAGCCACCTGCAGCCGCCAGTGCCATCAGCCCAGCGGGAACGAAAGCGCACCATTGCCCAATATGTTTACAGTCTCCGCATCATCTTAGGTTCCGGTGCCCCGTTGTCAAGTCCCCTTCCCTGCTTGAGAAGCGCGTGCAGGAGTTGAAGAGCGAACCGGCAAAGGCGCAGCTTTTGGAAACGTTGGAGAAACTCCTGCAACAGGCCATGGGAACACAACGGTCGTCCACGGCCAACAATTCCCCTCGGGCTGCTCAGCATGCCACTCCATCAACCCCCGCAATTACAACGTCAGCACCTAGTCAGCCTGGCGCTGAATCTGCCGATACGCCATCCGCGAAAAAGGTCCCAAAGAAGAAACCTACTCGAGCTCCTAGTATCGACATCACTCTCACAAGTCCTCCGAAGGATCTTGACCTCGCTAATATCGATCCAGAGCTTCTTCTCCGTGGTCCAGCCAAGCGGCTCTCAATCACGGATATCCCATCCAGCGACAGCGAGGAGGATGAGGATGAGAGTGCGCAAGATCTTGAACAGGACGACACCGACGCTGAAGTAAGGCCGCCGCGACGCTGGAAGCGTGGTGGCAACGAACCAAGTTCGTCTGACGAGGACAATGACGGCGCCATGGATGTTGATTCGTCCCCAGACGATGTCTCTTTCAAGACTGTAGACAGGCTGGGCCAATCCGTCGAAATGGATATGAGCCCAGACAACGCGATGAACGAAAGAGCGAGCCTCGCACCAGAGGTCCGCACCGTTTCAGAGGATGTAGCACCTGCGGAGGACGACTCTGAGAGACGGTCGACAGAAGCGGAATCATCACAGGTGACTTGGATCTTATCTTATGCTGCATCGTATCTGAGCTCGGAAGGTAGAAGCCTTCCTCGGCAGGGCCTACGAAATCCTCAAGCAACTCAAAACAGGACGTACCCCTCGACCAGCCAAACGGCACTGAACACGTAGCAGGTACTACTATTTTCGACTCTACTATTCCCAAGAAAACCACAGCCAAACCTGTTTCGAAAGTATCTCAGACTCGCCCAGATGGAACTCCAAAAGCAGCACACGCCATGAAGGATCGACATGGCCAGCTACCTCCACGCACCGCAAAAGATATCTTGAATGCTGCTCCCCCGGTGACCGCTTCTTTGCAACCCACACCACCTCCAGATCTTGAGACAACCGCCCGAGGTGGGAAGAGTGAAGGCCCACCGAAAACACCTGCACCCAAGGCTAAACCTACGAAGGCGAAAGCAAATGGCAAATCCAAGATGAGCATTGACGCACTGCTGTCAAAGGATTCCTCCTTCACGACCCCCCAGTCAACCCAGGAGCAGGATCTGTCGCTAGCAGAGTGGGAGACGTTACCAGTTTCACCGTCGCTTGCGACAGATCCGGGCTTCGATGAACTGGAAGCCGGAGACCTGAGCTACCCCATGATTACCTCTACCCCACTTCCGTTTAACACGCCATTATTCTTGCCCTCCAGTAGCCAAATTCCACCGGCTTCACAAACTCGAAAGATTTCAGCCCAGGAAAGCGACGGTGAGGAAGAGGAAGAGGTTGAGAATACTGTCAAGGATCACAGTCGCCAAAGCTCGAGACAAACCTCAGTCGCCTACCGCAAGCTAACCGACATCGCCAGACAGGCACTGTTCACTCAGGAGCTAGTTGTGCAGCCTCCTCGTTTCGCCAAAGGCCGGATAGACATATTGAAATTGTACGGCAGCTCACAACAAAAGGAGGAAGATTCTAGCTCAGGCTCCGACTCAGACTCAGACAAAGCGACGCCGTCGCACATTCCGCCGTCTAAAAGGGCAGGCATGGCGAAGACTCCGAGATGAACATCACTTTTGCGCGATAAGCTCACCCCCCAACGTAACCCTGACTGCTTCCGGCTTCCACTCTTCTTGTCTTGCGAAGCACCGCTGCTTCGTTCCAAGTCACTTCTTGATCCTACGCGTCGGTTGTCCTAAATTGGAAATATGATTGCCCAATGCAGTATCTATGCCCTTGTACTTTCTTCCAGCATTTGCAGCGCTTCCTCTCGCATTCCATCTATCGTAGTTGCCCATGTCCATTCCAAATTCGCTGTCATTCGCTGTCCTACGCCAATGAAATGATCTTGAAACCGTTCGTGGCTTTCAGGCTGGTGTATTTCAGAGTAAAGGTGGCCTTGGTGTTCCGACTTTAGAGCAACTCCCTGTGCGAATGGGCGGCGGATGGAATCATATACTTCAAGTACTTCTTCGGCGGCACATCCGGAGGAGGCGGCATGTCCGAGCAAGGTAGCAAGTATGTCTGCATCCTATCACTTTCTTTGAGCAGGTGCGTCGTGATTAGGCTTGAGCTAGCTCACCTCGATGGCTTGGCCAGCACCAGACCCTAGGAAGGGTATCATAGCGTGGGCCTGGACACAGTAGGTTAGTATGCGTATACATCATCGACCTTTTTTCTCTCACCGAATCACCTAGAAGTACCGCGCGCTTGTGCACGAACGACTCCAAAGGCGGGACAACGCAGACTGCCCATGGCTTTATCTCTTCTATACACTGTCATGAAATTAGAATCTAGTTGTTTTCAGCGGTCATGGGACGCACCTCAACTATCGCCATGATCTCCGGGTCCCACCCTTCGCATAGGACCTTCAGGCGTTCTACCACGTCCTGAGGTGTCGACGGGTCTGGCTGAAAGTCAACAATACCGATGTTGATCAACTCCCCTCGGCTGATCGCATAGGCGATGAGATGCTATCGGTCGACGGTCGATTGCGTGAGGTAAGACGTCATCGTTACTTCCGCATGCAGGAATAGAGCTTACCGCAACTTTCCCCTGATACTGTGAGGATCGGACATTTATCAGTGCCTCGGGAATTTTAGGTAACGGAGAGCGTCACCTGAATGGTGTGCTTGAAGACAGCATGGCCAGGCCACTTGGTCCGTAGCTTCCATGCTGGGAAGACAGCCCTGTACAGAATTATTCCCGTCCGCTGTGGTTCGACGCCCGAGAGGAGGGACTCTGCGTGGGGACAAGGCACCCGACCCGTGTACGTTCGGCTAGCTTCTATCGCCTGCTCCGCGAGCATACATCGTCGGACAGAAGACCGTATCCCATCCGCGCCGACAAGAATGTCACATGCGGAAGAACCACCATCACGAAATCGAAGTTCGATATGGCTATCGGCAGTGTGGGCGAACGACTCCAGGCGTTTGGAGAAGGTGACCTTGCATGCGGCGGGAAGGTGCTTTAAAAGAACTCGCTGGAAGTCGGCGCGATGAAAGCTGGAAAATACCGCCCCTTGTTCCAGTTAGGGATAGGATTCCGACGGAGAGGACATGTGGACTACCTTTCCCTTTAACGTCATATGTGTGGAGGTGCGTTTCGTCGTTGGCCATCAATCTTATGGCTATAGCTGCCGATATGTCAGAGTAGGCTTCTTTTAGACGAGTTGTGGATTACTCACCTATTTCTTCTTCAGGCTGATTATGCGTCTGCTCTAGTAGGTCCTTCTCAAGCCCCATCCTTCTCAAAATCTTCCATGCCCTGGGCCATAAGGCTGCGGGATGAATTGAATTCACCGTCAAATTTACCAGATAGACCAACGGAACCACGCACATATGCCAGCGCCGATTTCTTCGAAAGAGGAGTTCTTCTCATATACTTCCACGTCGATGTTGGGGTACTTGGAGAGGGCGATGGCACATACGAGGCCGCCTATACCACCCCCGCTGAGTAATACAGGTAAGTACGTGCGTGACTTGAGGAACATGAGTGGGTCTGTAATACCAAATCGCGACCTTCATATCGGTATCCTCCGTATTCGGTTCGACGGTGCAGAGGGCGCTGTGTGGCTAACAACTTGCTGGGTTGTAAAGCTTTCGGTTGAAATTCCATCCTACCATTGAGCATTATAAAGCGCCATCTGGGTGCACTCATCGCAGCTATATTAACTTTTCAATAGATAACCCTGTTATCGCCAAAGCGTTCAAATCGTGCGATACTTGACAGAAAGTACGAAGTCTACGGAGATGAAGCCAAAGGCTATTCAGCTTCACTTAAAAGCCACGTACATATGTATAGCAGCGAAGAAACCTGTTCCAGGCTTGGAACTCGAGCCTGAGATCTTGAGAATCATTTCACCGAGTCCTTGAAGCTTATTAGCCTAGGGGAGCTTAGGGGCAGGACTTAGGCGCCGGAGAACGTGGGTTGCGCTTAGTCACCGATTACCACATGGGTAAATTTTCTGCGGGGACTCTGCTTCTTCTTCAACGACTGCCAAATAAAAGGCTGTTCTCTTCAATTTTCTAGCTTGAGCCGTTCCGCTCAGTACATGCTTTTCACTCAGAACACTCGCGACGAGTTAGTTTCCACCTTTTCCGTTGTCTTGACCACAACAACTAACTCTTTTGCTCTCAAGTTATCTCAGTGACCTCGTGTTCTCGCTTCTAAGCCTTTGAATTATTCAATTGCAACCACTGCACACATCATGCTATCTCGACAATTCCTCTTTGTTCCACGTCTTTCTCGCAGCCTGGCAACTCACGCAGGTTCGCTGTCATCGTTGCCTGCTTCGTTGCACCTCAAGTCGGGCCAGTCCTTCCATGGCCGATCCTTCGGTGCTCCAAAAAGTATCTTTGGTGAAACTGTCTTTTCGACATCCATTACATCTTGTAAGTGCAGTGTCCGCGAACCCCGCCGCCCCACTGACGACGTTCTCTTTAGACACAGAATCAATGACTGACCCTTCTTACCGGGGCCAAATATTGGTGTTCACTACGCCGCTGATCGGCAATTACGGTGTCCCCTCGAATGCTGCACCATTCAACTCTGAAGAAGTTGGGGTGGTGTTAGAATCCAAGGGCATTCAGTGCGCTGGCATAATTGTGGGCGATCTCGCAGAGAGGTACTCCCACTACAAGGCCACGGAGTCACTTTCAGCCTGGTGTCATAGGCACGGCGTTCCTGGCATTACTGGGGTGGATACTCGTGCTATTACTACCCTCCTTCGTGATCAGGGCACTACCCTTGGTCGTATTGCAGTGGACGCAGAAGTATCCCTCCCGCCTCCCCAAGCCGAAGAGTACTGGGATCCGTCCGAAGAAAACCTAGTCGACCAAGTATCGACCAAATTACCATTCCAGCTGAACCCTACGGGCGATGTCCGAATCGCCGTCCTCGATTTCGGCGCCAAAGCCAACATTCTGCGCGCGCTCGTTCGCCGAGGAGCGGCGGTAACGGTCCTGCCATGGAACTTCGATTTCAATGCTGTTCGTGATCAATTCGATGGGCTTTTCTTGACGAATGGTCCCGGTGACCCTAGGCATTGTATGGACGCAGCTGTGAAGCTTCGACAGACTATCGATGAGTGGCAGAAGCCCATCTTCGGCATCTGCATGGGTCATCAAGTTATTGGGATGGCCGCGGGTTTGGACGCGTATCGCATGACCTTTGGGAATCGTGGCCATAATCAGCCTGTCCTTGCGCTCGCTTCTGCCGGATCTATCACAGCGGGACGCGTCTATGTGACCAGGTAAGCTAGCCGTTTTCCGTAGCCTCACCCGCTTGTTAAAATAGCAAACACGTAGCCAAAACCATCAATACGCGCTCAAACTCCAAGATCCTTTCCCTCAAGGCTGGGAACCCTTCTTCATCAATTGTAACGACTCTTCGGTCGAGGGCATCAAATCTACATCCGACTCGGGTAAGAAGGTTTGGGGCGTGCAGTTCCATCCTGAGAGTGCCGGTGGACCTCTTGATACGATCGAGGTGAGCATGTTCTATCATGTGGCTCTACCTCTTCTATCCTAACCATGCTCTCTCAAGATGTTTACGGATTTCCTTGCTGAGTGTCGTGCACACAAGGTGTCAGAGGGCGATTCGCATGTATACACAGCTCCACTGCCACCTTCTGCCCGCTCGAGCGCTGCGGCGATCTAGTAATGTAGCTGAGAATTAAGGCTCACTCCGGAATGATAGTATCATGTTGTACCATAATGTTGTCTGGGAAGAAATGAATGTTTTACCTCAATCAATCTCAGGATTTAGTGACTGTCGTTCACTCGATCGTTTTCCGGCGGCCATTCAATTCCCCGACTACCGCGCATTCTTGCAACGACCAATTTCAGCTTTCGAGCGTCAACATGAACTTCTTAGATCCATACGATGTCGCCAATCCTACGACTGCGACTCCGCCGGAGCAGGCTCAACCACAGCCTAGTCTTGAGGAAGAGGTCAATCAGGTCATTGGCCAACTAGGAGGGTTTTGGGGTATGATCAGGAAACAGGTATGCATTGCCACACGCCGCAGCAACGCAGATGAGCTGAGTGGATTGTAACTTCAAGGGTCAAACAGCGTTACAGACAGCGCGAAAGGACTTTAGTGAGGTTGTAGTTCAGGCGCAGAAGGAGGTCGGTAAATGGACTGCACCTGAGCCTTCCGCGGGAGAAACGGCATCACTGTCCAATGCTACCAACGCTTCGAGCAGTCGTGCCGTCGAAGATGAAGCCGAGGGCTCAAGCCCAAGCTCGATGCCGGAAGCTCCTTCTAACGATTCGACGGACGCAGCGACATCGCAGGCGGTGCCCTCGAGTAGCTCGCAGACCCTATTCTCCCGCTTCCAAGCAGTCCTTCCTCCGAATATAGCCTCTACTCTCCAGAACAATATACCCGAGTCAATAAGACACGCTTCAGAAAGCGTGGATTTTGCGCAGTTGCGCGCGACGTTGTCCGATGAATTCCAGCGGGTGCAGGGTGTCACTCGTACGCAAGCGGAGGATTATGTTAGGAAGAGCGAAACCATGCTACGGGAGGCTATGAAAGAGGCCGGCGCGGTGCTCAAGGATGCTGTCAAGATCATACCACCGGAGGAAGGGAATGTCAGCTCGAGTTCGTCGACCGGGTTCATATGGGACGGCTCGGACATGTGGATGCTACCCTCCGAGGCCTCCGACTCAAGCATCAGCTCGAGGGGTAAATCTAGTGAAGTCGGAACACCTTCGTCTGGATCCTTGGGAGACCTCCAGCGAGTGGCCACACGAGCCGATTCATTGCTGAAGCGTCTGAGACATGATGCTGAAATTATCAAGCACGAACCCAACCTTTCGCAATTCAATACCTGGTTGGAGAAAGAGGTCGATACGAAAGAAGGCGGTATTGGCAGTGATCATTGGAAAGCACGCATGGCGGAAGAATGGGGTGACCCAGCAGATGGTGCTGCGCTGCAGGCTACTCACGATGAACTAGGTATGTCGCGTAGTTCTCTTCACCTCGGTTTTAGAATAACACCAACATAGTCCCTTCTGTGCTCGACGACGCTACCTTCTGGAAGCGGTACTTCTTCCGAGTCTACCAGATTCGCCACGAGGAAGAGAAGCGGAAGGTTCTCATCCAGTGTTTGTGCTTACCCTCTCGTTCTTTCTTCAGCTACTAATACCTTCGATGATCTAGCCGTAGAGCAAGAAGAAGATTTCAGTTGGGAAGATGACGACGATGAAACCCCTTCTACTTCAGATCGCAAGCCCGTTCCTGCATCCACTGAGGAGCCCACAACGGCCGTGGATTTGCCTATCGCGTCAAGCAGTAAAGGGCACGCCAAAGACTCTAGCAGGGATACGAATACATCATCCCCTCAGCTACTCACTCCAGCCGGAACTAGTCCACGAGCGAGCGAAGACGGCAGCTACGACGTTGTGCCCTCGAGTCATGCCAGCAATGCCAGCGTAAAGGACAAGGATGAATCCGACGGCGACAGCGACTGGGAGTAGTCACCTTGTTTATTTTCTCCTTGCTTGGACACCGATGTATGTACTGTAGATTTGGAAGGATGTCGAGAACGAACCATCATATTTGACCCACAGGGTTTTGGCAAACAAGCTTGTTCGCTTGGCAGAACCCTTGAAGCCTGGTTCTGGTTCCGAATCAACGATCCCATGATTGGCCGTCGCAGAGGGGCGAGGGAGATCCTCGTGCTCAAAGCCAATGAACTTCTTCACGCAAAATCCATGGTCGTCAACGGATTTCGATATCTCGGAATATTGACTGTCCTATGGGGCGAACTGGGAGGGTACCTCTGGGTGCTATGGACATGTCGGTGGCCTGAAACCGGGCTGGTACGTCTCCCTGCCTTATTGAAAGCGCGCGAGCTCAAACCATGCCACTTTTGTAGTCGCGCCAGGCGGAGAGGCCTACGCACGTACTCCTGATTTCCGACCCTCAGGTGCGATACCCATTGAGCGCCCTCGTCGGTGACAATTCCTTCCTGGGGCCATTCCGGCAGTTTCTGTATGACACGAATATCCGAAAGAATTGGTATATTGCGAAGCACTTCCACCCAGATGCAGTCGTCGTTCTTGGTGATATGCTGGCCAGCGGAAAGTACGCCAGGACGCAAGCCGAGTAAGCCCCCCGAAGTTCCACGTCTCTACTCATCTGAATCAGGCACCCGCTGCAGATACAATGCCTATGCTCAGAAATTCGACAATATATTTCGCACTGGACATTCCATACCCACATACTTTATCCCGGGGAACAATGATATAGGGTGAGCAACTTCATACAACTTACACTACCATGGACTGTCTAATGCTCAGGCAGAATGGGGACCGCTGTGCCTGTCTCGAAACACATCCGACAATACTACAAGGAGCGGTTTGGTGAACTCAACCAACGCATAGTGATTAGGGGGCATGCGTTTATTCTTTTGGATGCCCCTGGCCTCGTGGACGAAGACTACCAACGGAATGCCCAATTTACTGAATACGATCAGTGGCATCCGCTCCCGGAGGGGCCAGTGGAGTTTGTTCACAATTTCAAAAGCACCCAGAATGGTGTGTGTCGTTGTGCCTAAATGCTTCGCGGGACTGACTTGCCCCTGCAGCTAGCCAACCGACCATCTTATTCAGTCACATCCCTCTTGCGCGTCCGGACGCGGCTTCATGTGGTCCGCTGAGAGAACGGGGCACAATACGACGAAATGTTGGGCACGGATACCAGAATACCCTCGGGAAACAAACGACAACGTTCCTCTTGCAAGTCTTGCAACCATCTATCGTCTTCAGGTACGTTCAAGCCGCATCTCCCCCATGACCGCACCTCCCGGCCTTATCATAGTCACGTAACTGATATGTATTTCTGTATTTTCAGTGGCGACAACCGGGATTACTGCGACTATATACACAGACTTGGTGGAGCCTCCGACGAAGCCCCCCCAGTACGTGAGGTTACCGTAAAGTCGTTCTCGCCCACGCGCCACATCCGACATCCTGGATTCCAGCTTCTTTCCTTTGTCTCGCCGGCCACGCAGCCCAGCTTTGCCGATCGGCCATGCTCCCTACCTGGGCAAAATGATATCTATGCTGGCCCGTACCTATTCGTGGCAGTGATATCCTTCTTCGGCGTGCTGTTCGCAAATTTCCTGTGGGCGAAGCGCCTCCCGAAGCACAATTTATCGCGTATTCCCTTGACGCATCGAGTCAGTGACTATCGCACTGACTCCGACGGAGACTCAACTCCAGACCAACCACCAGATTCAGCGATCTGGTCGCCTTATACCCCCAACATGCCGTTCAGCCCGATGAGCAAGTTCCCACCGATGCGAACACCTAATTCCGACTCTATTACGACAATGCGTGCCACATCGCAGCCTTCGAGTCCATATGCCTCGCCCATGCTTTCGCCTATGATGTCACCTGCGTTTGATGAAGACACGGAAGACGGCGTGTATATTAGCCAATACCCTCTGGATAGAGGATTTGCCGAGGGTGACGAGGAGCACCACGGCTTCAAATCGCCCCTTCTGCCGTCCTCTTCCCCCGAAACCGCTGGTAATGGGTGGAAACTCTCAGATCGAAAGTCCTCTTCGTTCTCGTGGTCATGGTCGTTTGTCTTCAGAGGAAGGCGGAGACGGTTGACGATGAGTGTTCCTGCTGTAAAATCACTGATAGAGTACATTTGCGTGGGAGATGGAGCGAGCCCCTGGAGGAGGCGCTCCGCTGCTTGGGGCGTTGTTGTCGACTACTACCAGATCGTATGGCCGTCTTTTGTGGTTTGGTGTATTATTACTTGGTGGACGACATTCTGATCTACTCGGCTATGACATAGTATACATACATATATACAGCATCCTCTTATGTTACAATAGCACGGTCATTTATCTTGATATCCCGACCAACGTCCTGCTTTGAGCTTTGATATCACTATCTGAAATAACTTTTGGGGTACTTGAGCGGGTCGTTGTGACGCTTATTGACCGAAGATGTCGAATTGGGCCGTCGAGGTATAATCTGATCGTACCGTGAGTGTACCTATAGTACCACGGAAGTAGTGACATACTACGGGGTAGGCACAGCGTCGCTTATTGAGATTGGTGTCTGTGATACCGGTAAGGGATCATCCTTGGGGGACGGTGATGAGTTTAATTCCGACTTGGCTTCTTCGTACCGCTTCCTCTCCTGCATCCGAACTTTGTGTAGCAGAGGAAGGACGGAACCAACCATGGACCAGGCTTGATGGATTATACCATACTCACTCGCCGGTGAGGAAGACTCCCAGTCCAGTATCCTCCAGGTTCCACCGCATTCAAGTTCGCACTCGGAGGGGATGAGATGGCTCAAGAACAGAGCAACATTCTCGTGGTCAGTTATATGTGAGAGCCCTACTGAGAGGGTTTCTAGGCATTTGAACGGCACGAGGTCGCGTGATGACGGGAGGTCCTCTTCGGCAGCGTTCATGTACAGACCAAGTTGACGAATGTTGGGACAATGTTCGGCAAAGGGTATGAGGGCAGCGATGCTCAGGGCTGGCGGATGGTCGAGAGCAACGGGGTCGCTATTGAGCATAAGTGTTTCGAGGTTTGGCCATGCTCGTGCCAATTCCTCCATGTCCTTATACTTGAGGTCGATAGGATAGTAATGGTTAATGTCGAAAGATGTTAAATTGGGTAGCGTTAAGACCGGACGCAGGTTAGCGTACGCGAGTCGCTCGTCGGTAGGTGGGTTGTCCGTGGTAGATAAGTGGGGATTCAGCGAGAGGTTGATGAGCAAAGGACAATTCTTCACGATGACGGAGAGGAGGTTATGTATGTCGGAAGGTGATTCGGGTAACGCTGAGTCTATGAAGAGCATTGTAATATTCTGCGGGGAGAATGGCTGGTCGAAGAGTTCGGACGCATGGACGAAAGGCATTGACAACGCTAGGTCATAAAGGGCTGGGAATGCACCTTCACCAAGGGTCGCTGGCGGAAGAGCTACATCTTGGCTGTCCCCTCTGCCTTGTTCGTCATCGTATTGGAAACCCAACACATTGAGGTTTGGCAGTCGAGAGAGGGTCTCGGAAATATTGGGAGAAACGTAATATAGTGGAAGTATGACCTCTTTGAGTTTCGGGAGCCCCGAGAGTAGTTTGATCATGTCCGCCTCAATGTCGGAGACTGACTGAACGCTGCTTATATCGAGGACCTCGAGATCAGGCATTCTGGTCGTGACAGCCTGGAAGAAGGCAGCCAGCCCGTTTGGAGGAGTGACCATTTCCTCCCTAAGAAAGAACTTGAAACGTTTCACGGTTTTGTGCATGAACAACACGGAGAAATTCAGATCTATACTCCGGCTCCATTCGAGAGTGTGCAGGACGGGCAGGATATTGAGGCTGATGCGCGTTCTTGATACTTCATGGAAGACGTTCGGAGTGACGGTACGAGACTTTGACTTTTCACGGTTGTGCACCAAAGCTCGAATGCGACCTGCATATCGCGTAAACCGTTTCCAATCCTCGGGCTCAATCGAACGAGAGAATGCCTGGAGCTTGATTCATTCAACGTTCGCTACGCATATGTTACAAGCCGCACTCACGTAGCCCTGACCGGCCTTCTGTTTCAACGGTGCAAGAAGTGACAGCAGATTGTGAATATCGTCTACTTCTTTCCAGAGGACGTCCAGTGCCACATTGGACCACGTCTTGCATACACAAGCGTTTGACAGGATATCCTTTGGTCCCAGCAGCTGGCAGATGGAGGAGAGTAGCTCCGGGATGGCCAACGCGCGTTGGACGCTCGACGTTGTATACAGCGACATAGTGGTTGTGGTCAAAGAAGCCTTTGAGGGTCACCAAATGGAATTTCAAAGATTGTGGCACAAGTCACGTTCACCGCGACGACTCTGGCATCAGGGGTTCCGTCTCTTGCCTAATTCAGACAGCTTGATCCTATACCGCGATGTCCTACAATTATGTCGACCCACCGAACTCGAACCTGGTGCGTATCGAAGCTACTGCACGGTTGGAAATATACTAACAGTGCTCTGTAGACGTGCTGTATATGCCGGTATGCCCACCTTTTATCAGTTAGACAAGGAACACTCCTAAAGTTAGCACCGCAGTGCGCCATTCGTGAAGCCGGTCACGACGCGGACGTGCATGCACACATTCTGCTATGAATGTATCATCCAAGCGCTGCAACACTCCCCGCACTGCCCTGTGGATCGCTCATCCCTTGTACAAGATGATTTGCTTCCGAGTGACCCAATAATCAGATCGGTACGCATTCCAGCAGCCTTGTTTATTCTGTTTCGCTTTCTGATTGACCGTAGTTAGTGGACGAATTGATTATTGAGTGTACTAATCTTCCACTAGGATGCACCGAAACCTTCCAACGACAATTGCTAGAATCGCATCTAAAGGACTCCTGCCAATACACTGACGTTATATGTGGAGAGGATCAATGCAACGAGGTTGTGCTAAGGAAGGACGTTGGGAAGCACGCACATGACTGCGCTCACCGAGCCCTACAATGTGAAGGTTGTCAGGCCGAGATCAAGTTCGTCAACATGGAGGTTCGTCAATCATTCGCAGCACAAACACCGCTGACAAAGTGAACTTGTAGGCTCACATTTCTGAGTGCCCCGCAACTACCGCCACATGTCCCTCTTGTTACCTTGATATGCCCAGGTCAGAGCTGAACTCTCATCGCGAGACTTGCCCCGAAGTTATTATTGGATGCTCCCAATCGGCCAATGGGTGCCCGTGGACCGGACCCCGACATGCTGGGAAGACCCACAGTATATCCTGCCCTTATGAGGCAATCAAAGGCTTCTTTGCCCTCAATCAAGAGCGTATATCCGCGATTACAGGAGAAAACGCAGTCCTTCGGCAGAAGGTCGACACACTCGAAAGGCAGCTGCATGCGACAAAACAAGATGTTCAGGTTGCAACTGCTGCTCTAGGCCCTTGGTACCGAGCTCCTGGAATTTGTCCTCCTATCTCTCAGCGAGTTGCTGTAGACCTGCCAATCGACGTCCAGCCTTCGTCTGCATCACCCTCCAATTATAGTGGGAATCGCTCCCCTCCTTTCCCATCATCGAATATCGGAGGACTTCCACCAAACGCAGCTGACCCCTTCGCGCCCTTCTTCCCTAGGCCAGATGCCTCGGAACAATTCAACCCCAGTTCGCCCCCAGAAACACAATCATTAAACCAATTTCCAGGTCGAAGGATTGTGTCCGGGTCAGTTCCTAACGGCAGCGATGCCATGCGGCCCGTTCAAAATTCCGTAGCACCTGTAAATCTCAGTTCCACGATTGAAGGGGCGTTCGAAAGTCTTCGAGAGTCAGTGGTCACGGTTGCAATCTCTGTCGAGTCGTTAGCCAGGCGCAACGACATCGCTTTGACGAACGAAGCCCTACGATTGAACGAGGAAATAATGTCGCTGCGGGCAAATATACACGGTTTGCGGATGCAGGTTCGTATCTTCAGCGGAGGTTCCATTCTAGAGTTTAACCTGGTATCACAGGTCCACGCTATCATGATGGATCGAAATGCACAAGTGACGGGGCGCTCAAGCGACTTCTCATCTAGTGGCGATGTGTGGCAGAATGGTGTTCCTCGAATCCATTTCCCCCCAACCCACGGATCAATAACAAAACTATAGCACAGAAAGTTTCAAAGTATCATTATTATCTTACGCTATTGATAGCCTTGATCAAATGTAGATTGTCTTGGAACATTGGATTATACGACGCTCAGACAGCTTCTCAGACGGAGGTTAGCAGTAGTCAGAAAATGGAATTCAACAGCGTGGACAGCATGGGTAGACAACATGATTGCAAATACAGCTACAAGACGGAGCAGGGCTTCGCAGGGGTTGGTATTGAAGGGGTGCCGTGGACAGTGAAGTCAACGCGCCGATGCCAATAACTGAGAGCGCGGAAGAATCCTGCAATGGGAGAATCCTTTGCTTTTACTACTCGAGCACGAAGTTTTGATGAACTAAGACCCTTTCGAATGGTCTCGAAGCGTTCAACGACTTCGTCCATGGTGGGACGTTTTGAAGGGTCATCGTGGGTCATATCAGCGACTAACGGTTTCATGAACTGGAAGCCTAGCCGTTTGCTAGCGAACCTAGAACCCTAAGAGAGTCAATTGTGAGGACATACCCAACGTCTCGGAAGGCGAAAGTTGTACTTCTGTGAAGTTCTCCCTGATTAAATTTCCCAATAGGTAGACGTCAGTTGGGAATGGATCGCATGCATCCGTAGTTTTGTATTCTGGAGCAGATTTATCGGCCCCTCGAATTATGGGTTCCTGCGGAGGGCGTTCTTCTGCTTTGTATTTCCGAGACAGGCCAAAATCAGTGAGGTAGTATTTCACTGGTTTCTGCGTCCTTGTGTAATGCCTGGCGTTGGCACTCAAGTCCAGTTTACGCCATGGCCGGCAAGGATGGTATCTGTCGATGTAGAGTTCCCTTGCGTCCATCATGACGTTGAAGAAGGTCACGTCCCTGCGTTATGCACTGTCAGAATCAAGTGCAAGCGGTGCAGAACCTTCATTTCTAAACGCCACACACCGATGGGCAACATTATGGGAATGCATGAATTGCAGGCCCTCCATCACTATGTTTGAGCCGACCCCGTGGTGAACCGTAGAAATGTGCTTACTTCGAACATCTGTCTGAAGAACTCAACAGCCTCCCCTATTGTATCGAACCTAGGATCATCATGAACTCGTAGCATAGGCATTACAACAATTTGAATTTCGTCGTCGTCCGGGACCTGCAGGATTTCATAGATCGGGATACAGTGATTGCGAGGGTCCCCGGAAATTGGCTCCGTTGAGAAGAACAGGCCAATCTCCGTTTCATGGGGAAAGAGCGACTTCTTGGTTCGTTTGAGCATTAATAGCTCGCCATCTGATCGGCGCTGTGCATCTATAGCACTGTTATGCTGCAGTGTGTTCGTATAGGTGGTAGAAAATGTGATTGTGATATAGCGACTCACGAGAGGATACAAGCCGTCTGTACATTCGTCCCAGGGTTTCTTCGTGCCTTTCCAAGAGGGTTTCCAACTGGGGCGATATCTGGAACGCAGCTCGTAGCCCTGCTCGAACAGCCACTGGTAATGGTCCCGCCAAAAGTGCTCGGACTGATCGAGTCGTCCATGCAGCTTGAGCCCATGCTCTGGGGTATCAGGAGTATCCCGGGTGCTCTCCGCCATGTGTCGAAAGGGAAGGAACACGCTGTCACAAGTGTCCTTGCATAATGTATTTACCGAACATAGACAGCGCCAACTTGAACTCTGGCTGCTTCATTAGGCTATTCTTTTCCAGCACTCCGATACGTCTCTACGTCATCTGCGTAATACTGGTATAGATGTTGAAGTACAGTACAGAGAAGTAAATGGGAGTGTCAGTGCGGGTCAGTGGTGGTGTATTGTAAAGATTGAGGAAGGGGCAACTGTGAATGGCAACACAATCATTTGGGTACATGGATGGATGTCCAAAAAGAGTTGCAACATGAAATTAGAAGATACGGGATGCAGAATAACCGGCAAGACCTAAGACTGTCAGAGAAGGGAGTCAGAACGCGAGACGACTGGGAGTGAGGGGGGATTGGACGTACAATATCCAGACACCTTCTCCGATGGTGAATGGAAATACAGCGCGGTAGTCCAGATAGCGAACAACCATATTCCGATCAAAGCAACGTTTGCGCCCACTGCGAAGTAGTGGAGGGCAGGCCATGTTCTTGAATCCGTGCGTAGGGACAGCCGAAGCTGATTCGTGAGGAACAGCACCGACATAGTCAATAGGAAGATGTGTCCAGATACATCATGACCCTTGCGTAGACGTGGCCGACCGCTCCAGCCTGCGTCGGGAAGCAAGCTGACGGAGGAGAACAACTGAGGGTGTGATTCGATCGTGACGGTGCGTTTGGAGTAGCAGAGGTCGTGGGGGACAGTAACGTGGTCACCAGATGGTAGTGAGACCATGCATTCTCCTCCTGAGGCCACAAGGACACGCTCAAACAGAGCAGGACCAAAGAACCAGCTGGTGAACACCATCCATACGAGTGTCTCGATCGCCCATTTCGCGAAGCGGTTCGCGGTTCGTATGTTTCTCGGACTTGAGAGATACGAGAAGAGGAGCACCGCTGATGTCCAGCCCCATGCACGTTTGATGAAAATTACGTTCAGAAAGTTGGACTTGTTCGCGAAGTAATGGGTGGTGTGTAGAGGATGGGGTAAGTTTGCCAGAAGCGGGTTCGAGGTGTCGAGGAAGGTTTCCTGGAGAACGGAGGATGCGGTTCCAATGAAGAGAAGGCCTGTCACCGAGGCGAATGCTATCACTTGGAGGTCGGGCATGTGGTGGTAGTAGATGAGGAATAGAGCTGAGCCTCGTCCGAGTCACGTTGTCTACGGTCAGCGAGGGTCGGCGCTTGTGCTAAATGGGCGCTTAACTTACAGCTTTGTTTGCAGGTCCGGCTGATGCCTGGAGGCTGCGATGGCCCAGAGCGAGTATCAATAGCTTATCATCGGATGGGGGCACGGCCAAAAGGCGTATGTAGAGGGGGGTCAGTGTCTCGGTGAATACCCTCAAATGCAGCGCTGATACTTAACACGGCATCGCAGTAGACTATGTCGTTAATTAAGCGACATCCCACTAGTATTAAACGGGCTTGCTAGCACACAGGAATCACCCTGAAGGAAGTCTGCCATGCACTGCACATGGCTAGTCCCGATTTTATGACCGATGGGAAATGGGGGATTTGTCCATTTAATCAACGCAATTGAATTGTCTTTCCGGGCTCGTGGATGCCTCGCCGGAGACAGAGGGTATATCCCTTGGATCGGGAATAATACCCACTTAAACATACGTCGATAAGCGCGTCTGCGCATGTTCTAAAACATGCGTGGAGTCTACAGAATGACAGCGAACTTGCAATTAAACCATTTGGGTCAAACCTTCTTTCTTCTTCTCTTTCTCAGCCCACTGAGGGGGAGGATAGGGTAGACACAAATGTAGTTTATTCATGGATAAGCAGAGAAGAAGGATTATAACACCTGGGAACTGCGCGAGTCCCAACTAATTTACTGCAAGTATGTATAATATAATTGTATGCGAGAACGAACGACTTGGGGTGGACGGAGAAAACGAAACGGGGGTCGGACGGGGTATGGACAGGAACGACCGATGCGGAGTGATATGATATCAACAAGGGGAGGGGGTAGGGTGAAATGGTAAGAGGGGCTAGAAAGCGAGGAGATAGGAGAGGGTTGATGGGGAACAAAGGATTGAGTGGCGGTGGTAGACTCCAGACCCCGAGGCGAGGGCGGAAGCAGGAGAAGCAGGCGGAGGGGGAGGCAGGGGGAGGTACGAGAACGAGAAGGGGGTCGATGGTAGGGGCTGGGTAGGGGGGCAGGGGGTTCGAAACGGAAGCAGGTACTATGGCCCCGTGGACGGTGGTGTGGCTTGTTAAACGAGGGTAAAGGGATATGCCTTGGGTCCGCGATCTACCCATGGATCCCGATTTCCGGGCTATGCCGTGACAGCTGAACAAGGCCACCCAATTACAAGCAATATCTTGCGTAGATGACGTTGACGAAAATGAGGATGGATGACGGAGGTAAATGGGGGGAAGGTGGGAATGTGAAGTACGGAGAATATACACTTTTGATTTAGGCGACAACAGGTGGCAGAGCGATACGTTGAGGAACAGTAGGCGGAGAGAGATAGATAATCGATAAAGGAAACTGAAAGGAGAAAGTAAGATAAAGATGGTAACAAACGAAAGACGGAATACAGCTTCAGAGAAACGAAGATGAAACAACGAAGACAAAAGACCGTGTGCGGAACAAAAATATACAGAAGCAACCACATGTAGAGCAAGAAACGCCGTCCCAAAACTAGACCTTGCCTCGGGTGTCGCAAAAAGGGTCCGTTCTAAGGCTAGTGGCAGACAGCAGACTAACAGCGCAGTCAGCTACGTGTAGGGCACGTACGCATTCCCAACGTTCCGTAATACGTCCATAGCCGATGATGAACGTTGCTCCGAGCCCACAATGTCCACCCCATCACTATGTCCGTACATGCCATACATCCCCGTCTCCTCGGCGCCACACTGCATGTAGTCGTGTCCATGCTGATGACTCATATGCATGCCGGGATTTTCGTTGGGCAGCGTGGTCATACCCACAGCACCTGGTGAGTTGCTGTACATGTCGCGAGTATGGTAATGTTCTGGCGGAGAAACCGTAACCGGAACAATAGGATACTCGGGTTCGAATGGATACTTGTCCGTGTAGATGGGCACATTTGATCCAGTGGGTACAGCGTAAGAAGGCTCCTGTTCGTAAATGCCGTACGTGTGACGGAGAGAAGCGTCGCTGAATTCCGAATGATTCGTGGGTGCGTTGGGATCCGCTGATTGGGCCAATGAGGGCAGGATGTCAGGGTGAGAGGCGGGAGGTGTGGGCACCTAGGAAAACAAGAGGTAAATGCACGGTCGAAAAAAATCGAAAAATCGTTACTTACTTCAGCTTTTGGCTCCTGCAGCGCATAGGCTAGTTCACTCGATCTCGAAATTGTTACATTGCTCTTAGATGAAGCAGAGGTCTGAAGAGCTGGCGGGCTCCCCCCGGGCGAAACTGTTGTCGCGGGTGACGGGTACTCGTTTGATTCCTCTATGATGTCCTGGCTGTCAGCGGGCGGGATCGCGCTAGCATTAGGGGTTCCAGCGTCCGCATACGAGGTGGATAATTGAGAGTCGGAGCGATGGGAAGATAGGGGGCTGACATCGAGACCTTTCATCATGTCCAAGAAGACGGGGGCGCTGGAATGATGGATTGTAAGCCCTAGGACGCATATCCCCGTGTCTATGGATGTACATACCAGGAATCCCTTCTCATGAATTTGATATCTGGCCTGTCTTCTAAAGCACACATGCCCTCGGTTGAATAGAACGTACTTGAATCGCTTGCGACAGAGACAAGCGACCCAAACCTTGACGGACCGCCAAAAGAACTGTCGTCTTCAGTTTCAAGCTCATCGCTTCGGTAGTTGAATTGGAAAGAGTCAGGTGAACTCCGGTCGTCCAAAGCTGGTGTTGTCAACGGGGGAGACGAATCGGGATAGGGAGCGCCGAAGGAGAAGTCAGGAGAAGGTAACGGTCCTGGAAGAGGTTGAGTTGTAGGACGTTGGCTGACAAAGTGATTGGGGACGGAGAGACGACCAGAATCACACGGCGTAAGGGAGGACATCCGACTGGGGTGTGTAGGTCGCCGCAAGTCCATTTCGGGGGGTACGGTGGATCGATGCTGTATATTTGGGCGGCCACCAGGCCCATAGTAAACCGCTGGATGATGATGCCCGTGAGCAACAATCCTCGTAGACCCAAACAACTGCGCATTCCGCGCCCTCGCTACACTAGCGTACGGGTTGTGTGCTAATCGCTGTAGACTGGCATCAACTGACCGCCTTCTTGCGAGGGGATCATATTGATCGATTAACGGGGGTCCATAGCCAGGCTGTGTCGATGAAGTTGGCAGGAGGGCGTTTACAGGCAGGGATCCTCGGCGGTAACTTGAGATAGGAATATCGGACAGATTGTTGCTAGATCTTGAAGCAAATGATGAAATGGATGTGGGCGGGTCGATGGGAGAACTTTGCCATGAGGTATTGGCTGAGGAGTCGGCGGTAACGGGGTTGTGGGTGTTGATGTGGAAAAATGGCCGCCCTACATCAACGGGACTGGGCGGCTGTGAAGATGTATCAGCGATATCCGTAGTGTTGAGTGATTCGGCAGTTGTATCAGTGGGTTCGGCAGATGGGGAGGGCGACTCCTCTGGCTGTTGCTGATCAGCTTCTCCGGTGGTCAACTTTCCTGCACCATGGGCGGCTTTGCTTGCTTTGTTCTTTTCTTTTGCTCGGCTATAAACCTTATGTCAATTGCGAAGGGGAAGGGGATGATGGTGACCCACCGATTCTGAAACCAAACCTGAAAATTGACGTGACAGGTCGCGTCAACACCCCCGTCGCGGAAGAGAAAACCAAAACTGAGGGGACTCACTTGAACGCCTCTGGCGGTCATATCTAGCTGACTCGCGAGGTCCTTTCTCCGGCTCGCGTTCGGCTTCGTATCGGACTTGAAGATAGTTTCGAGAACCTTGAGCTGCGCGCTGGTGGTCCGCTTTCTATGTTTGACTTCATTGGGCGTGTATGGGAAGAAAGCGCGAAAATCTGTGGAGGTGGGGTCCATCGAATGAGGAAGGATGCAAGGGTTTGGATAAATAGTGGTTATGACGGCGGTCGCTCGACCTTCGGCGCCGGTCATTTGAGTGTTTTAGGATAGGGTGGCAGGGTAAAGAACAGTTTGCGATTACTGGGCTGTGTAAAAGCTTGACACGAAAGCGAACGGTGGCAGAAGTGGGATAGCTGGGATATGTGTAGCGGACAGAAGCTGAATTACGAGTACTTGAAGTGGTGGGATGAGGAGGAGATGGTGGTGGTCGGGAGCAAGGATGAAAGAGTAGTGTAGGCAACGCAGCGACTTGGTCACGAGCAAAGCGTGTAGTCGACGGGGAGACGGTCAGAGCACCTGCATGAGTGAAAGGAGAGTGGAAAAGGAGGTCAGTTGGCTGGTTCTCAAGTCCCAGTATAGAACAGATCTTGGAACTGCACCCGGTCGTTGCCAGGAACCCGCGATATCAAAAACCATATCCAAATGAAGACTAGTGCATTTCGGGCGTCTAAATACCATGTACTACTACTGCGTGCATGTGTCGAGATATAACGATATACTATCTACCTGGTGAATAACATACAATGTCCCATCATACAAGAATTGATTCAAAAGTTTGGCTTTTCATGAGCATACATCCATAGCATCGCTGGCCCGCCTTTCCAAGATATCCGCCAAGAAACCTTCGTCGACGCTCCCGAGTGGACTGGCACGGAATGCGTCTAGCCCTTTCCGAAGAGAGTCGTTCATCATATTTTCCATCATCCTCCGGGCTCGCGCTACTACTGGATGGTCGAAGACATCCTGAGCGCTCACCCTCGACTCCGGATTCGTTCGCATCATGCTCCGCAGGAGCCCCAACAACTCGGGGCTATCGTCCAAATCCACCAATGAAAAGTCTTCCTGTCGTAATTGGTGCCATGCGTCTCCCCTACAGTAATAGATCAGGATATATTCTGTCGGCGACCTCAGCATAAACACTCACTGGTCTGGCACAACTATGTTGGATGCCGTCTCAAGCATCGTCATACCGAGGCTAATATCGGATAAATATGACATGAGAATCTTGCAGAATGTCAGAAGGGTGGACACCTTACCTGAAGACATCGGCTGCTTTGCCATATCTGCCCTGCAGAACTTCTGGTGCCAAGTAGAGTTTATCCCCTTCTCGTTCGAAGGGGCCCTCCCCGAGGCTAACGTGAACGCCTGTCCTAAGGCTCGCATTGGCTGCGCTCCCCCAATCCCCTCCACTTCCCTCCATATTTGATCGGGGGCGGGGCCAGAACGACGCCATCCCAAAGTCGCCAATCTTGAACCTTCCCTCAGAAGTGATAAATATATTCGCAGGCTTGATATCCAAGTGGATCACTCCGGCATCGTGGACAAAGCGAAGACCCTAGAGAACACCAACAAAACCACAAGCGGTCAGTATGACACACGGAAACACTAATCATTTAAACAAATTGGGAAGCGAATAGCAGAAGAAGAACAGAAGATGATATAATTTCGGACAACTCACATTGCTTAGATCAACAAATATCTTCCACACTCTGGCTTCGTCTAGCCTGGGGAAAACTCGACCATATTCCCACAAGAACCGCGCAAGGTTGCCCATCTCGCACAGTTCTGTCTGGATATACAAAGCTTCATTCTCCTCCCAACTATCCACGTAGCCCAGGACATTGGGATGGCAATTTTCCTTGCTTCCACTGGCTAACGTAGCAACCCTGGACAGATGTTGCAAAGTGTCTACCTCTTCGCGCAAGCGTAGCCTGTAATAGAGTAACGTCAGCCAATGAATCCATATCTGACCAGAAGCCCGACAATATCCAATCAAAGGCCGACCGACCCAGTCTAACCAATGACAAAGGCCGACCAATGACAGGACCAGCAAAACATGATGGTGAGAACAGAGCTACTCACCGATGCCGTACACCTTCAAATCGCTTGGATTGTTTGATAGCATACCCTTTGCCGTCTTGCCCTCCATCCTTCCGGCGAACTTTAATCACTCTTCCAAATTCCCCGCTCCCGACTTCATCTAATTCCATAAAGTCACGTTCATACCGGCCGGGCTGTTCATAGGCGAAGGAATCAGAGAGTCGCGATCGAGGAGCCAATCGCGAGCTAGAAGGATACGGCCCTGCTGACAGTCGTGGCGCTCTGCGATGAGGTTCGTTGAAAGTGGCAGTGGGAAGGGGAAGTGATGATCTGGGTTTGTTCCGTGGCTGCTGTTGGACCGTAGCCGGCCCGATGGGTAGATGTCGAATAGAGGGCGAGTGTAACGTGCTGGAAGAGCTACTGGAGGAACCCGATGTGGAACGAAGCGGCGATAGCTTGGCCACATTCTTCGAGGGCGAATCTTGGGCGTGGACACGTGTCAGAGCGGGGATGTCGTCTAATGAGAGAAGAGAGATATAAGCCAATGACCCATGAACATGAGTACAATAACTTACCTGAAGGATTGACACGAGTTGGTGTCGCATTACGGGAGCTATCACTGCCGCTTGAGAACGAAAACGCACCGCTGCTACTCCTCCTCATGAGCCAGCGTGTCCTCGATACTGCAGAGGCAGGCTTCTCAGCCTCGGGTTTCTTTGCTGGTCTGCCTAAACCAAGTCCTCCGTACAGACCAGCCTTGCTCGTGACCTTTCGCCCACTGGGACTATCTTCCTCGTCCTCGGTATCGCTTCCTCCTCCTCCGCTTTTAGCTCCCCATTGCTTCAACCCTCCGAGTGGTAGTGCCGGTAGACTCTGCCTTGGTTTTCCTTTTCCCTTTTTGTTGCCAGCCTCCGCCTCGCTTGGTAGACCGAAACCACCGCCGTAGTCAAAGTCAAGGTTCGCTACCTTGTGTGCGATGGCACTCTGCCAGGGGCGGTCGCCGTTGAGGAATGTCGTTTTAACCTTCTTGACAGGTGTTCCAGGCGGTCTTTTGGCCTCTCCATCTGCACCAGCCTCCCCTCGACTTTTAGCACCTTTGCTAGTTGCTGCTAGGATACGAATAATGAACGCGTCGGGGTCGGCTGTTGCCAATATACCGTCAATGGATGTCGAGGAATCGTTTATGCGGATATTGGCGTCGGGCCAGCCGGAGAATTGACCGGGCCCTATTCCGGGCGTAACTAGCCCGTCGTCGGTATCCGAGTTAATGGAATTGAGACTGCTCGAGGCGGGTGGCATCAGATTCAGTGAAGCGCCGGGGGTGCCGTGCTTGTTGTCGTAATCGTCATCGTCGCTAACGACGACACCCGAATCTCTTGGCCGATACTTCTTGGGAAGGGTCTGAGGTTGCTGCTTCATTCGTGGTGATGGCGTCCCTTGCGTGATGTTGAAGACGAAAGAAGCACCGTCGGGTCGCAAGCTCATCGACTCAGTGCCGGAATCGCTGCCAAAGAACATATCTTCCTCCATGTCCGTGTCTCGAGACGAGTTACCCACGTCGTAGATGGGAGAGGAATGCGGCGAAGGAGCCTCTGTATCGGTTCTAATAGCATTCCATATATGCGCTTGCTGAGGGCCCGCGTAACTGTGCCGGTTGTGGACTTTAGATCGCTTGTGAGCTAATTGATGCTTAGAAAGAGAGGCGGCCATTGTGGAGTTAATCCTTGTACGCCCGGGCGCTGACTTGACGGGCGCTGGAATGGGAGGGCCGAAGAAAAGCGTCGCACTCTCGACGCGGTTGAGAGGTCGGGGAGCTGGACGTGGTAACGAAATGGGATGCAGACCATTGCTAAGCATAGGGGGGCGACTGGTAGCAGCGCTCGTTCGCCGTCGGGGAAGAGGTGATCCCATATCAGACGAGGACGAGGCGGATCCATTGCGACGATGCATGCGGTTGGATGGGAAAGGGATCGCAGGAGGGCCAGCTTTGGGGACCTTGGATGGCTAATAGGAGTCAGCAGATGTACTAAGTAGAGGCGAGAACAGCATTACCTTTGGCTTCTCGAAAGCTGGCGATCTATATACGCTTTCCAAAAGCTCTTCCGAGACAGGTCTGGATCGGGCACGCCTCTTGGTGATGTGGCCACCGGGGGAGACAGCGGCCACTTCTTCATCTTTGTCCTTGCCTTTGCTCACCAATGTGCCACGCTTCATTAACTTCCCGGAAAGAGATCCAGAAAGGAAAACATTCCCTCTCCCTTCCTCGTCATCATCGGACATATCGCAGCCTGAGTCAACATTCTCCCCATCAAACTCATCGCCTGATCCATCAAAATCGGTGATACGCAGTCGAGTCAGAGTTGCTGTCTGTTTCTTCAGATGGTGCTCCGTTTCAGTCTTGGACTGCGGGGTTCTCGCGGAGAACTGGGGAGGTGGCAAAGGCGCCAGGCGGTCGAATGCGATGCCTTTGCTGTCAAGGCTTCGTTGTATGCTGAGTGGGGTGAGATTGTGCCTACGCAATGGCGTAGATGCAAGTGGCGTTGATTTGCGCTTGGTGCCAGCACCAGAGGCTTTCAGAGGCGAATTCAATTGCATTACAGAAAGAGCAGGACGTTTCGGGGTTCGTAGAGGTTGTGGATGTGGAGTAGGTGTGGGTCGCAAGGCGGTAGGAGAATCGAGGAAAATGGCGCCCTCTGCGTCGTCTGCTGATATAGGTTCTGGTTTGGCTGAATACGAAGAATACAAATGTTGCACATTGGGAGGAGATTTGAAAGGAGAATGTAGGAAGCCGCCATCAAAGTCGTCGAACTGGTCATTTTGCGGAAATAGAGGTCGTCGTCGTAAAGGCGAAGGGGTGAGCATTGGTGAGTCACGACAATGGATGGGTTCTGGGGTTCGCTGTGGTCTTCTCGCATATGAAGGAGACACACTATTGTTTCTGAGTGAGACATGGTTGCTTGTGGGGGTAGAAAGCAGCATTATTGTATGTGGTGGTAGGGCCTTGAGGTGGTGTCGCGTATGAGGCCAATGCTGCGGTGCGGCAGTGATACCGTGACCGTGTCGGAGTCAAGCTGGAGACAACGTGTACGCTTGATTCGGATCAGAAGGAGAACACACGCGTCCTCGTCGTGTCTGTCAGCTAGGTCAGGTCGAGTTCGTTATTCTTCGTCGTTTTGGGCGCCGTTCAAGGCGGCGACGAGGAGGTGAGTAAAATAATGGGGAGGGCAGGGGGAAACAGGAGAGCAGACAAATTGATTCCGCTTCTTATCAAACTCTCACGAACCCCAATATCAACATGATCACGTGAGCTTACCCTGGCTTTGCCACGAGGCTATTCAACGCCAAACCCAGGAACCCGTCCCATCGATCATTTATTGCCATGTTACAGTTGAGGACAGTCAAAGTCCGCAAATTGCGTAGCGCTCGAAGGGGATTTTTTGGGGACAAACTAACGCCAGATTCAGACTCAGGATAGCTGAAAACGTCTGAAAAAGCACCTCCGAAGTTTTTCCCACGAGAATCTGTCTGCGCCAATATTTTGGAGCAAAAAATTCAAATTGTGTGTACCTCTGTGGGCCTTTTCGGGATGACAGGCGCCCAAGACTGGGCATGCAGCCCAATTCTTACGATCCCCGATTGGAAGTTGCGTCGAAATATCGCTAGCCTTTGTTTTGGAACTATCCCAAAAGCGCCTCAAGCCATAAATTCTCACACCGACGGCGTTTTCTCTCACGTTCCTGGTTTTCCCATCACGAAGCGCCCAGAAATATGAATATTTTTTCTCAGGAACGGCTCGATAGAAGTCCAAGATTTTGACGGGATCAACATGAGCTAATCAAAAGGAGTCGATTGGCATATTTTTCATGATTTTATCTAATATATTCGGCTTACGCCAAAAATTTGAGGGTATTTTCCAGTAATTCGCCTTTTCTGGGCGATCGGCTCGTCAGAATTGGACAAGCACGGTATCATTCGAAAGGGTTTTCAAGCCGGAATGTATTCCGCGCAAGTCCGGAGCACAATAAAAAAACTTTTTATTTTAGCGGACTTTGACTGTCCTCAACTGTACCTGCTCGAAAATATATATTGGCCCTGTGCGCTTCGTCTTAGCGTCTCCTCGTCGTACGACGCCTCTGAAGGAACTCTTCTTCGTTTTCTTTTTCTTTAACGCAATAACAAGCAATCAAGCGACATATTGTTCCAGGCTTCTGAAACTATACAGAACAACGTATGTTTTCGGCTCGTCCATGTCCCCTTGGTAATGCCAGGACCGCGAGTCTCAGATGCAAATGCTATTATAGACTGACTGCTCCAAATACTCTTCCTCCACGTACTTGACACCCAGAATCGTGTCATGTTCACAGCCAGACAGTGGCGGCGACCCAAGCCCAAGGACGGCTTCTTCTCGGTTCTGGGCGTCACTGACTGCTCGGACCAACCCCTCGGTTCGATATCTCCCGTTTCCGTTGACTCAGACATTGCAGGTTTCGCCTGAATATCTGAGCAGCAGCATGGGAGCGATGTTTCTATGCGTGAAAAGCTACTCACACACTGTAATGCTGTTGGCAACGTCTCGGCTGGAGAATGCCTTGTGGTTTGTGACCACGTCGGGATGCGCGCTTGGTGATCACCCCGGCATGGGCAACCTTTCAGCTCGGTGTCGCCTGAGCGACCAGGTGGTCAAAACTATGTGCCCGTGCTGTAGCTCAAAGTTCCTAACGGCCGAGGCTTGTGCAGCGGCATGGTGTGGGCTGGTTCGCACATAATTTTCCCGAATCAAACTTTGACGGCGTCCAATGGAAAGCGCAAAGGTCGAGACAGCATTGCGACTGCTTCCCATATATCAATTACAGTATGTAACTGGTTGGGATGGCTCTTGAGCTCGACATGTCCTGTACCCCTAGCTCCTGTGCTAGTACACCCCTGTTCGTGCTCTCCAGTGCAGTGAGAATGGAGTCGGGAAGCTGCTCGCAATGCACATGTCTTTGCAGAAAGTGCACACAGTCAGAGTTTTAGCCATGGGCAGCGTCGCTTGGGTATCAAACGGTTCCCCAACAGCCGGGCGGGTCACCCCGCACGACTAAGGATCCCGAGCCGGGCGTACACGATCAGAATGGGCGCCCATCTAATCTCGCCTCTTGAAAAGGTACACTCCCCATCGCTCTCTCCTTGCTGCAGCCCACCGTCGTGTCACTCTCAAACATGGATATTTCGTAGGATTTTACTTCTACTGCTGACACCCGGGGCGTCACCTAACGCATGTTGCACGTCCAGGTCAATCCTGCAAGGTGGTTACCAGCACCCTCTGTCGCGCTCATGGCAAGCCCAACGCCAGCTCACGAAAGAGATGCTGATGTATCCTATATTCATCACCGACGATCCTGATGCCAGCGATATCATCGCTTCACTGCCGAATCAACGTCGCTGGGGGATCAACAAACTCCAGGGATTCCTCGATCCGCTTATACGGAAAGGTCTGCGCAGTGTGATCCTGTTCGGCGTGCCTTTGAAGTGTGTCAAGGTATGTCTGGGCCTCGACGAACCTCCCACCGCATCTCATTACCGTAGGATGAAAGGGGGACACCAGCGGACGACACCGAGGGACCGGTGATTTCAGCCATCCGCCTCCTACGGGATCTCTATCCCTCGCTTTACATCGCGTGTGACGTTTGCCTATGCGAGTACACCTCACACGGACACTGCGGGGTCCTCCGCACCGATGGCACCATTGAGCCCGAGCCTTCCGTCGCACGCATCGCCGAAGTCGCGTTAAACTACGCCAAGGCCGGCGCCCACTGCGTAGCCCCCAGCGACATGATGGACGGGCGAATCAAAGCCATCAAGCGCGCGCTGATTGATGGCGGTTATGGGAACAGATGTACATTGATGAGCTATTCAGCGAAGTTTGCCAGCGGGCTGTATGGCCCATTCAGAGACGCGGCTGGAAGTGCGCCTTCGTTCGGTGATAGGAAGTGCTATCAATTGCCTCCGGCTGCAAAAGGTCTTGCCTGCCGCGCCATTGTAAATGATGTACTGCTCCCATTCACGTACTCAAGCTGACGTTCACATCTAGCAACGCGACGTAGGCGAAGGAGCTGATATCATAATGGTCAAGCCCGCCTTGCCGTACCTCGATATCATCTCCCATGCGTCAAGGCTCGCCCCTGACCACCCCCTCGCCTGCTATCAGGTCTCAGGGGAGTTTGCGATGGTTCACGCGGGGGCTAATGCAGGCGTATACGAGCTCAGAACTATGGCATTCGAGACCGTTGAGAGTATGATCAGAGCAGGTCAGTCGACCGTCCTACTCGTTCTTACAAAGCTTAACCATCATGGCTAAGGCGCAACGCTGATTCTGACATACTTCACACCCGAGTTCCTCGACTGGTTGGAGGTGTAATCAATTCGTCTTCCGGCAATATTGTCTAGCGTTGCTAAATTTATCATAATCAACACCGCGCCGTTATGTAGGTTCACAGTGTCGCAATCGCTAACGAAGAAAGAAGATAGTACATATTAGATGCCCATATTAGCAAGGCCGTCAGTGAAGTGACTTTCGCGCCCGCTCCTCATTTGCGTCAACTCAAACAACCTGCGACATATACTTACACTGGATGAAGTTATACAAACATTCCAGAAAATCCTGACTTGAACATCCCGACCCGTGATAGGGTTGAGAAGAGTCAACTTTACGTCGCAGGTTCCTTCTGCAAGTTTACCGACGGTGTCTCCTTAATATCCACTTACTCCCTTGGAGGCCCTGCCGTGGTCGAGTCGCTGCCCCAGGGCCGCGAGGAAACATATCGAGGCACCAGGATTCTGAGGGACGAGTTGCGCTGACGACTTGTCAAATGTAATCCATGCCAATAGCGACGCCTCTCCTTCCCATTGATGCTCGATGCCGACGTAGTATTCTATTGATATTGAACCGTTAGGCCGCGAGCCTTGTGCCGTACGCTACTTGCAACTACCGTTCGTTCGTTCGTTCGTTGTAAACGAGCGATAAGGACAGGGACTAGACTGTCCATGTACTAATATTTCTGCCCAACTTCTATGGAAATATTCAATGTACATCGGTCAGACTACGTGAGACTTCCCTAATAAATTATAAAGCGCAATGCTGAGTGCGCCTGATAGAAAGGTAAGAGAGTTAAGTAATCAAGACCCTCGAGACTGCACCAAGTCGCCTAGAGGTCGACGTCGCATAATGTTTTGTCGTCGTCTTCTTGTTGCTGCTTTCGCTGAGCATTCTTCTTCTTGATGTTACTATTCCGGGTCGAATTGGAAAGAAGCTTCACAAATCACTTATCAGTAACACAGCAGAGCGTCGTTGAGCTGAGATCCAGCCGACCTTAACATTAGCATGCAGAGCTTCATTGTTTCTTCGATGATTGATGGCGTGCTCCCGTAGCTCTCTGTTTCCTTGTAGCCACCGAGAGACGAGGCTCCTAGAACTCAATCGGTTCTCCAGAAGTACCTGATCTTCCTGATACCTATAAAGTATTCCATGGGGCTAAGAAGTAGGCGCAGTGGTAGGGTGGGGTAACACACCTTTGCAGCACTTCTTGGACTCCTTCAACAACAGTAGGCTCGCATTTCAGGTATACGAGCAATTCTACCAGGTGAAGGGCCGAGTCCTGGAAAGCTTTCGATTGGAGTAAGATATCTGCGGTGCTCTCCATGAGTCTAAGCATTTTGCTCCTTCGGGCTTTCTGTAGCTCCACCTCAGCTGCATCCATCAGTGCTAAGAAAAAAATCCGCATGAGGTTGAGTTGTAGAGGCAGCAGTTGGCGAAAGTCTCGTACCAATTGTTTTATCCGAGCGCAGACTCAAGGAAGAGGTTTCCCGTGTTAGCGGCACCCCGTCGAAGTTTATAGTGTTCCAGATATTATTATAATGCGCTGAGTGGTCTCGATTGATAGAATTGTCAATGTTGCGCGTGTTAGATGTGCCTATCATCGACCCGGTCACAGAACTGTGAATTGGCATGTAGGCGATGTAGGGTAGGGTAGGATTCACAAGTCCAGCTCGGTCGTGGGCGATAGTTGCAACCGCCAAGTTCAAGGCCCCTTTATGCGGGGGTTGACGCTGCTCCTATCTGAATGGATACCGGCATGAAGTCCTGATAATGATTATGTGCTCCATGTAGAACAATGGGAGCTTTGTAGTAAGATTTCGACATGTCACAGCGTGCACAATCGGGACCCACAACCGTGGGAAATTCATTTCTAGGAAGGACTCACTGAACAACAATTAACAATTATCTCGTACGTCTCCGTTGTTTGTATTCTCTGTTACCCCGCTGCACTGGCAGTCAGCAATGTCCGACTCTCATTTGCTCTCTCAAACTGCGAATCTCTCAACTGATGTTCCAGCTTTCTCGCGTGGCACTAAACTTGAAGGTCGCTTGAGCACATTGGAACTCTTCTGGAGAGATCATTATGACTGGCTTCTTGAAAAAGGGTACCAGCTGCGCTCAAGATACAGACCGGACTGGAAGCCATCCTGGGAAGGGACGGGCAAGTTACGGTTCAACTACTCCGATAACGTTCACCCTACGGTACGTTCGTCAAGTTGTCACATAGCAAAGGATGTTCTCTAACCTCTTGATGTAGCACGGTAGTGTCTTGGACGCAGAGCGCTCTTCCGATGGCGAGCTACTCATGCTCAAACGCATTTCAAAATCTCTGCACCCTTTTGAGGTTGAGATTGGTCAGCTCTTTTCGGCGAAGCCACTGGCGGACAACCCTCAAAACCATTGCGTTCCAATATACGAGGCCTTACAGACACCTGATGATGATAATCAATACATCCTGGTCATGCCTCTGTTACGGTCATTTGATCACCCCCGATTTGACACCCTTGGAGAAGCAGTGGAATTCTTTCGGCAAATATTTCAGGTATCTATCGTCCGTTGCTTTTTGTCGCAGTTAGCTTGACAGAATGTCTAGGGGTTACAGTTTATGCACCAGCATCATGTTGCTCATCGGTAATACAGTGTTTCGCCACGTTCTAAATTACTTCTGATCCATGGCTTAGAGATGCCACGAAATTAAACGTCATGATGGACGCAAGGCCGCTCTATCCTGAACGATATCACCCCTTCATGCCGTGGCGTACACTTGACTTGAGTAGACATGCCAGTCATTACACGCGTACTCAAAAGCCGGTGAAGTATTATTTGACCGATTTCGGTTTATCCCGACGATACAAACCCGAGGATCGACCCCCACTTGAAGATATCATCGAGGGCGGGGACAAAAGTGTACCCGAATTCTCTACTTCAGACGCCTGTGACCCGTTTCCCTCCGACGTTTATACAATCGGGAACTTAGTTAAGACATGCTTCATAGAGGTACGTTCGTCTACCGTGCACACTTGCCTCTCTTCTGATGTCACATAGGGTGTTGAGTTGGACAGCGTTGGCCAGGGCTTCGAGTTCATGAAGCCGCTTGTTGCTGACATGACACAAGAAGATCCTTCAAAACGCCCGACTATGGACGAGGTTGTGACGAGGTTCGAGCAGATTCGGAAGGGGTTGAGCCCATGGAAGCTTCGATCCCGAGTAGTCAAGAAAAGGGATTCTTACGTCGATGGAGTCTTTCATGGCATCCGCCACTGGCGACGACGTCTGGTCTTTATGATACAAAACGTCCCGCCGTTACCCACCCCGTAGTTATTCGTGCTAGTCTGTGCCTGCTCATCTACATCTGCCTTGCTCTTGGTCTAATTGCATAAGTATTTATATTTGTACAGTGATTCCTTGGTTGGGTCAGCGATGACGCAGCCCGCATTAGGTCTATATGCAAGTGATAGTAGATGATCTGGTATATCACAAATGTGCACTGTCTAGGGGAGCGGATCAAGGTTATCGGGCTCCTTGTACGAGCTTCACCAGATCTGTCCCCCCAGGAATCTGGAACTCAGAAACACCACTACTCATCATGACGCCCTTTTGCTTTAGCAACCGACCTTGGGCCCGAACAGCAGTCTGCATCCGTTTCTCTGCGTCGCCGCTGTGATCGATTTCCCACTTCGTCGGTTTGGCCTGGGTACCGATCTTTGCCGCTTGTTTAGAAGGAGACGGAGCAGACTTGGACTTAGACGCGCTATTATTCTTGCTCTTGTTTGTTTTCCCGGCGACTGCATTCGGTGCATCACGCAGAGCGAATGATTTGGCTAAATGCCCGAGATGAAGATGTCGGATGTGGAAGATATGTTTTTCGTTCGTGGGATGCGTTGAGTAAGCCCTCATATGAGACAGATATGCCTTTCTCGCGAGCTCGCCATGCTGTGCGGAAACGTGTCAAAAGTGTAGGGTATCGGTGGATAAACAACATACCTCTTTCCGTCGCAAAACCCAGCGTTCGAACGCAAGTTGGACCTCCGTTGCTCTGTCTTCATACTCTTTGCTCTTGCCTCCAAAGCCGTCTCTTAGGACATTCTCAACTGAGATTGGGGTGATACGGATGGACTTGTTCTCGCTTTCTTCGGTGGTTCCATGCATCTTTGTGACCACCCACTTCGCCCACTCAGCTTCACTTGGAGAAACGATACTCCAGGCTTCACCACCCTTCCCTGCACGAGCAGTTCGACCTACTCGATGGACATACTCCGTGGCTCCTCCTTCGGTCGGCAGGTCATATTGAACGACGGCACGAACTAGGGGAAGATCAAGACCACGAGAAGCAACTGATGTGCACAGCAGGATGGACGACGTCACATTCTGACCTTTGCCGACCGCCGAAAATGCTCGCAGAGAGGCAAGTCGAGTGGGAGTTGGCAAGGAACCGTGCAATCGATAGATAGAAGCGTCTGGCAACAGAGGAGACTGAAGTGAAACCTTCTCCTTCCTAGGTTTGGCCTCCTCATCACCAGATTCATCGTCATCATCAGATTCGCCGTCGCTTTGCTCGTTATTGCTCTCGTTCATTGCGGTACCTCCTAATATTTGCCAGTGAAAATCAACTGAGTCGGTGCAGCTGAGGAACACTATGATTTTAGACTCCCCGGGCCGTTTGGACGACTTGGAAAGGAGGAAACGGAGAAGGGCAACAAGAGCGACAAGGCGCAATTTCAGAGGCACGACAACGTATTTCTGCGACAGCTGTGATGGAGGAGTGAACTTCTCGGTCGTAGGAACGGCACCAACGGCGTCGAGAGCGCCTTCTACAGGCATATCCGCCTCCGTTGCCTTTATTACGATAGGTCTCGTCAATGTTGTGCCCGCCAGTTTTTGAACGTCTTCACGGATGGTCGCTGAACAAAGTACGGTCCTTCTCTGTCGACTCCAATCCCACCCTCCGACTTCCGTACTCTTACCTTCCTCCACTGCCTGCTTCGCCAGATTCCTACGGCCATCCAACCCTCGAACAATGCCCGTGATAGTCTCCTCGAACCCTAAGTCCATGAGACGATCTGCTTCATCGAGAACAAGCCATCGACATTTCTCTACGTTGAAAGTTGAGGTATTTTGTAGGTGATCCAAGAGCCTGCCAGGCGTAGCGACTACAATCGGTAGCCCTTTGCGTATTCGAGCTTTCTCATGTGTGCGAGTAGCACCGCCGGTTAGAAGTCCAGAAACGAGCCAGCGAGTCAGTCTTGCTGATGATGGGGTAGAGTCAGCTGCCGACTCCTCCTCAGGTCGTAGGCGCAATTTCAAGAGGGCTTCGAGGACGTCATGAATCTGCTTCGCCAGTTCACGGGTAGGTGCAATGATGATGGCAAGGGTTCCAATTGATCGGTCAATATATGAATTTGTGCTCAGTGGCAGCAGATCCTGCAGAATGGGAAGGAGGAAGGATAGTGTTTTTCCGGAACCAGTTTGAGACTGTATAAATACATCTCGATCTACGTTTTCAGGAGAGGGAAGCAAGAAGGGGGGCAAAGCAGCCTTTTGAATTGAAGTTGGCTTCAATATGTTCATCTTGGAGGAAAGATGGGTAACGAGGAGAGGGTCGAGTCCGAGGCCAGCAAATGTAGAAGAATCGGCCAGGGGAGCATTGCTGGGTGCTGCAGTCTGCTTCCCTTTGGGTCCACCGGCAACTGGTGCTTCGACTTTAGGGTTTGAGGTGAACAAGGAAGATATGAACTGGGCAGGGGCACGCGACTGCGTCGAAGTCGATTTCGACGGTACCGAGTCCTTTCGGATTTCTTTTTGAGATTCTGGAATATGTCGGGGACGCTTCGCAGGTCGTGATTCGACCGCATGTGCCGGTGTCTCGTCTACATCGTTATCGGACGGCCGTATTTTCCGCTTCGACACTCGTTTTGCTTTCAATCTATAAAATAAATAATGTCAGAAGTAGTATCCAGGATTTGTACTTGACACCGCGCACCGATCTGTCCAGCGACCACCCTTTCTTGCGTGGGATGACCTGGCAGTGTTGGCAGTGTCGTGTCCCACGTCGACGTTGAGCACCAAGTCATCGTCCATCCTTTCAGACAACTGGCAGTAAATCAATGGCGGATGAAATTCATGACCTCAATTTCCCACGGCGCTTCTTCAAATATTGGAGGTGCCACGTCCAACCTAAACTCTGTACCTTTCTTTCCTTTCTACCATGTTCAGCCGTCTCTCTCTCGCATTCATCCTTGTCGTTGCGGCCATATTCTGCGCACAGTCCGTAGAGGCTGCCAAGGGCCCAAAAATCACCAATAAGGTGTACTTTGACCTTAAGCATGGGGACAAGGACCTCGGTCGAGGTAAGTAATCCGTTGCTACCAGTATACCTTCGTGACTAAATGTGGTACAGTTGTTATGGGTCTCTACGGCGGTGTGAGTAACTTCAAGCGTATTGTCTAGCTATGGGCTCAAGCTCGATCCAGACCGTTCCCAAAACTGTTGAGAACTTCCGCGCTCTTGCTACCGGTAAGAACAAGGATGGTGAAGAACTCGGCTTCGGGTACAAGGGCTCCAAGTTCCACCGTGTTATTAAGGATTTCATGTAAGCGTGGTCAAATCGAACCCCTACCTTGTATTCACATACCCCAGGATTCAAGGTGGTGACTTCAGTAAGTACTAAGACGTGTCTGTATGTACTTCATGACGAATCTTCGAATAGCTCGCGGTGACGGCACCGGCGGAAAGGTCCGTTCATTATTGACCGAATCCACATCTTTACTGATTTCCCCTTAGTCAATCTATGGCGACAAATTCCCTGACGAGAACTTGTTAGTCCTTAGCGGCAAATATAATGGGATACTTTCTGACATATGAAACAGCAAACTCCGCCACACCGGTCCTGGTACACTTTCGATGGCTAACGCTGGAAAGGATACCAACGGTAGGTACCTTATTCTTGAATCCGTATAGTCAAGCTAACAAACCTCATAGGCTCTCAATTTGTGCGTACTCACTGATTATTTGGTTTGACTCTTTCTTATTTGCCCAAAGTTCATCTGCACCGTCGTCACAAGCTGGCTTGATGGACGCCATGTAAGTTTATCGCCCCGTCTCTCTGGACCACTAGTTAACGTGATGCATGGTGGAATAGGTCGTTTTCGGAAAGGTCATCGAGGGTATGGATATCGTCCACCAAGTTGGTGCGTATTCTCTCATAATATAATCAAAGTATGTGTGTTAACCACCGGCTATTCATGTAGAAAATGTGGCCAAAGGTGCTATGGACCGACCTGTTGAGGATGTTGTCATCGTCGACTCTGGCGAGGTGAGCCTCCGTTGCGAACGCCAGAGAATTCGCATTAATCAAACGGTCGTCATTTCCAGATCCCGTTGGAGAAAGATGCCGAAGGCAATGAGGTACCTCTTCACGCTGAGCTATAATCGGCGATTATTTATCATAAGAGCTATCTGTGAATAAAATACCATTCTGTTTGCTTGCTAGGAGCACACTGGGGACATTCAGACTTCTACAAAAGCGGCGGAACCAGCACAGAAGGAGACTGCCGATGAGACGCACGTCGTTAAGACCGACGTCGCCGCCCCAGTGATCACCAAACCCGCTACTAACATTGTCACTGAGGAGCCGGTTACCACCCCCGAGGTCGACGAGGACGCTTTCACCTTCGGCAACTTTTTCTTTGTTGCAGTATTTTTGGCTGCAGGGGCAGGTTTGTTCGTCTACCTAGGCGGTTTGCGCTGGTTGCAAAGGCTCCGCGGCGGGGAAGACGTCAAGTACAACCGTGTTGGAGACGACGACGTGGAGAAGTAAGAGCAATCCATGCTGCCCAACACGCACCATTTATTCATATAAGAATCTATAGACGCATGGCATAATTGAACTTCTGTGTATAATTATTGCACCTTCGGTATAGATGTTCGAACTTGTTATACAGACATAATGCAAGTAAGTAGATATAGCAAAGACAATAACAAAACGCGATACAATAAGAGTCTGGGGGTATATATTGCTTCTGAGCCATTCGTGCGTGTGTCCGGTCTGCCAGTGCACACGTTGAGTCGTCGTACTATCCAAAACAGGGAAATAACGTACGGTAGGCCATTCTTGTCAGAATAGGACGTGCAAGTGTCGTTGGAGTTGCCCTGAAGTCAACATGGTGAGCGATTTGAATGAACGGCTAGGAAGCAGCGACGGACAGTAGGTTCCGCAGGACAACAAACGCTCTCTGGACCTTGGTTAGCCACACTGCCTAGAGCTGCCTGATTCCTCGAGCCCGGCCAATTCTCGTTGCATGGGACTACCTGGTAGCTTGTATTCCAAACACCGAAATCCTGATATCACTGTTATTGGCGCGGACGCGGCATCAGTTCCTGGGATTAACTTACTGTGTAGCCGTAGAAGGCTTCATTGGAAGGAAAGAAATCGTCTGGGATTGAGCTTGAAGGGAATGCGAGGTCGAAATTGAGTGACAGGCCGGCCCTATATGGTCGTATGAGCGTTGTTTACACAGACGGTTGAGATTCGACCTCACTTGTTCGGCTTGTTGGTCGTTGCGGAGCACCAGTCTCCACCCAAGGGGCATAGATCTGTTATTTTGACCGTGATGCTCTTCGACTCGGTGGGATAGAATGGGGGGTCGGACAGAAAGGTATTTAGTAGTGTGAGCTTGAAGCATCTGCCGCAGCCTGGGCCTGAGGTGAACACCCAGTCAGCATCGAAAATAAAAGATCGTAACTTGAGTACTGCGTACCATACGCAGCGCTGCTCCCAAAGGCCATCTGCGATAACGCAGCGGTTGGGTAGTGCGTACTAGAAGGAGTGCAGCCGCATGCGGCGACATAGTCTCGGGGCAAGGTATAGTGGGTCATCGTTGCGAAACCGTTGGCCGGGTAGTCGATCCATTGCGCCGAAGTCACAACGCCTAGAATAAGCAAGAAATAGATGGGCATCATAGGTCCGTGGATATTTTGAGTAGCTTTTGGCATAGTTGTGCTGCCGAGGTCGTAGTGGGCATTGTCAGCGTGGTGGTCACCGTCGTTGCACCACCGAAATTGATTGAGCGTGGAAGTAAGTGTTGTGCTAAAAATAGCGCTTCGGACACGTGACTTACTGTCGTTCACCCACTGCCACCGTTTGCTTCATTACTTGACCGTTGCTGAACTGGCCAATGCAATGAAGTTCCTGTATCCAGCATCGAATAGCGTTTCTGGCCTTTCCCACTCACAACTTGCCCTCAAAATAGCACGACACTCCCCCTGCACGAGCTGCTCCTCTTGCTATGGCCTCCGTCCTCCTCCAGGTACCGAAGTTCTGCCGGACGATCAGCAAGCAGTTCAAACAACATTGGTTGATCAGTACGGCTCGGACGATGAAGACGACATGCAGCTACCTTACCTGGAATACTGCGGTTGCGGTCACTTCTCGTCAGTCCATGGTGCAAACGAGCTTGAACTCGGTTCTGAGGAGTTTGCACGGAGAGGCCGAGTTGCTATTCGATTAGATGAACTCCTTCAGGTTTGGTCTCGTGCACTACTAGTTAATTAGCATATGCATGACTTATGCTTTCCAGGTGCGGTCTCATATGCTGTCTTTACATTTGGACATCTAAGCCAATAAGTTGGTAGGATGTAGGCAAGCTGACCGACTTCGACTACGTCGATACGGATATAACTTCGCTGCGGAAACAAATGCAACTGCCGGTCTCACTACTCAGCCCAACGATGGCTACCTTCAGTATTTCTCAGAGTATGTCTTGCATTCAATTCTTTGTTGACTCACTCACCGACGGAACACTAGAAAAATCATCTAGCAATCCTAGTTCACCGGCCTCTTCGGTGCTGAGTGAAGTACCCCCATTTAAGAAGCGGAGGATATCTATCTCGTCTCTGAGCGACGATGATGACGATGATGACGATGAAGAAGAGGAACGGCCGTTGGCTGCTCGCGTGAAGCCATCCCATAGAAGTGGCAAGAAGGGGCCAGGTTATAAATCAAAGCCCCATCCAGCCTCCAAGAAGCACGCCAAGTCTAATGGCTCTGCAAAGACCAACGGTCACTCAGCAGCCACAGTTAAAGTTGAAGAACCGATGGATGAAGCTCAGTTAAATCGTTTAGTAACTGGAGTTCCAGTTGATACCGGTCAACCATCAGCTGGTGGCGTAAGCACTCCTTCGTAGCGGCAACGGACGGTTGAACTCATAATTTGCTAGCTTTCCTCGAAACCCGAGAAGCTCGTCAATGTAGAACTTCGGAAGGGTGTAATCCAGGTTACTGCCGTGAAGAATGACAAACAACCAAGGTCAATGGTAATATTGACCGGTCTGAAGACACTTTTCCAAAAGCAGCTCCCCAAGATGCCTCGAGAATATATAGCTCGGCTCGTCTATGATTCAAATTCAAAAGCGCTTGCTATCGTCAAACGTGGCTACAAGGTCGTTGGTGGCATCTGCTTCCGTCCATTCCCGCATCGCGGGTTCGCCGAAATTGTGTTCTTCGCAACCGCTTCTGTGGATCAAGTGAAGGTATGGCCTATCCTGCACATTTTTCTGCCCATCTGACAACTATGCTATAGGGTTATGGTGGTATGCTGATGGATCATTTCAAAGCTCACATCAAGCAAACGTATCCGGGCATGATGCATTTTCTGACATACGCCGACAATTATGCCGTCGGGTACTTTGAGAAGCAAGGTTTCTCAAAGGACATTACTCTTGATAGATCGGTTTGGGCCGGGTACATCAAGGACTACGAAGGCGGAACGATCATGCAGTGTACCATGTTGCCGAAGGTTGACTACCTGAACAAAGTCGAATTAATCACGCAGCAAACGGAAGCCATCATGTCGAAGATCCGTGAAGTGTCGAAATCGCACATCGTGTATCCAGGCCTTCCTCAGTTTCAAAATGGCAATCCTGGAGGCATAGTCGTCAACCCAATGGATGTTCCGGGACTCAGTTGGTAAAATGTACTTTTGTTAGATATTGAGAGCTGATCAATTCCTTAGGAGAGAGTGGGTGGAATCCTATGATGGCCACTTCGTGAGTATTTCAGACTACTGTCGTGTCTCGTACCGAACGGCTCTCATGATCGTTCGTCCTTCCAGTGTAAGAGGAATTCCGAAAAGTATGGAACACAGTCAAATGGAACGGCTGCTTAGAGACTTAAAAGGTCCGCAAAACTACCCCCTCATACAATCGTGTCTAAAAGGCTTGTAGGGCACTCAAACGCCTGGCCGTTTATGCAACCTGTTAATGAGGAAGAGGTGCCGGATTATTATGAAGTCATTAAGCAACCTATGGGTATGTCTCGTCTTGCACCTCGCCTTAACTTATCGCGAATTATCCTGCATCAGACTTTCGGACGATGGAGCACAAACTTGACACTAATCAATATCAGTCGCTGGCTCAATTTGTGGACGATGCAATGCTCATATTCAAAAATTGCCAGCAATACAACCCAGAAGAGACCGTGTACCATAAGAGCGCCGTTAGATTGGAGAAGTATCTGAAGGAGTTGTTAACGAGCAAGATGAAAAGGGAGGACTAATATCTACTATGTATACAGTATAATGTATTTGCAGCACGCTTTCGTGTTTATCACCATGGCTAGGTTTCAAGCTCGTAAATGGATTGATTGAATTGATAGAAAAAACAAGTAACATCAGTACATATGACATTAGTATAAATATTCGAGGTCATCATCGGACCTTTCAGCGCTGACCGTCTAAATGAGCCATAGAATCAGCTTCATTCACCCCGAGACTGGTCATAATAGGTTGTACTCACAAGCCTTCGTCTCATACTTGCCCAGGCCGACGATGATGTTCTGGGGTTCTTGAGGCTTGTTGTCGAAGTAGTTCTCGAGGATGCTCTTGACACCATTAGCGTAGCGAGTTTGTGCATCCAAGGTCGTGCCAGAGTAGTGAGGAACCATGCCGTTACCGCCGCCGAGAGGGTTCTTCATCGTGCGCCAGACATGGTCTTTGGGTGCGGGCTGGACGTTCCAGACGTCACCAGCGTAGCCTGTACAAAGTTGTCAGTTCGCGTTCCAAGGCAAACGCAATGGCTAGGTACCAGAAAGGTGTCCGCTCTTGAGTGCCTTTGCGACGGCATCTTTGTCACAGATGGCACCTCGGGCAGTGTTAACAAGCCAGGCTCCCTTCTTGAAATGTGAGAGGAGTTCTTCGTTGACGAGGCCCTTCGTTCCCTCGTGCAAGGGGCAGTTGACGGTGACGACGTCACACTAATGTCAGACACTCTCCTTTAGAATCGATGCACAAAGCGGACTGGGGAAATTGTACCTGTGAGACGAATTCCTATATAATGTGTGAGTCTCTGACACGATCGGTGGGTGAAAACTCTCAAAATACCTTGAGATCCTCTACGCGACGGGCTTTCACAGCATCAGCGGCAGCTAGCAAGATGAAATTTCATTAGACACGATTGAAAGGAACGGGGTCTGTAGATGCATACCTTGGGGAAGAGCGGCGTAATCGTAGTATAGCAGTTCCTTGCAGTCGAAGGGCACAAGGCGCTGAAGGACGCGATATCCAATGCGACCAGCTCCAATTGTGCCGACGACCTTGCCCTCAAGGTCGAACGCATTGCGCGCAATGTCTGACACTTGCCAATCCCCACGTTCAATCATCTTGGACAGGGATCAGAAACAGTCGAAAAAGTACAAGAGGTATTCTTACCTCATGAGCGGGAACAAAGTTGCGAACAAGCAACAACATGCTCATGATGACATGCTCGGCAACGGAGACCACGTTAGAACCTGAGACCTAGATCACTTTTATTAGAGTTTCAACAGATTTGGTCTTCCGAGGAAGCATACCTCCAGAACCTGAACTTTATGCTTCACAGCAGCGTTCAGGTCAATGTGGTCAGAACCGACGCCAGCAGTCACACAAAGCTTCAATTTCTTGGCCTAGAGCGAGGACGGACGCATTAGCCTCATTACAGTGCAAGAATAACTGAGGCTACACACCTTCTCAAAAAGGTCGGCCGTGAGATATCCAGGATGGAAGGGCGTGGTTATAAGAATTTCCGCCTAAAGCGAGCCGTGTCCGTCAATCACTGATCAAGGGAACATGTTATCTGAACCCTCACATCCGTGATATGCTTTTGGAAGTCGCTGTCTGGTCCCTCTTTGCTGCTTGAGACCTACATTCACATTCCACTACATGAATGGTTCATCCATACTCAGACAAAAATAGTAAGCTCACGATGAACTCGTGGCCCTGGGAAGTGAGCCATTCCTGCAGGCCAAGCTGAGAGACGCGACTGTTAGTAGGTCGTATTGTCAGGGTTGTGTACCATTACTTACTCGGTTTTCAACGGTACCGAGAAGACGCGGCTCCTCTTCCGCAGCCTTGAAGCCGTTGTACAGAATCGCGAGGATCTAAGACACGGTAATCATTAGGACCGCGTTCGCTGAACCAAGCAGCATGCGCGCTTGCCTTCATTTTCTCTTGGTGTAGGATGCGGTTTGAGTGAAAGCTGCGAGCGGGGGTGCGCTGAGCGAATGTTCGTGCGTTTCTGAGGATGGAAAACATGGTTTTATATAGGTGAGGAGAGGACAAGGACAGGCAGATAGAGAGTCAGGCCCCATGACCCAATTTATTGCTAAAGTAGACATCCCCATCATCCATTCTTCCACGAGCGCAGGAAAGCAAGTGACCATGTCTGAGGGCGCCGAAGGGTGTATGACATAGTGCACGCTCACAGTTCCGATTCTAGCCCGTTAAAGCAAGCCGGCCCGGGCTACAACCCGAGAATGCACAGGGGCGCCGGGTTGCGTGTCCTTGGTCTCTGTAGAGTCTCCAGTGGTCCCCAGCCAGTCGTTATCGTAGCGTTCTTGCCACGACGCCGGGCGTTTTCGGTATAAAAATAGAATCCCTGTATACGATCTTGTACATCGGCAAGAAATGGGGTTGATCAGGAAGTTGATGGAGCGCGTGCCAGTGGGATAGGACGAACTCGTAAACACAAAGTCGCCCACGGATCTTGGGGGATTGTAATGCAGTAGTTCCATACGGAATGGCCTCCTGGGAAATGGTGTGACCCGTGAGCCCAAACCACGGGCGGGATAGGATGGTCATTCTCGCGGAAAATATGATGGACGGAACCGGGAAGCAAGAAGGTCAGAATATGGTTCCTATACGGATACGATTAGGGACCATCGCAGTAATGGGACTATATGAATCCATGATACAATAATTATCGTCAAAACCTATCCTGCGTATGGGGTTAGCGACTTTTCATAATGATCCTATCAACCCACTCACTACATAGTGACCATGTTTGTGAGCTCATTTTCAGGCGTCATGATCATCTCGTACTCCTGTATGTGTGGTTTACTTCCTTTATGCATCGATTTTACGACTTCCCATTCAACTCGTATGAAGACCCACATCCACCGACGGATTATCTCAGCAACTTCAAGCCAGAAGATACTGGCACTCCCATCAGTCTGGGAATGAAGATGGCTCGACAATTTGATGGACCAAGTGAGTCTGAGAATCAGGTTTAGGAACACGACCAATGGGTACGTAGGCAATGGATAAAGCAGCACTGGGCGCAGGCCCCATGGGTACGACATGTGCACTCTGCTAGAGCCCAACGAAGGGCTAAGCAGGGTCGTGTCCCCATCCGATGACGATGTGGGAATGTGAGATCGGTTCAGAAGGGGGAGCATGAGTTTCTTGGGTGGAGATGGCTTGTCTCTTTCGCCTTGGCCACTCCTCTTCAGCAAATCAAGACCCCAGTCGTTGGTGACATCCCACCAAAAAGAGTATAGGGAGTTCACCGCGGCAGCAAACAGCCTGCTTCAACGTCAGCTTGTTTACGGAGGAAGAAAGCCATGACTCACCACCATCGAAAGAGGGATGTTCCTGAATGATTCACCGAGCCGACTGGTATTTGACCGTCAATAACGACGACTCGTTGGGCTGCAGAAAGGAAAATAAGGGGGAAGGCTGTGGCATATTTCAGAGCATTGTACAACGGCCGAGTAGATTCGTTTGAGGCCGCAGAGTATTCGACAACGCACTGCCGAAATCGTATTGCGTAGGGAAGGCTATAGCTGACTTAATCCCCCGCTTATTGCTATAGCATTGGACTCACCTCATAATGATAGGGAGCACCCAGCGACTCAGCCCAGAGAGAGTAGGCGGAATGAGAAGGCTATTCCCCGGAGATAGCATGCACAATGACAACCATACGTCGCCCAACACCTTTGCAAAGGATGTGCATATATCGGCGAATACGACGTCGGCAAAGTAAATCCGTCCGTCCATATGAGGGAACAGGCACCTTCGCAACGCGCTATAACACGCGCTGAGCGTCCGCGAGTATACAAAAGAATAAGGACAAAAACTTACTGAAGGAATTTGTCGCGTTCAAACTTTTGACATATTTCGAACGGAGAAATCAAGACCAGAATAATACAAAGTGCAGAGATAGCTGGAATGTACCCAAACGCATCCACTAATGATGGGTCGTTCCATGTCGCCGAGCAGTAAAGTAGCCAGGAGGCCAGTCCCCATGCGCAATATATGCCGAAGAGTTTGTACGTGGAAGAGTAGATGAAACGGGCTCTAGGTGGATGTTGGTGCCCATTCGCGCGTAATGGAAGAGATATTGGCTGCGAGGTGTCGTGCGTTCGAAGTTCCATGGTCCCTACGATATCGACCTTGAGCAAATCTAGTCCGTGTACATTGGTGGCCCATCCGAGAATCCCAACCCCAACGAGCAGAAGAACGCGAAAAGGGAGCGGGAAAACGGCCGCAAGCGTGTGTTCTGGGTCGGCGTCGTCCATCCTGCGGTCAGCGTCTAGGTATTGAGGGCGACGTGGTGGTCATAAAGAAAAGTGGAGAAAAGCAACGCTACTGCGCCAGTGACAGTTCTGCAGCCACGTGACGTATTGAATCTGTTCACTGCCCGACCGACACCATGTCCCAAAGTCAAGCGGGAGGCGCATATGGCAGCAAAGCTGCAGATACCGACTTCAGGAAGAAATGGGACAAGGAGGAATATGCTGAGAAGGCGAAGAAAAAGGACCAGGTAAGGTGTCGTAAGTCCGTTGGACGACAATATGTTGCTCATGTTATATACAGGAGGAAAGGGAACGGATGCAGGAGAACGACGAGAGGATGAAGCAAGGTGAGCCATCAAGGCGGCTATCATCTCCCGGATACACTGCTCACAATAATCCATAGGAAAGAAGCCTAGAAAGGGCAAGAAGGATGACCTCCCGAAACCAACAGAACTGATGAAACAGCGCGAAACGCCGCTCGAGCTTGATAAGAACTTGAATAAGACGATGGTCGTGCAGAATCCGGGTGGTCGCGGTCCTGGCCAGCCTGGCTTCCACTGTGAAACGTGTAATCGAACGTACAAGGACAGTACTGGCTACCTGGACCATATCAACGGCCGAGCGCGTGAGTTACAAATATCTGTGCTACGCACCTCAACCACTGACTGAGAACGAGTGCAGATCTACGGGCCTTGGGGCAGACGACAAAAATAGAGAGATCGACAGTTGCTCAAGTGCGTGCACGTATAATGCTTCTCCGCGAAAAGACAAAAGATGCTGCCAACGCCAAAGCCTTTGACTTTGATCAAAGGCTAGCAGACATCAAGGCCAAAGAAGTGCAGGCTCGCGAAGAAAAGAAAGCACAAAAGAGAGCCGAGAAAGAGAAGGCTCGCTTAGAGTTGGCAAAGGATGCCATGGAACAAGACACCGATCTAGCAACGATGATGGGCTTTGGTGGCTTTGGTTCAACCAAGAAATAGGTATGGCGCTGTGTACTCTACATGCTACTGATTACATTTGTGGGTCTACGTACGTTTGACTAAAGATAATATGAACTTGACTTCTGCCACTTCCTGCTCCTCCTCGATCAATGTTTCTGCGCCTTGTTTTCGTTCTTTGGCATCTATCGGGATGTTTCGAACTGTCTTCTCGATGAAGTCTGCGTGCTTCTGCATGGCGGCCAGCAGATCGGCACCAGTACCGTCCTCGAATTGATAGAGAACATCGACCTCGTCTGTGGATTGTAAGCCTGCCTTCTTTCGCAACTTCTGGATACGGTTCGTTATCTCACGAACTAACCATTCGCTTTGAAGGTCAGGGTGGATCTGAATGTCTAGCCGAACGACGACATCGTTGTCAGTATGCGTGGCATATTGGGCTTCCAACCCAGCAGGCAGTTCGAGATATCGCTGAACAGTCAAATCACCGCTGACTAGTTCAATCCCGTCAACTGTGATCTTCCCTGTTGTTGTGTATGCCTTGATATCCTCGCTGGTGGCACTTGGCAAAGCATTCTTCACACGTCCGAGATCCTTTCGCAACTTCTTCCCAAGGACCGCCCAGTCCGCGACCGCACGGTATTTCACTCCAGATGCAGACTCGTCCGAGGTGAAAACGATATCCCGAACGTTGAGTTCTGACTGTATGTATCGTTGGAGGGGCTTGATGTCTTCCAGATATCCCACATCCGGATGGAACACCATAAGCTCCATCAAGGGAGTCTACAACATGATTAGCCACAAGGAATGGCACATGAATGGCAATGCTCTGACCTTCAGGGATAGATTGTTCTTTTCCCGCAGGTACCTCGTCAACTCGATGATAGTCTGCATCCGCTTGACTTGTCTCTCAATGTCCTCGTCGAAATATTCCGCCTTCGGGTCGGGGAAGGCCAAGAAGTGCACTGATCGAGTGTCGCCTGCTGAAGGATCTTCGGGGATAAAGGTTCGAAGTGTCTGGTAGATATTCTCCGTGATGAAAGGTGTGAACGACGACTGCAAGAATTTAGTCAGTCTAGTGCGTCTCTCTCCACATGCAACACCTTACCATTGTCCTACAAAGGGTGAAAAGGGTCTCGAACAGCGTGTTTAGAGCCGCGGCCGTGTCCTCAGGCCCATCTTCGCCCTTCAAGCGCTTGCGGTTGAATCGGATGTACCAATTCGTGAGTTCGTCCACCAAATCAAGAAGACGAGGGATGACATTATACAGCCTATATGCTGCCATCTCCTCCTTCACGAGCTTGATAAGGGATTGGCATCTAGCGAGAATCCAACGGTCCATAACGTTGTTTGAGACAGCGGCGTGCGGGTTGTACTTGAAGTCATTGCCTGTTGTTTTCTTGTACAGCGCGGCGTGCCCAAGGAAGAAACGGAACGAGTTCAACCACGGAAGCAGCACGCGGGATACGACCTCTCTGACGCCCTCTTCTCTGAATCGAAGGTTATCACCCCGCACGATGGGCGAATTTACCAGGAACATTCTATACCAGCGGTCATTTTCGACTCCATTAGGCTTACACTAAGCAAACTCACCGAACGGCATCCGCACCATACGAATCAATCACGACATGAGGGTCGGGGTAGTTTCGCAGACTCTTACTCATCTTCTTTCCGTCCCTGCCATGAACGGTGAGTGCCAAAAATACGAGTACGGTGTTAAAACTCACGCAGCAAGAACGAGCCCAGTAACAATCAAGTTCTGCCACGGTGCTCGGCCGAAGAGGTGAGTGGAGAGTACGAGGAGGGTGTAGAACCATCCACGAGTTTGATCTATTCCTTCACAGATGAAATTCGCAGGGAAGGTGTCGTCAAATAGTTGCTGGTTTTCAAACGGATAGTGTTGTTGGGCATATGGCATGCTGATAAACCAGAGTTCAGCCTGTAGACGAGACTTGATGTGAGTGACTATGCTGACCTTCCGGATTCAAACCAGCAGTCGAAGACCTCTTCAACACGTTTCAGGTTTCCTTTGCCTTTACTTGAAGGAATAGTGATATGGTCGATCTTGTCTCTGTGTATATCAGTTATGCCCGTCACGCCAGACAACTTCTCCAGTTCCTCGACCGAGCCAACACATACAACCTTCCACCCCTGAATAAGCAACGAAGCAGTGGAGGCATTTGGGTGTGCGTACCTCTTCCATATCATCACTAGCCCATAGCGGGATCGGCGTTCCCCAATACCGATTCCTTGATACATTCCAGTCGCGCGCGTTGGCAAGCCAGTTTCCGAATCGACCATCACCGACACTCTGCGGCACCCATCGCGTCTCCTGGTTGTTTGCTACCAGCTGGTCGATGATAGGCTGAACTCGTATGAACCAGACTGGCACGGCACGATACAACAACGGAGTACCCGACCTATTATTGTCCGATATATGAGGCGCCACTTGCAAATACTAGTCGGGGCACTCACCGCCAGCAGAACGGATACGTATGTTTTAAGGTGGATTGCACAATGAGACGACCTTTCGCTTTGAGGACTTTCTGTATGTCCTTGTCTGCGACCTTGACATGTTGCCCTTGGAAGTCAGGTACTTCCTTGGTAAATAGGCCAGCATCGTCGATGGGGCAAGGTGGCATTTCATCAGCTCGAAGAACCCCGTTGGCGATGGCAATACGATGATCATCTTCACCGAATGCTGGCGCCTGATGAACGATACCTGTACCATCAGCATCGGTGACGTAGGTATCTACAACAACCCTGAACGCTTTGTCTTCGTACTATGCAACGACGAATCGTCGAGTCAGTCCAAAGGATACGAGGAAACGCGTCCAACGGTACCTGATCTGTGAAATACTCAAACAATGGGACGTATCTCCAGCCTTTCATATCGACACCTTTGAATTTTCCCAAGATCTTGTATTTGGCTTTCTTGGGATCTTTGTATAGAGTCCCAAGAAGACGTTCATGTAGTATGAAATTCTGATCTCGATCTTGGTCGTGTATTTTGATGTAGGTGAAGTCGGGATGAACGCAAAGGGCAAGATTCGAGGGCAATGTCCAAGGAGTGGTTGTCCATGCAAGTAGCGATGTTTTTGGATCGTCCACGAGAGGAAATGAGATAGTAACTAAATGGCATTGGTAAGTGGTAGAATGTTTGACATGACGCGAACCGTACCTGCTGGATCGCTGACTTCTCTGTAGTCTTGCCCCGCTTCAAAATTCGATAAAGGTGTCGTGCATCCTGTAGAGTATGGCATAACACGTAGACCGCGGTACACCATCCCCTTCTTGAACAATTCGCCGAATGCCCACCAACATGACTCCATGAATGATAGATTAAGTGTCTTGTAGTCATTATCGAAGTCGATCCAGCGTCCCATCCGTTGTACGGTGTGCCTCCATTCAGATGAGTATCGCATGACAATACTTCGGCATTCATCGTTATATTTGTCGATACCCATAGCGAGGACGTCTTCCTTGCCCCTGATGCCTAGTTTCTTATCGATCTCGTGCTCGACTGGCAATCCATGGGTATCCCAACCAAATCGACGGATGACATGGTGGCCGCTGACATGGGCATGTCTTGTGACGATGTCCTAACGTGGGGCTTTAACCCAATAGATGTTGTTTGATGCAAGAGTCCACCAACCTTGATCGTGCCAGCTAGCAAGTGTCCGTAATGCGGTAGACCCGTCGCAAATGGTGGTCCATCGTAGAAAGAGTACTCCGGCTTTCCCTCCGATAGTTTCAAGCTCGTCTGGAACGCGTCAATTTCCTTCCAGAACTCTATGACCTTCTCCTCCTCCTTCGGGAAGTTGAACGGCGCAGAGACTACCCTCACAAAAGACCATGTTAATCAGTTGTGATACCAAGGAGAAGAACGTACTATCGTGCGACGGGAATGACATTGTGGATGGAGTCAACGGTCTGCAAACACGAAGGTCAATCGATTTCTGACTTTGTATGATTCATTCTGATTGTGATAGATTGCCAGCCGTAGATTAGATTAGATGATTTGAGTCAATTTCCCCACATCACGTGTGTTTCACGAACTGCCGGGCCTTCACTTCATTTTGTTCATCGTTCAACTTTCTGGAAATGGCTCAAATGATAGGATATGGAATGTCTACTTGTATTGAAGTTTGCCAAGTATCGTCCGGATCATGTCCCCCTGCTGACATCCCTCAAATAGAGGACAGTCAGTCGCCGTTAGTGACAAGGCCCTCTCACTAGGGATTGTACGTACAATGAAGAGCTCTGTGCGCGTCCGGGTTCCCCGATCTCTACCCACCACGGTGGGCGCGTCGTGCGCCCATAAGTAGGCCCAGAATTTCAAATGCGGCGTATGCCAAAAGGTGCCAGTCTGTTTCCCCCTGTAAACGGTCAGTCCGATCTTCTGGAAACCAATGCTATAACATACTTCGGCGCGCGATCCACCATCCTGATGCCGAGGTCACATAAAAATAGAGGACATGAATGGACATGAATTCTATCGGACGCACTCGATTGGCACGATACCAGTCCAGCTCAAGTGTCTGCACTTGGAAGTCATTTGGGCCTCGGATAATGATGCCCACGACGGTTCAATCAATGATCCCATCCCGCATTTCAACAGCTTGGGGTAGGAATATTAATAGTACGGGTGTGCCCAGGCATTGCTATTCCATCATGTGCTGCTAGCTAATCGACTTGATAGAACATCTTCCCATTGAGCCCGTCGAGGGGAGGTGCGTGCTGGCTGTCCTTCTAGTACGGCCGTTCAGCTTATTGTGGCACCAACATATGCCCCATCATGCCTGGCTTCGAGAAAGAAAGAACACCCCCGAAGTTAATGAACGAACGTCCTAGATTGGCTATCTAGTTCTGTTCAGCCATCAATCTGATCTGTCCTTGAAATATGGATTGATGCAGCATCTCCTGGACCACACGGTCGTATCACTGGCCAGCTGGCTGGTTGGGCGAAGCAGTTCGCCCGGTTCAAACACTGTTTGGTGGCGCGGCTGCAATATTTATGCGAATGTTCGTGCGCGTTATTTTGGACAACTCTGCCGCTCGCAGGAACGCCGCTCCGCTTTGAAGTCAAGGACACCTGGCCAACCACCGGCGGCGATTCAATACCAATGGCAGCGTTTATCTGGATACTTACGACACGCCTATGTCAGTCTGTTCGGCCTTGACTCGGTGAGGTCACCTCGGCGTTTTGGTTGAATCTTGGTGTTCGCAATATCGTTTAAGATATCTAACCTATTTCGTTGGGGATTGGATGCCGTGCACTGACTTGACTCCTGTGTCAAGAAACCCATATAGAGGCCAGCGATCAGGGATAGCGCATGCCGGATGGCAGTAGAATTCCATCGTGGGGATTTAATATTCAATACCAGGCAGCTTTTGGTCTGTAATAAGTACGAGAATTGTAACCGAGCACGGCGAAGCAAGAAGTAACATAGTCTAAGCTGAGCGAACTATGTCTAATCTACCTGAGTTGAGCTCAAACTTCTAGGTACAATCAAAGCGTAGTTCTTTGGTGTGAAGCTTGTCATGACTGCCGTTGTCTACCGATAAAGAAACATGACACCAAACTCCACAACCACATGGAAATCTCGGAAATTACATCTCAATCACTGAACGTTGAGAAGGAGCTGGAAATCGCGGGGTGGGGTATACTCTACCGATCATTGACGATCAGCCCAACTCGATGTGATATGTGAACAATAGTAGCGTAAACAAGGGTAGGTTGACGCCTATCGAGGACAGCGAATCGCCGAGATTTGCTCCTCAAGAGACACTGATGTATTCGACTCTTGAAAGTGATCCTAGTGAGGTACAGATGCCACGATATTATATAGCTAAAATTACGATGCAGGAGGTATCATAAATGGTGGTGGCAGTCAATTATCCGGAGTCCTAAAGTGGGTAGCTCTGTTACTGGACCACAGGTCCGGCTGCGAGGCGGATATATTGCAACCCTCAGAATATAACGACGACATGAGGTTGAGCGGCGCCAACAACGAAGCTGCGTGGTCGGTCGAAGAATTGGCCATACGAATGCTTTATCATCACCCTTGTTGACGTGAGAGTCTTGCCTACTTGTAGGCTCGATGACGCGCGTATTAACCGATGCCAGCATCCGGTTATCTCAAACAGAGTTCGGCTCCGTTGATAGCGACGCCAGTGGGGGAACGAGGGTAGCAGTAACTAAATTGTGCTGCTGTTCTCGATGGGCAAGGGCATCTTTGACCCAGCCGATCATGTCAACTTCTCGTTTTGAATCGGCTTCAAGGAATGGATGTGCCTATGCAGAGTGATAAGGGTTCGGCGAGTGAGGGACAACATCACGATACGCACCAGCAACTCGGTATATGTGGCTCGACGCTCTGGCGTCTTGATAAGACATTTACTGACCCAGTCTCTCGCGTCTTCGCTATACTTATCCTCCGGCAATCCCGGCGGGTCACCGTGAACGATGGCTGTCAACTGAGCGAAGACATTGGAGTATGTCTCAGGCGGATACGGATATTGACCGATAGCCAGCTCGATCATGGACAGACCAAGGGACCAGACGTCGGAGGACACGGTGTATGTGCCCAGATTATTTTGGGACTCGCCTTTGATCCGCTCCGGCTGGCAGAAACATATAAGGTGAGCCGTCGAAATAAGATACAAGGCAAACTCACGGCCATGTAGCTTTGGCAACCGATGTTGGTTTTCGCAAGAGACTTCTCGAGCTGTCCGGACACTCCGAAGTCACAGAGCTTGATTTGCCCTTTACGGTTGACAAGTACGTTCGTGGGTTTCACATCTGGAGAATAAATTAAGAACGTGGATGCCTCGAAGAAGATCATGACCTACCTCGGTGGATAATTTGAAGTTCATCCTTGAGAAATTTTAAACCTTTGACCATGCTACTCGCTACGCGACCCAGGACGTCTTCGGGAACACCGGCCCCCAGTAGTTTGTCCAGACTGCCGGCATCCATGTACTCCATGCAATAGTATACACAGGACTCGATGAAGAAGGCGCCGTAGAACTCTACGATCTCTGGGGCGACGGCACGGTGCAGGATGTCGAGTTCCATGATGATAGCGTTGAGCTTTGCCTCCTCAAGCTCAAGTCGAATTTCCTGACAAGGGGGTGAGGCAAGATAATGACGTCAGGCACAGCGCCAAACCTTCATGGCCATAGCGACATTTGTTGGCTTGTGCAGCACTTTCTTGACCGTCCCGTAGTTGCCCTTGCCGAGCTCCTCGTCGAGCTGCAGCTGGTCCATGTTGATGGCGAACGATGCGCCGCTGTTGAAGTTCACGCCCGTGGCATGCAGGATGGCTTTGCCGTTGAAATTAAGAGCACCAGAAGGATCTCTGGCATTTTGGAGTCAGCGATGAGCAGGGCGTAGAATGAGCACTTACACTATCTTGGAGAAATTCGCGAAGGGTGTCCCAAAATTAGCTGGTGGAGTTCTTCTAGGAAGCTCTGATGGTGGTAGAGCAGGGCGGCCTGCACCCAAACCCGCGCCGTGAGCCCCACCACTTGTGCTCGGCGAAGGAATCGCAGTCGGATCGATGTCTTTGAGCGTGAACCCTGGTTTCAGACGGCGTCCAGGCATCGACGTTCCGCCCCGGCCGCGGATGGAAGGAGATGGCGAGGGGAACGAGTGCGCCGTCCGCAGATCCGGTGATTGATTTGGATTGTGGATATTCTGCGACGAAGAGGCCCTGTTCGCCATTGCAGCCATCTTTGCCTGCAAGGATGGTGGTATGGGGGTGTGGGCTTGCCCCGACTGTTTATTGGGAAGGAGGCCGGTGAGTGAATTGGGCATTTGTGTGGAGGTGGTGGTGGTGAGAGAACAAGGTTGCGAGATGACTCTGACTATCAAATTCGGCAGAGAAAAGCTTGCAGTTGAGCTTTCCACCGCAACTCAGTCCCTCGCGGACCTCAGGAAGGCCATTGCAGAGAAAACACATCTGCCCCCCAATTCTTTCAAGCTCATCCATGCAGGGGCCGTCATGAAAGACGATGCCGCAACCCGTATGTTTCTTTGTTGCAAATCGCTTGGATCTTTTCATGGATTCACAACCCTTATCCAGTATCCACCTACAAACTACACGACAAGTCGACAATCGTCCTGATTCCATCTAGCCCTCCCCCTCAGCCAACAACCACTGCAATTAATGCAGAATTGAGTCGAGTCAGGAACAAGCTGAAGCCAGATGTCACGTCTTTCGTCCAAGGCAGCGCAGAAAATGCCGCCAAAGAACACACACGACTCAGCGAACTCTTGCTGCAGTCTCTCCTGGCCCTTGATGGCCTAGACACAGCGAAGATGACAGACGATGCGAGGTTGGAGCGCAAAGCAGCGGTCAATGAGGTCCAGGACCTCTTGGACCAGTTGGATGGCGCCTGGAGAGAACAAAAGCCCAAAGCATAGGCTCGAAGAACGGTTTCCCTTATCCTGCGCCATTAATATTCCAAGCGTAGCCATAGAAGATGCTTTGTACTGCAGCCGTAGAAATCACTGTACCCCTATCACTTATATGAGACTCCCACGGTCGTTAAGATCACTGACTCAATGGCGCCGCAGTTTGACTTTGAACAGGACTTCGACAATGGCACCACCGTCTACACCATCAGGCGAAGGACCACAGACCCCGCCACCCATCAGTCCCGGGGGGACTTACTCAATACAAGTGCGTCTTACTTGCGACCGCAGGTGGTATCTACCAAATTGAAATAACAAAGAGCATTACTGTAGGCTGCAAGATCTACATAAGGCGCCCAGGCGCAGACGGGGATGTCGAGGAGCGTCTTGCGGAAATCCTTTCTATTCGCGACAAACCGAACAATCCATACGCGCGACGCGCTAAGGTAGCGAAAGCCGAAGAACAAGAGAAGCCGGAGGATAAATGGGAGTTCTTCGTTCATTGGGACTCCTTCAACAAACGTTTGGACGAGTGGGTCTCTGGGTCTCGTCTTGTACTGTCGCGCGATCTCGAATGGCCACGTCCGAAGCAATCCAAGGAGAAGAAGGCACCTCATAAGGACAAGGCTCCTGGAAAGGCACGGGGCTTCAACCTACTCAAGAAAGCTACCTCCAACGCGGCCAAGGCCAACTCGCCGACACCAACCCCAGCTCCTGCAACCCCTCGTATAGCTAGCAGATTCTCATCATCCCCGTCACCTGTACCATCCTCGCTGAAACGGAAGCGCATTCCTATGGACGACGAAGAGGAAGAAGACGGTGATGAGGATGCAGACGCGGACGCAGATGCAGATGGTGAAGCTGATGCAGAGGGGGAAATGGATATTGACGGAGACGGAGAGGCCGAATCACTTGACCTTTCCAATGTTGTGGCCGAAGATTCGCAGGAAACCCCCGCAGATTCCTCCGTGTATAGCAAGGAGCAGGAGATTGAGAAGCTTCGCACTTCTGGATCCATGACACAGTCAATTTCCGAGATCGCGCGGGTGAAGAACCTCAATCGCCTGCAGATAGGCAAACACGAGGTTGACGCATGGTACTTCAGTCCGTACCCCAAGGAATACGCGCACATCCCTGTCATGTATATCTGCGAGTTCTGCCTATGCTACTTCCCTTCACCAATGATGCTTACGCGACACCGCAAACACTGCCTACTCCTTCACCCACCGGGCAACGAGATTTATCGTCACGAAGATATATCATTCTACGAGATCGACGGCAAGAGGCAGTTGACTTGGTGCCGAAACCTTAGTTTGCTATCAAAATGTTTTCTAGATCAGTAAGCAAAGCCTACTGCTTCTAGGTTCCTCCGCTGTTCCAGCTGACCCATCTTCTACAGCAAAACGCTGTATTACGACGTTACCCCCTTCATGTATTATGTTATGGTTCGTTCATATCTAGTTTGTTATGCAGCTGGTTTGAAATAGCTCACCCTTGATGCAGGCTCAACGGGATAGTACGGGATGCCATATAATCGGATATTTCTCCAAGGAGAAGGAGTCCGCCGAAAACTATAACGTCGCATGCATCCTCACTCTGCCACAGCATCAGCGTCACGGATACGGCAAGTTGCTCATCGAATTTTCCTACGAACTCAGCAAGAAAGAGGGCAAGCTCGGCAGTCCGGAAAAACCTCTGAGTGACTTGGGGTTACTTGGATACCGTGCATATTGGGCGGAAACTATCATTGATTTTATAGTGAATACGACGGACACGGAGATTAGCGTTGATGATATTGCGCAGAAGACATCAATAACGCATACAGACGTGATGAACACGTACGTCGTTTATCTTCGGTGTATACTAATCAATCTTCCTAAATACTTTTGCTTTTGTCTTTAGGTGCACGACTCTAGGCCTTACCAAATATTACAAAGCGCAGCATATTATTTGCATCGACAGCACGGTGCTCGACAGATACGAAAAGGCTAAGCAGAAGCGACGACGCAGGATTCATCCAGAATATATCAAATGGAAACCCCCTGTATTTACTCGAGACCAGCTTCGCTTCGGCTGGTGATGGCTGATAGATTCATCATCTATGAGATGTCGAGGGTCTCCTTTGTAGTACAGCAGTTTGTACAGTAGTTGTATGTATAGACTAGCATACATGCAGGTTGCTAACAAGTAACCGTATTGATGCTGCTCCATCCAACCCCTCCTGGTACGGTTGTACTTGTGCTTCGATTCATTTCTCAAATGATGTTTGATGCATCACGATGTGACTAAGAACCGAACAGAAACATCAGGAGCCCCCGCAGTATTCTGATGGCGAAATTGGAAACATTTGGTTCGGACCTTATTCATCTCTGTCCGTACGACGAGCGCGAGCGCGGAAGGTCAGACCCTCATCATCTCCATCAAGCATTTGCGTTCCTCCGCCGATAACATTTGCGATCGAGTCAGGATTCGAGATCTGACTTCTGCCTTCAGGCAATATGTGGCGTCGCGTAAGCGTCGGTGATGGCGGTCGTGAACCAGCAGGAGAAAAGACCCCCACCCCAGAGAGTTTCAGGCTGTTTTCCTCTGATGCGAAGTAAGGATGGGGGTCGGACACATCAAGAGAAGGCAACCCCTCTGCATCCCTGAGGGGATTTGCGTCGAAGGGGGAACCGCCACTTGATGCACCGTCGAGGGTCGACATTTTCAGGGTGTGCGGTGCGGCGAAGGATTCCGGGCTGCTCGACAATTCCAGCTCAGACGATGAAGAGGCGTATGGATCTGTCATCGGAGGAGAGGCATCGTGAATACGAATGGTGGGTGGATTCCTCGTGGCGTGGTCTGTTGTTGATGCCTTGACATCGTCGACAACCCCCAAAGTCCTCGCGATCACATATGAAGCGACATCCTGTTGGAATGTTTTAGGCGAGGATATCACAATAGTCACACTGGCACATACCAATCCGGTCAACACTACGAACGGAAACAGTAGCACGAACGCGAGGAGACGAGAGGCATACGCTATACTGCCCACCCATGAATCAGGATGCCAATTCCAAAGATGCTCGACATAAAGCTGCCAGACCGCGAAGGGCATGTCGTACATCGTGTACGGCGACGCAAAGTCGAGAGGAGAAGTCGCATTGTCCATCCTCGAGCTTAATACTGTGGTGGTTTGGTGCTGAGTGTCGCGTGGAATCCGGCGGAGTCAGAAAGAACGCTGCTCGCGCGTGACAGCGAACGACGTCGCCGGCGGCTCCTTATCGACATTTGAATATTTACGTCCCAGTTCATCATTTTCGCTGGTTTTAAGCTCAACAACCCTCGTTAGAAAGTCTCAAAACATCTATTAGACACAGTGGGAATCGAGAAGTGATAGTACACGCTATATAATGTCTGTCCGGGCGTGCATGCAAACCGGGAATATCGCAGATACATAGATCATCGGTGGCCCTCCATCCAAAACGCATGAGCATGAAAACTAGGCAAGGTATCCAAAGCGCGGGAAAACAGATGTAAGCAGGCGATAGCGACGAACCGGACGGTGAGATGGGGATATAGGAACCAGCGAAAATCCGCAAAGAATGAAAAAAAGTGACTATGGATACATGACATTGGAAGGAAAGACGATACCGTCTGATCGCACTAGAACGATTGGCCGGCGTTTCACTAGCTGGTTCTCTGGCGGCAAGCAGCCCAAAACCTCGGTGCACCTTACCTCCACATATGGTGAAGGTTCCGATCCAAAGAACACGCTTACGGGATCCGTCTTCGAGAAGTTCTCTCCGTACACCGTTAGCATCTTGGATGCATGGGGATTGGGTTTGGAAAGAACCGCGCGAGACGAAGCACAGTTCGATTTGGGAGCCTCTGAGGCCCTGTCCGGGGGGAGGTACTTGACGACGCCAGGGAAGGGAGTGACAGGCTTTGACGGGATGGGGAACGAGCCTGTCTGCGGCGCGTGTTGATTGTCGAAGAGAACAGGTGGCACGTAGAAGTTGTACCGGATCTGATCTATAGAAGAGTGGCGGAGGATCAGAACAAACGTAGTCAGTTGATTAGAAGCATAGGTACGTACCTGTACCAACAATGGTCCAGACGCTGGTCTCACCAATGTCAACTTGCCATAGTGAACCTGATGATGCGCCAGAGTCGCTCCCAGACCCACGGCGGCCGGACGTTGCTGATCCAGCAGAGCTCGGACGTCTTCGGCCCTTGGGCATCGTCTTCGCTATGCCGCCGGCGCTCGATGTCGATCGCTTCTTCTTGACACGGCCACCGTCGTTGGACAAGAAGTCTGCTGTGCCTGATGTCGGAGACGCGGGGGCACTATCTACCGACCCGTGTCCGAAGTACTCGCTGCCGGTTGATGATACGGGAGTGGACGCGATTGGAGATGAAGGAAGCGTGGGCGAGTTCGAGCCATTCTGCGTGTTCCATTGACGACCTTCGATGGGCCTGTAGGTGTTAACCTTCTCGCCCATGCAGGACAAGAATGTGCCAGTCTGGCCGGGCGTCCCTGGCTCGGGCATGCCTTTCGTAGCGTCATAAACCTCGAAGGCAATTTTGTGCAGTTGCGAGACCGGGTCTCCGCACACTTCACCTAAGGCGCAGTAATGATCGGCAACACCCTTGGCACCTTCCTGTAATCCACCACCAACAACGGTGGTCTGGTGATCGACCTTACGGATGATCAAGACAGGGCTGACAACTCCCGATGTCAAACATTGGAGGACAACGGTCTGATTGTAGTAGATGGGGATTTGTGACCCGTTGTTGGTAAACGGGATGGCGTTGGGGGGCGGCGAGGGGTAATCGGGTTGAGGCGGCGGCGGCGGAGGGGCGTCAATGCCTCCCGCGGGCTTGTTAACATCGACAATGTACATCACAAACGGATCTGTACGGTTTAAAGTCAGCATGGGAAATGATAAACATAGCGAATGCAATTCTTACCCCAGCTAGCGGTGCGGGCGATAAAAGAGGGAGTTGTAGAGCGAGATCGCTGGTCCAAGCCCATAAGGGGTGCCCCGTCTGAGCCTTTGAAGGACGACCCTGATCCTGAGACACAGAGGTACTTGGTAGAGACTGTCTGCGACCTCAGCCTGTGGAAAAGCGATATCGTCGAACCATGGTTGATGCACACTACGAAGAACGCTTTAATTATGCATCATAAGATGCGTTCGAGGAAGCTACTCACACTCAAGGTTTTTAGCACTCTGACGTTTCTTGCTGGGCTTGCTGATGACCTTGATAGGACGACTTGGAAAGGTACCGATTACACGCTCAGGCTCATCGTCGGACGCGGGGGCAGTAATCTTAACCAGAGCTTCGACTTTCTTCTTCTTTTCGTCGACGTCAGAAATGAAAAGTTGTTTCCCGACACAACGTCCGATGTATGTAGTGCCTGTTGGTGGGTCACTAACATCGAAGGATTTGCCTGAGGAGCCAGTCCACTCTATGGAACCTTCTTGTGGAACGGGCTCGCCGGAAATCGAGACAGTAACACGAGGAGGGCATAACTTCGGATCCTCTCCTCTCCTCACAACATCGGTCCACCATGAGTTGCCGATCATAATAGCGGTCGGCGGAGGACACAAGAAACTATGGCAAAATTATTAGGAATCAAGGAAACCCATATTTCAGAAGAATACCCACCGCTTTTCCGTGCCGTACGATTTTTGAGCCACTTTACTCGACATAACGATCACAGTACGTTCTCCAAACGCTAGGCGATTCGGGGTCCGCACGTATTGATCAAGGAAGGGCCTTATGACAAAGAAGTTAGTGATCGAGCACACGAGTCAGATCGAGTAAGACGTACCGAATGAAGGTTTGAAGATCATTGGAGGCACCCATAACGGAGTGGCCGTGGATCCTCATGCGAGCGAGGGTTTCGTCGACAGCGGGCATTCGGAGGGGAATCTCTGGGTGAGGATTTGAGCCGAGGTAGTGCGGAATATCTGGGAAGCCGTTGACACCGCCTTCCCGGAATGAGTTTGTAGCCTGTGGTGCGACTCCACGTAAGATATCATCGTTGTGGCTGGGCGGCAAGTGAGATGGCACTGTCTGTGGTGGGCCGTTGTGGAAACGCCGGTCAGAGAAGTGATGAAGAGGAGGTGCCTGCGGGAACGGGAGGGCAGTGCCAACTGCGCCCATTGGGTAGTCACCGTCGAAATCAGAGGAATAGTTGCCGTTACTGACGCCAGAGAGGCGACGGTCTGAGATCAAGTCTGGATACTGGTGTGCATTGGAAAAGTCCTTGCCAGGAGGGAAAGGAGACGAATGTTGAAGGCCACCAACTGGATCGCTGGGAGTGAGTGGCGAGACCTTACCGCTGGAATACGCCGACGACATCCCATTCATCACTTCGTACGGGTTGTTCCCTGACCCATTGAACGGTGGCACCGAGTCACCAAAGGGAGGATGCGAATACAAGTTGTCTCCGTTCAATCCGTATGATGGTGGTCCCAACGACGACGACGACGAGGCATTTGTCCTGTAACGGTGCGATGCGAACGTATTCGCCGAGTTTGTATTGAAGATATCATAGTTCGTGTGGTCCGTGTCGAGGCCGTCCAGCTGCTGCATATTGTGGTGAGACGAGGGTGGCTGGTGATCTGCGGAGTGCATATTGAAGTTTGGGTCGAGTTCTGGCTGGTAAAGGGGATGCTGGGAGGAGGAGGGCGAGGTCGCGGCCGCAAAGTCCATGGAGAGCTTTCTGTCGTGGTTGTCTCTGGCAGGATTGAGGATGTCGGCCAAATCCCAGCGAGACGCGACTGAGGAAGAGGGCGCGCTGTTGACCACGAATTCTGATCGGCGTTCGGGGTTTGCCGAGGTCGATATTGGAGGCAACCAAGCAGCTTGGGCCATCCACTGTGTCCCAACTACTGGAAGATTGCAGTTACCTGGCTCAACTTGGTTGAGTACGAGGGTTGGGGGGGACTCGAATATATCATTTTGATGTTTGTTTTATATCATATCCCGTTTGGTGTCCATGCTCAATACGGCATTGTGCACACAACCGCGGATTCGTGACCAGAATGCAAATTTGGTTCCGAACGACGATTTCGCGCAGATTTCGACACAAAAGTATTGGCCTCGAAAAGATTCTCGCGCCTGTGCGCTTCGTCAGCGAATCGGTTTTGACGGGGAATTTGAAGCCTGTCCGCTCCGAATTTGCACCCAACCTGCCCGATTGGCTCACTGCAGGGCCTCCCCGTTAGCACCTTGTGCTGCTGGCGTTGCCGTGTCGGCGGAATTAGATTTCATCTTCAGCCTCGATCTCACTTCCATCCAGAGTCCTACTCGGCATTTCCCATCCTCCCCTATGCTTTCCCTCCAAGTATGTGTCCCTTCCAAGCCCCTTCGCCGTCCTCCCTGCTCGCTGCGTCCACCTCTCCTCCTCGCCGGGCTCTGTTGTCCTGCCTGCACCTCGTTTCTTCGTCTCTTCTCCAAAGTCACAACCTGGTCATCTGCTACAGCTTACAACACTTACGTACTGACATATCTGATAGGCACGCAGCTCACCCCAATTCAGTACTATATTCGGTACCAGCAGGCAAGACAACCAGCCCGTCGATCGACAAACTGACCCCCATGTACTGAACCGTGCTTCTTCGTACCTTGTCTGTTTCTATGCTTATATTTACTACTTGACAGTGCTTCTGGAGTATGCGATGGAATCATGTTCTCCAACTTGGCGCCATCTCTCGGTCAACGCCGTGGATCTTCCAAAGAACTGACGGCATTCGGGCTCTTTAACTTGATCTCTGCGCATGGCTCAATGGTTTCGGGAAGCCGGCTCCGTCAGAATACTATGTTCCGCATATAAATGATACTCCAATCTCAGCCAGATGGCCTGGATTGAATTGTGCGATGCGCAAGTCTCAAGTACCAGTTCGCTTGATCTTATTATCAACACCCTAATTTGATCGTATCTCGCTCCAGATACTTTGTCTGGCCCGCCGGCTCATCAAATGCGACAGTGGTATCTATTCCAGTCCTGAAAGGGTCGCTGCCAGAGTAGAGGATATTTCCTTGGGCCCAACCTTCCCTGTAACGTGTGATCCCAGGTCCAAAAGTTTATATGTATGTCCATCGCCTTTATATGACCCCAGGCATTTAATTTAACAACGTATACGTGAGGATTGTTGGCGTAGGCGACGTCAAATGAGGATTTAAGTGTTCGTGTGGCGTGTGTAAATGTAGTCGATAATATGCGCGTCTAAGTCTCCCATCCGTATCCACGACTCTAGCAGCGTCGACGACTTGGACTTGAAGATGACGTCAGCTGTATTTCAATACTGCAGGAAACTGAAGAGCTCAAGGAAGGAGAACGAGGAGTCTTGTATCTAGCCCCATCTTCCGCCGATGGTCTCGATGTCGGATGCAAAGTCATGGAGAGATCCATGCAGGGAGGTTCCCTCCTGGCTCTGCAATATGACAACATCTCAGATACCACAGATAGCAACATAATTGCTGGGGAGGGATGCTCCAGAGTTGATGGTGGCGCTGTGGAGGATGTAGTGAATTGAGACGGCGAATACTCTGGGCTTGCTGGGAAGTTCGACAAAAGAGGTATAGGAGCCGCCGGTTGGCTTCAATACCGCCGGTCAGAGGAGTGTTCAAATGATGGTAGGACATGAAAGGCACCTGAGCGCGATGGTGAGCCTGCAGCTCTTCGTGTCTTTTTCGAGCTAACGAAAATAAGTAAGTTAATGCAGCTAGAAGCCGCGGCGAAAAGCACATTGGTTATCTTATGAGGTACGTTATCGTGCCGCAAGACTGGCGTTTTTGCTATTTCTTACAGGAAAGTATGATCTGACATTGCATCGAGCACAGCTGCCTATCGCTTCGTCCCGCATGCGGCCCCTGAGTTGCTCAGGCTCATTGACACCATTCGCAGAGATGACAGACGCTTGCATCCGCAACCGTGCCGGACCGTACGAGACTACTACACTAAGCTACTGCACGGGTGAGCGTGCCTAGTGCGTCTCTCCTTGGAGAATGCAAGCTCCGTCGACGTCTTTAGCTTTGGTGAGTTACTTACCTCCTTTGCTTGTGCGAGCGAAGCCGTAGCGCTATTCGTTATCTACGGCAAGTCGGGACACTCATCCGTCCAACTGATACATCCGCAATGAACGGTAGGCATCAAAGGCAGGAGGAGCGCACCAGAACCTTCATTTCATTTTCTCTACGGAAAGTCCTGTCTTAATTCGGGGTCTACTTTCACCGTCTGACTGCCTGGGCGATCCTTGAAACATATGTAGTGCGTATGGCCGTAACAACAGAAAGATTCAATAATTGCAGGCCTGAAAGGACCGTCAAAAGAGCGGCGAATGCCCTGAGTGTGAGACTGTATGATGTGTGGGGGATGAAAAAGTTTGGTGATGCCGTTTCCCTGGCCAGACCAATTATACGCCTCGCTGAGGTCACTATCTCGCACGGAATTGCCGTCGTAGATAGTGAAACATGATAAAGATATCGCCGTGTTCTCCTCGCCCCTCGGTGTGTTAGGAGCACGACAGGGGATATCATATATTTACAGCTCTCGCGGGTCTGCACATGTGAAAAGCAGAGAGAGATTTTCCTTGGGAATGAGCAGTGGTTGTCATTTAGTGTGACCAAGAAACAGGGAATTTGAGTAGAAGGATTCCCGACCACGTGGGAGAGCGCTGGGTGACGGTTACGCGGTTGAGGACGCTGATTGCCAACTTCAACACCGGCACAAGTCTGCACAGCAAATTGTTTGCCCGTCGTGGCGGCAGTCCCTTTTTTCCTGGTTGATCCCTGGCCACCAGGTTACCTCGTTCCTCTACCACCTCGTTGACGGGACGCTTCGCTGGTTTACAAGCTCAAGATTGACACTCCCTTGGGCAGTCAGTGAACCCGAACGGCAAAGGCGTGTCAGTACAGCTCGCGCCCAAAATGTCCGTATCATCATATCGGCTGGAGGCAGCGCGCCCCCGCCCTCACCCGCCGCCTCTTCAATTCAAGGATTCATCGTACCAGTCGACGAGTTCCAGCCTAAGTAGTCAGCAGCAAGACTCACAGACACTCCTTTACAACCTCCCCTCCCCACCGTCCATGCCATCTCCACCGCCGTCGAGTCCTCGAAGGAACCGACTGACTTCCCCTTCCTCACCGTCGTTTCCTGGCCGCTCGAGAACGCCGATAAGTGGCGGGCGTACGACACCGATATCCAGTGCTCGAAATAGGTCCACCACACCGCTGGGGGTTTCTCAGAGCGAGCTGGAGAGGTTTGCAGGTCACTGTCGAGCTTGGTGAGCACCGTCGCGTTTGCTTGATGTCGTCTCTTGAATGTATATAGGTACTTCGACCAAGATGAAGACGCCGGTCGTCTAATGACGCAGACACTGACTAGTCTCCCTCCCTCACAGCGAGCACCGTTCTCGCGGCTACAGGCGTCCATTCGATCTGCATACCACCAGTCAGTCAACGCACGAAAGACCGCAGAATATCGCGCGCATCTGAGCGCCACGTCCCCCGGAGGCTCTCTGTCACCTGCCTCAAGAGCTGATCCATACGGTGCTCTTGCTAAGAAAGGTAAGCTGTAGCAGCAGTGCACACTAGACCGCGCCGTAACATCGTGCAGAACGCTATGATAGGTTCGATCAATTCGTGAGGACTTGGTGTACAATGGGCATGCCTGGCACTCAGCCTTTTTTCGAAGGTTTGTGGGGTATCATGAGACTCGAAGTCGTCCCTCAGCATCTTGGCGGTGCCGGTGCCCAGCGAATTGAATGGATACTGGATGATGCAGTATTTAAAGAAGCAGCGTAGGTACATGCACCTCAGACAGCGTAATCTAAATGTGATTGACTTTCGCAGTGGAAAGGACTTCATGCTGGAAGCCATTGATGTTCTGAAAGGGGTCCGTATCTCCCTCCTTCGACGGCTTACTTGCGCCTAATAATACGCGAACAGGTGCTTGGCTTCGAGGAATCAAGTACCTCAAAATGCCCTTCCCCGTCGCCCAATTACGACGACGCCATTGGGTCACCCGCCCATTTGCGTACACAGTCACAACCTTTATCCTCGCTTTCCAACCGCGCCTCGATCGCAGCACCTACAGTTCAGCCGAAACGTGCGAGGGCACCCAGCGATCCATTTTTAGACACCCCCGCCCTTTCTGAATCAGCACCATTTCCCCCAAGCCGTTCCACCGGAAGCACCGCTGCCGCGAAGACGATTAACCTTGATGGAGCTTCTGAACCCCTTAGCCCATCCACCGATACGGACGAAGCTCGAAATATACCCTGGCGGAGCGACTTTCAGGACAGTGACTTGGAGGAAGACTCACTTCGAATATGGACATCTCCAGACATATCTAACCCCGAATACCTCAGCTTGCTACAGCTCTTTCCTACATTCATCACTAGACGCGCGCTCCCTCGCTTCCCCGTCACGCAAGACAGCAGACGGACAGCAGATATTGAAGAGGGCGACGATGAGCCAGAGCTAAGCGAAGTTCGTGTCGGCACAGGGACTATCCGCTTGGGCCCCAAGGTACGCAGCGATGGGTGGGAGGGGGGATGGTGGACTCGCTTCATCATGTGGTTACGGAGGATATTTTGCTAGTTGAGCGCCCCATCTGTCCGTTTATACATATCTTTGATCGGACACTATTCTTGTTACATAGGATCTTAGTCCCTGCTTGTATACTTGTGCTACCTCATGTTCATAAGCGAGAACCGTCGGTAAAGCAATATTGAACCGATTCGATACAGAATGTATTGATTTGGCTCCACAACGCAAGGCAGTGCTTGCCGCTACGCTATCAGAGTCACCTTCGACGCCGTTAGAGTATAATTACAAATGCATCTGATGCCAACAGAAGCAGGTCCCCTTCGCCACGTACATAAACATCAGGAAGCTGGAAAACCAGTTCTGATGAGATCAAGTATATGGTTAATATGGAGCAGACGGGCACCCGCTCCAGTCTCGTGGTCTGAGATGAACCCTATTTACTTCCTGGTTACATACACTCTTTCCTCGGGCGGGCCCCGGTCCTTGGACGCGCAGCACGCCCCGTACCATTGGACTCACGGCGGCCTGCTGCATTTCCAGGGAATAGTTTACCATCGGAGGAAAGAAGGTGGATGAATTCAAACATGGGTATACCTTTCAAACTGACGTGGAGCTTGCACTTGACTGATGCACCCATATACCTTAGAAAGTAGCATTAGCAAACCGAGTCGCATAGGGGGTTCGATAGATATCCGAATTGCGACGTCTGATCAGGCTGATCAAGCCAGACTGTCTTCGCTTAACGTACCGCGGAGGCTTTGTCTGCATGCACGCATGTAGAGGTAGGCAATTGGTGCCAGCGCCGGTCAACATCCCCGAGCCAGACCCTGATTGTCAAAAGATGCTTTACGGCAGGAGAGATGCATATCTAAGCCCTGTGGCTAGCGAGAGAAGCAGCTGAGCCTGTGGCCCCTGCCAACTTAAGACTCTTGGTGTGTTCTGAAAGCGATATCCGAAATGAAGTAGCCCACCCGTTCGACCACTGCTAGTGCGGTGTCAACCGTGCCTGCTATTTCACGGTGCCACACCCTCTACCACCCTCTGTATTGTTCTGCCTAAGTACAAGGTGCTCGTGATGAACAAGCAAGGAGTGTAGCCACGGGAACTTGCATCATGTTGCCTTGATGTGGCCCACGGTTCACTGACTGCAGACGCACCATTTCTGGGGTGGACATCAAAGGCCTTCAAAGGCCTATTCCTTCCATTGACCTTACTTCTCTAGTAATTAGCAGGGACAGAGTACGCGTGGAATGTGGACTAAAGCCTTCGCGCCTCGGAGTACCTTCGCTGTAACTAGTGGTCAGTCGAAATATACCACCGAGCACAATTCTACAACGCCCAATCGCTTAGTGAGAACATAAGCTTGCGAAAGTGCGAGCAGCTTCCCTTCTTGGGTGACAGGCACTGGGAGCTATTGCGCGATGGGCTATTGTGTATATCGGGAGGTCGCGACAATTACTGGCGGAATGAATATCGCGTGATACAATTCTATCACTCAGCGAGCTTCGCATGGGACAATACTGACAAAAGATGATATGCCTGGATAAAATAAGGTTACAGTTACAGAGTGCGAATCAACGACGGAAGCAAATCTAGAGAAAATGCGTCCATAATTATTGGATGGCGGAGGCGGCGGAGAACATGAGCGATGCAGCGGCCTCCGTGTGAGGACTAGATTATATGTCCCTTGGCCGCCTTAAAGCAGAGGAATATCTCAGTGGGCTTTTGATGACAAACGACGAATGGGTATTAGCCAGTAGAAGACGAAAAAAATGCAGAATACCCACCACTAGTTCTCTCTTCAATGGTGTAGCCTTTCGCAGCCAGAGTTCGAGTTCTCTGTCAGCTTTTAAGCGTGCCAATGAATGGCTTGAATGATGAGGGCCTGTGGGGAATGGAGATTCAAGAAGACTCGTCTAAAGCCCGAAATTGTGCCTATAGCTCGTTGGATAAAAATACCATCCTGAAGGGCAGATGCAATTGGTAGTGCTTGGACTGAGGTACAAACTTGTCGCTGTCACCTGGGTGGCCATATGCGGGACCGTGGCCAGTAATTATATTGATTGCCTTGTTTCCGGCAACGTTTGAATACGAAGAAGAGAGGTGTGGGCTTTGGTGGTGTCGATGTCACCTTGGGAGCGAAGGCTGGCAGGGAAGGGAGTTCGCCATCTATTGTCTGAGATTCTGTGTGGGTGGTTGCAACATATTTCCTCTCGAAACTTGCGTTTTGCCCAAAACTTGACTAAAAAATCGGCGCAGGCGTCCGGGTTACAAGATGGGCACAGTCCAGAGACCCAACGGAACGCCGGTCAAACCAAGCCAACCGTGGCGTTGCCTAAGGGATTGGCGGGTCGACTGGGGGATGGCAGGGAGGCCCGGTCATGAACGACTAGGCATCGGGTGCCCTCTGCAACCCAACGCAAGATCACGGCGAGGTCAAAATTAAGTAAGGGGTGAATTAATCATGGTTCGCCGTTGGCGTTGATGGACGGTTTGTGAGTTTCTGGCGTAGAGATGGAAAACCAATGCAGGCGGGATTGTCTCTGGCGGCGGTGGGCTTGACAACAACCTCGCCGTGTCCACGATAAGCAGTCGCCGAGATCCTTAGGTCGACCTATGATCTGCTAGGCCTCCGCCTAGCGCACTTGATGATGATGTCCTAAACAAGTATTGTGAGCGCCTAATTAACGGCCGTCTGCCACTCCCTTCTTGCGTTTCTCGAAATGTCACCTCAACGTATAGTTGTCAAGACAATCCACCTGCCTCCTTCAGATCCATCACTTCCTGCCCTCGCGCTCCAGGTAACACAATTGGTCGATTCGTATCTCGTATGGATAGGCGCGACAGGCGTTTCGTCTGATGACATCGATCAAGCACCCCAGCAAGGGAATCTCAGCAGAGATTGGGCGTGTGCTATGCCCCCACGCCTAAGGGGAAGCTATTCAAGCGACGTGCGTTGCGCTGAACGTGGAAACGGGCCTAAAAGCTGACATTTAGTGAACAGGCTGTACCGGCGACATCGCTGTATCGGTCTTCGAGCTCCGAGGTTGCATTGCCTATGGCGCAACGACTGGGTAAATCCTGTTGCGCCGCACCGCACTGATTGACGAGATTGACTGCGGTGGTGTTTTGTCGCGACAATAGCGAAAAGGTTCCGGAAGCAAATATTTTTATCGGTGGACGTGCCTCCAGCGATCTTATCGATGAGCCAAAGCCACAAGCTGTTGTTCGCCGTTGAGAAGGGCATTGTCGGCGCTCTAAAAGACATTGAAGGGGACGGCAGAGGTGATGGCAGTGCGAGTGCGAGCACTGGCTGAAGCGCTGGTGTCCATATAGTGCATAGTCTCAAAGGCTAGTATTTCTACACTGTAGCCAGAAGAGAAACAAAGAAAAATGTGGAGTTGTGTGGTGAGCTGAGAACCTGCAATGCTGCATTGGCAGAAGAAGTGCTGGATCGATGACAACCCTGAGCCCCTTACTTGGATACACGCAGCAGTTCTCCTGCCGTCATCAACCGTATCAATTCTCTCTGCGCTCGTCGCCCAGCACAGCCTTCTCGATACTCTCCAGAACGAAGGCGACGACGACGGCGACCGCGTGAGCAACATCGACCGCATCCTGAGGCACACTCCCAACTTCAGCCACATCAGTCGAAAACATGTCGGAACCTGAACTTGCATACATGACTGACTCCAACGAAAGCGCCTTCGACCTCCCTCGCTGGCAGACTCACCTCGACCCCGTCCCCTCCAGCATCCAGGCGCAACCATCGTATCACTACGCACAACCGCCACCGCCGCCACCCCAGTCCATGACTGCGGGCCCGGCTCAGCGTCTTCCACCGATACAACATCAAGCATCAGCTGGTGCTGTAAGGCAACAGCCTCGAATTTCTCAGCTTTTAGAGCAGGATCAGCAGCTGGGGGTCAATAGTCCTTCATATCTTTCCCCGACTCAGTCCCAGCTTTCTCGCAGCGCGTCGCTTGGTGGAGGCCCAGGTAATTCGGCATCTGCTTCAAGGGGAGGCAGGCGGCACCATCAATTAGAGGATTTGGAAGGCGCTTTTCACGGTGGCACTCAGACCCCATCAAGGCAGCTTTCACAACCTGGTCCAAATTCGCTTTATTCGTCAAGCGTTGGATATCAGCCGCAATCACTAGCGGGCACCAATCCACCGCCAAATCCTCCCACATCAATGTCTGCGGACACCTACTCGGACATGTACTACACCAACCCGAACGAGCAGCCTCCCAAGAGAGCTGCAACTACCCACGACTCCAGTACTTCTTCACGAGGCGGCCGTTCTCCCTTGCGAAGCACTAACCAGTCAGGGCCCAACGCACTGCTCGATCCCTACTCACCTCAGCAGTATTCACCGTCCAACAGCGCTTCGTACACTACATACGCAAGTCCCCCGGACCAGCGCAACAGCCAGCCCACGGTGTATCACGCTCGCAATCAATCACAGGTCAAGACGGAGCCAAGCGATCCTTCTTTCTCTCCCCGGACGCCAATGCACGCCACGACGGCGTTTCCACCATCTGCGTATTCGATGGAATCAGGCAGCCCCCACCCCTCATCTCAAAGCCAATCGCATCTCAACACACACACGCCTGCCCGTCCTACGTCTATCTCTAACCCGGGGACACCGATGTCTGCCTACCATCCGTCCTCTTCGCCGTACTACCAAGACCAGGCCATGGCCGTTGATGCCCCGTCGCAGAGGCGGCGTGTCGGCCTCCGTAGGATACGGGACGCCCGTGAGCTTCAACCGCGTGTTGATGTACAACCTGTTGGGCGGAGAATGGGGAGCGACGGTACATATCTTTCGGTGAGTTTTGCCCGATTTAGGGCCAAACTTTCTTAATGATCATTCCCCGCCAGCCCTTGAGGCTTTTGACCACACATATCGTGGATACATATCGTATTTGCAACCCACAATTCCGATACGAGTCTACGCACAATCCACGCCGGGTCCTGACGAAGCCCAGCAAGCCGGTGCATAACGAAGGCTACGATAACGAAGATTACGACTACATCTTATATGTGAACGACTGCTTGGGCTCGGATGATGGCCATAAGTATGTGCTGTTTTTCATTCAAACTCACACCGCGTTGATGGAGTCAGTAGGTACCTGATACTCGACATCCTCGGACAAGGGACCTTTGGGCAGGTCGTGAAGTGCCAGAACATGAAGACTCATGAAATTGTCGCGGTGAAAGTCGTGAAAAACAAGCCCGCGTACTTCAACCAAAGTATGATGGAAGTTACCATTTTGGAGCTCGTGCGTGCTACCTTTCAACTACCTCCTTACGCGACTGAACATTTACCAGCTCAACAAACAATGCGACCCCAACGATGAGCATCACATCTTGCGCTTGCGTGACTCATTCATCCACCGAAGCCACTTGTGTCTCGTCTTTGAGCTACTGTCATCCAACTTGTACGAACTCATCAAGCAAAACCAGTTCCAAGGCCTCAGCACGCAGCTAGTCAAGGTCTTCATGGCCCAGCTTCTTGACGCGCTTACAGTCCTCAAAGAGGCTCGTCTGATCCACTGTGACTTGAAACCAGAGAATATATTGCTGAAGTCGTGAGTAATAAAACCGACATTGCCCGTTCACCGTGTTTACCAGGGTCCCCGGTAGTTTGCAATCTCCAGAAATAAAAATAATCGACTTTGGCTCGGCTTGCCACGAACGCCAAACGATTTACACCTATATCCAGTCGCGGTTTTACCGTTCTCCGGAGGTGCTGTTAGGGATGTCATATACGGCGTCCATCGACATGTGGTCTTTAGGTTGCATTGCTGTTGAGTTATTCCTGGGGTTGCCGCTGTTCCCCGGTACAAGCGAGTATAACCAGCTAACGCGAATCGTTGAGATGCTCGGGTACGTAACCCGTTAAGCGAACAATCTTCATGGCTGACGGAATGCTTACTAGAATGCCACCGCTGAGCATGTTGAATACTGGGAAGCAAACCAACCAGTTCTTCGACTCGTTTGAGGCTTGGAACGCCCACAATAACCAAAACGAGAAAAAGTACCGTCTGAAGACCATTGAACAGTACTCCCGGGAGCACAATACAAACGAGCAACCGGGAAAGCAGTATTTCAAGGCGACCACGCTTCCTGATATCATCAACACCGCTCCGATGCCCACATTCAAATCATCTTCGAGACAGGGACACGAAATGGAGAAAGGTCAGATTAAACCTCTGCACTCCGAACACGTCTTATCTAACAGAAATGCAGAATTGAACAACAGGGCTTCCTTCATTGATTTCTGCCAGGGGCTCCTGAATCTCAACCCTGTTACGAGATGGACCCCCCAACAAGCACGGCAACATCCCTTCATTACGGGCGAAAAATGGGCTAAGCCTTTCGTAGTACGTGCTGATTTATTATCTCCTCCGTTTGTTCTCATAATTCCTAAGCCGGATGGTGGGCATGCCGTTGTACAATCCATGCCTAGTGGCGCACCGGACCCGAAGCGCCCGTATGGTGGACTGGTGCCGTCCCAACCTAAGGGAACGCGTGCATACCAAGATGCCGCATCTTACAATCAGCATCTTGCACAGCACCAGGTTTACACGGCGCAGGCTCAGGCCGCTTCTCAGGCCGCGAGTTCTTATCGTAATCCGTACATCAACCCACAAACCTCCCAACCGGCGCAGTCCTACGTTCCTTCTCAAGATACCAATAGCCAGAGTTACCAACAGCATTCACAATACCCCAACCAATCATCCCATCGTGCCTTGGCGCACCAAAACTCGACCGGCCAATTGACGTCTAGCAACACCGTGCCCCAATATCCCCCACATCCCAACAATCCTGCGTCCATTAGTGCTGCTACCCACTTGAACCCCAATGTACGGACAAATTCCCAATACCCCAATTCACGGGCACGGGCTAACACGATCAACCAGATGGACTCGATCCCTCCGGCCCTCGCTCGCCTCCAGCACATGAACCAGGACGTTATAGCCGGACGGAACGCGCTTACCCCGGTCCTGAACAGAGATGATGCCATGCGGGAATGGGAGAGAAGGCAGACGGGCAAACCGGCTGCTGCTCAGCCGTACCCCCAGCTCGAATATCTGCAGCAGCAGGCGGAATTGGCTGCCGCGTCTGGGATGGCTGGATGGACGCCTTCGGCTGCGAACCGTTACGTTGCTCCGCCGTCCAAGCTATCGCACTCGTACCATCCGACAATCGTTGTTGACGATGATCGTCGGGACGTCGTGATGTCGAACGTTCGGTCAGCTGCACGCACTGACAATCCCAATGTGATGTACAGCGGGGGTGGCGTGATATCGAGTCCCCCTCAGGCATATTCGAGCAACGCAATGACTTCTGGAAACCGGTATCCTGCGAACTACCCTCCATCTCAGCCTCAAACAACGGTGCCTTTCGACGATCGTCGACCGGATATTGGGAATATTTACATGCCTATGCAGCCTGATCAATACCAGTCATACAACAACGCTTCAACGTCTGGCGTTGCTTCTCGACATGTTGCGCCTCCCCAGCAAGCTGTACCTCCATCGTTCTACGGTGCAGGGGTTGTGCCGTCAGGAACCAACCAGCCACAGCGCAATCCGTTCTCGGTCGCTGATGCCAATCAACAACCTATGTCAGCAGGGAAAGACAACCGACGGAGCAATGGCATGGACTCGTGGCCTAGATAAATCTATGTCCCCCCACAAATACCTTCTCCCAAGGTTGAGGTTCCTTTTTTTGTCTCTCACTCATTCACGGTCTTCCATCCTCACTGCCGAAGGAACCAATGCGTTGTCCTCATCCTGCAATTGCAATGCACATCTTCTGTTTTTAAACGATTCATGTATAATCCACGCTGGCTGTGTTCAACATTCCGCATTAGTTGGCGGCATACTATTTACAATGGGTATCAAGTCAACTTCGCTCCAGGAAATGCAGGCGATTCATTTGTGATAAGATAAACACAGGTACATTGTTGCAGGGGGCTGTCTATTGGGCGATTCTAGTACGTTAGCTGGTCAAACAGCTCCTCGGCTTCCCATGCGCCTGCCCAGTATTTGACCTGACAACGCATACCAAGCTTGTCACCTTCGTTAGCAATACGCTTTTCTAGCCCACGGAATTTCCTGCAGAAGATGAAATCTTGGCTACAATCCACGGATGAGATTCTATTGGCTACGGTGAGTGCGGGTACTACTGACCTTCTCAAACGGAGTACAGGGCAGAAATCATTAGTGCCATCTCCGACGTAGATAACTCGGTCGAAGTCTGGAGCATGTCTTTCGAGAAACGCTGTCAATTCTTCTCCTGTTGTCGGACTTCAGGGGCAGGACTGGGAGAATGAAATTGGACCTCTGACCTTTACACATGTTGGGGCTACATCCAACGGTACAACTGTGTTGAGGACCATCTGGGTCTACTCTACGACGAAGTGACAAGAGTCCAGATGGTTCGAATTCAGCGGGGTTGGTGATGATCTCTTCAAATAAATCATCTAGACCTTTGTCCTATTCAAAGTACACTAAGTTTAATGGCCGAGGGCTGTAACGACCATAGCTTACCTTGAGGATGGTGGAGATAAAGACAGAATTGGCATTAGATAAACAGAAGAAGGTTGTTTGACCTTCTGTCTTCATCTTCTTTACAGCGCGAACCATGGCCGGATGCTATGGAGATAAAGGTTGGTTAGCTTCGCAGTGGGTTTCCGTGGGGTAGTCCTCACGAAGGGCATTATCCTCAGTGCGTTCTCGATTTCCGCTCTCGATACGCCTCGACCATGAATTTCACGAAGGGATTGAGCTCTTGACCGATGTTACAATGGATCTCTGTGGGACGATTTGCTTCCTTACACGAGATCGGTCCATTGGATCTCTTCCTTCAACGTCTTCATCTTTCTACGAATATCCGGACCCAATACCTCGAAGATCCAGCGGTCGGTGTCCTGGTCCGCCATCGACCTGTATAGTATTTACTTTGAGGTGACTAAAAGAGCAAGTGGGTCCCCACCAGTCAAAGTCGAAAACTACGAGCTGCCTCGCAACACTGGGGGCGGACATAGTAAATTTGTCGAGGTATGAACAGGACGCGGTCCGCAAGATCACCGCAGATTAGATACGGAGTACGGGCGTCTAGCATCCATTCTCTCACGGTTTATGTAAGAAGACCAAGTTGGTGAGGTAACGGAGACGCTCTGAAGCTTGAATGCAGACGACCATATGTACCGCAAAGGCATCCTACAAAAAAGCTCCCGGTCTGCTCGAACTCACTAACACCCATCTCCAATGGACTCAGGATGGGAAGAAGACTCCAGCGGTACGCGTCCCCCATGCTGAGGCTTTCTGTAAGTTACAGGTCGCTTGTATGCGCCTTTCTGGCTTATATTTTCATGTAGCGCTATTCTGCAGCAAGGACGGCGCGCCGCAGGTTAGGCTGAAGATTGGGCTCGTAGGCGATGATGCGGGGCATAACTTTACATTCACCTCACCGCAACCAACTTCGATAACTGAACGCGAGAAATTCAAGAAGGAGATGACTATGATCATAAGCCGGAACCGAAGCGCGTCAGAGTTGGCCCCCAAGCTGGCTTTACCTACACCTCCCCCTGCCGCACCCGTATCAGTGCCAACACCTACTGCTTCTGACCCGAAGTCGCTGCCTGCTCGAATCGCAACCCATCGCGCAGCTTCGGTTGCAAGCGAACGTAGAGCGGCGACACCAGTCTTGACGGGGATTGATCCAGTCAGCGATTTTCGTCTTCGTAAGAAGGTCCTAGTTAGCGACCCGGAGCTGGCTGCCTTGCATCGTGAGCTCGTAATAAGCGGCCAAATAAGCGAGGCTGAATTCTGGGACGGACGCGAGGTTCGTGTATTCCTATATATAATACACTCGAGGATGAATAACACGGGCGTTTAGCATCTCCTCCTCGCACAAGCTGCATTCGAGAATCAGAAGAAGGGTAAATCCGGCCAACTGGTAGATCCTCGACCAGAAACAGTTGAGGGCGGCGAAATCAAAATTCGTATCACCCCGCAGTTGGTGCACGACATATTTGACGAATATCCTGTCGTAGCTAAGGCATATAACGATAACGTGCCAAGTAAAGTAAGGCCTTCATGGGCATCCCTTGTCTTCGTGGTAGAGCAGTTCGTTGAAATATCCAACAAAGTTATCCGAGGAAGAGTTCTGGAAGCGGTATTTCCAATCAAAGTTGTTCAATGCCCACCGAGCTTCTATACGTTCGTCTGCCACGCAACACGTAGTTCGGGAGGATCCAATATTCGACAAGTATTTGGAGAAGGAAGACGATGGTAAGGCGTGGCGTTTCGGTGTCAAGCTGTCTAGTAATCGACATATCCAGGCCTCGAACCGCGACGCCAGGTGACGGGGGATATTGATATCTTCGTGAATCTTGGAGCCACACTAGAGGATCACGGACAGGTATACCGTTCTGCTCAGCCTATTCGTTCTAACTGAAGCTGTTCTTCTCCAGACTGGTAATGATAAAGATGTGACGATGCAAGCTGGCCGACAAAGGGGAGCGTTGCCGTTGATCAGGAAATTCAATGAACATTCTGAGAAGCTATTGAACTCTGCTCTGTAAGGCCAACATCTAGGAGTCGGGTGCGCTTACACCATTGTGCTTACAGCGGGGAAAATTCGTCGAAGCGACGGAGAGTCGACATGAAGGAAGTGGGTATATGCGCTTGTTCAGCTGTTCTCATGCTGACCCACCGTCCACAATAGTACGAGTATTCTCAGGTTGACCTAGATGATCTCCACGACCCCGAGGCTTCGAATGGAATCGTCCTCGAGATGCAGGATCGGCAAAGGTATTTCGAGGGTAGAACGAACGCCCCCGAAGAGACAGTGGAGAAGGTATTCCTTTTGTCTATTTCGCATTAGGAAGCCTTCGTGCTCATGATGCTTCGCGGTAGCTGGACTTGAAGTCGATGATCTTGGAATCGAAGGCCAACTTGTTCAATTGGGAATCCAAGTTGAATCAGGTCAGCTGGCCATTCATTTAATCTCAGAGCCTGCCTGTCCCAATACGTCGCACTTCAGCTCAAAATCGAGAGAAAATCTGGGGATGCGGCGCTTTTATCCATGACACAGAACGTCGCCGCGCGTTTAGACGTTCGAACTAAGAAAAGTAAGCTCATCAGGGTTCCCACTCTTGTGAATACATCCTTTACACTACTATCGCATAGACGATATACCCGAGGGGCTGTTTAGGCAAATGACCACTTGCCAGACGGCAGCGAACGAGTTCTTACGGCAGTACTGGTTGTCTACATATCCTCCCCCGACGGATGTTCAGACGGTGGTTGCCGCGACCCCCGCACAGCGTGCGGCCAAGGCCGCAAAAATGATCGGATACCTCAGTCGAACTCGGGAAAAAGTTGATGCCATTATAAGAACAGCCCAAGCTGCGGGGTTCGACCCCAACCGAATTGAAGTGGTGGGCAGCACTTTTTATTCGCTCCACAAACCTTAGAATCATTGACTGGTTTATCTCCCAGGCCATGAAACCTCTCCTTGATTCCGTCAATTGGGCTCTCACTTCGTATCAAAACAGAACCAACTCTCGTGTTTGAGTTGGATCGAAACCACATTCCCGTTCGTTACCTCCATCTCGCCTCGATTATCATAAAGAGCCGCATTATTACCAACATATACTGTCCAACCATAGTAATCGAATAATTTAACATAACATGCATAAAAAACCATGCTTCTATGAACCATATGGACTTACTTGTTTCTGCAGGTGTGTGCCTGAGGAAGTCGTGCATTCGTAAGTCGTGAACATAACCAGCAGGTGCAGGGCGATCGCATAACATATAAAGAAAGTCCTTGCTCGTCTGTTCCCAAGGATAGCGCGGGTTAACACGAGGACTCCTCTTTCTATTGGATTGAGGTTCTGATACGCTCTTGTCGCTTCCTAGACAAAGATAAAATTCGTCAGCGGCATGAAAAAATACCTCGATAAGCCGCATGACAACGAACCCTCCCTCTGAATGCCTCAAATGGGTTCATAGCTTCTTCGTATCTTGCCCTATATTTGCCCATATCGTCCAGACCAGTGCCCGAACCAGCGGGTGCGGGCAGCGGGTCCAGTTGGGACGTGGGTGGCCGCGAACCTGCCTCTTCGCGATAACTCTGCATGTATCGAACCTTCTCATACAGCTTCAGATTATCTGCCTGGAGGTTCTTGATCTCGGAACGGAGTTCGGAAATCACTTGGAACTGCTTGCGTAGTTCCTGCAATCGGCAAACCCCCAAAGTCAATTCGATGTGTTGGTGCGCGTGGAGGAGGAAGAGGATGTGTGGATGTCATGGGAAGATAGAGATGAGTGAATCAAGCGGTTGAGTAGGCCGCGGTGTCTCGTACCTCTTCTAACTCGGCATTTCTTTGTCGGAAGCGGTCCCTCTGACTGGTAACAATTGGCAATATTGAGGTATCAGCGGAGGAAGTGAAAGGTATGGACGTTGACTGCGCGGGAGGTTGCTGGAACGAAACACGCTGCATTAGTAAACGAGGCTCGGATTTTGGGAGCTAGTAACGGCTACAATATTCGCCATAACTCACAGAAGTCTTTTTGGTGCCTAGTCCTAGTTCTGCGAGAACGTCGGCACCGTCGGTAGGTGGGCTGTCAGCAGGTTTACCCCCATGCTGGTTCATGGACAGAAGATCATTTTCCAGCCGTTCGTTGAGGGCTTTCTGACTGATAAGCTCAGAAGACGCTTCCATCAGCCGCTGCTCTGATGTATTGTATGATTCCTCCAATTCTGTATAGAGGATCTAGGTGTCGTTTAGAACAGGTACGCAAGAGCTTCGCGGAGAAACTTAGGTAGTAAATGAAATGTGTGCACTCACCCTCAACCTCGTGAGCTCGCCTAGAATGCGCTTGTTTTTGGCGGCGAGGAGTGCTTCGAGCGAGTTCCCTTGCTCTGCATTGGCTTTGTCGGCGTTGGGGTTTGGTAGCTGAACAGCGGAGTGAGAATTGGAGCGAGCGTGGCCGTTCGGTTGGGGCGACTCCTGGTCGTTCTCTTCGTCGATGTCGTCAAAGCCTCCGAATTCTACAAACTAGGAGACCACATGTGTTATGCTATGTTAAGATTGGGGTGGATTGATAGAAACCGCTGACCTTCATGATCTCTAGCTCTCGCTTGATTTCGTCATAGTCAGCATATTGCTTGAGGCGCAATTTTAGCTGTTCTATTTCAGAGCTCTATCGCAACACCATAACATATGGTTAGCAAACCCATAACTATCAGTGCAGAGGAACGGTCAAACCTTCCGTTGAATCTCTTTAGTAGCCTCTTCGAGCTTCTTAGAAGAAGCAAGGTCTGCATCCGCTTGTTGGGACTTCTGGGTCTCCATAGCCCTTGACAAGCGTTCCAGCTCAACTTCGAGTTGAGCTACTTGGGTTTCAAGGGCTCGAGTACTGTAAATAAGTAGGTAAATATAAACAGTAGGTTATGTAGATGAACAACTTCGTACTGATTGTTCGTGTCATTACCGCTCCTTATAGACTCGATCTCGGCGCGAAGAATTTCCTATAGGATGTGTTATGAGACCGCAGGTCACAACTAGACTTAGACCTACATTTCTTCGTTCCACCGTCGCCACTCTACTGTTAGCGCGCTCGAGATCAGCAGCGACCATGTCCATCTCGGTCAACTTCGCTACAACTTCCTGGTCTAGTGGGAGGATGTGGTTGTCAGGCTATATGCGCTTTTACATGGATAGTAAATCGAACCTTGACGTTGAGTCTGATCAATGAGCTTGGCCTGATTTGATTCATGAGAGGTTCGTAAGTCGCGGAGCTGGTTCTTGGCTAGAGCAACCTGCCGTTGCAGGTCTTGCTCACTAACACAGTATTATAAGGAAATCAATTCCTTCAACAGACTATATGTGTCTCGTACCGCTCTTGGTAGTTTCGGAGCCGTTCATCGTACGTGGCGTTGAGTTCGTTCTCTTTTTGTACAATTTTCTCTTGAATCATTTCCTCCATCTGCCATAATTTATCATAATTTAATGTGGTTGGTACGTTGCCGCAGTAGTTCGCGACATTACTTGCCTTCTGCTCGAGTTGTTCAGCCCTCGCTTCAGCTTTCTTCTTCGCTGATTCCAGCGGCGAAGAGTCAGCGACACGTTTCTTGAGTTCGGCGTTCTCCTCCCGTAGACGTTGCAGCTCAAGCTCTTGTTCACGCGCTTCAGCAATGCGGACGGTTTGATCCTGCAATATATGCACTCAATAACTCGCGCGCCGGACATTTTGAGCAGTGTGCGTACAACAGCGGCCTCCAGCAGTGGATATGGATCCGGTGCCTCGGCAAGTAGTTTGTAGACGTTCAAGAATGCGTTCTCGGAAGACTTGCATCGCTTCGTGAGGCTGTCAATCTCCGTCTGGTATGCTGTATGCCCTCTGTAAGTACTAAGCATCTACGAGGAGAGATTCGCTGCTCACCCTTCAGAAGACCCTTGAACGCATTCGTCTTCTCGCTGTCCGGCAGTTTCTTGAACTCTACAACACGTTGGACATCATTTCGAACATAACAGGGTTTCTACGCGTACCTTTTGTCTTGTCAGCCAGGGCCTTTCTCCCTACCACACTCTCCTTCTGCTGGTCGACGAGCTCAACCCCCTGGGCATCGAGTGTCTTCTGTAGCTCGGAGAGGCTTATATCTGACGTTTACGCGAACCCAGTCAGCCGTCGTCGAGAAGGAGCAGTTGCGCGCTCGGTACTTACACTTCCAAGTCTCCAAGGCCCCGGAGAAGTTCTGTTCAGCCATGAGTGTGTGCGAACGAAGGCAACGTAGCGGGTATGGGTATAGTAGTCGTAATGAGTGGGGGTGCACACGTGACCTCCCCTCCGTGTCTTGACCATGAACATCACCCGCACATTGCGCGGTCCCGTTCAAGGTGCCCTCCGCGCACGCTTCTACGCTACCACAACCAGACAATTCATCCCTCCGGCGCAGCTAGACGACATCCAGCCGTCTTTCAAGCGTTCTGCGCGTCCCTCACAGCAGCTGGACTCGGCAGAGGAAGAGGATCCTCGAACGCGAAGCCTCAACGCTCCTTCATCCCCAAGCTTTTACACTGCACGGCCAGCCTACTACGACCAAGTGGAACAGATTGAGACCGCCATAAAACATGCCCGACAAGCTTTGAAAACCCTCCAGCTTCTCCCCCTTCCCGAGTTTGCTCGAGCCAGTTTACCCCCGCTTCAGCCCGTATGGAAGGACAAGGACGAGATGTCGACCGTTTTCGAGAACAAAATGACCACTTCGCGGTACCGGAAGGTCCTGACGCTGCTCAATCAGCTCAATGACTACCACCGTATAGCGAAGACAGCTGGTTGCGAGCAGCTTGCAGAGGGTATCTCTCATGTGGTGGAATTTTTCGAGAGGGGAAATAAAGACGCGGTCTTGGCCCGAGGGAAGAGAAAGGCGGTCTCATTGGACCAACACGGCCGATCCTATACTTTCGGTAAAAGAAAAACCAGCGCTGCGCGGGTATGGATGATCCCAGTCCAACCGGGTGCACAGGGCATCACCCCTGCTGTTCCCAAAAGCGCACTAGAGGCCGAGTCTGTGGAAGAGTTGCTGGGTCTCAAGACGGATGAGAAGACCTCAAGTCCTAAGTCCGAGCCGCCCGCCAGTGTCGATGTCACGCCTTCGACCATCCTCGTCAACAACATTCCCCTCGCAGAGTATTTCCACCTTCCGGCTGATCGCGAACGGGTTGTCAGGCCGTTCAAGGTCGCTGGCGTCCTTGGGGCTTATAACGTCTTCGTGCTTGCCCGAGGAGGAGGAACCACTGGCCAGTCTGGTGCGATAGCCCACGGCATCGCCAAGGGCCTCGTCGTTCACGAACCCGATCTGGATACCGTCTTACGACGATGTACGTTTTTTACTCGCTTGACATTCCTCATGATTCTAACTACCTGGATAGCCAAACTGCTGAGACGTGATCCTCGTATGGTTGAGAGGAAGAAGACTGGTATGGCCAAAGCGAGAAAGAGGGTGAGTTATCTAGCAAACTCAGCTGAATGCCAACTCAATCCGCTTCGTAGTATACCTGGGTTAAACGTTAGTCGTACGGGGTGTCGTGGCCTAGCATTGATCATATATCCACTTCGCCTTCATTTAAGTATTGGATATAAGTTCTGCGATCCTTCCTTAAGAGTGCTTAGATCCATCGCAAGTCTCGAAGCAGCAGGGGATTAATACGAGTCACATCTACGAATATATTACAGATATAATTAAGGGTCATAATGCTCATCCTTGGAAATATACTGGATGAACATCTGCGTGTCCAAAAGCAAGTTGGCACGAAGGGCATTTCCGTTGCCGTGTAGATAGTCGAGCATCAAGGCACTCCCGACAAAATGCTAAGATAGTAGAGAATGAGTGAAGATCTGTGAAAGGTGCAAGGGTGTAGCATACTGTGCATGCATTTCGTGATGACGGTATCACGAATCCGGGCCTTGCATATTCGACATTGAAGAATTTCCTGTTTGCTTGAATAAGCAATTCATAAGTTTCAATTCCGTAGAAATGCATACCTGCATCTTGTCGTGATGTGTGTCGGAAGACTGAGGTGCGCTTAGCGCGGCCATTTCCTTCATGCGTGCCAATTGTTTCTCGTATTCTTTCTTCGCCCGAAGATTACTCTCCTCAAGTTTTCGGTACTCTTGGGTTGCTTTGGCTAAGGCGCCCTCAAGGCGGGAATGTTTGGCGTGAATCTATTGTCAAGAGTTGAGCAAGAGTAAGTAGTAAGGGTGATGCGACGCACGTCATCCCTGTCCTGTTTCTGTCGCGCTAGGTCCGCCTCCGTTCGAGCCATCTTAGCATACAGCTTTTGCGTCGCCTGATCGCTACCTTTCACCCACTCTCTCAACTGCTCGTTCTCGGTCCTGTACGTAGTCTGTTTTGTGATGTGAGTATTCTGCTATCCCGCCCAAGCCGAAGTACACACCGTTAGCGCGTCAAGTTTCTGCACTTTGTCCTGGTATATCTGCGTTGTGACACCCATTTTCTCCACTTCCACAGCTTGAGCCTTTGAAACTGCTTCGCAGGTGTCCCTTAATCGTGTCATAGCATAATACCTGTTTTCGTATTTCGTGCGCTAAAGGCATTGAGTTCGGAAATGATGGTCAGCAAAATATAACATACCTCATCAGCTAGTCGCTGGACCTCCTTGTCCATGGCGATGAGCTCATTGATCTTGACTTGCACCTCGGCATCTAGTGTCTCCCAAGCTCCAGATAATCGTTCCACTTCAGAGGAGAGTTGAGCCTCTACCTATCAGAGAAATGAGAACTAGAAAAAGACCGAGAGAACTTATACTCACTTGTTCCATCTCATGCACCTGTTTCCGCAGATCTTGCAGTTCCTGGTCTCTCGCTTGTAGCTTCTCGATCAATTGAGCGTGGTCGGGCGGCAGGGACGGGTCTTCGATAATCCTCTGGTAACGATCAAGTTTGTCTGATAATTCCCGAACCTCCTTTCGCAGAGTAACTTCAGCCTCGACGAGTTGTTTGGTTTCCTGGGAGAGAGGTTGTTCTAGTTGCTGAATTCTGGATTCGGCCGCCCTTCAGAGACAAAAACGCGTAAGACTAAATAGAGAGGGGATACTATACGGCCTACCGCAAGCGTTTCTTCAAATCTACAACAACGTCTGGGTTGCTTCCGACCAAAAATTCTAAGAGGTCTGGATGTCCAGCTTCGGCAGTCAGGCGCGCTCTGTAACGATTGAGCTGGGACTCCAGTGTATTGAGCCGAGCCTTGGAGACGTCAGGTACAGAAACATAGCCTGCGATACATAACTTACCCCCCGCGATTCATACGAAGCTTTCATGCTTTCGTTGTAGTTAAGCCGATGAGCTTCTTTCTGTTTGCGCTCCCCGAGTTCATTCCGGGCAGCATCGCGCTGTTCTCGAAGCCGAGCAATTTCTGAGTCCCGTTTCGCGATCTGGGTCTTTTCTTCCGGCTTGACGGACAATCGCTGGGGAATTTGAGCCAAGCCACCTTCGTAAGAAATACGTAGGACATACCTCTTCAAGCTTCTTTTTAGCTTCGCATAGCTCCTGTACTACCTGTTCTACACGAGATTCGCCGGCGTTACTATTGCTAGTCTTGTCAAAGTGGTCAATTCTAAGGACAAATTCCGCCAGCTTCTCCCAATAATCGGCAGGTGTGTCCCTCTTCAGTATGTTGAGCTAGCCTATTCATGAGCAGAGTTGCAGAAACCTGACTAGCCTGCCGTACCTCTGACTGAAGATCGAGAATCTGTTGGCGAAGAGCACCGTTTTCCCGCTCATATTCATTCAATTTGTTCTGTCTGAATTCATTAAGCGCTGCCGTGAGTTCTTCAGGATGCTTGCCATTGGCCAGTAGCGAACTTGAAGCCTGGCAAGATATTAGAAATATTTAGAATTAGAGTGTGCAGACGCCCACCAATTGACCGGGCCACTCACTGATGGAGAGGACGGTTCAGCCACCGAATCAACGTTGCGGGGATCGGGAGACAGTTTGGGGATATCCTTGTTCGACGAAGACCGCTTCTGCGAGGCTGCGACTGTAGCACTGCGCGCTCGCTCCACACGATTTTCAAGCGTTTGCATGGTCTCTTGTAGTTGTGCATTTTGAGCTTCGAGGTCCCCTATCCGTGCGCGATGGATGACTAGATTGGCTTCAAGGGCTTTGTGCTGAAGGAGGTGAATATCGTGCCACTCAGTCGCAGAGGAGACTCACCTCATCCATAGACGCAAACGCGGTACTGAGGTCTACTGATTTGATTTGATCACTTCCGCTGGACTGGACCAATCTCGTCACAAGAGTCCTAGTTGAAGCCAGTGTATTTTGCAGGCCTGTTTCAATCTCTTTAGGTGGCGACTTGAAAGTTAACTCAAAAAGTTCTAAGGACCAATCCATTAGCTATCAGCATGCCTTTAAGGATTGTAGACGCACGACTAGCATCGACTTTGATGTCAGGAACATCGTCCGGTCTGACGAGTGAACGGATAGTCTCGACTAGCTGTAAGAACGCGTATTGATATATCCAGACCAACTGTGAAGAGTATATGTGAGTACCTGCGACCAACACGCTGCCATGATAGCCACTCCAGCTTCACAAGATTGTTTGCGCCTCTCGAGCTCTGCGACACGAGCTTCACTACGTTCATACTCTCGAGAGTAGTGCTTCATCCGACGATATATTGCCTCTTTCCTGAATTGCTACATTAGAAAGGCTCAGCGCGCACTCCTCTAGATGGTTGTCAACTAAGATACCTCAAGATTGTCGCCGTCGGTTGGTTCGTTAGAGTCTGAGACTACACCATTGACTCGAGGGCTGCCATGGTCATCAGAGACAATTCGTTTCTTGACAGAAGTATCCACATCGTCTTCATCATGAGGACGTTTCTTGGATTCCATGAATCTCCTCCACGACGAGGTAGGTTGGATACGTAGATGAAGTCAGAAGCGAAGACTTGCACGACTGGGTTCAAAGCGACAAGTTACCCGACCGTGAGAATTGAGGACATAATATCAACAGGGGTAAACACCTAGTTGTAACATTCTATGGTCGTAACTCATACACTAGGCAGCTGCAGCTTGATAACTTGCTTGATCCTATCCAACGCAACAATCTCACAATCAGCGGCGCTACCGTCCCCTATCTGTGTTTCGACGCAAGTCAAATCCAGAGGCTAAGTGAACAATCATCAGTAAGAAAGATGGATGCGGCCAAGGACGGAACTCACCTTGTTCAATACAGTCATCGGTTGATCTAGAAGATGGATCAGGTATGATGAGTTACTGAAACGAGACAAACTGCTCACGCCAAACGCCAGCTCTATACACAATTCCCTGGGCAGAGGTAGCTAAGAATGCCCGTATCGTCGATACATCTGGTTTGTCGTCTTCTCCATTCTTTGTGACAACAACGAGATAAGAATCTGCCGGATCCACTATACCCTCGCCGGCCCCCTTGCCCATGGGGATGAAGGCTTGGTTGGTGTATGGATGTCGTTCGAATGCAGTCAACTCCGTGGTCCTATCTGCAGCCACATTTTCTAGAGGTCTGCACCGATAGACGGAGAGGCCAGGGGCTGCATTGGAACCGGGAGGGTACGAAGATAGAATGGGTGCGAGCTTATGGAACTTGTCAGCGGTACCGAAGTTAGGGCCCGGTCTGCTCGTCGAGATGTCAGTCCCTCGGGCCTGGGGTTGGCGGAGATTGAACTTGACAAAACCTAGCGCTGGAGTCTGCTCAGGGCGCTTGGGAATCGTCACAAATAAGTCACAGACATCATGGTGGGAAAGCGGCAATAGATACAAAGTAAATACATGCAAACTTCTGCTTTCGGTATTTCTTGTATTTCTTGTCGGCGACCTGAAGTATCCCGGCTCAGTAGGTGATATACTAGTCCAAAAGAGTTTAACATGTGGTACGTTGGTTTAGCGGTTTGCGCGCTTGAGTACTACTTTTTAGCACGGAAAGGTTGCGGGTTCGAGCCACGGATTGTCCTTTTTTCACTTCTTCGTCCTGCTATCTCACCACTAACATTCATTAATAAATAAACACCACAAGCTGTAGTACTGTTTATTGGAGGGAATAGATAATGCAGTTGATACAAGGTGCCACCAGGTATATTAACGCTGACATAATAATGTGACAGGAAGGTCCTAACCCACCCGCAAACCCCCTGGTACAGCAGACCAAACTGTCGGTTTGGAGTAGGTTTGGGCCAGGTTTGGTCCAACCGTGGGAGCCAAATTTGGCAGGTAGGGACTAACATCTCGACGAGCAGACCGGGCCCTTAGCGGCTGTGATGCGGGTGCCTCGAGGAGCGGCGTCAAGGTCTCCATACGCCTGAACTACGTGACCAAACGGCGCAAAAGCTTCAGGCGTCAACGGTAGGACGGGTACAATTGTTGCGGGGCCAGAGGCGGAGGGCCCGTCCAGGGTAGCAATGGGAGGCGGCGAAATGGATGGAGTCTCGGTGAGCTGTAGTGGTTCTGCCTCAGGGAAATGGTCAGCAGCGCGTCTACCGATCACCCTAACTCTCTTCAGTCCGCCATCGGGGTGTATGGTTATTTTGACGTGTGTATACAGCTGACCGGCTACACTCTCCAATTGGAAGTAATGCTGTCTGTGCGGGCCTAGCTTTGTTCGAGGGAGAATCTGCGTCCATTCCTGACTTCCTCCGTCTTTATATAACTCTTCAATCGGCAAATGATCCGAAGCATGGATCGCATGTAGCTCGCAGCTTTCAGGGAAGTTCCCCTTGAAATGCAGAGTGTCTAATTCGACGTACTCCAATGCTCCAGGTGCTCCCCTGTCGGTACGTTCATTAAGATTGGCGAATAGCCATTAGTAGACGGGAACTCACAGTTTAATGATGGCATAGTCTTTGTGCCCCTTCTGGCGGCTTCGCTTCGTCTCCCAACCGTCGCCCATGTGCTTGCCTCGGCCAGGCAAAATTAAGTTGGAGCCTACGCCGAAGTGTTGGTCAGAAGTGTACATGACAACACCACCGGCGAAAACGTGAGCCATATCAAAGGGCTTAGAGACGTCCGAAGGGAAGACGGGAACGACGTGGCCGTAGACACGGAATCGCGCCTAGAAGTACCTCAAGGTTAGGCCTTATGCAAGGGCAATACGTATCCTTGCTCACAATGCCGCCGTCGGGATACATGTTCAGTTTGACATGGCTAGCTGTCGTGGATTGAGGAATCTTGAAAAGATGTCTAGAATCAGGGCCAAGATTGACCTTTGGTAATACTTCTGACCACTGTGAAGGACGTCGGTCGGGTGAGGAGCTTCGAGAGTATGTGGGGGCCATACCCGTGAATCGTGATCCAGAGGTTCTTCCTTTTGATCCGTGTGCAGGATCTCTACAGAAACTTGAGGTGCTTCGTTGCCTAGGGAAAGCATCAGTTAGCCATGCTCCGGGCGTAGGGCATATAGTGTATACCATTGAAGTTGCTAGTATCGATATCAAAGCCAACGATGGACCCCGACGTCCCGAGCTTTATGATACACCTATACATCCATTAGCCCCTAAGCCTGTATAGCAGACGGCCTGTAACACACCAGTCATACGTCGGGTTGTGTCTCCGCGTTTCCCATCCGCTGTACAGCGCACCCTTAGGTCCGAACTGGCCTTTCATGCTGGGGGCAGGCTGAACGGAACGTCAGATAGAGATCAAGCGAGGATGATCGGACCCAGCTCACTTCGACCAACAATAAATGGAATGCCTCGGCGAAGAATTCATCGGAGACGCTGGTAATTTGTCCCCCCAAAGCCACACTCGATAACTCTACAACAGTATCACCACATCATTTCAGCCATGCATAGACTCGTCAGGCAACTGCGAACACTCACCGGGGGTTGCTGAGAACTCATCGGTAAACGCCTCAAGGGGGATGACCGAATGAGAGAGTACGTCTGACATCTTCACTTCTGTAGATAAATGACTGTCTATGTGAAATACGTAGCAATTAGAAGAGACGATTGGGCGCGGTCTTAAGAAGTCAACCAGAGGTTTTAAAGCAGATAAGACACCTATACCTTAAATCACATGATCAGCGTGCATCAATTATAGTAATACCGCCCATTTCACTGGTTGTTCAGAGTCTACATGGATATCAAGGATTTTGATCATATGCATACGGTACACGCACGAGCGCGCGCGAGTCCGCGTGTTATGTGAGTCCTTGGACTGAGAGCTGTGCGCCTTATTACGAGGTCGGTAACAAAAAATACAGCGAAAGCTGCCTCGGAACTAGCACGGGCTTCATTCCACTACGCGGTATGTTTTGAGGGGTTCGTGGGCATCCACGACTGCGCGAGTGTCCTAATATCACGTCAATCCATCAGGAAGATGAGGAAATGTCTGTCTGCATTAAAGGGGAGTCGTAAAATTATGGTAAATTTGAAAATGGATGGCGCAACTATGGCACACGTAAGATAGAATCTGGCTATACGATCTCCCAGCGTAGCCCCTCAACAATTAATTCGAATATGGCCTTAATGCCAGCTTCAGTGTTGATTACCGAGGATGTGAAGCTCTCAAGGCGTTGACCCTCAATGGGTATACGCCATCGAGCGATTGCTAACTTCACTAATAGCTCAGATTCGGCGGCGAAAGAAGGTCCTACAATTTGCAAGTGACGCAACGAAGGTAAGATGGTTGGTGCTTGATTCTCCCCTCTGCGCCGTGTGGATGTTAAAGCCTGTAGTGTCGGGCGCACGCTGTCCCCCCAACCCCAGACCTGGTTTCCCCGCAGTTCTGTGACATTGAAGCATTCCAACGTCTCGAGCGCGGGGTGATGGATAATCTCGCGCAATTCTTGCGGTTCCATACTTGTCTCGCATAATTTTAGCTTGCGTAGACGACATTGCGACTTGGTGAGAAAGTCAACAACGCCGAAGCGACTGTGCGTCATATAGTCGGGGGAATGCAAAGTGACCGATAACTCTTCCAGCGCTGGCAGCGTCAATCGACAGAGAAAATCAGCGGCTAGGGTCGGATACCGATCGACCCCCAGGTCCAGCTTGCGCAAATGCTGATGAATGACAGGCATGCGATTTGTCGATAGAGGGATTTCAGTCACCCACACTTGGTAGTGGGATAGTTTCGGCCACTTGGCCAGGTACTGCGTAGCGACCGACGGATCCGATAGCATATTGATGCTAGCTGACGATAATTGGAGTGACCAACCGATGTCCGACATGTCGTCATCCCCTTCTTCTCGGATATCCGGCCGTGCGGGTGGCCAATGGAGTGCAGCCAGCTTCAACTCCTTTAACTTCGGTGCATTGCGGAAGTTGTTGATGAGAGCGTTTGATTCAGCCCAAGTAAACGGACACGAGATGTGTAGTTCCATTGTCTCTAATTCAGGCATTGGGACGAAAAAAGGTGAGCGACGCTTCCCAAGATGGCTGAGCATTAGGCTAAGGTGCCGGGCCTGAGATACCCGTGGCCCGATATGATGGGTGAGGGCTTCCGTGAGTGTCTCGGTCGCGGCTGAATAGTCGAGTTGTCGCAAAGACAGGGATAGCGGGACGGAACCGGATCGAAGAAGGAACGCGAACACTAGCTCTTCGCGGGGAGTGGCTGAGCCTAGGTAGACTTCGATGGCCAGTGAGCTCCACAGGGATGGGAGTGCGATGGCCAAGTTGCGCCAGGACTGTGAGACGCGACATAGGAGAAGGGGTGCCGTAGATGGGCTGGGCCTGGTAAATTTGCACTCCGGTAGAGTGAATTCAAAAATATTGACCCATATGTCGAGCGGGAGGCCGGTGTGTTGCTCACGAGACATACCTTTCTGGTTGTGAGCTTGCTAGACTCGTACGAGACAGGGGTTTACTCACTACCAGTGGGTGTTGGTTGGGTCGTTCAAGGATGATCATTATTGTCGAGAAAATTGGATATAAATAAGAATATTTAGGAGGTGAGTATTGCTCAACGATACCCGCCAGTCGGATGCCTTTTGGCAGTGCAGCGGGACACGAAGAGCGGGTGCCGATCGTTAGAATATCAATTGGCCTCCTTTCGCGCAACAACAGTCCGTCGCTTGCCCCACGGGTCCAGCCAGATGTCGATCTTGAATGCATTTCCGGTATCGACTAAGATTCGGGAAACGGCGTCTGCCTGATCATGCCCAACTTCGAGAACCACAAGACCATCATCAGAAAGGACTCCCTTGTGCGATACTAGACGGGCGATGGCGCGGTAGAAGTCTAGCCCGTCTCGGCCCCCGAATAGAGCCCCCCGGTCTTCATACTTTTTGACTGAGTCTGGGAGGGTTTGATACTCATGCAGCGGAATGTAAGGGGGATTTGAAGTGATGATATCAAAAGGGGGTTCGATCACATCCAAGAAAGCCGAAGTCAAATAGCTCGCGAGCACAGCTTGGAATGTATTGGCGTCATGAGCCTCTGGATCTGTGGGGGTAGGGGTGCCACATCTGAGAGCGTTGTCGGAAGCCAGGCGCACTGCGTCAGGTGAGATGTCGATGCCGTGAGCGCGAAGAGAGCCTTTGGGCCAGTCGTGACACAGCAAGAGCGGAATGCACCCTGAGCCAGTGCCCAGGTCGAGCAGGGAAAGGGGGCGTTTGAGTGTGGGGGAAATAAGGCTCGATAAGTGTATTGCCCAGTGTTCTGTCTCCGGGCGGGGGATGAGAACTGGAGGACGAACAAGGAGATTGAGCGGGCCAAAAGGCTGAGTTCCTGGATATTCGGGCCATATGAGCACGAAAGATTGTCTTGGAAGCAAAGTGTGGGCCATTTACCGAGAATATACTGAAGCGGTTCTCCGTTGGCTCTGCGGCGAACGAGGTCGTTGAGGGCGAGGGCATCGTTGCGAGCGTGCTGCTTGAGCCATTTGAGTTCTTGTGCCGCGACTGTGCGGATGAGGGACGGAGGCAACATGACACGCTGGGAAAATATGAGCCGGGGTCGGCGCCTCTGCCGGCGGGAGAGTTGTCGGTTGAGAGGTTGGCCAGCTAAACACAAGTCTTTGATCTCAATCACCTGGCCGCTCTCCTGCAGGGACTTGGCCGTTTTCTTCTTATTACCGTATCCCCATGTCCTTGCCTCCTCCCATTCCTCCTCCACATCTCCCCCGTCCACAAGCTGCCCCCGCTCCCCCCTCCGCATCGTCGCTCACAATGCCGATAGCAGTCGCACCAGCGTATATCAACCCCTCAGACGTGCACAACGCCCACGCAGGCCCCTCCTCATCGCCACCCAAGAAAAAGCCCATACAGCCAATCAAGCGCAAGCGCACCGACACCCCAGACGACACCGCAGGCGACGCTGCCGCCCAGCAGCGCAAGAATAGAGACGGCCCCAAGAAGAAAAAGGCCAATCGCGCCTGCTTTCACTGCCAGAAAGCCCATCTCACCTGCGACGACTGTGAGGGTCTTCCCCCCTTGCACGCTACGCCACCACTCACTGTATTCCTTCTCGTTACTAGCCCGGCCATGCCAACGCTGCATCAAGCGGGGCATCGCTAGTAATTGCACCGAGGGACTTCGCAAGAAGGCCAAATACCTCCTCGATGAAGAAGAGCTAGGTGCGTACCCATTGCGCTCACCACCGTCTACCCCCCCCGTCTTCCTCTCATTTTCTCCACATATGCACTCGATGATTGGCCGCTGATCACGTGTATCCATTCAGACCAACTCAAACGCAACAAATCAGCGGCGCCTGAAGGCAGCTCAGAACCACCATCCAGCACAGTACCGCCGGGTTAGTTCCTATCAGTCATATACCGGCCCATTAGCCGTGACCGCTAATGTCCACGTTCCTTTTATATAGCGGAATCATTTCCACAGAACGATCCAATGTTTAATGTTACCTTTGATCCCAATTTCCCGTTTGGATCAGAGGCCGCAAACCTGGAGTACTCAATTCTCTCGGCGATATTGGGCAACCCCAGCCCGGGGGACTCAGCGCACAGTCCACCAGCACCACAGCCAGCGGGGAACTTCTCATCGTGGACAAACGACTCGCTAGCTTATCCCTCATCGAATACCACAGGGACAACGTACGGCTCGAGCTTTCCAGATGCATCATTATCAAACCTTCCCTCGACGGCTAACACCGATTCGCTATCCCCGTCTCAACCTACCTTTGCACCTTTTGCTACGCCGCAAGCAAAGGAATCGCCGCAGACTTCGTACGCCCAATCATATACTTCCTCGCAGTCTCTCCATCCTCTTCAACCGCGGTACCCTCTGCCAGCAGATTACAGCCGTTCTCCATCCATCAGTACGCCTTCTACTGTCTTTCCACGCCCAGATCCTAAAGACCCTGGCCTGTTGTCCCCCCTTGCAGCCAATGCATCTCCAATTTCCACGTCCTCCGTCCCTCCGGGTCTGGCCTCTGTCAGCACAGACACGCCAACACCTTCTACACCTTCCTCCTCCCTGGCCCTTCCCTCTTCCAGCTCCCAGCTGCAGAGCATCAACGATAGTGTGACGACACCCTATGATTACACAGAGGGTTATCATTTCCTCATGAAACACCTGCCCAGCCGGTACGTATGCGAAGTTGCTGCGAGTGTGTTCGTGAAATGAGTGACCCATCGTGGGGCTCGATCATCTGATATCATTCTACCCCTCCCCCTCCCCATTTGTTCCTGTACCCCACATCTCCCCTCTTCCCTGACAACGGAATTATATTCCCTCCTTCCCACTTCCACTTCCGTTTATGAAGGTTCGAGAAGAACGACATCTTGCGCATCGTCCGCGCTCTGGCCATCTTCCGACCATCGCTCATCGCTCTGCAAATGCCATTGTCGCTTGACGACGAGATATTTGTGGAGAAGTGCTTTCAGCGATCTCTGCTGGTGTGTTTACTTCCGTTTAGTGTTTCAGCTGCCACTCATCCAATTTGTAGGAGATGGAAAAGCTGATATCATATAGCGGGACGCCGACGGTCGTCTGGCGACGGACGGGCGAGATTTGTCTAGTCGCTCCGGAGTTTTGCATGCTCACCGAGTGGCCTATGGACGAGTTGGTGGACCGCAAAAGCAAAAAGTACATCTACGAAGTAAGTATCCACGCACGCCTAACGTCAGGCGCTCACCGTATTATTAGCTATTCGAAAACCAATCCGTCGTTGAGTATTGGGAGAACTTCGCTTCTCATGCGTTCGAGAACACGACCCAGTCTGTCTACTCCCACTGTGTATTGCTCAAGCCCGATGGTGCACCGGTGCCCACGACGTTTTGTTTCTCCATACGCAGAGACCTCTTCGATCTGCCGAGTATGGTTATCGGTACGTCTTTTCCGTTTCCCTTCCTCCATATAGTGCGTTACTAAATTGAACCCTTCAGGTCAATGGCTTCCCCTTCTATAGTGTCGACTGTATCGCTCATTTCCGAACCTCGAACATTGTGCATTTCCTATACACTTTCTTATAGCATCTCATCGGCATGGCATACTTCCCCTTCCCCTATCGTACTCATATTATTACTTATAGGCATTGTTTCATAGCAAACCCATTCAATTCTCTTATCTTCGCTTGCTATAGTCCTTGATAGCTTCCGTCGCCTCGCTGTCTGTTGCTTTGCTTTCCTTGTGCTTCTCCTCCCTTCCTCCTCCCCCGCCTTCTCTCCACCTCCCTCCTGGTTGCCTTATGCGCTCCCATGTCCTTGCACCCACTCCCACTCCCACGCACATGCGCGCAGATGTCGGCCCTGGCGAGAACCTCGTTCGCTCGGTGCTATCACTCAAATTGCTGTAGCATGCTTCCCTTATTGCGCGCCCACCATATTACCCATCGAGGATCCGTCCGCCTCGCGATGGGGTTACCCAGCCGTTCTCGCGGACCCAAAATCTTACTTGTATCATTATTATTTAGTAACCGCATGCTGTATAACATGCATTTGGGATTATCAAAAACATTTGCGAGTGGCTTAGACTACATAGATGCCTCGTTGTTTCATATGCAGGGACTCTTATATGTTCATTTATGTAATCAGTCAAGCAGGCATTGACATTTGCACGTCAAGAAAGGCGAGGATTACATGGAACGCTATCTGTAGGTACCGCTCGTCGGTAATAGGTAGGCATGTCCGGGCACAAGATAAATATGAGGATGGGGCAAATACTTTTATAGCAAGAAACGGGTACTGTAGTCCAATCCCGATGCAGTGACCACCGGTCCGCTTGAGCTCGGTTACACGGAATCCTGCACCTCCGCGTACTCGCTCTCGGGGCCGGGTTCGACGAAGGACGCATGGATGACAATGAGGACGGCGGACGCTCCGATGAGCCAGAAGATTGTCATGATCGGCGAAGCGAAGAAGAGAAGGGGGATGCCTATCACGAAGAGACCCGTGTACAGCGACTTTTGCGTGATGACGTGGTCGCCGACTTGCATGGGCTCTGGAGCTAATATCACCCGCTGGCCGTTAGCATGGACAACAGCAAGGTTTAGAGGCACTCACCCCATTTGTTGATAGCAGCGAAGCCACCAACGAGGAAGACGATAGCCAGAAGGAGGAGTGTGTTACTTAGGCTGTTCAAAGGTTAGCCCGAGGCGGAACGGAGTTGAGCCAAAGCGTACAGAGCATAGACGGCCAGCGCTGCTATGATGATCCCGTAGTTCCCTAGGCGAAAAAGCCGAACGTTAAGCTCATTTTCTCCGGGAATTAGAAGCTGGTTTCTCACCTGAGAAGTATCGTGTGTTGTACGATATGCGCTATTGTCCATGTCAGATTTTCGTATTCACGTTCCAAGAAAACGCGTTCGTACCCGAGTAGCATCGTTGAAATCAGCCGGCCGGGAAACTCGCTGGACGTCAAAGAACTCTTGCGGTCCACGGATAGCAGACAATTTCGTTTGCTAGAATCGTAGGGCCGCGTGAGACCGAAAGAACATATATTTTTCTGTCAGAACGCACTCTGAATGACTTGACGGCATCGGTAACGCGCAGAAGGGATTCCATAATGATAATGAGAGGTCGTTGAGGATGTGATGTGGGCGAGGAGATGAGTGTATGTGTTCAAGAAAGGCGTGTCAGCATAGCGAGCCTATATTCCAAGTTTGTACACTGCGCCGCAGCCGCTCGACCACATTGTTCTCTGCCACGACATTGTCCCCGTGTACGTCTGGCTTTCCTCCCCCGTCGCCATTGGTCCATGATATTCAAGCATCGTTTCAGCCAATCCTTAGTCAAATATACGTTATTGCTATGATTCGCCGCTCGCCTACGCAGATTGACATGACGGATTTGGACGTACAAGACATCCGAGAGCACATCGCCTTAGAGCTTGCGCAGGAAAACCAAGCCAAAGTTAGGGCTGCTGCTGAGGCGAATGCTGTTGTCTTCGCAGATGCTGCGGCAGCCGCGTCACGAGCCATGGAGAAGGAGCGCAGACTCGGTATCCGTTGTACGACATCTCATGTTCCGCGTTGTCTCATATCTGATTATTTCCATCCAGCTTAAGCATAGATTATATCAACTACATGAAGCAATGATGTGTAGACATTTAGTGCGTTTGGACAAATTGCTGTACGATAAAATCGGACACGACTTGAGCACAATGGCTAAGATTGCCACCGCGTATTTTTAGGCGTGAAAGGCATTACGGAATCCTGAGAGAGAAGAGAACTCAGAGAAGGAGGTAGGAGCCTTATCGATGAGACTTACCGTCAAGATCGCGATGGTCACATAGCGTAGCCAAGTCAACTCTCTGCATGTGCAGGCATGCGGTCTTCAGGCTGTCCCACAGCGCCGTGGAGGTCACCCCACGCTTCTCATTGAGACCCTCGGAGTCGCGAACCCCGTCGTTATCCTGAAGGGCCAGCGCATCAAGGATGTGGCCCGCTGCCTCGTCGTAACGCTGAATGGCAACATCGACATGAGCACCCACAGCACTATCTGATTCATGGAACACCTACCCGAAGATTGATACACGCGATGCCCAAATTAAACCTACACGACAGACACAATCAGATTCCGTTACGAAATTCGTGAACAAGAATACTCGACTCGGCACTCACCTCGCACGGATATACACAGGGTTGAGCTCCAGTGCCCTATAATAATACTGTCGAGCCTCCTCAGCGCGACCGCTGTTCGCCATTGTCGCGCCGACCCTGTTATACAATAGCCAGTCCTGCGGTAAAGAGTGTTAAAGCGGGCGAACGGCCCATCCTCCGGACAGATTCAATAATAAACCGCACCTCCGGTCTCACAGCCAGCGCCGCATTAAAGCAGTCCGTGGCTTTCTCATAGTCCTGCAAGTCAAACGTCACCCATGAGAACCAAACTGCAATCACACATAGACGCATTTGGGTGACACATACCTCATTGGTGTTCAACAACACCGCGAGGGCAACCTGGACATCGGCGTCGACCGCGCCGTGGGGGCTGCTAGTCGCCATCGCAATCAAGCAGGGGATTAATTGGTTGAAGCGTTCGTGAATGGTTGCGCCAGCAACCTCCGGGGTGTTCTGCCTCCAATGACGGACGACGGCCTCGTATTCTTTATTCCGCTCTATCCATTCTTTGATGGCATTATAGGTACCTTCTCGGTCACTGTCGTTGGTGTGCGAAATTCCGAGGGCGAGCCAAGTGGGAAGGTGGGTTGGATCGAGTTCGACGGCGCGTCGAAGAGCTTGGAGGGCCTTCTGCTCTCGTTCATTCTCTTGCTGTTTGATTCCTAGTTCATACCAAGCAGATGCGTTACTCATGTCCCTTTGCACTGCTGCCTCCAATTCCAATACACTCTACATTGAGGAATTGAATAAATGTGATATATTGAGAGAGAGGAAGGACGCACTTCATACACCGACTGGTTCGCATGCATCATATGATGCCTCGTTGAGTCGCCCAGCATATACGGATTATTGCTCTGGAACTGATAATTAACCACCGGCTTAATCCCCACATGCGTCGCCTCAAACGCATCCCAGTCCGCCTGCAAGTGATCCCAAGAAGATGCTTGCGACGGCTCCACCGCCTGTCTCGCCGCGCCCGAATGCACATTATTCCAATACCGCGTGTACTCTTCGTTCTCCTGCCGGAAATACGCATCGTTTTCGTCTTCCTGTGCGAGGGCTGGAGTGGTGAGCTGCGTAGGGGACATGCGTTGTCCTTGGAAGACCGTTTGCGAGTTGTAGCTCATTGGGAAGTACGAGGGCTCCTTCACGCCCCCTGGTTCCACCGCGCGTCCCTTGCCTTTGACGTCTGTGGCCATCACCGATATGCTTCCGTCATTCTGCACCATCTCGTTCCCTTTGACCACCATCTCCCCATCCCGAAGCTGCTTCATCAGCCCCAGAAACTGACTCTGCTTGAATTTGGGATTCTGCTCGTTCTGCACATGTGCGAGTAGCTGGCCGGCGATCTGAGCGAGATCGTCCTGCGCGTGTTGTGATTGTTGGGTTTGCTGCTGGGGCTCGCCAAGCTGCTCAGCTATTTCTTGTATGGGGTTGGCGAGGAGTTGCTCGTGGGATTGGAACTCTTTGTCCCATGAAATTCCTGTATATAGAGCATCCAGTTAGTTGATAGAATGTATGTATAATACCGTTGCATACGATCGGTTTGCATATCTGGCTGCTGGTGTGTCTGTACCGGCATAGGAGCCATCATGTTCTGCATTGGGTCCATTCTATACATATGTCCCCCGCCCCAGGACATACCTAGTGCATCCCGATGAGTATCACAGCATCCCCTGACCTATGCTGTACTCACCTTGTCCCATCCCCATCCCCATATTCACCGGACCATGCCCCTGTACCTCCCGCTGCGTCATAGTCATCGCCTGACCACTCGCCTCTGCGCTTTTCCCAGTTAGCACGGGCTGCTGCAGGAAGTCCGCCGCCCAATTCATCGTCGCTGGCTGATTCTGCTGATGTTGGTGCATCGGCGCGGGGGCTTGCATGTGCCCAGCCGCAGGTAACGCAGAGTGCATTGCGGAGAAGTCGAACGCAGGTCCCTGTTGCGGCGACATGAGCTGCTGGTGGGGGCCTGCATGCCCCTCCTTTCCGAAGAAATTCGCAGCATCTTGGTCGAAGGGGGAAGAGGCCGGTTGCGACGAACGGAATACCTATACACCCAATTTACGTTTAGCCAGTGATACAAAGGAAGATGGAAGTCAGATTGCGCACCTCCCTGGATGGGCCAGCTCTACCACCGAAATGGTCCTAGAAGACAGTTGAGTAAAATCCGCACTCAAGCATCGGGTGGCACGCCCAACCCACCTGCTGCAAACCGCGGTCCTGATCGAATCTCTTAGTCAAGCCCTGGAGTGGGTTCGACGGGCCACATTCGGCGCCGCCGCCTACGAGCATGGGAAGGGCCATACCGACGAAAGCAATGCGATACTGCGTTAGTTAGTTGGATGTAAGAAGTGGCACTGGAGAACGGCGTTTGGATTCGACCACTACTTCGCCGGAGCCACGCGAGCACGCATCGGGATCAGCCATAGAGTTAAAGTCCGGGTACCGGCAATGCTGCTCGATCGAGTATAGCCGGAGACTAAAGTGCTTACGTACACGTGGTTATGAATCAGGGGATTTCGGCGTTGTAGGGTTGCTTGTTGGTTGCTAGAATTACATGGTGCACTTACAGTGGATGATGCCGTCTACCTACGAAGAAGAGAATGCCGAACGTGGAAAGAAAGCGAACAAATGCATATTGAAATTTAATGCACGGTGGTCGAAGAAACAAAAAAGAGGTAGAAATATCTACACGGAAGTAAAAAAAAATATTCCGGAAGTCCAGATGTACAAAGAAAAGGTAATGTTCAAAAAAGTCACGTCGGCAAAGGAGAGGAAGGTATGGTACTGTTCGTAGGTTCGTGTTGTACACTATATGCAAGGTGATGGTCGGACAATGCCAAAAAATATACATGTTGTATGTCCATGGATGCAAGAGTCGGTGATTGACAATGCCAGGTCCACCGAACGGTGGCTTGATGCAGGGGATGCGATGCGAGGAATGATGGATGTTCGCCTATCTTTCCAGGGCAGGATGGATAGTCGACATGATCATGAATCCGCGGGACGTTGATCATCGGCTAGTATAGAGGTAGATGGGGCAGTTCGCTGGTGGTATTGTCTGCATTCTGCGCCTCCTTCAGACCTTAAGTGCCGCTGTGTAACTGGTAAGCTACTGTGGGTGGGATAGGAGAGGAGCGTCACGTACGTTAAGCGCGTCCAAGCGGCTGAAAGTCTTTTTGCAGCCCCTGCATAGATTATTTTGCGATTTGGCACTGTGAAGAGCCTGATGGCGTCTACGGGGAAAGTGGGTCAGCGAATGGTGAAATGGTGATTGCTTGGGTGACTCACTTGCAGTCGTGCTGGCGAGCGAAGCCCTTTTTGCAACCCGGCCATTCACAAACATAGGGTCTCTCCTCCGTGTGTGAGCGTAGATGACCTGTGGAACAATCTATGAGAAATATGTTGGTCGCTATGCGATTGGAACACACCTCTGAGGTTGAAGCGGCGAGTGAAGGTGCTTCCGCAGCCTGGGACTGGACAGACGAAGTGGGCTTCGTTCTTCCGCCTGGTGGCACTGGCCAGCTGGGTCGCGGAGGTGGTGACCTGCTGCTTCTCCACCTGCAAGATCGGTGGCAGCCGGGGCACGCCACTGGATGAGGGGTAGTGGTTGGCCCCCGCGCCGCCCTGGCTGGAAGCAGAGTCTGCACCTGGTGACGGAGGCGAGGAGAGCGATTGCTGGGATGTTTGGACGCGATTGTAGAGATCTGCAGCGCTGGGGTAGTACTCCGGGTGCGGGCTGTCGCGAAGGACGGATATGTGGTGTTCCGCGGGCGATTGCTGGTGGTGCGGGGGCAAGGGGGGCGATGTGTGGGGGAGATACGAGTACGGGGTGGCGGCGGGGGACTGTGCGGGCTGGTACGGACGCTGCTGGACGTGGGCGGCGGCGGCGGCGGCCATGTCTTGGGAGTAGTAGGTGTGGGTGCGGGGGACGTGGCTCAGCGAGGGCTGGTGGTGGTGGAGAGGGCGCTGGGTATGGTGGTGGGGAGGCGGCTGGTGAGGAGGGTAGTAGTGGTGGTGGTTGAGAGCGGAGGAGTTGTTTGTATAATAGGGAACGGCAGGGACCTGGTTATAGTGTTGGTGGGAGTCGTGGTAAGGGGCAGGCTGGGAATTAAAGTTGCCGTTCCAGGATCGTGCCGAGGTATCAAAGTCCATGATCTTGTTGGGTCTTTAGCGTTGAGATTCAACAACCGATGGAAATCGATGACGGCCATATTGAGTTTCTGGCAAAGTCTTTATATCATCGACGCGCAATGCTGCAATTAGGTCCACAGCCTGAAACGGTCCTCGCAACGGAACTTTTGGCGGACCAGCGAGGGACAAACTCTGCAATTTTCAGGCGCTAAGATCGACCACCGCCTCCAGGACTGCACAGCAATGCCCATATATGGCAATTATGGCGAGTCTTCTCTCTCCGCGACGGTGCTGTGTCTGAAACACACGAGGCTACCATCACTGGTTCGTAGTCCGTATTGTCATTATGTCATTGGCCTCATGAAACAGCGAAAAATTATCACAACCGTCCATTTGTCGTGAAACATATTTCCTCGCAAAAAATTATCTAGTCCCTACCACCTCTACGACTCGAAGATGTGCGCGTCCAGGAGTCGGCGACGTCTCATTAGTTCCGTTTCACTGATAGTCTGCCCGCCTTGTCGCTTGCTCGGCGTGACGTTGCTGCTGCCACCCGTAGCATGACCACTCGCCAGTGCACCAATAGTCTCTGCTGTCGTGATGTCACTCCCACCGTCGGCTTCATGATCACCACTACTAATCTCAGTCGTCGTCCCTGCTTCAACCCCATCATCTTCCGTGTGAACCTCCGGGGGACTCTGGTACTTCTTCGGCACAAACGTGATCATCGAGTCTTCAGCCTCCGTCTCCGATGCGGTGGTACTCCCAGTTCGGACCGTCTGTACCCAGTCAGGAGTGGGAAGAATCCGGCTGTCCTCCGTGAGCTCGGTTTCTGCTGCATCTCCATACCCAGACGAATGCCTTCGGAATGCATCATCAATCCAATCAGCCAACTCCTCGATAACTGCCTTCGCTTCTCCCATCAGTGTCGGCATCTGAAGATAGCCGTGGCTCCAGTCTGAGAAGATCACCAACTCCACCCAGTCATCGTCCGTCTCTCTGGAAAGCTTATCTCTTTCCCGTTTCAGCGACAATAATTGTTGGCTATCCATCGATTCCCTCGCAGTGCTCATCTTCAATGATTCCCCGAACCGGGCGCTCTTGCCCGAAATGGCTAAATCAAGCTCAGCTTTCCGAGCTCGTTTGGCCTCGCGCAACCTGCCGGCGAAGATGACGGTATCATCAACAAACGGATCCTTCTCTCCACACTGCATCAAGACAGGAGGGAATTGTGCCAGGATGTAGCTAGGCGCCAGTATGGGAGAAATGTGATAGTCCGTCGCAAAGTCGGGGTTATGGTAGGGACCAATGTAAAGGATCGCCATGGCTCGCATCTGTACAATTCAATAGGGGTGTGATAATGTCAGTACGGACAATAGACAACACAAGTCAACTTGACACTTTACCATGCTTGGAGAAATGATTCTATCCTGGAAGTAACCGGTGCGACTCGTCATTGTCAACCTGGTACCAATGGGCTCTTTGACCCTGCCTTTGATCGGAGTGGTGTCAGCTGATACCTGTTTCTGTCTCTCCTCCAGAACAGCCTGGTCAGTAATGTATGTCATGTCAATTGACGGACGGTGCCGGACGCGGGCCTCAATGGGTCTGTCTTCCTCTCGCAGCCGCTGATAGTATTCCTCGTCGTCCTCGCTTTCAGCATCTGCCAGTGTCCCCCTGTCTTCGATTGTCAGTGCAGAATGTCGTCGCCTCGCCAAAGGTCGAGTGGCAGGTGATTTGAGTGCAGAAGTGGACTTGCGAGGCTTCAAAGCTACACTGCCGGTCGCGCTGGACAGGTTGTTCTCCTTGTCAGACCCAGCTAACGACCTTAACGTGTCCTTCCAGCTCTGCTTTCTTCGTAACCCCTTCCTTCGCAGATGTTTCTTATCCCCCACCATACTGAGGGGACTGACGTGCTGTAAGTGATCCTTCTGCGCTGCAAGCTCCCTAAGGCCAGGAAGATAGCCAGATGAATGTTCGGATCGAAGCGTTCGTAAGTTGTCTTTCGTCATCCAGGATGTGAAGTTGAAGTCGAGAGCGGCATAGTTCATGACAAGGGACAGTGGTAAAGGCAACAACATTGCAGGAGGAGGTCCATTGAGTGGGTTATTCCGTTCGATGATCTTGATGACTACGTTGACAGCGATTGTGGCACCACTGAATCAGGCATGAGTACAGAAGTCGTTTAGTGAGGCGTAGTACGTACGCAGAATCGCCTGACATGATTATGTTCAACTTCTTTCCAGACATACCAAGGACGGCCCCAGCTACGGCTCGTCAGTCACGGTTGACGTCAGGTGATCTAGCTAACTACTAACCAGATTCGACCAAGACTCGATACGTATCGAATGCCTCGTCGATGGCAAAAGGGTACGGGTCTACATCGTCTGTGAGTCCACTTGTAAGGTTGAAACAGCACTCTGACTTACATTCGGGAGCTTTGCCATAGTCTATGGATAATACGGGGCGACCAGTGCTGATGGCCCAGGTACGAAGGCGCTCTTCGTGATGCTCGGGGGACATGGCTACGAATCCACCACCAGGGAAGTCAAGAATCAGGTCCGTCGCCTTGCAGAGCCGCTTCTCCGGAAGGGCAAAGAATAGGTATGCAGTGATCGGACGCTGGTAAGATGATGATTGAGGCCTGGGCAGTAAGATCTTCCTACGAATAGGAATACTAGGGAGGTAGGTGAAGAGGCGTATCTATACGTTCAGTCAATCACCATTAGAGATCAAGTGACGCATAACACTGGAGACTTACAAGTGGATTCGTAGTCTTCTCCCAGGTAGCTCTTAACATTTCGACAGTGGGGACTGCACGGAATCTACGGAGCTATCGATGCGTGTAAGATGTGATGCTGTGCAATCGATGAGGGTAGCTCACCTTCTCGTCCGCTTCATTCGCGTAGATAATATAGTACACAGAGAACAAGACCGAACAGGTGTCTCGGAGCCACTTTGGACGAATAGACAGAGCAGTGGCGAACCCAGCGTCCAGTCCTGTTGTGATCCATGTGGCTCGGTAATACGAGGGGGAGTACTAGGACGAGGATTCATTGAGCTGGGTAACATGTGTATGGTCGACGCGGGGGACTCACCAAGCGAGCAAGCGGTTCAGGTGCTTGAGTAGCGTGTCAGGGCGAAAGGCATCGTGGTTTATAAGACAAGAGACTCACATCCAAGGCCGATAATTTTATCCAGGTTCCGGAGCGCATAAACGGCGGTCAAGGTACTGACAATTATCTGCCATGGGGTGAAGCGCTCTGAAGTGTTTCATCAGCCCCGACACCCATCGAACAAGGTTGGCAGGCATACGTAAGGATCTGTTGGCTCTCCTTAGCCATAGGAATCGAGGACCTCCAGGGTTACCCCGCATGATACGCCATAGCCAGAAGAATACAACGAGGAACACCTGTAGATGAGAGGTTAGCCCTTTGGCGGGCGCTGCGACGTGTGAGCCACCGAGAGCACCGAATCTCACCTGAGTGCGCTTCCATGAGGGGTTTGGGCGACCAAGAATGTGGTCTATCATTGTCGAGATGAGGGTGAGATGGAGGAAGAGATGGTTGTGGCCTCTGGCGCGCCATTCTCCTAATGCTATCCTTGGTCAAGACAGCACATTCGCATGTGATTACTGCACCGTCCGAGCGCTTATCTCCGTGTTTTGCGCCATCGTCACGCTTATGACCTAAATATGCAGCACCGCGAGCAGAGTCGAAATTTAGAGTCCCATCCCCCATGTCGCAGTCGCCGTTCACGCTGCAGTCGTTCAAATACTCGGACGATCGCCTCGAGATTTTGAACCAGCTTCTGCTTCCACATACAATCGAGTATGTCGAAATTAACAGCGTTGAGGAGGCCCACGATGCCATCAAATCTATGAAGGTATAAGTTCATCAGTTGGAATTTGCAGACAGAAATTAGACCCACTGCGCGTAGATTCGAGGGGCACCGGCTATTGCGTCTCTGGCTGCATTATATATAGCCTTGTATCTGAAAAGGTCCTTGAATACTGCTCCTGCGCCCAAGTTCCTCGCTTCGACGGAGTCATTGGCGGCCGACATCACCCCAATACTTGATTACCTGTATACTGCTCGTCCAACCGCTGTCAATCTTGGTGCGGCCATGCGACGATTGCACCAGGCTCTTGCCGCGTCGGTTGCAGCTGCTGAGGATGTCCAGTCTGCCACCCGCAGATTGATAAAGGAGGCAGAGGATGTGTCGAACGAAGATGTTGGTCGGAATAAAGAGATGGCTCGCTTGGGGGGCGAATGGCTTATTGAACAAGTGAAACAGAGGGGAGGGGGTGGGAAAGAACTCAATGTACTCACTGTCTGCAACACGGGATCTCTTGCGACCTCCGTATGTCGTCCCTTCCATTGGCGATCATAATCGGTTTTATTCTGTTTCAAGGGATATGGAACGGCCCTTGGTTTGATCACATACCTACACGAAACTGGACATCTTGACAAAGCCTACTACACACAGACGGCCCCGTACCACCAAGGTTCAAGGTGTGTCATTGTAGATTAAAATTTTCATCGACCTGTAATTTGATGCGAGAACCAAGGTTAACTGCCTTGGAGCTTCAGACTCTCCAAATACCGTCTGTAATGATCTGTGACACAATGGTCGGTTCCTTGTTTCAACATCATAACATCCATGCCGTAGGCAAGTATATTCATAGTCTGCTCATTAAAAACACGTTCTCACTAGAGCTCGATTTCAGCTGTGGGGGCCGATCGGGTAGCCAAAAACGGGGACACAGCAAACAAGGTTGGTCGACGAGATCTTGTGGAAGCAGCATTGTGATCAGCTCCCGCCCTCAGATCGGCACATACAACGCTGCTGTGCTTGCTGCGCGTCATAATATCCCCTTCATTGTTGTTGCGCCGGTAAGCACGGTCGATCTCGATGTACCCGACGGTTCTCGGTAAGTTTCAATGATCCGCCAATGGTTGATCCCCGTATTCATCCTCTATAGCATCCCGATAGAGCACCGGCCGCCTGTCGAAGCTTGCATTATACGAGGGGCGTTGTACCCTGGTACTGAGGATGACAAGGCACAGGCGGTGGTGATGTTCACTCCGAAGGGTCTCACAGGGATTTACAACCCCAGTTTCGACGTCACTCCGGCCGAACTGATAACTGCAATCGTAACAGAAAAGGGCGTCGCAGTAAAGAAAGAGGGCGAACAGCAGTTCGATCTCAGTGGAATTGTTTGAATTACGAATACGTGTAGAATCTGTATATTCAACGTTCCGGCGGTATGCTTGAAACCCATTCCTGATCATAATTCGATCGACCTGCGATCGAAACATATAACTCGCGATCGACATTTCACTACTTGCCCTGCAACACCACAATCGTTTTAAGGCACTTGCTTCCTCTTTCATCCACCCCTTGAAAAACTCCTAACCTTTTGACCGAGGGACTATTACATAAATCGTTGGGAATTCGCTGAGTTGAATACCGGGGGTTGTCATTCCAACCAATCTATCCCTGGATCCAAGTTCAACATGCAACAAGACTGCTTCGTCGCTGTTCATGGAGGGGCGGGTATACTTTCCCGAGACTCTGAAGGCCTTGTGAAGCAGGCACTGGCCAATGCGTGCAAAACAGCATTAGCGACACTACAAATTCGTAATGACGTGAATGCAGCCCTAGCAGCAACGGAGGAGGCCATTGTCGTGTTAGAAAATGACCCTTGCCTCAATGCTGGTATTTACTATTATCCCGGTGGCTGGGCAGTTTAGTTTGCTCACCCCTTGTTATAGGTTACGGTTCCAACCTGACATTCGCTGGCACCGTGGAATGCGACGCAGCAATAATGACCTCAGAGCCCGGCGACTATGGTAGTATTGGGGCTGTTTCAGGTGCTCGCGTCTACCTTGGTCATAATTATGGATCCACCCGGTAAAACTTTGTGAACAGGGATAACCAATCCTATACGGCTGGCCCGAGCAGTGTTGGACCACGCGCGGATTCCAGACCCTCTCGGACGCGTCCCTCCAATGTGAGCATTGTGCCTCCCCCCTCTGTGGCACGGCCGATGTAAGTCATTGCCAGGATGCTGGTCTCCGAGGGCGCAACATCCTTCGCGTCAAGTGTTCCGCAGCCACCGATAGCGATCGTGCCTGTGGACTCCCTTATTACACTTCGAGCACGTCAACAATGGGCTAAATGGAAGGCGCGTCTGGACCAAGCGGAGGCCGGTCCTGTGGATAGCACCTGCCCTACCACCGCCGAGGACCAAATGCAAGACACCGTTGGTGCCATTACTTGTGACCGAGCAGGTAGAATGGCTGCTGGCGTTTCAAGGTGCCCAGCCATTTCTTCTAATTCCGTCTTCTAAAGTCTATCGCTGACTTCTTGATTTCCCAATCTAAGCGGGGGACTATTGCTGAAACATCCGGGGCGCATAGGCGAGGTATGTCTGCCCGGATCGTAGGCCACACTACCGCCATCTCCCTCACCTTGACACTTTCACAAGGCGGCCATGTATGGTGCTGGGTGTTGGGCTTCCCAGACCAACCGACAACCCCACACGGAAGCTTCGGGGGACTCATCTAACAATTTCACCATTTCCGGACGAAGTATGGCATGCAGCGTGTCAGGTAATGTCAAAGTGTCACTCTCTGAGTCCATACCTTCCCCATATCGCCTCCTCGTCCCACGGATGAACTGGTAGAAGGCTGAACTGATATGATGCATACCCACATACCAGCCACCCACTTGATGTAATGATCCTGTATGCGATGTGATTCCCCTTGCATCTCCCGCTATCATGGGATGATCGATGATCACTCTTACTGTTACGTCCTTGTCGGCGATTGTTGACTTAATCTATCATAGGCACTGGAGAAGACATCGTGAGGGCGATGCTGGCGAGATCTATTGCCCGTGCACTGGCCTACGATCAGGCTGAGACATTCTCAGGCGAAGTTGATGTACACGAGGCTTTGTCGGAGGTCTTTGTCAACCTATTCTTGAGTGCGTGATAAGGTTTCATTTTAACTCGCTTCAACCCAAACGTTATTTACACCGTGCGACAGAACTGTCTATGGCCCGAGGGGAGCTTAATCCCAGCGCCGGTGTCATCCTACTGGATAGAGGAGACGCCGACAACCCACGTTCAGGTAAGTGGGCCGTTATCCGGCCATTGTCCGCTAACTGAAGGACCGTCTCTGGAGTCCGTCTCTGGTGTGCGTTTACGACACCATCGATGTCTATTGCGTACGCATCCTCAAGGCACCCAAGCCCTAAGGTGCTGGCTCCACATACCGTAACAAAACTCCATGATGTTGACCGTATGCTAGGTGAAGATTCTGAGAAGACCGACGAGGACCAATACGGAGTCTCCGGTTTATATAACTGCCATCACCCTATCGTAGGTCAACTGTTTCCCAAGGTTCACACAACATGTGTCCGACAACGCAGATGCCAGCCCATTGGAAGGTACATCACATCGTTAGACCGGCACTTGTCCACCCCCGGGAAGGCGCCAACTGGGCGACACTCATAATCACTTATCCTCTTCCGTAGCACGCGACTTTGGGTGATCTCTCGTGAGTAATATACTCTAACGGAGAATTACCGGCTAGAAACAATCCCCCGTAAGAAGTTCATAGTTCGGATGCTATACAGTCTGCTACATGTACATAGTATCACCATGAATTAGCTTTCTTACGGAGTAAGTCACCGATTGGCTCAAGTCACCTTCCGGTCACTGATTGTACAAGGCTGAGCAGTAATCTATCTATACGCAACGAATGCCAAGCTATAACACTGTTTCATCGTATGTGCTCTCAACCCGAGATTCCGCCTCTATGGCTTCAGGGGATGACAGGGGCACTCCTATAACAGTCCGTAAGCGCCGGCTACAATGTTTCCACGGGCGCCAACTAGTCTTCAACTCATTCATCAGCCACTATGGCTTCATCATCTGGTATGTTTCGTTCGAGGTATCTCCACGTCTACTTTATCGCTTACGATTTGTGCAGCTATCGGAAAACTCTCGCGTGAGGAATTCCGACGCCAAAAGGACCTCGATGCCGCTCGTAAAGCAGGAACAGCCCCTGCTGCATTGGACGAGGAGGGGAAGCCCATCAACCCTCACATTCCTCGTGAGTTTTCCTTCACTACCCAATTCCACTGAAAGCTCACACCTTTGTCCCACAGAATATATCTCGCAGGTTCCCTGGTATCTCGACACCGGCGTTCCCTCACTGAGTCACCAAAGGCGACCGGACGAAGATGAGCCCGAAAGCACCCTCAATTCATGGTACGACAGAGGGCTGAAAGCAGGCCCAGCAGCCAAGAAGTACCGCAAGGGTGCTTGCGAGAACTGCGGGTCTATGACACACAAGAAGCAGGATTGCTTGGAGCGACCGCGGAAGAAGGGGGCCAAGTACACGGGCAAGAACATACAAGCCGACGACGTGATCCAGGACGTCGCTGCAGGTTATGCAGCGAAGCGCGATCGATGGAACGGGTACGACGCTGCTGAGTTCAAGAAGGTCTATGAGGAATACGCGGCTGTGGAGGAGGCCAGGCAGAAGGTCCGGGAGGAGGAGATTGATAATCAGACGACGACGGATTTGGCTGCGGTGAGGAAGGTGGCGAAGGCTGGCAAGACGGAGAAGGAGGCGGATCCGGACTTTGGGTCGAGTGACGAGGAAGATGCGGACGAAGACAAGTACGCTGATGCCGCCGACGCTGTTGGCCAAAAACTCGATGCCAAAACCCGAATAACGGTCCGAAATCTACGTATTCGAGAGGATACTGCGAAGTACCTCATCAACTTGGATCCCTCAAGTGCTTACTATGATCCCAAAACACGTTCGATGCGTGATGCTCCGCTGAAGGATGTCCCGGCGGAAGAGGTATGTCGCGGTTCAATCGCTATGTTAGCAATTCGTAATCATTCTATAGGCAGTATTCGCAGGCGACAACTTCCTGCGCTTCTCAGGTGAGGCTCCAGAAGTGCAGAAACTGCAACTATTCGCCTGGCAAGCCGCCGCGCGGGGCAACGACGTCCATTTGAACGCCAACCCCACCCAAGGCGAACTTCTCCATCATGAGTTCCGCGAGAAGAAGGCCGAGTTGAAGGATACGACGAAAGTCAGCATTCTTGCTAAATACGGAGGCGCGGAATATTTGGCGGCGCCTCCGAAAGAACTGCGACAAGGCCAGACGGAGGACTACGTCGAATACTCACGGACAGGCCAAGTTGTGAAAGGACGGGAAAGAGCGAAGGCCAAGTCGAAATACCTCGAAGATGGCAAGTTTGCAGCTTTCTCGTCTCTCTGTTAAGTCTTACTAACTTTCTTCGCTAGTATATATCAACAACCACACCGACGTATGGGGTTCGTGGTATGATCCCATGTCCGATGCATGGGGCTACGCTTGCTGTCATTCACTGGTCCATGCCTCGTATTGCTCTGGACAAGCCGGTATCGAAGCGGCCAAAGCATCGAGCGCACAAAACCTCCTCTCCTCATCATCCGCCGCCGTCCAAGCCTTCAAACAACCGTCACCAGAACCAGAAGAATCGTCTAAAGCTCAAAACGCTGCAAAAGGCAAGGCAGAGGAGAGGCAGGATCGCGATCGGTCGAAGAGGTTGGGTGAAGGGGATATACAGCTTGATAAGGAGAGGCTGGCGAAAGCTATCGCGGAGGAAAAGAAGCGGAAGCAGAGAGCGGACGACGAGGACGAGAGGTGGGGGAAGAAGAAGAAGGGACCCGAAGGCAATTCAGAAGTTACAGAAGAGCAATTGGGTATGTCGTCCGCCTTGTTGTCCTATACGCAACTGACGGTCGCTTGTAGAGGCATACCGAATGAGTCGCCGCATGATGGAAGATCCTATGGCCAACTACGTCGACACCGGGGACATATAATGCTTCACTCTTATTTCATATCCCATGCATATCTTAAGTTATTATGTTGTCTTTGATAATACATGTAAACGCAAAACGAGGAATCCAAGAACTATGACTATGTATTCTGTCCGAAGAAGTCTACCTTAACGTTCCGTTCGATGTCGACGTCCTAATGGACCCGCTGTGTGGCAAGCCCCCGGTCCCAGACATGGACGTAGTTCTGCTCAACCCATTGCTACCAGGAGTTGGAGGAGGGCGGGATGCATTGAGTCGTTGCAGTATTTTGATAGGGAATTTCGTTCTGTAAGGATAACAAAATCATTAGCCAAGAGGGAGAGAAAGGGTGGGACTTGAGACACACCGACAGGTCGAACATACGGGAACAGGTTGACAAAATACTACACATGTGATGCTTTAGCACAAACACACCGAAATCGTGGACAGTTAGTAGTCACGTACTAGATAGACAGACAGAACAAACGAAACCTATATCAATGATCTTCTTATGACAGAAACAAGCGGCGCGGAAGTCGATCTTATCTTGCGTCGGCACGGACAAGGCTTTACGAATCGAGGGCGGGGAGAGGAATGCCATCGTCAAATACTGAAGCAGCGCGTCGCGACGCTCGAGGGAGATGTACGACCCGCCCGTTAGATGGGCTGCTTGCTGCAAGAACACGGTCTCTGGACCGTAGATCTTGCACACATCTATAGTCACTTTCTAGGTCACTCGTAAGTATATCGCGATGTATTAAATTGGTCCGGTGTAGGGGACGACGATAACGAGCGACTCACGAGTTTCTGCGCGGAGAAGATGGAGTTCATGATGGGGATGTACTCTGCAGATAGATCGGGGGAGACGGAGAGGATGAGGATGTGCGGGTCTGAGGTTGTTAGTGAGTCGGGGAGTTTAGCTTTGGAAACATTGGCGGCGGAGAAGTGACTGATGCGATTTATGTCTGGCGTGAGGTCAGCATTCGAGCCCGATGGATAGCAATCGGGAACGAGTACTGACAACATAAGGCTTTCGTCAACGCGCCAACGAGGGCGACGGGTACTAGAGGAAGATATAAGCCTTTCCATTGTGATACTGATAGACCGATGGGGACACGTACTTTCCTCGTCGGTATCAAGTTGATCCAGCTCATTCTCTATCCGCTTGATTATCGTAGAGTCTAGCATCTTGAACGGGGGATACGAGTTCGCATCCACTGCGCTCGGATTGATCGTCTCGCTCTCCGTCGACGCGTACAGCATCAAGCTGGAACCGTATTCAGCATCGACCGTCTCCCGAACACACTCGGTCAGTGCAAGCAGGTGCAGCGAACCTTTTACCGGGGAACGCGCCGAACACGGCGAGGGTGTTCTCATGCTTCGAGGCTATGTGCGAGTTGAGGAACGCGAGGAGCTGCGAGAGGAAGGAGTTGAGGGTGAGCGGGAAGGTGTTTGCTGGGGGCGGTTGGGAGGACAGGTGCCATTGCGATGGGGACAGGTCGACGATTACGGATAGATGGGACGGCTTGTCCGTCGCGACTGCTTGCGCGGGTGGTGCGGAGCTCATGGCGGTCGAAGTGCAGGAGTATGAGCAGATATATTGACTCTAGTACATCGTAGTGTGGAGGAGAGGTATGTAGGGTTACATAATCGACGGAACGGAATGTAACCTCCGAGCCCGAAGTGCGCTGAACACACAGAGAGAAAGAATGGTAAGAGACGTACCATGTAATCAGGAATTGACCTCAATGATTATAACATTGACAATTCTACACTCAACCGTGTGCAAAGGACTGATTGTTGGCAGTCGTATGTAATACTCGATAATGCTACGCTTCGTCGGGGATATAACTGAGGCCCGACCGCTTGAAATACGGTGACGTTCGGGTACAGAAACGGAGTCGACGGAGGCGGCGATGGCATGGAAGGTCATGCACTATGCGTAATGCCGCAACGAAGACTGATTATGGGAGCTCAAGAGAAGGTCGATCCGGCGAAAAGGCCACTGCGAGCGAAGTGTCAATCGTCGAAGTCAGCGGGTTACCAATAGCCAGCGGCGATTAAGACCGCCCGGACTCTGGACTTCCCAGCACATATCTGAAGGCCAACCAGTCCGCAAGGGAACTCAACCGGCCCATTGCGCGGGTAAGACCGCACTAGTGGTCATCTAATGCAAGCAACCGCGAGTGCCAGTGAAATAGGTGCTGCCGCCAATGCGTGTAGCGACCATGTCAAGTCTAGTCGAGGCGTACATAGACAGCGCCGTTGAGTCATTCTTTGACATGCACGGAGAAAGGACGTCGCGCGCGTCGTAGCGATGAACTATGGGCGCTTAGAAGGACATGTGATGGAAACTCGCTCTCACTGTGCTCGCTCGCAGCTTCCCTCAGCTAGGGTCGGGCACTGGCATCGCATGTCCTACCGCCGCCGAAAGGCCTAGGATCAGCAGAGAAGGCAGCCATGTCGAGTGAGATGCTTGGCTTCGGTGATTCGGCCTGACATTGATAGTGTGGAATGCGGAGAAACACGGCTTGGGAGTGTCCGCAGTGACGGCGACGATGTGTGGAATAATTGATGTAACCTTAACCCGTTGATGGACTGGGCGGTGCGTGTTACCTTGTGACATGTTGCAGACCTCATGGCGAGGGTCAGCGCAATTTGTTGACACTGTTGACGATAGTGAGATTGGGAATTCTTCGACAAACAGCACCGATAAGGAAGGAGCCAACGTCCTGAACAGCCCTTTTCAGCACATTATCAACGCCCTAAGCCTGTGGGAAAATGTCGAACGGGGTATTATTTCTTGTTATTTCGTATTCGGAGTCCGTCACGAGCGGTGACGAAGGGGAAGGGTTCGGCACTGGCCGCGGTAGCGATGGCCCAGTCGCCGTGTGAATCATTGTGGTTGGCGAGCGTTACCCATCGCCAACAATCATCCCCCTTCCTTCCCTCCCCCCACCACCGTCCGCAACGTCCGCAACACATCCATGGCCTCCCACCTCAACATCAACTACGACAGCGACGACGACGACATGCAGGTCGACTCCGACTCCTCCGTAAACAAAGACGCAGAGGGCGAGTCCGTCGACGAGGACTCCCATTCCGCAACAGACCAGCCCGTTGCTGGTCCATCCATGACCAATGGTCTCCACACCGTGTACCATATGGAACGAGACTCGGTGCGTTCGCTATCCAGCCTCCTATGTCCCCGCCGTGCTCATCGTCGTCCTACAGGGTGCTGAAGACTCGGTATGTCGGCCATCCCCATATGACAATGCGCATTAATCTAATCTCTCGTATATATATATAGGGATACGAAGACCAAGGTGATGATGAGGAAGAGAACGAGGAGGAGGAAGACGATGAGGACGATACCTATGGCGACTCTAAGCATGCCAAGTCAAAGAAGGTTCCCAAGAAGAAGAAGCCGTCATCAGTGGCTTCGTCGTCTCGTGTGCGAGGTGACAGTACCCCATTATATGCTAGTCATTTGGCTCAATGTTCGCCCCACTAGTTCCAACGAGGCATGCCGCCGCCGAATCGGACTCGGACTCCGATTATGGCGCCCGCTCAAAGAAGAAGAAGCCAAAGAGAATATCTGATAGCGAGATCCGTGTATCAAGTCGGGGTGGCCGCGTTCCCAACTATGTGGACGACGTCCAAGACTTTGAAAAGTTTGAGGATGAGGACGGCGAAGCTACCTATTATGTCGACCCTAACGTCCAATTTAAGGAAGAGGATGAAATCGAGGCCGTCCTCAGTCACAGTCGTGATGAAGGCCGAGAAGCCGATCCGGACGACCTATGGTTTGATAACATAGTATGTAGTCTGTTTCTTTATTGCACAGTTGCAATCAGCTTATCGGTTTCGTCTGTAAGCGCTTTCATATCAAGTGGAAGAACTTTTCCCATCTTCACAACACGGACGAGACGTACGAGTTCTTGAAGCGATTCAAAGGCTTGAAGCGTGTCGATAACTACATCAAAGCCTATAAGCAGTGGCAGGCGAGACTGAATGCCCCGGGGTTATCCCGGGAAGATGCTGAAGCTCTACTCCTCGACCGGGAGAGAGAGAAGCAGGATCTGGAAACATACCGCACCGTCGAGCGTATAGTAGCCCATCGCGAAGGCGTAGAATCCATCGAATACTTCTGCAAATGGTGCAATCTCAATTACGAGCACTGTACATGGGAAACGCAGGAAGAGATCAAGCCAATTGCCCAAGAGCAGATTGAAGCGTATCGCAGACGAGAAGCCGATGGCCGATTCCCCTACAAGAGCCAGAACTACTCCAGACACCAGCGTCCGACGTTCAAGAAGATTGATAAGGACCCAGACTACATAGTGTCCACGGGCGGTGAACTCAAGGACTTCCAGCTGACAGGTTTGAACTGGTTAGCGTATCTATGGAGCAAGGGCGAGAACGGCATCCTTGCAGATGAGATGGGTTTGGGCAAGGTAAGTACTGCTTGCCTTCGCATTGTTGCGTAGACTCATTGGTCACAAACCAGACGGTTCAAACAGTTTCATTCCTCTCGTATCTCTTCCATGAGATGAAGCAATACGGCCCTTTCCTGGTCATTGTTCCTCTGTCTACGATAACGGCTTGGCAGTCGCAATTCGCTCTGTGGGCTCCGGACTTGAATGTAGTCACTTACATCGGGACCGCTTCGTCTCGGGAGGTGATCCGCGCGCACGAGTTTGGTCCGACGAACAAGCGCCTCAAGATGAATGTACTCCTTACAACATACGAACTGACGCTGCGAGATGCAAAGGAGTTGGGCGAGATCAAGTGGCAGTCGCTGGCAGTCGATGAGGTTGGTCCCTTGTTGCGCTGCAAGGAACTTTGACTAAACGCAACTGAGCAGGCGCATCGTCTCAAAAACTCCGAGAGTCAGTTGTATGAGGCTTTGCGGTCCTTCTCATCTGCGTCGAAGCTGCTCATCACTGGTACTCCCTTGCAAAACAACGTCAAAGGTGCGGCATACAGCCTTGGAGATGAGCACGATGCCTAACTTTAGGTTTTAGAGTTGTTGTCGCTCATGCATTTCTTGATGCCTGAGAAATGTAAGTATATTGCTCGCATAGTTTGGATGGCATCTTGACATATATACCTTCGCAGTCGCGCTCACAAACGAATTCGATCTTAACGACGCCGACCATGAAGAAAAGATCAAGGAATTGCATGCGCAGCTTGAATCGCTGATGCTCCGGAGGCTCAAACGGGATGTACTGACATCGCTACCGAGTAAGAGCGAGCGTATTCTCCGTGTTGAAATGAGTGCTCTTCAAACACATTGGTATAAGAACATCCTCACGAAGGTGCGTCATCTTGCATCGCATTTTCTTCTTTATCTTACAGTATTGTATTAGAACTTCCAAGGCTTGGTGAAGAGCGCACACGGAAACAATAACATCAGCTTGTTGAATATCGGTTAGTGGTGTCTTTCCACAACCCATCTCCTTGCTGATCCAATTTTTAGCGATGGAATTGAAGAAGGCTGCGAATCATCCTTATCTTTTCGATGGTGTCGAATCACGCTCGGACTCCAAGGACGAGGTTCTCAAGGGTCTCGTCATGAACAGTGGCAAAATGGTGCTCCTGGACAAGCTAATGGTACGGCTGCGACAAGACGGCCATCGTGTGCTGATCTTCAGCCAAATGGTGCGAATGTTGGACATCCTCAGTGACTATATGTCGCTGCGTGGCTATCTGCATCAACGTCTGGATGGAATGGTTTCCTCCGACGCCCGCAAGAAATCGATTGCCCATTTCAATGCCCCAGGTTCTCCTGATTTCGCGTTCTTGCTCTCTACACGAGCGGGTGGTCTTGGTATCAATTTGGAGACTGCCGATACTGTTATAATTTTCGATGTAAGATCCCGTTTATCGTTATATGGAACGTGTGTTGACGACGCAATTTCAGAGTGATTGGAATCCTCAAAACGACTTGCAGGCGATGGCTCGGGCACACCGAATTGGCCAGAAGTCGCATGTCAGCGTGTACCGGTTTGTTAGCAAGGACACAATGGAGGAAGACGTGCTGGAACGTGCCAAGAAGAAGATGGTCCTAGAGTATGCCAGTACGTGGTTTTATGTCCGTGGTGCTGCATCTATTCAAGCGGTTCCCTAGTCATCAACCAAATGGACACCTCTCAAGCACATTTGGGTGCCAAGGCTTCGCAAACGAAAGACCCCCATAAGCCCGATAATCTCAGTAAGGACGAATTGCACGCCGTGCTGAAATACGGGGCACAAAAATTGTATGTTTGCTCCCGTCCTTGTGACTTCTGTTCTCAATGGGGCATTTTGCGTTTAGGTTCGATAAGGACGATTCTCAGCAAAGCAAGAAACTCGATGAGATGGATCTCGATGACATTTTGAATAGGGCCGAAGACCACGAGACCATGGACGGCGGCGATGGAGGCACGTCACTCGGTGGCGAGGGTTTCCTGCAACAGTTCGCTGCCGTTAGCGATGTCAAGAACGACATGAGCTGGGAAGATATCATTCCTCTAGAGGAACGACAGAAGTTCGAGCAGGAAGAAGACGAACGCAAGACGGAGGAATTAGCCGCTCAGGAGTCGAGGGACCGAAAACGTGCTGCTGCGCAGGTTTCGTACGAAGGCATGGACGTCGATCCTGTACCTGCAGCACCTGCGCCCAAGAAACCCAAGGTACCGGGTCCAACACGAAAGTCGGCGAGTCAGAAGGCTATGGAGCTAAAGGAGCGAGATGTGCGAGTTCTTATCCGCAGTCTGCAGCGATGGGGCGACATCAGACAGCGCTACGACATCATCGTGAGTATGCATCTTCCGCCAATCGGTTACTGCTAAGGATTACCTCTTGCTATAGGTCAATGAATCCAAGTTGCAAGACAAGAACAAGGGGATGATACTTGACATCGCGGACGAAATTCTTGACATATGCACTCAGGCTGTTAAGGAGAGTGAAGACCAGAAGCGGTCACGAATTGCGGCTGGGGAGACCCTCACGAATGCTCAGAAAAGCAAAGCCGTTCTTGTCACTTGTCGCGGTGTTGGGAACATCAATGCGGAGACCGTCATATCGAGGTTCCGTGACCTCCGTATACTGTTCACCCATCTGTCCGAGCTCCCGGATCCGTACAAGTGGTCCATTCCTATCGACAACATTCGTCCAACTCTGAATTGGTCTGGTCGATGGGGCCCTCAGGACGACTCCATGCTACTTGTTGGTGCATTCCTGTACGGCTTCGGCAATTGGGAGGCCATGCAAAAGGACCCGAAGTTGAGTCTAGAAGGGAAATTCTTCCTTGAAGAGGGCAAGAAGGGCGAAGACACATCGACTAGGCCGATCCCTAATGCCATCCATCTTGTACGTCGAGGTGACTTCCTCCTCGGTCTGTTGCGCGAACACGACGAGAAGCTTCGTTCTTACGAGAGCTCATTACGGAATCGGGGAGCGTTGAAGGCTTCAGCATCCCCTCCACCCCCTCCCATGGCTTCCTCTTCCTCGTACGGTGGGAGCATGAAGCGGCGTGCTGAGAGCGAAGCTATGGCGTCCATTGACGAGGGGAGTCGCAAGCGCAAGCGGCGCCCAACACCCACTTTCACTGATTCAGAATCCTCTGATGAATGGTACGAACTTTCCTTGTTGCTAATCTATGTATCCTGATGATGTTTTCAGCCCGTCGATGGACGAAGCCTCTACTAAGGAGGAACTCCGACCTGTCAAGAAGCAACTGAAGCAACTGAAGCTGTCCGGCGAGGACATGCCTCGTGATGACAAGGTGGCAATTCTCAAGGACTCGCTTGCCGCAATTGGCCGTCGCATCGAAGTTGTCTTGAATGCAAAAGCAGCAGCTGGCGAAGACCGCGAACAGTGGCGTCGTCATTTGTGGACGTGAGTAACTGAGTCTCATCTCGTGGACGTTTGGTCTAACCCAGCTACCAGATTCGTTACCCTTTTCTGGCCCAAGAAAGTGAAGGCCTCCAAGTTAGAAGAGATACACGCGAAGATGGTCATGAAAGAGGCTGCGCCTCGAGCCGGGTCCGAGAGTTCGGTGAAAAAGGCTCGCCCGGGAACAAGTACTAAAGCAAACGGGTCTTCAATTTCCGCACCCAATGGCTCGAGGACCAACGGGAAGTCTTATCGTTAGCTTGGTTTATTCATGTCGTTTTACCATGGTTGTTTTCCTCGTCGCCCGCGTCATTTGGTGTTGCTTGCATATCGTCGACCTTCGTTTATCTATTCGTACAATCGTAAATAATTTACATCTCCTCTGTACTAACTACGTCCATGCTGTACTGTATGTAATTTATCATTCGGAACATGACCACCATTCTCTGTGCATGGTATACCACTACGAAGATAGGGATCTACCTCCTCCACGCGGGATGACCCAGGGTATGGGAGGGTTTGGCTGGTAGCCCACCGTGACTATAGTGGCTGCATCACTTATGCGTGGATGCTGCAGAAATGAGAATGGGATGGCGTTGCCAAGGATGGCAGGAATAATTGATGCGGGATAAATAACGAATATCCTAAGTTTGAGGTTTGGAGGAGGAGCGATGTCGATGATGGGATTTCTCTGGTGGAAGTCCATTCCCATTGACTGCGAGTCCAGTCGCGGTGCCATTGGACTGGGGCTTTGTACGGTGCTCGTTGTGAGTGCGGGGTTGATCAACCTTAGTTGAGCGGCCATCAGCTAACGGGCGGGGTGAGTTACGGGGATCGTTTGGATGCAATGGCGTTCACTTACATTCTGAGGCCATGATATCCGCTTGCCTCAGGAAACTCTCCATCAGTGCCTTGTATTTCTTCACCTGCCACTTCATCTGCGACGCGCGAGCAAGGTCTCCTTGTGAGACCGCCCACTTCCTCTCCTCCTTGAACCGACGCCGCTCGCTGTCGGCTAGCGACGCGCGAGCGCGTAGCGCAGCAATCTCCTTCTCCCTGGGGGTCATGAATGGTCGTATATGTATGAGTTCTGAATTAGAATCGACGGAGGTGATGTCGGAATGCGATTGGCGAAAGGCTTTATGGCGCGGGCTATCGTAGGTGCCCCGCTCTTTTCGTTTAGAGGCTTCCTTGGCGCGGTCGCGATGGCTATCGCCATAGCTGTCTATGTAGGACCGCTTCTTGGAGTGCTCTTTCGAGTTGTCGTTTATTAAATTTGAGAGGACCTCGCTCGACAGAACCCCGGCGGCCACACCAATGAAGGTACAGAACGACCTGACCAGGTCCTGCGTGCCGGAGAAGTCCACAAAGAGGTGCAGAGCCACCCCCACGGCCGCAATGATACCGTAGTCAGAGTAGGTGAAGGCGCAGTGGACGCCGACGCCTTCCCAGACGCCGAGGAGCAAGAACTCTTGAAACGAGGATTCCGCCGAGCGGGTGAGCATGTCGAGTACAATTCGTCCACCGAGACCGAAGAAGATGGCGGGAAGGGCAAGCGATTGCATTCGGGGCACCGGCGATGTGCATTATAAGTGCATGCCTGCACGCTGACCCTCGTTGATTTCCGTGAACGAAAAGTTCAACGAAGTGCACGAGGCGCACACGTGCCCACGTCAATCAAATCTATCCCAAATAAAAACACACAATCCATTGTCCGGCCAATAAAGATACAAACTAACTACTCCAGCCTCTCATTCGCGCAACAGATTGAAATATAGTGTCGGACTGCATCTCAGCATCTACCAATTTTGCACGACCGCCATCCGCATCCAGTAAACCGACATATTCCTGCCACTTCCCAAGGTCTTCCGAGGAAACATTGAGAGCGCCAAGAATATTCGACAGATAACTCAAATCCGAAGTAAGCTGGGCTGCTCCCGCTTCCGATAAGGAAGGGATCTTGGGGAGGATGTCGTTCATTAGATACGAGAGGAGTGAATGACCCAAAGACGACAGCCATGCCGAAGAGACTGTTTCCGCGTCCAGCGTTACAGGTGGAGTTGGTGCAGCCTGAATAGAAACGAGGGATGTACGACGGATGTGCCTTGGAGGTACTGGCAGTTCTGAATGTGGTTCTTCCGGAATGCCCTTAAGAACTTCGGGATTGATGTACGGAAGCGTTTCGAGAGAGAACGACAACGCATCATCGTTTGCATAGACTTCAAACAGCCTTGGTAGATTGAGAAGGCCTTCGGAGACCTTTTGCACTATCTCACTTGGAGACAGCGAGAAAGTGGGGACTTGGAGATCACTGATACCGGAGGAATTTGTTCTGGACTTGTCTCCTGAGGCAGGCCACAAGGATAACGTAGGGTAAGGTTGGAGCTGCTTGCGCAGGGGAGACAGGATGGTCTCTTGCATCGACACCTGACATGTTTTCACGAACGAGAACAATCCGTTTCGTCCTGCATGTAGTAGTATTGGGTCGGAAGGGGAGGAATTTGGTGCTAGTTGCGTCTGCTTCTGCACGCTATCCAGGAGAGTGCGGAGTTCTGACGAGTTGAGAAGCGATTGCTGCAGTAGAAGTTCTTGCACTTTGGTGGGCGCGACGGTGAAATTGATAGGGTCGTTCTCTGCCATGTGGAACTGGCTGGCTATTTGCAGCAGAGTCGAGCGCAGCTTCGCTTCGAAGACAAGGAGGCGGTCATGTATCGCTCGGGCAGCACCAAGAAAGTGGAGCGAATGCTGCAAATCGGCCCAATCCTGCGCGGAATAGTCAAGGTCCACGAAATCGTCGTAGGAGATAGAAGGTTGCGCTCTCGCTGGCGAAGTGCCCCCCGTCCGTTTACCCTTCGCGAATACATTGAAGAATAGCTCAATCATTGTATCCAGTGCCTGAACAAGTCCGACGGCACCATATCCATAAGTGAAACTGAGACATCGCGCGAAGCTCTCTTCTCCGATGCTGAAGAGGTCGACAGCTGCTTCCCGTAGAAGTCGCGACTTGTCCGAGCGCACGTCGCCGTCGTCCTCATTCGCCGTCGCTCGATCAAAGGCTTCTTGCAGCATCTTGAGTTCCAGTTTCCCGTAATCAACCTGATAGTCAAGGTACGGCTGGAACAACTCGCGACCCCATTCGAAGTCGTCGTGCGTCGCTACGTTCACGTTCGGAGATCCCACAGATCCCTGTGTTGCACGCTGGGACCCGGCACGCCATGAGATGGACATCCGGCTGGAACGTCTTCTATGCACTCGTTCGCGCGCGGCAGGTTCTACAACCTCAGCTGCACCGCCGTCCTGGCCATGAGACCGTACACTAGGAGTGGAGAATTTGACTTTGTCCATAACCTTTTCGACGTTAACGGCGAAATCCTGCGTGACCTTCAAGGTTGTAATGCAGTTCGCGAGGGCCGATGAACCATATTGTTCGAAGAGAGCAGCCAGACGCTCCGAGAATGAGGGTTGGAGCGCGGTAAGGACTGAGACGATGAGGTTCGACAACGACGCCTGCGGATCGGGGAACACTGAGGGGATTGTGACGCGCTCCGCGTTAAGAAGAGTCAAGAATTTAGAGTAGAATTTGGGGAGGAACTCAGCAAAACTTTGGCCAATCGATTGTTCCGTGTCAACGGGTAGATCCTGCCACATTTCAGTGAGCGGGGCCCTGCGAGATCCATTGTAGTAGTTCCTGAACTCGGATTCGCGTTGAATGTTGGAGAAGATAGTGAAGTAGTTTCGGCAGAGGGCGACGTCCTGCGTGTTGATCGCGGCGACGAGGGCAGAGCTGAGAGACGCCTCCAGCTGGTTCTGGAGGCTGACCATCAGCGTCCTCCGAGATTCGTATTCCGGCGTATTCTGAAAGACGACCATGCTCTTGCTAGCCTCGGAGAGCCTCTCCGCCGCCCGGGCATAGCTGCCTTCGCCCAAAAGGCCTGTGACCTCCATCTCCAGACTACTCCAGCTCTCGGCCTCTCTCAGCACCTCCCGCGCCGACTCCATGTGTCGCTTAACAGCATCCAGCGTCCTTAGATGCTCCAGCGTTTCGTTGGTCTGCGCGGGAAGGGAGCTGACGGAATGGTCTTGGGTCTTTACCAGCACCGACTGGAGGGCCATAGCACTGTCCTTCATAAAGTGCAGGTCATATGTCAATCTAGGGACTCCGCGCGAGACATCGTCTATTATCCGCTCGAGCTGGAAGGAGGTCTCTTCGCAGGCGATATCGAGGGCAGCAACTATGTGCGTGATATGCTGATCGAGGGCAGCGAGGTCGTCTTCCTTCGCGCCCAGGGTGTCATTGATCCATGAGAGAAGGCTGTCGGAGCTCTCTAGTGACTGGATCGTTTCGCTAATGGACTCATTCCGAGACATTAGACACAGTAAAGTGAACGGGCGCGACTTGGATGCAGGGTTCGGCGGCGCGACTGTAAAATGCCCCAAAAGGAAGGAGGAGATAGTATCCCCGAAATGGCACTTTCATGTTAGGATAGACTTTCACGCATCCTCTCATGAACGCAGGCGCCGCTCATGCCCACGAATCTACCTTTGGTCCAGCATCAGAGCCCATTGACATCAATTCCTTTGCGCTCACCGAGTCAGGGGGCCTCCGTTCCGATTCTACAACACAAATTCCACCTGGGATCGCGGAAGAATGTAGGTGAGTCTGCGTTTCCACACTCCCCCAATTCTAACTTACGCACTCAAATCAGCGTAGCTGACATCCGCAAGGAGGTTCAAGACACATGGGACAATGTCAAACTCTCCGGGTATCTGCTCAGGGACCACGAACTAGTCGTCAACAATGTACACATTACTGCAGAAAGTAAAAAGAAAAGGAAGCGGATAATCAACTACGAGGCCTTGAAAATACCGCATGCAGCAGTACAGGACCTGCAAGAGTCTTTGAAGTGCATCAGCAAGAACTTGCAGTGTTGGCCATACTCGGCGGAAGCTGCCCTCTTCATGCGGGCTCCAAAGAACACGGATTTCAATGTCCTTGATAGTGTGGTATATGCCGCCAGCTGATTCCACCTTTTCGCACCTCTTACACCAACATAGAAACGATCTACATCCAATTTCGATGATCCCAACGCAACGGAGGCCATATTAACCATTACCGTCCACAACACGCTCAGCTGGGGACACAACTACCTATCTCGAGCATCAACACATCTCATACGCTCTTCTCAGACTTTACAAGATCTGTACGACTGCCTCATATGCGAATCCTCTGAAATCCCCGAGGAAATCATCGAGGATGGGGAAGTATTTGGCTATTCGCAGGTCAACAACGCGGACAACAAACCCTGCGTTATGTGTATCGAAGGTCTTGCGTATGGCGATGGCCACTCCAATCCAGACTATGCTGAGTATGTGGCTTTTTTTCCGTCCGCTGGAGAAAATTCCTTTCCAACAAGAGCTTCTAGCAAACTTATCGAGCAGATAGGCTTGATGCCAGAGGAGAAACGACCTAAAATCACTAAAGCCAACTCCACCCTCGCGACGACCAGGCTGGACTCATTATTACTCCGAATCAACGAGCCGTATTATATGCTCCACCACGGCAATTGCGAGCACTTCATCGTCGTAGACCAAATCAGGCCAGTAACATCAACTCCCAGTCAAGGTGCAGAAATACTGACCTCATTGCATAGATTACAACGCCCATCCGATAGCCTCTCCGAGTTCCCGATAACTACTCACATCACACCGGTGCTGCTCGACCTCTGTCGCGGCTGCTGCAAGGTCCCAGCTGTGTATGCCATAGTCGGGGATGTGCGCCTTCCTGAGAGCCCATGTGTCATGTGCGAGCCTTGTTGGACCAACATGGGCCCTTCGGACGACAGCGAGGTGTCCGTCGTGCCTCTCCCAAGACGCATACAAGGTTGGGAGCGTTGAAACAGTATGATTATGGGTTTATCAGGAGTGGAGGGTATTCTACGAATAAAAATACACGTCGCATTCTAACTTATACATAGCACGCATGTCCCACTATTAAACGATAATCAAACTTAAGCAAACACATCTGGGTCAAAATTAGCTAGGTAGCCTCCCCATTCATCCAGGCTTGCAGATTTATTTATCAGTACAACCTTCGCGGGAGAAAATAAAGACACTCACTCAAAGCCTCCAGGAACCGCGGACCACAGGTCCATTGTAGCATCGCCACCAGTGTAGAACGGATTCACCGGCTCCTGGCTCTGAAGAAGACCACTTATCGTATTCGACGCATACTGAGAGCCTTGTTGAGGTCCCAGGTATCCAACAGGTATTTTCTGAGAGTACTGGTACGTTTGTTGCGGCTGCGTACTCAGCGGCGCTGATGTACCATCAAGGGAAGGTTGCCCAGTAAAGCCACTCGTGTTCGTGCTCGTCCATGGTTGCGAGTAATTGCTGACAACCGGTAACCGACCCAGCTCATCAGTAGTCAGAGGAAGGATGTCGGTAGGGGGTTGCAGTATGCCGCTCGGAGTAGCAAGCAAGTCAGAAGGGCTTCCAGCTGAACTAAGTGTCGACGTAGAAGGACTATGATGTAGTAGATCTGAGTAGACGGCAAAATTCGTATCTTTCTCTACATTCGACCCAGACGAGTCGTCCGAAGGAGGGGAACGCTTGTTGGAACGAATATTGAGTTCAGGCAGTGGCAAGTCTTCCATGCTCGCAAGCGTGTTGAGTACGTCCCACAATTTCCCCGACACTCGCCACCTAATTGTCGCATGCATGAGGTGAGTGTATGCACAGCCACATATGTGCTTACCGTGTTCCATGCGTTTGAAGGACATGCATTAATTTGCGCACGTCTGCCATTTCCTTGTCCGCCCTGAAGGATATACGAGACTTCTTCGCGCCCCATATGTTTATGAGTAAGATGATACCCGAAGTAAAGGCGACCATCTACAACAATATCAGCGACGGAAGCAGTGGATTTATGGTAAATCCGCAAGTACCTGACATGTGGGGGCAGCCGTAAGGAATCCGAGTGATATGTACGCATCTAATAGATGAGCACAAGATCGGGCAGCGTTGACACAGATGGCGAGGGAAGGGAAGGAGAGTCCTGAAGCATGGAGAGACCCCGAGATAAAAGGCCTGTGCACCAATATCTGGGTGTAATAATATGTGCAGAATAGGTTTGCGGACAGCGCGCATGTGTCACGATCTTCGCACCGCGGATTCCATCGCACTGTGGGGGCGTGGTGAGCCTAGTGCGGTTTGAGTGCATTTGCGGGGGCTTACAGTTATCTGGTACGGAGTCCAGCCAGCTGTTTAATTCCGAGTCAAGCTCAGCTACCATTCTGTATTCCCAATTGGGACCCATGAGACCCGTCCATAATTTGGACTTATTCGCCGAATACTAGACAATATACCGAGTTCACGACATGCTTTATACGGCTGGAAAGGGACGTACTAGGACGCGCAACGCGACGGCCAAAATCTCGCCAAGTTTGAGAAGCAGATTGAACGTCGTTATCTTGGACATCTTCCCTGGCGGTTGCTTGAACGCTAATTCTGGATCAGGATTGCACCAATACTCGTCGTCGACTTCCAGCGGGTACCCCACATCGTAACTAGGAATATGAAGCTCAGCGAATACAGGATGTTTAGGTAGCGTAAGACATGACTTACTCTTCTTCGTGCAGAGCACACGGTCGTCCTACAAAAGCAGAGACCAGCTTATCCATGATGACCAGCACCCTGGATTACACATTAGCTGGAGATGAGAAGATGACCTTGAGTTGAGCTGACCAAAATGCCCGTTTCCATAGCTCATCTTGCAGAGTCGGCTTGACAACCCTTGCTGTTTTACGGTGGGCTCCGACCTCTTGGGCGTATCGTAATCCCAGACCGACCATAATCTAGTAAATAAGGCCCCATTAATGTCAACCAGTACGGGGAGGGTTGATTAAATATTACCCAACATGCTTGAGGGTTCGAAGTTCCTTGATAGTACAAAGTGGCTAGCTAAGTGGAGAAGTCTTAATGTAGCGAAGTCCTGTTGGGCCGGAAATTACTTACGGAGTAAAACTGAAGCTCATACAGTGATGGCGCTTCGACGAAGGACTGGCGCATGGTGCGGATCTGGGAAAACCATTTCCAGCCGGTGGATAGCGCGGCTGGGTCTCCCTCGTCAAGGCAGCGGGGATCATCTAGGTAACGCGAGGCAACCGCGCATATGGCCAGCACTACCGAACCAAACCACTGATCTCGCGTATGCAGTTTCGCAGCAAGCTGCGCCTCGAATGTGGGCTTGTGTAGCAGTGGGATGACGAGGTTGATGATCACGAAGTACTTATCGACAAGAGCGTCGAGGAGATCCTGTTCGGGAAATTGAAATTGGATGGGGGGTAGCTTGTCCAGCTGTTCAAGCTGGATGTATAGTTAGTCTTTACGGCGTATTCAGCGGGGGACATGCACACTTACGGGAGGAGAGCGCCAGTATTCGGGCCGCTTACTAAAATCTTCTGTACCCAAGGATGGGGCAGACTCTGCATATTCCTGCTTTACGCCGATAGCCGTTCGCAAGAGCACGAAACTACTTGACTTGCCGAAGAAGCGTGAATCGGGGAGGATGTGTAGATCCTTCAGCTCATCCGCTAACGCATGAACATCGTCGGCGTCGTCGGCATTGGCATTCGCAGGGGAGTTGTGAGATGTAGAGGCGGGGGAAGGTGACATTGCGCTGAGTATGGCTTCAGTCCCACAGCCCGCGATCATTACACTTTCGGAGGGCTCTGTAAACACCCTGTTGGCGTCCGATGTGCCGGCACTAGATTCTGGGTCAAGCTATACGGCGTATATTCAATGTGAGCAAGGGCAATCGGGAAAGAGTGGGCGCAAACCTTCTGAAGCATGTGCTCTAGCTTCTTGACGCGTTGTTCGAGACTTTCGACGTATCTAAAGCAAACAGGATGGATGGTGAGCCAAGCGCGAGTTGTTATCTGATAATCTTGGCATACGATTGCGCGGGCGTCGACGGTTCGGAATTCCTCTTATGTATGTAATTTATACAATGTGAGTCAATGCAGCACTGGCACCGAACGCCGAAGGAACGCACTTTCTTTGATAAGTTATGGGTGCACTCTGAGTTGAAAGCAATGCAGTGGGAGCATCGATTTCCTGGCATGAGTGCGCTATCGCCTAGGTGCGGTTTCGTATCGGTGTCCGAAGAAATAACATATGGACCTACATTTTACTGTTCCGCAGGTCGTCAGAATGTGATCACTTGCAATGCAGCACACTAACTTCACTAACTTTTCTTATGGCGACAAGTGTCGCAAGCACCCTGAAGTCTGCGCCTCTTGGAGCCAGGCAGAGGCCCAAATGTCGATATTTCGTTTGTCTCAGAAGACATAGGAGGAGGGGGGAGTGAATCTACATCACGACGGTGATAACTACCCTATATTAGTAACTGTACTGCAATGGTGCGGCACGTGATGCGCCGAAGGGCTTCGTCACTGGGGTTGGATGGTTTCAATCAAGTTCGAGTCAGAAAAGCTTCAAGTCCTTGATGCGCACTGATTGGAGGTTTCATCCCAAGTCCCCTCCAAGCCCTCCCCAGCCTACACGACGCCGAGCGGGACAAAGAACAGACGCAAGTCACGCGATCGCGGAATGTTCCGGGTATGCGGGGGAGATCCATGCCGTACCGGAGATCCTTTAAATAGCGGCCGAACGAACGGATCTCGTCGAGCTACTCCTCGTCCTCATCGCGGCGGACGTTCTACTCAGACCCTTGCGCGACGTTTGTGCAGTAAAGCATCATGCTTTCTCGATCAGCATTGCCTAATGTGCGCGTTTGGCGCGTATCTAGGAACATTGCACACCGTGCCATCGCCCCATCAGCCCCATTCTCTTCTGTATCTTCCTCGTCCCGATATCGGCCATCGATAAGAGGGCCTTCAAATATCGCGGTATCACCCACCTTGTTCACTCGCAAAATGTCCGCGCACGGCGGAGAGTCTACGCTGCGACCTGAGCCCGACCAGGTGCTCCAGGACATCGCTGACTACGTCCACAACTACAAAATCGAGTCGGACCTTGCTTTTGAGACTGCCAGGCTGTGCTTGATTGACACCATTGGGTGCGGTCTTGAGGGTCTGAGGTTCCCCGAATGCACGAAACTCCTTGGTCCTGTTGTAGAGGGCACCGTTGTCCCGAATGGTGCGTCAATTGTACCCTCGGTTTTATGACCTTAATGAGATGATATATTCTTAGGAACGAAGGTTCCTGGCACAAACTACCAGCTCGACCCCGTTCGTGGAGCATTCAACATTGGCACAATCATCCGCTGGTTGGACTTCAATGACTGCTTCCTTGCCGCTGAATGTCAGTGTTGTATGGCACGTAGTTGAATTGTGGCTCACATCATATCCTAGGGGGACATCCTTCCGACAACTTGGGTGCCATCCTCGCCGTCGCCGACCACCTTGCTCGCCAGGGCCAACCCCTGACCGTTCGCGACATCCTCGAAGGCATGATCAAGGCGCACGAAATACAAGGAGGCCTCGCTCTCCTCAACTCCTTCAACCGTGTCGGCCTCGATCACGTCGTTCTCGTCAAAGTCGCTTCAACGGCCGTGGTGTCCAAGATGCTCGGGCTTGACCGCGATCAAACCATTGACGCCATCTCCCAGGCATGGGTCGACGGCCAATCTCTGCGTACGTACCGACACGCCCCCAACACAGGCCCCAGGAAATCGTGGGCTGCTGGCGACGCTTGCTCGCGTGCCGTAAACCTTGCTCTCCTCGTCAAGAAGGGTGAAAAAGGCTTGCCTTCCGTCCTGACGGCTAAGACATGGGGTTTCTACGATGTCCTGTTCAAGGGCAAGCCGTTCGAGTTCCAGCGTCCATACGGTTCATACATCATGGAGAACGTTTTGTTCAAGATCTCCTACCCCGCCGAGTTCCACGCTCAAACCGCCGTTGAAGCTGCGTACATCATCCACGACAAGCTAAAGGCCCTTGGCAAGACTTCCGACGACATTCAGAGCGTCAGGATCCGCACCCAGGAAGCCGCCGTCCGTATCATTGACAAGCAAGGACCCCTGGATAACTTCGCCGACCGAGAGTGAGAATTACCATCTACCCCCGAGTAACAATTAATCCAAACGCATTTATCTTAGCCACGCTATCAACTACATGGTTGCCTATCCCCTCATCTTCGGAGAACTGACTTCTGAAAGCTAGTAAGCTCTTTTTCTTGCCCTTCGGAGCTCAATCTAAAGTGTCTACGAAAGCACCGACGCTTCTGCCGCTGATCCCCGCATCGACGCCCTCCGTGCCAAGATTCACTGTGTAGAAGACAAACGCTTCAGCGTCGAATATCACGACCCCGAGAGGCGATCAATCGGCAACGCTCTCCTTGTCACACTCAATGACGGAACCGTCCTTGACGAAATTGAGGTGGAATACCCTGTTGGACACAAGAGGCGACGCGCTGAAGGTACCCCGTTGTTGATGAACAAGTTCAAGAGGCACATCTCGCATCACTTCGATGAAGCCCACCAAAAGAAGTGCGAACACCACATCTCATTTCTGCTCCACAACAATGTACTGATGATATTCCGTATAGGATCTTGGACACAGTCTCAGATGCTTCCTCTTTCTCTCAGCTCCCCGTCGACAAGTTCACTGATTTGTTCGTAAAGGCATAGAGGCGGACCGGTGTATTATTAACATTAGGTGGTAGACAGAAAACTTGCAAATTAAGAAAGCCAATATGAGTGCTATCGTGATTTACCCTCTCTGAACTTTAGGTCTTCTACGCTTCTTGTTTGGTAGGTTGGCTTTCTCGTTGGACGGGGTGATACGAGCGATGTCGTCCTTCTCCTGCACTAGAGGGTTGCTGGCATCACTGTTAGCACGAGTCCACGGTCCAAGTGGTTGCATGGACTGCGCCTTTGGGCGAAGATTATGATTGGGTGGTTGTGAGCGCCACGTCGTCTGACTGGGCCTAGGGGACTCCGGTATGTCCAAAAAATCGTCGGGCGTAGAAAAAGCGGGATGTAGATGAACCTTTCCCAGAGCTGGTGGGGTGGGTTCTTCCTCTTGTACAACGGACAAGCGTCGTTGCATTAAACGAGCAAAAGGGACGGAGCGAAGATGGCGGACATTCGAGGCAGACTTTACTTCCATTGAGCCTGGAGATTGGTATACCTGGTTGGGAGAGGAGAGTTGGCTGCGCGGGCCGTTGTTAGAGTGCAAGCTGCGCAAAGGAGGCATAGGAGAATTCGGAGGTGGCCTAGGTTGAATGGGTGACATGCCAGAATGGTTCATTCCAGGGTGGTAGGAGAGAGCATCCGTGGTACCAGTAGGCTTTTGTACGCGAAGGTTATGCTTGTGCTCAAAGGCTTGCTTGTAATAATCCGACAATGCGATGGAATGTGGGGTATCCATCTGGTTGTCCGAGGCGCGAGGACTTGTGATGCTTTGCAGTACAAATCGGCGTAGTTCTTCGGAGAGCTCGTCCACGACTGAGGGAAGTGGCTGCGAGGCTGGAGGTTGACGAAGGGGCTCGAAACCCAGCCTTGGTGTTCCGTATGTAGGGTCGAAGACTGAGACGTCAGGGGAACCAAACATCTCCAGGTACGAGGAAAACAGCGGGGTCCAGTTAGGAGAGGTAGTAACAGGAGTTCGCGAAGTAGCTTGATGATCCCAGGCCTTCTCAGACTCGCGCGCACCAGAATTATTCCTGACGTGTTGGAGATAGGCAGCCGCTGGATGGTCGCTTCGGTCCCGTTGAATCCCACTTGCAACGAGGAGAGGTAGCCCTTCCGGAACAAGATGCATTGTTGGAGGGCGCCTGCTAGTATTCGCCTCTGGAGTGTTGAAGCTCTGAAAACGGCCCGAGCCATCTTTGGAGATAGTCGGTTGAAAAGGTCGACTTTGTGATCCTGGCATAGAAAGGCCCAAGCCACGAAGACTATTTGCACGTTCGTGCCCGAAGCTAGGTTTGACTTCCTGGGCTCGCGTGACGCTATGTACTGACCTCAGGTTTGCAATGGCCGCTTGTTCTCTTGGATGATCACGGTGTTGGACGGTCGGAGGATTCCTCTCGGGAATGTGTTCCGCTCCCCGATCTTTAGAGTGGGTGTTTTCGGTGTCTAAACCCCAGATCATTCGAGGAATTTCAGTCCCTTTTTCAATTACAGTCCCTTCAGCTCCTCTAGCATATATTTGTATGTGCACTCAGCCTTTCCAACGAGAGGAGAGACGGTAAACGCACGAAGGACAGCGAGCATACGGCAAAGAAAGCGGGCCATGAAGCGCGGGAATTGGGCGGGGAGGAGAATTCGCCCAAGTGACCCAACCTGGACAATAGTCGGCTGTTAGTTCCTTGGAGCGAGTGCGTACTTCGTACCGTCTTCATCTTGAGTGGGTTGGAAGGCATATGGCTCCTGGCCCTGTCTTGCGCGTAAGAATGTGGCGGGTACTTGAAAATTAGGATTGCTAATTATGGTTACCGATTCGGGAGATGATGGAGGAGACGGGGTACGAGGAAGATCAAGGTTGCCACATGGAAAGCCACCAGAGCCTAGAGCGTCATCTTCGACTTCCTCAAAGGTAGACGTTGACATCTGCGAATACTCCCTCTCATGATTGAGCCTGTGAGACCTCGAAGATTGCCGCGCAGAAGATGCAGAGACGACGCGTCGAGTGGCTTCTACCGAGGCCTTTACAGAAACAGGTGGTGCAGTCTCCGGAAGAGATACGATCCGTCTTTCGTTGGGGTTCGATATTTGGGATGGTCGGTTGCACGGTAGTTGAGTGTACTTCTGGCGCCTTATTTCACGCGTTTCGTGGCCAGTATCCGCAAGAAAGTCGTGAACAGGGACATCAGAGTAGCTATATGCGCTTGGATTTGCTTCTATGAGGCCCGCAGAGGGTCTTTCGGTGTCGCAGGTTGGGTCTTCACCAGTTTGTTTCGACATCCTTTCGAGGAGAACGGGAACATCGTCTGTTTGAACACCTTGGCTGGAGTAAGACTTCATGGATGCCAGCACGACGCGAGGCAGGGAGGAAGGTGATGGTAGTGGTCCAAAGCCAAGATGCCTCGGAGGCCAGTGAAGCGATTGCATTCAACCTCTTTACGTAAGTAAGGTACAATGTATACAGAATATGTACAAATTATGAAGCTTATGAAGGTCAACTCTTCGCAAAGAAACTAGATATTTTCGACATCCCTTTCGTATTGGCTTTCTTGAGCTTTTCAACTCCAGTGGACCCTTTTGCGGATTTTCGTTTTTTGTCTTCCCCTGCCGTCTTTGTGCTCTTCTTAATCTTGTCGGCACTGTTCGCATCGGCCGCTGCGGATGCAAGGGTAGTATCTTGAAGGGTCTTGACATGGTTCTCCAGCGCAGATAATCTGGTTTTTAGTATGGAAAGTGAATAGAAAGTACGCGGTTGCCTTCGAAGTGAACACGCACTCATATGTAGCGAGGAGAGCAGCTTTGAGTGCTGGCGATATGTACTGACCCACAAGATCACAAGACGCTTGTATGCGTCCCTCTAAGTATTGTTCAAGTCGTATCCACGCATGTTAGCCTCATGTAGCCAACCACGCACCTTGCAGTAGATTCTCGTTCCCATCCTCCATTAAACCATTCTTCGCAAGTCCACGTATTATTGTCTTGTTGTGTTCAAACTCTCCCGACGAAAGCACAGTCGCCACCTTCTGCCGCAGAAACTCGATGGTCTTGGCTTGGGAATACCTGTAGACCGTGAGCTCCTCCGAGATCTCTACGCGTTTTCCATTATCTCGAACTTCCAAGTAGTAGCTCACTGACCCTTGACTTCACACACGCGGCTCATTGCACGCTTAGTACAATCCAGTTCGACGAAGCGCGTCAAGTCTTGTGCAGACACAACGGATGCAGACGCAGACTCGTTTGATGTAGATTGTGTCAACTTCGCGATAGCTTCTTCAAAGATATCGTCCGCCGGACGTAAAGGGCCGACATACGTACCCTCCTACTCAGAACTATATTAGAAACAGACCAACTACGAAGACGAGAATACCAACTGGTAGCGCAGCTTTAAGAACCCAGAGGAGCAGAAACGTTGGGTCTATCGGGGTCATCATTATCAACCTACCATCTGCCCCCTTGTTAGCGAGCAGACCGGAAAACACCAACAGATGGCCAACGAACCAGATAAAACCTCTTGATCAATGAACCATGACCTGGGATTGGGGGGCTCCACCGCCTGGACTTCTAGCAAACTCGACGTACCAACCCTTGCTGCATAAGGGAGGAACATGCTGGGTGATCCTAAAGCGCAACATCGTCAAGTCTACTCATGGGCCACAATACCACGACGATATACCTGTCCTAGGATGGGGAAGTCGAAAGAAGGCAAAATGTTCATCACCAGAGTTCGACGGTATAGGCAAAATATGGGCAAGCTCTGTCACACGTGTAAACTTGTGAGCGGGATACAGTGAAAAGAAGCATACCGACAGGCAATATCGAAACGCGAGACATGGAGGTGAGCACTGGGTGACACTCCCAGACCACGCGAATCAGCACGCGTTATTTAGGCTTGTTTACGCGAGAATTTCAGCTTACTTCCGCGAACATGTATTTGGCAATCAGTGAAAGATAATTCGTGTGGTATTTAGGCTGCGAGGGTAATGTACATGTATTTCATCTTTCATTCACAAGAGATCACCCGCATACGCAATTGCAAGTGAGTGGCGAACCTGAGCCGCCATTTGCTGGGCTGCTAGTTGGATTTGAACCTTGGCCAGATGCCGCACTGCCGCCAGAACCGTTTGCATTCGAGCCTTGCTGCCCAGAGCCAGCGCCACTACCGGTGCCACTACCAGACCCGTTTCCATTCGTGCCTTGGTCGCCGCTGCCTTGGTTGTCAGCAGCTGCATTAGCGAGATCGGCGCCGCTCAGTGGAAAGTTCGATGAATTGCCTGCGTTCCCAGCACCAGCCGCTGGGCCTCCGGAACCAGTCCCTTGATTTCCGCCGTTTGCGCCAGATGTCGAAGGACCACCTGTATTGCCAGGATCGCCGTTTGCGCCTCCAGAGCCATTCCCTTGGTTTCCGTTACTTGGGCCCGACGTCGAAGAACCGCCCGTATTCCCAGAACCACCGTCAGAACCGTTTCCTGTATTTCCGCCGTTTGAGCCCGACGTCGGAGGGTCGCCACTACTTGGTCCCGAGGGGGCGTCTTGAGTGGGTCCAGGGAGAGTAGGCGTTTGAGGCACATTAATAACTACGCCTGCTCCAGCTACGCCATTGGACTGAGGCCCGAGTGCTACAAGTTGGTCGCCACCAAACTTGAGACCAACGCCGACAGGCTGAGGTTTGCCATCATCGTAGTTCGTCGTGACCTCAGTAGGTTGTGAACCATTGGGTGAGTCCCCAACGGATCCCGATTCCTTGGTATTCGGCGAGTATCCAGTGGCGGCAATGATACCAGTCGATGAGTTGGGAGTATCGCCGGAAGATGTAGACCCAGAAGGGGAGTTGGGGCCTGAGCGGGTGTCGCCAGTTGTGGAACCTGAGTCAGAATTAGGGTCCGACGCGGTTGTGGGCCCGCCTGAGCAGCAAATGCTGAAAGATTCGGGCGGTGGCTCGGAGTTGCCTGTAGCGCAGTTGATAGTCCTGCATAGTTCCAGCGATCCCTGGCAGTAAGTCAGCGTCCGCTTAATCAATGGCCGCCAAAAGATATGGTAGACTCACGTCATCGCGTTCGACGAGAGCGTCGTCTGTAGAGACAGGTTTAGCAAGAACCTGCGTGAAACTGCCAAAGGCGATGGCCAAGAAGATCAAATGAGTGAAAGGCGCCATGGCGGTTTGAAAGATTCGAGATAGTAAAGAGTGTGGGGGGCTGGTTGAGGTAGCTGTTCTGGTAGGGTTGTGGTATGAGATTAAGAGAGGTAGCAAGCAAATTGGGGTTTTTATACATCCGTCCGTGCACACGATCTCTCCCCGCCGCTTGGTCAGCATCTAAATCATTATTGATACAGTCATAATAAATGTGCATGATGATCTACAACAGTGAATGAGTCTCTAATAGAAGTACTATGCCTGCGAAGCCAAGCTTTAGTTCTGGCACAAAGAACGATGATAGGTTGAACTTACTATGTACTATCTCTGGTACGCTTTGTTTCGTCACGTCGACAACTAGATCAGGACGACTTGGTGTCTCATATTCTTCATCCACGCCAACAAAGCCTTTGATCTCTCCACGGCGGGCTTGCGCATATAGGCCCTTACGATCAGTCTTTTCGCAATATTCCAAAGGAGTGGCAACATGGACCAAAAAGAAATTGCCACCAGCGCCGCCAGAATGTACAATTGTCTGTCGGGCCGCTTCTCGCGAGTGCTCGAGTGGCGCGACAGGTGCTGCAATGACAGCAGCGCCCGCTCTCGTCAGTTCGCCGGCTACAAAGGCGATGCGTTGTATATGCTGATGTCTGTCTTCAGCGGTCAATCCGAGTTCTGGAAGTCAAGGTCAGCAGCGTATGAAGCAACGCGGAACCTGATCGTACCGGGAGAAAGGTCATGGGACACCGTGTCGCCCTGCAAGAGAGAGACGCTTCGACCTCCTTGCTCATTCAGAGTGACCTGCAAAGCCTTTGCAAGCTTGTCCTTTCCGGAGTTATGAAGTCCTGTCAAGAATAGCACGAAGCCTTGCTTCGATCTCGGAGGGTAGCTTTCTCGTAGCGTCCGAACCACGGCACTGGAGGCAACGTCATGTCGTGAAACTAGCGTGATGAACCACTTGGAACTCACTCGTAACTGAACCAATCCGGAATCGCTGCGCCAGTCTTCAATCGCCGTCTTAGCTCCGTCCCTGATATATCAAGCGTCTGGACGCCCTTCGGTACTTCGTCGATGGGTTGGTATTCATCCGAGGAGGGAAGGTACGTCATTTGCTGGAAAGGTACCATCTCGATTCCAAGCTCGCTTTGATATCGGGTTACGAGATCCTGCGCATCGTATGGCCCATAGAAGTCTTTTCCCTGCGAGTTTTTTCCGGGGCCAGCATGGTCTCTTCCAACGATGAAATGGGTAGCACCGTAGTTCTTACGGATAATTGCGTGCCAAACAGCTTCGCGGGGACCGGCCATCCGCATAGCCTAAGGGCGTGTCAGCTTGCGGTCATTGGGGATATCTCTTAACACACCAAAGGAAGAAGAGCCAGATGACCCATGCCGTTAGGATATTTTGCCATGATGGCTTCGTAAACCCGAACGCGCGTGTAGTGGTCTACATCACCAGGCTTCGTAAGTCCTACCACTGGGTGGATGAGAACATTCTGTACGGTTTATCAGCAAGGCACTGAAGACGAAGTACACAAGGTATATTTACTGCTTGGCGCTGGCGTGCCGCACGAACGGTGAGTTCTCTGTGTGCGCGATGCATCGGATTCCGTGTTTGGAATGCTACTACTTTCCGCCAAGCCAATTTCTTGAAATGAGCACGTAGTTCCGAAGGTGTGTCTGAACAAATTAAGATAGATGACAAGCACATCAAAGCTGACACTCACATCGAAGAGCGACATAGTCAAAGTGCGTGGGGGATTGAATCGCCTGAAGTCTACCACCGACGTAATACTCTTTTACTCGCTGACGAAGATAAGAAACAGCTGGATGGGCAGGATCATCGGCGCCAAATATCTGGATAGCTTCCTTTACTTGATCAGGCTTGTAAACGTCCTCCACTATTTCGCAAGTTAGCTGGGTTGACTATGGGTTAACTGACTTCGAATGCACCAGTAATAATGGCCAACGCCTCGTCGTCCCGTGGGTCTCGTAGGGCAATTCGTGCTCCCGGGTTTATCGAAAGACGGTCAATATCTTCTTTGGTAACATCTAGTGTTATGGGCATGGGAAAGAGGGTGCCGTCGGCTAGTCGCAATGTATCAACCACACTGTACAGGGAGATAAGCTGGGAGTTCTGAGTATCATGAATCCATACCTATCATAATCCTTCTGTGTCATGAAACCTTCTACAGGGCTGAATCCACCGTTGATTATGAGTTCTAGATCACATAGTTGGCGCTGTGTAGTAGTTCGTCAGAACGGAAACTTCTGGCTTGAAGTAACTCGCGTACCTCCGTCAAAATTATCTCGGGCAGAGTATCCGCTTCTTCTCGAAGCTGTGCAGAAATGTTCTCATCTCGAGCAACGAGGTCCTAAAATGCATCGGTTGAGCAATCGCGGCCGCGCAGCCAGGGACTGGGAGTACTTGCCTTGAGGACGCCACCATGGGGTTGATTGGCCATTAATTGACTAGGGGATGCGAGGGGATGCAAATGCAGCTTGTTCAGTCAGTCCTCTCGAGGCTTGCTGATATCTAAATGGTATACAACGCCAACTCATTATGTCGCGTTCGATGGTCAGGATCACGCAATCCCTCTGAGAGGTAAAAAGAGAATCTATAAATTTATCCCCATTTATTTATTAGCCCCACAAAGTAACAGTTACGTAACCTAATTCGTGACACCTCCGACGCCACTGAGCTTGCCTGCCATCAACTTGAAATTGGACACTCCGTCTTTGAAGTTTGAGCTGAAGTTGTGCAAACTGAATCACTATCAACCAAGTAACTTCTTTCGCTTCCCTCAAGGCCACTGATGCGAATCTCTACCATTCGAGTCTTCAAAGCAAAGTCCTTCAGGCTTTCAGCCAAGGGATCGCACCGTTCACGGGGTCAACGTGTCAACCAAGTCCCATCACTGTGAAGCAATGATGAAGTGCACAATTACTTCTGCACCTCCGTGGGCAGCGGCCGTTGCTAATCTTCTCCACATGCACACCTTAGGACTAAGTTGACACCGAGAATTAGGCTTACGGCTGGATACATCTGACACGCATCCGACGTTGAATGCTTGAAGTGCATCTAAACTTGTGCTAGCTGTATCACACCGCCGAGTGTACTTTTCCCGCACACAACGCCGATAATTCTTCGAGCCTGAATGCTTCCCAGTCCAACCAAGTTGACGGGTTTCAGAGATGCTATTTTGGTTTCTGCGAGGGTAGCTATGGTACATAATGTATGCAAAACAATCATATAAAGCACGATAAATATGAACTACCCTAAGAACTAATATGAATGGATAACGAATATGAACGTCAACGTCTAGTCCGCGTTATTGTTCTCTCACGAAAACGTAGGGAGACGGGGCTCATCGAGGAGGAAGCTACAAGGTTACTCTGCCCAGGCGTCCGGGGTTTCAGCCGCGAGCCCCAGCCTACCCATCCAAATATCCGATTTGACGACTTATGGTCGTATTCGTAGCGAAAATCTCTGTGCAAGCCGGCGGGATCGTACCACGAATCGACTTGTTCTTCGATCACGGTTGCCTGTGATAGTTTGGTCTGCATGTCGAATGTGCCTTCATATCTAGCATCGACGGTGATATTCGATGCTCCCAAATTATTCTGAACGGCCATATTCAGCGGAGCGACTGGCGTCGAGGAGTCGTAATCGATATCTATATTGATGGGGGCGTCGAATGTTTTCACGTAGGCAGTGAAATTAGGCTGCGGGTTGGATAGGACAGAACGCTTCAGTGGGGAGGACAATAATAGCTTCGCCCGGATATCGCTAGATAGGTCGCATGAGCACCAGGGGGCACATCATTTGTTGTAAGTCATACCCATTTCCGGAATCAATAGACACGAACGTCGGTGAATCGTTACTTGAATCATGCACCATGGAGATATTTGTATTAACGGTACTTCAAAAATAGTCAGACCCGCATCAAGTTAAGGCCGTTGCACTTACCCGCCTACGTTGTCTAGATGCAACGACCGAGTGATATTGAAAGTTCCTATGATAGGAGATAATGAATTCTTCACAACCATGTTCTGCGCCATCAATGACTATCAAAAGCGAAATGTTACGATTGCATAAAATGAAGAGGATGCGAGACGCAACGCACCTTGAAACTGATGCTGGCTTGAGCGCCTTCGATATTCATCTGTGTGAAGCGGTAGCTGTCCATCCTCCAGAAAATTTGCTCGATGCCAGGGAGGTAAGTGGCCAGTTTAGTAACTTTCAGTCCAGCCGAAGGCCGAGGAAGTAATAGTTGTATATCGAGACTGAGAGTGTCACCGATAGTAAGGTTTGTTGGAATCTAAAACCAAATTCGGTCACAGGCTTTGCGGAAGGGGGTAATACATACATAAATGACAACACCTCGATCCGCTCCTACTTGCTGGAAGCAGACATGAACGTTCTCCCTGACGGAGCGGCTGGATGTATGGAGGGAGACGTTGAAAAGGGCCTGGGTTTGCCTGGGATTAGAATTGAAGGCAACATTGAGAGATCCTCCAGCGGTTAGTTCAGGCAAGGAATTTGAGTAGAGAGTGGTAAGTCGCATGGATATTGATCCGGTTGCAGGGAGACTGTATTTTGCGCTGCACGGAAGATCTGAGTAAAGGGACAACGGAGAGCCGAAGGCAAGACATACGTAGTGAGAGACAGGTTACCCGATACGGGCGCATCTACCAAAGTCCAGTGATCGCACGTTGCGTTCTCACTATGGACAAGAACCCCGTTCTCTAGGTAGAGCGGAGAGTCATGTGGCTCGTCATCCAGCCATGAGAGTGCCAGTGGTGATATTTGCATGGCGTTCTGGGCGGACCGCTTGAAGACCTTCTGTAATCCGAAGAATCCTGGTTAGATCAAAGTAAATAATCTACTGGGCGCTGGGGGCCGCTCACAAGTACGAGGAGGGGTACACCAATCGCCAGAGTGAGAACAACGTATAGAATCATGACATAGAACATGATCCTCCAAAACCTGGACGGTATCCATTGTCTGACGGAGGCCCTCTTGTAGCGGTGAATAGAATTCGCGGACGATGAGGGGCTTCTGAGGAGATGGAGAGCCTCCAATTCGATGGCTTGAGATGTTTCGTAGTCGGGGAGAACGAGTGAAGGTGTGCTACCACCAAAGACTCTGTCGGGTCGGCGGACAGTGGGACCAGCGACAGGAGCCAAGCTTGATTTTGCATCCTGAGGGTCTTGACTGTCAAGGACAATCATGTCACAGAGCACAGAGAAGAGCCCGATGTCGCTGGAAGGTCATGAAATCTTCTGGTAGAGATGAAGCCAAGTGTCGAGTTTCGACGACGATGCAGTGTGAGAAATCTTGCTTGCATAATCGGCAGCTTGGTGACGGGCGCCTAATGTAGCCGCAACCGCTCTCGCGATGCTCTCGTTCCCAGTCGCTAAATGGCAGAAGCTCAATCCAGCCGTATCCAGAAGAAAGGAAATTGCGCAATTCAACTCATGCGCGTCTCTGATCGTACCGAGGCTATATCTTGCCGACTACCGCACCGCTAGTGATGGTGACGAGTTGGGGAGACTGGGTATAACACACATCATCTCCGTTATCGACTTCGCACCTGTCTTCCCGGACTGCATAGACAGAAATAACATATTGCACATACCTGTCGCGGACAAATCAGAAGTCCGGATCCTTCCCTTTCTCTCACAAACCACACAGTTCATCCGGGACGCCTTGGAGCAGGATGCCGCAAACAAAGTTTTGGTAAGCCGGTGGTCATGTACCATCAAGCATTGCAGATGACTGAGATATAAATACAATAGGTACATTGCGTCCAGGGCATAAGCAGGAGCGCAACAGTCGTGTGCGCTTATTTGATGGCGACGAAGAATATGTTGGCCCCAAAGTCAATCCTCTATGTCCAGGAGCGGCGTAAAATAGTTTGCCCAAATCTTGGCTTTCGCCTGCAACTGGAAGAATACGAGGCTGACCTCATTAAAGGAGGAGTAATGTCATCGAAGGGTGTGGCCAGCTCCTGGAGATCGTTGAGTTCGAGTATATCCTCCCTGATGTTGCGGACTGGAACAAAGGATTGAGCGTATTGCCGTATTGTGTCGTTTGCTTATTATTTATTCCCGTAATCCCCGTAATGCACACTATGGAAGCTAGAAATCCGGGTTGAGGTCCAAATCAAAGTCGAAGGTTGCCTGTGGAGCTGTCGGACGCGTCTCGCGTCGATAGGGATTGATGCCGTGACCGGGTAACTGGCTATCAGGTAGGCCAGGTGTCGTGGTTTGTGCTATGGTGATCGCCGTTAGCTTGATACGACCAAGAAGGACATTGAACGTACCCTTTCCTACTGAATGCACTTCGCCCAGTAATGCCAACGGTGCCTCAGCGTTAAGACGACCTCGACGCATTTTCTCCTCATTCGGGAATGGGGGGAAGAACAGGGGTTGAGGTTCCTGTCCGTACAGATTACTGTTGTCGTCTGGGAGATTGGGAGGCGCTGCGGTGAATGCACTCAGGCGTTGGGCATAAGCCAACAGTTCGGGATATGGTACGCTCGCTTCCTTGGAGTTAGCATGGAATAGTCAGCGTACACATATCTTCTTACCAGAAGAGGCCTGCTCGATGGCTTTGATTCTCTCCTCGCTATCTTCAAGCAACACCTCAAGATCTCTCTTTCCGAGCTCTAACTCCATACAAATATCCTTCCACCGTACATCCATGTCTGCGATTTCGGCTGTCAAAGCTTCTATGCGGGCTTGCTTGAACTGATGCAGGCGTGCAACATCGATAGCGGACGATATAGCTTCATCGCAAGCAAGGACGGCTGATAGAGGCGGCGGCGGCGGCGGTTTCGTATGTGGTGGCCCCAGAGACAAGAACAACGCTTGTGAGATGGCCTCGAGTTCGTTCAGAGGTGCCAGAAGTATTGATGATGTTGAGTCGTATTGATGGGTCGGCTGAGGGGTCGGAAGATATGGGAATGGTGGTGGTTGAGACATGAGCTTGGCTTCAAATGACGCGACTTCCGTAAGGTTGGCGCATTGTTGTACACTGATTTGTCACTTGCAAGTCGTGCAACGTTGTCTTTGAATTCCTATCTCCAGAAGATACAACCAAGATGTGCTACATATACATGTCCTACTCAAAGTTCGACATAATTAGGATTAGTCGGTCCGCCCTCTTTGCCCGACGTTTTAAATAGTGAACGAAGTGTCCGAGAGCTCTCCTCCCAGATCTCCAATACCACGGAACCACAGCGACTGATGCTATCGGTACAGATCTCCATGAGACTGGAAAGACCTAGCCGTAACCCTTCTAGCAAGGTGCTAGGCTGCGACTGACCGGCCAAGGGAGATGGACGTGGCTGAAATGGTGAGTAGGTCGGTGTCATTTTCTAAAGCACATGGAAGACTCACAACTCGTTGCCCCGTTTCTGTTTCTGCAACAGAGTCCGTGTCCCGATCTTTCCACAGTCGGCGGAACTCCTCAACGGCGTCCAAGCTCTCGCTGAATCTGTACAAGGTATTGAATAAGGCCACGACTTCAGCACGCTGGAGTAAGTTCGCATTGGTATGTGGGCTGTGAGAGTGTTAGATATGCCAAGTCACATCTGAGAGAAAACTTACTTGAGGGCCTTCTCATCAAGCTCAAACAGGATCTTCAATGCGGTAGCAAGGCCCGTTGTTTGCACCTTTCCCCAGAGCCGGCATTTGTCACATCCGATGCAATCCATTATCCGGGTGACATTACGGAAGTGGACCTTAAACTCTTCCTTGACCATCTAGGAAGCATTCCATGAGGTACGGGAAATAGGCAGTGTGAAATGCCTTACGTTGGCGTTTTCTCCGCGGAAGAGGACGGTCTCGTCGAACTTCCCAGCGACTTTCGCAATATCTATTATGTTGTTAAGCCGTGAGAGCGTCTCTGAGTCTTCTTCATGCGTGCCCGTCGAGCAGTAATCGTAGGCAGAAAGATACGGGGAAATGCGAGCGACGGCACGCAAGAGGAGTACTGTGTTGAAGTAGATGTAACGTAAACGTTCTGGATGTGACGCTACTCTTTGAATGAAGCAGGGTAAATTAGGGTACTAGAAGGCGTGGTAAGTTCGCTGTAGATATGACGGATAAATAGTACTGACCCACTCCCCAGTGGATTGATTAAAGTATTCATGGCAGATATGGGTAGATATTGAGGCATGTAACCCTGAAGACATGCGTTAGGAGGCGGACACGCACGTATAGATAGATGCACACCTGAAATAACTTTGTAGTACACACGTTTCTCTAGGCATTGTTCATCAGGCTCTTGACCATCTTCTCTTAGAGCTCCAGTCATGTCCTCGGGGAGGCTGACAGGAGCGGACGACTTTGACGCCAGAAGATTGAACTCAGAAAGTCCAAAACAGTTCTCTTGGTATATTGCTTTCCACACATTGTTTGCGGATGTTCCAGCATATCCAGTAAACCGTTCAGGGACAAGGGAGAGGTCGAAGTAATCGCCTTCTGTGTTATCGTCTAAGAAGCAGAAGTCTGAATCGCGGTAATAGCAGCCGGGCAATTGGTGCTTCTATTGGCTGTAGTTAGATTCGCATATTACAATGGACGCACAAAGTAACGTACCTTGTCTACGGACGAGGGATCGATTCGACTGAGAGCAGCGGCTCGCCACCTCTCTGGCACCTCGCTCTAGTGGAAGGTCGCCCACGTAAGTTGGACGGTAACAATGTGAGACGGAAGAAGGGGCGTACCTCGTCTACTGTAGTTATAGCACATTGGATGTCCTTGCATGATCCTGGTACCTCCCAAAATGGACATTCCCGATAGAGGTCAACCTAGAAGCAGGATATAGCCTCTGTCCAAGCGTACAGGAGATAGAACTATACCTGAAAGTATTTGAAGAATGGAAGCCTGACCAGCTCCTTCAGATTCGCAAATAAATCCACATTGACGCTTTCTACGGTTTCGTAGTCACACGAAGTGGTTTCTATTGGGCCTGTCGGCTGAGGAGGCAATATGATAAATTAGAGTGGAGGGGTAAATGTGAAGGAAACGCACTGGTGCACCACAAACTGGGACCTTCGTTGTCGTTTGATGCTCTAGTACTTCCTGAACCTGACCTTCGCGAACTAGTGTATTAGAGAGGAATGAGCCCGAGGCGGAAACGAGTGTGGGATACGCGTTGAAGAGAATTGCGAGAAGCGTTGATCTGCAGAGCGTATGAGACGACAGCATTGCTGCCGGTTGTCAGATTCGATGGATGGATGAGTGTTAGGGGAGAAGAGTTTCACGAAACATGCCAGCGTCCACGTCGACGTATATAATGCTCATTACAGAGAAGCGCGTCACGTGAGCGGAAGGTCTGGTACCCTCTCGGGCATCTAGCCAGTGGTTGTAGTGCCATTTGGCCAAAAGTTGGCCATCTGGATGCGATTCCAGATTCACAGCATTGAAGAGACTTGCAATGCTGAGTTGTCGACCTTGCATTTTTAGACGGACGTTTGATTGAAGTCAATTTGTCGTAAAATCCACCACGCAACCACCACGTATATTGAGCGGATAAACTCGCACGCCTGAAATATTTATGTGATAGACGAACAGGCGCCGCAAGCTTCCATCAAACCACCAACCTTCATACCCTTTTCTTGTTTCTTGAGTGCGACGACACTTCTTGCGCGTCGCACAGGTTATTTCATCCGTCAAGGCTAATCGACCAAAGGACATCGAGCAATGGCCACACCACTTTCGGCAGCAGATCTTCAGGTGTGTCCGAATGCCCACGAGTGCATGCTCAGGAAAGCTGGAACTTTTTGTGTAGAAGAAGCACAACTTGGAAGGAGCTCCGGATCCTTTCCCTTCTCTGAACGACACCCCGGTTAAAGTTTCTTCGTCGACACCAGTGCCTTCGAGGCAAGAGTTGGACACCAACTCCCACACGGCCTTTCCTTCGCTTTCGAATGGCTCACCTGCCGCCAATGGCACGCCGAAGGCAGCATGGGGCAATGGACCGCGCATCAAGCCCACTGCTGTAAAGCCCACTGGCGTTACAGAGACATTCACGTTAGGTGCTTTGGACTTATCCCCCGGGAAGGACGGCAAGCCCGCTACCCTTGGAGAGATCATGAAACAGGTCATGGCCAAGTACAAAGTCAAACTCGAAGCCTCCGGGAACCAAAAGAGTCGGCAAACTACGTTCCAGATCAAGGCAGACACGCAGAAAGATCTTGACAAGGCAAAGCGTAGCCTCATCGCGCTCCTTAGCCCCATCGTGAGCAACCGTTATTATTTCTCTTCCTTTTGTGTTAACACAGTTGTAGACGACTCGTATTCTTCAAGCACCTGCTTCCACCATTGCTACTATTATTGGACCCAAAGGTCAGATCGGTGTTCTTCCACTTATGTCCACTTCCTCACGTGCATTTCTAGGAGCAACATTGAAACAAATTCGTGACCAGACCGGTGTCAGGGTTGACATTCCTCCCAAGGATTCTTTGGTTCCTCCCAGTGCGAACGGTGGAGCCAGCGGTGCTTCTTCAGGCAAGGCTACGCCTATTCAAGGCGACGAAGATGAGGAGCCAATGATACCAATTACGCTCACTGGGTCTGAGTCTTTGGTAGACGAGGCGCAAGCATTGCTGAACCAGATCATCTCCCAGAAGACCTCCAAGTCTACTCAGCGCGTTCGTGACATTCCGGAACACATCTTGCCTTTCGTCATTGCCCGAAGGCCTGCCTTCCTTGCTGTTGCTGAGGGTGGGGATGTTCAACTTCAACTCAACCAGGCTGCCTCCGAGATCACGGTTTCTGGCGATCGAGAGGTGGTCACACGAGTTATCGAATCTATCAAGGCCACTATCGAAGGTTTCAAAGCCAGTCTCACCCACATCAAGTATCCTCTACCTAAGCGTCAGCACCGTTTGCTACTAGGAAAGTCTGGCGAAGAGATTATGGCTAAGAGCAAGTGCGCGGTCGTCGTCCCTAAACCTGATGATCCTACGGAAGACATTGTCATCTGGGGTGCTCCGATTGATCTTGGAGGTGCTGTCGGTGCTGTCATCACTCAGGCTAACTCGCAACATATCGAGGAAGTACCTATCCCCGGGTCAATCGACTTGGCGAAACGATTGGTTACTTACCTCACACGCATTCAATACGTTAAATCTCTTACGGCAGAGCACCCTGCGGTTAATGTTTATTTGCCCACGACGGCTGCTGCTGAGAAGGCGCAGAAGTTGACTGTCGACGTTGTCGGTGACAAGGCTGCCGTCGAACCCGTTGCGTCTAAGATCCTAGCATTCTTTGTCACCCTTAGCGACGCTACTACTGTTGTACCTGTCGACTTCCTTGTTCACCGTGCGCTTCAAGGCAAGAATGCTAAGAGGCATGTTCTTCATGTATTACACACCACTGAATACTGACCTTCGATCGCAGATGGAAGCAACTTTACGAGGCGCATAACGTCAATGTCTACTTCCCTAACGAATCGGCAGAGGACTCTAATGTCTTCCTGGTCTATGATACTTTTTCCCCTTCAGCGTCGGCGTCGTCTGCTGACAAGAAGAAGCACTTGGATGAGGTCTCTCAAGAAATCTCCAAACTTGCCAAGGAAGTTGCCGATGTCAAGAGCGAGACCATCTCTGTCGACAAGAAGTGGCACGATGCTGTTGCCGGTCCTAACGGCACTACACTTAACGCGTAAGTGACTCTTGGCTCTACTAACCGTTCGCCATGTCTAACGTACATCTAGGATTATCGGCGAGGACAAGGCATTGTCGATCAAGATCGGTGCGGAGGCTGGAGATCCCACTTCTCAAGACGTTATCAAGGTCCGCGGCACCAGCTCTGATGTCTCCTCTGCTATCAAGAAGATCCTCGAGATAGTTGAGAAGGCTAAGAACGACGAAATCGAGAGCAGCTACGTAAGTAGTCTCCCCTGTCAACATCTTTATTGCTGAATATTCCGTAGTCCACCACTTTCGAAATCGACAGGGAATATGTTGGTCGTATCGTTGGCTCTCAAGGCTCAGGCATCAACAAACTGCGCGATCAGCTTGGCGTCAAAGTCGATGTTTCGGACGAACCTGACAACCAGGATAAGGACGGCGGCAAGAAGAAGAAAGCCCTTCACCAGAAATCCAAGGTCACGGTAAGCTCATTCCCATCCCGCTCAGTATTTCAGCCACCATAATAGTGTACCAGATTGTCGGGCGCAAGGAGAATGCTGAAGAGGCCAAGAAACGGATCCAGGCTCATGTCGACAGAATGGTAGTTCTAACCGTCCCCCTGTCGTCTACTTGGCTGATTTTCTTCTAGGCCGATGAAACGTCTGAGATTCTAAAGATTCCTGCTCAGTTTCACCCTTCGCTCATTGGTCAAAGTGGCAAGTATGCTATCCGGCTGGAAGACAAGTACTCTGTCAAGATCACTTTCCCTCGCTCGACACCTGACAACGGTGAAGGTCGGACTCGTGAACAGCTGAAGGCCGACGAAGTCTTGGTCAAGGGTGGTAGGAAGGGTGTTGCCAGCGCGAAGCAAGAGCTCCTTGATGTAAGTCTCAACCGTATCTGTGGGTCCGCTTAATTAATTCAAACGCAACACAGGCTTTGCAATTCGAAAAGGAAGCGAACGAGGTCATCAAATTCAGCGTCCCCAACCGCGCAGTAGCTCGTATCCTTGGTCGTGGTGGCGCTACCGTTAATGAGATCAAGAACAACACCGGCGCCGCCATCGATGTAGTGAAGGGATCCGACGCTGACTCGAATACCACGATCACTCTTCGCGGAACCAGTGTAGCCATCAATGAAGCCAAGGCAGCTATTTTGGAAATCTCGAACTCGGTCGTCGAGGAGGTTACGGAGACGGTCAACATCGAAACCAAGTTCCACCGCACCATCATTGGCGCTGGTGGTCAAGGCTTGAAGGAACTTATTGCTCGCTGCGGTGGTCCTTCCGACCAAAAGGCACAGGCTGGTCTTATTCGTTTGTGAGTCGCTGCCACTGTTATTCGAGTAACATATACTCACCGTGTTGTCCGCAGCCCCCGCCCTGGAGAACCATCCGACGACGTCGTGCTGCGCGGCGAAGCGAAATTGGTACAGAAGCTCAAGGCTGAAGTCGAAAAGGTCGCTGCAGAGCTTCGTGATCGGGTTGTACTTGGAGTCGATATTCCCGCGATGCAGCATCGGGCAATGATTGGGCGAGGCGGACAACATCTGAACGAGCTTCAAGAGCGTACTCATACCCAAGTTCAGTTCCCTGGATCCCGCTCTTACAACCAAGTTGGAGACCCGGAGAATGTCGAAGAACTCAAGGATGCGGACCCCGCTAACATCATCAAGGTCTCCGGTCCTCGCGCCGCCTGTCTCAATGCCATTGAGAGCCTGAAGGTATGATACAAAAGATGACGATGTCCATCATGTTTTCTGACGCGTCACTAGGCGCAAGTAAAACCCCCTCCAGCTGCAGCCATCACGGACACCGTCGAAGTACCTTTGAAGTATCACCACGCCATCTCTCAGCAAGGACAATTCTTCCGTACACTCCGCTCCTTTGGTGTTCAGATTGATCAGTCGGCCCATCCTCAGAAATCGGCAATTCCCACTCGCCCTGAAGCTACTCCCGCCCCTACGGCTCGTATCGATGAAGTTGAGGAGGACGTAGAAACGGGTGTTCAATGGGAAGTCATTCCGAATTACCAGGACGCCGAAGAAGGCAACTCGATTTGGACTCTAAAAGCTCATGATCAAGCTGGACTGGAGCAGGCATTGAAATCGATCGCAGATGCTATAGCCCAGGCCGAAAGGATGACTCATGTTGGTTTCTTGACATTGCCCAACCGTTCCAGTTTCCCCAAAATTGTTGGCACCAAAGGCTCAAACGTCTCTCGCCTCCGCGTTGACACTGGCGCGGATATCACTGTCAGCCGTGACACGAATACTATTGTCATCATTGGTATGTATTTTGGGCTTCCTTCGTCCTACTTACTAATTCAAGCGTCTAGGTGCCGAAGCTGATATCCTTGCTGCAAAAGATGCTATCCTCAATATTGCCTCTAACCCAGGACGTGGTCAGCGCCGCAACCGCGATTAGCATGCTGTATCTTACAAAATGGTAGTTTACATCGGTGCACATTTAACGGAAAGGATAACATTTTCAATGCTCCATCTTGTTTTCACAAAAGGATCAAATTAATTTGCATGGGTAACTGAGTATTCGGTATGTAGGCCATGTATTCGAAATCGTTAATAAGCCATGCCGTCAACCTCCTCCCCACCGCCAGATTCAAGGGGCACGCCGTCCAAGTCGTCATCTTCCATGGGAGCACCGTCAACATCATCTTCTATCGGAGCACCGTCAACATCGTCCAATGGTATGCCATCCACATCCTCCTCTGGTATTGGTTCACCGTCTACATCAACCGGCTCACCATCCACATCACTCCCCTGATCCATTGGTTCCCCATCCGATTCATGGGCTGGGATCTCGACAGCTGCAGCTGGCTGGAAGGTACTAGGTTTGAAGCGAGAGGTAAACGCCGTATCTTCCCGCGGAGTCTCGACGGTAGATTCCTCGACATCGAGAGGAGTCTCTTCTATAGCAGCCCCCTCCAATCTTTGCCTCAGTTCGGAGGTAAACTCAGGCGGAAAGACGATCCAGTCCTCCCAAACGTCCACCACAGACGTTATCTGCTTTTTGAACGTTTCTGCAGTTATACGACCGGGGAAAGAATGATAAATGTTCGCCAGATGATCAAATACAATCCCCAAGCGTGATTGGAATTCCTGTCGAAATCTCCATGCACTGGGAACAGATGCCGCTGAATTGTGTAGAATGTCACAAATAAGATGCAGTCGAGCCATCTTCCTAGGGACTGGTGTCGAGTCCACCAGCAAAGAGGCGATGATTATCTCTGACACCTAATCCAACCGTTGAATATGCATACCAACTATTTGAAAGTTGGCTTACTTCAGAGGCAGCTTCGGCATGCTCGAGGCTGAAAGCCATACACCTTGCCAATTCGCCACGTCTTCCTGACATGGCGCGAAGCATAGCCTCGAATCTCTTGCGAGCAAGCTTGCCAAGTGCTATTTTGCGAGTGTGTTCACGTTCGGACTCTTCTGCGGAGTCAGTGGAATACACCGAGTTATATCCCTAGTATGCGAGTCAGAATGTTTTGCAACGCTCCGATTGATTACCCACGTCGTCATCGAACTCGGGGGCTTGTGTTCTGGTACTTTCGACCAAGCCTTTATACAACGCATGCCTGCGATTCTTCAAAAGGGTCAGCCCGATTCAACTTGGTTGTAAGGAGGCTTACACGTCGGTTGGTAAGGAAGCTGTACTTGGGGTTGTTAAGTTCTCGCTCCTTCAGACTACTCTCATATTTTGCTCCGTGGCCCTTGACCTCGGCAGCGACTGCGCGGATAAAGGTTTCAGTCACTGCCTCTTCTTCTGGTGTCCGCCGACCCGCATCAATAGGTGAACGATCGCGACGACGTGGGGATCGACTGCGAGAATGAGAATATTTCCTGCGCCCATGGGACCGATGACCGGGAGATCTACTGCGTGATCGAGATCTGCTTCTTGACCAGGAGCGGCTATGACGGCTATGTCGAGTGCGAGAATGACTACCGCTGCGGCTTCTAGCCGGACTAGGGCTTCTACTGCCATCGTGCCTTCCTCTGTTCCCGGAGACAACTTCCAAACACAATAAGGTCATTCACCCTACACCAGAGCCATAGTTTTTCCGTACCATACATAGGTTTAGCGGCCATCGGGACGGCCTTACTCCATCCGACGCGCAGAACAGAGCCACCCCAATCCAGACCGTCGAATTCGCGCAGGGCGGCTTCGGCATCTTTGCGCTTCATGAAAGAGACGAATCCACTGAGTCCCGCGTTTTTGTGCCGGCGAGAAGCTGTCATATCAGCGCCTGGCCCAACCGTGCCATCGGTTCGCGGCCACATTATTTTCACCTATAACGAAGCAAGGGTTGAGTAGGCTAGTCACACACAGGACAAGCACACATACTGAGCCAACAGGCCCGACTTTAGCAAAGAAATGCCCTAAACTTTGTTCGGATACATTCTGTGGGAGATTGGCAACAAAAACATTCGAAGTCTGAAGCCAACTTCAGTTCAGCACGCCCTCGGCAGACAAGGAGACGCACCTCGGGGTCGCCTCTATCTCTGCTGCCACTCTGTCCATCGTAGGCTGTTGTAACTAATTAGTAAACAAAGATAAAGACGGTGTTGGCTCTTACCTGCCATTGCAGTAATTGAGCGGCCACCTTGTGAAGCACATGAGCTCAAAGGCACCTGTCAATCGACTACAGAACATACCGTAACGAGAGTATTTGGCTTCTCTTTCAGCTTGTTCTCTAGTTGGTAAGTCAGCAACATGGTAACATAATGTTATATTATCCCCTACCGCTTTATTTCCTCTAGGAAAGCGTCCATGGCTCTCTTTCCCTTTGGCTTAGGAGCTGGTGCTGATGCTTGTGCCGAGGGCTGGCGAAGTACATTTGAGCGGACCTCGTAGAAACACCAATTAGATAAACTTACATGTTCATCATAATTACCTGCCGTTCGCGAGGACGTAGTCTCCCCTCTAGGGAACGGTGCATATGCAGGGACAGACTCTCCAGCTTTCACAAACCCAGAACTTTTGGTAGTCTTAGTTGCACCGTCACCAAAGGACTCCATGAACTCTTGGAACGTTTGCTGAGCGAACTCGGCTTCCTCCTTCTTCTTAGCCTCCGCCGCTTCCTGCTCCTTCTCTCTCCTGGACTTTCGTGCTGATCCAGTGGCGAACTGAGACACCTTAGATGTGTCAACTTTCTTTTGCTGATTGCCAAATGAATAGTAAGAGACATGAAGACATTAGATAAAGGGCTCTATCCATCGCACTGGGAACGAAGGTTCGTCTTCGTCATTATCAAAGAACGCGGCCAGTTTCAGTTTCGTTTTGTCCATTATGTCCACCTTCGCTGATTACTCGATAGTGCTGCTTGGAAGTTTGAGGAGTACGGGAAGAGAGTGAGCGAGTTCCAGTTGACAGTACGGTACAACGATACTTGTAACTTGAGTGAAAGAGACGCCCAAACGTTGTTGGTCAGTATTTATTGCCGAATACTTTGACAGGAGTATGTACTTAGATACAGTTGCAGTAGACAAGGATACGCGACCCTTTACATTCTTTATACAAAAATATGCTGATTGTAGCGGAACGCAGTTACATCATCAAGCCACCCAGCCCTCCCTGGACATAGGCCATGGGCTTCATTGGTGGATGAGGTTTTGCGTCGAATTGGGTATATTTTTGTGTCCCTGCCGAGTCTATGCGAATCTGGAGAACAACGGTAAAAAACTGACTAGAACCATTGAATATGTTCAACTTACAAAAGCACCTTTGTTGCCAGCCTGATCCACATAGTTTGGTGCGGAGAAGACCTATTTCAAGGTGATCAGTATCAAGGTCGAAACGTAGGCGACACCAAACAGTACCGTAGTGCATAGTCCCTCATGTTCTACCTGGTATCCATCTGTATAGAATTCACGGTTAGTGAGATTTGACGACGGCCATGAGACACGCTGACGTACCTTGTCGAACTTCATGGCTTCGAATTATGCCAGATACTTTGTTGAGCGTGCACCACCGTTTGGTCACGTCCGGTCCAAACGCAATACCAACACCCTGAGATATACTGGGTAAACGATAAGGACATCACCAAGCAAAGAGATGCTAACCCGTTTACTAGGCCCCCGTCCAGGGAGATCCTGCGGATCAGTCCAAAGCAACTGCAATTGATAATCAGGAAAGTCCGCAAGCTGTCAGATAAAGCGGTGATACCTCGCCTGAGATCAATCATCGAGCAATCAACATTCGATTCACAGCATCGACAAGGGGGACTCACACATTAGGCCCTCTTGACCTGGTTGGCGTCCTATCCGATCGATCTTCTCGATGTCATCAAGGGTGACTTCGTCTTTGCTGAAGAGCCCTCCGTGGACAACGAAATACCGCAGGTATCCTTCCGGCGAGAGAATGGCAGAAGGTTTGACAGGCTGCACAGGTGCCTTTGTCGCAGAGATTAGCGTAGCAAGCGGCACTGCGGAAATAATAAGCTTCTGCTCTGAAGATCTAATCATCCAACTTACGTGTCGTAAATACGTGAGCAAAAAGCTGTGTGTGCTTGTCTTAGTATACAGCTAATGCAGTAGCAAAGTTGATCACTAACTTTGTACGATTGGTCTCCGTGTTTGTGTTTTGCTTCTCCTTCAAAGCCGTACGTCCTGTTCATCTCCTTCGCCTCATGATTACCTCGGTTGATGTACATGAATTTAGGATAAAGCCCTACACACGAACTCGGTGAGCGTCTCAAGTGAGAATGCGCGAAAACAATACGCACATTTATAGGCAAAGGCGGTTAGTATGACCTCTACTGACCATGACCCACGGTCGACGAGATCTCCGTTCATAAGCAAGTAATGCTTCTCCGACGGTTCACCAGTTAACGAATACAAGTGTAACATATCGTAAAATTGCCCTGAAAACGTGTATAAATATTCGACCGAGTATTCCAGGTTGAAACAGTTGTAACACGCACCATGCACATCCCCTATAACATCACAAGTCACACCCTCTGGCACGTCGACTTTCACCATACTCTTCTCCTTCACGAAATGATCGTGTGCACCTAGAACTATCTCCCAAACATAGCGCTTTGGTAACGCTTTACCATCTTTGAACCACTGAATCATTCCCTGAATGAACTCTTTGTTAATACTATATTTCCCGTCTTCAGACTTGGGTAGCTGGGGTCCTGCGTAATCTCTATCCAGGTCGCAGCCACCTTTCTAGATGTAAGCGCACCGATTGCTACAAAGTCAGAATGGAACTACCTTCCGCAATAATTTCGTGGCAACGATCTATAGGACTCTTCTCTCCTTCCATTTCTATAGCCTTAAACAGCGCATTAGTCCAATGTTACAGCTATATACATTTTAACTCACCTTCTCAAATTCAATCTTCCGGACAAGCTTCTGGGTTGCTACCATCTGCTGCCGTACAGTATCGTTCTTAGGCTCTATAGTCAAAATTTTGCGGAAATCTGCTACGGCAGACTGGGGTTTCAGAATTTGCAAGTAACATGTCGCGCGACTATATCCAGAAACGTCAGAATTCCTTCACTGCTGAAAATACTATCTCGTCTCACCGGTAGTACGCCTTCACGTATTTTGGGTCGATTTCTATAGCCTGATCTGTGCAAGGGTTGATTCGACGTGAGATGAGTATATAAATGAAAGGGACCTTGTGGATCACTCACTTGCATCGCCGAGCGCATACCCGTATTCCTCCAATTTCATTCGCGCATACGCACGATTGCACCACAGAATAGGATCGCGCGGATTCTTCTTGATAGCATCCGTATACAGGTTTGCAGCCGCATTAAAGTCATGATCTTAGCCATCGTGAGACCATTGGTTTGCCCAACTCTGCATGGGGGACAGACGACCTACTGGTGAAGGCCGTATTCGCCTGGGCCTTGATCTTTAGGGCCTCAGCTTTATCTGCTTCAGTCACTTCCACATTGACGTCGATGTCCCTCAGCGTCAATGTCTGCAGCTCCGGCGAGGGCACCGATGACGGGGGAGTAGACCCGGAGGAGCTCGACGAGGAGTCTGAGATTCCAGAGCTCATAGTTGCTGTGCCTAGATTGACGGCGCTGGACTCGAAAGAGGATACGCGAGATCAGGCCTTTAGACTTATGTTTTGACTGTTAAAAGAAGCAACAGTGATCGTCTCACGGTAGTAAGCACTGTACAGCTCTGCAGTTGGTAAATCCAAGTCCTTTATTTAGGGGTATATCGTATCAAAAACTATGTACACGATGCACCAGGCGACGGTACGACCTTGGCTATAGCCCCAATTAAGGCGTAAGTAATGTTTGTTTTAATTTGGAAGGAATGGTGGCGAAAGGAGTGTATGTCTGTCTGTCACAGACGGATATAAGAAGCGTCCGAAGATCGTAGCACCGTTCACAGATTCAAACAGATGTCCAGGTTGAAGAACTTGCCAAGGCGGAGGGTGTTGTCGTACGCGTTCTTGTTCTGTAGCCATCCATTGAGGAACTGGTGCAAGCTGTCGTGTTTGGTTAGTGACTTTTGTGCGATGTGTCCGTGACGTGGAAGCTCACTAGTCCATGTTCTTCTGGCAGCGGCAGCAGCCCGAGTGCGCTGCTTCCTTTGCTTGGGCCTAAGCATATGCCATGGGGTGAGTCACGATGAATCTAATAGTAGATAGAACGGCGTACAGCGGTCATGGAAGGGAACCATCCATTGTAGGCGCCTAAGCTCTTGAGCAGGTCTCCATTGTTTCTGTTCAGTGTATCCGCAAAGAACTTTGCAGCCGTGCGGATGTTGAAGTCCTGCGGTAACGGAGAGTCAGGAGTAAATTCAACACTGGAAGCGGATCTTCTTACCGGGTCTTTGCAATTCCCACCTGGGGCACCTCCGCATTTCTCTTGGGTGATCTGCATGAGGCCCTGTTCACCTCCGCCCCCAGTGGTCTCGGCGTTGCAACTACTTTCCTGCATGGCAAACGCAGCCAACATAATTGGAGGGACTGTCATATAGCATTAGCTAAGAGTTCACTGAGTCTTGCAACGTCACTTACTCCCGAATTGACCGCCGTACTTCTGGAAAATGGGGACGAAAGGCTGGCAGGCTTGGTATGGACTGCCTGGATCTTGCAAAGCCTGATTCAAGTCCACAGTCTTGATGTCCTCGACGCGGACAAATTGAGGGTTCCATCCGCCAGATTCCATTCCGCAGTTGAGCCAATTGATATGTCCATTGGGACCACTTTCATTGGTGGTTTCCTCTATTGAATATAGATGATTAATGACCGTCCCACTGCACTCCGAAGGAGTCACGCACTCGTGGCCCCAATGTCACCGCAAGATGATTGAACTTGCAGAAGACCCGCGCCGGATCCGGAACTGGAAGAAACTTCTTTCTTCTTAGGTTCCGGCGGGGGACCGCTCGACGTGGGTGCGACAAGCGCATTCTGGTGAGACTCTCATGTCAGTTTCTGGGCTGGAAGGATTAAAATGACTTCGCTTACGTCTGACTTCTTCGGTCTCGGTTTGCATCGCCTCGACGTGCTCCGCCGAGTCTTGTTGAGTCCGGGGATGACTGCGCGACGGCTCAAGCGGAGATGCCTGGCAGTAAGGTCTGATCCACCATTGTGGGGTTGAATGGCGGAGACCGCACAGGCGGTGGAAAATACTGCAAAGAGAACAGTAGACACTTTCATAGCGCTGAGCTGTGAGGGGGTGGTATGAAAGGAAGATGACCGTACAAAAGAGAAGAGGGTTGATGAAGTGACAACGAAGTGGAGTAATATTCGAGGCGCGGAGCCATGTCACATTGGCACTAAAAGCATCCCGTTGTCGGATAGACACGATAGTGCTATGGCGACTGTCAGGCTTAGTGCGCTGGCCAAGTGCTGGCAATCACATTTGTGCGTAAGCCAAGCAGACCTAAGCATTGTTGGGCAATATAACTGTGTGCTTGGTCAATAAACGGTACAAGTGCCTCAACATCGTATTACTTGCCATAGACATGGACGACTTGGCTGCTTGAGCTCAAAAGTCTTCAGCCGTACTAGCGATCACCGACTCAGTATCAGTGACAGGAGGCCTTGTAGGAGACTGCCAAGTTTGCGACTTGAGGGAGCATCACGTGACCCGAGCGATAGTGTCATCGTCTTGACCAATGGTAAGTTCAGAATTATTCAGTGGCGGGCCTTGGGACGAACACGAGTCCTATTTCAAGAATAACTACATATCAAGGTATCAAGGACGGAAGCTGAGGAATCAAGTGTCGGTGTTGCTCGTGGGTAGCCTGACTGTGCTTGTGGGCAAAGAAGTTCTAAATGGGTCTTGGGCGGAAGGATACAGCAATACCGCAAGTAAGTCATAGAATTAATGGGAGGTAGTACGTGTGGGCGGAGAGTAGCTTCGGGGCATCGCCGACGAAGGAGTTGCTGCGCTGCGGTAGCTCGCTCACACAGCCCGAAAGCGGGGCGGGAAGTACTTGCCTGCTGTGGTCGGGAGATCGTGGGAGCCAATGGGTTTGAAAGATCCGTATGCGAAGGCGGTGAGTGGGAGTGAGTCAAGCGGAGGTGTTTGTGCGTGTTTGATCTGGGGGCCTGTGGCTAGTGAGTCTGACTCCCTCGATTTGCAGTTGAACCGCCTTGTCCAAGGATCCGATATAAACCGTACCCTGTCCTCATCGTTCCGTTGAACTCTCCGTCTAGCCTCGAGTCTCCTCGTTCTCGAATCCCAGTTATCCCATCTCAAAAGTTGCAAGACCCGAAAGGTCCTTGTAGCTCGGACAGTCCAGGTCGCTAGACTGTGGGCCATCCGCCTCGACCTGCACCAGTCGAAATGAAGCAATTCGCATTCCATTCAGTTATCAGCCTCAAAGCCTCCGTTCTCACCCACGCCTCGAAATCCAAGATCCAAGACTCCAACAAATATATTACCGACATCGAACGCAATGATTATATTACACTCTGAATAGTCACAACAACATCGCCATTCCAATAATCCCAGCTCCTTTTCTTTTCTCGGCCTTCTACTACAATCTCAACTCTCTCAAATACCGAATGTACGCCGTAACAACCTCATTCGCCCACCGGGCTCCCCCAGCAACACGGACTCGAGTCAGGTGGCAGCCTTATTCTGCCCTTTCCTCCTCCTCTTCTTCAAACGCCTCATCATCATCATCGAATGTCTCTTGCCGTTCCCCGTCGTCCTCTTATTTAAATACCCCTGCTTCCTCTGTATCAAGCCCTCCATCTGTCAACACTCCCAACGACCCACGCCACGCCACCCCTTCCCTATCCCACACCTCAAAAGAGCAGCAGTCACGCGATGCAAACAAACAGAAGTACGCTCTAAGCCTTGTTGGTAAGAGTCCCGCCGTCTAACCCAGCGGACGGATACCTTAACTCTTCTTTACCAGACCAAGCCGTAAAGACATTGTCCGACATTTGGCACCCCCAAGATATTCCCTCTGTCTTCCTCACGTCTTCCAGAGCGACCGTCCCCCCCACCCCGCCCCCACTTCAAACGCCATCGAAGCTACTTCGCGATACATGTCGTCGCAATGTCCAACTCCCTTCCCCCATCTCCCCTTCCACTCGCGAACCCCCCTCCCCCCTCTCGACTCCTTCTCCGACATCTCGGAAATCCGACAACAACCGTATCGGCGACGCTTCTGCAAGCACTAGTACCCAACATGGATTGGTACCCATCAAAGGGTTTGTCCACGAGGTTCTCAGGCGATCGCGGACGTCTGCCTGCGTGCTACAGACTGCGCTCTGTTACCTTGAGGCCATTCGATCGAAAGTCCCCGAGCTCGTACGCCAGGAAGCCCTCGGCGAAGGGATTCAGGGTGAACTTGAAACCCAGAGCCGAGTCATTTCCGCCAGTGACCTCGATGACACCGACCGCGAGCAACCTCAAGATTCTTCTTCGATGGAGCAAGATATCATCCCGACCGTTCGTGTTAACGACTGTGGATCTTTCGATGCCAGCGTCCCGGACATTCAAGGTCTCGGAAAGAAGGTCTCGCCTCCCGTCTCGCCTCTCCCGCCAATGCCGCCATTGCCGTCTCCACTGCTTTGCCCTCGGCGAGCCTTCCTGGCCTCTTTGATTCTAGCTTCAAAGTTTACTCAAGACAAGTGCTACTCCAATCGGGCCTGGGCGAAGCTCTCTGGACTGGCGCCTAGGGAGATTGGTAGGTGCGAACGAGCGCTCGGCGATGCCTTAGACTGGCGGTTGTGGGTTGGTAAGGTTCCACAGCCAGCCCCCGCGCCACCGGCTGCCATACGTCCCGTTGTTCGCACTCGTAGTGACGGCGCTATTCTCTTTACGGCGCCGAAGTTAGACATCGTGACACCGGAAGCATCTCCTACGGATCTGCCGCACACGCGCGCTTCTCAGATAACCTCAAATCACCGTGGTCTTCGGCGTTGTGCGACACTACCTGCTGATGCTAACATGAATGGTGTCTCAAACTGGGTCAACGGCGCGAACCACATCATGCATGCCTCGGCCCCTAGTGTTTCCATCCCCGACGCTGGTGACTCGACGAGCGCATGGCTATGGAATGAACAGGTACGATTATTAACTTCTAGCCCTCCAAGCTGTATAACGACCATTCCAATCAGACACCAATGGAGACAACAGCGCCCAGGGAAATCGAAGACTGTGTCACGCAATCGCCCATTCCCTCCACGCCCCCTCTCACGCTATCCCCATCGTCAACTGAGTCATCATCAGGTGATCGCACCATTCAGATGTCCTTTCTCGACGATGTCTGCTCGTTCTGTGACTCGAACAATGCCCCGGGATCTGGTCCAACTTGGTCTGCGGTCGGGGAAGCATGGAGCGGCGCCAATATTTGTCCGATTCATGGTGCGAATGCCTTGGCTTCCTCTGGATTCAAGAAGAACGATTTCTTAAAGCCCCCGCCGACCGCAAACGACTGGCCAGGCTTATCGAAGACAATTCCAATGGAAATCATCAGCGAATACACCGATATCGCGTCGCTTGCGCCGAATATATCGTGCTTATAGCAACCACTCCCTTTGCAATTGTTAATTCTACTGCTCCAAATCTCCCTACTGTACAGTATCCAAATCTATTCTTTTTCTTTTGTATTTATTCCTTGTCTACTTACGGATCGGTCTTTCACTTCGAATATGGTGACAATGGACTTTTGAAAATCCCCTATGAATGTATGCTCCGTCCGTTGCTGTACGTCTCATACCCTCAATTAGATTTCCTGTTGGCCGAGATCTCCAGGACGACCGCAATACCTTCATCGCTATCGCCCTCATTCATGGAAGAACTCCAACGGCGTCTCTCGATTCTGGACGGCTTTCCAGGTCGTCGGTTTACCATCGGCGTCAGGGTTTCCCTCATCAGTGAACAGCGAATGGAAAATTACGTCCTCCGTTCCCTTCGAGATAGATACAGTAAACGATTATAGGGAAGGCGTAGGAGGGCTTACTCGATTAGGGGGATCGTGGATCCTGAAGATAGATGTTGGATCAGTATGGGTTCAGTAGTAACGAGCTGGAACCCACCTAACGTGTATGTATCCTCCCCCTTCTTCGTCGTTTACGCTTGGGACTCGTATCTTGCCTAGGATTATTGTTCCGTAGGATGTTGCGGCACTGCGTATCTCGACTAAATCGTCTTCGATGGTGAAGGCCACCAGCTCGTCGTCTGATAGATGGCTCACTCGCGACCACATCCGAGGCTCATGTTTGTCCCAATGGCGCCGCGACTTGACAATTTCAGACTTGATGGTGGGAAGGATGATATTGAACGCCTCGATACCGTTCTCCTTCGGAGGATGGGGTTCGTTGAAGTTGATTTGCTCGCCGGTAGCTTGCGGAGACAATCACTGTCAATACACTTATTATGAACAATGCTGGGAGCTACAAGCTTACCCATTGCCTTTGTATTGCAAGATAAAGATAATCGTGGTGGTCGCGAAGTGAGAGGCTAAATATTACCACGCCACGAACCAGGAAGTGAGCACATGTTCGGATTGCGTAGATGCCTCATTCTTCCTGCCACAACGTCCCTCCATCCATTCACTGGATCACTGCCTGACCGCTGGAATTTAGGGTCCACACTATCGGACGCGTTCTGGACGAGAGTCAAATGCCGCGCGGTCGCTGGAAATGGAGTCTCGTCGAAAGACGCGTTGACGCGTCGTCTACTGGGCACGATCCTGCTGAGGCTTCTCATATGTTGTCGTCGCCCGAATCTGATCTACATGGCGAACTACCAATCTCATGGTCCTGGAATGACCCGCTGCCTGTACGGTACCCTTCGCCGGATTACGACGACCCTTTCGCCCCCTTATGGACTTTACGGCGCAAGGTGCCTCCCGAGGAATGTTCGCCACACTTGGAGTCGACACCCTCTGTCACGTTTTCTGTTCTGAACCCTAATACCTCTGACACTGATTATGAATTGGAGTACGACTGTCCAAGTTCTTCGGGCTTCTTCGATGAATACTCGCCGTCTATCATTCAAAGTTCTGCCAGGGTCTGTGACCCTTCGCCGCATGCACTACATAGATCCTGTCCAGAGCATCTTTATAATAACCGCGACCACACTGCTATGGCTACCAGCGACGGCTCGACCACCTCCAGTATGATCTCTCTCAAGTCTGTTTCTGCGGCGCCCACCAATGTACCATATATCATCGACCTCACCACTCAAGAGTTCCGTCCCACTAAGGCGACACGACAGCGGAAACCCGTTACGCCTCAAAGGACTAAATCTCCGAAGGCAACGAATGCGGATCATCTTGTCACCCCCACTTCTAACCTTCAAATCTTCACGATCGATGCACCGCGCAAGGTCCCTCAGATTACAGTTCGCCGCAAGCCAGTTTCGCCCGCGTCCGTCGAGAGACCTGGCTCAGGGCTGGATCTCACACTCTCCGAAACCAGCGCACCCCCCGTCCCCCCGCCCGACTCCTTCGCTCGCTATATGTCCGCATTCGCTGACCAGTCAATGCATGTTCAATTCAATATCCCAAGAAATAGACCTTTGTCTCGTCCGGGTACTTCCCGATCATTCAGGGCACCGCGAGATTTAGATGTGCCATCGCGAAGCCAACTTCAACAAGCTGCTTTGTTATCTGTCGTAGGACAGCGCGGAGAACGTATCTCATTCGGAGAATTGTTTCAGAAACAGAAGACCCTTGTAATCTTCATTCGCCATTTCTGGTACGTTATGTGATCTCCACGATTTTGCACCACGCGCTGAACACGAAGCAGGTGCCCCCTTTGCCAGGATTACATGGCCTCAGTCTCTCGCAGTGTATCACCGGAGATGCTGAAGCGTGCTGGTGTCAAACTCGTTATCATTAGTAATGGGTCTCACAAAATGATCAGATCCTACCGTAGTGCGTTCTATCTCCCACGCGCGTTGCCACTTGTTCTGACATGGTTTGCCTTCCACAGAAATCTTTCGCACTCCGTTCCAAGTTTATACCGATCCCACCCATAGAGTGTACGATGCTCTGGGGATGACTACAGAAGTCGCTGACGAATTCACTGCACCTGGGGGCTATGTTCGTCACGGAGTCTTCAGTGGGATCGCAATGGTGGTAGCAAATGCGTTGAAAGTCGGCATGCCCGTCTGGGAACGCGGAGGAGATATCTCCCGCCTCGGCGGGGAATTTATCCTAGGCCCGGGGTAAGATCATCTTGTTTCCCAAGTATGGCATTGATTCACACTGATGGGTGCTTCAGGATAACGTGCTCCTTTGCGCACCGCATGCAAAACCCACGTTCTCATGCACCCATAATGAGGTTGATCGCCGAGGTGGGCGTGGACGTTGCGACGCCCGAGGCAAGATCTCCTAGTCCCGCGTCGAAACCCCCAAATATGACAGAAGAAGAAGAGATGCAGTGGATGAAGGGCAGAAGGCGGAGTTTGGCTGCGCTCAAGGCTCGAAAGGTCCAGCGCAGAGGAGGCTCCCAGTGGTGTGGTGGATCCAATTGTCTGATCAATGTTGATTCCAAGGAATCTACTTGAGATAACGTCGAATGCGGTACCTTCGTTGTTGTATTGTGTTGTATTCTATACTCGTCACTGTACATTATCCATCCAGAATTTTCGGTATGTTTTCGGCCGCTTGATGTACTTGCCCGAGATTACCTTACTTCTCGCGTGGGTGTGTATTTTCAGGACAACGCGGCAACGCTGAGCTGTGAATAGATCCATGGGTATGGACGTATGTACACAGCGATATATGTCATGCAGGGCTGTTGTGATCCCCACGGCGTCGTCGTCAGTTCCGCTACGCTGAGTTGGACGAGATCACTCTGTTCAGGTCAATTACAGACAGGTTTTTCTGACGTCTTTATATAAGTATAGTATGTATATAATCCCAAAAGCTACACGACTTGCCGCTATTGATATCTAATGTGTTCTCCTGAGTGGCCATGACCCACTAGGGTTCGGTCCGATGTGTTATGGTACTGCGGTCATAGTTAGATGCGGTCGTAAAGGGTGACAATAGAGAATACAACCTACGTATGACTCAATACCGATAGGTCCCATTGACCAGTTGACTGGGCTCATGTTGGACATTGTTGGTGACAGATTATGACGAGATGAGGAAACGGCGGCAGAAACACCGTTGGGGTATGGATGGTCGTAACGAGAAGTTGGGTATTGTGACATGTCCGGTATCATGGGCATAGAATGTGAAGTAGGCGGAGTGTGTTGCGTATAGACGGACATTGATCGATCGCGTTGCCTGCATATGCATGAGTAAACGACAATTATAATCGTGGGTGGCTCACATCTGGCGTCGAATCATTTCAGAATCTGGTAGCATGGTGTTGGCTTGCATGTATGGGTCGCTGAAAACGATAGCACCGTTAACCCCGCGAATAAACGAACGAAGAGGCTAGCTACGCACGACGGGCGTCGAGAAACAAGAGGCGGAAGGCCCAGATCTAACGGACCTCGTCGAGGAGGAGTGGCTTCCCGCGTTGGTGGTGTAGAGGCTTCTGATATTCCTGAGGATCCTGCGGTGGAAGGTCTATCGCCAGGCTCCTTTCTTGGGGCTGACTTTTTCCTCGCAGGTACGCCCTCTGGCCATGTGCACTACACAACAGAGGTTCGATGAAACATGAAAGAATGGAGCCAGAGAAATCGACGCACATCCCGCTGTCCATGTGTGCAGCGCATGCAGTTGGGTTTCGTCTCGTCACACTGAAGGAAGTGAGCGATGGCTGTAAATCACAAGCGACGGCGGTCGACTATACCTTGATTTTCTTAACACGGCAGGTTAAGCATCCAGTCTTACTTCGAGTATACTTTGGTCGTTTCCTTTGCGTAGTCTCTTGTCGAGGTACTGATGAAACGACGTGTACATGACCATGGTTGACATGGTTGACATGAGCAGCAGGGTAGTATTGGGCAATGTACGCAGGGTGGGTGGGACTGAAAGGTTGATGTCAGTCAAACGGTATCAAGTAGAATTGCGGCGACTGACTAAGGGAGGCTGTCAGCCATTCTGTATTGAGGACGAGGAGAGGCTTGTCCACCGTCGCCGTCCATAGTTCTTATATAGAGGATTAAAGAAGCAGAGAAGACGAACTTGTGCCACACCTATGGGTCCCCCATCGGGTTCATCAGCCTCATCAGATCTAAGGGTCAATCGTGGGTGTGTAGAAACTCCATTTCCTAGGAGTTTGAATAAAAATCCATGTGTTGAGAAATTAGGTGGACTTCTATCCAGTTTTTCCATATTCTTCGCGGAGGAATGAACTATTCAGGTGAATAGTAGAAATTTTGACCAAAGATTGGTATTGACACCAAAAGTCAGCAGCGATACGCTGTGAATTGTGACCTGATAACGAGGCACATTGAATTTGTTAGTGAGAGCTTCTCGTAGAACAAGTGGGTGCCCCGGCCTTGGACCTATAAGGGTTATTGTATGTTGATGCGCTGCAAATGCCAAGTTTGGAAATGAGGAAGGGACCGTGTTGTTCCGATCAGCAACATGTTACTCACAAGGCCAGCTCAGGTTCATGTTCTTTACACAATGCAATGCAAGCTCGCCCGGTGCACGACGCTGCGATGTCTCCTCCTTGCTCGCTGCCTGCTGCGATGTCCCAAATACACGTCTCTCTTGGCAGAACGATTCTATTTTACTCCAGGGTCATTCTTGTTTTCGTCTATCTCCACCGCCGCGGTTCGGAAGTGGGACGTAACAATTCAACTTTCCCCTCCATGGACTCATGGGTACAGGGGAGTAGAAGGAATGATTAATGATCACGGTGTTTCCTGGGACCGTATGTGTCAAAATATGATAAGTATTTTATTCATAGCGCCCTCTGTTCCCATGCATGCTGCATCCCACCTCGTTGCACCCACCACCTCTGTTCCTCGTACATAATCGTGGTCGTCTTGTCAATCGATGCTCTTTCCTTGCTTCATTCATAATCTCCTCACATTCTTCATGACGTGCTAACGCCGCCCGCGAGCCGTGAACCGAGGGTGCAATATATATTTACGATGATAAATAATCACCGAGACTAATGACCCGAGGATTAAATCGCACCACTGATCGCACTGCAGCACAGCAGGCATGGATCTTCACGCCGAGGACTCAACTTTTGACTAGAAAAGTGGCGTTTTGGTCTGCCTCCGTCCAGACGTAAATACCATCAGCTGAGAGATTGCCACGATCCATCATGGACTGATGATCCAATGTGATCTAGAACTGCTGGTGGAAGATGCTTATAGTAATACGTCATGACGGCGACCTTTGCTGAATGTGGGCCGCTGAGAAGAAATGTACTTTATAGACTTGTTATATAGACCAAAATAATACTAGCCCAATCTGCACAAAAGAGCGAACAGAAACCGTAAATGCTTCGATAACGAATACTTTTAAAGGTTCCTTTGTTTAACGTGGGATAAAAGATAGGCACTGGTGGTTTGCTTCCGTGTTCCCTGTAAGAACGTACTTCACGACGCTCCGTCCTTGGAGCTTGTCCCCAGAGCACTGTATCCGTTGATTCAGGTTGAGTCCTGTCGAACGCTGGCTGGACCCTAGCCAGGAATATTAACCCTGGTCAGGACTTCCAATTACCATGTCCTCGAAGACTGCCACGGCGAAATGAATGGTTAGTGGGTCGATCCTTCGCTGGCCGTATATTCCGTAAATGAATAAGGCCGAAAGTAGGCTCCTGGCGTACAATGCCGTTTCAATACCTCCAACGAGTTTAGGTACCGCACGTCACCGCCGGAGAGAATTTCCGTTGACCCACTGTTAGGTTAGTGCACTCCGGAGCGGAATTCTCGATGCACAGATCCATCAGTATTCAGTAGCTCGCTGTTGTTGCGGCGGTAATGATTAGCTACATTCGAGCGACCATACTGCCAAGCTACTGACCTATAACGCGTCATCTGCTTCGTAGAAACCTACAGAACCTCGGAGCACTGCGCAGTCAGGAACGAGGTGTCTGAATCAAGCTAGACACCAACACTGAGGGCGGTGTACGTGGAAGTAGAGCGGCCAGCGAGGACATGTCTGGTTTGTACGAGATATTCAAGTCTTCAACAGCGCGGCATTCTGCACCGTTGGGAGAATAGTTCCGGGCATTGGTGATTGAAGCGCCGATCAAGAACGCTCACCCAGGTCCATTGGAAGGGGGCCGAAGACGGCGCGAGTTCCCGCACTCTGCGCTGACTTGTACCTGGCACTTCTCGGGTAGCGGGTCTTTGTCGTTTAAGTACATACCACGAAAGCGTCCACTCGGAAGCGCTAATGGTTCAACGATTTGCGCCGGCGTTCAAGCAACTTACCGGTGCATGACGCAATCGTCCTAACATAATAACAGGGGCGCAACTCAGGAGGGGAAATTCAGTCCAAAAGAGAATCGAAGGCTCGCAATCGCACTCGTGTACCAGGTTTTCACACATTTGACACAGCCTCGGGGCATGAATTACAAAAAGAGCTTGCGATGGGAAATACTGGGACTAGATGGAAAGATGGAAGGTTATAGAAACACAAGATGCAGGGAATACTACAACACACACGGCCGCAAGCCGCAGGACACAAAAAAAGAAACCAAGGGTCAGTGATTTTCGTTGCTGTAATGACGAAGCCCTGAGAAACAACAGTTGTTCGACACCTGGACGCGGACGCGGGGACACAAAGCAACACCGCTCATGCCAGCGGCGGCGATTCGGAGTCAGGGGGTGAGAAGTCGTTGCTTTCCGAACGACTGGAGCTAGGACGAGAGGTGCTTTCACTGTTACGTTATACATGAGGGGAATAGAATAACGAGGCAAGGAGACACATACTTTTCTCTTGACTTGCGGCGTTTGGCCCAACCCCAGACTTGACGAATCCATTTTGCCATGTGTACCTCCTGTTTCATGACATACCTGATCCATGCATGTTCAAGCATGTCTTTGGGCGTAGGTCGTGTCGCAGAATCGACTATTAACCTGATAACACTTCGGTGTCAATGATTCTGAAAGCCTTCGAAAGGGTGAACGTTACGTTTGCTTGATAAAATCTTTCATATCATCACTCCACGACAGTCCAGGTTCATCCTCGAGTCTGGGAGGCTGATATCCGAAATGAGTGGACAACAACGGGACTGTGCTGTAAATGAATTCACCTCGCCAGATGTAATATGGACCATCAAGTCAATTGGGCCGATATCACTTGGGAAGGGAAATCGATTTTGAACGAGTTCTAGCAGAGAGATGCCCATCGACCAGACATCTGATCGGATGGTATAGTCATGGCCACTGATTCGTTCTGGCTATCATAGCAAGAGCATCAGCAGCTCGACTATACTACAAGGAGATTGGAGGGTACTGACAGCCATGTAGAAACTCGTTCCGGTAAAGGTGCCTGCCATTGAATTGACCAACTCCCCAGATACGCCGAAATCGCAGAGTTTCACCACCCCTTCACGAGAGAGTAGAATATTTGACGGCTTGATATCTCGATGGATGGTTCTTCTGGTATGTAGGTAAGCTAATCCTTGCAAAACCTGTGCGGACGCAATCAGGTGAGAGCAAACAGACTTAACGAGGGTACATACCCCTTCAGCTATCCGCCCAGCAATTTTCTCTCCGACTACGGCACCGCGCTCTTTTATACGTTTGCTGATAGCATCCAGGCTGCCGCCTTCGCAATATTCCATCAATATTTTGATTTCGCTCGTCGAAGGCGATATGTAGGCGCCATAGAAAGGAATGATGTTAACGTGCTGCGTCGACGACATGATCGCAAGTTCTCTTTGAAGCTGCCTCATGGGGGCCTCCCTTGTAGTTATGGTCTTGCGTGCCATGACCTTATTCGTGCGTGTATCGCGAACAAGATGTACAGCGCCGCCGGCGCCTTCCCCAAGTCGTTTCATCTCGACCAAGAAGTCATCAGACCATTGGGATTGAGGTGTCGCCGCTATATGAATGACCTCCTCGTCTACGTGGCTTTCAGCTGCTCGAGATGAACTGTCGGATGCCGCACGAAGGTCTAGCTTATGAAGCATTCCTCGAATATTATCTAATGGTTCCGCAGGCCGTTGCGCAGGCTGGAACGTCGTCGTCGAGGGAGGTCGCATAGTGGCTTCATCGATATGACCTACACCGTTGACTGAGGAAGGACCACTGGCCACTGGCCCACCGTAGTAACTCTCAAATAGTGGTGAATCGCCATCTCCTGGATGGTTTGATCCATTGGCTGAACCGTTGGCAGGCGGTATGTGCAATCTGATTGAAGGTTTTGGTGTTGCAGGCCTTGAACGATTGGAGGGAATTTCTAGTGCAAGGAGGGGTGTCTGGGATCGTCCAGGGGAGTTATTTGGGGGTGCCAGTGTTGAGTTGACTTTGGAGTTCTTGCGAATGACCAGCGGGGGTGTCTCTGGTAGAAGTATAGGTGGTGCTGGCGAGGCGGCACGATGCCCAAGGGTGCGCGGACCCAGGGGGCGGGACTGCATGATGGTCGCAAGATGGTCGTTGACTACGCTGTCCGTCGCAAGCCTGATTTGCCTAATGCTCGTGATTATGTAACCTGCTCATTATAGTACTGTGGCATTACTGTGGCACTGTCCTCAACTTGCTTCCAGCGCATCGTTTGGATCACTGAAAGCCACTCGATGGTTATCTCTTGTATATATTGATCCCCACATCGTCCAGCGCCATGCCCCCGACCAGCGACACGTATAGCGATATATCCTCCGACCTCTCTTCCATTTCCGAATGCTCCGCTTCGAGGCCCCCACCGGCGTCTCCGACGAAAGCTAGACAGCGCCCTGAGTCCTTGCGGCTCCATTCCATCGGTGACAATCCTAGCGAAATTACTGGGAAGCTTCTCAAATCTGTCCGAAGGTCGGGCAAGCATCCAGCGATAACAATGGAGTTCTCTGATCACACAACGTATCAAGTACTCGTCGATGGATATGATCCACAATACCCAGGAGTTCCCAAAGAGCTAGAAATGGACGAGCTCTTCTACGAGCTTCTGGAATTGCCAAATGGCAAACTACCAGAGCCTTTAGCCATAATCGACTGTGTGTTTGTCACTTTGACAGACAAGGCGTTTGAGCGGAAGCACATCCACATCAATGATTGTTGGGAGGCAAAGGAGTCCCGATGGGACCAAAATCATTTAGGTTTAGCGTTCAAGCTAGCTGAAGACACCCCACGCTGGCGTTGCGTGTGGGCAACGATGTCAGATTATGACCCAGCATCCGGGAGCGCTATCTTCCGCAGTTACGACGATGTATATTTGAAGAAGTTACAACGGTCATCTCGCACTGACGCTCGGCATCGAAGGAAGCCCTCTTGGGCCCGACCCTAACCCGATCAATGAACGTATGTCAGCAATACTTTCCTCACTGAAGCCTCTACTGAAGTCCTTGCCACAAGTGTGCTGTTGACAGCTGCCTCTTTCGACTTCAATGTCGAATCCAAGTTTTCCAAGAATTCCTCCTTGTTTGTCTGTACGTGTACGCACCCGCACCCGCATTGCTATCATTGTTGTCTTTGTCGTCTATCTGCCTCTGTCTGTATACTATCTCACGTCGATACTCTGATTGTACTAGCTCGAACGCTCAGTCTGTCCCAACAATGTCATACCATCACATGAATTGAATCCTATTCCCAGATACGCCGCTCGCAGTCCACCTGTAACCTGTAACGAAGGCGTTCATACAAGTAGACGCAGGCTAGTTTGCTGGTGGGAACTTTACGTCGCGCCGTCAAAGTATGTGCTGTCTATACATACTGTCTTATATCATCCGTTGCATTCATTTCTGGAATCCAGGAACATAAAAGGATTAGATATAAATGACAGAATGAAACAGTAAGCCCATCAAATGATTGAGAACATCCTCGGATAAGGGAAATCAGTACACTGACCCCACAACAACTCACTGTAACATCTGGAAGAAAGGAGATGTCGTGGTAGATCGGTACGAGGATCAAAACACTGCCGAAAAGTCCTTGGTAATGGTTCAGAGATACTAGAAGGAGACAGAAGAATACGGTGGGGATTGAGAATACACCCGGTATAAGTCAATATGATACTTTTTTAACGCGATGCAACCCGATCTGTACGATGGAGACTGACCATGGATCATGGGGTTAGTCAGAGTCATTTTTATAGAAATAGACTACTCATGGAACACACGATGCGTCGCGCCATGGGCGTCACTGCTTAGTATACTAGTTTCCGGTGTGCTCACCATCTCTCCACATTTGATCATCATAAGGCTCAAATAGGGCTGCAGAGAGACCGCAAAGAGTTCCGCCCAGGTTCCGCCGGTCGTTGCGGCCAAGTGGGACTTACGACGCGTCTCACAGCCCCAACCGTGTACCTAGACCAGAGATCGACCAATACCTGATGCGAGTTGACTTAGTGACGAATAATAACCCAAACATCGAGGTCCGGTTGCTTGAGATGAACACTACTTACCATATCGTCCCAGAAGCCTCGAGTTGGCGTGGCCTTCTATTTCTCACGCGTACATCGCTTCAATCATCGACATCGTGTTCAAGGCTAGAAACCACTATTGCCAACTATGACGACTCCCAATGCGAAAGCTCGCGTTTCTTTCGCGTCGCTAACATCAAACAACCTGGGAACTGTGAGGAAGCTTAATTCCGTGCTGTTTCCTATCAAATATTCGGAGAAATTCTACCAAGACATTCTTCGGCCAGAGGTCGAAGATTTCTGCAAGCTTGGTATGTCGCTGACGGCGTTCCGATGTCTTGAGCTAACATGGCCATCGCATCCAGTCTACTACAATGATATCCCCGTTGGAACTGTGTGCTGTCGATTGGAGACCAAGGAAGACCGAACAAGTCTCTACCTGATGACAATGGGCATCCTGGCAGTACGTTTGTTTGATGCACATGCGAACTTTCTCTCACATCACATAGCCGTATCGCTCGAAGGGTCTTGGCTCTCAAAGCTTAGAACTCATCTTGAAGGCCGCCTCTTCCCATGCGAAGATAGATCGAGTTTACCTTCACGTTCAGGTCTCTAATGAAGGGGCAAAAAAGTTCTATGAGCAGCACGGATTCAAATTGGTCGGTTTGCACGAAGACTATTATAAAAAGATTGTACCCCACGATGCCTGGATACTAGAGCACATCCCGCATGCTACTGGATCGTAAATTTATACCCGATACTTCGATGATACATAGTCGATCTACGGTTAAAGAGGAACGATGGCGATAATATAATAGCATAGCATACATACAGAGCTTATGATGAAGACATAATGAACCGGGGACCAAGAAGGCTGCACGCCGTGTTATTAATAGGCTTTAACTGAACTCTGGCAAAGAAACTGTCAGAGGTGTTCCATACAGCCCCATGCAGTACTCACAATTACAGAGGAGTAATTATGGCCACATGTCATCAACCTTGCCGCAACCTTTGACTAGCTGTGTGAAGTTGTTTGAGGAAAAGGACGTATGATAAGATCTGAGACTTACTTGATGGCGTTTTAAGGCATCTTTACGGGTAAAAGTCTTCCCGCATCCTCCATTACAGAGAAAGGGCTTTTCGCCTGTGTGAGTTTCCCGATGTCGCTTCAGGTCATGTTGTCTGTTGAATGACAGCGCGCACATGTCGCAGGAGAAAGGGCGAGCAGGTGAAGCAGGAAATTGAGGGGAGATGTTATACGCCGGTGACAGCGGAACTTGTTGCGGATATTGAGCAGGATAAGAAGAATCTATCACTGGGGAGGACGACGGCATGTATGGGTGCGCTTGTGAGTGCGATCGTGGACGGTTATGTGTATGTGCTACCGGTTGAACGTGTCCGTACGGAGCCTGTGCCTGCGCGTAGGACTGAGAGGATTGTGTTCGCGAGTGGGATTGCCGCTGAGAGGAGGATACTGGAGACAAGGTTGGGCTGATAGATGGATAGGGTTGCTGGACGGCATTTCCGGAATGCGTATAGGAGGACGATGTTGGGTAGTAAACTCCTTGGTAGGCTGGCGACCCCGAAGCGTCAGCTTGAGGAGCACGGTGGTGTGACGGGGAGTTGTGATCATGGTATGCTGCCGTGTAATGGGTCGATGAGGAGGCGTATGCCTGATCAACGGGACTCCACTGCGCAGGAGAGTATGAGTTGCCTTGAGGGGAGTACATGGAATTTCTTCGATCAGTCATGGTCGGAATGAAGGAGGGCGCAAACTTACAGATATATGGTTCATAAGGGTGCGCTTGGAGACTGTCACGAGGCCCATTACATCCGAAAAATCAATTCAGCTCCTGTACGATTATTCTTGCTCCAGTTCTCGGAGGCCAGATAGGACATGAGTGCCTGGGATAGAGTTATGACATGTCGTTGGCTGTGAGTGAATCCCGCGCCCGGGTCGGCATGCTATAGAGAGTTAGTACAGATGTCTGCGCAGCCGATACTGACGCTGGAATTAGATAGGGACCTCTTGATTTGGGCAAGTGTATAAATCTCGATTTCCAAATGCCATGTTCAGGGGAACAGATCGATGGCCTGATGCGGCCAGGAACCGATGACGAATACAGCTGAAGCGAATGCTAAGGAGAGTTCGTTGCCCAATTGCACATAGGCGAACGTAGCACGATTTCGTCGACAATGGACCATCGTTGAATTGTCAACTACTTTCATCACGAGAAAGTGTTCGCGCAACTCACCTTGGCGGAATCAAGCCGATTCCCATCCTCGCTGATTGGCATTCTGGAGCTGGAGTCGGAGGGAGCTTGACCATTCTAGGGCATCAGTTGTGACTGCCCTTGATCTCTCTGATGATGCCCGTATATAATATAAGTCGCGATTATAATCAGCCATCATACATCAGCGCTTCAGCCTTACCAGCCGTTGCCCTGGTAATCAGTGTTAGTACTAACTGGGATATCGAGGTCACCTACATATGGCCTCAGTACGCGGCAAGTCCGGGTTAAGCGTGAAAAGCTGCAACAAACAACTATTTAATTTTGCAAGACGACAGCGCGGCAGACAAATACGCTTGACACCAAATCCGGAAGAGGTTGAAACAGCGCATGTCATCTATGTTATGTTCGCATGACTTGAGAGGTTCCAAGGCCTAGAAAGAGACAGCATCCTTGAAGGTACAGTTGTCTGCGTTCCTGGTCCGAGATTTGTTAGAAAGGCACAGAGGTTCCTGAAACCTACCTCAGGGGGCCGAGAGCAGCATTGCAATGAATCGGTGAATGCTCCGGCCCATTTCTACTTTCTCCACCATCTCCAAAAATCAACCGAGTAGTAAATTATCTACAAAGATGGTGGTGCAACAGCGACTGTACTTGGAGGGATCGGAAAGTTCCGCCAGCGCTTAAGTGCGTCTTCCTATCCACGACTCACGAGGATCCACGCTTGAGGCGAACATTCCATCATCAATGTCGAAGAGATCGGGCTCTGGCGCGTCTCAAGAACGCAGTCCCAAGAAGAAAAGGGACTCATTGCTGCCGATCAATCTCGCCTTGATCTGTATTTCTCCAGCCCAACAAACGGTCATCCCGGTCGTGAAGGGACAGACCATAAGAAGGAGCCTCAACTTCGGCTCGCCAAACCCGGAGAGGGACCGCATAATACAGAGATCATAGATGTCGATTTGTTGGATGAAGATGCTTTACCGACAGTAGCAAGCGGGTCGTCTCCTGCGCCCGCTCGCCCACCGTCATCACCTCGAAGGACGCTCAATGTCAATGTTCCGGAAATCGCGGTGTCAGATATCGAATACAGCACGCTAACAACAGATTCCTCAACCTTTCGGTCGGAGACACCTCAGTTGCAAGCAGGACACGCCGTGCCGTACTCTTTTCTTGCCCACGCCTTGTCGGAGCTCTCGTCGACGCGATCTAGAATTTCGATATTGAACATTCTAACGAATGCAATCAGAGTCATCATCGAGTATCACTCCCCATCGCTACTTCCTGCCATATACCTCCTTTCAAACACCCTTTCTCCGCCATATTCCCCGGTGGAATTAGGACTTGGCCCGTCGGTCATTTCGAAGGCCATTCAGCATGTATCTGGTCTGTCTTCGGGAGCATTGAAACGCCTATACACGTCTACGGGTGACGTCGGTGATGTTGCCTTCCAGGCCAAGTCCAAAGTCCGTACTCTAGTGCCTCATCCCAGTTTGACCGCATCCATGGTATATTCAACACTCCTCCAAATATCAAAATGTGCTGGCCAAGGTGCTGCAGCCAAGAAACAAGGTCTGGTTGAACGGTTGCTTGTTTCTGCTAAGGGCGAAGAAGTGCGATATCTCGTGCGGACGCTCTCTCAAAACCTCCGAGTTGGCGCCGTTAGGACATCTATTTTCATTGCATTAGCTCGGGCAATGGTTCTTGTGAAGCCATCCAGCACTCTTTACTCTTCGGAGCATTGCATTGACCCTACTCTGCTGAAGCGTGTAGACTTAGACAAGAAGAACAAAAAGGCAAACACGGTGAAAGACATGGTGAAAGAGAAATTCAAGGCTGCTGAAGGCCTTATACGCCGGGTTTACGCACAACATCCCAGTTACGATGACATTATCAACGCCTTGCTGGAGAGTGGCTTGGAAGGACTTTCGGCGAAAGTCCCCCTTACAGTAGGTCAGTGTCCGTAGTGTCCATTTAACATCTCCACTTATACCTTGACTTCTGTGAAGGAATTCCTCTGCATCCTACTTTAGGGTCTCCAGCTCGTTCCCTTTCTGAGGTTTACACGTTATTGAACGGCCGAGAATTTACGGCCGAGTACAAGTACGACGGTCAGCGAGCTCAGATACACGCATCCAAGCAGGTCGATGATACTGTGAACGTGCATATCTTTTCCAGACATCTTGAAGATATGACGACAAAGGCTAGTTTGGAGGTTCCATACAAAGTTAAGATAACCCTTGACGTTACTCTTAGTATCCGGACATTATTGCCTTAGTGGAAGTATTTTTCTCAACACGACCGGACCTCCGTTCCTTCATCATGGATTCCGAAGTTGTTGCCATCAATCCTCATAACGGCAGTTTGAAAACATTCCAAGGTAGGTGTTCAATTTCTCCGTTGCAATATGAGGTTTACAACGCTGACCATAGAATTAAGCTATCGAGCGCGGAAGGATGTCCTAATCAAGGATGTAGGAGTTCAAGTCGGTGTTTTTGCTTTCGACCTCATGTTCCTGGACGGCGAGGTAAGTCATGCTCACGACTTTGGATTACACCTTCAATATGCGAGATAGATTTTGTTATCCCGGCCCCTGCGGGAGCGGAGAACACTCCTTCGCCTTAATTTCGCTCCCTGTACCCCTCAAGAGCAAAGTGTTGCGCGGTTCGACCACGTTACCTCTTGCGAGAGCAATTCAGGGAAAGAAAATGTTGAAGAATTTTGGGAAAAGGCCATCGAAAGCCGTTGTGAGGGTCTCATGATCAAGGTCAGATCAGTCACCGTTCAGTTCTTTTCCCTCAGCAATAATCCCGTCTGGGGTACCCAGGTACTGGATAATGAGGGCCAACCGGATGTGAGTGTCCAAACCCGAAGGAAACCCTTGCCTGCGACATATGAGCCAGACAAGCGAACAACGGCATGGTTAAAACTGAAAAAGGATTATGTCGACGGTTTGGGTGATTCCCTTGATCTCATTCCAATTGGTGCTTGGCATGGAAATGGCAGAAAGGCAGCTTGGTGGAGTCCCATACTTCTCGGTGTTTGGGACGCAGAAAGTGGCCGTGCTGTTGCTGTTTGCAAGTGCATGTCAGGTGCGAGACAAGTCAATTTGAGTCCCTGCCAGGGCTCGTTTTACTTGCCCTCTGACTTCTGACGTAGGTTTTTCGGATCAGTTTTACAAAGTGAGGCCGTAATATGTACTGCCACTACGTATTGCCGAATAACTCGCTACAGGAATTAACAGAGCGATACAAAATACACGAACAATCATCGGTATGTTCGAACCGTCCCACCTGGGCGTGTGACATGGGTGGTATGTCGCTTGGGCCGTAGGTTTGGGGCTCTATCTCTGACCAAGCACATCTCTAGGATACAGGCCCCACGTATACTTCAAACCTCAGGAAGTGTGGGAGATTCGAGGAGCAGAGTGAGTAACTGATATGATCATATGATCAGCGATCTGGAGCTTTCTTACTTACGCGGTACTGCGCCAGCATCACCATCAGCCCGACGTCAGTCGCAGCGTTGGGCTTAGCAAATCCATCGCGTGGCCTTAGCCTGCGCTTCCCTAGATTTATCAAGGTGAGCGAGGATAAGGGCGTCATGCAAGCAAGCACGCCACAATTCCTTGCAGACCTCTGGAGAAAGCAAGATGATAGAGGTCTCGAGGGCGTAGATGATGGACTGATAGATGTGGATCTGAGTGACGATATAGCCGAGTCAGAAGAAGAATCTGACGACTGTAACTCTTAAGGACTTCGCTGAGCGTATTATGATTCTATGTTATGATTATGATCACGTTATCTGATAAGCACTTGATCGAGTCGAAGATCATTGGCCAAAGTCATGCATCTTCCACTCACCTTCGTTGCAAGCTCGCTTTTCTTTCTCTCGGCGCTGTCCAGAGAAACAGTATGGGATGCAGGTACTCTTAGACTTTGTCCTTGATGTTGAACCCGCTCGATGATTCTCGTTGGAAAGCCGCCATTGCTCGCCGTTTGGTCGATAATTCCACGAACTCGATTGGGGTAATGGCAACAGTGTTTCCTCCCGACCATTCGTCTTCGCCTGGTGCGTCGCTCATGATGGCTTCTTGGAAGGGATTATGAAGTTCTCTGTGGTCAGCACAACCGTTTGCGATGCAGGAATACTACGCCAGGTAGATTGTGTCAGTTTTAAAGCATTGCATTGGGCTGAAGCAAATCGGAAGCTGCCATACCAACGGTTCCCTTACTCTCTTATTCCTACCAATCTCTCGACATAGCCAGAACATCCTGCACTCCAATCATCATGCTGCATCACTCTCTGTCTCGTCTGCGCTTCCGGCCGCCAGGAGCCCTCGGGTCTCCTTAATAGGCAACGTCACCGTCTATGCCAACACAACCGTGGTTCCGGATAGGAATGCTATCCAATCCTGTTACCTGGCGAGGCACCCGGATGCTCGTTGGTGGTTGCCGGACGACGACGATGCGGCACATATCGTAAGGACACCCACTTGCCTCCTTGTTCGCCTCCACTTGACAGATTACTTTCGCCGAGAATGTTCCAGGCATACTGGGCTCGTTTCGATCCTGAAGTGAGTGTCCACTGTCATGTCATGTTAATTAATCAACACTGCTAAGACGGGGAATGATTGATTCCGTAGAGCGTTTATTTTGTTGGCGGTTTCGGAGAGTAAGTGTCGCCCATTGACTGCCTGGAACTCTCGGCTGAGACCTTAGGACCCACTTAGCAAGCACTTCATTGGATACATACCATTGGAGATATATCAGGGCGCATCTGCCTCGGCAGAAGTTAGCCTGCAAGGGAGTTTAGTCGAACAGTATTAAGCTTTGATTTACGAATTATACGCTGTGTCGTACAATGTATGAAGATATACGCATCACCTAAATATCAGTGATCCATTGGGATACGTGAATCTTCAGCGTATCCCCAAGAACGTTAGCGTCTCCGAGTCGGTCGAAGACATTGTTAATTGTTTCCAGGATTTCACCAGATCGCAATGCTTGAGTCCAAGGAATGTCGGCTGGTTTGAGCCCGTATTGGTAAGCTCCGTAGGCCATCAGTAGGTGAAACTTGACGTGGGCAATCAATGATTTGGGGCGCTCTTCGGTCGTAGTGTAAGATTCGTCCCTCAAAAGGTGAAGGATGGTCATCGAGGGTAAAATGCTTGACGGCGGCCCGGCCGCCGGGGAAGAGGGCGCATCAACAATGGTTTGGCTCCTTTGAGCACCTCGAATAGCGCGAGGCTGGGTGCGTGCCTGCGGTCTCGGTCTGCCACGAGTGGAAGAATCCAAGCTCATATCAGATAAAAGTTTCTGACAGATTGTGATTCGGAATTCCATCGTCGAAGGGACAGCCCCTAGATTGTCCAACAGCGCGAGTAACTGGATCCCCTGACATGTGGAGACTCGTTTATAGACCGAGGCAATGAACATATGCGTATCCAAGTGCCGGGCAGCCCACAGCCGAATCAGCTACAAATTACGATTAGGACGGACGTCGGGGATAGTATATATGGATCACTCTACCATTGTTAAGAGTTGAATGCCGCAGTGTCGGCGTCGTTCACTCGTTTGCGAGAGAGAGTAGAAGACTATATCCAGGGCGGCATCGGTCTCCCATCTTGCTCCGGTATTATCGCGTGGCAAGGGGATCTCGGAAAGAAGCAGAGGGGAATGACCTATGTACAGAGTCATGAGCCTCATGCGACACAAAATAAGCCACGACCAAGAATGACCATTATGTCGCAGTTCATCTTCCTGAAACAGTCGGACGAGCCATTCCAGCACGGGCCAAGCATTCTCAGCAACTATAAGAGGAGATTGCGCGTGAGCTGCGTCCTGGTCGTCGTGGGATTGCCGCCTTTGCCAACGAGTTTTGATAGGTGCGGCGGCGGTCTCGTGAATAAATCCCTCCTTTAGGATGGACCAACAATCTTTAGCTTGCCGAATGCATCTAGCTTCCTTTGCTACGTATGAATCGGCTTCTTCGTTGAGCACTGTACCACCTGGCGGTGAGTAAGAAGGCAGTCCTCGCAGCAAGATTTCCGGAGGGGTAGAGGTGATCAGTGACATAAGCAACCGCTGAGCAGCGGATGATGCGGCTTGTGTGGGCATGTGGGCGAGTCTTTGTTGTCGAGATGCCATCTTACTTGGAGATCCTGGTTCTGTGACTTTTTGCTCGTTCGGTGGGGGTGTATAAAGCGCTAGATACAGTACTTGAGAAACGAGTGCACTGGCTGTCCTTCAGGCTAAAGTATTATGCGCGAGAAAGTGACTTACGGTGAAGGGTAACATTTCGCAGCAACACGCAGTTGGTCAAATGCAATGAGACCGGATTCATACTGGCCCTCTTCAAAACTGGTATCAATGAGCGCGCGCTGATGGGGCAGCATTTCGGGCAACAGTTTTGGGTGGGACATTGTGAAGTCTCCTAATAGCAAAACCGACACGGAGGATACAAAGTGAGACGCGGACGGGTCACATGGTGTATTGAACGCGTATCGTCACACGAGATGTCACAGCAATCACCGACGCAGTGTGACACCATCAAGAGATCATTGCTTGATGCGATGGTTATTGATAACGTTTCCGAATGTCCAATGCCAATCACAACGTACCGCATTCGTACGCTGGGTTACTTACTCTGATCTCCAGGAATTTGTGATCCGGGGGCTTTCCAGGGCATAAAGTTGCAGCTGCGACTTCGGTATGACTTGCAGTTGCATTCCGTTGATGGCGCCTTAGTAACACCATCAGGGCATACGCAGAAACGATCACTTGGAATGGGCTGGCGGTGGACACTGGATCAACATTGCCAATAGTTCAGGAGCAAATATAATCGCGTTTGGATACAAGTAATTTGTCGCCAGCGGGCGTAGATTGTATAGCGCCTAGGCGGATAGTAGCACCCCGACAGCCTTGTCAATCCGTCTTCGCAACTTGAATGGAATTTGAAAGGAGGCAACAGTTTGAGGCACGTGGTCGTCACTTCCGTGAGCGCTTGCCCGGGTTCAACTCCGATCATCCTTTCATGTTTGTTTCATCGTTACCAGCACTTCGCGTGGCCATCCGAAGCCGTCTGTTCTCGATGACCACTCCTTTGTCGAATGTGGCATCTGTCGAGGGAGCTATTCGCCAAAAGGTTATCGCGAAACTGATCTATACCTAACGCTCGCCGTTCTCACGAAACGTACCGTTCACAGCTCACTTCCAGCCTTGAGCCGTCCGAACTTACTATCACCAACGATTCTTGGAAGCACCGCCATCATGTTGCTATGAGAGAACAAGGTGGGGGTAGCGGGGAAACGCGTAAGTTGAGGTCGATAATCCTCGTCGGTCAATTTCTCACTCACTGTTCGCCCCAGATTTTTCCGTACAGATCGTGTCAGAGGCGTTTAAGGGAAAGGTGCACACGAAATTTATTCCAAGTGATCCATCATCTCATTGTTGATTGCGATAGAACACCATGCAGAGGCATCGCATGATTTACTCCCTCCTTTCTGATGAGTTCTCGAAGGGCTTGCATGCGCTCTCCTTGAAGACAAAGACCCCTGACGAGACTCAAACTGTGTGATGTACAGCCTAAAATGATGCGTCTCAATGCAGATCATACGACGTACCCTCCGTGGTTGTCCAGGACGACTCTCGGGATGCTGTGCCTAATATACATGTCTTTGGCTACACTACATCCGTGTGGAGACCAGTTTGTGGGATGCCAGTACTCTCGGACCTACCACTTCCGCAGTTAGCGACGAGGGCAAATTCAGTGCAAATTCAGTGGCCAATGTATATAGGGTCGCTTGCATACTGAGTAACTTCAGTCAACCCAATCACACCATCCCTTCCTTCCACAGAATGTCTGGTCCTTCACGTTCATCAAATAACGAGGGTCGGCGCGGTGGGCGACCTGTCCTACCCCCCATTCGAGATCTCTTTCCAGGTATTGATCACCAGTTTTCGTGTCGTTGCAGACGCCCTTATCATCCGATAGATCATCTCGCCGGGCATTCGCAAGGCTCCTCCCAAGAGCCGCCGTACCTGACCCTTGCTCAGCTACGCGTGAGTGACGACGACGACAGGTCACCTCGACCACCGTCAAGGTTGATTGGGCCAGGATATCATGTAATGTTCCCCTCGAGGCTCTCGACGGTGACCGATTCTCTGACGCGTCTTTTCTAGCCTTCGACGCACTTTCCTACTGCGAGCGCGCATCAGCATCCTCGCGACCCCGTGCAACCTCACCCTCGTCATCCGCAGGCTTATCAGTATCCTCGCTATGATTCACCTGACCCTTCTTCTCAGCGCCAAGATAGACGCCAACCCTCCCGCCACGATGTTGACTCGAGGGCTGAGCACCATCGTGGGCTTCCAGGTTACCCATACGATCCACAGATGCCCCAAGGTTACCCGCACGGCACTGCTGCACGTGGAACCGAGGCAGCTTACGGTAATAGACAAGGTCACCCTTCTTGGGATGTCCCACCTACGTCATACAGAATGGGGACACCTCAAGCTTACTACGGATCTGCGCAAGATGCTCATCTTCACCGTCCTAGGACAACGGTGCAGACTAGTATGGGCTACCATCGCTCCACCGAAGACGAAGAAAGGACTCCCACCGTCCTTTCTCGTGAAGGGGCGTCGTCGTCGACTGCCTATACCCATGGTCACCGGCCCTCAACGGCAGAAAGTACTTCAGATGCCCCCGATAGTTCATCCGCTAAGTACGAGTGCGAATACTGTGGCAAAGGCTTTAACAGAGTAAGCCCAACACCCTCTCCGTTGATGATCGTTGACTGACGCTTGTGATACGTAGCCATCCAGCCTCAAGGTACGTCGATCGTTTAAACCAACCTCTGATTAATATTAAGACCCTGCAGATTCATCTCAACAGCCACACTGGAGAGAAACGTAAGTACGAGGCCTTCTGACCGTCGATCACACTGAATAACTTCCGGCAGCGTTTACGTGCCCCTACCCAGGATGTGGACGAAGTTTCAGCGTACTGAGCAACATGAGACGCCACACCCGAGTTCACACCAATCAGGGTCCGTTGGTTGGTGAAACTGAAGCAATCGGTCTCTACTCTGACCCGTACGCGGCAACCGCATCCTCGTCTTCGATTGGCCAAAGTCAACCAGCACATGCGCACCACGACGCCTCGTTCACGTCGTACCATCGCCGTGCCAGCAGTGTTTCCTCTTCCAGCGCTAGCTCCCGTCGCAGCCGAAGCCCAACGCCAGACGATCCAACGTCTGCAAAATCTCGTCCTGAGAAACGCAGCCGCCACCAGTACCCTAAGTAACTGTTTCATGATCGGTCGCGTATTGAGCCCGTGAGCATCCTGTTTCTGCCGAGCCTTCTCTTGCATCTTTATGAAATTTAGTAGAAAGACCAATAACTATTTATAGACCATATATTTATGTCTCGACGTAGCGTAGCATGGACTCTCGTTTTACTTGCTCTATTTGTTCAGAATATTTATTTGCTCACAGTATCAACTTTCCATATTTATCATCATTTGTGTCACATAGCATACTTGTAGTCAGGCTGGTTATATAAATATTCACCGTTACATCAACGCTGCAAACGTTATACAAGTACAGGGTTTCGTATATTAGTACTGTCGGAAGGGTATGTCCCCGGCGCACGGATTCTCCACAGGGTATACAAGTTTCATCATACTAGATCGATCGACCTGACGTAGACCGCGTTCACATCGAGATGGCGCGGCCTTTACCAACATCACGCATTTCCCGTACGCGTGGGCGACCTCTGACGGTTGCATTGGAGTCGATGTCCGGCATAGTCTCGAAGGCCTGGTCTGCCCGCAGATAGGTGATCGCGCGGGGACTCTTGTGAGTGAAACCGGCGAATGCAAGCGCTTTGCGCACATCCAGGATTTCTGCTCCGTGAACTTTGTCGCGAAGCATGAGATCTTTGGTTGCGTCTGCAGGCGCGCCATTAGCTGGCGCCAGGGGCTGCGGAAACAGAGACCGTCAGGGGAGTTTACGTTGCAGGAGGGCAGGAACATACTTCGGGTGGGATGTCTGGATCGAAGTGCTTTGTGTCCTCTGGGTTGCGTAGCTCTGGGCGGTAGGGTGCAGGGTACCGGTGAATGTTAGCCCAATCAATTCCCTTGAACCACGGATGAGCCTGTGCAGATTTGAAACATTAAAGCCGGAGGACAATTAAGATGAATTTGATTTTACCTTGATCTGCTCAACACCGTCGACGCTGGTCGTACTGCCTGACGGGTTAATGAACCCGCTTCGCCGAGCTTGGACGACCATAGAGTCAGGCCGCGTCACACTTGCCGATGTCTGTGAGCCCAAGCGATCCTCAGGCTCGCAGAGGAGTTGCTGCATGAGGCTGACTCCCTCATGCGACACACGTGGGCGAGACGGAAAACGCAACGATTGTTTCCAATTCAATATCTTTTGACGGGTGACGTGGCGCTGGGGTGCTGGGGTGAGCAAGGCCGGGCAAGGAGGCGGCTGGGATGAAACACATCTTAAACATACCGAATTGCTGACAAACGGGGGGAATCTGAAATACATAGTTCAAGAGTCAGCAGGCGTGCTTAGTGAGTGTGCGAATGCTTACCCGTATAGGCACTCGAACATGATAACTCCTAGACTCCACCAGTCACAAGAATAGGAATAACCGTGGCCTCGAATAACTTCGGGGGACACTGATAGACGGTTATAGAGCTGAACCTGACTGCGAACCAAGGTCGAACAAACGACTTACTGTACGAATTGGTTCCGCAGCTAGAGGTGGCATAAGCAAATCTCGTTCTCAGGTGGAGATCTGGCACTTACACTGAGTACGCCAGCTAGGTCAAAGCGGGGTTCTAGGGAATGAAAAGAATGAAGGGTAGTGATGGAGCACACCTTTCGCCTGTTCCTTTCTCGCCATGTGAAGATACCACCCTGTCCTTCTCCGCCCATGAGAAGTTCGACCTCTTTGCGGTCCATTCGCCTCGTTTTCCTACCATCGGCAAGGCCGTTACTATCTTCGAGATCAATGCCATGCTTGTGTAGCAGTTGTAGGCGTTGTTGCTCGTAATCTAGAGTAGTCTGGTCACAGAGATATAATATGAAATGGAAATTGACCAACACGTAGTGTCATGCGCCCAATGTAGATCAGTTCTGCACGTTAAGATTAAGGGCAGTGTCGAGTCAGACAATAACATGCTCACGCCAATCCAAAATCACTCAGTTTGATATGTCCTTCTGGATCAAAGAGAAAATTCTGTCCAATGGATGGTGAGCGATGCATAAATTATTTATACAGTAGATGGCTTACATCAGGTTTAATGTCCCGATGGATGAACCCGAGCTTATGGCATGATTCGATAGCAAGGACCATCTAATAATAGAGGGTACATCTACCAACCTTCAGAAAAACATAGCCAGAATCCTTACCTCTGCAACATAAAACCTCGTGAAGTCTTCCTCGAAGACGTCTCTCTCGATGAGGAGGTTGAGGAGGTCTCCTCCTCCCATGTACTCCAGTACCTGGTGATATGAAATCAAAATGAAATCAGAATTTAATTTCCTTAATCTGATACGTTCATATAATAGAACTAACCAGGTAGAGATTATCCCTATCTTGAAAGCTGTAATGTAACTTTACAATCCACTCGGCGCTACCAGGAGAATGGACCATGGACGCGGACTTGAGGATATCGCGTTCGGCTCGAACATGCCCCTCCTGGCCCTTACGCAACATATCTGCCTTTCGAAGCTGTACCAGTCATCGTAATCCAGTCATCAATATTGTTTTTGATGGCCTTTCATTAAAAAAGAGGACGCCCACCTGCTTCATTGCGTAAAGCTGGTTAGTATGCTGTTCTTTCACCAAGGAGACCACTCCAAATGCACCTGAACAAGGTCACTACGGAAGATGAAGGGCAAGGAATTTTCTTACCGTGCCCAATTGTCTTCAACTTGATAAAGGCGCTTACATCGACCTTACGGCGTCGTTCGCGAAGATAATCGGTTTCATTTTGTCTCCATCGCGCCCGGAGATTCTCCTTTTGTGCCTCGCTGAGTTGCATTTGGGCCATATCCTTTTCCATGGCAAGACGCCGTTGTTCTCGTGACGGGGGTTGCCGAAAAAGAGGAAAGTACAGATTCTCGAAATAGATCCTAGCTGAGACAGCTTTCTCAAGGGTGGCGAGCGATGGGGTGATAAATTTCTTCGGGGGAGGCGGCAATTCGAGAAGATCTTTACTCTCCGATGTAGGCAAGTGCTCCTCCGTTTCCTTACCTTCAAGGTGGGTCTTGAGGCCACCTTCCCAGCGGATAGTGGAGTTACCCGGACGTCCTGGAAGCCCTTCCACATGAACGGGGTTGACACGAAAGTTCTCCCTCGCAGCAGTGGTGAGAGTCGAAGACGTTACTGAGCTTATACCATTGACAACGCGAAGAGGCCCTCTGAAATCATCACGACTATCTTGGGAAGGTTTAAGCGCATTGACCACCTCGTTGACCGCTCTGACTTGGTTTATCTGCCGAACACGATCTTTGATGGGGTTTGCCCACCGCGGATCTAGGGATTTGCACGGTTCATGAGTGAAGTGAGTTGATGAACCTCTTCAAGTCAGTTTACCTCCAAGTTTGCCAAGTCCATCAGGCCCCCAACGCGTGAGGAGGGCCTCGGCCTGGTCTGCATCAGACGCATGCACCAGGTGTCTGTAGGTGAAAAGGTAAACAGTAATCGAGTTGGTTGAATGCTGTAAAACGCACATGAACCCCGTTGGGTGTGAAACCATATCCTTACTGATCCTCCGACCTTTCCTGAGGCCCGTAGGCGATACATTCGCAGAGATAGCCGGCGCGACGGGCTTTATTTCTGGGGGTATACCAGCAGGTATTTGCTCGTATCGGGGACCAGCTACGATCGGTTCTGACGGAGGAGCAGGTGGCCCCCAAAGCAAGCGAGATGGAGAGGGTGTTGGAATCATAGCCAAGAGGTCATAGAAGCCCTTGTGAAGCATCGTCCCTACTGGTACGCTGGACGTGGGCTCTTCACGTAGATCTGGGGCCCCATGATCTGAGAACGGTGAATACGGTACTTGTGAGTTAAAATAGGGGTTCGTGGCCGAGTACATGGCCGGAGACCTTGGAAGATCATAGTAGTACTCGGCCCTCGTCGTTGGGAGCGCTGGCAAAGGTCGCCTGGAGCCCATTGTGGGAGGAGAGTCGTTGGCGACGGTAACAGCGCTGCACGCTACCAGTGAATGATCCACTGTCACCAAACATGGTAATTTCTGGCCACGTGCCTCATGCCCCGACTGAGTTCGCCTGCTGGTGGCCGCGACGCGACTTGGCTTTTCCCCTTTCACAGCGAAACACCCTTGCTGAAATGCGGTGAGGGCGACTCCTTTTTCGCTTCGACCGTGGAATCCCGCATGCATCCGTTGGACGCGTCGTTGCCTTACCTCAACGAGTAGTATATCCTTGCCTCGTGGACACTGCATGCAGGCTGTAACTTGCATGCTTCAACGGCAACGGTGTCCGTCATACGTATCAAGGATGATCAGCTTTCCGCGATCGAGAAGCCAATGTCATTGCTGAATCTGAATGGCCGCAGCGCAACTCCATTTGACTTCGACCGCCGGGCCTACCGCCAGGCAGCTTTCTAGACAGTGCACGATCGCTGCTGTGCCATGGCTGGGTGGGAGCTCGTCGCCCAGTTTGCCCGGGCTGATCATGTTCAACTATTGGTGCGCACTTCTTTGACCTTTTTCACCTAGCATCTAGATGACGCTTTTGTAGTGGGAAAGTGACGAAATGATGTTAGCAGATAAATAGATCGATTACTCGGCCAAAGCCCCGGTTTAAGTTACACGAGGCTTTCATTACAAGGTAATTAATGAAGCATGTTTTCAAAAAATGTGATGTTACGCCTGTTACAACAACTTGCAATATTCGAGTCCCGATCTGGTACAACCGAAGCATTGCTATACTTCACTCGCCAAAACAATAACAAGCTTACCATTAGTCCCCATCAACGCCCCCTCCCGACAAGCAAGACTCTAGCCTGCGCCAGCCCGCACTCCTTCCTCCCACCACGCTCCTGTCCCACCTCGTGGATTGTGCCCCCCAGTACATGCGTCGCCCTCCGACTGACATACCCCTGGTGCAGTAAACGGTCGCACAAATCCACTGCGGGCTTCCGCGTGTCGCCCTGTACTTAATCCCACATAGTTTTCATCTGGTACTCATAATATTCCACTTGCTGCATTTCCTCTCTTTTCTCCTTCTTAACCTATCCACTTTTCCACTTACTTATAATATGGCACACCCGAGAGACGAGCGCTTTTACAGCAGCGTAGGAAAGCAGCGCAGGACACCGCCTGTGGGTGATACTGGTGGATTTTTTGCGACGGGACAGGGTGGGCGAACAGTGCTCCCTCCTCTTTCTTCTGCTTTTCCAACAACCTCACGTTTTCCAGGTCTGTTTTTCTAATGTAGTGTCTGCATGCACCACGCTCAAATCCTAGTTCATCCGTGTAGTGCCCCAGCCATTCACCAACCAGTACGCGCAACCGCGTTCATCTCCTGGTCGTTATGACTACAACAACCAAGCACTGTATAATCAACAATGGCCTAATGCCAGTGGTGAGTCATTCACGATCCCATTTCAATTCTGATCGAGTTCACGTCGAATGGATCCTGACTTGAACGAATTCGAGGTGTCGCCCCGCAACATACACCATCATACAACTATGAGTACAGCGATCCTCGCTATACGTTACAGCCGTCTACTTATCCATCGTATCCCACTCGAACCTCGCCGCCAATCCCAGATGGACTCTCGGACTCTCGCCGGCTAGCACCTTTGCAACCAGGACGCGACGACAAGCAGTGGCAGACGTCGACGTACTCTGCAGCGCCATCCAACAACCACATTCGCTCGCCAACTGCATCCTATCCAAATCAGTACTACCAATCCGACCAGAGTCACTCTTACTCATATGCACCTATGAATATGAATCATGCTCATCATGGGACATCGATCAGTCCCCATCATGCATCTTCTGTCGCACCACCCCGAGTGGCATCGCCGTACGCTGAGTCGTCCTCTCAGCCGTACACGCCTCCTCCAGTGTCGCCAACTACCGAAGAACCAATGATCAAGAAGAAGCGTAAACGTGCCGACGCCGCGCAACTGAAGGTCCTCAACGACGTCTACAGTCGCACGGCGTTCCCATCGACTGAGGAGCGCCTTTCTCTGGCTAAGCAGCTTGACATGTCGCCAAGAAGCGTGCAGATATGGTAATATTTTCGTTGTGTTTGTTCAACTGATGCCTAAACTGATCATCTTCGTAGGTTTCAAAACAAGCGGCAGTCTATGCGGCAGACTAATCGCCAGTCATCGACCATGTCGTCTTCGACTCATCAACCATTCAGCATCTCGTCGGGGCCAGACCCCTCGGTTGATGATATGCTTCATTCGAATATGGGGTTTGGAAGTAGCTCAATGTCGGTGGCTGGCTCCTCCTATGGCATGGCACGCACTTCCCCCGATCCAACTCGTTCGATGATGCATTCCACTTCTCCCACCGTGCCCCCTCGTCGTCCAGGAAGCTCTGGGGACGATTCCCGCAAATGGAACGGCAGGGGATACTGATGTGCGGTTCTCTGGAGTCGATGATCGTAACCACCTTCGAGAACCTTGATCTTAAACTATGCTGCTCTTGACTTTCCGACAGCCTCTTTAACCTTTATTATAATGCCCCTTAATGATCCCAGACCCATAATGATACCAGGTGTACAAGCATACATAACCATACAAATTCACGACCTTGTATTTCTCATTATTATTATACCAGTCTTTGCTACTTATGACTTAGATAGTTCTGTTACTTGTATTCCTTGCAATTGTAGTTGTCGTTATTATCATTGCTATCGTTGCTTTCAAAGGTTCTTTCTCATACTCCGCGGCCTGGTAGCAACGATCAAGCAATAGAGTTATGTGCAACGTAAAATCTAAACTCGCCATCACTTGAGCGAAGATCAAGATACCGAGGAAGGAATTTCGTGAAATTAGTTATTAAACCGGCGAGTTAGCAAGTGCCGGCGGTTTTGGAATGAAATGAACGTCTCGAAGTATAAATCAAAGCTCTTCATATCCAGGGCGACCCTCGTAGAATCCTGAGTGGTAAATAATAATATAAATAATAAATACCACAGTGATTAGTTATACAAAGTTGGAACAGCGACATGCGGCCCTCGATAACGTTATGCAGCCCGCTGGTACGTCAAATCGATATCGATTTACTAGGATAGGAAACCCCATGGTTGACATCAAAGCGTAAAGTCACAAGGAACGTATATCCACTCGACTATTGCGAGCGAACGCCGTGTCGACGAGCCCTGAGCGGCAATGTTCTTCTGACCATCCTGTGGGAGGCAAGGAGGCACTGGGCTGAGGGTGTGGCTTGTTGAGATGGTGGGTTCGATCCACTGTTTCCAATGCCGCTGCTAGTGGAGTTACTCGATCCGACCGCCGTCGAAGTGGCAGGAGCCTTCACGGACGTAGTAGGAGAGGGTGCCGCCTCGTGACCGTCGAATGTGACCGGCGGAGGACCTGGGATTGTGAATGTCCCAAAATCGGTGTATATATTTGGGAACGTGACACCGTCATAGAGCCCAGGGAGTGAAACGAGATCGCTATCTGAAGGTTTGCCCTGCCCTGAACCACGCACATTCACCTGGCTAAGACACGATGTGAATGAGAAGCAGACGAGACCCGGTGGGGGGGAACACTCACGCGCAGGCCGGGTAGTACTGTGGAGATCCAGCGGAGTGCAAGGCAATACTAACGGTGGAATAAATTCTAAATCAGTATTGACCGGGTTGATTGGAGTTGCGGCTTACATTTCATGGCGCATGAGCTGAGCACGCGGAGGAAATGAATACAAGGGAAAGGAAGAACGCTTAATTACTCACGTATTGCCCAGCGGCTAACTGGTTAGGTATCTGGCTCGTCCAAGAGCTTCCATCTGTGATCAAAGTTCAAGCGCACTTAGGGCCGAATGCTTAAGTGCGTATTTTGTAATCACCCACCAGCTATCAGCTTTGCGGATGCCCATTGGCCATTGTCATACCCCGCAGCGTCTATCTTGAACCAGCGCGCACCAGATGTGTCGAAGTTCGTGCAATCGCCGTTGCAGGAGGCCATGTATGTTGAGACAGGGCCTAGATGATCTGAACATGACTCCATGAGGCTATATTTGGGACACCATCAAAAAGAACTATCATACCACCTGGCCACTAAATTCTATTTTATCAGAAGATTTGCTTTAAAAAGGTGAAAGAGGTGACGAACATAATCCCATTGAAATTGCACGTTTGATCCAGCATCCGCATCGGCCACAATCTTGGTCCCGGTCTGGCCACCTGCACCACAAGCGATGTCGGCCGTGTTGGCTGGGACTTTTTACGATAGATACATTGAGTTAAGCCTGTACGTTCTCCGGACCATGGTATCGGGGCACACGTACCGGGACCATCGCTTTGGACCTTGCGGATTACCCTATCAGGTACTGGGCTTGCGTAGCTAGATAGGCAGATATTATACACGGGGGGATGCCAGAGGCTGAGGAACACCTTACGGATCAGAAAAAGGTTGCCACCCAGTATACGTCTGGCCATTGGCTACGATTTGGTGAACGAAGCCGTGACCCGCGGCTGATGATGCCTGGAGTAAGGCAGTGGCGCCGATGAAGATGCTCTGAGCCGACAGATACATTTGATGATTAGGTGTGCTTTGTCTGAAAGGGAGCTGAGCGTAGCTTCTTATACACGTACTGAATCGTAAACACGAGGCCTCCTGATGGGAGGAGAAACAATGAAGGCCACTTGACACGAACGTGTAAAGCAGGCTCAGAGCTGCGGATGTAGCCATTCATGAAGCATTGCTCGTATTCTCATACACACCATGCCGGTACGACCAGAACTTGACCTTCATCCTAGTGGGACTTGCGATGATCATAAGTTGCCAAAATGGGTAGTATGTAAGTCGATTTAGCGCTCGAACACACTGGAGGTATCATAGCAGCTAGCGCCCACATCTTCACCGCGTCCGACGTCCGCGACGGTCCGCTGCCCCATAGGCAAATGTTGCCGTGCCCCTCATGCCTTAATCTTGCACAACCATTAAAGAGAACCATTAGTTCATGCCGAAGTAAATCGTCCATAGCGGCCATGCGTCTCCGGGCAAATCCTACATGCCACATACCAGCTCCCTCGACTAGAAGAGGGTTCTCCGTCTGCCGGGCTTGCAACAACGCAGACAAGACAGCCTCTAAACTTACAACAAAGGCCTTTCTCCCTCGACGCGAAATCCTCACTCTGCTGCACAAAACGGATAATTTCTTACCGCGCGTTCTTCTTTCGCCAAACCCATGGACTGCGTCGCTTCACAACGTGTATCAAGACTTAAATTCACAATCCAACTCACCGGCTCGTGTTGTAGGTGAGTTAATCCATATCACAGGTGTGTAATGGATACTCACCAGTCGCGTTCCCTCGAAGTTTATGGGATGGATGAGTGGTCGGGTGCCCAAGATTTAGTGACCGCGTTACTAGAAGAGCCTTTTAGCTCTGATAGCTTTCAATCTGAATACGTTAGGGGTCGATGGCGAACAGACGAACGCAGTATAACTCTAGAGTAAGTGCATTGCGTCCATATGTTATACTCTAAGAATAGCTTAATCCACTGAAACCATCAGCGAAGGGCAGTCCTCTTATCTCCGGCATTTTGCTTTGCCCGTTCGCTTGACTGAGGTTAGACCTCCCTCGCACCCCAACACCGCGCGCAATCACCCCAACACCATCGAACCGGGAGACGTGACTTCCCTCGTTGATGCCGACATTCCCATCATCGTATGCAACCCACTTACCACGCCTCTTCATACGCTGTTCTCTAACCCCGGATTGCCATGGCACAACCCCCGTGTCATTGTCGTACTCACGTCGTCCGGGACGCTGCCGCCACTGGCTCATCTCATATCCGTGACACCCCCCACAGCACATGGTCGACAAGTGGCACCGGAACTGAAGTCTCGCCTCCACAAACTCAAAATCCTCACGATTGATCCTTTGCGTGCCCTGGGCGCGCTGAATACGCTCAAAGCAAGTCCAACGTCAGCCACTGCCATCCAAAGGTATCAGGATGACTTCCTCGGCTCGGGAATATCATCACTCTCCCATACCCTTTCGGAGTATCTGGATTTCACAGAACCAGACCCATGTGGGGATAATCTACATCTGCGGGCTACAACTCAGTTGAGAGGCAGCTTGGACGCGTGCAAGTCCTTCCTGTCAACAAAGAAGGCCGACTTGGATGTCGTGGTATCGGGCGTGAGCGAGTTGAGAAGGGAGATAGCCAACGTGGAGGAAGGTCTTTCCCATAAGATCTTTGACATACCGCAAAATGCGGATCCTGCCACGCGGTCGGAAGGACGGGCTATTGGTGAAGTAGAACGCTCGTTGAAGGACTCGGAGCAAGCCATGAAGCTCGTGATGGGCCGTTTAACCTGGTGGCGAATGGTATCCCAAGTAGACGAAATTGGCACTGTCGTAGCCGATTCGGTTGCACGGACCTGGTGTAGAGACCTCGACGCCAAAGTAGGCAGATTCTCTCCTATCGACTCCCCAATTCTCACTTTAATGCCCGTACTATCTTAGCTACTCATTCATACTGGGAACCTCACCTACACGCAAGAGCACCTTACATCTACTACGATGCATCTACTTCGTTCTCTTCCCCTCTCATCGCCCGTCCTTTTGAACACACTCCTCCAAACGTCTAGTTCCCCAACCTACCCGCTCACCCCGACCACACTTACAGCTCCTTTGCATCGCAGACGGGCCCAAATAATCGAATACCCGACCACGAGATTGCAGCTCGCCGCGCAAAGGGTGACGATTGGGGTGCTGGGGAGTGCTGGGGCAGGTGCGGGAGTGTCATGGGCTGGATGGGTTGGGTGGTTAGCTGAGAGCGGGGTGTTCGGGATGCCAATTGGCGGGACGACGGCGCTGGGCGTCGGGGTGTTGAGTACGCTCGTAGGAGTGAGATGGGCCGTCGGGCGATGGGAAAAGGCCAAGAAACGTTGGTGGGAGGATTGGCACAGAGTTGGAGATGGATTGGCCCGGGACTTAAAGGTATATTTCCCATCATCACACGACCTTGTCTTTCGAACACCATACTAACCAACCATCGACCTTTAGTCCAATCTATCTGAGACTATATCATCCAACATAGTCATCGTACCCCACATAGCATCTAAAAAGCTGCTTGAGTTAGTGGAGAAGAGGAAAAATGAGATCGCGGATTTGGAAGATGAATTGGATGATCTCGAAATTGCGATGTCGAAATTGGAGGGCAAGGAGGGGAATTGAGCGTCGACCTCAACTTCTACCGTTAAACATTGGGCGTGATCGATTGATCGTTGATGGATCATTAATTTGAGTAATTTATTACCTTTTGAATGATATTTTCCTAGAGGAAACTACACATCGCAAACGCGCAACGAGACTGTCACCAAGATCCTTTTGCAAATGCGAATGATCTATCAGCGAACTGAATGCGAATGTACGTTCGTGAGTCTACATTTTCCCTACGTCCATGCAAGGAGATACGAAACGACCTCGAATAGTTTTCGCGTTCGCGATCAGTAAAATTCTCCAGGCTCATACGACAGCAGGAGCATGAGTTCCTTGGTGTCCTGAAATCATAGAATATGCGACCAGCCCTCAATAAGCACCTGAGATCGACTTGCAAACTCTGAACGTGAAAAGGGGGAGGAGGGGTAACAAAGGGGGGAGGTTCAATTAAAGGTTGCGCCGATCGGCACACAGCCACCAGTGCCGGATTGTGTTTCCCCGAGCACGTGTTGCAGACGCCCACTAGTTACTTTCAAGTCTGACTGTGCAGTGCTGAGTGTATCATCATCAATCACCACCACCGCAGTGGGTCATCAGCGACCCCAGCCGAGTCTCGACTCTTCATACCACATACCGCAGACTCCATACGTGTCTCTGCTCGGTGCGCTGTCGCTGTCGCGGCCATTGTCGGTGTGTACCATGTCTTGGGCGCTATATTACACTCAAAGCTGATTATGAATAGAAGAAACGGTGGGGACTTGCTGGTAAACCCGCATTGTCGTCGAAACGAAACCCGGGTATTCCGTGCTGCGCAGTGCGTATACTATACAGTGTAGCAGCCACCATCGCTGCACAGAGTCAGACCGTCGAAGTCTACCCACTACCCATCACCGTCGGCATCGCTGCCTTACCAACGCCAAAGCTTGAAGCTTGAGGTCCTTCCTGAACTACGTCGACTACCCACCGGCACCCTCAAGAATCAAGATGGCACCCCCCTTCATATCGACGGCCATACCCTCATCGCATCCAAATAATGGGAACGCGAAATCCCTCAACAAACTCCTGCGCAAGTCTGCAAAGACGCTCATGCGGTCACATCGCTTCAAGATTCCGAAGTATGATCTGCCGATACGGCTGCGGCCGGTGAGTACATCACTATTTCTTCTTGAATTGGGGAGGAAGAGGGAACAAAGGAAGTGACAGGGAGGGGAGGGGATAATAATCATACAGCGGTTAGCTGTCGACGCGCCTCCTCCCTTGAATCCGGACCCACGCTCAATCCCCATGCAACGCGCCCTCACCCTCTAACATTTCCTGCACTAAGCTAACATCTAACCTTCCCTTCCCTTTCCTAGTGGTTCCTCGTCCTCACAACCCTCGTCATGATCATCCTCGCCTTCCTCGGGTTCACCAACTTCGCCCACGCGCTCCCCCTCAACGACAAAATCCTCCACTTCGTGTGCTTCATGCTTGCGACCGGCGTCTTCTATTTTATATTTGATGTCGAGGAGTGAGTGTCTAATTCGATTTCAAATACTCAATTTTACTCCGGTTTACCAATATCCCGTATTCCAATGCTTCGATATTCCCCATCCCCCGACCTAGGATAGTGGATGCTGAGGCTCAGTGCTGGTTGAGATTGATTACTGACGCTCGTTTCTTTTGTGGATTTCTAGGGAGGCGCGCCGGATATGGTTCTGGCGGCACGCGAACATGCTGCTTACTGGCTTCATATGTTTCTTCTGCGGCGGCATTATGAGCGAGTTCGTTCAGTCCATGTTACCTGTGAGTCTCTTCTCCTTTGGTTTCCCCTACTGAATTTTAGTTCGTCAATACTGATGGCTCGTTGATAGTATAAGGAGTTCCAGTTCGGTGATGTCGTGGTACGTCGCTTCGATTCAATCATCTATCCTACAATCTGCCTTCTTGAATCTACAACTGACGATGTCCTGGATCGCATTACTTCTTACCTATTCCCTGTAGGCGAACCTTATGGGATCCTCTGTGGGGTTGTACGTCGCGTACCATTTGGAGAAGTATTACCGATACCGGAGGGAGGTGAGTGTCGTTTTGCCGTTTCTTTATTTTTTTGCACGTCATAATTTCAATTCCTCACTTAACTAACTCATCCTGACTACCCATACTCGCGTCCAATGTAGATCGCCCGCCTGTACCGCCCCATCGAGACCGACTACTCGTCGGACGACTCCGAGGACGAGGATTCGTTCAGCATGACGGCGCAGCTTCTCCCCCTCCACACCACCACCCGCCCCTCCTCGAACACCAACACCAACAACACCAACACCCACTCCAACACCAGCGACCCATTCAGCGATCCTCCAAACAACACCCGCGATAACCGCAGTAGCGCGAATAACTCGCGCTACATCCCGTCGAACACGGCGAAGCTGCGCGAGCAGCGGCAGAGGAACGGGGGGAAGAAGAAGTCGGTGAGGTTTACGGATGTGTGGGATGCGGGGGAGCGGGAGGAGCTGTTTGCTGTGGGGGATGCGGGGGAGAGCGATGAGGATGACGAGGATGTGCCGCTGGCGGTGAGGAAGGGGAGCTTGACTACGGGTGGGAGGGATGTGAATGGGCGGGGAAGTGGTACAGGGAGAGGAGAAGGAGGGACAGTGAGTGGTATAGGGAATGGGAGTGGTACGGACGCAGTCGTCGCGGCGCAATCCCAATCCCACGTCGACTCGCGGCAGGATATCCCGAGAATATATGTCACGGACTCATAGCTATATATGATGTAGCTTGTGGCTTAGCTGGACCTCTGCTCCTCGTTCCTTGCGCTTTGCATTTTATGCTTTGCACTTTAAATTTGCTATCCTCGTACACTCACACTTACGCTTACACACGTTGGTTTATTTTATTTATCATCCGAATCGCGAATCGAGGACTCGTGCATATGTACGTCGAATTCTCTGGGTTTTTGCCATTTGGGTTCGCGACCGAAGGACTGGGTACTGAACTAAGTACTGAGGACTAAGTACTGAGGACTAAGTACTGGGCATGCAATACATGTGGCGAACAGTACTTGTGCGTAGCACGTAGACGCTGAGTGCGTCGCCACATCGCGAATATGCATATTCGTATAATCAGTAATCATATCGTGCGCCGTCGTCAATTCCCTTTCGAACGTATACGTAGGCAGCATCAAAGCGTGTTATATTGATAATCCAAATATCCAAATAGCATCCCGAGTCCCGTCACAGACAAAGGAGTTGCAAAGCAGAGGAATCCAAATCCAAATCCGATGTTTATCAGTCCGCATCCATAATCCATAATCCATAATCCATAATCCATAATCCATATTCCGCATTCCGTGAATAATGCAAGTACGTAAGTATATATGTGAGGTGTGAGTCGTGAATATGTTCTAAAATCTAACTCGAGCCAATTCTCTAAGTAAATACCGCTCGCCGTCCACGCCTCCGTTCTACGCGCCATCGCCATACCTCCCGCCCAGGTCCACGGCCGCGGGACCCGCTCCCCACTCCCCACTCCACCGCACTCCACTCCACGCCTATGACCAAAGAGACAATCCTCCCACCCATCCCACCCAACGAGACTGCCCTCCACGAAACCATATAGCCGCCCAGCGGCCCAGCAATGCATCCACCGACACGCCGCTTTTCCTACACACACGCTACGAGACCGCGAGGGCTCACGGCATCTCCAGTCCAGAACTCAAAACCCGTGTCGTCGCAGGGAAATAGGCAACACATCGGCGCCATTGGCGACGAATCAAGCGTGGGCGTGTAGTGCAGCATTGCGTGAGGAGTGAGCGTTGGGTAAAGAGGCGAGGAATGAGGCGCTGGGTAAGGTATCGCGGCGTTGATCATCAGTGCATCAACGGGGACATATCGTCAACATGTTGTGGGATATTTCTTGTGGGATTGACGACGATGTTATGTTTGGAAACGTGCACAACATGGAGAGCGTGGCGTTCGGTACTTGGTACGTAGTGTAGTGAAGGCGTGAGGTGTGAGGTGAAAGGTGAAGCGAGGCGAGGGGGCAAAGCAACGTGTTTTAGACTTCGCATTCCCCTTCACTTTGTATTTCGCACTTTGCACTTCGCAAGGGCGTCCGTCACACAGTTCCAAGTCGCCGTCCCGAGACACTGGAGGGTGGTGATTTCCCGCGCTCGACCAGACAACTGCGAATCCGCCTCTCCACGCTTCCAAGTCCATAATCTGCCTCCACGCTTCGAACTCGAAGTCCATGCCATGTTTTGACGGCGACTGTAGTGCGGACACCGAAAGCCCGTGAACCCGAGTCCAAGGAACCGAATCCCCGAAACCTTGGGTTGAGGAGACAGGAGACAATAGACAGTTTAGTGGGTTTTAGTGGGAGGGAGGGAGAACCGATGCGGAGCCCGATGTGGGGAGGTGCGTGCGTGTAGGAAGGTGCGTGTAGATAAGATTAGATCGAGGCGTGAATAGGGGGTAGGGGGTAGGGATAGGGGGATATAGATATAGATATAGATCCGCGGAACCAAAATCCCAAAACCAAGGGGAATTGAGAAAGGGGAACGAGAAGGGGAAAGGAAAGGGAAAGGGGAGAGGAAAGGAAGGGGGAGGAGGGGTATTGCGTTGCGTCGTGTCTAAGATTGCGAACCAATATCGAGAATGAGGATTGTCATTGTCATCGAAGCGAGACTGCGACTGCAAAAAATGCGAAAAATGCGGAGATGCGTCGAATGAGAACGTATGCGAAACGACCCCTCCTCGTCCCTCATCCCTTCCCCCTCCTGCCCTCTGCCACGCCCAATCGACCCTCGCCTATCCCAGGATCCCATCATCCTCACGTCCCACCATCCTCACGCAACCCCACCCACCCGTTCCGCTCGCCCGTATACCGTACGCTTGCTCTCTCCTAGCCACACGCCTCGGCACGCCTGCCCGCACCCGCACCTCCACGCCAATGCCCACGCCCACGCCTGAATCCACGGCGCGAGCACAACCGAGCAAGCAATCGAGTGTAATTGCGGAAAGGGGGTGTGAGGGTGAAACGGGCACGCGCGAGACTGGAGGCTCTAGGCTCTAAGTATGCGAGACACCCGCGCACACGCACACGCACACGCACACGCGAACCGCAAGACGCGAATATGCGAAATGCGAACATGCGGGAGACGAGGCCGGACGGAACCAGGTGCATGGGCGCACGTGTAGAGCGCGTGTCCGTTGTCTGCGTGTTCTGAGGGGTGGCGAGGTGCGTGGTCGATGGTGGGTCCAGGAGGAAGACAATGCGTGCGTGCGTGCGTGCGTGCGTGTGGACAAGAGCGAGGCGATGCCAGAACAGGAGTGTCCGAGTGATAATGAATCCGAAAAGCGAGTATGGCGAAGGCGATTACATGTTTTAAAAAAATGGGCTCTATCTATGTAGTTCCGAATTCCGAGTTCTAAGTTTGGAGTTTGGATGAAGAAGATGTATGGAAGTGGGGGAGGTGCTGAGAAGTTGCGCGGAACGTGTAGAAGGTGTAGAAGGTGTAGAAGTGTTGGGAAGTTGTTGGGAAGTTGTTGTTGTTGTTGTTGATGATGATCCGATGAACAATAGACCGCACCGCGTTTGGCTGCGCCACACAGTGCAGCGTAGCGCAATGTACACGAATACGCATACCGGGGCATGGCGAACCGCACAAGCTGTCACGAGGAACAGCCAGCACGCAGGCTGTAGACCGTTCACCATAGCACCGTAGCAAAGATGAACCGCAGATCCGCATGCAACGTAGCGTAGAAGGAGGAACAGCCCGACAGCCCGACGCACACGCCCTACAGCAGCAAGTACAGCAGCAAGGTTCTCCCGTTTCGTTTGTCCGTTTTTGCATTCGTCGTAAATGTAGATGTAAGGGGAAATGTGAGGAAATGTGGGAGAAATGTGAGGAAATGTAAGGGTATATTCCGTTGTATGCATGACGATGAATCGGAAATGAGGAATTGAAGAATGCACCATGCACCATGCTGTGTAGTGGGGATGGACGGATAATTTCAGAACGACCGCCTCCACTCAGCCGGGTAGCCCGCCACGCCCGCGCGCTGCATGAACTGCGGGGCGGCGCTCATGGGGAGGAACGTGGGCTCCTGCCTCTGTCCTTGCTGGAACGGGGGCTGGGGCGGGAAATAGCCTGGGTGCATCCCGGCGGAGTAGGGCTGCTGTGGAATAGTGCCCGAGTAGGGCTGCTGTGGCACACCGGCGGAGTACGGCTGGGGAGGGAGAGGGTAGGGCTGGAGGAAGCCGTTTTGGTAGGGCGGGGGCGAGATGGGGGGCGAGGACTATATGCGGGTGAACGGGTTGAATTGGTTGCACGGATGGGGATACGGATACGGGCGTGAGGGGTACGGACACGGAGGGAGAGCAGTAGGACGTACGACAAGCTGGACCTTTTTCCCGCGGGGCACCTGCACCACGAACGACGGCGGGGGCACGCCTGGTATGCCCGGTGTTATGGGGGGACTGGCGGGGTAGCCGTAGGGGGTGGGGCCGGGGAGGGGCGGGGCGATGATGTAGGCGGTGGTGGAGGGCGACTTTGAGCGGTGGCGGGGTCTGCGGGGGTGGGAGTGGGAGCGCGAGCGGTGGGAGGAGGAGGAGGAGCGCGAGTCGCGGTGGTGGTGGTGGTGATGCTGGGGAGGCGCGGGGGCGTAGACGGCGCCGTACGGTGTTGGGCCGGGGAGACCTAGCGGGACGGCCTGCTGGGCGTACATGTACCGTGCGTTGCCGTTTTGCTGTGCGTAAGGTGGGGGGCCACCGAAGGCGTAGGGTGCGCCGGGCGGAGGGGAGGGGTGGTACTGCGAGATGGAGTGGCCCGGGGTGAGGTCGTCGAGCTCTGGCGGGGGCGGGGCGAGGTCGCGCGGGGACTGCTGTGGCGGCGGCGAGTGGGTGGTGGAGTCGACCCATTTTGCGATGCGGGCTTGGGTTTCCATCTGGCGGCGGTATGCCTCGGGCGAGTAGTCGTATTCCGTCATCAGGCAATTAACGATCAACGATAATGATGTGGAGAGAGGAGAGGAAAGGGAGAGATCTAGAAGAGTGCAAGAGGAAGAGAGGCGTTGTTGTTTTTATAGAAGAGGGAGAGGGACCGCCACATGCGGAAGTTGCTCCCTCGTTGCGACTCTTGGCACATCCATCATTCCGTCCACACTCGACGACAGCATATCCACCCGTTCATTTCATTGGTTACCCGTTCATTATACTGTTACTCTAGTCTACTCTAATCATAAGGAGACCCACTCGCTCAGATGATCTAATCCACCTCCAACACCAGACCAGAACAAGACCGCAACCATAAATAGTTTGGTGACCGAGTCTCGCCAGCCGTCGTTCTTTCCCCTTCCCCGGAAATCCTCCCTTTATCAGATTCGTATTGCAAATTGCTCCCCACTCACTGTCCACAAACCACAAACCACATTTCCCCCTCTTCCGGTTCCCTCATGCGACACGTACGTCGTCATCGACATCGCCTTCGTATCCTCCCGGCCCCATCACCATCATGCGCATATTCCTCGGTCCCTTCATTCATTGCTCTCATGCACGCCTGCAAGCTTGATCCATGACCACCACCGTCAATCGAGGCTCCGACTCGTCCTTGCTAGATAATTCACCGATATCGATGACGCTCGCTGCACGTTCGCCTTCGCCTTGGCTGTACGTGATAATCCTAATTGCGGGCGGTTCGATGCATATAAACTCATGCATATGCATATGCATCAATCTCGACGTCATCCTCTCGTACTCATCCACCCTCTCTCGGATCCGCCACCTATTTCATATCGCTCATTTGCAACACCGGTGCCCCCCCACTCTCCTACTCTTTTACAAAACGCTAACGGCACTGCATCGTAATTATGACTCTCCGTATAGCTCTTATAGTAATGACCCCCGTGCGTATGACTGAGTGGATACGATCCACTATGATGAGTATGCAGTGCAAGGGTGGTGATTGGGTTGTAATTAACTGGTAATACTTCTTCATGTATGATCTATAACATGATGCATCGCCTTGATTCCTTTGATTCATAGGCAACTCGTGCTCGTGCTCGAGGAGATAAAAGTTCAAGAACACCGCGCACGATGACGATGGACGATGGATTATAAATGGATGGATGGATGGATCTCGAAGATGCTCCTTCCTTCTACAACTTGTTCTACTACTTCTTCTACTCCTCCTACACCGCATTCGTACTCGTGCATCGCCTATCAATACATGCATGCATCTTACTTAAGACAACATAAGAAGTATCATAACATCCTGTCAACCGCCGCGCAGCACCTACGCCGATAGCGCGTGCATCATACACATACACGCGCGCGCAGCGAGATAGTTCTTTTCCTTCCTCACTCACCGAGTTCCGACCTCCGATTTCGGTGCACTGGTCCTCCCTTGTCTCCTATATCCTCCTGTTTCCTGGCCCGACTCCTCACCGACCCTTCAATGCGGACTGCTTACCGTCCCCTCCACCATCCTCTTAATCGTAACCGCTCACCACACTGCTCTCTCTCTCTCTCTCGCGCGCGCATAACGCCACTAGGACTAGGACTATAACTATAACTATAACTATGGTTGCGGCTGCGATTGCGTAGTGTATAGCTATAGTATATATCAGTACCGACAATCCAGTGCAAGGTCTATGTGAAATGAATGATTGGGTGGAAGCAAATTAAATTTATATGGATATGAATGATGTATCGATGAATATTTGAACGTCAAGGTGCAATGAAGGACTCGTGCCCGCCAGGTGCTCAAAAAAATTCTTTGATAATACAACACTCCACACCACTTCGATGCACTCTCGATGCACTGTGCACGATGGATCACGCATCAGTGTCATGGATGGAGGGATGTTGAAGGTACTCCCCCTTCTCCTTCTTCCACTCCTCCTACTCCTACATCTCCTGCTTCTCCTACCTCGTACCCGTGCACCGCGTATCAACCACGTACGCACCATGCACCATGCACCAGAACATAACATAACATAACATAACACAAGAACTTGAAGCACCATAGCATAATAAATATCAATATCATATCATATCATATCGCGCGCTGCGCATCACTTGCGCAGATAAACGTACACCGTGCGGGCGCAGCGAGACAGATCCTTCCTCCGCTCAACTTTCGGTTTCGGTGCACCTCTGGACCTCCTCCTATCCCTTGACTCCTATACTCCTATACTCCCATCAAATCCCACCACCGCTACTGCTACCGTCCTTTGCCAGGCTGCCCAGGCATCACCGCACGCGCTCGGAGCTGCCTGGGGAGTACGATTACGACTACGACTACGACTTTGGGCGTGGCTTCGACTGCGACTACTACTACTATGACTGCGACTGGCGAAGGCTGTGGCTGGGACTGAGACTGTACGGCGTACATACATATATGTATACATGTAATACAGCGAATCATTGATGACTCACTCAGTGCAACTATAGCGCGCAAGGGGGAGGTCATTTAATATTTCATATTTAATATGATTGCGTTGTATGTATCATTAATTAAATGATTGATTGATGGACGGCTCGTGCGCTCTGCGCTCGCCCAAAGCGTCTGCATCAGACTTCAGTGTATTCAAAGTGCATCAGTGCATCAGTATATCAGTGTATTAGTGTATGAGTGTATTAGTCTACAGCATAGTCGACAGTATAGTCGACAGTATAGCCTTGGTGCATCACAGCTGGCCACGCACCCGTCCACGCGTCGCGTCTGCACATCTACCCGCCCGTGTATCGTGTATCGTGTATCGTGTATCGTGTATCAAGGTGATTGCGAATACTGAGGGCTGAGGAGTGAGGAGTGAATACTGACGGGGTTGACACTGCGCACGGTGCACGGTGCACGCGTCGCGCAGTCTGTCGATAGTATGATAGCATGCACGTGTTATCCGAGCTTATAGTATAATATACCTACTTCCTACCCTAGGCCTCTCCATACTATACCCTCACTTTCCCTGCCCCCTGCCCCCTATTCCCATTCGAACCCCGTGACTCCTCCGAGTTCCAGGAAGTAACTCGTCCCGGGACCGTACCAAACGCCACGGGTACTGGATAGATTGAAAATTGAAGATGGAAGAATATATTGAAGATTGAGAATTGAGAATAGGAGATTGAAGATTGAACTCTACAACGGTGCTGCAATCACACACCGTAAACCGTATACCACAGACCATAGACCGCACTCGTTCACGATATGCACATGGTCCACAATGCAGATACAGATGCAGATACAGATACAGATACAACGGACATAAGCTATGAGCCGTACCCCGCAACCCGTAAGCCGTAAGCCGTAAGCCGTAAGCGATAGAATAGGCGATGCAGTCAGAGTGATACTACATCCGGGAGCGTATGCTGGAAATACAATGTAATGTACACGGCGCAGCCGTTTAACGTTTCAAGGTTCAGTGCTTGAAATTTTGAACGTCTGAGATACCCAGTACCGATTTATTCTCCTCCCCCTCCACCCCCTAGCCTCCCAGTCCACCCTCCTTCCAATCCACCCTCCTTCCAACTCAACCCTCCATCAATCCAACCATTCCATTCTCTCAACTTAATTAACCTTTAACCTTCTTTTCCACTCCCTTCTCAACCGACTACGCTCCCTTACGCCCCGCCTCGTCCGCCTGCGCGAAGAAGCTCGTCTCCAGCTTCTCCTTGCTCCACCCATAGTGGTCGCGCAGCCGCGCGCCGAACGCCGAGATGTGGTAAGGCTGGAGCGTCGAGTCCGGGTGCGCTGTACGTACGTTCAGACGGCGGATACGTTGGTTGCATACATGGAATACATGGAATACATAGAAGGAGGGGAGGGGAGGGGAAGGGGAAGGGGGAGGTGAATGATTAGTATAAGTGTGGACGCGATATATATGGGATATAGGGAATGCGAAAGTACGAAAATGCGAAAGTGAGGAAAGACGCAGGACTTACGTTTGTGAAAGGTGATCGACTGCGTGCGATGAGGTGCAATGGGGGACAACGGAACGGATTTCAGTGAGTGAGGGGACGGGGTGAGTGGGGAGGTGGAAGCAGTTGGCGCACCTTGTCCCTGGCGCTGGGCGGCGTGAAGCGCACACTAGACCCTGCAGTACTCGGGTTGATCTCGAAGTCCAGCTCGGCCATGATCTACGAGGGTGAAAGCGAGGGTGTGGATGGGAGGGAGGGAGAAACGAGGTGTTTTCACCCACCTTCAAGAACTGCTCCCACCGCAGCGTCCCCTTGGGGGACTCCGCCTTGAACAGCACACGCACACTCTCCTTCGCCTTCTTCGACAGCTTGACGAACGGATTCGCTTCTTTCTCCTCCTTCTCCTTCTCCTTCTCCTTGCCCTTCCCCGCGGCACCGTCCCCATCCTTACCCTTATCCTTCCCCAAGCGCCAACGCGCGAAAAGGCCCTTCTTCCCCTCCTTCTCGTCGATAGGCGCGAGCCCCCCGTCGCCCGCGCCCGCGCGGGTCTTGGTCTTGGTCTTCGCCTTCTCCAGCGCATCTTTCACATACGAGTGCGACGACTGCGCTTTCTCGACTTGCGGAAGCGGGAGGGACGTCGTGGAGCCGTACACTGTTGGTGCGATGGAGCTGGCGAGAGAGGCGGTGGACGCGGCCGCGCGAGAGTGCACGGACGTTGGTGAGGTGGGCGAGGCAGGGGAAAGTGGTATAGACGTTGAAGAGGATCTCCTTTTTTTCTTCTTGGACGGGCTGGTAGGCGGGGAGATGGGTGCGGGGACGGCTGAACGGCCCACGGGGCTGGGTATAGAGGCAGCAGGCACTTTCGCCTTCTCGGCCGCGCCTTTGACCTCCTTCTCCTCCTCTTCGTCGTCCGCACCAGAATCCTCGCGACCGTCCCCATCACCGACGCCTGCAGCAGCAGCGGATTTCTTTTTCTTTTTCTTGGGCTTCTTTTTCTTCTTCTTGGGTGCGGTACTAGCGGCGTCGCCCACACTCTCAGCATCCTTGACTGTGGCTCCATGAGCAGCGGAAGGGCCTGATTATGGGTACCAACAGGTTAACGAGTTAACGGAGCAACCCATTAAATAATCTAACCTTTCCCAGGAGGAACCTTCAACTTCGGGCTCGACGAAAACATACGCCCTTGGGAGCCCATCTCAGTAAACTCCAATCGTATCCAAGAACCCAAGACATTCCCGAGCCTCAGCGATTCTCACTCACCTCTCAGCGACCCCAGCAACTTCAAAAACGAGTTCTTCTCCTTCCTCTCTTTCTCCTCCGCATCCTCAACCACAGGAGGCCGCTCATCCTCCCTTAGCGACTCGTAGAAATCATACTGATGCGCCTGATTCATCGCCTCCTTGAGCTGCTCCCTCAACTCATCCTCCGCGTCCGTATCGTATTCCCCTTCGTCACTTTCGTCGTAATCCGAGTACGGGGCGTCCGAAAATGAGGGGGAGCTGCCGTCGTCGCTAGAGGTCTCGTCGTCGGAGACGGAGAGGAGGAGGGGCATCGATTCATAGCCGCTGCCGTCGTCTTCGCCGTTGGTGAGGCGGAGGGGTTTCTTCTTGCTTCGCTTGGAGAGGGCGGGCATGTCGTCGTCATCACCGTCATCATCGTCGGGGAGTGCGCTTGATGGAATGTAGATGGCGTGCCATTGCGGATTGGGAATAAGGGCATCATCGAGCTGCCACAACGCATTGAGCGGTTTCCCGGATACACTCATGTAGTTCTGAGCATATAGGCCGAAGAATAAATAAAGAGGCCATGTCGAGAGGGAAGGAAGGTACACACGGCGTTGATAGTCTTCCACATCGACTCGAGGATGTGGGGCATTTTAGTCTTCTCAAGAGGAGAGACAAGGTCCTTCCAATTGGCCGTATTCTTCGTTGCTTCGAGGGAGTAACGCTGAGCGTCGAGGAACTCGTCGTACGCAGCTGGTGCAGAAGAACGCGAGTTCCTCCATCCCGAGGCTTCTGGCGACAAAAGCGGGGCTTCCATCAAATCGAGCAGCTCGACAGAGATCTACACCCAATATAGTTAGTTCCAGCATCGATGATATTCCATGGTGCTTGATGCATTACAGCAAGATCTCCAACGGAATCCCATAGTGCTTGGGGGAAGCGCTTGGCGTGGTGGGGTGCTTCTTCAACTGCATCGTGGAGGAGTTGGAAGAGCACGCCGGTGGGGTACGGTCCTTCCGGGAAGCACAGCTCGATGACGATCGAGTCAATGAATGATTTGCACGCGTCTTTGATCTTCAGACCCGCCCAATCGAACACTATCATGTCGTCATCGGGGTCCGTCGAGCCCTCTTTTTCTTTCTTGTGTTTGAAATAGTGGACGTACGGAGCTGTCTGGGGGTCAGTACGCTGATTTGATGTTGGTAAATGAAGCGAAAGCATACGCGTGACGGCAGCTATGGTAGCGAACTGCTTTTGCGTGATTCCGACGAGTACTTGGACGAGGTCGTACAGCACGAGGAAGCGCTCTCGTATTCTTGCATCGCTTTTCAGAAGTACCTTTACTCCAGACGACGTCGCGTCCGCTAACCCCATCTCTCCCAAGTCGATCAGGGAGTACAGGATCAATCGCCACGCAGACGCGAGCAGGTACGAATTGTGGATTCTATGCTGATGGTATCATATGCTGGAGAGGGCTTTGAGGAGAGGGCTAACCTAGAGATAACGAGTGAAGCAGTAGACGGCTTTGGTGACACACTACTGGGGGGAGTACGTGCAGTGATCTCGGCGTGCATAAGCGAATAGAACAACTCGGGATTGTGGAGGCTGCGAATGTCATCCAAATACGCTGACGCGCTATCAGAATTCCACATCAAACACTGAGTACTGAGACGTTGAGGTACCATTGCACTGAGATTCAGCAATTTCTAGACATTTCTCTAGCGAAAAGGGTGCAGCTACAGCTTTCTTGGCCTTGTCGGTGAGATCCTCTGCAGGGCATTTTCGTTGGGACGACTGTATTAACCACCAGATGCGACGCACCAGCAAGGAGGTCCAACTTCTCTCTGCCCGTCATCTTGCCCAGATGCATCATCTCACCAGTCCCAAAGGAACCGTACTTGCCATGTCTCAGCGTCAGTGCACGAGAGGTGGTTGGTCTCTCGCCCTTATCGTTCTTGGTTCCCTGATATCTAGCTGATACATTCTTAGGCCCGACTTTGACGACGGATTTGGACTTTGCGTTGGTCGAGGAAGCATTTGGCTTCCGTTGGGCTGAATCTGACTTTGGAGGCATGGGCGTTCGGAGTAAAGATGCATCAGGAAGTTCGATCAGGGTTGCATGTTCCCTCTTCAGGGGGAGATATAGATAAAGTGTAGGAAGCTCAACTGTGTTCGAGAATAGTACCTATGAGGCCGTATGATGGATAGTAATTTTGTAGTACATTGCACTCGCAGATCGTCCCAACGAACGCAAAAAGCTCCCCAAGCTTCGCCTGAAACGTTTCACAGTCAGAACTGTGGTTTGGGTGGCTTTAGCTCTTTCCAACAATGCAAGGGCTCATTCCTCCGAACTCATTGCCTGAATAGACATTTATAGCTGCTGCTTACTGACTCCGTTAAGCTAAATCCAGCTCCAGAGCCCCTGTTGCGACCCAGGGGCGGTCACGCGTTGTGTACCAGCCAATTACGATGAAAGTCTTGGTTTCTATCGACGAATCGCCTGTTTCATTGTCTTCGGTGCTACGGAGAGCAGTGGTTACTCGAACATGCGCCATGATTCTCATTCATGGCCCGAAACACCCCTCAGCAGGGCGCCTGTCTGTCACTCACCATTTGTGGTCCATTCCTCGACACAGCCGGAATCACCTGAAACCCTGATGTGAAGCATGAACCTCGGTGTAATCAATCCAAAAAGTCAAAAGCGGCCTTGTCCACCTCTGTTTTTGACACCCACGCTCCTGCCACTGGTTAGCAGGCGCATTCCTTGGGTTCACCCCCCACAGTCCTTTTGCATTCGTTCTGGAGATACGCTAGCAGTATCGATTAGCCTTGATGGCTTCTTTCAATATCACCCGTGAGTGCCTTTGTGAGATGATGCGTGCTAGCTGTGCTGAGAAGATGCTTCTAGTCGAGGACCACTCGCCTCTTATTACTTACGCACCTGCCGGAGCCTGGACAGATACCCCCGCTAATGACTCACTGGCTTCGGTGCGTCGTAAATCTAAGCGTTGACGACAAGGATGCTCAATATGATTGCGCCCATAGGACTACTCCGATGCGTCATTCCATACGACATCAGCGCAGGACGCTTCAGCTACTATACAGTTTAATGGTGCTTTTGCAAATTCCGCTGCAAATCTCCCGGTGTTAATGCACTTATTCTAGGTACTGGTATCTCTATATTTGGTGGCAAACGATCAAATTACGGAACGTTCAAGCTTACTGTGGATGGCAAGACTATAACGGAGGCGTCCGCTGCGTCTTCAAGCTCGTCGACGAAGCAGCTCCTAGCATCGGCTTCGGGATTGGAAGATGGGCCGCACACTGCTGTCTTCACGCATGCGGGGGGCGGGGCGATTGACATTGACTCGGCAGTATTGGAAGCGCGGGTTGGATCAGGAAGGTACAGGAAACCATGGCAATGCTATTGTGATTAGCACGCTGACGTCCATTCTAGCATAAGACTGACACAGAAAGAAATCGATGACTCGGATCCAAGCATCACGTACGCGCCAGCCACTTCTTGGAATGCAAACTCCCGGCCTGAATTCATCAATAACACCCTCCGGTACGTACCATCCTAACGCTGACCATTGTAATGTTTGTTAAATGCGCATGCACATAGTTTCACGTCTTCTCCCGATGCTACTGCTTCCATGAGTTTCTTCGGGGATGCTGTCGCCATCTACGGCACTGTCGCGCCCGATCATTCCGACTTTCAAATCACTCTAGATGGCAAGCAGACGACGTTGCGCGGTGGCGCCGGTGGGATGGTTAGAACGCTCAGGCCGAAGGTAACATTCCGTTTCTCATCCGAAACTCAATTGACTAAACGCTCCTACAGTCACTTTTGGTAAATGGGAACGGATCGTCGAAATTCAATTGACTGACGCGCATATCAGTATTTTGCTAGTAACCTTGGAATGCAAGACCATCAAATATCTCTTCAGCCAGTGTCAACGGAGAATGCTCCGTTCCTGGATCTGGATGGCATTACTGTTTACTCTGCTGTGAAGACGAATAACAACCAAGCAAGCCCGTCGGGTGCGACTCCTACCATTAACCAGCCTGCCCCTCCTTTCAAGTAAGTCATTGTAGTCGTACACTCAAATTTTCACTTATTGTGATATCCGAACAGTACCGCAGGCGTTCAAGGTGCACAAGCCTCAAAAGCAACCTCGAGGACAACCATCATAGCTGCTGCCGTCGGCGGCGGGCTGGGCTTCCTACTTCTGCTGGCCCTGGGCTTGTTTCTGTTCTTCCGGCGTCGACGAAGGCAACGCAGGGCCTACGTCGATGATGATCTCTCCCCGAAATCGCCGCATCTTCCAATACAGAAGCCACGGTTTAGCGAAGCACCCAGTACGATTGCTAACCGGTGGTCCTTCCAGACACCGTTCGTCCCTCAATCAAGGGTAACTAGTGTTGCATCGTCATATGAATCGACTGCCCCCATGATGAAGGACGTACCGATCATTAAACCCCCGTCGCCGGCGCGGATGTCGAACACGAGTAACGCTGTGGGACCAAACCGACCGATGCGGGTATGTCTTACTTTGATGCGGTTGCCAGTACCGAGACTAAGACATCTCTTCTAGGCCCCGTACACTCCAGGCACCCCCTCGCGCCCCGCGAGACCCCCGACATTGAACTATGATTATTGGGACGGTGGACCTGAAGGCCAACCGAGTCGAGCTGTATAACTGATTCCTGTTGTACCTATAATATAATATAATGTGATTCTATATATACCGACGAACTTAAGGATCACATCGGCACCCAGGCTGTGTTTCGAGACCCGGGCCCGGTCTTTTGGACTGTTGTAAGGACGCCTGTTGTCGACGATGGCAGTTGTATCAAAGTTGGGAGATTGAAACTCCGCGGGTGATTTGGATACAGTGATAATGGACTGAGGTGCACGCTATCGCCACTTTCTTCTTCCCTTCAACTGCCTTTCTGTCTCTCATTCCCTGTGGGTCGAGCTGCGCTCTTTTTCAACTCCTTTCTTTGTGCTGGTCTCCGTCTTGAACAAACGCTTCTTCCTGCTTCCTTCCTCTCCGTCTGCTGGTCATTTCCCTACAACCGTAAAACCTAGTAACCAAGGCAAGAATGGGCAATCTCGTGTGGCATGAATACGCTCGCTACGTCTCAATTACGGCTAGCGTTTGTGAGTTTCTCGTCTTTCACCGGTTAGGTGGTGGATACTGACGGACTTCCGCCCAAGATTCCGTATGGGCTTCATTCTTCGGGCTGATTTATCGCAAATTCTTCTGGGACTTCGTTGGTGGCATTCTCCGTGATTCAGGAGGCACCCAGTGCGTCTCCTCCTCAGAAGTCGTATTATTACCCTAACGGTCGATCCATGCAGAGCGCCCAACTCCAGTGCCATCTTCGTTACTTTAATTATAAAGACCCCCATTATCCCGATCCTATCCCTAATCCTCGGCCACTTCATGCTTGCCCTCGAATTCCCGTTGCCGCAGCTGAAAGGGCTAGCTATACACCGAAGCATAGCCCTACGAGTTGTCTTATTGCTGTTCCAAACCTTCCTCACGGTTCTGTTTTACCAGGCATGGGGATTTCAATTCATTCGTTGTGTTGCTATTAATAACAAGATAAACTAGGGTACAAATGCAGCTATATGGTCGCTTATAGCTGCCATGTGCTATGGGCGCGCTTTAGCCTTGGACGAGAAGATGGTGGAAGCGAAAGGAAACAGGGGGAAAGGCGATTCAGCATGATCGGAGATCATACTCATACTCGCTGTCTGCAATATTGAATATTGCGCCAGGCTCATTATTGGAGCACCAGTACCAGCGGACTGTGTCCGCCTTCACACATTCTTTATCCGTATTGCCTGGCTGGCTAACACTCTCGCACTGCAACCAACCTCACATAGCGCCGCTTGTTTTTCTATCGGACTGTCTGCTTTGCTATTTTCTAGCCCTTTCTAGCCTTTCAATACCCTTCTTTTGTATCCTTACTCCACTCCCCTCGACGCTTAGGAATTGACGCAGTTAGACATGATGATATGTTGTGAGGGATAGGAATTAGGAGTCTCGGACTTGTGCTATGCGATCACCTTCCCGGCGTGGTTTCAATATCACGACATACCGTGCTCAGCTATGCAATCAGTCCGCCAATCGTCCGATATCGCTTCGTTCCCTTCTACGTTCTTCGACGATGAGCACATCCTCCGCACATGCTGAGCTCGTTCGCCAGATACCCACCAGTTATGAGAAGGCCGTAACTTCCGGCGATCTGTTGTTCTTTCCATCCACCGTGCACAAGCACGTCGACATTGATGTAGAAGTAAGTTGCTCTGTTCCTTTAATCCTTCGTTCGTGCTCAAGGCATCCAATGCTGTAGTTTGAGATACGATTGTGTCCAGCTCTGCAGAAGAAACCCACAACAGAAACGCAACCGTCGATCATCCCAGTCGATCCTGCAGCCGATGCAGGTCTTGAGACTCAAGGAAACAAAGGAACGGTCTTCGATCCTTTCTCTCCTCCGTACAATGTGAATTTGTTTGTGGGAGAGCTGCAAGATGAAGACTCGCAGGAGGAATACGTTGTACTGGTACGTCCCAGTTGCACAACTGTATGGTGCCTCGGTTGAATGTTTTCAATTAGCTGAATAAATACTCCGTGGTTCCTAATCACTTCCTCCTGGTTAGCAAAGGTTGCTACCTTGCTCTATGATATCCGGACATTCCTGTGCTCAACAATGTCCGTCATAGAATTCAAGTCGCAGTCAACACCTCTCTTCCCCCCTGATCTGGTGCAAATGTACACAATCCTCATAGAGGCCAAGAAGGCGGGGCTGAAGGCTCTTTCGTTCTACAACTGTGCGATGGCCCCGTCAACGCGATTCTACTGTTTTATTGATGAAGCATTACAGGTGGTGACAATAGCGGTGCTAGCCAGCCTCATAAGCACGCGCAGTTTATTCCTATAGAAGACGATGGGCCACCCGTCGAGAAACTTGCGAGGCGCACCAAGCTAGAGACACCTAGTGCGCGTTGACGTTGAATTGTGTTCTTTTTGGCCGTTGGCTAACAAAAGTACCATAGCGAGACCATTTACGTTGGCATCCCTCCCATACGCGAATCACGTATATAGGTTCCCCAGCGAGCTCCCATCAGCGGAGCCCGACGAGCTACAAGAAACGCTCTGTCAAGCATTCATGGCCCTTCTCGAGCTAGTTATATCGACAATCCGCCACGATCCCGATTACCCCGCTGGAAAGCCGTCATATAATGTCCTGTTAACCCTTGAACATCTCCACGTAATCCCTCGGCGATTTGAAACGCACGTCTTGGAGGAAACTGGGGACAAACTAAGCGTGAATTCATTAGGGTTTGCTGGGATGCTGCTGGTGAAAAGCGAGGAGGAATTGGAGGCCGTGAAGAAGGAGGGAGTGGGCAAGATTCTCCGTTCCGTAGCACTGAACAGCGTACATGACATACAAGTCGCTGGGCAAACGGAAGAGCCGATGTAATTAAATCTCGTGTTTGCTTGTAGAGTGTAATTGTCCGTGCCTGCCAGCTGCGGACTCCGGGGAGCGGTGCTCGGGCCATCCGCCGGCCAATCATCTTGTTTTGGACCATCACCATACACACAACATGATCTCTTCGGTTGAACGTCACCGCTGATCCAGCACCTCCTTGCACTTAAATCCCAGAGTCTGCACACAGAAGGCCAGCATGCCGACCATCACTGCGCCGCTTCAAGGTAACTTTCTGCGACATGTCATTGAAATCCAACGTGGTTGAACAATCATCACAGATATCAGCCCCACAAGAGTCTTACTTCCGGTAACCTCGTCTGAAGCTGCGTCGTTGAAGGGGTGAGTTTCATGCATCGTCTGGTTACGACTTAAGCTCAATGACTCTCCGATAGACACAAGGCAAAGACACCGATTCTTGCTGGGAGTATATGTGGTGGAGTAATGGGTCTGGCGTGGATCATTGGCTTCACATACTACTTCATAAAGCGGGCTCGACGAAAGAAGAGAAAGGCAGCTATTAGGGCGGGCCTCATCCCCCCACCTGAACCAAAAGTCTCAGAGGAGCCCGAAGAAAAGATCATCATCCCCCCCGATCCAGCTGTCTTGCTAGGACAGCGCCAGCCTGGCGAACACGTCTACGTGAATGGCAAATTGCTTCCCAGTAGACCGTCTATGGGCTCAAGACCAGTCTCTATGGATGCCCGCCCTTCTGTGGACGCCCGACCGTCTATGGGTTCACGACCAGTATCAATGGGCCCTCGTCGACCATCCCAAAGTGCCGCCCCACCGGGCTCCTCAGTGCCACCAGCCGCCCGGCCAAACTCAAGTGATACGCCTCCTGCTACGCCCGTTACGCCCTTGACAGCCAAGATATCAGAGGAGATGATAATACCGCGGCACGTCTGAAAATCCTCCCATACATATTTCTCCGATTCTCGTGCTGACATTGGACACTTGTGGTTATTATATCCATTGTGTAGAGGACACACACATTTGTATCGCGAATCTACATTATTCTTTCTGGATATCGCGCCCTAGTCAGTGTAGGCACCCACGTTGGCCGGCTGTTGGTCGATTGTCACCTCGTTGCGCGATGAATGGAAGCAAGGGAACACTCACTGCTACATCTCGCGCGTATCTGTACAGGACTCCCCTCTTGACATTTAGTTGTCCCTTGTCAGAGGCGTCCCACTCCTGCTTGCGACGAGCCTGCTCCTCTTCGCTCACCAACCAGTTAATAGCCCTATTCTCTGAATCCACAACTACAGTATCTCCGTCCTGGACCAGGGCGATAGGTCCCCCAAGACGAGCTTCTGGTACTACGTGCCCTATGATGAATCCATGAGAAGCCCCGGAGAATCGTCCATCCGTAATCAAAGCTGTCGAATTACCCAACCCGGCGCCCATGAGGGCAGCGGTGGGACCCAGCATCTATAATTCACAACGACAGTTCAACTACAATGGAAATAGACGTGAATAGTCAGATGCACCTCTGGCATTCCTGGAGCTCCTTTGGGCCCCTGGTATCTGAAGATAAGAACCATCCCTGGCTTGATTTCGCCCTTCTCGAGAGAAGGATAGAAATTATCGAGGCTGTTGAAAGTGTTAATTCATGGGTGTTCCCCTGCGTCTATGGCGATGCCCACCTATCGAAGCATTTTGCAACCCCCTCAAATTTCGAGCCCTCCTTGCCGGTGAGCTTCGCGACGGCAGTTCCTGGAGCAAGGTTTCCGCGCAGGATAGTCAAATGGCCGGTCTTCTTGATTGGTTTGTCGAGTTGCTTGACCACATCTTGATTATCAAACGAGAGTTCCTCGACGTCTTCAAGGTTTTCCGCTAACGTCTTTCCCGTGACTGTCTAGAGCACAGCACTGTGAGAATGATAATGGCTGCGAACGGACACTCGACACCCACTAGTTGAGTACCGTCTATGAGGTCGGTGTGCTTGAGGAGGTACTTGACCAGGGCGGGTACACCACCAACTTTGTGCAGGTCTTCCATGTAATATTTCCCTGAAGGTCTTATAACGATATCAAGATATATTTCCTAGCGAGAGAAAAAGGTATCTTACTTCAAGTCAGCGAGATAGGGCGTCTTGTCGGAAATGGCTTGGAAATCATCAATAGACAACTCCACATCAGCAGCTCGAGCCATAGCCAAAAAGTGGAGAACCTATAAGTAGATGGTCACCAAAGCGTGCCCGATGTTCTGGGATATTATCTTACAGCATTGGTAGAACCGCCAAGGATGATAACAATGACTATAGCGTTCAGGAAGGACTGTCTGGTAAGGATATCCCTATAGAGATAATTGTAGATTAGAGTATTTGGAGGATATTTGGCGCTTACTTCGGTTTCAACTCCAAGAGATTCTTGAGGTATTTGGCAGCCCTCAAACACTCTTGCGCCTTTGCTATCGATCTATGAGCGTGGTAGGATGATGCAGAGCAGAAGGGGAAGCTGCTAACCTGGATAGAGGGCAGGAGTGCTCGAAGAATACGGTAAAGACATTCCAAGTACTTCAAGAGCAGAGCTCATGGTGTTTGCGCTGTTACAGACTCATCTTATATGATTTGTGAAGTTCAAGGCGGCCGTTACATACGTGTACATTCCACCACAAGCACCAGCTCCGGGGCAGGCATGTCGGACGACATCAAAGCGCTGCTCTTCGTCAATCTTACCGACAGCGAAAGCACCTATATTTAACCGATATGTCATACTTCACAGAAAATGCGAGAAAGCAGCCTACCGAACGACTCAAAGGCATCAGAGATGTTGACTGTTCCGCCTTTCTGATGGCCCATGGCGGGGCAGTCTGCGCAATACTTATGAGTTCGTCCTGACAGTACACGCTCAAGGCAATCAATTTTCTTACCGACATATCTGGTGCCAGGCTGGATTGTACCACCATAGACGATGATGGTCGGTCGATTGTGCCTTGCGGCAGCCAAAACGCATCCAGGCATATTTTTGTCGCATCCCGGAATAGAGATATTACCATCGTAGTGTTGTGCCTATAGTAAATTTGCGTAGGGATCGTCGGGAATGAGGAACAGCCGTGGAAGTCTCTCACCATTACGACCTATAAAAGCTATCATATGAGTAAGTATACTTGGAGATTCCGGCGGTGATCCTACGGATTCAATGGAGTCCGCAATTATATCGCGACTCGGGAGACTAGGAAACAAGTCAAGAGAAATGCGCTCCTCAAACAGAGGCGAACATACGAGTATCGCATGCCTAGAATTCACGGACGTGAGTAGGTTACCGCAAAGCAGTTTCGCAAAAGTCTACTACCGTCAGTACCCATAGTTATAGCATCGCTGATATGATAATCTCATAGTTAGCGATGGCTTCGCGCCCAGAAGGATTCGGACTAACCTGACTCCGATCGTGTTGAAAGTGAGGCCTACGAGACCCTCTTGACTACATCCCTCCTTTACCAGGCGAGCCAAGTCGAGCTACAAGGTATAAAACCTCAGGTGTATTCATCATCACGAATAAAGCCATCTCACAAGATGTGAATTACAAGGATTTCCTAGCGCTCGATGAGAACCACAGTAGCGACTAGACCGATGAGCTTCGCTCGTCACATACCTTCCCACCAAATCGGAGAAATCCCGACCTGAGCGTTCGAGTCAGAAGTCTATCACAGTCATAAGATAAAATGCACATCGTACCTGGGGCTTATTCATATCCTCTTCGGTGAGGCCCACAGCATAGACTACCTGAAGAGGTAAGGCGAGGCCAGTTCCACGTTGAGTGTGACGCACGCATAGCTTGCGCTCCCCCACGAGACTATAGATAATAAGCTGCAGAACCATACAATCAACGTTCCACGAACTTTCTCCTGAGTTAGTTGACATGATATCTTGTTGAGCTTCTTCGGGGCCGTTTGGCTAGAAATTGAATGGCTGTACGACGGCGTCAGCAACGAGGAAACAAACGGAAAGGGCAGCGAACAACATTTTGACTTCTGGCGAAGACATCTTGCGTGAACACTGGAGCAGAGGAGAATTCCCCCCTCATTATGACTATGGGGACTCTGAACTCAGAGACCTCTGAGCCCGGACCGTAAGGGTTAACTTATGACCATTCACGTGAAGGAAGGGACGAATGATATTGTGGGGATTACATCCGAGAATCGATGATAATGTTACCGAAATAACTAAAAGTCGAAACCTTCCTTTCGGAAGGTGTCTAGATTGGTCCTCGTCTCAGGCTTCGCTAGATTAGCGAGGTCTTGACGATCCTGTGGTGCGGTAAGCATATGCTACGAGTGAGAAACTTTGGAGATTGCTGACCATCGCGAGGAATGTCCTCCTCAGAGTGAACCATAGTTGGTCACTCGTTGTGTTACCTCCACCGTTAGTTTCTTGGAGGCTGAGAGCCGTCAAGAAGTGCTCAGCAGCTTCTTTGTGTGCACCGATGTTCATGCCTGGGGCCAATGTTAATACACGTGGAAAGGTAATAATATATCTGGCACCCACAGGCGACCCCGACGTTAAAAATAGCTCGAGTGTATGTTGGACGCAATTGGAGAGCTTCCCGATATGCACCCAGCGCTTCTTCTGGTTTATTACCATTGGAGAGCGCTGAGCCCAAACGGTTCCAGAGCAAGAAATCCCTTGGACGTGCTCCAAGGGCAGCTTCAAAGCAGTCTTTGGAGCGATCATACTCGCCATTCGTATAGAACAGTACTCCAAGGCCGACCTGAACATCTGGGTCCAATTGACCCGATGCGTGTTGGGCCCTGGCAAGATTGATAAAGACCTCAGTGATGCGAGTGTGAGTATCCCATGACGAGTTCGTAGATAACGCCTTGACAGTTTCTTCAGGAACAGGGTGATCTGGGAACCTAGAACGCAGCCAGCGAAGGAGCATGGTATGCGATGCACGATCATATGATTCGTTCGTGAACGAAATCGCGAGTGACTTCGTAAACGATGTCAGATGTAACTGTCCATGCAGCAGGAAGTTTATATTACGTACCAGCATTCCTGCGCCAGGTGCGCCAGCGGCTTCAGCACGCTTGACACCTTCCAGCAGCGCTCTCATACCGGCGTCTTCGTGCTCATCCATGGTTCGGGTATCTCCTAGCAGTATCCACGCTTCGTAGCCGCCTTCGCCCAATTCCCCTTTCTGGATGGCTGCCTCTAGTAAAAGAGTTGCCTCAGATAAAGAACCGTTGTTGTCAAGGAGATATTTTGCGTCTGCAAGAGGCGAACGAGTGGATGTTGTAGGACCGAGGTACTTGTTATTGGCATCTAGTATGATGTTCATATCAATAGTTCAAGATCTCGGTAGCGAAACAAACGCACCGAAGACGTATTCTCCTAGAAGCGGCAAACCTTCACTATCGAATTTCATCGGAGAGTTGTCGAATTGGCTTCCTTCGTAATTACCCAACCCACCCTCCCAAGCTTGCTGCATATCGGTGCCATAATCCGTCTCTTCCGACCTCTCTTTGTTCATCAGCTGATTGAATTCGGCTTCCCACTTGGCAAGGTCCTCCTTCGGCGGCGGTAAGTCTGAATCTTGGAGGTGGTCCCAAACCCTACGAACTCAGCGTTAGCAAGGAGTAAGAGGAGTGAAAGCAGTTGCTGACTTTTTGAAGTCACTCTCCTCCTTGTCTTCAAGGGTGGCGCCTTTCAACGCTTCCTCTACGTTCACAACATCTGCGTCTACCTCAACGATGCGGGCGGACGACTCGGCTTGGGTGAACATCGATTCAGCTGCTTGCGCAAAAGCTGCCTCGAAGTCCGCCTCTCTCGCCTTCCCCTTCCCTTGAGCAGGTATCTCTTGCATGCCTTGATAATTTGGCATCATGGACGAACCCATTCCCATCCCGTACATTCGTGCAGGCATTGCGCCGCCATACATCCCGAAAGACGACGGGTATGATCTTTGCTGACCTACATAGGTTTTAATACCATCTTAGCGCTATCACTGATGTGTGTGTACCGTCATTGAGTGCTGTCATATTTTGTTGCATTCGCATAGGCGCCTTGCCCATCGTCGAATATTCTGAGGACCAATCTAAAGATTCCTGAGGAAGCTGCCGTTCCATAGCCCAGGCTTCCCTCAGTTCTTGCGGCTGCATTCCAGTGACTTCTACCATCCTTTGAAGTTCCATAGGTGGAATAGCCATCATAGGTCCAGGGCCCTGTCCGCCCCCTTCAAAAAACTGCCGTGCCATAGCAGCATCGTGCTCGTTAAGTGGCGCTGCAGAGGTACCAGGGAGATGGTGTAGCTGGAAATGGATCGAATGGTGAGTTACGGCACCTCGGCGCAACGCTAATCGGATCACATACTCTTGAAGACGAGGGGCCAGCAATCCTGTCCTTGAGGCTTATGAGGACGAACGGTTGGATCTGAAGAGGTCGACACTCACTTGCTGCAAACTCCGATCACCCTCCGTATGCTTGAGGACTTGGGAAAGTGGGTTGGCAGCAACTGCACATTCCGACCCAGAAATCAATCCCGAAAACGACATGCTGCGATGTGGCTAAAGGCAAGTATAAAAGTGGGGAAATTCAGAATGTAAGTGTAGGTTTATGAGTTTATAAGCCGGAATCAGGAACTCCGGTATAGTTCACTCTTTCCCGGATTGATAAGATTAGATTCTGGCCGTGGGAATGTGCAAGAAATGTGATACAGCGATCTAGGGGTCTGCTTTCCGGTCCACTGTCTTCGTCGCGAAATGTTGAGGACCCGTATTGCTGTCGCCTCCCGTGCCTTTGCTCGAGGCTATGCCACCGCCAAACCCCCTCATGCACTCGTATTTCTAGAGCACAGAGCAGGGGTCATTGACTCTGGCTCATTGTCAGCTTTAACGGCGGCTCAGCAGCTCGGGGGTGAGCTTACCGGCTTGGTCCTTGGTGCTCCGGATGAAGTGAAGGCTGTCGCGGAGGAGGCGCAAAAGTGAGTTTTTATTCTAAAGGCGTGCAATATTGTAACCTGCTTTCTCTAGGCTTAAAGGTGTCAATACTATCTTGCACTCTGCATCTCCTCAGTACGCTACTCCCTTGCCCGAGGTTGTGACCCCGTTGCTGGAGAAACTTCTCTCGGATTCATCCCCCTTCACCCACCTTGTGTCTGCTCACTCGTCGTCCGCGAAATCAATACTGCCTCGCGTTGCCGCCAGGCTCGATGTCCCGGCCGTGTCCGACATAACTAGCGTCCAATACGATGCACCTTCTGGCGAAACTACCTTCGTTCGTCCCATATACGCAGGGAACGCCATATCTACTGTCGTAGCATCATCCGACATACCACTCAAAGTTTTCACTGTTCGGTCAACTGCCTTCGCAGCCGCCGTTCCTGCAGATGCCAAAGCTGAGCTCAAGCTCGTAGATCCGGTCGAAATCAACGACGTTTCGACAACGCACATCAAGACGTCTCTTACAAAGTCAGACCGACCTGAGCTTGGTGTCGCCAGCCGAATCGTGTCCGGCGGACGGGCATTAAAGAACGCTGAGACCTTCGAAAAGACGCTGTATCCCCTCGCAGACGTTCTGGGTGCGGCTGTCGGTGCATCACGCGCAGCTGTAGATGCAGGCTACGCAGACAACTCCCTCCAAGTCGGCCAGACAGGGAAGGTGGTTGCACCTGAACTATACATAGCTGTCGGTATCTCTGGAGCCATACAGCACTTGGCTGGCATGAAAGACTCGAAGATGATCGTCGCAATCAATAAGGTATCTATGATGCTGCCAACCCCCTCCCAGAGCTAACAACCTCGGATTCGTAGGATGCAGATGCCCCCATTTTCCAAGTCGCGGATGCTGGCCTCGTAGCAGATTTGTTTGAGGCAGTCCCGGAACTTACCGAAAAGCTCAAATCTGCATGCAGTCCTTGAAGTAGTATTTGTATACCACAGATGGTGTATTAGCCTATTTACCGAGAACATAACGATATTTTAGGCATAACCCCCTTCGCGCCGCAACATAAGCTGCTGGGAAACCCAGTCCAATGCACAAGCCAAGTCTTCATTTGGGGACGGCCAGTGGATCCAATCCCATTGTCGTTCGATGGCCCTTCCCAGTGTACGATAGTCATCCCCATGCTGAGAGTTGAATTCGTACATCTTGCCCGATTCGGCGGAGCCTTTGAGGACGTGGTTGGCAACTGGCAAGCGGACGAGTTCATACGCCTGCAGTGCGAGATCCACCGTTGCCTCGCTTGCACGGGAGATAAGGCATGCAATAATATACGCATCCTCACAGGACATTGCGCGGTAAGCACGTCATCTTATACAATAGTTCTGCCGACTCACCTCTATTGCTTGACCAGCCCCAGCGCCTTGGTGAGGAACCATCGCATGCGCCTATATAGACAGTGCGTTTAGAACGTGCGCGTTGAAGGCCCTCCATCTAACTCACCGAATCCCCGATCAATGCCACTCTCCCTGAGACAAAGAATGGGAGTGGTTTCAGTTGATGTATGGCCCATTTTGTTGGGTTATCAATACACTGAAGATAGAGTTTTGAATGAGCCCTTGCGTCATCTCGACTGAAAAGGCAGAAGTCCTGGTCACCTGTAGCAGTTCTCCTACTTCGGGCTCCCATCCACTGTAAGACTCGAGAAGTTCTTCCCTCTCACAGTCTACAACCCATGGGCCGCCATATGGGCGACCTTCCTCGTTTGGATTGGAGCTAAAAGTAACGACATTCACCACACTGCCCTGGGATATTGAATAGCTGACGACATGCTGTATAGGAAGAATCAGCGACTATGATCAATCTCACCACTAGAAAATACTACCTTGTCTTGCCCGCAATACTTTACGACCCGTCAGTTCAAGGAAGTTCTGCGAGAAACATTGATTGACTGCACCATCATGGGCGCCCCAAGTGCTCTGTGTTCCTCGTTCAGCCTTTCGGCGGGGATCAATCCTCTGTACGCAATCGTCCCGCTCCAGACTGGGTCAACGAGATCAAGCAAACTCCCATCGTTATTCTCTTTAGCCCTGTCCCTCAACATCTGTCCTCGAATCACCGACTTTATGCCGTCACAACCCAATAGGACATCGCATTCGACCATCGATCCATCAGAAAACCGAAGTCCAATCGGCCCATTATTAGATTGTGAGTAGCTCCTTAGGCGTTTCCCGAAATGCGCCACGCCAGTGGGCAATCGGTCGATGAGAACATCAAGGAATTGTGCACGGTGGAAACGGATGCATCCATCTATGTCATATGCAGGGCATTGTCAGGTTCGAATACAGCAAATCAAACTCTGAAAGGTAACGTTTACGAACATGGCATCTGCACCCGGTAGAAGTCGAACCCTTCTGGCCCATCTGAGCGTCGGTAATCAAAGCCAATCCCTGCGCGCATGTTGGAATCTCAAGAACATCGTATTGAGAGCCGACATACCCATAGAACCATCAGGTGGTGCATGCGCGATTCTGGAGAATGCATCGGCTAAGCCCATCTGCTCCAAGATTCGCCATGTTCTGGACCAGATCATGACACCCGCGCCGATTTCGCTAAATCGCTGAGCTGATTCGTATACATTTACTTCTACGTTGGAAGCCTTCGAAAGCGCAACAGCTAGGCACAAGCCGCTGATACCACCGCCGCTACATTCCACGCATGAGTATCTATGTCTTGCAGAAGTCTATGATCACCGACCAAATAGCCACCCGAATACGAGCTCGAGGCAGTCCGTCGTTGTGCATTCTTAGGCAACGAGGAGTTCTTCGCGATATCTGGATGCGTTAGCGTCACTTCGCTATGCTGGTTCACTACCTGGGACCGTGGAGTGTGGAAGCGTGCCGCCACATTCGAAACTCTAGGCCACTCTTACCCATCGCCGCTCGTGTGTCCAACCGGGTGTCTTCCGAGTACCACTACTAGTCACACGCCGTGTACCCCGGAAAGCAGTCCATAGCTGTCAAAGGTGTGCATAAAACGTCTAAGAATAATCATGTCTATCAAGAGGGACGTGGGACCTTGGTCATCCAATCAATCGCTATCTGTGTCCTCTGGCTTTGGCCCACCACTGATCAACCACTGCAGTTTTCGTTGGCGCCTTCGCTCCTCCACTATCTTCTGCTGATTCCTCGTAAGCTTCTTTTTCTTCTTGGGGACTGGGGACGACCCCTTTTCTCCCGCGTCTTCTGCACCACTGGCGGCAGGCGTGCCGTGGATAGATGCACTTGGAGTCCCAAGTCTTGACCTGACGGGGGTATTGCTGCCGCTTCCTTTAGGACTTTTGGCGTCCAGGAAGGCGTCTTCGACGATAGCAGCTTTGCCTTTGTGGGTCATTCTGCCGGCCTCGACTTGCCATATTTCGGGGCCTAAGAAGGTTTTAATATGGCCTCCACACCCCGAAGAATGAAGACAACACGTACATAGTGCGGACACAAACTCTTGATTGTGGGATATGATGACCACGGCACCAGCCCAGTCCCTGATAGCAACCGCAAGACCACCTAGTGCTTCACGATCCAAGAAGTTACTTGGTTCATCCAGGATGCAGATCTGTTGGAAGTAAGCAAGCGCACAGCAGGGTACAAAATAACGGACCTGTGGATTGTTCCACAAACAAGCAGCAATAACCAGCTTGATCTTTTGACCTGTCACCGAATTGATTCAGCAGTTCGTACAAAGGGCGTCTAGATAATTTACCTCCAGAGAGACCAGATATTTCATTGTATTGGGCGATGTCTCCATCCAGACCAATATCCTCAAGATGCTTCCTTACGAGGTGGGCTGCGGTGTCTCGAGAGCCGGCTCCCTCTCTCGAAGACTCCAGATCATCAAATTGCTGTACTAGCTTAGTGAAGCCTTTGTTGAGGAGATCATCGCGAGGAACCCAGGTGTTCCATCGGTGATCCAGTCCACGCCACTTGATCTCATATTGGAAGGTCTTCTTCAACTTTTGGCGACCCATAATGAGCTAGAGAGTGAGCCTAGTAAGTAGGGGGACATCACTCGAAAAGGCATCCAGGTACTCACTTCAAGCTTTCGTTTTGAGCCGTCTCTTCCAACCCAGTCTTTCTCCATCAGTTCCTTCTCCTCGGGAGTCAATGCCCGGGTAGCCTTTTCCAGTAGTTCACCTGTAGGCGTGCCGTCGTCACTGCTTTTATCAGGCTAGGAAAGAAAATATATATTTACGATCATGACCATCTTGGAATCGCCATTGAATGTACTGGATAGGCGTCTTCTCTAGATGTCTCTCTACAAGAATGTTATCAAAGAGATCGAGCATGTAGACACGCAAGACACACCGATATGATGGGTAGCATGTTGGGAGACATAACCAACTCTTAGCGCCGGGTGCTTGTACATAGTTCCCTCTTGCGGGGCTGTCTCGCCCTAAGGGAAGGTATCAGGCTTCCACCATGATCCAGAAGCTAAAGACGTACGGTCAATAACTTGATCAGGGTGGACTTTCCAGCTCCATTCGGACCAACGACGCCAACGCGACTTAACAAGCATAAGTTGTAGCCACCAAGATATGCGCGATACTCACCTAGAAAGCGTCAACGCACAGCTGACATTGTACAAGCTGGGAACAGAACGACCGGGGTAGGTGAAAGTACAGTTGCTAAGCTTAAGGATGGCTCGGGTGTTGCTGCGAACGCCCATCAGGGAGCCAGGAGGAGGGAAAGCGAATTTCACTGAGGTAGCAGCGAGCGTATAGTATGATTTGGCTTCAGGATGTTGCTCGACAAAGGTAGAAAGGTTGCCGGGGTAATATACGAGCTATTGATAGAGGTGAGCGATGCCAACACTGGAGCAAACGGGAAAAAGAACCTTCTTATTCTCGTAATGGATTATATCCGTGGTAATGTTATCCAAGAATCTGCGAAAACTGAGGTGAGCATAGTCTACCTGAACCAAGGAGCAGAGATACTTACCCTGAGTCGTGACTGATAACGAGACACGTAACATTAGTGTGAGCGATAAGATATCCTTCGAGCCATTTCACGGAGGCGCGGTCCAACTACAATGTATGTTAAGTGGAATGATCAGTATAGCAGGGTAATCCCCTACGTGATTGGTGGGCTGCGGATCCAAAGGTGTCAATAAATGACGGTTTGTCAAGTCGAGGTAACGACGTACCTCATCGAGAAGGAGAAGGTCGGCATTATACAGCATTGCTCGAGCAAGTTCAAGTTTCATTTTCCAGCCTCCAGAGAGACCGCCTACAATATCCTTCTGGCGTTCATCATCAAAACCGACTTCGCGAAGTTGCGAGGCAATCTTAGCACGCGGGATATCGCTCAGAGCCTTATCTACATAACGTAGTTAGCATATCGATTGCCGATGAGTAGAGGAATACGTACCGGCAGCAATGAAGTCGATGATGCTCAGCGAACCATCCTCTCCCTGGAGCGAGTGTTCTACCATGACGCATCGAAGCTGATCTTGAGGGGGGAAGTTCTCAACCTTGCCATCGCGAAGTTGACGCATGAGCGTAGATTTCCCGGACCCGTTCGTACCAAGAATGCCGTATCGGCGTCCACGAATAAGGCGTAATGTAGTATGAGAAAGAAGGAGCAAGGCCCCGTAGGCCAAGGAGAACAGCGTATCGCAAAGGACCTCCCCCTCGTCAGAGTTGCCATTCTGGAGTGGAGCGTACTTCGCTCGATCGATGGCCTGGAAATGTAACCTGACATCCTCCGCGTACTTGTCGCTCTTTTCGCTGTTTGTCCAAGGCTCTAAATAGACACCTGCGCAGCGCTTCCATGCTGCAGCGTCAGTGAACCGCCGAGCATAGACAAGGTCTGCTACGAGCGTCGCTTGAAAGTCGAGTGAGCGAATGAGTAATGAGTAGCGAGGTTGTCCCGAGTCGTGGACTTTGAGGTCGGGATCGAGGAAGGAAATCAGCACCGAGAGTGCATTGGCGGTTTCTCCAGAGATGTCTCGTGGAGTAGGTGCGCTGCCTTCCGCAGATGCACCAGCTTTGAGAAGGGTGTTGAGGGCCGTCGCGGCAAAGGCGCGAACCTGGTGGTATCAGATTAGTTGGATTGGAATGTATATTCGACTCTGAAATCCCTACCTCAGGGAAAGCGGCACCTTTAGCGATCTTATCAACACCTTCGACTAAGGTGCTCAGATAGGCCGCGGCTACTTTGGGATCGCGGACAAGTTTAACGAGGTTGTCAATGACGACGACGGTTCGACGCTGAACCTCCATGCTTCGGTCGTTGAGAGCACGGAGGAGCAAAGGAACAAGAATAGCAAGTGCGGGCGCGGTGACTTCGGCAACGAATGTTGTCGATGAAAGGGCTTTGATACATGCTGGAACGGAGTCTGGGTTGGCCATGCATTTGACAAGGACGGGAATATGCGGCGCCAGATCCGGGTTTGCCAGTGTCGTGCAGAGGGAGGTTGCGCATTTCACCGCAGCGCCGGATACCTTATATGATTATTTACAATCATTGATATCTAATTGGTGGAAACCTACCTCTTGTTTAGTGTCGTGCATAGCAGCTTCGACTTTCGGGAGGACGTTGACGAGCTCTAAGCCGACTTGTTCGGGGGCGGAGGTTACAAAGATTTTGAAAGATTCCAACACTCCAACTTTGGCTTTCCATTTGCCGGTGGCTAGGATGTTCTCCAGTGTGCGGAAGATCAGTGAGGTGGATTCGGGAGGGCAGAGTTTCAGGATCGCTTTGACGGCCGAAGTCGCAGCGACGCGGACTACATCACCCTTGTCCATGTATAGGTCAAAGAGTACTTGTAGCGAAGGCAGAAGCATGGGTGCAGCCGGAGCGCCGAGTATACGGGCTAGTGATTGGAATGCAATGGCGGCAGACTCGCGTTCATAGCCAGATTTCTTATTGGTGGCAAATGTGTGGAGGGATTCTACAACGCCCTCATCTCTACGGTTCAATCAGGAGTGAATCTAGGTGAATCGACCAATTCCAAGGGATACCTACTCAAGAGATTGAAGACCGAATTTTGATACATCGCGAGCGATTCTGTCGGCAGCAGCCTTGGCATCTACAGTATCGCAATATGAGATATAAAGACGGGTGTATCGCGGTTACAGACGGACCAGGTGCAGTAGGTGCCGAGCGCAGGGCCTCAAAAAGTGAGGTGAAGTGAGATTCAGGAATAGTTGTTGCAGGTGACATCTTCGGGGAATCCTATATTAGTTGAAGGAAAATAGGGTATGCCGATGGTCGTCTAGGTGCTAGAATACAGAAAATGCAGTTAAAACAGCGCAAGTCTAAAAGGATTACTGGAACGTCTAGGTGCAAGAGGCAGCAAGGCAAAATTTCGTCCTTGCATTGCCAGCGATCATAGTTAGATAAGCGATCGGCTGTCATGAAGATAAGATAACGACTCGATCGGGGATCATGATTAGATCTGCTCTCCCATCAGCTCGAAGCACATGAATTCTGGATTCCCCACAAGCAAGTTGGTGTCCTCCGTGCCACACGAACACCTATCGTATTCACGTAGGACACCGCTCCCATCACATGTATTTGGACCAATGTGACTACGCCACCACTGTCCTCAATGCGATCATTTCCCGTGGCTCGCCTGTAGGTATATAGCTGTCGCGATGGGAGTTTTGAAGGATTCCTAATTCTCAGGCCAACCAGCTGCCTTCCTTCTGGAGATTGCGCCCATCACGTACGTTGCACTTCTGGCTGGTATGTCTTTTGCATTAACGCGAGTACTAAACGTCTAGACTTTAATGATGGAGATTGCGACCCCCGTCATTGCCGGCATGGTTCTAGGAATCGTTTGCCTCAATTTGGTGGTTGCAGCCGCCTGGTTCTGGGTTCGTAAGTCCCGTTCAAAGGCAGAGGGGCAGGAGACACCATCTGGGGACCATCCATCACGTCCGACTCATTCAATCGCGTCGACGAACGACGCTCGAAACCCAATCCCCTCGACTTCTCTTCAACCATCTATACAACCTCCCAATATGCACCAGATAGCCGACAATACCGTATCGAGGCATTCGTTCGGCTCTATCCTAGATTCTTATTCCCACCCACCATATAAGAAACCACCCACTGCAACTCTGGCGGACAGAAAACGACTATCTGCATGTTCTGCCTCCGTGACTCTAGACTCGTCGTCCTTGTATTCGGCAGACTCTGCACGTGAGGAGGGCCGGGATACTGTTCCCCACACTTGCACTTCGCTGCGGCCCAATCCCCGTGTGCCATACCCTACCCCTCGACCCTTGTGGCCCCACCAGCAAATCAACGGTGACCACGGGGAAAGTATGTCGTCTGTTTGTCCTAGCGCAAGCCCGGCTCCTCGAGTCAAATGGACAGCCCCTGGTCGAATCGATTGCGCGGTACCGACGATAGAAAGCACGCCTAGCTCGTACGTACACAACTCACCCGCCTCCACCTCGGAAAATTGGGCCTATTCTCCCAGATCACCCCTTCAACCAGTATCACCGCTTCGACTGGAAAGGAAACCGTTGTTCCTCTCGCGTAACGCAGCCCCGCCTTCCATCAATTCGAGTTCACAACGTCTATCCCTGGTGTCAAGCTCTTCTGAGCAGCCACTCTTGCCGGGCCGTCATGGCAAGGCTGATGCCACACACTATGAAGACAAGACTGAAGCTTCATCAAGAGGAACCACCTTCGCCGCCTAGTCACCTTGACGAGACTCGTTCCTGTATTTCCAAGACACACAACTGTATTCATATGTACCTTTTAACGAGATAGCACGAGTATATACCATTACCATTAACGATAAAAACGAGCCAACGTCATGAATCATCCTCTGGGTAATCAACTTTGTCGTAAAGCCTTAAGGTTTCGTTCCAGTCTCTCTTACGCCTTCTCTTGACAGAGAAGTACCTGGTCGTACTCTCCCATTTCCCCCGTACTCTACCCTTCTCCCTACCGCCGGTACTCAAGAAGTACATTTCCGGATTGTTGGGCAAACCAATCTGGGTGGCGAGATTCATCACTCTGCTGTGCAGATCCTTTCGTTGCTCAGAAAGGCCTTTCAACGTCCCTTGACCAACGAGGAGTAATCGTAGAAGGGCCCTCAAGGCACGGAACGCGGACACGGCGTCCTCAAGCCAGCGTAGGGTGATCCACATAAGGGCTGGGACGAGGACCACCGTGAAGGCGGCAAAAGGCAATGTCAACATCACAGCGCTGAACCAGACGGAGATGCCGGATGCCAGGCCGTATATGAGTTTGTACTGGGCTATTTCGTCCCAGGTGTCGAATATGGGCCCTGTTTTTTTGAAGTTCTTGACAGCGATGAAGGTTGTGAGGAAGACGGGGCACCAAAGGGCTAACCCAGGCAGGGATATGCTGAATAGGGCCAATGACCAGGTGAACCGTACGATGATACGAGTGAGAATGACAGTCCTGCGAAGTGGACGCATGACGCGGTCGTCCTTGATCCCGAGACGCACAAGCTTGTCTTGATACTCCTAAACACGAGTCAACGACTTAGCGTGACAAACAAATACGTATGGGAGGCTCACATTCAAGTCATGCAGGAGCTCCTTCTGCTCTTTCGCCGCATCAGACTGAGCAGAATCATCCAAACTCTTGAACACCTCCAGGAAGGCACGAGTGACGCGGATGTAGTCGCCTAATCTCATGCGCGTGCCAAGCGGAGCGTACATGCGAGCAGTTAGCTTCGCCGTCCTCACGAGGCCCCATGAAGGGGCGTCGATCGTCCCGGAGCTGATTTGATCGTGCATTTGAGACGTGACCTCGCGAATGTGATCATACTCGATAGGCGCCAAGAGTTCAGGATGAGTCTTTTGCGGAACGCCATGAGCTTGGTGAATAGACGCGAAAAACGGTTGAACGCACCTTCGGACTGAATCGCATCGGAGGGTGGAAGGTGACCAAAACATCGGATCTGAAGTGCTGACGATGCCTAACGGGAATGAGAGACGCTCAGGGCGGAATAACAAGTCGTAGACATACATATAGGTGACGGAGCAGTTCAGGATGGAAATGGTGAAGTCCAGATTGTCCCTGTTCCTTGTCAGAATATCGGACACCAGGCGAGCGACTAGTGTCCTCCACCGTTGTGTATTTGGATAGATATAGAGAATGGTTGCACATACCTCCGGTCTTCAGCGGCGCGATCGTGGGATGGTACCTGCTCATGCCTTCGGGAAATAAGCAGACTGCATCTCCGGCTTCGAGGGCCTACAATTCCAGTTAATGCGGAGAACCTCGATGAATTGCCTAGTACTAACTTCCATCAACTTCAGCATCACCTGGGAATTGTCTACCGTGCCGTCGGGGTTATCTTTGCGTCGTTGGATTGGCACCGTTCCCGCCGATTCAATCAACCAGCTAGTGAAGGTCTTGTGGCCAAACTGAGTGGCTTTCGCAGTCAGACGCAGCATGCCACGAATCTGTCCCAAGGCCCCGTCAAGAAAGGCATACTAAGGTGATCGGCTACGCACCTTCTGAGGCATTGCTATGACCAGGAGACTATCGACAGCATCGGTAAAGTACCATTGTTGGAACACAGAAACTCGCTCACAGAGCATCGGTCAAAGAGTTGCTGTGATTCGCACATACGATGCTGTCGGTTGAAATCTAGCGTCAGAGATAGCATGTCCGAAGAGAGTAACGAAGGGTAACAAACCAAGGTTCGCCGTCAGGAAGGACATAATGCGTGTTCTCGATAACGATTGTGCCATAGAAGATCTTGAGCACGAACTGAAATAATAACCTTCATAAAAGTGTAAGTAGCTGAGCAGTCGGCTGTACAAGCAAAGACCTCGCACCTAATCAAGTAATACGACCATGGCACCGGGGTTCCTTTAGAGGTACTACTCATTGACGATGGACGAGGTGAAGTCCGACCTTGTGAACTGCAGCCTCTTGAGTGTCCCCCAGCTTAAAGAAGTGCCGTCATGCCAAGCGTGGACGGATACGGCAATCAGAATATTTTATGGGCGCTTATTGATACTTGAATAGATCACTCTTCACTGAAAACTCCTTCGACTGGACGAGATGGAGACGGCTCTTTCCAAAATACGGCATCACACAGGATCTTCGCTACCATATCAAAAGACACCAGCCACCCTCCTTGTTGCTCTTGAATCAGCCCTTGACGAGCAGAAAGCTGAACGAACGCCCACGGCCTATTTTGCAGGCCTCCTCACGACTCTCGAGAGCACTCTGCAGAAGAATGATCGCAACGTCGGTGAAGGGGATGTTCTCCCCGCCGAACTATATCTACTCGCACTTGTTGCGCCATTTGTCCCGACACCAGTGATCAGGACGAATCTCGAGACGATCTTGACTTTGACTTCACCCTTGTTCCCATTGCTTTCCTCACATGCACCCCCTCTAAGATCACAGCTGTCGCTTTACCAAGTTGTCTTTACGGCTCTTGATCGTTCGCAGCTAGAAGTCGACGGTGTTCGCCAAGCCTTTGCTTCGATCCTCCAGCTATGTCTAGATCCACGACCCAAAGTCCGCAAAAAGAGTGCTGAGGTCGTACAACAAGTTCTCCAAAATCCCCCGGCCCCATTGCTACGACATACTTATGCCGAGCGTGTCGCAGACTGGGTGCAAAGCATATTGACTCAAGTCAGCAACGATCCTATCCCAAAAAACAAATCCGCCAAGACACATGTATCCAGTGAGACAGCTATACACATCCTCACTTTCCTAAGGCCCATCCTGCCGCATCTCCCAGCCACAGTATGTTGTTTCACTAGCTACGGTCTTATGCTTCTCTCATTTCGCGTGTACTTAGTCATTACCTGCCATCACCTCAAATCTATTGACCTTACCGCGACTCGGGAACCCATACTTATCCCAGTCGGCTTACTCTATTCTTGCTGATTTATTCTCTGCGGCAATACAAGACTCGTCAAGTGGCGTCGATCAAAAAATCCCTGATGTCCTTAAAGTCGTAATTTCTTCCCCTCCTGTCGTATCGGACGTTACTCTTGCGCCAGCCTGGCTATCCGTAGTCGGAAACTGCATGCATTCGTTTAGTACTCTTGATCCTGTGGCTGCGGCTGCTGAAGTCGGCAAGGTCTGGAAAAAGACATGGACGTATCTGGAGGCCAAAGAACCAGCAACCAGGCAGGCAGCCGTTGAATGTCTGGAATTATTATCGCACAGCTTTTCTCCGATTTTTTTTCACGAAGCAACGAGAGACCCATCTTCAAAATGCACTCTTAATCAGATCATCGCCCAAACCGCTAAAGCACTAGATACTCTGGCCTTCGCTCGGTCGATGCCTGAACTAATGGCCGTCATATCTATTCTTATCACAAGTCTGCGGCACAGAGATTCGTCAACTTCACCAACCGCTGCCGAAATACTGCTGTTGCCGATAGTTGTGAAGGTCGGAGAGTTGAGAACACAGAGGGGGTTCGAGTACAAAGAAGCTGCCGACAGTACCCTGTCCACCGCGATGAGAGTGTTAGGTCCTCATGTAATACTACAAATTCTTCCCTTGAACCTTGAACCTGACGACCGGTAAGCATTTACAAACCACAGGCGTCATTCATTTGCTCACCTGTATATCTAGTCAAGCCGGCCGAGAGCCCAGGGCTTACATCCTTCCTCTTCTCGCACAACCCCACCCATCACCTCTTGGGCATTTTGTCTCTTATTTTGTCCCTTTAAGCGAGCGGATGTTCGACCTCCAACAAAAGGCAGAGACTGAGGGACGCCAATCCGAAGCCAAAGTATGGAGTGTCTTGGTTTCCCAGATTTGGAGTGGATTGGCCGGATATTGTCATGCCAGCGTCGACCTTCCCCAGGCAAGTGAAGTGCAATGGTAATTCTCTCACCGTTTGCTCATTAATTCACCTTCTTCTAGGCCTTGACCCCCGCCTTTTCCCAACTGCTCTCCCAGCTACTTTACAGCCAGCCAGAGCTCCGCCCATCGATTCTCAGGGCTTTGAAAGTTATCATTGACTCGAACGTCGTGGCAGCCGCCTCGGACAAGCCGTCCAGTGCCGATGGGAGCATCATCATCACTGCAGCAGAGGCCGCAGCGAATGTGTCATTCCTTCGCGCTCAGGTCGAGAGTTGGCTTGCAGTGCTATTCAACGTCTTTGGCAGTGTAGACCCAGATGTTCGCGGGATGGTGGGAGACGTGATCAGCGCTTGGACTTCTATCGCGGATGAGCAGGTAAATACTCTCTGCTTTTTGACCGGATAATTCATTGAAGGGAGAATACAGCAAATTACTCAAGCATACGCTAAAGTTATCCAGCTCCTCACAACCAATCTCCGATCGGCTCAAGCAAATGTCACGACGATGACCGAAGACATACTCGTTCTCCTACTCCCTTACCTTTCGCCGGTGGACAGTGCTGCCCTCTTCGAGTTTTGCTTATCCCCCGATGTCATTGGCGCCAGAGACAATGGGGTCCAGAAACGCGGATACAAAATTCTTGCTAGATTGACTGATCGTGGAAAGTTCCCCGTCAATGCAGAGGATGTGCTTCAACGACTTGATGCAGTCTCTGATAAATTGACATCTGCCGCGAAGAAGGTAGCCTGCCATCAGTTTAAATAATCATGCTCATACTAATGTTTTTTTTGTAAGGATCGCTTTATGCTGTTGATCGCACTCGTGCAAGTGATTCGTCCCGAGTTGCTTCATTTGATACCTTCCTTCATCCCGGAAGCCGTATTGGGCACTAAAGAACCGTCTGAAAAGGCCAGGGAGGCGGCCTTCGACCTCATTGTGAAGATGGGTAATAAGATGAACAGCGGTGGCCTTGTCAAGCGAGGTATGATGGAAGGAATGGACGAGGACACTGCGACAGAAGGTGAAACTGGCCTCTGCTCCTCGCAACAACGAAGTTGACATTCTACTTTTTTCAGCGAAGGCAAGTGTAGACGAGTTCATTACCATGATGGCTGGGGGGTTGGCTGGCGCTACTCCTCATACCATTAGCGCGACCATTACAGCAATTTCACGATTGGTGTTTGAATTCAAAGGTTAACTTTGTCAGTGGTTTTGTGTAAATCGTGCTTATTTATGCCCAGATGCGATATCACCCAATATCCACACCGAGATTCTATCCACTATCCTCGTCTTCCTCACCTCAGCCAACCGGGAAATCGTGAAGTCTGCGCTTGGTTATGTGAAACTCGCGATACACACTCTCCCTGTGGATTTGGTTCGGCCGCACCTGAAAGATCTCGTGCATCAACTACTCGCATGGTCGCACGACCATAAGAACCACTTCAAGGTCAAAGTCAGGCATATCTTTGAACGGATGATCAGGCGCTTTGGTTGGGATGCTGTGTACGCTTGTGCAGAAGGGGAAGATTCGTCTAAGGTCCTTCTCAATATCAAGAAGAGGAAGGACAGGGCCAAAAAAAAGAGAGCTAACAAAGACCAAGAAGAGGACGGGGTATGTGTCTCTTCGAGTACTCATGTGTTTTCGCTTTCCTCACCTACGGAATAGCTACCAACAAGCGCCAAACCTGTCACAGGCACTGCATTCGAGGATGTACTTTACGGAAGCGAGAGTGAGTTGTCTGACAGTGACGAAGAAGACGCTGGTCCTCGTCAGTCTGGCAAGACAAAGGCGAAGACATTGCGAGGCGCCCAACTGCGAGTCGACGACGACGAACCTATGGATCTACTATCTGGGGCCGCGTCGCGGATAACCAGTTGAGTGTTTTTCCCTCTATAATTCCTGTTGCTGACCTGACGTTAGACACACAAAATAAAAGGCGGCGTCAGCCTGGGCATGAAGCATCTCTCTTCAACACTGACGATGCTGGCAAACTCGTGATCGAATCAAGCGATGACGAGGCAGCCAACGATCAACAGGGAGACGATGTTGTAGGCACGGCTTACCACGAAAGCCTGACCTCAGTCGACGGCTTCACTCGGGGACCGAAAGGTCAGGTCAAGTTCAACAAAGACACCAAGAAGCGTCGAAGAGAAGCCGACGAAAGAGATCAGGATGTCGAGATGGCCGACCCAGAGGCTAAGCCGCCAAAGAACAAGAAAAAGACTGACGTTCGACCAGGACAGGAGTTCAAAGCGAAGGCAAGTGTTTTGCGCCGCTTTACTACGTTCTCTGATCCAAGTATCGTTCAACAGAAAGCTGGCGGTGATGTCAAGAAAGACGGGGTGGATCCTTACGCCTACCTTAGTTTGTCCCAGGCCGCAAAGAAAGGTCAGCGCGGCCGAACCAGCATTGGTATCGCTGGAAAGCGAACAAAATAATTTACCCTCCGTGGTCTATCATGTTGGAAATGATATCTTGCACATCTATTGTTGTATTAACCATACAATGTTTGATCATGAGGCCCTCCAAAGAGCCCCTGCTTCCAGCTACTTGGCTCCTGCCACTCTGAAATTCGCGTGTCGACATCGAGTATTTTAGCTATAGCCGAAGCAAGCATCCGAGCATCCGCTCTGTTGTCCCCTTCGAGCACAAATTGCAATAAGGCGCAAACGGGAATGGACCATGATGTCGGAATCGACGATAATATTCGTCGAGTCAACCCGCCGCCAGGAATGAAGGGAATTGGTTCCTTCTCCGAAATGGCATCAGATGAAGAGGCATACGAGGGGATGTGGAACTGGGTGATGCGAGAAAGAGGCTCGCTAGTGAATGCCGGCGCGTGGGTTGGACAAATATGGTAAAGCGGTATCCTAAAGGACGATGCATTGAGACAATGGACAATGGATGAAGAAGGTGGATCAGTCTGTTGCGTACATCATTTGGCTGTCTGTGCGGTTGGATAAATCAACGCCAGACAAGAATAGTGTCGACTGGACACCAGATGCTTGTACAAAAGCAAGAAGCTCATCGACGAAATCTTGTTTTCTAGACTGGGTGTTTGAGTTCAGGTAAGCATACTGGGGTCATAACTGTGCCCACTATGATACCTACCTTCAGTGCAGGAGATCGTTGCTGGATCACAGCAACATTTAAGTCATCGCGTCCGAATACTAAGTTGTTGGACAGCTTAGTTTCTAGTATATATACCGTAGAAATCCACGAACACTCAAAGGGGGTAGTTATTCCTTCTTGGCCTTCATCGCGGGCTCCAACTGCAGGAATAAAATACTGTGGATCGAATATGCCTACCAGTTGCAAGGAGAGTGACGCGATCAAGATGTCAGCGGCGAGTTGGGGGAGGTTTGCGGTAGACACCACAGGCTACACATCGAGCGTTGTAAGTAGGAAATCAAGTAGATTGCAGGCGGAACGAACGATGAGGAGATTCTTGCCCTTCAGGGTGTAATTGGGTGCCGTTGAATGGAAAAACATGATAGCCTCTGTTGAATCTTGATCAGTTTACTGCCTGCGTAAGCGCCCGAATCTACACCTCTCCCCGATTCTTAGGCGCGCAATAACTCATGCACACTCCTCGTTCACGTACACCGTCCAGGGCCAGTACACCTGCCTTAAACCGATCCGGATCCTCTAGAATAGTCATCCCTACACTCCGGCACGCATCTTCGAAAGCTACTTTGACTCCAACCACGATTAGCAATGATAACTCTCCGCCTAGCCGACAAATGCTGGACAGCGCCGCGTCTTCTGTCCTCGATCTCGACATGACCGAGGGTATTCTCCTCCAAGAAGCTGAAACCGATGCTGATGCTGCGGAGGGGGAAGAAGTTAACGTCATGGGGAGCCTGAACACGACTGCAGGGCATGAAGACTCCAAGCAGTCGCTTAGGGACCAGCTTAGGAAGACCTTGAATCGTAAGCAGTCGATGCAAGGTGCGTGCATGGCCTCAGGGTGCATACAACGGTGTGAACATTTAAGGCTAGACCTCCCTTCTCCCCGAACCAAGGTGAAGCCTGTGATGGATGATATACCTTATGAACCTAGTGAGTGTTGAGCAGTGTTGAGCGTCAGTTATTCATAAGTCATTCAGCGCAAAGCTTCGGCGAGAGGGAATACTTCGTCCTAACAGACGCAGGAAAGCCTGTTTTTGTGAGGTATACCCTAGCCATACGTGGCTACTTGCGGTCACTGATTACTATCCAGTCGCTCAGGGGGAGAGGACTCTCTGGCCTCTATTATTGGCATCATGCAAGCACTTGTATCTGTTTTCATCGACGACGGCGATAAGCTGCGCTGTATAAATACCAAGACATCACGAATCACCTTCCTCATCCGTTCACCATTGTATTATGTTTGCTATTCCAATTGGGGCGAACCCGAATCAGTCGTGCGTGCATCACGCGCCCCCAGCATCCTAGTGCTTACACCAATGAAGAAAGACGCGCTCTCATCTGGAATACCTTCACCTGCAAATCATCAGCATAGTCACCGCGTCACATCTACGCAAACTCTTCGAAAGAAGGGGTAATTTCGATTTACGGCGTCTATTAGATGGTGAGTTTCAATCGCGTTGAAGACCTAGTGGCAGAATTAATCTGCCGCTGAAGGTGCTGAATCCTTCTTGACTTCTATTCTCGAACGACTGCAAGGCGATATCGCGATGAATACTTCATCACTTTTCTGCTTAAAGCTGGATCCTGCGTTGAGGAAGCGGGCAGCAGACTGTCTGATACCCACCAACAAGATGAAGGTAAAGCCCCATGTAGTATTTGCATCTACCTGGACTCACCACCTCGTAGGATGTCCTCTATGTATTTCTAGTTGCGAACGGTCGCGTTGTCACACTAATACGACCGAGGAAACATTCAATACACCCAGCCGGTATGTCCTATCCCTTGTTGCATTCACAAAAAAACTCACACCGACTAGACATACACATATTACTCAATACCATATACAATCCATCTATTCTACACTCCCCTGCCTCTACGTCGTGTATCCCTATCTGTCTACCCAAGTTCAATCCTTCAGGCTTCATGAACGCTTATATCTCCTTCCTCCGGAAGCCTGAAGGTGTCCCAACCTCTACGGACGCCCCCAGCAACAGCACAGTGTCTTCTAGGCCCCATTCTCCCGAGCTTCCGGCTGGTGATCATGTACCGGCGCCAGTACTATTTCCGTCTACCGACAGCTCTGATCGCGAGGACCCGACGCTGGCGCTTGTCTGCCTCAACGGGGTCGGCGAGTTCGATACGATCAAGGGATGGTGTGAATCAGTTTCGCAGGTAGGCCGATGATGTAGGCGCATTCTTTGATTATTGAAACTGTTGCCTTAGAAACTGGACAACGAGGGGATATCGGACGCTATCATATCAGACCTCCAGAGTAGGAAGACGGAGTACTCTGTGGCGGAGCTTGGTATTCCCGGGCTTCGACATTTTGTGTACAAGTCTAGAGGTCAAGTCCAGGTCACAATTCCTTCATTTGATGACCCATACGATAGCCCAACCGAGAAGAGAAGGTGTGTCCCATCCCTTACCTGAGTGATTCGCTCATAGTTGTGCGGACATTCAGGTTACTCACGCTATATCAAACACTGCACGACGCCATTCATGCGAAGTCTGGCCAGGGTGGTATGCTGAAGTTGCAATATATCAAGACTGAGAAAGAAAGCGTTCTCGGCTGGGTGCATCATATTTCCCGTTGTTGTTGTCGTCGCGTGCATAGCTAACTAATTATGCATAGATCACGCAACCGTTTGAGCTCTACATCACCTTATCTCCGATGTTACCGAAGAGTGCTGCTGTTGGGGCAGCGAACTCCGTCGTGCGGTGGGTAAAGAAAGAGGAGGGTCGACTGTTTCTGAGAGATGCACCGGTATTTTGATTCTTTTCTCTCATTTTCCCGCCGCATTGTACCCGATGCTACTCTGTGCAATCCACTCATGCAGTGTTGCGGACCCGATCAGTGAGACGGATATCAAGTATGAGACCGCGTGGGACTGACGTTGGCGGGATAAACACGATCACGGCTATTGTAAGCTTCCTCAGCGTCACCATCGCTGTCACGACGCCGATTGGCGAAGCCATCAACTTGGTCCTCGGTCACACCATCGGTATGCTCCCATATCTCCTCTCCTCTGATTGGCTCGTTAGACTACTATATGAACTGCCATCGTTGCTTCTGTTCGCCTTCCCGACCCCCTTCCCCAACCCCCAACTTCCCACTTGCGATGTCAAGGCAATTACTCGATACGCCTGCTAAACATCCCTTCTCAGTTACGGGCCTCGCTGATAGAGCTTGGAACCGAATTCGCGAAGCAGCGTTCAACACGGGGTGGACACCAATGACTAGGCTTGCAGAGATGGCCCTCGTGTCGTGCGTAGAATTGTCTGAAAGCGCTGCGCGCGACTTGACCTGCATCCACTTTCTAGGCTCATGGAGCGTATAACAGTGGGGGAACTTAGGGTCTTGACGCTCTCCAATGTCTATGAGTTTCGTGGCTCTCATTCGGACGAACAATCCCCGCTAAAGGCTGAGCTTCGTGTCGTGAATGATGTTTTCTGGGTGCGACTATGTACTATGGGAGATCTTGGCTTTGCAGAGGCGTATATGTATGGGGATGTTGAGTGTGATGACCTAGTGTCTCTTTTCATGGTATGGAGGTCTGTATACGTCTGCGTAGCCTCGCTTCACTCATACAACTATAGATATTTCTAGAAAATCGCGAAAATCTCTCCAACCTAGACTCTAGACTTTCCTACCTATTCACGTTGCCTCAACGGCTAACATCGTACCGATTCTTGAACACGATTGGGAATTCTCGATCGAATATCTCGGCCCATTACGACATATCAAATGATATGTTCACTGGTAAAGCATCTGTCATCTCGAGAGTTTCAGTCTCTGACGCGGCCTTCTAGGTTTCTTATCAGAGGACTTGACTTACAGTTGTGGAATTTTCGAAGATCTAGACGGAGATCACAGAAAGTTCGGTAACCAGACCCAGTGGAGCGGTGGTCAGGGCTTGAAGCGCATACAGCGTAGCGAGCGCGTCAACAGGGACGATGGGAACGTCACTGCTAGCATAAGCGGAAAGGACGAGCTTTACGAGGCTCAAATACGGAAACTTCGACATATCTTCGAGAAAGCTCGCATTCTCCCTGGTCACCGTGTTCTGGAAATAGGGTCAGGTTGGGGCTCTATGGCCATGTTCATTGCGCAAAATTCCCCAGATACAACCGTAGATACGATCACTCTTTCTATTCAACAACAGGAGCTAGCGATCCAAAGGATAAAAGAAGCTGGGCTGGAAGATAGAATTCGTGTCCATTTGATGGACTACAGGAACATGCCGGCTGAATGGGAAGGGGCATTCGACCGAGTCATCAGCATAGAAATGATCGAAGCCGTAGGGTTTGAATTCCTAGAAAAATACTGGAGCGTCGTTGACTGGGCCCTGAAACGAAAAGGCGGCGTCGGCGTCGTCCAGGCGATCACCATACCAGAAGCAAGTGAGTACCCTTCTTACGGTCGAGTGTACGACCGATTAAATGAATATCACGCAGGATTTCAGCGATATCTTCAAGAAATAGATTTTATTAGAAAATGGGTAATGCATTTACCACCTTGAAAGCTCTACATCCTCACTCAGACCCGCGTGTCTTGCAATTTATAGAGTAATCGTGTTCCGCTCTTTTGGTGGTCTAATACTGACGCTCTTTGTATAGTTTTTCCCGGAGGTATCCTACCGACACTGTCGCTTCTCTTCCAAACAATGGAGAAGGGATCAGGGGGGCGTCTCATTGTTGATTCGGTATCCAACATTGGTCCTCACTATGCACGCACCCTCAGAGAATGGAGGCAAAGGTTTCTGGCAAACTTTGAAGACGTAGTAGTCCCTGCGTTGAAGAAAGAGTACCCTGACGTGATGACAGGTCGGAGTGGTAGGTCAGAAATCGAAGTATTCAAGAGGAAATGGCTATGTGAGTCTCTCATAGGTCCTTCTACTTTATGCTTACTTGTGGCCCACGCAAACTAGATTATTAGTGAGTCTAATACTGGGATTCAAATATATTCTCTGGCTAATTCGTTTACACAGTTGCTACTGCGAAGCAGGTTTCACATCGCGCACATTGGGAGGTATGTAAATAACCACAAAAATAAACAAACCTCGCCGTAACGTCCGAACAGATCATATCCTCACGTTTACGCGAGAGGGATGCAGGGAATATGGTTGCGATGTATACTCCTAATCACCCCCTATAATATGTATGAGAGTCACGGTGTCCCAATTTTACTTCTTGGTTTGCTCCAACAAGCCGCATTAACTTCATGGTGCAGTTGTTTCGGGGCAATTTCGTACATAGCCCTCAGATCGATGAAGTTCTGGTTCTAGAAGATCACCTTCTAGGTAGAACGCTCAGGCTAAATCAATTACTCGTCTCATGATCCCGTCTAGCTGTCGATGATTTGGGGTACATAGCCCATTTCGAGGAGGCGAACTCCCAGGAATCCGTACGACTGCGGTTGCAGCACACGCAGGTAGAGGTGACCCAGCTTCAACCTGGAAGCTTCTTCCTGCCTACCTTCTACGATCTCCATCTCCATGCGCCTCAATTCTTATACCAAGGAGTAGGACTGCATCTTCCGCTGATGCAATGGCTCGACGACTATGCATACAAGGCGGAGGAACGGCTTGATTCTGACCCAATACTGGCGGAGAACGTATACAAGCAACTTGCCACCCATCTCATAGCCAACGGCACAGGTGCTGTTCTCCTTTTTGGCACCATTAAGTCAGAAACCAAGTAAGTTTCCTTGATTTATCCTAGTAATTCGCGGAGTCTTTCTAACGTACAAAAAGTATTATACTCGCTCGTGCGATGCAGAATTTAGGCATTCGCGGGTTCGTCGGAAAGCTATCAATGGACATCTCATCACGCCCTACCTATGTCGAGGCAAGCGTGGAAGCATCGCTATCATCTATTGCATCCTTCATAGATGAGTGCAAGAATCTAGTCAAGCATTTACCCGCCCATGAGCGGTTTATCGAGCCTGTAATCACACCACGATTTATCCCCACTTGTTCCGATGCTCTCCTTCGTGGTCTCGGTCATCTGGCAGCCCAGAAGGATGTCCGCGTGCAGAGCCATCTTGCGGAATCCTTGGACGAAGTAGAATGGGTTAAAGGACAGAGAGGCGAAGACGATATTAATATATTCGACAAGGTACCGATCCATTGCGGACACCTATTGTTGAAACTGAACATCGGTACTAGCACGGCCTGCTTACTCCACGGGCGGTACATGCACACTGCACGTTCCTGCCCACGTTATCCTTAATGCATCTAGCCACAAGAGGCACATCGATTGCGCATTGTCCTCTTTCTAATGCGTACTTCTCGGCTCAGCCGTTTAGGTTGCGGGAGAGTATACGACAAGGCGTTAAGGTTGGACTGGGTACCGATATCGCGGGTGGATATACCCTTGATATGATGGACGCCATGCGAAATTCAGTCACAGTTTCGAAGATGAGGGAGGGATCGAGAATACTCTCTGAGGATGATACCACCGCCGAGAGCAAGCTTGATATCGATTGGAAGACGGCTCTCTACCTAGCTACTAGAGGGGGAGCAATCGCTCTGGGAATGGCACATGGCTCGGGAACGTTCCAGGTGGGAGCTCCATTTGATGCTCAACAAAGTGAGTGCATGTTCTATGCCAATTATTGATGAAGGCTCAGAGTCATCAACCATAGTACAAGTGCTGGTCTGTGCTGGTCAAACTGGTGTCGGAGGAATTACCTTTTTTGACTGGGAAAATTTGCCAGCCAGTGGTTTGACCATGGAAGTTCTTGAGAAGTGGTGGTGTATAGGCGATCATCGTAATCGCTGCGCTGTATGGACCCAAGGTGTAAAACGATCATGATTTCCGTCAAATAAATACCGTGCAATATAACAACCCGATGAGGGAATCTTCAATTGAAAACTAGAGCTCCTCCTTGCGAAGTTCGTCCCAACCTGGCAGGCCCACCACGATGGGTAAATCGTTCCAGAACGCTTCCCGCAGTGCATCGGTGTCTCGACGGAAGCTAAGCCGACAGGCGATGCAAACGGAAGGATCGTCATTCACCAATTGAATGGCTTGTCGCATAAAATGTAGCGGGCTTGTCCTTACCATCCAGGACTTGGATAGGCGTGAGGACAAGCGTATGAAGCCCTTTTTACATGACTTCGGATCAAGTTGGTTCTCGCAGCCATGACCAGGTTGTTGGCTGCATGTTGTCTTCGTAAACTCGAGGATCAAGTTGATACGGGATTGAAACACAAGTGTGTAGTCTTTCAAATCTTGAGCATCGAGCGTAGATGAAGGTCGAGACGGATGGTCGACCATAAGCTTGGCATGGTCTGCCTTCAACAATTCTGTCAGAGGGTACAAGGAGAGGAAGTAAAGCGCGGATGGGATGACAAGCCGAATGTTGACCTCTCGGGCTAGATTGAGAACGTGTAGTGGATGAACGTAGGGGTAGCTGAAGCCGTTGACAGGTGGGTTGCGAAGAGCTTTCTCCACCATTTCATCGTGTGTTTGCAGTGTATAAGGCCAAGTCTGAGTAAGGAACCGGACGGCCTCTTTACGCAGGTGGGAAATAAAGTATTTTGAGGAGAGACGGATTATTCCAGCCACATAATAGAAGTCCTCAAGGGAATTCTCTGAAAAAGAACTACGGATTGAAATCGAAGGAGCACTAGCACGAGAGGAGACTACACTACTCACGGGCCATCATAGATTGCCTTCACCAGACGTGATAACTCAACCGAATTATCATACATGGGCACGACTTGGCAGCCTTCGACTGAGTCGGTAAGGGCGTTGGGCTGCGGGAGCTCGAACATTCCCTTGAATATCTCAGAATATCGAGATACCACGCCCCGGTGAATCTTGAACGCGGTTTGTTGGTCCTCTGTTACGAGTATAATGTTCCCGTCATCGAACCAGGGCTGGAGGAAAAATATATTGCTTAATTTCGACCTGTTAATATTTGTGAGTACACACTGACATCTCCTTTCTCCCCAAGCAATGCTGAACTTGTCATGTCTTCTTGTACTTGTCTTTTCTCCAAAGTTGTGGACAGGATGCTTCAAGTCGACCCTCACGTTCAATGTCAATGATGGCCGCCGTTGATGTCCGTTATGTAAGGACAGACGTGTATCAACGGTTTAATCAATCAGTCAATTACTCTACACTACTTACTGCTACTGAATTCCGCGGTTATATGTACCTACTTGCAACAAAAGTACAGAAAAAACAAACGTTCACCATAAAAGATACGACAAAAATGTAGAATATAAAATAAAAAGGCCCCAATCTATGAGGTTATTAGGTGGCCACTTCGTATAGGGAGTGTCGACTTCAAAAAGCGGAAGGTGAACTGGAGGATAGTATATAAGAGATAAAGAGAACCAACTGCAAAGATTTCGTCAGTAGGTCGTTCAGATAACAAAGAAATGCCACGTACAGAGCAGAACCGGTAGCCAGAATGAGAACAACATCCGATCATCTGAGATGCATCTAGTCAGTAATGCTGCAGGGTCGTAAATTTCAGCCACCTACGTTTCTTCTGAATCTTCTGCGTTTGTTTGGTCGACGGCCGATAGGCATAGGCGTCTATATCTTCATCAAGCACGGGCGCCTGCGAGTATTCTACTCGTCTCGACGATGTTCTAATATCAGAAGACGAGCTAGTATGAGGCGTCGCCGAAGATTGGGCTTCTTCGCTAGCGTCCAGAGATGGAGTCAAAGGGGTGTCCTCAGCCGTGGATTCTGCTCTGGGCGTATATTGAGGAGGAGGGAGTTCCTCTTGCGATGGCCGTTGTGCCGATGCCAGCGACAACAATTTCTCCCATGTTGCTTTCAATTCCATAGCGGCCCCAACAGCGCCGGCTTCCTTCTTCTTTTGTTCACCTTCAGAGACTTCAGTGGCGGCATTGTCACCTCCCAGGAACGACGGCCATCCAGCCAAAGGAATGAACACCGGGAATACAACTGGAATTTGCGGAAGGGCACCCCATGGAACGGCTGGCATCCCAGGTAGGTGGGGTACATTAGGTATCATCCCCTGAGCCGTAGGAATTTGGGCGAGCGTCCGCTGAATCATGCTGATAAAGGAAGCGGCTTGCTTCTCGTCAACATTGACGTCCGTCTTGAGCTTTTCCTCGACCTTGGGTGGATCTGGAGGCGGCTCTGGGGCTGACTTCTCTCCCGAAGCCCTAGGTTTCCGACGCGATCGACGATGATGAGAACGGCGGGTAACAACAGCTCGCTCATCGGGCTCAGAATCCTCCTCGGCATCGCCCCATTGCGATTCTCCATCGTCGTCACCGTCAGTATAATACTCCTGGTCAGACGAGCTTTGAGCTACCGCCGGAGAGGGGGGAAGGATGCCGTCGAAGAAGCCGGGACGGGCAGTTTCCAAAGGAGACTTGCCAGAAGCGTCAACTACCTCGATGTCGGCCCCGGATTCGATAAGCAGGCGTGCGCACGCTTCCGAAGAGCTGATCGTCGCTAGGTGCAGTGGAGTGCAGCCATTTCGATCGCGGCTGTCGAGATCAGCCCCTCGAGCGATTAAGAACCGGACGAGGTGCTCAAACCCGAGGAAAGCCGCCAAGTGCAGCAGACCTTGGCCACTGCTGTTTCTGTGAGAGATAACAGAGGGCGTAGATAAGACGTCCGGCGCCGATTCTTCTTCCAATGAGGTGTCGAGGATCAGCAAGAAGTCGATGATAAGGGCTTCAAAGTTCTCGCCCTCCGTGGCTCGGGCAACCAGCAGTGGTCGAAGATCGTGATGCAATGAAGCAATGTGCATCATGTTGGATGCCATGTTGTGTTGTTGCTGCGATGGATCGTTTCCTGCGTTCCCAACAATACGCATGGCGACATTCTTCGCGTCTTCTATCTTGCCCGTCATCTTTAACCCGACAACTTGGAGAGCTAATTCCATCCTGGGTCAATATAGTCAGTACAGCCGCAGAAGAACGAAGTATCACGAATTCTTACAGTGCACGGTCTGAGTCATCAGAATACGTGAAAAGCGATAGCGGCGAGGCGGTTGGATCAGAGGACTTGGGGATTCCATCGAACCACACGGCGACGACGCCAGCGGTGGCTCTGGGGGGAAGGATACAGACAAGCGTGTTGTCGCTCCACCTCTGAGTAGAGCTTGCTACCACATCGCCGAAGACGCAATTCAGTTGCATGTTCGGGTGAAAATTGATACCTAACACGGTAACTTCGATTCCACCGTGGGTTGGGCCGCTATTGGGGATTAGACGATGTATTGTGGGCACAGGAAGAGATATCGATTGGTTTGAGCCAAATAGAAGGAGGGAAAGCGACTGTGGGTGGGCGATGTGCGGCTGTGAAGGAGCGGCTAGCGAGTTGGGCAGGGTGTCCATTTGCTGCTGGAATGACTGGGTGACAGCAGTAAGCAGCGACAAGTCCATTGTCCGGTCTTCAGGCGTGACCATGGTATCTGACGACGATTCAGACTCTTGAGATGAGTGTTGTAAGAGAGGTAAGTCGAGGGGGGGCTGCAACGAGGCAAGCTGGCCATCACGCGAAGGGGGGGTCGGTGATCGGGTCAGTGGTAAAGTCGAGGTAGAATTCGCAGGTGATGGCACGCTTGATTCACTGCCACCACGGAGTCCCTTGTTGCGTTTGCCTCGCGAGTCGTATGGTTTTGCGCGCTTTGCCAATCCACTCACGACAGGATCCTTCGACCGCCTAGAAGGTGCCCGGGACTCAATGGGCGATACCTCACCGACCACCCCATTCCCTTGGGTCCAGTCATAGTCCGTGTTATATCCAGTTGGGACCAAATCAGGCCCTGACTTCCCACCGTGATTCAAGGAGCCAGCGGTGGTCTTATGATCATCCGTTATCATTATTGGCCTGGTGGTCCCAGTGCCCACGATCCTTCCCAAGTGATCCACCATGGTGAAATGGACGAGGAAGCCGACTTTCTCACGATGATGCCGACAATAGCATGTTATGCGAAGGGGAAGGACGACGGAGCCGGCAGAGAAGTCGAGTACCTCAGCACAGTTGAATTGTATAATACTAGTGGTATCTTCTCGATGCTTGTGCTTGGCGGCAGAGGGGGGTGAGTCGGAGTCCGAGCGAGGGCGCACCCGCGCGGCTAATTTCTTAGCTACCCGCTTTGCCTAGAATGCGTTAGCATAAGAATTATGATGCAGTAGCGGACATCATTCGTACTTCACGAGCTTGACAACTTGAGCAGCTAAGAACCTTACTATGTGGAGGTGACGCGCAGGAAACGCTGGCAGAAAGATATAGGATATCCTCTTGTTCTGGGTCTAGATAACGGTTTGTGAAAACACAAAGGTAAGACGGACATGTTACACACCTATCTTCCCTTGCTTCCGCGTCCGCTTCTTCGTCGCTGTTCCCGCGGGTAGTTGGAGCCATTTCCATGAGCCAACGCGGTTGTACGCCCTTGGGTCGGCAGAGGAGCTGGTGTCTGCTAACTCTACGGAGACGCGCACTTGAGTCTCTACTCGGGATTTCGTCCCTCCTTCAGGAATGCTTGGAATCATGATGGGGAGACTGCGGAGGATATAAGCACTACAGATATATTGGGGCAAGTGAATGCATACTTGAAGCAGGATTCTTTGGGGGGATGCACGACTTTCTGATTGGATGGAAACGGGTCTCTATGGAGTAATCGTGTTACGGGAGGAGGAATCGGTTTAGTCGGCCTGTTGTTGCCCGTAGTAATGGGTGAAAGCGAATTGGACGGTGGGGCCGACGAAGCTATTGGGGAGGTCGCGGCGTGGTACGCTGAGATAACGCTCACAGCTGTCGGCCTATCAGAGCATAAGTGAATCAGCTCGGGTCACAAAGGATCGACCTAGCGTACTCTTCAAATGCGTGTCGCTCCAGCAAATCGTCTAGGCGAAGCATGGCATCGTCCTCATGTTTGGTGTTGGTATCATTGATTGCATTCATGTTGACATCGAATTCAGAGCCTACGGATATGCCCTTTCCGTTTGAGAACCACGATGCTAAGTCGAGGTCATTTTGCAGTACGATCGGGTCGACATTGTCTGATGCTTCTGGAGTATGAGGTGAAGGTGAACGGGAAGAAGATGGAACAGCATTCGAGAAGGAGGCCATGTCGAAAGAACGGCGGAGAGTTGGCGCAAAAGCCGCAGGAAAAGCCTGAACCTGGTGGGCTCCTGTAGGGTGAGTGAGGACTGTGGTAAAGTAACTGTGAAGGTGACTGAAAGGTGATGTGAGGGTTCCTCGAGTTTGGTTTTGTTTATTTCAGACGCCAATCGCCTTGGCCACCGAAGCTAGAGACTCTACCCGCAACTAAGACTCTACGCCCGAATCACTCACTGTCTCACTCTCTCTTCACCATGAAGCGCGGCGCAGAGCGGCAACTAGCCAAAGACGACACTGAGGAGGATCTTGAAGTGTGTTTCTACTGGCCCATTCACGTATATTCATCACATTCTGACTTGCCACCCCATCGTGTAGGATTCCAATCCGGGCCAGGGATTCAGGAAGGCAGATGATTCTACCTTGGCTGCCCGACCGTTCGTCGACGCTTGCTATCTATATGGACTAATCCTCATGCACCCTTAGTATCCGTGGCTTACCACGACGCTCCATGGCGAGCACTCCAACTGGTTCACCCGTCGCGAATGGCGCGTCAAATTCAGATGTACGGCGTCTTCTTGCCACTTGGCACCCGCCGTATATTAACGGACCACATAGGAACCATCTACCCCCAAGTTGGGTGCATTCTCCGGCTTCGGTTCACCACTGGCCAAGTCGCAGTCCTTCACATTTACGCCTCCACCAACTTCACCGTCTTCGAATCCTATCCCTCCGTCGTCGCAGTCATTCAATCTGGGTTTTTCTTCATCATCTACACTATTTTCTGGTTCACCCTTCTCTACTTCATCCTCCACACCGACAGCGGCCCCCTCAGCCTCATCAGCTACTAAAACTTTCGTGTCCTTACTAGGACCCCCAGCATCAACATCTTCAGGCAGTAGCTCGAAACCAGTTCCTCCTGCCCAACCTTTATTCTCGTCTAAACCTGCATCTGACCCCGCCGCAGAAACAGCTGCAGCTGACTCAGCCGCCTCCAAGTATTACGCTGCTCTACGTGGGATTAACGTGGCCTTCCTATCCGCTCTGACCCAAGCTGTCGACGAAGACCCCTTCGTTGATATCGCGGATATATTGGATCAATACACTAATTTGCGGGTTAGTGTACAAAAAGATTACGATTCAGCAACCAAACCGAAGCCGCCACCCGCACCAGCAGCATCTTCAATAGCCATGCCCACCCCTCCCACCTCATTCTTTGGGTTCGGTAGCTCTACTCCAAGTCCTGCGAGCTCGTCTACCACTACACCCTTGGGCGTCGGCTTCGTGCCCGACATCAAAGCGGCTTCGAGTCGTCCAAGCGCTGGAGGTTTCACTTTCCCTCCAACTGTAGCCACCGCCGCCAGCTCAAAGGCATCAGACGACGCGGGCGTACAGCTGAAGCCCACCCTGGAGTCATCGGGCAGTTCTAATGCGGGGTCAATATCTCTCTTTGGCACTGGCTCTACATCCAAATCGGCAACTTCCCTCTTCGGCACCACACAGTCTAATCCTTTCGACCTTCCTAAGTCAGATTCAAACAAGAATTTTACCTTCGGTGCACCTCCTAAGGCGGATACTGCTAAAGTAACCACAAGTTTATTTGGTCAGCCTTCGTCGTCTTCAACCAGCCTCTTTGGATCTTCCAGTGCCTCGACTGCCTCCTTAGTCAGTAGCTCAAATCCCTTCGGTGCTCCTTCAGCCGGGGCGAGTAAATTTGGAGGGTTCGGAGGGTTTGGCAAGCCTGCGGGCGCGGGTGGGAGCCTAGGAAACCCCGTTGGGTTCGGGTTCGGGAGCCCCCCAACTACGCCAGATCTCGGAAGCTCAAGCAGCACGACGAGTAACTTCTTCGCGCAGCCGAAAGTTGAGGAAAAGAAGACTGAAAGTGGGGTTGAAGAAAGTAGCCAGGAGAGTGCTGCAGGCGAAGGTGGAGGCGGGGAGAGTCCCTCTGACCCGAGTAACTTGATCGCAAGCAAGAATCCTCATGATGAGGAAGGGGAGGGCGAGGAGGATGAAGAGACAGTACATGCAATCAAGCTGAAAGCGTACAGATTGACCAAGAAAGACCCCAAAGACGGCGGAGGTAGTGCATGGAGTGAACTTGGCTATGGTGCGTGGACAACATAAGTTCCTCGTCGCTTGTCTGACGTTCATTTCAGGCGTTCTTCGAGTCAAGACCCACAAGGAGTCGGGAGCGCGCCGACTCCTACTACGCAACAGTAGCACTGGTAAAATTAACATTGTGTGTCGTCGTCTCTCCCCTTCGGTCTTTGATGCGGTGGCTAACTTTGCTGTAGAATTTCAACTTATATACGGGTCTCAAACCCTCACTAACAAAGCGAACGATCATGTTTGTTGGACATGATCAAGGAGCTTCTGTCACTTATAATGTTCGCTTGCAGACGGAAGAGCAAGCGAAGGAGCTGAAAGATGTGCTCGACAGGGAGATAGCCTTCGTGAAGGCCAAAACTGGGTCCGATTCGTGATACCTTGCTGTATGTTGTCAATACATGCGTCTCGCCCTGTTGTTTCCAAAGGCACCGAACATAAGAAGGGCGACATCTAAATAACCATGTGGCGGTATGTATTTTTGGTATCAGCTCTCATTTCCCCCTGTGCTTTTTAAAGGATTCTTGGATTCCTAGCCCCGCTTTAATGTCTTCCATGCACTTCGAATCTATTGCTTTCCCCTTCGAAGCTAGGTCCACAACTTCTTGTCCCAGGTCAACTGGCACACATACAACGCCATCTTCATCCGCAATTATCCAGTCCCCGGGCTTGACTTGTATGGCTGGGAAACTGTACGCGCTAGCATCACCGTCAGCACCCTGAGGCGCGATAGTGAGCGGTATGTTGATTTGCGAGGGCCGTGTAAATGGGGATTGGCCAAGGGTCGAATGGGAGCGGGCGAACACAGGGAACTGCAGAGCGCGATGCTCGCCGATATCTCTGCATCTCCCAGAAATTACGACTCCCTTGGCTGATCGTGCTTGGGCCCCTGCAGTCATGAGGCCTCCCCAGACCGCGCTCTTCACCCCTTCGCATGATTAGCTCTAGTAATGCGGAGGAAGAGTGGAAGGTGACGAACGAGGCGGGGCGTCTATGACAATTATGGAACCTTCAGGCGCAGTGTCGACGAAGTGCTTCTCCAGCTTGGGGGCCGTCTTATCGGACGCAAGCACCATTTGGACTGTATAAGCTGGGCCACATATTCTGATATCTGAGCTCGCGGCTGGGGAAACCATGTTGATATCTGGTATATAACCCCCGTGCGGGATGCCTAGCTTGATGAGAGCATCCGATATTTCGCAGGAAGAAAATGCTGCGAGGCGCGAGACCAGAGAGCGGGCTGCAGACATGGTTCAAGAGACGATCAGGAAATGGGACACCGTCTCCGTTGCATGGAGATCTTATCTAATCTCCATAATGAAAGTTCATCTTTCCCACGCAGTCGAACACTGAGTGCACTAGCAGTCCCGAGTGCTGAATCTCTCCCCGCATTCATGACCGCTAGACCGCCTCCCGCTCGTCCCCATATTGGTATCAACCCGCATACCAGCTTCTCGGGCTCAGGTAACGCTTCGACAGAATGGGGAGAAGATGATGCTTGGGACAGTGGATCAGACTCGGAATCGCCTCGACATTCCTCCCTCGCTTACTCGTACAATCGCATTCAAGCGACACCCGCGAAGCCCGTACCGCGCCCACCACTTGATCAGTCATCTTCGGCGCTTGCGTTCTCCTTCACCCACATAAGTGCACCGAATCCAAGTTCCTATCCGCCGCGCAACGGAATACCTGAGGAAAGGAGTGCGTCGTCTGGTGCATGGACGATAGTGAGGACTTCGCATGAGCGGAAGGGAAGCAAATTAGACATAGACGAGGCGGACATGAAGAGATCAGTTGAGGATGCTAGTCAGCGTGACGGGCAAGGCGATGGGGACATAGAGGGTGACATGATTTTGGGCGATCTCGAGGCTGATTCGGTACCGGACCTTGCTGCTGTCGAGGTGCACCACAAGTCCAGGACGGACAAGGGCACCATTCGCTCTGATTCTGAGCAAGTTTACAAAGGTATAGTTGGTGCAATACCGCCCATCATCTTCTAAAGATATTCAGATCCATTGCATGGCATTCGACATCGATCTTCACGAAAACCAAAGCCATCACCTCCACCACCGCAACATAAAAAACAGGATTCTAATGGCTCTGCAGAACGATCGGAGAAGCTTATGCGTGAACGCTCTATTCGTACGAACAGGCGGCATAAATTCGTTGACTGCCTGACCAGCCGGGATGTTAACGTCGGTAAGTGTAAACCGTACGTCTTAGACGTATACCCTCTGACATCTATCAAGTTGAACTGCGCAAACTTGCTTGGGCAGGAATACCCGAGGACCTTCGCCCAGTCGCGTGGCAGCTATTACTGGTATGTTCAGCACATGCCGATTTACATCAGGTACTAATGTACTCTTTGCAGGGATACCTCCCATTGCCCACACCGACGCGTCAGGCTACGCTGGAGCGGAAGCGAGAGGAGTATAAGTCTCTTGTGGAGCTGGCGTTTGCGAGGGATCGCGAAGGGCTCGACCAGCAGATATGGCATCAAATAGAAATCGACGTGCCACGAACGCGTCCGGGTGTCAGACTATGGATGCACGCAGCCACTCAACGGGTACGTTCATCTTAACTCCTGCGGGTGAATCGTACCTATCTTGACTACTAAGTCCTAAATTAAAGAGTCTTGAACGGATTCTCTACGTTTGGGCTATTCGCCATCCAGCAAGCGGGTATGTGCAAGGCATCAACGACCTAGTCACTCCCTTCTTCCAGGTATTTCTCTCGGCATACATAGGTACAGTCGACCTCTTTCCTGTCTATGCATCCTTTACTGACACCTGCGGCAGACTCTGATCCCGAAGAATTCGACCCATCCCTACTTCCTCCGTATATCCTTGAGGCGATAGAAGCCGACTCTTTCTGGTGTCTTTCCCGCTTGCTCGATGGAATACAAGACAACTACATATTCGCCCAACCTGGCATTCAAAGAAGCGTCCGGCGGATGGCAGAGCTTGTTGCCAGGATAGACGGTCAGCCAAATATATAACGAACGATAGATATGGTGCTCACGAATTCAAATAGCACCCCTCGCAGCACACTTAGAATCCCAGAATGTTGAATTTATGCAATTCGCGTTTCGGTGGATGAACTGCCTACTTATGCGAGAAATCAGCGTGCAAAACACTATTCGAATGTGGGATACATACTTGGTGTGTCTTTTCGCTGCTCTCGCTCGTTCACTCATTTGTGTACTTCCGTGTTTTCAGGCTGAGGGCCCAGACGCCTTCTCCCAGTTCCATCTCTATGTTTGCTCTGCGTTCCTAGTGAAATGGAGCGAAAAGCTACGGCAAATGGACTTCCAGGTTAGTCTGACTTCCAGGCATTAGAAAGCATTCGCTTACGAGTTCACTTCTAGGGCATCATCATGTTCCTGCAGTCTCTACCAACCCAAGATTGGGGAGACCACGAGATCGAAATGCTCCTCAGCGAAGCGTTCGTTCTCAACTCGATATGGCAGAACGCCCAAAGTCATTTCAATGGCAAATGACCTGCACAAATACATACATCTCCTCCCAAGTTTTCGTTGTTTTATCAGTCCTGCAATACTCTGTATCATGTAACTTATCAGGCAGCATGTAGCCGTTGTATGAAGATAATCCTCTGGAAGACGGAAATGTGTGCTACTGATACAACAGACGTCATGACAAAGTAAAGCACAGCAAAAAGGTCCCAGTATATATACCTACTGCAGTTGCTATTGTGGGATATCCACCGCGAAGATCACAATAAATGAAAGCAGAAATTCTGATCCGAATTCAAAAGCGTAGGAGGTCGGGAGCTGTTAACCCTTGCGCTTACTTTTGACGGGCGCATCGGGACGCAGTTTCAGCCTCTTTAATCCATTCATAGCATATTCTTTGGTTGTATCTCCCGAACTCAAAACTTTATTGGCTTTCGTCGACGTCCCTTGGGCTTGTTTAATCGCATCACGGCTCAGACAATAATCGATGTGCGCATTCAGGCCGGTGTTGTTGGTGGTGAGGACTTCATTGCAGATGGGACAGGTGTGCGTTTCTGGCGGAGTTGAGATTGTTGTTGACGGAGCTGCTATCGCCGCGCCATGACTACGACTGGGACCAGCGCTCTTGGACCTACTTCGGAGGGCTGGCGGATGTGACATCGATATACCTGGAACAGAGTTTGGCGGCCGCTTCCTAGTATGGGCTAGAGGTTGAATAATTTGCAGCTCTTCGTCATCATCGACATCGTGCTGAGAGGGGTCAATATCAGCCTCATCTTGCTCATGGAATCCTGGCATAACGTCATCGTCGTTATCGTGTTCTTGGTCAACCGATGCGTTGTCTGCTTCATCTTCGTCAATGTCGTATGCCTTCCTCTTACTGCCAGACGTTGCTTGCTGAGCGAGTCCAAAGAACTGAATAGGCGAGTTAGCACGCATCTATGGTAAGCCTCTGTACCTACGCGTTTGATCCCTTCTGAGGTCGATGCTTTCAAATCTTTGAGTTTGGTGACTCTGAGCCCAATTAGACGGATACTGATGGGGAGCTCTGGGAAGAGCAATTCTTTCCCCACCTACGTTGCAACTTGCGTCAGAATATGCAGGAGATATATAAATTAAGATTACTTACTGCAAAAAGCTCCTCCTTCTTGTTAACCCAATGGTTCAATGACTTTGCTCTAGTTAAGACTGATCAAGGAATGAATACACCGAAATACAAGAGGAACACACTTGCCTTGAAAGGTATCGAGCTTGAACTTGAGCGTAACTGTCCTACCCATCCAGCCACTGGATTCCATATCGCCCTCTAGCTCTGCAGCTACTTCTTCAAGTTTGTCAAGCATATCTTTCGTCGTCGACAATGGGGAGAATGTCCTGTGTAACCACTTAGCGCCGCTGTCACTTCCTACAAAGTTCTATGAGAACCTCTCAGCTCCTATACTCTTCCTTTCATTGCGCTCGTATGGCTTGACTTCGTTGCTAGCGATACCAAGGTATGTCCTGAGAAGGAAACGTAGTCCAAACTGTTTGTCCATTAGGTACAAGACAGCGCGGTGCGTATATATATCGCCACAAGTCTGCGTGTGGAGAATCAGAAAACCATTCGCGTATGTAACAAAAATGAATACCTTGACTCCTACAGACTCCAATAGTCGCTCGTTAACTCGCCCAATACCGGGCACTTTACGTATGGACAAGCCGCCCATGAAGTCAATGATGGTCTTGCTGTCGAACGCAAGGTGGTATTGGCCGTTGGGTTTATTCTACCATCGTGTTGAGGACGTGCAGCAGCCATCTGGAGGTGAGACTTACCTTGTCCGAGCATATCTAATCCGAGGTCGCATGGTTCAGGCTCATTTCCTTTAGAGATACAAGGACGCACTTTGGCAAGCATCTTGGTCAACGTGAGATAGTGCAAAAGTATTTCCGAAACTACCACACACCATATTAGGCGCGATCCCAGCACTAACAGTCAGATTGGTTTCGGCATGCACCGTTCTCCTTATTTCCTCCACGCACTCATCCGGATTAAGGTTGTGCTTTTGAAGGTACGGAGTAATACTGTCGAGGCTTCAGCAAGGAGGACGAATTGAGGGTGGAATTGAGATACAGACTTTAGATAGCCTTCGTCACATCCTGCAGCGCTAAGACGAGGATCATAACGCCGTAGGATCGTGAACACCTTGTTCGATTCTTCATTGTACCATTCATAATGTGATCTCAATAGAATAAGCTCGGGGCACAACTTCTTGGCAATGAAACCTGGCAAATGCGATTAGCCCTCGCCTTGGGCCCACAAAACTGACTGTTACTCGGCATTCCCGATCGCACGCCGTATTTTCTAGCTTCATAAGAGGCCGTACTGATGACGCCCCCTCCCACCTGTGGGGAAATGGGTCGATCGTGAAGGGGTTGTTGTTTTGGTGCTCACCGAAAAAGGCTTCCCTTTCAAGGTGGGGTTGTGCAGCAATTCTACGTTGGCAAAGAAGGCGTCCATGTCGAAATGGACTATGACTTGCGATAAGTCTCGTCCGTTCTCTAAGTCTACTATCTAGTATCGTCGTCAGAGCAGATGAATATATCGAATGAAACGCCGAGGCAAGCTTACGAGTTTATCAACATGATGTTCAATCTTGGCTGGACCCGAAGTTAACTCGATATGACATTTGCGTGGTAGCGGAGGCTTACTCAAATCAACACCCTCAATTGCCTCGTCTCTGAGCTTCAGGATTCGTGCAATCCGTTCCGTCAGGTCTTTGTCCTTCCTCTTCTCGTTCTGCGCAATCATTTCTAGGTCAGAGACATGGCTACTAAGGTAAGCAGCGTGTTGTATTTGCCTCATAGAACTTCGATCCCTTCGACGCTTCGGCAATGATGCGGTTTATCTCTGTCTGGTCCTTGGCAAGCCTTGTGAATTGAGGGTTGGATTAACTTCTACACCGGAATCAGGGAAATAGACAGAGCTAACCCAGCTTTGCCTGTTGAAGGCCCTGCAAGCCGCTTAACAAGGCTTTCCGTCAACTGCGAGGATGCTACCGGGTGGTCCATGGGGAGCGAATTACAATTTCATTTCAAGCAAACGCAGTGGCAGAACTGAGTCCAAGTACCTCTGAGATACGCGTCTGATTCGGAGTCCATCACATGATCCACGCGTGATGAGCATTAATAGGAGTGTTAATAGGGGTGTGTATACAGAAGGTACAGAACATAAAGTAGAGCAATAACGGCTAGTATCATAAGTAGAACTGCAAGCAGCTCGGGTGGAGGCCGGGTTAATAATCAAATAGGGCTAGGCAACGGCCATAATTTATATTTCAGGCCATTCTTTGGATATTGATGCAAGCATGGGTAGTGTCCCATAATTCGTCTGGGCCGGCTTTGGAGAATGAGTTATCGGTCACCGCCGTGGCGGCCGTCTGCAGCGATAGCAGTGGTCCTTGCTCGATGACGCTCATCGAAACAAACGAAGTGGTGACAAACAACTTCAGGAATCCAGAGTCAAGTGGTTTCCCGTGCTTTAGTTCGAAGGACAGGGCCTCGGAGCCAGCGCCGCCAGTCCCAACTTCCAGTCGGCTAGACTTAGGTAGTGGAGGGGCCTTGGATTTCGCATTTGGATGGTACAGCATGGTGATTCCGTAGCAATTGGGGTCCATATACACGAGTGAGGGCCATAAGTCGACCTGACTGTTGTTAAGCATGACGACACTGTAGAGTGCGTCTTTCTCGTAGTCGATTTTGGCCTGGCCATCCTTGAGGAGATTCGTGCCAGTTTTACGCCAGGAGATGGGATCTAGCTTGTACAACTCCATCTGAACGAGGTTGCGGAGCGGACTTTCGGGGTTCCGTCGATGTAGGTGAAGGTGAAATCGGGCTGCTTTGTCCAAGAGACTAAGAGCGCCCATAGTGTTGTCGATTCTGACAACGCGTCTGCAAAGGGACATAAGATCATCGTGGTGCTCAATGTGGGCGGAATTCCCTGAGAATCCAAGGGATAGATGAGCTTGACTGGAACGGACCCGGAGCAGGTTCATGGTCCCTTTTGTATCTGTCTCGTCGTCAGTAAGTTTCGAAGGAATGTGCCGGGACAGCCTGCATATTCGGAGGAGAGAGGTGAGTGTCTTCTTCAAGTGAATTCGAAACGGCGGTCGATTGTGCCACTTTCGAATCTTAGCCCAAGCGCGTCGAGGGGAATGAAAGCCTGGCGTTGACGGTTTGCATACGGACCAGGTAGGGTGCACCTCTAGCACTTTGAGGCCTGTGAGTACGGCGTTGAGCGACCCTCGGATGTTGTGGTGATGAAGTGTGAGTTCGCTGCCTAGAACAACACCGTGAATGGAGCCAACCTCGACTCTGAGTCGTTTCTCTTCGTCGAGCCCAGCAGGGACGAAGCGTGCGTCTGGCACGAACGGAACACCGTTAAATAACACCCGTTCTTTGTGTCGCCCGGCGCACATAGGCACCTGGTTGGCCGACATCATGGCAGCCAAACGATTTACGAGCTGCGTGTAGGTCAAGTTGTGGAGTTGGAGGGTGGCGCTTGCTTCCAGCAGAGCGGCTGTGAGTCTGCCACCCTCCTTGCCCTCCGCAGCCCCTTCTCCAGGGCGACAAGCAGCGATTAAGACATGAGTAGGAGCGTCAACTCGATAGAACCCGTTGTTACGGGCTGGCTTCTGAGCCGACGCTCCGCCCCATAAACCACTCAGCAAGTCAGATGAATCTGATTTAGGGGAGGGCGTCCAGCGCAAGCTGCGTCGCTCCCGTAGCAACTCCTTCGTTTGCCGAGGAGAGAAGCAACAGTCAAGAATAAGCGTGACGTTATCGCCCTTCGCTTTGCAAAGCTCAGTCAAGAGAGCCTGCATGGACCGGTCAGATATGCCGGCGTTCCGACCAGTGGAGGCTTTGGTGTGATGGTCGTGAGGACACAAAACCTCGACGGTGTCCGTGAGTGACGCGCGAGATTCACCCTCGAACCAGTTTTTGGGCGCAGGGATGACGCTACCATGACCAGCAAAGTAGATAAGAATAGCATCCCCACGTTCTATCGCGGGGTTCCGCACGAGGTGAGACATGAAGCGATCCTCGATAGCAGCTTTCGTCGCTTTGTGGTCAAGCAGCATACAGATTTGATCTTTGGGGACACAGAGATCATGAGTGAGCCATGCTTGGACTTTCTTCGCGTCCTGTACGCATGATTCTAGGTTCCAAATTGAACCCGATTTGTACGCGTCGATGCCAACGATGAGGGCGAACAGACGAGAGCTTGGCATCTTTGAAGAGGAGTGTCGGGGGATAGTTAATGGGATGATATGGACCAGCCGGTAGATATTCAGGTGGGGAAGCTAGTTAAAAGCGAAGGTTTTTGACTTGCCCCAGCCTTTCCGTGCAGTTTATAAGGAATGCAGTCCACGCTACAGGCATGCGGCTTGGCATGTCGACCGAATAGGAAGAGTACACTCGGTGGAGTTCATTGGTCGGAGCCAGTAGGTTAATGAGCCATTTCCCGGGGAACATTCGAGCACGCAGGGCGATGGGCTGAAGCAGGATAGCTGAATAGGGTGTGCATCAAAGATACTGTGCAGTCCGCTGCAGCACTGGAAATGGCGAACACGCGCCGTGACCGTGATGACAGGGGCTCGGGCGTCTATTCACCTTCTCTAACCCAACACCGACCATGAGCTTCAATGGCCTTCTGTGCCAGCAATGCAAAGAACCGCTGCAGGTACAATTGCACCCAAATATTTGTAGAAAGGCTCTTGCGTATTGATCATTATCGGGTGCGTTTCAGCTAGATGCCTCGTTAATCGACTTGGCCCCTTCTGCGTATGACATGATAGTGGCGTCCTTGCCACCGGACAAGTCAACACATGCGAACCCCGCCTCGGAAACTGAGCAACTTGCGCGGCTTACATCTCCCTCATCCTCCTCGGCGAAATCTGTCTGGCAGCACTCCAAGAATAACACTCCTTCTGGGTCTCTTCCTCGTGCTCAAGGCAAACACACTCAGCGAGGCTCGCTTCCCAATGAGTCCTTTGTGCTCCTCCAGGACAGCATCGTTCGCACCATACCGCCTTCAATGGTTTCCCCGACAAGATCGAAAAGAAGTTCGGTGACGTCTCCGCGGGCAACTTCTTCACTGAACGTTGAACGACAAGCTACGGAGCCGGAGCATCCCAACCCGGCACCTTTGACACATCACCTCAGGTCTACCTTGCGCCTGTTCAATCTTCTCTCATCACGCACTGACATAGACCATCCGCTCTGTGACGAATGTACACAAATAATATTAGCCTCGCTGCAGCGGCAGTTAGATGAAACAAAGAAGGAACGGGATGGCTATATTGCTTTCGAGAAGGAGGTCAGGAAAGAGAGGGATCGTGATGTGCAAGGATTGAGCAAAGAGGAGATGGAGAAGAAGATCGACAAATTGGGAGATGAGGAGCGGGCGGCCGTTGAGCAGCTCAAAGCAGCCGAACGAGATAAAGAGAAGCTAGAGGAGGAACTGCGCGCTCTTGAAGCCGAAGAAATGGCGTTGGAGGAGGAGGAAGCTGAGTGAGTGAAACGGACGGGACCGATGGATCGTACTTACGCTCGAGATAGATTCTGGCGAGCTCATAATGAGCATCTCTTAGCCGCCGATCAGCAAGCAGCTCAACTGGCCGGACTGCGTGCCGCCTATGCTGCGGACTCGGCTACGCTTGAAAGGCTAGAGCGAGCCAACGTCTACAACGATGCCTTCTGTATAGGCCACGACGGAGTCTTTGGTACTATCAATGGGCTACGTCTCGGACGTGTGCCAGGCGTACCAGTAGGGTTCATTCAATGTCGGATTGTCTTCGTGGAAATGAAATATCAAACATGCAGGTTGAGTGGGCCGAGATCAACGCTGCATGGGGACAGACCATCCTATTGCTCTATACCATCGCCAGAAAGCTGGATTATACGTTTGAGAAGTAGGTCTCCACATTAACGGACAATTCCAGCCGTTCTCATCCATTTTAGCTACCGATTAATTCCCATGGGCACGTTCTCCCGTATCGACAAGACCACTGGTGACAAGGCTACCTACGAACTCTATGGTTCTGGTGATCTACACCTCGGACGTCTACTGCACAACAGACGTTTCGATATCGCCATGGTAGCGTTTCTCGATTGTCTAAAGCATCTCATTGACCATGTCAAATCTCAAGACCAGACGGTAGAATTTCCTCATCAGTCAGTTCAAAGCCGCCATGAGATACGTAACACTGACAGGCTTTGTGTAGAATTGTCAAAGACAGAATTGGAGATGTATCGGTGAAAATGCAGTTCAATCAAGAGGATCATTGGACTAGGGCATTACGACATGTGTTACTCGCGTTGAAGATTTTACTCAAGTGGACGACTAACGGGTCCAATGGCTGAATTATCGCATATTAATACTACTACTGCTCAGGACCGCATAGTATCTATTAGGAAGTAAATACATTGTTTGTGTCGATTATGATAGACAAGCTAGACTTCACTAAAAGTGGAAGCCTTCGTCAGCTTGACCACTACATTCGTAATCGCTCGTGATTGGATTCGTATGGTCCCCCATCTTATGTCTATTCCCGCACAGGATTTTGCCAGCTGGCTGCTCCTTCCTTATCGCCAGTGGACTTAGGTGAGTATTTTTCTTTGTGTGGAAAGATGTTGGCGATTTCGTCGGTCGGCCCGGTCTACATATTGGCTTGGTAATCCCGACAGCGTCTTACCAACACACTTTCTGAAGGCTGGCACAAATGGCTGACTGAAGTTCGAACCAACAGTTTCTGCGCATCAGCGATGGGTCTTCTAGCTCTGGGAACCCCTCTGCCTTGGAATGAGGCAAAGCGATATGCGGACCATGTCCGCTACCACGGCATCACCCAGTTCCTCCATACATGGAATAGGCTGAAGGAGAGGCAAGGGGACGAATTGCTTTGGGGCGACGAGGTACGCATTGGATCGGGGTCGGAACATCAAAGCTATAACGCAGTGTTCAGATTGAATACATGGTCGTCGTCCTTGAAGATGCCGCCAAGTCTGCGAGACTATCTTTGCGCCAGACTGAAATACTCGACAAACTCAGCCGCATCGTAGATAACATTAGTTCGGAATGCCCAAAGTCGTGAGTAGATTGTCTATGGAACGACCTCCATTTGCTGAAGGAATGCAGCATTTCCGTACCGACGTTCCACCCGGAATACGGGCGCTATATGTTGGAGTCTACACCTGGGTCACCGTATACCGGCTCCATCCCCGACATCCTGTCCGTAGAGGCCAATATGCGCTACAGGTAGGGACGTTATTCACCGCGATTAGTCCGGAGTTTGACCGTGTGGTGCAATGGCTAGGCGCAATTTGGCTCGCAAACACTTGAAGTCAAATGAAGTTCCCCTCACGCTGACCTCTTTTCCGCTATTGGGGATTCCAGGTCAATTTACGGAGCCGTACTATGACCCTGTTGGCGCTATATCGAGCCATAGTTTGTTTCTTCCTCAGGAAATAACAAATCCGCATGCGCGGTTCCCGTATGTGTTTCATAACTTTATGTCTCTGTATGTTGGGAATGCGTGCTAATCGTCTCTATACAGGACGCTTACGGCGAATATTAGACAGCGACGGGGCTCCAAAGTTGCCATAAATCTGCCATTGTTTGTAGACGCTAAGACGCCTCAACCATTCGTAGACCCTGCGATCCCATGGGAGCGCGACATATACCCAGAGGATTCAGGTCAAATTTCATGATTGTACAAAGGCGGTTAGTGCACTAAACTTTGGCCACAGATGCGAAGAACGGAGCGGCCCTTGCAGACCACATTTACCTCGATGCAATGGGCTTTGGCATGGGATGCTGCTGCCTCCAATTAACGTTCCAAGCTTGTAATATCGATGAAGCCCGACGAATGTACGATGCATTAATACCCATAAGTCCTATCCTCGTGCGTACACGGCGCTGATGTCGTGCCTTCTGTGTTGACGCTGCCTGTAGCTTGCTTTGACCGCTGCGAGCCCCGTATGGCGTGGATACCTTGCTGATGTTGACTGTCGATGGAACGTTATTGCCGGCAGCGTCGACGATCGTACTGACGAAGAACGCGGATTAAAGGTTTGTGTCGCCAACTAGCTTTCGGAGGATCCCTTACGCCCCTGTAGCCTTTGAGAAATAGCCGTTTTAGAATTCCGAAGTCACGCTATGACAGCGTCAGCCTCTATATTTCCAACGACTGGAAAAATAGACCGGATTACAACGACATTTACACTCCTTACGATGAGGCGATTTTCAACCGTCTGAAAGATAATGGTGCGTTAGTAAATGGTTTAAGATAGTTGGGGGATTAAGATGGACCGTCAATCCAGGAGTTGACAGTTTGCTGGCCAAACATATTTCTCATCTTTTCATCCGCGATCCTCTCGTCGTGTTCACCGAAACCATCGATCAGGACGACAAGTCCAGCACCGACCACTTCGAGGTGCGTTTGGAGATCAGCATCCAGTGAACGAGGCTAACCCACTCTTCTAGAATATACAATCGACGAACTGGCAGACCATACGTTTCAAGCCTCCTCCCGCCAACTCTCCAATAGGCTGGCGTGTGGAGTTTCGCAGTATGGAAGTCCAGATGACGGACTTCGAGAATGCGGCTTTCGCTGTGTTCGTGGTGCTCCTTACACGAGCAATCTTAAGCTTTCATCTTAATTTCTATATCCCCATATCGAAGGTAGCTACCGTACGTTTTACGTCTATGCTGCACTGAAGCCGTACGAAACTAGGTAGATGAAAACATGGCCAGGGCCCAGCTGCGAGGTGCCTCTGCGTTGGGAAAGTTCTACTTCAGGAAGAACGTTCACACTCAAGGCAACAGCGGCCCGTCCAGTGGATCGGCTTCGCCTGTCAATGGCAACGGTTCTCATCCAGTGAAGGAGAAGAAGTTGAGGAATTGTTTCCCTGCGCCACCACACCCGGAGAATGGTATCAACCATGAACCCGTGGAAAGTGAATACGAAGAGATGTCGATGAAGGAAATCATGACTGGCAAGGTATTGCCGTCTAAATGTCCCAATGACTGTCAATCAGCTTCTGATATCTTGCTCACAGGGAACAAACTTTCCGGGACTGCTGGGATTAGTATCAGAATACCTGGACACTCTAGATATTCCAACCGATGAATTGCGGAAAATCAACGCGTATTTGGACTTTATCCGTTTGAGGTCTACAGGTCAGTGAGGCAGCATACTAGAGTTAACCACCATGAAGTTACATTCTCCGAAGGACAACTGCAAACACCGGCCTCATGGATCCGAGACTTTGTGCGTTCGCATCCCGATTATAAGCAGGACTCGGTCGTTAGCCAGGCGATAAACTATGATCTATTGGTTGCTGTTGACGAGATGTGAGATTCCACTTGCTTTGTGCAGTTGTTCGTGCTTACGTCAACTTCACAGTGAACGGGGAGTGCGTAGTGCTCCTAGCCTTCTACCGAAGAAGTATAGAGGAGGCCATGCTGACCAAGGTTCAATTGGAATCTAAGATATCCTGTTGTTTATTCCTAAAGTATAATAAATAGAATATGATACGTGTTTTCTTGCTGTGCCTTCGTTGCTCGTCCGTTGTGAATGGTCTCCCCTATTCTGTCTCCTATGTACTTTCTCACGTGGCTCATCAGCCTTTCCCGTGTCGGAATTTTGCGGTTCACCCAAACTTGACTATCCTCTTCAATGTCTTCCCTCCGCCTTGTTTCGGCCGCTGCAAGACGCGTTCCGTCGTCGTTTGGAATTGCTAGGCGCGGATATGCTGAAGCGTCCGACAAAATAAAACTTTCTCTGGTCCTTCCCCACCAGGTTCGCCATTCAGAACAAAAAGCCGCATATTTCAGAACCTTAACTCCTCCTTAACACAGGCAATATTCACGTCGACTGAGGTGGTTCAGGTCAACATCTCGGCTGCTACGGGAGACATGGGTATCTTGGCCAACCACGTCCCCTCGATCGAGCCTCTCCGTCCTGGCGTAATTGAAGTTGTGGAATCTGCTGGCGGGTCCAAGAAGTGGTTCGGTGAGCATCAAGAGAGTATATCCATCATGTTCCTGCTCTCATTCCTTGTTAAAGTTTCTGGCGGCTTCGCCACCGTGCATCCCAACAACAAGCTTACTATCAATGCTGTCGAGGCGGCACCGTTAGAAGACTTCTCCGTTGAGGTACGTTTCATGACATCTCACACTTAGCGCTTTGCCTCATGTTGCCCAGGCCATCCGGACCAATCTTCAAGAGGCCCTTCGCGTGGCATCTGGGAACGGTTCGGAGGAAGACAAGTTGGAGGCGCGCATCGAAGCTGATGTCTACGAGGCGCTGCAACATGCCGTGTCATCCAAGTAGTCTAGCTGTACACGCGTTATAAACTACTCCCTTGGATCATATTTTGCAACATAGATGCTTCGACGCCCTGCATATATTCTGCATGGTACCGTCCGGCTTCATCTCGTGCTGGGGAAATGGAAGCACTCCGACATCAGTGATATGTGACACGAGCGCTTGTGGTGTGTTCCTCTGCATGGAAGCGTTGAAATATATAGATGCAATCTTGTCTCTCCACGCCTGTGTCTCCAAATTGTTTGATACATCATATATCGGCGGCAATGTACCTCCTCGTGTATCTGGTTTGGCGTCTTCGCACGACCGACCTGCGGTGGGACCACCAACACCCCAGTAGCTGGCGCAGCAAGCACCTCGTCCTGCTTTCCTCACCCACATGAACACCCCCAGAGACTGGACGGATTTTTCGGCCCTGGACCCAAACTCGAACTCCGTTATAGCAACCTACTTCGAAGTGGCACGCGCACTTCGCGAAGAGAGTCGTCCCAGCCGCGGGGGGAGAAAACCCTGGTTGACCTCTTTGGCTGCCAACATCTTGGGGAATGACGAGGCGGTGCGTATCCCCTGGTTGGCCAATGGATATGTCGATTGAGACGTTACCAGCATAATATAGCCGTCGCATGGCTAAAATCAGCATTCACGGCGTCTGATAAGGACCTTAAGAAGGCCCAGCAGTTTAGTCAGAGGCTCTGTTCTCCTCGACGCCTGGATAAAGATTCAGTGGCCATCTTCGTGGATGCGTGGTGGATCTTTTCTGAGAACCAAGGTGGAACCCTGGTCGCCGACTTCCTAAACAAGAAACGCAGGGAAAGAGGATTTGTCGACGATCTCAACTTTATTAAACAAATTGGAGGTCAGTTGCAAGATTCTGCCAATGCAGAGGCCGTCAATGGGCAGTCCCCAGCCAAGCGTTCGCATGCTAGGGATCCGGGACCCGAGACATCCCTCCCCAAGAAAACGAAGGTGGTCAACCAGCCCTCCAAACGGCAAAAGAGGACAAGCGGGAAGCGGAAACGTTTCCTACAACCCGATAATATCTCGAGCACTGGGGGATCCGTCACGAACGCGCTGGTCAGACCATCGCGTGCTGATATTAAACTTGAGGGCGCTGAGCCGGGCCCCTTGCCAGTTACCACAAACGCGGCTAGTGAAGGGGCTTCTATACAACAGCGTCCACATGTACTCTCAGACCTCAGACCGCACCTACCCCAGCCTTTTTCTGTCGGACCTTTACGCCAAATGGCTTCAGTGCTGGACACGCATGAGGAAGTACCGCCAATGCCGAACTGGATCATGGATGACATCGATATAGAGCAAACTGGCGATCCCAACGCTGCCAGCGCCTCCATACCAGACAACGCACTGCCTACGACTGGTCAATCAGCACCAAAGCCTTGCCTCCAAATCAAACCTCCTTTGTGGGCAGTGGTAAGTGGCCGTTAGAAACTATACCTCTCATTGAACTGATATTGATTGATAACGGTAGTCTCGTCAAGAAGTATGCGAATCGTTCGATTGGTTTAGGAGCTATCAAGGGGGTGTTTATCATGCGAATGGCTTTGCCAAAGGCTATTTGCTGAGTGCGTTTGCTGCTAGGTACGCCATTAAAGACGTGCGAACGTGTTCTTATAGTAAACGTTGTGCAGTCGGGACATATTTCATCATGGAGGGCAGGTTATCATATCTCACGGGTTCGTTGGAGAGCTTGAGTCAGATGTGCAATCTTATTCACGAAGTTCTATACAGCGGTGGAAAGTGGGAAAGTCAACATATGACGCGCGGACAAGTCGAAACCCATTTAGCCGACGACCAACTCGCCCAAGACAAGTCTGTAAGAGCCCTGATTGCGAATTATAACAACAAGCGACCGTTGGTTCTCTTGATTGACGACAAGTATGCTTTATTTCCGTTTAATTTATCTGCGTCCGGAATTACCTACGCAGTTCTGGGCTTCTACTTTATATCCGGCTATTGGGGTGAGTTGGGGTATGTACGCCGTATCTCGACGTTGACATATTTCCACAGCGGAATACCAGAAAGCATCGAATGAGAGAGGTCGCGTTGTCAGGTACAAATTCGCCTTTCAATGGTGTAGTAATCAGGTGAGCTTGCCGTCCTTAGCCAGATTCGACACTGACCATTTGAAAGGGGATACCTTGGTGGTTACACCCCAATGCGTCTACTACTCCCTCTACTCATATCGATCAGGGCTCTATCATTCTGTATCAACACGGTAGATGCTGTCACCGCTTCGTTTCACACTAGTGTACTTACCCAATGTGCAGTGAAGCAGGAACGGATGTACGACACGACCTCATGCCGACCATGGGCCTTTCTAAACTGTGTTTTAGGTGTCCCCGATGCCAGACCCACTCTCCGAGTGTATATACTCAATGGATGTGCTTGAAACCAGATTGTTCCGCATTCTGGATCAATCAGCACGGAAAGTCACCAGCTGAGGATTGTTTGACATACGACGACGAGTTTCTCAAACTCGCCCCTGAACCACCATGCCCGTATCGATCGGTCGACCTCATCCCTCACCGGCCCCAGCCTCGCCCTACGGACGGGATTACAACAGATTATGTGTATACTAGAGGTTGGCGCTGTCCAAGTTGCAACAGGCTGGCTTGTAGGCAAGTGCCTCAACCCTACGCTCTTCAATTTCTTACATTCGTTCATGTATAGATCAAAATGGGAGCAATGGGAGTGCCCGAGTTGTGGCGTAAGCTTGGACACTTACACATTACCACTGTCGATAACCAAGGATTTAGTGGTCGCTTCCGGTCCAAGGAAGAACGCGAAAAGCCAGCGAATTGCGAGGCATAAAAATGGATGTCGGTTTCTACGACCATGCAATCACCAATGGGTCAGGTGGGTGGTCAAGCAATGCCGTTGGCTACTGAGAGACAATCCAAGCAGGCATTAAGCAAGGCCCCTCAGTTTCCTACATGTCTAACGGAGGCCAAGGACACTACCAAGCCTTTGAATTACCCCAACAGAGGTAAGGGCGTGTCCTTAAGTATATATATATATATATATACTTACTAAACTAATTTCCAGAGGTCGCATTGTTATCATTCACGGGTGTCTTCCTTTTGGGAATGTGGACGCTGATCACATCTTCGAAGAATATCAAAAGCATGCATCAAGTGGTCAGTTACCCTTCCGACGGTGGCCACTCCGAGCGGTAAGCTACACATCGCGCCGTTGTCGTTCGTCTATTTACACCTTTTTAGCATAAATGTACAGTTTGAACCCTCTTGTCGTGTCGTCCGCCATTTGACTCACCTTGAATCTTAGTGAGGGGCACAATGTTAACTCATTATTTTTCCCAGAATGGTATTTTCTCTCTTATAGCTTTCCCAAAATCCGACTGATACACTTCATTCAAGCGGGTGCCCCATACCAGGTCAGTTCATCACATCCATCACCGGAGTCCTCGCATTAACAGACCGCAGTATGTTGGGGGGGCAGACAACACCATTCCCTTTGAAAATGCGCCAGTCGTTTCAAAGGCTCGTGACCTCATTCAGGCAAGGCTTCGGCAGGCCTTGAATATTCAAATAGAATTCAACGAAGTGCTGTCATGCGCGTATATGTGCAAGCAGAAGATGGCGGTATGACTTGACTTCTCTTTCATAGATTATTGGCTCATCAAACTTGGCTTCAAGTTCCACAGCGATGCTGAGAAGGGGCTAGGTCCTATTGTCGCGGGTCTATCCCTTGGAGCGCCAGCGTTGATGCACTTCCGACCATGTAGTAGATTTGAACCCGACGTTAACAAGCGCGGAACCATTTTATCACTAATACTCCGACATGTAGGTACAATTCTGCCAGTCGAACACACGCCTGCTAACCGCGATTCGAGGGTGATATCCTATTAATGGACGGCAGCGAAGTCCAGCAGTTTTATGAGTCAGTCCTCAAATTCACCCTTTGATCCGGGCTACCTTCTGAACTATGGCACGCTTTAGGCACACCGTGGTCCCAGCAAACTTCCGGATAGCAGCCACGGCAAGACTTATCTCTCCTGAGAATGCAATGGACGGTTCGGCCAAGAGGGCCATCAAACTCGAGGCTTGAGATCTGAGAGCCCATGTTTATGACTATTGAGGACGCTAAAGCCCTTCGAAGGCTAGTATATAAATTATGCTCTTACATGCTGTGTCGCTACTCCTACATACCATTGAAGTATATATTAACGGGCGAAGTGCAACCGTCCGGGATCGATTTCCGCCGGTGCACGTTTTGAGTAAAATGAGAAGAGTTCAGCAATCTGGTTCTCCATCGCTTTCTTCTCATTGTGCAGCCGTTGGACCTCCTTGGTCATCGTTACGACCTCTTTGTTCAGCTCGCGCTTGAATTGATCGACGTGCACTAAGGTTCAAGGTTATCTCTGGACCGTACTGACAATGTCCGGGATATCCTTACTTTGTACGTTGATTTGGGTAGCTTCTTTCATTGCTTCGACGAAGCGCAGCCGCTCACCTCGAATCTCGGAGGAGACCTCTGCAGACAGTGTCAATTCAACGACTGTTAAGAAAGATAACGTATCCATACCATGGACCAAGGTACTCAGCATAGCTTCGTGGTCTCGCCTTTGTTGGTGCATGATCCCGGCAATGAGATCGTGGGCTACAATAGGAGCGACTTGAGTTCGGTTAATCTACAATGGTCGTGATGTCACTCACGAGCGTTCACGTTTCCTTGCCTCTGCTCGTTTAACAGCGCCATCATATTGTGGTGAATGGTAGCTACGTTCTCGTCTCGCGTACGCGTCTCAAGTATGAATCGGTGAATATCTTCGCGGAGACCATCGTATGGCGAGCCCCGAGCATCGGCTGTACTGCATCCCATCGACTGGCAAAGGGCCTCAACGTTGGCAGCAAGACCTTGTATTTGTGTTGTGCCATTGGACACAAATGCTTCAAGCCACTGCATGCATGTGAGCACGGATTCGTTCATTGTCAACATGATGGACGTACCGAGTTGAGTTCATTCAAGTAGCGTACGCTATCGGCTTGCTGATGGATCTGAGATGCACGATCAGTGATATCAGCTCGCAGTAAGCCGACTAGTTGCTCCAGTTGTGCGTGTTTCGTAGGGTCATCTGTCTGGGGTGGTGCGTTGCGCTGAGTTTCGATCAGTGTATCAAGCTTGTTGAGGATAGTAGACGAGTTCTGAATTTGCGGCGCGGCGCTCGATGTTGTCGCGGTCAAGATGTTGTCCAATTTCGCAATCTGCTCACGTCTGGATGAATCAAGTCGCTGGGCTAACTCTCGTAGAGAAAGCAACATTTCTGAAGATTGAGAGTCCCTTTCGGAAGGTTGATTAAAAAGTCCGTCGAGTTTTGCATTTATGGCCTCAAGGAGATGCTGGCCAGTGTCCGCGTTATTTGCACATGTTCGAGGCTGAGAACCAGAGACGATTTCCTTTGTCCGCATGGAGTATGGAGGTAGCCCAGATATCTGAACGGCAGCATCACCGTCACTGTTTCTGCGAGGAACATCGATGTCGACGACAGGGACATAATCTTGTTGCCTAGGGATATCTTGAGTGGTGATTAGAACAGCTTCACTTGAGTACCGATCCTCGTCATTTCCTTGTCCACGATAGTAATCTAGGATATTATTGTTGGCGTCGTATGGACTCAAAGGGGTGACATCGTCCTGTTTGGGAACCTTCAGCTTTTGCGGACTTGGCAATCTCGAAAACGCCGTAGGCGGAGGCATCCCAGTATCTTTGGTTGGACTTTGGATTTGAGCCAGACGCTGCTTTACAACTGAGAGGGAACCCAAATTGGCGATGGAAGGGCTCCTGGATCGCAGATGACTGGTATCAGAGGAAGTTGTGCCCGAGGAAGTAGACAGAGAAGGGCAGCCGTTTGCAATCACCAGAGGTGGGAGTAAGCGGTGATTTGCTACAACGGTTGATGCTTGGGATAGAGGCCGGGGACCGCGGCCAAGGTTAGAGTTCTTCGAAGGCAAGGGGGGTGGTAAATATGACAAAGGCTGCACAACTTCCATTGGCGGAAATTCATGAGATCGGCTTCCTTGTGGTAGATTTGATATATTGTGAGCAGCCTCGGGGCGTTGTGATGCATGAGTCTGGTCGCCTTGAGGTAAAACTGATATAGGTTGAACGGCATCCTCGAACGGTTGAAAATCAAGAGCTCGGTCGCCTTGGCCAAGTAAGATGTTCATTTTCCGCGTCGAACCATGAAGCGATATAATTGCGTCCCTGATGATTGGGTTGAATCAACATGATGAACGACACAGAATATTTGGGAGATGAAAGTATACCAAATTGTGTCTATCCACATCGCTCTTTCCTGAGTGGTAAAGCAGGCAAACCTTTCAGTCGGCTTTCCATCATAGATTAGTTCGAATGCCCTGAGATCTTCGACGTGACTGGTTCCAATGGAGGTCCGATCCGGTAGGTACTTGGAGTCAAATTGGCTCGACCGAACCTCGATACATTGTAGCAGGGATATTCCGGAAGAATCTATCCCGTTTTTGGCTTGCGAATGACAAAGAGATATGCTTGTCAGCCCCATGGTCGCTGCGCAGGGCCTCCAGACCGAGTCCATAGGATCTGTTGAGAGATAAAGTAGCTTTCCAGAAAGACAAGGACACTTTGGAGGTGGTGTAGGCGGTCGAGAAGGTTGTCCAGAATATTCCGCGTTGTAGAGGCTAGTGGTATCAACCCTCCGCGATGGTAGACCTCCAGAGACGGGGCGTAGCACAGGACTTTCTGAATCATGGCGAGAACTGATGGCTCGCGCTCCCTTCTTAAACGCGGTAACAACATTTTGGAGAGATCGTCTCAGCGGCGACTTGTCTTTTTTCATATGAATCTCCTGCCGAGGCGGGGTCCGAGGCGGCGGGGAAGCTCTGCTAGTGCGGCGACCAGTTCTTGGGCTTCCTATGGACTCATAGCGATTAATTAACTGTTGCGCAGATGTCTGATGCTGGATATGGGCACTTGATGTGTATCTTGACCCCATGAATTGTTGATTCGGAGATGAACTGCTGTGGGTGATGGTGGATGGTTTGGAGACAGGGGGTTCAGAGGGGTAAATCAATGATCGGGCGCTAAGCGGGGCAGCGGGCCGCCAAACGCCTTCACTCCACCGACTTCAACAGTTTTCGACAGCAATGGCTAGTACGACACTTAACTCACCGCCCGAAGTCTCCAGCACGCCAACGGGCGCTCCCATAGCAGCCATTATTCCCGTCGTTTCTGCCTTCGCGTCGCTGCTCGCTTCGACTTCAAGTATCTTATTCTGGCACCTTTGGACGCTGGCAAGCTCGCTCTATCGGTTCTCTCCTCATCACCCCATAATCTACGTATCGCTACCCGTCTTAAGGTACCTCTTCGCCCCATTTGCCGTGCTCTTCGAGATCATTCTCGAAGCATTCATATGGACGCCATGGAACCTCGCCGTAGGCGCTCTGGAAAACCTCTACCCCATCTATGTTCTGTGTGGCATTGCCTGCCTTGTAGGGTCCTTTGTAGGCCTGTTCGGCCGGCTAGCTTCCGCTGTCCTCGTCGGTATGGTGCTAGAAGATTCTGAGTCGAAGCCTCAGCCAGTTGTTCAAGAAGATGAGAAGGCGGCTTTGCTTGCCCACCAGTAAGCTTGCTGCATAAACGCTCAGCTTTTCTCGAGCTCATTGCTCTACAGAGGATAGTGATTGCAATTGTATATTAGAACAATGGGGATGAATCGCCGGTGGCGCTAATCCATCCTGGTTTTATTGTGATCTTGACCACGAATCGACTGCATGCACCCAAATAAGTACCTGTCAGACCACCTTTTTCCAAGCAAGCTACATAAATCAACCTTGCTCCATTTGATCTTCCTCGCAATGCATCACATCGACCCCAATGAGAAGTGGAAGCTTATGCCTGGTACTACTTCCAACTACAGAGTTTGAGTGCCTATAAGTTGCACAAACGCCGACACCCTCACAGCATTCCCTGTTCCATACACATGCAGTCCACCTCTATAAACGAGATCCCCCTAGTCAGTGGGCGTGCCATAGCTCAAGGAGCTTCTACTAACATCCTTCATTTATAGATTCGCAAAGAGCTAGAGGCCAGCTTCCGCCAGGGTGTTACTCAATCCCTTGAATGGCGCCGTCACCAACTATTGCAGCTCGCTAAAATGGCCCAAGACCATGCTGAGGAGTGGCTCCAGGCAATCGCAGCTGACTTAGGGCGTCCTATCGCAGAGACTCACCTCATGGAGATCGGGCCCGTGGTAGAGCGTGCCGTCGTATCTGCTGCTCTGCTTGAGACTTGGGCTGCACCTGAAGTCTTCACAAATGTCGTCCTGGACTGGCAAAAGTCTTGGAAACCCACTGTCTACAGAGCCGCCAAGGGAGTTGTACTTATCGTCGGGCAAGTGTGCTACCCCGATGGTTGTTGATAAACATGGATTGACTAACTGCTAGGCCTTGGAATTACCCTATGATTCTCATCCTTCAACCTCTCTCTGGAGCAATCGCTGCGGGTTGCTGCGCTGTTGTAAAGCCTTCTGAGGTTGCTCCCCGTTTCGCCTCGCTGCTTGCTAAGCTCCTTCCCCGATATCTGGATCCGTCCGCCTTTCGGGTTGTCCTGGGAGGACCAGATATAGGTGCTCGTATGATGGAATATCGCTGTAAGACGCGTTTCTGAAAGTGATGACGAGTCCTAATAGATCGCATTCAATTCTAGGGGATCATGGTCTGTCCATAAACCTGTGGTATCTTTGGTGGCTGACGCACATCGTTGATAGTCTTCTTTACTGGAGGAGAGAAAATCGGACGTATCATCGCAGCAGCAGCCGGCAAACTTCTGACTCCAGTCACTCTGGAACTCGGAGGCAAGTCGCCTGTTATAATCGACTCCAAGTATGATATTAAGTTGGCCGCCAAACGAATCCTCTGGGGGAAAATCGCCAACTGTGGTCAGGTGCGTCAAGTGACAAAACACGAGAGAAGTGTGCCTAACTTTAGTTGTAGCTCTGCGTCTCTCCTGATCATGTTTACATCGCTCGAGAGAAACAGGAAGAGCTTATCGCAGCTCTCAAAGAATGCTGTCATCAATTCTTCCCCGACGGTGCTCTGGGTTCTGGGTCAATCGGGCACATTGTCAACGAAACGCATTTCAATAGACTCAAAAGCCTCTTAGCACGGACACAGGGCACCATCGTCCTAGGCGGACAAACGGATGATAAATTAGGGATGGAACCGACTATCGTTGCAGAGGTCACTGCAGATGATTCCTTGATGGAAGAGTGAGCATATATCACGAACGAGATGTCTAATCGTCAACTCACTATCAACCGTAACAGAGAGTTGTTTGGACCCATTTTACCTATCCTCCCCGTGAATAGCATAGAAGATGCAATTAGCCGGATCAGATCAGGGTGTGTGCTCTGTTTCAACACGCGGTCTTCCATGCATTCTGACTTTGAAGTAGGCCTCACCCTCTGATGATGTATGTATTCACGAACGATCAAGAAATTAAGAAAAACGGTCAACGAATTCTTCCTCGCCCCGATTTTTCTTAGCTGAACCAGTCGTAGTCCTCGCAAACACAATAAGTGGACAAATCACCTTCAACGACACGCTCTCCGAGCTCGCGGGTAAATCTTTGTTCGTCCGTTTCAATGCCTTCCTAAATATCTGTTCCTAGTTAAAGAGCTGCCATTCGGTGGCATCGGTGCTTCAGGATGTAAATATCTTTTCTTTCTGTGCTATGCTTGTATGCCTGACCTCGTCGAACAGCCGGTTACTATAATTCGCGTTATGGTTTCGACACTTTTTCTTATCTCCGGAGTTCGATTGATATGCCTCGCGAGTAAGTTGAAGATACCCCGACTGTTGGATATACTCTGAGAATAATATGTAGTGCCGAGCAGTCCCTAGAGTTCCGATATCCGCCCTTCACCGAAGAAAAGGTCGCCTTCTTGAGAACGACAACCTTCATGAATATTCCGAGTAATCTTCAAGTTAATAAGTAGTGGAATCTACGTGAACTTTACGATATCTACTACCGATTTGTGCAGTAGTGTGGTTGTTCCAATTGTACCTCTTACCTCGTCATTATTAAATGTCATTATTCTGTCGCTCTCTTTGATCACGTGGTGAACGCGACGCGTTTCGGGCCCGACGCGTCCACGCTCTACATTTCCTCCACCAATTTCAGCATACAGCTTCCATCAACATTGGATGCACAAGAAATGCGAGCCACTTTGGATGCGCGGGCACTCAAACGTACGTGGGCCAACCATTCATGTGGCAAGCACTTTGCTCATTCAGGGACATAGCATTCACCAAAGCTTTGCATTGCTTGTCTAAGTACGGCGACGACCTGACAATACATGCTACCGACGAATGCTTGACACTTTCCACGACAAATTCATCGATGTCTGCATACTGCCGATTCAAATATGAACGGCAGTTTTTCAGCAAGTATACGCTAGGCTCGCAAAGCAGTGCATTTGCGACGAGCCATGACGCAACGAATGTTACAGGGCAACTATTGACGAAGGTCAGTTTGACAGTAATGATGCTCGCGGTCACTCGTAATAAAGGGCGCGTGTAGTCGCTTCTCTCAATACTCAGGCACAGAACTGTAGAGAAGACCGTGGACCGCTGTGAACTATCCATCATCGAAGGAGATACATCGGAGCAGAACGACGACGGCGAAGAAGATAGCCTGGAGAGTAGATTGACTGTCCGCCTACATTGCAAGCATGGTATGTCGCGTGTCCATCTCTATGCATATATACTTAGGCATGGGCCGGCAGGCATAGTCAAAACACATCGCTTGATTCTGCAGATTCCAAGTGCCATGATGGCGCCAGGTTCGCCGGATACTGATAACGAGTCACATCTCACAATTGGTCCGAGAGCTGTGAAGGACATGCTGGAGCACTTTCCCGTAGCTAGGGGTACGAAGTCGGACCCGCAACTCGTGTGGAGCTTCAAAGATACAGAAGTAGAAGTTAAGAGCCTAGAGACGTCTTTGGATTCAAAAGGTCAGGTAGTCGTGCTACTCGAGCGCTCGTCCTAGCCTAACATATGTATCTAGGGCGCTCTCAGCTGTCTACGGAGCTTTCTTTAAGTGCTGATGAGTTTGACACGTACGACGTATACTCATGTCCTACTACTATCGCTTTTCACCTTCGAGAATTCATTGTGAGTGTACTAGCGAGTCCGCACCCCTCAGCTGACGTTTTTGTGGCAGGCTACGATAGCATTTGCCGAGTCTCTAGGTCTTGCACTAGATATTCGATTCACAGACCCGGCGAATCCCCTTTTCATTGATGTCGAAAGCGATTTGGCCGAAAGTTTATTTGTTATATCAACCAGCCAAGTACCTGGTCAGCCCTTCCAACCAAGCCAAGCCCAGCCCTTGAATAATAGAAGCAATAAGCGCGAGAGAGAAGGAGATGCGGCGGAGCATCCAAACAAGTACAAGAAGCCGATGAAGGCTGCACAGCGCGATACAATACCCTCAGCAAGGGCCTCTAGCTCGACCCCCCTTCCGCAATCTCGTCATGTTAGTCGAGCTTACGAAACGCCGTGCACCCCAGGGCCCTCAAACCGTCCGGAAGGCCCGCATCGAGATCCCCTCTTCTTGCCAACTTCTTCGCAGCTGTCCGTGGCTGAAGAAGCAGCTATCAGGTCATCAGGTCTGGGCATAGAAGACATGGATAGGGCAACGTTCGAAGCGATGATGGACGGCGATGCCGAAGAAATTGGGCCAGAGCTCGCAAATAGCCAAGCAAGTTTCACGCTTGGAAGCGACCAGCCGGACAGTTTTGAACTTGTTGAAGACGTGGAGATGGCACCATCTCAGTCTGAGTCCATCACCTCCCGCTCATCACATAAGGTATCTGAACTTGTATGGTGGTCTTGTCTGTGGTATTGATCGAGACATATACAGGGATTCAAGCCTCTTTTCGAAGACTAATGTTACATTTCGTTCAAATTCTGGTGCGAATGTCCTTTCTAGAAGATGACATCGTCATCATCTAGGTGTACCAATCCTTCTGGCCATTGGTCGAGCACAGCGAACGTCTCTACTTCCACGTACTTCTGCCTTTCCAACGTTTCAAGAACACCCGAGGGCAACCTGGTGCCGATGCGCAATTTTGAGAGGGGAAGATTCATATCCGCCCGAGCGACGACCATATCGTACAACAATTCCTGTTCGTCCGATGCATTGAGGATGAGGTGCAATGTCTTCAAGTTTGGCCAGATGGGGGTAGATTGTGGGTTTCCCAGGAGTTCCACGATGATGGGCGTGTTGAAGGAAGTACTGTACACAGTAAAATCCGTGATATCAGGAAAGGCTTCGCATACGGTGTGATAGCTTGCTTCAGTGAAGTCGCATTCGTGGAACACAAGTTTGCGAAGTATGGGAAAGCTCTGGTGACTCGAAGGCCAGAATGCAGCCAAATCGGCTTCGCGAGCTTCCTTCAAGTACAAAGAATGCACGCGCGGGGCGGAAATATGACTGAGAACAACGTTGAATATCCAGCCTTCCGTACCCCATAGTCGTAATGACCTCAGCTGCGGCAAATTCATGCCTTGCGAGGTTTGTGGGGATTGAGTCGGCCAAGTCATGAAATGGATGGGTTCGCCGTACAGGGATAGATTGGTGAGTGACGGGGAAGCAGTCAAAATAGACTTCATCAATGGATAGGCCATTGTGATCGCTTTCGTGAGTTCGAGATGGAGCGTCGTGACAGCGGTCAAGGGGGGGCGAAAGTAATAAGGTGCCATTCCTCGTAGACGAACGAACTTCAGTTGAGGCGCCCCCGATTTCATTATCTGGATGAAATCCGGTTGCATCTTCGGGTGGGAGCGACAGGACTCAGCCTGATCTACACACAGCGAGAGGTGTTCGATTGGCCCATTGGGTATTGGGAAATTCTCCAAGTGCTTCAGGAAGGGGTGATAGTGTTTGGCGGTAGAGATATTGATCACTGCCTGCCGCCAACCTCTGTCGTTGTGCATCACAAGGTCGATTAAGACCTGGGGCACCAAGTCTTTCCACGACCAGTGATCGAGTCGTATGTCGGTAGGACATGTTTTCGATCGGTCATGATATGTTTGTAGTTCTGTAATCGTTTTTCTCGGGATGATGTCGATGCGTCTCCATAGACTACGGGTGCTGAGGGCAACGTGTCTCCAGTGTTGATCGACATGTGAAACCAGCACCTCAAATTGCGGCGATACTACTGCGGCCGTATCGAAGGGCAAAGTTGGATGCACGGGTATTTGACCCACGACAAAGATATGTGAGAGTATCTCGTCGGGAATCAGGGATATTGGTGAGCAATTAGCGGAGACGGGATCTGAAGGGTCATATACTATCAGTGTTTTCAGTATTGCAAGAAATATCACTAGTGTTGCATACGATGTGGGGCAGGGTTTGCCACCTGCATGTCAGAATGGAATCGTGCAACTGCTCTGTACCATCATGGTGGGAATGGTTTATATACGAATCGCCTATATGCTAGCACTATACTTGTCTTTGGATTCAGAGAGCGTCATGCGAAGTTGTTCAATGACATGGGGTTCGCGAATTCTTGACCCCAGAAACGAAGTCGTTCACACAGATGGTTCCCAGTGGGCGCACTGGAACCGTTAGAGTTGGTGGACGAATCGTTATTCGCGTCTGCAGCCCGAAACAAAGGATTGGCCTCGACATGCGGCTGAGCTATCTACTTGGTGTGTAAACCTTCGGCAAGTTGGATCTGGAAGTTGAACAATCAACTCATGCAACAAGTCGATCAATGAGAATATTCACCTCGTTCTTGCTGATGGTCCTCAATTCACCGGGAACTGAAACATGACCTGTTACAGCACCGACCATTGCCCCAACATTCCGACCAATAGCACCCTTCGTGGCCAGGAAGTATCTGATCTCTTCGGGTGTGACCTTAATTATAGAAACTCGAGGGTCGTTCTCATCACCCTTGTGAATACCATCCTTGAGGTCTCCAAAATAAGCTGCAACACTGGTTGACAAAGCTCAAATAAGCAACATGGACCAAGAAGACGGTAACTCACGTCGATGTCCAGTGTTTCTTCACGGCGTCGCGATCCTGAGTTATTTGGGCCTTGCCCGCGAACCTTAGTACGGGAGATAGGTTCAGCATGATGTTCATAATCGATGGCTGCCTAAGAATACTGACGATGCCCAGCTCGTCGTACTTGTATTGTAGACGCTAACATTGACATTGACATCGTTCTGCAGTTCGTCGAATTTATGAGACGCATTATTGGCGATGAAAACCAGAGTCAACTGTGAGTCTGATTGAGCTAGGAACGAGAAGTCAGCGAACCTCCGCTGTGATGAACAAGCGACCTACGTGTGCACGGAGTCATCGCGCGTGAATGCATCTGCCCATCTGCTGCCCTTGAAGTGAGCATCGCAGAAGACACAGACTTGAGTATTGTGTGAAGATCTGATCCTTCGTTTAGGCACCTGCTCGTTGGCTGACCTAACGAACTCACCTAGAATCTTCTGTTGGGGAGTAATATCATTGTTTTGGGCTTCGGCGGTGTATGGGTCAAGCTTGTCACTGACTGTGGACATGGTGGTTCAGAGCAAAAGAAGGGGGATTTCTGGATGGACGCATATCGCTGGCCTGCCTGCCTTTATACTTCTCAACTGGGGGAGCAACGGTCGAGCTGACGTCGCCTGACGTCAGCGCCTGCAGAATGTCCATAACTTCGAGCTGACTAATACCAATCAATAGCAAGAGCCAGTACCATTACGGGCGCTTGCAACGAAGAGGTGGGATACGTTGTAACGTCCGGTATAATGCCACAGAATCAGAAATTCGATGCAGCCTTGAGTCCCCGTTTCATGGATGTCGCTTGGTGAGGCAGGTTGCTTGTGGATCTCGAGCACTAGCTTGTCGCCTGTACACTTCGGGTGACTGGATTTGTGAGGTATTAAGAATTATCCATGAATATTACAGAATGGGGTGTGAAGCAAACAGGAGTATATGTATAATATATCTATGCTGAACCAGCTGGAGCAGCGGTGGGGACTTTCCAGAGGTCAGTACGATGAGGGGAGGTCGTGTCAGGAAGACCTACTTTGTGGCATCTGTGGTCGTGTTCCTTCACTGAAGACCCGAGATATGAGTACACCAACTCCCTCGAAGACACCAAGCAGCACGCCACAAGCTATGGCTGAAGATAGCATGGATCTGGGTCCACCTGAATAAATGAGTTAGCATGCGCCTCCGGTCCTAGAAGCCTGGTGGCGTACTTCGTGCAGCCAGACAACCGCCAGTCATGAATCCGGATATGATGGCATTCCATGCATCCTCCTTCTGCCGGAAGCCTTTTACGGCACAGTCAAACGTCGAGAACATGCCACCCCATACACCGAAGTTACCACCTATTACTGGGGCGCGTGCTTTCATGGAGGATATCGCACCGACAAAACGTTCTCCCTAGCGTCACAAGGTCAGCAAGAAAGGCGCAAGAGGCTGTATCGTTGTACAAACGCACCCGAGGTGAGTTCCTTGAACCCTTTATGCCATACCAAATGCCACCTCCAACTGCGCCCATAGAAAAAGCCCCTCCGAAGTCACTGAGAATTACCCATGGACTACGGTGACAAGGCGGTGAATATACAAACTTCACCGCAGGCAGAAAGTACTCACCAGGGATCTCTTGTGTGATCGGCGTGAGCCATGAGGGGAATAAATGAAGTAGGAAAGGGGAAACGAGGTTGGAAAACGGAGGTTGAGATGTCTGGAACTGAAGTGTTCCGGTTTGCAAAATTTCGCAGCCGCCCATGATCACGTGCAGTCCATCATGTGACCAACGCGTTGTTTTTGTTATTAATATGGCGGCATTGTCAACTTTGTTCAACTTTATCTCCAACCACAATGAGCGCGTCAAATCCGAAGGGTTCGCTCCCGGCCTCCTACAGATTTAAGGAGGTGTATGTCGATATACCTCCGTCGCCGTATCACACACCCAGGGCGAGCAAACTTTCAATTGGTCCTAGAACGGGTTCGGCGATCATCCCAAGTGTCCGCCTCAAGGAGAACAGCAATTCTATGCGTGCCTCTATGCAGCAGACTCCCGTCTCAAAGCGCAAACTCGATAACGTACCCTCCGTTGAAATATCTATCCCGAGCGCGAAGAGAACCAAGTTGAGCAGCTCGGCAACTAGTTTGGCTTCGTTGCAAAGCATGTTACCTGCGCAAAATCAAGAGAATACGGCGCCAGGAAATGTTAGCTCGGAATTCTACTGCCACCAATGCAACCGCAAATACAATAAAGAAGGTTCGTTGCTGTCTCTCATTTACAACAGGGGAGTTCCGTGACCCAACGTTTGGCGCGATTAGATGCCGTGGACTGCTTTGGCATCACGGCTAAAGGACGATGTATGGCTAAATATTGCAAGAGATGTCTTATTAATCGCTATGGTACGCGTATCTTAGCATCTTCATTAGCTTTGTCTAACAACCTTGTAGGCGAGGATGCTGGTCATCTGAAGATTGCAGAAGCTGGCACTTATAAGTCAGCGCCACTTGATCTCATATATAATACATCCTTACATGTCTGTGAGCAGGTGTCCTCGATGTCGCGGAGTCTGCAACTGCAGCAGGTGTCGCAAGGCACAAGGTCTGGCTCCACTCGGGTGAGTTGTCGCCTGTGGCTTTCGTGCAGCTTATCATAACGCATGGAATTATCAGCAAAATGGCGCCAGTGGGTGTTAACAACGCCTCTACCGCTGTGGGCCATGACCTGAGTGGTAAAGAGAAGCAAATCAAGGCGAAGTCTTCAACTGTTCAAATATCATCTGCTTCTGCGAGTGCATCGAAAGTCGAGAAGTCATCTTCGGTCGTCCGAAAACCAAAGCCGAAAGCTCCACCGAGTCTGAAGTGGAAAGCCGTGCCTACCGATCTAAATTACGAGCAAGCACTACTACGTTTCGAGATTCGCGAATTCGTTCTACGCTTCGGTATTCTCTTCCCCTTCCCTCTGTCCAAGAGTCACATGGAGGAACTGAACGCAGTCGAGGGAAAGTACGGTAGCACTGGAGACGAGGAAGATTACGAGCCTCTGCACGGATGGGTCAGCGAAGGCTGCATCAAGTCCATCATATTAGGCCTACTCGGGTTCCTCGTCGATGATAAACCTGCAGCTGTTGCCAAGGTACACAATTGTTCGTGTCGGCTGAGTGTCGCTGACATTTGTGCCAGGCTATCAAGTTGGCCATGAAGGATATTCGTTCCTGCGGTGCCAATCTAAGCAAGCTCTGGGCAGTCCTCGCTGGGCTTAGAGACGTATTGGGGAGAGACACATTCCCCGACCCTTTACCTGGCCCTGAGGTAAGCGTTCGGATGACGAGGAACACCCACGTCGACGAAGCACGACTTACCAGCGTCGCATTCGCGGCCCAGCTCGTACCCGTGGTGGTTGCACTTCAAGAAGCGACTATGACCAGCTCCAGGATCAGGAAGGAGATAGACGAGGGTGTCCAGTCGAGTAAAGACATGGTGAAAGATGCGCGCGAGCTGTCGAAGAAAGAGGCGGAGCGTTGGGAACAACAGAAGAAAGATATTGCGAGTGCAGCGAAGGGCGGCAAGGAGGCGACGTTGAAGGCTGCACGGCAAGAACACAAGCAACACCTTCAGAAGCTCGACGGTATGACTAAGATCCTATCGCACGCTTATACTCCTCGATCTGGGTATTTGGGGCAGGATGCTGAGGGGAGAACTTACTGGGCTTTGTCCCCTGGCATGCCGGAGCGGGAAGAAGCACTGGCATTCCTTGAGGCTTGCAAAGAGGTGGAAGGCAAGGGGAAGAAGGCGAAAGGGAGAAGGAGTGCGCCGAGCGTCGCCAATGGTGAGGAGCTGGAAGACTGGTCTTGGTTCGTCGCGGTGTGGGGTAGTGAGCCGCGAAATGCTGGTGCAAAGTCCAAGCCCGACGATGAGGAGGATGCTTGGTGGGGTATCTGGGAGCCGGCTGAAATTCGCAAGCTATCGCAGTGGCTCACTAGCAAGTATCGACTCGACGAAGAGGATGAGACCCCTGCTGCCAAAGATAGTTGGTGGGCTCAAGAGGGTCAGAAGACCATCAGAACCAATTCTTTGCCTTCAAAACATGAGCTTGAGTCGCTCGTCAAAGGACTGGACGAGTACGCTACCGTTCTGCAGTGGCGAATAGAGAAAGCTCGCGACGAAGCTTGAAGCTGAAGTCTGGATCTGCATTGAGGAATGGAATTATGGAATGACGTTGATGATTTAGTTTATCCACTTCTTTTGATACCTAGTACATATTTTATTTGCGTAAATAATTGAAGTACTGTCTACCGCGCGACTAGGTTCGCAATGTCATTTGGATTGGAAGGGCGGTCGGTACACTCATTTAGCTGCTCGGCGAGGACCACAGCGAGAATGTGCTTGCACTGTATGCTTTGATATGAAGGAGATAAGAGATGAGTGTGAGGGGGAACATACCATGAAGTATGATTCAGCGAGGAGGACGGTGTACGAGAAGGCGGGGCATGTGCAATAGAAACGGACGTTGGGCGAATGTCCCAAGTCTGGCTGCACCGAATAAGTGACCGAGGAACCGATCACCTGGTAGAAAACGCGCCCCCAGGAAGTAGTGTATTTCATCACTGTTGAGACGAAAATGGGTTTGCGTGAGTTTCAGATAAACTAGTACCATTAACGTACCGTTCTTTCTATCAACGATGTCGAAGGCCGCCAGGACAAGACTTTCGGGGAATAAGACCCTGAGCTGGTGGAAAGTATCATCATGTATAGGCTCTGACTCTCTTAGCCTAAGAATGCCAAATATCTAGTTGGTGTATACTCACCGCCTGGCTTGATGCTTGCAAGAGTCGTGTCAAGAATAGGAATCAAGTCATTGGGTGGCATGGATGTAGTTTTGGTCGAGATTGCCAGGTCTGGACTTGTCGAGAGAAATCTAGAGAGTTGTAGTACGCCGAAGTCGCGGATCAGTCTACAATATGTAGTTTACGCAGCGAATTCCATGACGGGTGGTCTTGAAGAAGGAACGATTGTAACTCCGCGATGTAGATTCATGCTAGCGCCGAACGTGTGGCCCCTGTCTTCAGCTACCACAATGCCCACAAAATATCTTGTTGTATTTGCTCAATCCCACAGCGACTTCCGTATTCCAGAACTCAAGTCCATAGCCGAGCTTCATGGCTTCCCCTTGCATCTACCGGATCCGTGCGATCCGAATCGACCGTTTATGGTGATCGAACTTGATCAAGAGGAACATGCACGTTTGCTGGCGAAACGATGCATTTTGATCAAGTACGAGTCTTACAAAATTCCTGCTCTGATTTGCCTCTGATACACCCTAATAGGTCTATCTCCGAGTTCTATGGACAAGGGGACAATTACGATCAACTACACGCCGCTGTGCGGAAAAACGAGGCGCTCTGGGAGCAGTATAAGCAAGACACCTCGTTCAGGTTCTCCGTCGCCGCGTACAATCATAGCATCACGAAATCTCGGCAGCGAGAGGTTATGGAGAGCTTCGGTTACATGGAATTCTTGGGCAGAATTGATCTGAAGTCGCCAACCATAGTTTTAGGATGTTATGAAGAATGTACGGTCGCTACTTTGAGTCCCTCGGCTCAACGTCCTGCTTACTGATAACCGGAACAGATGGCGACACCAGAGGCAAAGAGTTCTCCAATAAGGTCGTTGATGGACAATTCCGTCAAGTCTACTTCGGAAGGTTGGTATGTTCAGCATATGTGACCCGTTCCAAGCGACTTGTACTAATTGATGCCCGAAAAGATAGAAGAAGGATCAGCGCGCGCCTTGATTTCTAGATTTGATGTCAAGAAACGTGCCTATTTTGGAAATACGAGTATGGAGGCAGAGATATCCCTCCTAATGGCCAATCAATGTCTGGTAATGACTTCAAAGGTTCTGCCCGTAGTTTAAAACTAAGGTTACCTACAGGCTAGACCAGGCTCGCTCGTTTATGATCCATTCATGGGTACAGGAAGCATGGCATATGTTGGTCATCTTGATCTGTCACAAAGCTGTTACTCATGGTTCTCTTCAGCCAACCTCTCACTTCGGTAGTTTCGTTGTTGGATCAGATATCGATGGTCGACAGATGCGTGGAAAGGGTAAGCAACCTACGCGTGGATACATCATCTACCCTAAACTGTTCATTTAGGGAAGCAAGCAGGGGTCCTCAGAGCCGCGGCTCAGTACGGAACGGCGCATCGTATCGTTGATCTACTAACATTTGATGTGACGCGTAACCCCTGGAGATGTGGTGGTTTATTCGACGCGATAGTCACTGATCCACCTTGTTCGTCATTCCAACTGGCCTACCGGAGTGCGAAAACTCACGATCAACTTAGATGGCGTCCGGGCAGGGGCGAAGAGACTGGGTCGAAGGCGTAGCCCAACTCCTAAGCAGCTAGAAGCATACTTAGAACATCAGGCAGCCCCTCGCCCGTAAGCGTGTGACTCCAGATGGTGTAAATCACTTACATAATCTTTCTATAAAGTGCTGATCAACCATATATCCCTCCAACAAAGCCGTACGAGCTGTCCGAGCTTGCCAGAGATCTGGTGGTCCTCGCCCGATATCTATTGAAACCTGAAGGGCGGCTTGTATTCTTCCTCCCAACCGTCAATGACGAGTATGAGGATGTGGACATCTATACCATGCTTTGCGAAGGGATGGAGTTGATCGCGAATTCGTTGCAAGACTTCGGGTCATGGGGGCGACGAGTAAGTGCAAGGCTCATCGCTTACGAGGGTGATCCAAGGCTGATACGACCTCGGATAGTTGGTGACAATCAAGAAAATAACCTCAGATATATACCCCATACCATTTAGCGACAACAGCGGGCAGTCGCAAAGCACAGCGCAGCATGAACCTGCCCACAAGGATTTCCGCGAGAAGTACTTCCAAGGATTCCGAAAGGGATCAACCTCGTTGTATGATGGAGTCGTACAATGATGTCGTCAATCGTCAAGTTAATACAATCTAATCATACAAGCATGCTCAGAGCGTTCATCGAATTTATGTTGATTTCCTGGTTTCTCTCCTCATCTCGCGCCTTGCGCACCATGTCTCCTTTCAGGAATAAAACCAAAAATGAGCTTACGAATATAAAGATTCCGTTGAACATGATCGCCTGATGCATGTTAAGGGGCGGGTTCGCGTCTGGTCCAGCGCGCAAGGCTCCCTGAACTATGAAAGCCCCAGTGGTCAGGAACCGACGCTTAAACATGTCGGTGAATGGGGAAGCACTAACCTAAGATGAACATGACTGCGAACAGGTTACCGCTAGAAACAAGGTAAGTGATAGCGTGGTAGTGCCAGGGTCCCGGACTTACGCAAACCAAAGAATCGCTGAACTGCCATCGGCGTTTCGAGTAAGCTCGCACCCAAGTTCCAAGCTGACCGGAAGAACGCTTATACCACAGATTCCGATTATAGCCATGATTACGAAGAGACCACCAGTATTATGTGGTTTCACTGACAATGTACTCATCAAATCGACGTCTTTTGCACGTAGCTGAACGGGTGCCCACCTGCCCATATGAGCGACAACCATGCTGCTCCGATGATTGGGACCACGATTTTAGCCGTTATAGCTAAATGGTGGGTGAACACGCGGTCGAATAGAGGGGCAGTCGCGATGGCGGCCACAATTCCTGCCAATAGCAAGCATGCACCCATCAGCCCGCTGATGTCTTCCGAGTAACCATATGGCTCCTACGTGGTCCATTTTAGTCAGATATGTACGTACAACTCATTTAGGGCCAGACTAACCATATATTGTCCCGTCAAGATGGCGAACGCGTTGGTGCTGTAATATATAGCATGAAATTGCGCTGATGTCAGTGATGATCTGGCGTCCGAAGGGAATGGATGGTCACCCTGCGACAATGACACCAAACACCAATACTAGAATCGCGAAGTCTGTCCGCTCACGACCCGTCATGTGTTGCTCGGGGGAAACCTCTATACCAATCATGGCACGGATCATTGCCAGCAATGGCGGAGATTTCTTGGAGCCGGAGAAAGCTGGATCGGGTCAGCGAGAGAAGGTGAGTCATCAAATCAAGGCATACTTGGGGGAGTCGGGGGCGCTGCGCCTATTAGAAGTACAAAAGGTATAGCGGCGCTGGTTATGATCGCCAGTACAAGAATCTAGCATAGCACATATAGGTGAAAATGACACAGATGAAAGGTGGAAACTCTCTTACAGACTGTCTCGTGTCTCCAACCAAGGGGCTTAATAGTTGCCCAACAGCGCCGCCAACAGGATTTGCTGGATTAGGATGAGCGAATGTGACAAGAGCTTGTGAATCGCATCCCCTCACATATTGCAACTAGCATGGTGGCAGTAGTTCGACTATTCAGATCGAACCAAGTTTCCGAGTATTTCGGGCCCAATACTTGATAGATGGGCTGAGCTATAGCCGCGAAGAACTGGGGGGTGTTAACACAAATCATACTTGGCAAAACTGAAGGAGATGCACCTGTCCTACTATTAACAAGGCGTACGCTGCATTGCTTGAGAGGGCCTTGCTAGTTCCTGCATAACGGATCCAGGCGGCAAGGAGGAGGGCAATGACGCCGATGTCGCACTGAATAACGCGGTTAGCGTGGAAGCATGATAATGAATTGAGGGGACGTACACATCGACGAATTCCATATCTAGAGACAACGGCCGGAATAAGGACGGCGCTAGGTAGATATACCAATGCGACAATATTGCCCAGCCAGTTAACCTGGTCTAGCGATATTCCAAACTCTGCGGACACTGCACGCTCGTCAGCACTAACCACTCAAGACTATATGTCCTCAAAGTGCGTACTATCATTCGAAATTGGGCCAAACCACGGCCACGCCATTGCAGCGACAATATTCAGAACCACCTAGAGGCTCGTTGTAAGGGGGTACACTGCACACGAGCGATAAGACATACCAGACCCAGTAATCCAGCAAATCGCCTCTTGTATAGCCTATATGGTGCATGCTCAGGGCCAGCCGCTGAAACATTCTCCGGGCTGTCGGGGGTGTGGGTGGGTGAGGATGCAACCTTTTCCTCTACGGACGTGGAGGGGGCTTTCTGATCCATAATTTGCCGTTTGCGGAATGCCCGCTATCTATGCCTCTGGTCGTCCAGGGCCTTATGCTGATATGATGATAGTCGGGGTCCACGCGTGCGCCGTGTACATTTATAACTGGAGTGAAAGAAACAATATGATGGCAACGCTTCGATTTCTGCAAATCCCATTACCATACACATGGACCAGTCTTGTCCCATGATCGCTTCTTGCCTGCTTGGATTGCCGACATAGCTCAAAGTACCAAATGCGACCATGTGCTCTCACACCCCTGAATAGGATTGCAAGCAAGGCAATTCCTCCCCCGAACTACTATGAGTGAATATTGGGTTTCCAAGAAGAAATATTACTGCAAATTCTGCAACATCTATATCGCGGACGACGCACCTTCCAGGCAGCAGCACGAAAATGGCCTTCGGCACAAGGGAAACAAGGAGAGATTCGTGCGGGGATTGTACAAGGCTGGCGAGAAGCGCAAGAAAGATTTGGAGGAGGAGAAGCATGAGATGATACGGGTGGAACAGGTGCGAGTACACGATGCCTCCGTCTCGGGCGTGGTTGTCATTGAGAATGGATAGGCTGCTCGGGCTGCGTTTGCGAACGATATCAGTACGGGACACGCTAGACAGTCAGAGGCTGCGGCAGGGCCTTCTACATCTAAAGACGCCAGCAAACCGCCTCCGAAACCATCCAATCCTTATGCGAACTACTCGACTGCTGCGTCGTTGGGATACACGGACCCAGATGCGGAGAGGCTTGCTGCTGAAGCTGAGCGCCACAGGATGGAAGGCGTGGTAGGGGACTGGGAGTACGTCGCGCCCTCGCAGGACCTGGCGGCGACGGCGTCAAGCATCGTCGAAGCGCCTGAAAAGCGCGAGGCCGAACAGCCTGTGGACGATGAACGACACTTTAAGATTCGCAAGAAGACACTCGATGTCGGCCTGGGGAATATCTACGACCCGGGGCTCATACGCGTCAAAAAGAAGGAAGCGTCCCCTCCTCCGCCGAACCCCTTGCTCGCACCGGCCACTAATCAGGCAACATTGGGTTTGCCTGCAGCAACGAACGTGCCTAAATGGACAAAGGTGCAATGGAAGAAGGCTGGGGATGAAGAAGTTGGATCGAGTCAGGAGCCTCCCGAGGATCACACTGAGCCAGAGCTTCCAAACGAGGAACCGATGAAGACAGAGGAGTCGATAGACACAGTGAAGACGGAGTCGGCGACAAACCTAGTAAAGATAGAAGAATCGACACCAGCACCGCCAACGGGGTTATTCAAGAAACGGAAGCGTCCTGGTATGCGTTCATAGATATGTCGTATATTACTCTAGTATTTGTGTCACTACAATTACAGATGGATCATTGCTTCTGTGCGGGATGTTTCCCCTAGCAAAATAGGTGTTTAGGACGTGCAGAGATCGATGAGATTGTCAGGACTTACTCAGATAAATAGGTAAAGATGGCTTGCCGTACCTCGTGCTCGCGGACGCGAGTCCCCAAGCGGATGGTGAGGCTGGCTTCATTGCTGTCGAGGAAGATCGGGAGGCGTTCTTTGAGTGCATGGAGGGCAGCCTTTACGGTGATCACGCGTTTCAGGTCAAGGGTGGCTGGTTTCGATGGCGGATTGTCCACTGATACGCTGCGTTAGCAAGGAGGGTCGTATCAGCGAGGACAGAAGGACGTACGACGGACGAAGAGATTGTCGGCTTTGAGATGGTACTTAGATGCTTGCTCCTCAGTGGTGCCTATTCTGCTCTTCAAGGCGACGCTCTGTCGTTTCTTGTTAGCGTCTTCGGCGGTTTTACGTTCGGACTTAAGCTTCTTGACGTCGTTATCGAAGCCTTTGGATTGTTGACGGTACCTCTCTGCTGCTTTGAGCATACTTGTGCGATCGTTGGGGACGTCGGAGTCGCTGTCCTCGTCCGACGAAGTCAGCCTCGCATCATTGTCCTCTGCTTTCACTGCTCGCGAGGTGCTCGCTACTGGCGGGTCTTCAGTTATAACAGGCATCGGCGTTGACCTCCGAGGCGGGACTATTTTGTACTCCTCTGGTTGGGGCGCGCCCCCGGCCGGAATGATATCCAGAGGCGACAGAAGATTTGGAGGAAGCGCAGGCTCTGAGTCGGAAGACAGGAGCCCCTGGCTGGTTGGAGGATCTACGTTCACATAGGGCACCATGAGAGGCGGCGGACTGTTTCGTGGTGTGGGACTGGGGCTGGTCGTCTCATCGCGGGAAGTGAAGCCGCCAGGAACATTGCCTGCAATGCCCGTGCGATGTCCAGCTTCGCCAAAGAGGGGCGTTCGCTGCTGGAAGGTGTCGGGAGGGGAGGGTAGATGTGTATCATACGGTGTTGTTGAGTTGCTCGGGTACATGGTAGCACGATGTGTGGTCTCGTTAGAGCTATGCGGCTGAGCAGAGGCGACGGCTCGGACGCTGTCCCAAATATTCTCTCTAGACGTCGCAGACCCACTGGACGCGAGAGTCGACATGTCGCTGGACAACGAAGTGGTGGACGGCGCAGCGAATGTGACCGCCGTCTGCTCCTCGATCATACGTCGACTCGGGGTGGATTCGGGTGGATGGGCGACATCGGTTGAGCGGGGCTGGCGAGCTGGGGGTGCGCGAATGGGCTGGCTCGGTATGACGGGGTTTATCGAGCGCCGCCTGCCTCGCCTCCGTTCACTCGTGGTATCATGCCGGTGGTTGGGACCAAGCAGCTCCGTCACGATCACGCCCAGAACCGTCCACAGCGATGTGACTGCAGTCTTGTAGAAGCTGCGAGAAATGTAGAGGTCGACGAGGAAGAGCAGGGCGTAGATGGCTGTTGTCTCGTGCGAGGCCGTCCGCCCCGTCATTTTCTGGACAGCGTAGCCATCCCACAGCCCTATGAGTGCCCATTCTGCCTTGGGGCTGATGTTTCCGATAGAGTATAGGAAGAAGCGGACTGCGAGGCCTGGTGCGAAAGAGACGAGAGCGTCCATGGAGAATGGGTGGTGGTGGAAGCATGTATGTAGAGGAAGTTAATAAGATAACGTACTCCCAGACCTTTCACTTTGGGAAGGTGGGCCAGTGCAGCGTGTTCGGCCTCGTGGGCTTGGGACGGTGGCTTTCATTTCAGTGAACCTAATGTTTCACAAAAGCAAAATCGTGGATGTGACTTTGGACGCTTTTGTGTCGAGGCGCTTTTGGAATCGAAGGAAGATGTTTGCCCTCGCCGATGGTGATCGTCGCTTCCGAATCCAGGAAACTGCGGCGCAGCGGGCTCGCGATCACGTGGAAAGACGCGACAGTTCTTGATCTCTGCCAGTGTTCAAACGTTCAATCTTGGTTCTCTCCGTACCCTCAGTATCACCCCGCTCGACCACCTGAAGGCAAGCTCGCGCTTCAAAAACGGCAGCGCCTCGAAAACGACTTACACGACGCCCATGGGGGACCCCTTTCAACGATACAGCTTATCTGACGCCCCGATGCCTTCGACGCGACGAAGCTCTCCTATGGACGACACATTCCGCGACTACGACGAGATAACCGAAGCCCTCGATAACCTCCTCGGGCACGAACAGCATCAGAATCATGAACCTCAACTACCTATGCAAGCCGGTCCAGGACCATCATCAAACGCCCGTCTTTCACAGCACGCTCGACGGGAGCTGCCGACGCCCAGCCCCGGACATTCTCCTTACCGCTACTACCAGCATGGGCAGCAGCTGGAGCCGATTATGACCGGGGAGACGCTGCAGATTGATGAGTACCAGTCGGTCCCGTCGGGAGACCCGTTCGACGATACATACGGCGCGGCGCCCCATCGCGCGAGTGCTTACTCGAATGGGGGATCTGACTACACGCCGCCCTCGCCTCACTCATATGACCAAGCGCTGGAAGCGATGAACACGCTCCCTGCGGGCAACGATTACGGCGCGCAAGTGTTTGCATCTGGCAACTACTCACGCAGTCCCTTCCGCCCACCCCGCTCCCGCTCGCCCACCCCCGCTGTCGACGACGAGGACTACATGGTCGTAGGGAACAACAGCTTCCACTACGTCGCAAGCCCGGAGCGGCGTGTGCACGACCCGGAGAAGGCGGCGATGTATGTTGTGAACGGCGACTACGGCGTGCCGGGCGATTACATCCAGACCGCGCAGTATATTCAGAGGGAGAAGAGCCTTTCGTCGCACGCGAATACGGAGCCGGAGACGCCTGTGGAGACGAAGCACTATGGGCCTGCGCCAAGTGGGCGGGTAGTCCGCCGCCGCAAGTCGAGGAAGCGAGTGCAGCTCACGAATGGAAATTACGTGCTTTCATCGGATGTCCCGCCTGCGATGGTGATGCCGTTCAGCAGTAGAGGCGAGCCGGAAATGACGAAGACGCGATATACTGCTGTCACCGGAGACCCGGACGAATTTGAGAAGAGAGGATTTTCTCTCCGACAGAACGAGATGGGGCGCAAAACTGAGCTGTTCATTGTTATAACGATGTACAATGTAATTATCTTTCCAAGGCTACTAGAGTCAATGCTAATGACGTTGGCTGCAGGAAGACGAAGAACTCTTCTGTCGGACAATGCACGGTGTGATGCAGAATATCTCTCACCTATGTACTCGTAAAAATTCCCAAACCTGGGGTCCTGACGCATGGAAAAAGGTATGTAGCGAGACACCATCCCCCTGCCTTGACTAATGAATAACAGGTCGTAGTCTGCATAGTATCCGACGGCCGTCGGAAGATCAACCAGAACGTCCTTCATTGCCTGACTCTCCTAGGCGTATACCAAGACGTCGGGCAGATGAAGAACTTGGTGAACGGGGAAGAAGTCACTGCGCACTTGTTCGAGTACACGACGTCCTTTGGGCTGGACTCCAACATACATTTTAGGTACCCCGATAAGGGGATTGTGCCGACGCAGATAATATTCTGCTTGAAGGAGAAGAACCAGAAGAAGATTAATAGCCACCGCTGGTTCTTTAATGCGTTCGCTCCGCTGCTGCAGGTGAGGGTTTCTCTTTTGAACTGTGACCGAATCCCTGGTTCTGTCGTTCGCTGACTCGGGTGGTTATGTAGCCCAATGTCTGTGTCCTGCTAGATGTCGGAACGCGACCTGGGAACAAGAGCATATATCGCTTGTGGAAGACCTTCGATCTGAACTCCAATGTGGGAGGTGCTTGCGGCGAGATAGCGGTGTATAAAGGGAAGCACTGGTCCCTGCTCGCCAATCCGCTAGGTGAGTATTCTAGTACATCCTTCCTTAAACGCTCAACGAATCTGAGTGGAATGATTATAGTCGCTGCCCAGAACTTCGAATATAAGATCAGCAACATATTGGATAAGACGACAGAGTCCATGTTTGGTTATATAAGTGTGCTGGTGAGTAAACGAGTTCCTCCCCAGTCTCTAGCTTCGACGTTGACCGTCATGATGAAGCCTGGCGCGTTCTCGGCGTATCGGTTCGTTTAGTTTGTCTTGCGCCCGTGGTTTCGATTGAGCTGACTTGATTCGTTGTTATTGCACGACAAAGGTATATCGCCCTCCAGAACGATAAACGAGGCGTTGGTCCCCTAGCTTCGTATTTCAAAGGCGAGGTTTTGCATGGCCGAGACACGGATATCTTCACATCCAATATGTGTGAGTGCATTACTTTACCGTGTTCTCCATCGATCTGACTTGTTCTGCATGCTAGATCTTGCCGAAGATGTATGTACATATATTGTGTTCAGCTTGATAACTTTCGGTAACACGTCCTACAGCGCATTCTCTGCTTTGAACTCGTCGCCAAAGCCAACTCGAACTGGTGAGCCTTACATTACATATTCAGCTCCGCCGAGCCTAAATCCTTTAAAGGGTGCTACGATACGTCCAGGGAGCGATCGGCGAGACCGATGTCCCCGACGCCCTGCCCGAGTTCATCCTGCAGCGGAGGAGATGGCTGAACGGCTCGTTCTTCGCGGCGACCTACTCCATCGCGCATTTGGGGCAGATCCTGCGCTCGGGGCACAGCGTCGGCAGGAAGGTGTCGCTCATGCTGGAGATGATGTATAATGTGATCAATCTGACCTTCTCGTGGTTCGCGATTGTGAGTCTCTTGTCTCCATTCGCTGCTAAGCTAGAACGTAAGAATGCTGATTATATGTGTCGCAGGGGAACTTCTATCTCTTCTTCGTGAGCATATTCCGTCGAACTTTGAAAGGAACGGGCCTATACTGAGAGATCGGCTAGGTTGTTTTGACGTCCTCTCTTGAGGATCCGTCATTTAACATGCCCGGGATTCAGAATTTTAATCTCATAGTTCAGGTGAGGCGAGAGCCTGGGGAACGCTCCACGCGTCCGAAACTGACTGTTGAGTCAATAGTTTATGATGGGGTCTATCGTCATTGCTTGCTTCCTGTTTGCCATGGGTAATAAACCTCAGACGTGCGTCCCCTTCTTGATACTCAGTCGTTGACATACAGGGCTGATACTGATGCCAATCCTTTTGACATAGGTCAAAGATGAAGTATAAATTAACTTCGATCTTCTTGGCGATTCTTATGGTCTACTTGATCTTCGCGTCCATTCAGTGCGCCTTGAAAGCCGCACAACAAGGCGGCAGTGCCAATAGCGTCATGCTGTTCAGCGTTGTTATTACATTTGGCTGTGAGTTTAGCTTATTACATTGTTCTGGTGTCACAATTGAGTTAACCTTGCCGTGGATAGTATATGCGGCTAGCAGTCTGCTTGCGTTCGACCCATGGCATGTGTTGACAAGCTCTGTGCAATACTTCTTCATGTCTCCGACGTATATAAATATTCTTAACGTGTAAGCTCTCCGATGCTCTCTGGGAAGCCAAGGCCATTAACATGGTGCTCTAGTTATGCATTCTCAAACCTCGACGATGTACGTTCTCGCAGCTCACTTTTTCGGGAGCCAACTCGTACTGAACATACTCTTAGATTTCTTGGGGGACAAAGCAGGACTCGGCAGACGAGATTGATCTCGGTGCTGTAGTGCAGAATAAAGACAAACAAGTCGAGGTCGAGATAGCGACGGCCCCGAACGATATTAGCCAGATATACGAAGAGGCGCTGTATGCCCTGCGAAATCGCTCGGAGCCTCCCCCGGCTTCCAAAGTTCCCTCTGGTCCCAGTGATGCGGAGAGGGAGCAGGCGGCGAAGGACTATTACGCGAGTGTGCGCACAAATGTATGTGCTTCCTGTGCACATAGAAGTCTTGTCTTGAGCTTATATTTGCGATTTAGGTCCTACTGTCATGGGTACTCTCGAACGTGAGTGTAGTCTCTGAGCTGAGTGAACTCGACTCAACTGTTTTATCCAGGGCTTGCTACTTGTCTGCATACTTGGGGCTGGCTCCTCGCCGTCGAGTACGTTCGACCCTCAAGCAAACATGAACAGAACTAAATCCTACCTTATCTTCGTACTGGCATTCACTGCTATCACGAACCTAATAGTACGTGTTTTTAATTGCTCGTGTTCTCGTCAGAGATTTTACTATTGAACAGCGTTTCGGAGGCTCTACATTATATTTCCTGACAAGGTTTATCACTGGATGATTCTACAAAGGACACGACAAGACTATATTTATGACATTAGCACGAATACAACTAAAGACTTAGAAGGACATTCCCTTTATGCAAAGAGATAGTCGAAGAAGGATGCTTGCTGAGCCCTGTGTGTTTGTCTTAACGACACTACCCGGCGTTTGACCATGCGCCGACGAGCGGGTCGACGCACGGGTGACGGTGAAGGGGACGAAGCCGATCGGTCCTGCCTGGAAGTCCAATGGCGGGAAGCCAGGGGACGTCTAGGAGAGACCGTTGGTTGTATTGACAATGCCTCAACGCCTACGGTTATGTCTCCTTCATGGTCTCCTTCGATATCAGACCCCTCGATGACCGACCAGTCATTGTCTGGAGAGAAGGGTCTCGGGGATTGCGCTTCGACTATGTCCTCGAGATGCTTGACGTCTGCGGCACATTCCGCGTCCGATTCGTTGCCTTCGGCGAGGATTTCGGATAGGACGTCAGTTTCTGGGTCGGTTTCAAACTGTGAGGCCGAATCGAGGTCAGTTGTGGGAGGCGTGTAGAGACCGACGGGGGCAAAGGAGTCGGGGTGGGCAACATTCGGCCGTAGGAGGTAAGTTAATCTGCGTCCCTTCACTTCCTTGCCTACGGTGAACTGTTAACGGCGGCAAATAGGGACGAATAGGAAGGCCCACTGAAGCTGACGATCTCGTAGTAGCGGGCGCAACAATGCACTACGTAACGGGCAAATGCATCCTCGCTGACCGCCCAGATTAACTGCAAAGGGTCGCGGGAGACCTCAGAGATGCAGTCCATCCTCCCAATGGGTATTCCTGGGAAGTTGAGGAGAGACGACTCTGAGCCGTCAGAGGCGGCGAATGCTCCGCCCTGGAGCCATTCAGTTATCTCCTTCTCGATATCCTCGACGAGGATTTGTGCTCGGAATCCAGCCTTGCGCAAGTCCCGTCGCATACCCTTTAGACTGAGTGAGAACCGCCCAGCATTCGCGGAATTCGGCTCTAGAATTGGTTGAATCGTATCCGGCGCCTTCACTGTGCGGGGTAGATACGCAGGCAAGGGTTCAGGGAAGGTTCTCTTTGCATTGGGAAGCAGTGGTGCATAGTCTGCCTTCGAGGCATGTACGATATGTGGGTTATCAACGAAGCGGGCTGCGTGTGGAAACGTTAGGTGGTGTTCGTAGGAAACTAGTACTAAGTGGGGTCATACCGTTCTCCTTCCGGCGTACCCAACGCTTCCCCTCGTTATCGTCCCGCTTGATGCTCTTCTTGACGGGCAAAGAGCGACTGATTGGCTGGTCTGCATGCAAATGGGCGAAACGATGACTGACACCTGGATTGCGTAGAATTGCGGGGAATGAGAGTGGCACAGGAGCCTCCTCACGAACGGGCGCAGCGGCGGGTTGCATCTGGGGTACAGCGACGGGGGCGGGAGCGTCGGTGGCCATGTTCTGTAGATTCTTGGGGATTCTGTGTGAGTGGGAAGGTACTCAAGCTTTAAGCTTAGACTATTCGAAATTCTGGCGAGTCACCGCCAACTGGCAACCCTTGATAAGATAAGGCGCCACATCTTCAGTAGGCGCCCAGCGCGATGCTTCGGGACCTAGAACTATAGGCAGTGCAATCAGGCTGCTGCGGCTTTGCTCGCGACGACTACATTCGTCAGAAGAGGACTGGACTGAAGAATTCACCGCAAATACTGATGTCCACCGGCAACCCACTTTTACTCATGCGCCAACTGACTGGCAACTCCCTCTGAAATATCCCCACCCAACTTCAACTATCACCGGTCGGTCCTAAATTTTAATGGCGGAAACTGTAATTCAGAAAAAGCCCAGCTCACAGAAATCTAACAACTCAACACCATGGATGATGACCTGAGTGCTCTCATTCTGGGAGTTGGGCTGCGTGTCCTCGCCCGCTTGGCTCGCTTCAATCTCAAGATTACAGCCTTCATGATCGGTGTATGGGAGGGATTCGCGCTTTATCAAACTACAGCCTACAAGCCGAACTCATTTCACGCGTATGCCATGCAAGCGCTTCGCTTCGCTTTTGACTACTACTTCTTCGGCAAGAATTACCTCCTCCTTGGAATGATGACCTTATACTTGTTGGTTACGTGGGCGGCCACTAGGGCACTTGTCGAGTCTGCTATCGCCGAACAAATACCCCCTCCCCGAGAACCTCATACGAGACGGCCTAGGACGAGGCCCCCTCGACCCACTCCTCTACAAACAGCTGTCGCACCAGCTTTGCCACCAAGGGAACGTGTCGTGCAGTTCCAACACATTCCCCCACTCCCCACACGTCCAAGAGTGTACGAGGAAGACCACCGTGTCCGTGACTCGGAGACAAGGAACGTCGAACAGGTTTTGACCCCTCAACCTCAACCTACGGCGTCCCTTGAGGATGATGACCACATTTCCATACATGAAGTCTCACCGTCGGGCTCTGAGCATTATTCTTCCTATAGCTCGACTCCTCCTTCCGTGAACGACGCGGCTGAACCCACGACTGAATCTGCCTTCGAACCCACCAACGAATCTGCGACTGAGCCCCCGCTTCCTGTACAAACTTCGGAGCCACCTGAAGAGAGTGAGCCCATTGATGACGTCCCCTCCGAGAACCTTGCATTAATAGCCAATGATGCAAAGATTATCGACAAATTGGAGTACGCTCACCCCTCAACTTCTGATGTTGGACCAGTGAATGCGATGCCTACGCCTCCGCTCACTCCATCAGGCGACGGCCGCGACGATATCCTTTCCATACAAATACCTCTTCTCGACCTAGGGCGCAGCCCGGAATCAATTATTGTCTCCGAATCTGTGCAGGCGATGGAAGATGAAGTGGGAGAGGTGGTTGTGGCCGTGTACCAAGCGAACCTCGTTGCTACATCCGACGTAGCTCCGGCGGTGCCGTCAGTGAATATCTCGAAGTCGATAGACCAGGCGGATGCCACCGACATTAAACCAACAGACGCAACTCCTCAACCAGCCACTGATGCAGCCTCCATGCTGGCAGAAATAGAAAGCATCGTGTCGACAATCAACCCTCAGTCTCTTCAGAAGAAAGCGGAAAACTACAGGAGCCAGGCTCAAGCTGAAGTGCAGAAACGGGATGAACTTTTGCAAGAGCGACTGAAAGCATTAGCAAAGACTCAGGTTCGGGAAGCATTCCTCTTAGCCCTAGAAGCGAGGCGATCCCAGGAGAATGCTGTTTCCCTGCATAGGAAGGCTGAGCGGCGGTATCTCTTAGGTGATTATCCTACCTACTCACCGCTCTCTTATCGGGGTCTGATAGCGTGGATTGTATATAGCCAATAACCGTGGCCTACCAGCAAATACCCTCGATCTCCATGGGCTACGTGTCCCAGAAGCTATTTACAGAACGAAAGAAGCTATCAGAGATATTGTGCTTTCTGGGGGAGGTCAAGATTTGAAGGTCATTGTTGGTCGAGGTAACCACTCCCCCGGAAGCAAACCTGTCCTGAAGCCAGTGATTTGGCAAGCAATGGCAAAGTGAGTCCCTTCGTTTCACCTTTATAAGAGGTAACGTCTAACTCTGAGTCATTCGCAGGTCTGGTCTAAAGCCGAGCTTCGACAGAAACCCGGGTGTACTCAAGATCGCGATACCTGTACGAACATCTACTCCCGTAACTCCTGTGTTGTTGTAATCTCTTGCTGATCTCTTATTGTTGTACTTGTATACTTATACCCCGAAATTTTCCTGCTGTAACAACAATGATATACGTGATTGGTCTCCGTGTTGTTGCCCTTGAAGACTTCTGGGTAGTTCCAAATCAATGTTCCCTATTGGCTGAGTGTCACGCACACGATCGTTATATCATGTGAGCGTGACCGATTGTTTCCTTCTACGCGGCGTGCGAGTTCATTGAACCTGAACTAACACCACAATGTCAGAAGCACTTCATTCCTGGCTATCGTCCTATCTCATTGATATTGGGGAAGAATATGGGGGCTCACTGACTAGTGTTCCACAGCATACGAAGAGGAAGAAAGTTCAGCTCGTGGAGGTACATGTCCTTGAATATTTGGGACCAGCTCGCAACTAACACAAACTGCAATTGAAGTACTTGACACGTGGTGAAGGTGACGACAGAATATGGGTCAAGGTCTCTGACAGGCAGCATCGAATGCCTGTTTGCTTAACAAAGCTTGCACTGGAGGAGTTCGGTAGGTAGGCTCCAATCATGTATGTCCAGTTATGATGCTAACGCAGTGATTCAGGCTGAACCAAAGTCGTTTGACTAGTCACAAGACGGCTCTCATAACTATCAAGGATTTCCGATTGGTCCTTACGCGAATACCTGTTGGAAGAGGTCGAAAGGGCATGACGGCAGAGCCGTACCTTGCGTTCGAGTGTGACTCCTTCACAATTATTGGGAGCATTGATGAGGCCGAATGGGGAAGGCCGAAAGAGATCCATGAGGAACGCTCGATACATGAGTGGATCGAGGGTTTACGATCACACGGCGGAGCTGGGTATAAGTTGCAGTTTGGATGAAGGGAATTAGTACTGATGAACGGCGTAGGAATGTCCTGAAAGAGCGCAAGAAAGCAAGGGAAGAACGGGAAACTGTGAAAGAAACCAATCAACCTCTGCTCCTGCAACAGGCCAAAATCAATGTAACAAAGCAAACTGCAAGAAAGACAGCTCCTCTGATTCAAAGGTCATCGACCGGTGATGCCGATGCATCCCCGATGTCAGAATATCGCAGAAGCTGGAAGGTGAGCTTATTAGAGTTCTTGCTGCACTTAGAACTCATGTAACATTGTTTCAGTACATAGAAAATAGGATTGCCGACATTGTTACCCGCCATATACCGTCTTCAGAAGGGAGTGAATCGACTTCTTCGGAAGAGCCGCCGCAGCCCTTCGCAAGTAGAAATCCAAATCCCCTTAAAGCAGCTCTCCAGAGTAAGTCCCATGGGTACACTTACAGTAGGAAGGGCACGTTCATATGTTTTACATCAGGCCCCAGAATATCTGCTGCTTCTCCCGTGGTCAAAGCTTCACCCGTCGAACGCCATGATCACGTCTCGCCTTTCAGTTCGCCACTTACTGAATGGTCGTCTACTCCGTCCCCTCGACTGAAGAGTAGGTCAATCGCCTCCGGAAGTCCCAGTCCCAGTCCCAACCGTGATTTGGATGACAAAATTACAACCGTAGAAAGCGAGGCTGAGCAGCGAGAGCCTCTCCGTATCTCCTCATTGCCATCATCTCCTGCCATCATTCCAGCAACGTATCCGTCGTCCTCAGCGGCAGCCCCTCTTGTATCAATACATCCTGCAATAACGCGCAAAGTACCAAGACCAATGCATGTACTCCGCACCACCGGCGACCATATCGTCGCGCCCGATTCTGATATATCCTATTCACTATCTCAGTCCCAGTCACAATCCCAGTCGCAATCCCAACCGCGATCCCAACGTCGACCACGAGGCATGTATCTACACAAGTCTTCCTCGCAAATCTCAATAAGCCACGAAGTACCACTTGATGACAACGAGGCCGAGGAAGCAGACAGCAACAACGAATCGCATAATTCCCTCTTCTCTGATTCAGGTTCAGATGTTGACATGGATGAACAACGCGACGAGGCGGATCCGCCACAATTTCATGCAGCGTCTACAAGCCTAACGGAAGATGACAGTGCAGACGCTGGAGTCCCCCCTCTGCCACCCAGTAGCCAACTAGTAGGCGCAGCCGTTGATGTCGATGATAAACCGACGGAACCTCCGCTCCCATCGCCACCGCCGCCCATCGTGTCTCCCCCAGCGCCCGTAGCTATGGATGTCGACGAAGAGTCGCCGATAATCTTGGAATACGCAGATGAACCAATACCCACACCACCGCCCAGTCCAAAACAACCGTCTGAACAACACCAGTTGCCATCGACTCCGTTGAAGGTCAATGATAAAGCTAACCACCAGAATGGCAACCATGATGTCGTTGATCCTCTTCCGTCACTGCCATCGAAGCACGAGCATGACCCTAAGGAATGGCTTGAACCGAGCTACATGCGTTCAAAGAAACGCAAGTTATCGGAGCAAACGTCTGCGACGCCCACTACCCTAGGGAAACCTTCGACAAGCGCAGCCCTCTTGCCTTCGACATTACCTAAACACAGTGTATCTGAAGCTGAAACACCCCCAGAGAAACCAAACACAAGACGCCGTCGAGAGACTGACGCGCGTCGCGACGTCGTGAAGATCGAGGAAGCGACGCAGACATTAGAGCCTTTGACCAAACTCAAAGGCTTTGAGCTTGACATCCCAAAAGCCATTAGAGCGGACGAACAAAGCAAGTGGTGCACTTGGGAACGCTTGCATCGCATTCTCCTAGTTACTGGAAGAAGTAGATTACCGCAGTAACACGTTCAGACAGAACACATGTAGCTCGGGATATGCTCAGCCTTGGCATATGAAGAAAGTGAAGAGGGACAGATTAACGTTTTTAACTCAAAACATGGGAATAATGCTATACAATACATATGTGAAGGTGCTAAACTATCCCGTTCGTTGAGCAGTACCCAAACCCTGAGCAAATCGTGATCCACGCCCCCGCATTCCACCTGTACAAAGGGTGAGCAGATGAGGGTCCGACAGGATGTGAACATACCTCGAGCACCTCTGGTGCGATCCCCACGTCCTCTCCGTTCCTGCGTTTGTTCTCCACGCTTTTCGCCTTTGTCGGCGCCCTGGCGATCGCCCCAACCAGTCGTAACACCCATCTTAGCATCCAAAGCCTTCTCGTTCTGCTCAACCATCGCAGCGACTTTATCAGCTACAGTCTGCGCAAGTTGCTGTGCTCTGGAGAACTCGATGCGATGGAACACAACGACACCTTGGGCTTGATCAAGCGAAGCCGAGAGTTCTTCGCTCCAGATCATTTTTGACACGATGGAGGTGACGGTGCGTAATGGGAGGGAGAATGTGCGGGAGAGAAGGGAGAGGGATAGAGTTGTGTAATGGGGTGCGTAAGTGAAGAGATATGTTCGGAGTCCCTGCTCTTGGATGCGTCTGCACAAAGGGTCAGGAAAGTCAAATACTATGTGGTTGAAAGCGCAAACTTACTTCGCCAGCATCTCTTTGACAGAAGCAGCTTCGGGCATCAAGCTCCAAATCTTGATGCTTTGGATCAAGTCCCGACAATGTTCCCATTCGCCATCCTGAAGCGCCTTGCTTGCTTGCATGATATGATCTCGAGTACTCTCGGGAGGACCTGTGAAGACTTGACGATCGGCGAAGTCGAGCAACCGTCGGAATGGCTTGGATATCGCCTTTCGTTTCAGCTCTTCCGAATCAATGCTAGCGAGCAGCGGAATTTCAACAAGCATGCTCGACACAAGGAAGGCAGCTTCAAGGAGCTCAGTATTGATGTGCATGTGGAAGGGTAGTTGTCGCTGCCTCTCGGCCTTTTCTTGCTCCGGTGACAGTGTTTGGAAGCGTTGTTGGTGGACACCTTGCGCAAGAAGCTCCTTCACACGTTGAGTGGTGAAGATATCCTGCAGCGTAGCCTGAGCTTCTTTGATGAGGCCACATCGGAAAGCACAGAGACCCAGTTGAACAACAGTACGATTGTACATAATTTGAGTTGCAACATCGGCGGAATGGATAGATTCTTGCAGATGTGACATCAACAACATATCGCGACCACTGTGGAAATCGTTGTGCAGCGCGTGATGGTAGATGTGGCTGAGCATTGCGCGAGTCCGCAGCAAAGAGTTTCCAGCCTTGTACAGGTAGACGCATAGAACATGTATCAAGCCCGACGAACTGCCCTGCTTTGAAAGGGACATGGAAGGCTTAATATCGGACTGCTCCGCGGCGGATTCCAAAGCTTGAACAACGGCGTCGGGCTAAGGCATCAATGGACCACATTAGATACAGAAGCAACGGTAGAAGGTAGAAAATTGTGGAATCATACCTTTGAATAAATACGCTCTAAACGTCTCATAACAACTCTTCCAAGAGGATCGTCTTGTTTTGATTGTTCATAGAAGGCCTGAGCCCTACATATCGTGCAGTATAGCACTTTTTCGTCCTTCAATCTTTCAACGTATTCCGTCCCGTGAGGGTCGATGTTTTGGAGGCTCTTCGTGAATTCGTCATCCAGTCGATCTACGAAACTGATGATACTGCCACGGATACGGACGACGCCGTCCTTTTCTCCGCTCGGTGTCCGCTCGATCAGCTCGTCGTAGTCTTCAGTGATTTCTTGAATAGAATAAGAAGAATCGGCGGCCACAATCGAGACAAGTTGGTCGACTTCACGTTGAGCGGATATCCACAGATCCACAGGCATGTGGGAGGCCACAGATGAGTTGTAGTCGAAACGTGAGGAGATTAAGGCAAGAAGGACGCGAATACGCTGGTATGAGGTGACAGCAACCTCCAAGAGTTTCTCTAGAATCTTGATTTGTTCGGCGCGGTCGGTATTCTGGATTCTTTTGTGTTAGCTGGTTAATCGTGAATACTTGTATAAAGCTTTACCTTCTTTCCGCGAGCTTCTTGGACGGACTGTAGATTCTTGTATATACTTTCCGACGTGAACTGCATAGCCTTTACGCCCTTCGGCACAACAGTGGTGAAGTCCTCGTCGTCACCCTCGACTACTCTCACCCTCGGCGCTCTCTGTGGGGGAGCCGTGTCCCTAGTAATCGTGGCAAGGTAGTCGCGCTCGAACGTCTCCGGGTCCTACATAACAGAAAGTTGACATCTGCGCAATGCATAAATCTGTATTACAGATACATACGGCTTGGTATTGTTTCAACTCCTTCTCGTATTCCTTCAAAGTCTTCTTGACTTTCTGCCTCATCGCTGTCAAGGCCTTCGCGTTGGTAGCGTTCATCTTCTTCTTCGCCTCCTTCTCCTTCGCAATGGTGTTGGTGACCGAAGTCTCAAGACTGGCTATAGTTTTGAGGAAGAACGGGGGGAGGGGCTCAGAAACAGTGCTCTGGCGTTGAACCATACGTATCAGCTTGTCGAATTCTTTCATAAATCGTTCGGGTTACTTAGACGGTGGTCAAATCAATCCATCAAGTAGCGCGTACCGTTGGATATGGCCACCCAGTCATTTATTTTCATGGCATTATCCATGGCTTTCCCCGTGCCTTCCATCTCCTGCACACGCTTCTCTGCAGCACTGATAATCTTTCCAGGCTTGCCCTCATCGTCGCTGTCACTATCGTCCGTGTCACTAGCCCTCGGCAGTCCCTTCTTCTTCTTCTTGGGGGCATCACTATCGTCGTCGTCGCTGTCCTCCTCATCCGAACTCGAGTCACTCGACGAATCCGATCCAGCTGTACGCAAGAATTGAGACATGGCCGTCTTCGTGGTGGTGGTTTTCGTGGTGGGGGCCTCCTCGTCGCTGGACATGAGCTCCTCAGACTCATCAGAGTCCGAATCTGAGTCGCCAGCTTGTCTGAAGAATCGTGACATTGTGTATAGGATGGGTAGGATGGATCACTAGACAGTCACTTTGTATTGACTCAAAATTTTGGCTTTCTGGACTTTGCCGGGATAATTTGGAACTCAGTCAACTTCGGCAGCACAGTGATTTACATTCTTTGCAGCGCGAAGTACTACCAGAGAAATTCAACGACCAGGCCCAGAAGGAATAAATAACGAGAAGATGCAGAGAGAAGTCAAGGAGTGTGATAGCGCTGCGTGTGTATGAATGTATGTATACCCAAACAAGACCGCAATGGAAAGCGAAGAAAACAGATCAGCACTCGAATACAACCTATATGTGATAGCAAATTCCGGGGATATGGTTACAACAGAGGCAGCCAAGCGGGTATAAGAGCCACCTATGTATAGGGGAGTTGGCGATACACTAGATTCGCTTGAATCAAAAGCAAAGTCCAGATAACATGGATACATCCTAGGTAAGTCCAGTGGTCATCGTCGGGTATCGATCATACTGCACTGTCCAGAATACCGCGAACGTCCGGGACAGAAGTCAGGTCAGCGAGGAAAGGAATGAGGTCGGTGAGTTCAGCATCGTGAGGGTCATTGAACCACGAGGAAACGGGGACGGCATTTTTGGGATGGAAGATATATGAAGCAGGGGAGTTGTCGAGAATAATCGTGTCGGCTATAGGCCTGCCCAACTGTGACAGATCCTAAGGAGTCGTTGCGAGGTTAGTATTGCTCTGAGCAACCGCAATTTGTTGTACCTTCACGTAATTCCCTCTGTGACTGAAACAGCTCTCTCGGAACAGCCGGTGCGCAACTACTTGATGAATATCAAGTTTATCAAGCACTGGATCGGCGTACTGAGGTACAGGTGTAAGTTAAAATTGATGATGAGATGGATTCTGTTCCGGGCGTACCTTGCTCAAACTGGCGGTGAATACCACAACCTCGTAAATTTCTCCCATCTTCAACAAGAACTCATCTACGCCTGGACGCTTGAGAACGTGAAAGTGATGCCAGTGATACTCGATTTCCACGGGAACGATAAAGTCAGCCTGCTGGACCGCCTGAGAGTGCAGTTAGTATCCCCCATTCAACGAGCTGTATTCTAGCAGCATACCCTGAAGCTACTATGGACTAACGTCTCGTCCAAGTCAAGGACGAGACATTTCCTCCCAGCATGCTGAGGTGCTATCGGTGGCAATAGTGGCTGCGGGATACCGTCCTATCCCCGATCGTTAGCGAGCGTAACAATTATGTTAATTAACGCCTCACTGAGCCGATAGGAATACCAGATCCCCCGTTTCTAATGAGCATTTCCTCTTCGGCCTGTTCATCCATGGTATGTCGATCTTCCTCTCCTTCGTCCGTCGTAAAGCTCGTTTCGTCTGAGTCCTCGGTTGGTGGGTGCGAGGGCACTTTGCCTAACTGATCGCCTGTCGAACCTGGAGGTTGCACTGCTCCTGAAGTCACGCCATCTGTCTCATCCTGAGGCGACAAGTGGGAGCTGGGTGGAGGGGGTACTATGATTTCCGTTTCAAGTGGTAGGGGAGAATCCTCTGTGGGTGCGATGGGTGCCACCAATGCGGCGGGAACGTCCGCAGAAGGTTGTGGCGGTGTGGCGTCTGCTTCAGGATCTTTGCTAGGGAGCGCATCAACGTGTGCAACAGACGAACGCGGTTCGGAGGCAACGGAGGCAGCATCGACAGTTGTGGGTGATGCGTCTGGTGTAAAAGGATCGCTGACACAGGGAACGACGCGGTGCATTACTCGCGTCAGGAGCGACGGCTTACGAGCGCGGCGAGAGACAGATTTCGCTACCGAGTGACCAGTAGAAGACGAAAGAGCCCCTTCCGACGCAGATGATTTATTGGCCTGGCGCCGGTAAAAGGGAACACGTCGTCGTGTCCCTATGAGGGTATTATTCAAAGAGCCTTGTTCTTCCTTATCCTTTGGCATTGCGTCGACCAGCGGGTCTGCAGGTAAAGGCAAGAAATGGGTCATTACTTTCGGTGCTGATGCTGAATCATCAGATAACTGCGATGGCACGGAAGATGGGGCCTGCCCCCCGTTCGCACCGTTGGCCTGATCTACGGATAGTAGCGCCGGTTAGAAATGGTTCTAAAGGGGGAAGTAGTACTCACTGTCGTCGATAGGAGGAGCAATCGACTCGTCGCGTGTCTGCTTTTCGTCCAATCCCACCAGCTTCGCCTTCGTCGACGAGTTTCTGGCCATACGGGTTCCAGGAAAGAGCCTCCTCCGAAAGGACTGCCTTGACGGAGACACGTGACTGTCCTCACGGTGAGTGGCCATCTGCTCGATATATACAAGGTACAGGGAGAAAAGGAGCAAGGAAGCAAGCGAGAGAGACGGGTTCGATGGTGAGCACCAGTGGAAGAAGTGCTGCAGGGTTCGTTCTCCTCGTCGACACGACCTCTGTCCCTATGTCCAGATTATTCACACGCCGCTGATGGATTGCCCAAAATACTTCCGCTCGGGGTTCCCAGACATCGCCGTAGGGTCAAATGATAAGATAAGATTACTTTCCTATAGTAATCGGTACACCCGAGACGACCCAAGAATGCACCAAGATCGTGCACTAGATTCTAGACAACGTGGTACGTAGTCGAGGAGTCCCGATGATCCGAGCAAGGTGGATGAGAAGCCCAAAGAACACGTTTATCCTATTTCTGACGCTCAAAAGGCTTGTTTGGACTGATTTACGGGCAATTCGCAAGGGAGATTCCGATGGTATGTTTTCAGAGCGTCTCAAGTACTCTACATCTCAACTTGCCGTATTCAAACGCTCAATGCTCGAAGAGATATTCTTGTCCCTGGGAACCTGGATAGGCGCTTGAACGTATAGGCTCCGCTTACCGCGTTCATGGCCGTGAATGAAATAGACAATCGAGATCGCAGTCAACACATGGGATCGCGAAGGATCGCAAACCCCGCACGGTCTCGCGAGCGTGCGCGGCGCAGGAGATGGATAATTGGACTCTCATAATTGCCGGTTGGGCGTCTGGATATAACAGGAACAAACTGGGGGACGGACCGGAAGCGACCGGCTTATAAAGAGGGGTCGGTGACCAATTCCTGTTTCTTACTCAGCCTCTGACTAATACACTGACAAAATCATCCCAAGGTCGATGCTCTCGTTCCAGCAGCAGAACGCCCAACCGACAGATGCATCCCAGCAACAGCAAATGCAGCAGCAGCAATCCCAAAATAACAATCCCGCCTCCCCGACGCAGCAGCAGGATGCGCCCCCGCCCCAGCAACAACCGACCATGCGCTTGCGCGATGATCCCGCTCCAATAAACCCAACAACTCGACCGTCCAGGAAACGTAAATCGCCGCCGGACGCCAATGCGGGGGCTCAGAACCCGCCGCCGCCGCCTCCACCGCCACAGCAGCAGCAACAACAACATCAACAGCAACCGCCACCACAACTACAGCAACAACCCTCAGTTATGCATGTCCTTCCCCCTCCCCATGTCATGATGCACCCACCGCACCTGCAAGCGCTGCATTTTGCGCAATATGCACCCACCGACTACACGCCAGGCGGCATGCCACCGCAAGGGATCCCGCCTCAGCAACCTGATCAGCAGCAGCAACAACAGCAACAACACGGCTCCCAATCGCCCCCACCCTCGGCTAACGGAGGACGCCCGTTGAGCAATAGTAAACGTGCAGAGCAGAATAGAAAGGCCCAGCGCGCATTCAGGGAACGTCGCGACCAGTTGCGTATCCCTTGCTTGACTCTATCTTCTGCGTCCTGACGTCGATAGCAGACATGTGAAGGCCCTTGAGAGCAGATCGCAGCTGCTTGATGCAGCCCTTGCTTCGGCCGATGAAGCCAACAGACGATGGGAGGAATGTCGCGCGTTGGTGGACCAACTTAGAGTCGAGAATGCAGCTCTTCGTGCCGCGTTGAGCCAGGCGCAGATTTTACCACCGGGTATCAATCCTTCCTCGCTGCCGATGAACCCATCAGGGAACCCAGGTCTTCCCAGCAACGGACCCACCATGGCCGAAGACTCTTCGAAGACTGATGCGTCGAACGCGAATGCATCACAGATGAAAGACGGGTCCGAATCCCAACCTAACGCAGATGGCACTACCGAACAAGGTTAATCGCATTAGAATATAAATATTAAACGGACAAGTCGATATTGTTATAACCTATCGTGCCGCATGCCTGTGTCTTTGCATTTTTGCCTCTGTATCCAGTATTCCTTAGCCGTTCGCGTGCTTTCTTTTCGTTGATGTTATGCCTTCATCCTGTATCCTCGCCCGCTCGGTAGATTGGTCGATACTTGCTTTGAAGAGAACTAATTTTACGAGCACGTCGTGGTTGCACATGAAGAGTTTTCAAGGCCACAATAAACTGTGTCAAGCTTTATGTAACCGTTGTATTTGTCATCCAAAACCCCAGAGGCGTGCAGGTCTGCGCATGTTTTTTGCAAGATCCTTGAGATACAGAAAGGTTGACGCCTAGTGCGACAACCTCAGGCGCGTAAGTCTAGCATCTCATGGTGCATGATTCAGCCTTTTTCAACATCGTATTTTCGCGTGCATGAGGTCTGTTTCGCAGGCAACGGTGACTTCCTGGGCATATCATGCGATATACTTTGAATACCGGACATCGTGGTTACTATGAGAGATCATACACGCGTATACCACCCGCTCGTACCTACCATACGACAGCTTAGGGGACTTATAAGGGACTCAGGAGATGTCACGTGACTGTGCCTGAACGGTCGCGATTTGTGCGTCTTGATTCTTGACAAAGGTCTCTGTCCATCATGACTGGCCATGCAGCTTCAAAACGAAAACCGGAGAAGCCTCGAAGTGGTGAGACTTTGCCAAAGAAGGTGAAAGCATACGCTAACCTAGACACCTAGTTCCCCCACTCGTAAAGTATTATTTAGTCGCGTACAATGTACTCTCTACCCTTGGGTGGGCGACCGTCCTCGTCTTCACCATAATCCACGTATTCGATCTCGACGGTGCATCCTCCTCTATCCCAGGAAGCAAGCCCGAGACCGCGACGTCCGTTCTACATCGTTTCGTATCCTCCTTCACACCCACAAAATACTCGAAATACATCACCAACGCGAGCCTCGAAGCCCAGCTCCACCCCGCGTTGGTCCCCCTCTACCGGCGCTCTACCACGACCTACGCGCGCGTTGGTTCCCTAACCGCGTTCGTGCAGAGCTTCGCTCTTCTCGAAGTGGTGCATGTGCTGCTGGGATGGGTGAGGAGCCCGCTGCAAACTACGGCGATGCAGGTAGCCAGTCGGCTCTTCCTCGTTTGGGGAATTGTGGAGCCTTTCGAAGCTGTGAGCCCGTTTTCGTTGCTCTGAGAAATGTTTATGGCTCACAGGGATCTGCGTAGTCACGCTCAAATCCTCTGTACACCTCGATGGTTTTCGCGTGGTCCGCAACTGAAACAATACGGTATCCCTTCTACGCTTGCAGCCTCCTTGGTCTCGAACCATACTCCCTCCTGTATCTTCGATACACGACCTTCTACCTCCTGTACCCCCTCGGCGCCTCGTCTGAAGCCTTTATCATCTACTCTACACTTCCCAAGTCATCCCCCATCCCAAGTCTTCAATCCTGGATGCAAGGGATGTGGAACCTTACCGACTACGTTCGTGGTATATTGTTTTGCATCTGGTGGCCGGGTACGTTCCATGGTTATTCGGACTAGTGTGTCACTGACGTCCTCCTCAGGCTTGTATGTGATGTACACATATATGATCAAACAGAGGCGTAAGGTGTTAGGATCCGGCGGCAAAACACTAGGAGCCACCCCCAAGCAACGCAAACTGGAATAAGAGCGACTAGGTATAAGAACATTTACGTTTGACTATCTACTCTTATTATTTACGCTGGGTGCGAAACCCACTCGTGCTGTTCCCGAATAATCGTAGACTGAATACCCTATAAAACGATATATCAGAGTCCAGGTCGGTTGGATAAGAGACTGCCTTACATGACTTCAAGAATTCGTCCCCTAGGAAGAGCATGGTTCAGCAAAATTCGATTGAAACTTTGAAGGAACACAAACCAATAATTGCGAGATTGTTCGGAAACCCACCGGTCATTCGCAGGATCCCACCGACGCATTCCCTGGATACGTCGGATCCGTCAATTATCAATGCTCTTGCCATGTACTAAAGAAGTTACATACGTTGAATTTTCCTCCACTCGGCCAAGATTGAAGTCTGCACTGTTAATGTAGAACACTTTGCCGCTGAATACTACACCAACGTCGACATTCGAGTCGCAAGGGTAGCTATAGAATGCTATCCCCCACTCGATAAGTATTCCAGTTTGATCATGAATGAGGATCACCCACCGGGTCCATAACGATCTTCTAGGGACTGCGAACCAGGGATCTAAAGCATCGATGGTCAGCGTCTTACACCTGACGAAATTGGTCGGGTTGGCCTGCCTGGTCGTAAAGATCCATAGCGACTTCGTTTGGAAGGTATATAAGAGTTGTGCCAGTGTCGATGGCCTCAAGAGAAACGCGAAATCAGTAGGAAACGATGGAATATCCAATTGGACGAGCTCACCGCAACCACATCTTCTACCTCTGTCGTTTTCTCACCAACCGCGAATCCAGACATTGCCACAGTCCAGTATGTCTAGACAGTAATCAGATGGAGCCTCTTCATAGCATATAGCGCGAACGTACCCTTGAAGTGACGGGTATCCATGTAATCGAACCTGTAGTTTTCGATTGATCTACGCAACCGAAGCAAACCTATAAGTGAAGGATAGTGAGTTGATATTGAGAGAGAGTGGGAGTCTAGCTGACCTCGGAACCTGAGGGATTTCGCCTCCCTAGGTGAACTGAGAATAATGGAGCAGCGACTGCCTTCTGCATGATCAAATTCTCGAAGAAGGTCGGTTGTTGACTTGAAGCTATGGAACTGAATGCAAGACCGATGAGACCGTCATTGGGATACATATTCCATTCTTTCGACAATCTGTTCACAGCACCAAACGCCTGTTTGGACACGGTGACGCTGCCAACGCTGACCGTGTCGCTCGCGAGGGTGCCGGACGCATCGCCAGATCCCTATTGTCTATCAGTATAGTGGCCAGAATCATGAAAGGAGCGGCACTTACATAGTTTATTTGGAACTTTTTGTTTTCATTCTTGTACGTGGAACTACGCTCAGGCTCGAACTGTGTGTTTGCACAGCGCGGACAATTCACCGGTACCCAGAGATCCGCGGAACCCGTATCGATGTCTACCGTCAATTCTTGCGCCGGCGTTCCAAATGACATTTCACCATAATATAACAGGTCGAGACCGTATGGCGCGAAGTCTTTCAATGGCTCCGTGGTCGTTTTGGACCCCCCAAGTACGGGCTCAAATATGTCTTCGATAGACTCGGTGATTTGTGAGGGTGTTGTCAGGGAAGGATTCGACGGAGAGGGTATATTTTTGTCTTGTAGGGGGGTGATTCCTGTGCAGCCAGAGGGCAAGCTCCTGTCTTTACCGGCATCAAGAAGTAATTTGGCCGCTTGGTACTTGGCCTCAACACTTGCCAGTTCCACCATCTAACGGAGGTATGAGAGTCCTTGACAAGAAAATCAGACGCATATATACACTCACTGCCACATCAGATTGGAATAGTTGGGGATTATTGTGTTGCATGTTAGGTGGTCCTTGATGTAATGAGCGACGTGAAAGTTTGATTTTGTGTCCGGCACTGTACTGCTGCCCGGCAGCCTTCAGATGTGAAGGCGCTGTCAAAACGCCTTCAAGAACGGACAAGAAAACGACAGCAAAAATAGCAAAAAACATCGGGCTCAACCAGCGGGCTCGCGATGTGATGGTGGTAGGAAAAGAAGAGAGGCTGACTTCATTTCTTGCAGACGTCGACCCGGCAAGTCACGTCACGTTTCAGAGGTCAGTACAAGTTCAACGGGCCATAGCGGTACGCCAGCATCCAAACATGTACGCTGTATCCGATACCGATGGCGTTGGCGTTGGCGGCCACGAGTGAAGCGGCTCGCTGTATGTTGATATTGTCTTGGCTGATGTCAAGCTGGAGGTACATAGCCCGAAGCGAGGCGCTGGGACTTCGCGGTCAGGTGGTCGGAGATATCATGCCCAGCCACGCTGATAAGATAAACCGAAAGCTCAATATATACCATCTCATCTACATCAATCACACCACGCCATGTACGCTATCATGGGGCTCTCTGTGCTCCTCGCCCTCGCCACGCCCTTTGTTCGCGCTGCTCTTTTCATTAATAAGAAGACGTACATGGGTCCCGACTTCTTCCAAGACTTTACTTGGCAAACAGCTGACGATCCAACTCATGGCCGGGTGAACTTCGTCGACTTGCAAACCGCCTTGGTGAAAAATCTCACCGCCGGTACGTACTTCCTCGCACCGAGTATTACACTGGAACTAATTCACTGCCAGCATCTCCTAATAAATTTGTCATGCGCGTTGACTCGACAACCGTTGTGTCAAACGACGCGCGGGGTCGGGATAGCATTAGGATAATATCCAATGATGCATACGATGATGCGATAATCCTGATAGACCTGTCCCACATGCCTTTTGGTGCCGCGACATGGCCCGCTTTTTGGACGCTCAGCGGGGAGGGTCCCTGGCCAAATGGCGCAGAGGTATGCTACATGCCTTCCGCTAATTCCGTTGCGGTAATATCTTACACGCACCAGATAGATATCATAGAAGGCGTAAACTACGATACTCAGAATTTGGCATCTCTCCATACGACATCCAGTTGCTCCATGGCTGAACAGCGACCTCAGTCTGGGTGAGCGACGATTCATCTCCCATAGAAGCTGCCTAATTGAACCGCACCACGCCCAGATTCACAGTCTCAACAAATTGTGATGCCGCAGTGAACTGGAATCAAGGTTGTGGTACTCGTTTCGCCAAAGCTAATTCCTACGGCGCTGGGTTTAACTCTGCCGGCGGTGGGTGGTTTGCGATGGAACGGTCCCGCGAAGATGGAGTAAAAGTATGGTTCTGGTCAAGGCTTGAGGACGATGTACCTAGGAACATCCGAGACGCAGATGCCCTGCTTGATCCCTCTTCATTCGGCATGCCTAGCGCCACATTTCCAAAAGACACTTGCGACTACGACACCCATTTTAACGCACATAAAATGATTTTTGACACGACGCTTTGTGTGAGTACATCATGTCTCCCGATTTTTTATGTTGATTTGAATTTCTTATGCAGGGGGATTGGGCCGGAAGTGAATTCAACTCAACCGGGATTCTTGGTGGCTGTGACAAATGTAAGCAAGAATCGAGTACCACCAATGCTTCTCTGACATTTTCTGACAAGACGTCGATAATACCCCCGACGCATTCCGGGAGGCTTACTGGGAAGTAAATTCCCTGCATGTCTATTCACCTCTCCCCGACAATTTCTCGGGCATTGTTTTCCCTGAAAATATACTGTAGCCTAAAGACATCTATAGCACATCCCACATATGTAAACCACTATCAATTTCATTTGCGGCAATATGTTCTCTTGTTGTGGATCCCCTTGCAATCTGAGTTCTCCTGCGTAAACAAATAGGAGTACCTTCCATAAACAGTATGTAAATTGCCTTATTTGGATTATGCTACCCAGCAACCATCTCCAGCTGGCATCGGCTATACTACAGGCTTTTGTTATAGCCACAGTGCGTCTCTACTGATCATGAGAACCTGTCTCGTGGATGCATTTGTTTGACCCGACGCCCGGTTTTCGTGCACATGCTTCCCCGAGAAGGGGTATATAAGGCCACCGTCCATCATACATCAACCTTTGTCTTCGTTTCGCACGACGATGCGCTTTTTCAAGGCTGTAGTGGTCTTATCTGCCGTTGTTGTCACTGCATCAGCTGCTCCTCTTTTCCCAAGCAACAACTTCAAGCTTGAAAAACGAGACGATGATCTACCTGCAAGGATACCGTACATCTTTCCAGCGCCAGGAACCGATCCCGTGAGTCTAAATAGTTGGCTTTGAGTACAGTGGATGGTAATAAGTTGCCCGAGTAGCTCGCCGATGCAATCCGTGAAAGGCATGGAACGCTGCTAGATTTGGATGGCCTTCTGTAAGCTTCGTTTTCTTGCCCTTTGGCAGCAGCTTCAACGATTGGTAAATGTAGGCTCAATGCCCCAAAACTTGCCTCTGGGTGGAACGATTTATTTGGGGCTATTCGTGATGGAAATAGTCTGCCTGGAACGATGCGGGAGCTCTTCGTGAGGATGACCACCAAATTGAACATTCCTCAATTTGCCTGATGTTATCCTGTCACTTCCAGATCCTACGTACTGCTGTGCTCAATTCGGCTGCATATCAATGGTGAGAGCACATGTCGACTCAAGGTCTAGCACGGCTCTGATATACGTAGGCTTCAGCATGAATCAGTTGGGCGGGAGGAGGGGCTGACTACTGAGCAACTCCGGGTAATCCGATTCACGCCTCCTTTCGTTCAAACAAAGCACACGGAGAGTATATTGGGGCCACAGCTATCAGCAGCCATGTCGTATGCGGATTGGATCACCAAAAGCGTTCAAGTACCTGATAGGGTGTTCAAGGGGTTGAAGCAGTTTTTGAACGACCAGCAGATCGTGGAGGCGACGATGACTGCTGGGAGCTATAATTTAGTTAGTAGATTCGTCGTTGCGCTGGATGCGGACGCGAAGATGGGTGCCCCTGTGCCCTTTGTGTAGATGACTATGGACAGAGAGGAACATCGATTTTATTTACTTACTCTTCTCATATTCTACTCATCTTGAGTAGGAAAGTACAATGAGCTGTTCAATCAGAATCTATTCCTCTGAAGGGGTACACATACATATACAAGGTCATACCTATGCTTAGCGCAAGGTTCTTGCTTCCGGAGCGTCAAAGGCCGCAACGCACTCATGTGTTGACCTCCACCAACCCTCCACCAACATTTACCTTCGTTACCCATGAGGATGTTCCTCTTCAAAGCTGTCGTCGCCTTGCACGCCGTCACCATCGCTGTTTCAGTCGCCCATCTTTTTCTGAGCAGCAAGCTCGGAGCACGAGACGCTCATCTACCTGCAAGGATCCCGTATATTTCCAATACCAGGATCTGATGCAGTAAGTCCACGCAGTGTATCGATCTCTGGATGAAGTTGGTGCTAACGGATGGTCCGGTCAGCTTGCCGACGCAATCCGGGAGAGGCACGGCACCCTGCTAGACGTGGACGGTCTTCTGTAAGCGACGAACTCTTGGCATTTGACAGCGACCGGAAGGAGAGGTAAAGTACAGGCTGTATGCCCCGAAACTTGGTGCTGGTCTCAACGAATTATTTGGCGCTATACGCGAGGGCAACAGCTTACCTGGAAAGATGCGGGAACACTTCGTGAGGATGTCCACTCGCTCGAATCGGTGTTGATCCTATCGTGCTCCAGATTCTCCGCGTTGCCATGCTTAATTCGGTCGCCTATCAATGGAGAGTGCCTCCGTAGATCGGGTCGACAAGTGCTGATATACTTCCACTTTCATGTACAGGCTTCAGCATGAGCCTGGGCTTACTATAGAGCAACTTCGCGCGATTCGTTTCACGCCCCCTTTCTTCCAAACAAAACATTCGGAGAGCACGCTAGGACCACAGTTATCTGCAGCTATGCTGTTCGCTGATTGGACAACTAAGAGTGTTCGAGTACCCGACGAAGTGCTCAACGGGCTAAAGGAGTTTCTGAACGACCAGCAGATTGTCGAGGCGACTATGACTGCTGGGGGGTATAGTTTGGTGAGCAGGTTCGTCGTTGCGCTGGATGCGGATGCGTAAATGGACGTAAGCGTACCATGTATGTAGCCGGTTATCAGATAAACACAGCTTGTTTGTCCACCTACATTCCACTCGACCTTGATCGGCGACTACAGGGATCCAATGAATCCGAATTCATTACTATGAAGGGGTACACATACACATAGACACAACGTAACTACGAATGCCCGAGACTGTCTGTATGGGTTCCAAATGATGAACATGAATACTACAAGCGAAATACCGGTCACTTACTTGACGCTTCAGTAAACCATAGGAATCAACCTGTACGGAACTCGTTCCGCCCACTCGTCCCACTGTTTGCCGAACTTCTGCCTCAACATCTCGTCTTCCTTCTCGACCCTCTTCATCAACCCGCTGATAATAAGCGACATCAACACCCCAAATACGGCCACGGCTGCCATGCCTCCCCTCGTGCGTAGCACGTCGCACTCTCTGAACCACGAGCCCGGCGACGCGTGGTATATTGCGATACCCAGGACCGTCAAGGGGACACCAATGTAGCTGGGGTGTCGAATGTACGCGTAGGGTCCGTGGGTGATGAGTTTGTGGTTGTCGCGAATGGCTACTTCGAAGGTAAACATGGGGCCGAGGGCGGTGTATGACTTGTAGCGGATGAAGCCGCCAAAGACGCATATGAGGATGCCCCAGAAGAAGGCCGGGGAGAGGGCGATGCGGTAAGCGGAGGCGGGGCCGCTGGGGGAGCATAAGGTGAGGAGGGCTTGCGTCGTAGAGGACAAGGGCGCCTGGGTGGCTAGAATACATATCGTCTCTGCGGTGGCTCCGATGAGACATAAAATCTTGAAATGGCGATAATAAGTCAATGTATGTACTACCGAGGCAGAGAAATCGCGTACTTCGACAACAGCGCGCCCGAAGTGTTTGTTCATGAAGCTTTCATGCTTTGTCGAAAGCGTACGCTCTTCCTTGGAAGCCGGAGGGTTGGGAGGCGTAGCTGCAACGTGAAGAGCGAACATAGCAGCCCAAATGAACGGAATCTTCATTAGTGTCGAAGCCATCTTGCCTATCGTCAGCTCCGTTGCAGTCAAGGAGAAATAAGCAGCGGTTAGAAAAAAGCTAGAACTTTTATATGGATTCAGTTTTGTTTACACGGTCGCCCTATTGCAAACCCCCACGATTCCGAATTTCGGACGGGCCGTTAGAATGTATTAGCGGATTGTGTAGCGAGGGCCACACTGAGGGTGCTCGTTTGCCGTAATCATCACCTTGGCCAATCTGAAGACTTGTAGGTTCAAGGGTAGAAGCGTCAAGGGAGCCGAGCTATGTACTCAGGCAAAAAAAGAACGGTTTGCACCAGAGGCATGATGACCTTAAGGACTCGCGGGTCGATGGCGTGAAGCGCTACGGCGCCAGAGAGCAATTCATCGGTGTGGCTGATAGTAAGTATGCTGGCACCAAGCTAAGACGAAAAGAAACGCTGCTGCCGTAACGTTGCTGATTTGCTGAATTACCCCATGGAGCTGGGATGGATGGGCGACGCCACTGACTCCCAGCTGCAGAAACATAGCTACTGTAATATTGAACAAGCAAGGTCTACGCCGGCGAATGGAGGAACACACCAGACTTGGAATGAAGACTATCGACCGAAAGATAACATAGGTAGGTTGTGCAAACCGTCATGAAGATGAACGCGCATCTTGATCGCATCCTACGTTTCAATGTAGTGAATGTATACACCCAAGTAAAGTTAGCTCAGAACTCAAGGGCACACAAATTTCGCGTAAAGCAGACACCGATGGAATTGTTGGTTCTACCCTGCTCTACGGACTCAAACGCAAACAAGACACTATAACGGTTTACACCGATTCTGAAGGACAAGGTGAGTGTGTGTACCTATTGGCAAGCATGAAACATACCCTGAATAACGTTGTTGAGCTTGGTGACGCGTGATTGGACACTCAGGTCGATCGTCTTGTCGCCGAAATCCACAACGATGCCGCCCAAAACCGAAGGATTCACCTAGAAACGGATAAGAACAAATTATGGGGAGAAGCAATGAGTTGCAAACCTTGTTGGTGATTTTGAGAACCTTGGCTTGCTGACCAGCCTGCGAACCCTTGAGGGTAGTCTCCAGCCGGGTGAGAATATCCTTGGGCAAAGGAGTCGCGGAGGTGACGGTGACGGTCAGCTCTCCCTTGTACTGAGCAACAAGCTCGTTGAATCCCTCGATAACACCAGCCGTCTCGGTCAAACGACCGTTCTCCGACAAGAGAGTCAAGAGATTTTTCGTTATGTCCGACACGGGTTCCTTCTTGCTGACGTTTGTGAAGAAGGTGCTGAGACCTGCGGCACGATCTTGCGAAGAGAGGGTGGGGTTGGAAATGAAGGAGGCGACGTCCGGGTTCGACTTTATGGTGGACGCAACGGCCGCGAGCTCGGAATGAACTTTGGTGAGCGTCTGCGGTGACTTTGCGAGGGCGGCGGAGTAGACGGCCTTGGAGTACTTCAGGGCAATGGCATGCGCACCGCGACGGCCGACGCCTGGGGCGGCTGAGACAGCGCGGCGGGTGGTAGAGAGCAGCATGGAGGATGGATGATAATACGGAGTTCGTCGCAAAGTGCAATGGCGAGAAACGGGGCGCTTGTGGGCGGAGTTTCGGGAGTTGCCGATTCCCGACTTGGGCGAAGACGCGGGTCAGAAATTATTGGAGCAGACATAGGCATGATGAATGTCAGCCTCAGCAAAGAGGGGCAAATGACTTTCGCCTCTTGCTTCTGAACCACCATCACCTCACCCCCGCAGCGTTTCTCTCAGTCTGCACAGCATCCCCGGCACAAGGAGATTCGAGAACAATATCCCACCCGTAAGGTCGCCAGAACAATGGCCTCGGCGCAACACGCACAAAACATGCCGCTGACTCTTGTTATCTTATTTAGATCCCCTCCTCCTCCTTTTGATTCCGCCAACTCCCCACCATGTTCCCTTCTCTCCCCTCAATCTCCCTCCTACTACTGAGCTGGGCTCTGCTGTCTTCGTGTCGCGAACAACAATTATGTGAGTGCGCTTCTTGACGATGCCCGGGAATTTGACTCACTGCTTCTTGATCATAGTTACTTCTTCGGTTACATACTGCGAACCTCCAGAAACACTTCTTATCCAACAATTCTTCGTGGCCTACTTCCCAAGTAACCATTCAGTGTCGTTCAATATCTCCGCAGCCAGCGTGGTACGTATTTCCGTCGCGCCTTTGGGATCGATCCACTGACTCCACCCGCTAGGAACCGAATGTCAATGTCACGGCCAATCTTTACCTCAATGTGTACGGAATGGGACCCGTGAACGTGACTCTCGACCTATGCAACATTTTACACGGTGCACTGTGCCCCTTGCCAATGTACAATTTCACCGGTGCCGACTCCATCCCGCTGCCATCGAGTCTCAGCGTTTCAATTCCCGGCATCGCCTACAAGATGCCTGACATCGAGGCGTTTGCTCAACTCACTTTGACGCAGGTTGGCACAGGCCAAGTGAAAGCATGCGTTCAGTCGACACTCTCTAATGGTTGGTCAACCCATCAACCTGCTGTTGAATGGGCCACCGGGGGCATCGCACTCTTTGCCTTCCTTTCCGCGTTCTGGCAATCAATCTACCCCGGCTCACTCGCTCCTTTCCGTTTTGTCGAGCTATTCTATCTCTATCAGACAATCGTTTCTTCCAACTTCCTCAGTATCAACTATCCATCCGTCTACAGAAGTTTTGGGCTCAACTTCGCGTGGGCCATGGGCCTTTTCTCTTCCTCGTCATCCACCATCCAACAGTCCGTCACAAACATGCGACACCTGACTGGTGGACATCTAGACGACCGTAGTTCTGATACTGCGGTCGGCTTCGTCAACCGCAAATTGAGCCCTTACAATTTCCCCGGCAAATCCGCCTTAGTCATTCCCTCAAGCTCATCCCCATCGAATAACGACTTCTCCGTGGCAGATTTCAGCTCGCTTGCAGCCTTCTTTACCGCCCCGGCATCCACGGCGGACCCGTCCAGTTTCAAGCAACTGTCATCATCCACAGATGTACAGACCGTCACCTCGGCGTCCTCAAACGTACTCCAGGCTGGCGTACCCATCTATGTCAGCTCTGTGCATAAACCAACGGCGAACGCATTCACCACCATCTTCCTCGTTTCGTTGATGGTGCTTGCTATCACAGTTGCTATATTTACCGTGGGACGCGTATTGTTGATCATCTCCCAGCGGCGTAACTGGAAAAGTACAAACTTGGTACGGGCCTCCACAGCGTTTCCGTGGTTTGTCAAGGCTTGGTTCCTCAGAGTCGTAAGTCATTTTTACACATCATCATTGATCCATAATAACCACGGCCCAAAAATTAGACCGCTATTATTTTCGCGCCCATAGTCATCTTCGCTCTCTACCAATGGACGCTGAAGGACTCCTGGCTCGCAGTCCTCCTCGCCGTTATTTCATTCCTTGGCGTTGTTGGCGCCATAGCCTTCGTATCTTTCGTCATCATCCGATATGCATTTCAGAAGGACTCCGCCTCTCTGTTCTCCCACAGAGAGTACCTGATTTCATACGGAGCGCTCTTCGCCCAGTATCGGACCTCGCAATATCCATTCTACTTGGTTGCCTTGGCTATCTTCTTCCTCAAGGCCGTCGTCATAGCCGCAGTGGAGGGGCATGGTCAAACCCAAGTCATTCTTTGGGTTATCATTGAGGCATTTTTGGTAATTGCAACGCTGGTTCTACGACCACATCAAACGAGAGGAGGTGATGTGCTTTCAACGTACTTGGCGATCACAAGGCTCGTCTCGGCTGGCTTGTTCATTGCTTTCATCGAGGGGCTTGCTGTAGCCCCCATACCGCGAACCGTCATCGCCGTTATCATCGCCGTGATGTGGTCGGTCGCCGTATTGGTGATGTTTGTCAGTATCTTACTGAACACGGGCGTCCAACGGTTATGGAAGAAACCCCAGTCCGTGCCAGCATCGCCCACCTTGGCATCATCGGAAAATTCGTCTGTCCTTGAGAAAGGCAAAAACAGGGACTCAGTGACTGTCGTCCGATCTCCTTCCTCGTTTTCGCTGGCAGGAAGGCCCATCAATCCTACACCAGAGCAGAACATTCCACTCGATCCACGGGTCATACAACCGTATCCATCGTCGTCGACGATGCTCACAGCGTCCGATGCGCAATCATCACCGCGCATAGAACATAGTTCTGTGGGATCATCAACGTTGGGATCAGTGTTACCTCGACGCTGGTCGGTAACGCCGAGCACACCACCGATGTCGCCCCCGATGTCACCACCCATGTCCACATCACAATCAAGTGGCTCAGCATTCACAATATCCCAAGTGTCTTCGTCTCCCCAAACACCGTATTCACCGCATCTCAGGTCTACACCAGAGCATGGACATTAGAAGCTCCATACACTTTCATTCTGCTATCTATTCGCATCACTATCTATCTATCCAGCATTTTCGTTAGTTCGTTGCATCTCCTACGTTTTGTCCGTTAGATCCATAATCATCAGGATACAATCAGTAGACACCATCCAATTATTACAACGCAATCAGCATTCCAATGTATCATGAGTAGAATACAATACTGTACCTACTATTTTTCTTTCCTTATTTGATGTCAATAGCAATGCTTCAATCAGACCTAGACGAGTACAGCAGTCTAAGCAAAGTTGATCTCGGAACGGCCTCCGTCACTGCCTCGCTTTGAAATACCATCAAGTACCCCAGCTGGGGGGTCCGCCTTTCGTGCCATGGGGTTCCGTTGACGTTTCATCAACGTAACACGGTCACCGATAAATTTTCTGGATTTGTAGGATTAAATTTCAATTTACAAAGAAGTATAGGAGGCACGCGATGTGTTTTAGACTGTCTCAAGGTCATGAGAATAGGAGACTGACCTGAGGGCGTCCTAGTTCAGGTCTGGATCTGCTTTATTGTTCTCCGGCCATGCCTTAAGAATAAACGAGACCGCTCGTTGAACGCAACGGCAACCACCACCATGGAAATTTCCATAGGCCTTGTCTTCACGCTCCTTGTTGGCCTGTTGCTGCCTGGTGTTGCGTATATCGTTTACTATGCGGTATATGCGCCTCATTGGAATCCCCTCCGCCAAATAGCCGGTCCTCCAGTACGGAAATGGTTCGGAAACCATTTGTCGTCGGTTCTAGAGTGCGTTTATCTTTGTACTCGTATTGCTGTGAATTCTCATAATGGAACAGTCCTTCGGTGTCGCCCAAAGTTCACGAGATCTTTGTTCAGCGTTATGGGAGGGCGGTCCACATTCGTGGCGTCGGCCCCGTGAGTTCCGTATAACCAATACACCGCGTATACGCACTGACAGCAAGCCAGTGGGATGACCGGCTCCTCACACTAGACCCTCTTTCGATCTCACACGTCTTAAAGAACTCACTCATATACGAGAAGCCATGGCAGTCGCGAAAGCTGATCACCAGCCTTATAGGCTGCGGAATGCTCGCCGCGGAGGGTCAGGTGCACAAACGACAACGACGCGTAGCTACTCCCGCGTTCTCCATACAGAACATGCGCGCACTAGTACCCCTTGTCTTTAATAAAGGCATGCAGCTTCGGAATCGGTGGATGGATATGATTACTCAAAACCAGCAGAAGGGGGGCAAGGGAAAGGTGCTGGATGTGTGTCACTGGGTTAGCAGGGCGACATTCGATGTTATTGGGCTTGCGGGTGCGTAGTGTGTAGGATGCGATCTGGGTGACAATTGACATACGGCGAAGGCTTCGACTACGACTTCAATGCGATTCAAGATGAAACGAATGAGTTGTTCGCCGCGTACAAGGATATGTTTGAGGTTGCTATATCGCAGGGAGGGATATGGAGGACCATCATGCTTGTATACACTCCCTTCCTGAATCGCCTATTCGTAAGTCATGATTCATACCATGTAAATTCAACCCACGCTTATGCATTCTAGCCTGACCATACGACACGTCTGGTTCAAAGATGTCAGGCGGTCATCCATCGTGTTGCAGGGCGCCTGGTGCAGGAGGGGAAGCGCAAAATCGACGAAGGGGAAAATAGTGGCAAGGACCTTCTGAGCTTACTGCGTTGGTTCTAACCTTTACCCCTACATTTCCATCCGTTGACAACTTGGCTGTAGTGAAGTCGAATGCTGCCGTTGATTTGCCCGCCGAACAGCGAATCTCGGACGAGGATATCTTGCACAACATCAACACCTTCATGTTTGCAGGATCAGACACCTCGTCTCTGTCCTTAACGTGGATGCTCCTGTTGCTTGCTCAAAATCCTCATGTACAAGATAAGCTACGCGCCGAGCTTCAGACCGTCGCTTCTCCTTCTGGTGATCTGACTACGGAAGAGATCCAGTCCCTATACAGCACTGTCTCAGATCTGCCTTACCTCGACAGCGTTGTCCGAGAGGTTCTTCGTCTCATACCCCCCGTCCATTCGTCTATCAGAGTCGCCACGCAAGACGACGAGATCCCTACGTCATTCCCAGTGCGCAGAAAAGACGGCGCCGACAACGGCAAACGCAGTATTCGGATACCCAAAGGAAGCTTCGTGCATGTGCCCGTGGAAGCATTTAATCTGGATAAAGAGTTTTGGGGAGCGGATGCATGGGAGTTCAAGTGAGTTGTAGGGCTTGCCTTTTGCGATGTAGTGCTGACCTTCCTCGAGCCCGGATCGGTGGGATAGCCTGCCCGAGTCCGTGAAAGAACTTCCTGGACTGTTCAGCAACACGCTGACGTTTTCTGCCGGACCTCGTGTAAGTTACCATCTACTTCCATGTCCTGCGCTCCTAACTAAAGCCTTTCATCGTCTAGTCGTGCATCGGTCTCCGGTTTTCAATGATAGAAATCAAGTCGTTCCTATACATCTTATTAACGAACTTCAAGTTTCAAGTCACTGACGACAAAATAATCAAAGCCAATGTGTACGAACTATTCTCAATCTGAAGTTTCGCTAACAGCAGTCTGCTTCTCTTCTAGTGTCCTCACACGGCCTTACGTCTCTGGCAGATACAAAGAAGGAAGCCAATGTCCTCTAGTCGTCACCCCTCTATAAGTCTATTAGAGCATGGCTTCCACGAAGCTCAGCTCAGCCCTTCGCATTGTAATCCCACCTGCTGTATCTATTGTAGCCCCACCATAATGACATCGTTGATGATGCACGACTTTTCTCGCTGCTCTCAGTATATAAGGGTGAGCCTTTCGCTGATAGCCACAATCACCTCCCCCGCTCTTCTTCACCATGGTGCGTTCCCGTTCTCTTTCAGCGCATACTTTGGTATTGAGAATCTGTGTCTAGGGCTCCGTCTTCTCCGCAATTGGAAGAGCAATCAACTCCGTAATATCAGCCATAGCCAGCGTGTTCATGGCTATAGTAAGCGGCGTCACATCCGTACGTCTCTTAGCCCCTCGCTTGCTACGCAGAATGCTGAGAATGCCCTTCAAATCCAGGTTATAACGACTATATTCAATGTCATCACCGACATCATCTGCTGCCGCTGTGGCTCCCGCTCGAGGTCAGGCGGAACGTATTGATAAGGCCGGACAATGCAACGGCAACAATGACTCGGCTTCAGTGTACACGATAGCTACACAGGATACAATTACATTATGTTACAGGCTTACGGCTAATACAAAGACCATGGGTAGCGTACATCATGCAGCAAGTTGAAAGTACATTTATTTACAATACAATCTCTGGTCCATCCCCACCCACGCTGCCTCTGAGACACCAAACGAAAGGGTGTCGCTGAGAATTCGACTTCGTTACTTGGAACTTCTGCCCCATCCCACAAATTGGCTCGCATTCGCGAATAGGCGTTTCATCTTGTCCTTAGGGGCCTTCTTACCGTCCCGTTCAGGCGTGATGTCCATAAATGACTTGAGACCGTTGTTCGAATCTTCCGGGAAGGGAATGGTGCTCTGGCTACGGTAGTCAGCCCCTAAGCCCCTTCCAGGGGTGAGGAATTCGGTCGGTCGACGAGCAAGTGGGGGCGGCGCAGGACGCGGACTGCTTTCGGACAGAGCAACTCGATGTTTCCTAGGTGTTGTGGTGTTGGTCGATGACCGGTTGTTGAAGTTGACGAAGCTCGTCTGATGTGACTGACTGGAGTCGAGCCTTTGCGCACGAACTGAATCTCGCTCGTGCGTCTTGAGCTTGGCGAGGCTGTCTTCCAGGCGGCAAAGTGCGTCCAGGGGTTGGTGGGATGCGTTGGAAGGCTCTGCCGTGCTGGTGCTTCTGCCTGGGGCGCGCATACTAGCGACTTTCCTAATTATATGCGGCATTCTGGAGGTATGAGGCACTGGTGCTTGGGATGGTACGGCAGAAGGTGTCGCACTACGGCTGGGAGGTATCAAAGGTTCTGAAAGACTACTTGCAGGTGGGCGTCGAAAGTGGGCGAAGCTCTTTCTTGTCCCAAGCTTTGCACGTTGGAAAAGAGACACAGGCTCGGTAGCGGCAGAGAAAGATAGTGCGTGTTTATGCACGGACTTGTGGTTTGTAATCTTGCTTTCTACTTGCGTGTTGCTGGGCTTCTGGGTAGGAAGGAAGGGCCGGAGAGTAGCACTAGTAGATGTCCGTTCTCCGACGGAAGGCCTCCGTTGCGGCCGTACAGTACTAGACCTTCTATGGTCTGCATCTGCAAATGGATCGGATGGTTTATTGCTGTCTTGCGATGTCCTGCTAGTGCTTGCTGTAAATTCGGACGATGCTGAGGTCGAGCTACTTGACATTGAGCCGCGCCCTTTCACTATTACCAACGGTTTGACGCATGGAAGGGTCCGAGACTTCATAGATGTGAGCGAGGATTCGCTGAGTAGTTCAATAAGCTCCTCCGCACTATCCTTCGGCTCGAACGCCGGCGTGCTGTACATCCGTCGAATGAGAGGACTTGGCATTGGCGGTGGTTGCGGAAAGGCAGATTCTATATCGTCATACAACGACGAACAGCTATCGTTGAAAGGCGGCAACAAGTCCGACTGGGACTCTAGGCTTGTTATGCTATCGTAGCTAGGCGACGAAGGTAGTAATGGAGATATCATTGTATTTGGCGAGCTTGTTGAAAGAGTTGTATGCGAAGACGAAGTCGCGAGCCGTTCTAGTAATTGTATTCGGTGATCCCCAAGCTCGAAATCGGTGCAAAGGCGGCGCGACCGCCGTGGGTCAACGGGCGGCAGACGTAGTTCTGGCGCGCTGTCTGAGTACATGGGTCGCGGATATGTAGACGTCGAGGACGAAGGAGAATATGATATCGACGCGGCATGTCTGTGTCCATTGCCCTCAGCGTGCTCACCAGAGGGCCCGTCGGCCATGACATTCGGGTCATACGTGCGGACAACGCGTCGCCTCGCTAGTGGAGTTCTATGCTGGCTTTCTCGCGAAGGAGGACTCGACGATGTTCTGATTATTTCGCATATATTAGTGTCAAGATGATAGCCCGCCATCAGTGATCACGTACCTCGACAGCGACGTCGGGGCGGCGTCAAGGCGGCCAGCGGAGGGCATGGGGCGGAGATTATGGGCCATGGGGGGCGGGACGAAGAGGGGTGCTCGAGCGGACGAGTCCCGCATTCGATCGAAGTTAATATATGGCCTCAAAGCGAGCGCCTGCCCGAATACTGGCCATTCTGTCCGTTGACGTGAAGCACGATATTCGGATTCTTCTATAACATGGCGTACTGCTGCAGATACTTCCGTCCCCGCGAGGCACACAGAATGACAAGGAACAGGTACCCCAATTGTGCGGTTCTGATCACTGCGCCAAAGTCGGACAGCCGCATACGCTACGCCGGCGCCTCAAGGCTACCTGGATTACAGCAATGTAAGGAGCACGTCGAGTAGGTAAATCCACGGCCAACAACAATGCAGTAGGCGAAGTAAGGAGCGTTGCACAGCACTTGCTGTAAACTTTTGAGTGGATCATGATCATCCGTGAAAGTTGTAACCTAGATCGAGGCGACCCTGCACATCACAGGCACTTTGCAAGTTGCGAAGGACAGGCGGGATGTTAGCATGCGGTGCGACGGTGCTCAGAAGCCGATGCGGCAGGTTGCATGGTGGTGTGCACGTTCTGCATGTCCTCCGCCAGATGCTCATTGTGGAGTATTTCAATGCAATGAATCACTCTCAAGTAGACAGCAGGCTCGATGATTTTGTCAAAGTGTAAAGAATCAATACATGGATGAGAAAGTAAACGATCAGTATGCCTTCTTCGCCGCTTGGAGTTGTAGGTGTGCGCTGAACTCGTCGTAAGGAAGTTTGGAAAGCGGGATCTCGCGCCAGAGATCGGGTGTCAGGAAGGCGTATGTTTTGGTGATCTGCGGAATCGGTTCAATATCGGGCAATGATGATAAGCAGGATACGGAATAAACTGACCGCAGCGAAAGTGGCCTTCAAGAAGTTACCCATCGTGGCTGTTGAACCCTTGGATTGCGTATAACAATCCTCGACACCGGCCAATTGGAGCAGTCGTTTCGAGGCTGGCGCGGCGACGATACCCGTTCCACGGGGAGCAGGGATCAAACGACACATGACGGAGCCGACCTTTCCGCTGACCTTCGAGGGCACTGTGTGTGGCTCACCAAGAGCGGCACCCCAGTAACCTCTTCGGACGGGAATAACGGACAGCTTGGCGAGGATGATGGCGCCACGGATAGCAGTAGCGACTTCCTTCGCGCACTTGACACCAAGACCGACATGGCCGTTGAAGTCACCGATGGCGACGAAAGCCTTGAAACGTGTGCGCTGACCGGCACGGGTTTGCTTTTGCACTGGCATGATCTTCATGACTTCATCTTTGAGACCGGGGAGGAAGTGGTCGATGATTTGGAATTCCTTGACGGGGAGAGAGAAGAGGTAGATTTCCTCCATGGATCTGATTTTGCCATCCTTCACCAATCGTCCGAGCTTGGTAACGGGAACCCTGTAGAGTGTTTGGTTGCGAGACTTAAGCGTATGTCAGGAGGACATACCACTCCTTGTCTTCCTCCTTGCGTCCACCTCGTGGGCCTCTGCGGCCACGTCCTCTGTCACCACGTCCGCGTCCAAATCCGCCACGACCACGTCCTGCATCAGCCATAATTTTGAGGTAGTCGAGTTCTGCAGGAATCAGAGTTATGATCAGCCCTCATCCGGCAAAACTGTGATGAATCCATCCAAGAAATGCAATCCCGAGGAAAGCAGAGTACTTCCAGCGATAGATGTGGCACCGTTGCAGCAGAATCGGCGAAACTGGTAACTCACAGCTTGAGGGTGTCGATAAAAACGCTCGGTCGTCGTTGGCGTTGACTTCCTGTGTACACTGACCAGATTGTCTGGGCGGCTAATCTTCAAGCACGTGCGTACGAAGCCGACCCTTAACGAAGACCCCGATCACCGTGTGGACCGTCTCCCACCATTGTTTTCACGATACACTTGTTGTCTCCGCTCCATCATCTGCTCCGTTGCAACTCACCGAGTGAGATCCCTGCTCTTCATCAATTCAGGCTCTGACCTTCTTCCAGATTATCAACCCTTCAAACTACTACGTTGGCTGAACATGTCGTTGAATTTAAATTCAAAAAATATAAATCTGAAATCTAGTCTTTGCCCCACGTACGTTCCGAGTCAGCCACACTCTCACCTCACATATCTCACATCGCATCGTTTGCAGCAACGGTTGTCAAGCCGTTGGGGATGGGGCTAAGCTCTCTGACAACGAAGCCAGCGTGTTAGCTGTTTGCCAAATCCAAGGCCGCAGCGACATGTACTATTACTCCACTACCTTCTCTGGGGGGCCCGGGGTGCGTTCAGATTGTCTTATCTATCGCGATGTACTCACCCATATTGCGATAACAGTGGTGCTTTTGACACCCCTAAGCAGAAATGCCCTCCGGATGGGGGGTCGTCGGACTGTGTGACAGACAGACCGACGCCTTATGATCTCAAATCTATTTCTTTCACCCGCTCTCCAGCAGAAGATTACTTCAAGTCGGGATATCACTCTCCTCCTATCTATTCTCAACTCCCTCAGTCAACTGTATGCCCAAGACCAATCCCCCAGCGGACCGCTTCCGTTACCACACCCCCGCTTACGCCTGACTCTGGCACTGAATCCGAAGGCCCATCCCCAGTGCGCATGCAAAATGACAACGATGCCCTCGATTTCTTGATGACGCTCTTCCCTAAAAATGGGCTTGCTGCCCTCCCCTATGCTCGCAGTGTTTCCATCTCGGCACCGAACATGGGTGCTTCGTTTGATGGGGTCGTTGTTGAGTTGCCGGGCAAGCCCAAGACGTTGTACGTCGACGGTAAAAGTGCCCAGTCTGTTGCCCTTCGGGAAAGGTGAGCTCCTATCTTGGACCTGCTGAGTTCCATTAACACCCTGCTAGCATCGTTGCTCTTTTGGATCTGGCTGACGACAACCTCCAATGTTCGGCTCTTGTCATTGCTCTTGAGAGGTCTTCTCCTGCCCTCGGCGACATCTTACACTCATTGATGTACGTCGGAGGTACTGTGGTGACCAAGCCTCCTTTCCAGGTGGACCCAGCCTTTGTGCTCGTAGGCCTCGAGATTTAGTTTGTAGTTTTACCAGTATAATTTGTATGCGAAACACAATCGAATGCGTTTCTTTGATCTCGTTGTACATCACTGCCCTGAGGTCCCCCTTGTTCTTCGCCTCCAGTGACGTTTGCAGGCGATTCACCTTGGGCACGTTGCAAACACACAGCCCGTAGATCAAGTATATAAGTGCGGATCGCTGCTTCTTAACAGTAGGCTTCGCTTTCACATCAACCAAAATTATGGGGCTTTTCGACGTGGTGAAAAGTGTCTTCAATTTCTTCTGTGGCCCTGCCGAACGTCCCCCAGATCAGCAACACCAACCTCAACCTCAACAACACCAACACCAACACCAACACCAGCAACACCAACAGCAGCAGCAGCAACACCAGCCGAATAAATGGCAACAACCTGTGAGCCATCCGGCGAAGCCGCCCGTCCAGCATGCGTATCCTCCTACAAGTCCCAAACCTACTAGTCCCAAACCACCAGCAAGTAGACCTCAGAAACATGAGGTGATCTTTCAACTCTTTGCGCTGGTTTTTTTTGTTCATGAAGGGTGTAGGACCAGAACCAACTCAACCAGCAGAATGACTTCTATCTTTCCCTGCGGGCACAGGCTAATGAAGCAGGCGATCGGATGGCACGGTGCTTCGAGGAGAGCCAGCAGGCTTTTACCAATGGAAGCAAAGCGAGAGCGAAAGAGCTCTCGAACGACGGCAAGAAGCACAAGGCCGACATGGAGGAGTTGAACCGCCAAGCAAGCGAGTGGATTTTCACCGGTATGTTCTTGACTTTGTTCAATTGCTGGTAAATGAACTCCGGTGATTACAGAGAATAACAAGGTATGAACGCCGTGCTATCTAGATAGAGTGTTTTAATTGATATTGGTTGTTGTGTTTAGGACAGCATGCCGGGTGAAGTTGATCTTCATGGCCTGTATGTGAAGGAAGCTATCGCGTTCACGGACCGCGCCATCCAGGAAGCAAGATCCCGGGGCGACTCCGAGATACATCTGATCGTTGGTGAGTCTCCCCAGCTATGTGACATGCTCGAATTGTATTTAATTTGACCCGTCTCCTTCACAGGCAAAGGTTTGCACTCCCGCAGCGGCGCAAAGATTAGGCCCGCAGTCGAAGATCTCATGTCCAAGTACGTCTCGCGGTATTTGCGTCTTTTGTCACAGCATCCTAAACTCATATGTTCTGCTGTTTGAAGGCACCAACTTAAGGCTGCGTTGGACCCGGACAATGGAGGCGTATTGATTGTGCAGCTCAGTGCCGGCGGCAGTGCAAGCCCTGGGCGTAACCGTGGTTGGGGAGCCGACGAAATCTCCCGTCGTATAGAGAAAGACGACGAGGGGTGTACTATCATGTAAAGTGTACCAGAAAGTCTTGTACAATCTCGCAAACAAACTTGTCTGTATTTTATCTACTGACCAGAATATCATATTATGTAATTCAATGCTTCCGACACTTCGCCTCACACCAGTCGCAGCCAAACGCTCGCTGGTTGCTTCCACCCATTCCAAGGCCGCCGGGCCATCGAATCCGTTCCCATTTCCCAAGGCTACGCGTCCGACGCCGTATCAGATATTCCATCTCCCTCGAAATGCATCCCAAGACGATATAAAGGAACGATGTTAGCCGAGAAACTTATTCTCTTCCCTTTGAAGTAAACATCCTCAACGGTTCAACCCACTAGATTATGAACTCGTTCGAATATATCACCCTGATACCGCAATTGCGAGATATTCAGTGCCGCCGGACCTTGCACATAGTCGCTTTCAGAGCATCACAACCGCATATGAAGCCCTTCGTGGAAAGACAGTAGCGCCAGAGTCTCGCGTCGACGACGGTCGGTGGCCCACGGCATCAGCGTGGAGAGCACGCCAGACGAAGAGACGTGATATACACTCCGAGGGCGATGACAGGTGGAAGGATTGGATTATATTCGGGGGTGTTTCTGTGGTGCGTTCTCCGCTACTCATTTTCTAACGAAGTAGTAGCTCATACATCACCTACCGCTTAGACAGTTGCAGCGTTCGTTTTCCAAATGTCATTAATCCGCAGGGAAGCTGTGCGCGACATGAACAAGGAGCGGTCACGTCGGAGTCGCTCTCAAGCAGAAGCGGTAGAAGAGGAGAAACTGGCAGAGGAATAGGTCACCTATGGGCTCAGGTATGTTCCATCATCTCTCGAGTGGATACCAGATGAATGAATTTTGATATTCAAGATTAGTTTACTTTGAGCAGTTCCTTATTTTATGCCCTACATTGATAGATGTACCCTCCAATAGATCCAGTTAGAAATAGACACCAGCCCAACCCCTTGTCTTGATAAACAGCTTATCAAGACCGTCGCTATCCCCATGATAATGGGTGAACTTCTCGTCGTCGCGAGCTTTGCCAGGAAGATCCAGATCCAGGGTGTTAGGGTCGTTGTCCGAAGGACGGCGTGTTCTGGGTCCGGGGCCATCGAAAGACGATAATCCTGTAGCGGAGAATGATCTTGCATCCAAGTCAACGCGTCCATCGAACTCTGCTTCGCGATATGTAATGTACATGTCGGCATTTCGGGATGACATGTGCACGCTGTTGATGGGGCGGTGTGATTGAGACTTTGGCGAGATGAAGAAGATGTCGGTACGCCCGGCTCCAGTCGTGGTCTGCAAGTGAGCAGTCTCTGGGTTGATCTCGTCGATGGGCGCAGCGGGGATCGTCTTAACATTGATGATGCCGTCACCTCGCTGACTGGTGATGCGGGTACTGTCGACGATAGCGGCTTCGCCGACAATCCAACCACGGTATACCTCCAGCGACAGCTGCTTTGCGTGCAGGTTGTCGTGGGGCAAGATCATGTTGTCTGTGGACATTGCGTATGCAGTTACGAACAGGCTGTCGATGTTGATGTGGGATTCCGGGTCGAATTGGATGTGCGTCGTAGTGTGTGCGGCGACATGCAGCTTCTTCAGTGTCGGGGGGACGTAGATGGTGATGTCGTACCGCACGCATGAGGCGCTATCACTGAAGACGGGCGTTCCAAGGACAGCACGGCTGTTCTCAACGGTACCATCCGGCAGTTCCACGGGGCGGGACAGACTAATGGTGTCGAGCAGGGAGCGCTCAGTTGCCCGTATGGTCATCTCGTATTTGATAGAGCTGGAACTGGCCTCGCCCGCGGCGATTGTGATCGTTCCTACAGCGTTTCCGTGGATGTCGAAACCGTGGTCGGATTCCTGAGTGCCCATGGGCACGTAGACGGCAAGTCGAGAGGAATTGTAGATGTATGGCGCCTTCATGCATCCTAAGGATGTGCTGAATGCTGGCATCGTCTCCAAACCAGTAGGCGAAGGCTGAGGGATGATGAGCACAGCCTAGTCAAAGAGCACAGAACTCTGTTTTCACTCACTGTTACGGCCCATCGGACCAATTTGAAAGCATTCCAAATAGTGAGGACGGCAATCACGATGCCAACGGCCTTCCAAAACAATGTGCAGCTGAACGGTGCGCCCGTCGGTTAGCCAAGTCCACTAAACGAGATTGCAATCACATACTCGAGTCCGCAGCAAATACAACAGCCCCGCTTCTTCACTGGACGGGGATGAAGCTGCACCTCTACCACCTGTGGCAGCAGGCGAGCTCCCTCCTCATCCCGCTCGTTCGAGTTCAACGCAATTCGCCCTTCCTCCTCCTCAGTGGGGACTTGTTTGTCTGTACGGATGCGCATGGAGGACATCGTGAGGGTGGAAGCAGTTAGGAGACATGGGGCGAGTGATTACGTGGAAGGAAGACTAACATTCATCCCATCGTTCCTTCAGCTTCAACAAGGCCATCGTTGCGGCGACCATGCCAAAGAAGGAGAAGCCCCGATTCTGGCGTTCTGACATCTCTCCAAGCGCAGGTGGAGAAAACGAATATGAAGCAAGGAGAGTGATTGGAGAACAAGCGACCGAAGATGATAAGGCTTATAACGTTTTGGAGTACCTGAGGGTCGCCATCGTGATGGGAATGATTTGAGTAGACGCGCTGATGCGTATTCGGACTGGCATTTGCTGCAAGCGGCAGGCGGACGCGAAGGACGGCCTTCAGGCACCCGTGGTGATCGGCGCTTTGTATGTTACTATTCTCAGGCGGTTCTCTTAGGTGCTCGGTACGTGCATTGCAGGCAATCTGCGCAATTGATCCAAAATGTCGAAAGAATAGATACACATAGTGATATACCGAATACAAGTTGTACGCAGAGAGGTAATTGTCTATGCAAGTGCTCCCTACAGCACCGGTTACATTAGCAACGAGTCGCCCAAAATACATACAACTCACCATTGGGTCCCATGGTGGCAACACGGTCGCGTTGCCGTCTTCGTATACCTTGACGAGGTCTTTAGGTGCAAGAGCCTTCGGGACGACCACTTGGTAAACAAATCTACGGGACGGCGATTTGAGAAATATCTAGATTCAAACTGCTAAGCCGAAAGCCAAAGACTTACTGCTCAAACCACTTGTCCGTCATCATGAAGTAACCCTTGTTTCCGCTGGTCTCGCTCCAGGAGTTCTCGACCTGCATCGACGAAATTCAGTTCGTGACGACGATCCGACTCGGAATAAGCATGCGCATACCTTGTATCGCACAGGTGCTCCAGAAGCATCAAGGTGGACACCAGAGATGACCATGGCGTGAGTCATCGCTGACTCGTTGACTTGAAGGCGCTCTGCCTTCGTGAGGCCCAGGGTGATGTCGAAGGCGTTCTGCAGAGATTGTCAGTTTTGCCCGAACCTGGGGGAACAGGGACGGACCTCGTATTCAAACAGGTCCGTGTCCATGATACCCATACCACTGTCTGAGAATTTGCCCACATCACAGCCGAAGAACACTGGAAGTCCAGCTTTAATCAACTATATCATTTACATTTCTTTAGCTCATGCTACCAATTGTGTAGAGCTTCAGACTAACCTTGACAACGGTGTCTTTCATGGTGTTAATCTCAGTGTTCACGTCTACGGACGTATTAGATGCAATAGAATCAGAAGCGAGGGCGGGCACATACAAAGAACGGGGCGACCACCCCAGACGTTACCCAGCTTATCAACAGTGTAAAGCTTAGAGTACTCGTTACGGGGGTCGTTGATCAACGAGAAGCTAGACGAAGGCTGCCGGAAAGTTCAAAGATGCGTATAAAGACCTGGACAGTTAGATAGAGAACGGGAACGCGTACTGGGTATGTCTTGTTGGAGAATGTCTTGTAGTATTCCAATGCCGTGCCCACCCAGCGGCCAGGCTTGCCATCGGCGTTGTAATACTCCCATACAAACTTCTCGTCTGGCCGCGGTGGGACGCCCAGCGTGGCACTCATAATTCCATAAATTTCTTTCATGAGCTCCTCCTTCTTGACGCGGAGCGAGGCCCGCATTGTCTGCTCTGAATGCGCCTCGGCCCGAAGCTGTGACGCCAGAGAGCGCAGGATCAACGCGTGCTCCCTCAACTTGGTCTTGATGAGCGCATTGAGAGGAGAGGAGAGGGAGGAGTGAGTTGACTCGGGGTAGACCGTCTGAGGAACGAGACCATAGTTCTCAAGGAGGTTGACAACCATGTCCCATTGCCCTCCGTCGCTGATTAAATCACCCGACAAGTGGTTGACTAGGCGGTCATCCAGCGGGCGATCCGCATTCTCGATAGACAACTCCAGATAGTAGTTACATTTGTTGAGCTTGTCCCAGAAGAACAGGTACGACTACAGCCGATACTTAGCTCCAACTTCACTCTAGATTGGCCTCACGAACGCACCTGAGAGAACTGGAAGTCCGACAGGTTTAGCTTCTTCATGATATCGTACCGAATGACATTAGTGGTAGCAAATAGCCAGCACCGTCCGCTGCTCTTCTGGTTGGTCACAGGTCCGGTCTTGAAGTCAAGCTCGGTGTTGAAGACATGGGCATCTGCGATTCTCGCCGACCGCGATACAAGTGCCGAGCGGATATCAGAGTGCGAAAGGATCGTCCGCGCGAGTTGCGCTTTCGGGTCCGCGGCCACGGTTGACTCCCATGAAGATACGTTCCCCAGCGACAGTGTGCCGTCCTTGGACACGGGCGCAGATGCCAGATTCAACGAAGCGAGGCTTTGGGTAAGATGCTTCTCATCCAGCGATGGTTCAACGAAGTCGGTTGGTTTAGACGGTGCAGAGCCCATGATTTCGTGGTCACAGTGGAAGAGAAAGAGATCGAGTAAGTTCAGCTCGGTTCCCAAGCTGTATTTATATTGGGCTTATCTAGCAGTACCACAACAGTACCACGCAGTGCAGATAAGGGGAGTCTGGCTGATTGGCCGGGGAGCCTCACACAACAGCGCAGCAGTCACATAACCTCAGAAGCTGCACTTTTGATGACATTTCTTCTCCACCACACGACATAAATATACGCTCGTTCTGTCCCAGAGTCGAGTTCTGAATCCGGGGCGTGGTGCCTGTCATATCCCAGAAGATTCAGGGTCCCGGAACATCTGATGGCTAGCGGAGGCCGACAATTGTGCGGGGACTAGTGCACCCGGTCATATGTACTGTATAAGAAAATAACCGGAAGCCTCCTTTGCTTTTCACCATCTACAATGCCCCCAACCATCGTCGTAGCCTTGACCTCTTTCTTTGCTCTGCTAGGAGCCGTGTACGTGGGGTGGTGGCAGCCCATATTCACCAAGCTCGGCGATGGCAGAGAGGTTCGCCCTGTCGGAAACACAGGGGATTGCACGACAGAGCCCGCGCTGAAGGCTTGCGAAAGTGAGTATACGTGTCGTTCGCGTAGCCTCGCTGACCATCATCATCTTGCGTAGAAATTGTGCTGCACCAGCCTTCAGGATCCCTGTACCTCGCATGCTCCACCCCGGAGAGCCGAACTCACTGGACACCCGCTGTTGGGAGACTCAACTCTACGGGCATGTCGACCACCGATTACGTGGCGGTATATGACCCAGATACCAGCAAAATCACCCGTTTGAACGTGGTTGGTTTCACCTCGGAACGCGGCCTATCTCTTCACGGAATGGATGTCGTACCCTCCTCGTCGGACCCCAAGAAACTGTTTGTGTATCTCGTCAACCACCGCGCTCCTCTCACGGGCGTATCTGAGAAAGTCGGAGCCGATTCCTCCGTCGAGATCTTCTCTACCGTCCTCGGCAGCTCGACCATGACACATGTCAAGACTGTCGAGGATCCAGCAATTATCACTCCCAACGATGTTGTTGGGTACCCGGACGGCAAAAGGTTCTATTTCACGAACGATCATGGCGCCAAGACTGGGATTGTACGCGGATCTCACTGCTCGATTTAACCCCTCATCACTGATCATCCCCTCAGCTTCGGGATGTTGAGATCCTTGGTCTTAAGCGGACTTCGGTTGGTTACTGCGACACCGACTCCGGCTGCACCATTGTCCGGTCCAGCATGCACGCGAATAATGGTATTGCTGGTGCTCGTAACAACGACACGCTGTACGTCGCCAACTCCATCGCCGGAGGAATTACAGTGTTGGAGACGCAAGCAGACCACTCAGTGGTTTTGGCCGACTTCATTCCCACCGGTAACTATACAGCAACCATCCCCTTCGCGTATCTGTATCCCTAACCCCATCCACTCCAGAATACCCGATTGACAATGTCTCTGTCGACGAGGCTGGACATGTATGGGCGGCTGGTAAGTGAGGACACTATTGAATTTTCCCCACGAACTCAATCTTTGTTATCAAATAGCATTCCCGAAGGCACTCACTACAGCCCTTGTGCATTTCAGCTTTCCCTCATCCCCAGCCCCTTCAGCAGCGTACCGCGTGTCCTTGAACACTGGTACTAATGCCTTCTACGGCGAAAAATACAAAGTTGATAGGGTAAGCTTACACGACGCAAATACCAAGTCTTGTCTCCTCACCCCTCGGTTTAGGTCTTCGAAGATGACGGTTCGCTTGCTTCAGGCATCACATCAGTTGTGCACGATTCGCAACGCCATCGACTATTCTTAAGTGGTAAGTCTTTCACCGCCGATACTTTGGAGTTGTCACTGACCGCGTATCTTACTCTAGGGCTCGCTTCGCCGAGCCTCGTAATTTGCAAGCTTTAGGCTTGGGGGCCCTCGCACCCGCACCAAAAAATACTGCTTTCATATCACGATAACATTCTCAATAATGTATGATTACAGCTACTGCAACCAAGTCTATTTGATCACTCAACCGGACGCGCGAGATATCTTTCTGCGAGAACGATTTCCATCGGCCCGAGCCAGGAACCAGTACTGATCATTCCATCTTCCTATTTTGCAAGCCCTGTCTTCGTTTCTCCAATGGCTTTGATGAGACTACCTGAACCACATAACCCGCCGCAAGATTAGCATTGCATATATACGTGTAAGATCTCTGTCGAGGTCTGTCTTGTACCATTGTTTACTACTGTTCGCATCAATCGTTGCATTCATCTCATTGTTGGATCCCATATCTTAGTCTATTTGCTGAACGAAACCACATTGTCCACTTCGTGCGGCCGTGAATTACAAAAAAGGTAGAAATACAGACTAAGAGTCCACAGACGTAACTGCATAACATAACATATAAAGCGAGTCTATTCGAAAGGGTTTGTCCGGCCAGCCTTCATCGTGTCGGTTAACCTCATGTTGCTAGCGTTCAAGAACATAGCAACGTACCTGATAATCTCCACCTCGGTCTGGTCCTTCTGAGCAGCCGCACAACCAGTCGTGCCACCATCTCGAATCTTTAGAAGCAGCATTCGTGTCTTTCTGAGAGGATACGGGTGGTGCATCGGCAAGTCTCGGCGGCGAGTCGACGCGTGGAGGCGGGGTACGTGGAGGAGGAATATTGATCGGTTTCGGTGGTGGTGGCTTAGAGTGGGACAGAGGGGAAAGGGTACCGGTATCCGATGCTACCATTAATGCACCCATCTCCTGTTGGCTTGGAGGAACTGGCGACTCCAAATATTCTGACGACGCCATGAACGGATTCCGAACTTGGGCCTGGGCATCCGCAAAAGGCGATGTGGCTGCCGTCGGCGTGGGCGACGGGGCAGGGCTTGAGGCGGTCGCAATGTCATCCAAGGGAACATCTATGGATTCGCGTGAATTGAGCACTGCATGTTTCCCCAGCCCTTCGTTTGCTTCCGCTGGCCGGGGCTTTCTGCCCGACCAGAGCAGACTTGCACGACGAGTAACATCGCCCATGAGTGAAGGAGCCGCCGGTGCTTGCGTTGATTCCCTCGCTGCCTTCCGCCTCTGCCTTTCAGCAATCTCCCATCGTTGCAGCGTCTACAAGTCGTGAGCATTCGCGTCCAGGACTTCAAGTGCGAAATAGGACATACCTCTTGTATGCGACGAGACTCTGCCTCTTCATCAGGAATGGGAGGGTAAGGACCATTGGCACTACTGTCTGATACCGCAGGGTCGTCGCTGAGTGCTGTGTCGGAGCCCTCGACGTCGCCGTCGGTGGATTTGCCCTTGCCCTTCCAATAGTGCGGTGTCAAGGCATCGCTCGAGCTGCTTGCTTCTTTCCAAGTCGCTGGTTTACCGAGGTCCTGCTCTGCATGGGGCGGCGGCGAAGATTCCCTGCTCGCCGTCGCTGACGGCAATGGGGATGCCATGGAGGACCTGAGAGTACGCTATGTTCGTGTTGGAGGCGCAAATGAAGTAAGTAATGGTTTCCTAATCAGGCACGTCCCATAGCCACTTGCTGTTCCCGCAGTAATTCGCATGTACAAACGAAGAAAATCATGAAATTATCCAAGTATAATAAGCAGCGTCCTGTCCAGACAGAGTACAGAGAAACGAGATGGATATAATATAATTAAAAACGGTTCTTCCTGTCAGTGGTCTGCATCATCATGCCATCTTCGTAATCCGAGCTATTGTCTTCGGTCAAGTAGTTACGCAGACCTGATGAGGCCTTTGGTGCCGCGTTCTGCATTATGGGTGCTTGAGACTCGTCGGATAGTGCGCCGTCGCGACTGTATATGGTGCTTCTTGCGCTGCTGATCCCATTTTGATTAGGAGAAATAATGGACGCACGGGCGGTCTCGCGCATTTGCATCAAATTTTGATGGAACGCATTCTACCAAAGGTGGTGAGCTTCTGCAGTTGCGGGGCCCTCAGTACTATTCTCGTACCTGCTCGCGCCAATATTGGACACGCTTCTCGCGATCCGCATCACGCTGCTTGCTGTGCCAAAAGAATAGGCCGACAAGTGTGCCAAACATGCCTTCAAGGCGTGTCAACGTCACACAGGTAGGATATGCTACACACAACTCACCACCAAAGATACAAATGCCAACAACAATATAGACCCAAATGGCGAGGCGACGAGGGACATCAGCACCGATTCCACATTTCCCGCTCGGCTCGCAATTCCATGATGCGCATCTAGTAGAATAGGTAAGCGGGGCGGGGAATATAAGATGGGTGTATCCCACTCTTTGTCCGCGGTACATGAGTCCCCAATTGCCTTCTCCTTCAGACATTTCAGAGACGTGCCATCGCAGTACAGTCCCAACCGACAGTTGCCACTAAACGGTGTCAAATGAAGCTATATACAAAATATGCTGAGTGCCTACCGGGATCGAATGTCAGGGAATTCGCCATCAGCGCTGTAGGCGATATAGAAAGTATTCTCCACGATACAGGTGTCGCCCTCAGTAACGTTGGCCCACCTGTAGTATGAATGAATGGGACTGACACTCCCAGGGAATTTACACAAAGACGCACATGCAAATGTTCTTAAGGCACACAGACCCATTGAAGTTGATACCGCGGTCGCTGTCGTCAGCGAGTTCTGGAAAGTTTGGGGGTGCTTCGCATTGATCTGGCGAAAAGATTTTCAAAAACACTGAGCGGTCGACTCGAGCATGGTCAACTCACCGTCGCGGTTGAGTTGGCATTCGCTGCCTACTGGCAACAAAACCTGGCATTCACTCATTTCGTCAGGGCAGAACTCGCCGCGAGGGCACTTTCGTGGTAGTTCATCGTCCGGGGCGTAACCGAATGGGAAGTCGTCTTGTCTGCACCCTCTCTTCGCACAGGTACCCCGAGCAGTGCAGTATGTCTGAGAGTCGCAATCGCTCCAGAATTGATACGTTCCGATTTGTAGGCGGTTGTTGTTAACGTCGCAAGATTGCCCTTCGGTCTGGGTGCCAGCCTTGACGGTCGATGAGAGTAGCAGGAAGCAAAAGAGCGTGGTTGGCAGCAAATACATGGGTGCCTTCTAGAGAGGGGAGCGGCAGAAAAAAGTGGTTGCTGAGGAGCGAACAAGGCAGTGATGAAAGTCAGGGCATTCAAGCCCAGCTCATACCCAGCAAACGCGCCTTCTCACGGCACTAACGGCATAGAATGCCGCTCAAGGGCTTACTGCGGTCTGAAGAGATAATACTTCAGAGAAATTTGATATTTGGCATAGAAATTTAGCTACGAATACATAGATATGAATTGGTCGGTGACCGTGTTTCGCTGGTGCACAGTCAACATATCCCCATCCTCGTCCCACATATACACGGGGAAATCAAGCTCTAGCTGGGGTAATGGTACTTCAACGCGAGGCGGGGGTGGAGGAGGGAATTCATTAAGATCCACGGTAATGGTGCTGGAACTAGAGTGTAGACCGAAGACGTTGTTTGAGCTAGGCTGCGTGATCATCAAGGATGGTGGCTGGAGTAGCGAGTTGCAACTAGCAGTGGTAATAATGGAAGCGATAGCGCTCTGACACTCGATGCTGTTGAGGAGGTTCGCTGCTTCCGGCGTACTAGTGCTGCTGGTATCTAGTTGGGTGGGTTGCGCTCCTTGGCTAGGTTCGGCCTCAGATGACACGAGTATAAGGACTGCTTTCGTGGCTTCCAAATTTCTACTCTCGGCGGTTTCCACTGTGCTGAACTCGGCAGCGATGGTATCGTTACCGCAAGTAGATTCAAACTCATCTGAACGGATCGTGACGCCTGGGTCGAAGTCATCCTCGTTTGCGTTGGAAGGGTGTGTGTGTTCACCAAATCCAGCTTCTTCACCGGTCCGACGAGCGGCCTCCAGAACGACTGAGTTGTCGCTAACAGCATAGCTCAAGGCGCAGACGATATCAGATTCCTCGTTGTGGAGTTTCTCTTGGAAATCTTCGTCGGGTGGTGCGTAAAGTGAGAATCCGTCCGTAGAACCGTGGTCAGAAGCGTCGCAGGATACGGTGGTGAGAGACTGAGATCCAGATATAACGAAAGGAGAATCGTGAGAGGTCGGAATAGGCGGTTCGACGACGCGAGGCTCTCCAATAGTCTCCTGGCTACCGAGTTCTTTGTTATACCCCTTGAAGGTGTCCGTAGATTGCGTAGCTCCGGGTGATTTGGCTAGCGTAGGTGTACTCCATGAGGCAGATGTTATGGTCTTCCCGTCGAATGTCTGCCATGCCTGAGGCTCTGTCGGTGGTATATCGCCTGGGTGCTTCTCCTTGAGCTGCGGGACCTGAACGCGGTTCTCTCTTCGTATTTTGTAGATGAACGCAACAATGGCTACGAGAGCCACGCCAAGTACGATTGAAACGGTGATGACAACGATATCTGTTACAGAAGCTCCCGTGCCTGCCTTCGGTGTAGATGGACCGTAATTTGAGCTTCCAGGTTTCCCGCCCAGAATTGAGACGTTGGGAACAATACTGGCATGCAGGGGAATCAAGGGTGAATAGACCGGAGGCGGGCCAGGATCGTGTTCTGCTGTTATAGTTGGCGTAAGAGGCTGAGGGGAAGCCGCTGCAAAGTTTTGTCCACTAGTTCCACGCCTGCGAGAAGACCCAAATCCAGATCGGCGGGCCTTCTGACCAGCAAAGAGGGGAAATTTGGAGAATTGCAAGGGTCGATATCGCGCAAGGAGAGAGCCAGCATGAGCAGCAGCCGGTCCAGTCACACGAGGGCCATTCACAGCGGGCATGTTGCCATCGAGTTCAGATGGGATATGGCGAGATGTAGGGGCGTTTTGGGCGGTAGTGTGGGCGTTCGTAGTATAGGTTGTCGAGTTCGCGTTTGTGGGAGGCATTGTAGAAATGTGGTCGTGAGCAAGAGAGTCCGAGTCGGACTCGCGCACTTAGACTATCCATGACTAATCTTAATCCTATTCTGATTGACCCCAGCACCCCAAGTCGTTGTAGTGTACAGTGAAATTGATAGCGAGATGAAAACTTCTATGAAATCGATGCAATGCGAAGCTAATAGCTCGCTCTATCCAGACTCGGCCTTTGCAAACACTTGCCGCATGCTCGCGAGCTCTTCGTGCTGCCTTCGGTGCTCCGCCATGAGCTTACCCAAGTCGTCGGTGTCCATCAGCTCCCCATCTGAATCAGCGTCGGTCAAAGAGCCGACGCTCCCATCCTTCGTCAGCATGTTCTCTATCTTGTCCTTTTGCGCCAGGATTTTCTCGAATGTGATTAAATATCGGCGATAGCATTGGCTGTACCGAGCGCGGAGGGAAGCGTGGTCACTGGGTAAAGGGCGTGCTTGCGAACGAGCACTGGTATGAGATGAATGATGAGAGGGTCTGACGGTCTTGGGTGGTGTAGGCAGAACAGGTTTATCAGGTTTAGGCGAAGGTTCGTCTGCCTCATCCTCTGTGGTGGTGTAAATGGGCGATCGTCGACGATGATTCTTGTTCGAGCTTAAATGCTTGGGTGCGGGGGACCCCCTCTGTTTGTTGGGGCGGGACGATGAAGCAGCCTTAGTCGGAAGGTCTGACTGACGTCTTGGCGGCGGCGGAGAAACCTCCCGTCTGATACGTGGTTCTGGTGCGGGCGAAGGATCTACTCTGGTAGGTTTGGGGCGCGGTGAACTGGTAGCTGCTTCTGCTTTCTGGGCCATAGGCATCTTCTTCACCACACTCTCTTCTCTCAACGAAGATGAACCTCTCTCAGTAATATCAAGCTTCTGTCGTTTGATGGACGACGTCCGCGAGGGAAGGTATTCTTGCTCGTCAGCATCCCGAGGGACTTTCTTCCGCTTCAGGCTTCCCGAAGACACATCCAACTTGTTTCTCGGCTTCTCAGGGTCTCTGGTTTGGCGCTCGGTCGTCTCCCAGTCCATCTCCCAGTCAGAGTCCCGTTCCCTCACTCGGTCGCGATCGCGTTCTCGGACACGAGCACGATCAACATCTTTCCTAGGCCGTTCCCGCTCGACATCTGACGCTAGCTGTGATTCTTGCTTCCTCTTGACTGATTGCATTGAAGTTGATCCATTAAGCTTGCGTTCCGGGGGAGGCACCGAAGGTCCTGGCTTAGCGGGAAGGGATGAGGGCATGTCTCTCTCCTTCCGCTGGACATCGACAGGTGGTCTAGGTCGAGGAATTGGGGGCGGCGCCGGGGAGTCTCCTCTCTCCGAGTGACTGTCATGGGAGGCAGTTTTGGGAAGACGGTACCCTGATCCAGGCCTTCGCACAGCGGCTAGAGATTTGTTCGACAAAGAAGGGGACGGCGATGGTCTGTCCTCTGCATATCTCTCCTTCCCGTTACTTTTGGATACCGAGGGAACCCGCTCATCTCTCGCAAGGGCCAATGGTGCTTCTGGTTTGGATTTGGATTTCTTCTTAATAATGTCCGCGGAAGGTGCGCTGCGCTTTGATACGTCTGAAGGTCCTGCCTGCCCGTTTTGGGAAGCGGTCCTCGCTGCAATCGGACCACTTGCGTTGGAACTGACTGATTGGCTTGAGGCAGGGCGCATTCTAACGTGATCCCAGGCTGGGTCACCATTAGGTATCCCGAGAGTCGTGAACGCCTTCCTTGCGGTATGAATCATCGATGTTCTTTCCGCCTCTGTGAGTTTCGGCCATTCATACGGCCTCACATCCAACCACGACTCAGATTTCAGCTTCCACTTGGACAACTTGTTCCCGTTCTTGGTCGGTTTGTCTGCTACCTGTGACATTGTCTATTGACTATACCGAGAGAGATCAATTTGGGAACACGCACCTCTTCCAATAAACTGAGAAGATCTCGCTTAGAAGTGGGGTCAGGATCAGACCCAACAACTAGCCGGACGACTTCCTCCGAGCTGCGTTCTGCGACTGCTAGGCAGTGAATGAGGCGCTTCCGCATTGCGGCCGTGCTCTCCTTGTTGACCTTGGGCGGCGGCTTCGGTGCAGGCGGTGCAGGAGATGCGACGCGAGCGGCGGGAACGGGAACTGGTAAAGTGTTCTTGTTGGGGATTGGTTCCTTGTGCGGATTACGAAACATGGGTGTCTTGGGCTGCTTCTTCTTCCTAGCGGGGGCACCTACCTCTGGAGGTGGGGCGTCCAGGACAATAAGTTGGCGCTGTGAGCGCTGGTTAGCGGCATCGGCTGCACTTTCGCGAACTTTACTGGTGACGGTAGATAGATCCCGTTCAACGGTGAATTTGCCCATGACATTTGCGTATAGCTTCAAAGGCGCCATGGGCTTCGCAGCAGATGAGGCGCGAAGATAGAGATCATGGGGCACATTCTCCAACCGCGTACGCATAGGGAAGAAAGTTTCGCCGATATAGATCCCCTGGTAGCAGGATGATATGTCTTCAGTGAATGCAGCCCAGACACCGCGCAATAGCTACTCACCGGGTTGTCACCGAACTCGAAATCCATCTGTGGTTGATTTTGAAAGTTGGATAGGGCTTCTAGGGTTTCTGCAGACATGCGAACAAGCATGGCTTGCTTGGGCTTGGAATGCACGGCATCTCCAGGTCGGGAGTGACCTTGGAGCGAAAGGCTCCCGTTGGCTGGCAGGGGCATAGTGACGCTCGTATCTCGCGGGGTCGTTAGTGATGTTGTCCAGCAGCTCAGGGAAGCTCAACCAATACGCGGTATCTGCTGATGGACAAACGCTGGTACGAGGAGGAGGGGGAGGGGCAGCTACTGGGCCTTGGAGGGTGTAGAGAAACAAGAGCCCAAACCGATCATACCGACACTGTCGTGCAGGGTTACACCGCACCTGCCTCTTTGGGATATGCATTGTTGCCACCGTGTCTCACGTGCGATATTCAATGTCATTGTTGAAGTGAGCATTCTACGTAGTTGCCTACCCAGCGCGGTTTCACTATATATTCAAGGGCCACGAGGGCTGCGAAATAAAATTCAAGAAGGCGAAGACAACTTTGACAAGCATCTATGTAACTTCTGAGATCAAACTGCCGACTCCAAGGGCACTGGACGTCGCTAATCGTCGAGTGATTGTCATGGCTGGAGGCCTGCTCGGCTGAGACTAGTAGAGCCTAGAAGCAGTCAAGGCGTGATAAACTCGTGTATTCAGGCTTTCAGATGTTCCTCCAGAAAAGTCACGAATTTATGTGCGACGCTCTCTTCACTCCAGTCGACGGCTCCCTTCTCTGTGGACCCAAGAGTAATGGCCTTCTTGTGGATCGTGATGAACTGGCGTTTGTATCTCTGTAGTTCTGACAATGTGATATGTCTTGATGGAAGGTTGATCTGAAGCTGGAGGCTGGGTGTCACGGAGAGTGCCACTGGCCCGCCGAAGCCTTGCGATTCGGTCATAACCGCCGATACAATTGAGGTGGTTGTCTGCTCCAGGCAGTGCAGCGCGTCGCTGGGGGCTTTGACGGACTGGAGAGTACTCGCATTCGGAGGCTTGACGTTGCCCTCCGTGATCGCGTCCCAAATCTGATCGCCCGGAACACCACCTTCTGTCCACAGCACCGTGAATAACGGCGAGTCCCACCGTACCATTGATGATGGTTCCTCGTATCGCATAATGAGGCCGTTAAGTCTGGGGAAGTCAGGGAAAGTAGTCATATGAGAGGGACCACATACGTCTTGTCGGAATATTTTCCATCATCTGGCCGAGTGAGATTCCATTGGTGGCATAATTCAGGTGTTGCTACGACATATACCTGGCTTGATCATTGATGGATGGAGGTGTGGAGAGTGCAAGGAAGTCCATACTTACAGTACACATCCTCAGTTTCATCTCGCGAGCGGCGCAGTACATCTGGTACCGAAAGCCTTTGATATAGTTTAATGAATCGACGATCAGGACGGTGTCGGCGTTCATCTGCCTTTGCAGTGTCGTAAAGAGTGTCCCGCGTGCAGGCTTTTCCGCTCGGCTGTCTGACATACTTTGAGTCGCATGTTTACTTCATGGGACGACACGAGCATGCCTACCATCATAAGCTGTGCGACTGATGCCCAAGGAGTCGTCGGAGAGAACAATAACCTGTTTGAGGGGGCCAGAATACTCGGGATTCTTGATTTTTGCTTCTAAATGTGCCTTGATCTGCTGTGTGCGAGTCGATTTCCCAGAGGAAGGGAACCCGGATATGGTTATGAAAGCCATCAGGGCCTATGAGCTTGATGAGGGCACTACTCGACTGCAGTGATCCAAGTATCAGATAGTTTCCAAGTTGTACCAGGTGCCACGTGACATGCGATTTTCCGGAGGTGCACAATGCATATACAGTTCTCCTCGCGACCATAACCCGCCAACCTCCCTTTGTCGCTGGCGTCCATCATCAAAGCCACTCATTGTATATTCTACGTCGCCCGCTTCTCCTTGAACCTGGAGTTCTGCCCAAGCCGCCCAGCTCTTGACGCCAAGCCTCCCGCGGCTACAACCACACCACGACTACGTATCGAACACACCTCGCTTCTGATTCAACCGCACGACACGCCTCGACGGGCGCAACATGATAGCCGCTACTGCTCAAACGACACCTCACGACCCGACGACTAATGGCGCCGCTCATGCGATGCAGGACAGGCTTTGTCCGGGGTGTAAACAATCCGCAGTGACAGAGGACGGGGGTCTGGTAGTTGCGTTCGGGTGAGTCATGTTCTGCAATGCAAATGCAACGCCGCTACCCCTTGCGCGCTTTTCAGCACCCTTACTTGTTGGTATCGTCGCAGACAGAATACTGACACATCCTAATCGTAGCCAATCCTTTTTCCACGTCGACTGCTTCAAGTGCGCGAAATGCGGCAATCAGGTCACGGCAGACACAAACATCCTTTTGCTATCTGATGGCTCCCCCGTTTGCGCCAATTGCTCGTATAGTTGCAGCGTTTGTCATGAGCCTATCTTGGACGAAGCCATCATGACCGGAGAGGACTCTTATCATGCTCACTGTTTCAAATGCAAGGTCTGCAACAAACGGATAGAAGAACTTGTCTTCGCCAGGACGAGCCAAGGCATCTATTGTATGGACTGTCACAACGAACGCATGATTAAGATCAGGCGGCACGCTCAGAAGAAGGCCGAGAAGGAACGGAACGGTGGAAGTGGTTCGTCGCGTTCGCGCGACCATGCCGCCCGGGAGTTTCATCGCGAGAACGGCGTAAGTATGACTATTTCTTTCTTGGATACCGTTTAAACCGTTCTGTAGCGAGCATCACCAGCCAATCCACGGACATCCGATAGGCCAGGTTCATCAAGGTCCCATACCAGCGGCCGGAAGAACCTACACCTAGACCTTTCAAGACCTAGTAGTTCACGAGGCGCAGACAAACCCATCGTCCGCTCGCCCAAACGCGAGTACGTCGAAGACGCATTTGATCCTAGTATGTCAACATCGAACTCCCCGCGGCCAGGAGCCACCGTACCGTCTCCAACTTCCCCTGGAATCGCAATCACCTCCTCGCTGGGAGGCAATTCCCTGAAAGCCCGCGATACCCAAGGGTCGGTCGCATCCCCTGATGATTTTGCCCCGCGCCCGCCTCCAAACAAGAACAACACTCTCCCTATACCACCGTCGGCTAATGGCGATAAATCATTACGTCGCAAGAGCTATGACGACGGTGTACGACCTCTAGACATACTCTTCCGTCAGAACTCTGCTGGCAGTCCTGAGGGTCATGACGAGCAGCCGGCGACTACCGTCGCTGAAGGCACTGGTCTCAATCTTCCTACCTCCCGACGTGACAAGCGACGATCGATAAATCCAGGCCTCGTTCTAGGGGATGTCACGAAACTCCCAGAAATGTCCGCAGGATCCTCAACTACTCTACTCTCACCTATATCTGGCGTTTTCAGTGGAACATCTAGCAAATATCCTAACAGCCCTCCAGGGCGCGAATCACCACAAGGTGATCCTAACTCATCTTGGCGTAATTCACGACGCTCAACTTCGACATCTATTACTTCAGAGCAATGGCGGGACGCGAGTAGTCAATTCAGTCGCCCTTCATCGGCTACTGATTCACGCGAGGCTGGTTCTTCTGAGGGTCCGGCTCGGTCGTCATTTGCATCTAGCCTCAATGTACGAAGCAGCCGCTCAAATAGCAGGTCTCGCCCCAATTCCCCAGCTCACCAAGCTGATGTACCACATAACATTGAAAGTGATACCGATGCTGAAAATGGCGAAGTAGAGTTTCCTCCCGCCCTCCCCCCTAAGGAGAACCCAGGCCCTGCGGCTCCCTTGGCCGAATCACAACCTTCAGAACGAGGGAGTTTCGAAGCGGATTCCACCCTTTACAACGACAGCGAGGAGGATCTATCCGACGCTTCACCTACTCAAACTCATCACACTTATATTGCGCCAGCGTTGCCTCCCATTCGATTTTCCCTTCCAGCTGACTTCTCCGACCTTCTGTTCCCCCTCCCAGCTGATGTCTCTGATCGATTGAATGCTGCTAAAGCCGCTGACACCCTCAAGTCGGTACCCGAACACAATGAAGTACCCACCACTCCCCCACCAACGGCGGTATCTCTCGCTAGTAACGGAACGTCAAATAGTAGTGGTGCAGGTACAATTGTCGCGTCTCCGGCCGTTTCCTCGTCAGACTTTGGGACAAAGAAAGGAGATCTCAGGGGGAAGAAACATCGTAACCCATCCCCCACCTCTGTCAACGGCGAACTCAACCAGACTGGCATGAGGAACGACGTATACCAAAGGCGGTCTTCGTCAGATACTTTTGGGCCTTCAGTCGATTCCAGTGATTCCTTTAAAGATTCGAAGTCTCCTATGATCACTGTCACGGAGTCTGAACCCAGTCCTTCCGTCAATTCGCAATCCAGCCCAGATGCTCTTGTCTGTAGGCGACTAAGAGAGGTCATTGAAGACGCCCAACAACGCGGAGTACAACAATTGAAACTCGAGAAGCAGTTTGTTGAAACCATACTGAGCGCGCTTGAGTCTAAACGTGACGAATGCTCGGAAATGAAAAGCCGGCTGGATGGGATGAAGGTACGTGCTGTCTTGACGCATCTGGGCGCTTGGTTTAACACCCTCTCAGCGTGAAAGTCGTCAGTACATGGACGGTATCTCCGTTGCTTCATCGGAATATGACAAGGAGTTGAAGGCAAGACGCGCTGCTGAGGCGGAGGTCACTCGATTGAAAGTCCAGCTATCTGGGCAAGCCGCAAGCCTTAACGCGATGTTAGAGGAGAAAGGACGCCAACAACTATTGCAGAAGATGACCAAGGAATTACACGACAATCTTGCTGGACTGGAGCAGAACGTTTCTAAGCTACGAGTGGAACGAGACATGACGCTTGCTGAAGTCGAAGAGCTGTCGAATTCTAAAGGGTGAGTTGGTATAGTTTGTTGAACGGTCTAGACTGACTTCGGACCTAGTGCCTCAACTGCGAATGCAGAAGCCCCTCCCGCTAATCTGGGAAGGTCCCTGACAAAGCGTCTCGACAACATCAAGTCGCAGTATAAGCACGAGCTCATTCCGCTGAAAGAGCAAAAGGAGGCTTTGGTCAGGGAGATCGCCGAGTTGAAAGCTGCGAGAGAAGCGTGTCTAGAAGAGACAACCGTTCTCAGCGCACGCTACGAGGAAATCGCGGAGCTTACCAACCAATACGCCCGACGGATGGACAGCCTTCCTGAGACTCCTGCCAAAAATCCTGTTTTAGTTGCACCTACCCGTCCGCGAGGCTCTTCCATGGACAGAGGCCAGCCCATTCCTCCACCGATGGCCCACTCAATAAGTCTCCCAGCTAATTCAGCTCTGCACAACGACGGCACCCTCAAAGTGCAGAAGCCCGACGTGGTAGACATGCCTACACCTGGGAAGAAGTTCAAGTGGCCGGGCGTGAAAGCACAACTAGTTAGTGTCGTGAATGGTGCTCGGGGCAAGGCAAAATCGGAGCACGCCTTTCAACAGATGAGCATACTGCGCTTCACCCGGTGTGATCATTGCGGTGACAAGATGTGGGGATCACAGCTCCGTTGCTCAGGTCAGTCTTCCAATTGACTAAGATTTGAGCGAGAATGCTGAAGTGTACTAGGCTGTAACATTTCCGTCCATGTTCGATGCCACAATCACGTGCTTGCTTCCTGTTCGCAGCAAAATTCACAGCATAGAGAACCCGACGTTGTGGAGCCTCGTGAGTCCCTCTTCTCACAGACGATCTCCATTGATCTCACACAATATAGTGGGACCATCTATGTTTGGCAGAGATTTGACGGAACAAGTACAGGCTGACCGCCAAGGGGGCTATCGGCAAGTTCCTGTGATAGTAGAGAAGTGCATCGCTGCTGTAGATGCTCTTGGTGAGAAATCGCGAGCGCTCTCCGTCATTCGTTTGCTAACGATTCATGTAGCTCTTGATTACGAGGGCATCTACCGGAAGACGGGCGGTTCTAGCCACACGAAAAACATCACTCAACTTTTTGAACGTGGCGATTATTCCTCTTTCGACTTGACCGATTCCGAACGGTTCAACGATATATGCAGCGTCACTTCCGTCTTAAAGACATACTTCCGAATGCTACCCATCCCTCTACTTACCTTCGATCTACACGACAATTTTATGTCGGCAATACAACTAAGAGAAGCCTCGGCAAAGAATATCGCCCTTCTAGAGTTAATTAACAAACTGCCCGACGAGCACTATCACACATTACGTGTCCTTGTACTTCATTTACATCGGTATGCTTATTGTTCGCTCTCTTCGACTCGCTGCTCACGAAAATCCTTAGCGTCTACCAACATAGGGAGACGAATCTTATGAGCGCGCGGAATTTAGGCGTTGTCTTTGGCCGTAAGCCTGGTTTCATTTCACTTTGGGAGCCTATCTTGATAGCACACTTGTAGCCACGCTTTTGAGATCGCCAGACCCGAGCGCCGAGTTCAGCGACATGGCCGGCAAGGCCCTATTTATCGAATGGATTGTCGAGAACGCCACCTTCGTTTTTGAAGACGACTCATAGTCGGGACGGATTTATTTGTATCTACATTTTCCTCGTGTACGCGGTGGGTTCTTTAAGGTTAATGGTACGTTAACCCTCCTTATGGTGGGGCTGATGGGCATATTGTACTTTCTTCTTTCATCTTATACGCAGCACATCTCATTAGATACCCTAAGTTCCATGGATTCCATTTGTTTGTTTACATACGGGCTTGTACCTAAAGTGTCATCCCACACGGTCATTCCCTTGCACGCGGCACTGGACGGGTCACAATCTCTGGCTTTAACGAACAGTAAAGGAAGTGGCGGCGGGGACCGGTTACCCCTCCAGCAACTGCGGCGGCGGCGGCGACTCGCGCACCTAGTGGCGCGGACTCTGTGCCGCTCCCCCGAACACCGAGGGAGAACATCCTATCAAAAACTAATCGGAGAGAGAGGATGAGAAGAGGAGTTTGAAGGGAAACGGTACACACGTGTTGCAATGAAGGCTTTGGCACTAGTCTGGCAGGCAAGATGGCTCAGGGCTAACGGTGGGCTGACTCCTTCGAGCATACGAAGATACCGAAAGACCATTGAAGGTTGTGGAGGTCCTGTGAGGTGAAAATGTCTAAGGACTGCATTTGGTAAGCCATAGAGAGTGCAGCGCACCGAATCTGAAGACGGCATGGTAGGCTTGTCGCCACTTCTCTTCTAAGAGGCGAGCACAATTGGTTGAATCTGGACAAGATGGGCACTATGGAATGAATGCCTCGTATGGCAGACGATAGATCTAGACATGGACTCACGCACTGGTATTCTTTCGCGATCAATGTAAGGCCCAACTTCAACACTCGCTCAAGGAACCAATTCCGTCTGGTGGTTCGCAGTTTCAGTAGGGAGGGGTGAAAAATAGCGCGACACAACGCGTACCTCTTTTCTAATTTAAGCAGTGTCTCTTGGCTCAGTGTATTTAGCTCATGCTCCGACCACCCCCCAGGGTTGTCCAAGACGAATCGGCTAGCTTCTCGATATAGTTCTTCTTCCTCGAAGAGCTCTGCGATGCGAAGGGCTTTAATCGGTCTGCCGGCCGCACTTTTGAGCAAGAAGGTCAAGCATTCTTGCTGTAGGGACGGCACCGAGAGTTTATGCGAGATATTCATGAGCCCTTCGACGTTGTTCCATGTTATAGTGCAAACGAGGCTGGCGTATGCGTAGGTAAGTATTCTGCATAATAACAAACTGAGAGGATGTAGGCGAGCTTACTGAGGATAAACAAATTTGAGAAAGTCGTGAAAGGTACTGGCCTACAGGATAGAATAGATTGGTGAATATATGCGGCATAATGAATGAGAATCGCACGCGTTCTTCTTTGAGAACAATAACTGCGTCGGGGCCGTTCCTGAGACGTCGTTTGAGAGCACCCTGGGTGGTGGATTTAGCGGTAGTGGGGACTTCAAGGCTAATATTATCTGTAGAGGATCGAGATGAAGTGCCCTGTAACTTTGCCAGGCTCGAGTTTCTGGCTTTAGCTCTCTCCTCCTTTGCTGAATCACCTTCCTCGGAGTCACTTGAAGTAGTGGGCTCCGTCCCGGCGAGTTCCCCGGGTACCAGAATCTCGAGATCGTCCGGATATACGTCCGGGTCCATTGGCGCGAAGGTCATCTCAGTAGGACCTTCGCGGTTGCCTTTGTCCCCTGGATTCGAAGGTGGCTGGGAAATGGTAATAACGGACGACATAGATGGAGGTCGTCCAGTCTCTGCCCAGTTCCCACTAAGAGCTGCCTCGAAGAATGGGGACGAGAAGAAGAGGACCTCTTTGTGTGCCCTGCCCTTAGTGTCAGGAGCGGTAACTGCTATTACATCGGCGACCTACCAGAATGTAGTGGTCTCGACGATGATCTTCACCGTGCCAGGAAATCTGCTATTCTTTGTGAACGTCTCATCGAGATCAATGGCCAGGTCGTCAGAATCGATGCTCAGGTCGGAGACGATATCGTCGGTCTCGCATTCCTCGAGCAGCCATGGAGGGGAGCCCGTCGCGCGGAATATACCCGCCGCCGCTGCGTGTGTTTCTGTCGGAGAGCTGAGGGAAGCAGACGGCGTGTTTGGGCCTCGAGAATGTCGCGCGATGAGGATGTGAGAGGGATTGGTGCTCATTGTGGTCGACGGTGAAGGAGAGCAGTACAGCACGCCCCTGTCTATCTACAGGAACAGGACAAGGGCCTCATTAGGGGACTTTTGGCATCGTGGCTTAGTAGTGTAGTGGTTATCACACCAGATTCTGACCAGTTTCACTTGTGAATTCTGGTAACCCAGGTTCGAATCCTGGCTAGGCCTCCACTTTTTGTTCACGACAAGAGCAAGATACAGACATTCAATTACAGGGCAAAACTACGACTACACATCTTTCTGACGTTTTGGTTTTCTTTTCCCTACCTCCTCCTTGCCCTGGCCATCTATTCGTTTTCGTTTCTGGACGAGGCGTTCTGTTTCTTCTTCGTCCGATTCGAATTGCTCGATGTCCTCGTCGACGGCCTCGCTCTCTCCATCGCTTCCGCCATCTAAAGGAATGCCGTTCTCAGAGGCTGATCCGTCCTGATCTTCCTCGGCTTCCACTTCTTCTTCTGGAAGAGGATTGACAAGCGTGTGGGCCGGCGAGAAGGGGTCACTTTGAAGTGAGCCAACCAATGAGAGCATCTCGTTCGCAATGGTTAGGCTGTCCATATCTCATGAGTGCCGGCATCCAACGAGAGGGCATGCGACTTACCCAACCACCACAAACGAGATGAATCCACTTTCCCCACCAACCACCTCTGAGGTCAATTTATGAATCCATCGCCCGCTATGACCTTTGGATGCATCCTCTGACGCGTCCTGTTTCTCTTCGTCTGTATCCTGAGACACAGCACCGAATTCCGGGTCGTTTTCAGCCGGACCATATTCAAACTCCCAGTCATTGGTTGGGATATGGCGTCGGGGTATTGACACATTGAATGTGCGATGCACGAGGAGGGATATGTGATCGGGAGAGCACAGGTTAACCTTCCCAGCTTGCAGAGATGGATGAGACTAGGTATTATGAAGCGAGCAGCTTGGAGCGCTGAAAGCAAACTCACTGATTTTCATTCCGACGCGGGGGCTCCATATTACTGCATCGAACGCGACATCGCATATTAGGTACGGGCTGTCTCCTTTTATTATCCCGGTGTCTTGGATGAAGGAAAGGTTGGAATGGGATAAGACCACGCCCTCCAGAGCTGGTATATACCTAATAACTAACGCATGAGGCGGCAATAATTACTGTGAAAGCTCTGTCCGTACCGCATTACCATGGAATCTAGCAGTTCCTCCACTCCGATGCGAGGGTTGCTTGCGAATATAGGGGATATCGAAACGGTCAACGTAGTCTTGACAATCCTGAATTCACTTTCTTCTACCTCCTTCGCCTTGCCCTTATCCTTCTTCACAAGTGGTGTAGTTGCATCCGAGTCGAACTTCATGGATTTGGCTTTTTTGAGGACGCTATCGCCTATATTTTGAGCATGTTTGCGCTTTTTTGAGGGTGTGCTGTGCATTTATGGAGTGAAGAAACGAGAACTCTGGCCTCTGGCCTTGATACTTGGATCTTGATGCTAAAGTCTGGCACGAAATGGATTTCCAAAAATTTCGGTCGCGACAATTTCCCACGATCCGCCTCCGTCCCAACCACTTTCTCCGTACACTCATTCTCATTCTCTTGCTTGCTCTACGCCAACTTAATGGTGAGTAATTCGTTGCTTGGATAGGGTTTTAGCTGACCATGAACGTAGTCTAATCCCCCTAAATTACTAATCTCTATAGTTGTAGCAGCAACACGGATACTTGGGAAAGCATTTTTGGAAGCAGGAAGGCAGGCCGTTAAAAGTTCGTGATGCCCGATCCTGTCTTGATTGAAATGATAGCTGACCACCTCATAGATGCAAAACACGCACCGCAAAACGCGATTGGCGCTGACGTCGCCGGTGTCAGCAATGCAACCTCGGGGACCATAACAGACCAACTAACGAGGCAACACCGCATGACACTTGATGAGGCGCATCTCATTCTAAACATAAAGAGAGGGGAATCTATGGAGAACGTCTTGAAGGTCAGATTCACCCCAGTCGGATAGTCGGCCATATTGACGACCAATACTCCATCATCCAGCATTACGAACATCTCTTCAAAGCTAACTCACCGCCTCCGCCACTACCAAAGCCACAGGCAACTGGGGGCAAAGTCCCGCCGCCGCCTGCCCACTCGCATTACCTACAATCGAAAGTAGTCCGGGCTAGAGAGCGAATAGAAGCGGAGGTAAAAGCTGGAGAATCACCAGCTCCGGCCAACCCTGGCGCTCCCGGGGCAGACACACCCCCACCATCGACGGCATCGAGAGCAGCAGACGGTAGTTGACTAGGACGATGATTTGTACATAGCACCTCTTAGAGTAGTATACCACCCCCGTTCTTGACGACGGCTGTCGCTTGAGTTCAGCGGTGCACCGTGGGCGCTTAGCGCCTTATTCTAATTTAGGGCTGATTATGTCAGCAACCGCGTGGCTCTGGGCAGGAGATGCTGAACGCTGCGTCTCTCAGAAGCCGCGTTCGCTCACCCAACCTCTTCTCCTCCCTCCTCCCACCATGACAGCTCAGGAGCCGTCAGTCTCGCCGCAAAACGACAAACTGTCCAATAATCCCTCCTCAGAACCACCAGCAAAGGTTTCTGAGGCGAATGGTAGCTCCAACCAGGCCGCCAAGGTCAATGGAATACACGAAGACTCCACCGCTTCTGCCAGCAACGCCTCGATAGGACGAAGTAACCAGGATGGCGCAGCGTCGGGTGCAGAAGCGGAGAACTCAGTGGCGTCGCAGGATGCGTCCAAGTCGTCAGCGCCAATGGCAAAAGTCCCAGCTTCTGAGCCTGCAACGGAGGAGAAAGCAACTGTTTCTACCAAGGAAAATGGAGCTACTCCGAATGGGTCAGGTGCCGCGCGAGACGCTCCTGGAGATCTATCCAAACGAGATAAACCTTCCAATGGGACCCATCCTGCTCCTGTTCCGATAGCGAAGAAGTCGAAGTCACCTAATTCTCAAAACAGGCCTTCCTTTTTTGTGAAACTCGTTTACAAGCTCGTGCCGTGTGTTGGTCCGTCAAAGGCTCACGAGTCGCAACCGGAGTCTCCCACCCAACCCGAGCAGAGTACCTCGAACGAGAAGGCCAAGGCTGAAGACCCTCCGACCCAAGCTCCCGCCCCACCGAAGAAAGATGTGGAGACATCTGAGAAAACGTTGCCCGTGTCCTCTGACACAGCCGAATCCTCAAAGATTGCGATCGTTATTCCACCACCCATCAGCACAACGCCTCCCCCAATCTCAGACTCCGATATAATAATACCTCCAACCCCAACGTCACAACTACTCCCCGAAGAGGAAACGGGAGGAGTGACTGCTGGGGCAGTCCAGGCACCTGGATCCACGGGCGGTAGCAGCATCCATATCCACCACGAACACAAAAAGAGAGACTCGACTATTGCCACAAACGGCGTTGGTGATGGGGACGAGTCTGAGGCAACGAGTTTCGATACAGACGAAGAGCTAGACGATACACGTCAAGACGAAATGGAAGACGATGAAGATATCCTTATATTGCGAGGCGGAGCGGGGATTCCTATCGGACCAGTACGTTCTCTTGCAAAATTCACAATTCAGGATATTTATCTAGGACTTTGTGCTTATAGGACGGCGTGCCAAAACCACTTCTGCCTCCGATTGCCCCTCAACATGTTGGCAGGAAGTGTCTGGTTCTTGACCTTGATGAGACCCTAGTGCACAGCAGTTTCAAGGTACGATACGCTGTCACTTTCGACACTCCCATTCACCCGTCTTCAACCAGTCTATTCAACAAGCGGATTATGTCGTCCCTGTTGAGATTGAATACCACTGGCACAATGTCTATGTGATCAAGCGCCCTGGAGTGGACAACTTCCTGAAAAAAATGGGTGAAATCTACGAAGTCGTAGTCTTCACCGCCAGTCTCAGCAAGGTAACGTCAGCATAACTTGACATCGGCTTCGTTGACTGATTTTACGTTTCGCTTAGTACGCCGACCCGGTACTTGACAAATTGGACATCCACCAAGTTGTCAGCCATCGACTTTTCCGAGAAAGTTGTTACAATCATAAGGGTAACTATGTTAAAGTTTGTGTCCCACGATTCACGCTTTGCGATCACCGCTCATATAACATTCGTCACAGGATTTGTCGCAACTTGGCCGTCCAATAGGGGACACCATTATCCTGGACAACTCACCCGCGTCCTACATTTTCCATCCCAACAACGCCGTCCCCGTCTCATCATGGTTCAACGATCCTCACGATACGGAACTTACCGATTTAGTCCCCTTCCTTACCGACCTAAGCACGGTCGACGACGTTCGCGGGGTCCTAGACGGTGCGCGATAGGACCATTGTCGGCGGCTCAGCTTTCGGTGCTTTCTCGGGATCGTCGGAAATAGCTGACCGCCTCTAACACCCTATCGTCGATACGTTCTCTAATTGGTGATAACTGCCTCGTATACGGCATACGGAGCATGGAGACCACATTTTGTTTCTTACGCATATCCTATTCTACGTCACATTTGCAATTCTGTCGTTTCCGGTGCTTATCCATTTCCCTTCTACATCACGTTCTCTTCATGCCTTCGCACTCACAACGCCTCTCGTATACCCATGCAAGCAACCTACCGTATGCTCTTACGCCTAGTTCTCCCGGCTCTATATACCGGTAAAATGCCGTCCCCCTCCTCATACCGCTTGATATGTTATCGTGGTACCATTCCTTTTTCTTTACTTTTCAACTACGTTTTGCTGTGCACTCCATCGACTTAGTACCGTACACGCTGCTTTCGAGTACTCGTTCCTTCGTAGGTTTTGCGTTGTAGACGGGTGTTATGAATACATGAATATGACGAATAGGAATTTTAATGTTTTCAACGAGGTGTCGAAGTGTTTATTGCCTAGATATGAGATGTGGATCGTCTTCATAAATGTTTAGATGAATGATGGATAGGATCGTAGGACCTTGTAACTAAGAGCGTGGAAGTGTCCGATTCCTGGAATGTCACAGCTATAGTTCTTAGTTCTCAATGTCGTTCTCATCACACGACTAGCAAGAGGCAAACTGGGCGTAAAGGTCGTGACGGGTCGTATTTTCTATAATATATAATTTCAACAGTGATCAGTACATTGGATGGCAACAAACACGCTGACTCCAATTGTCCATCTAGATCTTGGCTTACAGATTTCGACTACATGGACTTCATCAAATCTCCCCTTCCGGCTTCAGATGCAGAAGGCGCAGGCTCCTCGTCGTCCCAGGGACTGAAGTTCGGCTTGCGAACACGGGGCAAAGACTGGAGCCACGAGGGCAAAGGGAACATGTGGTGACTCTGCGGCATCCCGTTGTGCGAATGATGCAGACCCAGCCCGATGCCGGGAGCATTGTTCATGTTCACAGCCGTGGCATGCACATGATTCGGGGATGATGGGATGCTTCCAACGTCGCTGAGACTGGGAAGGCGTTCGAGACTAGCGTTCGATGAACCACCTAGCGCGCGTTGAAGCACCTCACGCTCTGCAGGCGATGGGGCAAATGCTCCAGAGAACAGCGTGCCACTAGTGGCGGTCGAGGAAAGCGAAGTCATGCTGAGGCCGTTGGGGTTGAGATTATCGTAGCTCTGAAGACCGAGAGAGGCACCGAGGACGGGATTGGAGCCTTTGATGAAGCTGGGTAGACTGAAGACTTTCGCGTCAGGATTGAGACCTTTCTTTGGACCTTTTGATGATGTAGAGAACCAACGCCGAGGGAAGCTGCCCTTACCACCATCATGTCCACCGGCGGCGACTGCCTCCCAGCTCTGGTCTGCGCTGTGAACGTGAGGTGGGTCGGAGTAAGTGCGATGGGGCACGGCACGACGAATCGCGCTTTGTCCTCTCAAGATGTCTCGATTTGACGCGTCTTCCGCGACACCCATTTCAGAAGTTCCCAACGGATGTCGGAAACGGTACATGTCAATACCTTGGGTGTTGCCTAGTTCCTGGATGCCTGAGGAGACATTTCTACGCCAGCGTCCGTCGAAACTAAGATCGCTTGGGAAAGACGAAGCGTCTTGTTGTGTCGAATCCAAGGTGCTGATGTAATTTGGCGCAACGAGTGGCCTACGGTTGAAAAGACTTAATAGTGCATGGTCCTGACCATTATCGGAATCATTGTTGAACGGTGACAGGTTGGTAGTGGGATAGTGCTCTGAGGTTGAAAGGGCTTTGAAGTCCATGAGGGTAGGATACAAATCCCCTTGGCCAAGAGACACATCATAATGGTTGTGGGTAGACGTATGTTCTGGATTATAATGAATATGGCTGTTGAAGTGATAGGCTGCTTCGTCAGAAATAGGGGAAGGCAAGCCTGCATCGAAAATCTCAGCGGGATACTCCGTAATCGGTGAAGGCACAAATCCAGGCTGCTGGGAGATGGTCCAAAGATCCTGAGAGGTAGGCTGCGAAGCAGCAAGAGCCAAAGTTTGCCTGTCGTGTTCGACGCGTGCCCTGAGCGTCTTCAACCTCTCCCTCTCGTTGGCCAATTTCTCTTCCAGACCTTTCGCCCGTAATGCAAGCGTAGCAACGACATCCTCGGCCACCTTCATTTCTTTCCGCTTCTCATCGATCACCTCTGAGATTTCCATCTCCATCGCTGTGATGCCCTTTATTTCCTTGCGCGCTTCGATGTCGCTTATATCCTCGTCACACCGGGTTTGTAAGGCTTGGATTTCCTTTGAAAGGGATTCCAAGCGGCGAGTAACATCGTCTCGGGCGGAACGGGCGGCCTTCAAGCGTCGCTCAGCATCGCGACGCGAACTTTCGGAGACGCGTTTGGTTTCTTCAAGGGCGCGGGTGCGAGACTTCAAATCAAGCCGTGTAGCTTCTTCATCTCGCTTTCGATCCCGGAGGATAGTTACTTCACTCTGAAGAGAAGCGTGGGACTGAGCAGCAGATGCCTGTTGTTCCGTGAGTTGAGTACGAGCGTCCTGTATGGAGGTCTTAGCGGCCGAAATCTGGCGTAGAACTTCCGCGATGAGGGGAGACTGGTCAAACAAGGTAACTGACGATGCCCTAGACAGTGGCACAGCAGAGTTGACATCCGGAGGTGCTGTATCTGAAACTGGCCTAGAATGTGAACCGACGATAGGGGACTCAGACGTTGATGGGATAGCCAATGGTGCTAGATCTTGGTGCGTCGTGTGCAATGGAAGTGAAACTGACTGGGGCAGTGGCGGCGGACTTTGACTCCGGGACTGATGGCTACTTTGTAGTCTATCTCGACCTCTGACTTTAGGGGTTGACTCTCGGGTCTTCGCGGTAAACGGCAGACCTGCGCCTTACTTAGGAAATAGTCCATAGGCCAACCACAGCACGCACCATTACAATCGTTGTTGAATTTATCCAACGATTTGATGCCTAGGATTCCGGAACTCCAGCTTTCTTCATCACTGGAACGAGCGATAAGATCGCGGTACCACGCCTCTATAACGCCGCCTCGCCACCATCTACCAAATGCGCCAATATACCACGAGTCTGCTATGAGCGATGATGCATCACGATCACGGAGATGATAGCTAGTTGTGTTGCAAATTCGTCCTGGTGTCTTTCCAATCGGCATCATGGCAGCGATGGTGCAGATGCCGAAATTGTGGAAGACATGTTTCGGGGTTCGTAATGAGACCGAAGCTCGCTTAGCAAAGTGGAACGAGGCCGCTAGATGGTCACCGCCTGAAGGGCGATATGCAGCCGACCCCGGCGGGCCAGGACGTACGCTATGAACAGGCTGAGTTTGCACATCCGTCTTGTCATCGAGGTGGTCATCGAGGTGGCTCAAATGAAGGCGGAAAGATTGCTCAGTGAGGTATGCTCGAAACGATGTTTCAGATGGGTTGGTGAGGTATGCTGAACATTCAACGAGAGGGCGAGGAGGAAATGAATGCACAGATGCGGTCCCGCAGCGAAATTCCCAAAACATCAATGTGCGAGCAAAGGAGGAGGGGTTGAAAGGACTGACCGAGAAGGACAACGACGATTACAAAGATCAGCAAGCAAAAGATGGACTTGATATGATCTCTGCCGAGCGAAACCGTTACGAGGTCCGAAACCGAGGTGCGTGAAGACAAAAGGGCCAGTCCGCCAAAAGAGAGACTCATTAGAATGTAGAAAAGAGGATCCCTATTGGTGGATTGAGTGAGGAAGGAGGCTGAGCCCCAGAACAGGCGCAAAAGTGAGTATTTTGTTTCGAGAGACAGTGTTACAGGGGGACGACAGTAAAAGGCGTCCCCAAATTGAAAAGAAAAGGGAAGTCAGGGAAATTTCAGAGTCGAGGATGAGGGAGAGGAGGAGGCATACGATTTTGCGATGCAGCCAAAACTTGGGTTCTCCCAGAACAGATCACGTGGGAATTCCCATGCGCTAAATTCTGGCTGTCGGCTTCTCAACAGTGCGCAACTTCATCGATCTCATAATGACCCTCAATCTCGTGCACGCCTCGTACGCAATCACAGGTCCATCGTGCTGGAGCGTGCTGGCCCTTGGCTCCTTCAAACGGACTCTGCGGGACGGGGGACTACCTCAAATGGATTTATCGCTTTATGTTACCTAGATCGACAATCCCCCATGCACTGAACACGCCCCAGGCTAAATCACGATGGACAGGAGTTCGGGTACTGCACCCCACGCCTTCCCATTAAGGTCGCCACTAGAAGACCCAGCTTCGGTGAGTACATGCTATATAAGTCGACAGGATGATGGTTTACAACCTTATCCATCTAGCATCAGTGCGTGGCTAGCCCGAACGCGTTGATCAGCGCAATGAGCGTAACTCCGACTCATATCCAATTCATATCGTTATTTTGCCGAAGTTTCGGAGCAAGCCACTGGAGTTCAAGCGTTGCTTTAATAATAGCCACAACAGACACAGATGACTCCCGATCGCGGTCCTGAGGGTCCTCTACCCGTCACCGTCACATCAACTTCCATGGTGTTTCTGAGCCAACGACCACAACCCGGAATGTGTCCTGTCGAGCTCCAAATGCTAGTCAAATAAACCCGTTACGGTAGGCGGTGTTTGTTGCTAGTGAGCACGAGTACAACTAACTCGAGTCACGGAGTACTTAGCAAATATGAACTGCTACATGTAGCATCGTTGGTGGTTACGTAAACATCGATGGTATCCGAGCCAGCACTCCTCGCCGTATTGCATTTGCCTAGCACAGCTGCAGCCGGTTGGTACGACGGCTGAATCTAGGATGATGTCGCATCGAACGGTGACGAGACCCTGCGGACGGGGGCTGCAACATTAGTTGCATCGCGCCGTAGGTTCTCGCAAGCAAGGGAATGATTCAAGGCAAATACCACTTCATGATCATCTAGGTACAAAGTCTTGATAACATATGCGCCCGTGTGCTCTACACCATACAGCCTTCTGACGTACTATCTGACAATTTACGACAACACCGTAGGAAATGCGCGAAATATGCAAGTCACAACCGAGAACTCGCGTCCCTTCACACCTGTCGTACTGCATGTACCGCGTTGGTTTCTGCTAGCTCTCCTTTGCTTTCTCTCTGTGTTTCACGCAGTTTTTTACCCTTATTTTTGACCGTTGTTGCCACAGCCAAAAAACAATGTCACGCATCACACCAAGACCCCGACTCCCTAAACTTAGTGTCTTGCCACAATCGCAAAATAGACCTGACCACAAGTCTGCCGTTTCTGGTCATTTGAAACCCTCTACGTGATGGAAGACACCGTCATCATACCCGAAGACTCGAAGCCCACGTCAACGCTTCTTCCTGGTGAGTAAGCCACATGCTGCAGAGCGCTCAGTGCTCACATGAGTAAACTGATAGGCAGGATTCCTGAGCTGCTATTACGTGCATTGAAACCGTTCTTCGTACAGGAAATCCATAACTTCCAAGCACACGCGAGATCAATCAGTTGGAACATGTGCACGCTAATCATGATGTTGGTCGTTTTGAATCGATTCAGGCGTTGATGTCCGTCAAGATTCTCTGATAATCTGATGCAGACATATCGTCTTTCTCACTCCAATCGCAGGACGCGCTTCTCACCTTAAGCGGACCCGAGAGATGCAACAAAGCCGGGGTAAAGTCCCAGGGGTTCCCGCCGACAGCTCACTACCAGAATGGCGATACGCCCGCAACGATGAGAGCTGATGCCAGGGGTCGGACCGGCTCCCTTATAACCCCCCGTCGCGTACGAATATATGATATCCCAGAAGGACCGCATCAAAATTTGCTTCACACTCAGTGCTTCTCGCCATCACAAACCAGTTCCGTATCCATTTATACTACTCTCAACCGATGAAATTTTGCGAGCTGCATGGACTATATAATGCAACGCCGCTACGCGGTTGTGTTCTTTTTCGCCCCTCTAGGACACAGGGAATTGATAGGTCAAGATGCCGTCTCTGACACTTCCTATGGCGGAGTTGGCTGGTATTGTTGTTCACAGCACTCTTTTTGGTGCGTATGGTTCTACATATACGCGACGATCTTGCACGCGCTAAAACTATCTATGCCATAGGTATATATTGCATTCTTTTCGTCGGTTCGCTGTATGTTTTTTTCGCGAAAGGGAACGGCGTTCGCAGGCCCATCAACAGGTTCCTACTATTCGTCGACATCACCCTGTTCCTTCTGATTGTCGTCGTAAGTACCTCCTTGATCAATTTCTGGTTGGCTCTGGCTCAACCCCATATTTCTGTTAGCATTGGATCCTTCAAATTGACCGACTCTTCGAGGCGTTCATATACAAGGCTCGTGAGCCCGGAGGCCCAGCGGCATATTATAAAGCTGCACGAGAGGTTAAATTCGTAGTAAAAACAGCTTTCTATGTCGCCCAGATGTTCGTAGGCGACACGACGATGGTAGGTAAATCAACTTGTGATCAATGATCCCTGCTTTCCACATTAATATCGATCTTGCTATAAAACCAGATTTATAGACTATACATTGTCTGGGGAGGCGACTGGCGAATCATCGTCCTTCCTACTATCACGACAACTGCGCTAACCAGTGAGTCAGCGTATAGCCCTGCTGTGCGTTTCGAGGAGACTAAGGCCGTGACGGTTTAGTCGCTGGGATCAATGTCGTTGTTTCATTTGCTAGACAGGCACCGGGCGTCGATATCTTCACCAGCGCCAGTGGGCACTGGATCGTTACTGTGTTCGCGACAACACTCTTGTAAGTATTCTGCCCGTGTGGAAATATCGGCAATGACCTGATCTTATACCCAGCACGAACATTCTGGTTACCTGTGCGCCCGCGTTTGACTACGGATTGTTTGACCATGATGTTGATGACATCGATAACCAACAGCACTCATCTCTTGGCGTGTTTGGTCCTTCAGCCAACGACTTGATGACATCAACAGACGCAGTACCCGTGTAAGTTTCATCGCTGTAGACTGTATCGCAGTCCGTTAACCCCTTCAACATAGCCCGTTATCCAAATCGTGGTCGAGAGTGCACTAATCTACACGTACGTCGCCGTCCATCTTGTTCCGTTTGGTTCCGTTGAGCTGATAAATCTCAGTGTTTGTCTCCTGATCACTCATGTATCGTATCTCGCGAAGGCGCCGTTCCAGTTCATCGCGCTTGATGCGGTAAGTGAGGCCGTCTCCTTCCCAAAGTTGGCTATTAATCAGTTGGTTAGACTAGTCCAGCGATTGTGAGTTCACTGCGACATTCCCCACTTGACCCGTGCTGACCATGGTATTCTGAAGGGCATTGCCTTTGCCCTTCTAGTTGTTCGAGTAGGCCTTGGACGTGGCGCTGAGAACATCACGACTGCCCATACTACAGGACGGCGTGACGGACCGACGCGAACAGGGCGGTCAATTATTCGTTTTGCGCCCGTATCAGAGACGTCCATGGGTCTAAGCACTCTGCCTGCTGTTGATTTGGAAGCATCGAAGGACTTCAACGAGAGGCAGTGATATCGATATCGCATGTCATGTATTAGTTAGCGGTTGGTCGGGGAAGCCTATTTATTTATGCGAATGAACAGAAACATGTATGGTCTAGTCCAGTACAATATATTTCTGCAACTCAGAAGGAATACCATTCAATAAGTCCTTGCTTTCAAGCCACTGCCTGGAGAAGAGCCGGCTTTGATAACGGTAGGCCCCATCGCATAGTATTGTTGCCACCTTCGAACCTGAAGAGGCCACGTTTGTAAGTACACCAATCACTACCGGGGTGATATAACTTGCCTTTCCCGAGTTTCAAGCCGAGCTCAACAGCAGCGACGACATTCAATGCTGAGCTTGCGCCCATGTAGAGACCTTCTGAGTCCAAAAGTTCGTAGAGCATGCGAATCGATTTGTCGTCGGAGACAGTGAAGGCCCCAGATACGTCGTTGATGAACGTGCCCAGATTGTTTGTTATGCGGCCTTGACCGATTCCTGAAAATTGTCTCATTAGTACGGGCTACATGGAACCGGATGAATGTTAGGACCTTCGGTTATCGAGCTGCCAGACCGCTCCGTCAGCTTGCCGCCGCTACTGATGTAGCTCGTCAAGACGCTGCCCGGGGGGTCAGCCAGCCACACCTGCGTCTTTCCCCGGCTCTTCTCCTTCAAATACTTGCCCACTCCAGCGAGAGTGCCACCCGTGCCGGTAGCGCAGATAAACCCGTCTAGCTCTCCCTGCGTCTGCTCCCAGATTTCAGGACCCGTGGACGTATAGTGGGCGTTCGCATTCGCGGTATTGTCGAACTGGTCGGTCCATATGGCGTTGGGAAGGTCCTTGGCATAGTCGCGCGCCTGGTGGTTGTAGTTTGCCGGGTTCTCATATGCAACGGCGGGCACGGGGCGCACGTCCGCACCCAGCATCTTCAGCAAGTCGATCTTCTCTTGACTCTGGGCTGGACATGAGCGTGGCGTTCAGTGAACGAGGGAAAAGTGCTGACCTGGGTGTTTGGCATGTATATCACGCATTTGTAGCCGCGGGCACGGCAGACGTGGGCCAGGCCAATACCAGTGTTGCCCGCTGTACCCTCTACTACTGTCCCTCCGGCTTTTAGTCTGGGGAATTGGTCAGCTTGGTACTCTTGTGGTTACATGTCAAAGAATTAGAGGCTCACAGTCCCCGTTCCTCAGCATCTAGGACGACACCAAGAGCTGCCCGATCCTTGACACTGCCTCCAGGATTCTGGAATTCGGCTTTACCATATACGTGGACGCCCGTCTTTTCCGACAGGCCTTTTAAATATATCTGAGCGCATTCTCAGTACTGAAGCCACTATACAACGTGCAGACATACCAACGGGGTGTTACCGACAGCACCCGTGAATCCATTCACGATGGAGTTTGAGGAGAAGTTCCGCCTGAAGGCAGCCTGACGGATAACGGAATTCATGAGAATCAGGCAGCGAAGCTCGAACAATCTTTATGGTCATCGTCTAACCCGTTTGCGATTAGATAAGCACAAATGGCGTTCTCATTGCACAAGAATTCTGCACGGCCAGAAGAGCTGGCGGGCCAGAGCAGATGCGCGGAGTGATTACTTGACAGAGAATCCATTAAATGTGAATAGAACGGGACACCCAGGTACGACGGGAGATGGGACCTGTGCGGCAAGACGGCGAGGGAGTGTGTCCAAGGGGAAAGGAAGTATACAGACGAACGAGATAAGTAGCTAGGAAAAGGCGTGGACAGGGCATATATGCAACGCAGCGTCCGTTGCTCATACGTAGAGCGGGTCATGGAGAGGACGTGAGTAATAGTGGTAGTAACAGTAGTAAAACAAGATGTTGAGAGAGCATGAGGCATTCAGAGGGTATGTTCAGAAGCAGGATATTCTATGGAAATAGGCTTCCAAGTAGTGAATTAGAGCGAACCGAGGAAGGTGGTAGAGGTAGCGATGGGAAATCAAGGTTGTCTCTTCTTGACGTTCTGCGAGAGCCACTGGAGGCCTTCGAACAAACCTTCTCCGGTTGTTGCACAGCTAAGGGAGAACCAGGTTGGCGTCGGACAGCGGTAACAACAACAGCGTGCACTTACCTGGGGTGAACATACCATGAACGGTCACGCATGCGGTGGAGACCCAATTTCTCTGTTACTTCGGCTGGGGACATTGCTGTGCGGGGCATCAGGCGCTGGCTTAGTGAATGAAGGGACGAGTCACTGACCTCCTGGTAAATCCTGCTTGTTAGCAAAGACAAGCAAGAGGCATTCCTTCATTTCTCTGTCGCTGAGTATACGATGTAGCTCCTGCTTCGCCTCATCAACGCGCTCTCGGTCCTGACTATCGACAACAAAGACAAGACCCTGGGTACCGGTGTAGTAGTGTCGCCACAGAGGACGAATCTTGTCTTGTCCTCCTACATCCCAGACATTGAATTTGACATTCTTGTATGTGACGGTTTCAACATTGAATCCGACTGGGAGCAAATAAGATAATGCAGTGCTTTGAGAATGTCATTTCAACTCACCTGTCGGAATCGTCGTTACGGATTGATTCAACTTGAGCTTGTATAGAATGGCTGGGAAACACAAGTGTCAGTGATAAAACGTGAACGATCGCCAGTGTTCTGAAAGGAACGGTCAGAACACAATCACTCACTTGTCTTTCCGGCAGCGTCAAGACCCAGCATCAACAGTCTCATTTCCTTGTTGCCAAACAGTTTGCCTGCACCCGAGAATACACCAACCGAGACACAATGCAACAGCGCAAAGAAGGACGCAGCGAGGCACCATAGCTTAGCAAAATGAATCCAGGAGCACTCTGGAAGACGCTCACCGAGGGCCTTGGAAAGATTAGCACCCATTTTGTTCGTGTGTATTCAGTGTGATAAATCGAGTGATTGCTAGAAGTAAAGAACGACGAGGGCGAGCACCTAAAACGGCTCAACGATTATGCGTCGACGTTGAGTAGGACGGAGGAAGCTACCAGTAAAAGGCAACAGAGCCAAAGGACAAGGACTTGACGGAAAAAAAGCAGAGAAGGGGCAGTTCACAAACGACTCGAGGCAATTTGTCCTTTTGGCTGTCCACGTGGACCGGCCCACTTACCTCGGCGCTTAACGACGCAGGCATTTGTTCTTCCTCGGCCATGGATCAGCGCTCAGCTCACATCCGCCAATCCTCTGCAGACACCACATATTGCTCTGCTCATGGACCTCGGCGCCACTTCAGCCTCCACTGGCTCGCCCCTCGGCCGCCATGAAGGACGCAAATCCCTCCTCAGCGGACTATTACTTCTCTTCGTCTTATCCTGAGCACGATCGATGGGCAGTTCAAATTCGAGGGTATAGAATGGAGGAGTACCATATCGTGGCTAAGTATCCTCCGAACCTGCTTGAACAGTACGTTTGGGATGAAGACACGGAACTGGTCTTATAAGAGTACGAAACAAGACAAAAACCAATGGAGTTCATCAAGAGTTCAGGCACATGGCGCTGGTTTGTCCATAGCCACCATTCTACAAGTACACTTCTCATTTATCATACATACATCTTTCCGAACACATTCTCATTCTACGCAGCTCTCAGCGCTCGTGAAGAGAAAAGGTCATCATCCTGACATGATGTCGCGTTATGCCAGAAGAAGCCTGGTGGATTAAACCAAAATACTACTCCCTCGATCATCATATTTGATCCTCCTGTCGTCCTCGAGCTCCCTTCCCCATTGCTCTGCTTGCTCCCTAGAAACTTTCCCCGGTTCAAGTTCAAGCAGCATGTCTACTATATGGCTTTCAACCGTTTGTTTCTATGGTAGTCCAACACAGAAGCGGCCGCGTTCCCAAAGGCATGAAACTTCGGGGTCGTGATTCCCCTGCTCAGTCTCCTGCTGGACATCGTTCTCCTCCTCCGCTTCTTGAGCCTGCTTGGCTTACGGTTGAGAAGCGAGAAGCCAGTACCATATCGTGCTTGTTCACGCACCATCCACGGTCGTTCTTTCGGGCAATATTAATTGAGCTAGTTCATTTCACCGAGGAACGCGGCGATGGTTTACCAGATGCCGACTCCTCAAACGAATATTCCCATTCTATCGTGCGTTCCAACTGCGTGAACACCATGAGTAGGCGGTGAAGCCGTTCCTGCGGCCCAAGTCCGTTGATGTAGCCCTCGATGTGGACATCTACCTTGTCCGCCGAGATGTGAGAGATGAAAGGAATCCACGCGAAGCGCGATACGAGAACGGTGATGGACCTCCACCGATGTACACTATTGTCAGAATCTGTATATACAGTCCTTTCCCCCACTTCCAGGATGACCATCTCTAAGCTGAGCAATGAGATCTAATCCGTAGAAAAGCTTTTAGTAACACGTAAAATCCGGCTACGCCTACACATACCTCGGATGGACTTCTACCTCCCCATGCGACCTTGAGCGTCCCAATCAATCATAGAGAAAGGGGTATCCCTATCTCCCTCCAACCTGCCGCCCATTGCGGTGTGTAATCAAAAGCTACGATCCTACTTGCTTCAGCCTCGAGATCACTACAAACAATATAAACGTCGAATCAAATAGCGGACTTTATCAAGCTAGTCCGTACATACCGTATTGCTTGCACGACCAGAAGCGTGTCGTCGTTGATGTCTTCTTCGGTGCACAGAAGCTGCGCTTCGAGCGCACATCGCAATGCAGGTCCTTTAGAGTGTTTTGAAACCCCAATAAGGTTTTCCTCTAATCACGCTGCAGAACTACGAGACGTCGTCCGGGTGTGTTCTCGTATCGGTCGGTAGGGAACATCTTGGTTGCTAGCAAGATAGGGGCGTCTAGTTGGCGCCTTGCACCTCGCAGCGAGGCGAAGGAGCTACAGGGAGCTGCAGGGAGCCAAAGAGCGTGTCTCAAAGTCAGGCCCGATGGCAGCACAGCCAGATCTAGGGGTAAACATTACAAGTAAAGTGCCACGGGCTAATAAGCTACAAATGCTTTACATCTTATGCACTAGGCTTCATCATCATCTTCAAACCCGCCTTCGAACAGGTAATTCGCTGCTAATTCTTCATTCTTATCGCACGCAAAATATGCTTCCAGCACCTGATGACGAGGGAAGCCAAGGGCCTCCAGCTGCACAACGAATCATCAGCAGGTGTCGAAGCAGACATTAGGGAAAGTAGCGTACTCGCTCGATAGCAGCCCGTTCCTCGGGAGTTACAGTGATAGTGTGCGAACCCGGGGGAGCGCCTTCGGGAATCGCGCCAAAGTCAACGCCGCCTTCGCCACCGAGCAACTGCATCAACACTTCGGGCTCGCGGGCGATTTGTTGTGCGAGTGCCGGATTTTGGGCAGCGAGCTGCTGGATGAGAGGTTGAACGAGCGCCGGATTCTGTGCCATCAATTCCCGCAGTTGCTGTATGGCAGGAGTAGCACGCAGGGCCTCAATATCAATCGCACCGCCAGCGGGGGCACCAGCACCCCTTGGACCAGCGCCACCTTGAGTTTGATGTTGTTGCTGCTGAGCGAGCTACAGAAGGTCGCTTGAGTGCTCAGCCCAAGCGCAAGAGTATCCTACGTACGCTAAATAAGTTTTGGGGTCCGCTGGCTGGCGCAGCTGCTGGGGTCGCCGAGCTTGGTGTACTTGGGGCTGCTTGCTGGGGGACTGTTGATGGTTGTGATGCCGCAGCTGCGGGGGGAGCGGGCTCAGCCTCCAGATGAGCCGGGATACCCTAGATAGTGGCCATGTCAGTGATCTTGAATATATCTTCTCGTTACTGGACGGACATTAAACAGGTATTCAACCGCGCGATCTGGGTTGTTAAAGCTGGCTCTTAGAGCACGGAGTACTTGCTCGCGCGGAAAGCCCATCTCCACCATGTTCGTAATCGTCGTTTGGAGGGCATCTCCGGAGAGGAAGGAGGATCCGAGAGCAGGTGCAGAGGTCGGTGGGAGGGCAGACTGAGCCGGGGCAGGTGCAGCAGGCACTGACGGTGTATTTGTAGCGGCGTCAGCAGCAGGGGGCGCAGCAGCGGAGGCAGGCGTCGGCGGCGCGACTTCTGGTGCTGGGGGAGCAGCTGCCGCCGGGACTGCTGGAGCTGGAGCTGGGGCAGGGGCAGCTTTCGGCTAATAGAGCACCGATCAGTAATGAATACGTGGCCCGGTGGATTTGTGCGATGCGCACCGTTGAAATCATGAGCACCAAGAAATCCTTCTCCTTGAAGCCACAAGACTCGATGAGCTTATCATCGGGGAGGATTTTGCCTGCAAAGATTTCAGCCATTTGAGTAGATTCCAAGCCGCACAGTGCGCACCAGCGTAGATGATTTTCTGCTGAGCTACAGGATGCGCCTGAGTGTCTTGGATCTTCTGTTTGAGGCCCGCCACAGTGTCGGTGGCCTCGACATCGACCTGGACGATGTGCGATCTCAGTACATCATCGAGTGCGACGACGGCCGACGCACCTGGAAGACCTTGCCCTTTGTTGTCTTAACGGTAAGTTTTGGCATGATGGGAAAGATAGGGAAGCCTGAACGCGCGTGCAGCACGACTCGATTCTGACCTCGACCCATATATGGGCATGCATGCCACCTCCACCACTTGCGACTGGCCACCACCATGGAACAAGAACTCGGCGACGACTACATCAGACGTCTGGCAAATTTCGTGCGCACCAACGAGAAGAATCTTGCAGAGGCAGGCCTCGTCCGTCGCCGTCGCTCGCTGCAGCGGCCAGTCCCCGATGCCTCTGCAGCATCCTATCTCAACCCCCTAGGCTGGTTCAGTGCCCCCGCCTCCCCAAATGTTCCCAACCCGGTCGTTCTCCAGGTCGACACACACCACCTCTTCTACATTCTCATGCGTCTTGAAGGAGTTGGTCTCGACATCGGAACTTTGGACGTAGAGGTCGAAAACCCGTCTAGGCCGACAAGCTATATCAATATACTGCCTAGTAAAGACAATTCCGACGCCTTGTCTTTGGCATCGTTTCGTTCTTCACTATCTGCCATGTCCACATTGTCATTGGGTAGCGGCTGGTGGGGTCGCACGGAGGTGGCCCCGATTGAGGCTGAACTCAAGTACCTATTCAGCAGCTTCACCAAGCTTCCGGCATTGCATGTCACTGCTCCTGGAAAGAAACTCATCACAGAGCTAGCAAACGAGTCTCCCAACCGCAACGCCCTACCGATGGACGTATTCCGAAACATTCAGAGCCTAGAATGCGTTGACATCGACCCAAGAATGCTGCTGGGGTGGGACCGCCTGGCTGAAAGCCTGAGAAGTCTGAAGATCAAGAAGAGCGGGGTAGAGGACATGGCGGACATCTTTCTTGGTGCGGTAATTGACGATCAGGCGCGGCGAGAAGGAAGCACCAGCCGCCAGCGACGGCGCAGGATACCTCGTGGCTTGGGGAAGGAAGCTTCGCTCTACACCACACGTCTGCCTGATTCCGTTCCAGAAGACATAGATGGAGAACTGGAAAGCACATCAGAGACGGCAGCTTCTCCCCCCTCGCCTCCCCCTTCCACCAAACTCTCGTCTCTTCAATGGGCGTTCCTCAAATACCTCTGCCTCGCGGACAATGCTCTCACATTTTTCCCAATCGAGTCTATACCATATCTCACATCTCTCACGCACCTCGATCTTTCCTCAAATCTCCTCGTATCTGTTCCATCTGGCCTGGGAGCATTATACAACCTCATATTTCTCGATCTATCCGACAATATGATTGACTCTGTTCTTGGAATATACACTACCCTTGGCCAAGTTTTACGCATTAACCTCTCCAGCAATCGTCTCGAAACTATATGCGGCCTCGAACGCCTGCATGCTCTGGAGCACGTAGACCTGCGAAACAACCGCATTGAGGACGTAGATGAAGTCAGCCGCCTAGCAACCCTGCCTAATATTGCACAGGTATGGGTCGAAGGCAATTCGTTTACGGAGATTGTGGAGGATTATCGAGTAAAATGCTTTGACTACTTCTGGAAGGAGGGCAAGAGCATCCTGTTGGACGGGACGCCTCCCACCTTCTACGAGAAGCGCAACTTGACCTCTCCCCCACCAGCGCAGATGACTTCCTCCAGGTCAGCCCCCGCAGCCCCATCACCTTCGGTTGTTGCCATTGCGCATACCCACGAACGCGCCGTCCCCTCGCCTCCTCCTAATGCATCGAATAAGAGCACACCACCGACTTCCAGCCACGCCTCTCCGCTTCTCGCCCCTGTAGGTGCCGGCGTAGGTCGGCCTCGCAAAAAGAAGGTGAAGAGGATAGTCGATCTCGATCATGACCACAATAGCGACGCTGGTTCATCGCGAAGTCCATCACACTCGCGGATGCGCTCAGAGGGTTCCACCAAGGCAGGAGCTAGTATGAGAATCCGTGAGCACGGAGCGAAGAAGGTCGAGGACGCGGACGCGATTGCGACACGTAGCATCCTAGCAACCCCAGACCACCTGACTGCTGGAGGGGGGGTTGTTTTGTCGTCGTCACCTCTCGCGGCAGGCCCTCTGTCGGCGTCGCCAGAGGGCGCGCCTCAACCTCTTCCCCAGGAGAGACCTCCATCTCCCATGTATTCCAACGGTCGCATAAGAACGCGACACAGCCGATACCGGACCGAGTACACGCCCAATTCGCCCCCAATAGAACCTGCTTTCGAGGCTGCAAGCTCTACATCGCCAGCCGCTGCCCTGGTAGACGATCTTTCGTCCCGGATGTCTCCGCCAACCTTCAGGCGCAACCCCACCTCCTCCGCAACAGTCGCTAGTAGGTCTTCTCTGCGAAGGGCGCGCGTCAGTGCCTCCGTGTACGAACCTGGGCCTTCGGCCGAGCAGGACCTGAGCAAGCCCAGCGCAGATCAGTTCCGGTATGACGCCGAAGCTTACAGGAAGCGTATCGAGGCGCTGAAGAAGGACATGGGCGATGCATGGCTGAAGGTTTATAGTCAACGGATATAGCATTCATTTTTCGTACGGACATCTATACCCATGTATACCATATGTGCATCCCGGATTTTCTTGGTCGATATATTAATCTAATTGGCGATTCTGGGCAAATGCCCTCTTCTAACGACATGAAAGATGAACATACAGTGACTCTGCAGCATCCTCACGAGCTACAGGGAAGAGACGAGGAGTCCCTACTCACATAGGGGTAGGGGTATCATTTGGTTCCGCTTCTTTGCTGAACGTCGATACATTTATGGCTTCGTTTGCGACAGTACTTGACACCTACTGTTCTCCATTATTTATAGAGGTTTCGAGCTTGCGTCGCTCGCCTAGGCTATTGATATCGAGCCTGTAGTGTTTGCAGGACAGATTGTGGCGCAGCCCGAAATATTGATGTATTCCAATGGCGAAGGCAGTGGTAGTGTATAATACACCCGCAGAGCCCGAAGAGCGCTGCGCTGTCCAACATGTTCTGATATTTCAATCAATCATATTGAGAATGAAGGCGTGAACTTACCTTTAGTGGTGTTCGCCCCTAGAGCTGGCACCGCCGAGGAGTCTGAGACACGATCATTGATGCTACGGGCTATTGTTGCATGAGAGAATGCATCTGAATTTATACCGCAGAATCAGCGCCTTGTAGGCGTTGCTGTCCTCCTCGTTTTCTTCCTGCACGACCACCACCACGTTCACGACCGCCATGACTCACCGCCAGAGACGACGACCATCATTAGCGACGGGGCTTCCGTTGTTCTTTCTCACCTATTTCGCCCGAATGTCGCACCAGCAAAGCCAGGGTGCTGTCACAGACTATGCCCCGCAGGTCGGCGTCCAGTGCCCCGACGTGTCCATAAACCCCCTCATCCGCGTGTTCACGCCCCAAAACCAATCATTACATCCACGCGAGCAGGAGTACATTAAAGGACGCCAGGCGGTCATCGAGGATGCTTGGGCGGACTGGCTGGGGGATGGGTCAGGTGTAAGTTACAATGTCAGCGCGTTTGCAGGGCACTTCCCCAAAGTCGGCATGGCCATCCCTGGTGGCGGCCTGCGAAGTGCTCAATATGGTGCCGCGTGTCTGAATGGGCTGGATAGTCGCAATGAGCGGGCGAAGCAGGCTGGAACGGGCGGTCTCCTGCAGGTCTCATCCTATCTGACGGGACTCTCTGGTAAGCAATGAAGCCCGAGCGTCGGCGGGCTTGTGTGCTGACTAGGACTTAGGCGGTTCATGGGTTACCTCTTCGCTTGTTTTCAATAACTGGCCGACTGTCGAAGACCTGGTCTTCGGGAATGGCAAGGACCTGACCGGTTGGCTGCTTGACCTCTCACTCGCTACGCCAGACGGTGTCAACATTCTCAGCGACAAGAACCAGGAATACTATGGCAGTCTACTCTGGAGTGTCATGGCGAAGGCGCAGACTGGAATGTGAGCGTATTCCAGCAGTTATGATCTGCTGAATGCAATCTAACCGCCCTGTTCTAGTGACACTAGCATGACGGATCCGTGGTCGCGAATGATTTCCTTCCATTTCCTCAACCAGACAACCCGGAATAATTTCTTCACTAACGACTCAGCGCACGGAGCTGGCCAGTTGTTCTCAAAGATACCAGACATCCCGGCGTATCAGCAGCATCAAATGCCGTTCCCAATCCTCGTCGCTGATTCGCGTCCAGTGGGGTCCAACTTGACCACCATTCTGGGTCTTGACCCAGTTGTCTACGAAGTGCGTGGAAGTTTGTTTGGGATATCGCGCCCCCTGTAACTGTTGTCCTAGATCACACCCCTGGAATTCGGGTCGTACGATCCTAACTTGTCGGCCATGGTGAACATCACCTATGCTGGTACACATCTAACTAACGGAATACCGGTAAATGGGTCTTCGTGCGTCACTGGCTTTGACCAGGCCGGATTCATGATGGGCACTTCCGCTAGCTTATTCAACGTATGACTGCTTTACTCGTGCTATTTCCCGCTAGCTGATTGATAGCATATATAGCAACTGTTTGACTTCGCCCGAAACACTATCGCAGGGTTCTCTGATTCTGATTCTGCTGGTTTGCTGTACGTTCTGTCACGGCAATTGCAGGAGGTCCGCACGCGCGCAGATGATGTCGCCAACTGGCCGAGTCCTTTCAATGGTCTCAACCCGAGGACGTTCGAGGATTCCGATGCGACTTGGTTAGAACTTCTGGATGGGTCGTCGAACCAGGAGAATATCCCATACAGCCCGCTGTTCGTCAGGTCGAGGGAGCTGGATGTTATCGTCACTATAGAAGGGAGCGCAGATGATGCCACCGCCTGGCCCAAGTGAGTACTACCCCACCGCGTTCAATTCTTGGAGACGTTGTTCTGATGTATTGTGTGTGAAGTGGTACGGGGCCTATCTTCAGTGCCCGAAGGCAGTCTACCATTCTGCGGGCATCGCATCAGCAGTTCCCTCCAATCCCTCCGACACCTGATGCATTCATTGAAACGGGCGTCAGGGCCCGGCCAACATTCTTTGGCTGCGACCCTATACAGACGCCTCCCGAATGGCCGCTGATGATCTATCTTCCTAACGCCCCGCCCATCAACGGCGACGATCCTGTCACCAAGTATGTATATGGGTTATCGTATTCCCTATATCTCGATTTGACTCTTATGGCCTGCTAGCACGGCAACGTTTGCGCTCTCATATACGCAAAAGCACCAGAAACTATTCTTCGACCAGGTCTTCAACCTCACCACCCAGGGCTTTACACCCAACTCGCAGTTGCCCGATCCCAATTTCGGCGTCTGTCTCCAGTGTGCAGCTATCGATCGCGCTCGCCTGAAGATCACCCCCGTACCGTCGCGCTCGGCGATATGCACACAGTGCTTCCAGCAGTACTGCTTCGATCCGCAAAATCCCCCAAGCAAGTCCGCGCTGCCAGGGCGTAAGCTGGCGTTCGTCGATCCCGACCCGCAGGGGTTGACGAAAGTAAATGGGTTCTTGAGCTCGAATATGTACAAGTTGATTGGTGGGCTTGCGGGCTTGGTTGGGTTCTTGTTTGTCTTGATACTCGGACTGTGCGTGCAGCAATAATCGGGTTTATTACTCTCTTTTACTGATGCTGATCTTGGCTTTTCTTAGGTTGTGGTGGCGGAAGCGTCGGGAGCGCAAGACCGAATATCATCAAGTTAGCGGCCTCCATGACGAGGATGACGCTCCTTGGAAACGTTACTCAGATTCCAACACCAAAACTCATGAGGCGTATGAGATGCCTGAACATCGGGGTTCCCTCGTTTCCCGCTGACGTACTATCTTCTGGACTACTCACTACGACTAGACAATCTTTGCTATGTTGTCGCTACTATACTGTACTTCGTTGTTGCTGCTTAGTTGTGCTTTCCATGGGACTTTTAGCTTTGCTATCTAATGAAGGACATCTCACGTACATCCATGACATACAATAATGGATATATTAGAAATACATAAACAGGGTATATAAGTCAGTTGAGGATCATGAAGCGTCTTCGCAGGAAGAGACGTCTAACGACGGTAAATGCCCAGCGAGGACTTTCTGAACCGATAAGTCATCCACTTCTAACCTACTTGTCATCAGGTGCTGCTGAGGAAGACCGGTCAAGGGATGCCGGACGAGTCGCGTCATATTCGTCCGGGGTTTGCGGTTGGTTGGCATCATAACTGATTTATACATTGAGAGTTCTTCCAACAAGGCTGTATTTTCCGCTATAGCAGCTTCGTGATCGCGGTTGGCGACTAACAATCTCTGTGAAGGCATTCAGCAATGCGGTAGGGACACCGAACGCCTAGAACCTGCCTGCTTTGTCTCTGCGAGCTCTTGCCGAACGCGGTCAACGTACGTTACCCGCTGAGCGGGATTGTTGTGGCCGAGAATTTCGGCATTGAATTGACTGAGTCGTAAGGCCTCGTCTTCAGCAAGGGCGCTACGTGCGACAAGGCTGTCGACCTCTTCTGAAAGGCTGTAATAGGCATCTTGATATCGTGCTGCTTCACTCAACTCAGCGGTCAGTCTAAGGGACAAGTCAGACATATGTAGGATTACAATAAAAGTGGAACCTTACTGCTCTAGATCAGCTCTGAGACCTTCCTCTACTAGCTTCGCCTTTTGTACGGACAATGCAAGTCGTTGGACGGCCTCTCGCTCCTGGTTTATCGCCGTCTGGTGAACTGTTGCGCTTTCGTTGAGTTTATGTTCTGCCTGAGCTAACTGAGTCTCTAATGCCTTCCGCTGGACTTCAGCCTCCGCGAGGCTCATGGAAGTCATTGCACGTTCGGTGTCGGCCTTCGCGAGTGCTGTCTGCAGTCGGTCAGCCCGACAACGTAGCTCGTCGCACTCGGCTGTCATTCGAGACGTCTCAACCTCAAACCGGTCGAGGAGTTTTCGCTGGACTTGAAGATCCTGCTCAGCCAGTTGGTATGTTTCGAGGAGTTCATGGTATCCCGGGACGTAGAACTCTGTAGTCAGATCTGCTTGGTATTTCGAAATGGCCTGGACAGATTGCCGTGTTTGTTGGCATTGTTTGTCTATGGACGAACAGAGTTCTTGAATATCATCAAACGTTTGACGGTCGTTAGAAGAATGATCTTGGAGGGCTGTTCGGTAGTGATATATTGCTTCGTCTGCTTGGCCAAGCTGTTGAACGAGTAAAGCGTTCTCCGATTTGGCGCAACGGATAAGGCTGGCTAGCTCGACGACCTGCTCCTCCGAATTAGCAAGCTTCCGTTCCAGCCGAAATACCTGCACTCGTCGGGCGTCCCTTTCACTACGGACTTGAGCGTATCGCGCTTGAGCGACCGAAGACGAAGCCAGTTTTCCGTATTCTTCAGCTACCTTCTTTAACATCACCTGGTGGCATGTCAAGCTGGCGATCAAGTCATCTTCTCGTGAAGAAGCCTCGTCAGCTTGTTGACGAAGAGATGCCTGAGCTTGCTGCTTTTCATCCTCTAGTACAGCTAATTGCTGTCGTAGATCATCCACCTCGCCCTTTACTTTCCCTTGCAATTCTTGACAGCGGGCCTCAGCTGCTTCTCGCTTCTTTCGTTCCTGGCTTAGTGACTTCTCCAGGTCCGCTATTTTCTTGTCCTTCTCTCGGTTATCTTCTCTACGTTTAGCATCCAGCGCTTGCAAAGCCTTTTTGGCTTCGGATATGTCGTCTTGTTTCCCTTGCAGTTGGGAGCGCTCGTGTTCCGACACGCGAAGTTTCGTCTTTAGATCTTTTATTTCCTTCTGATCGACGGCTGCGGCTTTCTTCAACTCGTGGAGTCGGGCTTCGTACATGTCAGCCATCTTCTTCTGTTTCTCCAATTTATCTGACGAGCCGGAAACCGTTTTCTGGATTCGCGAGAGTTCCTGCTTGAGTTTCTCTATTTGGGCTTCATGCTGGGGCGCAAGGACCATCAGTATACATACTCCAAAACTTTCAGAGTCACAATCACCTCTTTCCGTTCTTCAGATCGCAGTCTCATGAGATCCTCAAACTTCCTCTCCAAGAGGGGTTGTTCTACGGGGGTCGATTGCCCTTCCGACACGTTATGTTCAACGCCTATATCACACCGAAGAAATTCAGTATGACTCGGATTAGGCACAGACCCCTGACACTATTACCATTGGCATCTGTAGTGAAACGAGTGGCTTTCTCCAGAAATGCGCCCCGTTTATACGCGTCGAGCTGCGAGCCTTCGTAAATTCGTCGTTTAGCGATTACTTGATGGTACGAGTAGCTTACCACCAACCTTGCTCGATATTGTAGGTGTTCGGCCCTGGCACGTTTGTAGCTGTGAGGTATGAGTCGCGCCGTGAGCATAGTGAAATTGAGTCGCAGTAACAACATACGACGTTGAGGGTCAAATCGAGGCCCTTTAGGAAACAGCATTATCACTTGGAGGTCGTAAAGTGTGGCACGGTGTAACAGCACGGTATACAGTCGAGTCCAACCTCTTGAACATCAAGGTCAAGTTCGAATTTAGTACACGAAGTCACGTGATCGCGTTCGTCAAGAACTGGCATCGACTGTCATTATTCTAACTGTAAAAGCGATAAATAAATAAATATTCAGCAAAGTGCCACCAAGTATATTGTCGAATCAACTGGCGCAGTGCAAAAGATCCCGCTACTTCAGTTTAAACCAAGCCCCCAGTTTCTATGAAGCGCTGAGCGGCACCATCGAGGCCTACGGAAGCGTTGGGTTGCGTCTGACTCTGCTTTTTGGCCTCCTCGGTAACCATCGCGATCTCTCTGCGCAACGATCCGCTTAGCTGATACCCCGTCTCCTTTAGCTCGTCGACAGCAATCTGGTAGCGAACGTCCCCAGCAGCAAGGCATCGGCGAATGATGGCTTCGTACACCAGCATCGGTGGCTTGTGTTTCGCCGTCTTCATTTCCTCCAGATAAAAGAATGCATCCTCATACGTCTCTTGAGTAAGACACAGCAAGACCATATTGATGTATGTTTCTCGGTCTGGTTTGAGTTTGGCCTCCTTCAGGTCCGCTAGGAGCCTGTCGCCAAGCTCTCGATGACCCACGGCGATACAGCCTTCTAAAAGGAAGTTGAATGTGTGGATGTCGGGCTTGATACTGTATTCCTCGAAACTTTTGTAGATGCCAATGGCACGTTGCAGGTCGCCGATTCCAGAGGTCGCTTGGATGATAGTGTTCAAAGCAGCGGCATCAATTGGAGAACCCTCTTTATGCATTTGCTCAATGAGATTCCAAGCATTGTCGATCGTCTGAGTGTCTTCGGATATGGCGTGCAGAATGGGCAAGGAGGTTTCAGGAACGGGGGGAATGTCGCTTTTCCGCATGATGTCCAGCGTAGTGAACGCTTCCTTGATTCGACCAGCCCTGACGAAGGACTCTACCACGGGTGCGAAGTGGAATTCTTGCCATTGACACCCGATGACCTTGAGTACTCGGAGCGCGTCCGTCGCTAGGTCGGGAAGCCCATTGCGTGCCGCAGTGTGGAGAACGGCGAGACATAGGCCTTCGTCCGGCACTAGATGCAACTCTTGAACAATGACTGCCCAACACCGCGCAACACCCTCGGCCTGGTATTGTTGATCAAGGAAACTGAGTAACAAAAAACCGAAAAAACGTACATATAATGACTCTGCTGAGCTTATGAGACAGTTCATCCAGGCTTCGTGGTCTAACCGACGCGTCGTATTTGCCTCAAAGGAATCCAAGAGATCGAGGGCTAGTCGAGGGAATCCGTTTTTGGCAGCTTTGATGACCATTGCTTGTGCAGCTCGTAGCTCGGGTTCTTGGCCTTGGGTTCGCATAAAGTGCAGGAACTGTATCGCAAATTCGAGTCGATCGGATAGAACGAATCTCTCCAGAATGTGTGAATAGGTCTGTATGGATGGTTCGATGCCTGATGCAGCCTGTGCATCCCAGACATTCCACATGAAGTTGGAGTCTCTAAACCGTTGCGCCTATGTTCGGTGTGCATGAGGTTTAATGCAATGGCGAAGGAGGACTCGGGAAACTCACCCGAGCGAGATAGAGGTACGAGTATTTGTCCGGTGCAACCTCTGACGCTTGCATATCCTCCACAATAGCCCATGCCTCCTGCCCTAACCCAACCTCAGCCGCTGACCTTAGCAAGGAGTTATACACGTATAAGTCTGGCTGAATGCCGGCTGCCTTCATTTGTGTTGCAATGGCAAGGCAATCAGGAAATTTTGCTTGTTGCGTCGACAGCCTATCCAAAGCGGCAGTAAACTGTGCGGCAGTAGTGCGAGTTTGCGTTCGTTGGAACCCGACATCGTTCTGGCGAGGAAGCGGCCTATCGGCACGCGAATTGGGATTTTGTGGTGGGTGTGCTGCAGCGGACTGGCTCAAGTGCCGCCTCTGGCAAGCTGCGGTGAAATTAGACTGAGTACCACGGTCTGCGAATATTCCTTACCTGCAATCCGTCTTTTACATGGCTGAACGCGACGCAAAAAGTTGCGGGAGGTCGATGGTAGCATCGGGACCGTAGGGGATAAACAAATGACAACAATGGACTCGGTTCTGCCACTGACGCGCTTCAACTTTCCCAGCCAACTTTAACCACAACCATGGTGAGTCTCCCCGCCCGTCGCCAATTTGCACCGATGCTCACCTCACCTTCGCGTTAGTTCTACTCTGAGGCAATATTATCGCGTCGGGGGCCATTGGGGAAAGTATGGCTTGCCGCACACATGGAACGCAAACTCTCCAAGACCCAAACACTCCAGACGGACATCGAGCAATCCGTCGGTGCGTGCTCTTTCCTCGAAATCCCATCAACCCTCTGAAATACTCTGTAGATGCAATCATGGGCCAGGAGATTGAAGTTATGGCGCTGCGATTGAGCGGTCAACTTCTCCTCGGCGTGGTTAGAATCTACAGCCGCAAGGCCAAGTATCTTCTCGACGACTGCAATGAGGCACTCCTGAAGATCAAAATGGTGAGACCAATGCCTCGAACAAACACTGGTTTGGCTAACAAGTCACTTTAGGCGTTCCGACCAGGTGTTGCGGACATGACGGAGGATCAACTTGCCGTAAACAAGAACGCGATTACGCTCCAGGCGGGTGATCTGGACCTTGACCTGATGCTCCCAGATATCAACTGGTTTGTCGACCCGAGATAACTTCTCATACTGTGCATACTAAGTAGTCATTAACAACAGGGACATCGACTTCGAAGATAGGCCCCTACAGAACCATAGACAGCATGAAGCTCGCATGGCTGATATCACGCTTACCGCTATGGACGACTTCCAGTTGAACGCCGGGGACTTCGATGCCTTCGATTTAGGTCCTTCGGACGGAATTGGGTCCCAGGACTTTGGCGAAATTGACCTAGGGCTAGATTGGGGAGATGGTACAGGGGATGCGAATGGTAGTGGCGGGCAGGAAAGGCAAGATAGCGATGATCAGATGAGTATTGGAGTAGGGAGAGATGCTCCAGGCGAGACGGAATCTGTTGCCTCTCATCTAATGGGCAGAAACGGAATGGACCTGGATATCTTATCCAATCGAAGCCGCAGCAGGGCTCCCTCCGAGCATCCTTTCGGAGCTGACATGAATATCGACATGGATTTCCCAGACTTTGGTGGTGTTGACCTAGGAGACTTGGGAATCGGCTTCGAAGACCACCACTTAGATCTTGGCGAGCGCGAGAAGACTCCAGGGCAAACACGTTCATCGCGAGCATGTGTGTATACGACCTCCCATGGTGTATCTAAGGCTTACATTTCTGTAGCATCACCCCTGTCCGATGTACCAGCAACGCCGCCTCCTGAGGAACCCGTTGCCCCCCAGCCCTCTAAGGCGAAGCGCAAGCTTAAGGAAAAGAAGCAAATTATTGACTCAGTTACGGAGTTACAGGATGGCCCCGGAGGGCGGAATGGCAGAGGACGGGCACACGGCGGGCTGGGTGCACCTATCCCTCAAGACGTCACTGACATCGTTACGGAGCAACATTTCCTCCCGCGTTCTACCATCGTTATGCGACTCCTCGAAATACGAGATGACCCATTGGCTCATTTTCTTCCTACGAAAAACACTCCACAGGGTACCTTTTTCTGTGCAGCACCTCCTGGGCTGGCTCCTGAGCTTGCCGAGCTGTTTATGCGCCCGGTCAATAGTGTAACTTCGAAACGTCGTGCAGGTTCACCAGACAACAACCCATCCAAGAAACCCCGTTTAGAAGGCGAAGACGATGTGGAACGGGCTCGTCGTGCTGGAAGTATAGCACCCAGCATAGGAATGAACAGCGACATATTGGGCCGCCACAGCGTTGGTCCAGACGGCGCCCTTGATTTTGGTGATAACAATGCCATGTTGGATGATTTCCAGATGGATGTGCCCGAATTCGAGATGGGGCCATTGGAGTTGCCAATGGAAAGAGCTAAATCCGCCGCCCTATCCGAACTCAGTCGTCTATCCACCCCAGCTCCAGATAACACAACATTCCATGACGAAGGGGAGGAAACATACGCAGATGCTTCATGTCCAATTGCCGTGTTCGACTCTCAACCATCATCTCAGACCCAGGGCAAGGAACCGGAAGTTGACACAGACACCGCAGGAAAGGGTTACAGTAAGAATACTGGTAAAGCGCTCAGTATCATTCGCAAGGAGCTTCGCCCTATCGCCGATGAGGGCGCTCCGGAGAAAGTACTCAGCTTTCGCAAAATGTCGGATAAGGTGAGCCTTGAACGTAACTCTCGCAAACCGTTTCTAACGTTTTTCAGGCATCCCGTCGGGCAGCTGCTTCTTTCTTCTTCGAGTTGCTTGTGCTATCTACCAGGGATTGCGTCAAACTCTCACAAGAGGCGCCATTCGAGAATATTGAAGTTCGAGCCAAAGACAAACTTTGGGAGCGTCAGAGACACGCATCAATGGCACCCACATCAGCAGCACCCTCCCGTCTCCCTTCTCTTGCACCCTCCCGTGAACCATCCGAAGCCCCATCTGCAAGTATGTAGGATCGATTTTTCTGTATTTAGTATTCATCTCTAGATGTTATTATCCGTCTTCTTGTTTTGCATACCCTCCCTGTGACACCCCCGCTACACTATATATCTATGATTTATTAGCTACATGTACAGACTGGAACGCGAAGTTTTGTATGTATTTACGACCGTAGGGACCCAGATTATTCCTTAGCTACCATTACCACGACTTTGCCAGCGTCTTCCCCACCGTTTAACACAGCGAGAAGTGCCCGAGGAGCACTATCGATTCCCTCGAAGACTACCTCCCGGCTCTTGATCTTCCCCTGTGCAAGGAGGGCTGGTATCTCAGTGAAGAATCGCCCACCGTACTGTGGTATGAGGTCGGGAACGAGGAAGCCTGTCAAAGTTAGTCGTTTCTTGAAGATAAGGGTGGTATTCTACGCGATGGGTGAGTTTCGAGGATGTTTGGCAATGGGATCTTGGGAAACTACTAACCTTAATTCCATATCGTTCTGAAGGTGCTTTGTTGTAGTCGGATAGTGAACCACAGCACTAGGGATGCAACGTTGGTCTGCTGCAGCAGTACAACTGCAGATACCACTCACCACAACGCGGCTGAAAGGCTCAAGATGTTCAATGGCTGCCTCAAGGGCTTCCCCACCGACATTGTCCTGATCATGAGCCATGTCAGGTAAAGTGATGATATGTTCGGGGCAGCGTACCCAGTAAAGATGTATTGGCTTATGTTGCTTCAATACGTCGTAACCATCCTCTTTATAGTTGAATACAACGTCTGCTCCCAAAGACCGTACGTAGTCACATTTCGCACTCGATCCTGCGGATGCGATGACCTTCATTCTGGAAATAGGTCGTTGAGCTTACAGACCCTGGTGAATTTAAGTGACACTTACCCTTTCTGCTTGGCTAGCTGTACTACCATGCTGCGAACGGGGCAATCAATCAATTCAAGCTGTTCGTCACAAGAGCCAGAATTAACACACCTTCCGACCCCCGAACCCCCAGCGGAGACGAAGATTGCTTGCCCCTGAAGCGATGGTCAGAGTCACTGGGAAACCCGAAAGCGAGGAAAGAGGACTTGCCTCTTTTGCCTGTGCTAAGCCCTCGAATCCTACGAATGCCGACAACCCGGGCGTTCCCAACGCACTTGCATAGTGCGTTACGGGGAAAGCACCACCGGGATTTGGAACAACTTGTAGGGCGAGTGAATCCATGTCAAATGTCGCTGGGGGCCAGTCTTCTGGCTTGAAATCGATTCTTCCTAGATGAGAGCGAAGTGTGAATTTTCGTCCAGACCAATGAATGGGAATAAGTACCTTCAATGTAAGGTTGAACGGTGTAGGCCTCCCATGGTGTCTGTCCGTACATGTAGTCGCCGGCTTTGATATCTTGCTTCTCCGAACGGAGCACGACAACTAGGCCGAACCCAATAACCCTGGATGCTTGTTAAGTGTTGTTATCACTGTATGAAGTGGCATATAGAACATACGGAGCTCCAACTATAAATGATGTAGTGTAGCTTTGTATCGATGAATCTCTCATACGCTCTCGGAGTGCAGGCTCAGGGCTAGCCACCATTTCAGGCAATGATCGAATATATAAGGTGTTTAGGGACATACCTGAGGAATATTGTCTTCGTCAGGAAACCTCCATTTAGTGGGACATTGTCGAGATCGATAGTTCGGGTTTGGTCCAAGATGAGGTGCTCCCCCGGCATTGGGAGGCCTTGCAGGCCATTTGAACCTTCGGGAAGTTTTGCAAAGGTGATTCTTGGGTTGGAAGTCATGGCTGACGTGCAAATAAGTGGTACTGGCGTTTGTGGTAGGAGTATGGGGAATAACCTGAGTTGTCAGTCGCTTTGCTTTTTTAACCATATTGCTCTTGGTCATTGCGCGCAGCATACCGCTGGCTGTTTATCTGAGACGGTGTACGAAATCATGCTAATAATCTAGGGGGTCCTAGTTGTCGAGGTACGTGCGTAGTTAGTGGGACCTCAGGGGACTTCCCTGGAGAACCACAAGGCTCAAGAAGCAGAATTACCAAATGCAGTAATTTTGCCAATCATGTGCCACGAGCAGTTACTTCTTCGAACAGAACCCAGTGGTGTTTTGCAGATCATCCACACGATGATCGGCCATACGTTTCGTGGCGAAACATTGTGAAGAGTGATGAATGACCTGTGTATTGGTGGTTACTTTCTCTAGTTTCAAAGGTCTGTTTCGAAATTCCATATGGGAGGTGCTAAATACTTGTGAAAACGTCCCATGTGTCTGTCAGTTCTGCTCTGGGGTAGAAGGGACATTTAATCCAACTTGGCATCAATGCAATCGATGTCCGCGGAGACGATGTTCAGTTGGTAGTGTTGATGTTGTGGCCCTGATTGTGGTATACTAAGTGATAAATCATACGATATGTATCTAAGGCATCTAATAGTTGTTATGCACGGTGATAATTTAAGGAATGGTGATAATTTAAGGAAGGTAGTTACGACAAATCGCCTCTCTAAGTCAGCGCCTGTCATTCAATTTTGGAAGAGGTTTCTGTTGAATCCATATCCCTCACTCTCGCATGGCAATCTCCTCCCTCTCAGCAAGAATATCCAGGACGCCATCATGTCTAGGAGTTATGTTGATCCTGTAGGGAAGTGGCGTACGTCCAGAAAGTCCCTCATACTGGGCCAGTGTTATCGGTTCTCCGGGGACTTCGCTGAAGCTGAATGACCAAAGCAGTCTTGATATGGCTAGCCAAAGCTCCCGTTCTGCAACCACCATTCCTGGACAGATGCGGCGACTACATTTAATGACATGAGCAAGTAAACTGATATGTATCAAAGTTCGTTTGCATACCCTGCTCCGAACGCCCAGTGATCTCGCAGAAAAGGATCTCCAAGCTTAGACGACTCTGAGGCGTTTAGCGAATCCCCGAGGTAGCGATCTGGATTGAAAGTCCAACTGAGAGGAAGGTTAGCATGTTCCTACGTGTTTATGCGCCCACATACGGATCTTTGTATCTGTCTTCGTTATGGTGGAGAGCGTAGACGTTTAGGACCATGACGGTGTTCTTGGGGATAAAATAGCCGTTGTAAACAAAGTCTTCCTCCGAACAATGAGGTGTTCCCATCCAAAACGGTGCATGTGCTCGCAAGACCTATTCATGCAAAATAACAATGCCATCATCAGCCCATTGATCTCTTGTACAAGCAAACTGTCTAGAATCACCTCTTTTATGATAGCACGACAGTACGGGAGTTTCGATTCGTCTTCTGATGTGGGCCATTGCTCTCGCCCTATGACACGGTCGAGTTCTTCGTGGGCTTTGGCTTGGATATGGGGGTACGATGGAATGAGTGCTAGGAACCACTCGATGATACCAGAAGTCTGTCAAAAAGAGTCAGCAAAAATAGATGGGCGAACCTGCTTGTACGCACTGAGTGTACACCTCCAGTGGTAAACGCAATAACAATAAAACACATATCTTCCCAGCTAAGTTTCTCGCTCTCTTGGGTTTCAAGGAGCGTTTTGACCAAACAATCCGAGACCTGTTCACCTGCGTCGAGACGCGCTTTGACACGATTTATCATCGCTCCGTAAACCGATAAGAAGTCGCTGTGGAGTCTGCGAGCTCTGTATCGAGCCCTGGTGGGTATCCATTGAAGCGGCTTGACGAAATCAATCATATTCGTCCAAGGACCTGCGGTTAATCAGTAAGAGGGCAAGGATTGACGCAGAAATGACCAACCAGTAAGGTCCATGAATTCCATGCCCAATCGAATAGCTTCGTCTACAAGTGGATCCGATGTTGATAGCGTACGCGTGCCAAATGCTACCGCCAGCATGTTGCTAGAGGTATAACCGTGAGTGTACCTCAAGATAACAAGATGGCCAACTCACTTCAAGGCATATCGCCCCGCAAAGCTGGCGGGATCAACGGGGGCGGAGCCATCCCGCGATGTCCGGTGGAGTGAGCGAAGGAACATGTGTGTCTCGTAATCGATACCATCGGCATAACCCAATGCTGCCTTGGGGTTGAGTACCGACATTGCTATCTTCCGGTGTTTTCTCCTGAGCGTGCGTTAGACACTGAGATAAAGGGAGCTTAAATAGTACGGCCTACCATGTCTCGTTGTAAGGGGAAGCCGTTAACGCCCTACCACTGAGAATAGTCTGGTTCTTCATAAAGTATCCCCATCGACCAGAGAAGTTCGCTCCATGGGTGACAAGAAGATCCCTTGCAACGTGAGGGTCGTTCATAACGACGAAAAGCTGGTTGCCCATCCACACAGAATGCAGGGGACCGTATTGCTTAGCCCATCGAAATAGAGGCTTCTCTGGATATCTGCGAAGGAAGGGGTATCGTAACAATGGCCCAGGGGGAATTGGGTGTCCGTCTTTATCAACGAGATTCCGGCGAAGGCCGAAGTAAGGAAGAAGAGCAAGGATGAATGCTGTGAAGCATAGCAGGGCAACATCGGCGCCAATACTTGCGATGGGCCACAGGCGAAGCACTGAGGAAGGTATGATGGTCATAACCGGTATGTTCCTTGGTATACGTCCGGAAGACATGTCGCGAGGTCAGCGATTCGGGTAGGTTTAGTGCGGGAGGTCCTTGCATCCCCCCCAAGCGTGGAGGATTTATATGGACCGTGGCGGCTCCATCAGAGCCAAAGTCGATACAAAGACGAATTGTAGTCAAGAGTACCGAGAATCTCAGTTTTCGGCGACTCCGGATACCCCTCGCCAGTGGCAAGGTACCGCGAGATAACTGAGATTCGCCAATGCACGCATGCTGCCTCGCTGCGGTGGCCCGCCTGAAACACCAGATATTATAATCAGTAAACGATGTCGAATATTTGTGTCGCACATATACTTACTTCTTGATTTTGTCCTGAGCAAGTCGAATCAGATGCCAGTCGACGCGAGATCGCGAAAGTTGGCGGCGGAAGGTTCGACGCGACGGGACTTTGTGAGTCACATGGCCTACTTCCCACCCCACAATGTACTTGAATCCGCAACGCTGCGGTTCCCACCTAAGCACTGGCTATGAAAGCTTGCCAAACAGAGCCGAGCTCACCGCCGGCTGGCGGCTGAGCGTTCCTGTAACCTGCAACCAGTTTCAGTCGAATCACGTCGGCCACACTGGTACTGCACTCATCATTTGCATATCATTCACCGTTGCGCTCAAGCATCATTCTAGGATACATACCCGCGAGGTGTGAAACAAGTCGCCCAAACGGGCGGACACGGTAGATTTATCACATTATAATGGGGCCTACCACTTGGTAGTCAAAGGGTCAGTGGTACTCTGTGGGACGGTGTGATCGTCTGTGTTTCATGCCTGGTATGGTACTGGAGTAAGAAGCAGAGCGCGTGGGCTTAGCACCCTCGACCGTCTCGCCATGACTAAGACTATCTTCTTGCGCCGTAAAGCATCTGAAGCGGTTGCTCGCCATCCAGGGACGGTTCGTAGAGAATGCGATACAGCCTATAAATCCCCCCCGCTGCCAGAGTTACACCAATCGCATGCACAATGACCACACAACTGCCTTTGGATAAAACATTCCTCATCGCAGCTTGGGCGGAGGTATGCACCAGCACTAGCTTCGTATGTTCTCTTATTTATTGATTATCGTTTCTAGGCCATCGCATATGGTTTGCACTAAACATACTGCATTTATGGACATCATTGACATATATCCTAGGCTTCCTTGTGTGTCTCTTCTGTGCTACGATGTTCTTCACCTTCGGCACCGGTCTACGACACGACTTTCATGGCAAGGTACGCCGTCATTATTGGTATACAGTTGGGCAACTAGTTGAACTTGCGTTAGGTCATGATCTGTGTATCATGTACCATGTTCTTAGTAGCATCCTGGCATTTGGCCATGAACGGCTACCGTCTGATCGAAGGGTTCACCGAGCACGCGTTCACTCCGGGTGGGCCAGTAGCCTACTTTGGCAATCTTCGCACTTGGGACCATGTACTCAAGGACACGCTCTATGCGACGCAGGAGATTCTGGGGAATGCTGCAGCGGTAGGCAAACACACGTCGCCATCTGCCATCGGTCTGACCCGCCGTAGATATACCGCTGTTATATCCTGTGGGGCCAAGATTGGCGGGTGATCTCCCTCCCTCTCTTGCTAATGGTTGGCAGCGTCGGTCAGTCACTTATAGATTCCGCCAGTAAACAAAACACTCATGATCGTCTTCTAGTTTCTGGCTACACTGTGTGCGCGCTGTTCGTGAAAGTCGACCCCAACCAAACCGTATTTGATCCGCTCCTCAATTCATGGATACGAGCATTTTACTCCATTGCCGTGGTCCAAAATATCATCACAACCAGCCTCATGGCGTACCGAATCTGGCGAACAACTCACCAATCTGCGAAGTTCCGTACGGACAGAGGGCTGATTCCTGTCTTGCGGATACTGGTCGAGTCTGCAGCACTCCAGTTGGTTGTTGAGATCTTGCTCCTCGCGTTGTACTGCAGCAATATTAATGCTCAGTATATTTTACTGGAGCTAGTTACGCCCGTGGTGGTAGGTTCCGATTCAGGTTAAGATGAATGGTGGAGTCTAACGGCATGGATTGTAGGGCATTACATTCAACGCCATTACCATCAGAATCCGGCTCCGCGCGTTGAATACGGCAAGTACGGGCTCTGGTATCACGAAATCAGACCACGTTCAAACGATTGGAAGCGTTCCAATGCGTCGTCGCATCCACGTCGATATCACCAAGGAGGTAGAGGACGATATGGAGAAGAGCACAGATTACCGTGTCATCGACATATCGAGTAACTCGCGTGTATAGACCATACACTTTTCTTTATCGTGCTTGAAACATATAAATTATTATTTATGTATGGATGTACCCTGTATTACCCCCTGTATCCATTCACGACCGTGCGAAGCTCACGTCGTGTTCTGCTAATTCACTGTCACGGTGTCGTGATTACCTGATAACCTGGAAGATGAGCTTGAACAAGTACGCCAACCTGCCAGACATTGTCAGTCCTCACGACGCCTCTTTTGGTGCTGCTCTTCGTTGATTTGGCTCCTAGGATACAGCTCCGGATGTCTATGAGACAGAAGATGTAGTCGACTCAGGAGAGGTAGCCTCTTCGTCTTGCTCGTAGTGCATTTGCCGAAGCTCACCGCTAGTCATGCTAGGGAAACGACTCCTCCGACCACGACGACGAGGGCGCACAGAACCGGGGGAATAAGAGACACGGCGACCCGAATGCTCCCAGGGAAGAGCTGGATTCGAGCCATTTGATGAGCCATGACGAGGCAAGCAAGCGGTTCAGGAAAGCCGAGAAACGACGAGGTATGTCAATTTGTGCGATAGCAAGCTCACCCCATGTTGAAGAAATGTAGCGCAGATGCGTACTGAGTATGCTTACCCCCCATCCTCAACGTCTCCTGTGGACGAAACCAGTTCCTCTTCCAAACCTGTCCCTTTGTCATATCGTCTGCGCGCGCTGCAAGCGGAGCTGGCTGCTCTTGAAGAAGAGCTTTCAGACCCTACAAATCCGCAGCTGCACAAAGAGCGTGTAGAAGATCATGTTGATCCTGGCGTCCTTATACGCGGTCTAGTTGATGTGCGAGGGCGACTGGAAAAGATTAGAAAGGGCAAAGAAGGTCGTGGCAAACTGGTTCAGGTAGTGCTGGGGGCAGACAGTGCCCGCGAGAACGAGGACGAAGAATCTAAAGCACCTGGCGATTCTACTACGCAGGCTAGTCCAAGCAAGTCAGAAACTCAGTCTACATCCGTGGCAGATATGGATAAGCGTCTGGGGGATTTGGAGAAGATGCTAGGGTCATCGAATATTGCTATAGACGAGGTGGGTTGCTGATAGCTATACACTATTCCTTGTACTTGACTCCGTTGTCAGGCTTCTACGATGCCTCCTCCGTTGCTATCTTCTGTCGCGCGCCTTAATGCTCAGTTAACCATCCTCACGCAACCCAGACATATCGACTCCGTGTCACGACGGCTAAAGCTCTTGCTTTCGGACCTTGACCGCGCGTCTGCCTCCCAACAACACGGGCATCGGCGGAATCCCTCGCAGCCATCAGCAAGTGGTTCATTACCTAACATCCAAGAACAACTCCTCCCTTTATTAAGCCGCCTCAGTCCTCTGTTACCTCAGATACCCCACATCCTTACGCGTTTGCGGACACTGTCGTCGCTCCACACGTCTGCCGGAGAGTTCCAAAGTATGTTAAGCAGCTTGGAGACTGACCAGCAAGGGATGCACAAATCTCTGGATGACCTAGAAGAGGCTATGAAGACGGTGGAGAAAAGTTTGGAGGCAAACCAGAAAGTGGTCAGAGGTAACGTGGCTGGGTTGGAAGAACGGGTTGATAGCTTGATGGGACGTTTGGAGGAGCTTGGTCGTGACTCGTGAGGTTGAGTAGAATTCTTCGGATATATCATATACCTCGCGCGCCTATTTCATCCGTACACTTTCCCTCGTTCTTGATCATCAACCTCTTAATTCAGTGGAAGCAGTGCAATGAACCCCCTAGGTATGCCACCTCTCTGAACTACGTCGCGGAATATAACACTATCATCAGTTATATGGTACGAGGGTCATCATATGTAACCTTCAGCTTGATGATATAGCGCAATGTTTTAGTCCTGTCTGTGAACGAGGCGTGCCAGAGTCAGATATAAACAGGCATCTGGATAATGCGTGCAATGGCAACGACTCTGTAAAACCAGAGCCTAAGCCGTCTACAAGCGGCGCTGCTTCCAGCTCACAAAGAGCTAGTAAAAAGGAAGCATTAGCCCCGATCTTCGCGAAGCCCAGCAGGAGAGCGGAGGGGGTGTCCTCGCCCTCGCAGGCGCGTCAAATACCTTTGAAGCGCAGTGCGGTGGACGAGGGCACACCCATATCCATGTCGATGAAAAGGAAAAGGAATCAGGCTAAACTTGATGCTGTGCCGCTCGCGGAGCGATTGCGGCCTAAGAAGCTGGTTGATTTTGTAGGCCAAGCACACCTTACAGGTCCTGACAGTCTCCTTCAAAAGGCGGTCTCCAACGGCTCTGTGGGGAGTATCATCCTATGGGGTCCTCCTGGGTGCGCTTACCATCTTTCACCACCTTCCAGTCCATCACGTTGCAGCTAACATTCGGTGTCAGGTGTGGGAAGACTACGCTAGCAAGACTGATTGCTGGCGAAACAAATTCGATATTGAAAGAGTTAAGTGCGACGGTGGTCGGAATCAATGATATCCGACAGACATTTGAAGAAGCCAAAGGTACCATGGCGCTAACCGGACGGTTAGGAAATGCCTCTAGCTCCGCCAGTACTTACTGACGACCCATTCATAGGCGGACGATAATCTTCTTGGATGAGGTGCATCGGTTCACCAGGTCTCAGCAGGTTAGTTTATTTCAGTCTGCTTCCGCTGTTGATGAATATTTTCTCTCTTAGGATATATTTCTTCCCTCCATCGAGAAGGGCGAGGTCCAGGTAGGGATGCTTTTCAGGGACTACGAACACTTACAGAGGTTACCCAGTTGATCGGTGCCACTACTGAGAATCCTTCTTTCAAATTGAACTCTGCTCTATTGAGTCGGTGCAGGCAAGTACCTCGTCTGACCCAACTACTTCCGCTGACTCCGAAGACTGCAGGGTGTTTACTCTCAATCCACTATCAACCGACGATATGAAGCAAATCCTACACAATGCCGTGGCACGAATCTGCGAGGAAGCGGAGGACGTCTCGGAACCGTCGGTAGAAGTAGAAGTCCCTCTGCCAACGCCACCAAACCCTTCTTCATCTCAAGCTTCTGTGACAAGTATAGGCACAACCGCACATCCACAACTCACAGAAAAAGTCATGGATACCATTGCCTCCTTATCCAACGGTGATGCTCGCACGGCGCTTTCGCTTTTAGAGCTGGCTGTATTGTCGAAGGACATGAAAGAGAGACAGTTACTCAATCATCTACGCGTCTCTGTGTCCATCTCCTACGATCGAACAGGAGAAAGTCACTATGATATGATCTCGGCCCTTCATAAGTCGATACGAGGGAGTCAAGGAAGCGCAGCCCTGTACTGGTTAGCCCGCATGCTAACTGGAGGCGAGGATCCAGTATTTATTGCGAGGTATCTATCTTTTTGTTCAAATCCTCTTGATGTTGCTTCATAACGGTATTCAGGAGACTTGTGGTCTGCGCTAGCGAAGATGTTGGCTTAGCGGACAACCACGCCTTACCCTTGGTGAGCAATCCTGCCATCCTTCGCAGTCGGAAAAATGATTTTATATGTACAGGCCGTGGCAACGATGCAAGCGTGTCAGCTTGTGGGAATGCCGGAGTGTCGTATCAATCTCGCGCATTGCGTGTCCTATTTATCTGAAGCCCCAAAATCGACGCGGTCTTACCGAGGTTACAACCGAGCAGAGGCAGCTGCCAAGAACGATCCCACTGACCCTGTCCCGATGGCAGTTAGAAACGCTCCCACATCTTTAATGAAAGACCTCGGCTATGGGGATGGATATCATTACAACCCGGACTTCGCGTCAGTGCGCCATTTGCGCGACTTTCACTTACTGATCGCATTTCTACAGGCACCCCGTCTACAATGAATATCTACCGCCTAAATTACGCGATGAGGTCTTCTTAAAGCAGGCAGGTGATGAATCAGATAAGACCTGGGATGAAGACGCTCTGAGACAATGGGAGACTGAGATGAACGGTGGCGAGCTTTGGGATGGCCGCGACGATAAGAATGCAGTGTAGCACTACGATTGAGATAATATCAGGTGTCGGACGTGTGGTCTGTGCGTGCGATGAAGTAAACTCTTGTTCCTGTCGAAGACGCTGAAGCTTGACGGCGCTCTTCCTTGTACCTCCATCATCGCCGTCCATGCCTGCTGTCCCCACCCATTCCACCACAGAAGGCCCCAATGAGTTTCGCGTCCTGGTCACCGGCTTCGGCGTAGGTCCATTACAATCTTTTTTGCCCAAGATGATGTCCGTGTTCATGCTGACTGCTAGCAAGTTCAGCCATTCGCACACTTTGACGAGAATCCATCATGGCTCGCCGTAAAGCCCCTCCACAAGACCACCCTGGCCACCGATCCATCATTAAACCCTATAATTGTCAACCAGCAGGTTGCTGTTTCTGGATCTGCGCCCCGCATGCCGCGTCCAATCCACATATCTGCGCTGCAAATACCCGTCACCTACGAAGCAGTCCTCAATACGGTGCCGGGATTACATTCTAGACCACCCATTTTACCTGAGGGAGTAGATCCTGACTTCCCTGCTCCACCAGAAGAAGGCTACGATCTCATGTTCCATATCGGCGTCGCGGGGCGCGGCCCTTTGCGTATGGAGCGAATCGGCCATAAATTAGGGTACCAAATGAAAGATGTTAGTGGGAAGCTCGCATCTGTTGTTCGATCCAATCCAAAAGACTTCAGTCGACACACCGATGAGCCTGCATCAGCCGCAGAGAACATGGAAAGGGAGAGATTGGGCATGGAGATCATATCATCCGGGGAGAATATCGCACGTCAGACACGAGGTTTCGGGGCTGCCTATGAGACGTTCCCGGATGAAATCACTACGGAGGTTGATGTTACCCGTTTAGTCCAAGATTTGAAGCGATCTGGGATCGAGGTGCGTTGCCCACTATCATTCTCTGAGATTCATTATCATTGACCACCGTCTTAGCAAATATACACGTCCATGGATGCAGGACACTATCTCTGCGATTTCATTTACTACTGCTCTCTCGCTGAGGCTAAGCGTACGGCGAAACCTTACGAGAAGCGGCGTAACACCCAAGTGCTATTCTTGCACTGTCCCCCAGTGAACCAACCTCTAACGACAGAGGAGGTCACTGAGGCCATCAAACGCATCATTGTATGGATCTGTCAAGAGATTGAAGCCATCGACGCCACCGAAAATCCGTTACAAGTCGGGGCGTCCGCTGCAACCGCCTGAGGAGTGTACGTCTAGGATTGAAGCACCCCGCATCTAGTTGGAAGTTGACGTGACATGTACTTTTCGTGTGGATTTGGACAGGAAATACAATAAATAGCTCTGCTTTACTTTACTGTGCACTCCGAGTCCGATGTGCTAGGCTGATCACCTGATCCTATTACAATCGCGACATAATTACTCAGGACTCTGAACAGGTTATAACTTTGTAGAGTACCTATGAGGAATGGGAGCAAACGCGAATCTCTTTCCCCTCCTTTCTGGGATCCCGCATGGCCACCAACATTACATTCCATCCAGGTAGATTCCATCATCATCGTAGCAGTGCACGTGGACTTACGATGATCTTCAGGCTCGGTCACTTCAGCAGAACGAACAAAACTGCTCAACCAAAAGGGCGTCACCATTTGGCTAACAGGGCTGAGTGCGAGTGGAAAGGTCTGTATCACTTACTAGAGGCCTAGCGTGGATCTGACATACCTACTGTAGTCCACGATTGCGTGTGCTCTAGAGCAACATCTGTTGCATCTACATCACTTTAGTTATCGATTAGATGGAGACAACATTCGCTTCGGCCTCAACAAAGATCTTGGATTCGACGAGAAATCCAGGAACGAGAACATAAGACGAATCGGTGAAGTACGGCCTTCGTCCGGGATAACGTCCATACACACTTAACTCAACCCTCCCGAATCTCGGTAGGTATCCAAGCTGTTTGCGGACGCATCCTGCATCTCCATCACCGCCTTCATTTCTCCCTACCGAACCGACCGTGATTCAGTTCGAGAGTTGCATAATGCAGCACAAATCCCGTTTGTGGAAGTTTACGTAGATGCACCGCTGAAAGTCGTGGAAGAGAGGGACCCCAAAGGTTCGTCGGAACCGTCCACAATATATGTCCGAGTCTGACTTCGCAATAGGTCTCTACAAGAAGGCTCGCGCTGGTGAAATCAAGGGTATGATTTGACCTTGGCTGTGTTCATCTATATGCACGGCTGACAAGCGGCTTCGCAGAGTTCACAGGAGTGTCGGCTCCCTATGAAGAGCCTCTCAACCCGGAGATCCACATCCGAACAGACCAGCTGGACGTTACCGAGAGTGTCCGAGTGATCGTCGAATACCTCGAGAGTAAACAGTATATTTAGATCGGTGTACTTACTTAATAAATTACTTGTAAGGAAGGAACGAAGTATAGGCTAGTAGTGCATGGGTCATGGATGTTGGTTGTATCGTATCAATCGAACGAGTCAACCGTTCGGCAAAGTCGTACTGCGAAAATGTGGTTCTTGAATATCGTTGGAAGGCGTGTCTATGTCTTCGTCGGGGTACTCCTCTTCTTCCTGCTCCTCCTCCTTAATAGTGTTCACTTTTATCGTGTCGAGCATACCCAGCAACCCGACCTCCACGACGTTCAGCCAGGACGTCAAGTCTTCGACGGTCTGCCGCAGTTCAGCGTGGGTCGTATCGGCCGACTGCATCATGCGCGTGTAGTCCAGCGGGCGAATCATCGGAATTTGCGAAGGAGGCATGGACGATATAGACGTGAACGAAGAATTCAGTGGGTAGCTTGATGAAGAACCCCAGGGCTCCGAATCAAGGGAAGGAGGGGACGTCGTGCGAGGAATATCGAAGGGCGTGGATATGAATGAAGAGCTCGGGTCTCTGTCCTCTGTCGGAGATGGCCCCGAAAGACTCGAATTAAGATGGCTGGGCGTAGGCGCAAAATATCTCGTATGCTGCACAGCCGACGGCGACGGCGGCAAGAGGTCGGAAATGCCGAGATGGTGTTCAGAAGAAAGCGAAGGGATCTGCAAACCAGTCAGTAACGAAAGAAATGCATCACGGATACGGTACATCAACAACTGACCTTGAGCGCGTCTTTGAGGCCCGGAAGGCCCAAGGAGTTGCTGCGAGTAGAGCTCGAGTCGCTGTCACTGCGATCCCTATGTTTTCGCGCGAACGGCTTCACCGGCGGTAGAAGCGGTTCAGCATCAGCAGGCCGCAGCGTCGCCGCCGACCGAGGCGTCGTGGGTAATCCACTGGAAGGATGGCTACTGTTACCGCTTCCTGACGCTTCTGTCAAAGCCGTCGCCGAACGGGCGCGCGTGATGGACAACGGCGGCCGCATAGGGCCAATGGGGAGATGTCGCCTCGTATCCAAAGAATACGTACTCTGGTGCGAACTGGGCGACCTCGGTGGGCTCGATGCGCTCAAGTGGGTTGGGGACAGTCTATTGTGTGACTTCTGTTGGAGCTGCGGAGGGATCATGCTGAGGCCAGCGCTTTGCGGGAAAGAGGAGGAGGAAGGCCCAAGTGCTCCGGGAGAGACTCTCTGCGTGGAGGGGAACTGGAATGCCGCGGGAGATGCGAGGTTGATGTCGACACCAGCGCCAGCGCCGTGCGTCGCAGAAGGAGGGCCGCCCTTACGGGCAGAAGCGATAAGGATGTCACCGTTGCTCTGCGACCGTTTGCGGGACGGGCGAAGGTCAGATGGGACGACAGTAGCAGTAGACGAAGACGACGCTTGGGCAGACGGTGAGTCAAACGCCGCGCTATTGAGGTCTATGACGACCGTTTCCGCAGGAGGGATCTCAATGTTGGGAGGGCCACGCGTAGAGCGAATATCTCGATATGCGGGGTTCAGCCGCGTAGGACCTGGTTTCTCAGTTACATCGTTGGAGTTGCTTTCATCGGCGGTCAGTGGTTTATTCGGGCTCGGGGGACTTCTCGATGAAGTTCGTGGCTCTCCACCGTTCGGGGAGGGGGCACGCTCATCGTCAGATGTATGCCGACTGGACGGTGCTAGCTTTGATTTCGACCGATTCGGGTGTAGGAACGGGGCTGATTTGGCATCCAGAGGCGTGGACGGTATGTTCAGAGAGGTGGATGACGCGTTCTTCACCAGCATGTCCGTTCGGATGGGGGAAGGGGCAGCGGAGGAAGACGAGGAAGAATGGCCAGGCAGGGCTAGCGCAATGGGCGGACTGGGCGTACTCCGGTAAGGGGACGCTGGGATACGGAATGGCTCTGGCGTCGGTGCGGAATCCGACTCGAAGAGTTGGCGGAGAGACGAAGGAAGCTGGGAGGACCCCGGAGGCCGGATGGTGGACTGGTTTATACCATTCTCGTCATCCGGAGAGAGATGTCCGTTCGCGGAAGATGAGGAGCTCGGCGCGCGGATGGTCCCGAATTCCCACTGATCCAGGTCGTCGTCGCTTGCAGAGTCGGGTTGAAGACTGGCGATGGGAAGAATGAGATATACGGAGGCCGGGGTGGAGTAGATTTACTTACTCGCGCTCCTCCTCCTCTTCCCAAGGGAGGGGCTCAGCCAGGCTTGCCCGGGGGCCCGCTTGATGCAGCCTCAGAACGAGGTCTTTGAGAATGGCCACAGGTGTCTTCGCTACTGACTTTATCCACTTCGTCTTGGCAAGTTCGTCGGCAGGAAGGCGCTGGAGAAGTGAACATAAGCAGCCTGTCTAGGGGAAGAAGGAGCATGAATTACTTCGCTAGGCAGCTCTTTGAGGCACAATGCCACGAAGTCGCGCATATCCTTGCTGCCTTCGCCTTCCGGTATGCGCGGGGGTTTGGCGCGGGGGATGAGGTCCATTACCTTGAACTTGTCTAAATTGGCGTGCGGCGGGCTGCCTTTGATCATCTCGTACACCATGATCCCGAGACTCCATATATCAGCTTTCGTATCGTACGCGGGCACCGTCTGCACGACCTCGGGCGCCATCCAGTAGGGCGTGCCGGTGAGCGTGTTGCGCTTGCTGCTCGTGGTTGCCAAGAGCGCGGAGACACCAAAGTCGCAGATCATGACCTTGCCGACCGACGTGACGAGCACGTTCGCGGCCTTCATGTCGCGATGGATGACGGGGACCCTGTGCAGGTAGCTGAGCCCAACGAGCACCTCGCGCAGGATGACGCTGACGTAGCGCTCCTCGATGCACCCGTCGCGGGACGCCTTCATGAGCGACAGCACGCTCCCGCCCTGGGCGAACTCCATGACGATCCACACACGCGGGCCGTCCATGTAGCAGCCGAAGTACTTTGTGACGTTGGGGGCGTCGCGGAGCTGGGCGAGGAGGGCGACCTCGCGCTGGATGTCCTCCACATCGTCGTCGGCGGTGTCGAGGTTGATGATCTTGAGGGCGACGACCGAGCCGGTTGGGATGTGGATGCCTTTGTGCACGGAGCCGTATGCGCCCTTCCCGACGGTTTCCAGACGACGGTAGAGCTGATGAACCGAGACATTGCCGTGTTGCTGCACTACTTGGGCCATCGTAAAAGATGGGAGAACGAAGAGATCGTGGTCGTGGTCGTTGATGGCGACGTAAAAGCGTAGGTCGTGGTTGTGCTATTGCAGAAATGAAATGCCATTCAGAGTGTGCGCCAGATGATTAAAGCATCGAGGAGGAGTCGTGAGGTCGTTCGGGACAGCGAACAACTCCTGTCAGTGGTCGCGCTGTCACGTGGGAGTCTGCACGAGTAGCGTTGATTGGCCAATACTCTCTTTGTTTGCTGTGGTCACTTTGCCGGAGTGGTTAACGGGATCGCCTGCTATTCATAGCGTCAGCGGTTGGGCTTTGCCCGCGTGTGTTCGAATCGCACAGGTGACGAGCTTTTTGCATACTTGGATATCTCAAGCGACACGAAACGAAGTGAGGAAGACAAACGATTCATTATCAATGTGCGGTTTTACAGTAATAACAATTAATTATATTCACAGAATCACTCAATGTCTTTTGGAACGGAACTGCTCTGCAATGGCGCTGTAATGGAAACGGTGAGTTCGCTTCCATTAGCAATAGATGACACTTACCCCTCTACTCCGAATAACGCCAACAAGCCGACAGAGACGGCGGACACAGTGCGTCTGTCCCACGACCGGCGGTCCCAGTTGATGTAGGAAAAGTATCCAACTGTGCCAAGAACAGCAGTGTTCACTTCGAGGACGGTTCAGCATTTCCACAAACCACCGCGGATGGTCACTTACAGAGTCCGACGAGGCCACCCAATACGCCTGGGCGGAGAATGACTTCGCGGAGATGCTTATAGATGAGTGTTCCCTCCTCCTTCGCGCGATGTTCCTCTGCCTGACCGCGTGGAGTTTGGCGATACTTTTCTGCAGCGTAACCTTCGGCCGTCAGCAGCGCCAACGCGGACCCAATGACGGTCGTCAAGAATCGTCTGTCGTTGCGGAGGTGTGGTTGCGTGTAAAGCGCGTGACCTGCACCAGCAAGTAACCCGGCATTTACTGTAATCGCGCGCATGTAGTCAGCAAAACGTCGATCAAAGTCGCGCTTGCGACTCACCCAAACCGACGAGGCCACCAGCGACACCCGGTCTGAAGATGTACTTCTTCGTGACCTGCCATAGATATGCGCCCTCCGCTTCGGCCTCCTGCCTTCTCTTGGACTTTCGCGGCTTCCTGTCGTCGTCGTACGGGAACGCGTTGAGGCGGCTCTCGTTGTCCATGCGTGCCTGAGATGTTATGGTGACTGGGTGGTCCTTGAGGGAGCGGTCGACGACACTGAGCTTGGAGGAGTCGTCGATGATTTTGTCGACGGGGGCGGAGGGGGCGGTGTTGAGCAGGGCTTGGTCGGGCTTTGGCTGATCTGAGAGAGGGGGGGCGTTCTCGGCAGCGACTTGGGCGTATGACATTGGAGGGGAATGCCCCCCGTTGAGCGCGACGCGGTTTATATACTGTCGTCGCGGGTATGACGCCAGAGGACGACGTCATAGGAGCACGACGACCCCTATTTGGTTGCACCCGTATATATTATTATACAAACTTGTGTCATAGCCCATGCTTCCATCCGTCGCCAGTCTCGAGCACGAAGGTCGTCGCCCCCACATAGTGCGCCCTGCCCGACACGCGCACGGTCACCCCGGAGCGACCGTCGGGCATGCTCACCTCTTCCACCGCCGTCCCAGCGAACCCACTGCCCGCATGCCGCATGCTGTACATCGACTCATACACCCGGCCCTCCCCCACCTTGCGCCCGCCGTTCGCGACCGCGAGCGCGACGCGCGCACACACTCCAGACCCCGTCGGCGACCGGTCAATCTGCCCGTCCGCAAAAAAGCACACCCCGCACTCGACGCCGTCCCCGGGCACGCCCTCGTCGCAGATGATGACGCCGTACAGGTACTCCAGGTCCCGCTCCGAGGGGTGCTTCAACACTTCTGTGTTATTTCCGACGAGACCCTTGATCGTTTTCGCGGCCTGCGCGAGCTCTGGGACGCTGCTGGCAAGCAGGCCATCGGCGAAGCCGAGCTCCCGCACGTCCACAATCACGTAGAACGCCCCTCCGAATGCGACGGCGACCTTGACATGTTGCCTTCCCGACTCCCTTATCTGCTTCCACATCTTGTCGGCGGGGATGTGGACAGAAATGTCGGTCCCGCCAACGAAGCTCGGCACGCTGAGGAACGTGACGGGGCGCGTCGCGTCGGCTCTGCCCTGCGGCGTCACGGGAACGGTGATTTCCACGATACCGCACGGCGCGTGCAGGTTCATCTTCGTGCACCCGTCCGCGATTCTGCTGCGTATCCGTGCAAGGAACTCGCCCTCCGCCATATCAACCAAGAATCGCCCCAGCGCAATCGCCGCGTGTCCGCACATCGTCGAGTACCCCTCTCCGCTGGCTCAGGGGCAGGATGGCAGCGATGGGAAAGCACGACGTACCGTTGTGGCAGAATAGCACGCCGACGTCTGCGCGTCCGGCCGCGGTCAGCTCGGTCGCCCAGACCAGGATGGCGCCGTACATCTCTGAGTGGCCCCGCGGCTCCTTCATCAGCCTGCAAGGATTCCGAGGATAAGCAATAATTGAGGTCTATCGACGGAAGGACTTCTCTCTGACAATTGTCGTACATGGTCCAATCGATCCCGGGCGTCAGCGCGTTTCTCTAGCAGCGTCGACCCTTTGAGTTCGGGGTAGCCTTGGACGACGATCCTTGTGGGCTGGCCAACGACACCGAATCAGCAGTCTGAATCGTGCTTTCGCGCGTACGTACCTCGCCGCTCGTGTGCATATCCACTACCCTGATCTTCATCGCTATCGCCTGTGACGCCACATCGTGCGCGTCACTGCTCAGAGTAGTGAAGACGTTCATCAGACAGAAATGGAGTTCTCGTTGCGTATGTGGGTATATATATATCTCAGGTAAAAAGGTGACAAATGAGCGTGAGCCTATGGTATGGTAATAATAATGATCGTGCGATATGATTGTTGTATGGGAAATGGGTGTGGGTGTGGGTGGGAATAGGGAACACAACAAGCCCACGATGAATATGAGGATGAAGATAAGAGTAGGAATAGGAATATGATGCATAAAAATCCGGTACGATAGCAAGGGAAGGATGGGTAGACGAAAACGGAGAAAGTAAGAATGAATAGAGCGTCTAGAAGACATCCAGGGAATGCGGACAGTCTTTGGCGACATGCCCATGACTCTCGCAGTCCACGCAGAACAGATCGGCCGCAGCACCGCCTCCAGCACCGTTGACGGTCTTGCGTGGAGTACTCCGCTTCTGCTGTGTCTCTTCCTTCAACAGTCCGCACGAGAAGATATCATGCCCCGGCTTCTCGCAGATCTCGCATACTTCCTCTTCAGAGACGCCGCTCCCGGCGACAGTGCTCAACCCGGGGGCGAGGATGTTGCTGCTGCTACTCTCCGAGCTGGCTAGGCTGGCGATGGAGCCCTGTCGCTTCGGATTAGGGAGGTCGCCTGGTTTATGGGACGACGTGGAAGAAGTGGACAGTTTCTTCTGAGCGCGGGCAAGCTTGTCCTTGACTCGTTCGAGCTCTTGCTCAAGTTCATCCTGAGGGCATCGTCTTGTTACTAGTATGATCATCTAAGCGATGGGGGTACTTACTTCACGATAGATCTACAGAGGCAAGAAGCGGCCTGTGAGTCGAAGAGATTATCATTTGAACCAGTAGACGGACCTTTGATTCCACAAGTGCCTCAAGTTCGCTGATCTCTTTGTTGAGCTAGTCGATTTCGTCAGAAACTCGCACCTTTGAGGATCTACACCAAGGAAGACCAACCTCATGTGTGACTCTAGCGCATTTCATCTCCGCATCAGCTACCCGCTTGCGTAACTGGTCAATTTCCATCTAACACACACGGATCGTTGAATCAGAGACGATGTCTCAGACGTAGACGACACTCACTTCGAAACGAATCTTTTGCTCCTTCATCATCTTTTGGAGAGATTCGATGGAAGATGACGACGGATCGCCAGAATTATCAGTCAGATCTTGCTCTTCGCGGGTCAAACTCGTGTCTAGATTCTCCTCGAGTAATTTAACTTCCTACAAGCAGATGCGTTAGAGCATCCAGATAATGCTATGACGGGGGTGGGCACTGACCTGGCGGAGTTGATCGACTTCAGATTGCAAAAGCTCGTTCTCAGCGGCAATGGTCTTCTTCTGTTGCTCCGATACTGCGACTTCCTTCTGCAACTCTTGCACGATGTGTCTGTTGGAATGATCAGCAAGAGACGTACGAAATGAACTATGTCTGTCGCACTTGAGACCCTTAATCTCATCACGTTGAGATGATCCTGGATCGTATTTCGAGGACGTCGGTGACGCAATCCGCTCCGTTGAGATTCCGTTGGTCAAAGTGACTTCACGGTTGAGCTTCTTCCGTAGCGACTCTAGTTCGCTTGACTTCTCGTCGAGAGTTCGGCGCAGGCTGACAAGCTCATCAGATTGGGATTGGATGAGCATCTCCATCTGTGCGTAATTGTGAGCAAGGTCGAGAAGGATTCATCGCAAGACATACCGTCATGACGTCCGACGATTTCGATTCTGCGACTATCTTCCGAAGTCGCTCGACCTCCGCTTCCAGCTGGTCAGTCCGCTTGGGAGATAACTCGTCGTCGTCGAGGTTCTTTGCGAGCGTAAGCAACCACAGAAAGCTGAGCCTAGCATCCAAATCTCACCTTTTCTCGCAGAATTTCAACTTCAGCCCTAGCATCCTCAAGGGCATTGGTAAGCTCCCGCATGTCTTCTTCCAATTCTTCCACACGCCGCTGAGCCACAGCCTCCATCTTCATCACCTTATCCAATTCCTTTCGGCCCTCGCCCATGTCTCTCCTCAGCGCATCTTCTTTCTCCTTGACACGTCGTAAACGCTCTTGGCCAACCACCTCTTCCCGCTCTAAAGCGGCGCGTGCTTCCTCCAAGTTATCCTCAAGTGTTGCAATCCGCTTCTGCAGGTGTTTCACTTGCTCCCGCAGCGATTCGTTGTCGATCTCGGTCGCAGAGGAGGCTTGTGCAGCGGACTTCGGGTTCGTCAACAGTTGCTGGCGTTCTGCTTCAAGCTGAGAGACGCGATTTTCGAGTTCATATCGGTCGGCATCGCCAGCGCTAAGCCTTTCCTCGTACAGAGCGATCGTTTCCTGCGAGAGATCAAGTAAAGGTACTTATATGAAACATGCTAAATATACCTGGCCTGCCATGCGAAGCTCGTCGATTTGAGCACCAAGTTCTTTACGTTCGTCTTCGAGGTCTGAGTAGGCGCGTTCGAGTTGAGATTGTAGCAATGCAACTTCGGCATCCTTTGCCTTGATCAGTGCGTCGTTCTCGTGCTCCTGACCTTCCTTCGCAGCAAGGGCTTCCTTCAAGGTAGCAGTAAGAGCGATGCTATCATCAAGTTTCGACTGTAACGTCTTCATCCGGCTCTCGGTGTCGAGTTTCTGCTTCTCTAGCTCGACCGTCGCTGCCTGTCGGTCCTGATCCAAGGTTCGAATACTATCTTCTTTTTCACGAACCGACTTCTCCTTCTCCAGGAGCTCTGCCTCCAGCTGGGAAGTGCGAGAGGAAAGCCGGGCGTTATCAGCGGTTAGACTTTCTATACGAGCTTCCACATCTGGCTGGGACGATGGCGTTTGGAGACGTTGATTTTCTGCCTCCAGCTGACCAATCTGCGCCCTTAGTTGTGCTATAAGTGCAGTATCGCTTGGGTTCGAAGTCAGCGGAGGAGAAACCGAAGGTTGAGCGGGCGAGTTCGAGCGCGAACTGTCAGACATCAGCCGAGCAATCTTCTCCTGTATAGCTAATCCATGAAGCTCAAGTTCTGTTAGAGACGTAGCAGAGCCCTTTGGTGGTGCGGACGCAGACTCTGTGTCTGAGTCATTAAGTGAGATGGTGCGGCTGTATATGCCGGGGGATGCAGGCGGGGGCATAGCAACAGCGCTCGGTACGCGGGGACGAGGAGTGTTCATTGCCCGCATTTTCGTGGGGGTCCCCGTGCTCGGAACGCGTCCGCCCAGCGTTGGTTTCGGGGTTGTGAACGGGGATCCATTAGGTCGGGTGGGGGAAGACAGTGTCCGCGTCGGCGAAGATAATGTGTTGCGCGCGGGACTCGATGCGGTGACATCGCGGGTGCTCAGCTGCTTCGCCGTCATCGTAACATATTTCGAAGCGCGAGAGCCTGCCGTGATCTTGCCGTTTAGGGACATGTTCTTCGTGTTAGCGCCGTTGGCTGCTTTGAGGGGCGGCCGTACGCCTGGCGTCATGCCTGGTGTTACGCGACCAGAGGAAAGCGAACCTGGTGTGACCCTGCCACCATTTGCCGATGGTGTAGTCCATGTGCTTAGGCTGAAGGATGTAGAAGGCGTTATTCTGCCAGAAGTTAGCGGTGTGGTGCGTCCCCCGCGCGAAGACGCGACCGACGAGGGACGGTCGAATAGACCGGTGGTAGGCAATGATAGCTTCGTAGTTGCCACGAACACGCCGCAATTTGGTGGACAAGCAAAGTATCGCTTCCTATGCGTGTTCAGTACTGACTATCTCTCAGGTGAAGAGAAGCACGTACCCTCCGACAGACCCGTCGTTTTTGCCCTTCCCAGCAAACCCACCACTTAGTTCAACGCCTGCCCATAGTCCGGCTTTGCCATCAATCTCCCCTATGTACTGCAGAGTGCCTTCAAACCCAAGTGACTCTATTCTCACCCCGTCGCCAACTTCGAATGTTCTTCCAGCCCTGCTAGCACTTCGAAGAAAGACATCAGATTGCCTGCTAGGCGGGCGATTGGTACTCGGGGTCTTGGTACGTTCGGCCGTCGACTTTGCAAAGGCAGTTGTTGAAGACGAAGACGCGGCCGAGGTTGGTCGTCCCCCAGCAACCGATCGCCGTCCCGAAGGGAATGTCGCAGAATGCGGGGTTGCGAGAGAGGTGGACGACGAGGCACTGCTGATACGACCAGCGCGGTGCTGAGCAGGGTCGTTGGCCTTGATGGCGTCTGCAAAAGCACGGGACATGAATTCAACATCGTTATTTGAGTTGATTGGAGCGTATTGGGATGCGCTGGACGTCGAACGCGATCGTGTGCCCGGGGTCGGGATTCCTGAAGGGCGGCCTGGCGTCGGGATGCCCGACTGTCGAGGTTTGGCCGGGGTCGCCATCACATTTACGGGTTTGTTGAATGTTCGCAATCAAGCGACGCGAGCCAGGGAATGCATGCTGCCTTTGTGGGTAATACCCCGATTAGGCAGCCTGGGGAAATCTCAACATAGCAGGGGCGTGGGAGAGCATATCAATAGCCGCAAACAGGACCTGATTCAGCGTGTGGAAGACGTCGGCGTCGATAGCAAAACATCAAGACCGTCGTAACGAGAGGTGAGCACGCCGAATCTGTGTCCGTTGGTGGTCCTGGAGAGGGTTAGGCATGCGTATGGACACGACTCGCGGTGGAACTAGCGGAATCTGGGACGGATGGCGGACGGTCGATTTGGATGAGGCAGGGTGTTGACATAACTTTGAACAGGACCCCGACGCCCAACATGTCTCTCGTCGTCCCCGAACAGCACCAGCAATTCCAGGTAACACGATCCCCCTTCATGCAGGCGTGATTCAAGATGTTTACTGCGTTTGCTACAGCACATTCTGCGTCTCCTCAACACCAACGTCGATGGCAAGCGGAAAGTCATGTACGCCTTGACTGAGATCAAGGGTGTTGGTCGCCGATACGCCAACTTGGTCTGCAAGAAGGCCGATGTCGACTTGAACAAGCGGTTGGTGTGACCCTCTCGTTATCTGCGACCCCTGGCTTAATTATGTGCCCAGTGCCGGTGAACTCAACTCTGACGAGCTCGAACGCATTGTCACCATCATCCAAAACCCCACGCAGTTCAAGATCCCTACATGGTTCTTGAACAGACAAAAGGACATCGTCGATGGCAAGAACTCGCAAATTCTGTCGAACGGCGTCGACTCCAAGCTCCGTGACGATCTCGAGCGATTGAAGAAGATCCGTGCCCACCGTGGGCTGAGACATTTCTGGGGACTCCGTGTCCGAGGTCAACACACAAAGACAACTGGTGAGTCTGCATGTTCAGGTTTCTGGGTGGTCAGTTCTGAGTGTTTGCGCAGGTCGCCGTGGAAAGACGGTTGGTGTGTCAAAGAAGCGTGGCTAGTCGTGTTAGTTTACCTGCATCCATTGTATTCGCATGCATTCAGTATGATCATAGGATATGTCTATGGCATTTCGCTGCACCTCGTTAGTGGAAGCTTGGTGTCAGGGGTGAGAGCGATCACATGATCGAGTCCATGTCGAGAAGGTTCTCCGAGCGCCTAGCAGCGGAAGCCACTCACGGTTGAAATAGAAGCGGACAGCAGCGAATCTGCATCATGACCACCTGGATTGCTCAGTGCACACCAACCACACACCCGTGGTTCGCAAACGCCTCCATGAAACGCAAGTTCCCCTCCTCCTCCTCGTCCTCGCCGTCGTCCACCCCCACCCAGTCCGACTCGGACTCGACCCCAGGCAACCCCCACAGACCGAAGAGGAGGCGGTGCTCGACGCTCGAGAAGGGGCTCTCCTACCTCTCACTAGGCGCGGATGCGTGGCAGCGCGACAGCAATGTAGGGCACCTTCAAGTCAGGCATCCAAATTCCCCATCCCCTGACGTGTCCGCTTCGCAGCTCCCAAACATCTCGGAGATCCCACCGCCGGACGTTTACCAAAACAGGCCCCCCATGGGCGCCGATTCGATGCAGTTCGACATCCCGGCCGTGGTGAGGCCGTCGCGCGTCGACGAGCCCGGGGAGCATACGCCGCCGATAGTAGAAATCAATATGAAGTCGTCTAGCTGGTATGAGCCCGAGCCCGATCGTACGTACTTGCATTGTAGAGGAAATGGTACTGTCTGGTTGACGCCGCTCCTAGGAATAATAGTCACGGATCTAGATTCCTCGGAGGACGAAGCCGACGTAGAGGACAATCCAATACTTCTACCTCCGTCGGTTCTAAGGCATATTGCAGCACGGAATCTGGAAATGATGAAAAGTGGCGGCAAGTCAATCCATCATGCTGATGATGCGAATAAAGCACTTGTGCTTTTCCGACCGCTCAGCTTGGGACCACCTTCACAAGAGGAAGGTGATGTAGACGACGACAGTTCAAGAGACACCGACACCACATCTTCTTTACCGAGTGTCTCCAGTATGGATGATGACGATGCCATGGATGTAGAGTGATCGTGACAACCACAAAATCCCATACCCGCATTTGCGCACTGTATAATTCATTTACTCTAGTCGAAAGAAATACATAAACTTAAACAGAGAACGCATACGAATTCGTTATAAGATACACATATACAAAAGCACGAGTATAGACATAGGTATCAGTATCAGTTAGTGGAGGAGGATCAGGCAAACTATTCTGTCGAGCCACCCGGAACTCCCTGTGAGGCACCGAATTGCAACGTCTCTTCTGGTCGCCGCTGCATGCTTCCTTCCACTCCGGAAGCACCTGTGTACAATCCTTGGGCATAGTTTAGGTGGGAGTGGTGGTGTCTCGCATGAGCATGTGGGTGGGGGACGTGATGCATTTGCTGGTAGGGCGCGGTCAAAGTGATTGGAGCCGAATTGGTAGTACCCTTCTGTCCTGGATTGAATGGAGGGTATGAGCCATGTGACGGCGCGGCTTGGGGGACTTGTCCGGTATGACGGTGAGGGGCGTGGTGGGTCCGCTGCTGGGGCGCCTGCTGTTGTTGGTGAAGGGGGGAAGGACCAGCAGGTTGGTGTGACATCTGCGTGGGTGCAATCGGCTGGCCAAACGGCATACCCATCATATTCATGGGCCCAGAACGTTGATGTGCGAACGAATCGTGTTCGTGTTGGTGCATCGCTGGCTGCATGTTCATTGGTGGTGGCTGCGCGGGCTGGGGGGCGATCATTGGCGGTGGTGGGGGAGGGGGCCGATGGGCTTGTGCCGGTTGTGGCTGGGGAGCCGGTTCCATGGCTACATCCTCTTCGCCGTCCTCCTCAGCCTCCCCGTTAGCTGTGGAAGCGGGCGGGGCAGTAGGGTCGATGCCCGCTGCTTTTTGGGCAGCAATTTCCTCGGCAGTCAAAAAACGGCCGCCTGGGCCTCTGGGCCTCCGCATGGCGTGTTTGTGGCGCGACTCGTGCAGGTAGGGCTTGTGAAGCGATTCAGCACGAGAATCGGCGTAGATGAGAGCTGAAAACGCACCTTGCGCTGTCTAGACAGCCTGTGGACCTCCTCCAGCCGAGCGCGGGCGACTCTGCGCTTGAGAATGCGAAAATACTGCTTTGCATTGACGTAGAGGGGCTCGTCGTCTATGGGGGCCTCGTCTGGGGGCCTCTCTGTGTCATTTGCGGCGGTGGGCGGGGAAGTGATGGGGATGAAGAGATTGTTGTCTGGCGAGCGGGGGTTGGGCGTGGAGGACGTCGAGGGGCCTGGCGAGGGATTCCTGGAGGGCAAGTTTGAGTAGTAGATCTGATGCGGGTGGAACTGCTGGTTCTGGTGGTGGTGGTTGCTGTGCTGGTTCTGTTGCGGGTGCTGCTGGTGTTGTCTGTCGAAGTGAAGATGGTGGTAAGCGGCGGGAAACAGCTGATCGACGACGTCGTCCATGATTGGCTGGGCGGGCAGGCAAGACTCCAACACAAGCTTGTTCTTGATTGGACGCGATAAAATTGTCACACTGGCCTTGTGACGGTGTCGGCCTGTTTGTGTATGCGGCGGCGGCGGGAGTTCGGCGGGGCCGTGTCGGGCGATGGCCGGCCTGCAAATGAAAGTCGAGCACACCGCGGTCGACGGCGGGCGGGAGCGTAGGAGTCAACAAACAGACACGCTCGCTTGTCTTGTGTGAACTCGAACCAGGCCAGTTCGAGGCCCGTCACGCCCGTCACGCCGTGCCCCTCACTTCAGCACCATCACACACAATGGAATCAAAACTGTACGTCGCCCGCAATATCCTCCCAGCTCCCCCGCTCATCGTCCCACACATCCAGCAAGGCTCTCAAGGTCGTCGACCTCAGACACATCCTCTCCAAATCAGCAACAGCCGTCCCCGCAAAGGCAAACAAACAGGAGCTCATATCCAGGATCCTCGCAAGCCCCGCTGCCCTCGCGGAGTACAATAGCCAGCACTCCCCGGCCCCCGTCGACCAAAACGAGGATTTGGTACGCCATCCTCCCTCCATCCCGAGAGTCTCTTCCTGATTCCCCTTTGCATCAGTTGGCTCCCCCAGAAGAGTACGTATGTCTCACCGCGTCCAAACCAGAGTTATACAAATACCGAGGATATGCAGAGTCGACTGGAACGATGAACTGAGCGTGCCTGCCGAGTCGGCCACCCCCCTTGACACCGCTCCGGCTGCTGCTACACCCGTCGCACCCGTAGGTTCTATCCATCATCGTACCATGTGTTGCACGCAGTCACTTGACGCGACAATCTCACAGCAGGAGCCTTCTACCGCCACGGCCGCGTCACAGGCAGCGGGAGTGCCTAACTCCGTCAATCCCTCCGAGCCATCCACCGGGGACCCAGACCTCGAGGCACGGAGGCGTCGTGCTGAGAGGTTTGGCATACCTCTTGTCGAGGTGAAAAAGAAAGCCACTGCTAAGAATGCGACGCAGAAGGGTCCAGCAAAACAAGCCAAGGCTGTACCAGTTCCTGCCATTGTACGTTCTTTGCTCTGAATTGTAGTGTTTTCCTCTGACGCTAGCATGCAGGACCCCGAGAAACTAAAGGCTAGACAGGAGCGGTTTGGTCTACAAACACCTACCCCTCCCACTGCTCAGAAGAGGTCAGCCCCTGTCGATCCCGTCGAAGAAGAGAGGCGGAAAAAGCGTGCCGAACGTTTTGGCATCAAGCAATGATGTGATCTAGATACCCTCGCAATGTGTACTCTTCCTGTCATGCCTATTATCTAGAGTCTCATGTAGCCATTCAGACGTTATTATTTAAACATTTGAATATCATAGGTTATATCAATTGTCCTCGTCTTCGTCTTCGTCCTCGTCGCCTTCAGTAGTCTCAGTGCCTTCGGTTTCGCCGTCTTCGTCATTGTCGTCTGTCTCAGATGCGGACGTAGCTGCCCAATCTGATACTTCAAGCTTTTCGTTTTTGAAGGATTCTGGTGCAAGGTCAACACTTGAGAGGCAAAGGGATAAGCCTAACATACCTCCTGCCGCAACTTCGTATCCAGACTGCGTGACACACCGTATCAACTCAGCTTTTGGACCGACTTTGGTGCCTTTGCCCAATATACTTCCATCTAATTTGGCACTGCACGACCACTCGTCAACACAGAGTTACTGAGCATGTATGAGAGAAGAACGTACCCCTCAGCAATGACACAGTGATCCAGGATAACACATCCAACGATCCTAGCCATCCTGCTTATTACGCAATGCTTCCCGATCACCGACTTCTTGATGCTGACGCGCTCCTCTACTTTCGTAGAAGCAGCGACCATAGAGTCAGCGGAAATCTGGGCCTTTTGATCGATTAGGGAGCGGTTGGCGGGGTCAGTGGGGAGTGAATAAGATGTCTGCGAGAGGAACTACAATTACGGATACATGAGAGAACGGTCGATATCAAGAGTGGGGCGTACATGACGATTAACTTCAAGGAAAGCTGGGAGTGTGTTGACCCGTACTGCGAAGCCGGCACTGTAGGGGTGGATGACAGCTCCTACACGTAGACTAGCAAGGGGAGTCTCCTCGGTATCGGAGTCACTGGGTGAGATGGTTGCTTCGCGGGCATAGTGAGCGGATTTGGACTTCAACGCGATGTTGGAAGCAGAGGCAAGGGTGGAGTGACGCAGGGCGATGGATTGCCCGGGACTGTTGGTGATGGGATTTAGGACTGGAAACGCATGGGTAGTTTCGCTTAGAAAGGGCATGTGCAACGGTCACAAGATAAGAAACAGACCTCGTTCGTATTTCTTGCGTTTCGAGCTGGAGTATTGTACTTTACATAGCCAAGGGAGGAAATCTTCTTTGAAAGAGTCGAAGTGTTCCTTCTGTTGTAGCGCCTCGATTACGGAATGTTTGCAGACATAGACATGCGAATCCTGGTAGCGTGATGCGAGTACTGTTCGTGGGTACCTAGATGACAGTCAGAGGGATGTCATAGTCACATAGACGAAGGTAACTTACAGATTCAGAAGAGACATCTTCAACTTCAAATCCTCGCCGTCTTGGTCCACATCATCCGGTGTATCTATGTGCAGAAGTGTCCCGGACGGCTCGTGATACACAATCGTTGCGGGAGACACAGCAGAGCCCCATTCTTCCGGTGGACTGGTCTTATCTTTGCCCGCGTCTGCTAGACGATTGAGCTCGAACCAGCACGTCGTTGCAATAGCCCCATCCGAGACAGTCTCGGTGCGGAATTTGTCGAGGATAGATGAGAGGGACAGGGTTGGTGGGGGGATGAAGTCGCAGGGTAGGAGAATGAAGTCATTTGTGATCCGCGAAGCAAAGTGTCGCAGGAGCGTACATGGACCGATACTTGAGTCAGGGGATTCGTCGAACGGCACGACATCTATGACCAGCGTGGTCGAAGTGGAGGAATGTATGTGATGGGAAAGAGCGGGACGATGCGTCGCCGGGCATATGAGAAGCACGTCTGCATATTAATCCAATAAATTAGATGCGACAGGCGGACGTGAAGACTGCTTGGACAAGACCTTTCACGCCTGACTTCTCCAACCACGACAAGGTGTAATCGATCACTGGTGTATTTGCTACTGGAATCAGTGCTTTTGGGCATGGCTCGTCGCCGTTATCGCTGGTTAATGGCTGCAACCTGGGTCATAGCAGAGGGAATCCTTCGATATCTGGGCATGGCGCGGGGACGGGGAATCAGGAAACAGGCTTACTCATTACCAAAGCCCGCGAGCACGACGGCGATGAATTCGCGTATTGCTGAGTTCCCCTCTGCGTTTACGCCAAGGTCCATCGTTTCTGCGGACTGGTGACACGGGAAAGGGAAGGGACTGGAGGAGAGAGTGATCGAGTCATGGAGAGATAATCGAGGTGCTTCTTCGGCAGGCGTGGGAGATCTATACTCGAAAGGGAAGGTAGTGATCGGTGCGTGTGCATGGGAGATGGAGAGATACTTTTTACTGTATCGAATTTCCAACATCATGGTTCTATCTTGCCGCCATGTTACCAGAGAAGATTGGCCTCATTCAAAAGCCCCCTAAGGGAAAGTCAAGATATGTACTGGTGATCCACGGAGGAGCTGGTACGATGACAAGGGCCGGGTCCACTCCAGAACAGCAGGCTGCGTACAAGAGTGCTTTGAGCAAGGCGCTGCAAACCGGGTATGCGGTTCTTAAAGAAGGGGGGGAGGCTATGGATGCTGCTGTTGCCGCTGTATCTTCTATGGAAGGTTCGTCAAGTGCTCATACTTGTATACGCATCAAACAACAAACATAGACTGTCCACTTTTCAACTCTGGCAAGGGCGCCGTGTTCAATGTTGCTGGAAAGGTAATCTTATCGTACAATCTCTCCATTATGCACATCGCTAACGGGACTGATGGGACTCTGATAGAATGAACTCGAGTCGTCCATCATGCTCTCCAAACCACCTGTCTCACACCCCGACGTACCTGCTACTCGACGCGGGATAGGTTTGACCCTCCTAACTCATGTGAAGAACCCATCTCGACTCGCTCGCGCGCTATACCTCTCGGAAGACCTGGCACCGCACACCCTCCTTTCCGGAAGCAGCGCAGAACAATCGGCTAAAGTGCTTGGAGAAGAACTCGTTGATCCATCGTACTTCTTCACGGAGAAGAGGTGGCGTGAACACCGACGCGGCTTAGGTCTGCCTGAGGACCCGTTACCCCCGATTCACAGTGAACCGGCACCGGGCGAGGACATTCCAATTCCCCTTGACCAGATGCCAACAGGAACTGTTGGGGCCGTTGCACTTGATATCCGAGGTTGCATAGCTGCGGTGACATCAACCGGCGGTAAGACGAACAAACTGGAGGGTCGAATCGGGGATACGCCACAGATGGGCTCGGGTTTCTGGGCTGAAGAGTGGAAGAAACCTGGTTCATTTGCACGCGCGTTGGACACACTGATCAGGAGACGTCGAGTCAATGCTGTTGGTATATCAGGAACCGGCGATGGTGACGTACGTTTTCTGTTCCTCACAGTCCAGCAGATATTGATATCTTTCAGTATTTCATACGACGTGCTACTGCATCGACAATCGCCAGGCGCATAAGGTATCGCCACGAAAGTTTGCATAAAGCCACCCATCGTGTTGTTGAAGATCTCCGCAAAGACGGGGGAATCGGCGGTGTCATCGCTCTAGATAATGCTGGCAACGGTAATACGCCCGCACTTATCAAAACCAGAGCAGCCGCTGATCACCACATCTCTGAAGTTGCCATGCCTTTGAATTGCGAAGGGATGTATAGAGGTGTAATCAAGGAAGACGGTGTGCCGAACACGGCTATCTTCGATGATGATGTGCTCTCTTGAATCTTGGGTCTGAGTATGGTACGCGAGATCGATACCGCTGTTCGCCGAGCCTGCACACATTTGATTCCTTCTCTATAAGGAGCGCCTGCAAAGATTCATCCCCTCCAAAATACAATGTCGTTGCTTACATAATCACTCAGTACAACGGTCTCTTCGTTGATGACGGCCGTGTTTCCCGAATACAAGGCAAGCATCCATCCTTCGGAGCAATTGAATGCCCCACGAAATGGAGGTGCGCGTACACTGATAAATTGAAGTCGCGGATATCTTGTTTCGGATGGTTGGCCTAATTCCAGACAACGGTTGCCCGGATTAATATACAAGGACTATTTTATGGGTCTTTAAATGGAGGATATTAGACGACAGAGGTGGTTCCGTTACAGCCCCCACCCCCCGTAATCCATCAACCTCCTTCCTCCCTTGCGATCTTTCCCTCTCCCTCCAGCGTCTCCGTCAATCGCTGGACCCGCGTCTATTGGAGTATTACAGTATTGAATATTTGAATCATCGAATAGTTCCTTTCTATGGGCCCACCAAATGCCTTATTCTCTGCCGCAGCTTTCACCGGGTTTATTTTGGTAACGTCAGCCCTCCCATGGCACCTCCAGGGTGAGCTATTCACTTATCCAGATACGTTCTGGTGACTCACACATCCATAGCATGGAATGTTGGAACGTGTTGTTATATGATCTGGGTTGGACTAGCATGCTTGAATCAATTCGTAAACTCAGTAATATGGAACGGGAATGCACTCAACATCTCGCCAATATGGTGTGACATATGTACGCCCTCTGTGTATGACATTATCTCCCTTCGTTAAACTCTTCAACTCGGTTTAGCTTCGAGGTTTATCGTTGGAGTTGCTGTGGCGATACCTGCGTCGTCTTTATGCATTAGTCGGCGACTGTACAAGATTTCGAGTCTTCAGGCAGTTAGCTCGACTAGAGTGGAGGTAAGTTCCCTATCTAGCAATGTAGATCGCACAGCTAATGGTATGACAGCGACGCCGCGACATGATCGTCGACCTATCCATTGCAGTAGGGCTACCTATCTTGCAAATGATATTGCGTGAGTTAGCATAACGGACCCGCTCTGACGAAGCGCAAAGCTGATTACATGATGCAGAAATTATCGTGGAAGGCCATCGTTTTGACATTTGGCAAGACATTGGATGTATGCCATTAACCTACAACGTGACTCTGGCGTACCCTATTGTGTTCCTCTGGCCACTCGTTATAGGGTTGATCTCAATGTGTTATTCCAGTATGTCCTTCCATCCCCAACTTACGCTGGAGTCCTGTGATCGCTGACTGCTTCGCTTCGTCTTACAGTACCCTCAATTATTGCTTTTCGCAAGCGCCATTCTGATTTCGTTCAATATCTTGCATCCTCGAGTTCATCCGCCATGACCGCAAACCGGTACCTTCGTTTGATGATCCTCTCCTCTACTGAATCTCTTTTAACCGTCCCGCTCTCTATCTACGTCATCGTCGTCAACGCTACCCTTCAGCCAGTGCAACCGTGGTTATCTTGGGAGGAAACACATTTCGATTACTGGAGGGTGGGGCAGTTTCCTCGGGTGTTGTGGGCTGGTACGTTTGTAGAGGGATCTCTGGAGAGCGGGCGGTGGATGGTGGTAGTGTGTGCGTTGGTGGGCTGGGCCTTCTTTGGCACGGGAGAAGAAGCAAAGAAGTGGTACGGCAATGCCGGGTCGAGGATGTTGAATGTCCTCAGGAGAAAGGGCAACGTCGTTAGGTGTCTTGACATGATCCTTACCTCTTGATTGGGCATTGTGCTGACTGGAACTTCAGGGCATCGATGCTATCTGGGGGAACTTTGCCGGTTTACATCCGCCCAGAGGTGATAGAAAAGCGATCATCCCTCGATACCTTTGCTTCCGTCATCTCAGACGATCTTCCATCATTCAAAACCGGCGATTTACTAGTTCCAGGAAGAGACATCACATTCGGTTCTACTACGACGCTGGGGAATGACACGGCGGACACCACTATGATCATTTCAACCACAAACCTGGATGGGAGTACAGGGCAAGGCTTGAAGGATATCGTACTGGATATCAGCTCCAGCTCGCCCGAAACCACGCGGCTGAGGTCGGACTCACTTCCGAGGACGGGGACGCCTTTACTCCCAGCTTTCGCGGTACCAGATGAATACACTACCAGCCCGTCATCGCACTTCGCACTACCGCCCCTCCCCCCTGCTCCCACGCGCCCTCCCCCTCTCCCCCTTCATATTCACAGCAATGGCGCCGCATCAGTGAAACGGTCCGCGACAATGTCCTCGAACGCGAGTGGACTGAAATCCGGAGTTCCGAGTACGGCTACGACCAATTGGTCCAGGAGCTCCGCGGCTATATCTGCTTCAGAAATGTTCACGATCCAACGGTACCATCACGAAGATGATACGCTTGAGGACGACGAACGTGCACGCCGTGGGGTCGAGGATAGGCTCAGCGTGTCTATGATTGAGGCCGAGGGCGCGAATGGCTCAGCGTACGTAGACGGAAAATTCCCGAGGTCGCCTACGTTAGGCGATAGACTGTCCTTTCTATCGAGGAAGACAACCCTCCGAAGGCCATCGTATAAGGCCAGTGACATGCCCAGCACCAATACGAAGAATAAACCCCTTCCCGAAATCAAGACATCTCCCTCAACATATGGACCTTTCCCACCGCCGCAAGTAGGCGTGCCTGTTAGGCAACAATCACCGTCACCCTCTTATGCTGTGTTGTCCCCTCCATCAGCACCGTTGTCTTCATCCGACTCTCCTATTCCTCCAACGCGGCATAATGCCCGACGATTCCCATTCGTTCGACCACATCCATTATCTCTCTCTCCTCCCAAGATTCGGAGAAGTGCCCACTCTTCATTCCTGGATTTGACTTTATCGCCTGCGTCTGTAAGCGGGTTTTCCATGCGTCGGTGAACAACTACGCCGTCGTTTGTCTTGACGCTCCTTTCTGTATTTTTACAACCGTCACGCCATACCCTAAATCTCTTTATATGTAGCGCTTCTAGCTTCAGCGCTTTGGACGCAGAACTGTATCTTTATTGGTTGTTATATACATTAGCACAGTTACATAATAATGTACCTTTGACAAGGATGTCCTTGTGGCGTCCAGGTTCATTAACGCTTTCCTGGAATGTCATGCTCGCCATATTCAATCGTCTTACTAACGCCCTTTATATCAATGGCTATCATTTATTGAAATCGGAAAGAGGATTAGGGTTGTCTGGATGGAGTGAGGAAGGCAACCCCAAGCTCGGCGTGTAGTGTCATTGTCGACCCCGTAGTGGTTATGACGGCGAGAGTGTTCGAAGAGGTTACATGAGGGTACAGTAGGAAAACGGGCTAGAGTATGCAACGGAAATAAGCCAGGGGAGAGAACAGAAGCCCGCTGAAGTGGGCGTTACGTTACTATCACGTGTACTGTAGTGCAAACACACATAGATATGCAAAACCAATTTTAAGTTGTTGTAGATTCCATGTCCTATACTCGGACATGAAGTATGTTTGAGAAATAGACTTCATTGAGCTACTGTAAAAATCTCAAGGCATTTGAGAAGTTGCAAGTCCATTTCCGCGGGCAAAATGTGACGTGCAAATAGTCATTTCAAATTTGACTTGAATGCTGTGGAAGTAATAACAATCCTACAAACTTCTGATTTTTTTCTTAGCTAGTATAGTAGCACTAGAGTCTGAATCTAGAGTCCCTTGCACTCGTACCTACTGGTTCATGCACAGGAAAACCAGCAACATTTTGCGTGACAAAGAAGCTCCTATTTGCCCCTTGTTTTGCAGATCCATGTGTTGCCGAGCGAGCGGCCGAATGCATACGGCGGCACACGGCTGCGCTGCTGGGTCTGAATGACGCGTGACACACTGTGACGAAAAGTTTGCAAATCTATGTTTTTGGGTACTCGTCGTACCGGCATCGTCATTGCTCTACTACTCGGAAAGGGATTCACTCAAAAAGTTGATAGGTATTTAGCCAAGATGAGCGACAACCCCTCGTAGCATGCCGGGAGTTGTGGGGACATCCAATCTGGAGCACCAGGTCGAATTGTCCAAAATTTTGCAAATCTGCCTAAGTGATAGTACTGATGGCTGTGGTGAATATACGAGAATTAACACTTGGCTTTCGATCTGAATACTGGCATGGAATTTCTGATATTCTGACCCAAACGATGAGACTCCGTATAATTATAATAAATGTGGTGACAAGATGAAGCGTTGAAGAACTTGAATCCCAGTTTCGAATACGACACAATATTTTCTGACCCCACTTACAACACGTTGGCAGGTCGTCGCGTGAAAATCCGATCGACATAGACTCACTACATAGCTGACTTCCGGTATGCTATTACAGCAGGATTTCTTGGTTTGAATGGCACTCTCTCGGGTGCGTTATTTTTGTACTGCTTCCTTGTGAATGGACACTTCTTGGTAGGTTTGTAGCAGTTTACGTGCCGACGTTCAATTCTAACTTACTCGTGCATAGCACGGGGCAGCTGCTGATTACATATTTATTCAGAGAAATCCAACTTGTATACGATGCGAAAGTGCAGTAATGATGTGTGACAATGAAAGGTACAAGTGAGACCGAAGGTGCGTGGATCAGTGAAGCATATTAAGCAGGTGCTGTATTCAAAACATCAATAATACCGCTAGCTGGAGTGGATTTCATGCATGGGTATATATATAGTGAACGAATAGCGATATCATGTCCTCATGCATGCGACCGGGGGAATTGTAGTTGATTAAAATCTCGTAGAAGGGTCAAGAGGTCCAAGAGGTCCGTACGGTTCTGAGGGTCGTTGTCGCATAGGATGCCCGTGCATATGCGTAGTAGGTGATATTGGGGTTGCAACCTCGGCTGGATGTGGGGCAACACCTGGAGAGGCAGAGCGTGACATGGGCGTGTACCCATTCCCAGCTATCCTCGGCAACTGGGTGGTGGATCCATCCACCGAGGATTGATATCGAGGTGCGTAAGTTGATGTTGGAGGCGATGGTCGATCGTCAAAACCTGAATTCAGCATAGCTTCGAGTTCAGATTTATCGACAGTCTTCGCTGAGGAAAGCATGTCGTGGGGGACGAAGAGACCCGTGGGGGGCGGTGGATACTTCACGTCCTGTTCATTGTACCCACCGATCTGTGGCCCCCATTGATCGTCTTCTGACGAAGTGACAGAGACTGTATCTGAGCCTTCGTATTGACTCCCCATGCGAGCGCTCAGGAGGTCGCCAGTAACGTATCCACCATGCTGTCTCTCGAAATCGCGTCTGCGGCGTTCATCGCGGCGCAATTTACGAAGACGAGAACGTTCCCAATCCTCCCACCGTCTCATAGGCACTGACGTTGCAACCTGGCCATCACCCTCTCCATGTGCCTCTCCTTTCGTCTCACCCTCAACTTTCCTACAAAATCATGAGTACTCGGGTACGAATCGAGCGACTAGTAGACAAACCTTGTCTCTCCCCACGAGAAGTCATCAAAGTGCCAGAAAGCGTACACTGGCAGGACAAAATTCCATATCGGCAGGGCAAGCAGGTATATCAACATCCAGAATACATACACCACTTTCCGCGTAGTGATCAGGATAAGAATCGCAGGAAGACCGAGAACCGCAATGAGCAGGACCAAAGGAATGGCTTCTTCGAACGATTTTGGCGGATCCAGCGCCATACCCACAATAAGAGCGTAAGTGAGTGTGATGGCGATAGGCAGTACAACAGTGCCCAGCAAGTCCATGAAGACGACGAATTGCATACTGAAGCAGAATATCCCACAGAGATTGCGCACTAGCACGAGCTCCATGAGATTGTGGATGGTCGAGTTGATCCATCGTCGACGTTGGGAGAGGAGGACGGAAAAGGTATCGGGTACAACAGTACGACAACGTGCTTGGGGCAAGAACATCATCTTGCGATTCGGGAACGTGCGAATCAGGATCGTGGTAAGGAAACGATCCTCTCCGAGTAGTAGAAGATTCTTTTGATGAAGGGTGGAAACTTCGCATTGACTGTATTCCTTGACGATTTCGGGCTTCACGATGAGGGGTACCCAGTCGTCTCCATTCGTGCGCCGTGCCTTCAATCGAAACATGGAAAAGCATCCAGGTAGACAGGAAACACCACCGAAAACTGACTCGAAGGCCTTAGCGAGATGATGGGAGATGAAGTACTCAAACACTTGAATGGCCGTGACCCAGGACTGTCGTTTGTTCGCTATTCTGGTTTCACCGCAGCACCCCATGATCATTTGATCATGATGCATGCAATTCACGAGGTATCCGAGGGAATCAGGAAACACTTTAGTGTCGGCGTCCACCTGTTATTCGTTTAGAAGTGCCATGGGCGGTGATGAGGAAGGACTTACCATTAAGCAAACCTCAAAAAAATCGGGCGTGACGCCCATCAGAATATGTATCTTACGGAATAGATCAAAGTCGAGGGGGGACATGCGATCGTTGTACGTGACGCGGGAGAAGAAGTTCATGAGGATGAGCTGACTGTCGCGCTTGCCGCGATTGCCTGGTTTCTTGTCTGAAGCTGCCTCCTGTTCGGTACCACACTTCACCACAATGACGGTTGGTGTCCGCCGACCAGCAACAGCTGAGGGAATCATGCATCATGTCAGACATAAAATCGATGTTCGTGATGGATCCTGTCACTCACTGTAATGGCCTGCATATACCATGGCCCGATTCTGCGCTTTGGAGCCAGTGCCAACAGCGGCGTACACCATGGGTATTGGATTGCCAAATCGGGGGTCTGCTTCCAAAAGGCCCACGCAAATGTCAGGGGTGCTGCGCTTCTCACCGGCCCCTGTGATCATCCCATCTGCTACGATAAAAAGCAGCTTCCTCGCATCGGAATACGTCGTTGTCGAAATGGAATCCAGGGTTGTACGGAGGGAATCCTCGCCTTCCGAGTAGCACGTTACGAGGCAGACAGCGAAGAGCTCAGCGCCAATTTGAGCCAGACTCATGATTGGTGCGGCACCTCCATCGCTTGTAAGCGTAGTACTCGAGGCAGATGCAATGGATCGAGGGACTTTGCTGGCTTTTGGCTTCTTGGACGAAGCCCATGGTGCAGTGCCATTCTTGTTGTCCACAGACAGGTTGGCACCCTCCGGCATGACAGCAGGACTGATGGCCGAACGGTTGAGTTCGCTGCTGTTAGGAGGCCCTGCGAGCTTCGCTGAGAGAAACCAGTTGAATACGCAGGCCATCGCAAACCGTACGAGCACCAAGGCCATGATGACGAAGAGGCCAGTGTAGAGAAAGAGCTGAGAAACGAAACAGCCTGGAGTGACCTTATCTATGTTACCGGCGTAGTAGCGTTCCTTGAGACAAGGCACAGCGGATTTGAGGTCTGCGCGAGATGAGAACAAGAGCGTCCCATCTTTACCACTGTCCGCGGCCTGTGTGCGCATAAGGGTACGGAGGGCAGTGTCGACATTATCACCAGGGATCGGGCTAGTGTGGGTTCGCATGTACGGATCGAGATTGAGGACGGCACCGTCAAGTACGAAGTAGTTGGTGAAATTGGCAACTTGCTCCCAGGCATAGCCAACGAGCAATCCCGTATCGACAATACCGAGAGATGTGATGGTAGATGAGGAATTAAGGTTGCCGAGTGGACAAGGTGTCCGTGTACTACAGGGAGGATCGACGGCGATGCGAAAGGAGAGACCATTGCAAGACGGGAAATTATTGGCGTCGCGGGTGAAAAGGTTCGTGATATCCCGGCCTGGTGAGAGAGCAAGGTTGGTGAAGGAAACATCGTCTGTGGATCGCGCTGAAGAGACATTAACGAGATGGCCTTGAATACCGAGGGTGCCTGCCCTCGAACCCAAGCGAACAAATCGCGAGTCTGTGTCGTTATTCTGCGGGCATAGCACTTTCTGGAACCCCACAGTTGCAAAACCTACCGCACCACACAAGAGGGCGATGATAAAACACAATGCCATCTTCTCTCTCCAGGCCTGTTGCGTCGCCTTGTCTTTTAGCCCACCCAAAGAACTAAGGAGGACGCCCGGGGCCCAAAACGTAACGATACGAGAGAAAACCTTCCAGACACTCGAGCCGCCATACTCGTCTATGCTCGATGAAGAGCCTGACGCATGCAGGCCTGACGCATGGGAAGGAGCAATAAGAGGAACGGGTGCGACACTTCTCTCTGGCCGTGTCAGTGTCTTCGCGCGTCGAATTGTGGGGGCCGAGGTGGGAGGTTGTCGGGCACTTGTGGTCGGTATTGGGACATCGGTGAAGTCGTAGTTTGTCTGAAAACGAAGGGCCATTTGTCGGGGGACTGCAGCGGGCAATGTCGAGCTGCTGGGCAGTATTAGGAGTCCTGCAGGACGGTTGTGGGAGAAGAGAAGAAAGAGAACGGCGGGAAAAAAGAGGGCAAGTTGGGGACAACGACGACAAGGATGGTGGGCGAATGGACTCTAACTCTCCAAGCCGAAGAAAGATTTGGGCACGACAGATCAGACAAACACATCACAACATCGCCCTGCTCGGCAACCACATTTTGACGCTAATTTGGCTTAGACGCCCGTGTCCGTTGTGCCCTAACCAGTTCCTTGCATCTTGACCACCACCATCGCCCGCCACCGCGTCCAAGACGTTGTCCCGCCCGCCCGCCCCGCCGTCGAGCGCGACAGCAAATGTCCTTCAAGATTGCCTATGCTCCTCAGGTCGGTTGTCGACGTGAATCCGATCAATCTTGCTGCCATCCTGATCCGTTGCCACCTCGCAGGTAGCAAGCTTAGCATCCCAGCACCACGCCAGCGACTACTACAGAGCAAAATATGGCCCCAAAGGTCCCATTTCTTCAGTCTGCGTACTAAGCAAAACACTTAAACAATATGTCCTACTCAGGCTACCCTGTGCCATACGTGCCGTTCTCCGTAAACCTACCAGACCAGTTCAGGGACCTAAGACGACGACAAGAATCATATGGCCTCTCAAGCACAACTTCTTGGTGGACTTGCGACGCGTCCATGTCAACGGCAGATGGCGAACAAGTCTTGGCGGTCTCGGAGTCCACAAATATTGGTTCCATTATTGAGCTTGAGCAGGAGCTGAGCGCCGCAATGGATTCTCCCCTTCAGAGCAATGCGCACACCGCAGCTCCTCGAAGTGAGCTGAATACATGTAAACCCCCTATCAAAACTTCGTCTACGCATCCGTTAAAGTAAGTTTTCTCCGAGGCTGCGTGATGTTTCATTTTTATCATCTTCCATTTTTACATCCAGCGTCTCCTGCATAATACCCAGTGAACTCATTGCCCTCATCTCGTCGCACTTTGTAGTCGCATCTCCAAGTAACTCCGTGCCTGTTTTATTAGAACTTCCGCCCCAGTTTTACCTTGACCGCCTGGTATCGCATCCGCCATGCCACGCTCTGGACCAAGCACAAACTAGTATGGGACCGCCCAATCATCAAATTGCGCCCTCCCGCCTCCCTGTCACTTCACCTGTGCCTGTCTACCATACACAATCAGCATCACGACCAAAAATGCATGCACGCACACGCTCGAGCATGAGTCAGGCGATGCAAGCGGCCATCAATACCAGTTTGGCCATTTTTTCTGCCGAGAAACCCGCAATAAACTGTCGTCCGCCATTGTCGCCGATACCCGATCGCCGGTCTCCTCGAAGGAGCTCCTTTTTATTCCAACGCGCCAACGACTCTGCGTTATCGCTTGCGTTGTCGGTTTCTTTCAAAGCCAAATCAACTTCAAACCTTAACGAGGGGATGGAAGAGAACAGCAACATTAAGAATCCTCAAGTTTGCTCGCCAGAATGTCCGGAGGATAACGCTTCAGGAACAGATTGCGGAACAGAGACCGCGTACGATCTTGAATGCCGTGTGCACCCTGTTCTAATTGAAACGTCCTGCAGAGCGGCAGCAATTCCAGCCACGCCAAAAGTTCATACCCCCACGCCTACTCCTTCTTTAACCAGGACATCCTCCTTGGGTGATGAATCCGTGTCCTCTCCCTTTCTCCTTGGTAATATGTACATGTCGTCCTGTCCTGGGAAGAAAGGTACAAAAGCCAGTTTCATTTCGCAGAATCATTTCGCTTATTTTATTATTGATCAGTTCGCCTCCATGGCCCTCTTCGGGGGCGGAGTGGGATCTGTCGGGACCTTGACGCTGACCTCCAACGAATACGTGCCTTAGGCGTGAAGTGCATCGTATGGTGAGTCTTCAACCAAGGACCTCTCTGCGTCGTTGCTAAACTCTGCGTTTTAGTTGTTTGGACGATAGCGAGTTGGAGTACCTTGGTGCGCCGTGGCCTGAGTATCGAGCGGCTGCTATGCTGCTCGGCATTGACATCCTACGAATACCCATCCCTGAAGGACTCGCACCTCTTGATACAGCTTCGTTGGATGGGCAAATCACCGAGTTAATTGGTCGTTATACTGTGAACGGCATTCCTACACTCGTACACTGTCGTGGCGGCGTCGGGCGTGCTGGCGTTGTAGCGTGCTGCTGGATTGCGAAACTGGGGCTTTGTGGATGGCTCGAGGACTCGGGCATTGATGCGAACTCATCCCCTACGTTGATCAGGCCGCTCACCGATGGCTACGACGCTGGGGTACGATGGGACACGGTGTCATTTGCGAAGAAAATCATTACGCTGGTGCGGCGAAGGAGAAGCATGAAGGCCATAGAAACATACGAACAAGCTCGCTTCTTAGTCGACTACGTTGAGTATCTGCGCCAGGGACATGGGGTGCGCATTGGTCAGTCAGCGTGATCTTTTTTTGTTTCGGATAATTCGCGACGGGCGACGGATGGATACACATCGACAACCACCACGTTGGACTTTTGGATAAATGCTATCATTATTACTAACTTGTATTATAAAAGTAGCGGACCGTATAATGTGTAGTTGTTTATAGCTCCAATAAATTTGTCAGCACATGGTTGATAACCTTACTTCCAACGTCCATCTCCCTCATCCAAAATGTCGCATTCTGACCTCTCCCAGCCTCTTTTCACCTGCCTCTCATGCTCTATAGCGTTCCCAACCGCCGAGGATCAGAGTGCGTCGAAATCTTAGCCTTTTTCCCAGACTGGGAGGTTTAAATTCATATCTTTAGGGGTACATTATCGCTCAGATCACCATCGGTATAATATGAAGCGTAGAGTAGCCTCGCTTCCTCCCGTTAGTGCTGCGGTTTTCGCGCAAAAGCTTCAGGAGAGGCAGCAGGAAAGTACAGCAACTGCGGGACAACTGACTTGCGAAATATGCAAGTGAGTAATAGATTATATCCACCAGTTCTCCGATCTTTACTCTCCGACGATCATAGTAAAACATACACGACGGAGGGTGCCTACCGTTCACACGTCAACTCCAAGCGTCACAAAGAGATAGAAGCCAAAGTCGCTGCTGGTGCGTTACCCCGACCTGCTGAACACAAAACAAAAAGCCCCGCGTCGCCCTCGGCCGCGTCACAAAGTACTCCAGAGGAAGGCGAAGATGGTGCAGAGAAGCCTGAGGAGGATCGCGAGATAGACGCGAAAATTTCTGCTGCTGCAGGCAAAACCCTTTCACCATCCGACTGCTTATTCTGCACGAACAGCGCTGCGTCGTTCGAGGGGAACCTTACACACATGTCCACTGCCCACTCCTTCTTCGTCCCCGATGCCGACTACCTTACCGATCTAACAGGTCTCGTTGCGTATCTAGCTGAGAAGATCGTAGTGGGCAACTTCTGCATATATTGCAACGAAAAGGGGCGAGACTTCAGGACTCTGGAAGCAGCTCGCAAACACATGATCGACAAAGGCCACTGTAAGATCGCATACGACACCGAGGATGATCGCTTAGAGATCTCCGATTACTACGACTTCAGTAGCTCATATCCCCCCGAAGGAGATGGCGAGGAATGGGAGGACGTTGATGCGGACGGAAATGGTGATAATGATGATGATATGGAGGTGGACGAGGTGGTGGATGATTCGGAGTCCGAGACGAACGAAAGTAACAAAGGGCGTATCACCTATAGCGACTCAGATTATGAGCTCGTTCTACCATCTGGTGCTCGCATAGGTCATCGGTCCATGCGGAGATACTATGCACAATCATTTACGCCGATACCTGGACGCAAAGGAGAAGATCCCAATTCTGGGGCCGCATTAGTCCGTCGACTGCTTGCTGATAAGAACTCTGCGTTGGTACCACGGAAAGGAGGGTTCGGTGCGTATGGCTCAGGAACAGACGTAATTAAAGCTAGGAATCGTGGAGAAGCGCGTGAGGCTGGCCGACACGTCAGAGAATTCCGGGACCAAAAGCGTAGAGAAGACTTCAAGACAAAAGTAGGCTACAGACACAACAGCCAGAAACATTTTAGAGATCCACGTAAGCATCTTCATTTTCTTCATGGCTCATGAGCTAATATATTTCCTTGCGTTGCAGTTTTACAAGTGAGTTTGATTGTGCCTCATATGATGCTTGAGAATCTGATTATCGTTCAGTGATCGCAATTATCGATCTAACTGTTGTTCAACTATATAGTAAATTGATAACTAGTCGTGAAAATCCATTAAAGCAAAATGAAAGAAGAATAAGTACACAAATAACATTAAGCTAATACAAATATGCAGCAGGCACGACACCCTCCCTTCCAGTCCGAACATCACGAGCATACCACCATCTGAAAACCCGAGTTGCATTAGATGTAGTCGGCATAAATGATGAGGAAACTTACGCTGCATCTTTGTCATCGAGGACTTCCAGTTCTGCGCCAGCGGTTATGGGCAGTTCTCCCTCCTCGGCGCCGTCGAATGAATACCGCGCTCGTGCAGGTCGACTCTTTTCTTCCTCCAACATGCCGCCAACGGCATCCGACGGAGTCTCTGCGCGAACATAATTGCTGGCGTCTGGTCCAAAAGGGTCTTGGTCCGCCGAGGCATGGCCCTCGTTCCCTCTCTCTTTTTCTGAGCCATAGGGAGCAAAGGGAGAAGCTCCAAGGATGGTTGTACGTGTTGCGGCGTTGATATGTTCTAGCAGAGACGAAGGACGATGCTGGGTAGAATCATCATCATCCTCAACTTCTGCGCCGTCAACTTTATGGACTTTATCGTCTCTTCGAGAGAACAGGGTCCAGAGGATGCCAATTAAGGCTAGCAGGAAAACAACGCCTGCCGCAATAGCTATGGAGATCAGGATCACAACACCAGTGGCAAGGAACGCTACGGGGACAGGAGATCGTCAGGTTGTATGATGAAGGACAACTCCAGGACTTACTTCGTTTGGAAAAGCTAAAAGAGGAGAACGAATGGAAGAGGGATGATATGGAACCCGGCGACCCGGCGCCTGTAGACGAAATGATGTATGGGAAGAGGGTTTGGCCATCGTATAGAGCGGCAGAAATATTGCCAACTGAAGTATCAAGGTCGCCAGAGACCATGAGCATGCGATCCCCTTCAATGATGTCGTTGCCACTGTGGAAATCCTGTAGGGGAACCATGGCTAGCTGTGTCACGGCTGTGTCCGCCCGCAAGTTCGATTCTACAAGATGTGAGATACCTAGTCGATCAAATGAAGCAGTCGACTGACCTAACAACTTCCATGATGAGCCATTCCAGACGGATAGGAACGATGAGTTGTCTTGAGACCTTCGTCAAAGGTCAATGAATGACAAGTAGATAAGATGAGGGTTACACACCTTCCGGCAGCGAAAATACTGTTAATGTTGCCCCCATTGACTTCTATGGCCGTCACTGGTCCTGGAAGATCTGAACCAGAACCAAGCGCTGACCACGTGGAGTTGCCAATACTGTACCGGACGACATTAGATGGACTATTGTCGGACAATGCAATGGAACCAGCAGCAATTAAGGTATCGTCCTAGAACCAATGCCATTCAGTATACATCATCGTGCCGAAGAAAAGATGTTACGCTCACCCCTGCAAGAACCAACGAAGCGACCTCCCCCTTTATGCCCGGCCCCAGAGATGACCACTGTCCAGTGGAGATATCGAGCGAACAGATCGCAATACACGAAACGGATCCAGCGGCTGAGAATGATCCGGAGACGAAGACAACATTGCTATTGGCAGGGGCGGACTGTATGGAGCGCACAATCGGATTACCTGAGGACCCTTGCAGCGCCTCGACACTGTCCCATTGCTGACGCTGGAGATCATAAACTGCGAAGCCATTTGCACTCGACCCAGGAATAGTGAACTGTCCGCCAACGTAGAGCTTCCCCTTCGCTACCAATAGAGTCCTCACAACCCCGTTTATTTGGGTTCCTTGCAATGGCGACGTAGACTCCGTCTGGGGGTCGTAGATGGCAACGCTCTGTGCTTGGGAAGAGCCAGATGTCGTGTATGAGAAGTTGCCACCAAAGATGATGACCTCCCTTGAGGAAGATATGTTCGTCCAGAACGTCCCCGTCAATACTGCGGGGGCCACTGCCGACGGAGATGCAGGCAAAGGAGCTAATTGGCTGGCAGGGGCTTGCCTGGAGAACAGATGGGATATAGTCATATGAGAGAACCAAAGGCTCGTCTTTGGTAGGTGCATATGAGTCGTATGACGCCTGGTAACATTGTTTGAGGTACCAGATGCGCTGAATGGACTTTGAAGTTGGATTCCGAGCGGCGTGACGGTAGGGAATTCGCCGTTACCATTCTTGAGCATTACTAAGCCGGTTGCTCCAAATCTTCGAGAGGCGGAAACACCTCCAGCCAAGAATTGGGTATTGGAAGACCCATTGCCCACGAAGGACATGTCGCCGCGGAGGTACCCGCCACTGTTAACCCAAGAACTGGAAGATACGTTCCATACTGCCAACCCCCCAGCATCAGCACCCTCGCTGCTTGTGGGCGACGCCAAAACTTTCGCGAAGCTACCGGCGACCTGAATCTGACCATCGACGTTATTCATGCTCTTGACAGGACCGTCCAACCCCGCTTGCAACGCGCTCCATGTGTTGCTAGTAACGTCGTAGACTGCGACGTTACGCATGCTACGTTGCGAGGACGGCGTCGCAGTATCGCTGAAAGACCCTCCGACGAATAGTTTGTCCCCTTCTATAACAAGAGATGACACCGCTCCATCGAGACCGTTCGATGGTAGAGGAGAAAGTGAGTTGTCTCTGAAGACGGCGATGTTCCTTGCGCCGGACGATAGATTGAAGTCACCGCCGACGAAGAGAAGACCAGATGAGTGCTGTGCTACAGAACGAACCACGGGTAAGGATGAGTTGGCGCTTGAGCCCAGTTGATCGCGAAGCGACAGTCCAACCGCGTCGAGGGGGGTCACCGTGGAATTAGGAAGGGTAGTGCGTGCATCGGCAGTGGCAGACGAAACGATAGGCCACTCAAAGAACCCAAATGCGCTCCTTCCGCCTTGGGTTGACGTCACAGGACCACTGTTCGAACTGTCACCAGGTATGGACTTGAGCGACAACTGAACGCGATCAGCAACCATCTCGAATTTTCCTCCCTCACCCTGCCCTTGGGGATTCTCGGGAAAGGCCATTGTAATGACGGCGATGGATTGGTCGGTTGATGGAATAACTGGGCCGCTGTAGATAGAGACGGATGCATCAAGAGTATTTTGCTGAGATACGGTTGTGACGACAGGATCAAGGCCATTCCCGGGGAAGACCGTGACTGTCACCGACGTGCGTTGACCGCAATCTTGGAAGTCATTGCAGCCAGGTACAAGCATATTGATGTCATAGATCCCGGCGGCGGACACATATGGCATCCAAGAGAATGTCGGCCTGTTAACGATAGGCGACCCAACATCAATCGTTGCAACGAGCACGGATTGGATTGTTCCTGGGATATCCGTATTCGCAACTTTAACGGCCCAATCGCCAGTTAACGTCGTATTGGATGGGTTGGGAGCGAAGCACGATTTTCCATTGCCGTCCGCTTGTGCGGAAGCGAACGCGCCAGAGGAAAGCAGCTGGAACAAATGTAAACCTGGCGACGCGCCAGTGAATTGGGACAACTTGACCAGAACACCGGTAATTCCGACCGCTCCATCAAAGAGGAAGTCTTGGTATGGGATAGTGTTGGCGGTCGAGAGTGGACATGGATCTGTGCATGTTCGGTTCTCACGCGATACTGGGTCCGTGTAAGTCAGTGTTCGAACTGTGTTGTCGGGAATGGTCGTGACACTGTTTGTTGTATTTCAACAATGTGAGACCGCCAGTTTACAAAGATACGCACCTGAATCCCGTGGTGCCGCGACCGTCCAGGAAAGTATTTCCAAGCCGTATCCCACTAGCCGCAATGGAAGCGAAAGTCCTGACAGTGATTTGTGCAGTGGTCCCATCCTCTCCAAACCAGGAAGTCCCAGGACCATCTGGGCCTGTTGGACATAGGATGGCGCTGATATCTGAGAATTGCGGGTTGGACGCTGATGGTGACCCTTGAACTTGAGATGCCTGCAAGGGCACGGGAACGAGGGAGGAGGTAAAAGGAGTGGCGCCAGCCGAGAAGGGCACGTTGGGATTGTTTGTGAAATTAAGTGTCGAATTGCCTTCGAACGAAGTCAAGAACGAGCCCGCGAAGAAGAGGCTTTGTCGTGTGGTATTTGTCGTGATGGATTCGACTCGGGATCCTGCACCAGACAGACCTGAAAAGGGAGGTGCAGACCAGGAAGATGCACTGGTGTCCCACACGGCGACCAGTGACCCAGGCGAGGAGAAGGTCCCTCCAACCCACACTTTCGAGTTGTCGGGGTCACAGAACACGGACAGGACCTCACCATTGGGCCCACTCGATCCAATAGCGGTAAACCCTGACTTGGAAGTGTATGATGCCACATTCGCTGCTGAAGTGCCGCCAATCGATGAGAACGTGCCCGCGACGTAGAATGAATCGCCAAGTTGACAGCCCGCGTTTATCCTCCCACCAGTGTTGGTCGATCCAAGGCGTGTCAAGTCGCCGTTCGTCGTGCGAGAAAATATTGTAGAGGTTGACGGGTCGAATGTAATAGTCGAAGTCGAATTATCGAAGAGATCAAGTCCAGCAAAGGTGCCCGCTAGGCCTACCTTTCCCATTCTATCAAAGTCGACGCGTGGAAGGCTTGCAGCCGCAAGGCTGGAGAAGAAGAGCACGGTTTGGACGCATTTGAGGCGTATCATGGCTGAGGGACGAATTTTGGCCGCTGGAGCGGACACAAAGGGGTATATGTCCTCAGTGAGACTTTGGCTAATGAGCCAGAGCGCGAATTTCGATAGAAAAAGAAAAGACTCACGGAAGTGATGGAGATGGTTGTTGAGCGTTGTGAAGTTGGAATTCACCAGCAAGCAGCATGTTCGGCTTTTGCCGCCATTCTTCCCACACTCCGAGTCTACTCAACGTTCCACTCATCTCCGAGCCCGACATTCTTGACGACGGCGACCATGCTCATTGCACGGGCTATTCATTCTCGAGGCTGCCTGCCTTCTGCTACTCGCCTCCTCGCCCCCCGCAGGGCTGCATCACACAGCGCTCACCACGCACCAGAAACTTCTGAGTTCACCACCAAGGAAGGTCAGTCGCAGCGGACTTTATCTTTGCAGAAAACACACTAACCACTGCACCACCCTAGGCTTCGGGGGCGCATTCTGGCGGAACACCCTCATCCTTTCATTTCTCGGCGTCGCGTGCTACAAATACGCACCCGAAGCCAACGACAATGCATACCTCACCCGCTGGATGGCCTTCTACTCCGTGCCTCGCGACGTCTGGTTGAATCTGAACGTCAAACACACCGTCTTGCAGCAAGAATCCTCGGACCAGAGCATCCTATTTGCTGATGCCCAGGTGTCCAAGGTGCACCGCTACAGATCACCGCAGTATGTTCGCCATTGCCCTTCACATCCACCAGATGATGACCCTTGCTGCAGATTGCTGGACCAAGCATCGCCGTTTCTCCTTCCTGTCGGTATGACTGTAGACATGTCGGATGTTGTTGCGAAGCGGGACTAGAGAGGTATAGCACCACCAATGCATTCGGCTAGCCACGGGGTGCTCGAATAGAAGGACATCATCGCATGGCAACCTCACATATGGGCCAACTTGTCGCGACTGAGCGTTTGAAGCAGCGTCTATGTCCAACCCACACTACCATTCAAACTGCTTAAGACCACTGGATGGTCAGGACTCCTTCACCCATGATATCCAGCTTGTCGCAGTAACTGTCACCAAATAAGTGCGGGACTCTTCTTTTGCATTTTCGATCTCAAAGGTTCTAGTTCACGGCTTGCTATTTTGACATTTCGCCTCGTCTGACTTCTGTGACCGTCTTCTTGAACTTGGCTTTCACTGAGTCGCATGACAACATTCGCGTTTTCATTCATTGTGACGGGCCGCCTCTGGTGTGCGCGTCTGACAGGTTGCATGGGGGTGTATTTCGTAACTTATACCCTTACCACCATCACTAATCCCGCTATCCACCAATAATGTCGCAAGCACCTCTCATTACATTACATGTCTCTCGCTCGCCTTTACTGCCTGAGCTCGACTTTCGCATCACCGCCAAAACAGGCTCGTTGCTCTCCGCACTGCTCACCAAGCGTGTCGTCGGCGCAGAGCACAACATCACCGCTAGGCGTGGTATCACTCAACCGGAGTACACGACATCGAACACGCCGAACCCTACCTCACATACGCACGCACATCCAACATCAGCGCACAGTCATTCGAACGCGTTCGCCAGTGCGCCCTCGTCGCAGCTAGTCATCGCGCTGCTAAACATGCTTGATCAATTCGACGCAGACGTCGCGATGCAGGTCGCACGGGTCAAGGACAGCATCGCGGAAGCGCACGAGTGCATCGATGAGTATAAGCAAGAACGTATGCGCAGACAGACGTCGCGGGAGGAGCAGCGGCAGAAAGAGCGCAAGGAGACGAAGGAGATCGGGAGTGACTTCTGGCTGGGTGTCTGAGCCATCGACGGGCGCCCTGTGAATTCTGTATAAAGGCATTGAGATTGGAATGCTGTATATCTGATACCCTGACCACTCCTATACCACACACCACACTTGTATCTCCAATAACTAGTACTAGTATCGCATCTACGCATGGGTGAGCACCGTGCTCGCTTTATCGTCGCTATCGGTTGCGTTGAGGCTGACGCCGACGCTTGAGCAGCAGATAACTCAGCGCCACCTCGCCCAAATCGCTCGTCGTCGTTGGACGCAGCGGCCATCCACAAACTCGAAGTGCATCTTAGCGAACGGCCAGAGAAGAGCGAGTTGGTGGAGCGCAACATCCTGCAAGCTGGACGGGCGCCCACGCTCGACATCCACAAGCTCGAGAAGCAGCTCAATGAGAGGCCGGGCAAGAACGAGCTGGTTGAACGCAACATCCTGAAAGGTGCGCTAGGTCATGTTAGCGTAGTCCGATGCCATTCTAACGGCAGCATCAGATGACAAGGGCATCGCGCCATCGCTTATAGCGGCAAGAGAGGCTCTAGAAAGATCTCAGCTTGAGGTGAGATCCACAGGGCCCTATGTCCGCTGCTAGAAGCATCGGTTTACATGTTGATAGGATAAACTTGACCACGCTCTGCAGTCGCGTCCGAAACCCGAAGAACTGGTGAAGGAAGGCATCCTCCAACGTAATCTCTCCAAGATTATCTCCAGAATTATTGTTCCCGCTGACATTATGTACACAGCTGACGAAGTGCCCGTCTAAGATAAAGGTGTTACATGTACGCTTCATTACTGCAAGCTGGGAGTTGGGCTAAAGGACAGTGTCAATACTCGAAAGGTATCAGAAACGGGTTGTAACTCACATGTAAGATATGAGGCCCAAGGCCTCCGTGTATATGTATAAGAATTATGATACGGACCTAGTCGCGGTCCCTGCTTTTTCTGCGAATCATCTCGCGCATTTCATTCGCAGCTCGCTTCGTTCCCGTTCCTCCCGCCCAACCTCTGCTACGCAACCACCCGACCAATCTCGGCGTAAATGCAGCTGTCAGACCTATTCTGACTGGGACAAAGACCGTTTTATGTATCGTATAAGCCAAGACGAGCATGGCGTAGAGGCCCTCTTGTCCAGGTGCTTGCGGCGATGACGACGGGCTGTCCACCTCGTCGAGTCCGGGTTCGGCAGGTTTCGAGTGCAAAACGCGGGCTATCATGTCTTTTGCTGCTACTGCCACACGCGAGACATGTTCCGCGCCCACGAGCTGGATGCCAGCAAAAGCGACCCCGAAGTCGAGAGCTGACAGGATGAAGTAGACCCCCAGGGCATACCACCCGTATGACTTGATGAGATGCTTCAGCCGCTGCGTGAGCGTTGCATTAGGTGGCAGCGTCTGGTCTGAGCTTTCGAGCTTTGGTGACGGCGGCGACGAGAGTCTCTGAGGAAAGCGGGTGAAAAGTCGGAAGCTCTGTGCTGGCCGTTGAGTGAGTGCGAGGCGCGGGTGAAGCCCCGCGCTGATTGGGAGAATTGGAGTGGCCAGTCTGGGGACAATTGCCCTCAGAACTGGTATTCGCGTGAGCAGGCGCACCATTGGATGAGTGGAAGAGAGTGGCTGAGGAGTGCAACGTATATAGCGAACCGCCGTTGTGGTGTGTATCATTACCTAAGCGGCATTTCGGCGTCTAAAGCACATCGATCGATCATACATCCCAGTTTGGGAGCAATGCCCGTCGAGTCCCCGATGAATTATCAGCAACTTTGTCCCCTCTCCACCCTTAAGACCACAAATGCCAGAGAGCGCTGCTGCGTCTGCCCCGTTTGAGGGGCCAGAAAAACTCCTCGAGATTTGGTTTGCGCCATCCGCCAACGATGTTCCAGACGCAAGCGACCCGACAGAAGACGGTCGGACAGGCCTCCGGAAGGTCAAGCGAGAAATCTGGGAAGAAATGCTCGATATTGTCCGGTGCAAAATTCTTTCCGTTATCGACGGCTCAGAAGTGGATGCCTACCTCCTCAGGTATGCCGCAGATTACATTCATATTCTTAAAGCTTATCATCTACAGTGAATCATCCTTTTTCGTGTCGCCACACCGGCTGATCCTAAAGACCTGCGGGACGACGCTAAACTTGCTCGGTCTCCCGCGGATCCTCGACATTGCGTCGTTGCAGTGTTCCATGAGCACCGTGTTCCGTGTCTTCTATTCTCGCAAGTCGTTCATGTTCCCCGAACGCCAGCAAGGCCCCCATCGCGACTGGAAACAGGAAGTAGAGTTCCTTGACGGCATCTTCCAGAACGGCGCAGCCTACACCGTTGGCAAAGTGAACGGGGACCACTGGTTGCTGTACATGACCATCTCCGATACTGCGACCATCCCTGCATCTCCGTCCCCTCCACTCGCCCTGCATGTTCAGGACTCTACGATAGAGATTCTGATGAGCGATTTGGCGTCACCAGCATGCCAGCCCTTCCATTACGATCAGTCACTGTCAACTTCTGACCCAATTCCCTCCAGTCACGCGCAGCAAATCTCTGCTCATCTGGGCATATCAGATATCTTTCCACCGCATTTGACAGTTTTGGACGCCTACTCGTTCTCTCCATGCGGATACTCCTGCAACGCCTTGATCAAGTGGGCCCATCCCAAGCCCTCTAACAGCCCCGTGCCAACTTCACAAGTCCAAGAAGGGGAAGGGTACTACACTATCCATGTTACACCAGAGGAAGGCTGGTCTTACGCTAGCTTCGAATGCAATATCCCCCTTTCCCACCGATCCCCTTCAGATCCCACTCCAACCAGCGCGGAGACAATGCCAGACCTCGTGGCACTGGTCCAACGCGTGGTTCGCATATTCCAACCCGGGAGATTGAGCTTGACTTTATTTATCTCAAGTCAAGACAACGAAAATGAGGACGGGTCGAGCGCCATCGAAGAAGCTCAACGGGCTTTCAAAGCGGCTCTAACATTCCCTCCTTCTCAATCGATGGACGAGCGTAAATCCATTCTCCCTGTGGGGAAGGGGAAGGGTTATAGAAGGACAGATAAGATCAACTATGAATTCGGGGACTACGATCTTGCGTTCGCGAGTTTTGAACTCCTGTAGTGACCAATAATCTCGCCACCCGGTTTCGTCAACCCCGGTTTCCTCGTTAGGTACGTACCTCACGTCAGCCCTTTAGATCTGACATGTTTAATCAGAATTCTAGCTTTAGGTTTGTCACTAAGAAGCCTTGTATCTTTCGCAAACCGCCGACAAAGGCCTTTCTTTAACTATTCAGTTCGTCTGATGTATCTCAAAAGGAGCAACTTGTTTGATCAGGTTCTGTTCTACAACGTAAGTAACGTTTTTGGCACCGCAGAAAACGGGAACTGTCACAGGTCTCCAAGCCATGTCTATCTTAACCGATTTACTTTACCTGGCCACACAAAGCTTTAATCAATCGGTGACTTAAGAACTGGAGAAGCCTGCTGGCGAAGCAGGCCTACCTTGTGACTTACTTCGCCTGCAGGCAGCATGGCAAGTTCGAGCAACCAACCTCTAACTGACATTCTTCTGTAGCTCCGGTTTCCGGTTTCGTTTCGTTCAGACGTAGAGGGTTCTTATAATCATGCCACAGCCTGATCTCAAACACAGACATTGTTCATTATGTCTGGTTTGATACACCTACCTAGCGCAAGCTCCTCAGAGCATCTCCAAGCCCTAGCTGAGGTCAGCGAGTTTGCTCTGACGGACATGGGGCAACCAGGCCAAGGGCCCTGGCCCTATCGCCGAATGCAAGAACCCCGCCTAACCGAAGAACTTTGTCGCCGTTCGGATGCCCGGTCGGTGGCGGCTGCGCACGCAGATATCCTCAGTTTCCAACCATGCCGCTCGGACACGTCCGAGAACCAAGACCGCTATGTCGCGGAGGTATGGGATCTCCCAGGGGGAAGCTGGGTATTTTGTGCGGTGCTAGATGGTATTGTTTCCTCAATCACCGCCTGCTAGCACGATCCTTAACTGACCCCATACATTTCAGGCCACGTTAACAGCCATTGCGTCGAGTACGCGCAGGCCGAGCTGCCTCTATTAGTCCAAGCGGCCTTGCGTACTGTAACTCTGGATACCGAGGGTCAGCGTCAATCACCTCCCCCTGAAACTATCAGTCGGCTACTGTCGGACGCCCTTATGAAACTCGACGATGCTCTTACTTCCGAATTCCTGCGGCTCGTCCCCGAAGGCGTTCTGGAGACCCCTTCGTCTCCAACAGCGCAGGCCGTCCAGAATCTGGACCCCACGCTAGCATTGACCAGTAGGTGCCTAGGTGGGGCAACGGTTATTTTCAGCTTGCTTGATCCACAGAAACAAAACCTATGGGTCACCAATCTAGGCGACTGTCAGGCAGGTACGTGGGCTTCCTCGCCAATGCGATGACCGCGTGTATCTGACTCTGGCTTTATCAAGTCTTGGGTGTTAAGAACTCGGGCGTGTGGAGTGGAACGATGATCAGCAATATCCACAACACGCACGCTCCGTTGGAGATCAACCGTATACGGTCCGAGCACCCTAACGAAGAAGAATGCATCAAGGACGGTCGAGTCTTAGGGTACTTGGAGCCTACCAGAGGTACATATCGATTTGAAACGCCGAAACGTCACTAACCGTTGAGGACAGCCGTAGGCGATACATGGACCAAGCTCCCCAAACAATACACGGAACATTTCTTCCTCCATACAAACCAAGATTGGATTTCTCCAAGAACACTCCAGCGATGTGCATCGCAGATGTACTCTCCGCCATACATATCCAAAACGCCTGAAGTCCATCATCATGCTCTGACTGACCATCCGTCCTTCCTAATATTGTGCTCTGACGGCCTCAAAGAGCTGTACGGGGCTATTGGTTCGGAACCAGTGGATCATTGGGTGACCGTTGTCGCCCAAGGGATTGATTCGGCTGAGCCTCAGCATCTCTCGTTAATGCTCCTCAGAGATGCTATCGGTGGTGATGATGTTGACCGAGCTTGCCAACTCCTCACGGTGGAGATGGAAGACAGCTGGGTAGATGATACGACGCTAGTCATTCAACGTCTTCGCGGATGACATTGATCAAACGTTCATAGTATATGTAGTACAATAATGTTACCAATATCTGGGATACAAAAAAGAAAAGTACATGACAAAGCAGGGAAATGGACCTCATGAAGCCTCTACGGGTGCCTCTGACTTCCCAGCGCTAGCGAGACGCTTCGCGCGATTATTACAAAGTGGGCAAAGGCGGATGAAGATCTCTATCATTGGCCACGTAACATATGCCTATTTTAGGCACGTAGTGTTAGGCAAGCAACAAGGGTGACAACATTAACTCACGATGGCTGCCTTCCGAAGCTCGAACAACATTGACGGAGGAGGACCGTGAGACCGATGGGCATAGGCGAGAACATCATAGAGCTGATTACGGACAAGGAGACGCTCGAATGCTGCAGTTTTAGATTGGTTAGTTCGCACGAAGTTAATGAGAACGTTTGTATCGTTACTTGCCTTGTGAGAAGTCAACATCACCCGACAATTCATCATCGGAGCCATTGGAGCCGTCCACACTGTCGCGATAAGCCTTTAGCAGTCTTGTGACCTCTGTATCGGCCGCTTGGAAAATGGAATCTCGTGGTACAAGTAGCAGGCTGCCCTTCGACGACCCTGAACGAATATGGTTGATGGATATCCAGTCGCGAAGCCTGGCTGGAAGCTTAGAAAGATCGTTGGCCACGAGAGATCGCGACATGGATAAGTAAATATCAGGAGGTAAACATGCCGTGTCTCTGAGCTCTGGCAGCAAATCCCCCAAGAAGCTCGCGATATTGTCGTCGAAGGTCTCACGGTTCGGCATTTCTGATGAGTCGACGCTGCCCAGTCGTTGCAATATTGACTCTGGTAATGGAGAAAACGAAGGATGGCTCCACGGTTGGACGTATGTGCTGTTGACAATTATGCCTTGCCCCGGCGCAAATGCGTGGGATATGAATGAGAGTGAACTGTCGCCAAGAGATGATGGTTTAGGTGCAATGACAGGAAGAGGACCAGCATACTGAGACTTGGACTGCAAGTAATCTGCAGTAAAACGACCAGTTTGCGATTGAATTGGCTTGTCTAAATCTGGGGAGCCTTCAACACCGCCGAGGATGGGAGGCTGTGGGGACTCGCCGTTTCGGGTGGCGACATTCTGCCCATAAAAGGTGTGAGCCCTTTTAGATTCAGCCAATCCATCGTGGTGCACGCTTTCTGATGTAGGCGACGATTCTGCTTTGTGCGAATGAGCATCGTGGTCTTGAGCCGAAACTTGCTCTGCTGTTGCTTTATGGCGCTTCTTGGGCGTGTAGTTGCACTCAGCATCGTCATCTTCACTACAGTGATTGCAAACAGGCAAGTTCCGGTCGCACTGAGATAGAGGGCATATTCAGCAGCCTTCAATGAGGACGGCATTGTTGTCCACACCTTGAGATTCTTCCTGCGACAACGATCACATCTTGGAATGCCACGGTGGGCCGGAGTCGGCAATGGGGTGTACCTGCATTCTCTGCCTGACGCCCAAGAGCAATGATTGCAGGTAGGTAGAATACGATCACACTGGGACATGCAATGGAGAGGGGCGCTGATAGCGTATTGGGCGAACACGCACCTTCAAATTATTTAGACGGCAGTGGTCGCAGCGGGGCTTTCCCCTTCGACCGATCCAGGCAGACTGGCGAGCCATGTACGTTTTCGGATTAGGTATTTTTATTGTGAGCTGTCCATCAACGAGGGTATCCTTGCCAGAGTCAGTTTCATCTTGTGAATCAACCATGGTAGGATGGACTGACTGCTTAGCATGATAAGAGTTCCCGTCGGGTATTGTCCTTTAGAAATACGGGAGAAAGGTACTCACGAGTGGCTCTGATAGAGGACCTCTCGTCAGGCGTCACTTTCGAGGCTGGTGACGGTAAATACTAACGGAAAAGAGGATATACGAGCCCGACGAGATCCTTTTTGCAGGCAAGATGGTGGTGGTTCTGTCGAAGGTGAGTCGAGGCAACTGGGAGAACGTTAACGAACTACACAATATAGTGCCATGTGACTGTGTGACATATCGAACGGGCACCCTAAGAATCATTATTACGGGCCATTCTCACCACGGTGCTCACATTTCACAAGCTTAGCGAGTATTCTGCTTGCAATGCCCTCTTCTGCACGGTAATTTTGCCCTAGCCAAGGCACCGGGAAGCGATCCCCCACTACAGTCCTCTTTCACCAACATGCCCAAAAAGGAAAACGTAGTTCAGCAGTCACCCGCGCTCGGCAACTACCGGCTTCCCTCCCGCTTCAAAGGCCAAAGATTACAAACTCATGTACATTCAAGAAGTCATAAAAATGATGATGTTACTAGAATACAGATGCAGATATGTCACGACCACAGTCCTTCACGTATCAGAGGAAATCATCCAGAGTAGCTGACAGATTGGCTTGCTCTCCGTCTGCTCTCACGATCTGCCTCAGCTTTTCTCACCTCCTCGTCTGTGCATCTTTTGACCCTGGCAAGAACAAAGTCGAGCTGCAAGAAGTTGTCGTCATTTGCGGCAAACCTCTTGTGTTTCGTGCCCTTGACATGCTACACCGTTGATGGTAAGCATCTTGTGGCATTCTCGCCAAGTGAAAGCGTACCTTTCGGAAGTCGTCGAATTTTATTCGACAACTTTCGCAATACCCCGGCTTACTACCCTCATCTCGTCTCGGTAACTTGATAGTATTCGTACTTCGACTCTTTCGCAACATCGCTTGAGTAGAGCGGCCAGGCATGCCATCAGGAGGGGCCATAGGTCCGTTGGTGCCATCCCTTTCTCCGTTAGGAAACTTCTTGGACGTGACCACATGTTGCTGCAGTCGCCCACGCAGTGTTGCAGGAAGTTGAAGAGCATTACGTACTGTGCCTGTTGTCGAAGTGGTACCTGCCGTCGAAGTCAACCCGACGCTGTTTCCGGAAGCAGCAGCGTGTCCGCTTATGCCTGATGCTAAGTAGCCTGAAGCATAAGCCAAGTCGTTATCGTACTCGTCTGCATCCAAATCGACCAGATTGGCGTCACGGAGGACCCCATTGGGATAAGACACTCGACGCCGAATGTTGTTCATAGACACTGAGCGACGCAAATCGCCATGACCAGCGGCCTGCAAGTGTAACGATGTTGGTCGTGGCTTTGGCCTGCCAGTTCGTGCTACATGAAGAGCCTGATTTTCCTTCGCAGCTTCGGCCTGCTGTGTTTTCTCCCATCGTCGTCTCTCCTTTTCATCAAATTCAATAAATGGACCTCGAGCATGAGGGTGACAGTGCAAGATCGGCCACAATGGCTTAGTCGCGCTATGCGGCTTCGGCACTGGATACTCATGAGCAGCTATCGTTGCGAACTCTTGGTGGAGATCTTCGACGAGAACGAAATAACTATCCTTCGAGAAATATCGGAAATCGTGTCGCCTCTCAGCAGGATCTCGCTCGCAAGTCCCATTCAGTCGCTCGGATTGTAAGAGCCGCGAAAGAGATTGCTGGGTGGAAGCCGAAACACTCGTTGTCAATGACTGAGATTGTCCGGTTGACGGGGTGGCCAGGCAGCGATCCACGACGCTGGACAGCTTCGTCAGAGTCCAAATCTTCTGGCCGAAGCTCTGAGCCTTGTTTATGAGGCTATACTCAGCGTCCATGAGTACATCTTCCACAATACTGTGCGGGCGAGTTGAGTGCCATGTCACGTCGGTAAGTGGTAACATACCGTCCTCTCAGCTTAATAGGACTTTTGAGCAAAGATGAGGCGCCGTTCTTCAACTTCCCCACATTCTCCTTGTTATATGATGGAAGTTCTGTACCCGGGATTTGATCTGTGATCAAGTGGGTAATATCTTTCGAAAAGAAGTCGTCCACTCGCTAGATAGGTGTTAGACAAAATCGCCATCATACGTAGCGCCACTCACTCCTCCCAGCAGGTGAATCTTGCGCTTCATATCCTGCCTTAACGCCTCCGTGTTGGCAACGTCCAAGATATCGGGGTCGAAATAGAAGACCCATGACGGAAAGGCCTTCGTATATTTCTCCCTGAACTCGGCTTTCTGCTGCTCTCTCTCCACCTTCTTCCGACCTTTGCCGTCTTCTGCGACCGCCGTTGTCGCGGCTTGCGCGAGGGGTCGTATGCGCTTGGTGGCCTTCGCCGGGTGTGGCTCTGGCGAGCGTGGACGTTTTGCGCTCCCTGTCGAGTTCTGCGAAATGGCGGAGCACTGCTCATGAGAGAAAGAGGTCCTCTCAGCGAGCGGACGACGAGGAAGCGCAGCCGCCATCGAAGAAGATAAGGTTGACCTGTGCGTGTAAAGTATCGGAGGGTGAACTGACAATGGAAGTCACCAAAACATTACTCAACATCATGTGATCGCGTCAAACACGGTGTCACGTGACTATCGGTGTGGTGTGACCATCTGTGACACTACGTCCTGTATTCCAATCATGTCGACGTACGGCGCAAGACACTACAATTCTCAAGCAACTTTCTCCACGCCAGCATCCAGTGCGTGTAAAGCTCACATTTGATGCTTTTGGGGCGCTAATGTACACCCAGCTACGCTTTTCAGGCGTCTTACATGGGAAGGGACTGTACCCCTCGAAGTTCGTGTCGATTCCAAAGAGCTACCAGCCAATTCAGACAGAGGACTCGAATGCTACTATGTGCAGGCCCCGAGAGTCAGCTATCTCCCCCTACTCATGCCTGAGATTCGGCGCTTTCTGATGGACGTTGTGTTCGATGAAGCGGCGGCTGAGATCCTCAAGGAGGATGAGTGGTGGTTTGAGAGTGAGGACGGGATTCCTATGAAATGGTATGATCAATGTATATGTCGTCTTATATCGTATACTAAGACGAGCTTCCTAGGCATTGGTCGATTGGACTCATTTATGATAACCACGCTATATCTCATTCTCTGCGATCAACCCGTGTGGCGACCTCCGGGGTCCCCTTGAAACTCACTCTACATCTCGCATCTCCGCCGTCGGATAAATTACTTCTGTCCCCCAGCGTCGAAGCATGCAAACAAGCGTTCATGGGGCAGTTAAAGGAGGCCGATTTCATACGATGGGGAAATACTAAGCGTATGACGAGTTTACGGAAAGCAGAACAAGACGGGATATGGGAAGGCATTAAGGAACGTGAGTATCGTGTGCTTACTCTTGTTTGACGCTATCCTGAGATACGCAGATAATTTTGATGACTTTTGGCGGGTTGCATCAAAGGTGACGCCAACAACTGCCCCAACCCGGACTCAGTCTCCCCCTCCATCGTCGGCGTCAGTCCACGGCCGCCCACCGTCCGCTGATCCAGGAAATGTTCCTGATCGAGACGGAGCCTATAGCGTACGCTGTATTCCCGTCAGAGTGTATCTACCGGACGGTCCAGTACTCCAAGACCTCGTACCACCCATGGTGGAAGATGGTAAGACAACTCGCTGTTAGCATCAGAATTTTGGTTAACATTCTATACCGTAGGTTCCCCGAATACCCTCGGACAGTATCTCGCCACTCATATACCATTGCTGTTTCCTCTTCAACCGCCCCCTCCGCCGCCATCAAGAACTAACCCCAATCCACAAGCTCCTGCAGTACAACAATTAGCGTATGCCCTCATCCAGGGTGTCCTCGCACCTCCTGAAGCTGAGATGGCGTGGCTTGGGGCATGTCTTGCGGGCGCCGATGGGTGGGTCAACGTATGTGTTGGATTAGTTCGATAGCACGATCCCGCCTTGTGTGCACTTCTACTCTTTTCTTCAGATATCGTAATTATTCCGCCGAGGTCCTCATTCATAGAACAAGTCGCAACTACGCATATGCATACGTTCTTCCTCAGTGTGGGTTTCTGTACCAATTTGGCCTTCATTCCGCAAAGGATAACGTAGCGCAAATATGGAGAAAATGATGATCTACATGCATGGTGGGTTTCGTCGTATTCTTTCGTGCTGTCTTGGGGGTTTTCCGGCCTTCTTGGTCCTCTTCCCTTATGCCAACGATGTCTAGGCTCAATCTTGGAGAATAGGCATTCTCAAATATCATCTTGGGATTTGATCAGAGAAATCAAAGGAGTGTCTTCGAGGGCGGAGCTGCAGTGAACCAGGAAGTAAATGAACATGAATTTAATCCGAAAGTGCTACGCTACATGCTTATATTAGCAAACATACGCCCAACTTACATCGCAATAGTCAATTATAACAACGTCCCTAAGTATCCCTGCTAGCGTTCCCTATCTCTCGATGCAAGTGCTTTGAGTCGTTGTTGCAATGATCCGCCCGCATGCGGGTCTTCTCTGGCACTCGTTTTTGCATTGCCTATTTCAGTGATAATTGGGGAAGACATAAATCGCGAGGAAGACGGGGATACCGTAGAGGAGGTGGGAGTAGGCAGGGGAGGCGAAGTCGACGATGTAAATGTTCCGGAGGCAACAATACTCGCTTCTTCGACCAGACTCGATGGCTGCTGCTTCTTGGGTTGCTCCGTGTTACTTTTGACAACGGTTTCCGTCTTCTTTGTGACATCTTCCTCGTTGACGTATTCTTCCTCTACCCACTCCTCACAAACAGCCACTCTTCCCCAGATCCTACACCTCGTAAACTTACCCAGGCCTCCTTTATGAGTGGAAGAAGGGGGCGATTCCCATTTATTGTCGGTGTATATCCAGCCAGAGGGATCGGTGTGCGGGATTTGAGGGGAAGAAGTGGGAGGGATGGATGGCGAAGACGCTGAAGACGAAGGCTCCGGCGCGTTGGATTGCCCTGATTGCGACGGGTGTGTAGAGGGCGCCGAAAGAGAAGAGGAAGGATTTTGTGATTTCGTAGGAGACGAAGTGGAGGTCTCCATTTCGGAGAGCGAAACGATACTTGGCGCACTCGAGCTCGTGTTCGCCCCAGTGGAAGGGCTACTGGTGATACTCTCAAGGAGCTTAGACGCGAATCTACTGGTCGTTGTCGACCCCGATGCGTTGCTCGCGCTAGCAATCGAGTTCAGAGAGGAAGAGGTAGCAATTTGCGATTGTTGTTCCATTTCCTCCTTCACGATGGGTAATGGACAATCCACGCGTTCTACTTTATCGTCCTTATCCTCCCGTCTGACGAGAATTTTCCACTCGGCCTCGTCCCATCTCCACTTTGCCGTCCTTTTCAAGACGCGTTTCTTCCCCTTCATTCCCTTTCCTTTACCCCCATTGTCCGGTAGCTCGATCACCGAGATTGTATCCTCGGGTAAGGAGAAGGAGGCAGGTGGAGCTATTGGGAGTAGAGAGGTGGTCGACCACGAAGGGCGTTCCGACGGGAGGAGAGCTGCAGTCCAGTCGAGACCCATCCACCAACGTTGGTTTTCTTGAATGGTGAATAGATAGCGAAGGGATGCTGAGGGTTGTGCGCCTGGGGCCTTGGGGTTTGTCATTGTAGTTACTGAGACGAGAGATGAGGACGAGGGTATCGAAGTGCCTGTGATGAAGGCGCCCAAGCGGTAAGCAGCAAAGCGAATATACGCGCTTTTCCATAATGTCGAACGAAGAGTGCAAGACCATCTTGAACGATGTGTAATGAAGAGAGAACCGAAGATGGCGGCAAGGATATTTACTGGGACAATGAGGGTCGCAACAACGTAGAGTGTATAAAGAGTGAACAGTGGGCGAAGTATTCGCGTCGCTTCGATCCCGATTTCTGCCCTCGAGCTCGCGTCCGAATTCGAATTCGATGGAAGGGAGAGAGTAGGAATTAGTGATTGGATGACTGACAAATCAGTAATGACAGCTTGCAGCGAGTCTTCAGTGGTCGGGTGACCAACACTGGCGGCGTCGGTGCTTCGTCTTTGGACGCGCAAAACGGCGTAGACGACGAGGAAGAGTGGGAGGAGAAAGACGCATACCGAATAGTAGAAAGTACAGACGAACCACCATCCGGCGAGGACCAAGCATGAATCAAGGGTGTTGTTCCATGAGACGATCTCCAACGCGGTGCGCCCGAAGTGAATCTGCGGCGAGAGCTGGATGAGTGCGGAGGTGAGTGGTTGGGGAACTGTCTGCACGAAATTGAGGAGGGACACCGACATGATGGTGGTACAGGTTCAAGCCGGAGAGCGTGATCGGAGACGGGGCTTGTGCTTGTGTTATTAGATCTAATCTAATCTAATCTTGACTTTGCAATGCATCATATTGAGCACGAACTCGATGTTGTAATACATGTTGACATTCTAAAACTTGACCTTGCTAACGGTGCTCCAGAACATCTTCCCTTGAAGCTCGGCGATTTCCAACTCAAGTGCAGAAGGTTGGCGCGAACCATTGCCTGCCGCGAAGGTACCTGCTCCCCAGGGCGATCCACCGTGTACTTCGTCGAGATTCGTCAACTGTTTGAAGGTGGTCGCGTATCCAAGGGGAACGTAGATGATTCTAAGGGATTATCAACGGTCATTGGTTGGTTAGCGGTGAATATTCGCGTTGAACATAGGCGATTTACCCATGATGAGCAAGAGTAGACATGCTAGCCAAAGCTGTGGATTCCTGACCACCTCCTTGAGTACCGGTGGATACGAACAATCCGGCATATTTTCCTGCCAGTGCCCCGGTAGCCCACAGGGAACCTGTGGCATCCCAGAATGACTGACGACGAGGGTAAGTCAAAGATACAACACTTGCACGAATGGTATATGGCACGCATACATACCTTCCATTGAGCAGGGAAGTTCCCGTAACGAGTGGGGATGCCAAAAATGAACGCGTCGAATTCAGTGAGTTTGGCTGGGGTGATGATGGGGTAGTCTGGTTTGGCGGGAGCATGCATCTTCGTTAGGATCTCGTCGGAAAGAGTTTCTGGAACTCTGGTTCAGGCAGGCATTAGCGACAACTGTAAATTTGGGAAATATAGACTGGTCGTACTGATATATGGCGGCCGCGCCACCGGCTTTCTCTAGGCCACCCTTTACGGATTCTGCCACTGAGACAAGCCAAATTACACAAGATAGTAACCGAGAGCGACGACAATGATAGAGTTGAGACGTTCAATGAGTTGAGAGCTTGGTTACAATGAGCCATAAGACGTACATTTGGCGACATGGCCATACATACTGTAGACAACAATCGCAACTCTTGGGGCAGCCATTTTGCGTTCTGAGCGGTGATGCAGAGAGAGAGGAGTGGAGAGGTTGTTGTAACGGCTGTCGTATTTATGTGGTCGGAAGTAGATTAGATTGCGGAGATGCTGAGATTAGATAACGCATTGCTTATTCATTGCGACCGAGATTGACCGAGCTTGACGGCCGCCGACGCCAACGTCCAACGCGAGTCCAGGATAGGGCCCCGTCGCGTGAGAGTGGATGGGAAGCCGAGCTCCAGCACCTAGCTTTCCTGCAAATTCATCGGGCTCTCTGTGGCGACCAGCAGACCAGGTAGGGGAGACGTGGTATATACTCCTAGTGTCAAGCCGCGCCCCAGTACATTCAGACTCCAGCTTCAAACTAAAATGCAAGCGAAGCCAACGATTTGAACCTTTGTAGTGGTGAACGGGCCCATTGGAAGAGGCAATGGTGATCATGAGAGCTTGAATTGGCAACACGCGCGCTTTGCCAGAAGCCCCTGAATAGGATTGGTTGACACCGCGCCTCCGAACACGACTTGCTCTCAACCATCACCTTCGCCATCACGACTCACGAACAGTCAAGTCTCTGGCGCCGGCGCCGGGATCAAAGGTCAAACGATCCACCATGTCTTTCTCTAAAGATGCACTCGTGCGTTCCTTTGTGTTCACTGAACATGCAACAACCCTGCTCACGTTCAACCCTAGTGGTCGGAAGGCCACGACGAATCCGTAGAGGTCAACCAGCGCGCGCTCATCGATAAAGTGCTTGCTCGCTACTCGGGCGAATTCTCTGTATTTCGCGAGCTCTTACAGAACTCGGACGATGCGTCGTCCTCCGCAGTCGAGATCCGCTTCGAGACGGAGGGTTTCCTAAAGTCCAAGGCTCGGAATGACGATCATGAATCAACTACAAGCGGTGCACCACCGGATTTGAAGACTGCCATAGTAGGAATTACTCCGTGTCGCTATTGGACTCGTTTGTTACAACCGTGTTCTATATCAGGTTCATCAATGGACTTTCAGAAATAATGGTCTCGTATTTAGAGATGAGGATTGGAATAGACTTAAGAAGATAGGTATGCATCATTATCTCAATTATACTTCCTCTTATACCAGATTGTTTGCATAGCTGAGGGGAATCCTGATGAGGAGAAGATCGGTGCATTCGGTGTCGGCTTCTACAGTCTCTTCTCTGTAACAGAGGAACCGTTTGTGACGTCGGGAGGTATTTCCATTCAACGTAATGAAGCTTAATGCATTTTTTCTTACGCTGGCCACAGATCAATGGATGGGATTTTACTGGAAAGACAAGAAGGATCAGGTAGATGGTCATTGAAGTGAACAATGTCTAGGAAGCTTACGCATCCTCAGCTCTTCGCTCGCCGAGGGACACTTCCCCCAACCGGGCGTGTAGATCAATGGACGTCCTTTGCGATGACACTACGTGATCCATCCGCCATTCCTCCGCCATTCGATTTCACCAGATTCCTCGCATCGTCCATTGTCTTCATGTCCCATTTATCCGAGGTCAGTGTGTATTTTGATAATCACTGTCTTGTGAAGATATCGAAGTCTCCTGGCGCACCTCGAACGTTGGCGATCCCTCGACCTCTACAAACTCGAAGTACTTTCAATTCCATGGAAGTCAAATCCGTCGCAGAAGCACGTACGTATATGTCTTGCCATTAACTTCCTTGCCAAACTCAGCGTGCTTGCAGCTCTCCATATTTCTGCGTCCATCATGAAACTGGTGTACACATCTGGGACGGAGAAGCCACCAGTCCCGACAGCGTTAAAGCCCATCCAGAAGACGACCGGTTTCTTCTCATCTTTGCTTCAGTCATTTGCTGCATCTGCTCCTCCCACTCCGCAGCCTCCTCCTGTCGCCCTTCCCACCGACCCTAGTACTGAGTTGCAGCTCGTCGATACCAGTATTAGCCTATCCATATTTTCCGCTGACGTCGATGTGCGATTGCCCAAGAAAGTCGGAGACGAACTACTGAGAGCGACGAAGAAAAAGCCACCGAGTAAAGTCAAATATCAACTGATCTATGTGAGCCTCAACCTTCGTCTTTTTGATCCACCGGCCACTGAAGAGGTATCTAGACCGGGAAGGATGCCTTCGATGCGAGTAAGAAGCAGGACGAACAGCAAGAGTTCTCTACAGGGAGTATCTTCCAAGGTCTTCGAGCCGACATAGAAGGGTATGTGTCACTAATCCTCAAAATGACTATCCTATTCACGGTTCTCGCAGCACTGGCTCAACGCGTATCTTCGTGGTAAGTTCTATATGTCGTTACCTGTTCTCCTTAACATTGAGCTTGGTTGCAGGGTCATTCTACGGCCCAAACTACAGGTATTGGGGGACACATGGCATCAAGGTTTATTCCTACCGTCGAAAGAGAATCTCTAGACTTGATGTACGTCGTATTACTACGAGGGCGTTTCAGAGGCTTACGGTGAACTTCGTACAGGGATAAGAACGTTGCACGTAAGTACGATCAATACCTCTACGAACAATCTCCCAATCTCCACGCATAGTTTGGAATAAGGAACTTCTCTACGTTGGAGGCTTCCTGTCCAGATGTGTCTACGAGTTCGAAATGGATAACGTCCGTACGCTTTGGAATGAGGCGGGCACAAGTGTGGATCCTTCCCTCCGGATTTGGCTACGGAACCGCGCCATCCATGCCCTCAATTTCTTCACTTTCCGACAATCTACTCCATCACCAGAAGTTTCGAGCCTCCTGGAAGCCGCTTTCTTTGGCTGTAGTGCTAAACACCAATTCCCTCTCATCTCCTCCGTCGGCGTACGACCGGTATCAGAGATCCGCCTTCCTGAAGCCAAACTGTCTACCTTCCTGAAGTCACTGCCAATGGTTCCCGACGAGGTTATGAACGACGCTAAACTGATGGTCACCTCGTTGCGCAACCGAGGCATGTTGTTGTCTATCACATCTGAAGACGTCATAAAGGAGCTGCATAGCAGACCTTTGGACACGGAGGAAATGATCGCCTGTTTGCAGTGGTGGATTGATATGAACAAGTTTGGGGGAGATCCCAACCTCCCTGCGTTCCGTTCGCGCTTGCTTAGCGAAGCTATCTTGGCCATTGGCGATTCGGGTCCGCCTTCTATCGCTGGCAAAATCATTCCCCTTTCTACTATCCAGTCATTCGTAAACACCAAAGGAGCCATTGGTGCCCACATTCCTGTCGACGGTCCGTTGCCACCCGGTGTCTTGCCTGCCTATATAAGCTCCAAGTTTCGACCTGAAGAACTATCATCCCATTTCCCATGGAAGGAATTGACGGTGGTCGAGTGGTTGCAACACATTTGTGAGCCTAGGATGCGCGCTACCTCCGTTGAAACCGATATCGGGGTAAATCCAAAATGGGCAGAAACCGTCCTCCAGGTCCTCCTTCGCGCTTGGCCATCGATATCGAACGAAAGCAAGACGGAAGTTGCTCGTCTCTTAAGCAACCTGACATGTATCCCCACATCGCAAGGGCAGAAGAAACCTGGCGACACCTACTTTTCCGACGCGAATATACTAGGTGATCTACCAGTCGTGACATTCCCCTCCCAAGCACCTATAAAGGGAGCCTTGGGACGTTTCTTGCAATTCCTAGGCGTTCGCAAATACGTTGATCTCCAGATAGTATTCACTAGGTAGGGGGTTTCCCTAATGATATCTTTTGTTCATGTACTGACCTCGCTACAGGATGATCAAGACTGGTGACTGGAAAGTCGAGGACTTGATCAAGTATCTAGTTGCTGTAGAGGCCGAGTTGAAGGAAGAAGACTGGGGGCGCCTCAAGCTGACGCCGATCTTCTCTAAGGAAGGCGATTCAGCCACAAACGCCAAACCGAAGCGGTATAGAGCTGACCAATTGTACGAGCCTTCGGATACCTTTCGACAACTACACCTTCCAGTCATCGCTTGGACTTCAAAGTCAAGATGGAGAGCGTCGGCAGCAGAAGGTATGCTTTCATGAGCCTCGTAATCATGCTTTTCATGACAGCTGCGGTGTAGCCAAACTTCTGTTCAAGATCGGGCTCCTACGTTTCCCGCCTCTGGCTCAACTGATAGATCTCTGTTCCTCTGATGACACTGCTGTACATACAGCTGCCCTCAAGTATCTACTCGACAATATCCCAGCTCGGTATAGTGATTATAACCCCCACGACTTCGCGCAAAAAGTCTATATACCCGCTAACAACGGAGCGCTAACATGTCTGTCCGCACCCCTAGACGTGTTCTCAGAACGGCAGTGGGCTTCTCTTGGGTTCCTGGTCGCCACTGAAGCGGTGCAGACATTTGTTCAGAAGCTGAAGATTCCGAGGCATCCTTCAACGAAGCAACTCATAGATTTACTTCGCACGTCGCCGCCCAATATATCTCAGGCCAAAGACTGGTTTTCTGTATTATCCACTCGCATATCAGGTGATTTTTGGCGTCGGGGATGCACAGCGGGTGGGCTGACTTGCAGATATATAGATTTCTCGGACTCGGAGCTTACGATACTGTCGAATACTTCTTTCATCCCTATCCCTGACCCATCGGGCAAGGGGATCACTCATACCCCTCCGAGACGATGTCTCCTCAACATCAATACCGGCAAGCTTCAATCCAAACTTTTCACCTGTGTCGACTTTGGAGCAGCTGCGAACAGTTTCTTGTCTGCTTGCGGCACTAAACGCGAGGCTTCCGTTGAAGAACTTGCACAGATGCTGTTAGCTGACCCCAGAAAGTTTTACGACCTCTCGGGGGGACCAGAACAGTGCGCAAACAGTATGTATGCTCGACTGGTTACTCACACGTTAAACATGTAGCTTCCTCAACGAGCTTCGCAATATTGCTGTCAATAATCGATTGCTTTCCTCTATGACTTTTACAAAGATGAAGAAAGCACCCATCTTGCTAGGTGTACGCCGCCGGGTCAAAGAAGCAAATGAAAAGCACCAAGACCTTGACGAAGAAACCTGGGACTTTCAGTACGACCTTCTGGTCCCTAGCAGTATCGTAATTGTGGACGATAGCAACAACTACCAGCTATTTGGAGACGCTGTCTTTACTGCTCCGCAAGAAGATATCCTGGAAGGTCAGTATGAGGTGCTTTTGCTGCAGCATCAAAGCTCAATCGCAGTTGCTTAGCTTTCTACGCTGAACTTGGTTCCCGCCCCCTGAGTTCTATCGTCAAGCAGAACTACCGCACCACACAAGAAATAAAAGATCCGCACCGGTCTTCGGAGATGCATAATCTAGTTTTAGAGCGGCTACCCTTGTTCCTTCATGGCCAGACGCACGCGAGATTGAAGGTCCCTTCTGCGTGGCTGAGCAAGGAAGGAAACTTTGTTGTCAAGAACTATGGAAAGATCGAGGTGGAATCGGTGTTGACGTTTGGCGATATTCGCGTTACTCGTAGGCAAGAGTCCTCAGCGGCAGCCAAGCGTGATGGATATGGCGGTGCGATCCAGTTGTGGGTCGCATACAACACGAAGGTTGACATGTTCGAGTGAGTGGTGTTTCCTCCCATACGAAACATTTAGTGATCCAGTTAAATCATTGATTTGGCCAGAGTCGCAACTTCACTTGGTCAACTACTTTTCGACGGTGCCAAAGCCAACGACATGCTGCTATTTATGACCATTCTGTCTACTGATCTCAAATCTCTCAAACGACGGGGATACAATGGTACGGTTTCGCGGCTTTCATGAGCAGCCCATGGCTGATGATCGATGACTCCTTGCTACCCAGTGGATCGAATTTTGAGACAACAACAACATGCCAAGGACGCCGCTCTCGAGTCGCAGAAGAAAGTCCAAGAGGAGAGAGCTCTCCAAGTGGGCATTCAACAAGAGAAGGTACAACAGGCAATAGCCGCACCCCCTGTTCACACCGGGCCCGCTCCTGTCCAGACCAACAAGCCGCTTCCGGAGCCATCTTCCAGTCCAGGAGGGTTCCCTGAAAGTCCGCCTGCGAGAGGGAGCCGTTCCTCTACCTTCTTCAAGTCCATTCAAGATCTACGAAACAAGGTCGCCCCACGGCCGGTCACCCCGGAAAGGGAACCGTTGCTGGCCAATGACCAACATGCACCTCCGCAAGTGCCGACCGGTTCTCGCCCAGGAATGCCTGGTCCTGCACGGTCCTCAAATGGTAACCATGTTACCCCGTTGAGCAACATCAGTGAGATCTACCAGCCTCATCCCTGATTCGCACATATCAATATGACGAAACTCAGATTCGAACATCAACATGGCAATCAAGGCTTGTCGGCCTGAGAATGGGAACCTCGTACGGAACAAGCAGGAGATGCAGCAAGTCAAGGAATCACTGAACGATGGTTATTGTGACATAAGTGGTCAAGTCGGCGATCTTAACCTAATTGGAGAGATGGGTTCTATGAAGATCTTCGTCACTGCCGGTGAGTGGTACTAACTCTGAAGGGCCCCTCGCTCTGAATTTATTGAACAATGTAGATGTTCCAAATCCGCAAGTGGTGTTGGAAACCAAGAGGGATGAGATCGCTCGATTTATCCACGTGGTGTCACCGTTGGCGAAGGTGTACAACCTCCCGATGTCGAGTTTACACATCTTTTACGACCTTGGAGGGGGCTTGATTGCCTTCAATCGGAATGCCAGCATTTTCCTCAACCTGCGGTATTTTGAGGCTTGGCGTATGCGTCTTCTCGTCCTTTCTCCTTTCGATATTGACGAACTCGCCTTGTAGATCATGATCAAGTCCAAAGGGGGAACATGGATGATGCCTTCGTGTCCTGGTGAGCTAACCATCTTCGCGTAGTGATCTTCATTCCGCATCTCATTCTTGCGGTAGGTACTTCACGCTAGCGCACGAAATCGCGCATAACCTTGTTCAGCCGCACAACTCTGAGCATGAGTTTTATTTCTCGGCGATATGCGAGAAGCATATAAAGTCGCTGGGACGGCTTCTTTCGTCTGCTGCGTCGTGATCTGCCTTGCTAGCTTTCGTTCATGTATGTTGCTACTGTATAGACCCCTAATCGGAATTTTGCTGTGGCTGGCGATATAGACGCTCAAGGGATGAAATTTGGCCGATCACATGGTCGCATTACCAGCAAGCCATTTCGGGATGTCATCCATGCAACCCAGCTTGCTCTTGCTGGGTGAATACTCACACAAACATTTGCCGACGCTTCCTCTGCCTTGAAATCCCTCTCTCTCCTCAACCACCACCATCTCCTCGCCGTCCCAGGCCACCGCCGCCGTGTCATCAGTCTCTCACCAGGGTGCTTGACTCAGGGAACTCGGTATGTTCGCCCTCATCACCTCATTGCCCTCCGCTCAACATGGGCAGCCTTCATGACAAACTCGCTCTCCATGCCGGGGGGAAGCCCCATCCGAAGGAAACCACAGTACACATACCGCTCGCCGTCCGCCAACACCCCAGAGAACTCGTTTCAGAGGCTGAGCTCCTCGCAACGCTCGGGTATGAACAGCCAGAAGGTCAAATCGCCCCCATCTTCCTCCAAACCGCCTCAAGTAAAGAACACCGTAATCTCATCGATTCCTCTACGCCAACGCTACCCTATGAGTCCACCCCTGCCATTATATCATCCTTTGGGACAACTTGCGCTCTCCCTGCCGCCATTGGACACCGCCGCTTTCGGCCTTCCCCCCATCCCCAGTAGCATCTTCAACGATGGGGATTCGTCTCGCTCGCGCAAGTCCATGAGCCAAGGACGTGACGGCGAGGATGAGCTAGAATCACCCCCCGCGTCCGCCACTAGCCCACTCACACCAGTAGCCGTGCCCGCACGTGAAACAAAGCCTAGTCCTCGGAAGCGCCGGGCCGGTGGCGGTGGTCAGAGGCGCAAGCGCAAGGAGCCAGACGACAGCGACGCACCATATCCCAACCCTCCAAAGCGCACCCGCCATCCCAGAAGTGGAGGGCGGTTTGCGTCCGCCACGGCAGATGTCGCTTCGCCTACGGAGTCGACCAGTGGACTCGATTTAGGCGATGTTACGCCGACGCCACAGACGAAGCCTGATTTGCCGGATGAGGACATTGTTCCCGAGCGAAGATCGACACGCTCCAGGAATATGCCCAAACGAAGGGACTCGAGCGACAACAGCGCCGTCACCACGCCAATTGACCAAGCACCAAGCGAGATGTTGGCCGAGGCTATCGTTGATGGCGACAATGACAACAAGATGGCAATTGACGCAGAAGTATTACGAGACGAGGCAGAGCCACAGGAAACCCCCCAACAATCCGCTGACGATGATGGTATGAAGACGAAGAACGATTGATGAAATATGAAGCATGTACGCATTCCCCTCTTGCAGTTTGTAATATCGCTGGGCATTGGTTAAGCAGATGTAATGTATTCCTACGAGTCGAAGATTGTACCCGCACTGTAATATTTTTGATGTTCTTATATGTTCCTTGATATAGATAATCGTTGTAGTGAAGTTAGGATTGCACCCGGAAGGCTGGGAATCCCTGTCGCGCATTCCGTCGGATGGTTGCTCGACATCCCAAGGCTGTGAACGTGATGGACGCTTCAAGTTGTTGAGTGTTCGGAGGCGTGCCTGCACACCATAGCGTCCTCCGCGTCCTCCGCTATTCCGGACATCATTTTGCCATGTGATTGTTGCTTCCGTCGCGCCATATGAGATGGAGGAGTTGTCTTTTCTCATCGATGCTGTATGGTTCTGACATTTTTTACTGATGGGGTGCCCTTCTTCGCGACAACGCTTGATCTGATGCCCTGATGGCAAGGCCAGTTTGTTTTCCAAAGTCTCACTTTTCGAATAACTGCTAACATCAGGAATATTTCAGGGACAGAGGTCATATGTCCCTTATGCCCCCGCCCCCACCTGTCCCCACAGCCCCGCATTAATTTAGTAAGTGTGGGGGCAGGTGGGGGATGGGAAACGAAGACATGTGGTCCATCGTTGTTATACCCAATCGCATGGGAAGCATGCGGTTCTCACCCTTCGTCGCTCCAAAATAGAACTGAGGGCTAGCAAATCCCATCAGTTACTTGAAAATCACCATCCAATGCTCGACCATTCCTTACTTAAGAAACCGCTCCTCCATTGCTTCTCCCTTTCATCCTTTCTCGCTCGCCCCCCTTCCACGACGCGGCAATGGAGCAGTACAGGCCTGCAAGCCGCGCAAGTGACGACTCAGGTTCCGCTGCTTCCCTCGCAGGTGGGTGCCCGACGCGTTTCCAGGTCCCAGCAGTGCCTGACTGTTTCGGTTGTGCATATAGGACACGCTCAGCAGCCTGCTGGGTTCAATCAGACAGCGGGATACGCCAGGACCACACCCGCTGGCGTACCTGTGGGAGCGGGAGGGGTACCAGCTACCGGAGCTTACCGCGGAACTAGCGACGTCCCCCACGATGCGCAAGATGGGCCTCAGCCTGCGCCGCCGCCCCATGTGCCATTCTACAAGAAGAGGTGGTTCATCATCTCGCAGTTGATTATTATTCCTCTGGGCATCGCGTTACTTTTCATTCTTCTCTTCCCGGTCATCAAAGCCATCGCGCAACTAGTCGTAAACAGAAGTACTTTGGATATACAGGTGGCCCAAATAACGGAACCGTTGAATAATACGTACGTGTTGCTGACCTCGATCCTTGTCTCAATACTAATTACGCGTTTCATAGGTTCCAACTGGCACTACAAGGAAACGTGAGCTGCCCACTCTCGTTCAGGCTACTTGAACATGCTCACATATGGTTAGGTCGCTCACACGGGTATCATTAACGCTCGGATCGAGTTCAAGAATCCCGTACGCGTTACTTGGCTCGATGGGGACAACGAGGTCCCCATCGGTGTGATGAATTTAAGCCCTTTATCGACGATGAACAAACGCGCCACCATTAATGACACCACAGTGTTCAACATCACAGACGAGGCTGCATTCGGTCGATTCGCTGGGCAGATGATTACCGCACAGAACTTTACATGGAGGCTCGAGAGCGAGAACCTTCATGTTCAAGCTCTCAAATTTCCCTTGTCAAAAGGCATCAAATTCAAGAAGGATGTAACGCTGAACGGTAATGGGTTGCTAGGGTGCATTCATTACATTGCTGATTAGTGCATTATACATTATGATAGGATTCAACAGTTTCTCTGGCAATGTCGCTCTCAAGGACTTCAAGCTTCCAAGTGACAATCCACAAGGAGGCATCGATTTCGTCGCCATCACGACATTGAACAACCCCAGTCCATTTTCGCTCAATCTCGGTACTGTGTTATTCGATCTTTCCTACAAGGATGTCTTTCTTGGTACCGGGACCGGGACCGATACTGTCATCGTGTGTACCCTCATCCAAAATCAGATATGGTCATTGACGTAGTCTCGCAGGCTCCTGGACCAGTGGATGTTACGCTAAAAGGGAGACTCATACCCCATACATCGGAGGCTGAGCTTGCAGTGATGTCCGACCTCTTCACGCGTTACCTCAACGGGGAATCTTCTCTTGTCTTTGCGACCGGGCGTTCAACCCTCCAAGGCGACAATTCTTCCATTTCATGGCTCAGTGACGGTCTCAAATCGCTCCGACTCGAGGTTCCGTTCAAGTCTTCGATTCCAATTGATCCTATCAAGACCATCAGTATCGGAGACTTCTCCCTTGCATTCACCGAAGCGGATCCATGGTCACCCACTGCCCTTAGTAGAACGGTCGAAGCATCTCTCCGTGCGTATAGATGACGGCGAAGCTGTTTCTCTCGCTAACCCAACAAATGCAGAGCTTCCATTCGGGTTCGGTCTCTCGATCGGTGAAATCCAGAACGACTTCAATATCACGAAGAACGGAGCTGCTGTAGCAGGATTAAGCACAGTGAGTTGCGCCTGCTCATCATGATTTAGCTTTTCTACTGAGGAGTAACTGCCACCCAAGCCTCTCGGCGCCTCTACATCCTCGATCTCGGTTCTCAGCCCAGATGACACATCGGGCTCAATCAATATCACGATCGACAATGCTAAACTCAACTCCCCTGATCCCATGCACCCGGCGTTTTCAGCCTTCAGTACGTCACTTTGCCTCATACACAAACAACCCAACCCAATCATCTTGGTGCGATTAGACGCGGAACTCACCAGTGCTGACATGGCTGAGTTTCGTCTCGTGGGTAATTCCAGAGCGATCGCAAACATGAGCATAGGCACGATTACCTTGGACCCCATTAAAGTCAATGTTTCTACCCACCTTCAGGGGTTGCAGGGTCTCAAGGGCCTCGTCAGCATTGATTCAGTGGACGTACTTGGAGGTACCACAGAGGGCATCACGCTGGGCATTAATGGTCTGCTCGTCGTTGCTTCCACCCCAATCCCCGACTAACCATCATCTTAGTCAATATATCCAACCCTTCTAACCTCAACTTAGCTACGGGTGACTTGCGTACGTTTACTGTCTCTGTTTAGTTGCACCGGTGCTCATTCTATCTGTAGACCTGCAGCTATTCCGTGATGGCGTCCCCCTTGGGACTAATTTGTTGCCCAACCTTACTTTGACGATGGGTGACAACTTTGTTAAGGCTTCGTCTAATTTTAAGGTCTGACCTCTCCTCGCCGCTCAGTCAATGAAACTCAAACATGCTTTAGGCCAATGATAGCCCCGAGGGGCTCCAGACGCTGAACGATTTCGTGGGCAAAAAAGGTTCGTGCAACCATTGATGGCCTAGTGTTGCCCGAGTTTGATATACTTCTCAGATGTCAACTTGCACATTGCCGGATTTGATCAAAGTACAAAAGTCGTGTCATTGCTCGAAGCTTTCAAGTCCCTTGGAGTTGACGTGGTGTTGCCTGGCCTCAAGACTAATTTGCTAGACACTGCGGAGCTCAGAGGTACGCCGCCTCCCCCTTCGATCCCAACATCGTTTCTCACAAACAAATTACTCTTCTTCTTAGTTCTGCCGACCACTGGTCGGGCTAATAACATCAGTCACGTCCGAGTCAACCTCGACAACCCCTTTAGCACCGCCCTGAAGATCACCAAGATCACATCCGCAGTGACCGTTCAGGGCATCAACCTAGGTAACATCGAGACGGACACAGATTTCTCTAGCGACCCCAAGTCGAAGACGACATCTCCGGATCTTGACTTCAACCTCAACTTCGATCCAAACTCGCTATTCACTGTGACGCGCCTTCTTGCTGTTGACGCTGGGTTAGACACCACCCCTTTGGATGGAATAGTTGATGTCGGTGGTTACACGTACCTTTTTACAACCGGTAATCCACCACGCAAGCAGCAGAGAGCGAACATCTTCACGTATGTCCATAACATTCTTCATCCATTCATTCCCTTCACGTTCATGCTCCTTATAGTGGGTTCAACCTGCCGGAATTCGTGCAGACTGCTTTCAAGGAACTCAAGTCCGATGTTGAGCTGACTACGGATGTTACTATGGGTGACTATAAGACTACCCTCAAGTACACGCAACCCGGTGTCCCGACCAAGACAGATGAGAGCCTGAACCTAATTCTTCCTGTCTTGGCCCAGCCGATTGTACAAAAGGTGGTCAGCGAGTCCGGGATCAGGTATTGTACTCAGGTTCCTCATCTCTCCTTCCATTTTAACGATCATGCATAGCATTGACGATGTCCTCATCATCGACCCACAACAGAACTCGTTTAGTGAGTGTTCCTCGCGTCCAGTATTCGGAGAGTCACGAGTCTGAAACTTTATGCAGAGACGAGACTGAGAGGTGGGATAAACAACGCTGGTCCATGTATGTTTTTGCTCCCTATTGCTGCAGTGGTGCTCACTCTCTACGCCGTGTAGTTGACGCCAAGATATCGTTCAACCAAGGTCTGACCGTCGTGTGGGCCGGAAAACCGATAGGGAACATGAAGCTTACCGATGTTGATGTGGTGGGCGATGTTGGAGCCGTTCTCGATGTGGAGACGACGTTCGATGTGACTGACGTTGACCACATCACCGAGTTCACCAAGGTAGATATATGTATTGAACGCACAGGAAGGCTTTGACCAGCGGCAATTGTAGGTTCTGCTCACGGAGGAATCTTTCGAGTGGGAGATCTCCGGCGACAACTTGACTGGTACGTTGCTGCTTTCGGAGTTCTTATCCTAGCTGATGTCGCGTTTATAGTCAGCGCCATGGGTAAGAACAACCCTGGAAAGATCGACCAAATCTTATTGACCAATACAATCACAGGAATCCAGGTTGATGGCATTTCGTTATCTTCGAAGAAAGTTACGCTGAAGGGATTCAACGGCTTGAAAGGTGGCGTAAAGATCAAGTCTTTCGATCTACCCGCCAACGATCCCGCCGGAGGTATCCATCTCACAATCGAGGCTGACGCGACTAACGTGAGTTCTGAAAGTCATGATGACATTTCAAATCTGACCAATCAACGAAGCCTTCGCAAGTGGGCGTGCAGTTGTCTTCGCTAGGTTTCAACACGTTCGTTGGAAACACAATGATTGCCCCCGTCGCCAGCAAGGAGGTGACCCTTGCCCCTGGCTCTACTTCTCCCTTATCGCTTGTTGGACGCCTTGTGCCTCAGGCTTCCCAGGAAGGCCTAGACATTATTTCTCAAGTGTTTACGAACTTCTTACATGGGAAAGATAGCAATGTCGTTGTTCATGGTGCCAGCGCGGGGCCCAGCGAGGTACAGAGAATGCAATGATTTGATAACATGCTGCTGAATATACCATAGGTTACCTGGCTAAACGAGGGCATCAAAACGCTCCAAGTTGACACGATATTGCCTAACCGAGGCCCTCTGGACGTGATCCAATCAATCACCCTCAACGAATTGAAGCTACTCTTCACCCAGGATACAGCTTACAAACCCGCCACTAGCAGTAGTTCGACGTCAGCAGCTTTCACGCTTCCATTCGGGTTTCCCTTGGATATTACTTCCTTGCAACAAAAAATTGGCATTTCGTTCAACGGCCAATCATTTGCAACCCTTGACCTTCCCAAAGCTCCTACAAAAACTGACGTCAAGATGCGGGTGATAGCACTGACATTCAGTGACGTCCCTTTCGCCGTCGATGGAAATCGACACAGCGTGTTTGATGACTTTGTAGCTGCCACCACAGTCGGCAAATCAGTAACAATGCACCTATCAGGCAGCTCCAATGCTGAGGCGAACACCGCCGTTGGCCTTCTCTCTCTTCCTGATATCGCTTTCTCGGTGGACAGCTCGATTGACGGTTTACAAGGCTTGAACACGCGTCCTGTTACAGTCAGCGGCCTGGATGTGAACCATGGCTTCCCTGACTTCTTGCTCATCAAAGTCGATAGCGCTTTGTTCAATCCGAGGTAAGTTGATTGCACGGACGTCGGAACCTTATTAACGTACAATTGTTCCAGTAACCTCACAGTTGGTAAGGCGGCACCTTTTCCTCCTTGCTATTGGTGCTAAATGATGCATCCTCAGGAACTGGAGATGTTTCCTTCGCCCTGCAATTCCAGTAGGTGGATCAGTGCCCCTCTCGTCCTCAATAAGCTTACAATTTCGCAGGGATCAAACCATTGGTTCTGCTGATATCGTACGCTTATGGCTAACCCCACACCGTTCGCACACTGACATGTCATCCAGAATGGCCTTGTCATCCAGCCAGGCAATGCATCATATCCCATTGGTGAGTAGAAGCTTGCTATAGGCCCACGAACACTTCTCAAGTTTTGTTAGACGTCCATTACGCACCACAAGGGGCAGCTCAACAAGCCGGCCGAACACTGCTTCAAAACTTCCTTCAGGGAGTTGATTCAGACACGGCTATCTCGGGCAATACTGGCTCTACTACTATCGGCTCATTGAAATCGGCTCTTTCACAGATTCGACTGAGCCCAGTAACCATACCAGCTATACACCAGACGTTGGTACAAAGCACATCACTATCGTTCCCTATCGACATCGTTGAGACGGGAATTGCTTCTGCCACCTTTACCTTGGCGAATCCCTTCACTGCCAGCATCAATTTACTACGCGTTGGGACCGTTGTCACTTTCCACGGTCTCACCTTAGGGAAGATTGACAACGTAGACATCTCTTCGTCACCAGTTCACGCAGATGGCCACAGCACGGCGACATCTCCATCGTTGCCATTTAAATTTAACCTCGAGCCTAGCAACATCATTCGGCTCCTCAGCATTTCGTCTCAAGAGCAGGACGTCAGTCTCGGCCCTTTGGGACAGATGTTCCAGTTCTTGATCGAAAATCCGGAGTTCAAGCCTCCTGTAAGCTTAGGGCTCCTCGAGCTCGACTCACTTCGCTCACGACTATCTTGCAATAGGTGAAGACCGCCGTCGATACTCAAGCACCTACCTGTGTTAGGTGAGTGTTGACAATGTTGGCTGAAAACCGCCTTCCAATCTCTTTGTAGCGGGCATCAATTCGATGCGGCGGGAGCCATCTTAAAGTCGCTCTCTGGTTTGAAGGTTAATTTAGCTGTCGACACGCATACAAAGCTGGATGACTGTGAGATCCCGATGATTGCGTCGTATACTTCCCCCCTAACTTTATGCTATAGTTGCGACGGATTTAAGTTTCAATCAAGCGAACGTCCCTGCAATTGTGAGCGCTGTCTGCATGGAAGGAGATGCTTTTTTACCCAACAGCACAATTAGACCGACAGGAGCGTTCTTTTCACCATTGGCGCCGTAGCAGGACCCATCGCTCAACATCTCGTTGACGGATCGAAGCTACAGTTCTCGGAGGCCAATATAACGTGAGCCTAGATGTCAAGTTGATGCAATAACCTCCTAACGGAGTGACGCCAGAAATGTCTCTAACGATGGATTCGACTTGTCGCTGCAAGGTTCTTTGACCGACGCCGGTCCGCTAGATGCTCTCATTTCGTTCACGGAGCCCGTCACGTCTGTGTTTCTCTATTTTTTGTCCGGGTTTATTCTCATGGGCCTTAGTGTAACGTGGAATGGCAACAATATTGCGCAAATAACATTGCCCCCTAGTATGTACCCGATGCTTCCAAATCGTGTCTCACTGTGATGTTTGTACACTCTAGTTTGTGCGGCTGCTGACTCTGGGGTCCCCAACTATCAAACGAATGGTCGATTAAAGATTACTGACGTTTCTCAGTAAGTGATCTGCCATCCGGGCTTGTCATGCAGCGCTGATGATCCCTAGATTCACCGCATTCGCGACTGCGTTACTACATGATGAATCCTTTGAATGGACTATATCGACGGATAAACTCCGAGTGCAAGCACTAGGAACCATATTTGATAATGTTTCTCTGTCAAAGAAGGTGTTGTTCAAGGCATTCAACGGGCTCAATGGTGTCACGATCAGCAACTTCCAGCTTCCTCATGATGACCATGCTGGTGGGATCAGCATTCAAACGGATTCTTTGATTCCCTCTCCTGCTCGTGGGTGCATTTTGTCTGAGAAGATATGCGCAAAGTTGACGAACATACTAGAGCTCGGTATCCAACTCGGCACCGTCGGGTTCGAGTCCTTCTTCGAGGGTACTCATGTAGGACGTAAGGACCGTGGTACAAATTTACTATATATCTTGTTTACTAATATAGACCTCTAGCTTTATCCGGGTCTGGTCTGTTCCTCACTGCTGGTTCCATTACGCCTCTCCCCCTTACAGGACGAATTGTCCCTCAGAGCGACTCTGACCTTCAAACCATTGGAAAACTCTTCTCAGGCTTCTTAGCTGGCCAGAATCAGACTCTTGTAGCGAAGGGTGATTTCATTCAACCCGGAGCTTCGTCAGTAGGATGGCTCAGCGAAGCTTTCAAGACGCTCGAGTTGACTGTAACTTTACCCGGTCAAATCTCTGAAGTCAGTGGTTCGACTAGTCCAAGTAGCGATTGGAGCTGAAAGAGAGGATTAGGTCATAACTGCAATCACGCTTGACGACTTCGCAGTGACGATGAAAACGCCCGACCAAGCGTTCGCACCTCTTGCAAGTTCCCAAGGAACAGTTGCTCAGTACAAGAATCCATTTGGGTTCTCGTTACAAGTGATCGAATCAAAGCAAACACTGATTCTCAGTTCGTCGGGGGTTGATATTGCTCAAGTAAGACACTGTTCCCTTCTCTCTTCCCTACGCGGCTTTGACGATGATTTGACCTAGCTCGACATACCTAATGCGCCCGCAAACGGCGGTGTTTCCACCGGAAATCCTGTCGATCTACCGATTGCTTTCAAGGACGTACCTATGAAGTCTCTGAATAACCAAGGCTTCCAGGCCCTCTTCGCACATGTCACATTGCAGGAGACCGCGGCTCTTGACCTCAAAGGAACCGCTGACGTTACCGCACACACTGCGATAGGCAACGTCCCCATTTCCGGCATACCCTTCAAGGTTCCTTCAAGCTTGAAAGGTATCAACTCCTTCGGCGGTACCGCGTCTTTGAGCAATGTATCCGTGACGGGTAGTGGTGGAAACGGAGGTAGCGAATTTATCGTCTCGCCGTTGATAAACACGTTGCACAACCCGTCCAATGTCACGTTGAGTACCGTGGACATATCTCTACCCGTGATGTTCAATGGCGTCAAGATCGGCAGGGCAGCAATCGATGTACGTTTCGTGATCAGTGTCAGTTCTACGTTCAGAGTCTAACTTGGCCTCTCACAGCCCTTCAATCTCGTGCCAGGCGACAACGATATCCCTGCCGAATTCCACTACCAACCCGACGACGCCAATAATACTGTCGCCCAGGTCGGTCATTGCGAAACTATTGCTAATGATTGCGGAGGACTGATGACCGTCGACAGGGCTTCTTGACTCAGTTTATTCAAACGGACAATCGGTTGCCCCTTGTAATCCAAGGAGACTCAGCTAGCACGCCGTTCGCTTCGTTACAACCAGCTCTCAGCGGCTTGCGTCTATCGTCTCAGCTAGCAGGTAGGTTGAAGGGCCTAGCGTTGTGTTCGTGCTCTAATGTTGTTACCTTTTCACAGGTACAAACAACCCAACTATTATCACTCACGTCCAAGTCCTTATCACCTTGGATTCCTTGGTCACCAACCTCGTATCCGTCAACTTCGACGTCTTCAATCCCTTCAATACAGATCTCGTTATTGAATTCGTACAAAGTGATTCAGGCGTCAATGGCCAGATATTCGCCCACTTCGAGCAGCCGTTCGACAATTTCGTCATTCCCCCAGGTCAAACAGTCAACTCCGGAACATTCGGAAACGTCCTTCTTACCCAAGGTGCTATTGCAGCGTTGGACATTATTCCGCTAGGTATTCTGGATATCGGCGCGGCGAACACGGTAAGGATCGGGAGGGGCGGATACCAAGTGCCGTGGCTACAACTTAATCAAAAAGCGGTTCCTACGAAGTACGACCTGCAGCTTGGATTTTCTGCCATGAAGCAGAAGGCCGAGTCGGTCAACGCAACGTCGAGTTCTGAGGCGCTCAGCAGTACGTCGGCTAGTGCGTCCACAGCTGCTGTCGAAAGCTCGGCTGCGGCTCCCGAATCGACAAAGGGCGAGGCAGAGGCACTTCCTACCACGAAGACACCAGATGCCGAACCTTCGATCAGTCAGCCAGAAGCGAAACCCGAGCAAGATGCACCGCAAGCCAAACCAACACCAACACCCTCTGCCAGCGAAGAGAGTCTTAACGATTCGAAGGTGCGTTCCTAGCATTCAGCAACGATGCTTGTAAGCTCACCTTATCGTTTCCTCAGGATCCGTCGGCAGCTGCAACCATACCCGAAACCACACCCCGAGATGCCCCATCGAGGACCTCTTCGTAAATTCATCCCTCGGAAGTCTGTAATAGACACTTTTGACGTTCTATCTCGAGAGACTTTTCATTGAACATTCATCAACCTGTTTCGCAATGTTTTGTTGAACGGGCCTGGACGCGTTGATGTTATACCACGCAATGACTATTGTTATTTCTACATTTGCATGTCCTTTTCGAAATTACGATGTATTCGTTGAAATGATATAATTCAAGAAAGCGTAAGCTTAGGCCGGGGGAAGGAATGCTGTCCAGAGGATAATGGAGATGCTTCCCCAGAGGAAACTCCACCATACCCATAACCGAGCTAGGCTATGGGTGGGTTTGTGACAGTGTAACCACGCCGCAGCCCAATAGATGGTGGGCATAGATGCAGCGAGGCGGAGGGCGATTTGCGTGTGCGATGCAACGAGGAGAGTGACTCCCATGAAGCAGGTATGGATGACATGAGGAACGAGTTTGAGTGTAAGGAAATTTGAGCTCGATGGACTGGACGGCCGTCTCTCCACTGCACGCCGATCAGGGCAGAGATTGCGCAAGTACCAAAAGCTGAATGAGAAGAGGATAAGAAGTACGGGCGCTGGGAGGATGAAGTTGGGGAGCTGTTGGAGGGTCCAGTATTTGAATAGGCCGACATTCCAGTACTTGGCTTGAACGTAGCTGTAAATGGATGGGATTGTGCGCGAACACCACTCTGGAGCGGAGACGTCTGCGCTAAGGCAGAAGGCTAGGTATGCATTGCAGTGATGGTATATGAATGGGGCAAATACCATGCCGACGAGGGGGATGGATTTACAGAGGTTGGCGAGTGAAATCTGATAATTGTCAGTCGCATTCAACACCATGACCCCGCGCACGTACCTTTTTCTGGAGCAGAAACGGCTCGACGAGCATGCCCCAGAGGATGAAGCCTGCGAGGACAATGCCATTTGATCTGAAGGATCCAGCGATCATGAACCACAGCGCCGCGCGGAGCCATTCTTTCCTTGCACAGTGCAACATTCCCCTATACGCTGCACATGTATACCATCCTTCTGGGGACGGTGCCAATCTCAGTGTGATGGGGCTCGAGGGCAACAGGCTGAGCAGCGTTGCGAGCCGGGCAAGTTTGGGAGACCCCAAGACCAGCGAGGAGAGCTCATATAGCGTCAGCGCGCTGAACATCGAGATAGGGAGTAAAGCGAGGGCATGGAAGAGAAACGATAAATGGTCCGAGCCTGAGGATGAGGAGAGGATACGTAGGACGCTGGGTACGCCTGGGAAGAAGGCCCACTCATACTCGTAAACGTAGCCGTGGTCCGCGATGTGCGCAAAGTGGAACGCGTCCCATCTGAAGAACGGGCTGTCGATGGCGGCGACGGTGGGCGACGAGTCGAAGAGAACGACGGCGGTGTGGCAGGCGTAGGCGAAGGCGGCGGTGAGGAGGTGCGCCGCGCCCGAGAGGAGGACAAGCTCGAAAGGCATGTGATCGCTGTTGCCAACAACGCTCATGACCCCGCCGCGCTGTCTCGTCCGAGGCTCTTTGAGTGAGTCCATCAGCGCCACCAGTGACCACTTCCTTCTCTCACACAGCTTCAAGACAACGACGAGTATCTTCACGGTGGGTCGCTTTCCCTGCTTTCGCTAATTCTCAACCTCAATGTCCTACAGTGAAAAATCTCGTTCGTGCAGGTGAAACGATATTCTCGACCAAATATGAGCGTCGGGCCGGCGGCAAGGGCGCAAACCAGGCAGTCGCCATCGCAAAAGCTGGTGGGCGCGTAGATCTCCTGGGCTCGGTCGGGGAAGACGGTATATGGCTCATCCAATATCTCCAAGCCATCGGGGTCAGCACCGACAATGTCTCCGTAGTCGAGGTGAGCACCGTCGAATACTGTCTGGTCCCTGTTGCACGATCCTGAGAAGCGAAGACACATACAGGGCGCGCGATGATCCAAGTTGCGGACGACGGCGAGAACAGCATCAGTATGCGATTCTTCTCTGACAAGTGCTGTATGAACTCAATGATCAATCCACCCAGTCCTCTATCCGGGAGCCAATTTCTATCCATTACCCCTCCCTCGTGCACTCGATTCAAGATACACTCATCTTCTCCTCCAAAACGAAGTCTTGTTCTCATCAACACAAACCTATCTCCGCCTCTCCAAGTCCTGCAACCCTCCGATCATCAGTATCTTCAACCCATCGCCCATCCCGTCCAAAGAACAGGTCGCCCAATTTCCGTGGAGTAACCTGGACTGGCTCATTGTCAATCAAGGCGAAGCGACTGCTCTATGTGAGATCCTCACCGAGGAATCAATCCTCAAAGATACACCCATTTCTGAAATCATTGCGAAGCTCTGCGACGCGCCTGCATTCTATCCATCCACCAATATCATATGTACTCTGGGTGCTAAAGGCGTCTTTGCTCATACTCTACATGGGACGATTGTCGTTCCTGCTGCATCTCTCCGAGGGCCCGTCATAGACACGACAGGCGCAGGCGATTGCTTTACGGGCTTCTTTGTGGCTGGCTTGATGGAACACTCGGCGAACAAAGTTAGTACGACTTTGTCGTTACCCGAACTCGAGTCCATCCTACGGACGTCCGTGGAGGTAAGCCGCTTGCAATGTGGGTTCAACCGGTGACTCATGTGTAGATACCAGGCCGCCGGGATATGCGTACAGAGAAGAGGGACCATAGAAAGTATTCCTACTCGAAAAGAACTTACCCAATGAACGCCATTTTATCTCTTAATGCCAACAACGATGCTAATAAAGTCTAGCTATGGTGCAACAACAATCTAGTTATTATTGGGGTATGTTTTATGATTGTTGGCTGACTATATAGGTTAAGTGAGACCGTCTATTACAACACACTGAACCTCGAATCCTCTTCCAGACTTTTCCTCAGCGCGTCCCATTCCCCCTCTTCCACGCTACCTGCCATCCGGCAGCAAACAATCTGCTCGGGTAGTCCGCCCTTGAATGTGTCGTTCTCTTCACAGCATTCTTCAACATCGCCTTGCTCCCTTTGCCATGCCAGTCCTACGAGAGTCATGAAGTCCCCAGGCGACCGACACACTATCTTCAAGGCCATCAGTTGGCCCGAGATCGCTTTGACGTGTCGGACCACGTCCATCGGAAATTGGTCCCACACCACTGTCATCTCCTTTAACTTCTCGCACTTGATCTGACCGTTTCCGCTGCTACCGGAGAAGAATGGCACTCTCTCTCCTCTGAAGGCGAACCTCCGTAACTCTGGCATGTCTACATTCGGAAGGAAGACGAAGGTCCGCTCGTACGTCGCGTTGAACCAGATCGACAGATCCTGCAGGTGCGGCGCGACCATGTCTAGGATATGAGTTATTGCACCGGAAGCCACGATGCCTCGGCTGCGACATTCGTGTGGAACAGTGATAGATCGCGTGCACTTGGTTTTGCGATGTAAGGAATTGAGATAGGCATGACTGTCCAGTTCTTCGTTCTTCCTCATTTCCTTCTCCTCGACGTTCGTGCCTTCCTCCGCATCCACGTCGACAACAATATCCAGTGTATTGACACTTCTCTTCCCCTCCTCCAATGCCTCCAGCATATCCGCAAAAGCTACAATCTTCTCCACACCCTTCAACACCACCCTCTCAAACCTCACGGGCTCGGAGGTCTCCCTGACATATCGAGAGACCAAAGCGAGGCTGCGACCTGTCGCCCCGTCGTCGGTGCATGCAAATGCGAAGATCCGGGTCCATATTTCCGGGGGGCAGGTGTGAATGCTGCCAAGTTGCATTGTAGTGATCATCGAAACCTTGTCGTGAGTTGTGAGCTTCCCTCGTTGGCGTGTAGTAGATGGGGGTGTTTGAGAGGGGACGGTGAGTGTTATGCGATTTGATGCGACGCGTGAAGATAGTCGATGCTCGTCAATGATAAATTACTCGAGGACTTTTGAAGTGGGCCTCTATGCAAGTGGTTTGGGGTTTGCTCTTTGCTCGATGTCAGGGAGCCGAGCTTTTATACCCTCGCCCCTTCTGCCCCCTCCGTGTGTTACGCAACCTCAAAAAATTTGCTTCTCGAACCTGCAACTCATGGCGTCGTGTACGAGACATGCCTGGGACCTGTCGGGCGGTTTACGTGAGTTGACGCCAACACGGTTACCCTGTACTTGACTGTCCCAAAGATAACTGATAAAAGTCCGAGCCAGTCTCGCACCCGCCTGGTGCTTCTGCTATTGATAGAAAGTACTAGGCCCGATGTATATTTTTAATCTCCGACAACCGTCGCGTCTCTCCATGTAACGGGTGGCTTTCCGAGGTCCGCGAGGTGGAGAAAAGAGTTGAGAAACAGCGAGTCAACCAAGACCTGTGTTGATGATACCAGCAAGCGGCGGAGTACAAGTATGCTATGCGGGAAACACTGAGAGGGGTCTGTATGGTAAATGATAATTACAAGCATAGCACATAAGGAATACAGGTGAGTGCATAATGATCTATGAAAGGCCATGAACTAACTAGAATGTCCATGAATAACTTAAAAAGCCATGACCTGAGTGTAAAGGGACACTCCTATTTTCCCCTATTTTCCCTGTCCCTATCCTTTCCCCCTTGCTCCTTTCCCTTTCCTTTCATTCCATGGACTCTTAGTAACATTTCCTTTCCCTTTCCCTTCCTTTCCACCCACTCACCTTGCATCCAGGTTGTATTCAATAACTCTGAAGTGTTCCTGCAGTTTGGACTTGCTCAGACTTGCTCTGTTATGGTTCAACGTTTCTTCTTTCACTTCTCCTATATATATCACATGATGGGACACATTGTTGCTTATCACTTACACCTTTGAGCTGTATTACTAATTGTCTCAATCAGTGCCTCACCACTGCAGCATGGGTGCAGTGAGCAAGCATTATAACCTGTGCCACCAAGCTAATCTCATAGCATGACCATAGTCAAGGGGGTCAAGAGGTATATCTGGCGGTCCACCACTGTAAGGGCAACCTCAAGATGGCTGCACAGCACAGGCCTAGCAGAGGGAGAATCCAAAGATATGAATAGGACTAGCTACAATACATGAGAGAGCTGCTCACCTAGCAGAGGGAGAATCCAAAGAGAACAGGATAAGGATTCTCCATGCTAGGAAGCAAAGTATATACTGTAGTAGCGTGAGAGGAATGCAGGATAACTGTACAGTACACCAGCCACAAGTCTGAATGAATATCACAAGGTACAAGGAAACATGTGATAATGAAGTGGAAGGTGTAAGGGGACACTCCTATTTTCTCTTCTTTCCTTCATCCCATGGACTCTTACCTACATTCCCTTCGTTCCCCTTCATTCCTTTTCGCTCCCTTTCCTTTCCACTTCCTTTCTGCCCACTCCTTTTGCATCCGAGCCACGTCCGGTGACTCCGGAGTCTTCCCGCACTTCGGACACTTCGGACTCGCTCGGACTCGCTCGGACACTTCAGACTCGCTCGGACTCGTAGATACACTTCGGGGCTCGTCCGGGCTACCTCTATCCTCCTTTCCCACTTCATTACTCCTTGTCCCCACTTCCCCAGGTCGCTGGCACGACTCCTGTACATTCCCCTTCCACTTCATTATCACATGCCCCCTCGTACCTTGTGATATTTGTTCGTACCTGTGGCTGGTGTACTGTACAGTTACACTTCATTCCTCCCACGCTACTACAGTATATACTTCGCTTCCTAGCATGGAGAATCCTTATCCTGTTCTCTTTGGATTCTCCCTCTGCTAGGTGAGCAGCTCTCTCATGTATTGTAGTTAGTCTTATTCATCTCTTTGGATTCTCCCTCTGCTAGGCCTGCGCTGTCAGCCATCTTGAGGTTGCCCTTACAGCAGAACAGGATCTCCCATCCTGGCACCAGAGCCCTACGGAAAACGTCCTGCGCCACTTCGGACTTGTTCCCGACGTCTCTCCGGTTTTGCGGACATTCCGGACGCTCTCCTGCTACTCCCACCCACCTCTGAGGGCCCAAGGAACTCCATCCCTCGCTCCCCTGACGACTCCGAAATGCCGGGCGCTTCCAGCCAGATCCCGCCATCCGAGCCAGTTGCTTCAGGACCGGACTCCGAGACTTTGCAGACCTTGTGGGCTCAGACGTACGAACACCAAACCCAAATCAGCTCCATCCAGGATACACTTGCCTGAATCGAAGGACTCCTCTTAACATCCCGTCCGACTACTCCAAAAACGACTCCGGACTCCGAGCTGAGGGGCACCGAAGCCTCCCAGCACGCCCCGAGTCGATCCGAAAACACCCCACGTTCCCGCTTGAAGCCCGCCTCTCCCCCGATCTTCGACGGAAACCGCAAGGATGGTCGCGCGTTCTACAACACGTGCTCCATCTACTTCCAGCTCTGTCCGGACCACTTCCCGACCGAGCAGGCCAAAATCCTCTGGTGTCTCTCCTTCTTCCAGAAGGATCGAGCTAAGGAGTACGCGGACATGGTGCTTCGGAGTCCGAAGGATCCATACTTTGCGTCCTGGGCCGCCTTCGCAACTGAGTTCCGGACTCGCTTCCTTCCAGATCGGGAACGCGAAGCCGCCATGCTCAAGCTGGAGTCCACCCGGTACTACCAAGGGCGTCGGACTTTCCAGGAGTACCTCGACGAGTTCCGGGACCTTGTAGACCAGTCCGGATACACTGAGGGCTCCAACATCACGATGAAGTTCCGTCGTGGATTGGACTCCATCATCCAGAGCCGCGTTGCCGAGTCCGCAGACTGTCCGGACGAGGATGACTTCGAGGAATGGTACAAGGCAGCACAGCGGGTTGCTGACAACCGTGCTGCTAACCAATCCTTCCACTTTGGTGTGCACTCCGGAAACTCCGGACACTCCGGATCCCTCGTCCGACCAGCAGCCGGCTCCGGAGTCGCTCGGACTCCTGCGGGTGTGCTACCCACGCCTCGGACTCAGCTCCCACCTTTGCAACCCCGTTTCCAACCTCCGCCTCCTCCAAAGGCTCTCTCACCCGGTGTCCCAATGGATGTCGACCACACCCGCTCCCGACCTGCCACCTCACAGCTCTGCTACCGATGCGGCAAGCCCGGTCACATGTCTCGCAAGTGCCCACTCCGGTACGACGTCCGGTTCATGACCACCGAGGAGCGGATGTCCGCCATTGAAGATCTCTTGACCGCGGCCGATGTTGTAGAAAGTACGGGGACTTCGGAAGGAATAGACGATGAGGGAACGGCCCCGGTTGAGGAATCGGACACGGCACATTTTGTCCGGACCAACGAGTGATCAGTGCGACCTCATTGGTAAATAACCGATTTGCTTGTCTTAGCGTAGACGAAATAGACGATTCCAATCACTCCGATGATTCGTCCGATGTTAAGCAAGCAACTCCGGTTACAATCTGCACACTCCGAAGGTTTCGCCCGCAGTGGGAACAGCGGCTACCCAGTAGCTATAAGATCTCCGCGCTGCCCGGCAAGCTTTTGCTAGATATACCCGTTGAAGTGCAGAGCACGGATACACAACACAGATGCACCCTGCAGGCCCTGGTGGACTGCGGAGCCACCGGAGTCTTCATGCATCCGCGCTTTGCTGATGCCCATGGTTTCACCCGACGCAAGCTGTCCGCTCCAATTCCGGTCTTCAACGTTGACGGATCACCAAATGAGAACGGATCTATCTCCGAAGTCGTGGACCTTGTACTCCGGTTCAAGGATCACACGGAACGGATGCTTTTCGCAGTCACTAACATCGGACGGCAGGACATCATCCTCGGATACACCTGGCTTCGGAAGCACAACCCCGAGATTGACTGGCAGACAAAGGAGGTGACCATGAGCCGTTGTCCGTCCGGATGCGACACCTGTCGGAAGGAGTTCCGCCATGACAAGCTGACCCGACGCAAGGAGTCCGTGCAACTCCGGGAGTGTCGTACGGGTCCGATGCCAAGGGTTGAGGAACTGCACTCGGACGATCTCCCAGAGCTTCAGGACTGCGAGGATGATGATGAGGATGACAATGCTACAACTCCGGACGACTCCGGACTTGAGAGGGGTGACCGTATCTTCGTGGCTATTCCTCCTCCGACTCCGGAGTACCTTCGGAGTCTTCAGGAAGAACATATCCGGGCTTCGGAGACAGTCTCGCAGCGCCTTGCATTGGCTTTCCAGCGCAACAAACCCCACGACCCTCGGAACAGCGCAGTCCCGGACTTCCTTCAGGAATTCAAGGACGTCTTCGCAAAGGAGTCCTTTGATGAACTGCCCATGCCGCGTCCGTGGGACCATGCCATTGAGCTACTGGATGGAGTGGAGTTGACCTCTACCAAGTGCTATCCGCTGTCCCCAGCGGAGCAGAAACAACTGGACAAGTTTCTGGAAGAAAATCTCCAGACTGGTTGGATCCGCCCCAGCAAGTCGCCCATGGCTGCCCCGGTGTTCTTTGTTAAGAAGAAGGATGGATCGCTCCGCTTGGTCCAGGACTACCGGAAGCTCAACAACATGACGGTCAAGAATCGGTACCCACTTCCGCTCATCTCGGACTTGGTGGACAAACTCCAGAATGCTCACTACTTCTTCAAGCTTGACGTCCGGTGGGGCTTCAACAATGTCCGGATCAAGGAGGGTGATGAGTGGAAGGCCGCATTTCGGACTACGCGCGGACTCTTCGAACCGTTGGTAATGTTCTTTGGACTGACGAATAGCCCATCCACCTTCCAGACCATGATGAACGACCTCTTCCGGGAGCTCATTACGGAAGGTGTGGTCATTATCTATCTGGATGACATTCTGATCTACACCAAGACGCGCGAAGAGCATCGCCGGGT